GTGCTGTCGAGGGGGGGGGGGGGGGGGGGGGGGGGACACGAGAGAGGAGCCATCGGTTTTTAGTCTTTGTATTCATGATCTCGTTGCTCCATTTCAGTAATCGACAGGCTATCCTGCCTTTCATCATAACCTGTTCCCCTGAAAAGTGCCCTCGAGACAGCGCAAGAAAAGAAGAACTCCGATCCATTCATTCAGGACTAGTACATCCCTATCCCATCCCCTTGTCATACACACTTCTCTGGTGTTGTGAACCTCATTTCCTGGATTGTCCGGTTGGTGCCTTACCCACAAAGGGGTTTGCCGGCTTTTTGCGACGGGGCACTGTGGGAAGAGGGGCAGGAGTGACAGCAGTAGGGACCGTGGTGGGTGTAGCTTCAGGTCCATCGACAGGGGCAGCGGAGGTAAACGGAGCAGGGCAAGGACCAGGTGCCGAAGGAGGGACGCGGCGAGGGCGAGTCTCCTTCTCGATACGAGTCGAGGACAAGGGGTTAGAGATGGAGGCCTTCGGGAGAGAAGCACCCCTCAATACTTCTTCCTTCAGGTCCTTCACCTTCTTCTCCGGGTCCTGGACCCGGTACTGCTCAATTCTGACCTTGTCATTCTGAGCCTTGATCTCCTCAACGTGCTGGGTAATGACTCCTTGAGCGTGCTGTCTCACTGCAGCAATACGCTCTTCAGCAGCGTTGGCCTTGTCATTGGCCTCGACAGCGCTCTCAATGAGCCTTCCTGCGGCGTCCAGCTTACCCTTCAGGCTCTTGTTCTCGGTACGAAGGTGACCAGCCTCCTTCTCGAGATCGAGAACCTGTTGGGTGCTCTCATACCTGGCCAGGAGCTCGGCGTTACCGGAGCACTCGACCTTGAGGCGCAGCGAGTGGATTCCCTCGTCCTTGATGGCGGAGATGGAGCGATGCTTCTCGACTGCTGCGGCGAGTGACCTGTTTGCCTCCTCGGTCTGAGCCTGGAGCCTGCGATGCAGAGTGAGTGAAGCGCATCTCCTTCATGATGATGTCTTTGTTGATGATTTGTGCCTCGAGTTGGACGAGGTCTTCGGGCTTCATATAAGGAGGAGAGGAAGTGTAGAAGCCAATGATGGCAGCTAGGAGCAGAATTCCGAAGAAGAAGATGGTGACGAGGGTCTCAGTGTCGGTGGGTAGATGAGAGAGCAGGGTATACATGTTCGTTGACCATGGCGAGAAGGGATGTGGAGGTGGCGGCAGGCAGAGTCATTTTGAAGATCGCGAGCTCGTTGCCGGGAGAGACGACTGCAATAGTGGCAGTGTGGAAGATAGTGGTCGTAAAGGTCTCGTTAATGGGGAGGTCCAGCACAAAAGATGGGTCTTGATGACAAGAATCGGGAGCGGCAAGGAGTCTCTGACTCCAGACAGGAATGATGAGAGCTACCTTGGTCTGGAAGAAGGTGGCGACGCTCATGATAATGGTGATCAGGCTGTTGAGATTGGCCATCTTGGAGGAGTAGACGATCGAAGAAGATGATGGTGAATTGTATAAAGTGCTGTTCAGGCGTAAGTATGTGATTCGTAGGTGAATGTTGCGCACACAATACTGACGAGAGAGCGGACGATGTGCTTGATCGTTGATAATGAGGTGCAGCTGATGGGCGATGAATGATCGCGAGTTGTTGATGGTGTGTAAAGAGACGCGTGAGATCTTGCGTGAAGAACGTGCGTAAGCAGTTGGCAATGATATGAATCTGATGCAGCGGATGCGAAGGCGCAAAAGAGGATGATGATTGATGAATGTTGATGCAAAAGCGATGTTGTTGGATCAGAAGTTTGTGAAGCGCAATGCGGAAGACGGAGAAGCGAGGATGCTCGAGTATCAAGCTATATAGCCGGATCGACAATAACAAGCAACAATAGGAAAATTGACAATCGCAAACAATTCACTTGGCGGCAGCCAAGGACGACCACCGGAGAATTGGAGTAAGCTTGGTCCACTCGTCTTGGTTCCACAGGTGTATTCTGTCGAGCATCACAAGTCCCAGAACCTGCATATAGCTGCAGTCTCGGACCCCTTCAGGATATATAGCTTTTCGGGCCACGCTGTCAGCTTCAGATAGCTCCCTCGCAAGCGCGAGCTCAAAGCTGAGCTCGAAGTCAGAACCGGGTCCTTGTTCCTAAGCACTTGATTCCAGGCTCAAAATTTTGACCCTTTCGTCTCGGTTCTGGCGTTGTCGTATGTCTCAGCTCATGAGTATCAACGTCCTGATCGTCGTTGTCAATATGTGGCGAGTGATGAAGAGATGACTTCCCCCAAGCGGACCGGACATACTTTTCAATCTTCAGCGTTGATGCCAAACTCCTCCTGGACCTCCCCGATACGGCAGCCACGCTTCTCCGCAATCAGTCCCATGAGCTGTGTTCCAATGTCCTTGATGTCGTTGTACTGCTGGAGCTGTCTGATCTGCGACTTGATTTTCACATTGGCAGTTTCTACTGCTGTCTTTGCACGGCTGTCTGTTTCTTCTGCTTCTGAGCTGCTAGGGGTGGAGAGGGGATCGACAAGGGAAGTACGCTGAGATAGAAGGTCGGCGACAGTGGATTCGAGAGCAGATTGACGCGCGCGAAGAGCCTCGAGCTGGTTGTGCCTACCGGAAGATGTTGCCTTTGAAGACATGTTGAGTTTGGATGGTCCGATTGGCGATGAAGAGTAGTTATCTTTGGCCATGTTTGCTGCTCTCACGAGCTGGAAGCATCCCGACTATGGCCTCGATCGATGGAAAGATGTGGCCACGGCTATCATCCGCACTGCAAGACGCTTCTTTTGTGGGGATGAGAGTGGTCGAAGACTTCACATGATAATCAAGAGAGCAGCATGTGATGGACAAAGCGAGGTGAAGTTGGAAGGAAGACGTCGGACCCACGCTCCGAAAGAGTCGGACTTAAGCATGATCCGCGCCTCCCGAGCAGCACTTTCTACAACGCAAATGCAAACTTGAGACACAGTGTAATGTATGGGATTATAGGATGTTATCAAGATACTGATTAACCATGGTACATGCCACTATTTGCCAGCAGCAACATCTACTTCTTGTGCGGACCGTCAGAAGATGACATGTGTCGAGGGACAATGGAACGACCGGATAGGGGACTCAATGGCTTGGCGGGGATACGCGTGGTCAGCAATCTTTCTAGATCAAGGTGGGACTGAGGGTAAACCTTGTATTTCTGTCCTGTTAGAGAAAAGGGATGTACGAAATCTAGTTCAGAGACTCGGACTCCAATCCTACACAACTATTGTAGACATCTGTGCCGTATATCACAATGGCATTCTCAATACAGCCGTCGCCGCGAGTGCTTAGCAAGAGCATCCAAGCCGCCACCGTTCTTGCTTTGCTCGTCTCGTCTGTCAAGGCGCATGAGCATCACGACGACAAGATCCCGGAAGGCGAGGCTATCTCACCAGATCCTCTGGTATGGCTTCATGCGCAGTTTTCGCAGCTACAGGAACTGACTGTACTCAGGACACGACGCTATGGATCCATATTCTCGTGCAGACATTCGCCTGGGGCATCCTGTTCCCGACTGGCATGGTCTTAGGTATCGTCCGCTCGCGATGGCATGTGCCTGTGCAGGTCGTCGGCACCGCGCTCGCCATCCTCGGCTATCTGCTTGGCCACGCCCATAAAGGTCGACAATTTAGCAAGAACGTACACGCTCAATACGCCCCTTGGTTGATGATAATGCTTTTCGCTCAGATTGCCTTGGGCATCTATCTCAGACTTCACCTCGAGCGTGGCTTCAACGGCAAGATCAGGAAATGGGTTATCTCTGGACATGGTATACTCGGCAAGGTCATTCCAGTCGCCGCTTGGGTGCAGATGCTGTTTGGAGGAATCACCGCCTTGGGCTTCTGCCGTGGCGATCATACCGGCCAATGCGCTGCCCATTTCATCATGGGATCTGCTTTCATCGGCTACGGTATCGTCTACACAATTTTGCTGCTTGTTGGCCAGATCTGGCTGCGTCGCACTGGTCGCTCCCAGGAGTTCTACGACAGTCTTGTCATTGCAGCTTGGGGTTGTGTCAACACCTTCACCGAACACAGATGGGGTACGCCTTGGGTACGCAATGACCTGCAGCACACCAGCATGGGCATTATCTGGTGGTGCGCTGGTCTCCTCGGTATGTGGCTGAGTCGCGATCGTAGCGGCCGCCCGAAGCGCAACTTGATTCCTGCCATTGTCATTGCGATGACCGGATGGGCCATGAGCGGCCATCCTCAGGAACTAATGTTGAGTACTATGGTACACAGCGTTTTCGGTTACACCCTGATGGCTGCTGGTATCACTCGTATCATCGAAATCAGCTTCGTCTTGAAGGACGCGAACTCAATCTCTGAAGACGGTGAAGACACGAACAGCTTCCAATTCCTGCCTCCTTTCCTGCTGTATGCCAGTGGTTTCCTGTTCATGGGTGCTACTGAAGAGCAGATGCTGCTACTTTCACAAGCTGGAGTCACTCACGTCGCTTATATCCTAATCCTCTACAGCTTTGCCTTCCTGATGTTCCTCTGTAAGTCGCTCCCGTCTCTTTGTCATGAGTCTATCAGAGCTGACGTAGCCACAGTCGTGAACATGCTTCTTCGCCTGTACACCCATTACGCAGATACACCGAGCGACAAGAAGGTCGCAGACCCTGAGAGCAGGCTCAACGGCTCTGCTATGACCAATGGACATGCACGTATCCCAGATGCAAGCGACCGCCAGATAAGAGATGCGGAAGAATTCGAGTTGGAAGGTCTTATGAGTGAGGATGACGAGGACCTTCCAAAGCAACACGCTGGCCGATAGATCTATTTCCTCTCCATCAAGGACTTGATGGACCGACTTGTAACACACAACCAAAAAATTGCATAATCACAGTTCAAACCGCTTGGCTTAGTTTCTTCACATGCTTTCTGCTGATCTGTAGGCATATCCAAACCCTAGCGGACGGTAAGATTTATCTATGCTCGACTTGTTGTTCGAATTTTGCGAACATGACCTCGTCCAGCACGACAACGGCGAGAGCACATCTACTCGATGGACCCAATCATCTGTCTACACCAATCGCTAGAGGTTATAGGAACTCTGGCAATGCATAGTGACTTCATTCGGCACAAACAGGCACTGACGGTCAAGCTCGAGACTGGGAGGGGCTCGAGACTGGGAGAGGATCGAGACCCTAAGCAGGGAAACGACACAGTTTCATGGCGGGTGAAGCTTGTCAGGTTCTCAGCTTCATCGGAGACATCGACCTGCAGAGACTCGAGCAGTGTCAATTGGGAGTCGATTTTGCTTCAACTCCCTACAGACACTAACTCGATACAGAAACTACCTTCATTTCCACGTAGCTGCAGACTTCACTGATCCATATACATCGTGAGAGATAGTGTGCGCGCACGAATCTCCTCGACCTTCCGACGCCCTCTGGCGCCCTCCTGCATCCGGCCATCGATCTCCTGGTAGTCTAGTCTTGCTGTCAATCGTCAATATTCTTGCTTCAATCGATCCACTTGATGGCTGGTCGAGACCATTCCGCTCTACTTTCACACTCACAGCTAGCTTCGACGACTCAGCTTCTCGGCATCGATTGGTCCACACGATTACGCTCCGCTAGATCGATAGTTCAGTCCTCCTTCACTAGTGCTGTCCAGTCCGCTTATTACCAAAGTCTATACGGACAGCTCCCGTAGTTCACACGCAAGCGCCCCTACCCGAAGTTGTCTCACACCACATCAGCATTGGGCTTTCATGTTTGCTCCCAGCAACTCGACTCACCGCTGTCACTTCGTAAACTACTGTGACTACTGGCTAGAGCGATCGGTTCGTCGCTTCCAAAGCAACTCGGATCTGTAGCTCGACCGAAGTCTAGATTCGCAACGATGCTAAGCGGCCAGACTCAGCGCAGATACGGCATACATGAGAGGAAGCTTGAGCCTGAGAACATCAAAGACATTAAAAACATGCTGGATCGATCGTCTGCCGGCACAAAGATCAAAAACTACAAAGTGATCTCTGGCCTCATGTTCTTTGAGGTCCGCCATCGCAGATGGCACAAAGGACTGCACCAGGTCGCAGATGTTCGGCGTTATCTGGTCCTCGGGCAAGACAACAATGAAGAAGGCTACCTTGCTGCAATGTATCTCACGGACTTGGCACACAGCGCTATCACTACCCACGGGACGACGCTTAAGGACACCAGAGGTGGATTCCCTGAAGTCGATTTCTGCTCGCTGTTACAATTGAAAGGATTGACCAAACGTGGCAATCCAAGCAAAAGCTATGACGCTCATTTGAGAACTCGTAAAAAGTTTTGCAAAGCGGTCCTTGGACAGCTCAAAGACTCATTAACTTGGAAAAGTCAAGATTGGAAGGCGGTCTTAGTAAGTTGCAGGATGTCCGTGATAGAGCGCTCGGCTGACCTATTAGGATGAGATCAACAGCTGCAAGCATTTGCTACGTGATAACGACGACAACGAGAAACATGAATCCGAGGCCGATGATCCTGATCCTGCCCATGGTCGCAATGACGATGACAATCCTGATTCTGACGATGACTCTGAGGACAAGTTCTACTCATACCGCAGGCCCAAGTCTGAGCATGAACTAGACTCTGATGGTGACCTTGATTTGGATGTTGAAGAAGATCGCCCTGATTCGGACGATGAAGGCAATCTTCCTGACTTGGACGATGAAAGGAATCGTCCTGACTCGGACGATAAAGACGATCATCATCCGAGCTCTCGCGAAGATCGTTTCGATGACAGCGACCATCCTGGCTCAAGCAACGGGGGCGATGAGGACGACGGCGAACTTCCGAAATTCGGCGGTTCTCGAAATCTTGACAATGACATGGACATCGACGAGATTCTGTTCGAAGTCCGCAACAATCTCTCACCAAGTCCATCAGTTCGGAGCCGATCGCAAAATCGATCACTGGGATACATTCTAGTTGACGACGATATCGACGTGGATGTTGGTCTTTCAGCGGCACATCAGTCGCCAGCTGGACCCAAAATCGAGACGATGTCTCCTGAACCTCAAATAATCACCCATCGTACACGACTCGGTCGCGAGCCAATTCCCTTCGACACAACACAAGATGACTCGACCAGCTACATCGACTTGACAGAAGACCCAATCATCGAAGTCATTGAGATTGAGGACTGAGAAGAAATGCCTACCTCTTTCCATTTCAAAAGCAAGAGCACAATCCGTTCCCACCACGATTCATTTTGTCATGCACAAGTACGCAAGTAGCGAGAGATCTCCAGCAAAAGAAAATCGAAATATCACGATGTAACAAGAGCAGGAGCGATCCATAATCAACCACGAAATACCTCCAACTACGCCAATTGCTGAATAACATATAAACCATCGCATTCTCTTCATTGTTATGACTCCGTGACCAGAGCTGTGACATTTGGCTTTTGAATCATGGCATGATGATAGCTGCAAGTTAGTCTCGTTGTTTTGTTTGCTAATCACCGCTTGCATTGCTTCTGAGATACTATGATTATATCGTTGGAGAAGTACAAGAAGCTTCCAGAAGATGAGCTTGTGAAAGATAATGTGGATTCTCGATGGGAGTAAAACTTGGATTGTCTCGACACCACTATATAAGCTTCTCCACCCAGTATCGCAAATCATCATTCATGAACGAGGACCCTGACCAATGGGGCTGAGCCTGTGCCAGACCTGAAGCATTCGCCTGTGTTCCTCCGGCAATCGCAACCCTGTCAGGGTAGGTGAATTGGGAGCGGACTCGGGTCGACAACGAGAGGGCCTGTAAAGCCGTCGCCCAGTCTTCAGGTCTTGTAAAGAAGAAACCACGGTCGGACGGCAGCGTCCAACTTGTTTCTTATTGTTGAGGGCGGGAGACTTTTAGACGACTCAACGCCCGGGGCTTGATGTGCGTATTAGCACCGTCTCCGTGTCTATATTCTTTACGGATACGATGCAGCGGCTGCGAGTTTTGACACGATTGTAATCAATTGAGTGACGGCGAATTTTTGGTGAACAGACCTGATCAACGACGTTATTCTCATTGACCCTACGATAACCATGATGGATAGAGACCAGGAGCTTGAAAGATCCTGACCAGCATTTATGACTGATTACGACATACTAGCGCTTGACAATGATGCGTATATATTGATGTACAACAGAAGCGTGGAAGATACGAATAAAACTGCTTAGTCCATCTCCCAACTTCTCTCTTTGAAGATGGCATTTCTTTTTGACCAGTCTTTGTTCTTTCCCTCTGACTTCTTTCATTTTAGACCTCCTTTCCTTTGACTATTAGAACTAGTCTTTGAAAAGCACCATCTACCTTTGTTTGAATATCGCGCTACCGTGAGAGAGACCTGCTATCACACTCCTGTCAAGAGTATATATATAATCCCTGTGTCCCATCATGATTCCATACTCACACAAGTCAACAAACACACAATCACTACAATATCACGACCATTAAAACCAAGACCATCCAACCAATGCTATAAGACACATCAGTACCAGAATGTGCTCTTCTAACAACTCAAACGGATTTGTCCTTGCCAGAGACCCTCGTACTCCTACTTGTCCTCTCTGCTACCGTGCTCTCAACTGGAACTACTCTTTCAGTATGATGTGGTGCCGCCACTGCCAGCGTGTTCCTCACCCTCGTTCTTGAAGTCTTAGCTAGCTAAAGAGATGAGAACGTCGGGTGAGTGGTAAGAGATAGGTGACCATAGGGGTCTATAGTCAGTAAGTTGTGCGTGTTTTGTGTCTTTCATTTTCCCTAGATATGATCAATCAAATCGTTGTCACCATCTAATCTTTGCCATTTCCATCTGCCCCGTGCACCTATTATGTGTATTGCGTGAAATCAGCCTTGTCCTGTCGAGAATCCTACGTTGATCAAACTGTCGAGACAACTACTCTTCTTTGAAGGAACTAGAGATCTTCGTGAAGTCTCAACCAGGGGAAATCTCAGTCTTGATGCGTAAATGTCTTTCATCTTGTCTTTCTCTTTCAGCTCTGGACAGACATGATACAGTGCGTGTCTATTCGGCAATTCACTGTGTTTCTTCCCTGTCGACACACAACCCTGCGCCCCCAATCCACATCACAAATACTCAAGCATCTCCTACGTATAACAACAAACCAATCAAGTATGCTTTGCCGGACCCCACTATCCCTCTCTGTCGTCTAACATGCTGTAGAATGAGCAACACCATCGCCACCGCCGCCGGCCATCGAGCTTGGAATCACAAAGAGACAGATCCAGGCTCGCGGCCGTGAACAGGCCCTTGCTGCACACTGGGGTACCTTCACAGACGAATGAGGGGCTCACGAGAGAGCACGACTCATTGTGAGCTCCTACCCTTGATTACAGCGATCTTTCAAACTTGAGTCAAGGCACGGTAAAAACCACTCGTATTGAAACTCCGGCTTCATCGGCACTGTTGCGTTGCGTCAGTACCTCAAAGATTCAAAACACTCTTACAAGTACGCTCTAGCAAGACCTAGTCTCACAAATTCAGTACAGCCTCTGACACGTGTGGGATATCTGCTCTTCGGACTGAGCACAACTTCGCATCCTCGACAAAGTGATGGCAAGCCGCCAAGGCGATCATCGCTCGCCATGAAGGGAAATTATGACGAGACCACCGTCCGACTCTACAAAGACTGTGAGGCAGCGATATGGCACTGCCTGTTCAAACTCTCCATACTATGTATGTTTATCCATACTGACTTCTCAAAAGTTCCATTGCCAACAACAAGAGCATGCTGCGCGCTGCCGTCAACGCCCTCGCCGCGGTCCTGACTGCCGACGATGAGCAGAAGCGCGAGATCGATGGTGCGGCCTTCTTTTCGTTCCTCGACACCCAGGTGGAAGAGCACGACGAGGTCGTGTCAGATGAGCTGGTCGCCGACCTCCTCTCCGATAACTTCCAGGCGCTTGAGAGCTGGACAAAGCTCTCGAATGGCTGTAAGACCACCTGATTAGTAGTGTGCAATGAAGTTTCCCTGTGGTGGATGGACATGAAATTATCAGTACTTTCGTGAAAGGTCTACCGCCAAAGAGGGGGACCTTGGGGTCTGTGGATATTCAGCGCTGGTCGTAAGCTCCGGCTCTGAGTGCATCGTTCTCTCGGCCTCGAATCAATGCACGATCTTTTACGCAGTAACCCTGCGTAAGCTCCAGCCATGATTGTGTTGCACCTAGTCTTTGTGCCTTGCTGCAAGAACTTCTCCTGCGCTCAGGGATAGACACTGGAAGTCACCGCTCTGAGAAATGCGATGGTAGGCCGCGGTCTGGCATCGTTGTTGCCCGCTCTGTGGTGTCTTACTATGTGATGTCATGCATGATTGTTCGAGCAAGTTTTCGAGTGGTCAGGATAGTCTTTATTTTCATCTCTGTTCTGGCTTTTCTCTCCAATATACTTCCATCCATACCACGTAAGTAACAAGCAAAAAAAGATCAGATGAAAAGTGCGCCATAGAAATATCAATTTTCGTTCATTTGTTTCTCACCCATAGTCTGTTTGGACATGCGTCAAAAAGTCGAGCTCAACTTTGGCAAGCTTTCCAAGGTCCTTTGCCTTCAAGCTGGACGAGAGGGGGATTCTGTCGTCCGCTGCTCAGTTGTTTTGCAACTGGGACCTCAGTGGGCTCGGCGCAGCGGGCTTTCTCGTCAGGCTCTCGCGAACCTTAAAGATGGACTTTTGTGCGACGGATGACCGAGGAGTGGATGACTTTGTAGGTATTAGCGACATGGCTTTTGAGTCTAGGAGCATATGGACACACACCTGTACCTCTTGTTGTACGCTTGCTGGCGAGTTACCGGGATGAAGCTCGTGGTGGTTCGAGACAACTCCAACGTCTTTCTCCTCAACCAGACTTGGAGCAGCGCTATCGTGGCGCTGCGCGCGAGGAGCCGTCAGTTTCGAAACTGGAGTGGCGTCCTCGCCCTTTGCGAGGGCTTCAAATTGTCAATCATCGTAGAACTCATCATCAGACTCGTCGACCTCTGCCAGTTGCTCGAAGTTGAGCTTGTAGCGCATCATGGCACCGATACCACCGAAGCCCTTGACGAACTGGTTACCCTCAGAAGAACGATCGGTAACGAACTCAAGGTTGGCACCAAAGTCGCGGTATTTCTCAGCAAGCCACTCAAGAAGGGACATCTGCTCGATGATTTCCATCTCTTGACCAGTCTCCTTGTCCATGAACTGACTGCGGTCTGATTCTTGCTCCTTGTTGGTGTGAATGATGATCTCACCACCATTGGAAGACTTGAGGGTCCAGCGGGTGATCTCCAGGTTCTCAAATACAATCAGGGTCTCAGCAGCACCAGCGTCCAGAGCACGGAGAGTATCTTCAACACCGTAGCAAACCTTGCCAGAGTCCAGTGAAATTTCGTCGAAGTAGGCGTTGATGAGCTTCTTCTCTTGAATGAACTTGACATTACCGAGAGTCTCGGAAGAGAGCTCGATAGCCTGGTTGAAGCCGTTCTCACCACCGTAAGAGACATCGACAACCTTGACGACCTTTGCGGAAAGACGACCATCGAAGAGGTCGGACTGATTCAAGTCGTTCTTGAAATCGGCAGAACCAGCAAGAATCAGACCAGCAACGTTGACCTTGTTGTCGGTAATGAAGTTCTGGACAGCGTGTTCGGCGACCTTGCGGACGTAGTTGTGACGCTTCTCTTCACGTAGACGAGCGAAACGCAGGGCAGATTGACCACCACGGCCGTGCTTCTTGGGGAGATCGACAGAGAACTTTTGGCGAATCTCACGGGTGTTTCCAGAAAGGGTACCGAAAAGGGCACCGTTACCGTCCATGATGATGAAACCAAAGGCCTGGTCGGACTCCAGTAGCTCAGACAGAGCCTCGGTGTGGAACTTGTTGTCGCAGAGGTACAAGGAGGTGTTGATGGGCTTGAAGGGCTCGAAGTCGATGTTGATCTTTCTCTCCTTTCCTTCAGCAGTGAGAATTTCACCACAGTAAACAACGAGACCGTTTGGGGGGACCTTGTTGTAAAGCTTGAGGCGCTGCTGAGTCGAGGTAATGGCCGACAGAACGGACAAACGGTTGACGCGAGACTTGATGTTACTAGCAGTTCCGTACTCTTCAGCCAGCATCTTTGCGACTCGTGAGATCTGATCCTTGGGGGCTGTGTGCATGTGTCAGTGGGTGTTGGAAGATAGTGGTAGGCGGTGGCTGCCATGTCTGGACAAACGTACGGATGATGAGCGAAATCATGGAGGTACCGTTACCACGGGCCTGTGTCAGACGCTTGATGAGCTTCTTGACCTTCCATATCTCGATGTTCTTCTCGGCCTCGTTGGCCTGTTGTGCTTCACTCATGTTGGCGAGAGAGTGGTTGTGCGAGCCTGCTGGGATCGAGGGCTGTGGGGGAGGCTCGTCAGTCAAAAAGTTCAGACACTTTTTCGAGGCTTGCGGAGGCGCCCGAAACACGATGGCACCAGAGCCGGCGCGTAGATGAACAGCGGGATGGATGCGGGTGCGATAAAGGGGGTTGATTGGAGCAATAGGTACTCACAAGCTCTGCGCCGGGAAGGAGGGTATGTCGGGGAGAGAGTGGTTGACGGTGTCGCGGTCACACGTCGAGTTTGCGGTGTGAGAGGTGTTGAGAGGCCGCAGCGCCGTTCTGAGGACTTCGCGTAAATGTGCGTTGCGTCACAAAGCCAAGTCCTGGCCAAACTCCCGAGTCCCAACTCGCTCCTTCCCACTCTGAACGTGCAGCCGCCTGCCACTTGTCTTGATCCTTGCCTCTCCACTTTGCCCTGCCCGCCCATGTCTTTTGTCACAGGAGCCTTCCAACATCCTTCCCTATTTGACGAACACTTTCACCCCCAACCTTACAGGTCCGGCTTCCTGCAGCAGAATGCGCCTATCTCATCTGTTTGACTTGCAACCAACGTCTCACCGTGTCTGACTTTCTTCTCAAATCAACTCTTCTTTGCCTGCATCCGAGGCAGATTTTGTTACATGCACTTTCCTGACATGGCAATGGTTTCATCAAATGGTCAAAAGTCCTTTCCCGATCGCATGCTCGGATCTCACCCTTCTCCACATCCGCTCGCTCGTCTGCAACAAAGTCAAAGAATAACGTAATATGCCTCGATCAAGTGATTGGTAGCAAATAAATCAACAAATCCCCTCTTCAACAGCCCCCTTTCTCACCGCAATCCAGCAAGCATTCAGTACCTGCCACAACTACCGCTAGGGCGTGCTCTGCAAGTCTAATACAACGCTGTAAAAAGTTTCGATCTTCCCGATCTGAATAGACCACCATCTGGCCGCACGGAAGATTCTGTACAAAACCCTGACATCAGGCTTGCGCCCACCGCACCCGAGTCTCTAACCACAGATAAGACCGACTTCCTTGATTTTTCCTATATCTAGCCAAGTGATCCGCTGCTTTGCCCTCGTCAACCTTTGCCGCATTCGTCTCTTGATCTTCTGTGCCTCAACACTGAACCGTCTCAAGCCGTGCGAGCCTCTGTCTCAGCACAACGACTAACTCTACAGCTACGACTTTGCGCACGCGACCTCTTTCCCTATTCTTGCTCGACAACTAGCGACTGTAACACACCATGCCCGCCGAGCGAGCGCCCATCCCGTCCAATTGGACCGAGTACGAAAGAGGTGGACGCAGAGGCTCGTCGGAGACTCTGGAGAGCCATGTCCAATGGGGTGCAGATGTTCAGGACGCTCCAGAGCATGCTGCCGGCTCACCAGATGGCCACAACACTCAGGGACTGAGGCATAGAAGGTCCGTGATACTCAATCTACGGCCGATGCTTCTCGCTGACTCGTTACACACAGGTCGTCAATGTCCATGAAGATCAACACCCTGCGTCAGGCCGGTGGCGTCAACAGCATCGACAACTTTGCCAGATCGTGGCAGCGTGCAGCTGGCTTCTACGAAATCGCACCCGTCAGACCATCATTTCGAGTGTCTGAGAACGACGAGGAGGACAGTAGAGAATCGGAAGATTATGGAAGGCAGGACATTGCATCATCATTTGGAGAACAAAGAGGTCTTCTCAGACAAGCCTTGTCAGACGGCCGCAAGTTGTCCGACAATGCCATCTCGGATGCTGGAGAGCCCTCGGAGGCAGGCACCATTCGTGGTCGTGCTGGACAAGACGACAGCATCTTCCAGATTGAGCCTCAACTGTCATCTCCTTTCAGCGGCAGTTATGGAACAACCTACGGAAGTCTGTCTTCAAGAGTCAACGAGTCGTCTATGCGTCATGCTGGGCGTCTCTTCCAGAAGCAGCAAATGCAGGGTGTCAACGACCCGGACAAGGAGCGTGAACCTCTGCTCGTGAAGCAGGTCGAGGAGGAGGACGGCAAGATTGTGAATGTCGTCGTCGGTCAATCCACCCTGCCTCAGACCATCTTCAACTCGGTCAACGTCCTGATCGGTGTCGGTCTTCTCGCGCTTCCCCTGGCCTTGAGATACTCTGGATGGGTTTGTGGTTTGGCTTTCTTCGCCTTTGCTGCAGTATCTACTCGCTATACTGCAAAGCTTCTGGCTAAGTGTCTGGATGTTGACAGCTCGCTCATCACTTTCGCCGATCTCGCCTACGTCTCCTTTGGCTCCAAAGCTCGCATCGCGACCAGTCTATTGTTCAGTCTGGAATTGGTCGCAACATGCGTCGCCCTTGTTGTCCTGTTCGCCGACAGTCTCAACGCTCTGATCCCTGGATGGGGTCTCACTGAGTGGAAGGTCGTTTGCGGATTCATCCTTATCCCCCTTTCATTCTTGCCCCTGAGACTGCTAAGTTTCACCAGTATTCTTGGTATCGTCTCTTGCTTCAGTATTGTCCTCTGCGTCGTCATTGATGGTTTCATCAAGCCCAACACTCCTGGTTCCCTGCGCGAGCCCGCTAAGACATACCTCTTCCCCGAAAACTGGGCAACGCTTCCTTTGAGTCTGGGTCTTCTGATGTCCCCATGGGGAGGTCACAGTGTCTTTCCCAACATCTATCGCGACATGAGACACCCTCATAAGTACACCCGTGGCCTGAACATCACCTACGCCTTTACTGCTACTCTCGATCTCTTTATGGCTGTTGTGGGTCTTCTCATGTTCGGCGACGCTGTCAAGGACGAAGTCACCAGCAACATCTTGGCCGACAACGGCTACCCTCAATGGCTGTCTGTCATCATTGTTGTCTGCGTAGCCATGATCCCTCTGGCCAAGATCCCGCTAAACGCACGTCCCATCGTCAGCACCCTTGAGATCCTTCTTGGCTTGGATGCCCGCGCGGTCAGCAACTCCACCTCCCTCCACGGAATGTCTGGTCTTAACCGTGGTATTCTCAAGGCAACGATCCGCGTGGTCTGTACCATCATCTTTGTGGTCTTGGGTATCTTGGTGCCCGAATTCGACCGCATCATGAGTCTGATGGGCTCGGTTGCTTGCTTTACAATCTGCATCATCCTCCCTCTCGCCTTCCATCTCAAGATTTTTGGCGATTCCATCCCAAAATCCGAGAGGATCATGAACTGGGTGTTGATCATCATCTCGACCATTCTTGCCATTATCGGCACGGTGTTCAACTTCATCCCCAGATCTGTTTTGGGCATCGATGAGTAGTTGGTCCTTGAAGGCTACGACATTACCTCCACTTTTGGATGCATGAAGTTATGATCCTTTCGGTGTTTTTTTTTGTTGTCTCGTTCTTCCCTGTTTGTAACTCTTACTTGCATCTTGTAATACCTCGCTTTTTCACATAGCAATGGCGCTTTTCTCTGGCTGTTTGTATTATTCTTGGTCTGAAGCACTGCAGTTTTTGGTAGCACTTGTATATGTCATAATTTCGAGCTCTCGGTGTATTTCTTCTTTCCTTCCATGATTGTGTCTTCAGTCATTGTGTACTGTGCATTTATACAGCTTCAATTGTCGCTAGTCATTATTCCTGGAGCTCTGTCATGTCACGCTCTCGTGTCCAGATGATAGCTGCGGGTGTATGGTCTAATTCCGTCGATATTAGCATCGCTTCTGGAGTGCAAGCTACTCTACTGCTTTCCTCCCGACTTGGCATTTGCCGCAACAGTTCTATAATTATCTATGGGCTTTCCTCATCATCGTCACTCTTCCCGATGGATCGTAAGCACGCCTCCTCCTTACGAGCCTTGCGTCTTTTTGACATGGCTAGAGAGTCAGAGCAGAGGGGGGGGAAAGGGGATAACGGCGTCCATGCCCTTTTCCTGGGGGCAGCTACTCTCGGTTGTGAAAACTTGTGAGGGGAAGATTCTTGAGTGGAAGCAGAGTCGAAGTCACTAGAAACTCGGAAGCTGGGACTTCTGGCAAAGTTATGCATGCCTGAGTGATGACTTGTAGGTGGTGAGGGGTATCGAGTAGGGTGCAGTCAAAGACAAATCTCGCAGCCACGCCTCACCGTGACAAGTCACGCAACGAGATCTCTGGAGAGACACAAAGGTATTAAAGAATGATGCAGCTACCGAGGAGAAGCCTCTCCTGTTGTGTGTGTTGGCTGATCATTTTGACTGTTCTCATTCGGGTCGTGTTGCTCGTTCTGTGCTAACATTCGAATCTGCATATGATTGCTTATCCACTTCCTCTTGGTGATCTGGGCTTATGCTGACTTGTGTCGTTACCATGATACCACTGTGGTACTTTTGTTCCCCCGTATGTGCGGCCAAGATCTCTTCTGAGCTTTCATTATGTTCGCAATAATGAGCTGCTGCCATGCTCTGTGTAGTGCTTGGTTGCATGGTTTTCCTGAAGCTCTGTAGTTCCGTCCAGCGGGTCTGAGAGGTCGGATGTGTATTGGTCTTTGTGGTGGATAATTTACTCGAAGCTTTTCGGAAGACACGGGCGCATAGAGGGCGGATGGCTGGGATGCTTGACATGATGATGATCAAGTATTGCTCGGTGATCGCCCAGGTGTCCGTTGGAAATATTGCGTCTTTTCGACTCGTCAGTATCGACCTGTAGGAGATAGGTCTTTCTACTTACATGTCAAGTCTTTGGCGACCGCGAGATTCATCAGATAATATGTTTTCAAGATCGCTGCAGCACCAGCGCTTCCAGAAAAGATTAGCACCATACAAGAGTAGAGTGGATTTTGAGACACTTACACAGCACCTCCGCAGAACAACAAACAGAGTCCCACTCGTATTTTCCAGCTTGTTTCCAGTTTCCAGAACAAGAAGATTGGATAAAACGCCAGCAAAAAATCACAAGCAGCACACCATGCACCGACAAAGATGCCCACTTTGACGATCGCCGTTGTCAACAAACAAGACCCAGCTATCTCCTGGTGCCACAGCTTGTGGATGGGCTTGCACTGGAACCAAAGAAAAATCATCTGGAAGATGCTCCAGAACATATCAGAGCCGCCAATAAACCATAGGAAGCGTCGACCATTTCGCTTCGTTGGACCTTGGACATGAAAGAGTAATGCTATGACTGCGAGTTTGCCAGTGCCAGACGAGAGGATGAAGAATGTATCGGCCAGCCAGCTGAATAGATTGCCGGTTGGCAAGTCTTCTGGGTCGATATTGTCCAAGTGATTGGCAATACCGTGATGGCATGCAACTGAAATGAAGATTATAGAGATCAAAGCAGACACCCAAGCTATGGCGCTCCAGAGCAGATCCCAGGCTTTTCGTGGTGCGATAAAAACGACAGTGTAAACTCGAAGCACGAGAAAAATGGTTGCGGTGACGGCCTCAACGATGGCTATGCGGACTAGTAGTGGTCCTCGTCCTCCATACGACTGATATTGAACATCATCCATGACTTCAGCATGTAAGTCGCACACGATGCAACATCTTGTGAAGATATACAGAGATGGAGGGAGGGCATAGCAAATATGCAGAGGGTTCAAGGCAGCTTGGCGATGCTTGCCGTTGTGACCTGCTGTGCGTACAAGGTTGGCTTCAGAGTTGTAGGTTCTCTGAACAGTGCTAGACGATTACGATCCCGGCTCGGCTATCTGCGTGTTGTAATGAGATTTTGCGCCGCATTCTCGAGAACCAGGATTCAGAGTGGCAGCGTCCTTAGCGAAGCGGCACTTCCACAAAATTACAAGGTTCTGATATAGAAGCTCAGTATGATTGGGCCATGTGTGGACGCGAATGTTAGTGCATGTTGATTCGCATGATAGTTAGTATCCACAAGTGATCCTTCGGCTCTTGCATGATAACATCAACGTGATGTTGATGCTGCGGCAGATGAGTGTTTGCGAGATGAGTGTGTGGTAAGCCCTCATGCAAGAGTCGCATGAGATGGTGCATCTGTAGAGCGAGCTTACTCATCGGGGTAATTGATCTTCATGATGCTTGATTAATCTATCAAGGCGGCAGAGGGTCCAGATGAACGGCGAAAAGTTTGAGCTTTCCATATGCTCGTTCGGTGTCACCTTTCGCATACGCACGGAGAGATGATAATGGTATTCAGAAAGGCAGAGTCTCATGGCTAAGCGTAGATGGCTTTGTCTGGCAAAGAGAAGGATGGTAGAATGGAGAGGTCGCAGCTCTTGATTGTAGAATGAGGTTCGGCACTGACCGGGCTGCCGAGACGGCAGCGGCTTGACTGACGATCATGGAGCAAGCCTCCAACTCGTGGTCCTCTCTCAACACCATTTGAACATCTTCGTCGTCAGCCCTTGGTCTGTTCGTACACACCGGCCAAAGCTTCAGAAAAGGACTATCAGCCGCCTGGTCGAATCGTGTCGCATTGGCAGGAAGGCTCGTACAGATTTGTTGCGCGACCGAGCCGACTCAGTCTCAGCTTAAGTGCCTTGAATCCGAGACGATTTACGACTCTTGCGAACGAGCTAGGGAACTAGTCCCTTTCATCCGTCGGTCTTGATTGCCCATGCTGGATAGCCGTGCCATGTTCCCGTAGCAGTGGTAAGAGCAGACCGCACCTTGTGGACCTGTAGCCCGCTCTCAAGAGCACGTAGCAATGTAGGTCAAGAGCTGCCGCCCACCTACTTATCGTGTGGCCAGGCTTCTTTTATATGGATCGACCACTCGCTCTTCCTAGCAGCAACTACAATCAGCCACTCGGACACTATCATGACGAAGACACTTCCTGCCACCGACGCTGTCAACGGACACGCTGCATCCACCTCCGTCAATCTGCTCTATCTCCTTCGTACCGTTGATAGCCTGAGCATCACCTCAGACCTTGAAAGAGCCCAGCTCATCTCGGCCACAAGGTCGTTCTTAGCACGCATCCAATCACCCTGGGAGACTATTCGCAGTCACCTCGTCGACAGTCCAGCTGTGCAACTTTCCCTCAAAGTATGCATGGACCTTGGCCTGTTTCAGAAGTGGAAAGACGCAGGCAATGGGGAGAAGACAGCTGCTGAACTGGCAGTCATAGCCGGCTGTGACGAGGAACTCCTACATCGCTTCTTGAGACACCTTGCGGTTGAACATCTGTTGGCAGAGGTTACTTCTGGCACCTACGCCCAGACCGACTTCACAATGGCTATGTGTACTCCACACTTTGGTGCTTGGCCGTTGTATATGCACGAGACAGTCTTGGATACCTGGAAAGCCATGCCCGGAGTGCTGGCGGAGAGGGGCTACAAGGATGATGCACTGTCCGTGACAGATGGTGCTTTCCAAGCCGCCCATCATACAGCTGGCCAATCCATCTTTGACTTCTTCGCCACAAATCCGAGTCGAGCCAAGACCTTTAACAATGCGATGACTGGGTATGGGGCTGAAAAATGCAGTTGGCTCGACATATATCCCACTGATGATTTACTTGATGGCGCTATCGATGGTCCACTGCTAGTTGACGTGGGTGGAAATATTGGCCATGACATTGAAAAGTTCCGCAAGAGACACTTGAACACGGCCCCCAGGCTGGTACTCCAGGATCTACCGGCCGTAGTGGAGACCGCCATCTGTGCCGACGATGTCCGGATTATGCCACACAACTTCTTTGAACCTCAGCCCATTCTGCACGCTCGAGCCTACTATTTGCACTCGGTCCTTCACGATTGGCCAGATGTCAATGCGCTGCATATACTGAACAATCTAAAACCAGCAATGAAGAAGCATTACAGCAAACTCTTGCTCAACGAGATTGTTATTCTGGACAAGATATCTGCCAGTTCACCTCAGGTGACTTCCTTCGATTTGGCCATGATGGGCTTGTGTGCCGCTCAGGAGAGGACTGAGTCGATGTGGAGGGCCTTGCTTGACCAGGCCGGTCTCAAGGTGATCAAGATCTGGACGAGTGAAATTGCTGTGGAAAGCATCATCGAAGCGGAAATTGCATGAGAGTAAACACTCTATGTAAGAGTCCATTCTACTACAAATAGATTTCGGGTTACACAAGAGTGTTCCGATATGCCATGCTGAGCAATGTCCGTTTGTTCATGGTGTATCCGCCACGCGTTGAAAGTGTATTCAATACTTGACACACCCTACCAAACAAATACTCTAACCTTGCCTCCTCGAATCTACGACCAATGCAGGAAGTCGAGAGTCATTCCAATCTGCGGAGTCATCGCGCCGCGCAAGCCTCAAACAGAGCATGGAACCAGACCATGATAGACTTCAACTCCTTGCCGGTCGGATTTAGCCAGACATGCGGAGAAGGCGTGAAGAACACGCGAGATTTCGCCGATCTCGCGTTTAAGAAGAGACTTTGAATTTTCTATGCTGATCAGCTGCTCACATCCCGCGCCATCCTTCGTCCCTTTTTGTGTACCGCTCTTCTTCCCGGATGGCTTCCTGAATGCAACAATGGCCCTGCTTGCCCATGGACTTACGATACCATGAGCAGCCAGGATCATGTAGCAGTGCCTTACATGACTTACAATGGTCTCACCTGCTTCCTGGTCGCTGTACATCATGGCCAAGCTCTTGCAAGCATTCGGAAAAGATGACCGGAGTAGACAAGGCGACGCCAGATTACGCCCCCACATCTTGCTCTGTTTGCCAACGCGCTAGGAACGGTTTCGGATCTGGGGGCGCGGGGTACAGTATGGGGATACAGCATGTTGAATTCGGGAAAAGGACCATGTCTTTTTGGTGGCAACTGCCGATCCATTGATGATGCCCCTTCCTGTCTGTTGATTCAAATACCCTGCATCTACAGCCCTCAGTACTGGACTCGCTTTTTTTTTTCCTTGGTCTGTTTTTTCTCATCTGCCACCACTTTTCTGCATATCCTTCGAGCCCAATCGTTCAACATGGCTACTATCGAGAAGGATGGTCTCGCCGATGTCAAACTCGAATACACAGAAGACCTTGAAAAGACGAACACCACCTGGGATGATAGACCAACTGTCGATCCCGAACTGGATAGACGCATCACACGGAAGTTCGACACCCATGGTAGGCATATAACCGTCTCCTACCATCACATTTGCTGACCTCTCTGCTCATAGTTGTTCCATGGTTATTCGGTCTCTGGCTGTTGGCCTTTATCGATCGTAGTAACATCGGAAATGCCAAAATCGACGGTCTTGTCACAGACCTCAAACTTACTGGCAACAAGTTCAACATAGCACTCGCCGTGTTCTATGTTCCTTACATATGCGTAGATGTGCCTAGTAATCTAATTTTGAAGTACATGCGAGCTGGCTACTACCTACCCTCCCTCATCATCGGATGGGGCCTGGTAGGAATGTGTATGGGCTTCGTAAAGAGCTACACTGGACTTATAGTCACCCGCTTCTTCCTTGGCCTGATGGAAGGCGGCCTTCTGGTAATACAAGCTCTGCTCCGAATTCTCCGCTTGATTGATGCTGACTATAATTTTACAGGGCGGAATGATCATATACCTTGCAATGTTCTACAGGCGTCACCAGCTGATGTTCAGGATTGGTCTTTTCTACGTAGCGGCTCCATTAAGTGGAGCTTTCGGTGGATTACTAGCTACTGGTCTTGCTAAGATACACACTGGTGGGTATAACGGATGGCCTTTCATCTTCTTCATTGAGGGAGGCATCACGGTCCTTTTCGGCATTCTCACCATATTTTTCCTGCCACACACGCCTGCCGAGTCAAAGTTCTTGACTGAAGAGGAAAAGGCCGGTGCTGCTCTCCGTATGCATTTGGACTCACATGGCTCTGATACCGCAGAGGATGTGAGGAACGAGAAATTCAACTGGCACTGGGTCCGGTGAGTACAAGTCTGAAGCCTTCGAATCCGTGGCCATGTGACTGACACTTCATACAGAATGGCATTCCTGAACTGGAATACTATCCTCCTCTCGTTGAACTTCTTCGCCATCATCACGCCCATCTACTCGTATTCGTTATTCTTGCCCACTATTATTAAGAGTCTCGGCTACAAGGCTGTCCACGCTCAACTGCTTACGGTCCCGCCCAATATTGGCGCAGCCTGCAGCGTCTTGCTTGTCACATGGCTATCCGATAAATACCGTATGAGAGGACCTTTCATGTTGGCTGGATGCACTGTCGCAGTGGGCGGATATATCATGCTCATTTCCAGCAACCACCACATGATCCAGTACGGCGGTACCTTCCTGGTCGCTGCGGGAGTATTCCCTTGCAGTCCTCTGGTCATGGGATGGTTGGCCAACAACCTTGCTCCCCACTATGTTCGTGCAACCGGAACGGGTGCTCAGATCATGATTGCAAATTGCGCTGCTTTCATTGCAACCTTTACATACCTTCCCGCAGATGCGTAAGTACCATAATCCCTGGATCCCAAATACGAGCTAACATACGAAAAAGTCCCCGATTCATCACCGGTCATGCTATCAATATTGGCACGCTGTGCTTGTCACTGATTATCACTTCTTGGTTGCTGATCTACGTTAGCTGGGAGAACAAGAAGAGAGCCAAGGGTGGTCGCGACTATAGACTTACAGATGGCGATGAGTCGATGCTTGGTTACAAGCATCCTTCGTTCCGTTACACCCTCTAGACAATGTCGAGTATGTAAATTCTAGACATCTACATGTTGCACAAACGCATAGCTCTTGCACAACTTTGCATAATGTTGCGTCGAGAGTATGACCCTGACTCCACTATCCGCATCATATTTTGGTCTTTCTGGAATGACCCAGACAAATCGGTACCATGAAAACGAACCATGAATACCCTCCTCTTGATTGAGCACCGGTTGCAAGAGCAGTGTAGCAAGGATGAATGTGATTGCTTGTTGCGGGGCTTGAATTTGTGCTAATGCTCGTCTTCCACGTTTTGCTGCTGATGTAGAAACCACAAGCCACGAAACACTCCTACAACTCAATCCATGCTTAACTCAATGCGGTTCCCTGCGGACTGGACAGCTGGTGCCGTACTGTATAGCGCGAAATGAGTCGTAACAGAACACATCCATGGTGCATGCAACATGTCGTTGATGCTCCTTCCCCGGATTGATGTTGTTTTGACCAGGTCTTGCCGCGGAGAAGCTTAATTTCACCCAGCACAAGGCTCAAAACCCTATCCGCGCGTTTGTTATCAATTCAGAGAGTCCTCTTATCTTTGAACGACCTCAACTCTTCATATATAGTCCCCATCACTCCCGGAATCTCGCTTCCTCTCCTCTTTTGAACCTCTACTTATGTTTCTGCACATTTCTGGTATCACTATATGCGTCTTTAGCGAGACAGTGTGTCGCCGAGCCAGCCTACCCCGGCTACTGCGGCGCAGCGGCTGTTACGTACAGGAAACAAACTGGTAACTCTCTTCAACGAAAACGGCCAAGCTGGATTTACCACATGACGAGATGACGTCCTTCTAGAGTCCAACATCTCCGGAGTATGGGAAGAACACAGAGAAGATGCAGCTGGTGTTCAATGGTAGGCAGAGTATCTGATGGCGAAAGAAATGCGTTTCGATACAGAGAAATGCAGCTTTGCAATGAAGGTAGGCAAGTCTTCAGAATCCAGCAGATAAGAGCAACGCAGGCACCTGCCAAACAGAGCGCGTTCGATGGTCAGTTATTGCATCATTCCTTCGCTTTCCCTGGTGACAAACCGTGATGGAACCCCGCAAGCCCTCTTTTGTCTCCTTGCCAGAACCCGAGGGAAGTCCGTTGGACCTCAGAGGAAGTACTTGATCAACTTTAGCTGCTCTCGCGAGAGGCTGGCCTCCAGCATATTTTCACAGCGTTCTATTTTCCAAAATGCACCCACGGATATTGACTGTCCTCGACTATGACATAGACACCCATCTAAATCGTATCGTCCCTTATTCGCGTATTTCGAGGCTACCGAAGCCCATATCTAGATTTCTTGGTTATCGGGAGGAAGAGTACAAGGAGCCTACGCGATTGGTCGTTGTTTTCTGGTCTTTCCTGGGATCTCTGATAGGACTCCTGACCATCGGTGCATTGTACAAATATGCACCGGGCTTGAAAAAATGGCATCCGCCGATTATGGTTGCGAGTTTGGTATGTGGTACTGATTCAAGCCAGGTCGACGCGATCGCTGACATATGATGTAGGGAGCGAGTGCCATTCTGGACTATAACTCTATCCGAACACCACTTGCTCAACCAAGAAACGCAATCTTAGGTCAAACATTCTCAGCGTTAACGGGAGTCATCATCCACAAGCTCTTCCACCTCAACTCTAACTGGGAAGAGCTTCAATGGGTCGCAGGCGCTGTTGCCTGTGCTGTGTCCTCTGCCATCATGGCCACAACGAATACTGTTCATCCTCCCGGAGGCGCGACTGCCGTCCTGGCGACAACAAACGCCGAGATCATCGCTATGGGCTGGATTTACATCCCGTTCGTGCTCATGAGTTCAGCCATCATGCTGGCCCTGGCATGTCTACTCAACAATATCCAACGAGCATACCCAGTGTATTGGTGGACACCCGCCAACCTGCGCAAAGAGAAGGTGATTGATGACCTTGAGAAAGTGTCGACCAATGCCAGCGAAAAGGTGCTTCGAGGCCAGTCTATGGCAAGGACATCGAATGCCGACTCAGACTCTGTTGTCATATCGCCACATCACCTCTACATACCCGACAGCTTTGATCTGGATGGTGACGAGCTGGCTATACTGTCACGTCTACAGGCTCGTCTTCGATGGGACTATGCAATGGATGAAAGGCCTCGAGCTCATTCCTCTGACAGCTGAGCAGTTCGTCGAACTTCATCAAAGCCATCAACCAGCATAAACAGATTGGGTTCAAATGGAACCTCATAAATCATCCACCGACTAGATTGACGCTCAGTGTGGAAGACTGCTTCTCCTCACTCCTTCTTCCACAAGATCGGAGCACCCCTAGTAGCGGCAATGCCGGCATCGCTACCACGTGTAATCTACTGCCACTGGTACCTCGCACAGTTCTCACGTCGTCACTACCATTCGCTGCCAACGAGTTTCGCATCTCAATCACCGCATGTCGGTCAGCCCCCCAAGGCATCAATGGTGTCTCTCGACGACCAGCAGCAAGCCATATACCCTCGACGTGGCGTCGCGAACGAGGTACCGACACCGTCGCTCAAGAGGAACTGAATCCGTCGTCCGTGGCTTCGACGTGACTCACATGAAGTCACGCACGAAGCGAGATGCTCGACATCCGGGAGTGGGGAGCGACGGCATGTTCGTTGTTGTGTCCGGTCTTCCCTATCGAATGTACCCGGACTACTCTTACGCAAATCAGGGGAGCTATATTGCACGTCCTTCGTACGAGGGTCGCGCGCACATCATATACCTGAGTCTGCTCAGCTAGGCGAACAGACAATCACGACGATAGGAAACACGTAGAGGTCGATATCTATTCAGAAACAGTAATTCGTATATTCCGCTTTCGACTGAGTCTATAATGTCAAATCATCCCACCATCTCACAAGACCATTCGAGATCATGGGTGTCCCATGTAGCTACCACTCAAACAACAGTCTCGTTTCCAGCAACAGTGACATTACCACTAACATCGCACCCCACAATCCCGTCCTTCAAATCAGTCAACCAGACCGCCGAGTTAAACTCTCCATAAAAAGTCTTGATCTGCCACTTCTGACTTCCCTCACCAACACCCTTGCCAGTCTCATTCTTCGCCACCTCTACGACTTCTGCAACAGCAATACCTTGAACGTCCAAGCCCGGAGGAGAAAGAACATAGCGGAATGTGACAGCATCGCAGGAAGACCATGTGTTGAGCAACGAAAAGGGGACACCTGGTTGAGCTGCTTCACCGGCTAAAAAGGAGGCTTTTGAGGAAAAGGTTGTTTTGCCCAACTGCAATGACATACATCAGTAAGAGTGCAAGAAAAGGAGAGAGATCGTAATAGGGAGAAAAAGGTCACTTACATCGGAAGCAAGTACATTTGGCGAATGCATCAATGTAGCCACACTGTCACTTTGATCGATATAGTCATCTGCAATCAAGACATCACCCCAAGAAGTGGTAAAGTTCGAGAGGATTTGACCGAAGCCGTTGGCGATTAGGATGGCATCGGCGGGGGAGATGCAGGATGTGGTCGAGGTGTTGTTTGTGGCTTTGGAAGTTATGTTGTTGAAGGGTTGAGCGGTGCAGAAGACCAGACCCATGAAAGGGCACACGGCTGCGGCGATGGAGGTACGCATTTTGATAGTTGAAGTGAGAGTGGTAAGGTGAGGGATTGTGGTGTCAAGTGCGGTTGAGGAGAGAGGCTTTGAGAGAGATATGTAGTTGGAGAGAGCACTTGGACCTGTAAGCGATGTCGTGGCTCTTACTGCTTTGGTCACATATCTTGTCGCGACATCGAGGCTGGGAAGGATGATTTTCCTGTCACAATCTTTACTTAGCCATCAGGTACATCTGAGATTTTTCCAAAAGTCCGACTTGGTTGTTGCTTCCTAAGTTTTCGTCGACGTCCACGGCAAGTTGTCACAATTTATAAGTTTGATGACTGACAAGGCGGAGTAAAAGATGTCGATCATGGCTGACTGGACTACCATGGACCCGGAGGTGTATGTACACGTTTCGCACTGCATCTGTTTGCGAACATATGAAGGAGGATCCGAAATGGTTGTTCTCGCCAGGTACCGTTCCTGAACGCCACATGCTGACCGTATCGTCATCGGTATCTTGAATATGCACAAGGGTTTGTCGTGGATAGGAGAATGTTTACTCCTCGCGTTGCCAATTGGAACTCAGCGAACTAGACTCCAACACAGTCACAGAGCGAGGTCCCGCGACAGTGACTGGAACGGATGGCGCATAGATCGAATCACAACCTCGGACTCAAAGTCGCTCCGTGAGCCTGATAGGCAGTTGAAACATTGCTCGGTTGGTGTTGGTCAGACGCTATTTCTGTTCGCTTACACAGCTGATAAGACACAGCATAGAGGCCTAAGACTGTACTAACATGCGACATCCAGTCAAGTGCTACAGTATGTCAAAATCTCCGGACGATCGAAGTCATAGTCGTCGTTTTCCAAGGATAATTTTCACATCGCGTATCCAGGTCCGGCTGGAGAGAAAAGCGAAGCAAACCGGCAGGCGAGAAAGCTTAATGACTCAGAAACGCAAGACGAGATTCCGCTCGCTACACCGAACACGCAGGAAGAGTATCCGTTAGCAGCGCATCACCAGCCACTGAGCTGTGCCAAAGTGTGCAAAACTAGAAGCATTTGCTGAGCACAAAAGGTCGTACTGGGGCTCGAACCCAGGACTCGAGAAACTTCGAAAAGTGATCAAAATCTCGCGTGCTAACCGCTACACTATACAACCGTGTTGATGAAGCCAGAGTTAGTATTATGGAATAAGAATCACGACGATTACATGTACGCCACGCCTGGCGATTCCCAACACTTAATAATAATATCTGCCTCTGCCAAAGTTGCTATTGATGTTCTGACCAGAAACATCTGGTTACGCGCGCTCATCAATTAGCGGTCTTTGCTTTCATCCATCGCGATGTCTGTCTTCGGCGACCCTAAACTCTTCGGTCCTTGTATTCTAATGTTTCTGACTTTCTCCTCCAACACATGGTTTCCACAAGCTGTGACAATATCCTCGATCAATCGATTGAAAACACGACGCTTTCCATATCCTAGGATGTAGATACTCTCGGGACCAGATGACATCAGATGTGGCTTTTCTTCGTCGACGAATGAGATATTGAGAACGAGGGTCTCCAACGCGATTGGTCGCTTCAAGGTATCTGAGACAGTGATGTTCGGACCATACTGAATGATTTGGTTAAGCAACGCAAGGACGGCCTGGAAGACTGTGCTCGGTCTGTCTTTCCTGTCATTATCCCAGTGTCCGAATTTTGCGAGAGTGAAGTTGATTTTAAAGTCGATGGTGAGATGCCGCACACATGATGATGGACAGGGCAGTTTTGTCCATGTCAGGTTGTATTCGTCGTTGTTGAGGAAGAGCTGCGCAGCCCATGTCTGATTTGCAGCGGTATTATGTAAGGAGGGAATGTGATAAAGCTGTCGCATTTCATCTGCAATGACACCATTGGTGTGCATGAGGTTGAGCCAGTCGAAGGAGATCGGACTAAGATGCACTATGGCTGGTCGCCCTGTACTACAGTGCAGCTGGCACTGTCGGGAGTTTATCTTGCTGCAAGTGTGGTTGAACGAGAAGAGATTGGTGTATACCATGTCACGAAGCTCTCGAGGAAGGTCCAGCAGGAAGTGTGATTGAGACATTGGTTGTGATAGTGTGCAAGACATGGCGATGAATGTGAATTTTCCGTATGTCGTGAGTCTGGGTGGAATCCGATTCTGATGTCTTGTGGTCGATACGAGAGAAAAGATATGACTGCGACACTTCTGTACATATATGGGAGAGAAAGGGTGTTGTGGCATACTGACCTACCTATTTCTAGAACAAAGGAATGTCCTATGCTTGCGATGAGGTGATAGTCTACGAGTGCTGCAAACACGAAGTCAACTGTAACGAGACAGCCTTGTGAGGCATCGCCGAATAGGAAGAGACCGGAGCCAGGAACGAGCCAAAGTAATGATCAGACATGCTGAAAGGCCCGATGATTTTGGCTGGGACGACCAAGATCATGGTCGGCGCCGAACTCTGGCGACATTCGGAGATGACAGAAAACGAACAACAGGATAAAAGTGGTTGGGACAACATTGCGACAGAAATGGTGTTGCATGGCCGGCCTGCAAGAGCAAACATCTGATGATAGCTGGCGTGATGAGGGAGATTCGGCATGATCTCGGATCTCCTGATGTTTTCTTGTGATACAACTTGTGCGTCTCGCAGCGACAGTCAGTCAAGCCGTCACCATATGTTTAGCTCGCCACAAGACGAAGAACATTTGCGGTAAGATGAAGCACAGCTTCCCAAGGCTGCCAGGCCAGTCTGCCTGGTAACGGTACCAAGTGTTGGGACGTCTGGGTGATTACCGAGGTCAAGGGTCGGGATGATGTTGAGTCAGCACACTCAACGTAGCCCATCTAGGTTCGAAAAAGTCATGAACAGTATGAGCTGCATGTCTCTGTTCGAATAGGGGACATGTACAAAGATATGGGCAGCGTCTGTATCGAAAGAAGGCGTCAGGGCCGAGCCGGAATCAGGTGGTTCTGCAAGATGCCTCGGCTCCCCCGCAAAGCATCTCTCCACTCTCCGCAATGCTAGCCAGCACCTCGGGCGAAAGATGACATTGTTCAGGTTACAAGACGGGCGATTCCTGTTCCATACTACACCGGACCTATACTACAGATCAAAATGTCGAGTCAACAGAAGAACGAGTTCAGTGAGAAGCTGATGATCAGCGCCGATGGGCAGCTCAAGGCTTCTCAGAAGATCCCTCAGATCGCTAGACCCTTTGTCAGCGAAAAGGCACTCAAGTACCTCGACATTGTAAGCTCAACATATCTTCATTACAAGCGTTGATGACTGACTGAAGCTGGTGACAGGTCGAGAAGTTTGTCGAAGAAGAATGTATCCCTGCCGACGCGGTATTCTCACAGCAAATCGGCGACTCGGTAAAGCAGCGCTTCAGCGGGCACCCGGCCATCATCGAAGACCTCAAGAAACGTGCAAGAGAATTGGGACTATGGAACATGTTCTTGCCCCGAAACCACTTCAAGGAGGGAGCCGGCTTCAGCAACCTGGAGTACGGTCTCATGGCCGAGTACCTGGGCAAGAGTCGCACCGCCTCCGAGGCCACAAACTGTGCTGCCCCTGACACGGGAAACATGGAGGTGCTGGCCAAGTACGGCACCCAGGCACAGAAGGACAAGTGGCTCAAGCCATTGTTGGAAGGTCACATCCGTTCCGCCTTCCTCATGACTGAGCCCGATGTCGCCTCGAGTGATGCCACAAACATCACTCTGGACATTACCCGCGAGGGCAATGAATACGTCCTCAATGGTTCGGTATGTTGTAATGATCCTATACGAAGACTTGATGCTGATTGATGGCGTACAGAAATGGTGGTCCTCAGGCGCTGGTGACCCTCGTTGCCAGATCTACATCACCATGGGCAAGACAGACAAGAACAACCCCAGCCCCTACAAGCAGCAGAGTGTCGTTCTCGTTCCAGCAGACACCCCTGGAATCACCATCCACCGTATGCTCGGTGTCTTCGGGTACGATGATGCTCCCCACGGTCACGGTCACATCTTCTTCAAGAACGTCCGCGTACCATTAGACCACATGGTTCTCGGCGAGGGCCGCGGTTTCGAGATCATTCAGGGTCGTCTTGGTCCTGGTCGTATCCACCACGCCATGAGAAGTATCGGTGCTGTAAGTTTGGTCTCCTCGCTCCCTGCCTCAATCCCCAACTGACCTTCCCTCTCCCACAGGCCGAAAAGGCTCTCGAGCTCTTCGTTGCTCGTCTCAATGACCCTCGCAAGAAGGCCTTTGGCAAGCTTCTCAACGAACATGGCGTCATGATCGAGCGTATCGCAAAATCTCGCGTCGAGATCGACTCTGCCCGCCTCTCAGTCCTCAACGCCGCAATCACAATCGACACCAAGGACGCTAAATTCGCCCTCAAGGAGATCGCCGAGGCCAAGATCCTTGTCCCCACCATGGCATTGAAGGTCATTGACCGCGCCATCCAAGCCTACGGTGGTGCTGGTGTTTCACAAGACACACCACTAGCAAACATGTACGCTCAAGGCAGAACCATGAGAATTGTTGATGGTCCCGACGAGGTACATTTGTTGCAATTGGGTAGAAACGAGAACAAGAGGGGCAAGTTCCTGCTGGACAGGCTGGCGTGGCAGAGGAAGAAGAGTGAGGAGATGGCCGCAAAGCATGGTATGCAGCTCAGAGATGTTCTGCAGCTTGATCGTGTCATGTCTGAGAAGTCTAAGCTCTAGGTTAGGTCCTGTGATCTGTTTACATAATGAGTACAAGTATCTGAAAATCGTTTATGTTCAGTGTCTCTTGCTAGCAAATGTCGATATTGGCCATCTATGACCATACGTGACTGGTTGAGTATGCTGTTTTCTACACAAAACGATCAAAGATACTTGATTCTAATGTTATTATCTTGCGACCAAAGAGTCTTCCGCTGATGGTCTATGTGGAACAATAGGAAAAGCTCGAACTTAAAAAGCCAAATGTCCCTCGCTGGTATGGGCTTGCAAGAGGCTCAACTCAATGCCTTGATATCACGAAAGGAGCATACTATGCCTTCACGACCTCGGAAGCCTTTTTCTCCTGAACGGGCTTGGGCTGAGCTGTACTTACACCCACAAGACGCTGGAGTTGCTCCATAAAGACAAACATCAAGACTGTGTTGGGGCTGCAGAGCAATCATGTCAGTATAATGCCTCTTAACATGGAGTTCCTGATACTCACGCAAGTCTGAGCCATGCAGGCGTCCATCCTCTCATGAGGAAACTGATGCCTTCCTTCTTATATGACTCGGCGAAGATTTTGCTAAGACTTGGCTTCACGCCGTTGACTGTTGCAGCACTTTGAACACGACTTTTGAGGACATCGGCGGGTGCGCAGGCAGTAGTCGCGACGGTGCCGGCAAGTAATGAGGCGAGGAAGTGGAGGAAGATGCCATCTTTGAGACCGAGACTAGGGTTTGAGACAAGCCAGTCTTTTGCAGTAGAGTATCTGGGAGGGGTTAGTTGCAAGCACGACTCGCTGCCGTCTCGAAGACTCACGTAGCAATCTGAGAGATGTCTGTATAGCATTAGCGATCTGATCAGACCGTAGTCAGTGGGAGATGACTCACTCATGATGACACTGCGGACAATGTTAGGTGTCAGACCTCTGCTAAAAGTCGACATGCCCTCCTCCTTTGCAATTCTATATAGCGCACGGATAGAGTTGCCATAGTTGTATCTCTCTGCAGCAGTTTTGGCACCGTCTGCACACATTCTGACGAGTACGACTTCGGTAGGGTTACCAATAAGACCTGCCGCACCACCAGCGACACCAGAACACACGACTTCCCAGCCGGCGGTCAATTTCGTCGTTGCTGTCCTTTGCTTGACCTCCTTGGCAAAGTGGTTGTAGAGTCCAAAACGCGCAGTCGAATAAGAGCATTGTCTGAGCCAAGATCCAGTCAGACCGGTCCAGAGAGAAGGAATACCATCGCGGCTAGCAAATGATACTAGGGTCCTGAGGATGTTTTTCGGTTGGTGCATGACCTGCATGCGGCTGTCATCATCAGTAGAAGTCCAGACATGTGCAAAAAGTATCCTCACTATTTCGTTTGATCCAAGGGATGTGCTGCAAGCCTGATCAATATTTCGTCACAATGCGCGAACTCACCAACGACTTACTGCATGTTGCTGCCATGGAAGCAGCTGCTCCACTACGACAACCTTAGCATCGATTCTTGCACCTCATACTTTACGAGTCTGCATACCCAAGCCAGAAAGGCTGTTGCTTCTTCTTCTCACCAGCCATTGATCATATACCACCACGTTCTTTGCGTATGTTGTCGGCTATGGAAATCGCAACTTCTTCCCAAACTGGCGGATACTTCGGCGGGGAAAAAGTCCTTCCGGCTGAATTGAACGAAACTTTGCAAGTCTATGAGCCTCACCAACTGAGATGTGACGACCAAGCAATAACGCGGCACCCGACCAAAATGTCGATTATTTTGCTGCAGCGCAAAGAGAAAAATTCAAAGGCCAATTTTATGAGCACAATAAAGCCTTGCGTCTCTGTCTCCTTTCACTTTCGGCCAATCAGCGCTTGGCAGTCTATCGCCGTCCGCGATGGCTCCGGGGGCTCGGACCGAACTCGTGCTACGTTTTCTATTCATAGTTGACCTGTCAAGCTTGACTCTACTGAGTGATACCTGGTTCTCTCGTCATCTCATGGGTCTCTCATAATTCAAAGGATGACATTCGCACAAGCGTGTAGGGACTGTGGCCTTGCCTGCCGCGATACACGTTATTGGCTTTGAGTCATGTAGCGCGCAACGCGACGCGACTGAAGGTCTAGATACGCGCAGGTAGTCGATGTAAACCTGCGGTTCTCTGTTACGAGGAGATCTAATTTGAGATCTTGACGAGCTCAACGATTTGTCTCGCAATAGTCACTGAGAGGTCATGCATTTCAACACGTCAGCATCGATACCTTATTATCTTGAAGCCAAGAGGCGACGAAATCAGCACCGTGAAATCACAGAGACTGACAGACATCTCAGGCCTGATGCTGAGTTCTTCATAGAGCTGGCTGCAGCTCTTCATGGGCTCTTCTTCACGTCACCGGTAATCACACATACCAGTACCAAGACTGCCCTCGGTTACGGTAATGCATGCGCTGATTTCTGAATCCTCACCGCGGAGAGGCCCTGGGAGACTCTCGTTGCTTTTTGAAGTCGGCAGAGTTGTTGGTCGAAAGCGGTAGATGTATAGACTTCTGGTTGACATGCCTCCGAGTCTTGCAGTCAACCTAAATCGGGACATCGCTATGGTCAGGTACTTGGCTTGTGGACCACGTTGGATTCACTAGCCAGTCTCGTATGTGGGATCACTCTCTCGATCTCATGATTCCCAAATGGAAGCTATCGGACTGTCGTCGTAAAAGTCCTCAGGTTTCCAAACACCCAGCAGTAATCGGATACCGGAAATGTTCGTTACCCGTCCTGGTTACTGGCATGGTATCTGACCTGTGGGACATCTCATCGTTTTGCCATACATAGCGTTCGGAAGACAACGGCGACCGATATAGCCATGCGGAACAGATGACCATCCACCCTGAGGGATAGTGTCTGGGTCTTATCCAAAAGCGGGTTGGCGAATGAGCCGTGGTCGGGGGTAGAGTCATCAAGACCCTTGTTGGCTTGCCACAACGGACATGTATAGCAATACGGCAATCAACATCGGCTCTTGACACGAGACTCTTGTTGGTAAAGCAATCGATATGGTCCTGTTCTCGATGTTTATAAATGTGCTGGTTTATCGTCAACGCACGAGGTTGCTTTCATGCAATGACCAGACCGCGCATCATGCTTGTTGGAGAACAATACTCTTTGATACATCTGCATAGAAATCTCGAATCGATTCTGAACATATGCCACTTGCGGTTCAATTCCGTTGCACTGGACCAGCCCTTGTACGGCAGTTCTGTCTTCAGCTCTAGCCAAGATCAGAACCAAGAATGTGTCTGCTATTCCGTGGGGGTGGCAGAGCAGCCAAGGAGGCTAACAACGACATCCAGCTATTCCGTGAGGTTGAGCCTAGAAGATACAGCGCAGCCAAGGAGGCCAAGGAAAACTAACGACGCCCACCTCGCGCTGTACAGCTTGATACGGCCAGACTCAAAAGTCAAACAACAACATGTGGAAACGTGCAATCAATTCCCCACAGGACTTCCCCGCCTTGATCTCCGCCTCAAAAATTCTACCTCTTTGCTTGTTGACTACACTCCTTTCCTCCATTGACTGCCGACGTGTAAAGGAGGGTGGCAGCTTGAGAGAGATATAAGACGCCGTCCCCCGGACCCCAGACCCCCACACTACCCCGGATCGTCTGCATCCAACTGTCAACCATCACAACTATATTCAGTCATTCTTCAATAACATGAGAGCCTCTCACGAACTCGACAAGGAAGGACACGCTGCCATGCACAAAGAACTTGCCCACGAGACAGCTCAGGAAGTGGCCGCCCGTGGTGTCGCGGCTACCGACCAGTATGATATCTTGTCTCCTTAACACATACATCTTGCTGACCACAATACAGATATGGCAACTCTCTTCTTCAGTTCGATGCTAAGGCTGAGGCTAAGCTGCGTACGAAGATTGACTTCATGGTGATTCCTACCGTCATGGTGCTATATCTCTTTTGCTTCATCGATCGAGCCAACATCGGTTTGTCCAACACCATAACACCCTGCAACGAACACTACCTAACAATAGACACAGGTAACGCTAAGATTGCGCACTTAGAGAAGGATCTGGCAGGTTTTTTCGAGCCGGAGTGTTCAGTATAGTGCTGACTGTTACCTAGGGTCTTACCGGCTATGACTACAATGCTGTACTCTCTGTTTTCTATATCAGCTACATCAGTTTGTGCAACCTCAGGATGCCAATCTTGTACCACACGCTAACAACGTCACAGTCTTCGAGATTCCTTCGAATATGGCTTGCAAGTGGATTGGACCCGGATGGTTCATTCCTGGTATCTCCCTTGCATTCGGACTCTGCTCCATTGCCACTGCTTACGTCCACAATTTCAGCCAGATGTGTGCTGTTCGATTCGTACTTGGCATCTTTGAGGCAGGCATGCTGCCTGGAATTGCCTACTACCTCTCTCGTTGGTACAGACGCTCAGAGCTAGCTTTCCGTCTAGCTCTCTACGTGGTAGCTGCGCCTTTAGCTGGAGCTTTTGGTGGTCTCTTAGCTTCTGCCATCTTGAGACTCGATAGCTTTGCTGGTCTCCATGCTTGGAGGATGATCTTCGCTATTGAGGGTATCGTCACTGTGTGTCTCTCGCTCATCGGTTTCTTCACCCTCACAGACAGGCCTGCGACCGCCAGATGGCTTTCACAGGAGGAGAAGGACTTGGCAATCTCTCGTGTCAAGTCTGAGAGAGTCGGAGCAACCGAGGTCCTTGACAAGTTCGACCGCAAGAAGATCTTCAAGGGAATCTTCTCACCTGTCACTCTGGGCACTGCAGCAATTTTCATGCTCAACAACGTCACTGTCCAAGGCCTCGCCTTCTTCGCACCTACTATCGTTCGCACGATCTACCCTCACAACACTGTTGTCAGCCAACAGCTTCACACTGTTCCTCCTTATGTGGTTGGTGGCTTCTTCTGTCTTTTGTTCCCTTATATCAGTTGGAAGACTGATCGTCGTCTTCTCATCTTGATCTGCTCGGCTCCTCTAGTGATGGTTGGATAGTAAGTGATACAATCATCAAGCCATGCACCCTACAATTGCTAACCAACGTTTCTAGCATCATGTTCCTAGCAAGTGAGGCACCCATGGTCCGCTACGGCGCAACCTTCATCATCGCCTCTGGCGCCTTTGCATTCGGCTCTCTCTGTAACGCCCAAGTCAGTGCAAACGTAGTCTCCGATACAGCACGCAGTTCAGCCATCGGAACCAACGTCATGTTCGGCAATATCGGAGGCCTGATCGCTACTTGGTCATTCCTTCCCTTTGACGGACCTAACTACCACATTGGTAACGGTCTGAATTTGGGAACGTCCACCACTATGCTGTGTCTCTGTATCGCACTCTTGTTCTGGATGAAGAGAGATAACAAGGTCAGAGAGAGCAGAGATGTTGACCAGGAGTTGGCCGGTACTACTCTGCTTGAGCAGCAGGATATGGATTGGAAGCACCCCAGTTGGAGATGGAGACCTTGAGAAATTTGTGAGGGCTATTTTAGATCACTAGGCGCTAGCAATCGACTAATGAATGTCATACCTCTGAGTGGGCTGTTGAAATCGATATCTCTCAATCACCAATCATGCCACAACTACCCCCTTGAGCGACTTCATGATCTTTTTACCATGTTAAACATAGCAGCGTCCATGATATCTACCTCCACCACGTTTAATGTACCTGAGTCACTCGGGTGCACAAGAGGCTAGTAAGTTGAAGCACACAGGCTGTTCTTCACTTCTCATGTCGAAAGCAGGGGCGTTCCCGCTTTTGACTTCGTTGTAATGCCGGTTTCTAGTGACATGAGATTATAATATATCTGTTGTTCTATGGCGAGCTTTCAAATCAGATCGTTCAACTCATTGCCGCGTACATACGGTATGCACAGGTTATGACGTGGTTGTGGAAGCGATGCTCCTTTCGTGAGCGTGTGAGAAATTTTACTGCTTTCGATTCGTCAAGGAGATAGATACGACTGTGGGATTCGCAACCTTTGTGAAAAGTCAATCGTTTCAGACCTTCGAAATTTGCAAAAGTCAGAAATGGTGGAAAATGTTCACAGAAGCATCAACAAAGCCTTTGGCCCAAAAGCTTTGCTGTCACAAGCTAACAGACATACTCCTCTGTCCATCTCCCAAGTCCCTCCTGACCCTTGTACCAAACCACCTCCGATTCCTCAACTTCTCCGCCCTCCTCTCAGGATGCAACTCCTCCCTCGGACCCTTCCACTCTCTCAACTCATCTTTACCGTCCGCATCCTTTCCAATGATGACGTCAAAGTCGAACAAGCCGCCATAACTGCCAATGCAAAAGCTTGCTCTCACATGCATACCTCCGTGTTGAGATTTGGCCTGTTCGCTGATGAAGGGGCCCATGAACGTGACGATTCTAGCGGCAATGACTGCAGGGGCATATTTTGTGGCGAGTTCTTTGGCCCATCCTGTGGGTTCTTCGGTGGTTGTGGTGACGAGAGCTGTGGTTGAGGCATCTCGCGTGTTGAGCCAGTAATCCAAGATTTCGTCGTCGCGATGCTCGCCTTCCCATAGAGTGTGGAGCCAGAGCGAGATTATCAGTCGGCGTAGATTATGGAAATTGCGGAGGGGGACAAGCATGTAGTTTGTGATGGGTGTGGGAGACCAAAGAAGTGGTGCTCCTCGGTAGCCACAGAATTTGAGTTCTGTGACTGTGCTTGCGTGGTAAGAGGCCAAGGTGTGGATGAAGGGACCAGCTGGAGGCCATCCGTACTCAGCTTCGAACACTTCGTTGCGCGATACAGGGTCTGGATTCGTTGTGCCGAGGCGAACAATCTCGTCCGAATCTTCTTCCTCCAGCGATCCAAAGTCGTCAGGGTCGTTGGGATCTTCGTTGATTCCGAGGGACCCTATGTCCTTTCCGTTAAAGCCCCAAGTGTTACCAATCGGGCAATTAACTCCAATCATGACAATCTTCTCTAGGGGGCATTGCCGTAAAGCACGTATGGTCTCACGCTTCTCATCACGAGGTATGCCTCCCTCCATCTTCACAATCTCAAGCTTTTGTAGTCTGGCCGCAAACTCAGAGATAAACCGCCTGCGACTCCGTCGACGATTCACGTCCAGTGGGTCTTCTGAGTCATCGGATTTGAACTCACCACTGCGGCTGTATACGGTGTCCACCCGAAGATCTTCCAGTGAGTGTGCCAAACTGGAGATGACATGTTCGAGTCGGTTTTGCAACTCTGTGGGGAGGGTCCTTGTAGCTCTGAAAAAACGATCCGCTGGCCAAGCCAAGGAACGAAGTCTTGGATGTAACTCCAACCAAGCTATACACAACTCTGTGGCGAGGAGCGAACCCGAGTCTGGACCACAAGCATCGAGCAGATAAACATCTCGAGGAAATGCAGACTCCTCTATGACTGCATTCCTGAATTGAAAAGCACGAAGGCAGGGGAAGTGTAACCTGAACAGGCGCCCAAACAAGCCATCCAGACTTGATTTTGACTCCAAGGAAGTACGTTGATCTGTCCTTCTAAACAGTACCCAGTCCAGATTCAACGACGTCAAGGACGCTGAAGAATTCTCCAGGATGTGCATGAAAGTAGGAAAAGGATCTGTATCGTTTGGCGCGAAGTCTGGATGATTCCTGTCAAGTAGCTGCTTGACACTGTTGACAGGGGACCGATCCTCATCCGACAATCCTTGCTGAATCGCAGTGATCAAACCACCAATATCAGGAATTTGAGTGTAAGCCTTGTCGGCGAACTCATCAGCTTGTACAAACAAGCTTTCGAAAAGCTTCTCGGCTGCCTCAATATTTTCCTTGGCCTCTGCATCACTCGCCTGTACTTGATAGGCTAGTACCAAGTTTCTGACAGCAGCCTCTTGGATTTTGAGTTGCTCAACAGATGTTTGTATGAGACCACCTCGGCCGTCTTGTCTGATCTCATTTGTCTGATCGCTTCGCCAATCGGGGAATTGGCCCCGACTATACACTTCTTGAAAGTCGTGTCTTCCGACATTAGCAAGCAGTGGTAGTCTGCGAAGGCGAAGACTTTCTAGCCTCGTAAGGTCGAGCGATTGCAATAAACTGTTTGGGATACCTGCGATGCTGCAGTTCTCAAGCCAGATGTGCCGTACTGAGGAACCTTTGGAGTGACCCAGCAGTCCTATCAGAAGGCCGCGAGTAAGTTCCCAGTGACCAAAAATGATTCTCAATGTATGTACGCCTGTAAGATTTTGACAAGCTCTGTGAAGTAGTCGCAGTGTCCTTGGATCATGTGAAAGCGTACGACCATGGAAGCTGATCCTCGGAAGCTCATAAAAGATAGCCGGCGGTGGCAGATGACAACGGTGTGTCAGAGTGTGTACTTGGGAAGCGATCCATGAATTGCTGGCTAGGACAAGAAGTTTACGGATGATGGGTGTGTCATCGTGATCATCACTCCAGTCAACGCTTGCAGGATTCGTTGTGCGACAGTCCGTTAACTCGACATTCTGCCATAGTAAGGGGATCGATTTGTCGTATGACCAGCGACATGCTTGAGCGAATCTAAACAAGTCGATATCATCAAGGTATCGTAAAGTTCCATGGAGAATCTCCTCCGGAAGTTTGCTTAGCAAGTTGGGAGGTTTTTCTTTTGGATTGGATACTTCTTCAGGTTCACAACCAGCCATGTCGAGATGTTGTGATCGAGTTCTGATGTGATCTGTAGACAGTGAGTTCCATGTCATGGTTTATGTTACGGAAGGCGCCTCGGCTCGAGTCAGGGATGACGTCTACGTACCAGATGCTAGATACCAAATTGTGGTGATGACTACAAGAAGAGTGGCAGTAATTTGCAGGTAGATCGACTGGCCAGACATCATGATGTCGACTACATGATCTCCACCGACCAGAAAGTGAAGACGAGGATCAAGAATGTTTGCTCAAAGGATGCAATCAATGGTTGGCTGTCACGTTGAGGCTCGAGCTGGGAATTAAGGGTTCTTATCGATAAGGAAAGAGAGAGCAGGCGGGAAAGTTTTCGGAAGTGTCTCTAGACCTGCAGGAGAGACTGCGACTTTCTAGACAATCACACCAACCCACGCGTTAATAACAAAGCAACCATGTCGGACACAGAAGAAGGAGGAGTTGGCATTCCTTTGCTGGAACCCTTTTCCCCATCGGCATCACCGGAGCCCCAAACATCTGGATCAAAGCGCAAGCGCGAAGACGTCGATGAAGACGAAGCACCCGCTACACAGACAAAGGCCGCAAAGCGCAAAAAGGCAAAGAACGCAAAGAAAGCCAAGCAGCCCAAGGACATTGAGGAGGACGCTCTAGATCTCGAACTTGGAGTCAACCATGCCATCGCACATATGGACAGCCAGTTGCTTGCCGATCACGTCGCCCAGCGCACCAAGCGCTTCCACACCGAGTTGAGCGTCATGGAGCTGGAGGACATGCATATACCATGTACGTCTAGACGATACGATACTCTTGACATCAAACTGACGAACATGTAGCACACGCCATCGTAGACACTACATCATGGGACAAGCCGCGCAATCTGGAGAACCTAGCCGACTTTATCGAGAAGTTCAAGGACGAGAGAAGAACCGACAAGCCAGGAAAGACTCTTGCAGACGCTGTGAAGCAAAAGTCGACACCACACACCATCGTCATTGCTGCTTCTGGAATCCGAGCTGCCGACTTGACAAGAGCTCTGCGCAGATTCCAGACCAAGGAGTCCTTGATCGCAAAGCTGTTCGCCAAGCACATCAAGTTGCAGGAAGCTATCAAGATGGTGAAGGAGTCAAAGATCGGTATGGGCGTGGGCACGCCGCAAAGATTGATCGATCTCTTTGAAGATGGTAAGTTCTGCATCTGCTCAAAGGCCGACACGAATGCTAACATGCCTCAAGGAGCTCTCTCAGCAGGCAGACTGGAGAGAATCATCATTGATGCTTCGCACATTGATTCCAAGAAGCGTGGAATTCTCGACATGAAGGACACCGAGAGTCCCTTGATCAAGCTGCTCACCAGACCCAGCTTCAAGGAAAAGTACAACGAGGACAAGATGAAGAAGATCGAGTTGATCTTCTATTAGGAAAAGAAGGTCACGTTCGACTGGTCACGTTTAGCAGCTTTGTTCATATTCTTTTCGATACCCAATTTACTTTCACGTCATGAATGAGATAGCGGAGCATCCAACCTTCACAGGACCGTCAGAGTCCATCATTCAAGTAGTCGTATACGTACCTGTTGCAGCAAAGGGCGCACGTCCGTAAAAACAAATACTGCTAGATCTCGCCGAGGTAGGCAGAGAGGCTGCTGCACAGAAATGACATAAGGGAATGAAGGTATGAGGTAAAGTATGCATAGAATGGTAAGTAGTCACGATGGCCCAGCTGGACAAGTCGCTGTTTCGAAAAGTATGCCATTCTTTATGGGAGCTGGCAGAATTTAAACACTGACATGTTGCTTCGGGCAGGCACCAGAACATTGAAGCCTGTGGTTGCCATATCCTCGTGAAAAAAGTGTTAATGCTGTTTGTCGCATTACCTCCGGAACAGACCAATTCACCCCATGGTAACGCCGTTTTTCGTCCGGTTCCTTCTTTGTTGGTATCTCGGTTCGTGTCCAAGTAAGGGGATGCACATTTATATGGAAAGTTTGATGGTGTCGGGTGGAGGTCGCGGTGTATATTCGTCGCATCTCGTAGTCCGTAGAAGGCCGCTCAAGTAAGAATGACCATAATGACAGAGTCTCCTCTCAGGAACCTGCAGGTATAGGCGTCAGTTATATGCAGGCGCATGCGTGAGATATCAAGGTACGCACATCTTGCTGATGAAGCGGTCCTTGTTGACACCTCTGCCCTTCTTTCCCTGGCTGTTTCTCGGGAACTCAGTCCACATCTCCTTGACGTTCTCAAGGACCATGTTGCAGTGTCTGTCGAATGCCTTTACGCGGGCAAGGAGTTTGCGGTTGTTGCGACACGAGATGACGACCTGGTTGTGGTTGCGAACAGCGGTTTGTAGGATGGAGAGGGGACCGGCAGTGAACTCGTGCTCCTCGACGCGAGCAATTTCATACTCGCTATTTTGGCGAAGTCAGTACATGTTACGGCGGAGGATTAGGGTATGATTTACGTGAGCTCATTGCGCGGCTTCTGGAGAAGGTCGCTATGTGAAAGTCAGTATTGGTCGGAGACAGAGCGCATGTGTATAGCAAAAACACGCACGTAATCTTTGCTGACTCGGACATGATTGCGAAAGTGTTTGATGGACTAGATGGCAATGCGACGCTTCTGGTGATGTTCAGTCTGCCGGCGAGATGCGATGCGGCTTGCGGCGAGCTTGAAGCCGGCCTTGGCACTCTGGAACAGTGACGATTGGCGTTGGTCGCCGCTGCTGTTGCTGTCGTACATGCACCAGCTCTCTCTTAAATTCCATCTGCCCACCTTCCCTTTTACCAAACACAACACACATTCGCCATCATGTCTGAAGGCCGCCTCAAGGCAGACAGAGACTTCACCAAGGAGACCGACAAGGCCATTCCCGAGGCTCAGGATCTGGCAAAGGTAGCTCCATCGCGTGCTCGAAACATTACCCACTCCGGCTAACCTGCTCGCAGAGCAATGTGCAAGGTGCTATCGAGAAGCTCCTCGCCCTTGAGAAGCAAACCAGACAAGTGCGCTGATCCATGCCCCTGCCGGACTCATTCAAGATGCTAACCGCCATCAGGCCTCCGACCTCCCATCCACATCCAGACTCGTTGTCGCCATCGTCACGATATGCAAAGAAGCAAAGGATTGGCCGCTACTGAATGAGCAGGTCCAGCTCCTCTCAAAGAAGCATGGACAGCTCAAACAGGCCATCACCAAGATGGTCCAGGTCACCATGGACTTCATCGACGACACACCCAACGTCGAGACCAAGCTGTCTTTGATCGAGACACTCCGTACCGTTACCGAGGGAAAGATCTTTGTCGAAGTCGAGAGAGCCAGAGTTACACGCATCCTATCAAACATCAAGAAGAGCCAAGGAGACATTACCGCCGCCACCGACATTCTATGCGAGCTGCAGGTTGAGACGTTCGGTTCCATGACCCGTCGTGAAAAGACCGAATTCATTCTGGAGCAAGTCGCCCTCTGTATTGAAAAGGGCGATTGGACACAAGCCAGCATTCTGAGCCGCAAGATCAGTACGCGCTACTTTGCCCGTAAGCCAAAGAAGTCAGCCGAGCAGCTGGAGAAGGAGCGCAAGGAGCGCGAGGAGGAGGAAAAGAAGCGTGGTCCCGATGATGCCCCTGTCGAGCCCGAGGACGATGTCACCGACTTGAAGCTGCGTTTCTACGAGCAGCAGATTACTCTGGCCAAGCACGATGACAAGTACCTCGACGCTTGCAAGCACTACCGTCAAGTCCTGGATACAGAAGCTGTCGAGAACAACCCAGAGCAATTACGAGCTGTAAGCATCCTCCCTACCATGTTGCTACTCTGTTCCCCCAACTGACAAGATCTAGGCTCTTCAACGCGTTCTCTACTTCATCATCCTCGCTCCTCACGACAACGAGCAATCAGACCTCCTTCACAGAATCCATCGCGACACTCGCAACACACAAATTTCAAACGACGCTGCCCTATTGAACCTCTTCACCGTTCCCGAACTCATGCGCTGGCCCGCCGTCGCCGAGAACTACGGTCCCCACCTCTGTGAGACCGACATCTTTGATGCCACCGAGAAGGCCGCCGACCCCAAGGCTCACAAGCGCTGGCAAGACTTGCGCAAGCGTGTCATTGAGCACAATGTCAGAGTCATTGCAAAGTACTACACCAGAGTCCACTTCAAGCGTCTGACAGAGTTGCTCGACCTTAGCGAGGAAGAGACCGAAAAGTACATCAGCGACCTTGTTGTCAGCAAGACCATCTACGCCAAGATTGACCGCCCTGCTAGACTTGTCAGCTTCGAAAAGAGACGCGACGCCGACGAGGTGCTCAACGAGTGGTCAGGCAACATGAAGAGTCTGCTCGGCCATCTTGAAAGAATTGATCATCTCATTACCAAGGAGGAAATGATGGCCAGAATCCAACCCACAAACAAGGGCGAAAAGGCACCGAGCAAGATTCGATGAGCCTCGAACTGGCCATGTACTAGTATAATTTACTTAGACCCACGAAATGCACCATGATCCATGAGCTTCTATAGTCTATGTCTTGTGTCTATCAAAACGGCATATCCATGTCCTCGACCTTGTCTCCCTTATTTTCTAGAGAATCCTCCGGCGGGCTGCCGACCACGTCTCTGATAAATGCCACCAATGCCGCGACATATTGTTTCTGACTGCTAGGCAAGAAGTGACCGCCGGGGTGATAGACCAGTCTAGCGACACCACCCTCGACACCTCTGCCTGCGACGCAAGCATCCACAAGACGCAGACTTCTCGACTCTTCCACAACGGTATCCACACTGCCAATAAAGTGCAACATGGGCGTCTGGATCTTCGGCTCGTAGAAAGCAGTGTACAGATCATTAGGAGCAGCAGCAAAGCCACTATAGCTCACCGAAAACTTCAACGGCTCCTGCACAACATCCGTCACGTATCCAGTATCCCGTTCAAAGCTCTCAGGGTATCGCATGCCGCCGTTTGCTTGCTGCTTTTCAAATGCATCTCGTCTCCCTGTTTCCAGCAACGAGGCAAGCATACCCGCAGCAGCACCACCTTGACTAAATCCTATAGCCCCATCAAAAGGTCCTTGCTCTTTTATAACTTCTGCGATGCGCTCGAAGCCTTGCTCCAATCCTGCATAGGTAAATGGCTCTCCATCACCCTTTCTCCTCCACCACGCATAAGCCTCTGGTTCTTCCTCCTCTTTCGCACCATCAACATCATAACCGGGTATATCATTGACACTGAGCTTTAAAGGCGCGGTTGGGTATACCAATTCCACACCTCCGGGGTAAGAAGGCAAGAAGCCGGGTTTTGGGGCGCTGGGAAAGGCTTTGTCGAGGTTCTTCTCGAGGGCGCGGGTTTTTGCGTGGAAGAGGGTGCCGTTTTGGGTGTAGCCGTGTAGCATTAGAATTTTGAGCTTGCGGTTTGAAGCAGACATTGTGGGAGAGGTTGAGGGGGTGGTGAGGGGGCGAGAAGGTTGTTTCGTTGTTGTTGCTTGGGAGGCTTGGGTGAGGTGGGAGGTTGTGAGTATTGTTCTGCGCAGAGCCGAGGGGGATAACATTGTTGGAGGAGGTGGTTCAAGGTATGGGGTTGGATTGTCTCATTATCTGGGAGGGCATATCGCCGATAAAGTCCGTGGGTCTATGACATAGGCGGCTCTGGACATGGTCATGTAGACATTGGTGTCTCGGATGCTAGAACATCATGTAGACCCTGAGTTCGAGTGCACCTTACCTTCGAACCCATCAACTGCGACTATCATATCACGCCCACTGATACCAATTTCTCAAGCCCATCAAGATGCTTCCCTTTAAGAACCTGATCTGTAGAGTTGGCCGTGCCGCTCCAGGTCGAGCATTCTCTACAAGACCATATCTCTTAACGAATGCCAAACGTCGACATGGGCAAGAAGAGATACACAGACCCTCGCTCTCGGGGTCTTCGGTTGGCCATCTGTTCTCCGAAATCAACGCCATGAGACCCGGCATGGAAGCCCTCCGACCAGAAGGCCAGACCATGACCGAAGAGCAACGCACATTCGCTCGCAAGACAGCCACATGGCTGATGGGAGTTCCAGTTGTCTTGGGCACATTGTTTGTGGGCGGAAATTGGATCATGAAAGATAGAGAGGACGGAAGTGGATCGTGAGAAACGGATAGGCTGGAAGAAATGAGGGTTGACATGCATGTTGATAATTAAGTACTACCTGTCGTGCATAACCCCCCTTGTCAGACTCGACTTACACTGCAAACAGATTCCCCTGTGCTCGGTGATTCTTGACATCGACGAAGAGCAATCTACTGTATCAAGGCAGAGGAAGTTGAGACTGCAAACACTTGAGCAATCAAAATGGAAGATGACGTATTGTTGTATACGACAACTAGGCGCCAAGAAGAAGCATTACGGAATGTATACGAGGCAGAGCCGGGGCAGAGTCGCATAGTCTGAGGGGCAGAGTCGCACGGCAGAGGTGATCATGTAGATAATTGTCGTAGATGCAAGCAAGCAGCTCTAGGGTTGGTAGAGATAAGGGGGATATTGCTTGATAGATAGATGTGCGGAGGAATGAGCAGGCTAGAGCTTAGGTGAAACCAAGGCACATGTCGTCGGTGTAGGCTCGGACCAAATCAACAGGCGTTTGGCAGGTGGCAGCTGGCAGCGAAACTTGGACACCGTTGTGCAGTCCGGCTCTTGAAAGAAGGTTGGCAAAGCCCCCCTAGCCTTCGTGTTCCCTCCGAAGCATATTATTTCCGTCACCTGAGATTCAAACCTTGCTCCGACACATCTTGCTCGCAATAATATCTCGTCGTGGGTGTCGACTTTCAGTCGCGACGCCGCCGCAAGACACTCCCCACGGGCAACAACGGGCGGGGACACGAACGTCTGGTATATGCCATGAGAGAGGAGTAGAGTGAAGCAGACGATTCTTGTTGGACATGGAACGCCCATACCAGTTTACCGACGATCGCGACGGCGCGCGTTCACCTTTGTATGTGCCATATCCGTGTCCGCATCCGCGACGACTAACGTGTCGCGCAGCAACCAGCAACTACTCAAGCCTGCCTCACAGCCAGCGGCCTCTGCATTCAAGACGAATGTGAATCGCAGCAAGACGCGCAAATGGGCAGAGGCCAAGAACTATACTTACGACGGCGACGACTGGGGCGGTTATGACCCTTATGACGAATACGGCAGTTACGACGACAAGGGGGACGCGCCCCTGCCTGCTGTAGACGCACGAAGGAACTCGTTCGAGACTGGCGAGGAAGTCGCCGCCTTTTCTTCTGCTCAACAGCAACAGCAACAACAGCAACAGCAACAGCAACAACCGCAGCGGGCCCCAGCTCCTCCCGCGCATATCACTCCTACCAAACCACAACCTCTCCAGCCACTGTCGCAACCGCAGCATGACTTTGGTATCCGCCGCGACTTCTCCCAGATCGCTCACGTCCCGCCGCCCCTCAAGACAAACACTTCCCCCCACGTCGTTCGCGAACGCTTCCCCGCTAGAAAGAGTAGTCTACAATCCAGCTTGCCATCTTCGCCGGCTCAGAGTATTCAACAGCCCGCGGACCAAGAGCCTGCCTCACCATCTTTGAGTGCTTCGAATTCTGCCAAAGCTCTGCCCTTCATCCGCCCTGCCGACATCTACAAGCGCATGGAAGAGGAGCGTCTGAGAGAACAAGAGTCCAAGACTCAGATCGAGCCAGTGACGGTCAAGCATGAGGAACATCGAGGCTTCGCAGTTGAGAGCCCTGTCTTAGCCAGAGCGATTGGTGCTGATGTCGTTGGGGCCGAGACAACAAGGCAGGAGTTGCCTGTAGGTGCATCGCTCGGTTCCTCCCTGCCTGCAGTCAATCGTGTCGCTTCCGGCTTCGGCTCCGAGTTCTGGAACGCCTCCGAGCTGTCTAGTTCGCTGAATACTGCTGACAACCTCTCACCAACTACCACCAGCATCGCCCCTACAGTACCTGCAGAAGTCAAGGCTGTCCAAGACCCCTCTCACGACTTGGAAGACGCCGTGAGCCAAGCATTCGAGCGTCGAGATGATTCTTCAGTGCCCCCCACGCCCATCTCTCGCGACAACTCACAGTCTGGTCATGCTTCCGACGTAGGCATCAGCCCAATAATGAGCCGTGTGCCAAGCGCTGCTACCGCAGAAGCAAGAGCTCGTATCGCCGAGAACAGAGACATGGGTTCCATCGCTGAGGAAACCACTTCGTCCGGCAGCCACGGCTCGCGACCATCGTCGTCACATCAACTAGCCACAAAGAGACGCACCCCTACACACTCCCGTAATGTCTCGGCCGACTCTTTGAGCAACAGCCCTGCCAGAACTCCACAGTTGGAATACACAAAGAGACTTTCTACCCCAATGTCAGCGGAAAGCTCGAGTATGCAAGACGAGGAAGCCGCTTTGCCCACCGACATGCCTAGCAAACCGCTCCCTATCGCTTCAGTACGCGTGATAGCGCCTTCGGCTGACTACAGCCGAAGAGAGTCCGACATTGCCGCTGACGCATCCTCGACCTCGCCTGTCGATACTGCCGAAGCTGCAAAAGCAGCCAGGGCACAATTTCTGCAAACTCACAACGAAAGGGTCGAATCGCCTGTTATCGGAAGCCCAATTGATCGCGCACCCTCTCCGATTTCTCGACAAGGATCTCCCGGCCCTTCACGGGTTCGTGATCTTGCAGGCAAGTACAATGAGCTTCATACTCTTTCGAGAAGTAACTCCGCAATGTCTTTCAACTCTCAAAAGAGCGACAACATGTCTTTGAAGAGAGTTGGCACTTGGAGCACTACAAGTGAGACGTCTGGCGTGGATGGCAACGAGACGGTTGTTGAGTCGGTAGAGCAAGCTCCTTCGGATCGTCCAGACCCTACTCGAAGCGAGAGTTTCCGACCACACTTACCTGGCGAGTGGGTGTCGTATGTTGGAGCACCTGGTTCAGACATACCTACTGCCCAGGAAGCGACGAGACGAAGTCAAGACGACACGAGTCTCGCCTTTCATCCCGACATGAGCACGCCGAAACAAGCGACCTTTGACTCCACTGACGACCTTGATCTTGCACCCTCGACAGCAAAACAACCACTGGCTCACAGAGACATCCAGCCAAAGGCAAGCAGCCCTGTCGATGCTGTGAAGAATGCAGGAGAAGCGTTGGGTGCTGTGCTGTTGTCATCCTTTGGTCAGAACCATGGGACTCGGGATTTTGCTCAGCCGGAACCACAATCTCCAGAAAGGGACCTGTCTGCTCCAGAGTTGACAGGCCCTCGTCCTTCGATTGGCGATGTTTACCTCAGACCTCTAATGGTTGATCGTACGGCCTCATCAGTCGCTTCCAGCGTTGGTCCTACTCCACCACCTAAGGACACTCCCGATAGTCTTGGGGTGCCTGGATCCTCTGATTACTTTCCCCCACCGAGGCTACGCATCAATTCCGACGCAATGTCGCCAGCTTCTGATTACTCGCCTGCTGATACGGAGTCCGATCGTCTACGCAGAGAAATTGAGAGAAGTCTCACTCCGCAAACGCAGACTGAGGACCAGCAGATTCGTGATCAGGATGCGCTTGATGCACCAGCAACGCTTCGAGATGTTCAGAAGAACGAAGGTCTGCAAACCGCTCAGGATCAATCTGCTGTTGAGCCTGTGGCATCGTTGAACCCACCGCAGGACCCGAGCTCCGGTTTACTAGGTAAGCGCTTCAGCTTCGAGAAAGGCCAGAGCATGTCCAGCCTTTGGGGTGAACCGGGCGAGGAAGTCAAGCGTGCTTCATATGAGCGTCCGAGGTCTGGCGTCGGGCTTCATGTTATCAACACAAACCTGAGCAGCAGCAGCGAGTCGAGCGCTGCTTCCTCGGTTGAGGATCTTCCAGCTGAGGCTATGGGGGAGCCTGTGGTCACGCAGCCAGGCTATATGGCTTCTATTCCACAGCATGGAACCACCCCAGAATACCCTGCCAATGTGACAAGAGACGAGGCCATGCCCCCATCAGATGCTCCTACTGTTGTCACTAGAGACGAAGTTATGCCCGACACAGTCGCAACGCCTACTGTAGAGCTCCCAACAGCATCAGAGGAGGCCATTGGTGAGCAAATGCCCGTGCCGATTGTTGCTGAGACCGAGACCCCGTCAGCTTCATCAACGACTGCAAACATGGCCGCTCGTATACCTCCTGTCAGAGAAATCATGGCTATGAAATCTGTTGATGAGCGTATTAATACCTACAACTCCTCACGAGAGCAGATTGCATCGATGGATACTGGCCTCAGCAACTGGCTCAGCTCAACTCTTTCCTCCAATCCCGAGCACGCGCATGTCGTCACTGACGCAGCAACCAAGCCTGCTAACTCCTCTGCAGTTGGTGGCAGCATTCGTTACAAGCCCCAGCCTGGAAACATCATGAAGATGGCGAGGAAAGGCCTCAGTGGCGTCACAAATAGAGAGCCTTCGGGAACTCATGCCGCCGACCCTAGTCAATCAACCCCCGCTGTCGAACGCCAGAATTCGAATGTCCAAGGACGCTCCCCGTCAGCACAACATGGAGGTGTTGAGAAGATGCAAACAAAGGGCAAGGACTTGTTACACTCCGCCGGCATGTTCGGTGGTAAAGCCACCGTAGGGGCTAAGGGCCTTTTCGCAAGAGCAAAAGGAAGGCTTCGTGAAGGTGGAAGTGAGAAGGTAGATTGATTTTTTCCTTGTGTTTGCCATTCCCCTCCCGATCTTTGACGCGCTTCTTGATCTTGTTGCCGCATGCATTTCGACGATTCGCCTCCATGTTTTTGCTATGATTATCTTCGGCGGTCGCATTCCCCAGCTGGCGGACTTGTTTTCTTTGCGACTTCAGCATAAGCGTTGACCTTGGATGGGAGGCATTAATGATCTGAGTGGCTGGTTGCATGTACCGTTCCAGCTGCGTAATGTTATCTGAATAATCCCCCAACTCACCATTCATTCCAAAACACTTGCAGGGTGTATGTTGATATGTGTGTTCTCACAGGCTTCCGGACGCGCTCCAACCAGCAACGCCGCGATTGCCTCGCCGACGTCTCCAGATGACCGTTCCAGCAAAGCCAACAACCGTTTTTCCACAGCGTTTGGCCGTTTTGGAGGTGGATCTACCACAGAGCGATCTTTGTCTCAGTCAGGAAGTGCATTACAATCTCCTTTGGAAGGACCGCAGGTAATGGTCTCAACGATTGCGGAGCAGCCATCTGCTGTGGTGTCCGCTGAGTCAAATACTTGTATTGCTCCATGGACGGAGGACAAGCCGGATACCTTGGACAAGGATCTACAGAATGAAAGGTTCAAGAGAATTGGTCTGCTACCGAGTCCAGCATTCGGCGGCTCGATGAACTCACGCGAGTCAAACGAGAATTTCAAAATCGCTCACGAAAACGACGATCCGGTGTCACATCTGGAAGGAGCGTCTCGATTTGGGGATTTGAGCGAGGAGAATGAGGAAGTTCCGAAGGCAGTGGCTGAAGTTCTCGCTCCTAACGTAGTCGCACCTCAGGAAAACCACGTCTCTGGTCTGGAAGCTGACTCAACATTCCCAGCTCCAGCTTCAGAGCTGAGCAATATTGAGGAACCTTCTGACGCCAAAGAGATTCCACTGGAGCGTCCTGTTGTTATCGAGCACACTTCCCATGTCAACAGAAGCCCGACGCGTCGACCCGTGCCTCAGCAGGCCGTCTTCGCCATTCAGCCATCATCTCGCAGATCGTCAGTCTCAAGCTTCCATCCTGATGTCGATGATGAAACAGAAACCTCCGTACTTCCTCAGAGGAGCGTAAGTCCTTTACGTGCCGAGTCGACCCAGCTACACAGTACCAACGAGCGGGTTGAGCCCGACAACACAGAAGAGGATAGAGATGGTTCTAGACCTCGGATCGTCAGCCGTAGCAGTTTGCCATCTCAGCAACGTCCACAATCACAATCAAGGCAGTCGTCTTGGCAATGGAAGGGTTCGAGTACGTCTTTGGCCGGATTGAACAAGGCCCATGGAGAGGCGACTGCATCACCAGTCAAAGCGAGGTCGATGTCCGGCCAACAAATCAACTCTGGGCCTGTGAGCCGTGTTGGATCGCCGGTCTCTTTCCTCGAGATGGCACCCTCACAGAAGCAGAGGAGCGTAACTACCCCTGGCGCTTACTCGACTGAGGATCTCAGCGCAATCGGAGGAGCACGCGTCGACCCGCCTGTCGCACCCGCGATCCAAAACTTGACTTTGTCACCTGCTCCCTACGAAGTAGGCCGAATGGCGCCAATCGTACAGTCACCTGTGGAAATGCAGGGTCCTTGGCACAACGATCAGTTCAACTCGTCCATGGCTCCTGGATCTTTTGCTGGACCAGGCGGTATGTACAACCAGCCCAGTACTATGAGTAGCGAGCAGATCATCTATGAGGAGCCGGTCAACAGAGCTTTCTCCCCAACTGTCATGGACCCCCGACAGCATGGTAGCGAGTATCAGCTTCCCGGTGTCGGTCCTCCTGACTTGAACCAAGGTTCTCGCAGGAGCAGATTCTCTATCAGGAGTCCGACCATAAATCCGGTGCAAAACGAGCGCATCAACCCCAACGCTGTGGCTTTCGATCATCAACGCACATTCTCCGGGGACGAAGTCCCGTTAACACAGGCCGCGCAAGAAAAGAGGGAGAAGCGCCGCTCTGGTCTGTTTGGCTCGCTTAGCCGAGGTTCGAGCTTTTCTGGTCTATCTGGTATGAACCTGGACGGGAGACAAAGCCGTGGAAACGACGTCAGCCAGGCTGCTGTGCCGCAGATATCAGCACAACAAGCGTCTGTAGCACAGAAGGCTAGGGAAGCATCGGGCGGTAGTGCGAGAGGTAACACACTTAAGAAGTTGCAACGCTCATCCACTTCTGCTGGTGCATCTGGCACGCCTGGTATGCCTGGCACACCTGACCCGGAGAAGAAGAACAAGCGTTTCTCACGGCTTGGTTCCATCTTCAAACGGTCTAACTCAGAAGCAAAGAAGACCAACAAGCTGGTCAAGAGCATGCCCCGACCTGAACGTATATCCGAGGCTCCATTGGCTGCAAGAGCACAAAATGTTCAGCCTCAAAACATACCCGCGCCACCAATGGGCATCAGTTATGGCATGGAGAACGGTATGCAACAACCACAGCAATGGGCAGAGCATCCTGATCAGCAGAGTGGTGTACCTCCACCTCCTGGCGGATGGTATGCACCTACCTCGAGGAGAAGCTCATACCACCAAGATCAACAGGCCAGTCTTCCTCAGATCCAGCCAACAATGTCAGGACAATCATGGCAGTCGATACAGCCTCCTCAACAGCAGCAATCACCAGTCATGCCGCCGACCCGTCGTCTTCACAGTGAGGGATACCGCCACGAACCTCGTTATAACGCTCCCTCTGAGTACAGATCAATATCTCCAAGCCCGTTACGTGGTCAGCGCGGTAGTCAGCAGTATGAAACCACGACTCCTCAAAACTATCAGCGTACTCCATCCTGGAGTGGTGGTCCACGACAGCAGCCCCCACCTGGTGGTCGTAACTTCTCCTGGGGTTCCGTGGAACAGCAGCAGCAGCAGCAAGGCTCCTTCCCCACGTCAGGCTCGCCTGTCAGACAAAGCCCTGCCGGTACACCAACACACTCGAGAAATGCGTCTTTCGTCAGCATGACCAACATCCAAGCTGCCATCGCACCACCGCTGTACCGAAATTCCAGCTCGGGAGCATTACAGCGTTCATCTTCTCCTTCAATGTATGGAACCTCGCAACCATACCAAGTCCCTATCCCAGCGCCCACAGAAGCACAACTCATGTCAAAGCAACAACAAGATTGGTATCCTCGCTATGCCGTCGGATCACCCGGTCCACCACAACAAGCCAGCAATCCTGGCATGTACAACAGAGGCTACAACAGCAGACCTGGTAGCTCGAATGGCTTTGACAATATCGCAGAGATGGAATATGCTAGACCCACTTCGGCGGGAAGAGCAATGTCGCCACCTCCTCTTCCTGCGTCACAGCAGTTCCAATCGCAGAGTCCGGTAAGAGGACAGCAGAGGAGATATTATGGCGGCAATGGGGCTATGGGACCGAGACCTTATCCCAATGCGGACAATGTGCAGCCACAACAGGGCGAATGGCAGGGGACCTATCGTGATGTCTGAGACTCGGTCGCTGCTGCTACCAGCCATGTTGTTTGTGTCTTTCCTTTCTTTTCTTGTTCTATATAATTATTCACCAGGGCATATAATATTGATTTTGGAATGACTGTTTACATCCAAGTGTACCTATGGATTTGCGTTACACAGTGTCATGTTTCATTTAAACACCCCCCCCCCCCCCCCCCTGGAATGCGAAGTTGCTATTTCTTCACGATCTTTGCTCTGCATATCCATAGTCTTGTCGCAATACTTAACCACGAGAGATCTGCGGTCTATTGTATGCATGACTATTGTCTAGTCCATCTAAAGTACGTCCAGCATATATTAGCTCTACTTCACGGGTTGTTCGTGAAGATGAGAAAGAGGAACTCCAGTTGGAAACCTGCCACTTTAGCAGCATTCAATCCTGAAACATCAAAATATAGCGGCAAATTGTAACAAAGTAGCATAGTAATATCATCACCTTGCATCTATATTCCAGAAAAGTTCCCCAACAAAACACTCAATTTGAGAGTACAGCTCCTATAAGCCACCAAAAAAAAAGAACACTTTCAACTAGCAGCCCTAAGCAACTCCCCAAACAAACTTTCCTCCATCCCCATCAACTCCCCCGGCCTCCCCATCTCAGCAACCCTCCCGTTATCCAAAACAATCACGACATCAAAATCCACAATAGTTTGTAAATGATGCGCAATAGCAATTATGGTTTTTCCCGAAAACTCTCGTCTCAGAAGGCTTTGGACAGTGGCTTCGGTTTCATGGTCGAGACCAGAGGTTGCTTCGTCTACTAGCACGATGGAGCCAGAGGAGAGGATTGCACGTGCCATGGCGAAGAGTTGTGTTTGGCCTTTTGTGAGCATGTCGGAGGGGTTTAGCGTTATATCGAGGGGGGTTGGTTTTGCTGCACAAGTTGAGCTTTGCGCGGCTGCCAAAGTTTCGAATTTGGCGAGGAGGCCGACGCGGGAGAGTGAGGCTAGCATTTCTGCATCGCTGCGTTTTGTGTCTGTGGGCCGGAGAGAGAGGTTTTCTCGTACGGTGCCGCTTGTAAAGTAAGGGTCTTGGGGTAAAGCGATCATTTTGGAACGCAAGAGTTCTTGGGACACTTGTGTGATGTCGATGTTGTCGATTTTTAGGGAGCCGCTGCTGATGTGCAAGAGGCCGAAGATGGCGGAGGCGAGGGAGGATTTCCCGCTGCCTGTGCGGCCGCAGATGGCGATTTTTTGGCCGGGTTTGATTTCGAGGTTGATGTCTCTTATTGTTGATGGTGCGGTGTCCGAGTACGAAGCTTCCAGATTGCTGATGCTGATGCTACCTTCGGTCATCCAGTCACTGGGAGGATTGATCTGGCCTTGCTCTTCTTCGGGTATGTCATCGATAAACTCCTTCATGCGGGCAATGGCACCCATAGATGTCTCGAGCTGTGTCCAGGCCACCACTAACATCTCCAGAATGGGACCGATGTCCATGATGTTGATCAGTGCAAGAGCAACGTATCCAGCATCTCTACTCGATCTTAGCTTCACGACTATAGCCATGGTCACTGTGGCAAGACCGGCAACAACCAGGTTCAGTACTAGGGACAACCAGTTTTGCACTGGAAAAACTGATCAGTGGATATCCAAATATACGTGATGTGGTGTACTTACCAGATTCGAGAAGATAATACGGCGTTTGACTTTGTTCCAAAAGTGTTGCGTTTCTTTCTCTGTATGCTTTGGCCCAACCGAAAGTCTTGATAGTCGAGACACCAGTGACCGTCTCCAAGAAATGTGTGCAAAGGGGAGCCTTGGCTTCCAGATCCATGATTCGCAACTGCTTACCAGTACGTAGATAGATCTTTTGAATCGTCCAAAAGACAAGACCAAGAACAGGCAAAGTCGCAGCGATGAAGGGTGTAGCCACAATGATGATAGCAGTCATCGCAATGACATCAAAAACACCTGCCATGACATTGAGCAATGAATTTGCGAGTTGTCCATCGATGATCGAAATGTCTTGAGAGAATCTGTTGGCAATGCTTCCAGTCTCTTTGCCACCCCAAGCTGAATATCTGACTTTGACCAGAGCGGTAAATTGTTTGATGTGCAGATACAGGCTGGATCGCGGAAAGATCCAAATGAAACCGGCATAGAGCGTGAGGAATACCACAAGCACAAAGGTTATCGTGATAGCTCCCAAGATGCCGACCCACTTGCCGAGCTCAGATGGGCTCGTTGCTTCGGTATCAGCCCACCATTTCAGTACAAGTTGTTGTATACACTGTAATACCGAGAATCCTATGATCAGGAACGTGAAGGATACAAAGCCAAAGGTGCCGAAGGATTTGAAGTAAGACTTGTACAATTGCCAATTGGAGTGATTCTTGGCTGTGGAAGAAGAGACGCTTGGAGCACGAGAGGTCTTCACCGAGATATCGACAGGGCTCGCGTTGTCGTAGTCTTCTCCGTCTGCTTCATGTTGCGGTGCTTCAGCATGTCTGCGAATAAAAGACGCGGGTGCGTCTTCAGGTTTGCCTTGGAAAGTCAATCTGCCGTTGTCGACCACAAGGACCGTATCGGCATATTGAAGCCAACCGATTGCGTGAGTAGCAAACACTACTGCACTTCCGATTTTCCGTAAAACCCCCTGGGGACCAAGCACTCGATTGAAGACAAGACGCTCCGTACGCGTGTCCAGACCGGAGAGTACGTCGTCAAGTACAATCAAAGATCGTCGAGAGTAGATCGCTCTGGCCAGACTGATTCGATTCTTTTGTCCACCACTCAGGGAGGTACCATCATTACCCACACGAGTGTCGATACCGCCGGGAAGCTCTCGGAAGTCTTGATCTAATCCACACGCCCATGACACCTTCGTCAACCAAGCATCGTCAGCAGTATCGGCTCCCACGATATTCTCTCGGATACTTCCATTCCAGAGCCAGGGGTTTTGACTGCAGTAGGCGATCTCGTCGTCTGCAACGGTGACCGAACCACTCGCTATAGCCACTTCACCTATGAGAGCTTTGAGCAAAGTTGACTTGCCCGATCCAACACTATAAGCATGTTAGTACACTGTTACAAAGTTTACACTTTGATCGTATAAACCCACCTTCCGACAACCATATTGAGCTTTCCACGTTGCAAGTCAAGATTTATGTCCCTCAAGATTGGACTATTCACGGAGTAACCACAGGTCAGTCCACGGACCTGGGCGACATCTTGAGCCTCGGATACGGAAATGCCCGTCTTCGAGTTGCGACCATGCGCCATAGCCTCCGAATTTATGGTGCGTTGATCCGTGTGGTCGCTGGTGACAAGATATTCCTGGATTCTGGCAAGAGCAGCAAATACTTGGAGCAAAGATGGCAGGTATTGTATGGTCATGAGCAGTGGATTAGTGAATAACTTGAGCACTGCCAGAGATGTGAATAGAGTCGAGTTGGTCAAGGGTTCTCCAGTAAGATGGGTTTTTATCGCATAAGCTCCGTACATGACGAGTGTAGCTCCTTGAAAATTGGTTAGAGAAATGATCAAGTTGATCATCGATGACATGCGGATGGCTCTTTGCGCGTTAACTTCTTTCTCACGTAGTGTATTGCCTTTGGCGAGGACAGACGGTCCTATGCCAAGCAGTTTGATGTTCTTCATGGAGCTGATGACACCAGTGATGTACGAGACACGATCCTGCGTTGTGGCGAGCCATATTTTTGCCTTTGGTGCAATCTTCTTGCCATTGGTCGAAGCAATCGTAATGAAGACTACAAGAAGAACCAGTGGAGCCAGAAAGGGCAATCCCACTTGATTGTAGAGAAGTCCCAGGGCGATCACTATTGAAACTCCGCATGCCCAAAACTCGTGTACTGGTCTGATACCGATGAGTGTCTTCTCGACGTCAACGTTCATGAGCATTAGTGGATTGGAGTTTGCATCGACTCTAGAGCGTAATGCCTTGTCATGAATCTGACTGATCAAACAACCTCTGAGCTTGGTTTGGAAGCGGACCACTGCCTGCCAATACCAGCTCTGGAAAGTTGCGATAGCGACATACACCAGAGCAGTGGCGATGACAAGTAGGATGCCCTCCTCAGTACCGCCCTCATTGGGATTGTCGATGTAGCTGATGAATCGCAGGATCAAGTATGGTTGCGAGAATTGAACGGCGAGCAGAAGCAGACGAGGGATGATTGGGAATAGCATATCGTAACCGATCGCGCCCAGGATAATTCGAAGTAGGCTGACCTTGGGATTCTTCGTTGAGTGCTTACGCCATTCGAGTCTGAATCTGCGTTGAGGGTCGGTGGACGACAGATCCTCGTCCATCTTATCGAGATCCGTAGGTGCAAGTACCGATGTATACCCACGTCTGAACATGCTGTTGAGCCACCAAAACAAGCGCTGACTGAACATGTCGTTGGTATCTTGAGGACTACGCTTTTGGCGTTGTAACAGTATCGACTCTTTGCTTACACTTTCCACAGCAAGAAAAAGTGCACAAGCTACAATCTGACCAAGTCCCAGACCTCTCATGATAGTGTCGTTGTTGCGAAGCCATAGTGAGCGGAGATGTACAGCCTGTACCACCAAGGCAACCATGAGATATAGCTGTAGCAGAGCGCTAGGTCTGATTGATCGTAGATGTTCCCATTGTGACAGGATAGCAGCTACAAGCGAGGCTAAGAGTGAGAAGACTTCTGCTGGTATTTCTGCTGATGGCGCATGTGGTCTGATGCAACCTCGGATGAGTACCGCTAAACTTAGACTGACAAATGAGCCCGAGGTTATCTATGAGCCAAGTCAGCTTCAATTCGCGATGCATTACTTTTTGAGATCCACAATGGCACTGCTATGGAATCTTGAGATGTCGTCTAGTATATAAGACACTCACCGTCTTTGCCCACCATAGCGCAGTTGGCGTAACAACTTTTCGACTTCGACCCCATATTTTCCTCAACCTCACAGGCGCCATGAATAGCAAACATGCTGCTGGTATCAGGATGAGGACATAATCTTCTAGTCCTAGCGTTAGGTCAGGTCGTCCACCGTGACAGACCCCCGCAGTGCTATCGTCGCAATTTTGCGATGACATGACAATGAATTGATGACAAGGGGAGCGCAAACAATGGAGATGGTCGAAGATCTTAGACGTCAGTCAACTCCTACATTATATGTGGAGACAGATTTATTTGACTGCCTAAGGTTGGGCAGATCATTTCTCTCTTATCGCACGGCGGCGGTGTTCGAATGTGGCAGCCTACTGTACCGTTCGAACCCCATCGAGGGCTTGTTGCCAAGGAAGGACCATTGAGCTTCTCACGACGGTCCAGCGACATGTGTTCGCGTAGGTCTCGTCAGTCGCAGCAGTATGGCGGTGTCGGAAACATTGGCTATAGTCGATTCTGTCCCCTCATCAATCTTCATGATGCAATTTTGTGATTGTCCAAGCCAAATGTTGAGACATCTGATGGAGCAGCTGTGTTGGGAGTGTGATCGAGGGAAGCTTCTTCTTGCGGCCGACCCGCTTGGCTGAAAGCTTGGACTGCACCTGCCAAATGTAGTTCATGGTCCAGCACTGGTCGGACGCATCAGAGAACCCACAATATGTGATTGGATGATGCCTATGATTCTCTCCAATATGCTAGAAGTTGTCGAGCTTGAGTTGACTCGTCCAATTGAGATACTTCTTGTGTGCTAAGGCCCCACTCACGTGCTGATAATCAGCAAGGGACAAGGCAATGAAAGTAGACATTCTATCTTCTGCTATCCCATCGACACACCTGGGAATCCAAGTTTTAGCTTATTGTGATCATGGTTCTGTTATTATATGGTAGCAGTATGGCTATGAGCTGTGCATGTCCCTGCATTCACGCACCCGATAGTGATGTGCTTGAAAATGAAGAGTGCCAGGGTGAACCTGCGGACGACATGCTATGCACTGACCACCCTGTCAAAATGTGGGGAAAGATCTTCGACCGCCGCCAGCTTCTATCAAAAAAATAAATCCAACGACCATCAAAGTCATTGTTTTCTGATTCACACAAAAACATCAAAATGTCACGTAAGCGATCGTAGAGCCTGCTAGCACGCGTGATTAGTCGACTCAGTCACTTACACTCACTCAGCATCACGGGCAGAAGACATGGAAGACGATGACCCAGTCATTGCAGAATACAACGTCTTCATCACACCACGTCAACTCGAACAAATCTACCTCCTCCAATACCCCAACCGCAACCGCAGTCAAGCCTACAACGACCGCAATGGCGCCCGTCCCGTAGACTTCCGTCTAAAACCTCAAGCCGGCTTTATGGAAATGGACATCGGCATGAACCCCAGTGCGAATTTCAACAAATTTCAAAGTCTGGTTTGGGGTGATGCGATTAGAAAGTCAAAGGTTGGGGGTGGGAGTGCGACGTTTGGTGCTGCTGCTGGGTTTGCGCCGACGAAAGGTGGCAAGGGGAGGGCTAAGCAGGAGGGTGGGGAGATGAGTGTTGATCAGGGATTGGCTAGATTCCAGGAAGCTGTCAACAGGGATGCGGTTTTTCAAAAGCAGACTCTGGGAGGTCAGATCCTGCAGGATGAAGCGGGTAACCCGAACTACATGTTGGGCGCTTTCCGCGGTGGTGAGTCTTGCATTCCTTTTTCCTCATCACATGAAATGTTTCTCGCTGTAGCCATGCTATGCATCAGGATGTCTCATCCTGATAGCTAAAAGTTTCACTAACAGAAACCACGACATCGGATCAAAAGACCGAGGACTGATCAAAACCTCACAGACGAACTCCACCTAACAAAAGTCGACGGCGTGGTCCAAATGCGCCCTCAATTCCACCACGTCGACGCAATAACCCACGCAGAAACCGCCGCCCGCCGCACGGAAGCCGCAGAAGGCACATCAGGCTCCGGTCCCGGCACAACAACAGCAGCAGCAAAACAACCACAAGCCCTCGCACTCGCCCAAACCTACAAGGATAACCGCGATGTCGAAAACCTGGAAGCTTTACGAGCCAAGAACTTGCTGCTCATTGCCGCAGAGGAGAAATGGACGAGATTGGAGTATTTTGATGAAGACGTAAGTTTGTTTTTTTTCCCCCTAGAGTTTTGATATATGTTTCCTGCGTGCTAATCTGTGGTTTTGCCGATGTAGGAAGAAGCTTCTTACTCGACTTATCATACACGACTTTTTCATTCTGATTCTTCTTCGGCAGCACTGCTGAAATCTCAGATGAAGAATGAAGAATATCTGGATGCCATCTCAGCACCTAGAGTGGATCCTTCAGGCAGAAAGAAGAAGAGGCCATTGACTAAGAAACAGATGGAGAGAATCGAAGCTGCAGAGGATGACGTAGAAGGTGCTGGGGAAATGGGTGGAGAAGTTGAAGTTGAGATGAGCTGAATGCAATACTAGAGAGATGAAGCACCTCAGCCATGAATGGCACACGAATCCTCAGCTGTAGAACTGCAGAAACAGATCCAGAGAATTTGATCATCTCGCTGAGAATATCCTGGCTCCTGCGTCTCAATGGTCACTCACATTCCTGATTGTGAAAAATATCTTGCCTTTTCACAGCTGATCTTGTTTGATCCACCGGTGATGAGAGACGTAGAGCACATGCAGAACAACAGGGCTCACCGACAATTACCAGCTCTCCTGTCTTTGGCCCATAAGGTCGATGTAGTTACATAAAGGCACAGTAATCTCCTGGATATTCGGCATCGTCAGTAGAGCGGGAAAATGATTCATCTTTCAATGGATAACTCACGTATCATCAATTGCACTGTGCGTTTCCACAGCTACGTTCGCCATGTCTATGATCGTGAAAGTGAGACAATTTGATGATGAAAAACAGGGCATGGTATTGGGGTATCTAGTAAAAACGCTATGCTTCCTTCCTCCTTATTCTATTGTACAAATTTTCCGTGCCTCCAGTCATATCAGCATTAAAAGTGGCCCAATGGGCGGGAAAGATGAGAGAGCAGTCTATGCACCCACTGCCTCTGTGTGGTGGAGGTGTGCATACTGCGTATGCTCTGCTGCTTCCTCGCCAGCAGTGCGAGAATCGTCTTGATTGACATCAGCAGATTCCACGCGCATCTTTTCGAATTCGTCCTCGTTCACCGCCCAAATGCCCTCTCTAAGTCTCTTGTGGCGCTCACGGTCTTCTTCGATACGCTGCTCTACCTGTCTCTTCTCGACACGAACATTGCCATTGCTGTAACGCATGGCTTCTTCTGGGGATGCTGTACCTCCCACACCGCCGATCTGGTCGCGATCCTTGATACAGTCTTCCAACTCGTCGACAGTTTGTTGTTGCAGATATCTCTTTCTGGCAAGATTTCTCAGAACCTTGCGGACGACCTTGACATTGGCGGCACCACTGCCATCCTCAGGTGCCACAAGATCAACAATGCGCAAGATGTCCTTTTCCATCATGCGGACGAATTGAACGTGTTGCGTGGCAGTCGCGACATCGCAGAGCGTCTCGAAGAAGTAGAAGATGTTGGCGCGGTTGTTGAGAGAGTTGCGCTCGAGGTTTTCGAGGATGCAGGAGTGAAGGTCCTCATCCCATTCGCGGTACTTGATGGCCCATGCGGCAGCCTTTTGAGCGGATGTGACTGATGCGTTGAGGTGCTGAAGTTGGCTGTTGAAGCGCATGCGGACTTCAAACGGGTCCATACTTTCCGGGACTTGAGCTTGAACTTCTTGACGGGGCTAGTGGGCTTGTTATGAGGTGTCGGGGGCCCGCGATGAGGAGTCGGGGGTTCGTGATGCGAATTTAGGGGCTCGGGGGTAATCAGACGAGTGCGTCGAACGGGACGGGGTATGCGAGAAGGTTTGCGGCGATCCGGGGCGCCCAGGTCGAGGGGTGGGATAGTGTGGCTAGCGTGACAATGTGCAGAGTTGCTGAGTTGGGTCTGCGTGTTTAGGTCAAGAGGCGGGACGAGGCTTTCGGCAAGGAGCTCTAGTGAGAGAAGCAGACCAGTTCGAAACAGACGAAGTGCGCGGGGATGTAACAAGAGTGTGACCGGATAAGCGTCGTTGGGTCGTTCTGTATGCGCAGCTGCTGGAAGGAGCAAGGGGGAGATGGAACGACTGGGAACTCTGTGCTCGGGCAAGATTCGAGGGGCGAGAGGCTGGGTGCCGCGGTGTTCGACTTCCTGAAAGTGCTCAGACTTTTGATGTTTGTGAGCGAAGCGCAATCGCGCCAGATGGACATCAAGTCTAATCGATTTGGCGTCGATGCGCTTGGGCCGGGTTGGAGTTCCCCTCGAGATCATCGCGATACGATAAGATGGCGATAACGATAAGAGCTCCGGTGGAGCGATATCGGCGCTGGAGGCTTGGTGGGGGAAAGCTGCTGTCACGAAACATCTTGTGCACGCCTTCACTCGCGACTCATGCCTATACCATCGCGTGATTGGCCGACTGTGTTTCCCAACTGTTGAATTCGCCTTCTACTCACTTTGATCAAAACAAAATGGCGTCAGACAACGGCCTTACCCTGACAGTCGTGGGCTGCGGTATGTTGACGATCGAAGCCCGGTGCCGCATCAGTCAGAGACTGATAGACCTTGTACAGGCACCATGGGTATCGCTATCCTCGGTGGCATCATGGACTCTCTGAACTCGACCTCGCAATCCTCAGAACAGGAGCAGGACCTCCCCCCTCGTCTCCCCAATCGCTTCAACGCCACGTGTCGCAGCGACCGCAGTGCTTCTCGCATCAAGAACGAGCTAGGAAAATACAATGCCAACCTCAACGTCATCCAGTCCGACAATGTACGCGCGATGAAGGAAGCAGATGTTGTGCTGCTCGCCTGCAAGCCATTTTACGTCAAGGATGTTCTGCAAGCAGAAGGTGTCCGTGATGCTCTGGAGGGCAAGCTTCTCATCAGCATTCTCGCTGGTGTGCCAGAGGCTCAGCTTGAAGACCTACTCTATCCTGGCATGTCACACGAACAAGTCCGCGAGAAGGTCACCATCGTTCGCACCATGCCCAACACTGCCTCAAAGGTTCGCGAGAGTATGACTGTCATCAACCAATCGACTCCTCCTCTGCCCAAGGATACCAAGAATCTCGTCCACTGGATGATGTCGCGTATCGGCAAGGTCGTCGAGATCGAGCCCAAGAACATGGATGCATGCACCGCTCTTTGCGGATCTGGTCCTGCCTTTGCTGCTCTGATCATGGAGGCCCTTGCTGATGGAGGTGTCGCAATGGGCATCCCACGAGCTGAGGCCAACCTCATGGCCGCTCAGGTAATGCGAGGTACTACTGGCTTGGTACAGGATGGTGAACACCCTGCTATCCTGAGGGAGAAGGTGTCAACGCCTGGTGGTTGCACTATTGGAGGCCTTCTCGTCCTGGAGGATGGAGCCGTTAGAAGCCATGTCTCGAGGGCTGTCAGGGAGGCTACTGTTGTTGCTAGTCTGCTTGGTAGTGGGGCCAAGAATGTCAATGGAACCAGGCATTGAAGTACCTGAGCGTAGTAGATGTTCGCTCCATCCGACTACCAAACATCGATCAAGGCAAATCTCGCATTCAACCTTTAGAGGAAAATCTTGATCAGCCTATACGATGGCGATACGCACACATTCAACAGCATCGCCGATTGATTCAACGTTCGGACTTCGACGTTTATGTCTCAAGTGGCGGCCCAAAAGGCGTCTTCTACCTCCTGACTATATCTTGATGCTTAAAGGTCCAATGAGGTCGGTCACTCCGAAGTGCTTTTGACAACGGTGGCCGCTGGATTCCTCATAGGAGCCTCGACAGGTTTGGCCAAGGTGTTCGGAGATGTAGTCTGACCCATTAGGCGCTCTACAACAGGGTAGGATTTCGCTCAGAGACAGTCCAATTAAAGACAAGACAAACGAGAAAGTTTCTTACACGTACTGCGATAGCCGAGAGGATTTAGCAGGTACAAAAGCATCTCCAAGTCCTTGATTTCCAGTAGCCTAGCTGCATTGTGTTGTTCGAATGCACCTAAATCAATGCGAATGGCTGCTCCTCCCATTTACTAACCTACCATGGTCAACATGTCACGACTGAACAGTATGAAAGTTTGTATAGATGCGTACGTACGAAAGACATTATTGAAGGAGGCGCGGAAGGAGCTCACTCCATGCCAAGATCCAAACGGTCGCTTCCTTCGGATCGCTTTCGGATCTCAATCCCAAACGTCTTTACAACTTCATCTCATTCAGACCAGTTATATCTCGACATGTGGATCTTGCAGGATCTACCGTAGATGGGCCAAGCAGCCCAAGGATCTCATTAGGGGCTGACGCCGAACGACATAATCTGCCTGGTGATTGATACAGGCTTCGAGCCAATGGCATGTGGTCTCGGGTCGTGAGGGCTGTCTTGCTTCATCACAGGCCATATGTTCCGGAGGAACGCGGAGGATGCCCTACCAACGTCTCTCAAGCCGCGAAGGGTAGGTTGTGAGGTTTTGTTCACAGCCGTCGATCTTTCGAGATAGGCACCTCTCAGATCGTCACGCTGTCAAGTCAAGGCCGTTTTCCTGTCCCCGAGCCAGACTGTGCAAAGATTCGCATGAGGCCATCGATTGCTGTAGTAACTTCACGCCATGACTGGCATCAGACAAATACCGCATCTTGTTCCAACAACCAGGTAGATGTATCGTATCGGAGTACCTGAGACATGAAGCCCCAAGAACCCGGTGCTTCTGCCTGCGTAGCGTCGCCTCCATCTTACTGCCTTCCTAATGTCTTGCTTGAGCCTAACTCGCAAGCCTCTAACGTTTGCCTACTCTGATAGCTATCGGCCGTTGTCAGGATGACCTCCCGCACCTCTAGGATGCGATTCGAGTGTCCACAGTGCAATAGCATGCACATTATTACGAGCTTGACAATATATAGCCGAGAATGCCCACTCGCGCAATGTCGACAGGTGATCTGGAAAAAATCTCGACCAATGCTATAAGGCGTGAACGTCATATCATATCAGCCATCGCCGACCTGCAGTCATGTGGCTTTCTAGGTTCTTTCCTGTGATATTATTCTTCATTAATCTCCTAGAAAGGGTTAAATCTTCGCCTCTACTTGCTGAGCGTGCAACTCCCAAATGCACCGCACGAAACATCGAGATTGTCCGTCGTACCGTCGACGATGAAGTCTACTTCTGCAAGTGGTGGCTGTCTGAGTATGTGCAATCAAGACGATATATTCCAACCACGGGAATTGACAAATCCATAGTGGCCGCACAAGATCACCGTTCTTCGAGTTCACGCCCACAGCAGTCACCAAGCTTTGCAATTGTATCATCTCAGACACGAAGACTGTGTCAAAACAGAAGCGTACCGAGGCTGCTACCGTCGAGAACTTGCTAGAAAAGCGACAGACGCAGGCTTCTTGCAGAGCAGAAGTTAGTCGTCAATTCACCGAGCCGTGGTACTTTTGTACTTTCTACAACTCATAGTAAGCCAACTCAACATTGTCCAATGCCGTTCCTGACATCTAGCCTAGTCCTAGAACTACTTCGCCTTTCGCAAAGTACTCGGCGAAGGCTCTCATAGACTTATGCAAGTGTGTTGAAGGCAAAGTGGTTACCAGCAGTGGCAAAAAGACTGGAAGCTCGACTAGGAAGACTTCGGCGTCGACGAAGAAGCTATCGTCATCGACTATCAAGAAGGTGTCTTCCTCGACTAAGAAGGAGTCAACAACCAAGAAGATTTCGAGTTCAATCAAGAAGGTGTCAAGCTCAACTAAAAAGGTGTCAAGTTCAACCAAGAACACTACTAGTTCGAATAAAAAATCACCCACTGCGTCGAAGAAGGCCTCCTCGTCTACCTTGAAGGCGTCTATTGTCTCGACGAAGCCTTCAAGTTCGACTAAGAAGGTTTCCTCGACCACTCGAAAGGCTTCTTCCTCGTCCAAGACCCCTTCCAGCACCGTCAAGAAGGCTTCCACGTCAACTAAGAGACTGTCGTCCTCACCCAAGAGCGTCCTTCTCACGACCAAGAAGACTTCGAGTAGCACTAAGAAGAGCTCGACTATACCAAAGAAGACATCGACGACTACTACGAAAAGTTCTTCGCCCGCGAGCAAATCGACATCAATTGCCAAGACATCAGCCAGATCCTCGACTTCAACCAAATCATCAGTAAAGTCTTCGTCGAATCAGTCGTCAGCAAAGTCACTGGTGTCTTCTAGAACAATTTCAACAAAAGCTTCATCTTCTCTCAAGATAACGCCAAAGACGTCGACTAAATTTTCGTCGCTCTCATCTAAAACGGTACCTGGCACAACCTCCATATCATCTATAAATGTGCTCACATCTGGGACATCATTGAAGAGTTCATCAGCATCATTTTCGACAATTAGGCCTAGCACGTCCCGCGTCGGGACTTTCAGTCTCACGACAGCTTCTACTAGCTCGGGCAAAACTCAAACTAGCTCTGTCCAATCCACGTCTATCCGGACCAGCAATCCATCAGGATCGTCAAAGGAATCTTCGGGGTCGATGACGTCTTCCCCTTCTCGTGCAGCTTCATCACAAGTCGTTGATCCGATATCTAGCCTTGCGGATACCATCACATCTGCTCATATGACTCCAAGCCTCGATCCCACGCTACTGCCCTCGACCATCGTACTTGGCATCGCCACCAATTCCACCGCTCTGAGCGGTGGTACGATAGGAGGTGGGGCTTGGTCGAGTTGGATCCCACAGGTATCCCCTATCCCAAGTTCTATATCTGAGACAACTACCAAGCAAAGTCTGTCCTCCTCGAACAACGGCTCTCCAATTTTACCATCAATATCCACATCAACGAGCACTCAGTCTTTCTCAAGTAGCTCTAAAATGCTACCATCGATGTCGGGAGTGGTTTCAAACAGCTCAGTGACCGACCTAGCATCTACGATTACCGATTCGCTTCCAGTGACAGAGAGTGCAACCTCAATTTCAATCGTGACATCTTCCAATCCGTCCGAATCCGGCAGACCCAACACCGACGAGGCCGGATCTGATGTCACTACTAGTCTCAACTCCAACGATGGACCTGGGAGCACAGACTCTCGACTTACGTCCATTGATGAGCCTACAAATCCCCCTGTCACATCTGGCGCCGACTTGACCACGATGAGTCCCACCACCGAGATAAGCATTACGAGCATTAGTATCGTAAATGGGCCCACAGATATAAGCACTGGCTCTGCTACAAGTTCTGAAATCGTGGGCTCTGAGACACAACCCGCGAGCCCCACGCTTGTGACCGGGAATCCTGTTACCACCTCTTTCATAGGATCACAATATTCTAGCGCCAGCTCGGATGATATTGGTGGGGCCACACAGACTATCACCGCTTCTGAGGCTGGCTCAGCACCTTCTGACATCGGAACGGTCATCCCAAGCTCGAGTACAGAGCCGGAGAGCACCCGCACGAGCTCGACCACAGACCTTACGAGCACTCTCTCTGCTGTGGAGTCTGGTACTACTAGCGCTAGCTCGGCTTTTGATGATGAGAGATCGAGTGCAAGCCATCAGACAAGCGAGCAAGTCACTATGAGCACTTCTCCTACGGGAGTCGATCTCACTACCGACGTTGAACAAAGTCCTTCATCAACTTCCTCGACCATACCAATTAGCATCGTACCGACTTCCAAGGCCGTCGGAGTGGAAAACAGCTCTAGCTCGATTGTTGATAATGGCTTTCCCGTCACAAGTTCCGACGTTGGACCACAGATTACCAGCTCTGCACTGAGCGCTACTATCACGAGCTCTGTCACGAATGATGACACCAAGATGACTGGATCCGCCTTGTCAGCAGCCTACACTAGCCTGATCATCGAACCTGTGATAACTTCTGCCTCGGAGACTGCCGAGGTTACGACGGTCAGCTCTCCAACAAACAGTCAAGAACCTACAAGTTCTTTCATAAAGACCGAAAGTACCTCGTCGCTCGTTGATACCATCACAAGCTCATCGACAGATTCTGTGGCCACCTCCTCTAGCTTCGAGACACGATCACAAACTTCTTTTGCTGAGACCAGCGATGCTGTCGCCAGTACTCCTGTGGAATCTGTGTCCACAACCATGGACTCCGGTAGCCGAGCTCCGGCTTACACCGCGACAATTTCCACGGTATCTGTAGCTACGTCTTCTGATGATGACGATTCTGGAAAGACTACAAGCATCAACACTGTCAGGCCTGGCACATCAAGCGATCGCGTCACGCCTCTGATTGCCTCCTCGAGCACGGGATCTTCCTCCTCGAGTACTGGCTCGTCGATGGTGTCAAGTATCTCAGGAGAGAGTACCGACGGCCCATCCATTGTTACTGTCACGGCCCTTGACTCATCAGCACAGTCGTCCATTTTGACGAATATTGCTATCCCCTCAACCATCGAGACTTCATCAATCAAAGTTCCTGCATCGTTGAGTACTGCAGCTACCTGGATCGTGGCGAAACCAAGCACCGAGACGATGTCCACTCTTGGGTCATCGGATATCGAGGCATCCACGGTCACATGTTCCTACAGTAGCGAAGTGGTGCTCGTCAGTAGCACGGCAAGCACTGCTGTAATCATGACTGAGTCAGAAGCTGCCAAAGAAACCAGCGAAATGACGAGCGACTCTAGCGATACTTCCTTGACTGCAAGTCTGACCGTGACTCAAGAGACTTCTATGAACGAAGAAAGTAAGGCAGTACGGACTGATGCTTCCGTAACATCAAGTTTTTCGCCCACAACATCATCTACTGATCCAAGCGACGGACCAAATAGCACCTCTGCTGTAGAGAGCAAGGCGTCCGACATGAGCTCGACAAATACTGCTTTTGGCAGTGACAATGCTTCATCCTCGAGTGACACATTATATCTCACATCAAGCAGCACGCCCGGAGGCCAAGTTATCAGTGTCACATCTACTTACGATGGGCAAAACGCTAGCACAACTTCCACTACCCTGATTGAGCCTTCGAATACCCAGCTAGCTTCTCTGAACCAAACAACGAGCTCTACCCTCCCGCTGGAGCCCACGAGTCCTACCGTTATAAGTCAAGCTATCAGCGATAGCTCTACACTTGTGGATGCTGAAACTAGCATTGCAGCCACCAGCCTTCCCACTAATGGAAATCTTGGTACTTCGAGCTTGGTAAGCTCGTTCATCGCGACTGAGCCCACTGTGAGCTCGGTCCCCATTTCTGATACCACATCAGCCACTGTAACTACTCAGTCCACGATGACGAGCTCTTCTACTTCTAAGAACGAACCCTCAATTACCGCTATCCAGAGCGAAAGCCTCAGCTCCGAAATCGTGCCTGGTACCACAAGCGCTGTTGTTGTAGACGAGACGACCAGCACAAGCGCAAATCCTGGAATCGGTTCTACTGCAATTAGTCTCCACACTAGTACTGATATCACTACTGCGAGCTCAGAGAGGTTTTCAATTGAGACCGAGACTAGCTATAGCTCCTCTTCCGTCTCTATAGCCACCTCGACTCCCACAGAGAGCCAATCGACCGCCACGGGCTTGCCTGTCGAGCCTGAGATTACCTCTTCAACGCTATCTGGAGAGCCTGAGTTGACCTCATCTCTATCTTCTATCGTAGAGACTCAGGTAGCGTCTTCGTCTTTCATGAACAGCAAGATTATCAGCTCTACCGCTGTGTCAAGTGTTGCTGCAATATCGTCTTCTACTACTACCGAAATCACCACCACGAGCTCGTTCATCCAGCCCGTGATCACTTCATCGTCTATTTTCAATACAAGTACAATCCTCAGCTCTTCCAAGGAGACTGAATCCGCCACGAGTTCCAATACTTCTCAGATCTTGTCGATCCCTGTAGGCGCAGAGAGTACTAGCTCTCTTGTCGGGAACCAAACCAGCTTTTCGCACTCAAGTGGGCCCGTCCTTGTATCTACCACCCACTCTTCTAGTACGATACTCACTGCCGTCACCAACACTATGTCGGTAGCTCCTACAATCAGCCCAACACTGGTAATCTCAGGAGTTGGCGTGCTCGCATCAGGATCTGGAACATCGGCTGACAACACCGTGCTACAAAGCAAGGGCTCTGTACTTGGCTTCCGACTCAGCGGTGACGATTATAAGCTATACGTCGACCAGTATGGTAATCTCAAAGACTCACAAGGACGTTTCCAAGCTATGAAACTCACCAATCCGAACACCTTATACTACGAGCAATCAGGTCCCATCGTTCCACAAGACATGTGGGGCGCCTCAGGGTATGCTACCATCTCGGACTGTGGTGTTGGACAAGACAATACGCTTGCATGCCATCTTACGATTCCATATTCGACGCACTTTTTAGAGTTCTTCCTGGTCGCGGATGGCCAAGGTTGGATCTTATATGCAGGCAAGAATGACAACGGCAATCCCTCTGTCAAATTAAAGATTGCAGACAATGCGTCACCTACGACCTCTGCTTCCAGTATAGTGTCTCACGCCTCCAGCGAGTCGCAGAAGTCTGACCCATCGACGTTATCAATAAATTCTCAGAGCCCGAATTCAGAGATTTTGACCAGAACTTCTGATACGGGGACTGAGTCGACCAAGTCCGCCGTCACCACTGTAGCCAATTCTACTGCGAATAGTGATACAGGAACATTGACTACAGTAATTGCTTCAACCACAAGCGACAATCAAGACGATTCCCTCACGAGCTCATATCTTATCCCTTCGGTCGACCCTAGCACGACCAGCGGCTTAACCACGTTCTCAAATATCGACGTATCAACCAGCGTGGACACGGCTACTAAGACTGGTACCACAAACAGTCATTCGGCCACAACGAGTCAGAGTCTTCTTACTGACACTGTCTCTTCCACGAATTCTGTAGAGCCAGTACCTGTCACCTCAAGTGATTCGAAGATAATTTCGGTGCCCTCGGTCGGCGAAAGCTCCAATGCCCTACCTTCCAATTCAGACGCAAGCACTTCTACCTTGCAATCTAGCACGACTGTCGCCTTGTCTGCCTCGTTATCTGACGCAAGCACAAGCTCTGTTGCAATGCCGTTAAGTTCGAGTACTAGCTCTTCTGCTTCTTTGAGCAGTGACACCAGCCTCTCATCGTCGCCTTCTCCTATCTCATCTTCAGACTCGGCCATGAGTCCCCCGATCTTCACCTCGGCTTTGAGCACCAGCGCTGATATTACTAGCCCAAGTGTGGTTTCCTCTACGCTGTCCCCAGACCTGAGCACTGTCCCCACAGTCTCGTCGTTAGGGACGGGTGATAGCTCATTTGCTTTGTCATCGAGTCTGAGCGGCAGCTCTTACGTCGTCGCTACAAGTAGTACAGGTCCTTCTGAATCGTCTTCTAGCATTACCATGAGCGCCAGCTTCTCCACTCCATCGTCAAGCCGAAGTACCAAGTCCTCTGCTTCAGACCTGGAAACGACTCCGTCGAGCTCATCTCCGGAGTTGAACATAAGCTCTATGACTTTGGCTCCAAGCTCAAGTACCAGCCTCAGTACAACGACGTCTTCCTCAATTTCAGACGTGAGCATGAGTAATCCGACCCCATCATTTGAGTTAGACGCCAGCTCTTTTGCCTTGTCCACAAGCATGAGCACGACATCTGCTGCCATATCCACCAGTGAAACAGACCTTTCAACCTCATCATCTAGCATGAGAACGACTCGTACCTCATCCATAGACATAAGCATACAAACCCCGACATTCACATCAAGTTCGAGCGCCAATTCTTTGGACTCTGAGCCAAGTATAACTTCTTCTGTCTTGACCTCTAAAACTGACACGAGCTCTCTGGTTCTGTCGACAAGCTCAAGCACAAGCTCTTCAATCTTGTCTCCAAGTATAAGCACCGCGTCTCCCGATGTTTCTGGCATTGGATCAAGCTCCTCCACATTGGCATCAAATCTCCGCAGTTCTTCTGCTCCAAGTCAAAGCAAGAGCGACTCTTCTGCTTCACTTGCCCTAGGCACAAGCTCGTCTGTTTCGAGTCCAGACACAGTTTTGTCTACTTCTATTAGCATGAGCGTAACTTCGACGTCTTCCTCTTCGGCTTCGGTCAAACGCTCTTCAAGTCTGTCTACAGGCATAATCGCCTCTCCCGGTTTATCTAGCACGGTTTCGGTCTCTACACTCAGCACAAGTGCAAGCTCTTCATTGGCTACAGGCACAAGTCCGAGCTCGTCTGCTCCATCCTCGAGCTCAAGTGTTGCTTCTCGTGCTTCTACTAGCACCAGTGCGAGCCTTTCTGCCTCTTCACCTAGCACAAGCTCAAGTTCCATCATCTCGGCCAATACAAGCACGACTCCAATCTCCGCGTTTCTCACATCAGCATCGTCAACATCAATATCGACATCAACATCCCCATCCACCTCCACCACCTCCACCACCTCCACCGCCCCCGCCCCATCATCAACAGATTCCTGCTCCGGCACCTACTCCACCCCCAAAAACACCTACACCCTCTCCTGCGACCACGACTACCCCTACGACTACATCTTCGGCTCGATGAAGACAAAACTCGTCACCACAAAAGAAGACTGTATGGCTTATTGTGATTCGCTGAGTGATTGTAGAGCAGTGGTTTGGGGTTGGACTTTGTTGAGTAGTAAATTGACTTGCTATCCTAAAGATGCAAAGGCGGTCAGTAAGCCGCAGGGGGTGCTTTTGGGATTGAGTGGTATTTTGCCCGTTTATGCTGGCACGAGGATTTGAAGTATATGGGGGGGAGGGGGGAGCAGGTAGGGATAGAGAAGAGATGGGGTAATGAGAAAGATGTAGAAAAGTATATAGATGGATTTTGTTTGGATAGAAAGTTGATTTGCAAGAGAGCCTGCTTATCTGTTTAAATATGAAGACTGTGTAGCCATATCTGTCTTGCGTTGATACAAATATCATGTTGTCCGACTGAGAGGGCCACATTGAATATACTTCCAAAGCATTCCCTGCGACTCCCCAAGATCCTTCAGGATCATGGGCGGCTCAGGCTTCGATAGTCCAGGATGCAACAATTATCGAATTGAAATTGATAGCCGCTTGCACTGGGGGAAATGGCCACATGTGCGACATTCGGCAGGCTGCGGAGCTGTGTAGCAAACAAGGCAGTCGGATCCAGCAATTTAAAGGGCTACGCTGGTCGCCGTCCTTCAGTTCACTATTTTGACCTTGCTATGCACGACTGCCCTACTTCCGCAGTCAGCATTCCATTACGCTAATCGACTTACACAATTTAGTCGACTTTCCAGCCTGCTTCTACAATCAGTACATGCGAGCAGTGGTACCGGCGATTTCCGAGGCTCGTGGGCCTCGAGCTGTCTATCTCGCGCCGACGGAGATGACCTCCTCGAATGCAAGCAGTCACAAGCGCTGTGGTCGATTTATAGGGCGCGTCTAGCGTTGCTCCAATCGCTTGCGGTGAGCGCTTTCGGCAGGGCCTGTGTTTTTAGGGAGCCACGTGTCAGTTAACATGTGCACCTTTTTGAAGGCAATCTGGTCGTGGCAGGACTATCATGATCGCGGATATATTGTTGCTCATGATATAATCAAACCAGGCATGGACACAAGGAGGCCGTCGAGCGATGGAGGACTCCGAGATTCGCAACCGGTGGGTCACGATTTCCTCCGTTAGCGGGTGACTAGCGCGCCAAGAAAGCCGTCTTCACGCCAGTTTTATCTGATTGATAAGATGATTGGATCGCTCCTCGAATCTCTTACGACTCCTGCGGCCCGTCAATATTCGTTAACAGAAGCCTTGCCTCCCATCTCCTTTGACGTTCCAACCTCTTCGATTTTACTTCCTTTGACGTCTCTTCGTATATCAATATCTTCACATCCCTAGGTACGGACATATCTGTAACATTTCTCGAAGGAGGCCAGACACATATCTTGGCGTCATCCAACCTTCGGCCGGGGATATTCACGGCCTGACGCGCTTCAGCCAAGCCGCTCCCTGCATCAAAACGTTGGTCGCAAAACAGCACGAGTACGCACCGCTCTTTGGTTATTGTTGTTTCACAAGTGAGAGAGCCTAGTGCTTCTCATCTCTTTCATTATTCCTTTATCTATGCGACGATCAACATCCTTCTAGTCCTCGGCATCTCTGATAGCAGTCATGCCAGGTCTCCGGAGGCTCTCCAACACGGGGGAGACGCTCCCTCGTCACAGCAGGGAGAAGATGGCCAGATCCCCTATCGACGATGTATTCTCAGACACAGAGAGTGAATCGGATGTTGCAAGCCAGATCAGCGCACAAGCCGGCGTGAAGCGGCTGGAGGCTACTGCAGCGTTGTGGTCGAAATGGTCACTCATATTCGCATATGGCGGGTAAGGTTATCTTGTGATCATACCACTGAGCAAGCATGGCTGACTCTTCCCAGTCTGTACATGATGGCATATGCGACTTCGCTCGAAGGACAAGTGACTACGAACCTGACAGTATTCGCCACGAGCTCGTTCAAGGCACACGCGCTTATCTCGACAGTCTCGGTCATCCAAGGAGTTGTGTTGTGTACGTAAAGGTTGGCACGCGAGATCTCGAACACAACTGACCAGGAGATAGCAATTGTCAAGCCACCAATGGCGAAAGTGGCAGACGTATGGGGACGTTTCGAAGCGTTCACGTTCAGCGTGTTCCTGTTTACTCTTGGCTATATTCAGCAAGCTGCCGCGAACAATGTCAAGACATATGCAGCTGCCCAGATCTTCTACTCCGCAGGCGCCACTGGACTCCAGATCCTTCAGCAGATCTTCATCGCAGATACGAGTGACTTGCTGAACAGAGCCATTGTTTCCACGATCCCAGATATCCCATATCTCCTGAATGTGTGGATTGGTCCCCCAATAGCAAACTCGATCCTTAAGAACCTGAGCTGGAGATGGGGCTACGGTATCTGGGCTATCATTCTTCCTGTGGCATATCTACCACTGGCGCTTGCTCTGTCCCTCAACCAGAGAAAGGCCGCCAAAATGGGTATTCTGCCTCCATCACCGTTTGTTGGCAAGGATTGGATTTACACGCTCAAGAGTCTTTGGTTCGAGATGGACGTCTTCGGCCTTCTACTCCTTCTCGTTGGCGTCGCTTTGTTGTTGATCCCGCTTACTTTGGGTGCGAGTGCGCCTGGAGACTGGAGCAATGGAAGCATCATTGCGATGTTGGTGTGCGGTCTGGTCTGTCTCTGCATCTTCCCACTCTGGGAGCGTAACCCACGTCTGGCACCTAGAGCTTTCTTCCCTCCACACCTATTCCGCAGCACCACCGTCATCGCAGGTGTGCTGATCGCATTCTTCTACTTCAGTAAGTCTGACGCTCCAACTCCATCCTGATTGTTGCTGACATTTTGTAGTGGTGTACTACCTCTCTGTGCAACCATACTTCTATTCTTACCTTCTGGTTGTGCAGGGCAAGTCCGTCTCAGCTGCTGGCCATATCACCCAGACTTTTACATTCACAGCGACTGTCACATCAATCTTGACTTCCATCGTCATCAAGTACACCAAGCACTACAAGTACTTCGTCACAGCTGGTGCTTGCATCTACCTTGTGGGCGTCATCATGATGCTTCGCTACCGAACTGAAGGTGTCTCGGATGCTTTCCTCATTGGCTGCCAAGTCTGCGTGGGCATTGGCGGAGGCATGCTTCATGTTCCTGCTCAACTCGGTGTTCAAGCGTCCGTCGGTCATGGTGAAGTTGGTGCAGTGACAGCTGCTTTCCTAACTATCCTCGAAATTGGAGGTGCTGTCGGCTCAGCGATCTCAGGCGCCATCTGGTCCGCGAACGTGCCAATCAAGCTTGCTCAATATCTACCAGAGGAGACACGCGACCAAGCCAAGGAGATTTTTGGCAGCGTCAAGGTCGCGTCCACGGCGTACGCTATGGGTACACCCACCCGTATCGCCATCAACCGCGCCTACCAAGAGACCATGACCAAGATTCTTACGGTGGCTGTATTGGTCTGCATCCCTCTCATCCCATTGTCTCTCATGATGAAGAACTACAAACTGGATGAGTTAGACCAACAAGTCAAGGGCACCGTCATTGGCAACACAAGTGAAGCCAGCGACCCCTCAGAAAGAGAACCATTCGCTGCTTCGTCGTCTGGTCACCGCCGCTATGACAGCGATGAAGACATCGACTACGACTATGATCGCACGATTAGAACAGTGGCCAGTAACAATGGCTTGAGGACGTGGAAGTCAAATGCAAGCATGCATTTGAATGATGATTGACACGATGCTGATGGAAGAGAGCATGTTATGACATGATACCTGATGACTAGAGATTGAAGCGCGAACGTTTTTTCGCATTGCATTGTTATGATAGAATAGCGGCCAGCCTTGTTGATTGGAGAGGAGTTTTGGTTTTCAGGTATACCACCGCACCTAGTCAAATCGACCTACTTTCGTCTGACATCCATTTTCTTGGGCTAGCGTGTGAGAATTTGAATTGATTGTACTCTGAGTAGGTGGCGTGCATCACAGCACCCAAACAGTGACCTATTGGACACGTCACTTGATCGTGAGCCACTCAGCACCTTGAGACACACTAAACAGAACACACGAATGTCTTCTATATTGCAAAAGATCTAGACAACGCGTTATGGTCGCAAATAGAGATCGCTGCATCGTTGAGTACGAGTCAATGACGAAGGCAGGGTGGTCCCCTTATCACCAAGCGAGTCCATCCCCAGAGTCTCGACCACAACATTTCTTAGCAGCATGATCATCACAGGACTTGAAGCCGTTCAGATAGCACTTACACCAACACGACAAGGAGTATACCGCCAAGTAGACATACAAGCAAGAGTCAGGAGGTGGAAGCTAGAATGGGTTGGGATGCCTTCAGCACAGACCTTATTGCCCATATCAAGGGGCGGTACAGCGGTGTGAAGTTGCTAAGATTTGCTGGCGGCCTGGTGCCAATTCAACAATCGAGTGCGGTGTAAAAAGACGTCGTAGCTACTGTGGGGTCACCTCGATTGAAGCTGAACGATAAAGGGCTTCAGCGGTAGCGATAGCAATGCAAAGTTCAAAGAGGTTAGTCCGTACGGCTTCATAGCCGGCAGGAAAGGCCGAAAGATGTGGCTTTTCTCTTTGTTATGAGTGCCGGACAAGGCGTGAGACCCGTCAAGCTTACGAATGCTCCTGCAAGGCCGTTGACTGCAAGCAGCTGGAAAGAGACAGCTTGGGCGGCATTGTTCCAGATGCAATATGGACAAAACAATGAGGGTACAGAGTGGATTGCAGGTCTGAAACAAAAGGAGCAGTCAGATTTGGAGTGGTTTGGCTTCGATGGGGCTTGAGTAGGCAGGCTTTGGCAGTTGCTTGTTTGAGAGGTTTAGGAGGGGATGATCGGCAAGCTCAAGCCGGATTGGGCAATCATGGGAAAAAAGCAGCGATTGTCTGGAACGCCGAGGATTGCGACTTTCCAATGTGGAGGGTCTGCACGGTGAAGAAGGGCCTTTGGCAGGAAGGACGAGGCAGAGGCAAGAGCGGAAATGTGGCAGGCTAAGGATCGCGTGCCTCTTGGGACAGGGAAGTCTTGAAGAGATAGATACAGCATAGTACAGTCAGGTGTGACGGTTGAAGAATTGCCCTCGATTCGCAAAACGCATTTGGCCGAGGGGTCTGTGATTGTTCTGCATCGCTTTGGCCCGCGTCCAAGTGTTTACCCCGTTACACCCGCAACCTCTCACAGCTCACGTACTCGGGGTCGACCTCATTGCGGGTTCGACACGATATTTCTGCTTCGCCAGCTGCATCCCATCGGGCCGTGGTGAATTGCGACCTGAAGTCTGGTTGTTGGGTTTTGTGACGTTTCCGAGTAAGTGACGAGCGGCAGCAACAGACGTCGTCGACGTGAGTGAAGCCGACGAAACAACTGACAGCTCTTTTCACCCTGCAGCGCCCACGCCCTCCGCTGTCCACGTCCTCAGATCGTCGACTCTCCCTTGTCGCATCGCCTCTACCGACTCTCCTCTTTGCACATCTCGTCAGATCGCCAGCTCCTGCTGTTGCCGCCAACAGCTGCCCTTCGTTAGATCGTAGCCTGCAGACGACCCCGTAGCCAAGTCTGCTCATATACACAATGGTTGTCGCTACCATCAAGTACGCCGCTGTCGTCTCTCCAACACTTGGCCCCCCTGCTAATCTCCCTGTGCGCATCCAGGTGCGTCGTCGTCGGTGATGGTGCTGTCGGCAAGACCTGCTTGTTGATCTCCTACACCACAAACAAGTTCCCCGCCGAGTATGTCCCTACCGTCTTCGACAACTATGCTGTCACTGTCATGTAAGCCATGTCCAATCTCGTCCAGACCATATACCTTGCTCACATCTCGCAGGATTGGTGATGAGCCCTACACCCTGGGACTCTTCGATACTGCCGGTCAGGAGGATTACGACCGTCTCCGCCCCCTCTCGTACCCTCAAACCGATGTCTTCCTCGTCTGCTTCTCTGTCGTCTCTCCTGCCTCTTTCGAGAACGTCCGCGAGAAGTGGTTCCCCGAAGTCCACCACCACTGCCCTGGTGTCCCTTGCCTGATTGTCGGTACCCAACTCGATTTGCGCCCACCTAAGGAGAAGCGTGACGACAAGGACCCTGTTCTCCGCAAGCTTCGTGAGCAAAAGATGAAGCCTGTCGAGAGGGAAGACGGCGAGAGAATGGCCAGAGAGCTCGGTGCTGTCAAGTACGTCGAGTGCTCTGCCCTGACCCAGGAGAGACTTAAGGACGTATTTGACGAGGTATGTCATTTCCATATCCACACAGTTGTTGCATCTCCCAAGACCAAACCACTGACACTTTGCAGGCCATCGTTGCCGCCCTCGAGCCTCCTGCCACCAAGGAGAAGAAGAAGAACCACAAATGTGTCATCCTCTAAACGAGAAAACACCATTTGTAGTTCCGCTTCCACCTTCATGGCCCAATACAGTTCAGTCTTCTTCGATACAGCGCATCCGGCACGGAACCCAACCCAATGATATCTTCCGTCGCCGCTCAATGGTGTCTGGCGCAATGAGGCGCAGTTTTCCGGTTGCTTTTTTTTCGTCACTTACTCGGATTTTCCCCAAGTTAGTCGTAGGTTGCGTCTTTCTTCTCTTTTTTAGAAGCGGGGGGGTTTTCAAGTCTTCTGTGGTTTCCCAGAATCTCACAATCTGCAAGTTTTCTTTTTGCTCGCTCTTCTCACAAACACTCTGTTTCTTCTTTCTTCCGAAGCGTCCCAAGAGCTTCGGTCCTGTTGAGAGAAGTCTCCAATGATAAAGTTGCTCCTTCTGTTGCAGATGTCAAAAGCGAAACCGCGTCTTCCATGGTCGCTGTTTGTAAGCTTTGTCAACATGGAGAAAGACATTCCAATAGAAATGCACACGGCAAGAGTCGGTTAAAATGTTCTCCTGTTCCTGGTGGTTTGGGTATCTTCTTGATATCATGGCTGACTCCAAGTTCGATTTCCGCCCAAAGGTTTGCCGTCGATTCGCAAAAGTGCAAAGATCTTCCTGAAAGATGCTCGTTGAAATCTTTGGAGTCCTTGTTCCTTCTGACTTTTCCTGGATGCCACTCGGTGGACGGTAGTCGTGTGTCAAAGCACAAGACAACATGCTGTATAGGTCAGTCATCCGGAAGAAATCCATCATGTGGTTACTGACACACCAAGGTCATCGCCATCTGGGGATAGACATAGTGCCGTCCACTCCCACCTACGTGTCGCTCTTTCGTCGTTGCTGTTTCCAGTGATATGAAATACCTCACGTCCTTGCCGAAGCTCGTATTCGCTGGCGTCGCTTACTGGTTTAGTCTGCTGTTGCTCCGTCCTCTCCACGTCTGCGTTGCCATCAATCAGGAGAGCGTATAGCATTCCACGTGACTAGAAGCGGATGTGTTGATGATGTAGTAGTCGTCGTCGTCGAATGCAAGCTAGGTTCACTACGAAAAGGATCATGGTTTCCCCTCGTTGAGCTACGGTCTCCTCGCGCTCTCGAGCTTGATTCGCTGTCGCTTTGCGCGTCCTTCACATGTAGTCATTTGCTTTTCCTCTTCAAGTATCTGTGTCTTCCTGTCACACACCCTCCTTCTCATCCCTCTTTCTGCCGACACCATGTTGTACATTCCCAATGTCAGAGATCTCAATGCTCAGCCCCCTCCACTCTCTGCTGCTATCAGACGCCTTCGAACCAACCATCCCGCACGAAGACAAGCCGAATTGAAGAGGAGGACCTACAGTAGAGATCACGCCTTACTGTGTCTAGTGGGCATCATACCTGCCAAGTCGGCGAGTAGTCGTCGACCTGACCGCCAGCTTCCTCGAGCTCCTCTACCTCCCTTTCGTCCTCGATCACGTGCGAGAGTCTTTCCGCTGCCGCTACCCACGCCGCCACTGACACCACCGGCGAGCTTCCGCTCCACCCTGCCCGCCGCTTCGGGCCCGTCGCTGCCAAGACTCACCGCTATCACTCCTTCTGGTCATGTGAAGAAGGCCGTCGTCCCAGTGACGACTGACCGAGTGGGAGACCGTGTACTTCAACGCCGTTTACTCAAACATAGACCTGCTCGAGTCCTCTCCATCGTTAACGAAGAGTCTATCAACCACATCAGAATGGCTCGTCGCACCGATGCAGACAGCGATCTCTGCCTCGTGCCTCCTGGCAGCGAGAATGCTGTACCCACTGTGCGTGGTATAATTGAAGAGTACTACGAAGAAAAGGAGCATGAGCAGTCTGGTGGCAATGACAAGAGAACTCCCGTGTACTTGTCCCCCAAGTTGGCTCATTCTAAGTTGAAGACCGTCCACAAGACGAACGCGGACCCTGTCGTCGACTCAAGCGTCGTTCGTGTTCCGCCCAAGGCTCAGCAGCTCCTTGGCTCTCCTCAGCACAACAACAGTGACTGGCGCCGCTTCGGAAGAGTCGATCCCTTCCCACTTCACTCGAAGAGCGCTTCTGTCAATTCACCCAGACGCACCGCATCGTCGAAAGTGGTTAGTCTACTCACACCCAGCAAGTCGAGAAAGACATCAACTTCAGCACTTCCTCACAGCCAGATTCACACCTCTTCGTCTTCGCAGCACACATCAATTTCGCGCGCGCAGAACGAATTCACATCCCCTCTCAAACACTCTACTACTCTTTACCCAACCACAACACGCAGCAACATGTCTGCACAATCCCCTCCTGACAAGCAGGCCGTCGCTGGCGCCTCTCCTAGCAAGAGCCCAGTCAAGCCTATTCCTTCGCCTGCCCACTCGGGCTCCTCGCTTCCCAGGTTGGTGGTCTCTCCCAAGAGGGAGGATTCCTCTCTCAAGCGCGCTTTCTCTACCCTCACACCCAAGCGTCTCCGTCAAAACAGACCTCCCACTCCCCCCAAAAAGGATACCCCTCCTCCTCAGGGCGAGCCATCTGCCGGACTCGAACCATCGGCTAACATCACCGACGTTGGTAGAGCATTTGACGCTTACTCCGGTAACGCCTTCGCCTCTGCACCCGAAGACGACAAGGTGTCCATCAAGAGCACCGGCACCATCACCATCGCCATTGGCGATGAATGCGGCCCCGTTCAAGAGGTCAAGGCCGGCGTCTTGAGATTTACCCACCAACCTCATTCCATGTTCAAGGGCCAGCAGGCTGTCTTCGACGCCGACCCCGAGATTGTCCGCCAGATTGACGAGGAATTCCAATCTCCTCCTCTCCCTGCCACTCTCTTCAGAACTCCTCGTTCTGACAAGGGCGCATTCGAGTCTGCTGACAAGTCCGTCGCTGACAAGACTCCTCGCTACATTGAAGGCGGTCTTCTTGAGGGCGGTCTTCTGCCCGCCACTACCTACCAGCCCCCGACCAGCCGCAAGGAGAAGACTCAGGCTATCTACTCTCCTTCTCTCTACAGCGTTCAGGATGGCCACGATGTCTTCCGCGTAAGTTCCTACTTCTTCTCTTTTGCTTCTCTCCCATCTCTTTCCATCACGAACTTTGCATGTCACTTTCCCCTATTCCGTCTTCGAGTGTCTCTACTTTGAAATACACCTTGCATTTAATCAGATCATATTTTTATCCAACCCCCGTTTCACGGAGTTTCTCTTGCTAACATTCGCGTCAGGTCGATCACAGCGTCGCACAGGAGTTCGCCGCCACCTCGCCCGTCCCTAACAACTCGGTAAACAACTCTCCCGAGGCTGTGAAGCAGGTCAAGGGTGACCGCAACGCTACTGTTACGAGCCGCGAGCAGCTGAGCGGTGGTCGCTTGGTCGGCGCCCGTGTTTCTTCTCGTGTTGCACCCGTGCAGTACATTAGTACTATCGCGGGCAACGACTACGTTTACAAGCCCGAGGACCATGTCTTCAAGCGTGCTCGTGTTCCCATTGCGGGTACCCCTGTCCAGAGAGTCGATGCTCCTTTCGAGTATCCAAGTGCCGTGCCCCCTCCCCTCCGTCGCACCAGTCGCGACCGTGACGTCTCCAGCGGCAGCTCCTCTGCTCCTTCGCTTCGCGAAAGATTCATGAACAAATCTGGGTTGGGCATCAACGTCAGTGAGAACTCGGATTACTTCGCCGACAACGAGACTACTCTTGGTGTTGATGGTGACGGCAATGAAGAGAGACGCCGTGAGACTATCTCTATGAGAACTCCTGCTGCTCCCAGCTTCACTCCCTCTTTCAAGTCTCCTGCAGTGCCTCGAATGTGGCCTATCACGAGAACTGTCAACCCTCACCGTCTCGCTCTTGGTCACGACGACAAGTACTGGCTCAACAGAGCCTTCGCTCACCTCGCCGAGGATGTCAAGGAGCTCAACGACCAGACCCTGGAAAGCATCGACAAGCTGACAAAGAAGACCAACGCTCTCACCCAAACCGACTCGCAGCACACCAAGACCATTGCCGATATCTACAAGGCCATTGCTGCTCTCCAGGAAGTGGTCAAGAAGTCTCACAACGATGCTCGTGACAGCTTCCGGGACTTTCGCAGCGTTCGTGATGGCGTCGACAACATCCGTCGCTCGATCATCCATATGAGCGAGTTCCTTGTGGATGACGAGAAGGTCGAACTCGTCTGCGATAAGATCATTAGCACCGTCCACCCTACCATTGTCAGAGGCCACGAGTATGCTGCTGCCAACACCGAGCGTATCCTTACCCGTGTCGACAAGTGCCACGACCAGAAGGCCAGAGAGCTTGAGTCCCTCAAGCAGAAGAACCGCAAGACCAACGAGCGTCTTGCTTCTCTTGAGGCTCGCCTTCTCGGTCCCCGTCCTGGCCAGGTGCAGAGCGGCGTTCACCCTTCTCCCAGCTCGTCGAACGGCTACCTTGATGTCATCAGCGACTACGCTGACAACATCAACAACTCTGGCCGCTAAATGTTCAGCATTGTGCCGGACGCTCTTGCCTCCATCCTATGAATGACGCGAACGACTGTCTCGGTGGTTTGCCCATTCGGAGGCTGGAAAGACAGTTAATTCAACGGTCTATTGCGGCGTTTTGGCAACGAAGCGGGGAAGAGGTTGGTTGATTTTATGGGTTTCATGGCAATTCACGCAAAACACGACTTTTTCAACGACCAACGCAACACGAAATGAACGATTACGAATACAAGATCACAGCAACTACAGCAACTGGATGGAAGCACCGAAACCAGAAACCTTGGCTTTTTGTCTAATGAGAATTGGCGACAGAAAAATATTGATTGATAAAAAAAAGGAGAGATGGATGGGACAAAGCAAGGCAGAGAGATTTCAGAAGGTACAAAAGGATCGAAGGATTCTCTTCAAACTAGTGTTTATCATCCAATAAGAGAGAATTGAAAGTTGGCTGTCGATCATTAAAATGACATGACTCTACTCTTTTTGACACGTTTCGTGACAGATGTTTAACAGCGCATCCCCCAGGTCAAGCGTGTTACATGTGTTGTTCATGGTCGTAAAAGGAATACAAGAATAGAAGTGGCGGCGGCATACGAAGATGAGGTGGATGGAGGCCTGGAACTCGAAACCTTGACAGAATTGGAATTTGTGAAAGCTTGAGTTGGGGGAACGATCTCGCGAAGTTGCACGTTGTTGGAGCGTGGCACGCGCGACAAACCGGTGGAAGGCGCGAAGGCAGAGAGTGGCAGGCACGGACGTTTTGGCAGTGGGGAATGAGAAGGAGATTGAACATGACGGTCTTTCCCAAGGGAAGGTGCGAACAAAGAAAACGGGTCTAGAGACTGTCGAATTGCCTGCCTCTGACGTGCAAGACTTTCTGCTTCTCTGAACATATAATCTTCCTTGTAGAAACAAAACAGGAAGGAGTCGTATGTGAGGGACATTGAGGAAGCATCGGCTACCAACATGTCGGAACAGCCATGTACCCCGTCGCATGCTACTGGCACGCCCAAGGCCGGCCGTAGCAGCGACTTTACGAGCATGCAGGCCGACGACATTGACGGTAGAGTGGCTACCAGCCATACCGCGACCCAGCTGCCGTCAATCCACACTCACCACCTTCGCGACCTGTCGTCTGATCTCTCTTCTTCTACCTTCCAGTCATCCTCTTCTAACCCAAACGCCCTACCCTTCCGTCACAACCACGCCGCCAGCGCCGGTCTCCAGATTCGAACTGACCTCCAGCCTATTGCCAATCGCAAGAACACTCAGGCCGATACCTCTGACTCCTTCCGTTCGTCTTATTCGGCCGCCTCTCCGTTGCTGACACCAGCGATACGCCATAACCTTTCCACCTCCAGCTTGAGTCCTAACTCGGCTCTGGCTTCGCCCGCTCTGGCTGCAATGCTTGACATTACTCCGCTACCCTCACCCATTATGCTCAACGATCCCAATTCGCCTGGCCCGTGGAAGAGGATACGAAGCGCTCACTTTGACCACACCACTATACCCAGACCCCCTTCGAGGCTCGGCTCCTCCCCGCCGACGACGAGTGCTCTGTCCTCAATGATGCCTCCACCCGACTCACCGCATAAGAAAAAGAAGGGTTACGGAAGTTTGATGCACGCTGCTGTGGAAGGTCAGACGGCACAAAACATAGACTCGGTCATTCGCAAGCAACATAACCGCAACCGAAGCATTAGCGACTTCGTGCCGGAAGCTATGCACAATGTGAGACCGAGGAACGTCACGGTTGGAACGGCAGGTCTGCAAATCACAACGACGCCGCCGAACGAGCAGCCCATGCAGAGAGAGCACTATCTTGCACAGCAGCGTGGATATGTCCAACCTTCGGCGTCTTCAGACGACGAGCGTCGGACCCAGGATCACCCTCACACACATACGACGGGAATGATGAGAGCGTCTGTGGACTCGGCAAAGGTCCTGCCGTCACCCCCTCCTTCAAGTAAAGGCATGCTGGATGGAGAGAACGGCGACGAGGATATGCAGAGTGTGGGTGGAGCCGAGGACCCGAGTGTCGAGTACTTCACCGTTCGATCAGCACATCAAGACGGCAAGAGAAGATGGCGTGCGGTACGCTCTCTCGGCCAGGGCACATTCAGCAAGGTCATCCTAGCCACGTCACAACACCTGCCACCGAACACACCATACGACGAACAGCATCTGAACCCGAGGAAACTGGTCGCTGTCAAGATAGTCGAGCATGGTCCAGCCGGAGGTGCTGACGAGGAACGGATCGAAGTGTCATTGAAGCGAGAAGTCGACATTCTGAAGAGCGTGTCACATCCTTCAATAGTGCAGCTCAAGGCTCTCGAGTATACAAACGAGCGAGCCTTGTTGGTCTTGAGCTACTGCCCCGGAGGTGACTTGTTTGAGCTGGCCAGTGAGCATCGCAACATTCTCCGCCCTGACATGGTTCAGCGTATGTTTGCCGAGCTGGTGAGCGCTGTGCGTTACTTGCACAAGAACTATATTGTCCACCGCGACATCAAACTCGAGAGTAAGGAGATCCATCTACTCCTCTCCTTCTTTATATACTGACAAACTCATCCAGACGTCTTGGTCGTACCCGCCTACAACGCCCTCTCACAACTCGAGAACCCTCAAAGTCATCCCTACCCGCTCATCTGCCTCACTGATCTCGGTCTCTCTCGCCGCATTCCAGCTCCGCCAGCCTCACCACTTCTCACAACCCGCTGCGGCAGCGAAGACTACGCCGCCCCAGAGATCCTCCTCGGTCAACCGTACGACGGTCGCAGCACCGACGGCTGGGCTCTAGGTGTCCTCCTGTACGCCCTCATGGAAGCACGTCTTCCCTTCGACTGCCCACCCGGCAAACCAGAACGATCGCGTCCTTCCCACCGTATAGCACGCGCAGACTGGATGTGGTGTAAATTTGGAGACGAAGATGGAGAATGGGATGATAAGAGAAATGATACAAAGGAGTTCAAGGGATGGGAAGGTGCCAGAGGTGTGGTGGAAGGATTGCTCAAGAAGGTTAGGATGGGAAGGAAGGGGTTGGCGGATATTGAAGACATGGAGTGGGTCAAGGCTGGCATACAGGTGGATGGTGGCTTGATGGCCTTTGACGACACGGAACCGTTATGATCGTCGTGAGTTCGACACCACTACACGACGACCAACCTGACGACCACACTACAAGGACGAGTCTCTCGACCACTATCCTCTTGAGAACGACATTCTTGGACGATCACACATACAACCTTTTTCACGAAAAACACACATCGACACGACAATATATATACGAGTCCAACCACACGCAGCAAGCTTTGGACAATGAGTACACATAACAAACCTGGGGGGGGGAGCAAAGGCACATTACTAGGACAAAGACTATTGGTTGGAATTGGAAATACCCAAATAACACGTTACTAGGACTACGATATAATTTGTTGGGGGCAAGAGCGTCATGGTTCTTCTTTTTCTTTTTTGGGATCGGTTGTAGCGAGTAGCAGATATGTAGCGAATATTTGTAGTCTAGTTTTTCTTAGTTTTAATCAAGGCTCTTTTGGAGCAAAGTCATGAACATGGGCCTTTTGTCCGGACAATCTATGACGATCATCTTGGTCGTCATCAGGAAGGTATTGACTGAGATGGAGGATTGCGAGCAGCTTCACGCAGCGCGCGGATCCCGGTCGGATTGCTTTCTTCCCCTTCCACCATTATTCAGCAGACACCATCGCACAAACGACCTTCCATAAACAGCTGCATGGACCAACATGATAACATGAGTGAGTATCATTGGCAGGGAAATTGAGCTCATGTTCTCAATCGGTCTACCATGCATCCTCTTACAGCCATTTACCGACCTGTCGGAGACACTCTGCTTCGCGCGTAAAAGACAGAAGGATCCGTGTGGCGGCAGACATTTACTTCAACCCCCTCTCGAATCTCATAGCTTCCGGAAAGGACGAGCTCAACTTCGTCACAGATTATTACGGTTATCCGCAAAGTCATCATGTCTCGCAGTGACTCGCCTGTTGGTGAGACTGAACCTCTACTCTACTCGAAGCCGCCGTGCAAATCGCAGGCGCGCAAGGTCATACTGCTCATTGCACTCATCGCAGCTATCTCAAGCATTTCGGGTAGCTTCATCGGATTGCCTTTTACAAGACTTGTTGAGAGTGCTATTTGTCAAGGATACTATGAATCGGGTCCAGATCATGGAGGGGAGCTTCTGCCTGCTCGCGATGTGGATGAGGCTGATTGCAAGATTGACGTGATTCAAGCCAGACTTGCTTATGTTCTTGCGATACAAGAGATACTGGAAGCGGTGTCGGGCTTTGCATTTGCTTTGCCGTATGGACTGCTGGCTGACAGGTACGCCTCTTCAAGTCCGCAGTCACATATTGTCTGCACAGATCAGTCTGACAGAGTGCCATAGGATCGGCCGTACCAAGGTCCTCACTCTGTCCTTGTTCGGCATCTTTCTGTCTGGCTGTTGGGCAGGTCTCGTAGTCTGGCAGCGCCACGTCTTCCCCATCTGGACAATATGGTTCATCTCCGCATTCCAGATGGTGGGTGGGGGTCAGGGCATACCAATGACCATGATCTATACGATGATTGCAGATGTCCAGACTGAAGCTGAACGGTAGGAAGCTCAAACTCGAATGATCTAGTTTCTTTTGAGGTGCTGATGATTCGAAATAGCACCAACACGTTATTCTACATTATGGTGTGTGCAATGGTAACGGAACTCGTTGCTTCTAGTCTGACAGCAACCTTGATGAGCATCTCACCATGGTTGCCTTTCTGCATTGGTGTGTCTGTCATTGGAATCGTCACACTTATCGCCATGGCAATACCCGAGACTCGTCCCAGTACCCCCTCATCCGAGACTACCTCTGAACACGTTCCAATTGCTCAACACTTACGCCACATTGTCAAGATGTTCACGTCCCGCTCCTTGTGTCTCATCTTTCTCTCCTTCATCGGCGAGCATATAGTCCTGAAGAATAGCTTCTTCGCCGCTCGCTACATCAGTAAACGATTCTCCTGGCCACTATCTCGATACGGCTACTTCATGTCTGCGAGGACTCTACTGGCAATCCTTCTCTACGTCCTCATCCTACCGCAAACATCACATTACCTGCTAAGTCGTCTAGACTGCACGCCCTTGAGAAAAGACCTCACCATGGCGAGAAGCACAGCCATCATTCTCGCAATAGGCTTACTCCTCGCAGCAGGGCCCTCGCTGCCTCTTGTACTGACTGGATTCTTGTTGACGACGATTGGAGCTTCCTCTACAGTGATATGTCGTAGTATGGCAGTTCAGTTTGTGGACCCGGCACATATAGCCTCCATGTACACGTTGCTCAATCTCCTCAACTTTGCGGGTGCGATGGTGGCAAGTCCATTGTTGGCGGGAACGTTTGTTCTGGGTATGAAGTGGAGTGGTGTCTGGCAGGGTCTTCCGTACATGTGCTTGGGAGCCTTGGGTGTTGTCTCGGCGATTGCGTTAGGCTTTGTTGATGGTGGCGATGGTAAGATAGAGCATGATGAGGATGAAGACGAGGCGCAAGACAATGAGGGATGATCAGACAAGTGTGGTTCTGACTGACCGGACAGAACTAGCGCTTTGTAATCATGATGGTGACCTAGAATGACGGATGCAAGATTGAACGCATGACTCATCAGTGACAAGCTTGCAGTCACAGCATATAGAGAGCAATGAAATTGAAGTATATACGGACGGAGTGGAATTCTTGGTTTCGTTCACTCATTTACATGTATTGCTCACTTCCTTGTGAGCCCTTGTTGATAATCTGACCATCATTGTATCTATCGTTACAATCCTGTGATCTACTAATCACCATCATCGCTCCACTCTGGTTGTCTAGCGACTGCCAGCACCAGCACCCTTCTCGGGCTTCTTGGCAGCCTGAACACCCTGCTCATCGGCAAGAGTTCTGTACTTGCCAGTGACAGCCTTCTGGCGTTCACCCACAGCCAGAAGCTGCTGGTAAACAAGCTCGGCCTGCTTCTGAGTAGACAGACCGTCCATTTTGGGAGCAGGAACAGGGGGCAGAGGAGGCAGACCATTCTGCTGAGCACCATGAACGGGACTCAGAGGCTCGATGAACTCGACAGGGCTGGGGAGAGGTTGGTACATGGGCTTGAGGAGAGGTCCTTCGTACTCGTTGAAGTTGGAGTTGGCGACGGTCTGCTGAGCAGATGGGCCTCCCTGGCGCTGCTTGCCCTTTCCGTGGTAGCCCGGCTGAAACTTGTTGTTAGTAACTGATAATCGATTTCGACGTTTGCGCGCAGAGAAGTGACTTTCGTTGGATTCTGGGAGATTGGAAGGAGGAGCGGCGAGCTGGATGGGGAGCTTCTTCCAAGGAGACTTCCAGACGGTTCTCTGGTGAACAGGAGCAGCAGCTGGGATCGAGGCGGCAGGCTTTTCGGGGAGACTGGGCTTGACAATGGTGGGCTGCTTGACGGTGCTGATCGACTCGACAGGGTAGATAGGATCGCCGAAACCATTGTACTTAGGAGAAGAGACAGGGTTGGTGGGTTTGGGAGATGGGGCATGCTCTGGAATCCGCTGAGTGCTTCCGTTGCGCGGCATCTCGAAGGTGAAGTCCGACATGGTGAGAGAAGGGTCGATGAACTCAGGGGCGTGTCTGGTGGTCTTCAACTCTTCGTTGCGTACAGGACGACCCGAATCATCAGGGCGTCTGATACGAGGGGCGTCGTCGGATTCGGAGGCTTGTTGCGACATCTCGGGATTGTTTTTGTTGTGCGCGGACTGCTGCGTAGTGATTGGGTGTCCGAGTTGAGCTGTGATGGTAGCAGCGCGCGAAGTATGGCTGACAGGCTTGAGGATGATCTGATCTCTGACAGCGTCGTAGAAGCGTGCGGGCTCAGGTACAATCTCAGGCTGGCTACTGCGGGTTGTGTTTGAATCCGCGTAATAGCTGACCAAACTAACACCTTCAGTAGGAGCCAGCTGGCTGGCGGCTGGCGAGAGGATCGGTAAGGGCACGGCAAGCTCGAGGGCGCGAGCCATCATCACCTCAACTTCCGACAGCGGCTCAATACCTCTCTGTCCTCTGAGACGCGCTTCGACATCCGCAAGACGCGCAGCTCTGCGCCTCAAGTCGAACGTTCCCCAATCAAGGTCCGAGAAAGGTAGGTCATGCTTGTAACACAGTTGCTCCATCAGCTCATTATCATCGATGATCTTTGCGACCTCGTCCGAGAGCTGATCGAGGTTTCCAAAGTCGCAATCCACAGGCATGAAAATCTTGAAATGGGGAACCAAGTTCAGAGAATGTGTGTTGATCAAAGAGGCATAGACCCAGATCCACATGGCCTCGAGGCTGATACCTCCTGAGAGGTACTCATCAATTGCCTTAGTGAGCCAGCGGTATGCTTCCAGATGAGTGCGATAATGATCCTGCCATGCGTCAGCGATTGCTGAGTAACAACGCAGAGCCCACTAACCTCAAGGACCCTCATGAACAGCGTGCGTCTCGATGAGACGTGGGGTGGGGGCATTGCAGTATGCTCCATGTTGGCTCGTCGACGATACTCTGACGCACTACGGTATTGCGCTGAGGAGAGGTTGAGAGATACTGTGAGATGAAGAGCTCACCAGTAGAACAACAGCTTCGCGGCCCCTGCTCGTTTTGCTCGGCATCAGTATCTACCCCGTCGACATCCAGATTGGTAATCGGTCAATCAAGCAGACGCGTTAGCTTTGGACGGAATCGAGCCAGAAGAAGAGTCATCGTTAACATGCAGAACGAGAGCTGTCCTTGTGCTTAGAGAGCTCTGTACGTGCAGGCTCGTCGGCTCCATTGATCGGGGTGACATGATGAAGTGTGCTGGCTCACCAGAGAGACTTGACACATCGATTCAGTGCACACATTGTTCAAGCCAGCTTCAGGCTAGGTTCATACGTGTGTGCATCTATTGTAATGCTGACACACTCAGATCTGTTGTACTGCAAACGATCTCAAATGCTTCCGAGTTACAGCAGTCTTTATTCAACCAGGAGTCCATTTCTGATGACTGTCCGGCCACTGGCTCCATCGTAAAGATATATAGCCTCCGGGACACTACGCCTAATTCTCCAGTCCAAATCATGCTTGCCAAAGAGAAGTATATCCGTCGTTTTCTCAGGACTTAACTTGAGTGGAGTCTGGGAATGGAGAGGGCCATCGTTGGACAGCCCGATAGCGGTCCTGGCTCTGGTAGAGATGCACTCATACAAGATCTCCGCATCTCTTTTTGTGCCCGCTTGGTAAACGCCAATACCCAAACTGGCTATCGACAGCGGATCACAGTTTCCTTGTGGCGTGAATGCGTTACCAATGTTGTTGATAGAAATTGCAGCATTGAGACCATATTCTTTGATCAGCAGGGGTACAGGCAGAGTTCCTCGGGCTCCGGTCTCTGTTCGCATCATGAATAGATCAGAGGTTGGCAATCCTACAAAACTGATCGGCAGATCTGCAATCTCTGTCCTGAGTCTCTTCCAGTCATTCTCCTTGAACAATGAGAGTCGTGTACAGTGGCCCAGAACGATGGATTTCTTAGAACAATTGGTCCAGTTCTTGGCTTTGAGGGTATCTATCACGAACCAAACCAACGGCTCGGTATCTGGATCGAGATTGTAGTCAAGGTGGAAGTCCAGATGCAAGTCCTTTTCAATAGCAAGATCAATGGTCCATTCAACGTTCTTTTTCATCTTCTCGCGATTGTCTTCAACATACGGTGTACTTCCAATCACATCAGCAGAGTAAGAGGGGTCAAGCGCCTTCTTTAATAGACTTCTGATCTCGTCCCCTCCGTCTTCACCTGAGAACAAAGGAAGTTGAGCAAACACACACAGCTGGATCAGGCATCGTCGATCGACCTTGTCTTTGAGGGATTTTCCAGCCTGTATACATTTGAGATTGACAATGGGATCAACCTCGACAAAGGCTCTCATAGCAGTGACTCCAGCTTGAACACTCTCGTCGATGACTCGTAAACCACGTTCCAGCAGATCATCATGCTCAAAGCTCGATTTTGCTTTAGAAGTCAATTTCATGGCTTCATCGAAAGAGCCCTCCTCAATCTGCAAATGAGCGTATTTGGGATAAGACAGGAGGTAAGCCTTGTCAATATGGATGTGAGGATGACAAAGAGCAGGAGCCAGGAGTGCACCGTGTCCATCGATGTGCGGTGACGAGGTGTCCTCCTTCAAAGCTCTTAGGAGATCCCGATTGTGAGAGTTGATCTTCTCAATTGCACCGGAAAAGGACAAGTTGAGATCCCATCGTGACCCAAGCTCGGTACATGGTAAGGACACATTGAGTATATCGTGAACACGACCAAAGGGCTGCAGGCTGGCGGATGCCGATTCTGTTGCAGACTGGGCGACCTTGAGCTCAGAGTCGACATCGATGCCTGTGTATGCCAGGGATTGATCAGACATATCGTTGATCTCGTAGTCAAGAAGGAAGATGGAAAGAAGCCTGCATCGTGGACGTCACTGGAGCGGCTACCTTCCCCAGCAATGGAAGAAGCTCGGCAAGATGGCGTCGGCGCTTGAGTAAGCCGACGCTCTCTGGAGCATCCGAGTCGCGTCGTGTTTGAGCAAGCATCAATTGCGCGTGCCATTACCTGTCGCATTGACTTTCACACAAGATGCAGCCATCGTCACGAGGATACACGGCTCCAGGTCAGATGCGCCGTCCAACTGGACCTGGTATGTTGGCAAGATGACGTGTCGCATGGAAACATTAAATTGACCATGGACAGGACCAATGTACGCAGCAGGCCATCAGACGAATGCGCCAGCAGTCTCACAGGCCGCCCTGGCACAGTCACAACAGGAGGAACTGCGCCGTCGCGAAGCTGCACGAAGACAGGCCCGCAAGCCGACCGACCTTGACATTGACGATGATCTCGCCGAAGCCACCATCACCGATGCCGCCATTTTATACCGCAAGCTACGCGACCAAGAAAAGCGACTGGATGCCATCATGACAAAGAAGCGCCTGGATATCCTGGAGGGCACGTCCGGTCAGATGCCCTCCGAGGGAGTGCTGCGCTTGTTTATCAGCAACACGGCCGAAGGACAGCCCTGGCAATTGGCCAACGACGGCAATGCTGGCTTCAACGAGGATGGCACCTTCGACTTTGCTGACAACAGTCAAGCTCGTTACCGTGTCAAGATTGAAGGCAAGCTGCTTGAAGGCTCAGACGACGCCGACGAGGACTCGGAGCTCAAGGCCAGCCTCCCGCCCATGGCCCCTATCAAGATGTCGCACTTCTTCAAGCGCGTCACTGTCGACTTCAACCGACCTGCTGCCCTACAGTCAGACGGCTTTAACAAAATCGAATGGTCCAAGAAGGAGGGTGAAGCTGATGTCGATTGCATTGCTTTTGGTCGCAAGAGCGACGAAGATCTGCAAGTTACAATTAACCTCTATCTTGACGAGCAGCCAGAACGTTTCAAGTTGAGCTCGCGTCTCGCTTGGATCCTCGACATGGACACGGCTACACGCGCTGACGTTGTCCAAGGCATCTGGGACTACGCCCGCTTGTTCAAACTGACAGACTCCGAGGACGAACGTCGCATCACTTGTGACGAAACTCTCAGACAACTCTTCCGTCACGAGACCGTCTTCTTCCCCAACCTTCCTGACCTCATCCTCGAACATCTTTCACCTCTGGATCCTATCAAACTCCCTTACACCATCCGTGTCGACAAGGACTACATTGCCCCCGAAGACGGAAGCACACCCCCCTCAAAATACATGATCTGGGACGTGCGAGTCAAGGTTCCCAGCACCACAAAGCGTCTGATGCAGGCCATCATCTCATCACCGAGACACATGGCCAATCTCAAGAGGATCGCCCAGGTTAACGACGATACGGCCCTTCTGCTCGAAAAGGCACGCCATCTCAACTCGAAGCGCAAGTTCTTACTCTCGCTTTCTCACGATCCTGCCACGTTCGTCAAGCGCTGGACCTCGAGTCAACAACGTGACCTCGAGATTATCCTTGCCGAGGCTGGTAGAGGTGGCGGTGACGATGGCTATGCGGGTGAAGAGTTCCGCAGAGGTGGTAAGGACGGCGCATGGGGAACAGATCTGGCTCGCGAAGCTGTGGGTTTGTGGCTGGCAAGACAAAAGGGCCATTGAAATGTTTCTTGTGAGCTTGGGCTGATTAGCGACGGCGTTGGGAATCTGGAGTCATGGATGAGGGGCCTAGGTGGCCAAGTGAATTTGCATTATGGGAGGTGATTTATAAAGGCATTCGGAAGATTCGGAGCTGATCTCCACACAAAGCTTCCCCGTGGAGCAAACACGAGTTATCGAAGGGGCTGTGTTCGTCTTGAAGGACAGGTTCAACATAGACCCGGTTGCGAGTCGTACGTAGACTGCCAATGGTATCGCGATTAGAACCAGATTAACCCCTGTGGAACCAAGATAATTCATGATACATTGTTCAAGGGTGTGGTTAAGAAAGCACGTCCGCCAAAATTGAGCCTCGGTGACAAAGTCGATCGACAAGAATGCAGGGTCCAAGTGTGACGTTTGTTCTGTTCCTGCATTCAAGCAAAGCGCCTTCTAACGATGACAAGCGTCTCATTCCTATTCGACTGATCGAGTCGCTCTTTCCGTCGGAGCCAAACAAAGGCCATGTTTACCTTGGAGGCCGCGGTGTGGGCTTTGTTACTTTGTAGCTGAAATCTTCGACCTCGCGCTTTTCCTTTTCCGAACACCCATCAGTATATCGTCCCTAAACTCAGTCATACCTCTATCCCATTATCACTTTCATACCTCAAAGTTATTCCATAACACCAACAAGTCGGACAGCGCCATGCCTCCCATCATCCACTGCGTGCGCCATGCGGAAGGCTTCCACAATCTAAATGTCGCGGCTCATGCCCTGCATGATCCTCTGCTCACAGCAAAAGGCGAGGAACAATGCAAGACGCTCCAGTCGACCTTTCCCTCAATGGATCACGTCGACGCTGTCATAGCTTCTCCCATGAAACGCACCATCTGGACTGCCCTTCTCTCATTCGCTCCGGCTATCAAGAGCAAACAACTCAAGGTATACGCCCTACCAGAGCTTCAAGAGACCTCAGACCTGCCTTGTGACACAGGAAGTAAAATTTCGGATCTCGAGGCCGAGTTCAAAGGTCAACCAATCGATTGGAGCTACATGCATACGCCTCCTGCCAAAGCCTGGAACGTCAAATCGGGAAAGTGGTCTGCGACTGCTTCGGCTGTCGATGATCGCGCAAGAATAGCCAGAGAATGGTTGTACAGTCGCCCAGAGAAGGAGATTGTTGTTGTTACTCATGGTGGCTTCCTGCACTACCTTACCGAAGACTGGATGGATAAGCACAGCACGGCCGGTAATACTTCCCCCCATCATCACCATCAGCGCCGACGGTCTGATGCCCCTACTCCCTCATTCGTGGTCAGGCTAGGACTCGTTCGTTCTCAGTCTGAGATGGGACCTGATGCCTCCCCATCCCATCATCACCATCGCCACCGACATCATCATCGCAATCATGATAAGCAAGCTTCCTCTCCATCACCGCATCGTGAACACAGAGTCCATCATCATCCACATTCTCACAGAGTCCCAGGTAAAGGTTGGCGTAACACCGAGTGTCGCTCGTACACCTTCGGCAAGAACCCCAAGAGTGGTAGACCCATTCTCCTTGAGACATCACAAAGCCTGGCAAAACGTGTGGGAAACGACACGCCGCTCAGCAGAGAAGAGCAAACCAACTTGCACCGCGTCAACACAAAGCAAAAGGCCGCAGAGGAGAAGGCCTACCAGAAGGCCACCGGCATTCAAGCAAAGGTATAAATCTATGCGGCTGCATGAATCCCTTTCGCAGGAGCAAGAAAAGCATGGAAGGCAATGTCTTGCATTATGGCGTGAAGCCGTGATGGATTGCGTTGCTTGAAAGCGCTTTGTTGAGGCTCTACCCTGAACTCAAATAAGACCAGGACAATCAAGTGGGACTGGTTCGTGAGTATCAGACTTTCTCTTGTGCATCATATCCACGAGCGCCCTGTTCCTCATTACCTTTTCCGTTATCTCCTCTATGAGGCATACTTTTGCTGACTCTTGCGTAGTTGCAGCAGAAGCGTCAAAGTCGGGATTTGGGTGGTTACAACTATGGTTTTTGATGACTCTAGCGAGGAGATGGCTGTGCATGCATGGAGTGTTTTGAGCAGTAAGTTTGCATCAGTAGGACCTTGAGCTGGCTTCAAGCATACAGAACGTTATAGAACGGGAACCTGCGCATCGTATTCTAAGCCAAAGAAGGCTCTGCCCGAACCTATTCATGAATTTTGCGACGTTGGTCGCCGTCGGTCTTCTGGCTGCTTGACTATCGAAGGTTAGACAGCACTCAACCCACCATCAAGGTTCAAGACGGTGTTGTTCGCATACTGATTCCCAGACAGGAAGACAGCGGCATCAGCAACTTCATCCACTGTACCAAATCTCGCTGCTGGAATCTTTGCAACAGCTGCCTCCCTCGCTGCGTCAGACATTGCCCGTGTCATGTCAGTCTCGACATAACCAGGGCAAATCGCATTCACTCTGATACCTCTAGGTCCCAATTCAGCCGCCAGAGATCTAGTAAGACCAAGAACACCAGCCTTTGAAGCAGCATAAGCCACACTCCCCGCACCACCATGAGTAGCCAGCAAACTCGAGATGTTCAAAATATGCCCACGTCTCGCCTCTGCCGTCGGCGTACCAGGAGAACTCTTCAACATCTTCTTTACCGCAAACCTGCACGCCTGTATCGAAGCCGAAAGATTCGTACTCAACACCTCATCAACCCTCGTCTGTGACGTTCTAACAAATAGACTCGAATGCGTGACCCCCGCCGCATTAACCAAAGTGTCCAATCTCCCGTTTTCATGATTCCAACATGCGTGTTTGTCCAACGTGCTCCAGAACTCTGCGTCATTGATGTCGGCTGGGATGATGTGGTGGGTGCGTCCGATGGCGCCGCGGGCGGAAGTGCAGAGGTTAAAGGTAACTTGCAGAGAGGCTTTATCGCGACCGAGCAGGATACAGCGGGCGCCTTCGCGGGCGAATGCTATGGCGATTGCTCGGCCTATGCCGCGGGAGGCGCCAGTTATTAGGCAGGTTGAGCGGCGGAGGGCGTGTTTTGAGGAGGCGTAGAGTTTTAGAGTGCGGATTTGGTGGAAATTCGATGATTGGACTGGGTGGAAACACGATGGTGGCCCTCTGATTGTCGTATTGACAAGATTGGATGTTTTCGATATAGATGGCATTGGAGAGAAGATGCGAAGGGACATTTTGACAAGGAAGAAGTTGAGGTTCTTTGGGTTGAGAAGATCAAGACTTGGAAGGAAAGGCTATCAAAATACTTAGCTGGGTTTGGAATCTAAATTGTACAGTCAACTCCTCACTTTCTGCTCACGTATGTGTTGGTAGACAAAGATGGTGGATTGGCGAAGGCGGAAGTCGATGGCCGAAGAAGCTTTGGTCAACACAGGGCTTGGCATGGCTAGTGATTTTGCCCACAGCTTTCGACACGCTTTGTTCTTCCTCCATCCAACGCGCATCCTCGCACCAAAATCATCGACAATGGCAGACACAGAGCAGACTGAAGCGCCCGACTATGTCACGCTGGTCAGCAATGACGGCTTCGAGTTCATGGTGCAGAGAACTTCGGCCTGTCTATCTGGCGCCATCAAGAGGATGCTTGACCCGATCAGTGCGTTTCCGCTGCTTCACCTGTTGCATCCTTCCTTCGGCTAACATTGGTTTTAGATGGCTTTGCGGAGTCAAAGACACATAGATGCGTGTTTGAAAACATCAACGGCATGGTGCTTGAGAAGGTGTGCGAGTACTTCTACTACAATGAGAAGAACCGCGACAACACTGGTGTCCCTGACCTGGACATTCCGCCTGAGCTCTGTCTTGAGTTGCTCATGGCGGCTGACTACCTGAATGGTGTGTTGAGCTCCCTTCAAGATTGTCTATTGGCGCCATCTTTGCTAATCTTCTCTTCCAGTCTGATGATCAAATTACGCACCTCAACGACTCTCCTCTGTCTACCTCCAATCATATCAGCAAGGCGTTTGTGGCGTTCACTGCTCATACAGAGCCATCTTCCTTCAGCATTGCTTCTACGAATATCATTGCTTCACTCTATACCCAGCGGCGTACAAAAGACATCACCAACGTGATACGACGATAACAAAACACATTCCCTTTGGAACACGAGCATATACGCCGCCATCTTCACTCCTCCACGATGCGGCGTCTATAGTTGGTCCTACATCCAGCTTCCGCTTTATTCTGTCCCTCACCTCACATCCACAAGGATCGTTGGACTTGATTTCACAGTCGGAGACATCTTCCTGTCCTAATTCACCCTTGCAATGCAAAAACCACATTTACCTCTTTGGTCCCTTCTCCCTTGTTCTCCCTTTCTCTGCTTCACAAGTGATCATGTCACAGGAACTTCTATTGTCACGCTTGTCTCCCTCTTCTCCTTGGGAGTTTTCAGGCCCTCATCACTGTTCCAAGATTGATTGGACGCGTTTAAATTGACTCGCAATGTCTTTGTATCCGTGATGTCAGCGAGTCTCATTGCGTGCCTATATACCCTCCTCATTACTCTTGACCTTTTTAGTTGCATGAGTACACTGTCGAGTTATCTTGAGTCACTATCTCCAGCTTACCCTATTATCAATTCTTTCTGACTGTGCAGCTTATTTACAACTCTTCTGACCTTTGTCATCCGTGCTGTCTTGCTATCCGGGGTGGTCGTAACGTAGTCTACGGCCGAATCCTTCAAGGAGTTTCCCTTCCCGTGCCGTATATGCAGCTTGCAGCCGACGGCGCGACGTACTAAAATAATCACGATCGGCTCCTTAGCACTACTACCATCCTCCCCCCAGCTGTACATTTTCCTTTTTTTTGAACCTGCTTGGAGGGTAATGCAATGTCATCTGAGCTTTTTCTTCCAAAGGCCCACTAGATGGGCGGCTTTCATCTATCTTACTTTTTCGACATTGCACGATCTCCCTTGAGCTATGCTAGATGTTGCCGTCATTGAAAGATAGGAGGCTGCATGTTCCTTCTACTCTGTTCGAGATTGACAAGATGTAAGGCTTCCCAAAGTACTGAGATGAGCATTGATGTACATTGCTATATTCAGCAGTGCTTTATCTTGCTTTTGGGTGTAGGGCTGTACTGTACTGCTATTTCCCCAAGTGTGAAGGGTATGTAGCTAAAGGTCTAGTCACAACTGTCTTGCACAAGTGTTTTCCTCTTCACTCTTGTGATCCACCGTCGCTTTATTTGCCTTTTTTTCCCTTCCGCACTGGGGCATTTCGGTATGCATGATGAAGGGTTGAGTGTGTGCACCTCCCACCTCCTCTGATGATCTCCACGAGGAACAGGAAACGCAAAGTCGCGTGGTCGCTTGTGCTGAACGTGAAGGTCATTGCTTTCTCATTTTCAGCCTTCCAAGGCTGCAGGTGGGGATTTGTCAAGATAGATTGATGGAATATTAAAATCTGTTGGGTCCTCGGTATACCCGAAGACCTGGTTTCAAAGGTATCTATCTCGGTGCAGGCGAGATTTGGGGCAAATGTTTGGAAGCTGTGGAAATGGGTTGCCGGGAGGAGATAGATTGCACCTATTGTCGTCATTGTGAGATGGAGCACGCTGCCCGGGACACTGGAATGTAGAACGATTTGAGAGTAGATTTTGGTCATGTATTCTTGTTGGTCTCGTGATGAGAATCCTATTTCTTTCGCTGGACTGAAGAGTGGGAAAAGTCTGGTATATGTATAACGAATTGGCATAGACAAAAAAAGACAAGAGTAATAAGAAAAGAGTAACGATAGTGAGAGCAGAGGAAAAAGAAGAAGAGTCGTCCAACCAAAACAGACATCACTCCCAATCATAGCCACCATTTATCCGGAAACATGAGAAATATACTAAACCATGAACATTACAGAGTGTAGAACAAGAGAACACAAGGAGAGAAAGTGAAGGCATCAATCGTGTCGTCTGGACATGGTCAAGGCTCTCGCAACCTTTCTGAAACCTCCTCGTTCCTTTTCCTTCTCTTTCTTGGGTGCTGCAGCAGGAGAAGAAGCGACTTCACTCTCGACAGCGCCAGCAGCGACAAGAGCAGCAGTCTCTTCACGCCAGAAATTGTCCCAGCGTCCTGCCACTGGTTTTGCGTCTGAGCGATTGAGTAAACTTGTACGTCTACTGAGATTGGGTTTTGACTTCAGACCAATCAAGTTGGATGATTGAGAGCGAGGGAGGCCAGATGAGGAGATGGAAGTCACAGATGAGCCGGGCGATCCGGTGCTGAGGTCGAAGGATTTGCGTAGACGGTTTCGGAGAGCGGGTGGAGGGCGAGAAGAAGGGCCGTTGATGACAGGAGCTGTTCTCATGATCGACTTCATCTCGCTTCCCTCTGGGATTCGTATCTTGATGAAGGAGGCTCGTTGTGCAGAAACAGGTTGTCTGGCCAGAGGTATCGACTTTGGCGTTGTAGTGTCCACATACGAAGCGCGAAGGAAGGAAATTAATGCTCTGATGTCGGAAGCGGTCGACATACCACCGAGAGATACACGAACAACGCCTGTTGCTTTACCATCAACGATTTGTGTGGGGTTACTACAGCGATGGCCGGATGCGAAGGCGGCCCTCATCTCTTGCGATGTCCAGTTGAGGTAGGTCGCCATACCACCAGGATTGCAGAGAGAGCCACTACGAATGTAGATACTTTGGCTGTCGGCTGACTTTTCGACTTCTGTGTAAGGAACAAGTGAGCCGTCAGACTTGAGCACGTTGAAAGCGACTGTGGCGCCTTGGGATTTGCTATCGCCATAGACGGTGTTCCGTTCCTTGTAGATCCTAATCACAGGCTTGCCGTTACGGTGTCGTAGGTTGCAGAGGTTGTCGTGGAGTTGCTTTGATAATTGTGCTGTGTGTCGAGAAATGAACTTCATTGGCTCTGACCCGTAAAGACGTTTGTGAACGTTGATGGCGTGGTCCAGAGCAAAGATAGAGTGGAATGGTAGGGTACCATCCTCGAGTGCATCATGAACAGTGGTAGTCTTTCTCGCATGCCAGGTGTCATTGAGAGTCACAACCATGTCGACTGTACCGCCACCAAAGTACTTGCGATTTGCCAGGACATGAGCCGAGGACTTTTGCACAAGTAGAGCGCCAACGTTAGGGAAGCCGAAAATCTTGTAAAAGCTGAGAGCTACAAAGTCCGGACTTTCTCGGGTATTGCTGAGGTCAAGCTGGGCTGTGCTCGCTAGAGCAGCCGCATCAAGAAGCGTGTAAGTGTTGGCTCGAAGGATCTTCTCTCTTATCATACCAGGCCAAGAGAGTGGAAGACGACGACCGGTCATGTTTGATTGACCAGGATAAGCGAAGAGGCCTAATTGGCGAGGAAGAGGCCCGCCAGCCCCACCACACTCAACCCACTTCTCTACCTCGTCATCGCTAGCAAAGCATCGACTCGTAGGTGTGAGCTCGCGTATACCCACAAGACTTGTATGGGCATCACGATGATAACCATACCACAGTTGCTTGTGTGTAGAAGCAGCATGATCTCTGAGACATTCAATAGTAAGCTTGATGGCGGCAGTAGCGTTGGCGACAAAGACTAGATCCCATTCTTCAGGATCGGCCTTGAAGAAGCGAAGAGCCTTATCGCGAATGGCGTCTATCCGATGACCAGCGATAGCCGAAGGTGTCGAGTCCGAGTGCGGGTTGCCATATAGGTTTGATATCAAGTCTTGTGAGAAGTCCTCGACCATAGACTTGGCGTAGAGCTGGGATTGGTTAGCATATATTGGTAGGAGCGGTCATGTGTGGTGGGGTAAGCTTACTGTTGATCCTCCATGATCAAGATAGATTTTGCCTGCAAGTTGGGGATACTCGCGAGCTCTGAAGCTCTCCACCTCTTCGTTCTCAATGTGTTCTCCAGAGCATGATGGAGCAGGGGTTGTGCAATCGGTTTCGTAATCGTAATCATCGTGACCACTGAAGGACGACATGTCATCGTCTGATACTGACGAGGTCCTTGACATGATGTCTTATGTGTTCCAGCAATGGGTCTTGCCCGTTGTATAAGGCTTCAAACGGGATTGTCCAGCAATCTGAATCGTGAAACGGTTTTCCTGTTTCCTGGAAGCTGGAAGCAATGAGATTTAAAACCGTCTCAGCTTGACAGCGGAGGAGATGACTTAGGAAACGGAAACAAGGGAACTAGACTTTTGAAGAAAGAAGCAACAGTACCAGACTAAAGGGAAGAAATTGGAAAGAGAAGGATGAGAAGAAGGGTAAAAGGGTAAGGGACAAACGTGACGTATATAGGTAAGCATCTCTCTGCAGAGGAGGGAGAATGATTGCTCCCGGGTTCTGGGTGCAGATGCGCCCGATCTGCAGCAGAATGATACATTTGCTAGGCCAAAACACATGGTCTCAGTAGCCACTCTACGCAGGCAGCCAGAACCTGAAGGCTGTCAAAGCGGTAGAGACCCGTCAACCTGTCAACGGTCAACTCACAGGCCAAGTTCAAGCTAGAGGATTTGGATGTTTGACGAATCAACGGCTCGCGTAATTATTTTGGACAGAGGATGCGTTGATCGCCAATCAATTCTCTACGCGATGCTGGATTTTCGAACGACATCGCGCTCTGTCCACCGCCGGGGATGCACGTCAACTCTCTCTTTCAATCCCCTTTCCTTTCCAGAATGCAGGCGTATCCTGGGTGGTGGTAATGCGATAGAGTGTTCAAAGTGGAGCTTGCTAGGCATTTGCGAGACGGATGATCTGCTGGACGCGCAGCAGGAATCCGCAGTCCGGGTTCATGTTCCCAGCCCATTGCAGCACAGACTCCAAGCCTGCAGAAAGGAGGAAAAATACTTTCCATACGCCATCATCCCTGGCGCCATCACGACTCAGGAAGGCGAGGGTCAGGTTGCAAGGCACAAACTTCTGGGCCATCCCACAAGCGTTGCGATGGGCGGGAGCCAGGGACGACGCGGACGGCCCGCGGACAGCAGACGGTATGAAGCCTAAAAATCCTCCGCAGACTTCACGTCAGGTCGTGTCTTCATCCTCATCCACTCGGCACCCACTTTTCGAGCCGTGCAAGAGCAACGCGTGGGTAAAGGGGGCAGCAGCCATCCGACTAAGTTAGGTGTCGACTGTGTAACTCGCAAAGAATCAATCTCCACGTAGCCGTGGTGTCTCGGCGCGCATTGCGGGGAAACATGGACGAGAATGAGAGGCTGGCAAGACTCCATTGTTTCACGACAGTGTTACGACGGTACCCGTTTCTGCTCGCTTGAAAAGAAGCCGGGCGGTGTCACGACTTCCCGGGCACCTCATCACATCCACCGATCAGAGTCCATACCAAGTGAACAGGTCCCGTCTCAAGTGGTGCTCCATTGAAGGTGCCAGCATCGAGCTCATCATCTCAGATCTCCAAATCGTACCGCGATGTCGGCACATCCTGATACAGACGCCCCAACGTCCTTCCACCAACGTTTCAGCAGCCATCCGGTCGCCATGGCTGAAGCCATCGAACTACACCATGGCGACTACCTGGCTCCCCGCAAGTACCGAGCATCTCGTATCTACGATCCTAGACCGTCGCTATGACCGCCAATCTCTCACGAGTTAGAGTTTGAGGAAGTGGCTTCTAGACAATAGAAGGATTGAGTGTTGGACACGCGCGTCGCTGGCAAAAAGGATGGCCGCAGTCTGTGCTGCAGCGCTCGACCAGTCAGTTCCGGTCAGCGGCATATCAAGGGCTGCAGGCATCCGACCTAAGGACAGAGTCCGTCAAATCATTAGACGAGGTATAACGGCGTCTAGTGATCAAGAGGTGGAGATATCAGGATTGACAAAGGAGAAAGCTTGAGCGACTGTGACCCTTGGAGGGAGGTACAGCTAACCGTAGGAGCGGCAGGGTCAAGTGGAGCGCTCACTCGTGGTCAACGCTGTGAACCCTCGTGCGCCGATAGCAGCGGTTTTGTCGCCCAAACGCTCCGGCAGCAACTACCTATCGTCTCGAAATTCGTCATGTTTCAAGTCGACGTTGTCAAGGATAGAGAGAGACAGCTGTGATCCTCGTCGGAAGCGGATTGCTGACAGATTGTCGAAGTTCCTGGGTGCGTCTACAGGTCCTGCAGACCAGGTCAAATTAAATTGATCACTGATCAGATCCTCAAGGATTTTCCGCTTGGGCAGCCCTAAATGCAGATTTGAATTGATTGGACGAGTTGACGTCGATGGAGATTGACTGAGTTGCGCTGCGTTCGCCATCCTGGAAGCACGTCACTACGGCCCGCGCGTGTTGAGGGATTGGCTGAAAAGGTCGCGTAGTACGGGGAAGCTAGGTCTAGCTGCATTAGCCTGCTGTCGACACCTGCAGGGGCTCACTGCAACGTTCTGTTCTCCTCAAGCCAAAAGATATCTGATACATCCGACTTCATGCACAAAGATCAATCGCGTGGTGACCGGGCTTTTGGGAAGCGTCTGAAATTGCCCTCAGCCACTTGGGATCGACTATGAGAAGGTAAGCTAAGAGCCAGCGCCAGCATGTGATTCGACAGTCGCGCTTCGGTACCCTCTGAGTCGTCGACTCTCGGTTGCATGCTGTTTGCCTCTCCATTTCCTTCTGCAGTCATAGTGGCCGTCTGTGTTTGCTCGTAACCTGCAGCCTGCCTTCACGTACTCAACAAGCGAAATGGCAAGGGCTGCCCAGCCTGCGACTCTCCTCCATTTGTACACTGCGAGGCCCAGTCTTTTCCTTCTTTTGTGTCTGAGACTCCTTCCATTCGCTCTTTAATTACTGCCACTGTCCCTTTTCGACACCACGACTCATCAAGCCAAAAGTCGAATCTTGACCTCAGCTCGTTCATCTATCTTCACTCAGCCTTACGACACAAGGTCGTTGCTCGGCTGTACCCGCAGACTTATACCAGGTTTCTGGTAAATACCTCACGACTTCTTACTCACAAGCAACTTTCATGTTTGCGTCCAGGACAACAACCATGTCCGACGTCGAGAAGATGATGGGCGATTATGCCCAGCTCACCAACCACAACATCCGTAGTTTCCTCTGGAGAGGAGTTTCTGTCACGGTAAAGGATCGACAGACTCATGAAGACAAGCCCATTCTCAACAATGTCAGCGGTATCGTCTATGCAGGGGAGTTGATGGCCATCATGGGTCCTTCGTACGTATTGCATCGTCATTTGGATCCTACTATCGCTGACGACGTCGCAGCGGTTCTGGAAAGTCAACTCTGCTTAATGTTCTTGCCAATCGTGTACCTGCCAAGGGAGCTTATGCCCAGTCAGATGTCTTCTTGAACGGCCGCCCGGCCGAGGCAGAGACGATGCGCAAGATCAGCTGCTACGTTGAACAAGAAGATGCTCTGGTCGGCTCACTGACGGTCAGAGAGACGTTGATGTTCGCAGCCCGTCTTTCGTTGCCCAAGTCTATCAGCGCCAAGGAGCGTATTGCACGTGTTGAGGCACTCGTCAACTCTTTTGGTCTCAACGGTCAAGCTAACACACTGGTCGGTACACCTATAAGAAAGGGTATCTCTGGTGGTCAGAAGCGCCGTGTCAGCGTTGCCGCCCAGCTCATCACCAGCCCCAAGATTCTGTTTCTCGATGAGCCGACTTCTGGTCTGGATTCGGCCGCCGCTTTTGAGGTCATCTCCTTCGTCAAGGATGTGGCTAAGAAACACAACGTAAGTCCTGAAGCTCAAGCTCACTGGATCAACGTACTAATCCGAGCGTAGTTGATGGTCGTCTCGAGTATCCATCAGCCTTCCACGTCGACCTTCGCAATGTTCGACAAGCTTCTCCTCCTCTCGCATGGCAACACGGCATACAGCGGACCAGTCAAGGACGTCCAATCTTTCTTCGACTCATGCGGCTTCCCCATCCCGCTCTACATGAATCCTGCCGAATTCATCATCGACTTCGTTAACACCGATTTCGCCAGAAACAGAGGTGAAGTCGTCAACCAGCTCGAGATGGTCACTGGAACATGGCAGCGCTCAGGTCTTCACGCAGAGAAGCTGAACCACATTGCTCGCGAGATCTCCCACGGCGACCCATCGCCTCACGAGACCAACAACAACGAGCAGATTGGCGCTCACTGGTTCGCCATCGTGATTGCGCTTATCCATCGCAACTTCATCAAGTCGTACCGTGATATCATCGCCTACGGCATTCGTATCGCCATGTACATGGGTCTGGCCGTCATGATGGGTACTGTATGGCTGCGCCTCGATGCTTCACAAGAAAACCTGCAAGCCTTCACCAATGCCATCTTCTTCGGAGGTGCTTTCATGTCGTTCATGGCCGTCGCCTACATTCCTGCCTACCTCGAAGACCGTGCCATATTCATGAAGGAACGTGCCAACGGTCTCTACGGTCCCACATCATTCCTTGTCTCCAACTTCCTGACTGGTCTTCCCTACCTCTTCATCATCACTGTGCTCTTCAGTGTTGTTGTGTACTGGCTCAGCAATTTCCGCGGAACTGCGGGAGGATTCTGGACTTGGGTCATGTGGCTTTTCCTCGACCTCATCGCCGCTGAGTCTCTTGTTGTCTTCATCACGTCCGTCGTGCCCATTTTCGTCGTCGCCCTCGCTGCCACTGCCTTTGCCAACGGTCTATGGATGTGCACTATGGGCTTCATGGTCCGTCCTGCCGATCTGAACCCCTTCTGGCGTTACGTCTTCCACTACATTGATTACCAGAGCTACGTTTTCGAAGGCATGATGGTCAACGAGTTCGCCTCGAGGACATATACCTGCCCCAAGGGTGTTGACGGTCAGTTCGATTGTGCTTACAAGGATCCCTTGAACGCACAGGGATTGATCCCTGGCACCGCTTTACTCGATACGTATGGCTACAAGGCCGGCAAGACTGGCCAATACATTGGTATCTTGCTAGCTATCATCTTGGTGTACAGAGCACTTGGCTGGTTCGTGCTATACGTCCGCCGCACCTGAGGTTTCACCTCTCCATCTCCCACAGCACGAGCAATTCTGCTGTTTGTTCATGACGACTCTCCCTTGTTTCTATCAATTTTATCATCCTCACTGGCGCTCTCGGGCAGGTGTTTAATGGCGCATGTTTTTACTACCCTTTTACTGAGTACTCCGTATCGTCTTACTGGGCATGACTTGTTCATTTCCTTTGATAGCGAAACAGAAGGCAGGACTACACACCACTCGTTGACGAGTTTGTTTCAGGTTTTCGGTTTCTCTACATAATGATCGATGCATTGACACTCTCACAAGCAATTGAAGAACACCCTTTTCTACATACATAAAAACTCGCATTAACCTCTCTTCACCCAAAAGTGTTTGCTTCTCTCGCTTGATGCGATGCTTTGCATGTTCTCGATTCTGCTCACCTCGCCTGCTTACTTCTCACATGTACTTCTCCAGCCTGCACATGAGAAAGCAGTACCACAGTGACGACCCACAGACCGATTGCTCTGCATCGACGCCCAAACGTTGCAGCATACTTAGGTACCGAAAGCCTCTAAAAGCGCCCTCCATAAAAGTGGAGGAGAAGAGGGAAGCAAGGTACGAGAGCAAGGAAGAAAGATACAAAGGATTCGGTACCTCTGGTTTCGTTTCAGCAAGTGAGCTTTGCAGCATTTTCCCTTCTTCTCTTCTCACTGTGCAACGTGACACATGCGGGTATCCTTGGGATGCATAAACGCTTGTGGTACATGAGGCTTGCATCTCGCATACGCCAGTCTTTTTCTCTCAGCCACTTTGTGACACCTGTTGACATGTTCCGTATAATCATATTGCGATTATGGTAGTTTTTTTGAGGTTGTCTCCGATGGCTTTTTGGATATATGGCATTTGCGTCTCCTCATTCTTTTCGTCAGGTTCTCGCTGCAGAACGTGTACATGAGGCGGTTGGAGTAAGAGAATGATGGAGGCTTGAGAGAAGACGATGGCTTGTATGTAGCATATGCGCTGTCTTCAACAAGATTCAGCTGTTGTGACCCGCTCTTCTCTGCTGTCCTCTCTCTGCTGTCGTCTCCCTCTTGTTATACTGCCATCTGCCATATCTCCGCTGTCTTGTCTTTTGTGCTTCGTAGGACCTGGTTCTGCCATTACCTCCATACCAGCGAGGCATTGTTTGTTCGGCGAGGTGATATGTCGCATTGATTTTCATTGTTTGTTGGGGTGATTTTGCATGAAAGCTGGGTAAGGTATGCAGAGGTAAAGCGAGGAGCCGTCAATACATCACCTCATCGTGGTAGCGACGAGCGAAGCTATGAGCAAATGCGGTCAGCATTTCGGCATCGCTTTGACCGAAGGATCGAGTGGAATGCAGAGATGCTAGAGGGTTGTCGCAGCTTCTCGAATTTGTACAATTTCGCCAAGTCCGAGAGGCTGTTCACATCACCCTGACTCGTAAGCAGCCATCATTTTTGTCGGACAGATTATGGCGATAAGCGACGTCTGGATGATTGATTGTATTCAGGATCTCTTCGACGTGTGTCTTGAGAAGGTGGGAGTAACTGTGTACCCGGACTGTGACCTATGGCTCCGTGGAAGACTCTTTGAGCGCAAGACGTACCAGCTGATGGATCCAGTCAATAATCGTGACACACCTCACTAGGTAGTCTTGATCTCAATTCCGACCCATGAACGCATGCTCAACGCGGCAGCAATGTTGCTTTTCTCGACGGGGACGTTCCGAGTATGGCTTCAGAGTCGATTTTCGACGTCTTGTTTTGTCCTATTCATCGCTATCTCACTTTCCGGCTTCTCTTCCGTCCACAACCACATTGATTGGGTCTCCTCTAGCAAAGGCCTCAATCGTATCTCTGACACACGTCTTCGTCCCTTCCACCGTCCGGCCAGAGAACCAAGCTAGATGAGGTGTGGCAACCAAGCCGGGCACATCATCCGCCAATAACGGGCAATTCTCCTTAGTCGCTGGTTCATGCTCGAAAACATCAAGACCAGCACCTAATAGCTTGCCCTCCTTGAGAGCGGTAGCAAGAGCGTTCTCGTTCACGATGCCTCCGCGACCGACATTGATGAGAATGGAAGACGGTGACAGAAGGGAGAGTTCGTGATGAGAGACCATATCCCTAGTCGAAGGGTCGAGGGGGCAGGTCAGGAAAAGTGTTGTGCTCTTGCGCAGGATCTCCTCGAAAGCAGCACGACCAGGACGAGTAGTAGCTTCGCCTTTGCGCTCGGCGATAAGGACATTCATATCGAGTGCCTTGCACATCTTCTCCACCCGCTGACCTGGAAGACTCGTCAGTACAATTTCCTTTGCGCAATCTTTTCATCTCATCCTTCCCGATCTTCCATATCAAGGAATAAGATGAACCTGAACAGCACTTACCTAAAGCTCCATACCCAATGATCCCCACAGCCTCTTCCTCACAGACCCTAGGCTGCACACCCCTGAACTCCAACACACTCATCCCCTGTTTCTTCCACTTCTCCCCTTCTTTTGTGAAAGCATTCAACTCCACAATCTTCCTCTTGACCGCAAAATATAAACTCAGTGCATGTTCGGCAACCGTACTTGTATTCTGAGCGGGCGTATTGGTCACGGTAACACCTGCCTCTTTGGCAGCGTGAAGGTCAAACTTATCACAGCCGGCTCCAAGACAAGAGATTAGTTGCAGTTGCGGAGCGGAGACCATGTTTGCTTTTGTGAAGGAGGTGGTGGTTGCAATTGCTATGGTTGCGGAGGCGATGCGTGAGGGGAGTTCTGAGGGAGTGGTGGAGACGTGCTTTTCGAATGTGTGTGGGAATCGGAGGGGAGGGAGTTCAATGTGACTGTCCAGTTGGACAACGTGGTGTTTGAACTCTCCAGAGCTGGCCATTATTGTTATCTGACAATGTTGACTGATTGATATGCCGGGTATGTCGTTCTTGAGATGTGCCTCGGTAGGCTTTCCAATGGTATCAATGTCTGTTTGAGTAGAAAGGTGGGACACAATGTTTCGTTCTGGATTAAATCACGACTTGGACAAGTTCGATTCAATGCGAGATAATGAGAAGATATATGTAGTCGTTATCTGCCTTGCCGAGCACGTTACCTATGCTTGCGCCCTTTGACGACTCCGATGACCGGCGAGGTTCGAAATGCTTGGCGTCAACTTCCTATCATCAATGGTCATCCATTCAGACTGCCCTTTTAGTGCAAGATGGCGGATGTGATCTAGACATATGGTTTTGTGTCACACACTCTTTGCCATCGTTCGAGGTATAGCTCATCAGTCAGAAGTCGTGAATCAACACAGAACGGACGTTGAACATCGCGTATAGCCTGAGCGAGTAACTCATGAAGAAAGGGAAGGCTTATTTATCATTCCCTATTAACAGTATCGGATGTGTGTTTGACCTTCCCATGATTTGACGTTGGCCCCTCTTGGGGCACTCGGAGGTTGAGTAAATTACAATGTAGCATCAATGGCGTCCCCATCATGCACTCCAGGAATAAAAAGGATATAACGCCTTGCAGAAATAGTGTATAAGAAATTTATCCCGACATCGTCGCCCTTTCGCGTCTATCATCTCATCGACTTGCTATTGCAACAACCTTCTTACAGGAGAGCAGCGGCACCGAGAGCGAAAGCGCCGAAAGCGCCAACACCGAGCTTGGCAGCAGAGCCCTCAGATGAAGTGGAGGTAGGGAGACCCATGGTAGTCTGAAAATTGTCAGCTTGGCTCTAGGCGTTGGAGTTCTGATAGGCATTAAAGGTTTGCGCTTGACTTCAATTGAGCTCAGTATCAGGACTGGTCAAAGGCTCGTCCTTGAACGAGACTCTGATTGTAGACAGAATTGAGCACAATCGAGCAAAGCGCGGACCCCACAGGTGCGCTACAGCAAAGATGAACATACCTCGTAGGTGGTGGTAACGAGCCATGACTTGGAGACGGGCTTGTGGAAGGTGTTGGTAGAGGTGTAGGTGGTAGTGATGTTGCTGACGGTAACGTCAAAGGTGGAAGCGCCCGAAGGAAGAGTGTATGAAGAGGTCTGGCCCTCGGTGGAGGTGACGACGGTGCTGCCGAGAAGAGTGGGGGAGACCGGCTTGTGGAAAGTGTTGGGGTACTGGTAGAAGACAGTGGTGGTGTGGACTGAGGTGGTGGTGGCCTCGGCGCTGGAGCGAGAAGCAGACGACGAAGAAGAGCCAGAGGTGGACGAAGCACCGGAGGAGCTGGCGCTGCTTCTCTGGCTGGCAGAGGAAGAGCGGTCGGTGGCGCTGGAGAGAGCGCTGGAAGCACCAGAGCTGGCGGACGAGAGTGCCGAAGATGCAGCGCTGCTGATCTCGGAGATCTGGGCGGAGGCAAGAGCGGCGAAGGCGCCGACGAAGACGGCGGTGAACTTCATGTTGGCGATGGACGAGACGAGTTGGGCGTCAGGTCGATTGGGAGGTTGATGGAGGGGAAGGAGGGGACGAAGAAGTAAAAAAGGAAGGAAGCGATGGGTGGGAGGTTGGTTGTTTTTCTCAAAGATCCCCGTCGTTTCCTCACAAATTGGCTTTCAGTGATTTGGGGCCTTGCCTCGTCCCGCACTGTCCTAAACCACCTGAAAAAGCCTCTCCGTCATGTCTGCACAACACAGACTTCTTTCCGACTTAACCGTCCTTTTACCTAGCTTACGCACTGCTTCTTCGTTACGTCGAGGAGAAAACTGCCTCTTCGGGCAACTCTTGGTTGGCTTTTGCGATCGCGATTGGCCGTCCTTTTAATCGCGCAGTCCAGCCTTACTCAACAAGGTAACCAAATCTCGGCAAAGAGTCAACGTCAAACTGCGAACAAGAGCCTCGACCATGCCATCGACTTGCAGATGCTTCCCAACAGGAACCATCTCCTTCAAGTAACATGTCGTCTGCTTGCAGTCCGTAGAAATTCACACAGGTTGCGCTGTCTGGAGTTGCTTGTCCAACCGCAGGTGCCTTGCTACTCCGCATTTTCTCGGAGAATGCGGGAGAGGCCATGACCATCCACTTGGCTGATACGCACCGTGCAAAATTGTAATCACCAACTGCTCCAACGCTTGCAATCTGCTTGCTTTGCGAGTTCAATGCGTATACTCGATGCTCCAATACGAAGTTGCGCGTCCTCTAACACCGTCCAATGTGTCGTGTTGCGTACTAATGTCTGGCTGGTCAGCAACAATCGGTGCCGTATCGCGCGCGATTTTGCTCTCGCAAGTCGCGGTCCGCAAACACAGGAACGCCAACGGCCCTTTTTCGGCGCCGTCTATCCGCCTCGAGGGTCCGCTCCGGGGGATGAGCTCGGGACGAACTTGTTTGTTTGTCTCATCTCTTGACGCCGGTTATAAACACCCGTTACTACCCTGCTCATCCGAATCTCGGATATCGACCATCTCCAGATTCATGTCATGCTTCGTTTGAACAATTGGGGTATGACAGGTGCTGCTGACCCATGATCTCTTGTCTTTCCACCCTTGCCTCCCATGCAGCAAGCATTATCACAAGAAGGTTGGTTCTGCGATGGCCAGCCTCGCAGAAACCCCAAGCTCGGATTCATGAGCGTGGCGCCGATTGCCGGGAACAAGTTGGAGCCCCGAGCTCTTGGCTTGCTGGGGCCCAGCCCAGCCCAGCCATCTCAACTCAACCCACATGCTTTCTGTCAAACACCAAGGTCTGTTCGGTCACCCTCAACAACTTTGTAAGTTGTACCTTTGCTCAGTGATGCATGTCCGTCTGGTGTTCTCGCGAGCAAAATGTCACATAAGGTGCCCAGCATACGCCGATACCATCGGGATCTTGTCTACAAACTAGGCCCGCTACATACGATAGTCCCGATATCGTGCCCGGAAATTTGCAAGCAGATCGCGAGGCAGAAGCGTCGCGCTATTGCCTGCTAACTATCTTGGAACAAGGAGATCTAAGTTACACGAGCGGCATCTCGTAGTCATGTGTGATTTGTGTATATAGCTTGCTGCTCAAGAGGTCTTGTCAAGGACGTAGTCGAAAGCGATGATCGTTTTGCCAAAGTGAAAGGACGAAGTCTGTCCCCGGATGATGGTCTATATTCAATCCTTAGCATTAACCATAAACTGCGATCCTAGACTTTGCGTGAGGCGTAGACACTTGATGACCACTGAAGAGAAGTGTGGTGTCGACACTAACTGCCCTAAGATTTTCGAACAACCTCGCTTGGACATCCTTCTGATCGTCAAGGCAAGCAAACACAAGTTCGTAGACAAGGTGAGTGTCGAATGCAAGACGTGAAAAGTGGCCATCAATCAACTCTTGTTCGTCAGTGAGTTCTGACCAGAGCACTCATTTAGGTCTGCAGTGATGCTCCTAAGTTGACACATCAGAATATACGAAAGGCAATTTTACCACTGTGTACAATTCAGTGGCTGTATTCGTAAACCTCGCCGACTGGCTGCAGTCTGATCGAGGAGCCGACAAGAGCATTTGCACGTCTATCTTGTTAATCGTGAGTCCAACGCAACACCTATTCCTAATGACAGACTGCGAACATGAGACTCAAAAACGGAGAGAAACATCTTATGTACCCGTCTTACTTGGGTGGCTGTACTCCACGAGTGGTGTGAGAAGCCTTTCGTCTTGGACTGCAATCTCGGATCGGGGTTTGCGGTGACTTGTTGTTTGGAAGTACTTTCGGATTGCGACTTGGTCTTCGAGATCTGAAAGACTCTCGACGGTATCGGTGATTTTCGCCAGGCGTATGCTCGGAAGGTATGTGTCGTGTTGCTTGTGAATTATCGGCCAGGCTGTGCGAATAGTGCTAGCTTTTGAGATGCGAGATTATATTCGAAACCAAAATGATTATTACCCCTCACCAATATCTCCTAGCCCAACTGCACCTGGCCCCCTCTGCAATTCCAACCCTATGCTACTCAATTGACAGAGAAGCCTGCCAAACCACTTCCTCAGACCCGTCTACAGTAGACTCAAAGATGCTTTCCTTTGCCATGAGCTTTGCAAATTCCGCCTCCATATATCCTCTTCAGACCATTCCCTTCCACATAGCTCTGCCACAGCACGCAAACTTCGACATTTATCCTCCCTCTCGCATCCAAGAAGAGATCAGAAAGTGGCAAAGACTGACTTGATCTTCCTTGTCTCAATTTCTTGTATACAGGTAAAAACAAGATGTAAAAAGTTGAGGATCGAGGTTATGAGGTCCCGGTGGGCTGTCATGACCTGTGGAGACATGTTGAAGCTTTTTGTGGGATTTTGTTATCTGCGTCCCGGCTTAGTGCATTGCCTGAATCGCGTGGTTTGGTATCGGTGGGCGCGATATATGGTTCTTTGAGCTTGTTTGTATTCTGGTTCTGTGATGATTATTACCGGTCTTGAGGGAAGTGTGTGTGTGTGTAAGCAATAGGCTAGTGAGGTAGCTAGAGATGTGAGCCAAGGTATTGCTCAGCCGTCATCCTCGATTGTCTTTGGTAGGGTGAAGACGAGAGTTTTCAGACTGAGGCCCAGAGATATGTCCTCATCATGGATACGCCAGAGATATGTCCTCATCATGGATACGCCATCTGATTTCGTCGGCACTACAAAAGTGGAAGGTATAGGATATTGGAGTGCCAATAGTGTAGAGCAGAGGAAGTGTTTCAGTTCGGATGATTCTGCTTGCACGAGTAATAGCTGACTCACAAACTGCTTGCTTGGACGTAGAAGGGCACCAATTGACCTCATAGCTGTTCAGCGACGGTGATACGCGTAGGTACGGGTTGTGGATCGGGGGCTTGACGTGTATACTAGTATGGCTCACGCTTCTCTGATCCATGAGATCAGCCAGAACGAGATGGTAGATTCCGTATCTGAGCTCGACGGGCGAGCCCGTGTGTTGGTTAGGATGTATGCACTGGGACGTAGTTGCGAGCTCGAACCTGCAGTCTGCACTCTTCGTGACCGGAGCGAAAGATGTTTGTTGCACCATTTGGAGAAGTAAAGCACTCTCAACAATAGCAGATAACATGTCAGCCATCGAATGGGCGGCACGTCGTGGTCGGATGTTGCCGCCTGTGTATCCCGAGGACAGGACAGGGCTAACTTTGGAGAAGCGGCCGGGCAAAAGTTTAGACACGAGAATGAGGAGCGCAATCCCAGTGAAAACAAGACAGAAGCTTGAGGTATGATTTGGAAAAATGATATAAGTAGATACAAAGAAGTGAAGGATGATGTGTGAGCGCTGTGAAGAAATGCAGCAGTGCTGAAAGTGCTTGGCGCATACTGCTGTGTGACCAATCTTTCGGCTGATGGTATCCTGGAAATGTATAGATAGACGTGCAATCGTAGAGGGCTAGTGTGTCGTGATAATCGTCGTCAGACTAGACGAACTTATTCTCGTTGTGGTCTCGACGACCTACTCGCGATGAAGCAGATCCTTGACCTTTTGCTTCAAGCTGGGAGAGGATTTTTGTGAGACATCATCCTGCTTTTCGTACTCTTCGGCGACTTGATCTTGTTGTTGAACACCCTCGGCCCAACCTCCTGGTACGGTCTCAACACCCCTGTCTTCGGCGACAGCGTTGGCGTCAAAGATGCGTTGGCCTTCAGGAGCAGCACCGGGAGAAGGGAAGTCTTGTCTTGCGGCAGTGGGGGGTGCGAGTTTGTCCTTGGAACTCAGGTTTAGACCCTCTGGGGGAGCCTGACGAGAGCCGCGTCTGAGAATGGGGGAGTTGTCCGAGGGTGATAGCTCAGCAGAAGATGAGGCTACTGGTGCAGTCTCGACGGCGGTAACGATGGTGGGTTCGACTTGGCTGGACATTTTCGACATGGTGATGTTGTTGTAGATTTTGAATATGGTGTTATGGAGACGGAAAACTTATTCAGAGTGCTAAGCACACTTCGCTGGGCATGTGCGACAGTTTTATCCATCTCCTCAGGAGAGATAGTCCTTAGCTACGTCATGGTCGGCACAATTTCTACCACTCAGGGTTGTGATGTGCACTGCTCCACACGTTTCCCGCGTTGTAAGCTCACGAATACGAGACACAAGCAGAGAAAGATCTGACACGGATTGCGCGTCCGAAGAATTTGGAGAGCAGGAGTGGCAGGCTGGGGGCAGGCTTTTAGGTTGAGTGTGGCAGTGTGCATGCTTGATGGTATTAATATTACACGAAGCGGGTGAGACGACGGCTGGAACATGGCCAGGCACACGTCCTGAACAGCACGTGAAGATCTGTAGTATGCTGAAACAGATAAGCCTCGACGAACAGGATATGTACGCCTTGGCTTGCTTGCGTGTCATGTGAAAAGTTGACGGCCGTGATATGGTTCTGCAGAGTTGACGAGGCTGCTCGACCCGATCATCACCGACGCTTCACTGTATGTTCTGACCACACGGAGCTCGTACGATAATATAATTGTTCTTCCGGGAGAAGATGCTCTGAGTGCGAGCATCGAATCAAGAGATGATGATCTCGAGTCTAGATCAGGAGTATTCAACCATCGCTCAGTGTCTACCTGCGAGGACTGTCCTCGTGCCCCAACACATACAGATTAGAAGCTGGAGAACGGCGATCTGCTTCTGACACTTTTGTTCCTAGTCGGGGCTCATCTTGACGTCCCTTCCATGAGTTTGGAGAGGATACAACGAGTAGAACGGTCCGACAATTCAATTGCAATTTTGTGATTGATGGTCGGATTGGTACTGTGATGGAGTTATTGTGAAAAAAAGTGACGTACTGGTCAAAAAGTGCGGGGAGAACGAGTCAAATCGAGGGTCTCGGCCTCTGCCATGATCGTGGATGCGAAAGAGAGCGGCAAACTAGCACATTGATTTCGCCAAAGCTATTCGATAAGCTTCAGAAAGAGAGGGAGACAAGACCAAGATGGCGCTCGACCAGCAGCGCAATTGGACCATCTCCATGGCCGAGAGCCTGCAGGCCACCAAGGACAAGACTGCCGCCGCCAAAGGAATCCTCGATCAAACACCATCATTTCCTGCCAGAGACGATGACCCAATCTCGCACAACTATCACACGACTGAGCCAGCATATCTACCCGACGAGCTCCTCCTCGAGATCCTATCCTATGTCGCCGTCACTCCCGAAGCGCAAAAGTCATTATACACATGCTGTCTGCTGTCGCGACAATGGCATGTAGCCGCCCTGCCATACCTATACCACTACCCCAAGATCTACGGCAAGAACTACGACCCCTTCTACCGCACAATGTGTCCATCCATCAATCTCCGCATCAAAGAGAGTCCACTGGCAAGCCTCGTGAAGGTCCTCAATCTGGGCTTGCTTGTGCACCACAGCACAAAGAGCGTGACGGCCAGAGTCTTGCGTAGGCTCGAGACGAGCTTGGAAGAGTTTGTCGCTCCACAGGCTTCCTTTGCCATCAACAGCTATGCCGCCCTGTCAAAGTCGCACAACCTGCGTAGTCTCGACCTGTCTCTCGTGTCTGAAGCCCAGCCCTTGGATATGCTGTTCAAGTCTCTCAGATCCTTGAAGCACCTCGAGCGTCTGCGCTTCCCACGCTCTTCTGGCTTTGGTGCAAATACCGTCGATCCAGACTCAATCATCTGGCCCCAGGCTCTGAAGGATCTTCACATCAGTGGTGGCATCGATGCCAATTTTCTCTATGGCATCGTCCATTTTCCTCCTGCTCTAGAGCGCTTGACCATCGAGCACTGTCCGCAAGCAAAGTCTCATGCTATTCGCCAACTACTGGCCACCCTGTCTCGCGCACAACTACCTCTCAAGGCACTCTCATTATCACACCTACCTCGTCTGGGCATAAGCTCTCTCGATCCCGTGCTAGGTCTATTTCCGGATCTCGAGGAACTCAGCGTCAGCGTCGACTACATCACTCCTGCAATCTTCAATCCCGACTTCCAAGAGTGGGGCTCAGACGAAAATCCAAACTTCACCAACCACAAGCTTCGCATGCTATCATTCACAAATTCTGGCAATCCTGGCGTCGACGACAAATTCTCTCCAATCGATGTACTCCTGACACTCGACGAGGGCTCTTTCCCGAATCTGCGTAAAGTCAAGATTGCAAAGAGCTTGGGGTGGGAGCGTGGTGATACCAGAGACGAGACCGAAGCTCTCATTGATAGACTGGTGGAGCTTGGGACACAAGATTATCAGGATAAGACAGGTGTATTCGCCGACATGACCACATCTCAATGGAAGATCGCTAATTGGAAAGACTGGGCTGGTGTTTGGATCATTGACTGAGTATGGTAGTGATCTTGGTCTTTTACTTCGCCGAGAGTGGTCCTGATTTGGCGTATTTTCAGGCACGCTTGGATTTGCGCATCACATTACATCTCGACATCTACCCCTCGCGTCATGTTCCCCTTCATACAATTGTACATAGAATAACGACTTACGACTCAATGACAGCAAGAATTGCACACTCCGCACCTTTACATGCAAACATGCTTGCATGATATCTAGAGCTATGCTACGGTGACGCTTATGAGCATCCGGCCTCATCCGCATACCTAGACTCTAGGCACCATCATCCCAGCAACATCTGTCCTACTCATCTTCCGGCATACGTGGACCTGTTTCTAAGAGACAGACCCTAAGGTCCGCTTCTCAAGGACCCATCACAGATTACCGGTGTCTGAGGTGACCCAACAAGGATGTTGTTCGCAGCCCTCGTCCTCAGTATCCTGAGCATTGCATTATCGACTTCGCTATTACAATCTCAAAAACGTTCCAGCTTCATCAAGTGGAGCAAAAACTACTACCACGCAACCTTCAGCTCCGACAACTCAGCCGCGAAAAAGAAGCAAACATTCCCACTCTTCGACCTCCCACCAGAAATACGACTGCAAATCTACCGATACGCATTACCCCAACGCCAAACAATAATTCTCACAAGACCTTCAGCACCACAATGTCCATTCCCACCCTCCTCACCTCTACCAGCTTTTGTCCCTGCCATTCTACTCAGACTTCACACAAACTGCCCTTGCCAAACCAGACTCACACCGCCATTCTTACCATTACTCCAAACTTCAAGGATGATACGTCGGGAAGCTCAAGATTTGTTTTACGCAAACAATGCTTTTGTGTTGAATATCGATATGCCGAAAACGCTTCTTCGTATGCCTGAGCTGTTTGCACTGTTTGAGAATGGCATGGCGGATGGTGGGGAGATTTTGGGTGTGGTCAGGGATTTTAGGATTAGGGTTGGTGGGAATGTTATGGTGGATGCATGTGGGCCAGGGACGAGGTGGAGGAAATATGGGGGGAGAGTGTTGGTGGCTACTACACCTTCAGATGAAATTACTGGCATGTTGAGGAGTGAGGAGAATATCGCCAAGTGTGTTGGCAAAGTGTTGGATGATGTTGAAGAAGGGGGAAGAGTGAATGTCAGTATCGTGAAAAGAATATTGGACGAGATCTTTTGGAATTGGGAAGAGAAAGTCTAGCAAGACGGTCTCGCGGTGGACTATATGCCCAATGCCAGTGCCACTCTACCTTTCGGCAACGCTTGATTAGGCTCAGGGCGGTGGTGAGAGACTGGGGCCTGACAACCACGTCGTCTTGGCACATCCGTAAGATATCCCAAACGCAAGTGCTCGTCACCCGCGATTGAAACGACAACATCCACCAAGTCGGCTGGAGAGACTATTCCGCGCCCGTCACAGACACGAACAATCCGCCTTGCCTTACAGCAGATATTAATCTCATCGAACGTCAGGAATGTTTTCAACCGCGTTTCATCGTAAGTCTTTCATGCCGCTTTTCTCACCGCTTAAATTATGGGGAGATCGGTACGCTGACTTTATCAACTAGTCCCGCGTCTTCTGCTAGTCTGTAGAGGCCTACTCAAGGTACTCGAGGGACTTTGGTATCTCAACCTACAGTTCTCTCAACTGTGGCGTATCTGAAGCGATTATCTTGGTGTCAAGTCTGTAAAGTATCATGAGGAGAAGGTAAGAGACGACATTCTCAACACAATGGAGCCCTGTTGACAACTGATAATCAGGTACACCCCTTGTTGTGGCCACCCATGCCCTTCCCGCTCATGCGACTTCCCCATGAGATCCGTCTGCAGATCTACGAACGTTTGTTGCCTAAGGATCGCACTGCATCTTGGGTTGGTAGCTGCCATTGGTTTACCAGACGCGCCAGATGCACCAGATGCACCAGACGCACCAGACGCATCGACCCGAGCGATATCTCAAATCTGATGTCTACAAGTCGCAAGATCCGTCAGGAGCTTCAATTTCAGTTCCATCGCTCAAACACTTTCATCATCAAACGCCCAGACTTTCCAAAGGTTGTAGTGCATTCAAAGCTGTCACCGAGACCTTTATCTTGAGTACCGCCAACACGGTGAACTTGTTCTTGTCGATGCGTGGTCTTCATATGATTGTGAGTGAACGCGCATTAGTCGACATCACCGAGCTGAAGCCCAGAATTCCCCTTCGAGGATCTGGCGATCAGGATTTTCTGAGAATCTTGGACATCCGTTATAGAAAAGAAGATATGATGGATGACTTACTTTATCCGGAAAGGGATCGTTCTTACAAGGACAAGGAGCAAGCATTCTCTGGTAGTTTTGAACCAGTTAGCCTGAGATATTGAAGTGACCAAGGGAGACCACTATGGCGATAACCGTCTACTACGTGAGGGCCGTCCGTCTGGTTCGCGGTATCCTCAGAACCGTGCTCAAGCAAGAACAATGAAGTCTCCTACAGGCACTGGTTGGCCTCGTTGAAGACTGTCTTGCGTGATGAGAAGTCGGTATCGAGCAAGAGGCGCTAGCGATATGTAATCCCATGAGTTGTTCGCAGTGCAGGAATGGATTTTCTGGTTGTCTTGTTATAGAGGGCTCAGGGTCTAGACGACTCATCGGCCAACTGTCCGGAAGCTATGAGGTACGGGTTGAGCTTTCAACTATGCTTAGGCTTCGACTACTCCATATCGGATTATGGATGTTTCGTCAGATTCATGGCGCTCCACAAATGAATTATGGGCTGGGTTATAACGGATCTCAATGCGTCAGTATCGATGATAAATGGTTTCGTTCTCTCGTCGTTCCTGCCCACTCAAAAGTTCCTTCCGAACTTGCACATGCGCATTCTCCCATCTTCTTTCAAGGCAGGCACAGTCATGACGCGCCTCCTCCGCCTACCCGCTCTCCAAATTTCTTTCTCCTATAATCAACTTGTTCCACAACAGTTGTGTTAACATATGACATTGTTGTCCAGATTCGCCATCGCTGGCGTTCTCTTCCCTCTCGCAATCTATTCTGCCGGTGCGCTCATCATCATCTTTGTCCTCGGATGTGCTGTCTATGTCTGCATCACATCATTCCGCCAGCTCGTGCGCCGATGCTATCGGAAGGTACGTCAAAGTTCTTCAAGCTCCCACGTGCGCTTGACTGACACCAAGAATCAGCTCAAACTTCTCTACTGGCCAGAAAAGGCCTTCAACTTCCTCGGTCTACCACCAGAGATTCGTCTGATGATCTATGCCTACACTCTTCCTCATGATAGGATCTACTACATGACTGCCCGCAAGCTGAGAGAACTTCCTCGCCAACCATATGAAGACGCGTACTACGAAGTCTCTCAACCTTTACCGTCTCTCCTCCGCGTTTGTCGTCTCGTGCGTCGAGAGCTAGTCCCAATTGTTCAGTGGGGATGCTCGTTCTACATCACGATCTACTCGATACCAGATCTGCTCTACACGCTGGAACTTCTCGAAAAATACTCTTCATTGCAGCTTACTCATTCCATGAGGCTCTTCTCCTTGACAAGACACATCCATATAAGAATCAAGGATCTCATACTGGATCTTCAACCAATGGTATGTCCGCAGAGGCGAGGCATAAGGGTCAATGGTGCCTTGCATGTCACAAATAATGTCTGGTCCGGTCGAGGCCGAGGACTATTGAGAGACCACGCCATCATATCAGTCCTGCTGAACAGAAGTCTTCGCCACATGAGACCCTGGCTCGAAGCCTCAGACGTTTTAATCATCCTTCAGTGTATGTTCAGGGACAACACGCTGGACAAGCAGTTCTTGAACAAAATGTTACCATGGTACCAGCGTCGTCGTAAACACCTTACCTCCCCTGTCTAACAGCTTTAGAGCCTACCTTCTCGCTGCAGCCACCAATGTTGCGGTACAGATCGCTGATCTTACTTTCTGTTGTTCTTTTCAAGTCTTTTGTTGCTCTATCTCGAGTTGCTTTTTGCTTTTGTCGCTTTATAAGAGACTTGTAGATTAGATGTAGCTCTAGCTTTATACGAAATGGTATCATGTTGCTCGAAGAATCCAAGCGCTCATTGTTATCGAATTATTCTACCGCTGAGTATAAGACCGTGGTTCTGCATAGATGTCTTGTCTGTGGGGTCTATCGTTTTCGCAACCAGATGATCCTTTCTACACCATTTCATGTGCTGATCAAATGTCTACGTGATTGCAAGTTCAGACATGTGATCCATGCTTCGAATACCCCTGTCTGTCTGGCGTAGGCATAGGTATGACTGAACATTTCTACCGCCACGACATGTACCCTCTACCTCGAAACATGTCCAGCCAGTCACTTCAACTCAACTCCAGAGTGTCAAGAAGTTGCAGAGATCAAAAGCTAACAAACAGAGCAAGCGCGATGCACAGCGACCCTTCTCGCTAGCAGACAAACTCCTACATTAAAACCTCACGAGATGCACCTGCAAACCTCATGAATGTAATATAAACAATCCTCATTGCCTATACTTAAGAAGTATGCTATTCTGAACTCATCCTATCCTGTTTGCTTCCTTTCCTTTGGGGGTATACCTATCGAATCCCCATTTCCATTCCTGTGCTGGAATAAAACCCAAATGCTCCTTGTCGACCTGATTCCGATCCCTCGCTGTGTCCAAACTTCGCTGAGAAAACGCCTGATGTAAAATGCCCTCGTCCCATCCTTGTACGCCGTAAAGGAAAATAACCGGAAAAGTAGTGACAAAGAAAATCACAATGAAGAGTAGTGTAGATATGCATATGCAAAAACAAGACTTTTTCGTACTGATGATGATAAAAATCAACGGAATAGTCTGGGATACGATCCGATGCGTAGATCGGGTATGATGGTTCTATGTGGTTCAAACACATTTTCTGGCCTGGAAGAGACCGAGGCTCAGACTGGTGTCGTTGGCACCCATGATGGGTGTTGGGTCAGGCATCAACTCCCACCGCCTTAGCATATAAGGTGTTTGTTTCAGCTCCACGGGACCTCTGTTCATGCCCATACCCATGGACAGTCTTTGTTGCTGTGCCTGCTGTTGTTGCAAGTGTGCTTGCGACAGAGTGGGCGTGTTTGGTACAGAGGGTGTGCGAGAAGCCATACCAGGCCGAGCAGGTACAGGCCATGGTCTCTGTAGTAATGACGGCGACTGTGTAGCCGATACTGGAGAAGATGTGCTCTGCAAAGGAGTTGATGTTGGGTTTGTTTGAGATCCAGTAGCCGGAACAACCTTGGACGCAAGCGACAGCCATGCATCAGGAGATGCGTGCGTGCCGAACAGATAGCGCAGACGAGGTATGCAACGAGCCTGGGGCGGTAAATTGCGCAGGATAGTGTGCATATGTTCGTTGGACAAGTCGTCTGAAATCATGGAAGCGACGTCGAGAATATATTCAAGGATCGCTGGTTGACCTTGCAGCTTTGAGTGGATGAACAGGGCGCATAATACACCCATGAGAGGGATCAGGTCTTGTGCATGGGCGTTCGCGTCTTGAAGCGAGTGCTGATGTATGGTTGTGAGGTTTAGCAATACACTGATGCCGAACGACATGCGCGCTTTCCTATCCTTCTGAGCAGGGTCAAGATAATTTATGCCCTCTGCAAGTTGTCCAAGCCGTTTGAAATGATCCGTGAGCATTACAAGGGCGGTTGTCGGTACTGATTGAGATGAAGTAGCGACTGCTGATGCTTCAACAGCTCGCAGATATCGTTGTACAGTGGCTTCATCTTCCATCGACCCATCAATAGCGACAATTGAGGAAAGCTTCTCCAAGACAGACTCTCCTGCCCAGGAGTGAATGTACTGAATCAGATCTTTGTCGAGCGCGCCGAGGAGTTGGGGCCACACAGACGAGTTCTGTTCGATAGCGCTCTGGAAGGTGCGAACTAGACTCAATTTGTCGTCTTCGGAGAGGCTGTTGCCCCCCGAGAGGATGGAAGACATCTGCTGCAAGGCCAGTTGACTGAACGGCAACGACAGTTCGGTAGTAGACTCCAATATAGTGTTGTACTTGTCAATAATGGATGTGCTTGGCTGCTGCACCTGAGATGCGTTGCCTAGTAGAGAGTCCAGCAGAGGCTGCACAGAGTTTTGAGCGACCATTGGGTTGTCCTTTGAGATGAGTTCCTGTGCGACAAGCTTGTAGTCCCGAACGATATACTGGCGAAGCAATGAAGTGACTTTCTCCTCCAGAAGAGAGCCGTTCTTGGAAAGAACGGTTTGAGAGCTCGACTGTAAGACTGATCCAATAATGCGCAATATCTCACCCATATGGTGACGACAAAATAGGTTCTGGGCGACCCTGAATCGGTATGCCTCTGCTGAATGGTTGTGCATGACGGACACTGATGGTATCAGAATCCTGGCACAAGTAACAGCAAGACGAGTAACGTTTGCAGGTTCTGTAGATTTGATGGTACTGAACTTCTTCTCCCAGATCTGATGAAAGGTGACCAGGTTTAGGCAGCTGGAGCCAACCAAGGAGGCAACAACACCCTCCACGGCCTCATATGGCGCCGCTGTCTCCGCCATCCGGACAACAAGCCTCTGCACCAATTGCTCAAACGTGGTCTGGTCGAACAACCGAAGTTGCGCAAACCAGTTACTAGCGCGAGACAGCCCTTCAGGTCCCATCTTCACACTTCGATCAGCAATGGTAGTGAACATGCGCATCAAAAGCTGCTCATCCATGGTGTTACCACTAGTAAGCACTCGATCAATGTCGTCGTCCGACTCTAGTGTACCACAGTGCGAAAGTACCATGCTATCAGATGCAGGTGAACACGCAGCAGTAGAGCTCTGTATCTCGCACATGGCAAGCTCACTGTCCAGAACTTCTGCATGCATCCCTCCCGATGGCATACGGCGTACCAGTGCCGACAATGACAGGAGAAAGGTGCGGTTCAGCGGCTGTCTTGACCTAAGGCGTCGCTGTTGTTGATATATCTGCATCACCAATTTCGGTAAGAAACCCATTGTGGCGAATATCTCGAGATTGAAGTTGACAGTGTCCGCTGCGGCGGCCAGGATCTGCGGATTACTATTGCTGGATGCAGCAGTCACAACCTTGGCCAAGCTTGGATAATCCTCGAACTGTTCCAGGGTATGGCGAACGAGGCAGAAAGCAGCGAGATTCCCATTGAAGGCAGTATCGCAACTCAGCCCAAAGCTTTGATGTATCACTCTTTCACAAAGCCATTGGGCTACTGCCATTCGCACAGCACCTACTGGCTTATCGGATAGAGCGGATTCATGTGAAGAGACGCCAGGGCTGGGTAGTGACATGCCGCCAAGATGCTGGGACAGTACAACTTTGTGGTTCTCAACTTCGCGTGCTTCGACATCAGCATGGTAGCCTACACGACTCAACAGCGTACGTCGCAAGTTGACGATATGTGAGGAGAGGTAGGCTGTGGGTAGTTCGAGGAGAAGCTGCGCCTCACTTGCGGTCGCGTTGGCACCCGACAGAACACCCGTGGAGATGAGCCACTGCAGATACCTCCCGACTGAGAAATGACCAGAACGTGCCAGAGCGGCAACGAGTTTATAGATCAGGCGTGGCTCAGTGTTGTCATCATGCCGAGCCTTCTCGAGCATTGTCAGTACCGCGTCATCCGCACTGAAACCGGCAAAGCTCCAGTATCTGACCAGCTGTGCGGCGAGATAAACACGAGCAAGACCAGAGCGATGTTTTGAAGCCGCCCATTCGAGTATCGCAACCAACATTGACCGTGTGTCGAGCCCCAGCAATTCACATTGTGCAGCAATCCTATCAACTTGGACATCCACGCCGACAGCGTCCAGGATGTCAATCAAACGAAGTTTTGACGTACGCGATGTGGCTTGCGGTGATGCACCTGACAGTCGATTGTTGCGTCTCGTGACGTTGGCCAACCCGTCAACATCGAGATGGCCCCGGCCTGTTGGCTTGACGGCAGCAAATGCTTTCTTGTGTTCGTTCCATGATTTCGGCAGAACCAAACAACCCCTGTGATTCACGGCCAGGATGGTGATGAGTTGGTTGATGCGTGTGATCAGTTGCAGATTGATACCGTAAGGCATATCAGCGAGAGTTTTTGCATGTCCGAGTAGGGCTTCGGCGAGTCGATGGCCCCGTCTTCGGTGTGAGATGAGGTGTTTCCAGTAGATCTGAGTGAGCAGGATCCATACGGGCAGTCTTTCAGAAGAGCTTTGTTTGAGTGATGTAAGGATCCAGTCCATGTAATGCTCCTCGTCAAGGAGATGTTCGACATAGAAATGAGTGCCCAGACGAACAGCATAATTCATCTTCTGAGACCATCCCGCCTGGCCGCAGCTAGATATGACACCATCAACAAACTGCTCGACGAATACTGTCCACTCTCTGATCCACTTCAGTTCACCAGCCAAGGCAGCCGGACCAGAGATGCCTTTCCTCTTGAAGGCGCGAATCTCATTAGCACCCACGCATTTGGAAAGCCAGACGGCTCTGGCGATAGGGATGTCCTTGGTGATACAGTGATCAAGCAGGACTTTACCCCGAATGCCGTGTGGGATGGTCCTGCTCAATCTTCGCAACGGCACCTCGGGGTTTGCGAGGTCTTTAAGCCAGGCTTCTCTCTTTGTGTCGGTCAAGGTGACTCTTGGTGGCGGCTTGAAGGTCGAGGTGGCTGTGCAAAGGCGCATCTGGGATCTCTTGTCCAGCACTTGGATGAAGATAGCAGACAACATTCCCAAGCCATTTTTGGTCTTCAAGGTAGGCCATAGATGAGGGCGAGCCGTGTTGGTCTCGATGCTAGGCGGGCCGATAGCTTTGTCGCTGAATCCGGACTTGATGAGGTGTTCGTTCAAGACATCTTCCGGATGCTTGCCTTCGATGTTGGTCCATGGGAAGAAGTCGGCAGTCTTGTCTCGAGGGAGAGCAGTGGCCACTGCGGGTGGTTGTAGGCCGTTGGCTCTCGTTGAAGGATCCAGGACGGGTGCGGGGGCGGGTTTGGGGATCGGCGAGCGAGAATGACCTTGGGCGGTCAAGGATTGTGGACGGCGAGGTAGTGGTAGTTGAGTTGTGCGTTGTGAGAGGAGGCGTGGCGGGATGTGCTGTTTGGGCTCGTCGGGGGTGTTGACGGCTTGGGCGGCGTATTGAAGCATGCCATTTGCCGTGTAGGCCGACAGGTTTGCCTCGTCGACACCGACGTCGGTAATGTCATGTTGTATGTTCAAGTTGACGTTGCTGAGTTTGGAGGGCAGCGTTGGGCGGTTCAGAGGGCGAGGGCCAGGAACTTGCGTGCCCGCTGTTGGTTGGCTTATCATGGCACTGTTGCGGAGCGGGTGGACGTCCTCATAGCGAGGCTTCAGGCGGAAGGAGCCATCATGATGGTAGTAATGGCCGCGGCGGCAGGTGCTTGTGTTTGGTGATTGAGGCAGGTGCAACACGACATGCTTGATGCTCCGTCTGGCACAAGCACACGTCGCACACGAGTTATGGGAAGGTGAGAGGAAAGTCCAGAGCAGCTGATAGCGACTAGCAACATGTCATATCCGATCTACCGTACCAAAAGGCTGTCGCTGATAACTTGGCTGATTTTAGGTCAACGCTCGCTCCGCATCGCCAAACCACACCGCACCCTCCGTCTGCTCCGTTTCCCCCTCCGTCACTCTTTTTGCCGGTCAATTGGCGACTGCCTTTAATCAACCAAGAACAGCCGCCGCTAGCCAACTCCCCCAATTGGTTGCAAGCCACCGGCGACATACCAGAGCTTCACCCCAGCCAGGGCCCAAATCGCTAAACAAAATCTGCTCCTTCCTACGGCGAGCTTTCAGCAAACATTCTTACTCGCCAAGCTCTCATGTCATGAGGTGACTGAATCTCTTCGATCTTCTCCAATCTCCCAAGCCGTCCATTCCTACAGCCAATCTGCAGCACTAGATCATCTCGGCCCAGCTCCATCCCGCTGGGTGGAGAGCCCGGCTTCTTTGTGTGCTTTCAGCCTCGCCGAAACGGTCGGGCCCTGTCAAACCTTCGCCTTCTTCGTCATGCTTGCTTGTTTCCTCACCACTCTGGCGTGATGAGTCTTTTTGCTCTCGTAATAGTTAGCCTGTTGGCCTGATGCAGCCGTCTGTGATTTGCAAAAGCCGAGATTTGCTTTTCGAACCTGTCGCTGTGTTCCTGCCGCCTTCTCCGCATGTTTTGGACCTCTTTGCCCTTTGAGCGATAGCTCTCGCCAAGCGCCCGGTCAATTGGCCAGAAACGCTTTGCTATCCTGCAGCGTGCTCTCGCTCCTTGCAGCCATACGGCATCTGATTCTCGCATGTCGTGCTTCACTCAACACTTTCTAAAACATCCGCCTTGTAGCTTGTCTCTTCGTGAATTTGCGCCCGACCGAATGTGCACGCGCACCCTCTCGTCCTAATCTCATCATCTCCTTTCATCTGCATACCTCGAGATAAAGCGAGGCGTCTTACACATCACAATGGCCGCCTTATCCGTACCAAGCCCACGTGTTTACTGACCTCCCTGAACAAGCAGGTATCTGTCGGCTGTATCTCAAGACACACATCAGCATGTCTTTGTTGGCTCCGTATCTGCCGCTCAAGAGATACACATCTTTGATGCACATCACCCATTACAAACTCTTGTCTAACATCTGAGCTCACCCGCAATCGGCCGTATGGATGGAGAGCTGTTTCGGAGAGACAACTTATCTTTGTCGACTCATTAAGCCTTTTACTCGGAGTGTCGATCCTACATGCTCTTTGACCACACATGTCGATACAGTGTCGTCTGTCAGCTTGGACTCTCCGACCTCGCACTTTGAAGCCGGGCATCGATCCATGACAAAGGCTGTGTATTCATCGCGACGGAGTTCTGCCCGAGAACACTGCCTCAAGTCTTCGACTGTGTGCTTTTTGGAACATTATATCCGCACATTTGCTTGACCAATTGTGGGCGCGTATCGAGCCCTGAGAGTTTGACGGCAAATCAATTCTGGTCTCTTTCCCCACATTCCGCGCGAGCCGTCTATAGCCGTTCCCACCTCGATCCTGTGCTCCTACTCGATATGGCCGACCAAGGCGATCCAGGTCTTGGCCTATCATCTTGTGTCTGAGACTTAACATGCTCGTAATGATATGCTTGGAGGTCGCGAGAAGAATTCGATCCTTGCCAAGGTGCCTTCTTCCAGCGCTTATTAGAGCATGGTTGCAACCTTACCTTTACTTCACGGCTTGACACGAAGGCAAATACTGATATCGTTTGCACGTAGTGAGTACTTGCATGACTACGTTCATCGGGAACGCAGGCAATTTAGTTTACGATACTCATGATTCTTCAAGAAGATCCTGATCTCTCCACCACCTCGGCAACTCCATTTCGAGACTCGGCCGAGGTTGTGCAATCGCACGTAAGGCGATCACAAAATCCCCTGCTGGATACTCCTTCCGTTGTAGCGGTAGAGATCTCCTGGCGACTCCTCTTGGGAAGAGTCGACCCGCAATCATATTCCGACGGGGCACTAAGGCTTCGATCACTACTTCCGAACATACACGAGCGTTGTGAATCATCATATTGTACAAAAATGAATATTCAAGCACATACGGCCACAGTCAGCTGAAAACTGGGCATCCCGTCCGCTCTGCCATACATAAGCAGTTGAACGGCAGATTAGTACTACGGTGGGTGACCACGTGGGAATCCCTGCTGCTGTATGTTTTGTGTCTTTTGCTACCTTGAGTCCTGCCAATCAGATACTCTCGCCCCAAGACGTCCACTCTAGTGTATGTTGCTCTGTTTCGGTCACTCCATACTTCTACGACTCCTGCCTCTGTGGCATTGGGCCAGATCATTACCATACGACGTTCTTCCTTGATATCCACCACCACAGTCTCACCATTTTACAAACAGATGCCGCGCCAAAGAGAAAGACGTGCTGCCCCCGAAGGAGATCACCAGAGACTCAAACTCGAAGATCCGGATGCTCGGGTCAGGTCACCGTCATTCCACGAGTTCAAGGATCACTCTGGAGAAGATGCGGTCAGTATCTGGCCCTTTGACCCTGAGCATGCGACAAAGCAGGAAAACGAAGATGGCAGTGTGCACTTCCTAGGTCCTCAAGACATTTCAAGACTATGGCCGAGTGTTGCTATCCAGGTCTACACTGTCAATCCTCTGAGTGACGACCTTTCCGAGTTCCTTTCGCCAACTGTAACACATGGACGAAGATCTTTTCGAACTGGAGAGTGGGAGCCACATGATACAGAAACCCCATGGCGCATCGATGTGTACAAACGACCTCTGCAGCATGTGTACGCTTGCATCGCCCACCACAAACAAGAAATTCTTATCGACGAAACACAACTCCATCTGGCCTTGGAGGTGGTCCGATATATCTGTATGGTACACGAGCCAGTAGAGCGAGAATTGTTGTTCTAGATTCACCCGATTGGGGAAAATCCTTCACTCTAGCGAGTTTTGCTGCCAGAGACATGGCACCCCAACAATGTCCTTACGAGCTAGGTTTGGGGATCCGCGCTGTGGGCAACATCGATGACGGTAATGCGATATATCAAGCCATCCAGAAATGGATCTTGGATGCGCAGCGTGAAGCATAGCGAACAACATTCATATCCAAAACCACCCGAGCGGCCAAGGATCACGACTATCTCAGAAACTGCCCACGAAGATATCAAGGGTATCGTGGAGAGACAGGATAACGATATTATTCTTGTGAAGCTTAGAAGAAATAAAGCCGCTCCGAAGGAGATAAAGTCTATATACCACGTCTTTCACCTCGAGTCCGCAGGGTTTGATAGCGCTCAATTAGGCCACTTACTCCTGGCTTCTCTCACGCCTTTCCTGCCTCTCGGCACGGCGGTCGACCTTCCGATCCATCCTTCTGAACCACGAATCGATGCATGTCTCAAAGCGTTTCACGCATTCGATATCTCTGATGCACAAATGAGTCACAACAACCTCTTCGCTTTGACTGGTAAACATGACTTTGTGAAAGACAGTGGCATTCTATTCGTGCAGACTGAACCTCTCAAATCTGCTCGCAGTCATATTCACTCGGAAACGAGCGAGCTGGTGACAAAAACATTGTCCCTGTGCGAAAAATAAGATAACGAGAATGCTATGACGGTATGGAGAGCTTATGGTGTTAAACGTGCTGCTTTGGAGTTCGCGAGTTCGGCCCTCTCCAAAACCCATAACTTTTCTTGAGGCTTCGTTGTTCATTTTGCACTGCGGCAATTGGCAATGAGGTCCTACATATACGCTTGGCGAGGTCCCCTATTGGCACCAGGAAGGTACGACGTGGTCATGACTGTCCACCTTCTACCTCCGGAAAGGTGAGCTTGGCAGCTCTCGAGGCTCTTGCTAGCCATCAACTTCCACTGGCGATCGTTTCGGTTGTTCAGCGAGTTCATACGAAGACAGGTGAGAAGGTCCGGGTCGCTTGCTCATCTGGAATGATCGTTCACTCTTCTGGTCGCCCAAAGAGTCCGCCCGGAACGCCGATATTTCATCAATCTTACGTCGCTTGTGGTTGTTATGACGTCGCCACAAGACGAACGCACCAATAAGTAAAGCTGCCACTCCTACTCCTATGCCAACTCCAACTCCAATAACGAGGTGCCTCTGGCTCGACGAGTCAGAGGAACTGGTGGTACTGGTCGGTGCTGAGGCGCTTGCGCTTGACGATACTGTTGTGGTACTAGTGGTTGAGACCGGAGTGATGGTGATTGCACTCGTGGATTGCAAAGTGGTCGCTGTGGTGGATACAGTGCTCGATACAGACTCCGAGGCCGTTGGTACCGCCGAACTCCTAGTAGTCGTGGTTGTGGGCACTGCTGAGCTCGTAGTCGTCGTGGTGGTCGCAGATCGATCGCGTATCCAGAATTGACCTGTGTAAAAGCCGCCGCCCGCCTGCTCCTTTGAGGTGCCTGCGGCATTGACGGCCCGGAACGAGAATGGTAGCGAATTGTTGCCGAAATCATCAATCGTCCAAAGATAGAAGGTGTCTGTAGTGCTGACTGCCGGATCTTAGTATCTACCCAATACTTGGGGAAATCTGAGTGTAGTACTTCTCAGCCCTCTTGGGTTGGTATAATCCTGACCAAAGATGAGATACAAGTTGACACTCTCGTAGGACGTGGCCCAGGTAACGTTCATCTCGACTCCCTTGTCGACAATTTGGGTGATAGCTGTGTCCGGGCTTGAAAAGACTCCATCTTGATATGATGGTGCTGCTGGTAGTCTGGTAGTGGTCTGACCTTGCACGATGGGACCAACGAGAAACAATAGCGTGCATGCTGTCCTAAGAGGAGGAAAGAGGGAACACATTGTCGAAGCTAGTCAGGATAAGCTTCAGGAACAGCAGCAGATATGAGAAGTAAGAAAAGAAGTCGACTCGTTGGTTGTCAATGACTTGGGTCAGCAGCAGAGACTTTAGATCTTTCAAGCCAAGCGAACCAACATGTAAGAGCGGCTATAGAGCTGACTTGTATGGCGCGCTTAACTGCATATGCACTGTCTCTTCGACGGCATCGTCGAGATAACAAGACAAGGGCTTTCTCGACGTGATGCATTCAGCCACCGCAGACCGCATCGAGCATGAACAAGAGTACTGCAGCTTCATGCTTCGACTTTTGCCTATTGAAACACCATTACCGATTACCTGGAACGACGATACATTGCGAACGCTACAACAAGAATTCATGTCATGTAACCAAAGAGAGTATGTAGCCTGAGGTTGACCATTGGACATCTCGCGCAGAGGCACGGTTCATGTGCACGGCGCCTGCGCTTGCTCACAAAATAGCCGATTGGTTGTCTGCCATGACTCGCAAAGTCCCGAGGGCTCGGTGCCTGATAAGTTTCAATCAATATGACATCCTTGTCCACAGGCACGAAATCACACGGTGGCATCATTATCACTTGATTGGATCCAGCTTCCGCTTCATGCACAAGTCGGGTCTATAACCGCTCATGATGTGACAATCTGCACGCCTCTATTGCTGGCCACCCTTGGCGTTTGGCATCTATTGTAGGACACCGATTTATGCATCGCTACGATTAGTACTTGGGCCATGCTCCTGTCGCCATGTCCGTCGCGTCACTTATCGCTCTAGCTCAGGCGTCAGGAAGTGGATTGCCAATCTCAATCAAGAAAGCAGTCGACTGCATCGCTCCTGGACCCTCGGAACACGATAGCTTTTCATTCGCCTCTGCTGTATCATCGAAATGCTTTCTGGAGGATACTCGGCAAGGTCCCTAGATCTCTTCCTTCCCTTCGCGCGGCGAAGGTCACAGGCATATATTCGGGCGGTCTTTGTGTGCACATTTATCGTCCTTCTTTGGTTCAACTTACCATTATTGGCCCGCTTGGAGAAACGAATCGCCGGCAATGTTCACGCGACGATGCCCAGTGATTCGATGTATAAGGAACTTCCTGGGGCGAACGACACGCTTGTCATCATGAGGACTGGTGCGACTGAAATGCAAGACAAATTGCCCATCCATCTGACCACTACGTTGCTTCGGTATCCTGATAGCCTGATCTTTTCCGACTACGAAGAGGAGATTGACAGTCATCACATCATTGATGCTTTGGAGAGTGTGAGCCCTCATCTGCAGGAGACAAGTCCAGATTTTGAACACTGGCGACGACTCAAAGGAAATGGTCGAGAGGTATTGAAGACAGATGAACTGAGCGGAAAAACGGTATATCTCGATGGAGGTACTGGCAAAGCCAAGAACCCTGGCTGGTATGTTATAAGACCTCTGAACGGATAAGCGAAGAAATTGACGGGACAACATCTAGGAAGCTGGACAAATTCAAGTTTCTCCCAATGGTCAACAGGACTCTGTACGAATATCCAGATAAGAAGTGGTACGTGTTCGTCGAGACCGACACATTCATCTTCTGGCAGACACTTTTGGTCTACCTATCCCACCTCGACTGGACAAAGCCATACTATCTCGGAGGGCAGATCAACATCGGCGACGTCGAGTTTGGTCAAGGAGGCAATGGATATGTCGTCTCTCGCCCCGCTCTCGAAAAGGTCGTCTCTCACTATCAGGCTCACCAGAAAGAGTACGAAGACTTCACAGAAGGTCATTGGGCTGGCGATTGTGTACTTGGCAAAGCTCTGAAGGACTCTGGCATCTCATTGACACGTGCTTGGCCTATTTTCCAAGGCGACCCTGTGGGAAATATGAATTATCGACCCGGAGCACAGTGGTGCCAACCCACTGTATCATATCACCATGTTTCGCCATCAGTCATCCAGGACTTGTATGACTTCGAAAAGTCATGGTTGGCAGGGGCCGGAAATGTAATATCTATAAGACTTCGTTGAGACGATCGACTGCTAACTTCCGACTCACAGAATGTTACTAGCTTCTTGCGTCACAGAGACGTGTACAGACTCTACGCTCTTCCACGCATGGCTACTCCACGGAATGATTGGGACAATCACAGCAATGACGATAAAGGCATTGCAAAGTCACTAGAGAGTTGTCGAGTGATCTGCGAGGCGGATGGCAATTGTGTTCAGTATGCACTAAATGCTGAGAGCAGATGCTTGACCACTTCTCGACCTAATGTCGGGCGGCCAGCTATCAGCATGACTTCGGGCTGGATTACCGAACGAGTGCAGAAGTTTTATGATCAGGCGGGCGAGTGTAATGATGTGGAGTGATTGTCATGATATACAGCAGACGTTGCGACATGTATAAATCACATCTACGAATCTCCACATTTTCTGAACATATCTTGATCACCTATTTCACAATGTTCCTCTGATGAAGACGCGTAGATATCCCGTTCAAAGTCTGCGCTGTGTTAGGCTTAGTGGATCACAACGCCAGAGACGTAAGGAGCCCAATGAACCACAAACTGAGCTTAGATGCCTTACGTATGTCAGACTCATTCTACACACACACTCAAGGCTCTGAAAAATGTCCCACAATACATCAGATTCGGTTGAAGCGTACGTCAAACACTGTTACATAGCATAGATGGGAGTATGACCCTGCCACGTTCATACGCGCTCTAATACATATCAAAATGGCAAGATTACGCTAGCCATAGATTTACACACAGCCTTTCCTAATCTATGAAATCACACACATACCCCATCGATCGTCCTACAGAACGTCACAGCTACCCATCGTGTGCTTCACCTCTAGCGAGGCTACTTAGCACATACCGACAGACCCACGGCAATCCAAGTAACCATTCAACAAGTCGGTAAGTGTCGAACTATCTCATCACAACAGTAACCATCGCATCTCTATACTCAATTACGTTGTAGGAGAAAGGGCGAGACACAGCTCCTGCCGTTGTAACCGACTTCCCACCGCTGATATACCCTTGTGCCACTCCATCACATCTCTATTGCTTCTCTGCTCGAAGAGTCAGAACACCGTGTGCGAGTCTAGGAAAGCTTTTCATTACACATCAGACAACCTCAAGTCAGTACTTAGACATCATGTCGTGTAGCCACAATAACACGTTCTTAACTCCACTGCTCACACGTAGTCACCTCGATTGATTATTGAACTGAGTTGTGACAATGAAGACTTGATCTCATGATCTGAATTTGTTATCGCTCTCGATCTCACACGATCAATGACTGGTGGTCCGTTGAGCAAGCGAGCCAAGCTAAAAGACGATAGACGAGACATGTCGCATTGGGCACACGAGGAAGAGGGTGAAGAGGGTCGAACGTCAAGGTGAACGAAAAAAGTATACAGAAGGTAGAATTGAAAGTAGGAAAAGGCTAGTAGAAGTGATAGGTCAAGCACTACTTTCCAGACCAAAAATCAAGAGACTCGTGCTGCTGGCAACAGCCTCGATATGTTCGAGTAGGAGAAGTAGAAGGACGACAAGGAGTTTACCAGAAAGTTAATGCTCAAGCCATACGCCGCGACCTCCCTTTCTCCACCTGTTTCCCGAACAATGCAATCAATGCTTTCCTTGTCACACGACAAATGGAAAAGTTCCAGCAAAGGGTGAGTGATATGTGGTTGTTACTTCCTTCTTCGGTACATTTGTGTCTGATGCCTCCTGTGTCCAAAGTCGAGGAGAGCACTGCTTTTCCTCCTTTTGAATCTGATCCCAAAACAAAAGGGTAAGAACATAGAAAATTTGATGTCGTAAGCTTCTTTTTGTCGTTATGAATGATCGCCCGATCATCTGGGTGTCGAGCTGCTTTTGCGGCGCTTGAACGAGGCGTTAGATGATTGTGATCATGCGTGGGCTCTGTGACCCGGATGTCCTTGTCTCCATGCTTGTTCGCATATGCTGAGAATGGTGTCTTTTGTGAAGACACCGAAGCGGGGCGGATACACTTGGACTTGTGGTAGGACGTGGTAGAGACTGCTTGAATGCCCAATGTCAGTGGTCTGTCATTTGTACCACTATGTCGAATGGGCGAAGCGGTGGCATGATGTCGGCAGTATTATTCATGCTTGTGATTGGGAAAATGTGAGGTGAGGTCATGTCAACTTCACCTGTGCAGTTTCTCCCAACCATCCAAATAGTGCATGAGAGCCATGCCAACAACAACCACAATGAAGCCTGACCCGAGCGGCAAGCCATGATGAGCGAGCTGCTCCTTCAGCTTGTCAGAAGATTCGCTGTGAGCTTCATGATGTGCGACAGGCATCTTACGGGCGAGCAGTCGCGAGATTGATGCTGCTTGCTCCGACGATAGCGCTGCATTTGCATTGATCCCAGCTTCAGACAGAAGACTGTACAGACTGTCTTCGGCAAAGGGTTCGGTAACGTGGCCATTTGTAGATGTCGAAGTGCCTGAAGTGCTAGAAGACAAAGTTGACGTGATAGAACGGGTCTCCCGTTGATGCTGCAACTCGGCATTTTCTTTGCGCTTCTGCTCAACCATCTGTGCGAGGGATTGGTGTGCATCGTCGCGTTCGGATTCGGCTGTCTCTGCGCGACGGCGGTAGGCTTCCATCTGCATCTTCATATCTTCCATGGCAGCACGAAGTTTGTCAAGCTGCAACTGAAGATCAGGAGTCTCATCCTTCGGTAGCTCCTCGTGTACAGCCGAGTTGCCGGACTGGCTGATTGATGCTTCGTTTTGATCGTCAGAAGAAGTATCGCGAGATGACTCTAGCAGAGAAGCTCTTTCTTCGGCGCTTTCGCGTGCATTGCGCTCCTGCTTGAGTTGGTCTTCTAAGATTTTAACGCGGTCCTCAAGACTTGGGATCTGATCCTTGGCAAGTTTCAGTTCCTGTGTAAGAATCAGGAGAGCTTGCGAATGATCGGCTCGAGTAGGAGATCCATTTGGAGCCAAGATTGGACGAGCAGTCTCTGAACGCATGAGAAGAGGTTGAATGACAGGATCAGCAAGGGCTTTTGCAACGTCTGGCTTCTCGGGAAGCGGAGCTTGTGGTGGTGGAGCAGGAGGTTCAAACATGATGGATGATTTGGAGTCCGACTTTTGCTGCTTTCCAGGGGAAGGTCTGGGCGACTTGTCTTGCTTGCCCTTTAAATCGGCAGCCAACAGACCTTCCAGACAAGATCTGCTTCGGGCTAGATCCGAGGACTGCTTCTTAGCAAGGCTCAGTTCGCGGTTCAGACGCTTGACAATGGTCTCTGTTGTCACGGTCGATGGCCAAGCACGGGTCCATTGTGGTTGTTGCATAGCGCCAGAGTCTCTGGCAGCCATGACAGCAGCCATGGCGTTTGCCTTTGCACTCTGCTGCGAGGACTGGCTGTTGCTGCGCTTCATTTGATGGGAGGGGTCCAGCTCTCCAAAGTTGAGCTCGGTGCCCTGAGTGTAGATGCCAGCATGTTCGACACGAGCAGCAACCTTGTGATGGACAATAGTCTTTTGATCCTCACTGACGATATCGATTCCGAGTTCAAGGACATCTTGCTCACGCAATTCGTGCGGGTCTGATTCCTTGTTTTCGGGCGATAGTCTCTGGCCGTTGACGAAGGTGCCGTTGGACGACTTGACGTCCCGTATGAAGATTCGTCCGTTACGCTCAGCGTAGATTTCGGCATGCTGGCGGGAGAGGACTTTCGAGTCGAAGAAGCCATTGGCCGGCGTCGGGGCAGTTTTGGCGTTCGTCTGGCGTCCGATGCGCAGGACGTCAGGATAGAAAGGGACGCTGATGGTTTTGCGTTCAAACGTGCCGTTCATGGGCGAGAGATGGAGGATGGCGGGCGTGTCGGGAGGGGGCTGCGGGGCACCTCTGAGAGAGCCATTCTGGGCGGTGGACATTTGTTGTGAAGGAAGCATTGGGCCATGCAGGGCCGAGATGGCGGATGCGGCAGAAGGGCCAGATGATGTCGACGAAACGGGTTGCGGACGGGTTGTGGAGAGGCCGGCGGTGGGCTCTGCCTTCCCTGACGGCCAGATGCCTCTTGTGCTCTTCTTGCGGGTGGTCCATGTGGTGGGGTCTTGGTTGGAGGGCGAGGGCTGTGATTGCGTAGAGGATTGGGAGATGGTCGACGAGGAGGACGAAGAGGCCGAGGTGAGGGAGGATTGCGAGTTTGAGCGCTGGGCCGTCTTACGGGGGCCGGGCATGAACATCCTGGTCATGTCGTCCTGGCTCATGGTGGGAGCGCCGCTATTCCATGATGCACCGGAGCGGACAGGCGGCTGGAATTGCACAGGGGGCGCGACTGCCGTCATTTGTTGCTGGCGAGCGAGAGCGAGAGCGAGTGCGAGAGTGAGATTGGCGTCTTTGGCCGACGGGGAAAGCGCCGGGGCTTCGATGCTCGCGTGGTCGTACGGAGAGGACGACTTGGGAGAGGTGGATGTGGACGTGGTCGTTCTCGTGGATCAGCCGTATCGTGCGTCGATCATGTCCGGGGCAGTCGACGTGTCTCGGAACAAAGTGTCAAAACAGCAAAGACTCGAGAGAAATAATCTTATGCAGGCGTGCAGCCATCAAGAAAGGGAGCACGTCGAGCGTCACACTGGAAAGGCGCACAGACGACGCTGCAACAAGAACTTGGTCCTTCGAGGCTGGAAAGAGCAAAACGGCCTTCGAGCTACTCTATCTGACTATCTCGACCCGCGCCGTTGACTAGATATCTACGCGGAAGAGGCTGCCAACGACAAAGGATAGGTAATCTCGTCAACAGGGAAGTGAATGCTCGTCTTGAAGAACAACAAACAAGGCAAGCGACAGTGCTCTTGTGTCTCCCGCTGCCGCCGTCTCGGGCCAAGACTGCAAGCTGAAGTGCCAGAAGTGGAGCACAGTCTGAACTCTCTGCCAACCACCGAAGCAGAACAATCGACTCCATCGCGCCTTCTTCAGCCGTCATCCATTGTCCTGCATCTGACACGTGACTGCCAAGCATCTCTCCACCTTGATTGCTCGGCTCGGAAGCTCTTCTGCGCATACCAGAATCTGGAGAACATTGGATTGTCGCATTGCTCGTAGCTTCTCGCCCTCTGCTCTACTCGACTCGCCAACATGCCTATTCCTGCAAGCTCAATGCCCGCCGGTGCTCATGGTCCTTCTACCTTTGACAAACGTAATTATGCCTAACTTTCCAGACTCTTCACGTCGCCTCAGTACTGACCACTTTCCAGTCAAGATGGGTGCCATGATGGGCAGCAGTACGTCCCTTCCTCGCTAATATCCTCTTTTCTTCCGACACTCACCACCCGACAGGTGTCGGTCTCATCATCGGCTTCATCTTTGGTGCAACAAACATTGTCAGATTCGGCCCTGGTCCAAATGGAATGCTGAGAACCTTGGGCCAATACATGGCCGGTTCCGCCGCCACCTTTGGGTATGTTCAAGTGTCATGTTGCTACGAGGTCCTCGGCTGAGCTCTGCTCCAGATTCTTCATGTCCATCGGTTCAACTATTCGCACAGAAGGCACCTCGGCTATCGCCAACCAGGCCTACGCAAACGCCTATCGCAAGCCTTTCATTCTGCCCAGGCAACGCTCTGATCGCTCATAAGAGATGACTATGGATCACACTATTCCAACTGAGCTGAAACTTCTTGGGCCACTGATCTCGACACGAGAACTATTACACAGTGCCCAGCTCAATATAACACAAGCTTCGAAGTCTGGTATGTCACAAGATGACAACCACACAGAGCTTGTCCGATTCATGGATCCAAAGGTCCGAGTACTGGACGAGCCTTGAATCTTTTGGAGCCATGAGACGCTTCCAGTCGCTGGCTGCCGGCCTCGCACAAGGCCATTACGCTTGTATGTACTTTATACCACTTCCTGTAGCAATATCTATCCTCTTTTATTTCGCTCGATCTCTTCCAATCCGTATCTTCTCAAATTCTCATCTCAGCACGCGGTTTTCAGCATCATTTCCACCGGAGCCAGTGTTGGCACGCTCCGTGTGTTTGTTTTGCCTGCGTCGATAAGTGAAAGTCAGCTTTCTGGCCTAGTCAAGGCGCTTTCCGGCGTCACTTGCGCCTTCCCATTACCCATACAACTTATCTCCAAACCATCACAACAAACCTTATCTTCAACAATAAAGAAGTCGTCCGTTGCTCCTTCTACACACGCTCTATATTTATCACTCTTATCCGACCTTGTTACTATGGCCGACCCCTCAATCATAGCAGTCACCATCTCTGTACCTGGACTGCCAGCCATTCTTCAGGCTATACAAGATCTCAGAACAGAGTACCAGATCACGAACGGGCACTTGCAGAACATTGATGCGCGCCTGCGTAACATCGAGTCGCGATCTGCGGACGAGTCCCAATTCCCTGAGGATATTGTCGAGACGGACTTAACTACAGATCATGCGCCTGAAGTCCCCAGTGCGCAGGAAGAACTCATCAACAACAATCCCGGGGCTCTTTTCAAACATGAGACTCTCATCAACGGAACACTCAGAGTCTCAATGGCGCAAGACTTGCCCGTCGATAATACGCCGCCTGTAATCAGAGATGCATCGTCTCGAGACTCATTCCCCAGTGCCGACGAAGGTCTCACCAACACAAGAACGAACGGAGAAGAAGCTGCTGTTCTAGGTCGCTCGATGCAGTCTGCCATGCCTGCTGCTGGACAGAAGCGCAAGCGTGTCGAGGGTGATATGGGATTTGCCATGCGCGACTCCGCAGCACAGATCGCCCAAAGAAGAGTCGAGGATGGTCACGAAGAAGGACCATCTCTTTCAGAATCTCCTTTCGATTATCGCGTCACCGACCGCGCCGACAATCACGAACTGACCTCCGATGCGATGGACTTCATACCACCAAAATGGCCGAGAACTTCGATGCAGTCTCCAGCAATTCGTACAGAGATCCCTCAGGCTTCGAGATCAACTTCGGCGACTCCAACCCTCCAAGATTCTATCGATGCTTCGTACATTAGTGCCCCCACGGAAAACGTCACATACAGGTAAGATTGATATTCTTGCTTCCCATCGACCCTACTAACTTCGAGACTAGCCGAACTGGTCGTTTGCGAAGACCGGCACAGCGACTAGCTGGGTTTGTCTCGACCCCCACAGAAGCAGAGATCACAAGAATGTCTGATCGTGTGATCGGTCGCCGTAGATAGGTCTGTCTGATTGTCAGAGGTACGGTCAGCTCACGGGGAAACTGTCCTACTGCTACAGAGGGATGGTGGGTTGACTGACGGACGGACAATCGAGAGACGGGAGGTGAAACAGATGCTTATGATCCGCGATGGTCATTCAGGATCGAAGGATGTATACAGCAGCGCAAGACACCGTAGCCGTGGCTTTGAAATGGAATGCAGATGAAGATGACCTGAATGATGCTTGTCTAAACGATGTGTTCGTGCCATATCAGCTGCTGTTGTTCAGCCTTCACTTGGATTCTCACGCATGTGCCCTCATATCCACGTGCCTCCTCGTCACTGTTGCCGGGTCTGCCATAGCAGCTGACCCTGTGACTGTGGTGATGATAGTTTCAGGCAGTACAATGAATATTTGCGGTCATCTACAAGATGTTCAGATGGAAGTGACAAGATCCAAGGTCTTCATTTCTTCCGGTCTTACATTATCTCCTCCCGCCCGGTTGACTATCTAGACAGGCTGGTTCCCAAATCTCAGACACTACGGAGTGTTTACGGCATATATCAAGTCTTCTGCTAAGAGCTGGTCAATGAAGTGAAGCAGAGCTTGTGCGCACTTTACTACGCCTTTCTAACAAACATTTCAAGCGTGACTTTCTCTCCACGCCGACCACACTTTTCATCTATCTTAAACATAATCTAATATGGACGAAATATTACACGATCTAGTCGTATCGCAGACGGAGACGAACAACCTTTCAAAGGAGCTGATTACTAGCATTAACAGTCCGCTTCCACTTACTAGACATAATCTGTCGTACTGACTAATATTAGACCGTCACACGACTTCGACTGACGCCTCGCCTGCTCCTGCCATCCAAAATCACGAGTCGTTAGTCAATTTCAACCACTTCTACATCCTTTACTTTCTAATTTATCTTCAGGTATGCCTCTGCCATAGAGGCCGCCCGTAAGGGCAAGAAAAGAGTGGAAAAGTGAGTGTATCCCTTTTCTATACTTCCCCCACTTGCCTAAGACTCACATATCAGCAGCCTTGTCGACAAACCTCTCGACCAAGACAACTACGGTGTAAAGTGCGTTTATCTTCTTCCCATAAAATTTACAGCCATCAGCTGACGATGTCTCAGCCGCGAACTGTCGAGAACTCTCAGTGAGAGGCTGTACGTGGACTCTCCATCCAAAAACTCATCGGCCAAGTGTTGACATTTCTATAGCGCAATCGCTCCAAGCATCGAGACTGTAAAGGCAGGTTTCTCCTAATCACAAATTCAATGCTATGTGAGAGATTCTTGAGCCCAAAACGTAAGAGCCACAGACCGACATGACAGCAGGACCACCTCCACTACTCCCGACGAGCCAGAGAATTCGGATGATGAAGTCGAGTACATCAAAACTGTCAAGAAGACCATAAATGTCGTCAAGCCCGCTTCCCGTCGTGGAAAGGCTGCCGCCCCAGTCCTACCCGACCCTTCGCCATTTCGAGCTGCGAAGCGCGCAAAGAAGGACCAGGAAAAGGACGTCAACCCTAAGAAGCGTAAGCGCGAGGAGCAGACAACCCTCTCGCCCCTGAGGCTCAGATCTGGTCGCACCAGATTTTCAGCAGTCACCGACAAGCGCGTCTAGTCTCCCGACGACAGAAGCAAGATTCCAGAGAAGTCAGACGACAGAACCAAAATTCCAGAGAAGTCAGAATGTATACAGAGCAAAGAAACAGCAAGGAATCAAGGAAAAACCAACGAAGAGACTGAGGAAACAAAGGAAAGACATTACCGTGGCGCATACGCTAGAGAACACAGTCATCACAGTACCAGAATGCAAATCGCTCCCCTCCGACTTACATGTCCAATTCTCCCAAATGAAAAATATGTAGCCGAGAACGGACACAGATGCAGATATTTTCTCGTGAAAACAAGGACGTGAAGTCAAGGCTTTGCAGTTCGCTGTCTCCACGATTGGACACTTTTTTCTTTTTTCTTCTTTTTTCCCCCTTTTTTTCCCCTTTTTCTTCCTTCTTCTCTCCTTTCTTTTTTCTTCTACCTTATCTTTCTCTTCCATCTTTCCTACAATGTAATTATAATATGTAAATGTATCTTATCACTCTTCTAATCTACACCTACCGGTAATATACTATAATAGACATATTTTCCTACACTTCCACAAAGCCATCCCCATTTTTCAGATAGCCTCCCGTCGCGCGACCTCGGGCGTCGAGAGAAACGAAGAGTCTTGCTAGAATCGTGAATTTGTGTGCTCTTTCTCCTAGTCATAAGTTTTAAAGATGTGAGTTTTGTAGTGACATTCTCTGTCTCGTATCGTTGCAAATTGAGAACACTCGAGGTCATGAATGTCATGGAGCTATTGCGATGATGGGGGGGCTAGCAATGGCAAGATCCTTGGATCGGGCAGCGACAAGTCTCTCCACCCCCAAATCGTATCGGGATACTACTGGTCACCTGCCCTGCTTCACTCCATCGTCGTAATGCACCACGGCTTTCCATTGCTAGCAGATCGAGCCTTGTGAGTAGGGCAGACACGAGAATACGAGCGGGACAAGCAAACGAACTTCAATCTGTAATAATTCTTTTGCATTTCTCGAACTTCTACTTTCCTCCTCAATGCAACTCAACTATGCATCCATCATCAACATCTATCTTTTGATTCTGATTGCAGGGTGTCAAGATACAATCAATCCCAATAAACAACTTCCTCCCACTCTTCTTATGCTACAAGTCCCCACTTCCCACCCTCTGCCCCGTCATTGCTTCGTTAGGCCAAGGTTTCATCCTCCTCAGGCGCGAAGAAAGTCTCTCTTCGCCGCCTTGTAGATGCAAATGCAAAACATCGAGCCCGATTCACGCGCCAAAACTCCCATTGGGGCCGAATCCACTCTCAATGATAATCCTCGTCATTTCCTTCCTCGTACTTGCTCCTCTCCTCGTTCACTTGGAGGGCCGTGGGTCATTCCTCAGATCATATGAATAGATCGAGCTTTTGCAGAGAATGTTCCGATGAGAGGACACAGTTCTCAACCCGTCATCTTTTCGTAGAGCAAGATGTAAGCGACCTTGTTGTCCTTGACACTGCTCTTGTCCTTGGCCAGTGGTGTGCGCTTGCCAGATGATGTGCCGTTGGCGACCGTAGATGTCCATGTGGGCTTCTTGTTGGCGCCATTGACCTCGTTCCAGCTACGAACGCTGTCCGTGTCATCATCACCATCAAGACCTTCGAACAGATTGCGTTTGGAAGCATCCTGATCAGCCTTGTGCTGCTCGAGAGCGCGCGCCAAGATTCTTGGGTCTTCCTCAGAACCGCCCTCGGCCACGTCTTCAGGACGAATGCGGCGGATGATGGTGTCGTCAACGCGAACCCACTCGCGCTCGTCCTGTCGAAGAATGTCAACTGTATAATGACCACCTGCAGCACTCTTGCCATGGTGGTAGACGACCGAAGTCAGGCGATACTTGGGAGCACCACCCTGCACGGCTAGACCACCACGCTTATGTGGTGCAAAGACGTCCTTCGGAATTTCTAGCTCGAGCGGGTAACCGACCTTCTTCCAGATCTTCTGAGTGCCACCGGTGTTGTCATACTGGAAACGCTTCAGGTGAAGGATCAAGACTGGGGGCAGACTTTCAATGAAAACCTGCTTGACAGCAGTCGTGCCTGGTCCGCGAGGAGAACCGAAATCTCCAGTCAAAGTCTCGGGCTTGGTGATTGCTTTCAGTGCTTGGATAATATTGTTGACATCTGGTGCACCAATGTCCAATTGCAGAGGCTGGTAGGGCTCCATGGTGACCGAGTTCTTGAGTCCGGGGACACGAAGTTCCGATCGGAGGGTACCACCAAAGATGCGAGTGATGGGCGTAGAAAGAGATTCTCCGCTCTGGCGAGTGACAGACTGCTTCTGCTTGGGTCCAACCTCGAGCCAGCCAGCATCGGCGTTGGCTCCTGATGTGGTACTGGCAGGCGATGAAGGCTGCGCAGATTCGTCCGAGTCTACTCCTGCCTTGCGCATCACAGTCATACACTCGTCGTGAATACCATCAAGCAGGAAACCGAGGAACTCCTCAGCGTCTTGCTGATGGCCACGTCTCATGGAAGAAAAGCGAGGCAACATCTTGATCGTGTCGTAAACATACTCGGGCGTGATGGAGTCACCGTACTGTTCCAACTCCTGATCCTTGAGGCGCATGCGCAGCTTCTCAGTAGACTCGGCACTGTCGATGGTTTTGAATTCTCTCATGAACATGATCCTGATAGAGTCAGTATTGTATAACGACTTGAAGCGCAAAGCCTTACATTGCATCGACAAGAGGAGTATCGCTCTTGAACGAGTGGGCAGCTCGCTTGCTGACCTGATCGAGGAAGTTGTAGAAAGGCATACAGTATACAAGTATTTGAAGAATCTGGAAACGTCAGTCTGATTCTACCGCATGTCTCCGAATGACCTACCGAATTCATATAGCACATGTTACCAGTGTTCACAAGTCCTCTGGGCTCCAAGAAGGCAATCTTATCATTATCGTCAACATTGAACTGCTTCAGAGCACCAGCAAGAGTGCTGGCTCTCGAAGGAGTTGCGCCATTAGTGGGGGCAGCGCCGTTCACTGCAGCAGCGGAAGCAGCGGCATTAGCGGTGGCCTTTGAGCGCATGAGATCTGCCCATGACTTGGGGGCGGCTTTTGGTGCGGGTGTGACAGGCTCGGCAGATTGAGCCTCAGCGCCAGCTTCGGGTTGGGAAATGGCAGACTCGGCGGCAGATGCGTTCTGCTCTGCGGTACTGACAGCAGTGGAAGCGGCCTCAGATGTGGCAGTCTTTGGTCTGCTGGTAGGCACAGCGGGAACGGCGGGCACGATTGGGACGGCTGGCCTTGCATCTTTCTTAGCCTGACTTTGAGGGGTGGTAGGCTTCGGGACATCTGCTGAAGGAACGGCTGCATTGCCTTCGATTTCAGAAGGAGGCGGTGAGGTAGTCAATGCTTCCTGGGCGGATGAGAGCTTGGAAGATGCAGCGACAGGGGAAACATCGGACTGTTCCGCATTTGCAACAGGTTCGAGTGAGGAGGCGGCACCTCTGGAAGGCAAAGTGACAGCATCGTTGCCTGCAGTCAAGTCTTGTCTCTTTCTTCTACGCTTCGAGGCCTTTGCAGGGAATGTCTCGTCGGGGGCCGAGTACCACGGTAGCTGGGAAGCGATGAGCACAGTGAAAATAGAGCCTAAGCAGCAGAACTTACATCAGGGTAGTATGGCATGCGGCGCACAGCAATCTGAGGCTGGGCAACAGATGATCTGCGCGAGGCGGGAAGAGATGGCGTCGAGGCTTGTACTGAGGGCGGACCGGGCGACGGCAGTGACTGCGGGATGGAAGTGGCGGGTGTTGGGGGAGCATGATACAGAGGCGATTGGGCAACAGGCAGCTGGTGGACGGGCGATTGCGACGGGGCAGGATGAGAGGGAGCCATGTACGGTATACTCGTCTGTCGCGTGACGGGCGGAGGCATGCCAGCCATATGCGGTTGAGAACTGACGACTACCGGCGAGCGCGGGGGAAACTGCTGCTGCTGCTGATGTTGCTGGTACTGATGCTGTTGGTGGTGCTGATGCATAGGGTAGCCGTAGCCCTGGGGCATCCATCGTTGCTGCTGCGGAGGATAGCCCATGTGCGCGCCGGGATGGCCGTAGTAGGCCTGGGCGCTCGGGTGGTGAGCATACTGAGCGTAAGGGTTCTGCACGGCCTGTTGCTGGTGGAACTGCTGATAGTCCTGGTGGCGACGCGATTGATGGTGATGCTGCATGGGAGACGAGTGAGCAGGCAGAGCGGTTTGCGGAATATGCGATTGCCCTGCCGGCAGATGATGGTTCATCATGCCGGCGGTTGACGAGATGTGGAAGGTCGCCGCACGTCGATCACGACTGACGTACTACGGCCGACAAAGGTGCGCTGCTTGTCGAGAGTTGGGACGCGTGAGAGAAGCCACTTTGCGCGAGGATGGCAGCAGCGCAGAATGCAGAGCGGTGATGTCCAACTGGTTGACGACGATGAAAGACTCAAGTGGTCAAGGCGCCAAAAGTCGGCAGCTCAAGGAGACCCGCTCAGAGTTCCAGGATCAATGGCCACTTATCTCACCTTTTTGTTTCCTCGTTGTGAATATTTACTATATCCCAAGTCAACGAGGCAGCTGCTCTTCCGTTTCCACAAGCCGCATTGAAAAAGGTCGTGATTGGAGAACCTGAATGCGACTTGTTCGCTCTTTCCATCGCCGCACCATTGTTCCTTTGTCTGTGACGCTATTGCTGTTTCTGACCAATCGGCGCTAGCCAGATATACCTCCGACAATCTTCCGCTGAGGAAGGACCGACGACGGCCAGTCCTCACTACCGCGACCCTCTTTAGCCTGTGTATAGTATTGCTCTATTTCAGTGACTTATATTTTCGCCAAACATTCATAATGGTTTCTAAGAAGGATATGCGCAGAGGTGACCTCAGTATGATTCGATATCGTTACAACCAGGATGATCAAAACTGACCACGCGACAGTCGTCCCCTATGCAGAGCCAGCCGATGCAAAGAGCGAAGCCGATGTCACTGGTACAAACATATGGTTCCATTATGAAATACTGACTTGCTAACGTGTGTTGAAATAGGTGTCTTCGGAAGTACGCTTCCTATGGCTGCTGTAAGTACAACATCTACCTCTGTGATTGCACAAATCAACTGACATGTGGCCAGATCTTCACTAGAAACAAGTAAGGACGACCTTACATATTGCATCGAGCATAACGAAATTGAGGAAGGTACTAACACTGCCACTTTCCAGGATGATCGGTTGGGTTGCCGTCATCTTCGCCGTCCAAAACTGGCTCTCAGAGACTCCCGAGTCCACAAAGAACCAATCAACTCCTGGATACATGACTGTCGGCATGGCTCGTATGTCGCCCTGCGCCTCTGTTCATGTTCTGGTGCTAACTTTGTAAACAAGTCATGTCAACAGCAGTCGCATATCTTCCTCTGTTCATGCCTCCGATTGCAGCACCTGGCATGGGAAGTGGCACCGAGGCTCCCGCTGCTGCCGCGGTACCTACCCCATGATCTGTCTTTTTGTAATCGATTCCAGAACTTGTATATCACTTTTCAGTCTGTTGAGAAGCCAGACTTTTGACTCATCAACTATCTTTCCATATGTGAACCCATGGACACGTCATATGGATACGTGGTTTGACAATATCATTACCGGTACACAGTATCTCAAGAGGGAAAGGAACATAACATTTTGATGCGAAAATGGGAGGGCAAGGGGGTATCTAACGGGTAAAAGCAACAGCAAAACAGCGACAAGCAACATCCATCTCCTCTCAGTAACAGGCTCTGCTGACAAGAGTCGCCATAAGTAGCACTTACAACGTCTTGGCTGCCTCGGCCCTTCTCTTTTCGACACTCTTCGCCGTGACGATTGGTCCCAATCTTGAGGACGCCTGAATCAGGCCGTCAATGGTTACTACACCTCTAGCCATCTTACGATCCATAAAGTCATAGATTGAAGCAGCCGAATCCAGCTTCAACAGATCGTCTTCGTTGAGCTTGAGCAATGCAATTGCGACATGCAACAGGAAGACTTGCTGATTCTGACCAGGAATGCCCAGTACAACATCCCATACACGGAACAGTGCTTCTACTGACAGCGTCGATGCAAATGCTGTAAGGAACCAATTTATCGGCACTGTCTGCTCGTCAAGGACATCGAGTTCGTCAAGATGTGCGCCGAGACGAGGCAGCAGTGTGCGTATATACTGACGCAGCACGATGGTATCAGCACGCGGGCCTTGCCAATCGTGTTCAGCCGTGAAGTAAGACGTGGGAAGAACTTTCTCAATTAAGAAGCAGAAGACCCAGAATGCCTGTTCGGTAGTCGGCATCGCAAGCAAAAGGTAGCCAGCAATGATATTGAAGCCTTGACAGTATCCGATGTCCTTGTTTCTGATGGCGAAACAGCCGAGTAGCAAAGCCAATGCATCCTGGTTTTTCTCCTTTCGGAAGTACACATTGTTTGTCAGAGTGCGAGGTGTGTCCATCTCAATATCATGTAGATACCGTTGATCGTCCGGGTGCGTGTTGTACTCTGCTGCTAGCATGTTGAAGTCTTCAGGCGAATAATGTATGCTCGACTGTGCGCTCTCCAGCCAGATCTTGGCGCGTGTCTTCATTGGGATGCCGTCGAGGACGAATTTTACGAAAGGACCACTAACACCCGACTGTGCAAGATTCGCAATGCCAACAGTACTGGTGCCCATGGCTTCCACGCGGTTCTTGGGTGCCATTTCCGTGGTGTTTGTGAAAATGCGCGAAAACCTGTTGCTAGCAAGCTTCGGCTCTTCAACCTTTGCCATCAAACGATCGTATGCTTGCTCTCTTGCGATTTGCAATTGAGTATACTCGACCGAGATCTCATCACGCAAGCGTTCTGCATGTGTTGTGAAGTCTGCGGGGTCACACATCTGTTCTAGTCGGGGCATTCCGTCATCGGTGTCGACCGACGAGATACTAGCGCTGTCGGACATCTTCGATCCATGCAATTGAATTGGCAGACGCGATAGCAAAGCTTGCTTAGTCACTTCAAGCGTAAGAAATTCGTGCCATGGTCGAGGCTCTTCACTGGCCTCTGCAGAGCCATCGTTCTGATGTTCGTCCTGAATCACTACATCAATATTTCCTTCCTCATTACCTTCCTCGATGGAAGTGATGGATGCAGAACGAGTGGTTGAAGTTGCGCGTGTAGCTATTGAAGTTGTGCGACTTTTTGAAGGCTGAAGTTTCTCCATGGACCACAGCCACTGTTGAACCCGAGGACCGTCAATGATGAAGCCATAGTTATCAGCGATGAATGCTCTGAAGAGGATCTTAATGATCTTCATGTCAAGCAATGGTGGCGGTAGATCTTCGTTCTCAATTTTCTGTTCCATCTCCAAAGGCTTGTAGGATGACATTGAGTTGGAGCGTGTTGTTTGTGCGATGCTTGGACTCCGAATGCCCAGCATTCTTGGATCTAGCATAGAGGCAATTGAATGACGATTCTGTTGTTTGACTGGCTGACGCACAGAGCCTTGACCACCAAACAGATTGAAGAGACCACCTCGCTGCTTAGGCATTCTGTTGCTGAATGGTCCATTAGTACTTAGTACAACGCAAGATGAAAAGGCAGAAGAGTTCAACTTACGTATCGACCTTCAAGTTGGTTGCAGAGTTGCGAGATGCACGTATAGTCGAGGAGCCGGAGGGAAAGCTTGGACTGGCCGAGGTATCGTTTCTGACCAGAGGAGGAGCAGACTCTTGCGAGTTGGCTGTGAGCTTGAGAGAGTCTTTTGGCAGAGCAGCACGGCTGTCGCCAAAGAGATTGTCCGATGAGGCAGATTCCAACTCTTCTTGTAGATCGTTCGCAGAAGGCTTCGAGAAGACAGGCGAATCGCGCACCGTCCTATCGGCCTGCAGCCTTGACATGTCGTGTACAGCCATCAGATGGTCCTTGAACAGTGTGCCAAACTCTTCCACTCTTCTTCGCAGACGCGAGATCTCGGCGTCGCGATCGCTGACATCTTTGGCCAAGCGTCGAATGACCTTGCCTGCACCACCTTGACGTTTGACGTAGGCTACAACTGTCTTGTCATCGGAGTTCTGGAGGACTTGGGGGTTGTTGAGCTGATCGTTGACGTCGTTGAAGAGCGGAGGACGCGACTCGTCTCTAGGAGCCATGTTGAGGACGTTAATGAGCGAATGCGATGCGGCCGAGACTTGGTCGAGAGGTCGTGTGTCCTGCTCGGAACCAGAAGCAGCTTCGGCTTCAGTCTCGTTTCCTGAACTGGCAGCTATCTCGCCATAGACGTCTTCAGCGAGAGAGTTTTGCCTGTCGGGAGCGTAAATGGAACGGGACCGTTTGCTGGACGAGTAGGAACGGATTGAGGCGTCGTCTCGGCCGCCGTGATTGCTACCGCTGCCGTTCGTGACCGTGAGTCCATTCGCCATAGTACTCGCCGTGCTGTTGTAACTCGATGTCACTACATTATTTGGGGGCGAAAATGGTTCGAATGAGGTGAAAGTCGTGTTCTCCTGCGGTCGGCCAGCGCTCTGCAGTGATTGATTCGATGCTCTCGCACGCGGTCTGATCCTTTGAGTCGATGACTTCCTTGAGGACGACCGTATTGGCCGGCCACGGTCGTCCATTATGTCAACGACTATGCTGAACTGCGCGATGTCCCTTTCTCAAGCAACAAAGACGACAAGACGATGGTAAACAGCATTGTCTAATCCTCCCTGCTTATCCATCCAGACTAAATGCTTCGGTCCGATGAGCTTTCCCCGCTCCCGTCGCAAACCGTCATCAAGGCTCATCCCTATGTCTCATTTCCACGAAGGGGTTCAAAGGGATGTCCAATTTCTCCTGCGTCAAGGCTACGTGGTAGCTCGACGCGCGCGACCATCATCTATCTTCGCGCAACTCTCATCATACTCGACGTTGGGCTCCTATAATCAATCAGGCTTCAATCTATATCTCCTGGACGACACGCGCGATACACGTTCTGCCAAGCTGCACCTTGAAGCATGACGTATAGCGGCCTCAGAATAGATGGAGGCGCCTTGCAAATTCTTCCAGAATTTCTCCTGCGATCTAAAGAAGACTTGAAACTGCTCTGGACAGGGTGACACATCGATGCGGCACCGGATTGAAGGACAACATGGCGCATGGTTAATGATTCCCACGACCGCTACTCTTCTCCGCTGGTTCGCTGTTCAAGAGGGTTCAACGGTCCCGCGTGGTAATAATAGAATCCAGTTTTGAAACCTCGAACGCATTTGGATGTGACCTGAGATCCTGAAGCCAACATCGTGTCCGCATCTTCTTGGGGCCCAAAGCTTCGGCTGGAAGAAGTGATGCCTCTTTCGTATGCCGTTGCAGATCATATTGCATACTTGCACACCTCCTGAGAGCGGCATCCACTAAGTTCGGAGCAACGTCCCGGCTGTATGCTACTGGCATAGGCTGGCAGCCGAAGATACATTCGAACATAGCTCCGACATAGTCTTGTACGACTTTCCCTGGAACCTTCATCGGACAGCCCGTTCGCAGTCAAGGAGATGTGCCTTCATCACAACCCGACTGTGCTCGAATGACGCAGGTCGTCCAAGCTCATGGTGCTGATAGCTGTGCTCGTATCTTTGGCGCCACAGCTTACTCTCAATGGACGTTGTACAGGGCAGTCATAGGATCTGTCCAGAGCTAGGCAACGCTATGATGATGATCCCGGTGCCTGACAGGCCTATCGCATTGCCTTCTTATGGTGCTGATGGATGCAGCAACAGGGGTAGAACGTCGCCTTTTCTTTGCAATCGTGTTGGCTACCTCAGCATGGCGGCCATACGACTCATTGTTGTGAGCTACTGCCATACTGGTCCTGCAGGTGGAGGCAATATCCGTCTTTCGCCATTGTGACCGTCCCTCGAGCCTCGAGGACTTCAACAAACAGTTCCCAGCTCAGCCATCATTCCTTGTTACCAGAATGTGGAATGTTGGGGCCCGGACGAAGCATTGTTCGTGTACAACTTTCTTTGTGATAGTTCAATACGTCAAAGCATACGATCAAGCGTCCCGATCCAGAGGCTTGGTTTCGTTGTATCCTCTAGGCATGGCAGGGCGATTTCCAGTCGCCGCGTACCTCTTTCCCCGACCATTCCAGTATGCACTTCACCCACATCGTCTGGTTGTCGTTTTTGAATGCGCTCGAAGCGATCAAACGAGAAGGTCTCCAGGAACGAGTATGGGTGGCCTCGAGTTGAATCTCTTTCGCATAGCATCTGAGACTCGAAGTATCTCGATCTGCGTGTACAACCCTCGACTTTTCGAGGCTTCTTGACGTGGTAGTTGCAAGCTTGCGAATATGGACAGCCTGCGGCGGCTTCAATCCTGGACTGAACCGGCATTGTCGTCCGGAAATTTGACGTTCACGGCACGTCCGCGAGTTCAGAATGCCCCGAATACGAACGACGGTGTCGAGATTTGGTCCAGCACGACAGACTCGAGCCGGACCTAGAACGAAAAGTTCATGGTGTCGACCTTTTCTTGCTGCCAGGTCGATGATAGCAGGCGAGATAGGGATTCTTGTTTATGCTGGCGCGAAGTTGCACGATCATCACGGTACAGCTGCAGCGCAGCCCTTGCCGTCGGAGCGACTGAGATCCGAGGAGCACCTAGACTCGATTGGATCCAGCGTCGATGGTGCCCTGCTTGCCAAAATGACGAGATGGACCGATCATCAGCTTGTCGTCGGAGCCGGTGCTCATGGAGCGTCGTGTGCGGCAGGAGTCGCTGCGTGTCGAGATGAGTCGTCCTCGATCGTGCCGTAATGTGAGCAAGGATGACTTGGCCGTCAACGTGTCAATATGTGCCACGAAAGTCAGCACTCCATCACCGTTGCACCGTGCCCGACAGTCCATAAAAATGCACGAATATTTGTGTGGTCATGGACGCGATGTGGGAAAGCGAAAGCCTCTCATCGAGAACCAAGCCATGCTTATATCGGCGGAAGCTGGACTGGCATCATCACTAGCTGTACAAAGGCATGGAACAAAGCCGAAAGCGCTGCTTGACGATTGAGATGTTGGCAAATCATTTCACCGGACCGGGCATCTGGCAGGATCACAGACTCCACGTACAGAGTGCACATCACGATGACAAGGAGGCAACGCATCAAATAAGATCGTTTATGGCTGTGTGTCTAGGAGTTCTATCCCTCCTTTTCTGCCTTATCGGCCTCCTTCTCGTCGTTCTCCTCCTCGGACTCCCTCTCCTCGTTCTCTGAGCCCTGGGTGCTGGGCCGGGTGCTGCCCACGAGCTTTGTGAGGTCGTAGCCTCCTTCGATGCTGCGAGACCGCTCTTGCTGCTGCTACGAGTCAACATTTAATACCTTTTCGATCGTGTGAGAGCGGGACTACATACCTCTTGTTCTTGGGCAGCGGCAGCGGCACTCTCCAACCGGGCCTGTCTGATCTGCTCCTCTTCCTACACCTTCGTCAGCAAGATTGTCAGTGTGGATAGCCTGAGTGACTCACGAAAAGCCACTCTGCGAGCTTCTCCTTCTTCCAAGCCTCGAGCTCTTTTGCGCGGTTGGCCAGACCGGGGAGTCTCTCGTACTCGCTGTACATGGTTGCCCCGAGGTTGGCCAGACCCGGGCTCTTGTCTTCTTGCTTTTCGACCATTGTCTCTCTGTGTCGTTAGTGAATGGGCAATGTGACTGTGGAAGTGCACAACATACTCTGCCGCAGTGGTGTTGTGTTGGCAGAAAAAGGCAACTGCGCGAGCGAGAAGTTCAATCCGGGTCCGAAGCGATTGCTTGGCTAGGCGAGCAGACGTGCTGCTCCACTCGACGAGAGGGTCAGATCTCGAACAGCAGCACCGCTCACTTGCCGTGCTGTGATAATGCACAGTCATTTTGGACTTCGCAGACATGTGCCCAGAGATAGGCTACGGAGCTACTCGGTTTCTCAATCTCAGAGCATGAGACAGCCAATGGCATAGGCCTCTGCATTGTCACAGCACGACATCACATCGATTTGGTCATTGGGACACATCAAGATCACACGAGAACAAGCAAGACGAGTGTGAATCAAAGATGGATGTGAAAACGAATAAAGCCAGACTGGCGTGGGTGGGTATCTTTGCGAAAACTCCAAAAGGCAGGAAAAGAAGCAAAGCGAAACAACGATCCACCGCGTAGCAGCCGACCACCGGATGCTCCTTATAACGCCCATAACAATGCATTTTCGTGTGCTCATGTCATCTTGCGTAGCAATGATGATGGTGGTTGATCATGTTGAACAAAAGCTCTGGGCTTTGCTTGATGATGATGACGCTGTTGGGAACACGTTAGAACACGTCCATTACACGTGAAAAAGCATTCAACACGTACCTTTGGTCTCACTTACCGAAGACCCCCTTGACCTTCTTGATGGCGTCGTCGATGTTGTCGGCGACGGCGTCACGCTTGCGCTTGTGAGGGAGAGGGTAGGGAGGGTAGCTGCACTTGCCCGAGCCGCACCAGGGAGGAGGGAGGGCTATTCATAATCAGCATCGCCAAAGTGCGAAGAGATCTTGGAAACTTACGGCCGTTGATGCGGAGCCAGTCGGCGACGTGCTCCTCAGGCAGCTTGGTAGAGCCAGTGGCGACCTGGATCTGACTCAGGGTGATGAGGCCAGCCTTGAGGTTGGCGAGGTAGGTCTTGGTGTCGAAAGCAACGATGTTGCCGCCGGCCTGGCGAGCAGCAGCAGAGTCCATGCTGTCGTGGCGCTCACGGATGATGTCCTCTGGACCAATGCTGGCGATACGGTCGTAGGTCTCGTCAAGAGCAGTCATAATGTCGCTGAAAGTGGTGCACTTTGACTCGACAGAGGCGGCATCAGTCTTTGAGTTGGGAGAAGACATGCTTGAAGATTGAGTGATTTGTGTTTGTGGAAGAAGAAGGTAATGAAGGCTTGAACGATGTTTGAGCTCGAAGGCAGATGAAGAATGTGGTTGTGAGTTGTGCGAAAAGGTAAGGGTGCGTGAAGTATGGAGGGAGGATAGGACAAGAGAAGGATGGTCAATCGTTTGGTATATGCGGTCCAAGCTTTGGTCGTTCACTCGTTCGACTCTCGAGCTTCACCCACAGACTTTTCCGGCACCTTTCAAACGATCACATGATGATGCAATCGCAGACGACGAGATCTGCTTCGTGGTCGACATCACCTTGTTCGATAGCCTATGGTTCTTAGTGCACTCAACCCAGCACAAGCACTATCGGCCAGTACGATGCCTGAGGCTGGAGTTTCGTTCCTTTCCCTACTTAACGTGCCTGCCGTAGGCCGATCTCAAGAACGCAAACATGGGCTTCTGGCCGCAGACGTCCCGTGAATCTCAGCGATACGATGTTATCTGGACATTCTTGTACATTGCTTCTACATACCGGTCCCACCCAGTTATAGCAAAACACTCTTGACTTCGCACCCGGCCACTTTGGAACCCAAGGATTTCTTCCCGCAAGCACGCCGGAGAGTACACTCGGCGGTCCTAAGATGGCACAGCACGCTTGACAAGGCGGACATTCACACCTTGTTGCATCACGAACCAGAAACACGTTTCAGTCCACTCAGCATCCTGGTCTGCAAGCTGAAGGTTATAATGTAGGAACAACGTGGGAATCAGCTTAGACATCTCCATCCAGCTGATGTCTGTTGTATTTTTGGTTAGCGACCGCGCAGCTCACTACGTGACGATAAGCACTTACTTCTTCCAAGGCACATTCGAGCGCCTGAACCAAATGTGAAGAAAAAACGTCCTGGCAAAGTCAGTATGATCGTCATCGCTGCATCGAAGCAACATACGCATGTCTCCAGTGTCTTCTTTCAGCCAACGATCCGGGCGGAAGTCCTCGACATCCTCGCCGTAAACCTCCTTGTTGCGATGTATCACCCAAGGGTTGGCTCCCACGATAGTCTGATTTCACGTTAGCAGAGCCCTTCGAACGACATATTGGGAACATACTCCTGCGGGTATGTGAGTATTGGCGATGGTAGCGCCGCCGGGTGGTGTCACACGCGGCAGGCTCATGCCGACAGCTGGATGACAGCGTAGCGCCTCGTACATGACAGCCTGTAGGTATGGCATCGAGTCCGCCTCCTCGAGTCTGACAGGATCACTGAGCTTGCCTTGTCTTCTGAAGTCGTCGATCTCTTCGATCAGTCTTTGTTTGTATTGAGGATTCTTTAGTAGGTAGTAGATGATGGCGCGAGTCGAGATAGCAGTTGTGTCGCTACCTGCGAAGATGTTCGATGTCGCCATGCTAATGACAGCATTGTCATCAAGGTCGGGTTTGTCCTTTTGTGCTGCGTGCAACTTCGAGAGGATGTCTTTGCGGTCACTGCCACGATCCATTCTGGCTGAGATCTCTTTTGCGGCGAGATTGCGGAGGGATCCATGCCGGTTGTTGAGAGCCAGACGATTGCCGATCAGAGGCATGAGGCGATCATGGAGCCAGTAGAGCCATGGCACTTGTCCAATCCACGCAGCAGACTGCAGTGCCCCCTCGATCTGAGCAAAGGAACCGTCGTCGGCCTGGGCTTCCATGAAGCCGAAGCTTTTCGAGAATGTGATCTCTCCAATGACGTCTTTGCAATGCATTAGTCGGGTGAGTGCTTGTAGGAGGTTCGTGATGTGCTTACCGAAAGCAAATAGCTGAGCCCATTTGCCCATGTCAACGACCTGGTTTTGGCGCTCATTCATGGCATCCAGGAATCGCTTGACGGTACCGTCTACATAGGGCTCCAAGTCTTTCAAGCTCGTCATCGAGTATGCTGAGCTGATCAAGCTTCTCTGCTTGCCATGAAGTTTTTCGTCCTTCTCAGCGAACAAGTCAAACTTTCTGTGACCTTGCCAGACCGAGTACCAGTCGCTCTTGCGGAACTTGGTACCAGCACCATAGATGGTCTTGATGGCTGACAGATCTGCTATACTGACTTCGTTCGGACCATTGCGAACAATAGGGCCGTGCTTCTCGTGTAACGCGATCATGGTTCTGTGCATGTCGCCATCCCAGCTGTGCTTGGTGATCCATAGTCGGCTAAGACTAGCCCAGAAGGGTCCAGGTACAGAAGAAAGCGGATGGAAGAATCTCTGGTATACAATATATGCTGATATGCAAGCTGTGAAGAAGAAGGATGCCAAGACGAGGTTCGAGGCTTGTCCGACAAGAGGGATGGTAGACGTTTGAAGTGCAGGCATCTTTTCCGGTGTGTCCCAAGAGTAGGGTGAGTGATCAGACAAAGTGATCTGCGAGGTCCGCTTGCTTTATAAAATATCGTCGTCGCACCGGTAACCGCGGATGAGAGTTTGGAGACGGGGTCGAGCTACATGATTTGACGTCTCTCTAAGCTTTGTGATATGGGCGAACGTATGCCGAACCCTGGACTCGAGCCGAATCGGGCTAGAAGGGCTGATCGGTACAACGAGAGCCTCAAAAGATGCACGCAAACACCAGCGCAAAAGAGCAAACACTACGGATCGAAATCGTACCGAGTCCGAGAGTTGCGGGAAACGTGGAGAAAGGTCATCGTGTGGGGAACATCAAAAGTCGTTGTCCTGATCTGATGCTGCCAGCCCAGCTTTTACACGGGCACGTGGCATGACGGAAAGCTCTCTACGCAGTCTTACTGTGTCAAACCCCCTCTACATCGCAACACAGACTGATGATTGATACATTGCAAGCCCTAGATGATCTGACCATCGGTCACGAATCCTCGATGATGGAGACGCCAAGTGATGGAGAAGTGTGGAGGGCCCGGGTTGACTAATCAGGAAGACTCGACTCGAGTTCCTCCCCAGACTCCCGAAAAGCACTTCGACTTGTGCCGGCCGCGGCTCTGACGGACACTCGACCAACGGCAGAACGACTACTCGATTTCGGCCCACCAAATCGCTCTAGCTCGGCCCTAATCTGAGTCCAGGAATGATTGCGATTGGTGCTTTGGAGCATGGAGGCCCCGCAGATGTCATGTTGCCTTGTTGCGGCAGAGGCAAGTCGTGAAATCGGTAGCAGTCAGGCAGCCGAAAATGTTATAGACGTCTGCCGGTAGCGAAGTACAGAGGCAAGTCCGTATGATACATAAGCTATGAGATCGCCATTCTCATAACAGCCATTCTCCATCCATTCTCCATCGCCTCCCATTGATATCCCTTGGCCTCGAGCCTATCATACATCGCCCATACATCTAATACACATCACATCCACCATGCCTACCGAGAACTACGACATCGTCATTGTAGGAGCCGGCCCTGTCGGTCTCCTGTTGTCGACTTGCCTGGCAAGATGGGGATACAAGATCAAGCACATTGACATGCGACCTGAGCCGACATTGACTGGAAGAGCCGATGGTATCCAACCACGATCACTCGATCTCCTCCGCAACATGGGCCTCAAGCGCGCAATCATGGCTCACGAGCCTGCAAAGGTCTACGAAGTCGCCTTCTGGGATCCTTCGGAAAAGAGCAAGGGTATCCACCGCACTGGCACATGGGCTTCATGCCCCAGCTTCCTCGACGCTCGCTATCCTTTCACCACATTGCTGCACCAAGGCCTGATTGAGCGCGTCTTCATCGCCGACATGGAGAAGTACAACACCAAGGTGCAAAGACCGTGGAGAATCACGGGATTCGAGAACGATGGCAAGGACAAGGAATACCCAGTCGAAGTCAAGATTGCACACGTTGACGGCAAGGAGCAAGAGACAGTCAGAGCAAAGTACCTCTTCAGTGGTGAGGGTGCTCGCAGCTTCATTCGTGAACAGCTCGGTGTTGGTATCACACACAAGGACCCCATCACCCACGTCTGGGGTGTCATGGATGGTGTCGTTCGTACAAACTTCCCCGACATCAAGATGAAGTGCACAATTCATTCTGATGCTGGTTCTATTATGGTCATTCCCCGCGAGGACAACATGGTCCGTCTCTACATCCAGATCGCCTCATCAACAGACAAGGACTGGAACCCTCGCAAGCAAGCAACAGAGGAAGAGGTTCAGGAGGCAGCCAAGAAGATCATGAAGCCTTACGAGATTGAATGGGACCGTGTTGAGTGGTTCTCGGTTTATCCCATCGGACAGGGTATCGCAGATCGCTACACTCTTGACGAACGCGTCTTCATGGGTGGTGACTGCTGCCACACTCACTCTCCCAAGGCTGGTCAAGGTATGAACACTGCCTTCTTGGATGCTCAGAACCTGGCCTGGAAGATTCACCATGTGGAGAGTGGTTTCGCAGATCGTTCTATCCTCAAGTCATACGAGGTAGAGCGCAAGCTGATTGCAGAGAACCTTCTCAACTTCGACAACCAATACGCCAAGCTCTTCTCACAACGTCAACCTAGCGCCGGTGAGGTCAGTTCAGCATCGCAACAGAACGGAGAGAACCAGGTCGAGGACAACGAGTTCATCAAGATGTTCAAGTCATCTTGTGAGTTCACTTCAGGCTACGGTGTCGCATACAACCCCAACATCTTCAACTGGTCGAAGGATCACCCAGCACAATCGCCGCTCTTCCTGTCGAAAGAGGCAGGAACTACCACTCAACGCACTGGACGCATTCTCACCAATGCAACCGTCACCAGAGTAGCAGACGCCAACGTCGTTCACCTCGAGCAGGAGATTCCTCTCAACGGCAGCTGGCGCATCTACCTCTTCGGTGGTGTACCCAGCAAGACCAAGCGCGCAATCTCAGACTTCGCAGCCGGTCTCTCAAAGAAGGGCTCATTCTACAGCACTTTCGGCCACCCCAACCTCGACCAAGTTTCTTACCACGAGAAGCACAACCCTCACAGTCTCTTCTTCACCATCAACACCATCTTCGCTGCCAAGCGCCCTCAGATTGAGATCCGATCATTACTTCCCGAGGTGCTCGCCCGCTACTTCGATCACGTTTACGCCGACGACGTCTGGGACCAGCGGGTACCTGATGCTAAGGCTGCTGCTCACGCCAAGATGGGTCTATCGCAAGAAGAGGGTGGTGTCGTCGTTGTCCGTCCTGATGGCTACGTCGGCTGTGTTGTCAAGCTCGTCGAGGGCACTGGCACTGTTGATGCCCTGAACGACTACTTCTCGACCTTCACTTCCAAGAAGGTTGGCGGTGCTGAGAGAGCAAGTCTGTAAGAGACGCTTGACGAGATGTATGTGGTACTAGGTGTTCTTTGAATGTTTTTAGATATCCCCAAATTAGCGAATTGCACTCTTTCATCTTGTTTCAGAATCCCATCTAGTTTCCACCCACCTCGTAGTCATCTTGTATAATGTAAACATTTTTCATCGCTCTCAAGACACATAACCACCATGAAAAGACTATGTGTACGTGGTGACTTAAATCTGTTGTTTTGTAAGGAAGAGATCAACGGTCAGGGTAGCCCTCACGACTATGGTCTCGAGAAATTGTGACCACCTTCGCGGTGCCCTGCGGTCTCTATCTCAAATGGAAAGTGTGCCTGCGATGGCGGTGATTTACATCGTAGTCCGGGGTGCAAATTGAGTTGTGACATGGCTACCGTCGATGCTTGCTCGTGGTCAAGACGAAAGCAATCTAAAAACCAAAATCCTGCACGCCTATCTCACTGAGTCATCTTCATTCAGTATACACTCAATATTCTCTGTCAGATCTTTACAGCTAATCTATCATCCTTGGACATAGATGAAGGCCTGGATTGTGTTATTCGACAGTAACACACTCTATCCGAGAAGCCATCTACTGGCATTGGAGCCTCTATGTGCACAGCCTCTAAGACCGCTCAGTTGCACGGTACAGCCTTCATGGCAGTCCCATGATCTCATCGCAGATACACGATGATGATATCTGCTATAAGCGTGATTCCTCAAAAGTTAGGTCACTTTCTCCGTCATTCCCCCTCGAAACAAGGACGGTCCTCATCTTAAAGTCGGCCAGAGTCGCAAGTTAGCGTGTGTGGGGAGCAAGGTCGAAGCAAGCCACCAACGACAGAGGCTGACAGTTTTCTTTGGCTTTCCAACGGCTGTCCAAGCACTGCGCCGCAGTACGTACAAGGCCCACGTCAGAATACGAAGCAAAAAGATGAATCTCGACTCAACAGCCGGTTTGACAGGGCAGAAGCGAAGTTGTTTGCATGGTCCAGAAGGGCAGTGATATGAAGACGGCTGGAACATCTTTACCAAAACGAAGAGTGCAATTAACGCGCGGCCCCTTTGACAACACCAGACTCGTCAAACAGGCGTTTCAGATTGAAGGTGTGTCAATCTTCACAGATAAAGTGGCAGAAGGGTGGCACTGGATCAGAAAGGCACAAAAAAGCGCCGACTCGCTGAATGCGCCGCTCTGCACCTTTTGTCTCGTATCAATAGCAAAAAGAGGACCCCATATTCAAAGTTGCCCTTGCAAGAAAAGCGATACGAATTTCTTGTGTTTCTTCATCTTTAACGACGCAAAGCACACCAAAAGCCAGCAAACATACGAGACATCCCGCGGACTTGATATCACGATTACAACATAGTCAAACACTTTTACAATTCCTGCAATACACAAATCAAACACTCACCGCCGTTGACACTCACGCACGAACACCCGTCAACAGTTTCTCCGCAAAAGTCAACAAAAATAGTCCCAGCATTTGGAGAAATAAACGCTTCCACAGATCCTTGAACGAGACACAAAACATCTCAGACTCTCTTCACTCTACCGACGACACTCTGAGGGAGGCTACGAAGACGACCACCACACACACGTACACATACACCAACAACCATCACAATCATGTCGCGCAACTCATTCGACGAGGGTGATGACCAAATCACACCTCTCGCCCGCAACCTCACCTCGACCAACGAAGGCAACCGCGTCCTCCAAATGGGCAACATGGCCGCCGCCCGCCGCAAGAACAGCATCCACCGCACCAGCCCCCCCAGCGAATTCAACCGCAATCGCTCCCCCAACAACAACAACAGCCCCAGCGACCGCGAGCAAATACCCAGCGAACTGCCCGCCCGCAGCAAAACCTCCGGCGGCAACATGTCGAGATCAAAATCTATGAAAAAGGCCTTGGGGAGGGCAATGTCGGTCAGACAGGCGGAACCGCATGTCGAGCACACGATTAGCAACAATGGCTTTGCACCCTCGAGATCAAAGTCTTTGCGTGCGCCTCCACCTCCTCGTCTTCATTTGAAGAGGCAGCAGGATGGGAAGATGGGGGTCAATGAGCCGATTCCTGTTCCTGATTTCCCTTCGCCGGGGCGTGCTCCTAGGGGTCAGCGTATCTTTGACCCTCAGACTATTGCAGAGGATGAAGGTGTGATTATTGAAAAGGAGGGTGGATGGGCTGTGGACAAGAAGACGCAGAAGAAGTTGGATGATGAGAGGGCTAGGATTGAAGAGCAGGAACGTCAGGCTGTGTTTAGTGGTGAGGATGGTGATATGAAGCACAACAAGACTGGAAGGCAACGAAGCAAGAGTTTCAAGGAGTTCTTCAGGAGAAGTTAGGCTGTCTCTCCAAAGACACTCTTCTCCCTCGTCAATCTCCTTGTCATATTTGCACATGTCCAGCCTCATGCGATTTACGGCCTGAGTCTACATTAACTCACTTAATCACCCGATACCCATACCATCGCTTAGAGATACGACAGCCGCCGAACATCTTGACGATTTTTGTGTATAGATAGCATAGTTTTCTCTCTCTCCTTGTTTCCTGTTAATTCATCATCCCTACATACATGTTGTTTAGTTTAGCAAGCATTTGGTTCATTTCTCCAACGATTCCCTAGACATCTAACAATTCTATCATAATAACGTTACTATATGTGTGTGTACATCTGACTGGTCTACTTGAGTCTACTCTGTATGACCTTGGTCATGCTCCTGAGTCCGCTCTGTCGCTCCTTCTGCCCGTCGCACAGGAAAAGCTTTACCACGGGCCATGCGTGAATCCATCCCTTCTCTTCATGTACACCCACTTCAGTTTTGACTTCATCCTTCAAAAAGTTCAGCAAGTCGACGGTCTCGGGTGCAAACACTTCTTCGGCACCGTAGATGAAGAACCAGCCTTTACTCGGCGATGCTCGCTTCCACCACTCCTTGTCTCGGCACTTTCCTGGTGAAACCAAAGAATCAGAGGCGGAGGCCTTGGAACCAATGTATTGACTACCGTATAAGTGCAAAGAGCTGGCATTGAGATAATCACTAGGCGTATCTTTATTCTTCGGCGATACAATGACAGTCCAAGGAGAAATCATGATACCCAGGCCTGGGAGCTGTGTTCGTAGCTTAGGCTCTTGAGACATGTAGAGCAAGAGACTGAGCATTAGTGTTGCGCCTGCAGAGTCGCCGCTAACGACTATTCTAGACGAGTCTGAGATCTTTGAAAGAACGTATTCATATCCGCTGAGTGTTTCGTGGACTTGACTTGGGTAAGTAGAGTCGGGTACCAGTGTGTATTCGAGAGCGAAGAGAGCTGGATTCGAGTAGCCAGACTCTTTGAGAATGCCAACCCATGCTAGCAGGAACTCAAGGTAGAAGAAGCTGCTGCCCATGGAGAAACCACCGCCTGTAGCTCGTTAACAAGAACCCGTTTCCTCTAAGGACATGCCGGCGCTTACCATGACAGTAATAAATCACGATGTCCGGCTCTTTGGTCTCATCACAAATCATCCAGATGCCATGGAGTCCAGGCTTCTTGACCTCCCGCCACGGAACAGTAGATTTACGATACCCGTGTCTCAACATGCGGAACCAGAAGAACGGCAATGCGACACCCTTACTGAAGAAGACCTTGCCAATCGTAGCAGGGATTTTGGCAAAAGCATATCGAACGCAGCGAATGACAAAGTCTTGGAAAGGAGTGGCATGTTGGTTGAATGACGATTTCTGGTCCACAGGCGTGAAGAAACGTTCCTTGATGAACTGGTATGGTAATTGCACCACTGGGATTACGTTAGCTAGGCCCAAGCTCGCGGAATAATGATGCATACGAAAGAATGGCAATGCAGTGATCACACAAGAGACAGTTTGTACAAATCCGACTCTGATGAGCAGTTGAGGGGCAAGGAAGACGAGGAAGGCTATACAATCCAGATATGAGATCTGGTTTAGTATCATCCTTGCTGAAATATACAGATGGGAAGAGTGGTTCGAAAAAGTGGAAGACGAGTTCAGTGAGTTGAAGGAAGGAACCAATGATGTAGTTGATGCTTGTCAGGGTCTTCTATTTGTGGAGATGATCGTCATGGCAGCAGGATAATGCTCAATGCAGGAGATATATGAGCTGGGAGCTTTCGCTTTATATACCGCCAATCTTCTTGAGCATCTGCCATACACTCGAGCTTACTGCTGAGTATACTGTCCCTTGTTTGGTGTCAGCACGAGTACGACTGCGGTATCGTGGCTTTCGTTTCCGCCGAGGAAAGTGCTAGGGTGTGCTTGGCTTCCACGAACGATGTGCCGCCAGCTAGATCAGACAGCTGCTCGGGTACCCTCTTCCAGCATCCACAGCCTGGCATGTTGTTAACCACAATCCTCATTCACACTCAGTCTCACGAGAACGACATCCATTGAAAGTAATGATGAGCCTCATGTGTTGTTGTTCGGCAACGCTAAGGTATCTTGGCTACCCTATCGGCGATAACGGGAGTAGCCGCCGTGTCAGTCAATCAAGCGTTGCATGCTCTGATTTCACAAAACTGATGCGCATTATTATCACAATCACCAGCAACATCTAGTCGACATCACCAACAAGCCGGTGTATTCTCCACCGGTGCAATTACCGAGTCGGCATCATGGCGGCTGTCCAGGACCAAGCGGCCATCGATTTCGCTAGGTCAGCCACGATCTCACATTTCCAGCATGCGCAATCACTCACATGCTACTCAGCTCGCTCACTCAGTCCGACATACCTACCAAGCTCCGATGTGCCACATGCAGCAAGCTAGCCGTCAATGCTTTCAAGCTCCAGTGCTGCGACTCGTCCATCTGCCAGGATTGCCAGGCAGCTCTCCCAGAAGCCTGTCCAGTATGCAGCCATTCTCCTCTGGATCCTGACATGTGCAAGCCGAACAAGACCTTGCGCATGACCATCCGCGCCTTCATCAAGAACGAGGAAAAGAAGAGAGCTGCTGCCGCCGAAGCTGCCGAGGCAGCAGCAGCCGCGGCCGCTGTAGCTGAACAAGAGGAGGCTTCCGCACAGTCTGAGCCGTCGGCAGAACAACCGCCTGCCAAATCTGAGGGTCCGACTGAGGCATCTGGCGAGCAAGCGCAAGACGAAGGTGCCATATCCGCCGAAGCGACCGATGATGCGATTGCGCTTGAGGCTACCGATCCACTCAGTCAGGTCGAAGAGGTGAGATCATATTAGGCCAACAATCGGAATGGTGACCTGACTTTTCTTTTACAGACTTCGGAACAAGTATTGAATGACGAGGCTACACCCCCACAACAATCCGAGCAAACACTTGATACCGAGGGAGATACTGTCGCGCAATCAATCGAGGGCGGCGACCTTGAGAACCCCGAATCCGAACAAAAGGACCTACAGGAATCGACCGAGGCGCAGCAACAAGGCCAGAACGGCCAAGATGCTTCTCAGCAAAATTTCCAAAACATGGACTGGAACGCTGCTAACGGATTCAACCCTATGATGAACATGGCCAATGGTTTTAACCCTATGATGGGCATGATGGGTGAGTTGAAAAGTTTTCACCCCTACGAAACATGTACTGACGTCCTCATAGGCATGCCTGGAATGAACCCAATGTCCATGTTCGGCGGCTTCGGCGCCGGCGGCATGGGCATGCAAGACATGGGTGGTTTGAACATGGGTATGGGCTTTGGTGGTGGCTTTGGAGGCAATTGGAATGCGCAGCAGGGTATGGGCGGAAACTTTGGCGCTGGCTATTATCCCAACGCTGGATATAATCAACCGCAAATGCACCAAGGAGGCTATGCCAATCAACAGTTCCCATCTCATAATAACTACCAGAACCAGAACCGGTTCCACCAGCGTGGTGGCTTTGCTGGCCGTGGCAGAGGCGGTGGTGCGTTTATTGGTGGAAATGCTGGTTCCTCTAACCTTCAAGCTCAGCAAGACGACACTTCTCAACCCCAACATCTTGAAGAAGGTGATCGTCATCCTTCACAAGCTGGCATTGAGTCAGCCGAAATTGGTGCTGAGAGACGCAACTCCCACTCTGTAGCTTCTGTGTCACAGATGCCAGGAGATGACACCCCAGCCCTTGAACAGCAGCCAGACATCAACGTTGAGGAGACTAACGAACAGGTCCCGCAAGGCGAAGAGCAAGCTGAAGCTCAAGGACTAGAGAATGGAGACAATATGGAGGGTGTGCAAGACCAAGAAAGCAATCAGATCATGGACTCCAACATCGAAGGTGAGTGCATTGTGGAAGATATTCGTGTCTCATAAACTCACACATCCAGGTCAAAACATGATGGATCCAAATGCTTTCAACCCAGCCATGATGAACATGGGTGGTTTCAATCCCGCTATGACACCGATGATGCCTTTCGGCAACCAAAACGGCTTCTTCCCACAAAATAACTTCAACGGAGGCTTTGGCGGAAGAGGAAGGGGTGGTTACAGAGGCAGGGGCGGCTTCCGCGGTCGTGGCAATTTCAATCACAATATGCATGGTGGCTTCAACGGACACATGTCTCAGCCTCCCGAAGACTTCACCGTCCTCGCAGGTCCTGCAGAAGGTCCTCCCATTGATGCTCCCAAGGGTCCCAAGGCTATGCGTGAAGGTTTGCCCAACAGTGGCATCTATAGCAGAGGTGGCTATCAAGGAGGAAGGAATGCTCATCCCACTCCTACACCTCAGCCCCAATCACTTCCAGCACAATCACCTCAACCACAGCGAGAGCGTAGCGCGTCGCCTGCCCGCGACAACAAGGAACGTGGTCGCTCGCCTTCGCATTCCAGATCTGGTTCACAGGGCCGCAAACGCAAGCACAGTGTCGAATCTCAAGACAGCGAAGCCAGAGAGCGAAGACGTGAAAGACGTCGCCGTCACGAAAAGAAGTACGACGACGAGCCAGTCGACAGCGAGAAGAAGGAGATGACACGATCAGATTCTGGCGACGAAGACGCATCTAGGCGATCACGCCGTCGCAGAGGAGACAGAGAAAAGCACCGTTCCACCCGCGACTCCAGTAGAGACCGCGACCATCGCCGTCGCCGCAGTAGATCTCGCGGCGAAAAGGATCACCGCTCCAATGCCGATGAACAAGCCTCTCGTCCCAAGGGTCGTCGCGAGCGCGACCGTGAAAGGGACAAGGAACGCTCTGACCGCGACAGAGGTGACCGTGACCGCAAGCGCTCACGTAGAGACCGTTCTGCCTCTGCGAATGGAAACAACGATCACCATCAATCTTCTCGCCGCTCTCGTCGCGAAGAACCCCTTCCCACAACCGAAGACCAGGGCTTCAAGATCAAGGGCTCTCGCGGCAATAAATCTTTCGCCCCTCCGACTGGACCCAGGAAGGACCGCGACTCCAACGACACCCGCAGACACCCAAGCCTGCAATCCGTAGCCGTCGCCCAAGAACCCTCTACTACCACCTCCTCCGATCCGTATGCCCAAGAGCGTGAAGACCGTATCAAGGAACGCATGGCCAAGGAGCAACAACGTCGTGAATCTGCCACTGTAAGCAAGAGAGGCAATCGCGAGGATGGAGGACGTAGAGGCAGTAATGCGGGGTTCGACGCTCCCACTGGACCCAAGAACAACAGAAAGGGTAGGAAGGTTAGTTATAGGTATGAAGACGAGGAGGGAGAGGAAGCTAGGGCTGAGAGAGTTGAGAGGGAGAGGGAGGCTGCAAGATGGAATTAAATGATGTGATGGGAGGAAAAGGGAGAGAGGGCAGTGTAAGATAGAAGGGAGATGTTGATGTAAAAAGAGTAAAAAGATTATACATGCTGGATTTGATGTTTCTATGCTTGTGATCTCGACACTTTGTTGCCATCAACCATCTCGAGCCTCGACGACGGCCTGTTGCATAACTATCAAGATGCAAGATCCTTTCTAGAACAATGTCAAAGCCTCCTGGAGCCTTTCGAGTAAGCATGGTCATGAAATGCCCCTCGACCTCGTTGACATAGACCTCAGGGTAACCGCAGTCTGCAGTAACTACTCTAGTGGCATGGCGTGCCTGCTATACAGCTATCTACAGGCACAATCATTTCTGGATAATCGACAGCTCTCGATGGGAGACACTTCTACGATATGGCGATCGAAAATCCCTTGTTGACGAACGTCACGGGCTTGGGTAAAGTCGCAATCCACAGTCGGATCTCCACCAACATGCTCGATCTAGTATACAGCTGTCAAAAGGCACAATGATATTCAGAACTGGGCAGCTGCCATCGTGAGAGCGTATCCTAAGCGGCAGGCGGCTTACTCGAACTTCATCCTTTCACAAGATACAGTTCATATTTGGCTCACTCGAGGTTCACATGGGAGTTACGATGCACGGGACGTCAATGTAGTGTGATTAAAACAGTAAAGTGAAAGTAGTGTTGTTGAGAAAGTGAATGTATCAAAGTGAAAGACCCAATAAACTCCAAGTCAGTGAAGACGCTCCAGGGGTATCATCTCGTGTTTTCCATAAACGCCGCGCAACGTTGTGTAAAAGTGATCGAAAGACAACAATAGAGAAAAGATATCGCTGTGTAATGTCGTGCCAAACGCGTTGTTGTGAGCTGGCAAATGCGCTCCCACGCGCTTTGTCGCCCTAGAAAGTCAGTATTCGAAGCGGAGTGACGGGAAAGTGAACATACTGCGAAGTGCGCAAGTGAGTGTTGTGTGTGGCGCTCAGTGAACCTCACCCTGACGAGGCTGGGACTCCTCGCCGGTAGCACGCTCGAGCATAACCTTGAGGAACTCCTCTCTGGTGCCTTCGTTGATGTCGAAGGTGTCTTGAAGCCACTTGGTACCAGGGCTGCGATAGACCCAACGGTCTCCTTATGCAGATGTATCTGAAGAACAACGGCGGAGGCAGTATCATCTACAAGCCCAGTGAGCGTGCTTGGAGACTAAGCTACCGCTTCAATAGCTACAGTGGCGACAAAGAGCCTGGAACCAAGGAAGAAGATGAGTACGTCGAGAAGCACAAGGACTTCATCCACACATTGTAAAGGATGTGGTGAAAAGATCGGCTGGCCTTCAAATCTTCCGAGTGAGGATCAGCAGTAATGAGAAAATTGGAGGCGTGGGCAACGAAACGGGATGGAGAAGTGAAAGCGCGTACGATCAACAGCTCGACATCACAAGCCGTGTTGTCCGTCGAGACGTTGTTCCCTTCCTCTTGCGTCCTTCTATCTTTTCGAGCTTACAGTCACGATAGGTAGATAGATAATGTGGGCAACTTTTCTTTCCTTTTGGCCTGTTATGTGCGCTTGACAGTGGTTCTATTTTTATCTGATGTGAGTCTATCATCGCCGTACGAGGATGGACAAGGTCCTGCTATCATCAAATGCCACGCAAATGTTCTCAGTTGCAGTCAGAAGACATGAGCAGTCTTGATGTAACGCAAGACTCCCGCGCTGCTTGCTCATGTCGGCGGACTTGTGGGTTTGCGATACTCATAGAGCTCCTGTACCTCTTTGACTCCATTGTCACCATCTCTCAACGTGCTAGCAGCTGTAGGCACATCGTCCAAAGACAATCGAAAACCAGTGACTTCGAATGGCTCTTCGAAGTCAATGGAAACCAGAAAAAGACCATCATTCTTCCAGTCCTCGTCAAGAACAGTCGAGAAGCCGAATGGGAAGCAGTCTAGATCATCCAAATTAGTTGTGCAGTATCGCACATGCGTAGCTAGGCCCCCGCCCAAGGTCTTCGACTGCGGTATAGTTGTTGGAGCGGGGCATACTAGGCGTATCGCATTCGTTCCTGATCCAGTAATGTTGTCCTTGTTGAGGGTTTCTACCAGCCGGTCGAGATCTTTCTCAGGGATGCAAGCCAGATTGTGTAGCACGAAAGGCAAGAACTCCGACCCCTGGACGCAAGCAAGCTCGGCAATACTGGGCTCAAATCGTGGAAGACTTGCGTTTAAAGGAACCGACATATTGGGTCGAAGCGATAACGTGGCCTCGCATCCTTCTACAAAGAGGATGAGAGTATGTGGGGGAAGCAGAGGTGGTAGAAGAGGCAGGCTTCCGCGAAAGACAATTGACGCATCGGAGATCTCTGGGTCAAAGCTTCACAAAGCCCCAGAGCCCTTTTTCTACCCAAGAGACCTTGTCTCTATGCACATTGCTTGGAAGTCTGTGTGCCCAGCAACACAGACAATATGGGCATCCGAGTTCAACTCTTTGTGCTGCTTCGACCTTTGTGGAGTAAGAAGCAGACATGGCTTAAAGTTCAGGCTTCGACGACAATAGCATTGTCGGCTTGGATGCTGTGCCAAAGAAGAGAGATTGGTCAGTCAGCAAGTGTACTGAGATTCTGAGAACCTGGAAACAGTGCTCAGTTCATCGCATCAGAGTATGAATCACCAACAGTCAAGTCAAGGAGTCATGGTCGTCTGAGAGAGAGATGATGCTATTGCAGCACAAAGCCGACAAAGAACGGACTTGGACTCCGTCATTGCGCATCTCGGGCGACTGACCGAGCTCGGTGACACTTCCCCGAAGGTGTACCAAGGCAGTAGGATTCACCAACAACAAATGGCATACAAAACAGTGACTGCCCTCGGCTCCAACTACTTTCTGCTCTTGAATTTTCTTATAGCTTTAACTTTACCTGCTTGAATAAATTAATTGCAATACAGTTCCGATTATATCATCGGACTCAGCCTTTCTTATCTATCATCCACGAAGCTAGAACATCAATTATTCAACACCACAAACTCAAAGCATCAAGATTGGAAAATGCCACCGCAGAAGATCCTCATCTCTGGTGCTGGAATAGCAGGCTCAGTAACAGCATATTGGCTCGGTCTCGCCGGCTTCAATGTCACCGTAGTAGAAAGAAATCCAGAACTCCGCACAGCAGGCCAAGGCATTGATATGGGAGGTGCTGCTGTCGAGATCATCAAGAAGATGGGCTTGGAAGAGATTATCAGAGCAAAAACGACTGGGGAGTTGGGATTATCATTTGTAGATGAGAATGATAAGGCTTTTGCGACATTCGATGTTGGAGACAAGAATACTGATATTGGTGGGTTCCTCCCAAAAGCGGCTGTGCAGAAGAGACTAACAACCAATAGGTTTTACATCCGACATCGAAATCATGCGTGGTGATCTCTGCAACATCTTCTACACGGCCGCAAACACCTTCCCAAATGTAACATTTCTCTTCAACACCAGCATAACATCTCTCCACCAATCCCCCTCTTCCGTCACCATCACAACATCCACCGGCAAAGAAGAAACCTACGACATGCTCATAGCGGCCGACGGTTTCCGCTCAGCCACCCGCCGCCTAATCCTCAACAATCCCAATAGTGAAGCCTTCATCCAATCCCAAAACTGCTGGGTAGCCTATTTCTCCATCCCCCGCGAACCACAAGACCATCCACGCTCCAGAGGCTACAACGCCATCGGGGGTAGATTTATCATGATACGACCAAACGATGAAAAACTCAGTTCTGGATATCTCATAGTTAGTAAAGATGAGCCGTCTCTTCGCGCTGTACAGAGAGCAGGGATGCAGGCTCAGAAGGCGGTGTTGGCGGAATTGTTTGCTGATGCTGGGTGGGAGGCTATGAGGGTCATTCGGGAAATGAAGGATACGGAGGATTTTTACTTGCAGGATGTTGCGAGGATAGAGTTGGGGGCTCAGGGGTGGTCTAAGGGGAGGTGTGCTATGGTGGGGGATGCTGCGTATTGCTCTTTTACAGGTACTGGAACTACTCTTGCGATTCTTGGTGGCTATATGCTTGCAGGAGAGATTTTGCAGAGGCCAGAAGAGCCGGAGGTTGCATTCAGGGCTTATGAAGATAAGTTGGCGGGGTATGTGAAGAAGGCGCAGAGTGCTCCGAAGGGAGGTCCTCAGCTGTTTGTCCCGCAGACGAGGCTTGGAGTCTGGTTGATTCGGACTGCGCTGTGGTTGGTATATCGGAGTGGCATCACGCGCTGGATTGGAGGATACAAGATGCCGAAGTTTGACTTGCCAGATTATCCTTTCGACGCAAGGGTCGAATGAGGTTTATTTGATAGAGTTATGATAGACACATACCATAGAGCTCCAGTATGCGAACAAGATATGATCGTGCCTCGATTCACCCTGCCATATTCCTCGTATACCTAATCGCGTTCCGAGTAGCATCCTGCACCCCCGTCCTAACACCGCCTTTCTCAAGATCCAGCACAGCATTGATAGTGATCCCCCTCGGCACAGACATACTCTCCTTCATACTCTCCGGCGTCATACCATTATCCAACAACCCAGCCGCACTCCTAAAACTCTGCGCCACCAACTTCATAGCCTTTTCCCGTGGGATTCCCTCCGCCACAGCAGCATCTGTCATTGCATCCACTGCAAGCATGACGAGAGCATTACAAGTTGCATGTGTAGCAGTTGCTTCATCCATAAGATCCTCGGGTAAGTAATTTATACCACCAATTTGCTTGAAGATCCATTCTCCTAGTGCTTTTTGCTCTGTGCTGGCGTGATCTGTCTCCGCAATCATAGTCACTGAATCCAGACTTTGTGCTCCGATACTGGGAATAACACGTAGAACATCAAAGCAAGGTTCAGTGTCTGATTTTTGAGGAGGTGTCAATGCATCGAGGACTTGTTGGCAAGAAGTCCCTGCTAACAGACTGATCACAAGTTTCCCCCTAAGAGAGTCGCAGACTTGTTGATTCTTGCCGAGAAATGTGATTTGATCTGGAGGTATGCCTAGCAGAACGACATCTGCTTTTCCAACAGCATCGGGCCACTCATCCATCGAGGTCACACTGTTGACACGAGACACCTCATCGCCGAGAAGTGTTTGAACACGGGAGAAGGAGTCAGAACTTCTGACGCAAGCATGGATCTCCAAAACAGGACCTTCAGACTTTGCATTGTTGGCGGGTATACTGGTGAGAAGACCTTTGATTATTGCGGTACCCATGAAGCCTGCGAGATGGGTTTAGCTCTGGATGTATATATGAGATGGTCAAGTGATATCGGCGTACCGCTACCGAGTACAGCTATTCTCAACCTTCCTGATGGACAGTTCATTTTGTATATGACTCGAGGAATGTGCAATTTGATTTGACGAGGACAAAGAAAGTTACGAACGGAAGAAAAAGTTGTAGATGGATGACTGTAGAGGTAGATGACTCGGGACGCTAGCCGACCCCACAATCTATCCATAAAGTTGATTTCCTAATCGGGCGCGCTTAACCATCGGCTTTGTATCCGATGGTTAGCGTAAGCGCTCTTCCATCAACTACACGGAGCAGATTCCGCGACCCGAACATCATAATCTTCAATCATATGATAACAAAGGACTGGTCGTTACGCAGGTCAAAGACAAGGACAAAAAGATAATGCAGCGAGTGAGATTCGTACTCACGATCTCTGCAACTTCAAGCCACCCCGTGCTTTCGACGAAGTCACAAGGGGGAATGGTATGATGAGCTTGTGTTTGCAAGACACTTTGATGCAGCGTCTTGATCACTGTACCATCGCCACTTTGTTGTTGAAAGGAGATTCGAGCTTGCGTATCAGGGTTGATGAAGATTGGTGGGAAGGCAGACGAGAGTTTCCAAAGGAAGCAGGTGCGCACGCAGCCGACCTCTGCCAACGATGCACAGCAGTCCGTACTTTGTCACACAGAGCTGGGATGAACGAAAGATTGATGAGTTCATGAGCGATCGTAACATCATAAGAGTATCTAGAAACCATAATGACTACCCGCCTCAGCCTTATTCCTCCTTCCTTGGGCCCAAGCATCTTCCAAAGCCTCCTTTTGCGTACTGGCAGAGTTGACGAGCTGCTGTAGACTGTGCTTTCCAGGAGCAACAGCTTTCACAGCTCTGTGTTCGACAGCAGCGCCTTGAGCGCGAAGTTGTTCGTTGTTATTGTATTCTTCTTCCATGTTGAGATGTGTGACGTTGGCAAAAGCGGCGGCATCTTTGTTGCGTCCAAACAGTCTTCGACGCTCGTTGGCTGAGAGGCCTAGGTCGTCTGCAATTGCTGTGAGGGAGTTCGGATCTACAGGAACGGGAGGTGGAGCGGCCATGGTCGAGTTAAATGTCTCGGTCTCGGCAACTTCAGGTTCGGCGAGTAGAGGCTGGTAATCTGCTAGGGGAGCTGCAGCGGATGGTGTGTCGTTGTCTTGAGTGACTGAGAATAGCGACACCTTTGGCTTCGGAGCTGAGGCTTTCGGTGTTTCTGGAACCGCTGGTGTGATAGGCGATTGCGCAGTGGAGGTGGCGCCGGGAATTATGTTCTTCTTGGGAGCCTTCTTCCGTGCCACAGACAGAGGCTTGAACTTCATGGCATTGCCCTTGGGCTTGACCTCCTTCGGCGGTTCATCCTGAAACGGAGCCGGTATTGATGTGTCTACGTCATCCTTTGTTTGAGCCGTCGTAGAAGCTGGCGTGAAAGCCGAAGGATCAGGTTCTACTCTTTCTCTGCTAAAAGCAGGCTCGGCACCAGTCTTGAGATTCACACCAGATCCTAGGCCCTTTTTGGCATCGGCGGCGCGTTTCGGTGCGGGTAGGAATGAGTTGAAGCCACCAAAGGTTCCAGCAGTACGAGCTCTTTTTGCAGGAGGTGCATTTGTTTCGGCTTCGGGCTGTACGGTGGGCAGGTCGACCTTGATCTTGCGTGGCGCAGACGGGTCGACAAGTTTTTGGAAGTTGCCCTTCTTGGTTGTGGCTTTCGTGGCAGGAATAGGGGCGACATTTGGTGTTTCCGAGTCGGAGCCTTCGCTATCCGAGTAGCCTACGAGAGCCATGATGTGTATGCAACAGTGATGTATTGATAGTTGGTATGCGTTTGCCAGAAAGATGCAAGTCGCGAAACATGATGGGAGTGGGGTCCAAGCTCAGTGGTTGCAGCCAAGTCGGAGTATTGTCATGTTAACTCCGTCAGTGATCATACTACCCATGCGACCACACGGAGAGATGAGAGTGAGAGCTTATTCTGATCGAATTCTTCGTGAGGTGCTCTCTGTGTCCCACGACGATCCCAATGGGGACATATTTCCACAGGAAAGAGAGTTGCCGTTCCTAGAATAGACCATACCAGCAGTGCCAAGACATAGCTCTTATGCGGGCCGAGGCTGGGGTAGGTTCGGATTGACAGCAACAAGTCGCAGTCTGGAAGGCGTACAGAAGAAGTCAAGACGGGCATAGGGTCGATATTTGGACGGCCGCTACACAAACACTCACACACAATGTACTGAGAGCCAGCGGGACTGGCCTTTTTCTTTCTCGATATCCTCATCATGTCTCTCCTTAACAACCAGGACTTTACCATCTACCAGCTGCGGGCAGGATACCTCCACCATATCAAGGACGGCGTCGGCGAACGGCTCATCACTCTCAACACAAACGTCTTGAACAACCCGGCCTTTCGCGCTGCTGGCTGGCAAGCGAACCCGGCAGACATCAAGCGGACCTACTCCCCTCCCATCCCGACCGCCATAGCCTCCGAGTACTTCCAGGCTCCACAACGCTCCACCGCTCCCTCATATCCACTGCATGATGACGATGAAGAAGGCGGAATGGTCACTGGTCAAGGAAGCCAAGATGCGATCGCTGTCAACACACACAACAAGAGGCGCCGACGGAAAGAGCAAATGGAAGAGGACGATAGCAGTGATCTGAGCGACGACAGCGACGATGAGGATGACAAGAGCGCCATCTCGCAAATAAAGTTCAGCAAGATGCCCGTCCGTGTCAGAGCTGGCTCTTCTCCAACACACACCACTAGAGACGCTGGCCATGTCTCGCAGATCATCACCTCCCCTTCACAACCCGCGGATCCAGAAGCTGCGAGACGGGCATCCCTGCCTTCAGTCTCCTTCACCAAGCAACGTCCGCGAAGAGACACGGCTACGAGCAGCGAGTTCTCATCAGAAAACGAGACAGATCCAGTCACTTTCCGCAAGCAGAGAGTCCAGCACCGCGCCGTTAAGCACGGCCAGATGATGCAGGACCGGATCCAGGAAGAAGGTGAAGACGTCGAGTCAGATATTGATCTTGGTGAGGCTTCGGACATTTCCGACGACTTTGCTGGAACTGCTGGCTCCGAGTCTCTACTGGGCATGGGTGCCCCTTTGATCACTGTGGACACACTCGAGTCAACTCCTGGACATGTGCCCAGTATGCCGCCTGCCATCACGCCAAACACATCAGCCTCGCCAAAACGGATGAAACAGATGGTCCCTCCTCCAGACTTGCCAAGATTACCCGCTGGCCGTCCTATCAGCTACGTTCAGCCGGTCAGTCTACTGTCCAAGGCCCTGAAACACACTTCACAGAAAGCTGGCAACCCTCTCCAGCAGTTTGCTCAACTCTCTGGTAAAGGCGAATCAACACCACTGTGGATCAAAATATATGCTCCTTTCTCGGAGAAGGCTTCGTCGCCTATCCAAGTGCCGATTCGCAAGAATGCAAAAGAAGGCGTGCCCACCATCGTTGCTGAGCTCATTGGCCTGAGTCTGTGGCGATATGCTGAAGAGAAGATTGAACCCCCGCTTGAAGGCAACGATCTGAATGTCAACCGCTGGACCCTACGTATGGTCGAAGATGAAGAAGTGGACTACGACTTCCCCGCTTTGACCCGCACGAAACCTCTTGGTGACTTTACTTCGAACAATAATCGGCCGCCTCGAGCCAGGGCAAGAGATAAGCCATGGGATGAATTCGGTCTCGTACGAGCGACTGAAGAGCAATATAGGGAGAACGAGGAGCTCACACCACAATTCAGCGAGCCCACACCTCCCAACGCACCTATCCTGGACCCATCGCGAACGGGGACACCGCAACCTGCAAATACGCAAAGGACTCTCTCAGATATACAAACCCTCGCACCTCCTGCAGCCCCTACTTATATTCCAAACGTCAACCCTATCACGCCTTCCTTTGCTCCAATGGCTAGGAAGAACTCGGCCATTCCTCTCATGGATGCACCTGCCACGGCAGCGCCTCGCTCCACACCCAGGACTGGTTCCTCAAAGACAGTTACAATTCACTACACCGATCCGCACTCTTTCCAGACCACTTTACTACCCATACCAACCACATCCGACACATATCTGGCCGAGTTGTTTACGACAGCATGTCAAAGACTCAACATTGACAAGGCTCTCTATGTCCTCAAGGTCCGTGGCACACAAACAGTAGCACCAGAAGACCGCACGGTCGAAGCACTGGGTCTAAGACTCGCCCTCGATCTCGTACGCCGCCGCTTCGTCGGCGTCGGCGATGGTCGCGGCATGGTAAGCGCCGTAGGCAGCCCCGGCAGCGAAAGTCCCAACGCCCCTCTTCTCCTCGAAACCGCGACAGCCACAAAAGCAAAGTCCCGCAAACCTTTCATGGGACTCCAAAGCGCAAAGTCCACCAACGACATCAACGCCACCGCGCTCTGGGGTCTCGCCGGCGGAGCAGGAAAACGCTACCTCGTCATCCGCCGCCAACCCCTATCTTTCGCCCCCTCTCACCCACGTATCCTCGCACTCGACGCAGAATTCATGCATGTAATGCCTGCATCCTCCACAGATCCTTTGAATGCCAATGCAGACCCAGCAATGGCACCTCCGGGCGGTAAAACTACAAGTGTCCATCTCAGCGGCATCGTAGGGTGTAAAGTTAGTAGAAAACACCCAAAAGTCGTGAGAGTACTTGTTTATCGCGAAAAGGAGACCAAGAGGTATGATTTTGAGGCGTCGACGAGGGATGAGGCGGCGGATATTGCGGGGGAGATCAATAAAGGTATGACGAGGTTTAAGGATGAAGAGGAATGATTCTCGTTAGAGATTTTGGTGGGGGGGGGGTGCCGTGGAAAGCAAATTGTTGCAATATTGAAGTTTTGAAGTAATCAGAGGATTGCGAAGATATGATACCCATATTCACTTGCAATGGCAGATTTTACACACGTTCATGTGGTGTCTGAGTCTGTTTAGGCTAGCAGATTAACGTATCAGGACCTTGAAAGCAGTCGCTGGTACTACCGCAGGTACTTGATGCCTCGACTGTAAATTACCGAGAACAAATGTACCGATGGCAAACTTGCAAACAAGACACGATTCATAATCGTACAAGTGTTAGTTCCTCTCAACAGAGACCATTGGTTGATTGGTTAATCGGTTGATTGTATCATTTGGAAACCCTTCTAGAGTCAAGATTGACAAAATTAGCTGAGAGATATTGACTTCTAATTCACATCGTGTACCCACAAAGACGATTTGGAAGTTTACTTAGCATACATAGCAGGCTGTTATACATTGGGTGCACCACGAATGATATACATAACGTTTTGGCGTCGAAAATATGAAATGGTAGATTCAATACTTGCCAGACCAGGATTCACGGGTGCTAGGATAGTATCATAATTCAGATCTAAGCGGACGATACAGATATCGTACTTTTCCCGACAGTACAATAGTTCTCTGGAAGCTTCCTGGGTATAATGCTTGAATTCGCCAGCTTTTGACCTCGCATGTAGGTGTGCGGCTTGGTGCTGGGTTTGGGCCAGCTGGAAAGGTTTTGTAGACGATATTCCAGCCATATCATCCGAAGTCTCTCACGGTCGTGATCGCTGCGACCCGAGTTGCTGCAATGTGGAACAAGTCGTACAGCGGGAAGGCCGAATACCCATCGAGATCCGATATCCGGGTCATGGTTTGGTAGTGTGCCATCTTCGGTCACCTCTGCGTGCCATACATGCGTGAATTGACAATTATGCCAAGAGTTCACCACAACTACCCAGGTCTGCGCCGTCTATAAGCCAACCGCCCAAGCTGCAGAACTCGCATAAGAGAATACACAGCTATTGACAGGATAGGCTGATCACTACAAACGCAACAACGTTATGAGCGGCGAAATAGAGCCTTGGATGAGCCAAGATTCAAGGTATGTTGCTGGAAGCGAATGCTCAACTTTTATAAACAGAGAGCCGCAACATATTGGTGTTCCTCACCAAATAATCCAAAAAGTAACATGCGTAGAAAACCACACGAGCACAAAAAGAACTGATCAATGTCGTCTGCAAGATTCGAACTCGCGACCTCTGCTTGACCTCTGGTCACTCAGGATGACTCCTGAGTGTATGGGGGAGCAGCGTCTTAAACCACTAGACTAAGACGACTGATTGTTGATTAGGCCTCAATCTTCGAGGATATTGTAGTGGGGTGTGTGTTGGCGGCGTGGTGGTGGAGATGGACGCGCAAACGCGTTGCAAGCAGCGGCGGCTGGGTGCATCTCTGTTGGCGGAAGGAGCGCTCCAGCCATACGACTGACCCAGTTGGTCGGTTCCTGCCCTTTGCCAGACATGTTGTATTCATGTTGTCGACAACCAATCTTTCCAACCACCTTCGCAACACTCCTTCCATTCTGCGTCTGCATTTCGGACCCAGGAACAACTGTAAGCTATCAGATGTTCCAATCGCCCTCCCAATTGCTGAACGACAAATCTGCACTAGTATTGTCCAGACTTCCAGCCCATAGGTTCTCGTTGATCAATGTAGGCGCGCACCCCGCCATCCATGCTGTTGCATCCATGGTAGGCTCGAAGTTGAACGCCTGTTCATAATCCACGAATTCATCATCCATATCGCGAAGATAAGAGCCGCAGAGACTCATGATAACGTCACGACACTTGGATGCGCTCGGATTCAGCCCAATCATCGATTCGACCACGTCTAATGTTGCAGTCACCTGGTCTCGCCACTCTGGTGCCAGTCTTGATTGAGACTTGGAACGCAGACAATGAATTGGGATAAGCGCTGCTTGGAAGAGAAAGTATCTGTAGATGGTCAGTCAAGCTCAACGGACCTCTCGGGGATCGATACTCACAAGACATAAAACGCAGTCAGCCTGGTCTGCGATCTTGACTTCCAGAAGTTCTGAATCGAGGTTATACTTTCTCGAGCAGCACGCAAGCACCGGTTGGTTTCTTCCTGTTCGTGCCACGTGAGGGTCTCCTCGGATCCATTCTGTGACGCCCACTTCACCAGCAACGGCCTGAATATCACGATTCGAAGGTTTCGATATCTCCAGCAGTTGATACCATGAGGCAATGCGAATCGATCTTCGAGCAATGGTCCGCTACTATCATGGAAGTAATGTGGCACCTGACGCAGCCAAGACTCAACAATAGTCGAGTCAAGTCTCAAAAGCTCTTCTGGCAGAGGCGGCGGGTTACTGATCAGTCGATTGTATATCGGCATCGTCTGCAGATGATAAGAAGACTGAACTCGTAGATACGTGTTTACAGTAGTCTCGTCAACTTCGGCCGGTGTTACAGTCGAATTGGCCATCAGATCCTGTTCCCGAATGTTCGATGGCAGAGCTACATCGACCCCCACTTGCGGCCAGATCAACGGACGGCTGTAAGTTATCGTGGCTCCTACATCCAGGACGCAGAGCGACCACCACACCCTTCGACGCAACTCTTGTTTGAACGGGCTCATGTGCTGAGACCCAAACTCTTTGTGCAAACCAAGTCCAATGGCCATTCTGATTGCTACTCCGCCATAATTATAGCCAGTATTGGGCTTGTTGATCTTTTGAAGAAACATTGCCGACATACCGAATGCTTGCACAAGCGTCAGATTGCCTGTTTCCAGAGCGTTGACTGCAAGGTAGCGCTTCGCTGTCCGGAAGATTGACAAGCTCGTATCGTCTGCCGAGCTAGGATTTGTGACGAAAGCACCAAGTGCTGCAACAATGTTCACCAAGACGAGCCAGATTCCTTGACCTGGTCGAGCCATTCTGCTAGCATACTGAGCTCTGAAAGTTGGCTCGTGTAAGATGGGAAATACTGGATGGTATCGAACAAAGAAAGCGTCCACGAATACATCAACCATAGCTCTGGTCACCAGCGTTTGTGTCTGCACAGCTGAAGCTATTGTGGCACTTTCCGTCTGTCGCTTGAGCAGATGCTGCAAGTCTTGTCTTCGGTCATTCCAGGCACCAGAATCCCACGAAGGACTGTTTCCAGACTCCATCCATAGGGAACGCAGATGAGAAGCACCGGAGGCCATGCCAAGGTATCCGTAGTTGGCGGCATCGACAGTAAGCGTGGCCATACCGTCAATGACCTTTCGGACGCCCTCCTCATCATTCTCTGCAATCGCAACCCCGCCACCAAGACCTGTTTGCTCCCTTTCATCCCACTCGAACTCCTCGTCGCCGTCGGGATACAAGGCCGCTGTTAGATCTGGCTCGACATCAATGGTCGGAAAGCTCCATGTAGACCCGGGATCCTCAAAGCCAGCGCTTCCTTGGTTCGAAATTTGAGACTGAGATGTCTGTTGCTGTTGTTGTGGAGGAACAGCTGGCGACTCTACGCTGCCTCCTGCCGGACTAGCCGTTCGTGGTGTATGTGTTTGGGACACATTCCTGATGGCTGGGAGGACAGGCACATCACCCGACTTTTCAAGATCAAGCAGATAGGATACCTCTTGATCCGAGAAGAGTCTCTTCAGTATCGCTTCAGCACGCGACAATCGATGCTCGACCTCCGTGAGATGCCTGCAAGCCTTGATAAGCCGGACAGCCGCAATGAAGCCCCATCGACACGTACCTTCTGGTCAGCGGCGTCTTCCCTAGTCTGTCGTAAAGACAATGACGCTTATAACGCTTGCATGTTGAGCATTCTGGTATCTTATGGTCGCAATTGGCCTTGCGACGACGGCATTCTTTGCACGCCAAGCTGTCCTCCGCAGCTGCCTGAGATCGTCTTGTCGCACCAGATACGACGGGCGTGCTCATGTTATCACTGTACAACTAGCACGTGAGCAGACGATAGCGACATTGTCTTTCATTCTACCATCTGCAGTCATCGCGAAAACTCCAAGATCTATTTCGCCGAAGGGAAGGTCTTGGACCGAAGCGACCGCTGAGGTCCGCTCAAACCTTGGGCGACTCTCACCCTCGGCTTGACGCTACACCATTTCTGGCGACCAGATCCTAAGCCCCTCTAATCGACTTGATCCTCCAAGACCTCGTCCTTTCGTTCTTACCTTCATCCAACAACATGTCTTCAGCTCCGGAAGTAATGGCATACTTTGTGACTCCATCAACCGACGGCTCGGAGCTCGCGAGCTCATCCATATTCGTGGCCGACTGACAACTGCTAAACTTGGCATTTCTCAAGACAGGGTTGCGACTTTAGCAGAACGTTTACGACAGTCCACGGCTGTGTCTCGTCGAACAAGTCATCAAGACTGTTTGTAGTACCTTCGTCGCGGATATTTGAGCCGTCTTCTACGCCTCAGCATTGCAGTTGATGCATCAAGAGGTTGTCGACGACAAAATATCGAATTTGCGAATCTTGATTGTTGATCTAGCAGAAGCTGCTGATGAAGCTCCTCAACAATTAGTACCATTAACGACTCGAGCGGGAAGAAATCAAAATGACGCGGGCCGAGCGATTTATGTCTTCGCCGCCCTTGTATCAATCCGGTATTTCTTGATGAACGACGGAACCTCGTCAACCAACTCTGCGCACATACGATTCTAGCGACACTCGACAAGCCTTGCCGCGCGGTTGTCCAAGACCTCACAGCATTATTGTACAGTACTTGATGCTGTGGCCACAAGATCCGGTACTGCAGAAGTCATCAGGAACCCCCCGGTCTGACATCTCACGACATATCTCCGATCGACTCTCCTGTCGTACACCATGATCTTCGTGCTACCTGCGCCCATACTTTCTGGGACCTGGAACTTGTGTTACTGACACTATCAGATGCGTCCGATCTCGAGATGAAAATACCTAAACGCAGACATGCACAGCACACTATCTATCGATGTGACCAGCGGCTGGTGCCGCTGCCACGATTCGGTGTCGTGCCAGTCTGACGTATTGTACTCGTTTATACTCCATCTAGAGTGTTCCGATATGGGAGGCAATGTGCTGGCCTTGTCTGCGGTGGAATGACCGCGTCAACAAGCTACACCATGCTGCGCGTCTTGCCATCCTGAGCACCCATGGTACGTGTCTTTCCATATCTGAACACCTTCTACGCAACCATAACACTGTGTAACAATAGAGCATCAATCACGTAACTACGATTATGCGGTCAAGCTGGAGAAGCTGTCCAAAGTAGCAAATCAGTCGCATTGAAGAGATGTTTGTAGATCAAGTCGAGCTGTCGACAATAGCTCCATGCCTTAGAATCACGTCCGAGCGGGTGCTTCTTGCTCAATGCGGTGAGATACAAAGGTGAGCACGAATCTGTTGCTACACAATGTCGGGGGATGATAGTCCAATGCTGATCAGGACAGTCAAGCTTTTGAGCTTGTCTCTACACCAAATGGATTGAATAGCAAGAGCACGAGGGTCTTGTGATATGATATGCGGCCAGTTATGACACAGTCAGATATGCACAACCTCTAACGAGATCTTCGAGGCAGTGGCCGAGGTGGACTTTCATAACAGAGTCTTGTTGATACATCTTGTTCTGTCCGTCATACGACATTCCCGACAACCAAAGTCTATAATCGGACGGGAGTGTTACACCTTCTATGTAGCCGTGCTTTGAATCAACGCTGCAACATCTCGTTGATGTCAAGCCTTCTCCTTTTTCTTGGACTACCTGACCTTTCGCCCGCCTCATATTCATCTTCACTGTTCGCCCTCTCAGGGGCATGCCGTTGCTGTACTGGTGAGCTATGGATGGCCGGCGGCACTGTAGCGCCACTATCTGCTCTAAGTCTTGTTTGTATGTGTCGACCCAGCGAGTCCATGGTATCAGATCTCGGACGATTAGACCGTGTGTTCATTGGTGGCTGTAGAAATATCGGTTGAGTCATGATGCCGCTTGAGTTCGAGCTAGCTGTACCTGGACGTTGGTCCGAGGCTTGCGGGATTGTTGAAGGAGGTGGAAGCATCTGCTGTGATGATTGTTGAAAGCTGGGTTGGGACTGATAATGCATTGTGTAAGGGTATGGAGGTTGCTCGCCAAATGAGTATCGTCGTGGTAGCGGATAGCTCTGCGGTACTGCATCAGCTTTCGGGAATGTGTAGTAGGTGGAAGGAGGCTCTGAGATGCCAGGCTGTTGATGTACCATACGAGGACTACTCTGAAACGATGTGGGAGGTGGTGCTATGATCTGTGTGGGGAACATGATGGGCGGCGACTGGGGAGCTATGACCTGCTCAGGCATCTGTGGAGGTAGCGGTGGCAAGAAAAGGGTGACAAAGTAGACAGACGATTTGGCCAGGCGCATTCGGACGGGCAACATCTGGTCTATGCCACCTCCCAATCGAAAGGTCCATGCGAATTGGTGATCGGTAAAGCCTCTGGTGACTTCTTCCACATCGTGGTCGGTGATGCCTATACCTGATACAGGATCGAGCCTTGGTTGGAGTATCGGTGGTAGATATGCCGGCTCGCGTATCTCTCGTTCTTCCCGCAGCTGGTTTCGGGCGCTCTGGAAGCTGTCGCCCTCGACTGGTTTTGCAATGTCTGACAGTCGTATCCCTCGAATCTCCTGCAGCCACGAGAACAAACGCTGGAAGGTGGCGTTGGCTTTCAAAACAACAAAGTCTGTGTCGAGGAAGGCTATGGGGACCTCAGGGGAAGGAGCTAGACGTGGGTGTCGGGTAGGCGGATGGTAACCTGTAGGTGGCCTTGATGCAAGCGAGTAGTCTTGCCCATACATCTGAGTCGAGCTATCTCGAGCTGTCAAAGGCTGGTGGCTCTGTTCTGCAGCAAATGCAGCCAATGTCCGCAGAGAAGCTGTTTTGCGATGTCCTGGTCGAGCCATTGGTCTTGCTGACGGAGATCCTAACACTGGGCTATCCTCCACCTCTGTTTCGACATTACTCCGTTGGAGGCGGAATTGACCCTCATCGCGTAGACGTGGTCGGCCACGCTTCTTGTGAGGTACGTCACGGCATGTGTCCTAGAAAGTGTTAGCACAGGTCCGGTCGCTGCTCTAGAAAGGGACTCACAGATTTCCCTGTAGCGGTACATCTGCTGCACGGTCGTTCAACATCACAGCTGAGGTGAGCTCGCTTGCAATTGTTGCACGCATTGGCGACGTGAGATTTGGCTCGTCTCCCTCCACGTCCTGTGTTAGGCGATGGCTGTCTGGCACTAGGCCCAGCTGTCGGCAGATTATCCAGCACATTGCTTACACTCGAGATAGAACCGGTACGGCGTATCAAAGCAATACTCTCTGCAGAGGATGAAGAATAGGTACGGGGCGCGTCTGATGACCCTGCGACCTGTACCAGATCTAGAGATCTAGGTATGCTCTGGAGTGTCGATGCGGATACACCCGTCGGAACAAAAGTTATGGTAAACTCAGAGCTAGTGGTGGGTGGGTTGATGGAAGTAGTAGTGGTGGAGAGTGTGAAGTTCTGGAAAGCTGTAGCTTGCGAAGGTGGTATATCAGATCCCTTCCTCTGTGGGGAAGGCGGGCTGGACATAGGCGGAGAAGGGTATGACGGAAGGAGCTGCCACGACGGGGACCCACCTTGCGTGAAAGCAAGGTCTGTATGATCGATTTGAGGCCAAATCTTGAATGGTAAATAGAAGTAATTGGGCTGTAAACACCCGGTCATACTTTCCCGAAATTGTGTTGATGAGATCCAAGATGCCGAGAGGGGGAGGAGCGAGCGATAGAAGCTTAGACCAATCTTATTCGCGTTCGCTTCGAGAACGAACTTGTACTGATTTTCCTCTTGAGTTGAATTTTGCAGTAATGGTTCTTGCCAAAAGTTTCAACTGTTCCGATAATTATACAGCTTTGTGAAGTTCGGAGTATGCAGACTCGATTTCGGGCTTCTCAAACAACAAGAACGAGGGAACAAGCCCAAAGAAATGACAAACAGTCAAAAACGAGTGTTGGAATTTGATCAGATTGTTGGTGCAATTGACACTGATCAACGAAACACAAACGACAGAGGACAGACGCACTGATGAAGCTGGAAAGCCAGCCTAGATGAGACGAGACGGTAGAGAGATGGGTGGAGGGGGAGACGCACTAAGCCCCGTGAATTGAGTCAGGATTGGACAGACTCGTACATAAGAATGGCAGCAACAAACGTCGGACACCCCAGACAGCCATGGCGTAATGCGCATAAACTAAGGTTGGGATCATGGGGAAGGCCGTGCAGGATATAGCATAACAATGATTGCAGACATGTCATATGGACCGCAAATCTCCCTCCTTACGGCGCTGACAGGGCGGATATCCATTATTACGCCGCTCAAAGCACGATGCATCGGGGCCACGACGCTCTTGAGAGAGACCCATGAGTTTGTCTCGTGCATGTCCGTTCCACCATATCTTGGCGGATAGACGATGTCGCTACAAGCACACGCACTTCCACGGTGCAGGGCAGCAGATCATTGAAAAGCATTGGAATCTATCGGCGACCATAGATGCCGACTTACGCCGTGTGCGAAACGGCTTGCGCAATGGCGTATGCTTGAATAGTACTAGGCTCGTGTTTAAATGCTTGCTAGGCAGAAATTGCCGCAGGAGGGTGGGCATAGCGAAGAGCTGGCGCGGCCAGAGGTACGATGTAGACCAATCAACGGCGGAGCGGGTCTAACAGTCAGGAGCCCAAGTGACAATCTAGAGGCGCCTGCCGGAAGGAAGATTCTGAAACGCCTCGATTAAGCTCGATTGCATGCTGTCGGCGGGTCATTGTTTCCAAAGATTGCCCAACGTTGTTGACAGCATCGTGGGGCCGGATCGGCAGCTTGGACCTACCTCCTGGCCACCTATAACCATAGGAAGATGGTCTTGTCTCAAGACTGACTACTTTTACGAGGTTTTTGTGTAGATGAGGCCCCTCGATCTCGGACATCGCTTCCCATTGTGTGCGGAGACGAAGGGGTCGAATGGCCGTGCACAGACATATGTCCTGATTGTCGTGAAAGCATGTCGGAATTGACAACGGAATTCTGTTCACCTGCCATCGGCCCTGAACAGAATCCGAGATGTGATGGAAACAGACCACTTGCGGGAGTCCTAAACACGAGACGGAGGATCTGAAAATAAAAATGACGGAACGACTGTCAAGTCTTCCATGTTGCGGAAGTATGTGGAACATCTCTTTCCTGTTCCGACGCCGTCAGAGACTGATGCATAGCAGTCTCACAGTCCGGAGGTAGGAGATTTATCGCGCAGCCTGCGGACTCCCGATTGGCGCTGGACTTGGAAGTCGCAAGGATTGACGAATGAGTGATCAGCAATGAGCAGGCTTCGCCAAGCTCATGTTCCTGGAGAGAACGCGGCCCTGGTTATCGTGTCCTTCACTCGTATGTAGAAACGGTCCAGCCTGAGTCCATGAATCGTCGTGGGTTCGGGGCTGCATATCGAGGTACTATCGCAATTACTGTGCATCTCATGCAAGAGCCGCATGATACAGTCGGATTCAGACAGTCGAGAGAAAAGTCCGAGAACGCTACGGACTTCTGTCAGAGGGCAAGTCTCCAAGAGGTGAGGTTGGGATGGAGAAGTTGGGGTGCCGAGCGAAAACATCCGATGTTTCGACGCGCCAAGACACGACAACCTCACATCGCTATTGCCCTCCGCTGCGTCTACTCAAGTAGCTATTTTGGACAGATTTTATTCGTTGTCAGCAACAGTCACGAATATGCGTCCATCCGGTAGAAGCTTATTGCATGTATTGAGACAATTGACCAAGTACGGTGCTTTCCCATGCGAACGACTACTTATGCGGTGTTGATCATTGACGGAGTGCCACCAACACCAACCAAGTCGGACGTCCCTTGCGGGAGTCTGGGAGCCACTGCAAGGCTGTTCAATTTAGCGTCTTGATCAAAGCACCTTTAAGCATCTCATGCATGTTAGACTGAAGCGATGACCCGTTGCTTATTCCAGTGAGACGATGCTTTGTATAAGAACCAAGACCATGTTTCATCATCAACCTAGAGTCAAAGGCATGTAGATCGGTGTCATCGGTATCGCGGAGCTTAGACTACCGTGCCGTTACCTTGAAGTCAGCCTAAAGTCCATTTCCTTGCATAAGATCACGGCTCAGGTCAGAGTATTCAACTGTCCGAAGAACTCAACCGAAGAGCAAGGGACAGTCGACAGGAGTCGAGGAGACCCATATGAGTGGAGCATTACGCACAACACAGCAATGGACATGTACGAGACAGCTGAGTGAGTTGTGGAGCTGCGGAGCAGATCCATCGAACGTTTGCAGTGCTCTGGTTGGTCCCATGCTAGCGCAAGAAAAACAAAAGGAAGAAACTCTCTCCTCCTACTAATCTCTTCCACCTCTGCCACCTCTGCCTCCTCTACCTCCGCCACGGCCACCGCCGCCCCGACCTCCACCACCTCGGCCGCCGCGACCGCCGCGACTACCACCGCGATCACCAAAGCCACCTCTACTACCGCCACGATCGCCGAATCCACCTCGGCTTGATCCTCCTCTGCCTGATCCTCCTCTGCTTGGTCCTCCGCGTCCTCCGCGTCCACCACTACCTCGGCCGCGACTGCTTGAACCTGCTGGACGAGCATTCTTATCCTGACGGTTCTGAGCTTCTTGTCTGAGCTTGTGCACGTCGTCAGCACCTCTGATCTCACTCTTTCCAGGTCCACCTTCGAATCTGCCAATTCGCTTCTCCTTTGCTACATCAACCTTTGCCTGCTGCTTGTAGTAGTCGTCTCTGTACTTGTCGGCGTCCTTGGGTGCCTTGATCATGTTGTGCTTGAAACGCTGTTCGTTGAGGCCATTTCTGTTACCCGGGCGTTCGAGCTCTCCAACACGAGGAAGCACGTCGAGTTTGTTGTCCTTCCTCCATCTGTCGTAGCGACCACTTCGGAATGAGGCTGCGATCTTGAGACCACTTTCACCAGTAATCATCTTTGTGCCCTTGGAACCGTCCTCATCGTTGGCTCGTGCCACGTATTTTCTGCTCTTCTTGTCCCAACGCAGACCACCAGCCTTGCTTGGTGCACCGAAAGCTTTTGTGTCATCATTTGTGAGATCCATAGTAGCTCCGCGGGCTGCGTCCAAGAAATGAGTATTGCGACCTCCATCCGTACCGGAGTGAACCCCGTAGCCTCGGTCTTCAGCCATATTGATGTTTTGTGGCGTATATGACATGAAGAACTCCGAATCTTGCCCGGCTCCTGATGACTTTGCCTTTTTCTTGTCGGGCTGCGAAAACGTGACCTCAAGCTCATCCTCGGACGCCTCATCGAGATCGACATCAAAGTCACCACTAGGGGCGTCCTCGTCGTCGGCATTGTCAAAGACTGAGGTATCGTTGTCCATCTCATCAATCTCTGCCTCTTCCGCAGCCTTTTCTTGCTGCTTGCGAGGCTGGATCTTGGCACGTCTATTTCTCATGATTTCCGTAGCCGCATTCGTGGTGCCTCGCTTGCCAACCTCGAATATAGTTTCCGGTGGTCGGAAACCGCTTACACGGGCTAACATGTTTTCTCTTTCAAGCTCCATATGTCTAGCTTCTGAATCGTCCTCAAACAGAGTATGGATCTCAGAATAATGGGGAGAGGAGCCGATGACCTTGGCGCGCTTTGCACTCTCGGATGAGGCTGAAGTTCGAGTACGGACGTATTGCTTCTCAGCCTTGACGGAGACATCACGCATGCCGGCTAAGTCAACGTCATCATCAACAAGCTTTCCAACCTCCTCGACACAGATCTCGAGGGGAGCTCTAACAAGCGTGCCCAAGATGACCTGGTCGGCATAGTTGATCTCGTCGGTAGGCTCTCTTCCAAGAACGAGTTTTCGGCTGAGGAAGAGCTGAAGGTCAAGCAAGTATGGCAGATCCTTCTGGGTGACCAGACTATAAGCCCAACCCTTGCGACCGGCACGAGCGGTACGTCCGACACGATGCACAAAGATCTTGGGTTGGGAAGGGAAATCGTAGTTGATGACGTTAGCGAGGACGGGAATATCGACACCACGAGCGGCGACATCAGTAACGACAAGGATGTTTGTGAGGCCAGATCGGAATTCCTGGATCTGTATCTTTCTTGCGGTCTGGTCCAAAGCACCATAGACATAGGAGACAGCGTAGCCAAGCTGGCTAAGTAGGTTGTAGAGGTACTCGACGTGATGTTTTGTGGCAGCGAAGACAATGGTAGAGTGTTCGGTCGGAATTTCGTTGGCACCGGGACCATCAGATCCTCGCTTGCGCTTCTTGGAGTTCATGCTGTCTTCCTTGGCTCGCTTGGTTCGCTCAGTAGGACCACTGGGCATTTTGATGACGTCTCTGAGGATGTGGATGAGAGCACCTTCCTTCTCTTGAGTGTTGATGTTGAAGTAAGCGGTCTCAAGATCAGGCGAAACCTTTGTTTCGGCGTCGAGACGGATCAGCTTGGGCTCCTGAAGACCAGCGCGAGCGAATTCGACCAATGATCTGGGTAGAGTGGCGGAAAACAGAAGAGTCTGTCTGTTGGGAGGAAGGGCGTGGATAATCTCGGTCAATTGTGCAGCGAAACCCATCTCGAACAAGCGATCGGCTTCATCGAAAACAATGTATTTGATTGAGCCCAGGTCCAAGTTCATCTCAATCTTCAAATGCTCGAAACGACCGGGCGTAGCAATGATGATGTCCGGGTTAGAGGCCATGGACGAGAATTGCTCCTCCAGACTGTCACCACCGACCAGCAAGATTGTTCTAAGGTCTGTTCCCTTGCCCATCTCTTTGACGACCTTGAGTGTTTGCAGAGCAAGTTCACGCGAAGGAGACAAGATGACGGCTCTCGCGCCAACCTTTGCGCTATGCGACTTCAACTTCTCAATCATGGGGATGACGAAAGCGGCAGTCTTTCCCGAGCCAGTTCTTGCCATACCAACAACATCCTGACCGTCTAGAATGACGGGGATCGTCTTGCGCTGAATCGGGGTAGGCACCGAGAAACCCTTGCGAGTGATGGCCTTGAGCAAGTGGCCGTTCAGGCCCATGACCTGGAAACCTCCTCCTTTCTTTGTAGTCTTTCCTGTCGCATCCTTCGTCTTCCGATTGTTGGCTGCCTGCTGAGCGGCAATGTACAGTTCGTCGCCATCGCTGTCGTCGTCCAGTCCAGCACCAGCTGAGGCATCGAAGGCGGTTGGCTTAGGCTGCTCAAAGCCGGCAAGAGGATCCTCGTCGTCGGAGTCGAGACCAGCTCCTCCAGCTAGGGCATTTGAGATGTCGAATCCATTCTCGGAAGCGGTAGGCGATACAGCTCGTCTACCCATGTTGTGTACGAATATCGACAAGATTGTCGAGAAATGTTGGATCGCAGAAAAAGCACCTCTCCGCAAATTGTAAAGTCGCGACCCTCTCGAACTTTTGCTGATAAGCTTCGCGGCTCTTTCTTATCAGCACGTGAGTCGCTCCTTCCACGAGAAAGTGCAAAGCTCTGACCACAATCGCGGTCAAACGCGGTCAAACGCGGTCGAGGCTGCCATTTCGCGTTCGCCCGCCAAAGAGCATGCCACTTTTTGATCATTACAACAACGATTAGACAACACATCCGAACACTCGACTTTCTACAATACTACACTTGGGCACTCACTTAGACGCGTACAGCTCACTCAGTGGCCCCCTTTCGCCTCACTCTATTTAGCACCGGAGCAAAATCACAATGGGTAAGGCGCCCCAACATCACAAGAGAGCTAGAGGCAATTCTGATCAGAATAGACTACGGTTATTCGACGACTTCGTACGGCGCGCAGGGTGGCAATGAGGATGGCGGTTTCATGGCCGGCAGCCAGGACAGTCCCAGCGCAAAAAGAGTGAGCTTGCCCTTCCATCTAGCTCGACTTGTCCACAACTAACACCCACAGTCATACGGAAAGGAAACGCTACGCCCAGTGACCATCAAGCAACTCCTCGAAGCCGAACAGCCTGACAGCGAAAACTTTGCCATCGACGGCTCGGAACTGACAACAATCTCGTTTGTCGGTCAGATCCGCAACATCAGCAAGCAAACCACAAACATCACCTATAAGCTGGACGATGGCACGGGTACCATCGAGGTCAAGGTCTGGATCGACATGGAGACGGCGCAGAACGATGAAGAGAATGGCAGCAAGGGCGGCCTGGTAGAGAACGCATACGCCCGTGTTTGGGGCAAGCTCAAGACTTTCGGCAAGCGTCACGTTGTCGCCCAGCAAATCCGCCCTCTCACCGACTTGAACGAGGTCAACTACCACATGCTCGAAGCCACCTACGTACACCTCTTCTTCACACGCGGCCCCGTCAACGCACAACAACAAGGTCAACAGGGACAAGGCGCAAGCAACGGTGGTCAGTCTGGTGGTGGTGGCACTCTCCCTGCAGGTGTCTCGAGCCACGCCAGAAAGGTCTTCCAGTGCATGCAAAACACCCCTCAAATCAACGAGGGTCTTCACATGCAGGACATTGCCAGTCGCACTGGCATGGACGTCGCAGATGTGCTCAAGGGTGCAGACGAGCTGCAGGCCATGGGCAAGATCTACCCCACAGTCGATGACCAGACCTGGTGCTTGCTTGACATGTAAGGTAGTCTCAAGGCGAGTTTGTGTGAAGACTTCTTTGCTCTGCGAGAAAAGGCGGGAGGATACCAGCATTATGTGTACGTTTATGGCAGCGAGGTGTGTAAGAATCATGAATCATCAACGTCAATCTCATCCAACTTCTCAACGAGTCCGCTGCTTCGACGCTGCATTGGTCGACAAGAAAAGTACACACGCAGCCACAATAGACGTAGCGACAATGGTAAAGACCTGAATGGTGGATCAGAGGCGTAGTCGTTAATCTCAGATGGCATACTTACGACCTGGGTCTTCCAACCCGTCTGCACCAAAGCTTGCCGCTTTGAGTATCGTTTCACGGTCTTTATGTAGTTCGCCGTCCCACTCGCGAGACATGCGAGAGCAAGAAACCAGAAGATGATGCCAAACGGCAATGCTATCCGCCGCTCAAGCGGTGAAGGCTGCCTCTTGAGATGGAAAGAGATGAGAATGGCTACACTGACGACAGCCATGTAGATAGATAGTCGTAACCACGAAAGAAATGCTGGAGACAACCGGTCAGTCAGATCACATAGCATTAGGTTCGTTCACGGCAGAATGACCTACTTCTCTCATTTGCACAATGATCACGCGCATCAGAGTCGAGATTGTCGAAGAGAAGAGCACCTAGTAGCGGTCTTTCGACAAAGACATGGCGATCGTATGTTACGCGACTAGAATGCGATTATTCATAGTGTCATGAAGTCGTTTTCGATGGCATGTTCACATACTGGTTCACCAAGACAGGCTTCGAATGTGGTACGCATGACACGACTTCGTAAGGCTCGATACGTTCTTCGGTCAAGGTCGCCATTCTCAAGAAGATGGAGAGTGTCCGATACTATTTGACAGTATAGCAAGAACAGGATACCTATCTTTTATTGATACGATTTACGAGAGTTGAGTGTAACACGCCATGCCGGAGTCGGGGAAGTGTTTAGGGAAGGAGCATGACTGCCAAGGCTGGCACAGAGGGCGGTCGCCGGTCGGATTCTGCCGACGCAAGAGCATTTGGACTTTGGTATGCGGCGAGCACCACCGAGAAGTCACGCCCACGTCTCATACCACAATACAGCACAAACATGTCGGTCCAAGCAGCAATCAAAGCGCCCTTCCGCGTAGGAACTAAGGAGGTATTCCTGTACGTCTCTCCCAATTGCGCATACGCAGACTATACCGACGATGCGACGAGAACAAAAAGTACTGACGATTTCATGTCGGACAGGCCAAACTTCACAATCACGCTCGTCCAAACACCGCGCATGCCCGCCAGCTTTGCAAAATTCATCGTGCCTCTCAATATGAACAAGCTCGATCTCCGCGACTACCTCTTCCACGTCTACAACGTCCGTGTCGTCAGCGTCCGCTCCTACATCGAACAGCAAAAAGTCACCCAAGGCAAGCCCAATGCCCCAAAGCAGCAGATCAAGCGTTGGTTTCGCCCGCGCGCCATCAAGAAGATGACGGTCGAGTTGGAGAGCCCGTTTGTGTGGCCAGAGTTGCCGAATGAGGAGGACTTGAATGAGAATTGGAGTACGGATACGCATAAGCAGGCTCAAAAGGACAACGACAAGTATGCCGAGCAAAGAGGCAGATTGGCAGATACATCTGTGGACAGAGATGAGAGAATGAGTATGAGAGAGCAGGCCAAGGCGCTGTTGGAGAGAAAGGAGCAGTGGAAGCCTGCTCAGCAATTGGGCTTTGGGCAAAGAAAGTAGATGGAAGGGTATGGTTGGTATGAGCATTCTTGGCTTGGAGTATGAGGCGTTGGCATCACAAAACACGGGCGAGTGTGCATATGGGACAGCACTGTACTATATTCGATCCATATCTAGGCATGAGTTGCCTGCTCGCTCCTCAATGGCTGCGAGTTGTACTTTTACAAACTCACCATCACCTTAATGCCGTGAATTAGGACAGAGGCACTCATTGATTCTAGGATGCATCTGAAACCATCTCAGAGCATTTCCAAGTCGATCTAGTTTGTTTGCTGGCAATCTGCTAACCTCGTATAAGCAGGCGCAGCCGACTTTCGCTCTTTGACTCACGATGCTCCCGCGATTCTTGATTTCCAACACTTGTTGGTTCGTTTTCTGTTCTCATTCCAATGACCTCTGATTCGATTACTGCTACTTCCTTTCTTCGTCTCTTGTCTAATGAGATCAATTCGACCCATAATAGTTGAATGAAGCCAAACTAGATGCCTCGGCAAAGTGGCGGGGAACATGTCGGAAAACTTCTCGGACAACTTTGACCTGGCGTCCTTTTTATCTCTACCATTGCATTATTCCGGCATGGCTCAGACTAATACTACAAGTACTATGGAACCTCCCACCGGAACCCGTCCATATCGCTCACACAAGTTTCCCGCCTGTACAGCTTGCCGCCAACGCAAGATTCGCTGCCACTTTGATCAAGTCGCTGCTCAATGCACTCTTTGTCGGGAAAAGGGTTGGCAATGCATTACTGCTTCTCCGGCCCAGAGCGCTCAAAAACGCGATCGGTCGTCAACTTCGGGTCCAGCAGACAGACCTGTCAAGCGGACTACCCAGAGTCTGGGATCGAGAGATGATGGTTCACCGAGTGTTCAAGTTCGTCGACCATCACGCCAGAGTTCGGTCATAGGCACTCCTGCTGAAGCCTCTGCGGAAATTGCTCAGCCTTTGGATCATCCGAGTACAGAATCGACTGTGATCGTGGGACCTGTCTTTCAAGAAGATATTCAGATCTTGGGACCATATCTCTCGAGAGGAGATGAAGCGAGACAGTCTTCCAAGGAGCGGCAAACTGCTACAGCTGGCCCAAGTCGCAATCCACTTTTATATCTCTCTGTTCCTCGCCGTCGCCGTGGTCTTCAACCCGCCAAAGATCCTGGTTCTGGTCAGAAGCTCATCTTGCAACATCTAGTTGGGCCCTTTGCTGGCGAACTCGTGGATCTGTAAGTTCAAGCTTGATTTTCTATCAACATACAATAGCTGATACTCTTTAGATATTTCGAGTATGCCCATCCCTGCTTTCCCATCCTTGATGAACTAGCTATTCGGAAGCACGGAGCTGCCAACGTCTCTTCTACGTTGTGGTCCTACATCATCACCAATGCATTGTCTTCTTGGGATCGGTCTCCAAAACTAAAACACCATCCGCGGCCTGATCCCATCTATGCTTGCAATGTTGCCGTTGCTGCATTGCAAGAAGACTTCAATGAGTCGAGTGTATCAACCATTCTCTGTAGTGTCCTTGACATGATTGGCCGTCCTGTTAGTATATGACCAAGTCAAAATTGAGCGCCTGCTGACTCCTTACCTGGTCAACTCTATCGTAGGCAACATCATCAACGAAGGCCGGACGATAGCCCTCGCCCATACTTTCGGCATGAACCGCAACCCAACCAATTGGGGCTGTTCAGATCACGAGAAGCGACTCAGAATACGAACTTGGTGGGCAGTGTTGATTAGCAACAGACTGTGAGTTGTGAAGAGACATGTCTGAGCATAAGCTAATTCCTCAATAGATCTGCTCTAGCCCACGGCACTCCAGGCACTCTGATAAAAGGACAGTATGATGTACCGCTACCCACGCCTGCCATGCTCTTGACGCCTGGCAAGAACGACATCTATCGCGAGCAGGGTGCAGAGCACTTCATCCAGCTTTGTAAGTTATGCGAAATTTTAGGGGAAATCAATCAGATTGCTGTGGACCTTCGCCGTCCCTTCGATGCCAAAGTCCCACGAGAACTTCGACGACTGGAGTGTGATCTCGATCAATGGGAAGCCGATCTACCTCCATATCTTACTCGGCCACTTGATGAAGGCAAGGGTCCTGGAGCGTGTAATCTGCATCTCTGCTTCCTCTCCACCAAACTTCTTCTTGCACGCACGGCGTTAAAGGTATGTTGGACAACTCTCCATGCATTTCGCAACTAACCTTGTCCAGGTCGCCTCCGATGGTCAGCAACCAGATAGTAGCAGTGAACACATGCGATATCGTCTCTCCGTCCTCCGTAGTCTAGCGCGCGAGATAGCAGACTTTGTCTGTGCCCTCCAAAGCCACCACCTCGCCGAGTTCTGGCTACCATGTAAGCCAACACCCGCCTCCCTATCACTTCTCCTTTCCCCCCTTCCCTTCCCTTCCCTTCCCTTCCCTCACTCACTCGCTCAAAAGCGTAAAAAGTTGACTGAAAGTTTGCCTCAAACAGACACAGCCCACTTCCTAGCCTCCTCAGCAATGATACTCCTCCGCTGCACAATCGAAACGACCGACCCCTTGACCCGCGAACCTTGCAAACTCTCCCTCTCCTCCCTCCGCAAACGTCTCCGCTCCGCCCGCGACGACTCCTCCTGGGACCTCGCCGACATTTTCCTAAACCAATGCGACGAACCAATCTCACGCGTCATCGCCAAATTATCCTACTCTACTTTATCTGCAGCACAGCCAGTGATGGAAGTTACTCAACAACAGCAGGAAGTGCCTATTAATGTGGAAGATGTCATTTTGCAGCCTTTGCAGCAGGATTTTGTGTTTGATCTTGCTGGGCTCGGGGCTGAAGGATTTGGGATGGGGTTTGAGGGGTTGGGGTTGCCGTTTGGGGATTTGTGGAGTGGGTATGAGGATGTGAATATGAATGGGAATGGGGGTGCGAGTGGGATGAATGGGATTTAGGATGGTGAGGAGAATTTTGAAGTGGAAAAGCCTGAGATTAAATCTTTATCAATCAGGCTGGAAGTTGTCTTTTCCAACCATCGAGGATGAGGACTCGCCTTCCGAGGCTGGAGAAGCTGGACGACAAACACATAGCTTGGCTACGATATTCAAGGGAGGAACGAGACAAACAGAAGATCAAGAGGCACGACCCTCGCGTCTCTACACCTCAATACTCTTCACTACGTCTCAGCACAGCGAAGCACCAAAATACAATGGCCATCGAGATGCAACAGCAATTCAATCCAATCTCCAAACTCTGCGTGTGAATAGCACGAGAGTTAAAACGTGAGTGCAGATTGGATCCTGGTGCATCGAACAAGGGATACCCTTAGTAAAGAAATGTCGAAGGTGGGGAAAAATCCATCATGCATTTTTTTACAAACCTCATTCTTGTTGGTATGCAGATGATTGTGGATTCTCAGCTTAGCGCCCTGGCTATTATCTCTTAGCGGATCTTGTTGGAGGTATGGAAAACTTATTGCATTCTTACAGTGTTGTTTCGTGGTGTGAGACAACGGCTGAGATACCACATGAAGCTGGAGGTAAGAAGATAGAAGCTTTTCGTAAGAATCAAGGTTGTGCATTCGAGACGGCACACGCTGAGAATACTGTGAAAGGCAGGAGAGATGCAAGCTTGTATGGATGAAATGTAGACGCTTAAACGTTGATCATTATACTGAATTGTTGGGTGAGGTTGGGGTGGGAGACATGACAAATAAAACTCCCCGGTCCATGCGAAGAATGAAGAAGGAAAAGACATAAACCCCGAGTCTGTGGAAAAAAGAAGAAGAAAGAAAGGAAGAAAAGGCTCCACATATCCCAACTGTTGTTTCCCTTTTCTTTGGTATCATTTTATTTCTTTTAAACAGAGACCTCAACACGGCCCTCGTTTCCGGGGGCGCCGCCGCTGAGGCTGGGGAGAAGGTAGGTAATATCGTCCTGAAACTATTGTTAGTGATTTGTCTGAAAGATAAGTGGAGAAAATAGCTTACCCAAGGGTGACGGTAGAGACCAGTACGGAGTCTCTTCTGGTCGAGGAAATGGGCAATGAGACCGATTGAACGACCAAGGACGAACAGACCGTTGAGGACACCCATCTTGAGGTAGTCCTCGGCCTCCTCGTTGGTGAAGGCACCACAGTTGCGGACAAGGTCGACGAAAGCGACGGCAACGGCACCGTCAACGTTGAGAATCAGGTTGTCCTTCTTGGAGGTGGTGACGGACTCGACGGCGAGAGCGTAGTCGAGGAGAGGAGTGCGGGGGAAGTTGGCCTTGACGTACTCCTTGACAAGCGAGACACGGAGATCGGGGTTGTTGCGCGACTTGACACGGTGACCGATACCGGGAATGAGCTTGTTCTCCTTGCGCATGGTGTCGACGAAGTCACGAGGAGAAAGACCCTTGTCGTAGGCCTTGGTGAACTCCTCAGCGGCACCGTCGAGGGCACCACCGAAACGAGAACCGATGGTCAAGAGACCAGCGACGAGCGACGAGATCAGATCCTTGCCGGCACGGGTGGTGATGATGGTGTTCATGGCACCGGAAACGGCGGGACCGTGATCGGCAGTAAGCATGAGAACCATCTCCAAGAACTTGCTGGCAAAGTCGGGAAGACGGCGACGGAACCACAGAAGAGACATGACACCACCGATACCAATGTTCTCTTTGAAGACGTCGGAAATGGGCATACCGGCGTAGAGGAGCTCCTGACCACGGTCGTCGGAGATGGTGGAAATGAAGGCAGCGGGCTTACGGATGAGACCGAGCTCCTGGGCCCATGAGTAGTCGATGGGGATCTTGGGGACAGCGGGCTCGGGCTGGGGCTGGATGGTGCCGTCGGCGGTGAGCTTCTGGTAAAGGTCGGCGAGGACCTTGGGCATGTCCTCGAAGGTGTCTGGAACGTAGAAACCGGCCTCCTTCATCGACTTGTTCTTCATGGCAGCAGTCTCGAGCTGGGAGTTGGCGAACGAACCAGCGTGACCGAACTGGACCTCGGTCTTGAGCATGCTGGCGACGGTACCAATGGCCCAGGCAACAATGGGCTTTTTGATCTGGCCAGACTTGACGGCCTCAATGACGCGGTACTCCTCAACACCACCGACCTCACCGAGAAGGAGGAGGATCTTGGCGTTGGGGTCCTGCTCGTAACGGAGCAAGTGGTCGATGAAAGTTGTACCAGGGTATCTGTCACCACCGATGGCAACACCCTCGCAAACACCGTTGGTGGTCTGCTCAATGATGTTGTTGAGCTCGTTGGACATACCACCGGACTTGGAGACGTAAGAAACGGCACCAGAGCGGTACAGCTTGGAGGCAACAATGTTGTCCATCATACCACCAGTGTTACCGATCTTGAAAGCTCCGGGCTTGATACCACCGACGGTGGCAGGGCCAATGATGGTGACACCCTTCTTGGCGGCAACGTGGAGGATCTCACGAGCGCGCTATTCTCGTGTTAGCTCGATGTTGCCGTTGCTGCTTTGTGGCAGTCTAGACTTACTCTCTCGGGGACACCCTCGGCAATGATGGCGATGGTCTTGATTTGAGGGTACTCCATGAGCTCCATGGTGCTCTGGAAGACGGAACGCGACGAAGCAAAGTTGACGACAGTGTCAACGTCGTCGTGCTTGGCGACGGCCTTCTCGGTGCTCTGGTAGACAGGGAGAAGAGTCTCGCTGGTGCCCCAGTACATCTTGCTGACGAACTGACCTCCGAAAGTGTAGATGATACCGGCGACCGAGGGAACCTTTCTCTTGCAGATGAAGTCAAAGTCAAGCATACCCTGGACGGCCTTGGGCTGCAGACCGTAGACGAAACATCTTGTCTTGGGGTGGAAGAGCTGGTGGGAGGGAGTAGGGCTCAATGCTCTGCTGGGGGCGGCAAAGCGGGTGATGTTGTCGTTGGGCTGGCTGGTACCGTTGGCCTGCGAGGTAGAGGCAGCTGCCGGGGTAGATGTGGTTGCGGAAACCATTGTGAAAGCTGCGAGAGGTGCTCTGTCAGTTGGGTCGTTCGCAAGGAAGGAGCTCTTGAGGTGGGAAAGAGCGATTGAGGAAGAGACGGACAAAGTGACACGTGAGCAGGTAGACGGCTTCAAGCTTGGGCAGTTGCTGCAGATGCGATGCTAAAACAATGCTGTGCAAGGCTGGAGCTGTGGATGTGCAGGAACAAGACAATTGAAAGAGTGCTGGGATGAGGGATGGGGTTTGCAAAGCTTGCCGAAGCTGACTCGGCGAGTGCAACAATAATTCAGAGCTTACTTACAGTTATATCAAAAGCGACGACAGAGGAAGGAGGGAGGAAAGAGGAGAGGTCGAATGGACAAAAGATGAATGACCAGCAGGAGATGAGCAAGTCGGGACGAGGCAGGAGATCGGAGAGGCGCAAGAGAGACTTGGAGACAAGCAATATTGTTCGACTCGTCGCACGCAGAGGCGCTTTGCTGAGGCTTCAACCGCAGGGCCAAAAGTCCGAGGGGTGCAGGGGTCCGGTTGAGGTTAGCGGTCGCTTTCTTTTGGTGCAGCCGTTACGTTTCCGCCATTTGTGTGGGTTGGAAATTCCCCGACAAGACCGACGCGCCATTCTGTGACAGCCGCGGCCACCGTGCACGGCTCTCCTCTCACTTCCCGACTCCGGCCGTGACCAGACAAAATCGTACCATCATCAATTTCCCCCTTCATCTGCTGCTTGTATTTGCGGGAATTGTTGCTGTCCATTGTCTCGAAGCCTGTCCAGAAGATAGCCCGTGGCAAAGCGCTGAGTGAGCGGCGTCAGCGGGTGAGCGATAAGCTGTGGTGAATTGTTGATGGGTCACCTCCGGCCCGAGTCACGGCTGCTGCTTCAGCATTCTGCAGAATTCCGTGCCTCCATGGAGCCATCTGAGCCTCGGGTGTTCGACGTGTCCTCTTTGTTTCGGTGTGGGCGGCGCGTGCACTGGAGCTCTCTCCACGAAACCCCTGTATAAAATTAGCATTAGCAGCACAATCAGCCCACTCACCACTAATCCCAGCCCTTTTGCGTTGCGGGATCGGCGTTTTTTGTCGACCCAACGGCAGCGCTAACACGCCCCGCCCGCGCTAGCGAGAGCTCACCGTCTGCACCCTTCTGCGGCCACCTGGAGCCAAGACCCGACAATATTCTCCTCGATCTCATCCACAGCTCCCCTCCTCAAAGAGTGCTCTCCCGAATCCATCAAAGTCTCCGACACCTTCTTTGACTTCGATTCCCCTCTCAATACCACCAATTGGCGTCTCCTTGATTGTGTGATACCCACCTCTTCGGACTTTTTCCCAATCTCACCTTCTCCCAGCCCTCCAGGTAAGCACCCGTCGAGCTCCCCAGCAAGCGCATCCTACCTGTGTATCCATAATTGGCATTCGGCAAACGAAGGTGATTCGTCGATTCAAAGCCCTTCGGACTTTTGACGAGTCTCGAGGGACATGTCTCGCACGTCTCTTCCGTGCGCGGTGCCTGTATCTCCCAACTCTTGTTGAGCCGAAAGCACACGACTTGTTGCCGCAAGCCATTCCCCATTGCTTTGCTGCTGTTCCTAGCTCTTCACCACTTTCCATCTTCCTCCTTCTTTACTCTTCCTCTTCTTGTCACTGTCCTTGCTCTTCCTCTACTCTCGCTTGTACTCTCGTTTCGACTCGTCGGTTCGTTGCTCACCTTTTCTCGTCAGTTCTCCACAAGCAGCCATGTCCGCAAAGTCGATCCTCGAAGCCGATGGCAAGGCCATCCTCAACTACCACCTTACCAGAGCTCCCGTCATCAAGCCCACTCCTCTTCCCCCGGCTGCAAACCACAACCCCCACGCCAAGCTCTGCTCCCTCTACTTCGCCGCAGATGCTTCCCCCAAGGACATCCTTGACGAGGCCGAGGTCAAGTACCCCTGGTTGCTCCAGTCTGGCGCCAAGTTCGTCGCAAAGCCCGATCAGCTCATCAAGAGAAGAGGAAAGAGCGGTCTTTTGGCCCTGAACAAGACCTGGCCTGAGGCTAGAGCTTGGGTTGAGGAGCGCGCTGGCAAGCCCCAGAGAGTCGAGACTGTCGATGGTGTCCTGAGACAGTTCTTGGTCGAGCCTTTCGTGCCTCACCCCCAGGAAACTGAGTACTACATCAACATCAACTCCGTCCGCGAGGTATGTGGCTTTTTTCTTTATTTTTCCTTTTTCCTTTATTTTTCCTTTTTCCTTTATTTTTCCTTTTTCCTTCTGGCATGTCGAAAACAATCACTTGGAAGCAATTCGCCTGGGCTTGTCGAGTTTTTCCTTGATCGTCTTTTTATTGAAAGAAAAGAAGCAAGGAAAAAGGCAATAGCTAGGGGGAAGTTTTCATATGATTGCTTTGCATGTGAAAGTCACGTTGGGCAAGCATGGTGATTTCCCCCGGCTATTCTGTTCGGATGAAGGGAGAAATCCCACCAGTCCCACCACCAAGCCGTGCACAGATGTCCTCTATCCCTTACACCAACGCACAACATCTGGACCTGCATTAGGCCATCGTCGTCGAGATTCACTTTCGGATCTACCCGCCGTCGATGGCTTATTATACTGCTCCTCCATATCATTACCGCGTCGCAATATTCACTATATCGTCGGCCAAGGCTAACATTGCATCAATAGGGTGACTGGATCCTCTTCACTCACGAGGGTGGTGTCGATGTCGGTGATGTCGACGAGAAGGCTGAGAAGCTTTTGATCCCCGTCGACCTCAAGGAGTACCCCTCAAATGAGGAGATCGCTGCCTCTCTTCTCAAGAAGGTCCCTCAGGGTGTCCACAACGTCCTTGTCGACTTCATCTCCCGCCTCTACGCCGTCTACGTTGACTGCCAGTTCACGTACGTTATCCATATGCATCCCTCTCGATCGCACTACTGACATGCACCAGCTACCTCGAGATCAACCCTCTCGTTGTCATTCCCAACGCTGATGCCACCTCTGCTGAGGTTCACTTCCTCGACTTGGCTGCCAAGATCGACCAGACTGCTGAGTTCGAGTGTGGTGCCAAGTGGGCCATCGCTCGCTCTGCCACTGCTCTCGGCCTCAACGTCGCTGACAAGAAGGACACCAAGGTCTCCATCGATGTCGGCCCCCCAATGGAGTTCCCCGCTCCTTTCGGTCGTGAGATGTCCAAGGAGGAGGCTTACATCGCCGAGATGGATGCCAAGACTGGTGCTTCCCTCAAGCTGACCATCCTCAACGGTGAGGGTCGTGTCTGGACCCTCGTCGCCGGTGGTGGTGCCTCGGTCGTCTACGCCGATGCCATTGCCTCTGCTGGCTTCGCTGGTGAGCTTGCCAACTACGGCGAGTACTCTGGTGCTCCCACTGAGACCCAGACCTTCCACTACGCCAGAACTGTCCTTGACCTTATGCTCCGTGCCCCCATGCACCCCGAGGGCAAGGTCCTCTTCATTGGTGGTGGTATTGCCAACTTCACCAACGTCGCCTCCACCTTCAAGGGTGTCATCCGCGCCCTCCGCGAGGTCGCTCCTCTCCTCATCGAGCACAACGTCAAGATCTGGGTCCGCCGCGCTGGCCCCAACTACCAAGAAGGTCTTAAGAACATCAAGGCCGTCGGTCAAGAGCTCAAGCTCGACATGCACGTCTTCGGCCCTGAGATGCACGTTTCTGGTATCGTCCCTCTTGCCCTCGTCCCTGGCAAGTACACTCCCGACATCAAGGAGTTCGGTGCCTAAATGGAAGAGCAACACGAAGTCACATGAAAAAATGATCACTGCAACACTCAACAATCTTCTTCGGGGTACACTTTTTTCTTTTTCCACCCTCCTCCCCCTCCTACCTTCATAACATGTTCGAATTTTCTCCAATCTTTTTTCTGTCTCGGGTGCTGGGTGCTTGCGTTATAACATCATACATTGATTACACTGGAAAGGCTTTATCATCTGGTGCAGGTGCAGGAAGCGAAATGGCATAATTCCCCTTTTTGACAAACTACAAGTACTGTTTCAAACTTTCTTGATCTGTTATATGTTCGACTTACGCCTGTACGAACGTTCTGGTGCTCGTAACATTGGGCATGTGTTGACACTAACCTTCGATATTGCACACCTCACTCTGTCAGAGGGTTTCAGTATCATTGTCGACAGCTAGATGCCTTGTTGGTCAAAGGCACTCTCCGCCTTGATGCTCGGAGAGGATCCTGGTTTAGTAGAATCAGGGAACACTTCCCCGTGGCCCTTATATCTATTTGTACTAGTAATTGAATGACGAGCCTCTTCCGGGAAACCTCCTGAACTCTATCATGATAGTTGTACACCTTGACGCTTTTGTTTCGTATATGCACATTTGCTTAGTTGACGCCGCCCAAAGCATTGCTCGCCCATTGGTAACTTCCGAGGAAGACGGCACCACCGATGCTGATCCAAGTAACTCTGGGCTCGATACCCTTGAAGAAAGCCTTCATGCCCTCTTTTCTGTATATCTCGCCCAACAGTTGTGAGGCGGAGACCTTTTCCTTTGCCAACATCATCCTCGTCTTCAGCACATCCAATGGTGTCGTCAGAGCCGCAGCAAAGCCACCAGTGATAGAGCCGAACACAGCAGACTGAAGCGCAGTAGCGGTATCCCTTCCATCTCTCTTGGCAGCCCACCTCTTCATACCCTCCCACAGAGGGAACTGAATGACTGTGAACGGCACCTCTCTCATGACTGTGATACCCCACCCTCTGTATAACTCCTTCGCCATGACACCCCATCCCGCACTCTTCCTCAACACGAAAATACTCGCCAACGCCGCTCTAGAACTCGGATACTGCTTCGCCTGCGCCCTCTGCTTCACAACCTCTGTAGGAACTCTCACCGCACAAGCGGCCACCTCTCCCAAACTCGCAGCCACCATATGTACACCAGCGGCTTGTGTAGCTGTGTGTGCAGGGTTTGCGAAGTTGCGCTTCATGGCATCGTAGGTGACGAAGAAGAGGGCGGCGCCAGGGGCGGAGCCGACGATTGCGGAACCGACGCCCGCATAGACGCCACGGAAGCCGCCGGCGGCGAGGAAGCCGGTCGAGGATTGGAGGCGGGTTTTTAGGGTGTCGAGGGGGTAGAGGGATGTGTCTACTGTTGTGCCTGCTACTGCGCCTGCCTGAGTAGGTGGAGGTGATTAGCTCGGGTTATCTTGTCGCGTTTGGGTCGTGCATGACGATGTGTTTGGAAACCGAAGGGACTTTGTTTCGCGACCACGTATGGAATTGATGTGTATGAGGGTGGGTTTTTCGGAGGGCAGTGTATGATGTAAACGGTCGAACAAGACACTTACTAGAAGCGAGCGCAAGTAGGGCGACTCGACCAATGAAGTCTTCTCTTGGATCACTCCGGCCATTGTAGAGATTCAGAGCAGATTGCGAACAATTGCTCGTGCTATGCTTAGTGTCAAGCCATGACGGTTGCTGTATGAAGCGGAAAAGTTGACGCCATGGACAACCTTCCGCAATCGCTCATGCCCGAGCTTCGGCTGCACATGCACCGACCATGTGTCTCGGCAGACTTCCAGGTTGTCAATCTGACCAACCCGATCGCATTACCACCAGCGACTTCATCACTGTTGTTCGTGTTCTTAATCATATGCTATGGGATGTTGAAGGGATTACTTGCTCGAGTTGTCGCAGAACCCATTGCTCAGAGGAGGTTTGATACAATACTAGAGCCAATATGCAAGAACAAACGGAAACTAGGTATGCTCCTACTTCGATGTTGGCCAGCATTTCAAAAAATATTGACCAGTTCTCACAGGCCTCGCCATCAGTGGTGGGGTCGACTCCATGGCTCTGGCTTCTCTATGCAAGCACGTACGCATATTTAATATGCCGCCTGTTACTGCCTTCATAGTTGACCATCGCCTGCGATCTGAAAGCACTAAAGAAGCAGAATCTGTGGCGAAGCTGCTTGGAACACTTGGTATACAACACAAAATCTTGACTCTCGACTGGAAGGACATTCAGAATCCAGCTAAACTTTCAAATCTTGAATCGGTCGCTCGCAGAATGAGGTTTAAAGCTCTCGGAAAAGCTTGCGCTGATGCCGACATTGAAGCCCTTTTACTTGCCCATCATGCAGACGATCAAGCAGAGACGGTATTAAGCAGGATACGTGAGGGATATTTGGGTACAGGTCTCGCTGGAATCTCTCCTAGAAGTCCAATAGGGGAGTGCCACGGCATGTACAGAGTTTCCAGATCTGGCACTCCCAGAGACCTTCACCAAGCAAAACGTGACACGCCTGTCTTCGCCGAGTCTGGAGGAGTCGTCATATATCGTCCACTGCTTGACTTCACCAAAGCAGAACTAGTTGCCACCTGCGAGACAAGAAACATGAAATGGCACGAAGACGCGACGAATGCCGACAGAACTCTGACTTCTCGTAACGCAATACGACATATGCTTCAATCTAGAGCCATGCCAGCAGCTCTGAGCTCAGATCATCTAAGGAGACTGGCTACACAATCTCGAGCCAACCTTGACGCGTCTGAGGAAACAGCTACAGAAATGTTCAAGCTCTGCAAGGTCGAACTCGATATTGTTACTAGTTCAGTTTCATTCACGATTGATCCGAGCATCGAAAGCTGGCTGCACCGTGAGACAAGTCCACAGCTCACAGCGGCAAAACTTGTGCGCAAGTTCTTCTCGCTCTCAGAGGACAGTAGCAAAGTCACGTTCCAAAATCTTGCCAAGTCAGTCGCGTTTCTGTTTCCATCCATTATGGAGAACAAGCTGCAGACAAATACTTCTGTTGTTCACCTCGGATACGTCGGTCTGCGCAGAGCTCCATCAACCCAGAGACATGGACTTGATGATCATAGCAAGTTCATCATCTTCCCAAGACCGGTCCAAAATCCAGCAGACTTCGCGAAACCCCTCCTGGAAGTAACCGAGAGCACACAGAGCACCTCCAGAGAGCCTCGTTGGACCGAGACACACATTTTCCACGACCGATGGTGGATCAGACTTCGATACGTCCCAGCCGATGTCACAGTGGGTACATGCGTTATGGTTAGATTCTTGTGCAAACGTGATATTGCAGCGCTCCGACGCAACGACGCACCACTGTCTACATATGCACCGGGGAACATTCGCTACTCAATACCTGCTATCGTAGAGGTGATTCAGACTAAGAACAAAAGGGGCGGAACGAGTACGAAGGAGAGCATTATGGCCCTGCCGAGTTTGGGGTGGACACGTAAGGGGCAATGGCTTTCCAAGATTACTGTTGTTCCCATGCGATTCACTTGCCGCTACAAAGACGTCGAGTTCTCCACGAGCGAGAATCATACGGTTAAACTGAGTCCACTAAGCACTGCGCACCTGGACTCAGAATCTACGTTAATTCCTCCTATTCCGAACGAGCTTTCGAGCGCCGAAGGACACTGCTGAGCTCGAGATGATTGAGCTGAGATTCGCGAGCAGCTAGATTGCGCTGTATACGAATGAGAGAAAATAGCTTTCCAGGAACGGGCAGGTCTCTTTCGGCCCCAGGTACATGAGTTACACGACTTCATATAGTGAAGTTGATGAAGATCTGAACCTCGATCTATTACTAGATGACAACAGCGCAAGCCATGCTTTGAACCTCTAGCCGGGATTAACATGCAGAGTGTGGACGCAACCGAACTCAAGCCGAGACAAGAGACCCATGTTACATGCACGAACAGGCATGCGCTTAGCATGTTGCAGCAAACCTATGCTGATGATCCGTCGATCCTGCCAACCCGCATGGTGCAAGTCAGCAGAATTCTCCGAAGCCGGATGATTGGTCTCAAGGAAAGACTCTGCAAGGTGTTCACTTGTATTTATACATGGATGAAGACGCAACAAAGTAACATGTGGACGCGATACAGAATACATGTGTCGACGAAGGTTTATTGGAATCTACAAAATAATCAGCTTGTGGAGGTGTTTGCCATTGCGTGCCGTGCCTCAATGCCATCCTTCGCGGCTCATGCTCCCTCTATGTACCTGACTTGAATGCCGGAATAAGCAAGACAAATAAGATGCTGGGTCAGGACCCGCTTGGAAGTGTTGAGGTCGAGGTTCTGCGCCTTGCAAATGTGAGCCTGATGAACAATGTTCAGGCTTGCAGATTTATATTGGTTTCTCGCGTGAGCCTAGAGACCAAACCGTGGGATGGATTGTGGCATATCTTTGTACAACTATGTTAAATATAAAATTAAGGTAGGCTCCGAGCCAGTCAGACGGCGGGTGGAAACCAAGCTTCGGTATTGACAGCGGGGGTTGATTCGGGTGGGGTGTGCTTGCCTTCCTGTCATGCAAACAATCAACACTAACAACATACAACCTTGCAATGATACGATGATATTTTCGCCGAGAGCAAATTGGGCAAGGACTCATGCGACACTTGTCGCATCGCAGACATAATCATGCCCTACTAATTGCATCGAGAGATGATAACTGCGTGAGCGTCATCACCCTTCGGACATTTCATAGAGTTTCCCCATGCAGGCCGCAAGCCACTGCAGCCAACGCAGCCCAGTCCAAACCACATTGCTGACTGCTGTACCAAGAAGCTTCCATAGCTCCAGTACGATACGTATCACATTCCCTGAGAGAGATCAGGTCATGTACTGTCTCAAGTAGAAGAGCCTCGAACGTCGGGACGATGGATCAGCAGCCTGAACAGCCTCAAATCTGAAGTCCGAAGAGACGAGCTTGGAGATAGGGCTTGGAAAGCTCAGCAGCTACCTTCCTACTATGCACACTTGCTGATCTTCTACGAGGAGAATATCTGGATAATACGGCAGCAAAGCTTGACCGATCAACTCCTCCTGCACTGACCCCTGTAGCTTCTGTCCTGCCGCCTCACATGCTTCTGAGCGTGCTTCAACACCGACGATACGTTGCATTCTCCACTATCTTGACCCATCTTCGCTTCTACACCTGCGCTTGGCCAACTCAAAATATTGACCCTGCCTTGGATGCCGCAAGCCCTCGTGATGAGCGGGCTGAATCGTGGCGGCGAAGTTGGGTCAGAACAACCATGATTCCTACCCACACTACCCATCCTTCTGTATCCGGATTGGGCATGAGGTTTGTAATGATCGATTCAGCCATGCATCGAGCCTGCGGTAAGTGGAGGAAGAGGCGGCAGTGTGTTATTTCTGTACATTGGCAAGAGGAGAGGTCAATTCCTATAAAGGTAGGTGACCTCTCCTGGTTCCACATATCAACATTGAACTTTCAACAGCTCTCGTTTCCCTGCATAGTCTGTGTGTTGCTTGAGTCTACTGCAGTGCACTGCAATTGTCTGTCATCTCTGGTTCCTGCAGACTCTCCGCTTTGTGTCTCACAATGTTCGCTCGCTCTTCTCTACTATTGCCTTTGGCATGGTCAGCATCCTATCTATCAGGAGTCAACGCCGATTGTAACTCATACGGTATTGACTTTGTCAACAACGGAGATGTATGTTGCTCTTTCCTGATCTAGGGAATATCACTGACGTCCACTCAAGTATTTCATCAATTCGGCTTCCAATAGCTCCTTCACCTCTGTGACACAATTCACAGGTTCGAGACACTTGACTAGGGATAACCATCGACGTTACTAACCACAAATATTAGGATGTGCCAAGGATGTTGCAAATGTGGAATTGGTCAACTGGGACACTGGAGATGAATATCTCTGCTCGGACATTCCACTACAACCAGATGGAACACCAGAAACTTCTACTTGCGATATTGACAAAAACCAAATGGTCTCTGGCACATGGGGATTGATCCTTATCTCCAACAATGGCGATGATCCAAACTCACCACCTTTTGCAAACCAAAGAACTTTCTCCTTGGATGTGGGTGTGCAGGCCACTTCTACTGTGAGTTTCATCGATCGAGATTTCAAGACCATCTACTGATATATGCAGGTCACACCAACGATGACTTTCAACATGACCACCACACCAACTAGCACAGTCCAGACTACATCGTGGATCGTAAACACCACAACAGTCAACAACTCCATCACCGTCACGGTGCCTGCAGTAAGTAAAGACTGTGTGATACAGGAGTCTAGACTGACCACATCAGGCCACGAGATACGTGACAGTCACTCCTCTCCCTGTAATCACCACCAAAACAGTCAGCCTTACCCGCACACTCAAGACCTGGACTCGTACAGCAATAGTCTATACACGAACAGCAACAGCCTCTTGCACAGTACCTCCCCGTCCTCAGCAGCCTGATCCACCATGCCGCAGATACCCCCGCCTTCTCAAGCTCCCTCAGGGAGTCCAGATCCCCAGAGATGAGCCTGAAGACTATGCCAGTGTCAAGAGACGTCTGGCAGATATCCGCGCCAGAAGAGCTGCGGATATCGATGCAAGAGATCTTGTCAAGAGAAGTGCCGATGCACCTGTCATCACGGTTACACAAACAACCTTTACTTCTAATGTTACCGTAAGTCTTGGTGTTCTTGTTGTAAAATAGATGGGAACTGACGAGAGTTGCAGAACACATTTACCGCATCTCCAACAACAGTAACAAACATCGTCTTGAGCAGCTCCATTGTAACCACGTAGGCCTTTCCTCTCCTCTCCCTCTTCACCGTCATATTAACCTTTATAGCACTCTCCCACCCGCCACTATCAAGACAGGTTACGCCAAAGCCTACATCACTCTTCCTCCCATCACAAAGACCAGACTTACAATCAACACCGCCTATTCATGGCAGACTGCCACCATGACGGCGAGATTCACAAAGGTCACTACCGTTACACCCACAGGCATCATGACGGCTTGCAAGGCCTGGGGTGGACACTTTGGAAACGGATGGTAGACCCGATTTCATCTTAGGAAAGTTGGAGGTGTTTTAATTCCTAGCTATATAATTCATGCTTCGATTTCACATTTACTGAAAATAATTACTCTTTGACTATCTATTCGTACATCGGACTCTACTCCATGCCCTGAGCATAAAAGATTTGTGTAAAGAATGCATAAATACCAGCGCAAGCCACATTAAACTACCGCACTCCGGCACCCCTCCCAAAAGTCCGTAGTTTCTCACACCATTGGGGAAAGAAGATTGCATATGAGGATTCTTACTTTCTATTATTATAGATACGAGGGAACTTGTCTCGTGATCATACTTTTCTCCCTTCCAGCTGGTCTGCTGCATCGGTCTCGCCGCTAATGACTGGAGTCGTTTATGGGCTGTGGAAATGCAGGATTATTTTTGGGATTTGAGATGTTGGTGAGGAGAGAGATCATTGAGGGACTCTTAGTGGATGGGGCGCGGTTTCTGAAAAAAAGGATTGTGCATTTTTACAGGTGGTGTTTTCGGGAGTGCTATGGTGGTGAGATACGATTATTTTGTGCCCGGGGCCTTGGGGTTGCAGTACTCCGGCTGCGTATGAGCAGATGATTTTTCGTGCTTGTGAAAATGCAAAGTGAATTTTTGAGATTCAGGTTGTTCATCAGGAGATTGACTAATTTCCCGCTCTCCCAACGAACAGAGCATATATTTCTGAATTTCATTGTGCGTTTTTACAGCCCTTTTTGAGAGTGTGCAACATCTGTCGGATGCCAACTCTTATCGTACATGTATAGGTGCCCTGACTTTTGGAAAATAGGGCTCTCGATCTCTGTGCGCAACGACATGATCAATTCCTTGTCTGTAAAAAGGCAAGGTGATTTTTTAGAATGGTGTCGTCGGTCGGGAGATGGACCATCTTCTACTCTCTCAGCGTCACGGTGTTATTTTTGAATTTGATTGTGCATTTCTACAACCCTTTTTGATACCAGACGACATCTGTAAGATGCTAGATGTTATGCACTTTGTAACGTACCTGGCCTCCAGTTCTTAGGGGCCATAATCAGAAGCTCAAGTATTCAGTACTCCCGAACTCGTATCAGGGTCGAATTTTGCCTGTAGAAATGCATAGTGTTTTCCAAATCTGAGGCCATAAATCAGAAGATGCAGGATCTCTAGTCTCTCCGTGAACAGTGGTATATTTCCAAATTTGTTTCTGCATTTCTACTGCCCATTTTCAAGGTACACACGATTCAGAAGATAGCTCATTTGTGCTTTTGCTCTATATCATATCAATATCTGGGTATGCTTATGGTTATTCGTAGGTATGCTAGAACAATGTAGCACTACGTTACTAGCTAGTATCAGTATGATAGCTACGAATGACTAATTTCTTGTTTATCGAGACACTATACTAATGTGTAAGCATCTGCATCTTGTTTAGTGAGTTAGCGACCTTATAACACGATATACACACAGTGGGTAGATAATACAAAACAACATCTTATAGCAAGAGTACATCACGTGCAATAGTCGAAGGTCACGTGCAGTAGTAAAGATGTAGTGAAAGCGGGAAACGAGTCTTCATTATTCTAGCCTGACTGATTCTATAGCAGCCAGGGGGCCAGGGGGCCAGAGCAATAAGACGCCATTTAGGCGTCAGAGTCTTCGGCATTGATGCCGGCGGCGTCGAGGAGCAAGTCGACCTTGCGAGCCTTCTCTTCCTCCTCGCTCTCCTCGTTGGGAGTGGCGGCGGCGGCGACAACGACAGGGGCTGAATCCATGTAAGTCTACTTTATAGCAGCAAGCGAGCAGTCCATCACTTACCCTGGGGTCTAGGAGGCAGGATCCTGATCTTGGGGCGGGAGAGAGGGGTGGAGGTGGTGGCAGGAGCAGCTAATCATGTGATTAGTTCATGTACCCTCGCATAGGCTATAGGTACTTACGAGCGAGAGCGGCGGGAGGAGCAGTAGCAGGAGCAGGGGGGCCGGTGCTAGTGGCAGCAGCAGGGACTGAGCAACATTAGGTTGTGGACTGCAGTATATGGTGTATCACTTACGACCAGCGACACTCTCTGCCTTCCTCTTGATGCGAATGATGTCGTCGTAGGCGGTATGACCATTACGACCACCGCTAATACCACCAGCAGTGCGACCCACACCCGTCCAGAGCTGCGTGTTGCCACGGGGTTCGACCTAAAGAGCGTCAGACCGATAGTCGTACTTACGAAGTCTCCTGATATAGCTTACGCCGACCCTGGCGAAATAGGCGGCGAGAAGTCTAGCCTCGCTGTTCGAGAAAGTGATTGAAGCTATCGTTGTGGAGAATCGATGGTAGTTTGTAGTGGGTCCTCTGGTAGAGGTTGCGCGCAAGAGATCGAAGATTCATCGACAGCGCAGGCGCATTATGCGTGCGCTCACTGGGTATTGCCAGCGTTGCGCTGATTGGGTACAGCCAGCGGGTAATAGGAAGTGATAATCAGCTTATCAGAGCATCCAAGAGGGCATACACGTGCTCTTTGGAAAGGTTCAGTCCCTGAGGGGAGCATTGGGCCGCCGATCAACACCGCATACCAGGAGAAGGCGCAGTAACAGGAGACGCGCAGTATCAGGAGCTACTGATAGGGGAACTGGTACTCTCAATCAAGGGTGAGTATACCAATCGCCTATACCATGGCCTTTCGCGGCTGACGATGTGCTTGCAGAGAGCAACCCTGTGTGTCAATTCATGCCGCCGTCCAGACCTCGCGCCAGCAGCAGATCACAATACCACGAACTGATCGACAGTAGTCTAGCAAGCACCTCGCCATCAATCCGCTCCTCGCTCGAGGCAGAGTGTACACGAAACTCTGCAGTGGGCAGGACGACCAACGCTCACCAGGTGGAACCATGTTCCCAAAGAGAGGCGCCTCCGTATTGCACGTCTCGACTTTGACCAATCTTGCGTATCAGCACGAGCAGTTGAGACTCCTGGACGGATGGTCAAGAAGGACCTGGATGGACCTTGAAGAGATGGAAAGACCGACAAGCCTGGCTGGATATCGAAAGAGAAGACTCGTCCATTGTGCCCAGACATCGGGCTTTTCAGACTCCCATCTCGGTGGACCTATGCACAAAAAATGAGATGGCAGTCGATGGGCGATGCTGGAAGGTGAATCTGACAAAGGGACCTTGATTGTTGCTGGAGCTTTTGCTGGGCGAGAGGGCGATATGGGCAATTGTGTCGAGCCAGAGGATGCTTCTCAGGTGTCAGGAGACACCATTGCGCACACTGTCTTGGTGATGCACCACTGACAAGGACTTTGCAACAGAAGAGAAGAGTCCCACAGCGTGGTGAGAAGTACGTTGTTGTGGTCTCGTGAGGTTCCGCCGAAGTTTAGCCGGCTTGGGAGCGAGGCCGGCAAAACGACCTCTACATAACCTCCTTGCAGCTCATGTCTCTTGAGTAGACGGTTAGGACATTGGGATACTCCGTCTATTTGCTCAGAGCCCCTCCAATAGTACTGGTTTGGTGTAGCAAGCGATGGCATGCTTGGTCTGCTTCGATTCTATAGTACGACGGAGAGTCTGGAAGGCATGCAGGCAGAGAGTGGTTCGATAGTGGTCAACAGAGACTGCATGGGGCATCATGCAAGTGCAGAGTGGCTCTGAAGTAGTAGAAGCAAGTGGCAGACCATGAAGCTCAAGTCTCGAAAAGAAGTCAGGGGCTGTGTATGAACAGCATAGCATGGCTTGATTCTTGACAGCATAGTTTGACGAAGGAGAGGCATGTTGACAACAGGAGAAAAGACATGGCACGGACAGGGGATAATGATAGTACAGAACGACAGCAAGCCCAGAGTTGACTGTGTGATGTATGATGTGTCTCTCATGGAAGGACTGTCCCAAAAGGCCTCAGCAGTCCTTAATCACGAGGATCCTGCCAAACCTCGAGATAGGTCCAAGGATCCAGCAACAGCAAGTAAAGCACCGAGAGGACGTAGTTGGTATGAGGAACACAGATCTGGATAGTGGTGCAGGTTGGGGAGTTGTGCAGAGATTTCAGGAGGTGCAGAGGTTTTTTTCTTCAAAGCCCGGCCATAGGCCAGGAAAACATTTGATGAAAAAAGAAGGGCCTGTCAGAAGTCCGCCAACGCCTACCCAGTCAAGCCGACCGAAGCCAGACACCTGAAAGGGTCGAGATCATCACCATCGAGGCCGGAGCCAAGATACTAGGTATCACTCTAAGGCATCGGGGATGTAATTCATCCGCCAGGTTGGAGTTCTGTGGCTCTTTTGAAGAGTTCAGATGGAAGACGTTTAATTTAGAAATGATTCTATCTTGGAGGGGGTTAGCAGGAGTGATATTTGAAGACTGATAAAACACCGGGGTAGAACATACGAAGTAAAGTCGACTAATGAGAGAAAGAAGAGGGTGAGAGAAGTCGACCTTATATACCCAGCTCGGAACCCTCTGTTTGCATCTTTTGCTCAGCAGCAGAGTTTTCCAGCGTGTGGGTCCTGGTATGACAGCCAGCCTTGTGTGCTCAGTAATACGCAGAGGTGGCTCTGGGCCCCACCCATAACCCGCAGGTAACCGAAGCCCAATCTCGGCAAAGACGACTTCTCAGACCGTCGTGGACCTCTGCTGCATCTTCCATGTGAAGACTACCAAGCACGAAGCAGACTTGCAAAATGCGCGAGGCAATCTTCATGTCAAAATCATCCGACTTTGGCTCGCGAGATCTGGCGCTATCCTCGTCTCCTGATGTTTAGACTCTTCCGCTGTTGTAATGCTCGTAACCTGACAGTTTGCGGCTACAGCAACTGTGTTTGTAGCCGTGTTGCGCCACGCCTCTGTCTCCTCCTCCGACTCTTTCAGACCACACACAAGCATCGACGTTTGGGCGGCATTCTCGAGGGCGTCGAGACGGTGCGAAATGGTGTATAATGTGGGTGCTGACCTTGGTCTCCGTGGCCAGCAAGGTTCATATTCGAGATGCAGTACTTCGCGAAGCAGGGGAGTGAGTGGGCGGTATTGTACTGCGGTAGCGACACTGCCTGATGAAGTCTAGACACTCTGACAGAGGCCGGGCCCAAGTGGTTGACTGGTTGAGCAAGAGAGGCCAAGAGTGTCAGCGTGGCCGTCCGATGTCCGCTTGGTTGAAGAACAGAGGTGGACCAGAACAGCACGCGGTCCGGTCTGTGTTCGTCCGGTCATAAATGTCAGCGCCGGTACATACGCAAGTGTTCTTCAAGGTATTCGCAAATGATATACGTTCAAGTAGAACGAGCGCTGGTGGTGAGGGTATTCAACTGCGAAGCTTCAGACGAAGCCAGCGCGACTTTCGTCCGTCTCAACTCCTCCGGCTCTCTTCCAAGTCCGACATTTCTCTTCCAGATACAGTTATCTCCATCTTCCTCCAAGAACAAGCATCTTGCACCGGATTGGTTGCGCGTGGCCTCAACTCACCTTTTCACCACGCGAATCTTCACTTCGTCAAGATCACGCAACCACGTAGATACAACGAATGCCCTACTTGGGTAGCACTGGATCGCTACGCCTCTCACACCGACCAAGCCGCAACAGCTTCTACCCCCGAGCACATACTTGCGAGACCTTCAATCCGGGCATCCACCTCTTTCCGCTTGCGCAGTCGCTCGGCACCAACACAGCCTCTGTGAGCAGCGCCATGACTAAGATCGCGGCCATGGGCTCAGCAACCAACAACTACCACATCAGCAAACGGCAAGCTCCGAATGGATCCGTCTCGTCGATCTGCATATAACCACAGACCGCTGCCTCAGCTCATAGCTCCAACAACTCCGGAAAGCCTCTTTGTCACTTCGCTGCATCTTCCGAACAACGGATCTAGTCAGGAGCAAGACGTCGTCAATCCGTGCGCTCTCTTTCTCGTCCTTCCATCGCCGCTTCTCGTACTTACCCCTCGCTACCGGCCAACCTCCTTTGCTACGTTAGTCGTCGTTTGCACTTCCTCTCCAGCCGCCTTTCCAGACCTTTCGAGCGCGTGCCGGACTCACAGCTTCCTCTGTCAACAATTAAAAGGCATGCAGCCCCTCGGCCTCGATACTTTCCAGCGCGGCCAAGCTGACCACGAGAACTCGTTGAAAGTAAGACGAGCACTCGGTCATCCGGCTGCTTCAGTAGTGCGTCGAGATGAAGATCATCTCCAACGTTGTTCGTTTTGGTCTGTGTATCAGAATCTTGCATAGCGCTACTCGTCTCAACTGCCAAGATACTGTTTCAACAGATCGTATCGAGCTCCAAGGCGTACCTTCGGAATGGTTGGTCGTCTAAGTCGCGCGCCAAGATGGGGATGGTGCTCAACTAGGCAGCCCTGAGTACTGAAAGATCACGTTCAGGCCTACTAGTCTCAGGCCATCGAGGCGCTTTTTTGCCGGAGAGCCTTGGGCTGTTATATCGGTCTTTTGGAAGAAGTACACAACCAAGTCTTCAATCCCATACGTTTTCTCGCGGTGAAACTTGCAGAAACCCAATGATCTGACCATTTCGTTGTAGCCCTGGCGGTAGAAAGAGGGGTGCTGCTGCCGCCGTCGCCTTTCTGGCCAAGAGGGTACACTGTTTTGACCCGTTCGTCGGGTCAATGAAGCTTACATACTGCAAAGGCCAAGACCGCCTCCGCCGCCGTCGCCACCACCACCACTGAGAGTGAGGAGGGTGAGAAGGGCAAGGAGGATGAAGAGATGGGCGACAACGTAAGTTCGTACCTCTTGTTCTGTATATATACATACGTTCCTCTGCCCGCAATCGCCCGGATGACAAGATCATCTACATGATCTTTGAGTCCTTCACACTTGATCATCCTGAGAAACATAATTCTTGTATCTGTCTGCATGCGAGATCAAACTGCTTCCATTTCTGCACTGTTCCCTTTGGTTCTCAGGCTCTCAAATTCTGAGATTCTCGAGGTTCTCGAGATTTCCACATTTTTGAAAAATTCGAAAAATTCAAAACACTCAAGTACTGACAGTAACTATGTAGACCGCTCCCCCCCTCCGCGACCTCACCGAGGCCGAAAGGGCCTTCGAGAAGCAGCTCGTCGAGGATATGGGCCCCCTCAAGGCCAACAGAGATGCCGCCGTCAAGCAGGTCAGAGACCTGAGAGAGCAGCTTGCTGCTGCTGAAGAGACTGAGACTGCTGCCATCGCAGCACTCAAGGCTCACAGAGGCAAGTTCGTCGTCCTTAGATCGTAGTTTGAAAAATGAAATCTTGCTCCCAACATTTGCTCTGTTTGATTGGCAGAGTTTTCTGATCCATAATGTGGTACTGAAAATATGCCGTGATACAATCTACGCATTTGGGGAGGTGAAGCCTGAGAGTGAGATTTGGGAATTTGACGGCAAGTTTTCCTCCACCTCACCATTCTCTGCCCTCGGGCAGTTTTTTCTCTTCTCACAGTGCTCTTGCACATGCTGGCTGTCGGAATATATAATCAAGGATTCAAAAAATATCGTTTTATGATTACAAGTAGAAGTCGACTTCACCTGCAGACAAATCTACCTCCGCGGTCGCACCACCTGTCATTGACTACACTACTACTCATCGCAGTACTGTAGCGATTTGCGAGAGTCTTGACTCCAAGCTAGAAGCAGACTTGTTCAGGTTGTTTTTTGAGTGCTATAATTTTCTAGCAAAAACACAAGGTGCTCAATTTTTTTCAACGGTCTCCGAGTGACCGGACCTACTTTGACAGTTGCTATCTTCCTTAGCTATGTTTGCAGTCTTCTTGCAAACTAGAACAACAAGCTGTAGAGAGGCATAATCACTTCCCAGATTGGAAGTACTTGCTCGGAGTGTCGATGTGACGCTGGCTCTCCGTAAAGAATGCTCTTCCTCTTGATAGCACTGTGCCTTGATACGGCGACACACGTGACGGCTTCTAGTGCATGAGAGACTTACATAACTCATGTGTGAATATGTGTGGACCTACTGCGATACTATGCGACAAGATGCTGAAGATCGCGTTGTCATTGTCTTGAGCGTGTTCGGACGATGTTGAGTCTCGACACCTCCGAAGTCGCCGCAAATCTGGTGGGGATGACGCTCTGGCCAGAATCAAGAAGTCAGAGGGGTCAGCAAGTGAACGGCTCTTACGACTTACTGAATGTTTCCTACAATTGCGTGACTCACTCACTACTTTACGATCGCATACCACAATCATCCAGAAAAGCAAGGAACGAAGGACACGAATAATTGAACGACACAGACGCGAAGAAGGAGCATCAAAATGTCATCGCATACCGCATCCCAGCGCTACTTGAGCACAAGAGGAGGCTCTTACGACGTATGAATACATTACACTCCCTGCGACAAGTCTCCAACTGAGAAGAAGCTGTGTTAGCTGTCATTCGAAGACGTCGTACTCAAAGGTCTCGCCGCAGACGGTGGTCTGTTTATCCCTGAAGAAATTCCCGCTCTGCCTTCAGACTGGCAATCAAAATGGCGCAACCTTTCGTTCCAAGAGCTCGCTTTCGAGATCTTCAGCCTTTACATCTCTGATAGTGAGATCCCCTCCGCCGACCTCAAAGATATCATCCACCGCAGTTACGCGACATTCCGCGCCAAAGATGTCACACCCGTCGTGACTCTTGACAAGAGCAAGAACCTACACTTGATGGAGTTGTTCCATGGACCTACATTTGCTTTCAAGGACGTTGCTTTGCAATTCGTTGGTAACTTGTTCGAGTACTTCCTTGTGCGCATGAACAAGGGCAAGGAGGGCACCGACAGACAACATTTGACCGTGGTCGGTGCTACCAGTGGAGACACTGGATCTGCTGCCATCTACGGTCTGCGCGGCAAGAAGGATGTATCAGTCTTCATCATGCACCCTAAGGGCAAGGTCAGCCCTGTTCAGGAGGCTCAGATGACCACAGTCCTTGATGCTAATGTTCACAACTTGGCTGTTGACGGCACTTTCGACGACTGCCAGGTGCGCATATCAACTCCGAAATTGTTTGATGTTTTACTAACAATCTTCAGGACTTCGTCAAGGCTCTCTTCGGTGACGCCGACATGAACAGCACCCACCGCCTCGCCGCTGTCAACTCGATCAACTGGGCCCGTATCCTCGCTCAAATTACCTACTACTTCCAATCATACTTCACCCTTGCCCGCTCTCTCGATACCGCCAACCCTACCGTCCGCTTTGTCGTCCCTACCGGCAACTTCGGTGATATTCTTGCTGGATACTTCGCTAAGCGCATGGGTCTGCCTGCCGACAAGCTCATCATTGCTACAAATGAGAACGACATCTTGCACCGTTTCTGGCGCAGTGGTCACTACGAGAAGAAGCCTGTTCACGGTCGCGAGGCTGAAGGTGGCTTCGAGCACGACGGAGCAAAGGCGCACTCAGACGGAGTTAAGGAGACACTGGCACCTGCCATGGATATCTTGGTCAGCAGCAACTTCGAGCGCCTGCTGTGGTACCTGTCATATCGCGTCAACAGTAGCGACGACGTCACCGAACGTCGCAAGGCTGCTGGTGCCCAAGTCAATACTTGGCTGCAGGCACTTAAGACCGATGGCGGTTTCGGAGTCGAGAAGGCCATCCTCGATGCCGCACACGAGGACTTCGAGTCCGAGCGTGTCTCTGACAAGCAGACCATCGACCAGATCACCGAGACCTATGCTTCAGGTAACGGCATGACACCCGTCGGTGAGAACAGCGGTGCCTACGCTACGCAAGGTACTGTTCACCAGGGCAAGTACATCCTTGACCCTCACAGTGCCATTGGTATCGCTGCTTCTCTGCGCTCTATCCAGCGCGCACCCAACGCTCACCACATCGCTCTTGCGACTGCTCACCCCGCCAAGTTCTCATCTGCAGTTGAGCAAGCGCTCAACGACCAAGAAGGCTTCAGCTTTGCGGCTGTTCAACCCGAGCAGTTCGTCGGCCTCGAGCAACAGCCTCGTCGTGTTACCATCGTCAAGAACGGTGCTGGCTGGCAAGACGTCAGAGAGATTGTCCGCGAGGAGGTGCAGCTCGAGATGGAGGGTAAGGCCAGCAGCGGTCCCGGCGAGATTATCAAGGGTTAGATTGATCTACGCATGTAAAAGTTGACTACATTTGGCTTGCTGGTGTTTAGAGGTAAAAGTAGATATGAGAAACTGTCCGGTTTTGTGTTCTACGCTGCTTGTATCGTGATACTGTTCTGTGATTTCCTTTGGAGAGCTCCTTACTTCTTCGAGGAGATATAATCAGGAAGCATGGGCTGTACTCATGGTTTCTAATCTTTTCTTTTCTTATTTTTCCACATACCAAGCCATCAATGTCAAAGGTAGCACCATGCCCGTTTCGATCGCACTACAGTATCACGCCGCTCACACTTGAATACCGTACAAGGGTATTCTGTGCTATTGTCTGAAGCCCTCTTCATCGCTCGGCACATGTTTAGTAGCATCAAAAGTTCCCTATCAGGATTTGGTCGAAGTCGCTAGCTTCTCCAACAAACGGAAAGCATACTCAACTTTATCATCTGGATTTCACGAAAGAGACCCGTAATTTACTCAAACCAGAATCAAGCGCGTTGCAGGTAGTAAATCAAACACATGATCACTTTTTATGGTTTGAATAGTAATCCAAATCCCCTGTACGAGAATCTCACGTCACGACTTGATGTCGTCGCCGCCAAATATCACTACCGACTTCCAGAGGGCCTGTTATTGGTATCACCCTGGCTTTCGATCCGCTCTGTTGAGAACGTTGCATGGCGGCTTCGCTGACGATCATGATCTGGCATATCAATCATGACGACCCCAGTGACGATGATTTGGCATCGTTCAGCCACTGCAACGCAGAGCCGCCTCGGAGCTAAATGCGTTTCACAGCATGAACACGCGTCGCAAGGGCAAGCTCTTACATTCCCCTGTGTCGATTGATTGACTCTCGCTCTTCAAGACGGAGACATATGTTCTCTCGTCTGGCGCCGGTTTCGGTGACGGTGTAATCGTCTCCATGATCGCTCACACCAAGTCATACGCTTTTCTTGCGAGTCTAGAGCTCCATGTTGGCAGGCTTCAGTCAGTAAGAAAATGGTATCCTTGCCGTCGCTGCCGTCTAGACCCACGGGCTGATCGTGTTCCTGTCGATTTCTTGGAAAAGAGCTTGGTTAAAGCTTAAATCCGGATTGATGTGGCTTGCGACGGCCGGAGATGCCGCAGTTATGCGGGGCGCTCGATGACTTCATAGTCGAGCTGGAGGATCGAATCAACAAAAGCCTCAAGCTCGCCGTTTGGGCTGCTGGTTCTTCTCCTCTTTGTTCAATTCACGATTGCCAATCTTCACACAGGCAAATCTCCCTTAAAAATGTCGACAAAAGTACAACAACATGGTGAGAACCATGACATCCCCGAGGAACACCAGATCTCAAGGTAAGATGCACTGCTCAACACACGGAGACATAGACAGCTGACAACAAGACAGACCTGGAGCTTGGCTGCCCATGGATCACCGTACACACACCGAATGGCTCGGCGAGCAGGTCAAGAACGCCCACAACAACAAGAAGCCATTGATCCCTGTCCTTCAAGAATTCAAGGAATTCATTGAGGGCAACTCAAGAATTTACATGTACTTCACTGCCATGTTCCAAGAAGTCCCCTACAAGCACGTCTACCGCAGAGATCCCACCGGCCGTAAGCAGATTCGTGATTACGAGCACATGCTTGAAGTCCTCAACCACGTCTTCGGTTCTGCCCCTGTCTGGACCGACTCTGCCCAAGCTGTTGGTATGGTTGGTGTACCCATGTGCGCTATTCTCGACTACCCCATGTCTACTCCTTCTGGTCACGCCGCATTCCTTGACCCTGACGTCAACAAGATGCTGAAGAAGGTGCTCAACGAGTGGGGCAAGTTCCTCATGACTCCTGAGTCCGCCGGTGTCCTCCACGAGGGCAAGACTGGCTGGTTCGGCGAGACTGGTGCATCAGACATGATGGCCGTCGCCAACGCCCCCTACAAGACCAATCACAAGTTCGAGGACTTCTTCGTCTGCGACACCAGCAAGAAGCACTACGGTTACACTTCATGGGACAACTTCTTCACCAGACACTTCAAGGATGAGGTTCGCCCCATTGACAGCCCCGACGATGACAGCGTCATCAACAACGCCTGTGAGAGCAAGGTCTTCCAGGTTCAGGAGAATGCAAAGCTCAGAGACAAGTTCTGGATCAAGGGTCAGCCTTACAGTGTCACAGACATGCTCGCCAACGACAGCCTGGCAGAGCAGTTCGCGGGCTGCACCGTTTACCAAGCCTTCCTCTCCGCTCTCTCCTACCACCGCTGGCACGCTCCCGTTAGCGGTACAATCAAGAAGGCCTTCGTACAGGACGGTACCTACTTCAGCGAGCCTCTCTTCGAGGGTCTCGGTGACCCCAACACAAAGGAGATCGACGCTCATGGTATTTCGACCGGTCAAGGTTACCTGAGTGCCCTTGCCACAAGAGCTATCATCTTCATCGAAGCTGACAACCCCGCCATTGGTCTCATGGCCTTCATCGGTATTGGTATGGATGAAGTCTCTACCTGCGAGATCACCGTCAAGGAAGGTCAACACGTCAAGAAGGGCGAGCAGACTGGTATGTTCCATTTCGGCGGATCGTCTCACTGCTTGCTCTTCCGCAACGGCGTCAAAGTCTCTGGCTTCCCCCAGCCTGGTAGATCAGAGAACGTTCCCGTTCGCAGCAAGCTTGCCACCGTCCAGTCTTAGAGTAGCTTTAAAGCAATCATGACCCCAGGCATGTAATGAGTAATGCAACCTTTTCAATTTCCCCTTTGTCCAAAAGCAGCGGTCTATTGAATACACTGACAAATGCACAATCTTATACTGGTCAGAACCCCTCGACGGGGAAGTCAGACTTTTAACAAAAGAAATAGACAAAAAGACTTTCAAGACGGTCAATCTCGCCATTACAGGGTCTGCTACCAATTATTCGCACAATATGAACATGCCAATAGCATGGATGGTCAGCCGAGGGGTGTGCCCCTAGCTCTCAGCCGCAAACTCTTGCAAGGCAGACTGTCGCGGATGAGCCATGGCGATGAAGTTTGAAGTTTAGGTCCGGGATTAGTTCTAACAGCAAGACGTGTTGACTCGGCTCGCAACTCCCTGTTGATTTTCTGAAAGATCACTTGATGCCTGACACACGCTTACCTTACGGCCATGGCTGGGCCAAGATGTGTTGAGATTGCGAAGGATGGGCTTGGGAGATGTTACCTGGTCACTGCATCGCCAGTGATGCTTACAGGGCAGATATCGCAGAGCATTGTTATGGTCTCCATGACATAACGAATCGCTCAATTGTGAACCATATATTTTTGGATGATGGCGATCCGAGCACATACGGCCACAGTCAGCTGAAAACTGGGCATCCCGTCCGCTCTGCCATACATAAGCAGTTGAACGGCAGATTAGTACTACGGTGGGTGACCACGTGGGAATCCCTGCTGCTGTATGTTTTGTGATCTTGCTCGATGTTTTTTTGTCGGCTCTCTGTTCTCAATCACTGGTCTGTCCCTTCGTTTCCGTCGTCTTGTTGCGTGCGCAGAGTCGCGATAGTCGTGCCGCAGTGCAGAGTCGCTTTTGACCTATCCAGGTTCTCCGCTACAGTACACTTCTAGAACTCTTACCCGATCAAACTTTTAGACATCCTCTTAGAGAAAAGGCAACAAAACCATCGTCAAGTGTCGCTACCGATGTTGCTGGGGTATTGAATATGAGCCCTTGCGATGGCGGATTTAATCTTGACCACCGTACCATGAAGCGAGAACCTCAGCAGGATTTAACAACCAGCTCGTCGTAGGCAGCCTTGTGGAGCATCATGCCAGTAAAGTGGAATTTTGACTTGCTTGACACTCAAAATACCATTTTGCGCCGTGCGGTAGGGTAATCGTCTATCGGCAGAGGAAAGTCTAGCTGCTGCGCGCGAATGAACGTCAAGGAATCAATTCCCATACCCTTTGTGGATTGAAGGGGGCCAAGAAACACTGAGCAGCAAGACTTAATAGTGCATATTGGTGTTCTAACAGATGTTCATGCCTTTTTGCAGCTCTGCCACTCTTATACTTGCCATGCTAGAGGTTTGACTATGACCGGTAGCGGAGTCGTTCCAGAACGTACGCAAGCCCGATATCGCAGCCGCCGGTGCAAAAGTTTTATCAGATCAAGTGGTCTGATGATCTGATAAGACAAAACCTGTCATGTTCCTTCCCAGATCGGCTTATCAGATCCAATCTTTGACCTACCATCTATACACTCCAACATCACTACAACAATCCTATTGGCTCTAAAAGCTACTCTTTTGGTTCCTTCAATCATAATGGATCACCCCACAGTCACTCCATCTCTCCTCGCCCTACCAGCAGAACTCCGCCTTCAAATCTACAACTACGTCCTCGGTCCCTCCCAACCACACCTCCTCTCAGCCTACTGCGGTCACAACACCTGGATTTCCCCACCTCTCTCCCGCACCTGCTCGCTCTTCCGTTACGAATCCTTGCATCTCCATTTCCTCAACAACGAATTCATCTACGATTTACGTTCTCCCCTCGAAGATGGTGTACAGTGTCTAGCTAAGACATTGCAATATCTCCGAGAACAGAACTGTGTGCTTGGAAAGTTGAGATTCAAACATGTCAGTAGGGGAGTGTTGTCGATGCAGGAATTGGTCAAATGGGTGGAGGTTTTTGTGGAATATGGGGACGTTCTGCCAAAGAGGAGTGAAGACATCACTTTTTGTCAGGGACCGTTGAGGTATCGTGAATTTGCTGCTCAAGCTGCTGTGGCGTTAAGATCGTTGATAAGATTTTCTGCTGTTATCAACAAGAGTATTTTGGGGAGTGGAGAGGAAGCTGCGTTGACAGATTGGATTGCAGAGTTCTTGGAAGGAACGGTTGAGGGGAGAGTTGTGTTGAGAGGAGTGAGTATTGCTGAGGAGTTTGTGAAGGGATTTAGAGCTGCTGCTGGAGGGGAGGTGCAAGGGGCCAATGTTCTGAGGTGGGCTATGATGAGTGGAGGGATGATCGAAGGACTGAAACATGCTGGATATACTTAGAGATTCGTTGTACATGAATACACAGTAGATGATATTAAAAGTCTAGGAATTAAGAAACACTGCAGTCAGTGCCAGGTTCCAGTTGACTGTATGTGTATGAATGAAATTGTCATGCCTGCATTGTCGTATATCGTTATATCTTCACAAGGTATATACAAACTCAGGGTTCTCACGATCCGTAAGATCCAACCACTCCTGGTTCTCCAGTTTGACGTAAGCAGGAGAAGCTCTAATCTCTGCTCTCTTACGATTCTGCCTCTTGCAGTACCAGTAGATAAACACAATGTCGGCGATACATAGCATCCAGCATACAATGATGACGATCTCGGCAGGAATATATCTCGGTGCGTCCTTGGGTCTGAAGGTCTGAGGTCCAATTATATTACCAGCACAGTAACCAATCAGATACAGGGCAGCCACTGTAGTCTTCTTTGTCCATCCGGCAACATTGGTGGAGATGAGACTGAGAAGAGCCACGAATGGTGTAGGTGATGCTTGTGTGAGGTAGTAGCCGAACAGACGACCTATGTTGTTGTCGAGCGGCAAGCATACAATCAACAGCATGCCGAGTGTTGAGATCCAGAGACCAGAAGTTGAGATCAACAGGCGATTGCCAAATTTATCACCAAGGTATCCACAAAGAAGAAGAGCAATCACTTCGATTGCTCCACCAGGGGTACCATAGAGCAAAGATTCTTCAGCGGTGTATCCGAAAGATGTGATCAACTGCGAGAAGAAGTTGGAGATACCACCTTGTTTATGGGTTAGCCGTCATACTTTTAAGCGACTTCTCGATAGACGTACCATTGGGAATATCTGCTACCAGAGCATAAAAGAAGAATGCCCATGTCAGAGGATCCAGTAGCGCCTCCTTGAGCTGGTACATCTTGAAGTGCTTGTTACCAATACCTTGCTGATTGCATCTGACGCGCTCAATTGCCAGGACACGATCTTCCTTGCTCAAGAAACGTGCATTGAGCTGACTGTCAGGGATGACGTAGAGAAAGATGAAGCCAACACAGATGGTCAGACATCCCGTGACGAGAAAGATGATCTTCCATGGCTCAATTGCAGATCCATGAAGTCTTGTCCCTTTTGCAATACCATACGCCACCAGACCACCAAAGATCTGGGCGAAGCCGTTGAATGAGAACCAGATGCTTGTGCGGGAACCTTGTTCTTTCTTGGTGTACCACTAGAGCGTTGTCAGCATATCGATTGTGATCATTGCAGAACGATATACATACCTGTGATGTCAAGAGCGCAAAGCCTGGCGTTACTGCGGCTTCCGTCACACCCAAGAAGAAGCGTACGGCGACGCCGCCCCCAAAGTCCTTGACAGCGGCAAACGTGCACAAGGTTGTACCCCAGAGGATAATATTGGCTGCAGAGTACTTTCCCAATGGTAGCCTTTGTAAAAGTCTGTTTGTTGGATACTCCCAGAAAATGTAACCAAAGTAGAACCTATTGCGTCTTAATGTCTATGTCCACTCGGTACATCGTGTATCTTACATGGAGCTTAGCCATTGGTAATCGAGTCCTTGCAAATTGGTATCTTTCTTCAATCCCATGACGGAAGCGTATGATAATGTTGTCTTGTCCAGATAATTGAGTCCATAGACGATACACATGACCTTCACGAAGACAGGATATCAGCACGCGTGTGAAACATTGACTCATCGAAATTACACACTGGCATTAGATGCAAGTCGATCCTTCGTAGCAGTCGCTTATTTGTTGCTTCATCCAGCTCGATGACTTCTCCCGGATGCGACATGAAAGCCTTCAAGGCTTCATCGGCGTCTCCAGCATGTTGTAAGATAGACTTATCCACGCTTCCATTTCGAATAGCATCTGCCAGAGGTCCAGGGAGTTCCTTCTCGGCGTCGAAAGGCACGGTCGACTTCTCGTTGTCGGGCATGGTGTGGGAGAGAGGGGCGATAAGGAAAAGTACGGCAAAGGGATATAGTGTTGAGGAAGAGGGCATCTAGCAATACTTATACAAGGGTTCCGCGATACAAGGGTACCTACCACCGGCGAGCAGAGCGGAATATCATGCCAATTGCAGTTACACCATGGGTTTATGTTACTTCGCCGTTGAGATAGGCACGGCGCATGGCCAATCGAGGTTGACTGATCAGCAGCATGAACGTGGAGAAGAGAGGGAGGCGGTCATGCCGATCAAGCATCTCTCGGCCAAGCTTAATCCTTCTTGGGAAGGAGCGATGTCGCCGCTGCTTGCCCGCAGCTTGGCATACCACTTTTAAGTTTTGTGATACAGATGGATGTCTGGCGCAGCGGAAATATCAAGGACATTTGAATCGATCATGAGCCTGATAAAAGAGTGAAAGAGACTTTGCGAAAGGGAGACGATATCGAGGTATCTGATTGTGAGCCCAAAAATTGAAGCTTCTGCGACTCCCGGAGACAAACATTATACCATGCATGTGGATCACACTCAAAACCAGGGAGTGTACCAATATTGTAAAGTGAACGACGCAGACACCGCTGCAACAAGAGGGCAAACGCAGTTTCCCTCATTATCTAATTCGAAGCACCAGATGTTCAGAACCAGCGATGCAGAAGGTGACCCTGACATGACAACTACCCCGCCATACCCACGTCACAGATGTCTTGCTTACAAACACCCGAGTAAACTCGATCTTTTGTAATTCAGCATACACAAAAATCTCACTCTCATGTTCAAGCCACTGACTACAAGAACACTACAACTCTCTCGAAGCCTCAAACCCATCAATCTCACATCAATCGTCAGAATGGGCTCCTCAGACGCCTCAGCCCACTTTCCCCCACCAGCCATTCGCAAGATCCTGGAAGAAGTGACAACTCTCCTCAAGGAACGCAACCAAACTATCGCCATTGCCGAGACCGCAGCTGGAGGTCTTCTCTCCTCATCAATCCTCTCCACACCTGGAGCCTCCAAAATTTACAAGGGCGGCTTAACACTGTACACCCTCCCGTCCCGAATTGCATACGCTGGTTGGAATGATGAGAACTTGAAGGACTACAAGGGTCCTACCCCAGACATTGTTGCTGGACTGGCGAAACACGTGAGAGGGGAACTCAAGGCAGACTATGTGATTGCCGAGTCAGGAACTGCTGGTCCTACTGGTGGTGACACGAGAAACAGAACGCCTGGATATGTTGCACTAGCTGTAGACTGCGAGAAGGGCACCTTCACCAGGGAAGTCGAGACAGGGCTTGGAGGCGACAGAGTCGGAAATATGGTTGCCTTTGCCGAAGAAGGCTTGAAATTGGTCAAGGATGTCATTAACGGAGATGCCAAGTTGTGAATATGTGGCAGCGTACACTACTCATCATCCTCATCTTCATGCCTCTTCTGACCAGAAAGCTCGAGATATTGCTCAACCAAATCCTCCACCATATCCTCCACACCCTTGAGTTCAACATCAAACGTCCTCTCCGTCTTCTCCTTGCTGCAAACCACCGACTTTGTAGGAACATTCGATGTGCAAGGTAACAGTCCTTGCGCAACTTGCTCAGGGAACATCTCCTTTGTGATCGTGTTGATATCATTCCATCGCACTTCCTGCCCAAACATGTAGTCTCCAGCAGGAATCCTGTCCTTGTTCAAAGCAGCAATATGAATAGCCGCTACATCCTCAATATGCACAACCGATGCATACTCGGCTGGAGAATCCTTAGGCGCCAGACCGAGCACCATTCTCAAGAGTAGAGCATTGGAAGTATTCATCAGATCTGCAGGCGAAGTGGCGAGCTCATTGCGTCCTTGAACGAAAGTCGGGCATACGTTTACAACATCAAAGCCAGGCTTGTTATCCGCCATCCACTGCTTTGACTGCAAGAAAGCAGAGACTTTAGATGCGACGTAAGCGACCAAGTTATTCGCATATGGGGGTGGAAGCTCAGAGTTGATGGTGTCCTCTGTAACCACGACAGGTACATCTTCAGGTCCACCCAAGAGCTCTGGTCTGATGAACACAGCACAGGAAGAGGTAATAACAACTCTCTTCACAGAACCAGACTTCTTGGCTGACTGTAAAGCGCCAATCGTGTTATTGACCGCAGGATCAATGATCTGTTGTCTTTGCTCTTCATGACTGAGATTGACATTTGAAAACGGCAGAGGCGAGGCTGTGTGGATCATGTATTGCGCTCCTGCAGTCACTTCATCCAAAGCGCCTTCGACACCGAGATCAGGCACGATGTGAAAACTGTATCTTGGCGTTCCTCTGGTCAGAGATTTGAAGCATGGGTTATTGCGTAGAATGTCGGCTTTTGCGGCGCTACGCACGACGATGCGGATGTTGTAGTCGTATTGCAGCGCTTCTTGGAGGATTGCAAAGCCGCAGAATCCAGTGGCTCCGGTGAGGACAATTGTTTCGGTAGACATTGTTGTGAGTGTTGATGTAAAAGTGTAGAGAATTGAAGCAGAGGTGGAAGAAGAGACTGGACTTTATGGTTTTTTTATTCATTGATCATTCTGCTATGGAAATGTGGGTGCTTCTCTTTCTGACGATCTATTCAAAAAGACAAAGATTTTTTTGCCGAGGCTCAGAAATAGCAAGAATGAACTTGTAGAGTTGCTTCTGCCAGATCTGATTCCATCGTCTTTGAACCGAGTTGCATCGCTGTCAAAATACTCGGTGATGTTCGAAGGTTTTCAAGCTCTCTGGCAGATCAAGCGCCAAGGCCGACCAACCCTGTCCTAATCCCCAAGAAGTTGCTGCAGCAGAAGCGAAGGCTGTGACATGCCGTTCTCGTGTATAAGGGTTTCTTTGTCAATGGAGAATTCCAAATTCATCCAGAATCTATGCGTCTTTCTAATCGAACATTCTGGTCATGGCCTTCTGAGCCAACTCGACACCGAGGAAAGTGGCAGCATTGGCGGGAACAGCACGAGCCATGGCGGGACCGATACCAGGGAAGAATGCCTTGTAACCTCCTCTTCTGTAGAGCTCCTTGACGGTGCCTCCGATGGTAGGGTTGCCCTCTGCCGACTGCAGACGACTCTTGATGGTGTCGACAGGGAAAACGGGAATCCACATGGCAATACCAGCGGCACCACCGGCGGCCATGACGGCAAGAAGACTGAGCTCGCCAGGAGTGCCGTCTGCGTTCTTGGGTGTGAGCTTGCGCTTGACAATCTCGTAGGTAGCGAAGTATGCTGCTGATCCAGGGGCATCTCTGGCGAGTGTCATGGCGCTTCCTCTGAAGACGGATCTTACACCGCCCTCCTTGTAGAGTTGACGCACGACATCAACACCTCCTGCGTACTTTGGCTTCTCGCCAGGAGCCAATGTCTTTTGACCCTGGATTTGCAGCAAGACCTTTACACGCTCGAAAGGTGCGGTAATGGCGGTGGTAGGGATGGCAGAGAAGGCACCAGCGGCGCATACTTGGCCGACGGTGAACTGATCGTTGTGTACGGTGCTGAACGACTTGACGAGCTTCTTGCCCAAATCGTAACCCTGTGTTTTGTCAGTCGCTGCAAATGCTCGATTTGGAAGTAGATCGAATCATACCCAGAAGCTGACAGCAACTGCGAGGCAAAGTCAGTAATCGTGTATCTCAGCTTTCAGAAGAGCCAAACTTACACATTGGGGTCACTCCGACCAGAGGAGCCGAGACACCAGCATACAGACCCTACAAGATTGTGAGTTGGCGATGTAACAAAACATGTGATAGCAAGCCACATACCCTGACGAGACCCTCCTTTGCGATTGTCCTCCTCACAACATCCATTGCGCCGCTGTAGACACCGGCCTGAGCGGTCTGTAGGCGCACCTTGACCAGATCAAAGGGGTGTCCAACCACGACCGCGCAAACACCACCGGCACCTCCAGACACTAGCGAGCGCAAACTCGCAAACGTCTGCTTTGTTGCGACGACAGCATCCTTCTTCAACTCGTCTGCCGAGGGCAGGTCGTTCACGCTGGGTATGCTTGATTTGGACATGATGTGGTGTGCAGAATGTGTGGAGAAGCTGCGGGGGTGACAGCTGGAGAGAAGGAGCTTGGTTTGGAAGTTGCGACGGTCGAGGAAATGAAGAAACGAGAGAGGAAGGAGCGTCGCGCGAAAAAAGTGAAGCTATCAATGCCAAATACCCAAGCCGATGATGCTGGGCGTGCCCTTCATGTGATGCAACTTTTTGTATGCTTTCCCGAGGGGACCGATCAACAATCCGGGGAGCCGAGGCTGATCTGCCAATGCCGGCCGAATGGACGCCAGGAGCGAGCACCAAACATGTTCACGCTCCACACGCAGTAATGGAACACATCTAGATCGTTCCACCGCTTCCGACAGGTGAGTTCGTCTGCCGAACTTCTGGAAGCAAGCCAAAATACGAATAGGTACATGTCAGATGTAAGTCTAGTCTTTGCTCGTCAAGTCTATCTTGTGTTTGTTCATCTATCTGATGACCGAGGATCTACTTGATCTCTGCATAGCGAAGATAAGGCTTGAGCTCACGGACGTTGTTGAACTTCTTCTTTGCGTCCTCAGTCGAGACCGAAGGTGGGACAATAACATCCTCGCCAACTTGCCAATTGATTGGCGTGGCAATACCCTTCTTGTCGGCTGTTTGGAGCGAGTCGATGACTCTGAGAACCTCGGCGCTGTTTCTGCCAGTGGAGGCAGGGTACATCATGGTGAGGCGGACCTTCTTCTGGGGATCAATGACAAAGACGGAGCGGATGGTGAAGGCGATGCTCTTCTTGGCTGCGTCGTCCAAGTCCTCCTGGTTGATCATGTCGTATAGGAAGGCAACCTTTCGATCGTGGTCGGCAATGATGGGGAATTGGAGGCTCGTGTTTGCGATCTCGTTGATGTCCTTGATCCAACCCTCGTGCGATCCGAGGTCGTTGGCACTCTGCGAATTCAGTCAGCTCTGTTCTGTTCCCAACCTCAATGATCACGTACCAGGCCGATCATCTTGACACCGCGAGCATCGAACTCGTTCTTCAGCTTGGCAAAAGCGCCGAGCTCAGTGGTGCAGACAGGTGTGTAATCAGCGGGGTGGCTGAACAGGATGGCCCAGCTGTCGCCAATCCACTCGTGGAAGGACTTGATGTCACCCTACGATTGTCAGAACGATATACCAGCTTGCACGTATGGATTGGCATTACATCGGTCGTCTTTGCGCTGAAGTCAGGGGCAACAGAACCAAGACGGATGCGAGGCTGTTCCTGAGTTGTGGCGAGACCACGGTACATGAAAGGTGCAGCTCTGGCACGAGCAGCCAGAGGCTGGCATGCCGATGCGCGAGACAAAGCTCTGGGTGCTGATCTGAAGAATGATGACATTGTGTATATGTCTGGTGAGTCGAGATCGCTACACTTGCTTGAGGCTTCGATGCCAATATTACAGATTCTTGACCACGTTTACGTCATTTATGGCCGCCCGATCTCGGCTGTTACTATCCAGCTTCGAAGCTTGACCACAAACATCTCTCCATCACGACCGCCCTTCTCAAAGATTCCCCATCGCGCAATGGAGAAGATTCAACCTATCTGGCTATCATTGACTGCTTGGAGGGAACAGTGCTTAGTAAGTCGCATGTGCGGAAGTGTGCCTCTGCCGGACTTCTCTACCGCGGAATACCGGCGAGTCGACTGCGGAGCATCTCCGCATATCAAGGTGGGCAAGGTCGTAAACACAAGTAGCTACCCCGCGGCACTTCTAGGGTCCTCGGCCAAGTGTATCATTCTGCCCTATCTCCTTCTAAGCCTAGGAGCTTTGTAGGTAGTCAGCCCATACAGTACATCCTGTCCTAAATCAATCCACCACCTTCACGTCATGGCTGCAGTACAGAAGGTCGCTTTGATCACAGCTGGCACAGCTGGCTTAGGTGCTGCTATTGCCCGTGTACTGGCACCAGACTTTCGAGTCGTATGTCCTCTGAGTCACTTAGCTAGAGAATCTCTGCTCACCCTCGTGACAGGTAATTAACTACGCGAACAACAGCTCCCGTGCCGAAGACGTCCTCAAAGAACTCAACAACATCCCCGGCACAGTTTCCTCTCAAGCATCTCCTCGCTTTCACGCCATTAAGGCCGACATCGGGAACCGCGATGCTATCAACTCTCTGGTGCAAGAAACAATCAGCACAATGGGTCGCCTGGACGTCGTAGTGTCAAATGCCGGTTACACACGTCTGACGAACTTCATGGATTTCGACGAGCAACACTTTGATGAGGACTGGGATAAATGCTTTCTATACAATGTGAAAGCGCACATGTGGCTGGCTTACGCCGTGAGGGAGCATCTAGACAAGAGCGAGGGTGCTTTCATCACAACGGCGAGTATTGCTGGAGTCAAGCCTTCTGGAAGCTCATTGCCATATGCTGTGACAAAAGCTGCAAGCATACACTTGACCAAGTGTTTGGCGAACATCTGTGCTCCAAAGATCAGGTTCAATTCCGTCGCTCCTGGATTAATGTTGACGGAGTGGGGATTGAAGTTCTCGGAGCAAAAGATAGAGGCACACAGAAATGGTACCAAGTTGAAGAGGCTGCCTGAGGTCGATGTAAGTAGACTTCAATCAGATCATGACGGACTGATCGCTGACTATCATCATAGGATGTTGCGGAACAGGTGCGAACACTTGCTTTATCTAAGAGTATGACAGGGCAGAACGTCATCATTGACTGTGGTTTGACTAGTTGAGCAATGCTGTTCAGCTTGGAGACTCAACCTGTGATAGAAGTAAACGTTCCTCAACAGGGCATTTGTTTTTCAAAAGTGTCTCCCATTTTTTTTTATCTATGTCATGTTCAGAAATTTCCGTCTATATAGCCTTGCCCATATCCACAGCATGAGCACTGCCGAACCCTTGCTTTTCAGAATTTGTACGACTTTCGCCTTCAACATCTCTATCCGAACTTGCTTCTCTGCCCTCTACCACCTCCAAAGAGTAAACCGACTTTGGAATCAGCGCCTCCTTGGTCGGAAAGATCTTGCTCAACATAGTGTACACAAAGATACTAGAAACGAAGCCATAAAGCCAGTCGAATGCGTAAAGATGCTTCGCTCCTGCGGAAATGGAAATGCCGTTAATCGAGTTTGCAAGTCCTGGGAGATTGGGACAAACAGCGAGGAGGAACGCGACTAGTCCTTGCCAGTTCACGCCATGCACATATCTGTAGCGACCGTGTGGATCGTAGAGGGCTGGTACGTCGATGTGGCGGCGCTTGATGAGCCAATAGTCGGCTGCTATAATACCTGTAGAGAAGGAAGGTTAGCATTACACCCGAACTCGATAAGTAAGCACCACTCACCAGCCATAGGAGCGAGAAAGACAGAGTATCCAGACATGAAACTCAAGAACGTCTCTGCATTAGACAAAATCTTCCACGGTACCATGACCCAACAAGATACCACGGCAGCAATCATGCAGCCACGACGTATGTCGATGTATCTGGGCGCCATAACGCACAAGTCGTTGGCAGCAGAGATTGAGTTGGCCGTGATGTTCGTACCAACCTGCGCGATGTACCAACTCAATGCAGCGAAGAATGCTGCCGCTCTTCCAGCATGTCCGTTCTTGAGCCATTGCTCTACAATATTCAAAGGATTCCAGTAGAATTCTCCGTACACGACTTTCGACGCTGATGTAGTGATGACACCGAGAACACCACATAGTGTAAAGATGATGGGCAACACTGGCAGCTGGATGTATTGGGCGTAGTTTGGCTTTCCATCAGCACGACCTTTGGCGTAACGAGAGAAGTCGGGGATGTTGCACGCAAGTGTTGCCCATACGCCTGTCACCGAGGACATGCAACTTAGCCAGAGGTAGATCCTGGTATCTCCAGTTGCAGTGCCTGGTTGTGAGAAGATTGCACCGCTTCCACCTGCTTTATGGATCATGTAGCCAAGAGTTGCAAAAGCTGTGACTGGGGCTGCGATGAGTTTGACGATGAAGAGGTAGCGGAGTCGAGTGGGAGGGATCAGGAGTAGGGGCAATTGGATGATCCAGAACAAGAAGTAGGCGATCATGCCGGCGGTACTAATGCCACCACTTAGTGGCAGCTGCAATGGTCAGTAGGTAGTTTTCAAGTCGATAAGAGGGACATTTAGCGTACTGTGTTGTTTGGACCATCCCAGTCGTACGAAGCAAAGGACGGCCAGATTGCCATAATCATGATCTGCATAGCGAGAGCTCCATTCGCACTTTGAATGCCTAGCCAGAACATGGCCAAAATGCATCTGGATGCAATGCAGAAGTATGCAAAATAGTAGCCAAATCCAGAACGAACAATAACGCTGAAAGGTACATGCAGATGGGCACCGATGGCTCCGTTCAGTACCACCGGAATAGCGACACAGAGAGTGCCAACAGCCATAATAGGAATTGCATCACGCCAGGTTAGACCGACCTGGATAATCGAGCTTGCTGTTTCCCAAGTACCCAGATTTATCACGTCGGTTGCCCAGCTGTAGTCCAAGGGTCAACGATGCGGAATAAGATATGTCATGACTGAACCTACTATGCTACCCAGGTCCACATGCTCCAAGTCTGGTCGGCAATTGGTACAGGATCCATGTCCTTGTTCGTCCAGACATAGTCGGGCGCAATGTTCGAGTCTTGCTTGGGCAATGCCCAAGCCTCAAGGGTCGTGCATCTTTTCTTGATTGTGTCCCTAGAGGGCAAGGTAATCTTCGGTAGTAGTGTCATGACCCAAACAGATCGATTAGTTCACAGGTGTATCTACTGCGCACGAGTACAACTGTGGAAGGAGAGGGAAGGTAAAAGGAAGGTGCATGTGGATTATACTTGTTCAGAGAATGTATACGGCAGTCAGGGACCTAGATGTTTGAATACTCACTAACGTAAAGATAAGACGGAGGGGAATTCGCCATGTCGGACCATGCCCGAAGATCTATGCTGCATTCTCTGGGCTCGGGCGAGCCGTGATATCCTTATCTCCAACGAAGATTGTAGAGTTGCCCGTCATGTCCAAGAAGAGGAAGGTGGATAGATGCTTATCAACGAGGCTTGTTTTATGACAACATCTCCGCCGCAACTCATCAAGCTTTCAAGGAGCTGTAAAAAGGCACAATACTTTTCAGATTCCTAGGGTCGTCCGCTGAGATGGCCGTCTTGTCATCTTTCTCCAGCACAACGACAGGATTTCCGGAAGTACTTGTGCATTTTGACAGCCCTGTTTAGTATGGCAGCACGAGCAGGAGAGAATGAATAGAAGACCGTGTTTAGAAACCTGTGGCAGATCGTCGCACATATCGCCTTCTCCGACATGGTGATCAAAGCGGTTGAAATCACGCGAGTCAGCGCGGAAGTCCGGAGTTATCTCCGACGCATGGACCCACGGTTTTGAGCTATCACAACACTGTATCTTGACCTGCTATACTGAGGTGCGCGCGTGTACTGAGGCCGTCATGACTCCAGAGCGTGTTGAGAACCACACCATCCGAAGTCTCCATCACCACCACCAAATCAGCTTGAGCTTCAGCGCTCGCTGATGGAGCTATGGTGGCCGTCCGGGCAGTTTTTATACTGATTCTAGCCCTCCATGTTTTGAACATGACATAGGTAACCTTCACTTCGAAGCACGTGCAGAACTGTGTGGCTTTCGCGTTCTTTTCGTATGGAGGACAAGGAAATTGAGCTCGAACATTCCGCCGACATCGCAGCAACTTGGAGTTCAAGATGTCTCGGAGAGGCCCAGGCTGTATTGTGGGGTGCCAATTGGACCTCGGTCTTCCGCAGTTTGCATGCTTCGAAGGTGTTATTCGTATGATACATAACTCGAATATGATTGATGAACTTGTGGTTGAATCAAACAGCCGATTTAATGTTTCTTCAACTCTCACTCTGACTCCTTCAGCGCCTAAGGAAATGTACAGTTCGTGATAATTCACACGGCTCGTCGGTATGAATTAGCTCCACAATAGCGGAATCCCCGCAGCGGATATTGCGGGGATCTCGCATTCGTAGTGACCCGGTGATGCAAGACAAAACATGTCGCGACTCCTTTGATTCCGATCCTCGTATTCTTTCCAATCCACATCAGCAACAATGGCCGCCATTCGCATAGCACCATCTAGAGCAGTGAGAGCACTCAACCTCTTGCGTGCCGTCGGCACACACGGTCCAGGATGCCCATGCCACAGCAACCCAGGTCATCACCACAATCCTCTGAGCATTTCCCAGGGACGACGTGCACTTGCCACGCCAATCGATTACTCGCAACAGAAAGAATACGCCTTCGAGATGGCAGCCTCAAGTATCCGATTCGGACCTGGTTGCACAAAGGAGGTCGGCATGGACTTCAAGAACATGGGAGCCAAGAAGGTCATGATTGTGACTGATGGCACTGTCTTACATTTGACTGCAATGAAGCAAGTTCAGGAGGGCCTCGACAGGGAGGGCATCAAATATGAGATATACAGCAAGTGTCGAGTCGAGCCAAAGGATCACTCGTAAGTCCCCTACGCATCAGAGCAGGAAACCCAAAGCACAATACTTATTTGCACTCAGGATCAAGGAAGCAATCGCATTTGCCAAACCTTACGCTCCAGACGCTTTCCTCGCAGTTGGTGGTGGCTCAGTCATCGACACAGCAAAGCTCATGAACCTCTACACATCCTTCCCCGAGGCCGACTTCCTGGACTTTGTGAACGCTCCTCTCGGAAAGGGTCTGCCAATCCAGGGCAAGTTGAAGCCTTTGGTTGCAGTTCCCACAACAGCAGGAACAGGATCCGAGACAACAGGCACAGCCATCTTCGATCTTGTTTCCAAGAAGGCAAAGACGGGTATCGCACATCGCAACCTGAAGCCGACACTCGGCATATGCGATCCTCTCAACACACGTACCATGCCTTCTGCTGTACATGCTTCAAGTGGACTCGATGTGCTTTGTCACTCTCTGGAATCTTGGACCGCTATTCCGTACCATGAGCGTGTACCTAGACCTCGCAACCCCATCGAGCGACCAGCATACCAGGGTGCGAACCCGATTTCAGATATCTTCAGTCTACAGGCGTTGAGAGACACTGTCAAGTATTTGCCCAGAGCAGTCAAAGATCCCGATGACCATGAAGCACAGAGCAAGATGTTGTTGGCAGCAACTCTGGCAGGTGTTGGTTTCGGAAACGCAGGTGTCCACTTGTGCCATGGTATGAGTTATCCTGTGAGTGGTCAAAACCCGGGCTACAAGCACAACGGGTACGCTGTCGACCACCCGATCATCCCTCATGGTGTCAGTGTCGCTGTCACCGCACCTGCCGTATTCAAGTTCACTGGAGCGAGCAACCCGGAAAGACATCTTGCAGCAGCAGAGTGTTTCGGTGTGGATATCAGTCAGGTCAAGAAGGAAAGTGCTGGAGAAGTATTGAGCGAGGCACTTTCCAAGTTCTTGGTGGATCTAGGTGACCAGCCGCGAGGACTGAAGGATCTAGGCTTTGGCCTTGGTGATGTGGATCAGCTGGTGGAAGGAACCATGCCGCAAGCAAGAGTACTCATGTTGGCACCTAGCCTTGACATGCAGAACGTGGACGAGGAGAGGGCACAACTCAGACAGCTCTTTGAAGATGCAATGGAGTACTAAGTTGGAAGCAGAGGAAAGCTGAGAGAGCCATGGAAGAGGAGGCTGGGCCGCTTGACATGAAGCTTGGACGATGATGGCGGCGCTGTGATGTTTAAGCCACGATATTGGGCAGATGAACGAGATAGCTGTATGCAGGAGAGCTAAGTAGTTTTGTTGAAGCATCTCAAGGATTATCTATCGTTCAACAATCATTTGATCTCACTGCACTCTCACTCAGACAGAGTTGGTCGAGAAACAAGCGATAAGTGAATCTTGGCTCGGCCTTGGCAAAACCGGGCGCCGAAAGACACGGGCTTTGGCAGCTGCGGTGGCAGGAGGTGCAGGAGTAAACGACGTGGAAGTTGAAGCTCTTCCTTCACATTCATCTCGCCTTCCTTCTCGTTGTCCCATCTGACTCTGGACTTGTGCTCCTCGTCTTAATTCTGCTTTACAGTCTGTTTCTTTAATTTGATACCCCGACCAAGCGCATCACACCATCCCTCCCTCATGGCTGTAAGTCCGCATCTTGCGCTTGTAGCATTTGCTATTTACTGTCAGATCGACGCTGATGCCTTGCTAGCAACCACCTACTCAACCGCGCTCATACAGCCAGGCTTACATTCCCAACGGCACTCCCTCTCAAGCATCCGGACCCGTCCCGGGAGCCACGCCACTCCTCCCTAACCAAGGTCGCGTGGTGCAGGCCGGTGGCGCCAGAGTCCTCTGTATCGCCGACGTCCGAGGTGAGCAGCACGCACAGCACAACATGATGGAACGGACACTGAAGTGATGGAATAGGCAACCTCAGATCTCTGAACGAACTCGCCCGTACCGCAAACGCCGACTACATCATCCATACCGGTGACTTTGGCTTCTACGACAATACCTCGCTCGATCGTATCGCTGAGAAGTGAGCTGCCTCGCCCATTCACTGTTCTGCACCGACTAATCCGAATCAGGACTCTCAAGCATGTTGCGCAATATTCTCCTCTCCTGAATGACGGCGTCAAGAATGACATCGCCCGCGCCTCTGCCCAGACCTCAATCAAGGATCGTTTCCAGCGCGAGAGCCTGCCTCTGTCGGAACTGCCGCAATTCTTGAACGGCACCTACACACTTGAGAAGCCCGTCTACACCGTCTGGGGCGCATGTGAAGATGTCTCGGTCTTGGAGAAGCTGCGCTCAGGGGAATACAAGATCAACAACCTTTTTGTCATTGACGAGTCGCACGCCCGTCTGCTCGACATTGGCGGTGTCAAGTTGCGTCTGTTGGGTCTTGGAGGCGCTGTTGTCATGCACAAGCTGTTCGACAACGGTGAAGGCCGCACAACTATTGCTGGAGGCCAAGGAACCATGTGGACTACCCTTCTGCAGATTGGCGAGCTCATTGATACAGCCAACCGCGTCTACGATCCTACCGAGACCCGTGTCTTCGTCACCCACGCATCGCCCGCCCGCGAAGGTCTCTTGAACCAGCTGGCTGTGGCCCTCAAGGCCGACTTCTCCATCTCAGCTGGTCTGCACTTCCGTTACGGTAGCTCCTACAACGAATTCAGTGTCAACCCCACTCTGGACCACTACCGCGGCAAGCTCGCTGCTTCCAAAGCCTCATTCAACGATGTCTGGGAAACCGTCAAGAGCGAAGTCGAGCCCGCTGTGTCCGAGAACGAGTCACAACAGCGTCTTCTCAACAACGCTCTCGAACTGGTCTCCAAGATGCCTTCGGTCGCCAACGGTGGTAACCCCTTCGGCGGTGGCTACACTGGCCCTCAGGGCGGTGTCGTTGACGAGTCGGCCTTCAAGAACATGTGGAACTTCAACTTGGCCGATGCCGCCTTTGGTTGGCTCTTGCTCGATATTGATCAGGGTAGAATTGGCACTGAGATGAAGGCCCAGGGCTTCAACTTCTCGCACCGTGCTGGAAAGCCCACTCAACGTCCTGCGCAAACACCCCAAGCACCCCAACCATCCGCCGCTCATGCCGCGGCTTCAGCACCTACGCCTAGCAACATTCCCACACCTTCAGGCCCTCCTCCCGCTGTGGCATCCGCTCCCACTCCTGCAAATGCGCCTCGTGCTTCTGGACCTCACCAGAACGCCAGACCCCCGGTTGCAACTCCTCAGCAAGTTCCTTCTCCCGCTCCTACCAAGTCTGCCGCAACTCCTCAGACTGCAGCCCCTACCAACGGTACCCCTGCACCTGCCAAGACAGAAGAGAAGGCTGCTACAACCTCCGCCACTGATGCTCCTCCCAAGGCCCAGGAGGTCCCGAAGAGCCAGTCCATTTTCATTCCCCCTATCAACGGTACTGACGATGAGGCTGAAGTGCGCCAGATCTTCAGCGAGGAGGACCAGAAGAAGCTCACCAAGATGGAGAGAACCAGCAAGGGCTTCTGGATCGCACACTTCAGCTCTCACGAAGAAATGCAGGAGGTCTTGAAGCGCAGTCCCTCATCAGACAGCAAATACTCGTCGCTGAGAATTAGTGAGTTCAAGCAGCGCCCTGCACGTGGAGGATTCCAAGCCGGTACGTGGGGCAGCTCGCGCACAGCATCTGGCCAGCAGAGCGGATACCGTAGTGGGCAATCCGACAGCGAAGGTGCTCGCAGTGGACGCGGTGGCCGTGGTGGACGTGGCGGCCGCGGTGGTCTGGAACGTGGACGTGGAGGCAGAGGTGGTGCTGGTCGCGGAGCTTCATCAAGCGCAGCTCCCAACGGCGGCGAGTCTCAGGCATGAATGAAGATGATGACAAGATGAGGCATGTGCGGCAAAGACCAGCGGCTTCTCACAGTTGGATGCTATTCGACAGGAAGCGCATTCAGGAACAGGGGACGCGCCGCGATACAGAGGTGTGTAGAGGATGAAGTGCAACCAAGAACTTGACGACCGAACATGGAGAAAAAGCATGAGGGCGATTTGGAACGAGAGGCTAGGAGCCCTGCTAGCTACATGAGACGTTATACAGACGAAGAAACATGTAATACTACAAAACAAAGAATATTCGCCAAGTTGAAGTGCCATGTGATAGCCACGGATGAGAATGCTTGACAAATGGAGATGGCTAGTGATCGGAGATGTGGCTGGTGGCAGCAGGTGTGGCTGGCTTGGCAGCGTCATGGTGTGGGAAGGAGACGCGGGGGCGGAGCAACGCGCGAATGCGGGTGCTTGTCGATTGTGAGCAGCACATCGAAAGCTGTGCTCCGTCCCATACGAGACAGACATCGCTTTGGAGTGATCGTTCGTTCTTGTGTCAGCCTCGTCGACGTTCCATCTTCTTTCCGACCAAGTCCACCACCACGCCACCGACCTCTCGTTCAAGCACGTCTCGGAACCCATATACCGCCCGGTGCCTGACTCTCCACGAGCTCGACACACGACCACACCGTTCTCTTTAACATCCTAGTACACGACGCTTTCCCTTTGCATCATTTAGAGAAAGAGCTTGGAAAGATGCTTTTCACGCGGCCATGGCTCGCAGTGGCGGGCCTGAGCCTGCTCTCGTCCTCGGCCTCTGCCGAAACACAGCAAACATCCTTCGCCATCGAAACGACAGCAACCGACGGCTTGACCCACAAGCATGAAGCAGGAAGATGCGCCATTCGCGGTCATTGTGGCAAACAAGGCTTCTTTGGCTCTGATCTGCCCTGCCCCGACAATGGCTTGGCCGAGCAGCCCAATGCCGACACTCGCAGAACACTGATGTCCATCTGTGGTGACAAGTGGGCTGAGGGTCCCATCTGCTGTACAGATGAGCAACTTGGTGCCCTCAGCTCCAACCTCAAGCGTGCTGAATCAATCATCGGCGCGTGCCCTGCTTGCAAAGACAACTTCTTCAACTTATTCTGCACATTTACCTGCTCCCCGGATCAATCTCTCTTCGTCAATGTCACCAACACTGCCCCCAAGGGCGACAAACTGCTCGTTACCGAACTCGATCAACTGATCTCTGAGGACTATGGAAGCGCCTTTTACAACAGCTGCAAGGACGTCAAGTTCGGCGCTACTGGAGGAAAAGCTATGGACCTGATTGGTGGCGGCGCAAAGAACTACACCCAGTTCCTTAAGTTCTTGGGTGATAAGAAGCCTTTCGGCAGTCCCTTCCAGATCAACTTCCCGGTCCCCAGCGAGGCTGACTTCCCTGGAATGGAGCCCGGATCCGACAAGGCCCATCCTTGCAACAGCACCGATGAGAGGTACAAGTGCGCCTGTGTGGACTGTGCTGCTTCTTGCCCCGAACTTCCCTCGGTCAAGGAATCTCACGAGTGCAAGGTCGGCGTTTTACCATGCCTGTCTTTCGCCGTCATTATCGTCTACTCTGTCTTCCTGTCCCTCTTGATCCTGGCCGTCTCTGGCCACGTTGCTTATGCTAAGCACACCAAGAACCGCAACGAGCGCTTGAGACTGTTGCAGGATGCCTCTCCTAGCGATGATGAAGATGAAGGCGATATCGTGCACCACGCTGGTCTTGTCGAGAAGCCTACCAGAAGATATCCTCTGAACACAGTGTGCGACAGAATCTTTTCGCGTCTCGGTCGCACCGCTGCCACCTTCCCTGCCATCACAATCAGTTCTTCGGTCATCGTTGTTGCTCTGCTTAGTCTAGGCTGGATGCGTTTTGCTCTCGAGACTGATCCTGTCAAGCTATGGGTTTCTCCTGACTCTGAGGCAGCCAAGGAAAAGGCCTTCTTTGATGAATCCTTCGGTCCATTCTTCAGAGCCGAGCAAGTCTTCCTAGTCAACGATACCCTGTCTACTGGCCCAGGTCCAGTCCTGTCTTACGACACGCTGAACTGGTGGTTCGATGTCGAGAACCGCATCAGTAGAATGAAGTCCATCGATGGTGGTTACACTCTTGATGACGTTTGCTATAAGCCAACTGGAGACGCTTGTGTTATTCAATCTTTGACAGGTTACTTTGGCGGTGACTTCTACGGGGTCGACCCCGAGCTATGGGCTGAGGATCTTGAGGCTTGCGCCGATACTCCCGTCAACTGTCTCCCTGATTTCCAGCAACCACTGAATCCCCGCTATCTATTCGGCGGTTACAACAAGAGTGTCATCGATTCTACTGCTATGGTCGTCACTTGGGCCGTCACAAATTACGCCGAGGATACTTTCGAGCTCGAGAGAGCTATGGACTGGGAGGACAGTCTCAAGGGACTTCTGCTTACTGTCCAGGAGGAAGCCTCGGAGCGTGGTCTTCGTCTGTCATTCAACACTGAGATCAGTCTTGAGCAAGAGCTCAGCAAGTCGACCAACACTGACGCCAAGATTGTTGCCATCAGCTACTTGATCATGTTCATGTATGCTTCTATTGCACTCGGAGCCACCACTTTGACTGTAAGAGATGTACTCAACAATCCTGCAAACGCCCTTGTTCAATCGAAGTTCATGCTTGGTGTTGTCGGTATTCTTATCGTTCTCATGTCCGTCTCTGCATCCGTTGGTTTGTTCGCTGCCGCTGGTATGAAGGCTACCTTGATCATTGCCGAGGTCATTCCTTTCCTCGTTCTCGCAGTTGGTGTGGACAACATTTTCCTCATTGTTCACGAATTCGAGCGCGTCAACATTAGCCATGCCGATGAGCCAGTCAGCGAGAGGATAGCCAAAGCTCTTGGCCGCATGGGTCCCAGCATTCTTCTATCGGCCACTACCGAAACCGTCGCGTTCGCTCTTGGTGCTGCTGTTGGCATGCCTGCTGTTCGGAACTTCGCTGCATATGCAGCCGGAGCTGTGTTCATCAACGCGATACTGCAGATCACCATGTTCACTTCCGTCCTGGCTCTCAACCAAAAGCGTGTCGAGGCTGGGCGCGCAGATTGCTTCCCATTCATCAAGGTCAAGGGCGCTGACTCCAACTCGATGGGGATGGCTGGCATGCCCGGCTTGGCCGGCATTGAAGAGGAAGGTACGCTCCAACGCTTCATTCGCAAGACTTATGCTCCTGCCTTGCTCGGTAAGAAGACGAAGACTGCCGTCATCACTATCTTCCTCGGCTTCTTCACCATCGGTCTTGCACTTCTGCCCAATGTCGAACTTGGTCTTGACCAGCGCATTGCCATTCCTTCCGACTCGTACCTCGTCAAATACTTCGATGATCTTTACGACTACTTCGAGGCTGGACCACCAGTCTACTTTGTAACCAAGGGCCTTAATGCAACTGCTCGTCAACACCAGCAAGAGATCTGCGGCCGCTTCTCCACTTGTGAGGAGTTCTCACTGGCCAATATTCTCGAACAGGAGCGCAAGCGACCGGAGATTAGTTACATTGCCGACGCTACCGCCAGCTGGATCGATGACTTTTTCTTCTGGCTTAACCCTTCGCTCGATGAGTGTTGCGTTGATGGGTCAGAGACCTGCTTCGAGAACCGTAACCCTCCATGGAACGTCACTCTTCACGGTATGCCCGAAGGCCAAGAGTTCGTCTCTTATCTCCAGCGCTGGCTCGAGGCACCTACAACGAGCGAGTGTCCACTTGCTGGAAAGGCTGCTTACGGCAATGCTCTTGTGGTTGATAACAAGACTTTGAGCATCCCAGCCTCTCACTTCCGTACCTCGCACACACCCATGCACAGCCAGAGTGACTTCATCGCAGCCTACAAGTCGGCTCGCCGCGTTGCCAACGATATTACAGCGCGCACTGGAGTCGAAGTTTTCCCTTACAGCAAGTTCTACATCTTCTTTGATCAATACGTCTCAATCGTACGCCTCTCAGCTGCGCTCATTGGAGGCGCTCTGGCCTTCATTCTCGTGCTGAGCAGTGTATTGCTTGGTTCTCTAGCGACTGGTCTCGTTGTTACTATGACTGTCGCTATGACTGTCATCGATATCATTGGCACCATGTCCTTGGCTGGTGTCTCGCTCAACGCCGTCTCCCTTGTCAATCTCATCATCTGTGTTGGTATCTCGGTTGAGTTCTGCGCTCATATTGCCCGTGCATTCTCGGTCCCATCGCCCTCGCTTCTCGAGCGCTGCCACAGCTTCCGTGGTAAAGACGCACGCGCCTGGGCCGCTCTCGTCAATGTTGGCGCTTCGGTCTTTTCGGGTATCACTGTCACCAAGCTCCTTGGAGTCTTTGTGCTCGCCTTTACCCGCAGCAAGATTTTCGAGGTTTACTACTTTAGAGTCTGGTTGGCACTTGTCATTTGGGCTGCTCTTCACGCATTGGTCTTTTTGCCAGTTGCCTTGAGCTTCTTCGGCGGAGTTGGTAAGTTCTGGAGCATGATCATGTTATATGACGCAAATAACTAATTCATTTTGCAGGCTACGCAGACCCAGATGTCGATGGTGGACTTGAGCAAGACCTTGCTAGCAGACGTTACCGTGCGATGATGCCGGATGAGGAGTACTACTCAGACGAGTACTAAGCTTGAGATGCGATAACGGAGACGATTAGATGTAACATGACATGACGGCGTTTTTTCTTTGTTTCGTGTATCATGAATATGCTTTCTTCCACCACTCGTCTGTGGATCTTGGACCGTCAAGAAGTTTGTCGAAGCAATTCGACTCGTTCAACCCCGTGATATGTTTGCGGCCATTGTCCGACTGCGAAGAGCAACAAAAAATAGATCCGCATCCGGAAACTAACGAGTTGTTCCTGGAGTCGGGCGTCCTGTGACCAGATTCTTGATATTGTCATACCTAAACAAAGACATCAAGGCTTCACTAACTAACCAAGTCTCTTTACATTGTCTCCGTCCGCAATATATAGTATCGCGTCCTCCCCCAACGACTTTCACACCATCAACATCCAACCATACATAAAAAAGTAAGCCATACACCGTGCACTATTTCTCGAATGTTGTGCTGATGATGGACTTTCTAGCCCTTTTTCTCCCCACGAAACCGGAAAACAAATACATTCACAATGGCCGCTTCTGATTATACTACCGAGGACGCTTTTGTCAACCATGTCACTATGGTGCGTGGTTACCGCGATAAGATGTGTGTTGTGCAGTAGAGGATTGTCTACTTGCAAGGAGCTGTGCAGTGGTATAGCGTCTATTGCTTTTACAGCATGTAGTAGAGACGAATCAATGATACACTCTTTGCTATACATCTGCGTTCTGTGAATCCTTGTTGCGGGCTTGGGTTGTGAAGTGTCGGCAATTGCAGTGTCACATAGACAACATTGTGGTGGACTTGGGCTTTGCGTAAACGATCATATGTATATTGCACAATAGCGCTTCAAAAGCCTGCATACTCTACCCATATATGCCACAGTATCATGGCTATCTATACGACTGAACTATATTAATAGCTATCCGTTCTGTTTTGCGACCGTCACAATGATGTTTCCGGCGCACCAGGGTCTTCTGTACTACCACTGACACGCCTCAGCCACACTCTCCACCCGCCACGATTCCCAAAACGCCACGATCCCCAGAACCCATTGCTTTTGAGCGCCTATGACGCGTCGTCACTTCCCGCCGAGGAAGCCAAATCCAAGGTTTCGAGGATATAGAAAGGTCAGGCCCTTCCGCCGTGATCCCTTCCTTTAGCGCCGCCATCTTTCCCCCCTCTGCTCTCCTGCCTCTCCTATCGTCAGACTGAATTATACAAAGCCATCCACGCGGAACTGAGCGACTGTAAACGAGCATACCTAAGAAGACTACGAAGGGACGGACTTTGTATACCGAGTTAAAAGGACTGAGATTTGGAAGTGTAGTATATCAGTGCGTCAAGACATGGCTCTCACACATGATCTGCTCAAACTCTCGAGAAGATGGCAGAACTAACACTTTCACAGCCACCAAAACCTCACCAAAACTCCCAACGTACCACGCCAAAACCGCAAACATGCCCCAACAAGTCCTCACCACCACCTCCAGCACCGCAATCTCCCTCCCCACATCCACACCCGCCACCTCCTCTGGCTCTCCCTCCTCCGCCCTGAAACGCTCAACTCCTGGTGTAAAGCTTCCCTGCTGGTGTGGCGATGACTGCTCTTGCTGCATCATCCCCTGCACGGTGATGTAGAAATCGCCGTCTACGACATCATCGACACTGCGGAATGGGGATATGGTGTCTCATATGCATAACCATGGCAAGACTGGATGTAAAAAACCCGGATTCGGGCGTTTGGAGACAGAGTGGAGGAAACGAGATGATAGGCAGGGGTGGGTCAAGACTATGGCGTTGACTGTTGATAAAGGCAAGAAAGGGGAGCGTGGGAAGAGAGAGGGCAAGAAGGTAGAGGGGAGGAAGGGGAGGGGAAAGGCGAAGCCATGGAGGAGGGTCAAGAAGAATTGGCAGAGAGGCATTTGGGATGTTTTGTTTGAAATGTCTGTGGTGCCGCATTGAATTGCTAATGCTGGGAGTCTTTGGTAGGATCAGGGGTTTCTTTTCGCTTTTCTTTTGTGACTGCCCCCCGAGCAGACAGTCTGGTGTTATTGAGCATGGGCTACCTATACGAATGTGAACGTAATTATTTCTTTACAAGTCTGCTCTTGTGCATTTCTTATTGGGTCAAGCATGCGTGCTCCACCAAAGTAGACTGTTTCACAAACTTGACAATGGAACACGGTTTTGAGATTTGGAAAACAGTGACATTTGCTTTCTTTCGAGGTATATCGACAGCAGCAAAGGCAAGAGAAGAAATAGGTACAGGAAAGCAATGACAACAGTAATAGACAGGCGACAACAATATCGTCGGCGACAGTACGAATCCCACGGGAAAATTCTGATACGACGAGTTGCATGACCGCGAGACGAACATCCCGTCAAAGACTCAGAGGGACATCTCTTCCATCGTTCGGAGGGGTGTCGCAAACGTCTGGAAGGGAACTTTTTCTAGACATTCTTCCAAGTCATGCCTGGTCTTTCTCCATGAGGAGTCTTGACTGCATTTGAATCTCCGAAAGGATTGTCTTCGTCGTCCTCTTCGTAATCATTCTCGCTTTCATCACTTTCCTCTACTTTGGCTTTACCGAAGTCTGGTTTGGCGGGCATGGCAAGGTTACCAGGACGAGGAGGTTTAGGAGGCGCTGCTTCTCCAAGCTTGAGGCCGGCAAGTTGCGATTCGGCACCAGTGGCATGATTATCAGGCATGTGCTCCCAAGCATCACTGTCACTGTCGTCATCGAGCGATCTGTCCATGATCTCGTAGCTGGTAAGTGCTTTGACCAGTTCGTCGTTCGCAGACAAGAGACTTCCAATCCACTCGTCTGATTCGACCAATTGAATGTACCTCAGTATGTTCCTTCTTAGCAGCTTGCAAACTTCGAAACGGTTCAGAACTTCCATGTTCTCAGAGACACGCTCATTCTCGCGGTTGATAAGTTGTAGAGCGTTGAGAAGGTTGGTGGACGCGATTGAGGCTTGGGCAATACTTTGAATCATGTTGGGCTTCTCTTTTTCGAAGCTGAATTTCGTGGCGGTCGCATTCTTATCCTTCTTCTTGGTTGAAGCTTTGACAGCCTCACGGATAGAGTAGTGCGGTGTTGGTGTCAGTGTCACAGGACGGGAGGTCGAGGTTGAGGCGTTGGCGGCAGAGCCTGATCGCGAGTGGCCACGAGAGTGACTGACAGCTGGCGCAAGTGGAGGCGTGGGCGACGGATCCTCATGAGCATCTGCTTCTGTCTCGCGGAGGACCTTTGATTTTGCCTGACTGTGACGAGGACGAGGCTTTTGAGGTAGCTGTTTGTAAAGTGCAGCGATGTTGTGGAGACCAGGAGTATCCTTATAGGCTACGGCCCACTGACGATACAACACATTACACTTGTTGCGTACTTCGAGGTCAACCATGTCGTCTCTGACCATAAGACGAAGACGTTCGAGCAGAGGCTCATCGGCGAAAGTCTTTTGGAAACGATTTCCGGCATTCTGAATCAGACCGTCCAGGATGTTCAAAGCTCTGATTTGACGATGGGCATTGCCGTATTTGCTTCTTCGAGTCAGCTAGGACAGTCCACCAAGCGCAGGACCATAAGGTCCGAATGCGGTGAACTTACAGCTTCTTGCGAATTGCTCTTGCAGCTTCGGTTGGTCCAGAAGATTGAATGCGAATGACCTCGACCAAGTCGATGATACCACTGAGGTCGTCTTCCTCAAACTGTTCGCTGGTCAGGCGGTCAATTTGTACTGACACAGCCGAATATGGCTTTCTCTGTTGAACAATCCATTGTCTTAGTATTGATTTCAGATCACGTAGCCGACAGGCAGGGCAGGAAATGGAGTATCTAGAGAGACGGCATGGAAGAGCAGAGTATCTCGGAGGTGGACGAGTCGGTGGCCAGAGAGTCTTGTATCGAGCAGCTGCCTTCAGTTCTCTCTTTTGTCGACGCTTTTCTTGTATGGCTACACATTCCTTGTTCCACTCGTCCACCTCGGCAGGATTACAGGGACCATACGGACATGGGTAGGCCATGCACCAAGTGAAAAACTCCATGTCAGGTGGGATGTGGTTTTGTGTAGTAGATCAACAAAGAAGAGGCATGAGTCGTGAAGGGGTATGGTGCAATGTAAATAGTAGATCGAACACGAAAGTGTAACGTACCGATGAGCTCCCCAGCATGATGGTGATTCACTAACTTCAACACCTGTAGAGGTTGCAGCACAAAGATTGACGAACGCAGCTAGACCAACAGTATGGCGTCACCAAGAGTCCGCGTTCTGTGGTGTGGATTGTGTGTGCAAAGGAAAATGGGGGACCCGGGATGTGTAGATCGTGAGCCGTATAACCCTAAGGTCTGGTTATGCCTGGCTGTCAACAGGAACAAGAAACCGTCAGCAAGTTCTCATTTGTAACGCACGTCAGAGTGGTATGGTGGCTCGAGGCTTGTAGAGAACCATGGTATCGACCTTGCGGCGCAAAGGTGACCCAATTGCGCTCGTCACTATGCCATGTTGGAAGCGCAACTCACCAGAAGTGATGAAAAGGACTCGAGAAGCTGCTCGCACAGCAGAATGATAACCACAGAGATCTAGAAGATCAGCCCGTATTGTCAGATGGCGTCCCGTCGTGCGTCTTGTTCTGGGATTAGCAGGATGCAGAACCGCAGACTGAGGAGCCGATAAGCAGGAACGGGCCCTTCCTTCTTTGTTCCTGTCCACCGAAGATTGTGCTTACGCAATCTTACAGATTCCACAGAACTTTCGGTCTGCTAGTTGATAGTTTCGACAAGTGTCAGCAGGAACTCTCACACAAGAACTCGACAAGAGATAAAGACGTTTTGTTGTTGGCCAGCTCGTGATTGGGGACGTTGTCGGTGAGCACAGCCGTCATCTCCACGCTGATGCCCCACTTTCTGCCCGATGCGACTCCTCGACTTCGGCCCGCGGCATCCCGATTGCGGAGGTTAATCCCGGATGCTTCTTTGCTCCTTCGACGTGACCTCGCACAACATTCGATTGCTGCTGCTATTAATACTAGCGCCTGGCCTTGATCTGATATCAGGAAGCCGCTATACAAGTAGTTGGACTCTCGGTCCGCTAGGAGATCTCGTCCGCGAATAGTAAGCTTCACCTCAGGACACGATCAACCAACATCATGCGTGTGCATGAATGATCACTGCCCATCAGACAGCCTCATGCTCGCCTGCACGATTTCAGCAAATGCATGTAATCGTCTGTCAAGTCTTGAAGTTCCTGCAAGCAGCGATCCCTCCTTCATACATGGTTTCGTGAAACAATACCAAGCAGCATCCCCGTCCTCCACGTTCTTTGCCCGAGACCTTCCAATGGTTGGCACTACATGGGCTTCAGCTCTGCAGAGGTATGATATGTGTCTGCGACTAATTGAAGATCCTCGTGGCTGACACGCTGGGTCTGGCCTTGCAGTGCATGGCTTGAAGAGCTTGCAGATGTCGACTGTGACTGGGACAGCATATCGCCTCCAAGCACGCCTAACTTTGGTACGGTCGCACTGTCTTCTCCAACCGAAGATGTTGCATTCCTCCCACATGGCACTTTCTGCGCCAGCTTCCGTCCCGTCTCATCATCTTCAACAGACGACGAGCTGTTTGATGACACGACAGATCTTGAGAGCTTCCTCCGCGAAACAGAAGGCGAGAACTTCCCTAGCACTGCATCAACATACACCATGGCATCGACATCTACCTTGGCCTCGACACCAGTCGTCTCAACATCGGCTGTTTCAGCTTCTCGCCCAGGCTCATCATCCTCCGCCTTCTCCGCATACCAAACTCCGAAGCGTATCATCCGCGGAAGATTTCCTCCCGCCCTGAAATCAAATTCTCCGGTTCCTGGCCTTACCTCCTCTCTGTGCGTCCGCACACTCTTTTGCCTAGGAGAAGCCTTGAATGTAGGTTGCCAGGCTGTTCGCGACAATCAAGATGTTCTTCTCGAATTCTACTGTCGTGTCATGTCCTCGTATCGCGAAGATGACATACAACATTTCGTGCTTGCGGATCTCACACATGATAATCCGCCCTTCATCAATGCTACTTTTGCGTCTTAGAAGGGCGTACCATTATTTGATGATGATACTAGAGTCTTTCTTGACGACAAGGACAGGGGAAGGGTATGTAGGTGTCTGGGCAGAATGTCGAGACAGGGGAGTAAGTGGGTGTATGTGTTGACGAGCATTTGGCAAGCCAGTCTTGACGACATTGAGTACGTCGCTAGCATCGTTACTTGACGTGCTGAAGCCTTTAGCTGCTGGGAGTCAGAATCTTGCTGACATTTTGCCGGGATTTGCTGTATTTTGCTGCTGCCGCTGGGAATGTTGCAATGACTATGTTTGATCATATTGCTAAGATATAAAGGTTGCTGCAAATCGCACAAGATATGTTCAATTTGACCAATCTTCACCTCTTTCAGTTGATTTGTAAGGATGAAAAGAGAATCATGACCATGGCTGACAGTCAATTCATTGGGTACCTCCTCCAGCAGCGACTGTTCCCCAAACATCCTCGACCTGGGCGAACACTTTTATAGCATCATCATCGATGGCTCTGCTGGTGGCTACTGCGTCTTGCGTAGGCTCTTTCCTCAAACACCACGTATATAGGCAGCCAAATACGACAACCGCGTCCATGAATGTTCATATTCAAGCTCGCCTCTCCTGTACAAACAGTGACTCGCGTGAGTTGCTGCTGCTTTAATGCATGAGGATTTAGACAAGTTGAGAGATGTGCGTGGAGATAGATGAACAAGGGGGTTGTTGTCGTTAGTGACTGTATTATTGATGAGGCTGTACTACGGCGGCAACTGTGTCAAACTCAAACTCATTGTGCATTCAGACAAGGAGCATGTATCATGTTTCAGACAAGGGAGGACGAGTAGTCCATGCTATTGGCTCCATACCTGGTGGATTCCATTGCGGGCGAGAGTATCAAGACTAGGTGAATCTGTGGCATCTCGTGAATGTATGCATAGCAGAAACATTGGCTGTCTGGATGCACAGACAGTTTCAACCTTGGAGCCACCCTGTCAGGAGCTTGGTACATCAGGAAAGTCATTATCTAGTATCTAGGCCTCAGGTGAATAAGAAAGCCATGGATGATTCACCAATTCACTCGCCCTCTGCCTCTCTCTCGGATCAGACGCCAACATCTTCCTCAAGAAGTCGCAAAACAATTCTAACTCATCGATTGGCAGCATTCCCTGTGCATCGCCTGCAAAGCTCTGCCCCACCATCGTCTCCAGGGAAACAGGGAAGCCGTGTCCGTTTATACATTGCTGCTCAAACTCTCTGCCCAGTGCTGCGTTGTCCAGCACAACATTTGGGATAGGTCCGAAAGTGGAGACTAGTGTGGCTATACGATCTTGGTCTGCCGTTACGCCAGGGCCAGGGCGTCCTACGAATGGCAGGTCTCCGGTGATGAATTGGAAGAGCAAACAGCCGAGACTGAAGATGTCGACACTAGGATCCCAGGGTGCTTCCAGAGTGACTTCCGGCGCGCGGAGGTACTCTGATTGAATGTCGTCCGTCAAGTGCTGGTCCACGAAACAAGCGATACCCAAATCGTTGAGACGGAATTGCATGTCTGGCTCGTTGAACTCAGGGCCGGATGACTCTGTGCGAATAAGTTCGTCGATTTCTTGCGGCGACTGGCCTTGATCGTCCTTGAGGATATTGGAGGGTTGGAGATCGGTGTGGATGATGCCGCATTCGCTGTGTAAGAAGTCTAGCGCTTCAAGCATTTGTCTTGCGATGTTTCTGACTGTCGGAGGAGGAATACGGATGATGTGACCGGTAGTGGCCTTTTCCGCGATGCTGTCGCCGAGCAAGGGCATCACCATGCAGACGTGCTTCCCAGTCGGTCCTTGAATGTCGAAGTGGTTCTTGAGGTATGTGACATGGGCCCTGCCTGGGTGCGAGGATTGGTTCGAGCATGCGGTGACTCTCTGCATGACTTCAAGCTCAAAGATCTGGTGATGGCCGTTGTAGAAATCGCTGTTCAGGATCTTGAGCGCGGCATGCTCGCCATTCCTATAGCTTGTTAGCGCTCATCTTGCGATTGCATACATTCTGACTTACGTCGTGTCTATCACCAACCAGACAGAAGCATATCTGCCAGCTCCCAGATGTGTCTCTACTCTGTATCGGTCTTGGAACACCTGACCGATCTCGACTTTGTAAAACTTGTCGTTGTCGTTCTCGGTCAAGGCCCTCTTCAATAGCTTGCGGAAACCCATGGTGATTGTATGCGAATGTGTTTCGTGAACGCGCAAAAGACGTCAAAGTTGCGACAGCAGACGATCGAGGATATGAGGGAATCTCGAATGGGATGAACTAACAGAAGCCTCCTACCTACCTGCCTACTTCTTCGTGAACGTTAGATCGGTGAAGTCATGCGCGAAAGCTACCATAATCGCGGAGTCTCCGAGAAACCTTACTCGGTATGTGTCTCGCGTCAGCCCCTTGAGGCTGGAGAACGACGACTGAACTTTTAGTCGGCCATGTCAAGACAGCACACTGTGCTCTGGAAGTACTAGGAGACATCTAATTCCAAATCGATCTCTGTTGTAATGAGACATGGAGATCAACAGGAACAGCCGGGATCTCGTCCAAACGTCTTCGCAGATCGCCGAAGCCCAAAAGTGTGGAGGCACATCCGGCCGATGATGTCACGCCGAAACGCGATGATGGGCTTGAAGCCTGGAAACACTTTTGTGAGCAGCTCGAACTGAGCCACAACGTCTATACGAGTCAATCATAAGCATACCCAGCAGACATGCCACCAAGCGGTCAACCAGTCTACGTTTCTCCCAACCCGCAGACGACAAAGCGTGATGCTTTCACCGAGTTCTTCCTCGAGCAACAATGTCCAGAGGGTGCTGTCTCTGCTTACAAGCATCTGTTCAACACTCACCAGAGCTTGATGAGGATGTTGATCAATGATCCTGCTATGGAACCAAACCGCAAGCAGACCTTCTCTACACCTGCCAACAGTAAGAACAAGGTGTACTTTATGTAAAATCAGGTCAATGTTTCTGTCGTTTCAGCACACTGACAGTAACACAGGTGGGACTTTGTCACTCGTACTTTCCAGATGCTTGTTGCGACTGTTGACCCCGAAAGTCCTGATGGCGAGGCATGGATGGTAGCTCACTCTCATACCAGAGTCAAGATAGCACGCTGACCCGAAAATAGGACATCATTACAAGATCCATGCTGGCTCAACAACTCATCCTAGACACGACCGGGAAGCTCGAGTCCATGAACCAGTCTGTTGGCTACAATGACGATGCTGGTATCCAGTTCAGCGATGAAACCAAGGCAGAAGCAAGAAAGCTGGATAATTAGTAGAGCAGGACTCTTGCAATACCAGCATAGCGAGTACATTGATGAGGACATGATGAACGTCGTTGAGTTTTTATGGGTTTGGTCAAGTCATGTATGGAAAGATTGAGGAGAATATTCCTCATGAACAACCACATGATTACCTGGACTCGGTGGCACATATAATGGTGAGATGAAATAGCCAGAGTTCGTTGCATTGCTGAACTGGCGGACCCTTCGCGCACGGATCACCTTGGGTTCCGGGGACGGTGAATGCAGCAAAACATTTTTGTGGCTGACGGGGGACGCTTTTTCTCGACATCCTCCACAAAGGCATATCTTTCTGCCTTTGTTGTGTTTTTCTTTTTCTTTTCCCCTTTGATACTCATATACCGTCGAGATGGATGAGCAACAATTTGTCGGACTCCTCGAGAGTCTGATGACTCGTAAGAAGCCAACAAAATGTAGCCACCTGTATTTGAAGCTGATCTTGTACAACAGCCGACACTGAGCGTGTCAAGAGCGCAACTGCCTCGTTGAACAAGAACTACTACGGCAACCCTGCCTCGCTCGTAGCGCTACTTCACATTCTGGTCTCACACCAGAGCCCCAACCTCCGCCAATTGGCCGCCATCGAATCCCGCAAGCTCGTTAAGAAGCACTGGCTCGACCTCCCCAACGAGCAAAAGCCTCAGATCCGCGAACAACTCCTCCAGTCCACTCTTAGCGAGGAGCAGTCGCTCGCCCGTCACTCAAAGGCCCGCGTCATTGCCTCGATCGCCCAGATCGATCTCGCCGATGGCCAATGGTCTGACCTCCCCGACTTCCTCCAGAGAGCCTCGACCAGCCAGACTGCCAGCCACCGCGAAGTCGGTGTCTACATCATCTACACCCTGCTCGAGACCATGCCCGACATGTTCCAGGAGAACATGGGCGCCATGCTCCAGCTCTTCACAAAGACCATCCAAGATCCCGAGAACGCAGAAGTCAGAATCAACACAATGCTTGCTCTTTCCGAGATTTGCATGGTTCTGGACACCGATGAGGACCCTCAGTCGCTCAAGGCTTTCCAAGACACCATTCCCCACATGGTTCGCGTCCTTCAGCAGGCTGTCAACGACGGTGAGGAGGACCGCGCCATGCAGGCCTTCGAGGTCTTCAACAAGCTTCTCAGCTACGAGTCCGCTTTCTTGAACGCCCACTTTGGCGACCTTATGCAGTTCATGATGCAGCTTTCGGCCAACACCGATGTCGATGACGACTCGCGTTCGCAGGCTTTGTCTTTCCTCATGCAGGCTGTCCGATACCGCAAGCTCAAGGTCCAAGGTCTGCGCATTGGTGAGCAGCTCACCACCACTTCTCTCCAGATCGTCACCGAGCTTGGTGAGCTTTCCGCCGAGGACGAGGACATCACTCCTGCTCGCTCTGCTCTTGGTCTTCTCGACATCCTTTCCGAGAACCTTCCTCCTAGCCAAGTCGCCGTTCCTCTCCTCCGCGCCATTGGTCCCTTTGTCCAGAACCCCAACCCCGACTACCGTCGCGCCGGTATTCTCGCGCTCGGTATGTGTGTTGAGGGCGCTCCCGACTTCATCAGCACTCAGCTTGGCGAGATTCTTCCTATGGTTCTTCACTTGCTCGAGGATCCCGAGGTTCGTGTCCGTTCGGCTGCCCTGAACGGTGTCGCTAGACTTGCCGATGATCTTGCCGAGGAGATGGGCAAGGAGCATGCTCGTTTGATCCCAGCTCTCGTCAAGAACTTCGACCTCGCTATGCAACAGCTCACTGGTCCTGCTGGTGACGAGAACCTGGCCATCATCAAGCAGAGCTGCATGGCCATTGACTCGATGATCGAGGGTCTTGACAAGGAGGATGCCTCCAGATACGTCGGTGAGCTCATCCCCAGACTCAGCCCTCTGTTCCGTCACTCGGACATCAAGGTCCAGATCTCGGCTATCGGTGCCACAGGTTCCATCGCCTCCGCCAGTGAGGAAGCTTTCATGCCTTATTTCGAGAGCACCATGCAGATCCTCGGCCAGTTCGTTGGTCTCAAGGACTCTGAGGACGAGCTTGAGCTCCGTGGTGTCGTATGCGACTCCCTGGGCAAGATTGCCTCTGCTGTCGGCGCCGATGCCTTCCAGCCTTACGTCACTCCTCTTATGCAGGCATCCGAGGAGGCCCTCCACCTCGATCACCCTAGACTCCGCGAGACCAGCTACATCCTCTGGAGCACCATGTCCAAGGTCTACGATGACAAGTTTGCTCCCTACCTGGATGGTGTTGTCAAGGGCCTGATTGAGTGCCTTCAGCAAGACGAGAGCGAGGATGGTGTTACCCTTGGTGAGGAGGCTAGAGAGCTTCTTGGACAGGAAGTCACTATCGCTGGAAAGAAGGTCAAGATTGCCGACATTGGCGCTGGTGACGACGACGACACAACCATTGATGTCGACGACGAGGATGACGAGGACGACTGGGATGACCTTGGTGCTGTCACTGCCGTCGCTATGGAGAAGGAGATCGCTGTCGAGGTTATCGGCGACGTTCTCACACACACTCGTGGCCACTTCCTCCCTTACTTCCAGCAGTGCGTTGAGGCTGTCATGTCTCTCGTCGACCACACCTTCGAGGGTGTACGCAGATCCGCCATTGGCACTCTCTGGAGAGGCTACGCCGCTCTCTGGGCCATGGCCGAGAATGGTGGCATGGCCAAGTGGCAGTCTGGCCTTCCCCTCAAGGTCCAGGCCACTGAGGACCTGATGAAGCTCGGCAGCTTGATCATGACTGCCACTCTTGCCCTTTGGCAGGACGAAGTTGACCGGTACGTATCTAACAATTCTCCTTCACCAGCACAAACCCCATCTACCATGATGACTATTCTTCGTTACACCCAGCTCACTTTGATGCACAAATGTGCACTTGATGCGAACGCGATTCTGTTACTGATCCGATCTTTTGATCCCAACTCTTCTCACAAATCAATTTTTCTCGACTTGACAAACAGTTGCTGACATTGAATTCGCAGTGGTACCGTCACCGACATTCACCGTAACCTCGCCGCTACCCTCAAGCTTTGTGGACCTGCCATTCTGACTGCCAACATTGGCGAGAACGCCTCTCCCCCAGTCCAGCAGATTGTTGAGATGATTCTCCAGATCTTGCAAAAGAAGCACATCTGCCAACAAGACCTCGACGGTGAGGATGAGTTCGACCAGGAGTTGGAGTCATCTGAATACGACTGGCTGGTCATCGAGACCGCCATGGAGGTCATCACCTGCCTTGCTGCCGCTCTTGGCGAATCATTCGGCGAGCTCTGGCAAATCTTCGAGAAGCCCATTGTCAAGTTTGTCAGTGGCCAGGAGAAGTACGAGCGCAGCGCTGCTGTCGGTACCATCGCTGAGGCCATCGGCAACATGGGTGCTTCTGTTACCCCCTATACCACCGGTCTTATGAAGGTCCTTCTCAAGCGTCTCGGAGACGAGGACCCGGAGGTTCGTAGTAACGCCGCCTATGGAACTGGTCTCCTTTGCGAGAAGAGTACCAACGAGAACGAGATCACTGGCCAGTACAACACCATTCTCGCCAAGCTCGAGCCTCTCTTGCACCAGCAGCAGGAGGCCCGCCTTCTCGACAACTCTGCTGGTTGTGTTGCTCGTATGATCAGAAGACACCCCAACAACGTTCCTCTCAACGATGTTCTCCCTGTCCTGATCCAGCTCCTTCCCCTCAGAGAGGACTACGAGGAGAACGAGGCCGTCTTTGAGATGATCGTCGCTCTCTACCAACAACAGAACCCTGCCATCCAGGGCCTCACTGGGTCCATCCTGCCCGTTCTGCAGAAAGTGCTGAGCCCCCCTGAGGAGCAGCTCAGCGACGAGACTCGCCAAAAGGTCATGCAGTTGGCACAGTACCTCCAGTCGCAATAGAAGGCGACATGTAGTGGAGATGTTTAGTAAGAAGTCTGAGAAGCTACGTTGTCACGCACCAGAGGATACCCCGAGCATAGAGCTCCTTTCTTTTTCTTGTTTTTAGTTTTGCATAGCTTGCGGAAATGTTGTCAAAAGTAATTGTTTGAACGAGTCAATATTGGATCAAAGTCACAACTTGTTTCAATCATGCAGTTTCAATTCTGGCACCTAGTGAGGTTTGCTACGTGAGATGAAGAGTGGCTAGAGAGTATGGCGGGTGAAACGGGAGTGTCGCGGGTCGGGCGGTTGAACCCTGATTTCCCACGAGGCTTGGTACTGCAGTAAACAGAGTTTAAGTAATCCTTGTACTGTACCGTCACAGTGCATGGTCCTTGCCGTGGCTAGCAGCTGAAGCCTGGTATTCTCCTTTGTTCTCCATCTCCATCGCATACCTCCGACTCGACGATGCGCAGTCCAGAGTGCTGAAAAGCACCATTCAATAAGCCCGAAGCCCCAGAAATTACAGGACCATCAACATGTCAGGCCGCACGCCAGCAGGAGGGAGCGCGGACAAGGCGCGTCCCCCTTTCGTCAGACAGGGCAGCTCGACGGCCAGAGGTCCAACACTATCAACAGCAGCTCGGCCTGGGAGCAGCGCATCCGTCAGATCTACAACGAGTAGCACGACAGCATCAGCATCAGCAGCAGGCCGACAGCCTTTGCGACTGGCCAGCGTCGACGAGAACAAGAGACCGACTCTGAATGGCGTGTCTAGACGAATGTCGTCTATGAATGCTGTCCCTACCACTACGAGGCCTCAATCACGACTGAACACCACATCGTCCCCTGCGACGCGAACCCCTACAGTAGCCAGCAGGACCACACCAAGAGCCCCTTTGAATACCACCCCTCGCGCTGCTGGTACCCCTACGACTGTCAATCGTACACCGAGACTGGCTGCGACCACGAATCCTGTCATCCCGAAAGCTCCTAGTGCTGCGCCCAAGGCACCAACCACTGCTCCCAAAGCTCCTGTGACAACCCCGAGGAAACTGGCAGTGAGGACATCGCTAGGGAAGATGGAAAAGCCAACGTCATCCAGTCCTGTCAAACTCACAAAGTATCATCGACTCTAGTCGACACTCTTTCTGCGAAGCTAACAAGAAACAGCGACTTCAATTCGTCATCCGACAGACCGCCGTCTCCCCTAGGACCCATGTTCAAATCACCGCCCAAGCTACGCAAGTTTTCTGCCGTTTCCGATATCGAGACCGACGCCATCAAGCAAAAAAGTCATGCCCGTTCACAATCTGCCACCGTTGGCCGTCCGTCGACTGCCCCCGAAACACAGGATCAGAAGCTGCGTGATATGCGTATCATGAGTGACCTGCTTCGCGAAGCCAATCTAAGAGAGGCTATGAAAGAGGAGATTACAACACTAAAGGCTGAGGTTGAGCGACTACAGCGTCCTAGAAGTCCTTCTAAGCCGGATACATGGGCTGGCACTTTTACTGTTGCCGAAATGGAAGAGATGGAGGCATCGCATTTGGAAGAGGTTCAGGGCATCAGAGGAGACTACGAAAGACAAAGACGTGCCACCGAGGAGGAACACGCGACTGAGATGCGTGGACTTAGAGCAGAGCTCGACCAGATGGATTCTATGAAGTCTGAGCACGCAAAGACTCTTGCATCTGTGCATGCGAAGCTTGAGGTAGAGTCCAAAGAGCTACGGAGAACATCTGCTGCGTTGAGAGACCTGAAAGGTGCACACGCCAAGGAGCTGGAAGACTTACGAGTCGAGCATGCGTCCATTGCTGAGGGTCTGCGTGATGATCATGTCAAAGAGCTCAAGGATCTTCAGACACAGCTCGAGGTCCAGCGGAAGCGTGCCAACTCGATTGATAAGCTGAAGGCCAACCATGCCAAGGAGCTCGACCAATTGCGATCAGAGCTCGATAACCAGGTCGAAGATACGACCGCAATCAATGTCTTGAAAGAGACGTATGAAGCTGAGATTGCGAACCTCAGATCTCAGCTCGAGGACCACAGACAAAGAGCGGTCGTAGCCGAAGAGTCGAGTCATAAACATTCTGGAAATGTCGAAGAACTGCAGTCAAAACTGGACACACTCTCCAACGACACCTCTGCAACGGACAAGCTCAAAGCTGCTTACGAAAGTGAGTTGACTGAGCTCAGATCCAAGCTCGACGAACAGAGCGAGCGCGTCGCTTCTGCACAAAAAGAGCTTGAAGAGTTGCGATCACACTCTGAGAAACAGTCCAAGGATACCTCTGAGATCGAAAGGCTAAAGGCACAACATGAGAACGAGTTGTCCGAGCTCAAAGCCCAGCTACAGAAGCAAAAGAAGCGAGCGATGTCGACTACAAAACTGAAGGACACACATGCCAAACAGCTGGCAGAGCTACATAAGGAACTCGAGAGTCATCGTCTCAATGCAATCAAGGTACCTGAACTTTCCGTTACCGACATTGATCATCTTAAATCCGAACACGAATCCCAATTGTCTAATATCCGTGCTGAACTCGAGGCACAGAAGAAGGCATCATCTAGACTTGCTGGTGTAGAAGACAAAATATTGTCTGTCCAGGCGGCCTTGGAAGAGTCAAAGTCTGCCGCGTCAAAGCAGGAAAAGAAGCTGCGGGAGAGCATCCAGAACAAGGAGCAAGACAGTGAGCAATTGGTCCAAGTCATCAAGGACCTGGAATCAGAGATTGATAACGTCCAAGAGCAATTAGATCTGGATGCTGTAAAGCAAGAGAAAGAGCGTGAGGAAATCGAAAAAGCACGCAAGAAGCTTGAAGCAGAGCTGCTCGAATTACGGAAAATGACAACACTGGAGAAAGAGAAAGTCGTCACTGAGAGCACCCAAGCGAAGGAACTCGTCTCGAAACTCCAAGATGAGCTCTCGTCTCTTCGTCAAGCCCACGAAGAGGAGAGAAAGAATGTGAAGCGGGCTGCCGAAGAGACCCAGCGAGCCAGTGAAACTCTCAAACAAGAACTGGAGGCTCTTCGTCAAGAACGTGCACGCGAGCAGACAGAGAAGATTCAGGATCTGAAAAATGCGGAACAGGCTTTGGAGGAGCTTCGTCAAGAAGCGGAAGAAGCCAATCGACAGCATGCCGACGAAATTGCTCGAGCTCAGGAAAAGACTGTCGAGAGCGAACGCTTACTGGAAGATCTGCACAGTCAGCTGGAGACGGTACAACTGCTTCACGAGCAAGAGGCGAAACAGCGGGCCGAAGAGGCGGAGGCATCTTTCAATCTGTTGGAGACCTTGAAGCGAGACATGGAAGAATCACAACGCGAAGGCAGTGACAAGTCTGGCCTTGTGGAAAGCCTCCAGAAAGAGCTGGAAGAGCTTCGGATAGCCAAGATGAACGCCGAGCATCAGCACAGCAACAACATTTCCGAGCTGAATGGTCTCGTCGAGAACTCACAGGCCGAGGTCTCCGAATTCCAGAAGCGGAAGCAAGAGCTCATGGACGAACGCGAACAAGAGTCCAAGGACCACCATGCTGCTATCGAGAATCTGCAGAATCACAATTCTGAATTACAGCAGAGCCTCGAAGATGTCCAGCAAGCATCAGAAACGGAGAGCGTGAAGCTTAAGGAAACTCTCAAGTCTGTTCAAGAGGAAGTGGCGACTCTCCAATCTCGCGAGCTGAAAAGCTCAAAAGCCAAAGAGGGAGAATTGGAAGGCCTTACTAGAAACATCCACGAACTACAGTCGAAGATTGAGTCTTTGACAAGCGAAGCTGAAGAAAGTCAGAAGTCTCACCAGACTGAGGTCAACGCAATGAACGGCACGATTGTTGGACTGAAGTCCCAAATTGTCAGTCTGGAACAAGCTAAGGATGAGTCGAATACTGCTCTGAACGACGAGACCACAACACTGAAGAACACCTTGTCCAAGCTCCAAGAACAGCTCCAGAGATTGCGCTCCGACAATGAAACTTTAGTGCAGACCAAAGACACCGAGCTCACTGAGTTACGTGACAACCTTCAACAAGCAACTACGACCCTCGAGCAAGCGAAGCAGGAATCTTCGAATGCCAATGACCAGACCAGCGAACTCAAGAACAAGATTGACGCTCTCGAGAATCAGCTCTCGGAAGTGAAGATCGATGTCAAGGTTAAGGATGAAGAACTTTCTGTCATTAGAGCTAAGCTCGATGAGGCTCATACTGCTCTGGAGCAGGTTAAGAACGAAGCCTTAAGTGCCCAAGATGTGCTTAGAACTAAGGATGAGGAGCTCTCAACGCTGCGCGAAGAAGTCACGAAAGCCCAGACGAAGTCAACAGATCTACAAAGGTCGTCAGCCGATGCAATCACTGAGACCAAGCAGACAATATCAGACTTCGAGAAGCGACTGCAGGAACACAAAGACGACCTTGATGCTAGAGGCGCCGAGATCTCCAAGCTAGGTCGTCAGCTCGAAGATGGTCAAGCGAGCTCCGCAGAGACCGAAGGAACTCTGTCTGCTGTCCGTAAGGATCTTGAGGAGGCCCAGAAGATCATTGCAGATAATGACAAAGGTACACTAAAGTTAGAAGCGCAGTTACAGAGCGCCCAAGGCACACTAAAGTCCAAGGATGCTGAGCTTTCCGAGCTACGTAGCGATATATCCCTAGCTCAAACTCAGGCGGCCGATGCAGAGAAGTCCATGGCCGACGTACGCTCAAGCCTGGAAGCTCAAGCCGCAGACCTCGAGCGGACGAAGGAGACTTTGGGCAAAGCTCTTGAAGAGAAATCTGCTGTTCTAGGGGAAGCGAGCGACACTCCCAACGACGAGAGGGAAGCTGGAACTCTGATTGCAAGCACTGTTCAACTGCAAGAACAGATTCTGGCCCTAGAGGAGGAGAAAGATTCTCTTATCAAGAACTTCGAGCAAGCCATCTCGAATCTCGAAGACCTGATCCAGCAAGCGCATATCGCGCACGAGAGCGATTTGAACAACAAGAACCAGCAGCTGTCAAATCTGAATGAGGTTCTTGAGAAGACTCGGATGGAGCTCAACACTAAAGTGAAGTCCCACAAAGACCGTGAAGCAGATCACAAGAAGTTGCAGGTTTTGGTCGAACAATTGACAGAGCAAGCCACTACTCTCCTGTCAACAAAAGATGAACTGAGCAACGAGCTCGAAGCCAAGGTCGCTGCTCATGAACAGAGAGTATCGGACCTCACTGCTCAAATTCAAGAGGCTCAGTCTGTTCATAGTGCTGAAATTTCGGAAGTACGCGAGGCTCTTGAACGGACTCGCGGCAAGCTCTCTGATACCGAAAAGATTCTTGAATCCAAGGATGGCGAAGTTTCGATCCTGCGCGAGACACTCGAGAACTCGCAGACTGAAGCTTCTCAGACTCGCAAGTCTCTCCATGAGTCACGAGCTTCCATCGATGGCCTGCAAAAGTCAAAGGATGGTACCGAAGAACTCCTGGCTCAGATCCAGCGAGAGAGAATGGAAAGCGAAAATGCTCTGCAACGAAGAAATGCCGAGATCAACGACCTCTGGGCTTCCCTCGAGCAATCGCAAGCGGGATCAAGGGAAGCATTGGCTGAACTCCAATCATTACGCGAGAACAACACTGCTCGGTCGGATCTCGAAGGCCAGATGAAGAAGCTCCGATCAGAAAACGAGCAAACACTTCGAAGTCGCGACTCTGAGATTCGCAAACTTCGTGAAGCTGTTGAGAGAGGCGAACTCGCTTCTGACAATCTTCAGCAAGCGCGTACGGCTATGAGTGATATGGAGATGCAATTTGAAGATCAGTTGGCCTCGCTTGAGCAGCAAGTCAGAAGTCGACAAGCTGAATCCGAAGATCTCCGTGAGAAGTATGAGAGGTCGCAAGCCGATTATGCCGAGATTGGCGATTTGCTTGGGACCACTAACGAGAGACTACAAAAGTCATACGCCGAGGCCGAAAGGTTGCAAGATCAGCTCAATGCCAAGAATGACGAGATCTTCAGTCTCAATGTCTCCCTGGAGAATGCACAGAGAAAGACTGCAGAAAAGCAAGCCGAGCTGACAGAACTTCGCTCATCGCGGGAAGATGAAGCGACAGGATTGAGACACGAACTCGAGCAGGAGGTCAAAGCCTTGGACGAAACACAAGGAGAAGTCGAAGCTCTCAAGGCCTCTTTGGCGGAAGCTCAGATTGAAATTAGTGCGCTCCAAAGTGCCCAGTCCACTGGAGCTGAGCTGAGTCAACACATCCAATATGTGCATGCAGAGTACGAAGAGTCGCTGAGGAGCAAGAATCTCGAGATTGAGCAGCATCGCGCGGCTCTCGAGAAGGCACAGGTAGATACTGCCAACTTGGAAAAAGAGCTTCGCGACAAACACATGGAAGAGCTTCGCAGTGTTCAAGAAGCCCATACTTTGGAACTTGCAGGTCTGCAAAGAGAGCCCAGCGCCAGATCTGCTGATGAGCCCCAAGATGTTGAGCATCCTCAGATCGCAGAGCTTCGAGACGAACTGGCTCTGGCAACGGATGAGAAATTCGAGCTTCTACAGAGGCTTGACGAATTGCAAAACAGCCAACAGGAGCAGACGCCCAGATCGCCATCATCTCCTGATGCTGCGAAGAAACTGCAAACTCTTCGCTCTGACTACGATGCTCGTGTTCTTGAGTTCGAGACTAGGCATCGCGAGCTTGTGCGTCAACAAGAGGAAGTTCTGGAATCTCAGCGTGTTGAAACCGAGACTAAATTACAGGAAGCTGAAGACCGTTGTCGCGAGCTCATACGGGAGCATGAAGAAAACTTGTTCAATCAAGCTGCAGAGTTTGAGAAGAGTAAGAGCTTTACAGTGGATGCGCTCAATGCTAGACATTACACCGAGCTGAGGAAGCGTGACGATGTCGTTGAGTCTCTGAGGCAAGAGCTACTAGAGTTGAAACGACAGATACAGGGACTGAGGGCCCGGGACGCTGCTGCGCAAGCTCCTGCTGTCGATGTCGAGACTTCTGACTTTGAGACAAGGCAGAGTGACGCTTCTTCGGGTGCTGCTGAGGAAGAAACTCGCTTCGAAGGCTTCACCACTCCGATGGAAACACAAACCGATGAAGCCCCAACATTCGACGACGCAGACACGACTCAAACGTCTCTGCCCGCCGAATCGAATGCAGAATCAGATGCAGAATCAGACGAATCCTACGACATGGACTTTACGCATCTCGAATCTCAGATCGGTGACATGGGACCAGCAACACCAATAACACAAGCAAGACGACTATCCATCAAAGTCGCCACCAAGCCCGAGGTCGATAGGTCTGTACATCAAGACCCAAACAGCGCAACAACAACCACAACAACAGATTACTCCACCACCGCCCTAACATCCCAACTCACCCACCTAGAAGCAGCCCTCGAACTCTCCCGCAGCGAAACCTTCCACGAACGTCAACGCCTCTCGGCAGAACTCTCCTCCCTCCACCACCAACTAGAAGTGGAAAAGCAGGAAAAAGCCTCTTTGCAGCAAAAGCTGGCCAAGTTCACTGCTGAACTTGAGTCAAGAGATGAAGTGTTTGATATTGCGCAAGATGATGATGTATTCTTTGATGGAAAAGGGCCGGAGAAAAAGCAGACTATTGAGGGCACTTTGGCGAGTTTGAGGTTGCAGGCCAAGCAGTTGGAGGAGTTGAATGAGGAGTTTTTGAGTCAGAGTTTGAGGTGGAGTGGAATTTTGCAACCGATGAAGTAAAGAGAGGGGGATTAAGGAGAAAAGGGAAAAAGGGGAATGTAATATTAGAAGGGAAAAAAGGGAAATGTGTGTAAGATAACCGCAATGTATGGTTTCTCTGTATAAAAATTTGCGTATGAAGCAAAGTTTTTTTCACATCATCTTTTTGCGAGTCGAGTTTCATGTGTCGTCGGATGTGTGATTTGTTATTTGGAACAAGATACTAGAAAAGTCAAAAGAGCGGGTGACATTTGAGTATCAGGCCTGGCTCCTGCTAACTTTTGCTTCAAAGACCCCCTCTCTCCGGAGAGTCCGCTCTTTCTGCTTTTCTTCCCTCTTAACTACTCTTCGACTCCCACGTGACCCCACCCTGCATTGGTTTCATGAGAGGATGGAAAACTGCTAATTGACCTGGTGATTATCTCGACTTGCAAGATTGGAGTTATGAGAGATTGCCGTGGTACCGTTGACCGATGGGAAGTGGATGTGACGGCCCACCAGGCCACCATGGAGTGTAAAAGAGTGAGTTCAAGAAACGGGGGATTGGATATATTTAACCTGGACCCGCATATTGGAGTGAGAAGTTCAGGGGAGTCATCTACTTTGCTTGGCTTGTGTTATTTTGCATGGGTCTATGGCATGTCCGAGAATATTCTAAGCACTGGCTTCTCCCTCGGCCTGTCTTGCAGCAATTGAACCACCCTTCCAATGACTTTTCGGATCAGCATGGCTCTTGTTAGCCTGACTCTCCTCTCCCACAGGTCCCCAACCACCTCCTCCTGGCGTATTGATGATGATCCTCTCACCAGGTTGGAAAGCCGCCGTGTTCTTACCTCCCAAGTTGATATATCTGACCTCTTCCTCTTCCTCCACTTTAGCCTCTTCGCCAGGAGCTTTGACAACTTTGCGCACCCAGACATTTTGTCCACAGGCCGCGTCCTCACCACCAGCTAGACCATAAGGATGATAGACACGACGCTCCGAGAGAATGGAAACTTGCACAGGGATTCTAAACTCGATGTCACGCACAACACCATCACCACCACGATGTTGTCCTTTACCACCCGAGCCAGCCCGAAGACTAAATTCTCGCAGGAGCACGGGATAACGACGCTCAAAGACCTCGCTATCAGTGATGCGTGTGTTCGTCATATGAGTGTGTACGCCATTCGTGCCATCCCAAGTAGGCCCGGCACCAGAGCCTCCAGCAATGGTTTCATAGTAGCCAAAGCCCTTGACCGCTTCTTTGCCGTCGGCGTTTCCGCCAAAGCCGAAGGTGAGGTTGTTGCAATCACCTTGACTGGCTGCGCAGGCTTGGAAGGCTTTGAGGACGACATCAGTGACGCGTTGGGAGGTTAGGACGTTACCGCCCACGACTGCTGCTGTGGCTGAGGGCGAGAGGAAAGACTTCTTGGGGATCTTGACGTGGATGGGGGCCAGACAGCCTTGGTTCAGTGGTATATCCTCGCTGATCAGGCAGCGAAGGCAGTAGATGATTGCGCTGTAAGTTACAGCTTCGGGGGCGTTGGTGTTTCCATATACCTCCGGGCCGGTGCCAGTGAAGTCGAAAACAGCTTCACCCTTCTCGGCGTCGATCTTTACGTTCAACTTGATAGGGCTGCCATCGTCCATGTAATCGATAGCTGACAAGTCCTGACCTTCGAAGCGCTTGGAGACATCCTTGAGGAGGTGTCTGACACTCATCTCGGCATTCTCCTGGATGCTTCTCATGTAAAACTGTACGACGGGCTCGCTATAGTCCTCGATGAGTGTGTTGATCAAGTTAATACCCTTCTGATTCGCTGCCACTTGAGCTTTCAGGTCAGAAATATTGTCCGCGAGACAGCGTGTTCCACTACATCCAGGGTACTGTGCTGGCTCGTCGAGCAGCAATTCAGTAATACGCTTTTCGTTGAACCTGCCCTCGGATACCAGCTTTTCGGTCTTGATTGAAGCTCCTTCCTGGAAGAGCTCTCGCGAGTGTGGAGGCATACTGCCAGGCAAGATGCCACCGATATCCGCATGATGTGCACGAGAAGCAACATAAAAGACAATTTTGTCGCCGCTGAATGCTGGTGTTATTACAGTGATATCAGGCAGATGTGTACCACCATACATGGGATGGTTTGACACCAACACATCACCACGCTTGAGCTTGCCCTCCCAAATCTTGGCCTGCTTCTGAACACAAGTAGACATGGATCCTAGATGTACTGGAAGATGAGGGGCGTTTGCAACAAGGCCTCCTGTCGAGTCGAAGAGCGCACACGAATAGTCAAGTCGCTCCTTGACGTTGGTGCTGACACTTGTCTTTTGCAAGGCTCGACCCATCTGCTCAGCGATGGCCATGAATCGATGAGCAAAGATACTGAGCATGATAGGATCCACAGTCTCGGTATCAAGCTTTTTGTCGGAGCCATCGCTTTCGCCAATGTTGATGATGACGTGAGTCTCTATGATCAGGGCAGATGCGCCAGGCGTTACAACGATGGTCTGAGTGCCGTCGGCGATGATTGCAGGACCCTTGATCCGGTCGCCAATGGTAAGATCCTCGAGCTTGTAGATGGATGTCTCCTGCCGGCCACCCTCGAAGTAGACCTGAGATTTGCCATAGATTTTCTGATCCTTACCAACGTCCTTGGGCTTGACTTCTTGCAGCTGTTGGTCGACAGTCTTCTCCAGACCTTCGAACGTCTTGCCAATGCCACGAGCGCGCACATCATCTACGATGATGTCTCTATCCGGAAGGGTGAATCCGAACTCCTGTTCATGCTGCTCAACAAATGCTTTGCCAAAGGCCCAGTCGTCGCCGTCGAACTTCTTCTCGGTATCTTCTTTACTTGGCTTGATGATCATGAGTGCTGATTCAGTTCCTCGGTAGCGCATGTTGAGATATTCCTCGAAGTGGACATTCCCTGCTTCAAATCCTTGTTCCTTCAAGGTGGCCTTCGACTTCTTCTTCAGCTCTTCCATCTTGTTCTGGAAGTATTCCCGGGTATCTTTATCATCAGCCCAGACTTTCGAGTCAGGTTCTTGCCTCTCATCTACAACATCAGCTAGAGCCATGCCGTATGCCGAGAGAACTGAAGAGTAGCGATGAATCAGAATCTGACTAATACCAAGCGCTTCTGCAATAGCGACTGCGTGTTGACCACCTGCGCCGCCGAACGTCGCGAGTCTGTGTTTCGATGTGTCGTGACCTCTTGCTTCAGTCAAGCTACGAATCGGCCTCGTCATGGTCTCGTTGGCAATTTTGATGAAGCCGTAAGCCACTTCGTCTGCAGACATGTTCTTATCCTTGATTTCCTGGTTGATCTTCTTCGTAAGCTCTTCGAAGAGCGTTTTGCTAGCTTCGGGATCTAGGCCTTCATCTTCGTTAGGGCCAAAGATCTTCGGGAAGAAGTCAGGTAGTAGTCGTCCAAGGAACAAGTTGGCGTCGGTGATGGTGAGCGGACCGTCCTTTCTGTAGCAGGCAGGGCCAGGGTGGGCACTTGCCGACTCCGGTCCCACAACGAAGAGACCGTTTCTGAAGAACAACCGACTACCTCCACCTGCAGCGACTGTGTTGATGTCGAGTTGTGGCGATTGGATCGTGACTCCAGCAGTTGTGGTCTCGAACACATGATCATATCTTCCTTCTCCATATCTCGACACATCGGTGCTGGTACCGCCCATATCAAAACCAATCACAGGTGTTTTCGTCTTGGGGTCGTATGAAGTCAAGGCGTAACCAACAACACCACCGGCAGGTCCACTCAGAATAGCACGTAGACCGGAAAATGAGTCTACATCTACCAAGCCACCATCTGACTGCATGAATTCGCAGCGCGCTCCTCTGGCGCCTTCTTCATTCTGAACGCTGGCGGTACCGAGTCCACCTTCAAAGCCTTTTTGAAAGCCGTCAATATACTTGCGAATAGCTGGGGTGAGATAGGCGTCTGCGCAGGCCGAAGTAGCACGAGGTACAAGCTTGATCATGGGCATCAGTTCGTGGCTCAAACTCACGTGTTCGAAACCAATGTCCTTCGCAATCTTGCCAACCAAGGCTTCATGCTGTGGGAAGGTGTAGCCATGCATGAGACAGACGGCGATACTCTTGAAGCCTGAATCATGGACTTTTTGTAACTGCTTGCGTATTTGTTCACGATCTGGTCTCTTGAGAATGCGGACAGTCTCTCCTGACAGACCCTTGACTAGGTCGGCATTCTCTCCCGCCTCTTTGATGTCCTTGGCCTCCGTTTGGTTCCTTGTTGGATCTTCGGCGTAGTCTTCGAGGGTGACTCTCTCGTCAATCTCGACGACTTGTTTGTACAAAGTCTCTGGCTTTTTGATGGCCAAGTCGAAGATGTTTGGTCTGCTCTGATTGCCAATCTCCAGACAGTCCTTGAAGCCTCTTGTGACAATCATGGCAATGTCCTCTCCCTTTCTTTCCAGCAAGGCATTTGTCGCTACTGTTGTGCCCATTCTAATGCTCTCAATCTTGGTCGTATCCAGCGGTTCGCCCCGGGGAATATCTTTTCCAGTGAACTTCGATAGTAGGCGACGAATACCTTCCAGAGGAGCGTCATCGTAGTTCTGAGGGTCCACGGAAAGCAGTTTGATAACGACATCGTCTTCCATCTTGCCTGTGCCGGGGTTGCCGACACAATCTGTGAACTAGGAACATGTTTAGTCTATTATTTGCGAAAGTCATGCAGTAAGCTTACGGTACCGCCACGGTCAATGGCGATGCGGATGCCGCGCTCGCTCCTCTTTTCTGAAGCCATGTTGGCGCGTTGTGTGATGTTCACTCGGGTGCTCGCCGAGTATGCAGGTCAATGATGTGGAATATGGCAAGATGGGTAGTAGGAGAGTGAAGCGTCACAAAGAAGATATGCGGACGAGAACAAGAGAACAGGTAGTAGACAACAAATGATTGATATGTCGATGGAAAGTGATTGATCGGGCAGCTTCACCTATCGCCCACGCCCCACCACGGCGATTGTGACGTGCATCGGAACCTAAGCCCGTCCATGGCGGGGGACTCGGCATGTGTCTCAGATCGGCGTATACAGCTCTGTACTTTTAGGAATGAGGATGTCCTAGCACGCATGATTGTATAGGAAGCAGTATCAGAAGCAATAGACACAGGGCAGTAGGTCCTGACAGAGGATGGGAAGGATGGCTTGTCAAGAGGAACTTCTGGACAGATGACGCACGGACATGTGGAGTGGTGGGCTTTGGCTTCGGAGTGGGAGTGGGAGATGATGCTGCCAGCCGCGTGTTTATCGTATAACGCTCGCAATTAATCTTCCCTCAATCATGTTGTCACCCACTGAAGCTGCTTGATCATCCAGCCAGCTGTATCATCGTGCAATGAACGACGTTTGCGCCCGACTCACCACTTCCGACCACCCCCTGTACTCCTAGACCAACCGCATCATGGACGACCAGCACGAGAACGACCACGACCAGGACGAAGAGAACGCCTTCGATGACCGACCCAAACCGCGCGAGCTACCTGCCGACCTTCCGCGCTCGCTCGATGATCGCAAGGCCTTCTCTGGCTATGGCAATGTCGAGACCGAGTACTACGACGCCTGGCAAGGTATGCAGCTGCCTGTACGACCTCAACCGACCCTTTACTGACCACACGAATCAAGGCCAGTCGCAGTTCCTTACCGCCCCCACCATCGCTCACTCGAACAACTTCAACCTCTCACTCAACGAACCCGACAACTTCGGCTCTTCGGAATACGATCTGGCCGAACACGACACCAGGCTGGCCCACATGTTGGCAACCCAGGTCCGAAGCAACGACGATGACAACGACGTCGAAAGTACAGAAGACAACTTGGTCAATGACAAGAACCTCTCAGACGGCGAAAAGCGGCAAATGCTACAGGACTTTCTGTTCATGGCTGCCAGCAACGGCGACGATGCCCGTATCAAGCGCTTAGTAAGGGGAAGTGCCGCACTGTACATCGACGTGAACGCCGTAGACTCCGAGGGCACTCCGCCGCTAGTCTACGCCAGTTGCTTTGGCCACAAGGACGTTGTCGTCTCCTTGCTGAACGCTGGCGCCGAGGTGGACAAGCAAGACAAGAACCAATGGAGCGCTCTCATGTGGGCCATGACAAACAGACACAAGGATATTGCGAAGATCCTGCTAGATCATGGAGCCTCCACTGAGATCCAATCGTCTACTGGAAGAACCGCTCTTGACTTTGTCGCCCCGAACAGCGACATGTCAGAATATTTAAACGACAGTGGTTACACAATCGGGAATGCTGGAGTGACGGATGACTTCTATAATGCCGGACTATCGCAGGACCGCTTCGAGGAAGAGATGGCCGAGAATGAGATGAAGCGTCGCATGATGATGGAAAGTGCCATGAACCTCGAAGTTGATTTAGGTAATCTAGGTCTGGACGAAAAGCCGGAATCCGCGGACGAATTCGAGGACTCTCAAGAATTTGTTTGGGACAGGTGCCTCAACGATCAAATGTTCGTCTTCCAGGAAAATGACTCGGATCGGATCCTCAACATTGTTGTGACGGAAATGACACCACAACGATCACCTTCGCAAAAACCTATACCCGCAAATATCATCTTCCTTGGTGCCAGATACGCACATTACCACTCTAGCCAAGAACTGTTGACAGAGTGGCTCAATGCAGCTCAAGACAAGATCTACGCGGTCGTCGAGAAGCATCAATGGGACATGACCATGCTCGCTTTCTGGATGTCCAACACCACACTTCTCCTGTATTACCTGAAGAAAGATACTGGGTTGGCGCAAGTCACTTCGACATTTCAAGCCAAGATGGCCGAACTGATCCACGAGATCTACGTTTTGATTATTCGTGATGCCGAAAGGCGAATGGACAAAGTCCTGGACGAAGCAATGTTGGATCACGAGACTATACCAGGATTTGAAGACATCGCGTTCCAGAATGAGTGGAAATTCTTGCGATCAAAACCTAAGCCAAAGGCGCCTGAACCATTAGAGAAGCGCTTCCGGCCTCCTTCGCCAAAGCGTCGTGCTCAGGTGTCTCCCAGGAACATCACCTCTCTTCTCTCATCAACACTATTCGTCCTCGACCTTTACGATGTTCACTCGGTAATCGCCACTCAAGTCATGTCACAACTCTTATATTGGCTGAGTGCCGAGATCTTCAACCGTATCATGTCAAACAAGCGCTACCTGGCCAGGACGAAAGCTATGCAGATTCGAATGAACATTTCCCAGCTCGAAGATTGGGCTAGAACCAACAATAGAGCCCCAGAGCACTTTGAGAATGGGTCTTTGAATGCTACTGGCGAAAACATCATTGAGGCTGCTCGTAAGCATCTGGCGCCAGTGGTGCAACTCCTCCAATGGCTACAGTGCTTTTCGTCATTGGGACAAGATGGCGAGGCGCTTGACACTACACTACAGCAATTGCCTGCCTTGACAACGAGGCAGCTATTGCATGCAGTCAAGTACTATCGTGCTGAAGTAGGAGAAAAGGTCTTGCCCAAGGCAGCGCTAAGGCATGTCGAGGAGAGCAAACGACAATTTGCACACAAGGCGGCAGAAGCCAATGAACCGGCAACTCCAGCGACACCTGCAAAAGGTGACAAGCCCAATACACTAGCACCACCGCCAGTTCTGAGAAAAGATGAAGACGATTCACCCGAGGGGACCTTGGTCGACCCCGCGTTACTGCTGCCTTTCCATCTACCGACATCAACAGATATGTTGGTCACGTATGGAGCAGGGTTCGGAGGAGTCAACAGGGAGCGAGAACGAAGATATACCCCAACAGTACCACCAGACTTTTTCCAAAAGTTGGATCCTTCGGGAAGCAGTCGGAATCTGTACGAAGATGCCAAATGGAGTGATGAGGATGTTGATTTGGGTAGTTAGAGCAGATGAAACCAAAATATGACCATTTCTACCTTCCACTTGCTCGTAGACTTCATTAAAAGAGCTACTTCCTCTCGTCGCATAAGACTTCCTACATCGTTTCTCCACAATCAAGCTCCGCAATTTTCAGTAGCGGTGTCGGCGAAAGTCGGTCTTGGCAGGGACAGATCGGCGGGCATGGCGGGCAGTTCGGTCACCTCCGCGTAGAGATACGGCGGGGTGTTACTCGATAGGAAATCATTCCATCGAGTAAGCAATCGTATACTACCTTTTTGCCCAACAATCTCTGTTTTCCTTTCTTCTTCTTGTCTCTCTTTCCCTCCTTGTCTTTCCTCTTTTTCTCCTTCCAACCAACTGAAACATCTATACCCATCTCTATACACTCAATCTACAGTTACTTGAACAATGGAAATCCACACCGAATCCCTTGACACCATCAACAATGGTCAAGTCAAAGTCATCCCCGTGGAAGAGATCCAGGCTACATTTGGCTCCTCCAGCATCGACTTGATCAGCAAACCCCTCGGCTCCCGCATCCTCTCCTTCTCCGACGAATGGTTCGCAGCCGCCGAGAACCTCACCACACCCACCCCTCCAATCCGTAAACCCGGCGTCTTTGTCTTTTCCGGAGCCTGGTACGATGGCTGGGAGACCCGTCGCCACAACACCGAACCTTTTGACTACGTGGTTTTCCGCCTCGGTGTTGCGAGTGGAAGGGTTAAAGGTGTGGAGATTGATACTGCATTTTTCAATGGCAATCATGCTCCTGAGGTGCAAGTGCAGGGATGTTTTGCCGATGACAGCAGGGAAGAGGAGATTAAAAGCAAGGATTTTACGGAGTGGGAGACTATTTTGCCGATTCAAGAGTGTGGGCCTAGTCAACGACATGCTTGGTTGTTGCCCACCACCACAAAGCCATACACGCATATCCGTCTGCAAATGTTCCCTGATGGAGGAATTGCTCGTTTCAGACTCTATGGTGATGTTCAGGCCGTGTTGCCACAGGATGTAAACGAGGTTTTCGATCTCGCTGCTATTGTTAACGGCGGTGTTGCTATCAAATGCTCGGATCAGCATTTCGGCACCAAGGATAACTTGCTGTTGCCAGGAAGAGGCAAGGATATGGGTGATGGATGGGAGACCAAGCGCACTCGTGGAGAGCATGTGGATTGGTGTATTATCAAGCTTGGTGTGGCCGGCATCATCGAAAAGGTGTTGATTGATACTGCGCATTTCAGAGGCAATTTCCCGCAAAAGGTGCAGGTGTTTGCTGCTTCTGCTTCAGAGACTGCGCCTGAACATGACTCGAGCGCATGGGTGGAGATTTTGTCGCCGCAGAAGACTGGACCTGACTTTGAGCATGTGTATGAGGGTGATGTTCTTGCCAATGTGCAAGACAAGGCTTGGGGCTATGTCAAGCTTGTCATGATCCCTGATGGCGGTATCTCGAGAATCAAGGTCTTTGGTCGCAAGGCTGTTTGAAGTTGATACAAATCATAGACCAGATACACCGATGAACAAAAGTCACAATTCACTCTCCACGACACCACTGAAATAACTCGGAGGCACCATGCTGCTACATGATCCTGTCTCCATATCTGGCTTACTAGGAAAACCCGCTCGGCAATTCCTTCTTGGGGCTTCTTTCTTACAATGTGCTCACTGCAGCATAAAACTGCAGAAATGGACCCGGAAAGTCTTGCGAGTATTTTTTTGCAGCCTTTTGTGTCAAGGGACTGTGCGGGAGACCGAACACGCAGGTCGATGGAAATCCTCTACTATCCCCCTCCCTTTACAAAGAGACGGTACGCTGATGGTGTGCAGAGACACCAAGAGTCACGATTATAATGAGTCAACAGTGAAGAAGAAAGCGAGTCACGGACCTGATGAGCTCTTTTACCTCCAGGTAGCCATCACACATTTCCAAGATAGTCATAGAGATTGCTTAGATTGAAGTGTTTGTTATAGCTACTATCCGATCTGTGTGTGATGGTGGTCTAGCAGATATGACTGTCATGGATGCTTGTGTATCTATAATGTTCTTCCGTGCAACGCATGTGTATATCCATACGAAGATAGTGACATGTATACACTACCGTATGGTTGATAGCTATGTGTGTTTAGATATCCCTGTTACTAGATCCTTAGCAAGTGACTGTAAATCGACGAAAAGATATGATGAACGTTTGTAATATACAGCCAATTGATTCAGACTAAGAAGTAGGCCTCCTTCTGCCATAACCTTGTCCTAGCTTGACGAAATGACTACGTACGTGATTAGCGAACTATTTCTTCCAGAAGGTTGAACGACACGGTGTGTCACGATGACCTGACGTCGGGAATATTCTCGATGCACTCGTAGTCGCATTGTGCTCTACTCTCACACTACCATAATTCGAAAAGTCGACCAGTCAAGGGACGGAAGGGAAAGCAAAGTAAAACAGGTCTGTGACCGCTCTTTTTGCTCTAGTCGCCCCCCATCGCCTTTTTTGTTTCTGATTTATATTCTAGCAAATTGTTTGAGGGGATATGTGTGCTCTTCGTGGAGTTTGCATGTGGGAAACCAGGTTCATTGACCTCTTGCCTCGCCTTATGTGACCGCTCGCACACGATTCGGCAAGAGTGGATCAAGCTTCTTTACTTCTGCTCGAGAGAGTCCTAGCTGCATTGTAGGTTTGAACGATTGCAACAAGATCGAGTCATTGAGAAGCCAAGATGTGTTACACATAGTATGAGTGGCTGATCTTCGACAGCATGAGTGAAACGAGGAAGAGGGAGGAAGAGAGGAATGGGATTAGTGACACTGTAACAATCCCCCAGTCTACAACCAGCGTATTCAGCACTCAGATATAGTCGTATCGGGGACAACAAAGAGCTATGAACTTCGCTGACCTGGGTGATAGTGCCACATGTGTTCTGCTCGAAGGTAGACTTGCTGTCAAGTGATTAAATACGTGGTTGCCACACCTCGTTCAGTACCTGTGGTGGGCACAACTTGCATCTCTGAAGAATGGTTGCGGAAAGACTGTCTGGCTCATCGAACTCATGTGTCCCGGACCTGGCTGTTGGCACTCGGTTTCCTTGCCGTCAAGGATAGTGGGTCTCAGTTAGTTGTCCCACGATCGACAGTGAGGTTGATCACAATCTCGGCAACGTCTTCCCAGATTCCGGCACGTTATGCCTACAGCATCGTTCATAGACTTATGTAGACAGAATGTTTATTGGAACGAGGGATCTGCTTGACATTGCACATCGAGGGGGCACTCATGTTATCGGGCCGGAACATGTTCCGGATTCTTGTATTAGCTTGATGGAGAATCCCTCTATCAATCCGATATGGTCTAGTGGCTAGGATTTCTCGCTCTCAAACCGTTCGAAAGAACAACTAGGTCCGAGGAGGCCGGGGTTCAATTCCCCGTGTCGGAATATCTTCTTTTGATCGTTTTGTTCGAGGGATGATAGCATTCTATGAAGCAGAGGGAACAAGAAATTCTTTGTCAAAAGTGAAACCTGCGTTTTTGGCACCCATGTTTGAGCCTTGGCGTGGGAAACCCTTTTCTCAACCACTGGTGGCCGTGCGTCCCTGTGAAGCTTTGGTGTTTTCCATAAAGACCGACTACTACAGTGGCATCTTTTGAAGTGGTTACAAGCACACTTTTCCGGATGGGAATGGACACTAGAGACACCACCTCCACACGCCGATACATATGCTTAGAATGACGTTAGGTCAAGGCAGCTTAGCTCCAAATGTTGAAGATGGCATGTAGAGTGACGCTCGACAAAAAGGTGACGCTCTGGCGTCGAGCAACTATACTATAGTGGACAGAATCTGGCCAAGATATCAGAGACAGAATGCAGAGTGACGCTGAAGGTGACGCTGTTGATCTGAATAGTTGTCTTGAGACGGACAAGATTGGGTGAGTAGATGGAGATTGAAATGCATGGTGACGCTGAAGATGAATGTTGTGTTGGCAAAGGTCAAGGGAAGTGGACATTGGTGTGCAGAAGCGAACCCTGAGAGTTTTGTAGAGGAGGTTTTGGCATTTGTTGGGAAGCATTGAATGGCTTAGTATATGGCTGGATTTCAGTTCGGTGTAGGCAAGCGCCAGAAGCAATGCGTTGCAATTAAGAAGCTGTGGAATTGCAAGAAGCGTTTTGAGTTATGCTGCTTGATCTTTGGTGTGCGTTATCTCTCTGAGCTACCCATCCCAATTGAGCATGCAGTCGGAGTGCTTTTATGCACATAGCGACCTGGTCTTGTTCGCCCCATGCGCCATAAGAACAAGTCGACCCGTCCAGAAATCTCGGATCGCTCGAGGATAGGAGTAGCATGCTTTCTATTCTCGTACAGGTATTCCGAGAGAGCAGTGCTGGGCTGGAGTTGACAACTTCTTCCTTGCTGGTGCGGCATGCTAGTCGTCCTCGCGTTGTGAGCAGGTTTATGTGTCGATCGGCAGAACCTCGTGACTGCTCTTGACCTCGACCTCTGATAGGCTCCTCTATCGACTTTTCGTAGTATGCTTTATCTTTATAAGGAGAGTAGCAGGTGTTCATTCTATGCTCGCGGACAGGTAAGTGACGGGATACTTACGAGGTTCAAAGTAAGGCATAGAATAAGGACATGTCCAGGCGCAAAATGGTCAGACTTTGTGCAGTGTCATGTCTCCTACAAGTACTGTTTGGCTTGTCAACGTGGCTCATCCAGGCACATGTTGACATGAAGCCACGAGTCAGGGGAAATATCCCCTCAAGCGATGTCGTCACGCAGCAGTAATTTTCACACGTGCGAGATAAGTAGGAGAGCCAATAGAATGACTTTATAAGATCCAGAAATGCATTGCAATGACCAAAAGACTCGCCAAGACGCGCAGACATGTAAATAACGCAGGTAATGCAAAACGTGGTTTACTCCAAACACGTCTTACCAAATTTTGCAAAGCAGCGAGCGCTGTTCAGTGTATTGTCCGTGTGACCCATGGCCTTACCGACTTCATGGTCAAAGTCGACACCAGCATCTCCAGCTCTGACTTCACTGGCGCCGCCCTCGGCTGGGAAATAAGGATCGAAGACTTCAGGATTGACGGAGACGCATCTCAAGACCTTGTCCTGACAGGCGTGCATGAGCATCAAGTCGAAGGCTCCGCCAGTTCCAAGAGAGGCGTGGGCGAGTAGCTTGCGAGCGCCTTCGTGAGACACAGCGTAGGCGAATGTGCAGACAGGATTGATGGAGTAGTGGACGATGCGTTGGCCATCCTTGATCACATCCTTGACTCTTGGGTTCAGGCCGCGATACTTTTCAAGGGGCGCAGTTGTGTTGTCGGCGAAGGTAATGATCTTGCCTTCGTCCTTGAAGGGCGGTGGATCACTGCAGTGACCCAGCCACATGACATCCCAGCTCTTTCCGTATGGTCCTGTATCCCCCTTCTTTGCTTTTGTCAAGTCCCTAACTGCCTTTGCGATTGGCGGTGTTTGTTTGCGAACGTCGACGTCCCAGTCCATGTCGTCTTCCATGACGAGAGCGGAGCCCCAGTTGTTTTGAATGACGAATTTAAGCAGGTCCAGGTGGCCCAGCCATGCCATTGCTGCGCCATGTGCTTCGACAGGTCCAAACTCCTTGAATGCTTTGATGAAAGGTTCACTCCACTTGGGCTGTTGCGGTACGGTTACGGTGATGCCGGCGGCTTTGGCTGCAGCGTGCAGGCCATCTACTCGCCATTTGGTGCCTTGGGATAGTGCAAGGATTGCCTGGAACTACAAACTTGTCAGCCAAATCCACTTCCAAAGTCGCAAGCACTGCTTGGAGACATACGCCCAGTGTAGAGTTCGCAGCTGAGAAGTCGGGCGCGACAGAAACGGCGACATTATCCTTGAACTCGGCGACATCGTCCAGTTTGGGAGCCATTGGTGAAGAGCTATCGGTAGCATGAGGGCCACGCCAGGCATTGATCTGTTCGCGCTTCCATTGTGCGACAAATAGGGTGACGAGGATTAATGCGATTATCGATGTGAGTATCGCGCCTCGCGCATTGATTCGTATCATATTTGCGACGACGTAGCCCTTGTTATATCAAGGATTGTCGTTGCAGGAAGGAGAAAACCGCTCGACAAACAATGACTTACACATCTTGGTAGTTTGCTACTCACCGTCCGCTATGGCCTGCCCTCTGCCTAGCATCCTTAGTGTCTATTTTGGGGGATCCACTCTCAACCAGAAAGATCCAGCAAGCGAACAAGCAGGATTTCTGCAACGAAGGAATGGACGAGGCTGGGCGTGGAAATAAGACGCCTTTTTTTTTGACATGCGACCAATGACGTTTCGCTCCAACGGGGTTCATCTGTTGAATAGTTGCACCAGCTCGGATTATGCTTCTTCAATTCCTCGGAGCCTGTTACAAAGGTCCATTGACGGCATTGAGGAGCTTGCGCACATTCTACTCAACTTGTTACGTGGCTCATTATCTCCGTCGGTATCCGTGAGAAATCGATGCATGGAAATATCGACAGCAATGTTCAGCCGCAACTGAAAGGGAGTTCTCGCGTCGTTTGGCCGAGGGAGTAACTCCGAAACTCTGATAAAGCCTCCGAGGGACATACCAAGCATACTCGCTGACTTTCGGCCTCCTATGATATTGCCTTTCCTCAAGCACGATCTTTGATTCTGACTCTACTAAGTGTACATGCGTTGTCCCAAGCTATCCTATTGATTAGTGCAAGGCGGATGCGAAACGCCACACAGCACAGATGGGTCGAACGTACAGTACTGTGATTTTGCTTTCTACATGAGAAGGAAATTGAAGATATGAAGTGACTGATTGATATTCCAGTCAGTTTGACAGTCTCCAGTCGCGTTGTGAATTTACTCCATCCAGTCCAAAGAGCATCTCCGACATCTTAGCAAGATTTTAGCTAACATCCCTTCTCGCCCCTCAGCCATCATCCTCGGATATCATCCAGCCCATTAGACAATCAAGCCACTCTCACCAGCAGTTATAGGAAATGACCATTGTGTTGACCGTGCGATCCGCCATATAGTTGAACTGCATGATACCAATGGAAGAGTCGTGAAGGCTGCCGTCCTCAACGGCAGCGACCCACTGATCAATAGAATGGAAGTATATGGACAAAACGTCCCTGTTGATCAGAGAGTCATAAAGAAGCTCGAAACAGACTGTCCATTTGCCAACTGTGGTGCAGGAATCCCAATCGTCTTTTTTTGACTGCTGTGCAACTGCATTCTTGAGGTTTGTGATGCTCTCTGCATCAATCTTGGGCTGGCAGTTACCTCCGGTAGTGACGGTCATGCAGCAGTTTGTGGCGATGCCCTCAGCTTGACATACTAAAGGATCATTGGGTCAGCAGGTGTGATGAGTGCGGGTGGGGTGGGGGAAGTATGGACATACAGCTACTCTCGTCGTATGTCCACCAGCTGTTGTAGTCGTAAGGAGGTCCTGGGTCACAATACATCTTCATTCCTGAATTGGCCCGAACGGGTCCACGGCCACCAAGCACACTGGGAAAGAGTGCCATGAGAGCTGCGGCGGTGAAAATCGTGGGAAGCATATTGACAAGAGAGTGATAACGATAATCGGTAGCGTGTGTAGATTGATCTGATTGTGATGGGAAAGAGAGAGGAGGTCGGGACGTCTCGTTTTATAGCTGCGAAACGTCAGCAGATGGATTCGCGATGCTTGCGAAAGACTCTATCATAGAAGTGTCTTTTTGCAGGCGTCCAGCCGTCCGTACATCCACGAGGTGGTCAGAGTTTGGTGTATGGAGCTTGTGGTGGTCCATGTCTAGTTGGGGAAATCCTTCAGCGTCATAATCCACATCCCTATCTGAGTAATTGATACTACATTTGAGTCTCGGTCAGTTTTTGTAGAGTACGAGGTGGCCTTGGTCTGCTTCATTACAAATTGGACGGCGACTACCCCGACATGGTCCCCGATGGGTGAACTGTGCAACAACTACTATGCCAGGCAAAGCGGCGTAGTACTGCTCGTAATTCGAAGTAATACCGAAGCTATTCTGAAACATGTAGGTTGTGCTTGACAAGGTGACCTACAGATGCTATTCAGACCCACAGTGCAATCAAGCATAGATCAACACTGTGACAAGGAGCATGAAGAGAGCTTCGTTTCAATTTTTCCACCAGTGGGTCGAAACGTCAGTCGAGATGATTGTTCTGCCTGTCGCTGCTCGTGCTGAGATGTGTTTTACCACGCTTCTACTTGACTCGTGAGACAAGGCACGGATGGGGAATACGAAGGAGCATGCTGAAGGATTCGATGGTGAGGTGCAATACTCCGTGTTTTGTGACTATCTCTAGTCATGTGGGATTCTTGACCAGTGGAATGACTGACCGACAGCCAAGTCAAACAAAGCGTAGCAGCCTGGTTGACGAGATACACACCAGTGCAAACGTTACTAACATCTCAAAGACAAGAGGCTCGACTACAACCGTACAATTCAAAGCGTTATTCCAAGTCAATGCAGATGCCAGTAGGTACATCAGCCATAAGTTCACGTTTCGTGATCATGCGCAGTGGTCAGTCAGTACCACGTAGAAGTCTTTCGCGTGTGCAGCGCGTTCAGCCAATCGGAGAAGCTGATCTTATCTCCGACACTCTCCTGGCCGACAGCACAACCCTGACCAAAAGTCACCACAGCGTCGACAACACCAATAAGGCATTTGTTTACTGCTCAAACATATGAACCGTGTTATGGAACATGCGCTATCGGCTATTGCTTACATCGAGTGCATCCCTTGACGTTAGGTGCACGACACATCAATCTACCATGATCTCGTGTCATCTGAGTCCCACGACCACCATTTGGCTGTGTCAAATTCTTGCTTTAATGGCGTTCACGTCTACGGGGATTTGGAGGAGTCTCTCTGGAGAAGTCCTTGGAACTCATGCAGAAGACGTTTCCGGAAGTGGGACGTGACTCTGGTAGCCATCCGTTGACAATCGCGATGAGCATGTTTGCAACACAGCCCTCACGATGGCAACACTCATACGTCATTAGACACCAAATGTCGCGATGCGTCTTGATGATACGACATTACTGGGACTTCACACCTTGGTTTTTTGCCTGCTCCTGCAAGTCGCTTTTCCGATTCTTTGTATACTCCGTCTTCCAAATTCATGATAGTCTACAAACCGTTTGATGGAGGTGCTTGAGATGGCTAAGCTTCAGACTCCCGGCTTCCTCGGCTTAGATTAGTGCAGCATGGTTGACCCCTCTATATCAGCCTTCTGCTCTCCACACCGCTGTAATTACCGACCCGGGCCTAAGTTACTGAATAAGGATTCTCGAGTCGCGATCAGGTACACGAGCTATGTACACCCCAGAAAGGTAACTAGCCTGCCTCGACGTGACCTCCCCCGGTCTTCCCCTCACTGACTCCAGTGCCAAGGAGAGGAGTATGATCGCGATACGACACGAGTTGCGATACATTTTCTTTTGTGAACGCCTCAGATGCATCGAATTGGTTGCATCATCAGGCACCTGCGCATTGTATAGGCCGTCTTGGTGATCAGCATTTCAACCCCCATTGCCGGACCCCTCACAATAGCGGGATGGTGGAGAGAGATGCCCCGAGTTCGCGATGCTATAAAGCTAGGTCTCGAAGTACCTTGATGGTAGGCAAGTCAGCTTCAGCTTCATCTCTTTGTTTGCGAAGATGCATCATCCATTGAACACGGTTGCTGTAGCTCTGGCGGCCATTGGTGTTGCTGGAGCACAGAACAGTAGCTGGGACCATGCTCTGTACACTTCGAGTCCACCAGTATACCCAAGCCGTAAGTGCGATCCTCAGTCTGCCACTGGCCTTGAGTTCGGAGTTCGAGTCAGGCGGACCTCGAAGATTCTGTCCCTCAATCGGTCGCACGCACTGACTCCGTCACAGCCGAGACAGCTGGCATTGGCTGGGAAGCTGCTTTAGCACAGGCCGAGGCCTTTGTAGGCAATCTCACTCTAGAAGAGAAGGCTGGAATGGTCACAGGTACGGCACAATGGCTACACAACACTACTATTGTGACTCACCTCTCTTCCAGGCTCTGCCGGCCCTTGCGTAGGCAACATTGCACCCATCGAGCGTCTCGGCTTCAATGGTAACAGCAAGCATGTCTATAAAAAGCATCATATGCTTACTTCTTTGTCCCCCTCACAGGACTCTGTCTGCAGGACGGACCGCTCGCTATCAGACAGGCAACCTATGCTTCGGTTTTCCCCGCTGGACTGACTGCTGCTGCCTCTTGGGACAAGGGTCTCATTTATACCAGAGGGCTGTACATGGCTCAAGAGTTCAGAGGCAAGGGAGCTAATGTTGCCCTTGGCCCCGTCGTCGGACCACTAGGTATGTCGTACATACTCTAGGATATAGTCCAGTTGCTGACGATGATATTAGGTCGACACGGCCGCGGCGGCCGCAATTGGGAAGGTAAAATTTGATCGAGCCTACGCGTGAGAAGTCCACTAACCATCTTCAGGTTTCTCGCCCGACCCATATCTCAGTGGCGTTGCTGTTGAACAGACGATCTGGGGCATGCAAAGCACTGGAGTACAGGCTTGTGTCAAGCGTAAGTTCATATGATGCTGTCCTTATTGCAGTACTTACACACTACAGACTACATTGGCAATGAGCAAGAGATCCAACGTAATCCTTCCACTCGCAACGGAACGACCATCCAGGCGATCTCGTCGAACATTGATGACCGCACTATGCACGAGCTGTACGCCTGGCCATTTGCAAATGCAGTCCGCAGTGGTGTCGCTTCGGTGATGTGCTCATACAACAGAGTCAACGGCTCCTATGGATGTGCAAACTCCAAGACCCAGAATGGGATCCTGAAGGAAGAGTTCGGCTTCCAAGGCTATGTCATGAGCGACTGGGGTGTAGGTCTTTTCACAATATCACTTGTACGCACCTTGTTAACTTCCTTTAGGCTACTCATAGTGGTTTGGCTTCAATCAACGCGGGCCTCGACATGGATATGCCTGGAACAATTGGGTTCAGAGCCGGAGGTAACAGCTTCTTTGGTGGTAATATCACTATTGCTGTCAACAATGGTTCACTCCCCGAAGCTCGCCTTGACGATATGATCAACCGTATCATGACACCATACTACCATCTCAAGCAGGATACCGACTTCCCACCCATTGATCCGAGTGGTGCTCTCAACGGCTTTTTCGGTGCTTCTGCTTCGACAGTCGAGTTCCCTCTTGGTTCCGTGGCAAACGTTGATGTTCGGGACAATCATGCGCCATTGATCAGAGAACTCGGTGCTGCTGGAACGGTCTTGTTGAAGAACACCAAGGGTGCCTTGCCGTTGAATGCGCCGAAGAACATCGCTGTGTTGGGCAATGATGCTGGAGATATTCTCAACGGCTTGTATTTTTCTGGAGCTCCATTCAGAACGAACGCTTTCGGATATGGTAAGTTACCGCATCTGCTTTGGTCAATCAATTGCTGACAGTCCTTCAGAATATGGCACACTGCCAGTAGGTGGTGGTAGTGGCACAGGAAGAATTAGCTACCTGGTTGACCCCCTCAACGCTATCAAAGCCAGAGCGGGCCAAGACGGTAGCCTGGTACAATACATCCTCAACAATACCTTGTTATCGACGCCTGCCGGCCTTGCGTCACTCCAGCCGACCCCGCCTGATGTCTGTCTTGTCTTCTTGAAGACTTGGGCTGAGGAGGGCGACGACCGAGCATCGCTCTTGGCAGACTGGAACAGCACCGCGGTCGTCGAATCTGTCGCCAGTGTTTGCAACAACACTGTTGTCGTGACACACTCCGGTGGTCTAAACATCCTGCCTTGGGCCGACAACCCAAATGTCACTGCCATCCTTGCTGCACACCTGCCTGGCACTGAGACCGGCAATTCTATCGTGGACATCCTTTACGGCGACGTTAACCCGAGTGGCAAGCTACCTTACACAATTGCCAAGACTCAAGAGGACTACGCCTTTGCCGACATCGTCAATAGCACTGCTCTAGCTACCACCAGAGATCCCAACGCGTGGCAGTCGGACTTCACCGAGGGTCTCCTGATCGACTACCGTCAATTCGACTACTACAACCAAAGCGTCCAGTACGAATTTGGGTTCGGCCTCTCGTACTCGACCTTCGATATCTCTTCACTGAGTGTCAGTAAGGTTTATGGCGGACTTAACATCAGCAGCACTCCTCCCCCTGCCAAGATCATTCCGGGTGGTAACCCTACGCTATGGGATGTCCTCTACAGAGCAACCGTAACCGTCACGAACACAGGTGATGTGGCTGGTGCCACTGTCCCACAATTATACCTATCGCTTCCTCAGATTCCCGGTGAAGATCCCACACCGCTCAATGTCCTTCGAGGCTTCGAGAAAGTCAGTCTGCAGCCAGGGCAAAGTACGGTAGTTAACTTCGACCTCGCGAGACGCGATCTCAGTTACTGGAATGTGTTCCAGCAAGAATGGGTTATCGCGGAAGGAGACATCGAGGTTTCGGTTGGATTGAGTAGCAGGGACTTCAAGGCGACCTCCTCGATCCGAGTTCTGTGATGAGGGGATTCGAAGGGTGGACTCAAGCTCGGCTAAGATGCATGTAGTAGATAGTGATTAACCAGTGGCCGGCAAATGTTACAATAGGGTTCTCTGCCCTATTCTTGGCAAATTGTCAAACATCCTTGCTTGTGTTACAAAGGTCGTGCGTCGGATGATGAGCTTAACGAGGCTTGATGGCGCTTGATGATCGGAGCGAGCATTGGCGGTGTGGCGGACGCCACAGATGTGCTGTGGGCGATGCGGATCAAAGTATGAAGTTTGATCTGACGACTTGCGGTCATGATTGTCGATGTCGGCCATCTCACATGTGTCTATACAGTGCTCGAATTTTGATATAGATTGATGGTCAGCTTCATCTTTGAGCTTCCAGAGACTATCGACCTTGGCATATCTATTTCGAAGCCAGTCTCTTTCTTGGCCTCCACCGCCAAGCGATAATCTCCGTCAATGTTGCTGTTCCGTACATGGGTGACCCGTCTGCTTGATTCTAGAGCACGTGGAGCATCTGAGCTGAATTTGAGGCAGCTGCCTAACTTTGAGACTGATGAGAATGCTTAGGGCTTAGCAAGCATCTTTGATCCTTGCCAATTGGATGTCAAGCGTATCGGGACTCCGATGGAAGGCATGATACACCTTGTGCGAATCAGCTTCTGAATATAATTGCGGCAGGCATTCTGAAACATGAGGACATGGCGACACTCACCCGAGCGAGCAACACGATCCAGTACCCATAATGTCATCTGTAAGATAGTCGGACACTCGACGGCGAAAGCGCACTTCGTGCAAGATGAGAATACTGTAGCTTGAGATGGTGGTCTCCCCATCTATTCTTCATGTTTCGTTTCGTCTCTTGAAACACTACAGCTGCCATGCCCTAATCCGGGCGGCTGCGACCGCTGGTTCGAGAAACGCCGAACCTTTCGGACTGGGAAAAATTTCGAGTATGTCGGATCCGATCTTGCCTAGATTGGCGCAACTCTTTGAACATTCATTCCCCTGGCTCACCCAGACGGATAGCTGATCGCTGTTTCACATATGCTGGTGGTGCTTGATCGAGCTTGTCAGAAGTTGTCGTGGGGCAGCGTTGACAGCTTCTTGATCCAAGCGTCCGCCAAAGTCCTCTCCCGGGCTCTCCGACATCAATCTCGAGCCTCATCGCGGCGACACTTGAGTCCTGAAATCACTGTAGAGTGCTTCCTGGCGTAATAAGAGGTCTATATTGATGCTTCCTTGTATGCAGAATGGTGCAGTGACACATGAGTAGTCCCAACATGCCTCGCTTGTCTCCTGGTATCCGCAAGATGTAGGAAATCGGCACCTGAATTCGATCGGACCCTTGCGCCATCCATTGAGAAAGGTACCAACAACGGTATAAGTACTGCCGTCCTCCTACCAGAATCGATTTGTCTCTCATCATCCACACTCTTTATTCTCACATTCCAACTCTCGAGCCGGCCTCGTCTTACACTCTTTACTTCCTTAACAATATTTTCAAGAAAAGCAATCATGGTTCAATTCTCCGGCATCGCCATTGCCGCTCTTCTGAGCGGTGCAGCCTATGCTGCTCCCACTCTCCAAGAGCGTGGCAGCTGTACCTTCTCTGGTTCCTCCGCAGCTTCCAACGCCCTCAAGCAGAAGAAGTCCTGCTCCAGCATCATCATCAAGGACGCCGTTGTCCCCGCCGGTACCACTCTTGACCTGACCAACCTCAAGGCTGGTACCACTGTCACCTTCGAGGGTACTACCACCTTTGGCTACAAGGAGTGGAAGGGTCCTCTCGTCTCCGTTTCGGGCGACAAGATCACCGTCATCGGTGCTTCCGGTTCCGTCATTGACGGCCAGGGCAGCAGATGGTGGGACGGCAAGGGCACTAACGGCGGCAAGACCAAGCCCAAGTTCTTCTACGCCCACAAGATGACCAACTCCAAGATCCAAAACATCAAGATCAAGAACTCTCCCGTTCAGGTTTTCTCGGTCAACGACGCTCAGCAGCTTACTATTTCTGGCGTTACCGTTGACAACTCTGCTGGTGACGGCGAGAACAAGGGCCACAACACCGATGCCTTCGACATTGGTAGCTCGAGCGGCATCACCATCACCGGTGCTAACATCCACAACCAGGATGACTGTGTTGCCATCAACTCCGGATCCGACATCACTGTTTCAGGCTCTACCTGCACTGGCGGTCACGGTCTCTCCATTGGTTCCGTTGGCGGTCGTGATGACAACACTGTCTCCGGCGTCAAGTTTCTGAACAACAAGGTCACCAACTCCCAGAACGGTCTCCGCATCAAGACTGTCTACGGCGCCACTGGTAAGGTCTCCGACGTCACTTACTCTGGCAACACTCTCTCCGGCATCTCCAAGTACGGTGTTGTTATTGAGCAGGATTACGAGAACGGCTCTCCCACCGGCAAGCCCACCAACGGTGTCCCAATCACTGGTCTCGTTATGGAGAAGAACACTGTCGGCGTCACCAGCTCTGGTACCAACACCTACATTCTCTGCGCTTCTGGCGCTTGCTCCAACTGGAAGTGGTCTGGTAACAGCATCTCCGGTGGCAAGAAGTCCAGCAAGTGCTCAGGTATTCCCAGCGGCTCTGGTGCCAGCTGCTAAATGTCTTGACATTCGATAATAAACACACTAGAACGTGACCAGAGGACGAGTTGGTGGCAGCTGAAGGAATATGAACCATTTTCTGTTCAATCTTTCCTATTGTCAATACATAATCATCTTAAATCTTGACTGAGCGAATGTTTTCGACGAAGTTTTGTTTCCCCCACTTTCGTACCTCTTGCTGATTTGTTCACTTTGTGCATAAGTTATGAGTGCTTTCACATGCACGCGTAGCCGCTTTAGCGGAGTAGCCTTGAAGTGCCGAGCGTGGCTCCGGAAAGTCATCTCCCTATAACTCTATAACCGGCCCAATCGTACAATGGGAGCGATTTAAAGCCACCTACCAATCGTATTTGCATGGATTTGCGACAGAGAAAAACCGTTGACCAGGACAACAAATCAAAGCCGCCAAGCCAACGCGGTCGGTGAGTGCACTTGCAAATGATGCGGACTACTTGGAATCTTACACGTCACCTTCCACCGCAACTCAGAGCAGCATTCTACAGTACAATATCTTCAATGTCGTTCTTCCCATATAAGAGAGCCACGATCCCACAATGAACGGCGACACGAGTGCGCTGGACAAACTGTCGGCTCACATTGCCAGAGCGATCGTGCAGCAAATCGCGACGGTTAGCGCGTCAGGGCACACACCACCGGCCGTGTGCAAGCTCGACCTGAAAGGCTATATCGATGGTGATGTTTCGTCGTCTATTGACTTTGTAAATCGCTCCAAGCTGCGGCGTCGGTTATGTTTTATTGATTGCTGACGTTCTTGGTGGGGAATAGGGCAGTTTTGACATTTCGCCGCTGATTGAGAGTGCGCGGAGTTCTGTGGCTGCAGAAACACATCTTGAGTCTTCTGTCGAGAGGATACAGGAGTCGCAGGCTAGAGCAGGGCATGAGGCTGTGCCTTCTGGGGAATATGTGCCTAGACGGAGTAGTCGGTCACGACGTGCTATGAATAATGACTCGGATTCGGAAACATCGAAACGTCGAAAAATCACTGGAGGACTAAGGCTACAACGACCGACTGGATCAGCGCATCAGAGCATGTCTCCTGAGGTCGGTGATAGTGAGCAAGCACCTGTACGTCGGCTTCAGACAGATGTCCGGGAGAAACCGCAGAGACGAACAGCGCGAGATGAACCAGCATTGCGACCTTCCACGCTCAATAAATTGATTGTAGGGATCTGGGAGCAGGTGTTTAGTAGCATGAGCTTCGACATAAGTGTCGTCTCTAGCGAATGGCGAACAACCGGATTCCAGACCCATCGATCTCTCATCACGGACATGGCACAAGAAGACCAGCCGACGGCTGTACAAGTACCACCGGCCACAGCACCGGACCGAACTTTCAGCCGCATGAACTTGTTGTGTCGAAAGATCAGCCAAGCCAGTCGCTGCTCGCGAGCACTTGAAGTCGTAGTCCAGGCTTCATGGATTGAGCATTTTGATCGCCAGGTGCAGGAGATTGCTAAGGATAATCCTCAACTATCAGCCACTAAAGCGAGAATGAAGGCACTCGCGCAAGCATGTTCTGAAATTGGCTGGAGCGAGAAAGAGATACGAAACAAGATGTGAGTATCCCGTCTACCTTGATTAACAACGATCACTGATCACTCGATTCTCTAGGGCTATTTGGCGCGGATACAAAGAGATCAAAGACCATGGTGGCTGGGTATGTCTAGTTTTTGCAGGCATGGGCATCTACAGATTCTGCAAATACCGCATTGGGTTTGATCCCGAGTCAATGGCTATCCTTAGGCGGACAAGGACTAGATTTGAGGTGGCCGCGGACACACTGGTATGTGACACAACCCCATAACTTCCGAAAAGACGCTGACTATCACAGCATCCGCACTGGCGAGATATGCTAACGATCGTCGGTGACACATCCCCCCGTGTCTATACTGGGCATCCACACGACTGGGTAGTCTCGGACCACGACGACCCGGTATCCTTGAAACAAACCTACCTACAATACGACCCGAACTTTAGCTTTACCCATATGGACTCATCCATCGTGGATTCATACGCTTTCGGAGCGGACGATCCACGCCAAATCACCGTACACTCACATCAAGCAGCTCACATCTGTACCGTCTGCGGAGAGAAACAATCGGAAGATGTGACAGAAAGCACTTGTTGTTGTTTCCCGAACCTCTTTGGAAGCGATCAGTTACCAATTGCACCTGTTCAGATCTTCCGCACCAAGAACGGACGCAATAACGGGTTACTAGCATGTTGTGTAAGCTTCGGAAGCCTCCCAATACATGTATTATCACATGCTAACAGTGCCCACCACAGCCCTTCGAACGTGGTGTCGCAATCGGCGAATTTACAGGCCTCATTACAAAAGGTCTCGAAGGCATGGACGTCATGCAAGCAGAAGCAGAACAACGCTACCAAATCTACCAAGGCCGAGAAGGAAACTACACTCGTTTCGTTAACCACTCTTGCCGCCCCAACTCGCAGTTTCAGAGATTCGTGTGGTTGGGTACGCAGAGGATTATCTTGGTGAGTAGGGGTATTGAGGCTGGTCAGGAGATTACGGTAGATTATTCGGATGCTTATTGGCGCAATTTGCCTAAGACGTGTTTGTGTCAGGAGAGCTGTTGTAGGTTTAAGGATAGGGAGAGAGTGCAGCCGAGGATCGAGACTGCTTCACCGAGTACGTGAATGTGGTTTCTTTGTCAGCAAAAAACTATAGTATGTCACACGGACATGTCTTTAAAGATTGTACACAAAGTCTAAAGCTTGGTCACCAATCTTGCCGTTGTCTTCTACACCTTCTGCTCTCAGCTTCTCTTTCTCCATGTTTCTACGCCTCAAAGTCCACCACACAGCTACTACACCGCACAGCGCAAGTGTCTCCATACCAGCGCTGACAGCATTACCCATTAGATACCTTGGACCGTCGGTGCTAGGATAAATCTGACTAGATACGACACCTGAGATGTTGGCCAACGAGACGAAAAATGGCATAGCCATACTACGCTTGTAGTCCGGGCTGATGTTGGTGGAGATCCATGTCAGGATAATGCAGTTGTAGCTGTAGATGCCACCACCGCAGAGGAACATTGCGAAGTATCCGGCCGCATGACTTGCTGTGCCACATGCAATGATGTATCCGATTATGGGTGCGACTGGCAAGACGACTAGAACAGATGCTCTTTTCTTGATGCGATCGGAGGCGAATGTAGCAGTGACAAGCGTGAGAGTGGCGAAGAGGTAGACTGGGATGGTCATATAATTTGCTTGCAACGAGGTAAATCTGTTTGTATAGTTTAGTACTAGATGTCAGCCTTTGAGGTATGACCAATGACTCACCCGAGACCCTTGATGATAGTCGGTAAGAAGGTTCCAAACCCAAACAGAGCGATGGATGCCGAGAAGAAGCTTGCCGAGGCGATGTAAATGATCGGGTCAGTGAAGGCAACGCGAACGTGTGACCAAGAAAACTCCTCGGTGCCTCTTGTGACAAGATTTCTCTGCTTTCTGGCAACCATAATGGCCTTCTCGTCTGCGTTCAAGAACCATGCAGTCTCAGCATTCTTTGGTAGTAGACACCAGCAGATGCAGCATAAGACAACAGAAATAGCTCCTTCAACAATGAACAACCATCGCCAGGATTCAAGCCCATTGCGGTCGCCCATACTCTCGATACCGTACTACAATCGTTAGCTGATACTCTATCGTCTCCTGAAGCCTAAGTGAAGCCTATCACTTACGGCAATGAGCCCGCCTATCGCCCCCGAAAGGCAATTCATACCATATATAATGGCGACTCTCTTGCTCTGTCTTTCCCTCTCCCAGATGGTACTGATGATGAACACTATCGAGGGTACAAGCCCAGCTTCGAAGGCTCCGAGCAACACTCTGACAGCGATTGCTTGCGAGTAGTTCTGGATGAAGCCTGTGCATAGAGTGATGACAGACCAAGCGATCATAGCAATACCGAGAACATGGTTGGCTCCAAAGCGTTTCACAGCCATTGTCCAAGGAACTTCAAACAGAACATAGAAAGGATAAAAGAGGGTAGAAATCGTGTTGAACTGGTTTCCAACCAGACCGATACCTGGAAGCAGATTAGCATTTGGGTCAGACGCCCATACCATTACGCTCAACTCACCATCTTCGAAGCCGAACACTTTGGCGTTTCCCAGATTTGATCTATCAAGATATGCGACCAGAAGAATGACGGCGATAGGAGGTAGCAGGAATCTATCAAACTTCCGTAGCACCTTTTTCTCGGCCTCTGCATCATAGCCTAGATCCTGAACCTCGCCAATGGACGAGTCAGTCTTCTCATCCAATGCTGCATTGGCTTGGAAGCCACTTTTCTGCTCGAAAGACATAGTCGTATATTAATCAAATGTGAAAAAGGTCAACGCTGACGCGATGGTTGGTACATCCATGATATGCTCGAAGCAGTGTTGGGGTATGACTCCAAATCATCCTGGAATGTGATAAGAGCTGGAGATAGGTAACAGAGTCGCTCGAAGCAGAAGCAGGCATGATACGCCCTCAACCACTGATTGCAGAAGATAGGAAAGGCCGACGACCTATACCCGTCTGTCTTGCAGGCAAAATACCTTGGCCAAGCCAATAGTGAGTAGGCATGCTCGTTCTAAACAAAACTAAGCCCCAACTTCGGCGAAGTCGGTGGGAAATGGTGCATTTTGGACAAGTGCAGGATGGCAAAGATGCAGAGCCGCGGAAGTGACGCGAGACAAGCCGGCGACAGATGTGTATCTATGCAAATTTATGCATGTTTATGTAAAATTATGCTGAGACCGACAAGATAGGAAATCACACGCTTGGCCTATCACCCCAGAACTTGCCCGCAGTTGCTCTTTCCCTATCTTGTCCCCATCTGCAAAATATCGTTACATCATCTTTCTCAACAAATGAAGTAGGATAACGACGAGCTGTACAAAGACACAATCATGTCTCGTGTTGACAAATCCAACAGAGAGTCAATGGAATGAAGTCTTTCAGCGACATCGCTGCAAGTCGGGAAATTCTGGTGCATCAAGACAGCTAAAGTGTGACCATGTTCGTACGCGGGGAGGCCGGACTAAACAACAAGACTTGACATTGACCAAATCAACCGCCCAATCACAAGCGCCTATCTTCCGCCAACTATCTGATACCCCTAACCGTCGCCAAACTCTCAATCTCAAGGTCACCATCTAATAATTCGTGCAACGCTCGGAGCAAGTTTTTCACAGTCACCAAGATCATTCTGCAGCCTTTGATTTAGTGCTTACATCCATATCCAACGGCCTCGCGCACCAATTTAGCCTTGCTCAATGGTCTAGGGGCGGGCAGTAGATCGGCTCCGCTCATGTCCACGTCGTCCTGGATGAGGCGTTTGGTGAGCACCTTCTGGTTCTTCGCGACAGCGTCCAAGTAGACGGCCAGTCTTACACCAGCCCTGGCGATCTGAAGCTCGACAACCGAGATGGCCGAGTTGTAGTAAGCTCCGCTAAGGTCGACATCCTCAACCGCAGCTTGGCCCTTGGGTATGACGGTGGAACAGACATATGCGTTCGCCTCGGAAGCCCAACCGAGGGTCGTCGTGACTGGATCAGTGACGTCTATGCCCTTGGTCCAGCTTGCGGCCTGAGAAGCGTAGATACCGCTCTGGACGGCAGTGTTGAGAGTTTTGGCCCAGGTTTTGGCATCAGAAAGAGCGTAACCACCGACAAACTTCTCGGGAATCTCTGTGTCCCAGATGTGGTGCAGATTTGTCGAGGCCCCGGCAAAAGTGACGTCGATGTCATTGCCACCAACCTCGAGAGCTTCGTCGTGCAGAGGCTGGTGAATGTCGCCGATAAGGTGGACAAGGAAACGGAGCGCGTGATTGACCTCGGTGTCACTCAGGGTGGTAGAAACGACGCGTTGAGTGTAGTTTGCAATGGCACTAAACAGAAGGAGCAAAAGGGAAACGTTAATCACCAGAATCAGGCAAGAGAGAAGTCTCGCAAACCTACCTTACAACACAGCCCTTTGCTCCACAATCACGGTCGTAGTCCACACTACACGACGACGGTGGACTATCCTCTGCGTCGATGAAATGGAACGGGGCGCTGAAAGTTCCAGCGGCAGTGTAGCGATAGGTATCAGCCCATGTGGCAATGCCCGCCAGGTAGGAAGTGCTGGTGTTGCTCAGGACACTCTGAGCCCAGGCTACCGTATGCGCAGCTATGCGGTCTTGCGCGATGAAGGCCACAGTCTCGTGGCCCAGTGAGCCCCAAGCGTTAGCCACTGGGAGAGCTGCGCCGAGCACTGCGGTCAGGGTGCGAAGGTGAGGCATGCTGGTCAAGTATGCTGAAGAAGAAGATTATTGATGGTTGTCCAGAGTTCTCATGCACAGGGTTAAGCTCTCGTCTTTATAATCTGTTCTACGTCGCAGATATGGTCATAGGAGCTCGCCTACTCGCTCTGCTTCCCACGACCTTGTTTTGCTTTGCATGAATTACGCGTGTGACAACAGGCAATATCAGGAATGTTTTTTGAGTTGGACCCTGTGCTTAACCGAGGCGGACGGACTCGTTGCTCATGCACTATTCCGCGTGTCAAAATAAGTGGTCTGGCCAATGACCTTCCCAAAGCAGCCAAATGTGACGCGCCGATCTGCATGCGTGCCCTGATGCTTGATTGTGCTTGGCTAGAAAGATAAGCTCAATCGCTACTTAGGTAGCTAAGAAGAGTAGCGGGTCGAGGGATGTCATAAATTGACACCTAGAAACACCAAGGCCTCGACGCGACCCCGTTCTATCCTACCAAGAACAAACAAGGATCACTCGATGCGATTTTTGATTTCTTGAACCATCACAAGACAAAGATACCCATTGTGACGAAAGGAGTTTTTCAGTGAAATATTATTGATTATAGTAAAGATTGTCCGCTAGAGACAATGTAAAACGATTATGTACATACAACCTGTTGTATATGAACAAGAAAATAGTCGAGAGGAGAGGGCACTGCCCAGAGCTCTCTAGATCATCAAGATCTTCGTCCCTTCATTAGATAGTCATTCTTCTATCGTGTTTTTGTTGGGTTTTGTTTTCAGTGAGCCCGATAGTTCTTGCTTTTTGTCCTCCTCTTTCTGGAAAGGATGGATGGCCCTGCCATGTTCATTATGTAGTATAAGGGAAGAAGCAGAGGTAAAAGCCACGGACTGTTTACTTGCGCTTGGTAGAGGTGGTAGTCTTGGGTGCGGCGACAGTTGAAAGAGTGGAGGTCTTCTTGCTGCTTGTGCTTGCGACAGTGCTGGTGCTAGTGCTGGAAGACTTTGTTGTGGAAGAAGACTTGGCTGTGGAAGCAAACTTCTTTTGGACCAGGATGTTAGCATCGTTGACGATGAGCTTGGCACCCTTGACACCGCTGGAGTTGACAACAGAGCCGACAGACTTCTTCATGTAGCAGGCAGTTCCGGAGAGAGAAACATCAACACAGCCAGTGGTCTGGGCACAGGTTGCGATACAGCCAGCGAAATCCTTGACGTAGACCATCGAGAGATCGCCGCCAGCGTGATCGATACCGCACTCAATCAGGAACTGGACGCCGGAGCTTGTATCAGTGAAGATGGTGTTGTTTGATCCAGGACAGACAGCAGCAGTGCTAGTGGCGGTAGGTGTCGTGCTGCTCGAGGTGCTTGAAGCAGCGGACTTGGCACTGGTACCAGAAGCGGTGACAAAGCCAGAAGCGGAAGAGATGGCAGAAGATGATGACGAGGAACCAGCCTTGACACCAAGACTGACACGGGAACCAGTGAGAACGTTGCTACCAGCGGAGACGGAGTTACCCATCTGGGTCTTGAGCCAGCAAGTACCGGAGCCAGCACCGTTCTTACCACCAACATAGGTGAATGCAGTGCACTTGGAGTTGGTGTCACAAGCAGTCATACATTCAGTGTAGGAGCTGGATGCCTGGGTGTTGGTGAAAGATCCCTGACCAGAGTCAGAGGAGTAGAAGAGGCTGTAAACAGACCCGGCAGAGTTGGTAGCTAAGCTGGGAGATGAGCTCGTGGCCGAAGCAGAAGAGCTGGTAGATGAAGCCATGGTGGAAGAAGCAACAGCAGATGAGCTGGTGGATGAGGACTTGATCGAAGAAGAAGCAGTGGATGAGCTGATTGATGAGGACTTGGTGGATGAAGAGGCAGCAGCAGACGAGCTGATCGAGGAAGACTTGATCGAAGAAGTAGTGGCAGAAGAAGAAGGAGAAGAAGACGACGACGACGAAGAAGCAACAACAGAGCCAGCGGACACGAGCTGAGCAAACTGAACACCCGAGGAGGTTCTTGTGGTACCGACAGTGCTCTTCATGTAGCATGCGGATCCAGAGAGCGAGACTGCAACGCAACCGGTAGTGGTACTGCATGTCTTGACACACTCTTGGATGCCGTTGTTGACATAAGCCATCTTGAGGTCCTTGCCGTTGGAGTCACCACCACAGTTGATGCTGAATGTAGCGTTGTTGGGCGTGGTGAAGTTCTGACCATTGCCTGAGGGGCATGAGATGGTGGACGATGCCAAGTTTGCAGATGTGTAGTAAATGCTCAGACGGTTCGAACCACCGCAGTACTCGGAAGAGTTACCAGCGCAAGGAGAGAAGCAGTTACCAAGAACACCAGGAGTGGGAGCGAGACTGTCAGGAAGGGAGCTGCCACAGTAGCACTGAGTGGAGTATTCAAGACCGGCGTAGTTGAGGCCCTTGTTCTTGCAGAAAGACAGACATGACTCCACGGTCATAGAGCTGGACATGTAGCTCGAATTGGACAAAGTGCGGCTGCTGACAGAGTCAGGAGCGCAACCAACGTAGTCCCAGCCAGTTACGTTTTGGTAGTAGACAGGAGCGGCACCAAGCTTGCCAGTGTCAGTGCAGCCGGTCATAGAGTAGGGAGCTCTGTCAGGACCGTGAGTGACGGCATTGCAGCCTGGAAGGGCGTCTAACTCTCCAGTGATGACCTCGTTGACAGTAGGAGCAATGACGCAAGCCTGGGACTCGGCGTTGCTGAAGAACTCGAAGACAGGGCAATCTTGGATAAGACCAGAGTCGTTGTTGCAAGTATCAGTGGCCTTCTGGAGAACGTCGACGTCCCAGCCGTTGAGGAAATCACCGTGGAATCCGTACCCAGTAGCGTCACCTTGAGCGAAGACGAAAGGTTGGTTGGTGCCATTCCACCAGTCAAAACCACCAGTCGACCAAATGACCTCGTAGAAGATGGAAACCATATGAACAGGGTGCGATGCAGGGCAAGGGCCGTTGTCGTAAGAGTACTTAGTAGGGTAAGCCATGTGAGACTTGTGGTCGGCTGTGTCAAGGTTCACACCATCCCAGCAAGATGGGAAGAAGATCTGAGCGCGCAGACCATCAGGGCAGGCTCTGTTAGGCAGACCACTGGTGTAGGAAGAGGTACCGCTGTAGTCAAGGCAGACAAAGCTGACAGCCTGGCCAGCAAAGTCACTAGTGGCGGCACGCTTGAAGGGATCGCCTGCAAGCATGCGGAAGCCCTCAGGGTAGGCAGTAAGGTTGTCGTTGTTGGGACCACCTCTCTGCAAGTAGTAGACTGTCATACCACCGTAGACACCGGTGCCATCACCGGATTGAGGGACATTGATGAATGTGCCGTTCTCAGATTGGTAGTAAAGCGCAGGTGTCCAGTAGTTGGACATATCTTGCTTGATAGGGCATGAAGAGCATGCACCTCCACGTGCATCGGCATAGGTCATCTCAGCTTTGAATCCCTAGAAAAGCTGTCAGATGTGATTTCGATCGAAATTCTAGATCAAAGACTTACGTTGGAACCAGAGATGGTGTGAACGTGACCAGAGACACCACCAGGGGCGACAATAGGGTCAAGACGCTCAGTAGAGATACGTCCAGGGCAGGGCATGCGCCAGAATGCCGAAGCGGATGATGCAAGAGCAAGAATGCTGAGCGCCGAAGCGCTGAAATCGAAGGACCTCATTATGAAAAGATTATAAACAAAAGGTATTAGAATCCGCAAGCGGATGGGCGAACAAGGCGAAGCTGTGATTAGTAGACGAGATCGTTGCGGTCTGGAAAGAGCATTGAGACACGGATTGTCGAATGTACTTATAGAATTCATCAAGTATCAAGGAGGGTGCAAACCCTGTAGATGAAGATCGTTGAGCATGAAAAGGGGAATGTCTTTCCAAAACAAAACGTACAATAGCTGAGTCGGCAATTATCGATATGCTTAACGGTCGATGGCGCTTACGGGGCGTCGTTGCAACGGCGCACACGAAAGTCTTCACAGACAGACTTTGATATAATCATAGTGCATATGGGTGCTGGATGGAATGTGTTGCCCACCGAACTTACTATGGTCATTCCTGTCTCGAGATGGAATCATGGTAGACGGATTCATAATGGTGACTTGAGGGGTAAGATTTGGGAGTTGAGCTCAGCTTGTGGGCTGCTCGTGTTCAGCTTTTCGTCTCTAATTGCTTGCACAACGTGTCTGCATACAGCGCGCCGTGCCGTGAGGCCGCTCGGAAGGTTGGATTGTTGTCGATAACGAGCAACGGAAGGGGTGCTTGCGACGCAGAATGCCATGCTCGATGGACGTTCTCATCAGCTGTCCGCTGTAGCGCTCGCTGCCTTTGCATGTGTTCGCAGATCACCTCGTGGCCGCCTCGGCAGCCGCCTTTTCTTCGGCTGATCTGTCTGTCCGTGCCCCTTGAGAGCTTGCTTGCCAAACTCGACCACGAGATCAAATACAGATGTCTCCCGTACATGGCCAATGTACGTTTGGGATCTCGCCCGCTGTAGATCCCCGTTCATCTCACAAACTAGCTCATACATATCTGAGCAGATGACTGTCATCCAGCTGTCCGATTTAAGGTGTCGTGAAGCGAGGAGTGCCAGACGCTGTTGAGAACAAGTGTCGCCTGGAATCAGGCGTGAGAAACGCTGCCCGCAAATGTGCCACTGAAGCCTCCCAAATTCCCAAACCGCCAACGTCCAGCCTCCAACAGCTTTCCCTTTCCACAAAACACACACCGTTCGTGTCCAGCTCGAAGGATAACCACAGTCGTCACCGATTTCCACGCGTTACAACCGTTACCGATACCAGGGTCTTTTGGACAATCCGCCGCTACAGCTTCATGGCACTTTCCTGCACGGAGGCCACAAAACACACACCGTTTGTGTCCAGCTTGGAGGATAACCACAGTCGTCACCGATTTCCACGCGTTACAACCGTTACCGGTATCAGGGTCTTTTGGATAATCCGTCACTACAGCTTCACGGCACTTTCCTGCACGGAGGCCATACTTACGCGCACAGCAAGTCCTGCCCGCATGTTAAGAGACATGTCTCTTTTTGACGGTCAACTGTCAGAGCCTAGCCATCATCTTCAGGGTGACTCTGGTGTTCTAGCCACAAGATAGGCGCAATTCACATCTTTACGGTGATCTACTGAGCTTGCAGCATGCATCTTTCGTCAATTAGCAACCACTGGATCTCGAGCGCAGTATATTCTCTATGATGATCTCATCTTTCACCCATCACTCCGACGCCGTTTCTCTCGAAGCGGCCAACCAAGGCGAGCCAGAACGTCATTTCCTCGCTCAGATTCCTCCGCGCGTCCGCCACATTCGCTTCTTGTCGTGTACTGAGCCGCATACCCTGTGGCTCCAGCCATTGTCAGATTAAGTCTTGTAATCGTGAAAAAGCGCAAGCAAGTATTGGTCTCACATTTTTAACGTGTCTATTAAGACTACGCCCAAAACGTTTGTTGAAACGGCTTCAGTGTGGAGTAGCCGAGTGGCTTTTTTGCTCTAGCAGTACATCACTGCCGAATTTGTTCAAGTAATAGGATATCTCAGAGTTGAGCTCCGCATGGCGTGCAGATCTGCAGTCTCGACAGCGCGTATACAATGCATGGCAAGTACAACCGGTCAAACGGTTCGAGTGCATCTTACCCAATGCTGTTTGCCATCCATCACTTTAGGACAAAGACCTACTTCGAGACACACCTCACACTCCGGAGCAAGAAAGCCTGCTCATCGTGGCTGTATAATGTGGGCTCGACCTCCAGACTTGGAGCGCCCAATATCGAGCCTCTCCAGGTACGCGTCCTGGATGTGGGTCCTCTCCTTCCTTTGGGCGCACATGAGCTCAACAACAGATATCCTGGATCTTGAGGAGCGGGGTTACCTCCCGGAGATCGAATGAAGTCGATGTACCTCAACGGCACATGAGTTCGTATCAGTCTGATTGGCAGTGCCACATGCGAGACCGGCATTGACAGAGTCGTCTGTTTCTCATTTCAGGCACCACTCATGGTGTGTTAGACCATTATATCAGACACAAAGGTGAGATAGCCCGGCAGTGATTGTCTTGCTTTGTAACATGTCAGCAAGATAGTCTCAAGACTGGCAAAGACTCTTGACTGTAGACTCTGATGTCTCATCGGGCCGAATTATTCACAAGACTGTCAACTCAAACCTTATCGGCTTATCGCAAAACTCCACTCACGCCAGGCGAAATCTACCACTTGCGGCCATTGCGCCTACCTTTCTTGCTCTATCTCTTATTGGCAGACTCAACAACGATCGTCGGAAACTGCTGTATTAACTCTACGGAACAAGCCCGATCTTCTTTTGGCCGCCTCTGACAGCGTTGATCAAAGTCAGGTTCAGCTCATCCGAAATCGTCTTACTGTTCTCCACTTTCACGAAGTAGTATTGTCTGAGAATTTCTTTATTCGATGTTTCGGATTTCGAATCCTGACCATGGACACTAAATCTGTACGCATTCCTGCACATCTATCTATGTCATCATAGCTCGTGATGGCTGACACAAGACACCTCCTACTGTCTGAGACACTAGCATACCAGAAACATGCGCTGCATGTTGTCGATGTGTCTTTGAACACGGCTGTAGAGCAAGGATGAGACTTGCAACTAGTAGCCATAGTCAGTTGACCGTACTGAATGGACGCTGTACCAGCGACTTAAAACCATGGAAGCCATTGCGCTCCAAGTAGACAAGGTAACACACAATTGTAATCTTCTCCTTCTCAACAATCACAAATCCATATGTCATACCACTACGACGTCTGCGACGATTACAACGAGAGTTATGGCGAAGCTCACACCAACTGGCCGATCGTTCAAGCAAATCAGCAGCTTATCAAGAACGATCAAGCTTTGAGGACAAAGTTGAAGGGTACGAGATGCACATTGTTCTCTTCAGCGGTGTCGAAGCTAATCAAGCTTCCCTCAGAGGCCGGCAAGAACGTTCCAAAATATCTCTTTCGCATGTGGGATGCGCGTTGGGGTGGTAGTCCCAAGTTGAACACCACAAGAGCCATCACACCCCTCGCCTTCGCTTCTTCGCGCGGTCATAAATCGATCTTCGACATGACACGCTCAGCGCTCGTGAACAACACGCTTCTGCATCTTGAAAATGTACGCGAAGTCGCCTCGGAGTTCTCCTCGTGGTCCCATCCCCCATACTTCGCCTTCTACTACGCTCGTCAACGAAGTACCAGTGCTGATACTGTGCATGTCGCCATTATTGACACCGAGGGATTGGCCAAGTCCAACATCGCAATTCACGTGCCTGCCCTGGGGAAGATTCTTGGGCAGCTGGATGGCTATGGCTACGAGGAAGAGTATCTTGTTCATGGTGTGATTGAGGGACAGTTCTATAAGGCAGTGTCTTACCGCGATCTATGTCGCCTAGGCTTGACAGAGCATCTACCTGCCTTGAACATAGACTTGAACCCGTTCGAAGTCGATGAGTATCGCGCCCTACCAGGCGAGGACGAGGAATACCACATCGATGAGCTGCATCAACTGAGGAAGATTGCTCTTCCACATGGTAATACGTTCTCCCTCCCGATCGCCATTGTTCTCTTCTGTTGCAAAAAGCGTCCTGAGTCCTGGGCAAAACTTGATCCTGCTGACCTTGAAACTATCATCAGAATACTTGGTGGCTGGGAGGAAATCCCTCTAGAATGGTGCGGTTCTCGAAGCGTGTTTGGAGGTCAAGGCGAGGACTACAACGAAGTCTATCCAAAGGGTTGGGAAGTCAACAACCAGGTGCGATACCTTATGCATTCAATCCACACCCTCTGCTACGGTAAAGGAGCCAGAGGAAATGAGGCTCGATACAATGCGGCAAACACAAAGGCTGAAGCTGGCCAGTGCTCTGTCGCTGATGCAATGGCTTCTATGAGTGTCAATGGCAACAACTCGAGATCATTCCAGGAAGCAAGTCTAATCCGAACGCCTACTTGGAAGGGTGCTCAAGGACGTCGAAGACAGAGGTAAACATTGCTGTCACCGAGTCGACACCGACGGCAGGATTGTAAGCAAGAGCAATGACGAGCTTGGAGACAATGAGTTTGTGCTCTGAAATCACAATGTCCGAAGGTCAGTCTTGCTGGGAGCGAAAATATTCATTGCCTTGATGGGCATTTTTGACAGCGCGAGTGGTTCCGGGATTTTGTTTCATGGTTTTTCATCGGCACAGGGGTAGTTGTGAGTTACATTTTAGCTTTTCACAATTTTATCACCTTCTCCTTTTTACATCAACTTGGTTCCAAGCGCAGACCGGTAAATCTTTGCGACACCGACCAAACACTGTGAGCAAGCCTTTGGCATTAGAGGCACAGCTTTTTGTATTGCACTTTGAGTTGGCAGACGGTCAGTAGCGTGAGCAAAATGACGATGATAACGATGACGATGATGATGATGTTGACGATAATGATAGTGACGGCGAAGATGATCACAATGACGAGCATCATCATGATGATGTGCGTGTCGCAAATTCTGAGGCGCACGATGGCGTCCGCGATTAAACATTCACGTTCAAGGAGCATGATGAGTAGGTAGCACGCTGCAAGTCCCTGTACAGAGCAGACGCATGCTCCAATGTACTGTCGCAATTCCACTATACTTCTCTATGTTTGTCTTTCTCTATTTTCTCTGCGCTCGAGCACAAGAACTCTGCGACAAGAAACCCACGATCGGATGAACTTCGCGGTGCGCCAGACGCAAGTACGCCAAAAACACCCTCTCGACCTCTCTTTGATGCGCACTTGTTGTAGTCAGATAATTTGGAGCGACAGTCTTGATATTTTCAAGCGTTCCACTGAGCGACAGACGACTCATGGATCCATACAGAGCCACGGCTGAGATTGATGATCATCTGATTGCTTTCATTTGAATGAGCATCCGCTCCAAACATTGTTTACCTCCACATTGTCTTGAGGATGAACGAGGCAGGCACGGCGGATACCTTGCATATGTTCAAGGAAGTTCTGAATCGACCACTGCTTGACGATGCACTGTAGTTGGTCATCCTCAAGGAAGATTATACCCAGACTTTGCTCAGCATGTCTCTTTCGAGGCTGAGCACACGCTCGATCTCGCCGAAGCCATGGACACCGACCAACATCGCGTTGAATCAACTATTGTTGTCTGAGCGAGTTCTTGCGTTTTTCTCGGATAGAGGTTTTCGAGCGCACTGATGCAGCCGTGTAGGACGCCTCTCGACATCTAAGACACTAACACGACAAAAGACATGCTCTCGGCCGCCTGTCTCTGTTCGTCTACAATTGGTAGGACTAGAACGAGACTTATCACTGTCAACACCGTATGGACTGGTCTATAAAAAAAAGGCGATGGAGCGCCTGTATCTTGTATTTACAGATTCGCTCGACACTCAGCAAAGCAGCGGCAACTTCTCACTCCATTTTGTTGGGACCCTACCCCATGTTCATTCCCTTTCCCAACCCCATGAATTTCTTCAAATTCTGCAGGGGGAGTAATGATGAGAGTACCTCGAAGCCTTCCAGCAAGGTCTACAAGCCTCGCAAACGAAGCATCAAAGCTGGCGATTCTAAACGAACCAAGCCTGCTAAGCCTGCCAATAGAGCAGCGACTTCTTCACGCCTATCCACACCTGCCAAGGTACCATCTGAAAGTAGCGAACCTCAGCTACAGCCAACCAAGAGTACTGGGAAAACCATCGATGACGACGCGGAACTTAGAGCAAAGCTGCAGAGTGAGTCATTCCCTACGTGGGGCTGATAGTTTGACTGACAAGTCTGCTTATAGATGCTAGTAAGAATGTTCCCAAGTACCTCTTCCGCATGTGGTATGCAGGCTCTGGTCAAGATGCCAGGCTCAATACCGTCTCAGCCGTCATTCCTCATGCCTTCTTACGCGGTATTGGCCATGAATCAGTCTACCACATGACGCGTTCAACCTTCTTGTCCAACACTCAATCGCATGTCGGAGGTAGTACGCGAGTGAGCTTACTCGGAATTTTCGTCGTGGTCGCAATCGCCGTACTTTGTCTTCAATTACGCCACTTCTACGAGGGAATATCGCAAAACTGACACCGTTCATGTTGCCATCATGGATGCCGAAGCGATGGTCAAATGTAACCCAGCTTTTAACGTGGCTGTCTTAAGTCAAGTCTTTGGGGATGAATTTGGTCCCAGTTTCCACGAAGAGTACCTGGTCCACGGCGTTGTCAAGGGCCAGCACTACATGGCTGTACCGCTCAACGAACTTTGCAACAGAGGACTACTGGAGCAACTCCCAGGAGTGATCATGTCCTACAATCGCGAAATTCCATACCCTGGCTCGACTTTTGGACTGCCATGGAGCCCTAGGCCCTTCGCCATCAATGATCTTGTTCAGTTGAAAAGCATTGCTAGCCTGTACGGGCCAAGATTCAGTACACCTTTCGCTATCACTCTTTTCTGCTGCAAGAAGCATCCCCAGTTTTGGAAGAATTTGACGACGAGCGAACTCAGACAGATTGTGCAGATACTGGGTGGTCCATCTAAAACGCTGCGCGAATGGGGTCAGTCTTACAGTATCTTGAATCAGAGTGTCTACCCGAAGGGGTTTCAAGTCAGCGAGCAGATGTTCCATGTGATGCGCGCTCTGGCCATCCATTGCTCGAAGGAGAGCAACGAGCAAGACATTGTTTCGCGATTGTCTACGATCAGCGTGAGCGCCTCAGACAGCTTGGAGTCGACCGCGAAAGATTGTTCTGCAGCAACTCGTGGTTCGTCGCTGGTGCTGACTGATGTATCCAAAAGGCGAGCTCAGATATCTTCTTGCGATGACAACGACCAAGAGCTCATGAAAGCCTCGCAAAGTGCTAAACCTCATACTCCACCCTACAGTGCACTGGCTGCCGCTCAGTCGTCTCGTAGAAGATACCAACCATCGTCGATACCGCCACTCTCTGACGTTGCCATGTCTAAGCTCGGGATGAGAACTTACGATGTTCACCCATCGAGCCTCTCGAGCCCTTGGTCATTCTGCTCGGGCATGGACGCGGTTGCTAGCTTCAGCGTAGCAGTCAGCGCCCATTGGGCCCGTAGTTGACTCCACGGCTCTACTCGCGTTCGTAGCATTTGCAAGAAAGGACAGATCGTTTTGACATATCCCCCTACCGACGCCCACGCCGCTTACCAACACCGTGAAATCAAGTCGTACACCTTGTTAGGATTCGGATAAGTACGTTGTGTCGAAGTCTAGAGCAAATGCTAACTCTTTATAGTGACCTCTTCCCCGACATGTCCGAGAACACTTGTGGAAAATTCGTGTTCATGAACACTCAGGATCATGGCCCACGCTGGCACGTGGTCATCCCCGCGAACTTCCAACTCAAGGTCAATGGACAATCATGTGTGCTGCCACAAAGATTCACTATTGGACCCCTTCCTCCCTTCTCCGTCTGGGAGCAGAGACAAGGTTTTCTTTCTCTTCGTAGGAGAATCTGCAGCCGACTATAAGGCTGCCTCTGATTACGATCAGAGTGATGGTGCAGCTCCGAAGCGTCAGAAGCGTTGATGCTTGGAGTTGCTCCCGACTTAAACGTGGAGCGGAGGAAGTCAAGTTTCGAATCAGGCTTATTGGTGTCATGCTCGAACAAGTTGATTGAAAAGGATGATTGCACGCAATATTTCTGTTTTGTGGAGATTTAGAGGAGTTTGATCTGGAATTACAACATTTGTTTTCGAGTTTGCTCTTTCCTTTAGTTCTCTTGTGCTGTCGCCTTGTCTGTACTCTTGAAAGTCACTCGCACCTTCTATTTGACCTCGCTCTCACACTCATGATACTCAGTTTGACGTGATCTTCAAACCCTTCCGGTTCTTACCACATGCCTTGCACATCACAAGGGACCATCCGTTCGCCGCCAGCCATCTTCACAGATATTTCAACACACCATCATTTGGATGCGGCTTCCTGATATCAAAATGCCAAATACACTCAAGACCGATATCACCATCCTCAAAGCACTCTTGTCCATCGTTTTTTTCATCTGCTTCTGCCATCTTGTCACCGCCATTCTCAACCATCTCCTCACCTTCTGCGTAGCAGCAACAATCTTTATCCTCTTCAATACATTCCGGCGAGCTCAACGACTACGCCACCCCAACTTCCTAGATATTCAACCGCCTCGCATTCAGATATCAGCAGAAAGAGAGGCAGAATGGCGGGAAAGCCGTCGTGGACATTTTGAGCAGAGGTTCGATGCAGATCGTATGGCGCAAGCAACTCGTGATGACGAATATCAGCGAGAAAGTGAGAGGCTCTGGCAAGATGAACAGAGACGTAAGATTGAAGAGTTTCGTTTGCACCAAAGACATATCTGCACTCGGGCGACTACTCAGGTGTTCGAGGAGTGGCGACGAGATTGCCGGACTCTGTTGCAAACGCCTGAGCTCATTACATCCATGCCTCGACTGCCTCATTCACCTTGTCCGAACGATCTTTGTGACACAAGAGCAGCACAGCTGGGGATTTGCTCACATCTACTGAAGCTTCTTTACAAGGTATCGAGGTTGGACGAGATTGAAATGAAGGATGAGTTAAGATTGTGGCTTCCTAATGGAGCGAGGGTGAACCAGGTAGGAGAGTCTTGCAGGAAGCAGATGTTGGGCATGGCGAATGAGATTACACAGGTATTGCAAGAGATACTCAAGGACTTGTAAAAGGAGCATGGCCGTCTACAAAGGTGATACTCAAGTGATAGAACAGATAGCCTGGCTTTGTTCGGCATCGTTCATGCAACTTACAACCCTCTGGCGATTTGATGACTAGACACTCATCTCGCTTTTGTTTGGGCAAACATCTTCCGCCATTGAACAACGAAGACCAGCACACACACTATCACATCGTCAACCCCATCAATCCAAATCTTGGTCTTTCCAAAATTGCACGACCAGTCTCTCCATATCAGCAACAAGATCAACAAGCTCCATAGCGCCCCCGACTCTTTCAATCGAACACGACCCAATCGACGGTACGCGTCTTCATTCGTTCCACGCTTGTTCCGTCAGCTAATAGACTTGAGTCTCAAGTCCATCTCACAAGTTCACAATAACTATACTAAGCATGATGCTCCTCGCTGTCTGCGTCCACTTCTGCCGTGATCCCACCGCTACAGCATGGTTGATCGTCGGCTATGTCCTTTACTACGACGTTAGAGGGGTCAAGACTTTGCTTCTTCGATTGGCTCTTGAGTGTATGAGTCCTGGTGTGGAAGATGGATAGAAGAGAAGACACAAAATGCGGCGAAAAGAGGTAGTCAAGGCTCACGAAGACTGAGAATTAGAGACGGTGTGAGAGCGAAAATGCATTATATTTGTAATTTAATGACTTTCTACTCTATGGTGTTTCGCTTGTCTTCTCTGTGACCTGTGTTGTGAGCTTTCTACAGTCGATGCTCTCGTTACCTCATGTCTGACTGCACGTTGGAGCTATTTGTCCCTTGCTCGTCTAGGAGTCTCGGGGCACCTCTTTCTTCACTTGTTCAATCAGAGAAGCGGCGGCTGCAGAGACCCGGTCGCCTATTCCTCCTCAAGAGAGCCATGAGGAGATCAGTACTGGTCTACGACATGACTATTACCTTATTTGTCTTCTGTGGCAGAAGCTTTGGTCTTGTTAGACACAACGCCTCCAGTTTGAATACGAGGAGAGTACCAGTTGCTACCAGCAGCACGAGAAGACTTCTGGGAGAAGACGCTTTCTGTAGGAGTCATGACAGCGTCACAGACTTTGCTCTTGAATTTGGAGGAAGTGGAAGCAGAATAGTCTTCGTTGGCAGTAGGGCTTTTCATGTTGACGGCAGACCAAGGCGTGTCAGACAGATCGAAGCGAGAATCCTTGGTAGCCAGGAATTTGTCGATGTTTAGGGACGTGGAGATAGAATTGTCAGATTTCTGCTGAGGGATGCCTTCGCCAGTCTTGAGCTGCATCCTGCGGTCAACCTGCTCCAGCTTCTACGTCTGTCTTAGTAATGTGTTGTGGACGTTCATAAAGATGATATTTACCTTGCGGAGTTTCCAGGAAGCGAGCTCATCGGCGTAGAACCAGACGGTGAAAATCAAGCCGAGAAGCAAGGTGGTGTGAAGACCGAGGGTGCCAGACAGGATCATCATGCCGAGAATCCTGCAAAAGGCGATAGACAGACTTGACGAAGCCGTATTTGGAAGTGGCCACCACAGCGCCGGCGATGGAGCAGATGCCCAAAAGGGCGACGCAGACCATCAGGAGCATGAACAATACGGCTTTCTCCTCCTCGTCGGTAATAGTGTGAGTGGTATCTGTCGATGGGTAGACTCCGGAGAATTGGTACGACATCTTGATCGCAAGCTTTTGATAGTCCGTCGGTGGCTGAGAACAAGAGCATCATCACATTCGGCTCTCGTGCAAGGAATTACGGGAGATGACGGTAGTTGCCTGATGAGTTCTGGACTCCTTGACGTTTTCTAGCACTGCTCTCGCCAGGTATTGAAGAGAGGCCGCAAATAGCTTGGTATGGGAGGAGACGGCAACACTGGCGTCCTTGATACATTCTGGCCAGCAAATTTGATGAGCAGGGGTAATAATCAGCGACCAGGACCCTTCTTGTCCGCAACATCGGATGGAGACATGATAGCTTTGGCAGAGCTGTATGTAAGTCTTGGAGGGTATGAGCGAATGGTGAGGCAAGGACGAATGGAAGCTGGTTGAAGGATGGGTGGATCTGCAGACAGGGTGACCCATCTCGGCGGAAGTTTGCAGCTTTGTAAGCTTTCAATTACCCCGCGTCGTCACCCCACTTTGCTATCATCAGTCATGTCGGTGAACACTCAATTGCGCTTTCTTCGCCCTCCTCCTCGTCTCCTCCTTCTTCGTACAGCTTCTAAACAAGACACCAATCACATAACTTAACCAATCACCAACTCGATACCGCCATAATGCCCGCTGGAAGCTCCTCCGTACGGCCTCTTCACTTCCTCTCCCCCATCCTCATGGGAAGCGGCAGCTAACAAACGATGCAGGTCATCTACCCCAAGGGTAGCAACTTCAACATGGACTACTACCTCAACACCCACATGCCCCTCGCCTATAAGAGCTGGAACCAATACGGTCTCAAGAGCTGGTCCGTCGTCCAGTTCCCCTCCGACGCCGAATACTGTGTCCAAGCCATCCTCGAATGGGACACCGAGGAGAGCTGCCAGAAGGCCCTGCAATCCGCCGAGACCAGCACCGTCATGGGCGATGTCAAGAACTTCTCCGACAAGTCCCCTACTTTCCTTGCCGGCAAGGTTGTTGGTAGCTCGTAGGCGAGTGAAACGACAAACGATGAGGGGAATATACATATTGCTGGAACGAGTCACATCTGTACATATGCAATGCTGCCTACGGCGTCTTCAATGAGAAATGCTATGACTGTTCACTGCTGTCGACCCCCCAATCGCATGCTTCGTTTCTGAGACATGCAGCACTTCAACCGCGTCACCTTGACTACAACACCTCGAACGAATTGTAATACTGAGACACTCCCACCACTCGCCGTCAAGTTCTCGTCATTGCGATACAAAGGCAACACAGGGAGACAAGAACAGTCTTGAAAGGAAGGTGAAATCGGGACGTGAATTGATAACAGAGATATAAACATCATTTCATAAGAACAATAAAAGAATCTTTCCACCATAAAGCATCAAGCTCACCCACTATACAAAAGAAATAGAAGTAAGAGTCAAGACCATCTCGCTCTTCCATCCGACGAAGCATAAAAAAAGTAATATCCAAGAATCAGATCAACAAAAAGAAAAAGAAATGCAAGTCGTCAAAAAAAGATCCCAAACCAGCAGGATTTCTACCTGCGACCATCACATCACATCACACTTTTCCTTATATACAACTTTCCCTCCCCTCATATTCCTATACACCTTCTTTACATGACAAAGAAAGCACCAATGAACAGCGCCAACACACACAGACCAATATCCGTATGAACATTATCCGCAGCACCAGTAACAACCTTCTTCATCTCCATCTCCAACGCCGAACGCTCAAACGCAGTGCCATTAGAAACAGCTCCATAAACACGACTGTTACTAGCAGTACCAGCTGTGGGTCCAGCAGCAGCGACAGCAATAGCGATAGTAGCGGTAGAAGTTTCCTCGGCCACAGCGACAATAGTCTGGGTTTCTAGGATAACGACGGGAGAAGCTGAGGATTCTGCAATGGAAGACGAGGTTTGCAAAACTACGGTTGTGTAAACACCTCCTACACCAGTGCCACTGGGGGCGAAAATGTTGGCTGTGGCGTTGCTGAATGCAAAGGGTGCTGCGGCGCCAGAGCCAGCGACGCGGATGGTTTCGGTGGTTGTCTTTGTCGTCTTGATGGTTGTTGTGCTGGTGGACATGCTGTTTGCGGCTGCGGCGTTTGTGGGTGCGTAGTTGATTACTGTGGTGATGGGCAAGACTGTTGTGTAGGTGACTACGGATTGGCGGATTGTGGCTGTTACGTAGGTGGTTGTGTAGATGGTTTGGGTGACTGCCGTGAAGCGGGCGTCGTTGGCAGCGGCGGGGAGGGTGTCGCCGGAGGAGGTTTGACCGGTTTGGTCGGCGACGGTGTCTGAAGAAGCAGAGTTGGATGAGTCGGAGTTTGAGTTGCTGTTTCCAGCGTTCGAGTTGCCGGCGTTGGAGTTTTCTGTGTTCGAGTTGCCAGCGTTGGCGTTACCAGCATTGGCTTTGTTGGGAGTGGCGATCTGAGTTGCAACAGGTGCGACAGTGGTGTAGACCATGACGGTCTCGGTCACGTACTCGGTAGTCTCGGAACCTTGAGCGTCAGTGCGGGTAACAGGCTGGACCTGAGTCTGATAGATGGTGCGAGTGACGAAAATTGTAGTGTCGACAATCTGCACAGCACCGGCACCATTGGCATTGTTGGCGTTGCTACCAGCGTTACCAAACTTGGGAGAGGTCGAGTTGCCGTAGGGAGCAACCTGAGGGAAGCCAGCCGAAGGAGTAACTCTGGCGGCAGAAACAGGGGCAGTTCCATAGATGGTCTCTGCAACGACAATGGGGGCACCAGTACCGATCAGACCGCCAGTTCCAGCGGCGGCAGCGAGACCAGTACCAAGAGGGGCAATGATAGCAGATGCGGGAGCAGTGCCAGCAATGAGGGTGGAGTTGTTGTCAGCGGCAGCAAACTTCCCGGCAACGGCGGCGGCCTTGGTGGAAGAAGAAGCCTTGGTCGAGGAAGAAGCCTTGTAGGAAGAGCTGGATGTGACTTTTTTGCTAGACGAGCTTGACGAGATCTTCTTGCTCGATGAAGAAGAGACCTTGGAAGAGCTGGAGACCTGAGTACCACACTTGCCGAAGGTTGCATCACAGTTGGCAGTGCTGCAGTAATCAGCAGAAGAGCCACAGTATCCGTACTTGGAACAGCATGAGCCGAAGGCAGAACCGGCGCAGGTGAATCCGTTGTAGCCACCGCAAGTACCATCCTTGGAGATGGGTGCAGCCGGGCAAGGGTTGGTGGCAGTATTGAGAGTAGTACCATCAGCCTGCGCATTGAGGATCTGCTTCATCCAGGTAAGGTAGTTTCTGTTGCAGATGACGTTGTTTGCAGCGTAAGTAGCTTCCCAAACCATGATACCGCCGAACCTGGTGTTGCTGTAAACCTTGCTTACAAGAGTCTTCACCTCAGAAGGCGTGAGGTAGTAGCTGGCATCGCTCGAAGCAGCAGTGCTTCCAGGCAGACCAACGAGAATCTTAACATCGGCGTTCAAGGACTTGACGCCAGTCCAGTCGTTGTAGCCCTTGAAAGTTCCAGAAGTGATGGCCTGGCGTGCAGAGCAAGCAGCAGTGTTGTAGTACTGTACAAAGAGGAAATCGAACCATGCGTTCTCGACGACACCAGCAAAGTGGGCATCGGGAACGACGCACTGGGGTGCACCAGAAACGTAGTAAGGCTTGACAGAGTCCTGGGGGTACAGGGTGTTCTTGAAAGTGCTGATCATCTTGGCGTAGCCGTTGGTCTTGTAGTTGGTGAGAGCCTTGCCGTTGACAACAGGGGCGGAAGAGAGCTCGCTCTCAATATCAAAGTCGAAGCCATCAACAACAGCATCGCCGAAGGGGCGAGGGCCACCAGTCGAGGTCCATTCGTTCTTGACAGGTCCAAAGGTACCCCAGAGGAAGTTTGCAAAGTTTACAGCACTTGTTTCGTTCTTGATGAAGTAGTTGGTAGGGTATCCACCACCAATGGAGAGGAGAACCTTCTTATTGTAAACCTTCTGGCAAATGGCGATATCGGTACCAATGTTGGGGCAGTTCGAGTAGAGTTGTGTCTTTGTGCCATTGTATGTGTAAGTCTCGCTACCACAAGCGTTGCCGAAGTTCGAACCAGGCCAGCCACCGGCTCCTTGGTCAGGGAATACATTGATGAATCCGATGGCGACAATGTCGACATTGGGGTTCTTGCAGACATCTTGAAGACTGCCTTGGTTGGGACCTTGACCCCAGTATGTGACGACGTTAGTCTTTGCAGAGGCAGTCAAAGCAGATGCTGCGCCCGAGAATGCAGCTACTGCAGCTGCAGCACTGGCGATTGTGGATGATGCACGCATATCGATAGCGATAAGAATGACGATATGTAGAGATCAGAATCTATACCCGTGTAACGTGTAATTGTTAAGAATGAGTGTGATACAGCCAAAGGCCGAAATGAGAGGACGCAAACACAGTTTGCTTAAGGAGAGTGGATAACAACCGAAACCGGCTGCAACGAAAACACGAACACGAGATGGTGATAGAAAAAGAATGTATAGCAGAGAGGAAGAAGCAGATGAGAGGGAAACGGCCCTTGATAAAAGGTAGGCTCCAAATCTCCCCCATTACCGAGTCGTGCCTCTTCTGACCTACCGGCTTGAGATCATGGCTACCGCAGCCCACTCACCGTTGTGCATCACGTTACGGTCCAAAACGGTATGGCCTCGAGATTGAAATTGCGGCGCCACTGTCAAAAAGAGGGGCGGAAGTGCCTAGGTGGAAGTGATGAACCGCAGCAGGTTGGAGGAGAGAAGTCGAAAAGGCACTCCTGAGGTCTGTGCTTCGTGCCGAGCAAGCGCCCTATTGGGACAGGAGCTGCCTTGATTGGTCGCGGAGTCGTGGTAGCTCAGGCACCAAAGTCAATCTTTCTTCTCTCCACCAACACAAAACTCGCGTCAGTAAAGTAGCGAGTCGCGCATGAGATGGCGATTCTCCAAAATGGTACAATAGATGGCGATGTTGCCTAGAAGAACCGGTCAGTCAAATGGCAAATCTCGTCAATGATTTTCTCACTCTCGGGAGATCCTCAGAAAATCCTCCACACAAGTCCCAAAGTGCAAGGTGGTCGAGAACGCCGAATGCAGGATACGAGAACTCCCTTTTGCGTTGGCCGTTCTTCAGGAGACAAAGATTCGATAGCCATGCGCCAGGGATCGATGATGTTCTGTTCTTTTTCAAGAGCATGCAGGGCGTTGTGAGTTGCAATCGATACACATCTGTCGTAACGGTGAACTCACCTCCTGCTCCTGAAAAACGTCTGCACAGTCGCAGCTTCTGCAGCGATGACAATGGCGATGTGTGTGAATGCTGAGCAAAGACCTATCGATCACTTTGTTGAAGTATGATTGTATGGTCGCTATTGACCTGCTAGAAATACGTCCGCAGCATGTCTTCAGATCTGCATGAAAGTTCTATGGTCCTCAAGTCAGCTCTACCATGTTTCAGGGTGAAGCCAGGGGTTTTAGCCGTCACGGTGGCTTGAACTTAAAAACTCTACTTAAAAAGCGCTTTCTAGACCACGAGTTGAGGCTCCCCCAGATTTGGTGACTGAATACCTGGATGGTTCAGCTGCGTCCGCCAATCCTTGCGGCGTTGTTGCTGTTGATGATGCTATCTCTAAGTACCGAGACTGTTTTGTACCAGCTCAGCATACCGGCATTATATTGACGGACGGGGACAGCTTTGCGCCACGACTTGTTGTCTCGGTAGTATTGCTGCGGCAGCTGTGTCCCTCCAATAGAAGGAAAGATGGGTAAGCTGTAAACTGATTTAGCAGAAGACGTGAGAGCGATGATGTGATGTAATCTGGATTTGAAATGTTGTTTGTGCCTGGATTCTCGCTCGAAACAGCCTATTGCTACCAGATAGATCGAGGCTATTGACTACTAAAGAGCACATCTTCGTAGAAGAAAATGCGCATTGTGCTGGGGTATACTGATGGATAAAGGAAGATAATGTGAAGCCTTCCTCTAGAACAAAGATCAAAAGACGCCTCTCGCAGGACAAAAGCAGATATACCCCTTCTTTTTGTTTATCCCTTGTATTAACGTTTCCACATCGGCAGAAGAGTTTGGAAGACAGGATTCGGCAGCAGATCGCTCCTCGACGATACCGGGCTGCAGCAAATGGAAGTCCGAACTACGAGAGCGCGCTGTTCACTATCGTTGGACGGATGTGCTGTGCGTAGATGAAATGCCGTTGGTCCTATGAGGCAAATGACAAGTAGTATGAGGTTGTGTGCACGTGAGTGCTATCCCTGTTGACGTGCTGACGTTGTCTCATCAGTCGAGCATAATGGCGCCGTCATCGTCAACGACGATAGTACTCTTTTTCTCCTCGGCGACCTTGCCACGCTTGGCGATTTGCTCGGCCTCTGCTTCTCCAGTATCCAGGTCAGCATCTGCAGCAGTACGCTTTGTAGAAGAGCGAGTGGGAAGATTGTGGCCATTTGAGGATGCAGCATCGGTGGTGATAGCTGTTGGGGCAGCAGTCTTCTTGGGGATGGTCTGGAGATCGGGGATGAGAGTGAAGGGTTCGGTGGTGGCGGGTGCGGATTGAGCAAGGTCCCTGATGAGAAGTTAGTTTCATACAAGGCAAGCCAGCGGCGGAAAGATGGATGAGGACATACATGTTGGAGATGGACAGCTCGAGGTTGACACGCTCGCCCTCTTCACCTTCACCACGAATGATGACGGTAGAGTTGTTGACAATGTTGATATCGTTCAGCGATTTCTCGAGGTTGTCGTTGTCGTCCATTGCCATATCAGGGTCATACCAGACACCGGCACTGTTGCTGACCTCAACCTCATCTTCCCTGTAACCGAGCTTCCTGACTAGAACCTCCTTGACGAAAGATTCGAGCGTCGTCTTGTCGGTGTTGATGACCAGTCTGGCGTAAGCAGTGGCGCAAACACCGCAGTCAGGTCTCGGTGGGCGCAACGATTCCTTGTTGATGACACGTTCGGTTGATTTTGTCAAAAAGACCATCTTCGCCTTGGCCCAGTCACCACGCATGATCTTGAAGGCTTGTAGTACACACAGAGCTGCCGTGGTAGCGTTAGTTGTGGCAATGGCAGGGATGATGTTTCCAGCCATCTGTTTGATGTCAAACTCGGACTTGGTCTCGATACCGAAGGTGATTGAGCGGAGATTGGCTGCTGCTGCTACAAAGTCAAGCGTGTCCCTGTCGTCCTTGTCGAAGGTCAGTATCGGCGGAGCATTTCCCGTCTCTTGGTCTGCGCGCAGCTTGTCAAGACGATCGCTCAAGCGGATCAGGCTGTCGGAGAAGACGGCAAAGTTCTCCTCCAAGGACCAGTTCTTCTGGTCATCTGCCAGTGACTCGCGATCGACATTGGCAGCTCCGACGTTGACAGCGTCGAAGTCGAGAGCGGTCGGGGGCTTGCGTGTCCTCCACATGTCCTCCATTCCGAGTAGTCTGTTGATGTCCTGGGTGAAGACCTTGTCAAAGACCTTTTGTGGGAACTCTGTTGAGCCCATGGATGCGCGGATCTCTTTCAATGCGGCCGCCTCTTTCTTCAGCTCGGCAATTTCCTCCTTGTTGTTCTCATCTGAAGTATGGTCGAGATCTGCTGCTTCATCTTCACTGATGCCGAACAACTCGTTGAACAGATAGCTCTTTGCCCAGACGATACAATGGATGGCTTGACTCGGAGTGCTTCGGATGGTGCAGACGGGGAATGACTTGGGAGTCTCTTTCGGCGCGCAGTCGTAGCATTCGGTGAGACGCTTGCGGATGGGCTGGACTTGGCCATTGAAGCCAGTGGTACCGCTCTCGATCAGAGGGACGTCTGCGGCGAGGCACATGCGGTTGACGTGGCGGCGTGCATCGAGGTTGTCGAGGGCATTGAAGACGATGACGAATTCACGGAACCAGTCAACATTGAATTGTGGATCCTTGATGTTCGCGTGGTGTGCCTCGATCTTGACATTTGGGTTGAACTTTGATGCAGCCTCGCGGGCGACCAGGGCTTTGGACTTTTTGATGTGGGCGTGACGGAAGAGGAATTGGCGATTGAGGTTGGAGAGATCGATTGTGTCGAGATCAACCACGTGAATCTCGCCAAAGCCGGTGCAGACAAGGTTCTTGAGCAGTTCGCAGCCGATGCCACCGGCGCCGACGACGAGGATGCGCGCCTGCTTGATGTTGGCGAATTGCGAGCCGAGCGACTGCTTGAGGAAGCGTTCGCGCGGCATGGTGCTGTGCGGTTGGACGTGGATGTGGAGTGGTGAGATTGCTATCGACAAGCTGGCATGTGAGGAAGTAGACAGAGAGCGTGTTGACGGGGGATGCGAGTGAGAGGACGTCGTGTTGATCGAGGTCAAGTTCGTTTCACCTAATTACCTGCCCTTCACTTGTCGACCCCAGATCAAAAGTGTGTCTGCGATGACGCGCCCGACTTTGTCACAAAGACCGAGGTTGGATACGCGACTGCCTCCGATTGTCGCCCTCTCCTTTCACTTACACCAATTTGTGTTGGTGTGATGAAGAGAGAGGTGAACAATGTCTTTCGGAAGCTCAGAGGTGATTATGCCGCTGTTTACGAAAATATGACCAGTCAACACTATTCCCGACCGCGACGTGTTGGAAGCTCCGATTAGGAAAGAGCAAGTTCTTCTGACAGCCAATCATGACGCTTCGTCCCCTGCCTTCACTCTTATTCTTGCCCATCCCTCTCCATTACTCTCTACCTATTCCTGCTGTATCAATCAGCCGACCAACATGTCCGACGATGAGGTGGATCATGAATTGATCGAACTTCTCCGACAATCACTGCTAGGATCAAAGCCTAACCCTGACGACATCACTTCCGACACAAAGGTTTTGCGCCATGCCGAATATATCTACAATAACAGCATTGATGTTAACATTGATGCTCGCGGCACAAGGGCTGCTGCTCAATTGATCTGGTCTCAGATGCAACTGCGTTGCTACAGTACAGAAACTTGGTCTGAGCATGAACTGCATCCCAAAGCAAAAGATGAAGCTACTCTGAACTTCATCTTCGTCATGGATCTATTGAACTTCAGCTTCTGGAGCGAAAAGCCCGAGAGTGAGAGATATGCTGTCGAGTATCGTGGCCAAACATGGACTGGTTACTGGAGTCTCGTCGCGTGCCTGCAAAGAGCTCTTGATGAGGGTATGTTTTCCTCCTGTTCTATCCATTGCTTTCTCAATTGCTCCTCGTCACTCACACACATGCAGATATCCCTATCACGACTCCTTCCTTCTATGCCGATGAGTCTGAGTGCCCAGACGAGAGAATCGCGTACGTCTTTCGATCATCAACTGGAGAGGAGATACCTATGCTGCAAGAGAGAATCACCTGTCTTCGGGATGCCGGTCAAGTACTTGAAGATGTCAGTCATAATCATGTCCTGCTTTTGTCTCCCCACTGACCCGTCTAGACTTTCGATGGCAGCGTTGCCAACCTTGTTGCCGCCGCCGACAACAGCGCAGGGAAACTCGTTAACCTTCTGGCTCATCGTTTCTCTTGCTTCAAAGACGAATCGATATATGAGAAGCGTGCTGTTCGCATCATGAAACGACCTCAGATTCTGGTCGCCGACATCTGGGCCGCATTCAATGAAGAAAGCTACGGCGAGTTCCACGACATTGACTCAATCACTATGTTTGCAGGTACATTTGTCTCTCTCCTAACTTACTATCAATGGACTGACTCTGCAAAGACTACCGTGTACCTCAAATTTTGCACACGCTGGGATGCCTGACATACAGCCCACCCTTGGACAGCACAATCCGCACACAACGACCCGTTGACCATGGCTCGAGCTACGAAGTCCAACTACGCGGTTGCAGTATCTGGGCTGTTGAATTGTTGCGTAGGGAAATTGTTCGAAACAATCCTGGTGCTAAGGTCAATGCCATATTGATCGACTTCTTCCTGTACGACCTGGCCAAGGAGAAAGAAAAGGCTGGGGAGCCGGCTATTCCGCATCATCGGACTAGGAGCATCTGGTATTAAATGGAACACAATCGCAACACAATCAGACTCAGGCATACGACCTGGTAGCTCTGACCATGCATCGGTACTCACAGCAGGAGGATGCACCGTGTCGGCCCGACTACTCGACGCTCGGCACATGGGAAAACACCCTTCTGTGTAAAGGCCCGATCATCGCTTTCGCGCAGAATGTTAAAATGACAAGACAATTCCAGATTCATCAATAGGTTGCGTGGCCCAATGGCAAGGCGCTTGACTACGAATCAAGAGATTGCAGGTTCGATCCCTGCCGTGATCATTTTTGCTTGTATGCCTCTAGCTAGGCATGCTTCTGCCTGCTTTTTGCCCTGTCCGATAGATGCGAGAAGGTTGTCCTACAAGGCATGTTTGAGTCGTTGTTTTGTAAGGCATGTCTCCTCCGCTCAATTCCAGGTAAGCCGTTGGAGTGACTATGCGGAAACGATGCTGGGCCGATATCGCTCACGTCAGGGTCATACCAATAACCAGTGTCCAAAACACATCCGACGACGTAGTTGCCCAAACTTTACTTGTATATGATTCAGCTTATACCCCTATATAATCTTGATGAGTGTTTAGACGAGTTCGTAGAGTCTAAGGACGAACTTTTGCTAGATCGGGTCTCTGGGGTCTATTTTTAATTTCTCTCATGCCTTCTTCGGGAGACCCTCTCTCACCAGGCTGTTGCACATGGCAGATCTGATGGCTCAACGAACCCTTACAGAAAAATATGGGCTGTGCCCTCCTGCCGGTTACTTAAGGTCTATTTTTGTTTTCATACTGCTTCTTCAAGTACTTTAGAACCACGGTAGAGAGTAAAAATGTGAGGTAAAGAGCTAGATTCGACATTGCTGGCGTGAGAACGCAGTATTATATTGTTCCAGAGTTGTGAGTTGCTCATAACAGGTTGTATAGTGTAATGGTTAGCACCTCGGATTCTGATTCCGGTAATCCCAGTTCGATCCCGGGTACGACCTCTTCTTTTGCTCTTTCCCAACAACATCAGGGGTCGGTGGCTGGGACAAAACGTGATTCTTGACATTCGATGGACGAAGGAGCGTCTCGTGGCTTCTGCTTTTGTCGCGTAAGGTCGATTTTCGAAGCCAAGACTGACGAGGCCAAGCTAGCTGACAGGCACGCCATCACCCATTCTCGGTCTGCCTTCCTTGGGACCAATTCCTCTTCTTCTCATCCTTTCAGCTCGAAGCTGCCTCTGAAGCGGCAGTAAACTAACGATGCCAACGGTAAGTGCTCGATTACACCGAATAGGATGCCTGACAAGCAATCAATGTTTGCAAAGCCACCGCCTCTCGGCACGCGACTTCCGAGTTGTGACGTGCCGACTTCCCTAGTACTGGACTTTGTTGAAGGAATACAACAAACATCTTCAATCCGGCAAGAACGCTGCCGCTGTCCTTTTCATAACCATCGGACTTTAGGGCGTTAGATCAAACCCCTCTCCGAATTGCTAATCTAATAAGTACAAGAGGCATTGCCACCAGTTTGATTCGAGAATTTCCCTATCTGTATTTTTCCTTGCCCAGTTTCTCATAAACCGTCTGCTGCAGTCACGTCGTCATGGAGGACGATAACGCGACAACATTGCAGCCCATCCGTACTGGACGCTCAACGCGACAATTTCTATCACGCACGCGATCAAATAAATCCAACAGATCAACCAAGTCACGCTCGAGGTCTGGTTCAAGGCCGAGTCGACCCAGCAGTCCGCTACAGCGACTCACCTCGGCAAACTTCATCGATGATCATGGTATCTACCACCACCACGCCGATTCGGACTATGAAGAAGTAGAAGAGCAGGAATCAGAACACGCTGGTAGTGATGGTCTATCACCACAATCTAGCTCAGAGCTGGAGAAAGAGAAGCAAGAGCCGGATGAAATACCTATGGAGCCTTTTGGTGCAGAAACAGCACGCGACCTTGAAGCCCAGTCAGAAAAGGGCGACCCACCTGCGCTCTCAAGGAAGTCTACCTCAAAATCAGTCAAGGACCCCAATCTAGTAGGATGGGATGGTCCTGACGACCCGGAAAATCCAAAGAATTGGAGCAATGGGAGAAAATGGGCCGCGACCCTGGTCGTATCGTCCTTTACTTTCATCTCGCCTGTCTCTTCATCAATGGTCGCTCCAGCAATAGGTGTCATCAGCTCTGACTTCAACATCACAAGCACTGCTGAGCAGCAACTGGTGCTGTCCATCTTCGTTCTGGCATACGCAATCGGCCCCCTCTTCCTAGGACCAATGTCCGAGCTATACGGACGTGTCAGAGTACTTCAACTCGCCAATGCCTTCTACTTCGTGTTCAACCTTGCTTGCGGCTTCGCCCAGAACAAGGGGGAGATGATGGCTTTCCGCTTTTTAGCTGGACTAGGCGGTAGCGCTCCCCTGGCCATTGGTGGCGGTATGCTAAGCGACTGCTGGAGACCTGAGGAGAGAGGAAAGGCCATAAGTATATACAGCTTGGCACCTCTGCTAGGGCCAGCTGTAGGACCAATAGCAGGTGGATTTATAGCAGAGAACACTACGTGGCGGTGGGTGTTTTGGTCTACTTGTATAGCCTGCTTCTTTATTCAACTTTCGGGCGTTTTCTTCCTGCAAGAAACTTACGTTCCGGAACTTTTGAAGCGGAAGAAGCTCCGCTTGATCAAGGAAACCGGAAACACGGGACTTTTCACCGAGTTTGATGATCCGAATCGCAAGCTATCAGTCCATCTGAAGACTGCCTTTACTCGGCCATTCGTCATGATTGGCACCCAGCCGATCGTCCAATTCCTGGCTATCTACATTGCATACGTCTACGGACTGATGTACCTCGTCCTATCAACCTTCCCTGGCCTCTGGACAGGCATCTACGGCGAATCCACCGGTATAGGCGGTCTAAACTACGTCTCCCTAGGCCTAGGCTTCTTCCTCGGCACCCAAATCGGCGCCCCCTTCAACGACTACTTCTACCGCCGCCTCAAGAAGCAAAACAACAACATCGGTCGCTCTGAATTCCGCGTCCCTCTGATGTTCCCAGGCTCTGTGCTTATTCCCATCGGTCTGTTCATCTATGGCTGGACCGCTGAATACAAGACCCACTGGATAGGGCCAAACATTGGTGCTGCTATCTTCTCGGCTGGCAATATTTTGGTCTTTCAATCTTGTCAGACGTATATTATTGATAGTTATCAGAGGTATGCGGCATCTGCTGTCGCATCCACAACAGTGCTCAGATCGCTTGCAGGCTTTGGATTCCCGCTTTTTGCTCCGGCCATGTATGATGCATTGGGTTATGGATGGGGGAATTCGGTGCTTGGGTTTATTGCTGTGGGCTTGGGGTTGCCGGCGCCGTTTATACTGTGGAAGTTTGGAGAGAGGTTGAGAGCGAGGAGCAAATTCGCTTCTGGTGGCTGAGAGGATCGCCGGGCTTCCGGAAGGGTGTTACTGCCACTATAGCTACGACGATCAATGAATGCTTCTTGTGCTAGATTTCACTACCTCTACGACTCTGCATCTGCTTCTCTTATGAATAAGAATATAGGTGACCTATGGCCAAACTTCCGATGTACTGCCGACAGGCTTCAGCAGCGAAGGAAAAAAAAAAGGCTTCAAATTCATGGAAAGATGGAAAACCTATCTGTAGCAAAAATTATGTTTGCCAGCGTACTGGATAGGCATACCAGTAGCAAAATGATCACGGCAGGGATCGAACCTGCAATCTCTTGATTCGTAGTCAAGCGCCTTGCCATTGGGCCACGCAACCAGTTGTTACAGCTGCGACCGCTGTGGTAGAAAATGATTCCACTCAATATTGAGAGATCTTCTAGAAGGCCATCCACAAGGAGGTCACGCATGCCGACAACAGCCGTAGAAAGGCAGACTGTAATTAAGAGGATCAATGATGGTCAGGGAGGGAGCACGATCTCAAGGCTCTCAGGAAAGGCACATTCTGGTTTCGAATACGACTCTGCATTTTGACAGCTACATTAGCAGAGGGAAGTTGTCGTCGAGATGAAGCCTTTCTGAACAGCCAGGTACAAGAACATAAACAAGGTCAGGTACGTGTACCTGTTTCTGAAAGTGTCCCATCTCCTCATCATAGCTCACAATTCTCAAGCCCATCCTGCATATCGACACAGACGACACAATCCCCTATCTCCTTCAGAGACGCTCCAAACCCCTGTACCCGGCTCGTTTCGTCGCCTTCGCCTGTGTTCGTTCGTCGTCTTCACCTGCACTCATTTCTGTTAGTGGCAGAGCCGTCATGACTTGCGGGAACAGGACAGCGATGGAGCATAAGCAGCCAACTTCTCCTCTTGTCGGTTTTTTGGTTGTTTACTGCGTTGTGGACATCTGGGAGGGGTAGGTCTAGGAATCTTGCTTGTGATGTTGAGCGCCGAGGGGAGTATCTCATCATGCATGTTGTGGCTTTTTCGGTAGCTGTCTGGATGCAGAAACAATTTCATATCGAGAGCGTGTGCACTGGGAGTTTGGGAAACGGAAGATGGAATGCTGTACAAGTAGAATTCTGATTGGCAGAGAGTGACTTGGACCGGGAGAGTCCATGGTAGGTAGCAGAAAAGCTGCTTGATCGACTTGTCCTTTAAGCTCTTTCCTATGACAAAAATGGATTTAGCACTGCAGCAGTCTACCCTTGTGGTGTTTCAGGCTCCGGGGGCGATGCAGAAGCTTCGTCTAGCAGCGTTGTTTGACTGTATGGATGATGTTTCCAGGATATCGTATAGGACAGCCATGATGTGGAGACCGTACACGTGCGTGCTGGCATCTGGCGGCCAGAACGCGACGAGCCTGATACGCTGCCTGAAGATGTTGGCTCTCCGGCAAGTCATGCGTAGGTGCCTCCTCGATGATGCCGCTGTACGATATGTATAGAAGGATATTAAAGCATCTGCAGCGAGAGGTCCGTTGGTCCGTTGTCGATGATGTCGATTTGGACCGAGACATAGCAATCAGTTTGTAGGTCTAGGTGTTTTCTGGTCAGACGAAGACGTCGAGCTGAAGTCGGTTGTGGTGGTGGTCTCACAGCCGACTTCATGTGGCTGCCGAGACAAAGATCTGGACGGTGCTGGCGTAGCGGATCCTGGACTCCGGAATGTCCTCTTCACCATCTTTCATAGCCTCATCCTCGTCTTCTGGAGGGACGATGTCGTCAATGGCTCCCACCGTGCCAGTCTCGATACGAACATTGTATTCACTCCTCTGCTGAAACCATAGTGCCAGACTCAAAGCTTTTGCGATTGCTTTTCCGGTACCCTTGAGCACGATCTCGTCTTGTTCGTGTTTCTGTGCAGCCATGGTGGCAGCGATACGCTCGATGTCGCTGATTTCGTCGTTGATGTGGGAGTACTTGGGACGTTTGGAGACTTGATCAGCGGCGGATTGGGCCAAACGCTTTTCCGCCTGAGCGAGCAGCTTTTGCACGCGCTTTACAGCTGACATGAAGGGTGTTTTTGTGGAAATATAGACAATCTTGGGAACATCGGCGCTGGCGTATTGTGATGCGATTGGTGCGCGTAGCAGTGGACGCTTTTCTACTTTGTATACTAGAGGGAGAGTCAGTCAGAAGTGAAAGAGAGGAACAGTCTTTGGAGTATCACCTCTAGGTAGGCGTGACATCTTGCGCGGCCTCTTGGAGGCACTCTGGTCTTGTGCCATGATGTCAGTATAATCAAGTTGCAAGTAAACATCAAGGTTGAAGCTTCGTCTCAAAAAAGCTCTCCACCTTTCCAGCCTCAGCCACTTCTTCTCAGCCACGAGTCAAGCAGCCACTCATGAAGCCTTCGCCATCGATTGTCATCTTCCACATCAGTCACCGACAGCCCGTTCAACACAAATGTCTCTACGCCATCTGGTACTCAAAGGCATTGTGCCATATTCCAAAGCCGCCAAGCTTCAGCAGGAACTGGTGACAAAGTTTCTGGCTCACAAAGCCTCCCCTGCAACAACGCCTGCTCCAATCCCGACCATCATTACAACTCAATTCTCTCCTGTCTACACATGTGGCCGTCGCGAGGTCGGTACCGTCTCCCAGGAACAACAAGACTTTCTGAAGGACAATGGTAGGGCTGAGTTCCATGAAGCTCTCCGTGGCGGCCAAACTACTTTCCACGGTCCTGGCCAGCTGGTCGCATATCCTATCATTGATCTGAAGAAACACAACATATCGCCAAGAAACTACGTGTGCCTTTTGGAGAAGACTCTGATCAAGATATGCGCACAATACGCTATCAAAGCCATGACTACAGAACACCCCGGAGTTTGGACCACCCCAGACGACAAGATATCCGCTTTGGGTGTCCACTTGAGAAGGAACATCACCAGTCATGGCGTCGGCCTGAACATCAATACCGATCTTTCATGGTTCAATCGCATTGTTGCTTGCGGCCTTGAGGGCAAGCGAACCACAAGTTTTGAGAATGAAGGCGTTCATGGTCAGATCGTCGAACATGTCGCCAATGCTTTTGTTCGACAACTCGCTAGTTCGCTCGACATCAAAGACATTCAAGTTGAGACGATCACTTGAGCAGCTCATGAGCCGTCTATCAACGCTCGTCCCCACGGGGTATGAAGCAACGTGCCTGGTTATGCTTCGGGCCGGCTGAAGCATACTAGCTATAACAAACTCATCTGAACTCAATTGAAGCTGTCTTCTTCTGGGGGAGCTTGTCCGAGTTGTCATTTCTTTTCCAGTCATCGGAGCAAAATTTTATGACTCGCAATACATTCTTGGCTCTCGGTCTGGATCTACTTTGTTAACCATCGTCATTGCGACATGCGACTTCTGAATCCACACCTTCCATTCTACTCAAATCATGGCTCTCTCCTCTTTCAAAAGACAATGGTCGCGAGCCTTGTCTCTCCGCGATTCATCACCACCCTCAACTAGCGCTGGTGATCCAGAGACTGTCACAGACGCGGTGCCGACACAGCAACAACTACCAGCATTTCACCGCTCAAGTCCAAAGGGATCGGTGTATCAACACTCTCCACCACATTCGGGAACCACGCTCCATGACCCAGATCATGCACCATCGCATATACACACCGAGATCTCCAACATCGCATATCCTTCTGACACCATGATCTTGACAGTAGGCGATAGTGTCATCACAGTCGAGACACACAGAACAGACGTCGAACAGAATGACCGAACAACGACACAGAAAAGGAAGAAGAGCTTCGGCTTGAGGAGGGTCAAGACAGCCCCTACAGGCTTACATGGCGCAATCACACATGGATCCATCACGACAATAGAGTCTACACCCGCGGCCAGCCGTATACGAGCATGGTCTTATCCACAAGTCAACTGGGATAAACTCAATCTTGTTCGACGTGTCCGTGGTAGTGTCGACCGCAAGGAAGCCCGTAAAGGCAAGGCCGCTTCTGAGCCAGGCTCGGATCCACAATCCCCAGCCGATGAGCATGAGATGCATATCGCGTCACAATTCCAGTACCCAATGATGTCTGGTGCTGCGCAAGACGATTCTTCGTACACGAAGCGACCCTCAGATGGTGCCGGGATATCACCACGAGCTTCGGGTTCCGCTTGGATAATGCCTTCTTCCTGGGCACAGAGTAGTGGCTCTCCAGGGAAATCCCTTCCGAGGGCAGACTCTCATGGTGAAGAAAAGCGCAAAGACTCGCATTTCTACGATGCTATCGTGGCCAAAGCGAAAGCCACTATAGACCTTGAAGCAGTTACTAGAGAGCTCACATCCGACAAGCGACCACATAGAAACTCGTCTATACTACTTCACCCCATAGACTGGATCAGAAGTCGTCACAACTCTGGTCAGTGTTCTTCGTCCGACTCATCAACCTCTGGCTCAGCGCCTCCATCCCCAACAACTCGCTCAGCACGCCCAGCACGTCGAAGACAAGAGACACATACAGCTCAGATCCCGAGCTTCGGCTGGCCTAGTGCCGAAGGACCAGATACGCCCATGCAGACCGCCCACGTACTAAATGCCCAAGCACAAAGCGTCTGTGGCAAGATATCTGAAGCATCTACATCCACTGTCGACGAGCTCCTCAAAGAGTCTCGCCCGACATATCTTCCACCTGGTGTACAGATTCCCGCACCAGGACAAGCAGGCCCTTCAGACTGGTTAGACCGCGGCTTGGAAGATCACTACCGTCGCTCTGCCGAACTCGCAACTCGAGCTTCCCATCCCATGGAACCTTCGCGCTACCTTCACGCACAACGAGGAGAAGATAAGCAACGTTTCAATCCTATGCATAAGTGGCAGCAAGATCAACATCCCGCCCATAGACACAATGTCCATTCCTTTGCAGTTGGGATGTACGCGCAAGCTTGGGATTGGGCACTCGATAACAAAGGCAAAGGTGTTGCACAATCGGACTTTATGGAGGGTCGTGGTGGAGAGGTTAAGAGAAAGAAAAGCAGTGGTGGACGAGGATCTTGTGTTACTACTTTGACACTTGCAGAGTGTGATTTCGGAAAGGAATAAGATGTATAGTAGAAGGATAGATCAGAGGTACTCCAGGCCCACGAGCAATCACGAAATCTGGGGGTCTCTCTCTACAATGATCGATGTCAATAGTCTTTGAAACTGTAGAGATGCACAATGGAATCCCGGGTTTGTGATGCTGCGTCGCAGAGAACGGTCGGAAATGTCACTCTTCTCAATCAGACAACCAAATCTGAAAAGTTACTATGCATTTTCACAGTTGACGAGATTGCCATGTATAGCAACCGAGACAGTATAGCCAGGCTCCTCGCTGCAGACGACGAAGCAGGCTCATGACTTTGAAGCACTATACCATAACCCTCCTCAACCCACCCGTTCCACCCAGTAATCTTCGTCCCGTGACCGCACATCTGCCTTTTCCATCTTCCCAATTGCCTTGCCTGTTACCTCCAGTTTCCTCTTTCCACGCCTCGTCTTCTGCTGTTCCTTGCATGAAAGCGACTTGACGGGGATGTTCACCTTGCACCCAGCGGAAAATACAGGTATAGCAGAAAACATAGCCTGTTTGTGCTGCTGTGGGTGTCGTGATGGCTGAGAGGCAAATCGGACATGTTGCAGCTGCATCAGAAGGAATCGGTGCAACAGTGTAGATGGGGAGATTTGTGAGGGTGGAGATTGGAGGATTGCGCTTCTCCTGTTTCTCTTGTTGCTTTTCCTCCTTTTCGTTTTCAGAGGTTGCAAATGTGACGCCGGATTTCTCGGGCGAGACAGGAGAAGGTTTTGGTATTCCTGTTATTGTGGGAGGAGGGAGTTCGAGTCCTTCTGCTGCTTTGCGGGAGAGTTGTCGTGCGAAATCCGAGGCGTGCCACCATTCCAAGAATTTCAGGGCGAAGATTGATGTTGGGAGTAGGATCTTGAGACTCGAGAGCAGGCGCGGGTATACGGTATGTGTTAATGTTCGTGGACTGAAGAGGGATTGTGGGCCAGGGGGAGCACCGGGTCGTGTTGGTGCAGGGGCGGCGGCTTGAGCAATGGCTTTGTGGTCTGCTTGGTTCATTCTGCGAATGCGTGTGCCGATGAGCCAGAAGAACGGGTTGTGGTATTTCGACGTGTCGAAGAGATATGTCAGGTTGAAAGCCAGCAGAGCGAAGTAGTAGGCGGCATTGACGCTAGGATAGACTTTCCGCAAGAAGCACTTGTAGTAATGGAAGATCTTTTGTCTGTATGTTGCATCCTCGGATAAGGCGTCACCTCTGAACGAAGGACCCAGGATATTCGCCGAAGCAGCATGCATGTCGTAGTGTTCGTCAAGTTTCCTCTTCGTATACGGCAAGGCTACCATGATGGCCAAGTTCTTCCAGATGTCCGAGTTGCGAAGCTTCAAGCTTTCGCGGACTTGATCTGGTGCTCCTAGTGCAGCTCTCGGGATCTCGCCTCCCTTGATTCGTAGTACACGCTCGCGCTTGAGTCCATAGAAGTTTTCTGTGAAGCCACCGCCATATGTGCGGAGGTAGTGTCGTTCGACGATCAAAGAAAGGAAGGCGTAGAGCTCATCGAAATTGTTAAGGATGCGGAGCAGGTAGCGGGGGTAGCGGTGTGTCGCGACAGCAAGGAGGTATCGTAATGATGGTGGAATCAGTGCACCAAGTTGTTGCTCGGATAGTAGTTCTGCTAACAGTCAGTTTACAACCATCATGATGCGACGGCCATCAGTGGTTACCGAAGAGCGACGGCTTCTGCTCATCCAGCCCACTCTGTAGATTGGTCATGAATTCCATACCGACTTCCTTCTCTGCCTCATCCTATTATAAAGTCGCCTCTTCTCCAAGGTAGTCGCAAGAAGCCTTTCGTTGTCTTGTGAATCTTCATGCTTCTTCACATGCCGGTGACGCGGAGGTCAAGATCCGGGGCAATAATCAGGCCGAGGTCGCTAGGTCTTGGCAAGGGTCTGCTGTCTATACCGTTCACAACGCCCTGCCCATTAATCATCTACATCAAATCATTGACATCAGGGACGGTATTGTTGACCATCTTCACGCCGTCACTCGGGAACCGCACCTATGATGTGAACCAGGAAGAAATGCAATTTTATGATTCGCAAAGAAGAACACAACAAAAAGGTATCTCGACGAGGCTTTCGGGCAAAGAAACACTCATGTCGCTTGGCAAGAAGACGCCTCAAACCAACGCCATGCACAAAGAACAAAGCACAACCGTCTCATCATCAACATAAACTGCATCCTCTCCTGACCTCACTCTCATCCTCCCTCAATCCTCGTCAAAGATCTGGAACGTATTCGTCAAAATCGTATCAACAACTCTAGCCTGCAAACTCGCATCTGCAATCTGCGGTCCAGTATGCGAACCCATCAAAGAAGGCGCAAAGCAAATGGCGAGATTGGAAGTCGACATGCGGTTCTTTGCGTAATGCTCCTGAACACGGTTGAGATGCAAGACCAAAGCTCGAAGGGTGGCGTAATTGGGGTCGGGAAGTTCATTGATGACAGAGTGGACAGCGTCGCGACGTTGAGTGTCGTCGTCGATGCGGGCGGCGTTTATGAAGCCGTTGTAGGAGCGGCGGGTCAAGAGGGGGTCGGGGAGTTCGCGGAAGAATTGTTTGAGGAGGCCGGCTACGCTGTTTACGTCGTGGTAGAAGGCTGCTGGGTTGCGGAAGTCGACGGTGGTAGAGTCTGTCATGTTGTCAGTATTGATTTATCAGATTACATGATCAAGAGGTGTTGACATACCGTGGTCGAAGAGAGCCTTGATCTGTTGGACATGGCTGGCTGTTCCACTGAGACGGTAAATACCCTCGACATCGAGTCCGAAGAGATCGACGGCCTGCATGCATTGGTAGACTATCATAGGGACAGCAGTCTGATCTCTTGCATAAAGGTCATCGAGGCTGACACCAAACACGGGCTTGAGTGGCGGGGGTAGAGCAGATGCGACAGGACCAGGAGACAGAGAAGGTTGTTGCGAGGGGAAGCTTTGCTGAGCTCCCATACTAGCAGGTGTAGTAGGTTGATAGGGTGCGCTCGTGCTCTGGGTAGAAGCAGAGAAAGCACGTGGCGCCCCTGAGCTGGTAGGATATGGCGCAGAGTTGTATTGCTGAGGTGGCTCGGTGGGGTAAGGTGGGTTGCCAGGGTTGGCGTAGAAAGGCTGTGTTGGAGATGTTGTTGCAGGTGGTGTGGCTGCTGTAGTGGGGTAGGTAGACTGTTGAGTCGTCACAGTCGATAGTGGTGTTTCAGGTAGCGCTGGGCCAGGAAGAGTGGCAGAAGGCTGTCGACTCGCTGGAGTTGGTGTCTGCTGCTTCGGTCTCAAAGTCGGGTGCTGTTCGTACTTGATGTCCGACGTCTTGGAAGGAATCTTCGAGACATGGCCGGCCAGATAGTTGTCAAAGTCTGATTTGTTGTCGATCTTCAAGACAATGTCGCGCAGACTATGTTGGACGGGCGCTGAAGCATCGGTAGGAGGGAGCGGGCTGACAGCGATGCCGTTGCCCAACAGAAGCTTCTCATTGAACGAGGCGAACTTCTGTAGTTGGAGGGCCAGACCAGAATCGCACTCGTTGATCAGCTCCTGCAGAGCCTTGACGGCCAAGGGACGCGAAGCCTTGATGAGCTCCTCTCTTTGGGCTTTCGCTGCTTGGACCTTTGCCTGATAGTCCGAGTCTGCGACCTGTAGCTTGCGCAGAAGATCTTCCTCTACCTGAGGAGCACTCTTCATACCCTTTAGTCCAAGTCTCCTGGAACCTTTTGCGTCGCCGGTACGAGCACGGTCATAATCCTCTGCAAGAGCGTCGTATCTTGTCTTTGCCTTCTCCATGGCAGCTTCGGCATCGGTAGCACGCTTCTCAGCATTCAGGCCTTCATGCTTCCAGTGCTTCCTACCCTTCTCCATGTTGTTGGAAAGCTCGTTCAGATCCTCGTGCATCTGGTGCAGAGCCAGAGAGAATTGCATGCCATTGTCGGCGATTTTGTCGTGGAGGCGCATAGCCTCATCCAGGCGGTTGACATATGAGCCCTGGCGCGACTCCTTGGAGTGGATGCTGTCGCTCGTCGACTTGACTAGGCGTCTGAGACCTTTGGCATGGTCTTCCTCCACGGCCCCTCGCTTCTTCAAGAAATCGGAAAAGTCCTAAGGCTTTTGTTCAGTAGGGCGTTAAATTGAAAGACGAGCATGCGTGAGCGTACGCGAGAAGAAGCAATGCTTTGCTTGAGACGGTTCAACAAGGTGTTTATACCAATCTACACGGGTCAGTCAAAAGCTTGGAGATTCGTGATGCGACAAACGGACGTCCGAGTACATGACTTTCTCCACATGGTTGGACACGGGCGCAGTCGCGGGCGCGACAGTCGGTGTGTCGTGCAAGGTGCCATTTGCATCACCGTTGGTGCCAAGTTCCGTGTCTCGCGGAAGGTCAGACGACATGTTGGGATAGAGGACGGTATGCTGGACTCGAGAGTGCAGGAAACGGAGAATGGTATTGTTATAGACGGAGCTCGTGAACACGCTTCCAATGGCCTTGGCACACGCGTCTGATACGAAGAGCTGGGGCTTAGATCCGCGCGCTACAGGTCGCTTTCGTCATGCTCCGGCCCTAGCCCGACCTTCCATAACAAAGCTGCCATTTCTCTGTACCACATCCACAACTTTCATCGCAAAAATCATGTCTGACGCGCACGCCCCTCTGACGTGGGAAAACTCCAGCAACACTCAGCCTCAGCTGGCCACGTCTTTACCATCCGAAGTCGTCAACTGTCTTGAGAATGCTCGCTATGTCCGCACACCCCGCCCCAAACGCTCGCCGTCGAACAAATGCTAACCATCATGACAGCTCCATCTGGCGACCTGCACAGAGCTGCAACCTCATGTCGCTCTCATGAACTACACCTATCTCGCCTCACATCCCTTTGCAGACTCTTCGTCGCAAATGCCCTCGGGTCCCGTCATCATCATGACTTCGAATCCTGCTTCGCGCAAGACTGTCAACCTTACCGCAAACCCTAATGTCTCGCTACTGGTACATGATTGGGTCTCACATAGACCCGCGACAAACAACAGAAACTCGTCCCCCGAGGGCCGCAGAGCTCCTGGTCGCAGTTCGCTAGCTTCGCTGCTGATGGGTATGAACACAACTCAGATGGGCTCCATCAGTGCTACCATCAATGGCGACGCCGTTGTGCTGCCTGTTGGATCGGAAGAAGAGAAGTGGTGCAAAGTACAACATCTGGAAAACAATACCTTTGAGAGGGAAGAGACATCACAGAACGTCCTGAGCCAATCAACAAGCAACGCAGAGAGTGAAGAGGCCAGCAGACAGTCTTTCCTTCAGGACGAGGACATAAGAGTTGTTGTCGTGAGGATAAGAGAGGGTAGAATCGCTGATTGGAAGGGTGGTGTCAAGGACTGGGTCTTGGCTCCTGCTGAGGGCACAACCAACCTGACAAACGGCGTTTGAAATGATGAGCTTGGGAGCATTTTCTGCAATCAAGAAACTGTTAATATTCTGCCATCTTCCGACCATGATGGATTTCTTCAAGTGTCGTATGTGAGGCTCGTCCTATAACACTATAGAAGCTTGAAGTTGACTCGGACATCGTTCTCCCGAGCCGAGTCTCGTCAAGTCAACCCTGATTGTCCAATAGCCTGGAGACAAATCTATCTTTTGTGCAACCATGACGGCAGACAAAAGATGGCACGAATAGCTACCGTATCTAATCAGAACAAGGGTCTGGATGAGCAAAAAGTCACGTGGATTTAGCGCATCTTGGCAGAGCGGCTGCCCCTCGCGCAGTCACCCTCAACCCTCTTTCGAACTTCACAACATCGCAACTTCTTACGCAACACTCTCCACTCAACAAGACTTCTTCGTCCACCGCAAGAACCCACCAAACAACACCTTACACACCTTTTATCCAAAACCCTTCCCCGGAAAAGAGAACAGCAACTGCGTTTTATGTCCGCCTCGATCGAAAACCTCAAGTCCTTCGGTACGTTTGCGCAACACCACCCCGCTACGTCAGGCCGAGACCAGCAGCACACCCCACCTTGACTTGCTCTTTGGACCTCCTCTACTGTCACTCATGGTCTATGGGTCACTTGTCCACCAGAGACGCCGAGCCCATCTGCCAGCAGTGACGGCGGAGGACAAGCGCCGACCGACACCGCCACACTTGGGCATCACCCGCTGACTCGTGTGACTCGAACAGACCCCTTCGCCGAAGCCGATGAAGACACCGGAGAGATAAAGCAGTCGAACCAGAGCAGCTACATTCACATCCGTATCCAGCGTACGTCTTTGCACTCCTTCCATCATCTGACCGTTCTTGGCAATAAGGCGGTCGCTGGTTACACTGAAAAAAGGCGGGGTATGCTGACACAATCTTTTCATCACAGAGCGCAATGGACGCAAGACCTTGACCACTGTCCAAGGACTCCCCAAGAAGTTTGACCAGAAGAAGATCCTCAAGGTCATCAAGAAGGCCTTTGCTTGCAATGGCACCATCGTGAGCGACACCGAGATGGGTGAAGTCATCCAACTCCAGGGTGATCAGAGAAAGGATGTCCAGGAATTCTTGTGTGACAAGAAGGCCGGCCTGGGTCTTGATGCCAAGACCATCAAGGTCAGTTTCGTCAAGCTCTGTCGCTGTCTGTCCGTCAAACTGACATGTCCCTCCAGGTCCACGGTTTCTAAACGTCCAACAACCGCGCCATGCACCCTCGTCGGGTACGAGAGATCGGCCGGTGGATTACCACGACATTTGTTCCTCTTCGAATCGTCTACAAGGCGCCCATTGCCACGATCCACACGGCTATTCTTTTGACTCTCTACGACCCTTTACGAACATTTTAGACATGATTTGCTATTGGCCAACATCATAAGCCTCGAATGATTGGCGCGGGAAATTCTGGCGTTGCTCGAAATCCCCGAAGCTGTCTTTACTGCTGTAGCAACAGTCTTGCACGACTGATTTGCTTCATTTGCTCTTTTTCCTGTTACCCTTTCTGTCTCAATTCTTCCTTTTGACCGCCTTTGCTGTTTTTGCCAGGCCCAGAGGACATTGCTACGAAATATGGAAATGCTCAGTATTGCTTTTACAAGCCTTTCATCTTTCCTGTGACTTTTCCCTACATGTTTCCTGTCTTTAAATCAGTTCGCCCGCAGATCTCTATCTTGGAGTCTATTGATCAACGTTTTTCTCTCTCTTTGGATATGCCCATAGTCGTCTTGATGAACTCATGGCTGTCTTCACTCTTTGGCGGAGTCCGATCACCGTCTTCAACATTTGGGCTGGTCAACATGTGCTCGTAGAATTATATCTCGCTATGTTACAATGTGGTATATTTTGAAAATGGTATTGTACAAATGTTGTGGCTTCCAGCCCCTCATGCCTATGGGACCGTCTCCTCATGCATCAGCAAGAGCCTCATTCGGATCCGACTCAGTCGTCGTACCCCAAATCATCCAATCACCCATATTACCCCTCTTACACAACCTCTGCACAACAAGATATTCCGTGACAGCCTTTGGACTCGCCTGACTACTCTGCTCATCCATAACCTCGACCACTTTCCCACCCAGCTTGACCTTCTTCACCATCTTCAAACTCTGCAAACTCTGCATCCTCACCACAACCTGTTGGATGGTGGTTTGCTGTGTCTTGTCCTTGTTATCCTCCAAACTCATGGGCATGTATTTGTGAGACACGACTTTGGGCTCGGCAAGCCATTGATGCAGGGACCACATCATGCCAGTATTTGGGCCGCGGGCGTGAATACGCGCTTCCAGGGACTGAGCGATATTTTCGCAGAGTTTTGGCATTATGGGGGCGAGGTTTCCTTGGGAAAAGGACGTGTACATTTCAGTGTAGAGGTCTTTTGAGATGGAGGGGATTTTGGAGGTTTGGAAGTCTGCGCGGGGTTTTACGTGCATGTAGCCCATGTAGTGGCGGCTGTAGATGTCAATGTATTAGTATGGGAGAGGTTCGTTTGGCAGAAAGGAGGCTTAGGAAGGAGAGAGAGGGAAGAGAGGGAGGAGGCTTACCCGAATATTTCCTTCATGCGAAGCCAGATGCGGTGTTTTTCGAGTGCGTAGCGTGTCTTGAAGTCTTGTGTAAGACTGGGTAATTGGTTTCCAGTGGGCATGATGAAAGTTCCTGTATCCCTTCAATTAGCCCCGCTGCTCTTGTATACCATCCTCTTTTTGTCGACTGACCAGGAATTAAGCCGACATCATTCGGCATCTGATCAATATTCTTCATCTGTTCCTTCTTCATAACCTCGAATGACTTTTGCGACGGCTGCTTCAGAGAAGTCTCTCGGGGTGCAAAAGACTTCTTCTTGCGTACACCGGCATTGCAGGTGTTGGTGTTGCTGAAGAGGCGTGCGGGCTGGTGTCGCAAGCATGATTGCCGGAGGTATGGCGCGAGGAGGGCAGTGAGTGGTGTGGTGCCGTTGTGTTGCAGCAGCAAGCGCTGCACCGGCGTGCGTGTTGACATTGTTGGGCTGTGTGTGATGTGAGGCGTAAAGTGGTGGCCGGTTGGTATAGATGTTTCTTGGTGGAGTGGAAATGTCGAAAGCATAGACCACGTCGGGATGCCGGGAGGCTTTTTCGGCGAACTCGGGGGTGAGGGTTTGGTACTGCACACGACCGTGACTGCTGCCACTCCAGAAATTCCATTGATAAGATTGTAGATCTGATACAAGGTAGGTGCGATCAACACGGCAGTGCTTTCGTACTTCTTCGGAAGTCTAAAGTTCCAAGATGTTTCAATGCATAGACGAAGCTCAATCATTGGAGCAAAAGCTCGGAATCCTTCTGCAAGACGGGCTCATGACCTGCACTGCCGCCCAAATGGCCCCAGATAAGATGCGTACAAAGGTCGTCTTGCCTTGATGCCCTGGTCAGTTCGAGCCTCTATCAACTTGAACACACCCACCATACAATGGATCTCGGGACAGCTGTCGGAGTCGTCTCCCTAGGCATACAAGTACTGCAAGGTGTCATCGACTATTATGGCGCTTATCAGGACTACGGCGATGATATCGCCAGCTTCTGTACCTCTTCCTCAGCTCTCTTAAACACCTTGCAATTACTCCAGCTGCAGCTGGAGCGAAAGGACTTCGTCTTTAGTGCCTCCAGAGTTCACATTCTGGCATCCGTTCAACAGTGTAACGGAGGCGTGACCAAATTGAAAAGGAAGTTGAACAAGATCAAAGATCAGCCCATACCAGCCAAAAGCGACTTATTCACGAAGGTCAAGCATCATGCAGTCAACCAACTACGAAGGGTCTCTTATCCCTTCAAGTGCAGCACTCTGGCCAGGTTGAGGGAAATTATACAAGACCTTAGAGATAATCTGGCCCTCGCTCTACAAGCCTTGGGCCTCGATACGGCCGACCAACACGCTAAGACATTAGCTACGGTCGATCTGAAAGTAGACGAAGTGATTACCAAGTTAGAACGCCTGAACAAACGTATAATTGACGACGAGATGAAAGAGTGGCTCTCTCCTACAAATTCGAGTCCATACTTGCAGGCAAAGCTGAAGCAATGGTCACCGCATACTGCTGCTTGGCTGCTACAGGGGAAGCTCTTCAGCGATTGGGTCAGAAAATCGGGATCGATATGGCTGACTGGCATGCCTGGATGTGGCAAGTCTGTCATCTGTTCTGCTGCAATCGCTATGACCGAAAGACAATGCACCGCGTCCAAGCGATCCCTGATAGCATACCACTTTTTTACTTTCACCGATGCCAAAACGAGGACCGTCGATGCTATGATGAGAAGCCTCGTACATCAATTAGCCCGTCAATCGGGCACCTTCTACAACGCAACGAATGTTTTGTTCGACAAGTGTCATGAGGAAGGTCAACCGCCTACCATTCCCGAACTATTCGACTTGCTCACAGAGGCTCTCCCCTATGACGCGGAGACCTACCTATTCTTGGATGCCCTGGATGAATGCGACGAGCAGACTGAGCTCACTGACTTCATCCAGATGTTGCAGAAAGAGTCTCCGAACTTGCATTTGTTTCTTACGAGTCGTCCTCACGTCGTATCTGCGGAAGTCATCAAACCGGGAAATCACGTCCAGATCGACCTGGCATCAGAACTTGACGCCATCAACGTGGACATCGAACGCTATGTCAAGCAATAACTCTCAAGCGATTCTGTCTTATGCAAATTCACCCCAGCTTTGAAAGTCAAGATCGAAGCGAAGCTGTCTGATGCCAAAGGAATGTAAGCTATGTATCGCTCCCATATTGATTCTTCCAAGACTGATGAGTGCCAGGTTCCGTTGGGCTTCATTGCACCTGCAAGGACTCAAGAACCCAAAGCTGACCAGAATGGGCGATCACATTGTCGAGAGACAACTGAACAATCTTCCCAAGAACCTAAACGGGACGTACGATAGCATACTCGATAGCATGGACGAGACTAAACGCTGCGAGGCCGAAAGGCTGTTAGCGATCATCTGCTTTTCAAAGCGACCCTTGGCACTGCCCGAAGTCGTTGATGCTCTTGCAATCGACTTCCAGGACCCTGACGAGGGACCCTTTGACCCAGACCATCGCGCCAAAAGACCCAATGGCAATTCTTGAGTACTGTCCAGGCCTTGCATCTCTGGTACAGCCAAACGATCTTCTAATTTCCGTAATGCCTTCGGTTGCACCAACAGTGGTGCTAGCACACTTCTCTGTCGAACAGTATCCGCATCTGAAGCTCGACGAATGGCGATTCGGGAAAGTAGCTGATGCTCAAGCACATATAGCTTGCATCTGTTTAAGATATCTTACGCAGTACGAAGACCCCATAAAGCTTGACTTGCTAAGTGCCGAAAGGAGATATCCTTTGTTTCGCTATGCCCGCATGAATCTTGCAAATCACCTGAAGCTCTCACTCTACGATGCCGGAGCTACAGAACTTACTTGGAAGTTATTCAACATGCCCTTTGAACTCAGAATTTGCTACATTGAGGGCTTGCATTTAGATGAGCTCTCAGATATCTGGAGAAGTATCTCCAGATCTAGTATCCAGTCGAATGCAGCGATCGGTCTCGTTTGTGCGGTTTTCTGGGGTTTGCGAGCACTAGTCGAGAGGTTCATCGCCCTCGACTTCACACGCATCAACGAGTCTGTCGACATCGAGCTCAAGTTTGGCAAGTATTTGCCGCGTACAGCAAGTGAGGCTGCGGCATTCGTTCATGACTTTGAGCTCTTTGTCTTACTCCACAAGGCCGGAGCCAACTTCAGTAACTCGTTGCAATGTGCTTTGGTGGTGAGAGTGGACGACTTACACCCCTCAGAGCGAGAGCAAGATACCACAGACGACATCATCAATTACATGCTATTCAGTCACTCAGTCGACTGGATCTCTCCCGATATCTTGTTTCTCGCCGTGTACCAAGGCAGAACTCGATTAGTGCAAACACTTCTCGAGAACGGCGCAGATCCGCTTGCTTATAGTCTCTACCCTAAATTCTCGCAGATGCCGATTCGGGTATGTCTCAGAACCCGGTGGTCGAAGTCTCTTGGGATGAAGCTTGAGGACAATCTGATTGATGTTGCCAAGAATAGAGGACACAAGGATCTTGAGAGATTATTGTGGGAACATACTCGAATCTCTACAGTTGACACCGCGGTTTCCTCAGCATTGATTGCACCCGAATCCAAAAACTCGTCTCTTGAGGATATTGGAGGTTCTATCAGCTGAGAATCTCAGAACATAGCTTGATAGCTTTCCGTATGAATGATCTGCGAAACCATCTCTTTTTACTTGTGAATTCTAGAGTATAACTTGATCATATCCCCCCCCCCCCCCTTTCATCGATTCTGTTGTTACTCTCTTTTCCCCCCCAAAGATTGCCCCTGAAGGAGAGTGAGTACTTGGGACATCCACGTGTAAAAGTCTGTAGATAGCAAGATCTGAAACACAAAAACACTCGGGTCGCGATGCCAGAATCCAGAAGATCAAAGGCAAAAAAAAAAGAAATAAGAAAGAAACCCAAGATGTAAACTGAAAAAACATCAACTTCGTAGAAAAAAAAAAAGCTAGACAAAAAAGGCCAAGTCGAAAACTACTACGATAAAGAACATATCGCAATCCAGGGGAGTTTATCTGAATCTCAGAACTCAAAAACTCTTTTCATCTCTCATGGCCTTTGTGGTACATAGGCGTGTGAGAATCTTTTGTAGCCATTTGTGAGGTATTGAACTGCCCCACTCTTTTTGAACCAAGGGAGTAAGAGTGTTAGACTGTAGCATTCATGGTCATCGAAAGAGATTTCCGGTCATGTCCCACAATAGAGCGCGAGGTGGCGATGATGATCCAACGGTTTGACATGGATGTGTATAGCAAGATGTCGCAGCACATAACTCCAACGCCTGACGATGTACATGCCAAGAGTCCTGACTGTGAAGGCAAGGGTCAACATGATTGATCCGTAATCATTGTTTCAATTGTATCTGTGATGTTGCGACTACTGCTACCAACCAAAATTCATGTGTGCTCTTGACTGTTTCATATACGCCCCAGCTCCATCCTCACCGAACTAAAACAAAAAAGAAGTGTCTGTGCTGTGACCAAAAAAAAGTCGGAGCGAGTGTGCATAGAAGGAAAGAAACAGAAACTCCTTCGCCGGTTAGACCACCCAGGATATCATGCGCTCGAAATGTCAGAAAGGAGGACCATTAACGCCATAAAGGAGAGTGCGTGAAGGAACAGCACTACAAAGCAATACCTCTGGGACTACCCAAGACGCGCTCAGCTTTGCTTGTGCTCATTGTACGAGGCCTCTCCGGGACGTCTTCGTACATTCTGGAGGTTTGCTTGGAAGTGCTAGCCGCACGAGCTCTGGTAGTGAGAGTGGGCGAAACCGTCCTGCCTTCTTTTGGAACAGCACCGATAGGGGTGACACCGCCAGATTGTCGCACACGAGATGTAGGAGTACGCTTGAGTCGGCTGGTTCGCCAGTTCTCGTACCACTTCTCACGAGATGCAACACGCACATCAGAACGCCAGTCTCCAAACACGCATTCGCGCAGACGAACATAGTCGCAATGAGCTGGATTGCAAGGATCTGCTTCTCCCCAGGGAAAGATGCGTGTCAAGGCACCAGGTGAGGCGTGTGAGTCTGGGCTCAGGATCGAGAAGGGAAGGAACAGCTCCTCCGGTGCAGGAGTGCACGAGTCCGCACGTTTGGATGAGACCGGGCCCAACATGGATCTCGACGTCTTTCTAATTGGCGAGAAGGTGCTGCCCATTGTGTCGCTTTCCTCAGCATTGGTGTCTTCGGTCACCTTGAGTGGCGGCGAGCTGTTCATAGGAAGAAGCTCGGAGTCGGAACTTGAAAGCTCACTGTCGAGAGCCTCAGATTCAGGAGAGTCATCTTCGTCGTCCACGTTCAATGCTGCCAGTGGATCGAGTTTGGCGTGCTTAATGTTAGACCAGACCAGGCGCTTGAGGTGGGCCATGTGGGCAGCAGTGAGAGTGTCGGCCTTGGCGATGATGGGGATGACGGTTGTCTTGTTTTCGAGTGTTCTGATGATATCGAGATCGAGTGATTCGTCAAGAAGATCCAAAGCGGCGCCTGACAAGTTCCTTGAGGAAGATGGATCGGTAGAGTGCATGGTAGCATCGAGGCGAGCAGGGTCCAGAAGCAAAAAGACACAGTGAATGTGAGTGTCCTTGACTCCAGGTGTACGCACGACTCTCGACTCTTGTGTGAAGGTGTCCTCGAATTTGGATTCGACAAAGGCAGCCAGATGGCGAAGTTGAAGATCGATGATGCTCTTCTCCAGACCTTGTGAGTCCCAAAGGGTGACGCCGATACGCTCCCCCTCGATCTCGGTCTCGATGTAGGATGGCTTAAAGGGAGACTCGGTGTGAGAGTGTGGTGGAGGTGTGTGGCCACGGGTCTGCTTGTGTGCCGGTAGCGCCAGTGCTGTCTTGAGGAAGTCGACAAACGAGGTCTTTCCTGATCCTTTGGCTCCGGTGATGAGGATGCTAAGCGATGTGTCAGTCTTGATGGACGGAAAGTGACCTGAGGATGATTGGAGACATACTTGAAAGCCTCTGGCTCCTTTCGGCGACGCATCCTGCGAGGAGATTGCATACAGGCCGAGATGCTGGGGGCGTAGCTTTCCCTGCCGCGGCTGACAATACTCTCGGTACGAGGCAGAGAGGTGGGCATTGGAGGCATCGCAACACCGTAAGTGTTGGCGGTAGTGAGGCTGCCGGTCGATGACATGGATGGCATAGATGAGTTTGACATGCTTGTCTGCTTGGCTCCGGGGCGAGAGAAGTTTGCTGGGAGAGGATATTCGTGCCCTTTTCCGGATATAATTGCAATCGAGTCAGGGCGAGTGATTTCCATTGGCTCAATATTAGACAGGGTGGGCAGAGTAGGTGGGGATGTAGATATCATGGGCATCTGCTGCTCTTGGAGACGGCGTTCCTCCTGGTCGCGGAGTTTCTTGCTGCGTAGCATTCTGCGTCCTGATGGGCTGCGGATAACTGGAAGATCGTGTGATTTTGAGCGCGTAAGGAATGAGAAGCTACCACGGCGTCGGGGTCGCGACTGCTCTGAGTTGACTTGTTCGTCACTTTCCGAACTACTCAGGGAAGCTGCTTCCTGCACTGTGTCAAATGGTGAGACTGCCATGCTGACTGCAATTTGTGTAGTGGTCGACAATCGTTTCGGCGGCTTTTGGGGAACTGGTCTTGATGGTACAAATTCTAGAGATTCGTCCATGGACATGGAAGACATCGAAGCCACCGACATGATTATGGTGCGAGAATGAACGAAGAGAGGTCAGACTTACCGTCACACAATAGGCCGAGGCGGCTCTTTCTATAATCCAGCCCTCCTTCAGGTTGATGCGCAGTCTAGTGGGGAAGACCGGCGCAATCTGACGTACAAGACGCTAACCGTCGCGATAAAACACTCCAGGATCTCTGAGGAAGAAGAGCTGAGATGCAGGGTCGAGGCCGAATCGGTACGGAGGTGGGGTTAAACAAGTTTTGTGCACCTGCACTCCTGAGTGCTGCAGATAAGGTCAAGTTGGCGACCATCATAGCATGCGCCGCCTTCACTTTATGACCGTCGCTACCTGTGTGAGACTTCCCAAACATGCTCATCAAACATGACAACAAGGATGCAACATGCTCATTCAATTTATTCGTGGTATAGGGCTGGGAGCTAGTGAAACGCGGGAAAGCGTTCTCTTTCCGCTCCCGCTACTCGACCCGGGACCCTGGTGGCTGTCTGCACCTCGGAGCTCACCACTTCAATCTCCTTGGTTGTTACAGATGTTATCCTGCAGTATGCCAACGATAAAAGGTCCTTGCTGATCGCGATGATTTCCTCCTTGCCTCTCGTCACTGTCGCAACAATGTCGCTCTCACGCTACGAGACACGACTCTCTATGACCGGATCAGAGGCCACTTCTCCGAAGGGTTGCAAGAAGCTTTATTGTTTGCGGCTCTCATCGTTGGGACGATTGTGCCACACCTTGTTTGCCCCGCTTGCGTCTCCGGGCCAAATTATATGAGAGGGATTTGGACAGTCGCTTACTAAAAGTAGGGATTTCATACATGCATGCTATGGAACGCGTGACTCGTCCGCCAGAATCAAGTGAGCTGTCTGGTGTCATGGCTTGTAGACGAGGACCAAACGACTTCTCGAGTTTTGTCACCAACCCAGGACATCATGTCTGGCTTCAAACAATCCTTAGACGTTCGGTCTCCTACTCTGGTCGTGGTCTCTTGGCACCATGGGGGTTACCATTGGGCGACATGCCGCCACCCGTTGCGTTACCATTCGCTGCAGCTCCAAAGAAGCCTGGGTTGAAGTGGCCTCCTTGCGTGTTGTTGCTGAAGTTACCTGCTGCATGTAAGTATAAGCTGATATTGCTAGTAGCTTCAATGAAAGACTTACCCATACCCATGTTGCCCATGTTGCCCATATTCATAGCACCCATAGCTCCCATATTGTTCATGTTATTCATGCCCATGTTACCCATGCCCATGCCCATGCCCATACCCATGTTAGGCATCATCATTCCGCCTCGGCCGCGGTTGTTCTGGAAACCTCCACGCATGTTGCCGCCCATCATACCACCACGGTTGTTGAAGCCTCCCATGGCATTATTGTTGAAGCCGCCCATCATGTTGTTGTTGTTAAAGTTTCCTGCCATTGCTCCTCCATTGAAACCACCCATCATGTTCATCTGAGGGTTGTTGAAGCCACCGCGGCCCATACCACCCATGTTCATGCCGGTATTCATGTTGTTCATACCGCCACGGGTGTATCCTCCGCGTCCGCCGCGGAAACCACTGGACTGCTGAAAAGCAGGTCCATTGTTATATGCACCGGGCGTAGCGACTTTGCCGCGCTGAGGAGCATCTTTGGGTGAGGTCTTGAAGGGATTGTAGTCTGGACGGACGTAGATGCATGTGTGCTTCTTCACATATTGCTGGTCTGCGCCGAAAGAGTCGATGCGATGTTTGAGTGCCGTCGCCGCCTGCGGCGATGCGAGCTCAACAAACGCTTCACTAAATGGTTCTCTTAGCCTCATGAACTCAAGTTGGACGAGCAGCATTACTCACCCCTTGCTTTTTCCATTGACTTTGTGCTCATTAAAGGTCACTTCCTTCAGCTCATCTTCACAACCACATTGGTTGGCCCAGCCTCGGATGTCATCTTCACTGATCCACCACTGGAGCTCGCCTAGCCTCAATGCTGATGTGGCTCCAGGGTCAACCTCACGGCTGTCTTCTCCTTCTTTGCGCTTGGTGCCCTGTTCGGTGGGTGCCTGCTTCGGTACGTTGTACTGGTCTGCTGATGAGCCAGTAGTGCTATGGATCTGCTGCTGCTCCTGCAGACCGCTTGAGTCGGCGGCTCCATGACTCTGCTCATACTGAACCTTCATCTCGTCGGGGTCACCTTCCAACTTGACATCGCTGTCTATTGGAGGCTCAGTCTCTGGTTCGTTGACTTGTTGAGCATAGTCGGTTCCGTCAAGTTCTGGACTGGTTTCGGTATCATGCTGTTTCTGCTCTTCTTTAGGCTGCGGTTCCGGCTTGAGATCTTGCTCATCATCGCCATAGATGTCAATGTCGAAGTTATCGTCGTCAGCCATGATGAATGATGCGCTTGTTGAAGTCGATGTGTAGGGGTCGAGGTCCGCACGGGTGGTATCAGATCAGAACAAGTTCACTGTTGTGCGTCTTAGTCTGCAGAGAAGCAATCAATCAGCAAGTGAATAAGAGAGAAATAACGATCTCTGAGTGTTGCGGTACTCGACTACCCACGACCAGCCACGTTGTCTCGAGTCCCCAAGCACAGTCACTTTGACCACACAGATCTGCGCGTTCCACCTGGCTGCTCCCTAGGCGAACGGCCGAATGGAACAGTGGCCAGTCGTCGGAGTAGCCATGCAATTGAAAGACGAGGCGAAACATGGTAACCATACAAAGGTGGTGACTGCTACACGTTGATACGTACATGTTAACGAGCTTCAGCAGATAGCTTGACAGGATGTATGTGAGACAGAGCTCGATCCTTGTTTCAAGGGTACAGGAATAGAAAGAGAAGAAGCGTCAAAGAGATATGTTGTCCCCTCCTTAGGTCGGCAGGGTGATACAAGAAGTCCTGTGTAGAAGAGCACGCTTTGCGACGATGCCTTGTCCGTGTGTACAAGATGCTTTTCAAAGCAATCAGTGTCCTCGACTCTGTTCAAAACTCTGGTGTCCCCCTCTCTTGCCCAGCGATCAGCAACACAATGTCTGGACGCCGGTCAGCTGTTTGACTGCCGCCCTTCGACTGTCAGGCTTCGAAGTATGTCGAGCTCTCGAATGGTGTGTCGATGACTGCGCAACCAAGCGACGGCGAGTCAAGTAATATGCGAGCGATACGAGTGTATTAAAGTTGCAACAGTCGTCGAAGAAGAGTTCTGGTGAGCGTGTAGTGTGTGGCAGAAGCAGTCTGTACCTCGACTCCAGCCTCGTCGTGCCTTTCGCTGTTTGCTCTGTTTGTTTCCCATGTGACGCAGCCTCGGCATTGGCTCGAGTATCAACCAACTTGCTTATTAAAAAATCGGCACCGAAGAGCGAAACATAAGACTGACAAGTTTGTTGAATTCGTCTGTTCTGTATATTCATATCACAATGTCGCAATCAACTGCAGAAACGACGCAGGCCACCAAGCCCACCGAGCTCACCGAAGATGGCATCTTTGTGGCTCTCACTCACGACACATTGGACGCGATTACTATCATGAACAAAGTACGGAGTCCGAAAGCTGGTGCCATTGTACTGTTCGCTGGTACGCCATGAACTACACTCCAACTTACGAACTCAAGTCTGACATTCTATGAGGAACGACTCGCGACAACTTCGGAGATAAGCCTGTAGTACATCTGGCTTACGAAGCATACGCTCCTCTAGCCATCAGGACAATGGCCAAGATTGCACATGAAATCAAGACCAAGCACGGATTGAATAGTGTTGCAATGATCCATCGTCTGGGTGTTGTGCCCATTGCTGAGGAGAGCATCCTGATTGCGGTATCGTCACCACACAGACAAGCAGCATGGCGAGCAGGGGAAGAAGCCCTCGAATTGACCAAGGAAAAGGTCGAGGTGTGGAAGCTTGAGGAGTTCGGTGGTGAGGAGGGAGGTGTATGGAGAGCTAACAGGGATGGGCAGGCAGGCGCGAAGATCAGCCAATGAGTCGAGGGGGTCTCTAATTTACATATTATAATACAGGTCATAACGCATGAGATGGTGGCGGCGGAGGCCAGTATGACTCCGGCTGTCGAAGGACGTTAGGGTCGGTGGAGGATGGTCGGACATGTGGGAAACGACATGTTCTTCGGAGTCTGAAGACACGAGGAGTGTCGACCATCAGTTGTCTTTGGTGGAGACATGCAGACCGTCTTGGGCCTTCTGGAGCTTGGTGAGCCTCTCTTCCTCCTTCGCAGCCATGGCAGCAACAAGGCCGGCAAGACCCTCGGCCATGCCCTTGTTATCGCCGCCTTCCTTCTTGTCCATGAACTCTTTGACCATCTTCTCCATCTCTTCGTCTTGTTCGGCCTCTTCGAGAGCGGTACGTTCAAAGCCCCAGCTCTTTCTGAACTTGGATCGCATGTCTTCTGTGTCGGTGACGTCCAAGGCGTACATCATACCGCCGGTAGCCATCATGGCTGCACTGGTGACATTCAACGTAGCTAGAGCAAAGGCCTGGGCAGCTTCGACACCGCCGTTGACGTCCTTGGGCTGGAAGTTGGAGGGCGTGAATTGCCTCGGAGCAGAGGCAGCAAGTTTCCGGGCGACAGCTCTGCGCGTGACAACGAGACTCAGGCCGAAGAAGGTGGCGCCAGCGAAAAAAAGCGATAGTTGTCTGACAGTGCGTGCCCGCGGGTTTGTGCGCATCTTCTCCCGCAGTTCATCGTCGACTGAGAGGAGGCCATTTGGTTTCGGACTTTGGCTCGGGCTTTGGCTGACGGCTTGCGTGGGACTTTGTTGCTGCGTTGTTTGCACCGGCGGAAGAACAGCCTGTTCTGCTTTGGCTTTCTCGTCTCCGCCTGAGTACTGCGTGAGTAGGTTCGAGAGGATGCCCATTTTCTGTTCTGGTGTTTAGGAAGGAAAAGGGCGAATCACCTTGATCGCTTTGGGCTGTTGCTTCTCCGCAGAGCTTGTCGCGGCACGCCTGGCCCATGCGCAATCCCGACCACTTCCACGCTCTTCCATCTTCCCTCTTCCCTCTTCCCTCTTCCGTGTCCGCAACCTCTTGCGTCCTCGCTACAGTCTCGATGGCCCGAAGTAGCTGACCCTGTGCCAGTCTGTAATTTCGCTGTTGCACTGCCTGCTTCATCTTGCGTTGTGACCTTGGTGCCTTAAAATATGCATACAGAACATAAGCATGCCACAGCCCATTGATGCCCTCCCATGTGTCTGGCCCTGGCGGTGTAACCGGCGTCAGGCAACGTTGTACACAGTTTGTATTCTTCTTTCTCAATCTCGTCTTCAATCAAGACTTGGCGTGGCTTAAGAGTTCAATAGTGCACTGACATCAGCGCATGTAGCTTGCAGTGACAGCAAAGTCCAGTCCCCAGGTCTTTCGGATCCCGTGGCCGAGTACCATACCTGGCACTTTCCCGTCTGCTACACACTGATCTCATCATCCTGGCTAGGTCTTACATAGCATGCACCCCACACGGCGTATCGGGCTTCCTCAGGTACCTCTACCTCTACCAGAACCTCACCTCCCGCCCCGAAAACTGTGTCAGCAATAGCCTTGCTCTGTTGCACTGTTCCTGTATCTGGCCCATTCGCCGAATGATGATTCGTTTGAACAATTCTCCCGACCCTCGCACACATCGAAGCGTCATGAGCAGCGCACAGCGTACTGTATTATACACAACATCCACCGGCGAGTAGTCCGGTGGTGGAACAGCACGGCACAACTTGCAGGAACGCTGACTTCGTCTGCTGCAAACATTGAAGCTTCATGTTTAAGCTCTGGACCAAGACTTTGTACAGAAGCACATCATTCTATTTCCAGAGGTCAATGCTACCTGCGCTGTGTTAGCTGTCAGTACTCATGCCAGAGCAGTCACGAGTCGTCGACGATGGCATGATATCGCATCGCTTGAGCCTTGGTCCGAAGCCTAATGCCTCATCCTGCGACTGCTTTCTAAAAATGCTCCGGTACACTGCATATCCAGCCAATCGATACCATACCACGCCCATGTGCCTCCGCCATGCATCGTTTCCTCGTCTGCAGCTGTGTCCGTCAGCTCGATCACGCATCCTCCCCTCACGAGCGGTCTGTCTGGACGCGGGAAGTGAATTACTCAAGGCATCCGATCGAGGAAACTTCCCCCTGCTCCGTCATCATCCATCCGACTCAAGGTATGCAGCTCGCATACATACATACAGTTGGCCTGGTAGCGTGACTCTTTTTCGAGATCATCCGTCGAAATCATCCCCGATGTGCTATTGAGACCGGCACGCCTCGGAGAAGTGGGGAGGCTTCTCGCTCCATGAAGATATAAAAGTCGTCTGGCATCCATTCATCATCTTCTCATCCAAGCGCAAGCAATTGGACAGCATACCAAATCACCAATACTCCATTCTCTCGCTTCGACCTTCACGCCTTCGTTTCCGCAGAAACATACTCGCCAAACCAAGATGCAATTCACTACTCTTGTCGCTCTTCTCGCCTCGGGGTTCGTCAACCCTCCAATGCTTACGACATGAATATCTGCTCACGATCATGCAGCGTTGCCGTGAATGCTATGCCCGGCGGTGGTGGTGATGGCCATGGCTGGTCTAAGACCACCTCAAGTTGCATCACCAAATCAACTTGTTCTAACACCGTATACCCATGGACCTCTGTTTACTCCAAGCCCGAGACTTATGTCTCGACTTACGTGACCAGCTACCCAGCTACTACAACTGCTACTGTGCCAAGCACATACACCACAACTGAGATATCTTCGCAGACCGGCAAATCTACTACCACTGGCTACTCCACTTACACGGAGTCCAATGTCTACAGTACCTACACCACGGTGAGTGTTCTCCACATCTGATCCGCAGCTTCTTCTCAACACGATCAATATTCATATTCTTCAAAATGCCCGCTCACATCTCCACCAGATCTGCACCACAAAGCCAATTATCGTGACCAACTACTACACCAAGAGCAAGCCCGTCACCAATGAGGTTCCTTACACCAAGACCATTACTATCACCGAGACGAAGACTACTCAGGTCCCCAAGACCTACACTACCTACGTTCCAACCACCAAGTACTCGACCATCACCACCCAGAAGCCTTACACCAATACTGGCTACAAGACCGAGAGCAAGTGCAGCAGCACAACCTCTTGGTCCACCTGGGGCTGGTAAGCGGCTGATTTGTCGCCGCAAAGCGTTGATTATGTGCGTGATCCGATCTATGATGATATTTACGATGAAGAGAAAGTGACGCGAGGAGGACAGTTGTTCTGATTTTATTCTTCTTGATGCTTTTATTGCGATGTCGCTCCTTCCGGTTCTTCAAGCTTCATAGCAAATCTGAAATATTTATGTTTTCTCACTGCTAGGTACCTTTCACATTGTGTTATGTTCTGAGACGATAGAATCCGGGCATTTTTCTTCGTAAGACCCAATACTCTGGTGTTGAGGTCCCTATCGAGATGGAGCGTTTTTTGGTATGCCGCATTGGGTGGAGAGAAATCTTGGGTGCTGGCTTCGTAGAGTGGAAATCTTTCATCAATTCCCTCCAAGGCTATGTGATAAAGTAAAGCCGTCTATGAGATTTAGAAGGCGAGTTCCTTGACAGATCGCAACAGACTTTCCGGGATTGTGGGAAGCTGCAAGCGCAGCCATGACAGCAAGATATTGTTCCAGATCATGGATTGCTCCTCATCAAGGAGAACGAGCTTCGTCAATCCTCTCTCAGAGCAAAGCAGGAATCTTGCATAAGTTCGTGCGCGTTGACGGACGAATATGCCAAAGCATTGACAGATGGGCTTGCAATGGCCTGTGTTTGCAGGGGACTCCGGCTCTGCAGATATACAGAAGTCTCTCTACAGAGCTGAGGAAAGCGGTATGGTTTCGCGACGCCGGTCGAGGCCTAAGCAGGGAGAGGCTGCCTGCTATAACTCGATGTCAAGTCACCTAGCATGACTTCTCCATGACCTTCCCCCGACCTCGTCGAAAGCTCCCTTCGATCGCGAGTGTCGACAGTGAATTCCGGCGTCTCGGTCCGGCGTCGTATCGATAGGGTGTATCGCGGTAGGGACGTAACGCCGTGATGCTATCTCCGATTGACAACACGTCCTGTCTAACTTTTGTGGTCTTGTCCAAGGTGTTGTTATTCTATGGCTCTCATGCCGCATAGTGTTGTGTCTGACTTGTGCTATTCATAGTACCAGAGAGATGTCCTAGATGGGACAGGAATTGTCATGGCCGAGTGTATGAATATGCTGTGGTATAGCATTCCTCTTCCGTGATACAGAAAGTTGATCTAGACGACAGCACCTTGCCATTGCAGAGTCGTTGTAGCTGGACAGTAGCTTCTCTTCGGGCAGCAACTGTCTGTATCCATGATGGCCAGCAATAATACTGTATAGGGGTCCAGTCTCGCACCAAGAGAAAGTTTGCGAGCTGGGCAAACATATGTCTTTCAAGACACGATAACCACAAAGAGCATACATTTACCACTGTAGAATAGATAAGAAGCCATCCTTGAAAGTACTACAAAAGTCCTTATCCCAATAGCCATGGTGGTGCGGAAGTCCTGGATTTTGAAGGCCAAAATTCATCTAGTCAGAAAATAATTCACCAATCAACCAATCTTCCTCTTATACATTGCGCATTGTTGGGGCAGCATTCTAAAGTGTCTACCGCGATGATCCAGCTTTTCAGAGCATATCCTCGTGTCGGGATGTTGTTGTGGTGCAGTTTTCCAGATTTGACCATCTTGAAGCCTTCAAGACCGTCAATACCTACCACAACTTCAGAAAAGCCTTTACACTTATCAAGGATATCGCTCTAGTGACTCTGTAGATCGTACTAGTACTGTGTTGATCGAAAGTATACATGTCTATGTTCAATTGAGTGAAGCCCTGGAATTTCCCCAGCCTAGGCCACACTCTATGTAGTCCATATGGGGCTATCTCGCGTTCATATAACCGGCGTTAACGCCGACGCCATCCCGAGAGAGCACCTGCCATCGTTGGGAGTCTCAAGGGAGAGCTCTGGGAGGTAGGGACATCTCTGACCAGGTCTCGAAAGACTTTTCCAACCTGATTTCGCCGAGAGGTCATTTCGGCAGCACACTCTCTGCTCTCCTGCCCAATCGACGCGACCACTCCTTCCTTCGCTCGTACTTGCTGCCTGCAATCAGTCGGATTGACCCGCGGGAGTAGTGCCTTCCTTGATCTCTCCTCAGCACCAATCTTTCTCGGATTCCCTCCTCCCTCCTCCCTCATCCCTCCTCCCAACCTTCCATCCTTCCATCCTTCATCTCTTTCCTACTCATCCATCGCTGCCGTTCCAACGGCTCATTGTTTGTTCGGGTGGCTCATCCTCATCGCGCTTTGTTTGCTCCATCTTGTCCTTTTCCAGCATCTTCTCGTTCACCATCGGCAAACTTCGCATCAATGGATCCATCATCATCTCCTACCTTGGACGAGGTGCTCCCTCATCGCGGTAGAGCCTCTTCTGATGGTGCCATCACCTATGCATCTCCCGGTAAGTTTTCCATACTCTACTCTTATCGTTCCCACTCTTGTCATGTTCAAAGTCGTGATACGCCGATTTGAGACTTGTCGAGTCAGTCTACCAATCCCTTACCCTTAACCAATTGGCTCCCTCCCTTCGGGTTTCCATGCTCTTGTTGATTGTCGACGCGTCTCTACCATAGAGACGCGCGCACTTCGATTGACAAAAAGAAAGACTTGCCTTGGTTTCTCTATTTTCCATCACACATCTCCTCCTCCCTCTACACACTTCTTCTTTGCTCCACCACTATCACAACAATAATTTTATCCATCGTGCTGACTTTAATAAGTCTTGACCGTCCCCGACTCTCCCGGAAGCGACTCTTCGGGTCAGCAAACTGCTTTCGCTCCAGATCACCCTCTTCCAATCGAGCTGCCTGCCACTGCCCATGATGGCACGCAAGAACCCACTTCTGACGACGAAGAAAGCTCTGACTCCGGCTCTGGCTCGGGTTCTGGTTCGGGCTCTGGGTCGGGGTCTGATACGCCTAGCCAAACTGCCTACAACATCCGCTACGATGAATTCTTTGACTATGATGATGATGACGAGTGGGACGCAAGGAGACGTCGCCGATCGTGGAGAGACTACGAGATGTGGAAGGCTTGGGAAGAAGGAAGATTCCACGTCGAGTACGAGGAGGAGGATGCGGAAGCATCAAGACTTCGCACCTCGGTCAACGGTGTCTTGATCACGGCCGACAACGCGCAGGCCGCCTACTCTCCTGCGGCGTGCATCTTTGTGGCCAAGTAAGTCAACGCAACGCTCCGGGTTCATGGTCGTTCCAACTAATCCTCGACCAGTCTGAATCGCACCTGCACCAGAGCCGAACTACTGCACGACCTTAGAGAAACTTTTCAGAGTATCGGCGAATGTTGGATCAAAGTCCGTTTCGATAGCAAGAACATTCCCGTCGCCTTTGTGCAATACAAGGTAAGAGCTCAGTCGAGCATCCGGTCGGTGACGAGACATTGACTGACATTGATCCCCAGACCGAAGCAGAAGCCGCGACGGCTGATGAACGTTTCCACGGAGTTAACATCTGCGGACGCCCCTGCCGCATCGAACACGCCAGAGCCCATCGTAAGTTTGTGTGCCGCCTGCTCGACGCTCGACTGACCCGACTTAGGCACCGTGTATGCTTCCCGCCGCGACCAGCAGGAACCCACTCTCGCTGAAATCATGCACAATCTTCGTCTCTTCGGCGACATCGAAGAGTGGTGGACGCCTTCCTTCACCGAAAGAGCCATGTATAACCTGCCGCTCGGCGCTTTCTACCGTTTCCGTCTCTTCCAGCCCTGCCAGGAAGCTCTGAGGGTATCCCGCCTTGTGCCTCATCGTTTTCCACACCACTTTTGCTGACCATCAACGACAGGCTCTTCGTAACGACGAGACGTACTTGTACAGACTCGCTCAAGTCGACATGCGCGAACCCGCTCCCACCGCCTATCCTACCATCTACCCTGAAGTCGTCCCCAATGCCATCTACGTCGGCGACTTGCCGTTCCAGGTCAATCAAGAGCATCTTCGCATGATCTTTGCTTGTTATGGACACATCAACAGCGTGGACGTCCGCAAGATTCACAGAAGTAAGTCCCAGCCTGCCTCCGCATTCACATTGCTGACCAAGTTCCAGAGGGCATTGCATTTGCGTTCGTGTACTTCGCTGAAGTCTACTCCGCCATTTCCGCTTGCCAGTTTCCCGTAAGATCATTAACATTAGCCGAATCATGAGATACTTGCTTACCTCTTTGCACCGCAGTATGTCTACGTCTACGGCAACCATGTGGCACGAGTGGAACCCAAGCGCATCAAACACGGCCGCCGTTTCCAAGAGGCTCAGGTCTACAATTACTACGACCACATGCCAGGTCCCTTCTTCCGTGGTGGACCTGACTACACCTTCAACCCTGGATCTTACGGCACTCCACGTTACATGCCTCCTGGCAACTGGGGTCCACGCCAGTAGGGTGTTGCCATGACCAACATCACACCTCCGGCGCCCGAAGTTGCCGGAGAAAAGCATACAACATCATTATGCCGATACGAAATCAGTATGAGCGCCCCATGACAGCGATACCCGCAGCGTGCTATCTTGCTTTTCTGCGATATGTTCTGCAGATGTCTTCTTTGCTTTGCCGTTTCTTTCTCAAGATGTCTTCCTTGCTTTGCTATTTCTTTCTCAAGCTGTTTCCAAGATGATTCCGGAATTTCGCTGGTGGCCACACATACAGGCGAGAATGGTGGAGTCTGGCTGTTGATATTTTTAGTTGCTCTTTGCTGTCTCCTTTGTCTGACGGCGACATGCCAAATACTGTAACACTGCACATATTGCTAGAGATCTTAGCTATACAGACGACACGTATGAAGCTCACACTCGCCTTCCTATTTCAAACGTCTTTGCCTGTTTGCCTCTCAGTGCTGTGAGTCGTTCGCGAGATCATCTTTCCGTCTTGGAAGCTTCAGGCCAGAATAGCATTGTGATGCAGAGCAGTGTCAAAACAGATGGTTCATGGTGGCTCGCCAAGTCCCAAATCCAGGTTTGTTCACCGACGACGGCCGGGCATAATGACCTTAGTCGCTAAGCGTGGTTCTGCGTATGATGAGATAGGAGAAGATTGTTTGCGGAGCCTCAAGAGGGCGCATCGATGCACCATTCAAACACCCAACGTCGAAATCGCGACACCAGTCTTCGGATATTCTTCGGATAACTCCCACATGATCATTTCATTTCTGTTTGTATCTTCTGCATCATCATTATCATCTATCAATCCATCACCTCTGTAACCTTCAACTCCGCCTTTGCAGCTTTCGCACCACCTTGCCATATCTCATCTTTCTTCTCCCATTCAATCGTTGGCATGACACTTGAGCGAAGGATATCTGCTTTGAAACTTGTGAGGCGGGTACACTTTTCCGCCAAAGCCGAGATGTCGGAAGATGAAGGGAAGGTGTTTTCGAAGGCTTTGTGTTTCGGGTTCTGGAGCTGTGAGGTTCGTGTCAGCGCAGGACAGGTGAGTCAAAGGGTGGGGGATACGTACAGCAAGGAAGTATTGGAGGCTAGGGTTTGCGACTATCTCGACTTGTTCGAGGTATTCAAGCGAGGGAAGAGTCGAGAGGAGATCTTCTTTGAAGGTCTCATGGCCGTCGACTTCGAGGGTTGCGTTGAGCACCATCAGGGTCTTCTGTTGCTCAAGAATGGTGCGGAGTTGTGTCGTTGTAAGTGTGAAGAGGGTGGAGTTCAACACTCTCAGACCCCGTGGTCTTGTGGCTTCATTTGTCAAGGCTTTCACGAGTGTAGAGCCTAGTGTTTTGTTCAAAGCGACAACACCATCTTTCGCAGCTTCTTCTGCAGTCTTTTCGCCATTGTTCGTTGGATCTTCGGGGTCGTCGGTGACGTCTGCATCGCTGACATTGAAGGCCAAGGTCACTAATCCAGGTCCTACTAAGCTGGCCAATTCAGTCGCTTGGATCTTTCCCAGAAACTCTGGATCGGAATGTTGAACGGTATAGTTGATCTCCAGGAACATCAAGCCTCGTCTTGCGGTCTCTTCATCGGTGGAATGGGTCACGTATGGCCCGATGCTGTCGAAAAACTTGGGCTGGGCAAACACATCAAGAAGATGTAGTGCTCGCAGCCCAGGTAGTCTCTTGAAGAACTCAACGCTGTCTGCTTGTGACTCTTCGCTCACTCCGCCAAAGAGCTGGCTGTAAATGACCAAGCTCTTGAGATTTGGCAAGCGGTCGGCCAATTGACTTAGCCAGCCAACTGGATAACCCAGAGTAAAAAGCTCAAGTGTCAAAGACTCGATTCCAGGAGGCAGTTGTGGGATTGTGAAGTCTTCCGAGAGGAGATTCTGGTAGTCGTCGAGTTTGATGTCGGACGTCAAGGTGAGAGCTCTGAGGCCGCCGGCTTCGGGAGGAAATTGTGGAAGTGAGAAGCTCTGGAGTGGGATCTGGGCTCCTTGGGCTTGTGCAGGATCCACCTGATTACCTTGCGGTATGTTGTTGTTATTATGTCTCAGAGTTGCCATTGTGTCTGTTATTAATCTTCCAGCTCGTTGGTGGCAAGGGAGGTCGAGAAGAAGAAAAATCCACGGATACCAAAGAGCTTTATTTTGTTCCACGGACAAAATTCCAATGCTTTCGGAGGATTGTTCAATTGGGTTTCAATCGGATGGGCATTTCTGTGTATATAAACAAATATGAGCTACGGAGCTGCGGACAATGAGGGACAAATTGTGGGTATGCGGGGGTGAGATGCGGGGGTCTTTTCATGATTGACAAGGATGTTCGAGCTAGTTTGTGGAATATTACATACAATAGGTAGGTATCCCAAGACTCTTGCCTGGAAGCTTCCTGTCTGCTGGAAGAGGGGCTGGTGAGGGGTCTTTGATCCTTCGCTTAGCTTTGCTTGCGTGTAGCTAGGGCTCGGGTGAGGAGCTGCCGCCGCAACGCCTGATTTTGGACTCTCTCGTTTCCCATGCTGTCCAGGCTGAACAAGAACGACTTTGTAATTTCACGGCGATGAAAAGATACGTTCTGTGCTAGGAGTAGCTGTGTTGTGTCAGGACAATCATCGCAGACGATTTTGGCCAAAAATTTCTCGGGAGTGGTATGACCCTGTTCATGACCTAGCTTTACCTTCACAGCACGCAGTATCGGCCTATAAGCTGATCAGATATACGGAGAATTGATGCTAGCTACATTAAACCATCTTTTAGTCAATATGAAAGCTCCCACTCGACTTGCGGAGTGTGAAAAACGATGGCACATCAAACCGTAAAGTGGAGCACAACGAACATCTTTGACGACAAGACATCCACGATATGTATTGAGTCTTCGGTACTACATCCAGGGGGCGAGGTACCACAGGCCCGCTTCCGTCATACTATTCACAATAAAGAGAGTCTCCTGCAAGTAATTAAGGTGGCCAGGCATGCAGGCACAGTCAAGAAGAACCGAACATCGACATTTCCGACATCGACCGGATTCGCGTCTTCGATCTGCCGTACTCGCCCAAGGTGTATCGCAAACGACCTCAGTGTCCTTCTCAGTGTCCTTCTCAATGAACTCAAGACAATGACTCGCTCAGGGAGAGGTGCCATGAGGGAGAGGAGCGTTGGCGTGCATTTCAGAAGTCGACTGGACTGGGGTAAGAAAGGCATTCGAGACATTCGTCCGCACTATGAGCATTACTTTTCTGACCACACGCGACATCCGAGGGATATAACTGCTTTTTTTTGCTGTGGTTCGAGGTGAGCATGAGAGCAGGAGTGCAAGTTTGTAGTGGGACGTGGTGGAGCTTATGCAACTTGAATTTGTGGAGCTTCACATCCGGTTGCCATCCGGTCATCGCTGGGTATGTGTACAAGTACATGGATCTCTTTCGCGATTTTGTTCCCCTGCCCAAAGAACACGCCGGCCCTGGCAAGAATAGAGGGCGTTCAGAGGTGCCCTGTTGCGTATACACACCCGTCAAGAAGTAAACGAGCCAGACGGACGCAGACAACATTGAGGATTCGGTACACTTTCTCGATTCATGAGGAGACTCCTTCCACGGAGGCGGCCACATCAGCAGATTCAACTCTGCAAACTCGGGACGTCTTTTTCTCTAGGCGACGGTGATGGATGCGAGCGTTTCTACGTAAATCTCTGTATCAGTAGTATGACTGTCCTCTGCCCTGTCTACCTTTTGACGAGGATGCATACATTCCAGACTTTGCAGTGCGACCGCCCATGCGAACAAGTCCTGAGAGATGCTGTACACCCGCAAGGACACCGTCAATGACCTGAACATCTTCACCGACAGCATCTTCAACAGCCTTCTTGAGTTTGGTCATACCAGCACAACCAAGCGTTAGACACTCAGCACCCCGAGCCACAAGGTCTTTGGCGACTCCACACATGATGGCAAGCACTTCATCTTCACTCTTGGTGTCGAAGTCAAGAACTCCTAGATCGCAGCTACCGACGCCAGAGCAGAAGCCGTCAAAGCCATAGTGTCGAATGCTATCTTCATGCATAGCTTTCGATCTCTTGCTGGTAGCAATCAGTCCGAAGCGATTGCCCAACGTCCGAGCAGCAAATAGTGAAGCCTCCATGATGCCAATAGAGGGCTGAATGAATTCTTCCCGTAGCATACGAATCAGAGCATGATCACTGTAACATGCCACGAGGAAGGCGTCGTATTGATGTGCAATAGGAATAAGTGCACGCATGGCTGCGGCGGCGGACATCACACCATCAAAGTTACCCTCGACGGCAGTAGGTGCCGGCTCTGGACTTGTGAAGCCAATCACCTCGACATCTGGTGCCAGCGTCGGTTTGACCATGCCAATGCACTTGTCGGTCATGAATTTGCTGGCATTTGGATTGACGAGGAGGATTCGGATCTTTCCAGATCCCATGGTAATATCGGAGGCAGTCGTCATAGTAGGTGAGATATCGGAAGTGGGCTCCAAATAAAGGGTCTCCGGAACGAATTGGGGTAGAAGGTGCGACGGTTGGGGTAGCAGCTGTCAAGGGTCCTGATAAGAGTATAAGATCGGGCTATACCAGCGATCAAGGAAAAAGCAGTTGAGGAATAGGGCGTACGCAGTAAGGCGTGGTGGCAGACAAAGTTAGCAGTGAGGAGTCGGCTATCAGAGGCATTTTCAACCCTCTTCAATACCAGTGTACATGCGTCGGACGAGCCTATCTCGGCTTCGGCCAATGACGGCCAGCTGTGCTGTATATCTGTGTCAAGACAGTCGCATTTCTTGCCATCTTCTTTATCGAGACATCGATAGGGACAGCAAGTGCAGGCGCAGCTGCGTGCGAGATTGATGGAAGATAAGAAAGCGGCAGTCTTGTCGCATACCTTGACTCAAGATGGAGCTTGCCCGAGTTTGCCGAAGTTTACCGATGCAGCTTCTCCGCCGGGTAAAACCTCAGGGTTCAGATTGCGCACGCGGCCCCATCCGAGGCAACAGGTTAGCCCCACGTTACAGCAATTGCAGCGTGCATGCTACGCAACGACGTGACGATCCTACCGAAAATCGGCATTCGAAGGAGCATGTACAAGCGATACCGCTTGGACATATGAACGGGTGGGATGTAGCGGAGCCAATTGAATTGGGGTTGATAGCGACAATTTCCCATGAGTAATGCGGAGTCCAAACCATTCGGAGTAAACAAATCCAAAAGGATCGCCTACTTCTCGTCTCTTGAGTCGCTCCTTCTTGCCCGCTCTTTTGCTTTCCAAAGTCTTCAATCCCGCGCACCTGGACTACACCGATAGGACGGTCAGCAACTTCGCCTATCGCGCCTAAACGAGGAAGGCCAGCATATTCCACATGGAGGTTCTAAGTGCACCCCACGAACAGCAGCTCGGGCACAGTGATGCGCAAGACAGAGCTCGAGCCTACAAGAGCCGTAACAAACGACCCTGTGACTTTTGCCGTTACAAGAAGGCAGCATGTCATCTCGAATCTAAACCACCTTGTGAACTCTGTGTCCGTTATGGCAAAGACTGTACTTTTGTAGAGTCTCCAGCAAAGAGACGTCGTCCCAACGAAGATCGTCCTCGAGAACCGTTACTGCCTCCTGGCAGCACTTTGGACCTTGGGAGTGACTTGTTGAGCTGGGAGCCTCCACCATCTTTCATGGAAGCGAGTTTGCCCGGTGGCTTATATGGCGAATACAAATTCGACACGCCCATGTTTGAACCTCTCATGTTTGAACAATTCGACCCGGTACAAGCAGGCCTAGCACCGGCTTCCAACCACACCCCTGAGTCCATCCCAATGGATTACTTTGACAATGCACAGGAGCCCTCGCTGGACGCGCAAGGATCTAGCAATGCACAGGTCGTTGGATTGAGTGGCGAGTCGGACCCTTATCTACTTCGTCAATATCATTATGATGGCAACAATGAATGTATCTTCCAGCAGCTCCGTCTGAGAAGAGTTGGAGAAAATGACAAGATTCCTGTACACTTCCTCATCCAGCAAAACAAGTTGGCTGCCAAAGCTCAACCCGCCGAGGACCCAAGCACGTTAGACACATTCAGGAGGGAAATCAAGGAAATGATCAGTGACGATGTTGGAAAGAGACTCATCAGACTGTATGTTTCCAGTCTCTATGTTATAACAGCTCTTACTGACCATGTAGATTCTTCCGCTTTGTCCAGCCATACTTTCCGATACTCTCTAGAGAGCGCAGCATGAGTGGCGGAATTTACGACCCTGAAGCCTTCCCGACTTCGCTGCTTGCTGCAGTCTATGGCCATGCACTGCCCTTCTGTATATTCGACGATCAGTTATGCGTTGAAGTCTACACTCCGCCATCCACCGATTCGCTATTTCGCATCGCCTGGTCTGCCACTCATCCAAACTATCACACACCATCACTGTCGGTTGTCCAAACACTACTACTGCTGGTGCAGAGGAGACCGACCAACAAGCATGTTGCTGACACGCCAGTGAAATGGACAATGGTAACGGATGCTGTTTCTATCGCACAATCTCTAGGCCTGAATCTTGATCCGACCGACTGGCCTCTACCTCTCTGGGAGCAGAGACTGAGAAGACGGCTGGCTTGGGCCGTGTTCACGCAGGAAAAGTGGATTGCGTTGAACACTGGTCGCAGCTCTCACATTATATCGGACGACTGGGATGTAAGCCCTTTAACACAGGACGACTTCGAATTGGCCGAAGGAAGTGACGATAGGGGATACTCGGAGCATTTTATACAGCTTTCTATGCTGACAGAAACTGTTGACGCTATTCTGCGCAATCTTTTTTCGATAAAGGCGACAAGGAAACTGTGCAGCTCGCTTGACACTACCCTGGAAGTCGCCAAGCCACTACGTGTAAGACTCAGCCAGTGGTACCAAGATCTTCCTCCAGACCTTTTGCCGACTGCTAGAGTCGGTAAAGGTCATGACCTCAATGGACAGGGAGGACTGCATCTTGCCTATATCACAGCAAAGATCCAGCTCTTCCGAGCTATGTTCCGCCCAATGAGCGAACCGGGCACACAAGCAACAAACGCCTTACGCACGGGTGCGATAGCAGTAGGCAGAGAGTTGTTCGAGTTCCTGGAGAGTTTAGACGCCAACCACATGGAAGCATTTTGGCCGTCCTGTAAGTGCAACACTATACACATTATATGAAGTATGATTCACTAACAATGTACAGACTCCCGAACGAACTTCGTAATCGCAAGTAACTTCATGATTCTGCTGTTTGTCACTTCGCCAAGCGCGGCCGACGCCAAAGAGTGCTTGAGTCTATTGAACTCATGGCGAAGTCTGCTCCGAATCAAGTCTCGCAGCTGTGATCTGCTTAATCTGGCTCTACTACGTCTGGATGCTCTTTACGTGGCAGGACTCGACAAGCTGATCAACCTCACGCAATTCGCTCTACAAGTCTTCCAGGAACAGGCAAACTAGATTTTATGATGGACATGATTTATGATGTGGGAAAGTGTCAAGGTGATCTTTGTTAATGTTTGGTACTCTCTAATTATACTTGTAGATAAGTTGAATCTCCATGCATTATAAATTCGTAAATCATAATTGGACGCCCTGATATATATTTTTGTCATGCTCATTCTTCCATATCCTTCTTCGTGTGCTGAGGAACTTCAGTGACACTGGGCTCGTAACCTTCCACACCGTCCATGTACATCTCTTGACTTGGCGAGATCTCAAAGGGCTTGATCTTGAACGAGATCCAGTACACCATGCCAGCAACAAGAGTACTGATCAGCCAGCTCAAACTGTACAGATATCTTGCACCTGCCGGCACGCCACTAGCTCCACAGGCTGCAGCCAATCCAGGCATGTTAGGGGCAATGCCACAGAAAAAGGCGATGAAAGCGCGGATGTTGAACCCAGCGGTGAAGTGATGCACATCATGCTTCTTATAGAGCGCTCGTACGTCCAGAGAGCGGCGGCGACAGATCCAGAAGTCAGTGATTATGATGCCGACCAATGCACCGAGGAAAAGAGCATAGCCACCAAGGAAGGAAGAGAATGACTTGGCACTGTACTGGATGTTCCAGGGCGTAGTGGCAATAGACAGGATGCAGCACAAGTATGCTCCCCGTCGTACATTGATGTACTTCGGAAACCAGAGAGCAATGTCGTTGGAGAAGGAGACGCTATTGGCACTGATGTTGGTTCCGATGACAGCGAAGCACCAGCAGAGACCTGCAAAGAACTGAGCTGCGCGGTTGTCCCAGAGCTTCGCTACCTCAAGCGGATTCCACGTGCTAACACCGTACACAACTTGCGCAGCACTGGTGACTGTGGCTCCAAGCACACCGCACATGGTGACAAGAACCATCAAACCTACAGCTTGAGTCCAAAAGACTTCTTTTGGATGTTTGGCATACCGGGTGAAGTCAGGCATGTTGAGCGCGAGAGTAGCTTTGGGTCCGATGGCGGTGGTGACGCACTGGAGGAAGACAACAGCAGCAGGTGTGCCATCCTTGATACGAGTGGGTTGAGAGAAGGTTGGTCCGAAGCCCTTGGCTGCGACCAATGCCCAAACGAACAAGACAAGACCGAAGATAGGCATGATGACTGTTTTGGCCATAAACATATATCTCAAGCTAGAGATCTTTAGCCATAGCAGTGGTGCTTGGATAATGATGAAGAGGAAGAAGCACAGCAATTGGGCAGACGTGACATGTGCGCTTTCCGGAAGACGATTGGGGAAGTTTTCAAAGCTAGGCCAGATAGCTTCAATCATGATCTGAAGGCATTGTCCTCCTTGAAAACTCTGCGTTCCGAACCAGATGCAAGCAACCACGCCACGGATGAAGACCGCGAAGTAGGAACCTCGCATACCAAAGCTAGCTCTTGTGAAGACCGGAAAGTTGATGCCGAACATGGCACCAATGTAGCCGTCCAGCATAGCGGGAATGCATACGAGAAAATGTCCAATGAGTACGGCTAGAATCGAAAGACCTGGATTCAGACCTTTACTGACAGAGGTTGAGGATACTGAGGATCATACTCAGTACGTGATCATGAGGATAGCAAACCGAGTTCATGCTGACCTTGATACATCGAGATCGAGAAAGCTTCTGCTACCCAGAAGCCCAACAAGCTCGGCCATGTCCACGTTCGCTCTCGCGAGCCCAACGGCACAGGCTGTTGTTCCTTGTTTGTGGATATCTGGTCATGGTAGTCGTGTTCGGAGGCCGACGGTATAGCAAGACGACTACGAAGACCCATACTGTGTGAAGTTCGAGGAGTGGCAAAGTGGTTACGAGAAAACAATTATGAATTGTGTTGCTTCGAGATCAGCAGCAGATTCATCTGCACTTACATGTTCCCGCGAAGTCAAACTGCAGGAAGAAGCTGCTATCTCCAACTTGTCAGACACCCTTGCCAGTGTGGCAATAGGCCGTGGCATACATAGATAAGATGTAAACGCCACAGTCTTTGCAGGATCGATATACACAAACGACGTTGTATGGCCCACTTCGAAGTGATAGATCGATAGGCTGGCAAGAAGTGCAGAAGCAAAGGCTGATAGCTCTTATCGGCGAACGATAGGCGGACCCTCCAAAAGTCTTGGCACAGTCGGGCGAATTATGTAAGAAGAAATGCCGCGACCTTGCCCGAGGGTCGACCGTCGACGTGATAGCTTTGCCGGCTTGCATCTCTCTTCCATGGTGTCGCCGTAGCGGGCAAGCATGATGAATATACCAAGAATGTCTCCTGATATGATTGCAAGAGCCGCTTCCCACCTCCCAAGCTCAGTGGCGTCCGAATTACGATTCTCATCATGGTGCCGATAGCGACAGCAGACCTTGGTGAAGGCACCAATGTCTCAAATTCAGACGTGTACCCTGCCAAAAATGCAGATGTCAAGCTACGAGAACTTTGGACCAGACATGGAGATCCTCAAAGTGAAAGGTAACGATTCATCACCACATGTGATGAGATGTGCCGCTGAACCAACGAAGATATACCAATCCCGAGCTAGACAGCCTCGCAGCACTTGTTCGATATAACGCTCGTATATATCCTGACCAGGTCGCATATCTGGTGCCTAGAGGACAATCGTTCGATAAACTGACATGGAGCGAATTTGATGCTCTCACAGACCTTTCAGCTGCCCACTACGCGAAATCATTCACCTTCAGAATCGATATTCAAGGCGCTAAGTTCTGCCAGCCGACCATTGCCTTGCTAGGCGTCGGGAACACGTTCGACTATTGGGTTGCCCAGATCGGCCTTTGCAAATTAGGAGTTCGGCTGCTACTCTTGAGCGACAAAAATGCTGACGTTGCCCGAGACCATCTCCTCGACGTATGCAATGCTATTGGAATGGTCACTGAAGCTAAGCTTCAAAACACCCTAGACCATCTGAGCATCCAGGTCGTCACAATGCCAAGTCTTGCAGAACTTCGGACCGTCGTGCCATCAGATTGGAAATTCGAATGTGAGGATCCATGGAACCAACAAGCAATGATAATCCACTCAAGTGGATCGACTGGTCTTCCGAAGCCAATTATTCATACCAATCGAAGTCTGATGCTCATTGCGCGGATGTATCGACTCTTCCAAAGCTTTGTAGTGGAGAATTGGTATAACTGCTTTCCATTGTTCCACATTGCTGGCGTTTCGATTATTCTCGGAGGTCTGCCTTCAGCTTTACCAACGACATTCCCTCCTGAGAATTGGCCGCCGTCCCCCGGCGCGATGCTCTCTGCCTGGCGGAAACTGGACGATATCGGCCATCCGGCAGACTGCTTGCATTGCGCACCTTCTGTCATTGAGGATCTGTACGAGTACTTATCTATGGAGGAAGCATCGAGTTACTCTGATCTACTCAAACTGAAGATCCTCCAGCCAGGCGGTGCTGCTTTGTCATCTGTCTTGCTTAAGAAGCTGACCGACATGGGGGTGAATGTAAAGACAACATACGGGTCGACAGAGATTGGACCACCATTTCGTACCATTCCAGACACTAGGGACAATCCGAGATGCTACAACGTACGTTCTCTCTTTCCTGATAATCCACTGGTCGAAATGGAACCTCAAGGCGAAGGTCTTTTCGAGTGTATTGTGTATAAGGGCTTTCCTCTGGCAGCCGAACTTTGGCAAACACCTGACGCTCCCAATCCTTACCGCACGAATGACCTCTTTGAAGAGAACCCTCCTGGTAGTGGACTCTTCGTCCTACAAGGCAGGAAGGATGATATCGTAATCCATTCCAATGGCGAGAAGACCAACGCTTTGCCGTTACAGATGACCTTGGAGGAGTGCCACTCAGACGTCTTGAAAGTTGTGGTGTTCGGCACTGACTATCCATGCACTTCTGCTGTTGTTCAGTTGTCAGCGGATAACAGCAATCCGGACCACGAGGGTATTCTTAGGTCTCTCGAAGGAGCATGCAAAGCTTTCCCTGTGTATTCTCAGCTGGATAGGTCTATGGTATTGATCCTGCCTCGCGGTACAGCACTGCCTGTCACGCCAAAGGGAAATGTTCGCCGCAAAGAGGCGTGGAAATTGTTCGGCGACCGAATCGATCAGCTATACACAAGCTTACTAAATGGTGATTCGCAAGATGCGGAGGTCACCACATTGTCGAATCTCGATCACGAAAGCTTTGTCCAACAATGTGTGGCCAACGTCTTCAAGCTCACTGCTGAGAAAATCAAGCGCGATGTCAGCTTTTATGACCTAGGTCTCAATTCACAAATGGCTGTTCGATTACGACCTTTATTGACCAGACGTTTCGGTAAATTTCCGCTAATGTATGTCTTTGAGTACCATTCGGTGGAAAGACTGGCACATGCTCTATCATGCAAACAGCAAGGTCAAAACTCCAAGCGCCCTTCAAAGGACCAGTTTACCTGGATACATGGCATTATCAACCAATACTCTGCTAAGATGCAATCCTGGTCAAGGCCTGTCTCAAGATCGCAATGCGTTGATGGCCAAGTAGTCTATTTGACCGGCGCGACTGGTGCGTTAGGCAATGCTCTGATCGCTGAGCTGGTGATGAACCCGCAGATTAAAAACATCTATTGCGCCGTCAGAGGATCCAATGCTCGGGAGAGGCTGGCAGATCAGCTTCAAAATCGAGGCTACGCTCAGGAAATATCCAAAAGCAACAAAGTCATCACAATACCCTACGACATGGCTTGTATTACTCTTGGGCTCAATCAAAAGCAGTATGCCGATCTTGCATCTGAAGTGACTACAGTCATACACAACGCATGGAAGATGGACTTCAACCAGAGAGTTGACATGTTTGAGAAAGATTGTCTTAGAGGGTCACTGAATCTGATGCGCTTTTGTCAGGAGTCAGTCACGAAGCGTTTTGTCTTCACAAGTAGTGTTGCCACAAACATGGGCAAGGCAGCTGCCACTAGATCGATCCCTGAAGCACCGATCGCGGACGATCCCAACCTTGCTCTTGAGACCGGCTACGCTCAGAGCAAATTCATAATCGAACGACTCACTCAGGAGTACTCCAAGATCACGAAGTCTCCGGTTCAGATCTGCCGTGTTGGTCAGCTTTGCGGCCACACCACTCTGGGCTCGTGGAACAGCTCTGAGATGTTTCCCATCATGGTAGCTACTGGATTAAAAAACCTTGGCGCCATGCCGACGTTTGACAAACAGCAAGTGGACTGGCTTCCTGTCGATGTATGCGCAAACGTCATCGGTACTCTAATCTCCCACACGATGCCAGAGGATGGTTATTCCCTTCACAATCTTGTGAATCCTTCCTCAATCTCATGGTCGGAGTTTCTCGACGCACTTGAACTTGCTTCCGGTTCTCGCTTCGAACGAGTCGACATGGGCGAGTGGGTAAACCGATTGCAAGACAAGAGCAGCGAAGACGATACAGTGCCTGGAGCCAAGCTATTAGGATTTTTCGAAGCCATGGCGGAAGAAGAGCAAGTAGGGGTCCATTTCGATACTTCGGAGACTGCTGCACTGGTGCCCAAGTTGAAAGACTGTACAGCTGTCAACGAGACCCTGCTGAGATTGTATCTGGAGAAATGGCGATCGGACAGATTCCTGTAGTTTGATTAGAAGGCGGGTCATACAGTGGAAGGTACCTAATCTCGGTCATATCTGTTCTTGGGCCCTTGTATTTTATATATTCGACGTTGTTCCAGCGGTCAAAGCACAATTTTGCGATTGCTAAGCAGACGAAGTAAATCCATTGCCAGTGCTTGCAGGTTGGGTCCTTGAGAAGCTCCGTGGCGAGTGACTTGTCGTAGGAGAAGTGGTTGCCCAGATACTGAACAACAATAGAAACCGTCTTCGGAGATGAAGACTAGTTATACAAGGCACTTCGCACGCTCTCATCGAGGAGCGCAGATGAGATGGCGATAGATCAATGGTAGGTATTGAATTCCGAATGCTGTGTAGCGTGTCGCTGGCGTCTGCCTTGTTCCACGAACGCCACTGCTTTTGTCATCTGGCGAATATCAAGAAACGACATGTCACCTAGAGCCCGCACACTTCTCGACTTGTACCTCTTCAATGTCAAACATGTAGACAATCTGGTCCTTTGCCAGCTAACCAGATGACCGTGTTTGAGAGTGTATATCGCGATGCTCTAGACAATTTGCAGCAATTGCCGACTGCTAAAAGGAACAAGCGGCAAAGGGAAAGAAGTGCTTTGCGCTCTGATAGGAACACCCAGGCTTCTCCACTTATTTTGCAATAGAACGGAGTAGTTGAGATCCTGCATCCATTTGACAGCTTTCCCTTGTCTCCAATTCCTCACCCCCTTTTACTCCTGCCAAACAACACAAGTAACATTACCCCCACCCTGCCACCTCGCAACCGGCTTCCCCACAGTCCCCAAAACAACATCCCTCTCAAACACCACAACACTTTTATCATACTGCATTCCCACTGCCAACAAATCTCCCCATTTATTGAGTGAAAAGTGTCTTGGGAACGTTCCTCCCGCGGGCCAGAGTTGTATGTGGTTGAGCGTGCCGTCTTTGTTGAGGGCGAAGGTGGAGAGAGAGTCGGAGGGGATTGAGGTGCTGTTGTGGGGGTTTGGGTTCGGGAGGTGGAAGGATGTGTTGTTGCGGTTTGAGAGGATTAGGAAGCGGTTGTCTGGCTGTGGAAAGAGGTCAGTCAGTATGGCTGGAGAAGTGAGTGAGGGGGAAGGGGAGCTTACTGTAATGGCAATTTCAGCTGCGGCATTACCGTTAGGAACCACAAGATCTCCGTAGGTAGAGGTGTTGTAGACCTGCTTGAATTGCATACCACCAGCCGAAGGGTAGGAAACAGCAAAACTGGTAACTGTGTTCGCCAATTCCGAGATCAAGAACATGAAACTCGTGCCCTTGTTTCCCACAACACCATAAGGATTATAGAAAACAACATGTCTAGGGCCAGAACCCGGAAGCACGGCAAGAGCCTTTTCGGCCTTTACCTCTCCAGTCTTTGCGTCAAAAGAAAACACGCGCACAAGATCAGCGCCAAGGTCAGGTACAACCAAGAATTGACCAGTAGGATCCAGTACAGCTTCATGCTCATGAGGATCGTCCTGTCTTTCGGCATTTGGCCCAGGTTTCTTGAGCTCGAAGGTGATTTCTTGCTCGAATGCAAAGCCGCCGGTGCGATTGACGTCGAGGTCCCAACTACTGAGCGCACTGCCAGAGTAATGCGCCAAAGCAATTGATCTCTTCTCGGCAGGGTTCCCATAAATAACGCCACTGACAGGTCCGGAGATTGTTTTTTCACGGTAGACTTTCGTCAAACTGCCATCGTCGGCGATTGTGAAGGAAGTAAGTGAGCCATTGGTGACCTCGAGGCCTTCGTCAAGACAGTAGAGAGTAGCGTGATTGGGATCGAGGGTGAGCCACGATGGATTGGGCGCGCAGCCGGCGTTTGCGGACGTCTTCGTCAGAGAGTATTGGCCGCCGTGTTCTGTGAGTGAAAGTGTTGTGATGTTGCCAGAGTAGTCAGAGACGAAGAGGTTGGTGGCAGCAGTCAGAGACGCCGCAGCGCAGAGTTGCAGTGAGCGAAACAACATCTTTCACGTTCAATGGCAGAATAGTTGTCGTAAGGAAAGAGCGAGGGGAAAGAAATCAGAGGCAGTGTCGCCTTGCTTGCTTACTTATATTAGGGCTTACGCATAGTGCTGTGGACATGATGCATTCAGCCGCATGCAAAAAAACGACATTGATGATGCTGGAGCATGAAACACAAGGCGGAGAGAGGTCGAAGCGGGGGTGACAGCCAACCGATCCGGCTGGTGGGGACGTGCTTGGCGAATGAAGATCAGCAAGTCTGCCAGCAATTCTTGCATGCACTGCCGACATCAAGGTTCAAGGAAGCGACGCGTCGACGGACAGTGGGAAAGCATCGAAGGTAAACGATGATTGTAATACAAGGGTATTTTCTGTTTCTGGGACCGAGATGTTCTGCTTTTATCGAGCCATCTCTCTCAACAATATACTAAGGCGGCCTTACCAAGACGACAAGACCGTCAAGGTTTCCTAGTAGACCTTCTTGCTCTGGTCTCTGAGCTGGGCAGTCGACTGGTTCTCGTTGCCTCTAGACTCCATGTCGGCAGCCCAAAGAGCGGCGCCACAGATGTTTGTGAAGGAGAAGAAGACACCGACAATAGGGACAAGCTCCAGCAGAGTTGCGACAGTACCGAAACCAGTGTATGCGCCCTGTCTCTTTGCAATGAACTCTTCCTGACTGGCCTGGTTCATGCCCTTGAGCTGGAAGTATCTGGAGTGGGCAGCCGGGCCGGCAGCCTTGCCCTGGAGAAGGATGAACATGGCGGTACCGACAACGGGGATGAAGTTGAGAGGCAGGTACATGACGTATCTGATGATGGCGCTGGGTGCGAACTTGGCGAAGGGCTTCGAGACGAGTTTGCCGAGACGACCGATGGCATCACCACCACGACCGACCTTGCGCTCCTTGGCCACCAGCTCAGACTCGCCCTTGGCGACCAGAGTGCCGTCGAAGGTATCGATCAAGCTGTCCTCGACCAAGAAGTTCTTGGAGAGGGTGTTGAAGATCTTGCTGCTCTCGTTCAAACACAGCAGGGCGGCATTGACGGCGGCCAGAGGACCGTTGAAGACGGCGAGTATGGCGGCTTGAGGGAGGTATCCGAAGAAGAAGACACCGGCGAGGGTGGTGATGCCGAGGGCGATGGTCGGGAGGAGCTTGGCGGCAAGGGGCTTCCAGAGCTCACGGTTCGAGAGGAAGTAGAAGATACCCTAGTGAGGTGTTAGTCTTGCTGACGCACAACACGATACAAGATGTCATACTCTGATGGGGTAGAGGTATGCTCCCGACTGAGCAGCTTCGTTGGCGAGGCCGGCGACTCTCTGTGCCTCTTCGCGCACCGTGTTCTTGACTTTGTCTTGCGCAGTCATGTTGCTGTTTCGTTGATGCAAAGTTGTATGTTTCAAGTAGAACGAAGGTGTGTAAGAGCTGCTGCTTTTGTTGTCGCCAGAGTTTACAATTATGGTCATGCCCCTCGCCCAGTGACGACCGAAACGTCATTTCGTCATTGTCAGCCACTTTTTGAGCTGCCAGCCACACTCAATCCCACTCTTGGCAAAACTCTTTTTTTAATTCTCCGCTCCGCAGATCGATCTGCACAATTTATGCACTTGACCACACTTCTGGTCCTTTGCTTGAGAACCTCACGTGCTCGGCAGAGTCTAGTTCTCTCTCGAGATCAAACTTTCTGTCAAGAGTCTCGTCAACCGCAAGCTGGAGCGTCACAGCATGAACATACAGAGTGCATACAGTCCAACCTTGGTAGGCTGGAGAGACTATTCTGTGATCTTGCGCAATGAGGAAAAGTGCAAAAGTATGCGACTTGACGCTCTTGCGCCGACAATGACCACAACGACGACATCAAAACCAAAGGAGACGCATCAACAAGACAGATTACTCTGACCGATATAAACCTCAACAAAAAGTAGCAAACAGAAACCCCTGTGGGAGGCCTAAGCCCGCAGAGGAATAGAGACATGGTATTTTCTTCATAATTGTGTCGTGTGAGGATTACTGGGACCTCTGACCGTGGAGAGATTTGAACAGGCGACGTGCGGTCACGAGCCACGTGGGAGTAGACACGAGCTCTTTCCACTACACCAATGCCGCCTGAACGAAGGAAACGCTAAATCGACTGAGTATAATACCAGGACTGGCGTTGGGCGAGACAACGCACCAAATTTGCTACCAAATAGAGCTGATATCCTTTTGATTCAAGGTGTTGCTTATCCTGTGCATCTTTCCCATGGCTCTCTGTAGTCCAGTCCCAGTGCGCCAAAGACATTCTTCTCCGCCTCCTCCATTGTGTATGCTTTCCCATCGACATCGACCACTGCTCCGGTCCTCCTATCTCGAACGCCGGAAGAGTCGAACTTGTAGTTGTAGGTTTGTCGAACGTAGCGGCGCAGGTCCCGTTGGAAAGTCGTACCGCCCGACCAGCCCATTACCGCGCAACCCACGGTCTTCCAAGGCGCGATGATGATGTCGACTCTGCGATGAGGATTCAAATTCTTTTCCTTCGTGTCGGTTCGGTCAAGGTCGTGCTTGGGATTTTGCCAGACCACTAGCGCTTTGTCGAGGCTGTCGAAGCCGCCGTGAGCATGCGATGAGGACGAGTTCAGAGGAAGCGTTTCCTGTTTACGATCACTGGTCTTGGTGGTGATCAATAGTGTATGCGTGATCCAGCCTTGTTCCTCCAGACTCGCAACGACATTGGTGACCATGTTCAGAGTCTTATCCTCATCTGGGTGCGACAAGACGATATCCACATCGCCACAGTTCTCTTTGCCTCGTCGATAGCCACCGACGACTAGACTCTGCATACCCTGATCACTAACTTTGACCGCATGCTTGTGGATGATGGCGGCGATGTCTTCAACTTCAGATCGAGGGATGGGTAACAGAAACTCGTCGTAATACTTGACCCCGATCTGTTGAACTCGCGACAAGGTACTCCAGCCGAATTCTACTACGTCGTCCAAGTCTCTCCACCCTTTCTCCTTGAAGTAGTCTCTTGCTGTTGTAGCTCCGACGCCCCAGATGTTGTAGAATAGCTTCACAACTTTGAGCTCATCATTGTTTTCTCCTTCTTCTGCCTCTGTGATCTTGCCATAGTTTGCAAACTCAACGAAGAGGTTTGCGATCTTTGCGTCACAGCCTGGTAGATGCATGATCTCGCGTGCAGAGCTAAACTTGTGAGGGTAGGCGGCTATGGCAGCGATACTAGTACTGTAGGCTCTGACACCGATTTCGTCGCCAGTGAGTAGTCGAGCCAACTTGATTTTATCAAGCTGAGCAATGAACTCTGCATTGGGCGGGTCGGCTGGCGTTGCACGTTGACAAGCATACTTGACCTCGTTCTGAACCCATGGCGGCATCTCGGGAAGGTCGGAGGACTGGCCTGAGTCGTGTTCGGAGGTCGTTTGGTGTAACAATTGAGCTCGCTTGGCATGCATTGTAGGTTGGAATGGCGCTGAAGTCTTACTGCCACCAATTTGGCCAAGTTTGCGACTGCTGCGCTGCTGAGCTGGAGAGGATGGGTTGTCATCGGCATCAGCTCTTGCTCTTTCTAAAATGGACCGTGGTGTGTTGGTCTGAGCAGTGAAGCTTGAGCCTTTGATTGGTGTCTTGATATTGTCGGGCTTCTCAACACGCCGACCTTGGTATAGCAAATATGGTTCGATGGGCAGGATGGTGCCCTCTTTTCGACTGTCGAAGAACCATTTCAGTCGCAGGACCTTGATGTATGGATTCGAAAAGTAGGCACGGTTCGAATCCTGCTTGGCTGCGGAAGTTTTGTGCTTGCGCTTGGTTGGGTTTGACCCATCTTCCGTATCAGATTCAGTACTGACATCGTGTGTATCCAGGTTCATCTTTCCATTCTCTTCGGACTCATTCGAACGGGAAAACTTCAGCTTCTTATTCGAATGGTCTGTCGTGTTTCGGGATACAACGTCAGAGGCACCCGTGTCTTTAACGATTTCGACTTCCTCGGTATAGCACTTTTTGTCGCGCAGATCTAGCTGGATACGCCTCTTACGTTCCGCTTTAGTCAAGACAATCCCGGCTTCCTTGAGATCATATGAAAGAATACCTCCAGCTTCGATCACGTTGTCCTCGAGTTCGTGTAACTCGCAAGTATCGAGGTGTGATTCGGATAGAAAGATCGGCGGCAAAGAAGAGAGTTGTAGGGCTGGATTTGGCATCGGGTCTGGCTTTTGCTCCGCAGTAGGGTCCGGAGGTGGAGAAGAAGCCATCCAATGTGACGAAGACATGATTCAAGTAGCTGCTTGTTGATTCTGACAAGACGCCGCTAGGCTCAAGATGTCGAGGAATCTACAATGGATGGCTTCCAAGACTTTCGGCGAGAATGCAATATTCTGGGTCCAATGATACTTGGGCAATCATAGTGTCATATGTATACAGTATACCTATACTTTGCGGTGTGGCAGATGACATGATCAGGTACAGAGGACGGAAGTTGTCTGAGGCTGAGGCTGAGGCTCTGTTTGCAGCTGGGTACGTCATATAATTCTCGGCTGAAGCTAAGCCGAGTCGAAAACAAATGTGGAGATGACCCTGACCAAACAAGAAAGTCTTGTACGCAAATGTCCAAAGGCGACAAGAAGGCTTTCGCATCAAGATGGCAGCGAAATTTGTAGCGCGAGCGGCATTCCCGCCAGTCGAGTCTCTTCCTAGGTCCTACTTCCTCGGTCATCATGCAGCTGGTCTGTCAAAGATGAACACGCTGTTGTCGCAGATTGACCTGATCGTCGAGTGCCGTGACTACAGAGTGCCACTAACCTCTCGTAATCCTTTGTTCGAACAGAGTCTAGCAGGTCGCGAGCGCATCATCATCTATACCAAGCGTGACTTGGGGAGCAACAACAAGCCGCTGGACAAGGAGGTGAGTCTGAGTCTGGCAGTCGCATGCTGCACGCTCTCTTCTGACACTGTCAACAGAGGGAAAACATCATTCGCAAATGGCACAAGCCCTCTGAAGTCCTCTTCTCCGATCACAAGGACAAAAAGGACATTCGCAAAGTCCTCGACTTCGCTCGTCGCTACTTCGAGAACAGCACCTCTCTGACTGGATCGCGCATCATGGTCGTCGGCATGCCCAACGTCGGAAAGTCATCCCTGCTCAATGCACTACGGAAAGAAGGAGTTGGAAAGGGAAAAGCTGCACATACGGGCGCCCAGCCAGGTGTCACACGAAAGATCTCGACAAGCGTCAAGATCATCGACAGCACAGAGGATGGCGAGGGCGTCTACCTGCTTGACACTCCCGGTGTCTTCATACCATACGTCCCTGACGCCGAAGCCATGCTGAAGCTTGCCCTGTGCGGCAATGTCAAAGACACCATCATCCCTCCTACCACCCTTGCCGACTACCTCCTCTTCCGTGTCAATTTGATTGACCCAAAGCTCTACAAGGAATACTGCCCGCCTACAAACGACATTGTTGAGCTGCTCAATGCTATAGCCAACAAGACCGGTCGTCTGCAAAAGGGAGGCGCGCCAGACACCGAAGCTGTTGCTCTATGGATGATACAACGCTGGAGAAACGGCCTTTGGGGTCGCTTCCTTCTGGACGAGGTCTCCGAGGGTGGTTTGCAACAGAGAATATTCGAAGAGTCGAGTATGGGCGGAAGTATGAACCAGGCACGAAGAGCTGACAAAGAGGCTCGCAAACTGCGTAACAACAAGAGACATGCCGGCACCAGCGACTGATGAAGCTCCGACCGCGACTTCAGCCATGCTCTGACCTGTGACAAGAGACAGTGCAGTCTCGTCGAGCACGACATCTCTCTATCTAACAGGCGCACGCAGCTCCATGACCATTGTCTCAAAACATCGATGAGCATCTCGAAGAGGCAGGTGCTTACGAGAAGCAAAGCTTGTCCCAGATCTGCGATCCGAGCTACACTCTTATCCGAAAGCTTCAGCACGTCACACCAAACACCACAACCACTGGGCGCAACGAATAGACTGATGAACGGAGAAATAGCGTCACGATGCTATCATATGCTTATGCAATTTTCGGATGTCAAGATGGCATGCGCTTGAAGCCGAATTGATTTTCGGAACCAGCCATGAAGACACGGATGAAGTTCTGGCTCTTGGTGATGAGCGCATACGAACTTACCAAGACTGCCGATTCGTCCATTCCGACCCTGATTTCGGGAAATCTACTGCTCTATCATCCTACCTTGTCGAAGGATTCTTGTTCGCTATCAGATCGCTCACTGACGGCGTTTTGCCCGAACTTTACTGCAAAGCCGCTTCCAGCCTCCAACGTTGCGGAGAAGGCGTTTGTTCGGAAGCGGCACTTCAGGCAGAGATCGACTTCCGAAGCAATGCCATCACCTTTTTTCGACAAAACCGCACGACAATCTTCAAACACATTTCCCAAACTGACCAAGCCGCCGACCGATTTCATACATTGCCTTGAAATTTTCAATCAATTATTGGATTTCTGGTTCCACTATGGATTTCATCGTCGGCACATTCTACACGCCTAGATTATTCACGCTGCGCTTCACACCTGATAAAGACATTCGAAAATGTAAACTGGAAATCAAGCATACTTCCGATGCTATAGGCGGACACTCTTGGCTCTCTCTATCTTCGGACAAGAAGACCCTCTACACCACCGTGTGGGCATCTCCTCCTGCCGTTGCCTCCTACAAAGTAAACACCGACCACACCCTCACACCTTTGAACTCAAAACCCGTTCGCGCAATGAGTGGCTACGTCTGCAACTCATCCACAACAATCTACTCAGCCGGCGGTCCTACAGGAGAAATCTACGCCATTGACCAAAGCGATGGCAGTATCGGCCCCCTCCTTCAGCAACTAGAATTCCGGGATCAAGGCGCTGAAAACGACGGGCAGAGATCTGGAGTCGCGCATGGAGATTTCGGCGGTCTGAGACATGGTTCCCACTCTATCGATATATCCCCCAATGGCAAAAATATCTACATTGCCGATATCGGAAAAAACTGCATTTGGAGCTATACCATCTCTTCTGATCAAGGAAAACTGGAAAATCAACAGCAATGGCTAGCAAGTCGGAAAAACGACGGACCTAGACATTGCTGGCCACACCCCGACGGAAAAATCCTGTATTCAGTACAAGAACACAGTTGCTACGTCGACATCCTCTCGATCTCCGACTCTGGCACTCTGGACCTTATCTCCGGCGTCAGGATTATTCCAGAAGATACAGATGAGAAGAACTACTGGGCTGATGAAGTAAGACTTAGTCGTCCTGTTTCTGGGGCTCCTAGATTTCTTTACGCTTCTACTCGAGGATTGGAAAAGGAGACGAAAGGCTATGTGGCTGTCTTTGCACTTGACGAGGAGGGCTTGGTTAAGGGTGAGGCGATTGAGATTTATGGGACGGCGACGAGTGGGGGTATTGCTAATGCTGTTGAACCTGCACCGATTGTGGAAGGGCAGGAGGATGTCGAGTATCTCGCTTTGACGGACAGCGAGGAGGGATACGTGTTTGTGTTGTCGTTCGATGGAAGCAAGATTACAGAGGTCGCAAGGACGCAGTTGGTGGATGAGGATGACAAGACTTTGGCTGCTGCTACAGCAGTATGGCTGTGAAGATATGGTCATCCGCAGATTTGAGAGACACGTGTACATATGAACTAGATGAAAATGGATACAGAAGTCGTGTAAGAATAACATTTTATCATCTCGATTACTGCTTCGTCCTGTGCAAAGCATATCTAAACATCAGCCATAACAAAGCTCCGGCCCATTCGTGAGCGTATCTCGTATATCATCCTTGTCCCTGCGTTACCAGCAATGCCTTACAACCCAGTCACCAAGTTGTGTCAAATTCTGCAACAATTCGTCTCCATCCGACCGCTGCCTGTAATATAGCGAATCTCAAACACTCTTCATCGTCATCATCATCAGCCGCATCGCCCCACTCTAAGCTATTCTACGACCTGTAGATATCGACAGCTCCACTAATATTGTCAACCCGCGTCTCCATGCCATCCAGTCTGCTGCGAAGTGTTCTCACTTCTCGCTGCAGCTTGTCCACCAAATTGAACAGATTGTCCATGTCACGAGCAGAGACCTCATAACGGTCGTGTTTTTGGTATCTGTCATCGTGTCGAGGCCTGTCGGTATGTGAGTCGTAGTATTGTCGGCTGTCTGCGTCTTGTCGAGCAGATCGAGCACTGTCGCCATTCACGCCACTTCTCTCCCGTTCTGCCCCAGATCCTGGTGCCATGATTGGCGAGTAATGACGTCCGTTGACAGAAGCAGAAGCATCAAAGGTAGGGCGTGACGGGGTAGCGTTCATAGCTCTACCTCCTTCTGGGAACCCACCGCTGTAACTCGAAAGACGCGGACGCTTTGCGGCAAGCTCGATAGGAGGGCTGCGAGAGTCGTCGTCGTCCATATCATCACGCTTGCGAGCACCGGCAATCTTGAGCAGCGGGAATCCAGTTCGTTGTTGCTAGTAAAGCTTTAGTTTTGATCTACAACACGTTCTACTTCGTGTTCCAGAGAAGAACATGGCTGACACATACGGGAAAGTGTGATGAGACTTGTAAACTTACATGAGATTCTCTGGCTTCGCGGGCATGAGAACAACCACTCTGAGTGTATGAGCACCGAACACATCCAGTCTTATCGTGGCTGTTAGGCCGCGTCATACAGGCTCTGTTCTGTCTTTCACACGTATCACATCTAGGATTGCGTTCTGTACCATAGCGCATGCCCTTAGAAGCTCTGGAATGTCGAGGATTGTCCATGTCGAGCAGATTCCACCAGTAGTCGTGTCTCTCAATATCAAAGTCGCCATCATACCGAGGAGGTTCCGGTTCAGCATCGCCGCCAGTAAGTAGTTCATCAATGTCTGATTGTGCATCGGCGTCGGCCGAGGCGGCGTGACTTCCGGCAGAGAGCTCCGTTTCGACTTTGGCTTCGGAGTTTGGTAGTTCGTGCTCGGCCGCACGTTGGAGCAAAATTGGAGGCTTCGCTTCCTTTGCGTTCGCGACTGACCATGTTGGTACTTGGGGACGACTTTCGCTGTTGCCATTCATCTCGGCTCCAGCGTGTATCTCACGTGAATCGGTACGAGCGTCGGCCATGATTTGTTCCTTTGGTTGCGATGGGATGCTTGACTGATTTTGAAATGCGGCTGCAAAAGTCAGTAAGCTTCGGCTCCTGTTGCGAGAACAAATGGCGGCGTACCGGCAAAGGGTTCGGGAGCAAACCTACGACGGCCGTCCAACAACGGATTTGAATATGTTTCCATTTATTGATGAGAAGAAGGCTGTCGTCAATAAAGTTAGGAGAGTAGAATCAAGTCGGCAAGGAAGCAGAGGGACGAGAGGGAATGCGACGGCGGGGGTCGGGAGTTGGCTTTGTTTGTGGCAGGCGGCAGGCACGGCGGGCGCCAGTCGTCGGGAGCGGCAGGTGCGAGCACAGCAAGACGCGGCAGCCGAGCGCTCCGGTCTTTGACCATTTCGCTGGATCTTCTTCTTTCTCTCGTATGCTAGTTACTACCGTCTACACATGTGATGCCCTAGGTCTTTGATCTACCCTTATATTGCAATTGGCGCTGGACCGGACGAGATCGATGTGGTGGTCTCCCTACGGCCGGCAGTTTCGCCGTTAACTAGCTGCATCAGCGAATGGATCCCCAAAGGACGGGCCAAACACCCTTGGCGCCACCGCCATGGCAAAACCAGGCAAACATGACACCCAAGGCCCTCTTACATGTTTCCCTTTCATGTTCCGGTTCTCTTTCCGCGTCAACGTGCGTTGTCGCATCACGCCTCCCCCCTCGCTTTGATGAGGCGGTCACGGTCCCGCCGTCGGCCTCGCACTATTATCCTAGGCTCCAACACAGGACATGCACGAGGGTACCAAGAAATCGACGTGACACCAAGTAGAAGACACTGCCACGTTTATTAGTCCTGCGCGACTGCGGACATGTTACTACACAACTGCGGCGTTTGCAGTCGAAATTTTGCTCCGACGCGTCAAACTTGTGTCGACAAGACCCCGAAAGTCCCCGCAGACAACTCCTCGTCGCTCGATGCCGCACATCAGACAACCATGACCTGAGTTTGGCCTTGAGGACTCTTTTCAGACTCTGCCGACGCTATCCGGGTATTCGTCCAACACAACGCCGTCCATGCATGATCCATCGCGATGTCTTCATATCCACCGCGAGTTCCAAACCCGAGTGCTCAAGAAGTCTGATGTGGTTGTCAGTTTGATGTGCTTTCCTGTCTTGTGGACTGAACTCACGTCTACTTGGTTCACTCTCTGGATCTCGTAGTGACTCCGCTGGCATCGGTGCCTTTTCGTGTTCATCGTCGTTGATCGAGGAAAACTCAAGGGCCTGCATCTCGACATCGGGTTCCGGGTTCGATGCGCTTGAGACAGTACTGTATGCCATGACTTTGGCTATGCCTACTAATGGTCATGGTATAGAACACCAGCTTTTGTGACTGACTTTTGCGAATAGAAGAACTTTTTCCTCGACAAAACCTCGGACACCAATACTTGTAACGAAATTTGACAGATTCTCGTTTGCGCGTGGCAGCGCCGTCGGGAGTGGTGACTCTTATTCATTCTCAAACTTACTCGTCTACTCGTCTTTATATGACTGACTGTACAGAAGCTGTTTTGGAAGCAGACTTCGACTCAAGGAAAAGCTGAAATGCACCGTGGGGTAGCATTCTCATAGTTGGAGCTGTTTTTCTGACTCGTTCGAAGCAATCTTCAGGTTGAAAAGCACTATAACATCAAAAGGCCCTGTTCCCGCCAGACACGGATCGCTCAGTCAAGTTCAGACTGCCGCACTCGAATCAAGCCCCTCCGCCAGTCCTTTCTCCACGTCTGTCGGCGTGACTTGCCCTTTGGCAGCCGTCTCTCTTTCCGCACGGCGCAAAAGCACACAAGGATTCAAGACTGCTAAGACACCCATGGCAACAAGCATAGGCGCTGCATCTAATCCGATGACATAGCCTTGCTGCGTGATGAGTGGTTCTCTCCAACCTTGACAAAGCTCGATGGAGCGATAGTATCCTCTGAGGTTCATCATGGTAGTACTGATGACAATGGCGATACTGCCAGCAGCAAATATCGATTCGCCTTGATCTGAGCTGACCCGCGAGGGAATACAATGCAATGGAAACCAGCGAAGATCATGCCAGAGACCAACTGAGCGATGATGCCGACGACCATGACGGTCGTACCAGTGGAAGTACTGGTGCCTTGGTCAAAAGCTGCACCTGCCAATCCACCACCGATAGCTTGAAGACTCAGGCATACGCAATCAACGGCGAAGATGACGATCAAGTAAAGCTTTGGCGGCACTGGCGAGATTTTTGTGCCTAGTATCTTGATCATTCAGGTGGGCAGCATGTATAGAGGCAAAAGACGAGTGATTTAAGGGGAGCATAATGCCTTCAACAGACTTACTTATGAACATCCTTCCTGGTGAATCTCTCCGCCCTGAAGGTCGTCACCAAGTTCCTTGTATACAGCCCCTTCGAGCCTCGCAGTGCGAGAGGGACGCAGCTCGCAGTCGGGGCCGAAAGCGGTGTGGCGGGCTTGGTATATACATATGTCAATACACGACTCACAGGTTCACATGGCATCTGTCCATTCGTCTCGCAATGATATTGCAATGGTTTCCCACGTAGAGCGCCATGTGTAGAACATGGATGTTGATTTCCCGTGGCGGTTGTCGTTATTTTTAGTCGAAATCAGCTCATTGTTAGTGGCGCGAATTTCAGCAGACAACGACGAATCGGCTGAATTTCGAATGCTGCGCCAGAGATGGTTGGACATCCATTACACGGTTAAATGTTGATAAGACCTGAGTATACAGGTTCTCTTTTCTTGATGAGTGTGTATGAACCTGACAGCCTAGTTGTATGGACGAGGTGGTTGGTGTCTGACGATGCCCAGCCAGGATAAATTATGTCGTCACTGCCGAGCCCTGTTCCCTCGAACATCCTACTCCGAGTCCGGCTTGCACAGCCCGATCCTGACATATTGAGTCACCTTCTTCTTTCATCGTAGACGGACAAGAGACCTGAGCTTGCTGAACGAGACCGTAACATATAGTCAAGGAATTGGGTTTGTCATTAAGTGATGCTATTATCATAGGTTCGTGTGCTCATGATTATGTGACGTTTCAAGCCTTCATCATCTCGATGAACTTATCGGCCATGGGGTTGGCAGCCATAGGGTTTGCTCCGCTGATGACCTCTCTGTCAACGGTAATGTATCCAACCTTCTGCCCGATGCCCTCGATCATCTCAGCACCCTCTGCACGCAGCGCACCCTCGACCTTGGGGATTTCAGCTCCCAACATCATCTCCATCATAGACTCCTCCATGTCGGACCAGCTGGTGATCTTGTAGCCCGCGTACGAGAACTTTCCGCTCGATGCCTTGGTGGACAAGAAAGCATAGGGTCCGTGGCAGATAGTGGCGGTGGGCTTCTGCTTGCCGTGAAAGTGCTCAAGGATACGACCCAACTCCTTGTTGTCGCCCAGATCAGTCAGAGGAGCATGACCACCAGGAATGAAAACACCACGGAAAGATTCCAACTCCTCGTCACTGATATCTCTGAACTTTCTTGGCGATGAGAAACCATTCTCCTTCTTCATGCGCGCGAGCAGTTCATTCTCGCGACGGCGCTCGTAGAAGTTTCCGGCAAAGGCGAGGAGATTTTCGCTGTTGGGGTCAGGGACGGGCTCTTTGCCCTCAGGAGTAGCAAAAGTGACCTCGTAGCCGGCGTCAAGAAGCTTGGAAAGCGGTTTGGCGAGTTCCATGAGGAAGAAGCCAGAGGGTTGTGAGACGACCTTGCCGGCGTCTGGTCCGGAGGTCTTCTTCATGTCGAAGTGGTCGGCATCCGAAAGGACGATCAGGACTTTTTGTGATGATGCCATGGTTGCTATGGTTGTAAGAACAAAAGCCGAGGTTCGTATTCGTTGATGAAGTGAACTGAGAAGGAGGAGTGTGTCGGCAGAAGATATTTTGTACCATGATGTTTTGCCAATGTCCACGGAGGTCACTATGACGTCGGCCTCATCAAGACCAAATCAGCCCAATTCCGACGTGTTATATATCCGATTCAGAATTGTCTGACTTGCAGACCCTTTAGCAACCTAGAACCTGTTTAGAACATCATATCATGCATAGCTTGTCTGTTCGCCAACAAAACCCTCGCCCGATGTGGGTAGATGGCGTTGACAATCTCAACGCTCCGACAAAAGCATGCGCTTCAAGTCACGGACGTGATCAAGCAGTCACATCGGCCTATATACCCGTATACTTACTACGTTGATACCAAAGTCACAAATGAGTAATATAGTGCATCGAACTACTGCTTGATAGTAATTTCAGGCACACAGACTAAGACTTGGTCGAGATTTCGTCGATGATAGCGAGGGCCAGGGTTGTCTGCGTGACAATCTTGAGAGATGCCCGAGGTTCTTCCACAAGATGCGTCGCGTGTTCCATGTATCTCCAACCTCGTCATCGTCCCATCATGAACACCGTCATGACGGAACCGGCTGGCACCGGAGATGATTCTTCATCAATGTTTATCTGATCTATTCAGTTCCACCCGCCCCTCACCGCGGATTTCTCTAGACAAGCGATAATCGGTGTGCCGCTTGAAGCCCAGGATCCACTTCGTGCTACGAGGAGGCAACCTCAGAACGAACAAGGTGCTTCGGACCATTCGATGGCAAGCTTGAGTTGCTGCAGAGGACGACCGACTGCGGCAGACATGTAGGACGGGACATCAAGAGACTAATACATAGGGCGGGTACACTAGATGCAGTCAGGCATAACACTGGCCTTGGAGCTTTGAGATTTCGGCTGTCCGAGGTCGCTTGCCAGGCAGTGACCACGAACAAATGTTCGTGAGAGGTATTGGGCTTGCTTGGGTTTCACTGCTCTCCCGCCTCTGCGCTTTCGGAAAGATACAAGTCGTGGAATGAGGGTCTGGCTATGATTAGTCCTGCCATTGATCGTCCCGCTTTGTCATACGTTTCCGTCAAACGGAGAGGCACGTTAAGTTGATCTTAAAAAATCCTAGGTACGCCGGGGACCAAGACCTAGATGTCCGGCATGGTGTTCTTGGAGCTTCTTCGGGTAGGGTCGCGAGTGGTCTTGGCCGCGATGTCTCACTCGCTGCGAACCATACAGAATTCCCCAAGCATCATACTCTCGAGTAACACTAGATATGGCAGATGACTACTGTAGCTCTTGGTCGCCATCTGGCTCGGGGTTTGCGAGGAGACGAGACTAGAGATCCGCAGTCAGAAGGCCAAAATGATGGTCCCGGATAGATGTTGATACTCATGTCGCGGCGGAGAACGGTAGAGGGTGGGTCCAGCTATAAACTCTGGCTGAATCTTTGCGGCCCACGCTTGGCAGATGATTAGAGCGTGACAGCTGGTAAGGTCTAGTAATCGTCCCGGCCGTTTGAAGAGGATACTATTACGATACATCCCTACATGAAATTTGCAAAGTCGCACAAATATCACAAAGTCAGTTGATGCCCCAAGGGCTGGTACAGAGCCGCAATAGATCGACACATGGTGGAAGGGACTCTTGGCAGATACTTCCAATAGCGCGATGCACGATCCTACGGGCAACGAGAGTGACAAGCAGAGGGCATTTACATCACATCCCGGTGTCAAGGAAGCAGCACGTACAGCAAGCAAAATCTCCGGATGCTATTTCTGTTCGGATCTCTGCCATCTTGGCCGCTTTTGCATCTAGCGAATGCATGCATAGTGATTGGCTCCGGAGAATATATGTGGACGCAGATGTGGCTTTGTCGCTTGAACCTTCCTTGCGACGATATAATGATTTCGCAATACTGCACAATTTGAGAGATCACAACTTGACCAGCCTTGAGCTGTGTGCGTGATGTTCGAGCCGTCGCGTGATGTGCCTTTGCATTTATTCGTGAATTCGTGAAGACAGTCCAGCTTGGTGAAGAACTTCTTCAACGTGCTCACTGAAGGCTTTAAGTGACAGCTTCTCACTAATCTCTCGGACGTGGTCGAGAAGAGTGGGTTGACTTTCAAGTGCATGTCAAAAAGTGGTGCCAACATCATGGCAAGCACTTGAAAGTCTCGGTGATGCGTGCTGCTCTTGTTTGCTCGCGACAAGTGGCGATTAACCATACTTCCAGGCACCTCCCGCAGAACCTCTGTTTCCGCAACTTTACCACGACGCATCCTCAAGCCTCTCATTCCCGTGCCCGACTACTGTATGTCTATTGAGGATAGGCGTAAAATGCAGGTAAGAAGAGAGGCGTGCCTTGCCGTGTCACGCCATGTGCTGTCCGTTTTGGAAAATACGCCATGCTCGAAATGGACAACAATGGAGAGCTCTGAATTAAGCTTCTACGCTAGTATCTTGCGCCAGTTTCCCCTTCATCTTGGACATTTTTGGAGCTTCTTGCTTGGAGGCTCCAAGAATAATATTGCTCCGCGCTCCCGAGTGGAGAGCCGTACTTCTTGCCTCTGCGTCGCCACTTTCTGTGCAAGAGAGCTTCCAGGGTTGCCAGCAATGTCGTTGGACAATGGCAATGAATCAAAAAAGCAAGGAAAATTTCCACGTTCTCTACATGTCAACTAAGTTTGTTCACGTCGTACCTGCTTCATCAGCCGGCGTTGGCGATTAACTTAAAAAGTCCGACATGGTGGTACAACATTGACCATGCAGGTGCATTACGCCTGAGCCGTCGTCCGGACACTCTGTATCTTCTCTCGGACTTCTGACGAACTTCCGCATGCTATCCACCCAATCTTCCTACACGCCGAGTGCTTGGTGCCGGCATCCTGCCCTTGCTATGCTCGCGAGCATGCTCTTTCTTGGTACGCCATGGTGGATACCAGTTTTTCCATACCCAAATCTGTCAGTCATGCCCGGGATATGGTCTGAAGTGCTAGAGCCATGCATGCTAGTTGGCGAGCATGTATGAAACTCGTTGGAAAGATCGCTCGAAGAAGATCACTATAAGTATGTTGTCAGTCTCGTCTACTGCTCTTGGATTCCAGTATCTCTCCGAAAACTTCCAATAGGCAATAGAGTCAGGGCTTCAATCATTCCGCCTTGCCACCTCTCCTCTCTGTTTCCATTCCTCTCGGACCATACTCTTATTTTGGTTCTTTATCAGGAGACTCTTCTTCATGCGCTTCTCTACCATCTCCGCCCTGCTCTGTGCAGTTAGAGTCCTTGCTGCTCCTAGTACACCTCATGAAGTCAATGGACTCGCTGTCAGTGTAGATGGAAAGTGTGGCAGCTCCAATGGCCAGACATGCTTGAACTCATATCTCGGCGATTGTTGCTCAAGTACTGGTGTATGCGGCGAAGGTGCGTTCTTCTGCGGCCTTGGCTGCCAGAAGCAATTCGGTGCTTGCGTTCCCACGGACAAGGGCAAGCTTGTCAGTCAGAATGGGATGTGCGGCCATGACATGACCTGCAAGGGCTCGAAGTTTGGTGACTGCTGTGGAAAGGACAACTGGTGGTATGTGTAGCGGCCGGGTGCTCTTGTAGTATGTTGCTGACACTGTGCAGTGGAAGCAATGGCGATTCTTGCGGCACAGGTTGCCGAGAAGACAATGGCTCCTGCAATGGCGGATCGCTCTGGTCCACGAACAGCGACTTGACTCGCAGAGCTGACCCCAACCCGACCTGTCCCAAATCAAACGGTACTACATACACTTCGGAAACCGGCAATCAGTACAACATCACTTGTGGCCTCGACCACTCTGGTGGTGACTTGAAGATGGTATACATCAGCTCGAACAAGATTGGAGACTGTCTTGCCGAGTGTGATGCCACCGATGGTTGCAAAGCTATCGCAATGTCTGGTACTGCTTGCTATATGAAGAGCAGAGTCGGAACGCCTGTCAAGAATTCCGTCGCCAGAGGAGCCATTTGGATTGGCAAGGTCGAGAGCTCTTCTTCAAGCATCTCTTCCATTGCACCTGAGACAACTGCAACATCCTCATCAGAATCTATCTCTGCTTCTGCGTCTCTGACAGTGCCTTCTGCATCTTCTTCTGCGTCTTTGACAGCCTCTTCGATTGTCTCAGACGCACAGTCGTCATCGACAATTTCGTTCACGTCAGTCCTTCCGACTTCCACCAGCCCAACTTGCCCCAAAGCAAACAACACGATCTTCATCGCTGAAAGCGGCGCAACTTTCCTTATCGAATGCTATGTCGACTACCTAGGTGGTGATCTCAAGGCGGTCAGCATTGCCTCGAACAGAATCGCCGATTGTGTCAACGCTTGCGATGCCACTGAAGGATGCATCGATATCAGTATGTCTGGCACTGCATGCTACATGAAGAAGAAACTGGGCAAGCCTTTGGTCAACAAGACTATCAGAGGCGCACGCAAGATCAAAGATGCACCAAAGAGCTCCAGCAGTGGTAGCGTCTCATCCACTACATCTGGCACAGACTCAAACACTTCGGGTGATGTTGCCTCGACCACCTCCAGCACGTCCAGCGATATCACCACGGCATTGACTCTGTCCTCTGACAGCTCATCTGCTGAGTCTTTTGCATCTTCTACAAAATCCGCGACCTCTTCAGAGACGTCTAGCGATGTCTTCATATCATCCTCGACATTGTCTTCGGTAACCTCTTCCGAAGCGTCTTCTGAGGCATCTTCTGCATCCTCTCTTGGCTCGGGGGCCATCTCTACAAACAGTACTGCCTCTTCGTCGGCTATTCTTATATCGACGAGCTTGACGACTGAGGTCTCCAGCCCTGATACCACCTCCTTGGCTCAGACGGATAATAGTGACTCAGCTCAGACCACATTGTCAGGCAATAATACCAGCCACATTGCACCAAGCACGTCTTCTCTTAAAAGCTCTGCCGTAGTTGGCCCGACTGCTCCCATTGTCACTGGGCCCTCGAGTGGCTTGTCATTCATCGCTACCAGTGGAGCACCTTATGGTAATGGAACCAGCACAGTCTCTGGTGGTCCGACCGCGCCTATTATCTCCTCTAGCTCAGCATCCAGCTCGGCGGCTTTCTCAAACAGCACAAGCGATATTGTCCCCTCCACATCAACCGTCTTAGTCAACAGCACCAGCACTATTGTATCCGGGAGCACAACAATCGTAGGACCTACTGCTCCTATCGCCATTGGACCTTCGAGCATCGTCTCCTTGAGCTTTGTTAGCGAAGCGCCATATGGCAATGCTACCAGCGCCATCGGTTCTGCTGGCCCGACAGCTCCGACTGAGACTGACGTCTCTACCAGCTCGATTCTTCCCGCCAATGGTACCAGTAGCGATACCTCGTCTTCGTCCACTGTGCTCGCACCCATCGGTACCGGTCCCTCAAGCGGTATATCATCGTACGCCACTAGCGGTGCGCCCTTTAGTAATGGCACAACCAGCGTTCTACCTTTCGGACCCACTGGTACTGGTGTTTCGACCTTCGTGACTACGAGCAAGACCGTCATAGTCGCGCCAATCGGTACTGGTGCTTCAAGCAGCATCTCATCTAGCGCAACAAGCGGTGCACCTTTTGGAACTGATACCACAAGTGCATTGCCCGTCGGACCCACCGGCACTGGCCTGTCCAGCTCGACAATAACGAGCAGCGAGATCAGCTCCGCCCAAAACGCAACATTCTCGCTTACTACTAGATACAACCTCACCTCGAGCATTGCTTCGACGGTGTTGACGCTTTCGGCCAATTCGACTGTCACAGCACCCTTGACCACCGCCCCCATTGTTACTGGCCCAGCAACCAGCCTTTCGACGTCTTCCGGTAAATACACAAACACTACAAGCTCGGCTTCAACAACTAGCTCCACTGCCAAGTTCTACCAGTTCAACAACTACGGAGGTATCTCATCCGGCCACCCTCTTGCCACCAATACTAGTGCTTGCTCGACCAAGCCTACCTCTACTGCTACTTGTGTTCGTTGTGAAGGTCAACCTGGAACTGACAAGTACTGTGGTCTCACAATCAACGATGACTCTTACGCTGTTGTGCCCAAAACTTGCAACACGGTCGAATACAGCCTGGACCTGACCGAGTGCATTATTGCCCCTGATGGTACCAGCCGAAAGGCACTCTGCATCAACGGCCAGTTCCCTGGACCTCTTCTTGAGGCAAGCTGGGGTGATGAGGTTGTTATTCATGTCACCAACTCCATGAGTCTTAATGGTACTTCCATCCATTGGCATGGTATCAGACAAAACTACACCAACGAGATGGATGGTGTAGTTGGTCTCACTCAATGCGCTCTGGCTCCTGGGCAAAGTATGACTTACAAGTGGATGGCCGAGAGCTATGGCTTCTCCTGGTACCACAGTCATTTGACTCTCCAAGCATATGAGGGTCTCTTTGGTCCCATGTACATTGCTGGTCCCAAGTCTGCTGACTACGATGTCGATGCCGGTCATTTGATCATCAACGATTGGTCCCATATCCCCGTCGACGACATGTACAACGATGCACAGGTCGCTGGTGTCAGAACTATGGATACTGGTTTGATCAACGGTATGAACATCAACCCTGCAGCCAAGGACGGTCAACCCGCAGGCGTTCGCTACACGGTCCCCACAGAATTCGTACCTGGCAAGAAGTATCTTTTCCAGCTCCTCAACAGCGCCATTCAGTCTACCTACAAGTTCTACATTGACGGCCATAAGTTTACCGTCATCGCTACCGATTTTGTACCCATCGAGCCTTACGAGACCACAGTCTTGTCCATCAACATTGGCCAGCGTTATGAGATTATTGTTGAAGCCGATCAGGATGTCGGTGACTACTTCCTCCGATTTGATAACCAGAACGCTTGTGCCTCCACCATCAATTCTGATGATATCAGAGGTATCATTCACTACGCCGGAAGTCCCGGTCTCACTCCCAACTCCACTGCTCACACCTATCCTCGCAAAGATAACGGTGTTGGTGGTATCCTCGGTACTTGTGAAGATGAGCCTCTTGCCAGTCTTGTACCCGTTCTCAAGAAGACTGTCAGCTCTCCTCACGAGACTGTCCAGCATGATCTCTTGGTCTCCAACTCGAACGCTATTAACCTCTACCGTTGGTACCTGGATGGCACTACTTTCCAGGCCAACTGGGCCGATGCCACTCTGTATAGCATCATTAACAACGATACCGTACCTACATACTCAGGCGATCTTGCCATCTCTACCAACTTAGGAGAGTGGGTTTACGTCATTATCGAATCTCCTATCCCGCTTGGCCACCCTATCCATTTGCACGGTCATGACTTTTATATCCTTGCAGCGGGCTATGGAACCTACGGCGCTGGTACAGCGCTAAACCTCAACAACCCTCCTCGTCGCGATGTAGCGTTCATGCCTGGTGATGGCCCAACCGGTCAAGGAGGTCATCTCGTAATTGCCTTCTTCACTGATAATCCTGGTGTTTGGCTCATGCACTGCCATATTGGTTGGCACGTTGCCATGGGTTTTGCCCTACAATTCATCGAGGGTCAAGAACTCATCAAGGACTCTGTTGCTAATACATGTCTTGTCAACGATGTGTGCACTACATGGCGTCCATGGGCCCAGGAAAATGGCATTCACACCGATGACTCTGGTGTTTAGATGCTAGACTGGTTTTTGTCAAAATTCGGCGCGCTCTTGCTTTTTCTTCTCTTCTTGATACCTAGATTTTGCGTTTACACCATTCCCGCTAGATGGCTAGATTCTGCCTTTTTTGTACATATGCGGACTTATATACTTTTATGTCATTATCGCTTTTGCACGTGATTTTCTGCGTCTTTTACACTTTTCATTACACTTCGGCTCCGAAAGCCGCCCTGTGGATGAGAGGAAGCGTGAGTACTTCAACAGCAGCAACAATCAGTACCGTCTGGAAATGCAGCAGTGCAAGCCAAGGCGCTGTTTTCTTGAAGCATAAAGACGCTGCCTCGCTGTAAGTCCTCAAGTCAAAGTCTGAGGATATCGTCTCTCCGGCAGCTGCGTGATCTGAACTTCCACCCCCAGTTCTCGCGTCGATGTGTTCAGTCTCGATGCAAACATACGCAGCAAAAGTCGGATACAACACGAGTAATCTCAACCCCAATGCAACAAGCAACAAACACCCATCACCGAAAGCGATGGTCTCGATCTTCGCCATATCATCTCCCATATTGAGTGAGAAAAGTCTACTCACTAGACCTGGCAATTTTGCCGTCACTTCTGCGGCAAAAGTGTACATTAAGCAGGGAACCACTAGCTCCCTTTTCGGCAAGGATAGTATAACCCTCCTTGCTTGGGGTAGAGAGAGAATGCCTTTTGTCCATCGGGCGTGATAGTTTGCGAGGAGTAGAGCTGCTATAGCTTGAGAGGCCAGATTCCAGATGTTAGACGCGCAAATACAAGTGAGAACGTTGACGAGGATTAGAAAGAGCACATTATAGGTGACGCCTTGAAACATGTCATTGCGCAGTCGTCTAGGCGAAGAAATGATTCGACGTGTAAGTTCCGAATTGAAATAATTGGACTTGGCCACGGCTTTTTGTGTATAATGACGAGCTCTCGTTGAAGAGTAGATTAAATGTGTTCCAGCCGTTCTTAGCATTACATGTCGTATCTGTATCCTATTTAGCCTTGTCTTTTTTTCCGACACGTCTACGAAATCGCAAACTCACCAAAGACATCAGAAGCGCTTGTAGTAATATCACAATGATCAAGCCAATGAAATCGCTGAGAGCTCTCTTCTCTGTATGGATCGTGGAGTTCAATAGTGCACTGATGCCGAGGAGGTTGTCTGAGCTGTTTAGGTCTGCGAGTGTGTGCAGGAGTTTGTGCGCCAGATGTCCTGCTAGGGGAGGTGGAGGGGATGCCATGCTTGTATTTGGTGAAAACGAGGAAAGGAGATGGAGGCTTGTAATAGGTGTTTGTTGCTGTATGGCCGAGGTTATACCGTGGACAAAGTGTATTTCGATATAGATGGCTGCCTGATTTGAGAACGAATAACAGAGTGGTAAGAAGACCACCTCAAATTACTTCACAAGACACAAAGAGAAGTTCGGGTACAAAACATCAATTTTAGAAACTACCGCATGCATAAAAACTCCTTCCCTTTTCCGTTTTGAAACGCCATAAAACCACTTTTCATCTTCAGATCTAACCCTGTGTATCAACAACCTCAGCAAACCACTGTCTCAGTGCTCCAGCAAGTACAGCAGGCATCTCTCTAACATCTCTAACCACCAAATAATATCCGAAGGGGAAGCTATCCAGATACTTGACAGTCCTAACCTTCATCTCTCCAGTCACAGGATCCTTGACGAATTCTGCCGTCTGCAAGTCCAAAATGGACGAGTTCTTTTTCTTCGCAGCAGGTGCAGCGGGAGTAGCGGTGCCCGAAGCAGGAGCATTGGCAGGAGTAGCGGTTCCAGAAGGTGCAGCAGAGAAAGAAGGAGCTGAAGCTGTAGCATCCACAATGACAAAAACCATCATAATCCTCTCCTCATGTGCTTGACGCACCAATTGCCTAATGCCATTGTGATCCTCGCACACACCATCAGAAACAATCAACTGCAGCTGCCACAATTCAGAGCTTGCGCCCTGCGCTCTCAGTCTAGCAGCTCTGAAAAGATCCAGAGATTTCTGCACCAAATTCTTGACATTCGTGCGCGTTTGCTCAAAGTTAAAGCCGCGAATCACATTCGCTCCCGCTTCAGCTGTGAATGGTGTTTCAAAGCCTAGCTTCACACTCACGTCTTCTCCAAAGCCGAGGATACAAAGCTCGCCAGCTTCGAGGATTGAGAGGGCGCGGGCGAGAAGGGCCATGGTGTCGAAAGCGAGTGTTTGTGCTCCGCCTTCGGCCATGGATTGGGAATCGTCGATGGCGAGCATGATTTGGTATTGGCGTTTGCTGGGCACGGATCTACGCATCCAGATCTTGTCGCGGCGGTAGGAGGAGGCGATGTAAGGGATGATGCGTTTGATGTTGAGGCGTTTGCCGGTGCGGTAGTCGCCGCGCATCTTTGTGGCGTGGGTGGGTGTGAGGAGGAGGCGGAGGTGCTCAGCGAGGAGTAGAGAAAGGTTTCTGGTCGTCGACTCATGAGTGTTGTACAGTGCTCTTGCGTCGTCGAGGGACAAGGAAGGAAGGTCGGCTATGGAGGAGATGTGGGCAGACTCGAGTTGATAATCGACATCTTCGATGGAGTCGTCGTTGTCTTCTTGAGCCTCGGCACCGTCTTGGTCGAGAGCGTCTTCCCGAGACTGGGCCTCTCCGACAAAGGCGTTGGGAATGGCTTCAGCTCCACCTTCTGGGTTCTGCTTGCCGTCGTCGTCTTCTTCACGGTCACCCATTTCGATGTCCTCGTCTGGGCGGTAGGCTTCACCTTCTTCTTCGTCTTCAGGCATAAAGTCTTCTCTCTGCTCCTTGTCATTGGTAGAGACACCGGCTTCCTCGTCGATAGCCTTGGCTTGGTCTTCGTTGGCAGCACCAAGAGCTTGAGCGTCAGATTCTTCAGCCTCATTCTGCAAGTGCTCGAACTCGGCGTCATTCATGTCAACATCATCAGCAGGAGGCTGTTCTTTGCGATCCTCCTTGTCGGCCGGAGCATCTTGAATCTGCTTTTGCTGCTTGTACCACTTTTCGAGAGCATCACCAATCTTCTTGTAAGGCATAGACTCTTGCTTGTCCTCGGTCTTTTCCTCATTGGCGGCGGCAGCAGAGTTTTCGGCAACTCCTCGTTCACCTTCGGCACCAGCTTGTTGTTGCTGTTCTTGCTGAGCGCCTTGCTCGCCAGATTCCTGTTGAGCAGCACCTGCGTCATTATCCTTGTTGTCGTCCTGAGGCTGTTGATCATCGAGACCAGCACCTTGGGCTTCACTAGGTGCAATCTCATCGGCGGCATTGGTGTCGTCTTTGCGGTTATCTTGAAGCATGTCTTGATCCTCTTGAGCTTCTTCCTCTTCCTCGGGCTTCTCAGCATCTTCGCCGACTTCGTTTGTCTTGTCTTGACCGTCCTCATCGGCGTTCTCGTCGGCTTCGTCTTGCTGGGCGTCGAGGTCGGCGGGAATGTCATCTTCGGGAGAGACGTCCTCTTCCTTGCTCGGGTCATCGATTTCACCTTCTTGCTCGCCTTCAGGTTCAGGCAGATCTTGGTCCATGGGATCGAGATCACCCATGTCTTCCATACCTGAGTCGTCGCCATCTTCAGACTTGCCGTCCATGTCAATATCATCAGGCAATTCAAGGTTGTCCTGTTCCTGCAAGTAAGGATCGGTCTTTTCGGTCTCGTCAGGCGGGCCGTTCTCGGTTTCGTCGGCACCTTGTTGTTCGCCTTCGTCCTCCTCTTCCTCGGCATCGTCATCATTCTCCTTCTTTTCCTTCTCGTCCTTCTCTTCACCATCAGCAGCAGTCATTTCGTTCTGATCTTCCGTGCCGGCGTTGTTGTCACCCTCCTTGTCTTTGTTATCTTCATCCTTTCCACCGTCATCCCACATCTTCTCGTCGACGGTGGAGGGACCAAGATCATCGACATCGCCAACTTCATCTTCCATCTCATCTTCACCTTCGTCTTCCTTGTCATCACCTTCCTCGTCATCCTTCTCTTCAGCGTCACCCATCTGACCTTCCATGTCTTGATCACCCATGTCGACTGCGTCCTTTTCATCTTCAATTTCGTCCTTGTCGTCACGGTCATCCTTTTCTTGTGCAAGTTCACCGAGGTCTTCGTCGTCCTCGATATCCTTCGAGATGTCCTCAGCACCTTCGCCTGAGCCCAGACCGGTTCCGCCTTCGAGCTTATCATCACCCTTGTTCTGGTCAGTTGACTTCTCAGAAGGCGTACAGAAGCCCTCCTTTGAGAGTTGAACAAAGATCTTGGCAAGACGGAAAGACATCTGACTCAGGGCTGCATGGAGGTTCTCAAGACGAGAAGATAGATAGACAGCCAGGTTGTTGTACTGAGCGATAAAAGGGATGAAAGAGTGAACAACTGCAGCTGCAACATCGAGATCGGTGTTGAGCTGTGGCACTTGCGCCATGAGTTCCCGCATGCGTGTTGTAACGTGAGGAAGGCGGAGGGTCTTGACCGCAAGAGACAAGTTTTGACTTTCATGGAGAACCCAGCTTGGATCCTCGGCAGACACGGGAAGTTGGCTCAAAGGCTTCTCGAGATCTTGAACAGAACCAAGAATGGAGTCGACAAAGTCGCAAGCTGCTTGTCCGAACTCATCAATCTTGATCGAGTTCTTCTTTAAGATCTTCTTTGTCTTGACGTTGTCACCGACAGAAGCCCAGAGTTGGAGCTGTCTCAGGGTAGCTCCAAGGTAAGGATGTTGCCCAATGATGGTAGCAAGCTCGGTGTGCAGCTGCTGCGCAGCAGCCTTGCTTTCCTCTAGGACCTTGATGTGTTGGTCACTGTTGACGCCAGCAGGTAGCGAGTGAAGAGCTTGCCATTGTGACTTGAAGCTCTCGAAGCGAATGGCCCACTGACTCAGAGCCTTGACAATGTCGCTGCAATCAAGTTTACTGAGTTCAGCCTGTGCAGCAACAACGCGAGCAGCAGACTTGATCATGATTGGCAGGCAAGCAATAGCAGTGGCAGCATCATAGCTCTGCTTCTTCTTATCAGCAAGCTCAAGCTTACCTTTGCCCCAAAGACTTTCAGCCTGGGCAAGGAACGACTCCAAAGACTTTTGATCATCGGTGACGGAGCCAAGGATGTTTCTCTGCTGAATAAGGACTTGCAACATACTCTCGCACAATGCCACAGATCTCGCAATTTCGGCACCGGTCAAGTCGTCATTGTGTTCTCTAGCAGCTTCTCTAACCAAAGGCATCAAGTACAAAAGACGATGCAGATAGCTTTCAGCAAGGTCCTTTTCCATGACCGGGATTGCAGCCAGGACAGCTTGCAGTGAGTCTTGCCTGGCCAGAACATCGCTCGTCACATTGCTCTTGAAGCCCATGTTTCTGAGCTCTTTGAGAACATCGGCGAAAAGCTTACGCTTACGGTTCTTGAGATGCTTGACTGTCTCGGTATTCTCCTCGGTCAAGACGGTGGGCGTGGCCTTGCGAAGCTGAGCAGCAATAGATTCTGTGTCATTGAGCCAGATGTTGATCTCAGAGGCGCAATCGATATGCTCAGCCTTGATGGCACCCTTGGACTGCATGACAGTTAAGGTGGTAGCAGTGTTCTTGAAACGGGCAGGTCGCTCATTCCACTTGGGCACTACCTCAATGCACAACGTAGAGGCCTTAGGGTCGACAGGAACCTCAGTCTTGCGCAAACCGGCAGCTGTAGGTGTTTCTGCAAATGCAATATCTGGTAAACCTGCTGAGACAATACTCTGAGCAGGCTGAGAAAGAAGAGCTCTGAACTTGCGAACAACTCTATACAGCTTGACGTGAGAGGCCTTTGAGCTCTGCTTCAGTGCAAGGATGTTGGTATCCTTCCAGCTGGCGAGTTGGATGATGTTCTTGATATCCTTCTCAAGCTTTTGTCTACCAGTATCAAGAGCTTGGTTGACCAAAGGCTCGTAACGCACCATATACGAGATGAAGTTACTCAAAGCAGTGTGTGCTATTTCGAAGCATGGGAAGCTTGCTGCGCGAGTCTTGATGTACTCCCGGAAGTTGCCTAACATTCTCAAGCGAGCAGAGAACTGACCGAGACCGGTAGTCGTGAAGAAGCCGTACAATGTCTTGATGAGCTCGGTAACGTGGTTCTTCATCTCGGTCTCGCCCTCGCCGATAGTCAAAGGCACAACAACGATGTTCTCATAAGCAATGTAGAACCAGCTCTTGGCATCTTCGTTGCACTTCAATGTCTCCATGTCGAGCAGTCTTGACCAGGTAGATAGTTCAAGCTGTCTCCAGCTGACAATGAGACTTGTGATGTTGTCATAGAGCCCAGCAGCACTGTATTCTCTGCTAGCGACAACTTGCCACTCATGGATGTATGAGTGTAGCTTCTCGACCTTGAGCATAATCTTGGCGATAGGGTCTGTGTGAGCGAATCCGAGAATCTCGTCGCACACGCGCAACACATCACCAAGGGTTGCGTGCTCAGGCCAGACTTGCTGAACCTCTGTGAATCTGGTCTGAATCTTGCGGATCAACGAGATGAGCTTGTCTGCTTCGGTGAGGTTGGCTTCAGTGTAGATGTTGTACAGGTTTTTCTTGAAGCCAGAACCGTTCAACATCTGGGTTTTCTCTTGCAGGATGAGAATCAAGAGAGGAGTCAAGACGCCACTTGAACCGTCAACGCTGGCAATTGTCTGCTCGTCAGACTGTTTGCCGAGCAATGCTGCTGACTTCTTAACAAGTGCGAGCAAATCTTCCTCGTTGGCTTCGCCCTTCTTGTAGATTTCTGCAAGAACAGTGGCAAGACCGGGAGCAAGAGCTTGCATCTTTTGAGGCACGGCAGACTTGTTCTGAGTATCGGTGCTTGCTTCAGTGTCGTACTCCGGGAAGAGTTCGGCCAACTCTGCCTCGTCTGCTTCTTCTTCGGCCTCTTCATCACCACGATGGGTGTACAGACTGTGGTCTGCGGCGTTCTGCTGCTGGTTGGTTTGCAGCTCGATTTGCCATTGCTGATACATCGAGTCAAAGACGTCAAATACAGCATCCCAGGTTGACAGCTGTGTATCCGGCAAGATGCGGCTCATGGTTGCGAAAGAAGATAAAGCGTGCATTCTGACATTGTTGTGGTGAGGTGCTTCCATAACAGCAGAGATGGCAGTAGCCTTTCTAACGTAGTCAGGGGATGCGCCAGTAAGAGGCGAGAAGTGCTTAATGTCGACTGTGTTGTCAATCTTCACATCCTCAGGAACGAGGCTGGCAAGTGCGAATCCAACCTCGAGACAGTGCAAGAAACCCATGACAGGTCCAGTGATATCAGCATAAGCACGGTAACCGTCACTGAGACGAGCCTTGACTTGTCTGACGTTTTGACGCAGCACGGCGTCTTTTGCGAATCCCACGATCATATCCTCAGGGGCATTGTAGAGTGGTGCAAGCGCCCTTTGCAAAGCGTTGAGCTCACCTTGCAGCTTGGTGATCTCTGAGATAGTGGGTCTGGCGATATCTTCAACGGCAGGCTCTTGACCGAGATCTATGACATCCTGCTTGACCGAAGCAGTACGAAGCGAAGAGTAGAGACCAGTGGCATCAGCAAAGCGCTGCAGGGCTGCCAATTCAGTTTGCAAGTCAGCGAATGTCTTGCGGAACATTTGCCTGTCAAGCATAGGACGTAAAGCAGGATCGGAAGGCTTGCTGGTGATGTACAATGACATGCATCCAAGAGCGAATCTCAACCAAGCTCTAGCAGAGATAGCGGGATCAATAGTATGTGCAGCAGAAGCATCGACAAGGTATTGCACCAACGGATTGAGATAAAGCTTGCAAACGCTGGCAGCTTCCTGAGTAGATGCCATGGAAGGAGCTGCTGCAACAATCTTGCCTAAGCTGAACGACTCAGCAGCCCAATCGATCCAGGGCTGCCAATCAGCTTGTCTGATATCCTTTGCACGGGAGACTTCGCGCAGCGAGCGCAAAAGTACATCCGCCAATACAGCAAGATGACCGTCAAGAACGTGGATGTAGTTTGCTTCCAGATCATGTGTATTGCTTGTGATGATCTGACCCATAATCTGGGCTTCGGTCCGGAGCAGGTCCAGTTTGCTCATAGGAACTTGGTCAATGTGGTCGAGACCCGAGAGAACGTGCTGGTGAAGGTTGGTCTCCAGAGCAAATGGCTTCTGATCATCGCTGTAGAAACCGACGTGCTTGCCCAGAGGCTCGAAAACGTCGCCTTGCTGTGCAGAGATGTGTTTTGTAGGCCTGTAAGCAAGGAAGTTCACGCGCTGCAGCTGTGACTGCAACTGTTCGCTGAGTGTGCGCCCGGCCAGTGCGCTAAATACTCCTGATCGAGGATACTGAGACATATCCTTGCCGTACAGCAGATCGAAAGTCTGGGCAATGCCTTCAAACTGCTCTCTGAAGTGAGGCATAACATGTGCAATTTCTGTCTCTTCAATGCTGAATGCAGACATTGCTTCCTTGAGACTGGCAATGAGGGCAGATGCCTCATCGGAGCCAGTTAATACGACAGCCAAAGCTTTACCGAATGCTTGTTGTAGTTGCAGAAGCTGGTCCAATGGGGCATCGAGTCTTCTTGCGAATATGTCAAATCTGTCGGCCATAGCTTCGAGTCCAACAATATCCTGCAACTGTTGGAATGTACGAGCAGTCTTTGGTCTCATGACTGTCCACAGGGCGGTCATCGAAGCACCCTTGTTATCGGGGGAGAATGCTCGGTCTAGAGGCAGCACAAAGTATGAGCTGAAGCGTTCCCCAGCTTGAGCGTCACCAGAAGCAAAGCGTGCAGCGAATTCGACACCGTTGTTTTGCTCAAGACGAATACCGATCTCGATGTACGCCTTGAAAACTGCCTCTTCTACATCTACCGAGTCGACGAGGGCGAAGAACTCCCACCAATATCTTCTCCATGGCTTGAACGTGTCAACAGAGTGCTGACCAGCGAGCTGACCTTGTTGTTGGGCGGCCACAGCTGTGTCAAGGAATTTTGACCAGACTTCCACAGCGGCACCGAGAAGACCGAAAACGTTGCTGGTGAAGTGCTTCTGTTTTGGGCCTTGACCAATCGCAGATCGTTGGAGACGAGTTTGCTCACGTTTTGGTACATCACGGTTTCTGACGTTCTCGAGGGCGATCTGCATGGAGTGTATGTCCCACTCGAGCTCATAGAGCGCGGCAGCCCACTTGCTAGGCTCGATATTGCAACGAGCCAGCGCGACGTTATTCAGAGGGTGGAACGGCTGAACTGCAGAGTCAATACCAGTTATGGCCTGCTCGTCTACGGTCTGTGTAACGTGCAAGGTTTTAAACTTGAATTGAACATCCTTGCTTCTACCAAGAACATTGATAGGCGTCTTGTAGAGCCCGACCTCCAGACCTGACATGAATTGAGGCATAATGGGCGTGTCTTGATATGACATACTCTCCATGACAATTTGTGCCATGTGAGGAGTCAAGGTATCTCGCACGTCAATGTTCTCTAAAGCTTCCGTATTGCGGAGTCTGTGAAGACTCGACTCCGAGCAGAACTCTAGGCTTGGTGTATGCTCAAATGCGGCTATAGGAGACAACAAGAACAGCTCAACAGCTCTGTTGCGCAAAGCTCTGGACAGCTCACCATATCTAGGATCCATGGTGAAGAAGATCCTGAAATTAAGATGGGGCTTGATAACACGGGCTTGTCCAGAGGCATCAGTGTTCTCGTTGAGGATCAATGTACCGTTGGGCTCAAGTAGTGAGTTGAGCCTGTCCAAGACTGCAGGACTGCAGAGGTTGGCATTGTCGAGGACCAACCACTCACCACGTTCCAAAGCTTGCACAAGCATACCGTCCATCCACTCAAATTGTGCTCGGCTGATGGCAGTAGGCGTTGAGATCAAAGCTTCGACTTGCTCGCGTAGGGACTCTGCCTCAGCCACGTCGATCATGAATGCGTTTGATGACAACGATCCAGACGACCGAGCGACCGAGATAAAGTTCTGAAGCAAGTGAGAAATCTCAAGAGTCACCTCGTTGCGACCAGTCGTGACCAGGCTTGTGTCTGCCTTAGATGCCAATTGGCGGAGGCGCTGAAGTGACTCAAGAGCAGACTTGTTTGCGTCCAGGGTCAAGCAGCGGACGGTCTGCAGCGCTGCGAAGGTACGGAGCTTCTCGAGGAAACTGTGAATGGCACGTTGAGGCTCTGACTGCTCATAACCACCAACCAAGTCCATAGAGTCAACATCGGCGTTCATAGAGAAGGTGACCATGTCAACACCAAGGACTGCGGCGAGCTTCTCCAGGATAGCGGTCTTGCCCGAGCCCGACGGTCCGACCAGCAGAACTGGCCATCTCTTTTGTACAGCAACCATGACGGACTCCAGCACATGAAGATGAGGCTTGAAGTCGAAATACTGATGGTCAGCGCCGACCCTGGCTACGTGAGCGTTCCTCTGGAGCAGACCCAAGCCAACTTGAAAATGCTTGGGACCAATGTCATGGAACATGCTGTGAGTGACTGGAGCGTCTGGCAAGATACTCTGGAAGAGCTTGGCCACGAGAGCCCTGTCCATGGAGGTGCGGAAACGCTGCGCGATAATGGTCGAGAAGAAATCATCTACCTCACCCCCCTTCAGCAAACCTTGGTCCGCGGTGATCAAGCTCAACCAACGCAGTGTATCACGCAAGTTAAATTCCCAAGGTCCGCCGAGCGAGCCAATCTTTCTGTGGTGGGTCTCGATGTCAAGCTGGTCAATGAACGAGACGATAGGAGCGATCTTGTCGGCATCGTAGCTAGCGAATGACTTTTGACAGATCAGGACAAGATCTTCAGGGCTGAATACATCGGCGTACACAACAGTGAAACGGTTGACGAACGATGCGGGCAGACCTTTACGACCACCACCTTGATGGTGGGGATTTTGAGCGGCAAAGAGTCTGAAGTCGGGATGACGGCTGAAGATTTGGTCCAATTCGGAAATATAGACCTCACCTCTGTGATCGAGACAGGCGTTCAAACCTTCCAGTACTGACTGGGAAGCGAGATTCATCTCATCGAGCAACACCCACTCGCCGTTCTTCATGGCTCGGAGGAATGGTGCGTCACGCCAGGCGAATGTGCCAGCTTCAGCTCCTTCAACGGGAACATCTGAACCGAAGAGGTCCATCAAATCAGTCTGCTCCGACAGATTGATGCGTGTAAGAGGCATACCAACTGCCTGTGCCAGTGCAGTAACAAGAGTCGTCTTTCCTACACCAGGATTTCCCTCGAGAAGAACGGGTTTGGTGAGCTGGAGAGCACGAATGACACGCATAGCATTTGATCTGGTCGTCGGTGCCAGGAAGGTGAATCCAGGCTCGCTGCCCTTAGTGATCACGGGGATAGAGAAAGCGCCAAGCTCCAAAACCTCATCTGTGACCTCTACGTGGATTGGTGAGTTGTAGACAGCAGACGCATCGGCCTTGATGAGCTTGCTCAACTCGTCCAGACACTGCGACCTTTCGTAGTTGACAGTGCCAGGGTTGATGGCGAGAAGGGCGGCAGGATTGGCACCGAGGGTATCGATGTACACCATTGCAGCACCATGGATGATTGAGAAGACAGGATCGCGATGCGGCTGACGGTTAACAAACTCTACCCAGGCAAGAGTGTCACGGATCGAGATTGATGACGCAGCAGAAGTATTATAACGCTGGTTAAACCATTGAGCGAACTCAACGAGGACATTGGCATAAGGTGCTGCATGGTCCTTTAGCTTGGATCGGATGATCTGCAAAACATCCTCGATATCAGACAATGCAGGCACCCAGATCTCGGTAAAACGGTTGCGCAGAGCGGGAGACAACTCTCTCTTGCCATAGTCGCCACCAGGGTTCATGGTAGCGAAGAATTGGAAACCAGGCTGAGCCCTTACGAAGGAGTCGAGCGAGCCCTTCTCGGCCAGCAACATTTCTCGCGAAGGTTCAAGTACACTGTTCAGACGCTCAAGAACCGAGTCGTCGGCAAGTGAGATTTCGTCGAGCAAGAAGTACTGACCAGTCTTCATGGCGTGTACAAGCGAACCGTCGGCCCATTCGAAGAGTGCCTTCAGGCGAGGTCGATTGGTACCGATGGCCTGATAGACCTGAGCTGTGTAAGGATCGCTTAGGTCGGCGTTGGCCTTGACTTGATCATAGATCACAAGAAGCTCGTCGACGCTAGCCGTAGGGGCAGCCTCTTGGATCTCGGGATGAGGAAGCGATACGAGCATGTCACGAACCTGTTGCTCGATGCCTGCTCTGTTTCTCAGAGGTCTCTGGGCACCGATCAAGTCGCCAGTCTCGGTGTTTTGATGTGCGTTGACAATGTGCAGCTCCTTCCTGGTAGCATCTGCGAGCATTTGTACGACGGTAGTCTTACCGCAACCAGTCTCACCAACCAGTAAGACCGGTTCGTTGTTCTGGAGAGCGGTGGCGACCAAGACATAGAGTCTACGCATAGCATTTGTCCAGACGACACCCTTAGAACCAGCCTGGGTCAGGTACGATTGCAACACAGGAGACTGGACGCCATAGAGCGCAGTGGTATCGATGTCAACCTTGGGCCCTTTCTGACCCAAAACCTTCTCGATGACCTTCTTGACAGCATCGCGTTCCTCAGGCTTACGGACCCTCTCAGCGAGGAGCAAGAAACCATTGACAGCAAGCTCATCGATAGTGTCTGCTTTTCGCAAAGCCCACCTGAAGAGATCACGAAGCGTAGCAAATGACTTTGACTCGAACAAACGATTCTCCTGACGCAGTATCGAAAGCTCTCTGTAGACACTCACAATACGCTTACACCAGGTGTCAGGAATCTGAGTACGACGCTGGAGAATGGTATGCAGCTCTTCAACCGGAATATCATCAAAGTGAAGTTCGAGGAAACGATTGCGGAAAGCACGAGATAGTACTTTACGTCCACCGTACAGACCAGCCGGGTTCTGGGTAGCAAAAAGCATGAAGTTCTCGTGAGGACGAACAGTCTCCTGCGTCTCGGGAATAAGCAGCTCTCTATTGTCATCGAGAAGTCTGTTGAGTGCTTCCAAGACATCAGTGGGAGCCAAATTCAACTCGTCGAGAACAATCCAGTGACCTTCTCTCAGAGCCTTGACTAGAACACCTTCCTGAAATTGCAGACGACCATCAGAGCCTGACACATAAGTACCCAAGTACTCTTGTAGATCGGTATGCTCATGGTTGTTGATTCTCACAAACTTGTTACCAGACTTGTTGGCCAGGTACTCGATCATACTGGTCTTTCCTGCAGAAGTAGGACCTTGAATCAGAACGGGGAATCGACGGGTGAAAGAAGCGCGAATGAGGTTGTCGAGATTGCGGCGAATGAAGGGTGTGATGATGTAGTGTGGTTGGTCGTGTACGGCGAAGTTGCCTTGTCTGAGCCAGTAAGCTCCATCCTTGACATAAGTGTGTCCATCTTGAGGCTGTCGGAAAGGCTTCTTGAGCTCAGCAGCTGCGTTTGCAAGCTTGCCAAACATATGCTGGTGAATAAGTGGTAGCAGGCGGGCTTCCGATTCCTTGTCAAGGAGCGTCAAGAAACTCATTTGGATACCCTCCGCAACGGCCCTGCGAATCGAGCATAGCGGTGAGACATCCTTTGCATAGATCAAAGCACGAGTCAGCGTTCTTAAACTGAAATGAGGCTTCTGACCTGCGCCATCGACGAGCAAGTTGTCTTCGTTCAGCTTTTGTACTGCTTGATGTAGCTTAGCCACATCGGACGCGATAGACCTGTCCAGAACAGCTTCTTGACCAAGATATGTTTGCACGATGTTGCGCAAACTTTGGTAGTCGCGATCGGGACTCTCAACATACAGCTCGGTGAATCTTGAACGGATGCCCAAAGGTAAGTCCTTCTTTCCGACATCAGTTGCAGGATTCATAGCTGCAAAGACTCGGAATTGAGGATGAGCCTTGATGACCTCGACACTGCCAGCTTCGCTCAACATCAATGAGGGAGAGCTGACATCGAACAAATCAGCTAACGCTTCGAGTGTGTCTGGTGAGGCGAGATTGATCTCATCAAGAAGAACCCAGTCGCCATTCCTGACAGCCTTGACAATGTTACCCTCGATGAAAGCAAAAGCGAACGCCTCCTGACCAGCAGTGAGACGATTTTCGAGACTCTTGACCTCCAAAGCGAATTTGTCCCATCTTCCACTAAGGACTGCAGTCATGGCCGGTTCGACCTTGCGCTTCTTTGCGGGGTTTTCAGCATTTCTAGAAGGGGACTTCGAGCCTGCTTGCAGAGTGGCTAGTCTTTGCTGTTCTACCATACCAAGAGCAGTGTTCCACAATTTGCACACACGAACCCACTGCTGCTTGCCCATGCACTTATTTAGCATGTCAATAAACTGAGCATTGCGCTTATAAGAGAAACTGGCAGAGAACAAATCATCGAATTCCTCTTTCAAGGGTACAATGATGGAGCGAGCATTAACAGGCTTGAAACCACCAAGGAGATCACCGCTTTCGCTTTGTTGCGACAAGTTGAAGGGGACAAGCTTCTTGCCAAGCTGGTCTGCAAGATGCTGTACACTGGTAGTTTTACCAGTACCAGTCTCACCAACCAAAAGGAGAGGCTCCTTTTGAGAGACGGCTACAGCAACACGATCAAGTAGACGGAGAGTGTGTGCGTTCGTTGAGAAAGCGCGTTTACCGAACGGACCAGCGAGACTCTTTCTCTGTTGACGAGAGAAGACTGAACGACCTATTGTGACTCTTGTGGGCTCCTCCTTGTGAATAATAGTACGTTCGGCAAGCAGATGCTGGCAGCGCTGAGGATCGATCTGCAAATTCTCGGCAATGCACGAAGTCAGAGCGGTATATGCTGAGCCTTCAGGCAACGCACCGGCGAAACAGTCAACAGCGTCCAGGAAGATCTGATCGAGCTCGCCAGCAGTCATGTTTGGCCTGTTTCCAAGCATAAGAGATACACGAGCACACCACTTGAGAAGATCTCTAGGGTTGACCTCACGCATGAGACCAGTTCTGCTGCGACTTGCCAAATGTGCTTGTTGTTTGAGCAGTTGCAGATTCTGGAAAACATTGACGAATTGCGGTGCGAATTCAGATAGTGATGGGAAAAGACCAATGACGACTTGTTTCAGCTCGTCTGAAGGCAGCATGCTGACGTGTACAGACTTCCAGTGGCGGGCACCCAACAAGTTGTAAGCAGGCTTCGTTTCGTGACCACTGTTGGACAACGAAGTACGCATAGTGGCAACGATGCGGAAGCCTCGAGCGGCGTGTAAGGTTTGACCTCTGCTTGGGATCACAAGCTCGTTTCTTTCGATCAATGGTAGCAGAGTGCTAATGATGTCGTTCGGTGCGCGATCCAGATCCTCGATGAAAACCCAACGACCTTCCAGCACTGCAGTGGTCAGAACACCAGCTTGCCACACGAACGATCCAGGAGTTTTGCCGGTTGTGTACATTCCGATGAGCAGCTTCGCATCACTCTGCTCGTTCAAGTGTAGTGTGACCATAGACTTCAGCTTGTTCAGCTGGCGTGCAGCATGGCGTACCAGGAGCGTCTTTCCAGAACCAGCAAGCCCAGTCAGTAGTACCGGGTTCGGTGCCTTTAACGCAGTTGCAAGCTCACATAGATTTGAGGCAGTGGTGGGAGTGTCGACGATTGTACTCGTCTGCGAGTCTGTCGGAGCGGCACCACGAGGGAGCAAAACGCCGGAGATGCAGGCAGTGGACGAGTGGAAGAGTTCGGCGGGCAAGACAACGTGCTGTCTCTGAGCATTCTCAGCATTCATGTAGGCAGCACGTTCTTGTTGTAAAGCTTCCCTCTCTTGTTCCAGGTTCTTCACGCGACGTTCCTCCCATAGCGTGAGAAGGCGATAGTCAATCTCTTTGTCCTCCCACGGTCCTAGTGGTGCGATCAAGTCCTGGCTTCCAGCATTGTTGGCGAGGTACTTGTTGGTCATGTCTTGTAGAGCAGCATCTGCGGCGCTCAGATACAGACATAGCACGCGAATGGCAAGGTAACGCAATGCACGCGCATCGTGGTCGAGCAACTGGTGTATCCGCGAGAAAGGCACGAATTTGGCAAAAGTCTGGCGGTCAAATCGTAGCAAGCGGATCAGGGCAAAGAAGTATTCGAGGGTGAAGAGATTTGAGTCGGAAATGCTATCGACATTATGCGAACTAAGGTAGCGCTCGGCGTATTCAGAGATGTGAGGAGCGAGGGAAACGAGGCGAGCGTATGCGGCGACGACAGAGACGTAATCGGAGGAGGTTTGGAATTCGGCGCAGCAGTGTGGGACGAGAGATTCGGCGTGAATCAGGATCGTGTCTGTGTATCGTCTGTCGAGAGCGGCTCTGCTGAGTTGAGCAAGAAAGTGTGCACCGTCGCCTCGTTGTAATGTCTCAGCAAGCTCCTGCGGTAATAATGAGATCCGCGAGGCCAGATTGTATGTTTCCCATGATACGTCCATTTTGGCGACAGGAAAATGAACTATATATGGTGAAGATTGAATAAAACCAGAAAAAAAGTTCTGGATCTGGAAATGTTCAAAGATTCAAAGCTTCGGAGGTTCTGCCTTTCGCCGCAGATTCGTGAGCACGGGCCTTCTCAAATCGCTCCTTCCAAAGTTCCTCAGATTTCAGTAGAGGCAGTCACGAGTCTTGTATACCGCAGTTGCACCTTCCGTCCCGAGCTCGTCGATTCACCACATCCCTCTCACACACCGCCATCATGTCGCTCTCCTGCCAACGTGTCCTCAGACGATGCGCCACCTTCCAGTCGCCCGTTGTCCGCGCCTCTCTCTCATCCACCCAGAGCAAGCAATTCCTCACAAGGAGATGGCAATCCACCGATGCTGAGGCCGCCACTTCTACCAACCCCAAGATTTCCGCCATCGTTGACCAAATCGGTCAATTGACTCTTCTCGAGACTGCCGACCTTGTTTCCTCCCTCAAGGTTAGTCCGACATGCGACGCTCAAACATCTATCTCGAACCATATACTGATTCACCCGCTCAGACTCGCCTGAACATTCCCGATCTGCCCGTTGGTGGTTTCGCTGCTGGTCCCGCCACTGCCGCCCCTGCTGCCGTCGAAGAGGAGGAGGCCGCCCCCGCCGCACAAGAGAAGTCTCTCTTCAACCTCAAGCTCCAGTCTTTCGACGCTGCTTCCAAGCCCAAGGTCATCAAGGAGATCAAGAGCTTGTTGGGTCTGTCTCTGGTTGACAGCAAGAAGTTTGTCGAGAGCGCACCCAAGCTCATGAAGGAGGGTGTCCCCAAGGAGGAGGGTGAGAAGATTGTCGAGACACTCAAGGCTCTCGGTGCCGTTGTCGTCATGGAGTAGATGCTCCCTTTCTTCTTTTCCTTCTTTCCTTGTACGCGAACATGGCATACATGTGACGGCGTTCTATGTACTTGTATATTGGGGCAAATGGTGTACAAAAACTTCTATACATGACTCGACTTACGCACCATGTCTAGAGAAGGCATTTTTGGTGTCAGATCTTTCCAAGACTCGGGATGAATGTGGATGTATGGTGCTCTGTCTGCTCGATCAGTTTGGTAATCTGATGCTTATGGTTCTTGACCAGGGTTACCCCGTATACCAAGAGATAATGGAAGTGTAGATGGACGCAGCACTCGTAAGGAGCTTTTGATACTTGGTGATCTTAGCCACGCATACCTGACTGTGTTCCAGAATTGTAGGCCGATTTTGGGATTCAAAGACATAAAAGTGCGATCTTGGTATTGACATGAGCCCAAGCGAATGCTCCAACATAAACTGGCAATGCAGAGAGGCACCGTGACCACTCGGCAACAACAAAGTGATGCGTCTTTTGAGCATATATATAACAGAGATAGAGAGCACACTGCGAACAATCACCTCTATATCCCGTTTTCTGCCATGCTTCTACACTGGTTTCGGTATATCTGTGTCTTGGCAGGATGAACCATAGAGTTTCGTGATGGGCTCGAACAGCGGGGCGTCAAGGGACAGAAAGTATGGAGCAGCGATGCGACAACCGTTATCCAACACCAACATGCCAACTTGATCGCTCGCTTCATCCACAGGCTGCATCGCATGCCTCATGTCAGCATCCTCAACTCATTCTCACAGCAATGAAGCTGTCGAGGCCGAATCCAGTCGCAACCCGTGGAAATCTCCCTACGCCGAGTCCCCTGGTGACGAAGACCATGATGGCGACTTGAATAAGCACATCTCGTTCAAGTCCGGCGTTCGAACTTCTTCTGGCTTTCTACCTTCGCCTCTATCGACTAGTCGAAGTCCGTCGCCTGGATACAACGATGCCACGAATCTGTCCCAAAGACGTGTCAGCTCGCGATCCCCTGTTCAGCCTACTACTGGCAACATCCTATCATACCTCAACACCCCGGCTGTCGCGCAAGATGCAAAAGACCCGTCTGCTCTGGACTGGTATGTTGAGGGACCAGGTCGACGTGTCGGATATGACAACTTGACTGCCATTGACTGGATCTTCGAATACGCAAAAGAACGACAACGGTTGAGAGTGTTGCGATCCAATGCTGTTGGCCTGTTGGGATACTTCCAGCTGCTCGCCGATAATAGTCAGACTTGGTTCATCTTGGTCGCAACTGGAATTGCTGTCGGTGCCATCGCTGCTGCTATCGATATTACAAGTGGCTGGCTGGGAGACCTCAAGGCGGGATACTGCAGTAATGTTCAAGATGGTGGAAAGTTCTACCTGAACAGAGGCTTCTGTTGTTGGGGACAGAAAGATTTCGAGACATGTCCGGATTGGCAGCTGTGGAGTCATGGTATGGGTGTCACTTCCAGCGCTGGTAGCTGGATCATCAACTTTGTCTTGTATCTTGCCTACTCGGTATGCGCGTCAGAACGAACCCCAATGATCTTGCGACTAACATCATTAGGTCCTGTTTGCATCTGTCGCGACATATCTCGTCACCAGGTTCTCGACATACGCTAAGCAGAGTGGTATACCTGAGATCAAGACTGTTCTTGGAGGCTTTGTCATTCGAAGATTCATGGGTGTTTGGACGCTAGTGACCAAGTCTACTGGGCTGGTATGTTGTTTGACGCTGTAGACGTACAACGCTGACATATTATAGTGTCTTGCGGTTGCCTCTGGTCTCTGGCTTGGTAAAGAGGGTCCCCTTGTCCATGTCGCCTGTTGCTGCGCAAACCTGTTCATGAAGCCTTTCGAGAGCGTCAACAGCAACGAAGGTTTGTCGTACCACGATCTCACCAAAGGCTCTCACTGACTTCAAGCAGCTCGGAAACGCGAGGTGTTATCTGCTGCTTCTGCTTCTGGCATATCTGTTGCGTTCGGCGCACCTGTTGGTGGTGTGCTGTTCAGTCTCGAATCGCTCTCGTACTACTTCCCAGACAAGACCATGTGGCAGTCGTTTGTCTGCGCTATGATCGCCGCTTTCACACTCAAAGCTGTCGATCCATTCCGCACAGGCAAGACTGTGCCTTATTCAGTGACCTACCACACTGGCTGGCATGGCTTCGAGATGGTGGCGTACGCAATCATCGGTGTCCTTGGTGGTTTGTATGGTGGTCTCCTCATCAAGCTGAATATGCGCTTAGCGGCTCTTCGAGACTCACCTCGATACCCACTCAGGGGTAGGCCAATCCTTGAGGTCTGCATCATCACTATCGCTACGTCGGTCATCGCTTTTCCCGTCACATTCCTACGCGCCCAGGCTTCTGAGTTGGTGTACTATCTCTTTGCCGAGTGTAAAGACATTCAATCTGACCCTCTCGGTCTCTGTAAGAGTGGCATCGCTAACACTGGTGTCATCTTCTTGTTGCTCATCTCTACTATTATCGGCTTCTTCTTCACGGCATTGACTTTTGGTCTCCAAATACCCGCTGGTATCTTACTTCCCTCCATGACCATCGGGGCTCTGTACGGTCGTGTCATTGGCCTCATAGTCGAGGTCTGGCAACGCGAACATCCCAAGTGGATTGTCTTTGCTTCTTGCGAGCCCGACGTTCCATGCATCACTCCCGGTACCTACGCCATCGTGGGTGCAGCCTCAGCATTAGCAGGCGCAACACGAATGACCGTCTCCATCGTTGTCATCATGTTCGAACTTACCGGAGCTCTTACTTATGTCCTTCCTATCATGATTGCTGTCATGATAGCCAAATGGGTCGGTGACGCTATGGGCAAACGTGGTATCTACGAAGCTTGGATTGCCTTTAACGAATACCCATTCCTGGACAACCGCGACGATCGACCTATTCCTGATATCCCAGTCTCTCAGATCATGACGAGAACAGAAGATTTGGTCACAATTAACGCTGAAGGCAACACCATTGCCAGCCTCACCAATTTACTCAAGGAGCATACATACAGAGGCTTCCCCGTCATCTCAAACTCCCACGATGCAATATTACTCGGCTACATTTCACGTACAGAATTAAACTTCGCCCTGAACTCCGCGGTATCCACACGAAAGCTGCCACCACAGACTTTATGCTTCTTCTCCCATCAGCCCCTCGCCGATGTAGAACATACACTCGACTTACGCCCTTGGATGGATCAAACACCCATAACACTAAACTCCGCCATAGGATTAGAACTCTGTGTAAATTATTTCCAACGTTTGGGATTGCGGTACCTTGGGTTTTGTGATAGGGGTGTGTTGAAGGGACTTTTGACGAAGAAGGATGTTTGGTTTGTTGTTAATGGGGGGGACGAGGGGGGTGGGAGGGTCAAGGGGGAGAGGGAGGATGAGGATGCGCATAGAAGGGTTAGAGGTGTGGGGAGTGGGATTTTGAGGGAAGGGGATGAGGGGGAGGAGAGGGGGTTGCTATTTGAAGGGAGAGGGGGGAGGGAGGAAGATGGGGATGTAGGGGGCGGGAGACGTGATTGATAGCATTAAGTTGCAAGATAGTGCTATCCTTCACAGCGAGCTACTCAACTCTGAACATGATCATGACGTTGATCAAGATGTGATTGAATGCAAACGATAGTGAGAGACTTGGTCATCACGACTTATTGTCCCATCACCGAACCTCGGAACATGTATCAAGTCTCCAAGAAAGCACAAATAAGTTCTGAGACGTCAAGTCTCAGCCCACTCCTCAACTCACCATCTTCCGCATAAAACTCCATTACCTCATCTTTATTGATATTCTCACACCCAACGATAAGGTCGTGTCTCTATCCGTGATCCTACCAGGAACATAGCTCGTTGGGATTGCGATCAGTCAACGCTTTATCTCATGCCTCGTGTTTGCGATTTTGTTCTCCAAGGCTGGGAAGACTTACTGAGCAGTGCTACAAGACTGGCAAGAATGTATCGTGAACTTCAATGACAAATTTTTGATCTGTAGAAACTGGGTACCCGAGGTGGCATCCCGTCTGGAAACATGTTGTGACTAGGAAAAAAGGCATTAGTAGGGAGCCGAATTGAACTTGGAGATCTTTGGTAGAGCTTTTAATATTCCACAAAGGGTGTAGAGGATACTAGTGGGGCATTTGTTGGATGAACTTGAAACGTAGAATGAAGATGAAATATGTACATGAGATCTACGATGCAAAAAAATAATGAGGAACAAAAAAAGCCTGAATGTCGGAACGATTTGCTGACCAGCAGCTCAATCTGTCAACCACTGCAACCTGCGCTTTTGTGACCAAGTTCACCTCTTACAGCTTCTTGGCCGCGAATCCCACCTGTGGTTTGGCATTCATCTGCGAAAATACCACGAACTGACTTTTTAGAAAAACGTCACCAAGAATGCTGAAACCAATGCCAGTGTTTGATTGCATACCACCATAGCAATTGTTGTTGCCCAAGTTGGCGAAATTCATGTAAGACCCTGGTACAGTGACTAGCTTGCCATTGACGACCAGACTCCAAGATGGAAGCTTCGAGTTGCAAGGGAAGATCCAGGCACCTTGGTAGTCGCTGTACATGGCACCCGAGACTTGCTTGTAGTATGCGTTGACCACGTCTTGGGGCAAAACCAACAGACTGGTTCCAGTGTCGACTACACAGCTGTATGTCTTGCTGACTGTGGCGCCACTACCGATGACATATCCGGCTGCGTTGAATTGCCAAAAAGCACCATTGGTGTTCAGGTTGGTGTATGTGATGCTGCCAGTGTACTTTGAGGTGTCGATGAAACCAAAGTCGTAGGTGCCTGGTGCTCCTTTCTTCAAGTCTGCGGTGAAGACTGGCTTGGTAAGCTGGCCCTTGACGGTATCGAAAAAGGTCTTCTGCTGGTTTGGCTTGACAGTGTTGGCAGAGCTCATAGCCAATCCGAGAATACCGTCACTGTTTGTGTCCGAGATGAAGCTGTCCGAGACTGATGTCGCTGCTTCAACCGCTTGTGACGTAGCTGTGGCGCTTCCAACCACGACCTTGTCTGCAAAGACTTTGCCGCTCGCACCTGAACCATCTCCGTAAGTGATCGCCCAGGTATATCCACCCATCAGGTTGGAATTCTTCGAGTTGTAGTACGAGTGTCCGGATCGCTGTGAGGAAGATTGCAAATTTGAATATACCCAGAGATCTGCGCTTCCTGTGTCGAAGTTCAGATTCAAAGTGTTGCCTCCTACGGTGACTGGACAGAGATAGGATTGATCATAGACCTCGGGTGAGGCAGCAACACTCGCTGTTGATGATGAGGCTGCAGCTTTTTGAACAGCAGGTGGTGCTGAGGCTCCTGACTTTGCATACTTTGCGTAGACATTGAGGAGCTTCTGAGCAGGAGCTTGCCTGGACGAGTTGACGCCTGGTATCTGATCAAGGGTAAATGTTTGTTTGCCTTGAATGTCGGCCGTTGTCAATGGTATAGCCTCGCATAGACTGTACAAGGCCGTCAAAGTAGTAAGAGATTGGTAGAAGTGCATGACTAGTCGAGTTTCGTGCTGAGATTGTATTGTGTGGCTTCTGTGATTTTCAGCATGGCCATTGTTCACTTTATGTTCACCACGCTGCCAGAGACGTTACGGATCCGGCCAACATGGCCGTTGAAGATGTCTTGTGTGCCACCCGTTGCTAATCGCATGCCGAGAAAACAGTCTTACATATCGGGTTTTAAAGCCCTGTTGGCGCGGCTGATGGCAAATTTCAACGCCTGCGAGACACCTCGTGCGAATGAGACATCCGTGGAAGATTTTATTCGTCGTCATCCATGTTTATATATAGGTAATTTGTGTCTGCAGCGACGTCTGAAGCATACAAATGTTTGACAAATGACGGCAGACAGGCTTTTGGTATTCGAGTACTTGTGAAGAGGGTTAATTGAATGTCTAGTATTGAAACCTTGAGGCCAGTCATGGCGATAGACCGTTGTGCAAATTCTGGTCCGAGAACACTGACTGCAGCAATGAAATCATTACAGATGGCAGTGAAAGACATCTTCTCGATGTCAAACTTTTCAAATGCGCATCTGACTCCGCGATGGACGATGATCAAAATGGCAGAAGTTGCGATTGTTCCTTTGGTGCGAGAGGACGAGATGAACGCAAGTCATGCCAAGCGCCAGTTTGGGACTTGCTTAACGACGTTGAGAACGACCACAAGGCCAAAAAATTACAAGCGCCAAGCCGTAATATATCGCGAGCTCGCCGCTTGCTCTCCCGACTTACAGCTGTCACACCTTGCTGCGAGACCATTCCGAGATTCAGAAAATTGTCAGATGCTGAACTCTAACCAGTCAACCCCATGCACTTGTCAGACTTGTCTCCAGATCGAGGATCTTGTGTCTACGTGTGTCCAGCCCGTAGTGTTTGCATGCAGCTCTGTCTAGCATGCAGCCCATACCACCCTACCATCTCCTGAGACAACCGTCTTCTTATACCTACAGCCGTAACAGCGGAACGTAGCGAGCGATGGGGCTCGAACTATCAGATGATTGTGACCGCCAAGTACGGTAAGGATTCGAGATGCTCCAACACGCTCAGATCTCACCGCGTCCTTGTTATTAGCCGTGGCGCCAAAGAGGGGTCGAGGCTTGGGACTTGCATCTCGATATTTGTACCGACCCAGCTCTTTCGATCACATCTCATAGGCTTACTCATGTGTACGACAAGTGCTGATGGAGACTAAGCCGCCAATGCCATCTACCTTGTAGCCAAGCATGAACTAATAGAAGCCCTCACCAAACACGATGGCTTATAAGATCGCGTCGCTCCATCTTTGTTTTGCACCACGTTGATAACAGACAGCTACAATGATGAACAAAACCCCTGATGGACAAGGTGAGGGCCTGTATGGTATCGACAATGCTTCCAACTCTCTCCCAGCACTGTGCGCTTGTGCACGAGGCTTTCTCTCCGAGACCTACGACTTCATAATCATCGGTGGTGGCACGGCTGGCCTGACTATCGCTGCCCGCTTGACTGAAGACCCCGACATCGTGGTTGGTGTGCTCGAAGCTGGAAAATCGAGGCTGGATGACCCTCTCGTGGACACTCCCGCTACCTTCCCACAGCTTTTGGGCAACCCTGACTATGACTATGGATACAAATCTGTTCCGCAGGTATGTCAGCGTGATAGTTGCTACCACTGAACGCTACTGACGGTGGCTTTAGGAAGGCAATCGCGGAATTATTCATCATCTGTGCAGAGGAAAAGCTCTTGGTGGGTCGAGTGCTATCAATTACATGCTGTCAGTTACTTCGAGTACGAAGGGCGCAAACAAACATCAATGCTGATATGAAAAGCTACGTTCGAGGCTCGGACGCGGACTATGACGACTGGGCGACTCTCGTAGGTGACTCGTCATGGTCTTCCAAAGCATTAAAGCCATATATGCGCAAACATCAGACACTCGATCAGCTGGACGAGTCCATATCTGACAATACTAACTATCCTCATATCGGGAAAAATCATGGTACCCGAGGACCAGTCCATACGTCTTTCAACGACAGCTCATTTCCGATCAATGACCTTGCTATAAAAGCCATGGACGAAGTCGCCGGTCTCTCGAAGAAGCCTACAGATCCTTGGAGTGGAGATCATATCGGCTTCTTCAACACACTTGGTGCTGTTGCTCGATCTGGACCTCACAAAGGAAAAAGAAGCTATGCTGCTCGTGGCTACTTTGAAGCAAACGCTTGTCGACCAAATTTGAAAGTGCTTTGCGAAGCACAAGTGACCAAGATTGTTCTTGAAGATGGAATTGCCAAGGGTGTAGAGTTTGTCTTTGATGGCATGACTGAAACTGTTTATGCCAAGAAGGAAGTCATCCTTTGTGGAGGTGTGATCAACTCGCCACAGATCCTCGAGCTCTCTGGCATTGGAGATCCTGAAAAACTGAATGCAGCTGGTATCGAGTGCGCTGTCAAACTTCCTGGCGTCGGTGAGAATCTTCAGGATCATGCTTGCGCTGTCATTGGTCTTGACCTCAAGCCTGGAAATATCACACTGGACATCCTCGGCGATCCAGACACAATGGAAGCAGCGACAAAAGCCCTTGTGGAGTATCAAAAAGGACCACTGACAGCCATCGCAAGCACACAAGGTTTCCAGCCTTACAAGTCTCATGTCTCTGCCAGCGAGCTCGAGAGTACCATCCAGAGTATCCGAGAAACCCAGAGCAGTTCACCTGCATCACCATTCTATAAGCGACAATTGGAACAAGTGATTACACATCTCGAGAGCGACAAATCAGCAAATCTACAGTACATCATGATTCCAGCAGGAGCAGATTTCGAAAATGGAATCCGCACGCAGAAATTGTGGCCGCCGCCAGATAACAATCACGCACATCGTGTAACGATAGCATCGTGTTTGCAATATCCAGTGTCCAGAGGCTCATGTCACATAACAAGCTCTGGTAAGCATTTCATCTCAAAAGCTACAAGTCCTATCCTGACTCATTGATCCCTAGATCCCATGGCGCATCCTCGCATCGACCCAGCATACCTCAAACACCCAGCCGACATCTCAGTCCTAGCAGCCGGTCTCCACTTTATCGACAAATTAACCAAATCCCCCCACCTCGCTCCTCTCATCCAAGCACGTTCATACCCAGCCCCCCACCGCAACCTCTCCAGCCTCTCCGATTGCGAAGAAGCAGTAAAAGACTGGGTCATGGGAGAATATCACCTCATAGGTACCTGCGCAATGGGAGAAGTGGTAGACAGTAGATTAAGAGTCAAAAGTGTCAAGGGACTCCGAGTGGTGGATGCAAGTGTTTTCCCGGGTCATGTTAGTGGGAACATATGTAGTAGTGTTTATATGGTTGCGGAGAAGGGTGGGGATTTGATCAAGGAGGATTGGGGGATTGAGGTTTGAGGAAGTTGGGGGATCACGGAGTTGAAGTTTGTGAGATGGGATTTTTTCTTCTTTACTTTGGATGTCAAAATGGGGTGTATGACCAAAAGGCAGTCTTTGAGACCAAATTTTTTCGTGCCGTTACTCAACAACTCAAAAAATTACGATATGCCTGTTTTTGTCATTGTGAGATGCACCAAAATATCCTCTTGGGCAATGGCATAATGGGATAGACGTTTCAAAACAGACACAGCTAGCAAGACATTCTCATCACAACTCTCATTACTTACCACCACCACCTTTGGCCACAACCTTTTTCTCACCATCTCTTCCCCGCCATCAAGCAAACCTGTCGCTCGCGATTCCTTCATGGCACTGTTCGTTGCGTCTCGACTGCCGTCTCTACGAGAAGCAGCGGAGCCGACGAAGCGATTCGGGTCGGTTTCGCATTTTCTTCCTGCAAGACGCTCGGCGTGGCGCGAGGGGTCGCATACAGTCGCGGTCGTATTGCACCGCGGATGAGAGACTACAAAACGTCGGAGGCGAGAGCGATGAACCATGTGTGTACCTGCACCCACGGGCCCCTTAGCCCTGGATGTACGGTCGATCGGGTGTTACGGCAAACAACTCCCAATCAAGCGCTCAAAGGAACGTGACGTCTAATTGAATACACAAACTAATTCAGATATCACTGCACCACTGCTTGGAGTTTAGTCTCTCCATACCTCCAGGCCCAAACCACAGATATCATATCTTCTACCAGCAAACTCGCCGTATAGTTTTGTCCATAGCCAATCTGCATCTTTGTCCTTTGGACGGGCTTCTACTACTCTGGAGTAGTCGACTTCCCACTCTGGGCCTGGTAGCTTGGGGTCGTTGAAGCGTATGTAGGGTGTTTGGAGGAAGGAGGTCTTGTTTGGGTGTATGGCGTTGTGGAGAGAGGCGATACTGGCTATGATGATGGAGACGGCAAGGTGAGAGGGATGGAGCATGGGGATTATGGAGGTGAGGTTCTGCAGACCGGCTGCTGTGAGCACTCTGTGTGCTTCCTTTGCAGGTGTTGCGAGAATCAAGTCCTCGGCTTCGAGATAGTTGTCTGTATCTTGCAACAAAGTCATGGGCGCAGGCTCTGTGTAGGCTAACACGGCATCCAAAGCTTCAACATCTTGCACCAGGCCTGGTGTCTGCAACAGCATAACTCTTGCCAGGTCCGTCAGGGCCCACAGGCTTGCGACTGAGATACCCTCCTGACCAGCAGGAGGGATGACGGGTCGAAGTTCTACATTAAAGCGTCGAGCAGCTCGGCGAAGAAGGCGACGTGTGCTGTCCATGTACGGATCAATCATGTCGTGTTTCCCAGCTTGCTTCTCCATAGCCCAAGCTTGTGGAAAGAGGAGGATGCGACGGGCCGGTGATTTTGAGCGTGCGAGATCGCCAAAGAGCATTATCGCGCTGCAAACATCATGGTGGTTCGTGACGAGTTGGACATGCGCAAGTTTCTGCCAGTTTACGGTCGGTGCTTCTTGGGCAGCATTGTGTTTGTTGATGAGGTCATTCTGTTCGGCGTCGAATAGGCGTGATGGGTGGTGTGGTCCAGATAGAGGTTGTTGCGCGGTTTTCAAGGCAGGAGCGATGGGTATGCGAGGCTTGAGCTGTGCTTGAAGGCTTGCCACCGAGTGTTGCTGCATCGTGTAGCCGGCGAGAAACAGGAAGAAAGTGATTGTTACCACTGTTGCTGGTTAGCACACACTTGGAGGGGGAGAAGGGACTTCTCATACCGAATGCCGAAGAGAGCAAGACTTGGACTTGCCCGCTGGTCAGTAGTAACTTGCCCATATTCTTCTACTCCTGCTATATACCTATGCAATGCAAGCGTCATGGTATACACTTCATCGGCGTGCATGATTGTTGACAAAAGCCCATCCCCACAGCAACACACAAGCTCCGCACTTTTTGTGCATGCTTTATCCCACTTGGCATAACTTCGTCACTGGATCCAATCGCATGTCCAAATCTGTCCGACCATCATTTGCGCCAACTCACCTACATCACACATCATGGCGCACCAAGCAGATGCTACGCGCATGCTCGACGACCGCGGCTACACCGGCACCCTGATCCGCGGTCAAAACCCGCTCCTCCTCTTCGAAAAAGCCGTCCGCGATCGCATCATCGACTCGTACTACTGGAAAGAACAATGCTTTGGTCTCAATGCCGCCACCCTCTGCGATCGCGCAGTCGAACTGTCCTTTATCGGTGGAACGTACGGCATCGGTCAAAAACCCACACCATTCCTCTGCTTGGCTTTCAAACTGCTACAACTCACACCCGAAAAAGAGATTATACTGCATTACCTGCAACAAGAAGAGTGGAAATACCTCAGAGCATTGGCGGCTTTTTACATTCGCTTGACTTGGGAGCCAAAGGACATTTATGAGACGTTGGAACAATATCTCGGTGATTACAGGAAGCTGAAGAGAAGGACGAGGGATGCATACTCGTTGAGCTACGTCGATCAATTCGTCGATGATTTGCTCACAAAAGACCGTATTTGCGCAACCTCGCTATGGAAAATGCCGACTCGTACACAATTGGAAGACCTCGATGTGCTGGAGCCGCGTATCAGTCCGCTAGGAGATGAGATTGAAGACTTGGACAGAGACGATGACGAAGATATGAGAGACGGAAGTGATGACGAAATTCAACAAGTCAGGAATGGCGACAGCCAATCACCGAGTAGAAGCTATGATAGCAGGAGTCGAAGCCGCAGCTATGAGAGACGAAGAAGCAGGAGCAGGAGTCATGACCGTTACGATAGGCGAAGCAGGAGTGGGAGCTATGGGAGAAGGAAGAGCTACAGTCGCGATCGCGAAGGTGGAAGGCGAAGCCACAGCAGGGAGCTGCCTGACCGGAGGACAAGTCCGTCATTGAAGTCAAGATCACGTTCGAGAGGTTGAAGCCATGGACAAGATATCTTGACCCTGACGGTCGCAATATCTGATCTGAGAACTGTACCGCCTTGAGCTGCTTCTTTCATCGACCGCGTCTTTGTACACGTGTCCGATGTCCAGCTTCATGTACGCAGCTCAGACTTCCGGGACTTTCGATTCTAGAATGAGATTGCACACAGCAGCCCGAATTCGACATGCCACATCTCGACACTGCCAGAAACTATGGTCAGATCTATGTAGTCTCCGGGAGGAACACACTCGGCTGACACACATCACCACCACATCCTGGGTACATGTAGCATGTCTTTATACACAAATGGACACTACTCAAAACAGCGGAAAGTTATTTGCTAGATGGACAGCAGCCAACGATTTGGAAGCCGCTCAAATGTTGTCCGATAGTGTGTTGTATATATCCATTCCATACAAGCGAAGTCAATCTTCTTCCAACACCAACCACCTCATGTTTAAGTGTGTGAGCGAGAGGCCCGTCAGCACATGTGATATTGTCGCCATTCAGGACGAGAACGCAAGCGCAGGCACCACCGAGGTCGGCAATGGCGTCCCTGACCGAACATACGACGGAATTCGATTGTATGTCCGTGGGAAAGTGGCATAAGTCATTATTGACATAACTCAGATAGACGCGACCTCCGTCTCCATTCCTCGGATCCCTCTGAAGTTCGTACTCATAGACCGAACCGACGGGCTTTTAATATCTCTACCCTTCTTTCACTCTTTCCCTCTCAATCCCAATTCGGTAACCACGACACCCCCCTCATCATCCCCCTCGTCCACAACCCCCCCACCTCTCCTCCCCAGTGCCCCAAACCCCCCTCTCCCCCTGCTCCTTCCTGACAACCCCCCACCCCTTTACCTTTGGCACCTTGACAGCAACTTGTAAGCCAAACCTCTGCACTTCCTCTCCCCAACACCGCTCCCCCACCAACCAAGAAACCCACTTTGCAGGAACTGGGAATTGTATGTCGTTGCCTCTTTCCAAAGGGCTTGTCATGTTATTACTGTCATCCACAATACCCATATCATGGCTTCCATCGTTTTCAGCCCAGATATCCCAGGTTTGAGAGATACTCAGACCGAGAACTGCCAAACACATTTGTTGTGCGACAAAGGCGTCACTGAGCACAGGGAGGAGTGTATGGATGGGCTTCACAACCCCGCCGAAAATGTAATTCTCAAAGCAAAAGCCTTGCTCGTTGCTTTTGTTCCCGGGACAAAAGGGTTCTTTGAGGACATCTTGCATTGTGTCTGCAATAGAGGCGTGGAGGGATGATGGAGATGAAGGGGAGCTATCTTGGCGTTCGTGCCAGGCTATTGTAAAGGCGTGGGTGAATTCGTGGAGCAGGGTTATGGTGAGCTGGATGATTGTGCGGTTCATAGATGAGTTGAGAGAGATTTGGGAGCGTAGGTGTGAGGGTTTTATTCCTGCTGTTAGGAGGGTGTCGAGGTGGATGTCTTCGTGGCGGCTATCGTGAGGGTTTGTTTTTAGGGCGCGGTGGTAGAGTAGGACTTCTGTAAAGTAGGAGGATATCTCGATCATTGATTGTGCTGTTTTGCTGCTCGAACAGTTAGTTCAATGGTGAAGAAGTCGGAGGGGGGGTGGTTACTTACGAGCTAGAGGCAGGTCGCTTGTTCCCAACCTCGTCTTCGATACGGTTTGTTTGACCTGTTGCTGCGAAAAGCGAATCTGTCAATGTCCATTGTATCCATTCCCGCGTTTTGCACAACTTGTCGAGAATCTCATTTTGTTCTACGGCAGTCAAGTACTCCGGTATTTCCATGACTTTACACTCCGTCCTCACTGTACAAGTATCCAGCGAAAGCGTCTCCATTTCCTTCGCCGGCACTGTTAAAGCGTGGAAATAGCACAACGTAACCGGATCGTCCAGAATAGCCGTCGCTAGCAGAATAGATGGCTGCATTACAGCAAATTGTGCTTTCGATGCATTCGTCCACAAATCTCTGCGGAAAACTGGATGTAGCATTTTCCTCATTTCTCCCTCCGGATTCCTATATCCCGCAATGGCAAGTTGACCACGCAGATCCGGCGTCATCTGTACATCTGTATCATTGAGAAAGCCAGCAGCTTCCAGAACCTGCAAGCCATATTTCTCCACCACGGGATGATAGTCTGGCATTTGGCTGGGAGGACCGAGTCTGCATCCTGGAGGATCATTGGAAGTGATTTTACGGACTCAGAAACCGGTATTGTCGCTTTTGAGTTCTGCGGTGTAGCTTTGGGAGATGTCGGACCAGTGTTCTTTCCCGCGGAGAGGTAGATATGGTGGTTCGGGTATGGGGAAAGTGTGTGGTTGGGGGAGTGCAACACCTTCCATGTCTATATCAGCAGGGTAAGCCATGAATAGTGGAGAATGAGTCTTGAATCTTTCTTCTCAATTTTTTTGAACTGTCTCAATATGCAGGATATTCAGATACTCGACCGGGCGGAAGCCAGTTCCGGATGCGGTAGTGAGTACAAAGAGAGAACCATATTTCCGACCATGAGCATGCACAAAGAGAGATTTGGACTTCGATCGTAAAACAGCAAAGAGGTGTATAGTCGGAAAGTTCAGTGAACAATCAGACAGTCATAATACCGTGGACTCATGCAGAGTGGACAGGAGCTCGTCGCCCGGAGGACTACACTCCGGCTTCGATGCGCCTCTCTGTCATATCGCTGCAATCCACAGACTGCTAAAAAAAGACTTGTCGCCGGGACTGCCACGGTCTGAGCTCTCTGTCTGTAGTATGCTGTGCGATTCCATCCTTGTGGAATGTTTGATGGGGCTTGTCATTGATCTACCGCGCATCTCGCCAAAAGCCGTTGCGTAAGCAAGACGTCCCATCCTCCACCCAACGTCACTCCGTCCTTCCTACCAATAAACCCTCCAAACACCCAAAAACCCATCAAAAATGGGTCTTAAACTAAACATCGTAAGTCCTCTCAACTCGTTATCCAGATTCTGTAATAACTGAAAGCAACAGTTTCTCCTGCTGATCGCAGCTTGTATCCCACACATCTACTCTCGCTTATCTCTACTCTACAATCTCGAATCTTCCAATCATCCATCCAAGCTTTCGACACCTCGAGGCTGGTTCACAGAACAAGGAAGCTACGAAGTGAAATATGCAGATAAATTAAGAAACTGTGAAGATTTGGTTGTAGACGAAAAGGCTGGATATGTAGTTTTAAGCTGCGACGAGAGTAGAGATGGGTGGAATACTGTCATGGTAAGCTTGCATTTTTATCAGTCTCTTTCAAAACATCAAAATAAAAGTCAGAGCGGTATAGAAAGTCAAGACAGTGTACTAATGATATGCACAATAGGGCATTTTCACCACACCCCCTACCAAAAACGGCGCACTCTATCTCTACGACTACTCTCGACCTACGCCATCGTTGGAAAGCATACGTCTTCTTTCCACTCCAGAAGACTATTCCTTCCATCCTCTGGGTCTCTCTCTGAATCTCGCCACAAATACGCTTATTGCAGTGAATCACGCGACTTCTGGCAGCAGACTCGATCTCTTCCACTTTTCCCGGCTCGGAAACTCTGCTACGTTCATCAGAAGTATCTCATCGCCTTATTTGAGAGCTCCTAATGCTGCTGTGCAAATCTCAGACACAAGTGTGCTAGTTACCAACGACCATTTCTTCACCCCGAGAAGCAATGGCTTTATGAACAAACTAGAAACCTATCTCGGACTACCTTTCGGCGGCATCACACATGTGGACTTGCAAACCGGAGCCGCGACCCAACTTTCCAGACTCGCATATGCGAATGGCATTGCGATTCTCAACGAAACCACCCTCGCCGTCGCATCAAGCAGTCTAGCAAAAATCTTCTTTTACAGCATCGACAAGAGCACTTTTCCACCGACGTTGAAGCACACAGAAGCGATTAGCACACCCTTCTACCCCGATAATCTACACACCTCTGGGGACAAACTCTTCATCGCCGGCCACGCCCACCTCTCCTCTCTGCAAAAATTCGCAAAACAAAGAGCCAGATGCGCTTCTGATGTTACAACAGCAGGATGTAATGCAGAAGCAGCTACTTATGTGGCTCAATGGACTGAGCAAGCAGGGTTGCAGGAAGTTTACGTTGGCAAGGAGATTTACTCGTCTAGTGGCGTGGGGGTGGATGAGAAGAGGGGTGTTGGTGTTATTGGTGGGTTGTATGGGAAAGGGTTGTTGATTTGGAACAAGGAGAGGAAATGAGGAGTATCATGGAAGGGAGGTGGGTTGGAAGTGTAGTTGTGGAGATGCATGGTTCTTTGACGCGCAGGAGAGCTTATATAGAGGAGAGCGTGCTCTCGTGGGTTGAGGGAGAAAAAGTACGGCTATTTCGTTGCGATGTAATAGACATGAGTGAGCTGTGAAAATGCATGATCTTTTTCTTTTTCCAAAAGTGAGACATTGTCAAGGAGACCATGCAAGTCCAGCTCTCTCCTGATCGACAGCTGCCACTAATTGAAAATCATTCTGCCTTTCCACAGCCCACATTCCACCTATCAAACGTACTGGAGTGCGTTAAATCAGAAGTGTCACATCCATGCATCCAACAACCTAGACGAGTAGGAGCAGAGTTCATGCCACATGCACCGAAAGATTAAAATCAAAATCTGACAAAGAAGCGAGGAGTCTCAGTATATTTAGTGATTCGTATTGTACAATGTGATTTTACAAGGCGTCCAGTATTCGTACAAGTTTTGTGGGTTGATGTTTGTACAACAAGTCTAGGTGGACTTGTCAATCTTGCCCTTCCAGTCAGCGACGTGGTCATTGATGACTCTTGATGCTTGCTCGACGGTGAAGTTTCTGCCAATGGCTTCGACAAAGTCGCCTTCAGGGTCTGTGGTGTGAAGTCAGCAATGATTCATGGTGTCTTTCTGTAGAGTGACTCACCCATCAGGTAGAAGTAGATGCTGTGGTCTACGAGGTAATCCTGCCCAGGCAGAACGTTCTGTGGTGTGGAAAAGTAGACACGGAAAGCCTTGCAAGTAGCCTTGACATCCTCGTACTCTCCAGTCAAGCCGATCATATCCTCGTGGAACTCCTTTAGGTACTCCTTGGTGACTTCTGGTGTGTCTCTTGCAGGATCACAAGTGATAAAGACAGGTCTCATGACATCACCGTGCTTCTCCTTGACATTGTCAATCATACCAGCCATCTTGTCCAACTCTTCGGGGCAAATATCCGGGCAGTGTGTGAAGCCAAAGTAGACCAGGGAGTATTTTCCTTTCAAGTTTTGCTCGGTGAAGGGTCGACGGTCTTGGTCGATCAGCTTAAAGGGACCGCCGACCAGAGGACGACCGACTCCTTTGCTGTGTTCGGCGATGCGCTTGCGGGCCATGCGCTCTTTCTCGTAGCGGAAGTAAAAGGCCATACCGACACCGGCTGACAGGAAGAGCATACCAGCTTGCCAACTGAACGGTCCGAAGCGATATCTCGATTTGGCCTCTTCTACAGTCTTGTAGTGCATAGTCGAGCTACGAGAAAATGTGCGGGTGGTGGTCTGGTTGACGCGGGATGAGATGCGCTGGGAGACGCATTGAGACGGCGAAGGGCGGGCGGAGAAGAAGGCGCGCTGCAGAGCAGTCCGCGGTAGTGATGTCGTTGGCATCGTGAGTTGATGAAGATTGTCTTGATCAAGAAATGTTCAAGTCGTGCTTTCTCAACTTCAACTTCAACTTCAACTTGGGACTTCGCCGCTGCTTGATCAGCGTCGCCGACTCCAACATGCGGCGTGCACAGACCCCATCTCCGGCTTTGCCGCCGTCATCGTCAATTGCCAACCTCTTTTTGCCATCGAATCATCACTCTCAACTGTGTACGAAGACTATTGGACGAAACAGTAAGCCGACCAACTACCTATTTTGCATGGATTTCAGTATCGTCGGAAGTGGCGAATGATACCCTACCGAGCCTTGCACCTCAAAAATGGTGTAATTCGTTTTGTGGTCAAACCATCATCGATTGTCCCATTCGGCTTTCCTACGTCCATTCCCATTAGGACTGCTCGTCGACATCTGAGCTTACTTCCTGCTGAGCCAACTGAAACAACTATCGCCTCTGTCAAACCAAGTGTCGAATCCGTCCAGGCCGCTTCTACACCTTCCATCGACCTTGCCATCGCGTCAGTCGAAACTGAAGAAGCAGGCATGAACTCTCAGAAAGAAGCCGAACTCCTGGCGATTCAGCATATTCTCGGTCTCAAAAATGCAACTGATGACTCTGTCAAAATCAAGCCCAAGGATCTTGAGCGATTGGAACGTCTGAAAGCTGCCGAGCCTGTCTTTGTCTGTGTTGATCTGGAAGCTTATGAATTTGCTCAAGACAAGATCACCGAAGTCGGCGTATCTATTCTGGACTCTCGAGATATCGTTGGTACTGATGCCGGTACTGATGGCACGGCCTGGCTTTCCAAGATCAGGACTCGTCATATGATCATTAAAGAATACAAGCATCTCGTCAACAAGCGGTTTGTTCATGGTTGTCCCGACAAGTTCAACTTTGGCAAATCCGAGACTGTTTCGCTGAGGAATATTCACCAAACCTTGACCCAACTCTTCGACGACCCTTCGCCTAGATCAAGTCGACCATCTGATAGCGGATCGAGAAGGCTTATTCTCGTTGGCCACGGGCTTTCTAACGATACTGCGTACCTCAACAAGCTCAAGTTTGCTCCTCATGCACGTGGCAACATTATCCAGGATGTCGATACTCAGAAATTCGTCGGTTCCAAGAAGCAAACCGTCGGCCTGAACAAGCTGATGTTGGGACTTGGTGTCGAAGCGGAAAATCTCCACAATGCAGGAAACGATGCCGCATACACACTGCAAGCACTTGTCTTGATGACGGTCCAACACACGAATGAGCCTGGTGCTTATATCAACGCCGTTGCGAATGCAAAGGCCAAGCTGGATCCAGCGAAGCAGCGTTATAAAGATCACAAGGCGAACATAGCAAAATTGAAGGAGCTGAAGCGCGCCGAGAAGAAGACAGCAGCCCTACCTGTAGTCGAGGCTTCGCGTGATCAAATTGCAACAGCCCCTCCGTCAGTTGAGACAAAGGCACCAAATCCAGCCCCGAGGATCACAAAGATACCACTCAATGGCTCAGTTATCAGCAGTCTAGATCGTTATGGTCTATCGAAGTCAATGGCTGAATCCGATTCTGTGCCTGTCGAGACCTTGTTACAGGAGGAAGTAAAACGCGATAACGAATTGGATCTTCAGGAATGGAATCTTATAGCCCCGAGAAACCCTACACGACCGCCGCCTAATCGAGATGAGCTTCGCGCTCGTGAAAGAGCTGCCAGAAAATTACTTCGGGAAAATAAAGGGAACATACCAGATTTTAAGAGGATCAGTCTTGATATTTGTAATGGACACGCTTCTTTTCCAGCCCCTAAACCACTTATCGGTTCATCGGAGCCTGAATCTTCAACCAAGAGGAAGAGTTCTGATGCTGAGCCTGACTCAGTCGATCACTACACAAAGCATGCAAAAGCAAGTCTGAGTACTGAGCGGATTAAGACAAGGTCACAAGCTGTTCGAACACCGGTTGAAGACGATCTATGGGTTGAAGATGATGACTATTCGATCTCCCCTGCCTTTGCGTCGGATGCTACCAGTCGTTCGAGCGTGCCAGACTCGAATCGAACATCACAACCCTTTGAAGATGCATCAATCAAGATAACAAAAGCGCCTACAGCGGTGCGGTCAAAACGCGAGGAAGCAGTTCAGCAATCCTTTACGATTACAAAAATACCGATTGACAAAATACCAACAGAAGTAGCCGCAGAATACCACCAGGCAACCAGAGTTCGTCATCATGGGTGGCAGATTCCCCTGACAACATCACCGCCGTCTGGCAAGAACAGAAAGCTTGATACTTCAGCAGAGATAGCTCCATCGAAATTTGTGGATGAGCTTGCGAAATTGAAAGATGAGACGCTACAGGACAGGACTACGGGTAGTGGAGAGAAGGGCGCATCGAGCTTTTTGGATCAGGAAGTTGAGGCGCATCGGGAGAAGAGGGCAGAGGATCAGCGCTGGGGTGGGTCTGGCTCCTCGTGAGGATATACTGAAAGTTGGCGTCGAGGGCCTGATGAGCTTCGATGAAGACCCTAAGGTGGTTCTTTGGTGTTTTGTGCGAACACTTCACACAACGTCAACGTGCTTTGTTGGTTTAGAAGTGTGTTGGATAGCACGGTCTGTGTGTTTGGCATTGCATCATTTTCACTGATCTAAACGAGATAGAGCAATCTCAACCATGATAGGAAACATTACACAGATTTTCAATAAAATATCTACTTAGCTTTGATGAAGAGCTTGTAGTATACAAGCAGAGGCTTGATCAAACTTGACCTATCACGACGTTTACAAGGTGATAGTACAGGTCGACGACAGCAAAGCCAAGTATCTGGCATCCGTTGTTGGAAAAGAAGGCGATGCCAACGGTATCAAAGCGGACGAGTGGAGGAAATGATCAGGTCAATGACTCCTCACCGTCATGTGCTTCTCTTTCCCTGCATGGAGGATTCAGTGTTTGTCATCAAGACGAAGGGGGGCTACAATTGAGATGATGAGATTACAAAAAGCAGGTTACACAGACCTTAGTGCCCTGCAGCAGTATTCCCGTTCCTCCCCATACGAAATCTTTCAATTGTTGCAGCAATCAACAACGTCTCAATATCCGCACCATACCTATCGAGAGGACAACTAGGGATTGCTGTGTGTTCGGACTCTCAACGATTTTTATAGTCGTGACAGGTTTCGATGTTATAGTGCAAAAGACTGGCTTAAAGTGTCTCTTGGTTTATCTGACCATATTGCTGAGCTTTTGAGTGGCTATACCTCTGATGCCTTTTTCAACTACGGAAGTTGATGTATTGTGGAAAATCATCAGGAAAGAAAAATCTCTCCAAGATCTCCAGAGAGTTGTCCTTGGTCGTACTATTTGAACTTTGTCAGAATTTGCGAATGGAGAGAACAGGCAGATAATCAGGTCCGTAAGTCCATGACCGGAGCTCCTTCTTTCGTCCTTGAGTTTTATGCTCTTAGAGTGCACGATGAATGTCTGCATAAAAGGAGATACAAAGCCAGAAGATTTACGGACCTGGTGCCTTTGCAGTGATGTACAGGGGTTTTAAGGCTGCAAGTCGACGAGTCGCGATCCGTGATTAAGTTCAAACTTCTTGATAACAAGACAACGTGGTCCATAACGTTTCCGACGGCAGTGAGAAAGTTGTAGCTGGATCTTTACGGCTTAACTTGTACCATCAAGGAAGAGGTGGAATTACATGCGGGGCAGATCAGCAATAATTTAAGTGTTACCTGCGTTCACTGCTCCTACTTGTATTAGTGGGCGTGATCTATCGAGGATTCTCAATACCATTGTCCGTGGCTGCTAATTGACAATCCGAACGCATGAGGGAGATCTTCCATTTCCTATTATCATAACTATTAAGAAACAAGCACACACTCATGTCTCAACTGATGCCATCCACGTTCTGCTCTGATGGGATGAAGGCACAGAAGCAAGATCACATGGATAAATGATCAGGTCTGCAAAGCTTCACGCTGAGCCAGGTCTTTCTACAACGGTCGTCTACTCAAGAAACTAGACAATCTGGTGCGGTCCGAGATGCTGAAGATGTTCTAGCGTTATGTACCTGGTTATTCTGTCCCTCTCGATAGATCCGTAAGAAAAATGGTGATAATTGCAGAAGACTTGCTCGAGCACCAGTTGTGCAATGATGTTTTCTGCTTACTGCGTGGTAGATGAGTACAGATTTAGTGGGAAGCGTGAGAGAGATCCACATAGAGCTTCTTGGGACGTTTGCAGTGAAGTTCCATCGATGACTTTCACGACGCAGCTGAGAGAACTATCGGTTAAGAGGTATGGACAGAACGCGGGAAAGATTTCACATCGTCATCAGACCTCCAAGAACAAGTTCAATGTATCTTTTGCTATCTGAGACGGTGATGCGTATCTCACGCCGTATGCATCCTGTAGGATCTTGTAAATGTCGCATTAGCGTGCGGTTCGTCATCATAATAGAGCTGCAGATGTGGATGCGCCGGGAAGAATATACAGTAGGTTATCGAATGACGGCAAAACAAGCAAAGATAAAGATGCGCCCGCGGAGGTAATGAATGGACTACATATTGTCTGCAGATAGTGGCTGGATCGAGAAGAAGAAAGTAGTTGATAGCTCGCTCAGATGGAAGGAAGTCACGTCGATGACGAGGCCAAGCACAGTGAACGCAAACGCATCATCGTGCATTCAAAAGAGCAGCAGGTTCAATTAGCTCATGCGACAGGAAACATCTCACGCGGCGGGAAGTAAGAGAGCACACAATATGATATGAACAATCTTCTCATTATACTGGAAGAGACATTATAAATATGTCGGACAAGTCTATCGTCCTAGGCATAATTTCGTCGTGAAGTAAAAACGGAAAAGCAAAACTGGTATCATCTCAACATCCTATCCGTCCAATCCCATTATACACATGATATTCCAACTTTTTTTTGTACAAAAGTTTGCTGCCTCTAGCAAGAGTCACCAGGGCAGGCAATGTTGGTACCGTAAGGGCTGGGTCCGGCGATACCAGCGATCTGGAAGACAGCGTTGACGACACCACCAATACCTTCTCCGGCAATGAGACCACCAGCGATGGCGAAGCCGTAGATCTCAAAGTGCTTGGGCTTGTGCTTGGCCCAGAAGTAAGCGGGGACGGCACCCATAACCATAGCAGATCCGTAAACAGTGGCGTTAAGGACGAAGGCGAGGGCAATGCACATGACGTTGGGGTGGTAAGCCTTGTACTTCTCCCATGAGCCAGTGTAGGCGTAGTGGCGGATGATGACCATGGCACCACCGAAGATGGCAAAGGCAATGGCGAAGTATCCGGAAGTCTTGGGGACGGGGAAGACGGGATCAGTGACAGCGACAGCAACTGCGCGCCAAGCACCAACACTGGGAGCAGCGAAGGGGCAAGTCTCGGCATCAACGTCGATAATACAGGGGTAGGCCTTGCTGAAGAGCATGAACATGGCGGGAGCAAGGACACAGGCGACAATCGTACCGAGACCCTGAGCAACCCATTGCTGGAAGGGAGAAGTGCGGAGGAGGTAACCGACACGGAAGTCACCAACCAAATCGGAAGCCTGACCAGCACCGATGGAGGCAAGAGAACCACCGATCAAATTGAGGCGCTGAGCGTGCTCGGTCATCCAGTGCTCACCCTTGGTGGCGCCACCGAGAACAAGCTGGGAAGCCTTGGAAGCGGCAGTCAAAGGAGTAACATCAGTGACACCAGCGCACTGGACGGCGAGAATGGCGAAGAAGAAGGCGAGGAAGACGGACAGAAGGGACATGCCAACGGGCATATCGTACTGGACACCAAGAACAATGCAGCAAGCAATGATGCTGAGTACGAGGATAGGACCCCACATCCAGATCTTGACGAGCTCGTGGTCAGCAGCGGAGTCCTTGATGATATCCTTCTCCTCCTGATCTCTGACATTGATAGTAGTACCGCTCATGCCAGCCTTGGAGGTCATGGCGTTGAAGCCCTTAGCAGCTCCACGACCCATAGCCTTGAACATGATGAAGAAGACCTTGTACTGGAGGAAGAGTTCGGTGAAGGAGATGACAATCATGGCCAAGACGCCGGGCCACAAGAGCCAGTAACGGGGGCTGGGAGTATCCTTGTTGGCCCACTTGGTGCTCAAAGAGTAGTAAGAGACAATCTTGCCCCACTTCGGGTCATCAGGGTAGGGGTGAACACCGAAGGCGACATCGTAGGCGACAAGAGCAGGACCGATGATGCCCCAAGCGAGGACACTACCACCGAAGAAGGAGAGGGCGACGTTGAGACCGACGAGCATACCAGAACCGATGAAGGCAGGAGTGAACTCGATAAACCAACCCCAGTTCTCAACGAGAATGGCAGCGTTGTTGTACTTGCCCCAGATGAAGAACCAGGTGAAAATGTGCCAGTCCCAAAGAATACCAGTGGCGTACTGGGAGACGACACGGAGAACCAGGGCGAACATGAAGGACCAACTCAGAGCCTTCATCTTCAGCTTGGCAACAGCCTCACCAGTAGCGGCAGCGTGCATGCTGCGGATGGTAAGGGCGCAGGCAGAGGGAGTAGGGAAGATCAAGTTCAGCTCTCTCGCGACGTAGATGATGAAGAACTTGCGAAGAGGGGTAGCGAAGGCAAATCCGAAGTAGGCACCGACGATGGTCAGGGAGATAAGTCTGCCAAAGTCCTCCTTGGGAGTGCTGAGGAGCTTCAACTGATAGAGTGCAGGAATACCAGAAACCATGACGGATCCGAGACCACCAGCAGCGGTAGCAGCAGTCTGGACGATGTTGTTCTCACGGGGACCGAAAGATCCACCGAAGATTGGGAAGTTCTCAGGGAGAGCCTTGGAGAGAGGCTTGAGGACACCGAAACCGATGATGGCACCGAAAAGCGAGGCACCGAAAGTCCATCCAGTCTTCAGACCAAGGTAAATGTTGGAAGCGTTGACGAGAGCACCACAGATACATCCGACAAGCATGGCACGGAATGTAACGACCCAGTGGCGCTCCTCGGGAAGGTCGTCGTAGGGTGCGAAAGGGTCTGCGATGGTACCCTCATCGTAGTCGGTATCCTCCTCGGCCTTGACCAGGTTGGGATCCTTTTCGTCGAACTTGTCCTTGTCCATGGAGTTGACAGAGAGGGTCTCCTGGTGCTTCTCACCGTGCACATCAATGGTTCCGCCCATGGGCTATGATTGAATATGTTAGCGACGTTGATCAAGGAGTCATGTAGGTCATGGTCAGCATACCTCAGATGTGACCTCTACAACGTTCGGCATGATGAATGTTGTTCGTGTGTAACACAGATGCAGAATCTCAGGAACCAGGGGGCAGAGTAGGTGTATTTATCAAGCACTCATCACCCTCACTCCTGGTAGTACCGTGGCTTGTGATAAGCCCGCAGATACGAATCGTTTTGACCTGTCCGTTATGGCGGCCAGAACCTACCGTCGGGCCCTAGTACGGGATGCATATTGGTTAATGATAGGCGACCTTTCCAGTGACTGGTGCGAGATTAATCTTGGCCATGCTTGGCTCGTTCGCCAAGCAGATCTGCTCTTGTCTCCTTCCAATTTAGGTAGAATGCGACCTCATCGTGGCGGATAATGGACCACACGCGCGCATAAAAAGCACGCAGATTGCGGATGGACAACGTGCAAATTGAGTCATGAAAACAGTCCATTGGGTGCCTGCTGTTCGCTTGTGATAATCCTCGCCGTTGCTCAGTTCGAGAATTGCGCTTAGGACTTGATCCGCAGACTCGGCTAATTGTTCTCATGTCTCTCCACGGACCCTTTGTACACGGACGTTGAACCCCAGTGACATTAGCAAATGGAAATTGGGAAGGTGGAGGATTCCGCGGTTTCGAGCATCAATTCGCAAAGGCCGTCGATTTTGGCACCATAAGACGGTTGATTCTGGATGACTCTTTCTCGGTTGCTGTAGCCGGAGTTGGAAGGCCTGATTCCTTGTGCTTCCGGTGATCAAGGCGCTTGTCAATGGTAGGGCGAGTTATAGTGTGAATTGTGCGTATGGACTCTCACGCGACCCGACCAGACATCACTCCATGGGGGAAGCCAGATGACTTTCGTATTACCATTTCTGGGCACGATAAGAAGCAAAGTCGTGATGGCGGAAGGATGATGAGCCTTTACCGGCACATCTTGGAAGCCCGTATACCGTCGTACCTCCTTGCTACGGAAAGCCTGAAAAGTGGTTATACGGGCGTACAAGGTTGGCTGCGCATTCAACTTGTCCCAGGCAAGACAAAGGGTCTTGAAGCATGAAACCGAAGTCGACAGAATTGTCCAACTAAGAGCCTCAAGCCTCACAAGCCAAACTCAAGCCTGCCGAAGGCTACCTCGGTCCTTTTTTGTGGCTGTGAACAAGGTTGCGGAGTGCTTGGCCGCCAAGAGATCAAGCGAAAAACTTCCCTCCCTGCTCACACTTGCGGAACGGCCACTCGAGGCTCAATCGGGCAGGTCCGTTGGGACATTCAATCGTGCTGTCAAATTTGACACAAATCAAACACACCATTTAATGGCTCACTCTGTGTCGAAGGATGCGGCCATTCCTTCGCTCTATCTGCTGACCTTCTGCTTCGCGTTGGATCACCTTGTTCATCATGCAACGGAAATTGATTGCATCTTATGTCGAAACCCATCACCGTATTACCGACAGCGTTTGGATGTGGCGAGAATCATGTGTGAACTGGGAGACAGCCCAGCGGAGTATATTTCTTGATCCATTTGAAGCCCCCCTATCCTTCACGGAGAGACGCCATATTGTTCATGTTAATCTTGGGAGTTGCGCGCGACTTGTTGCTGTGTCTTATGACCTGAGGGAGTATCTTTGCCTCGACATCCCTGTCGAGTCAGGACGATAAACGGCCACTGGCCACCACGGTCAAGGTAATGGAGTGACAAGCACTTGTTGCATGTCTTGATCGATCAACCGACTCGCCAACATAGGGATGCCTCTTGGCTGTTGGCTCTGGATCCAACGACGCTATGTGTAACGAAGATGCAATAGTCTATGTGTAGCTGTATGACCCCGCTCAGTATTTGGTCACGAGAAATCATCGGCGATCAATCTGATATTCGCAATTCGACTAGTGCTTACCAGTGATGTTTTGTGTGTAAAACCGTAATGGTAGGCGGTATTCATTCGAAGGGTCATGACTGACTTGCGGAGTTTTGCGATGTCTTGCTACCTCATAGACTACTAGCCGTCTTCTTGTTCCATTACCGGTCTCTGCTGTCTGCGAGTGGCCAGGACACAGACTCACAAGTGTGAAGCTATGCTGATGTACATCAATACCGGTCAAGATCTCCACCAAGCCCACGTCCTAGCTAGCTTGATGAAATAGTCTGGCACTACCTATGTAGAACTCAGGAACAGGATATAGAGAGCGACCCCCTGCAAAACTCCCCTTTGGCAGAGGCATAATATGGCATCATGTCAATGATAAATGTAGGAGCAGGGTCGTCCCCACGGCATCATCTAACGTCATCGGCCATCTCGTCCATCGACACTCAACAGAAGGGATCGAAGGCGTTAGTGCGGCGTTTGCAACAGAAAAGCTGTGTAGCTTATCATATATAGCACTGAACAGTGAACGTGTTCGCTCAAGATGTCGCTTTGACCAGGAATAATGCCTCTCGTTATCCTCCAGGACAGATATATGATTCCGCTCCGCTTATCGGCTTGGCATCGATCAGCCTTTTGTACGCGATGAACGTTCGTGCCATTCCCATCACCAGCTAAACCAACTGAAAGAAAGCGCCTGGCTGCTCTTTGATTTTCATCTATCTTTGTTGTGTTGTAGATTGAGGATAGCGACAATCCTCCGCAAAGCTATTGCGAGTCTATCTCAAACACCAACTCCGTCGTGCATGAGAGCCAGCGAATCAAGCGTCGGCACAGCCTGATCCTCCGCATATTGTTCAATTAATCATGTAGCACTGCCTGTATATGTCTGTAAAAGGTGGCTAACGATCCTGTATCCGGTCAGCATTTAATCTCAATCCTTGTGCAATATAGTTAGTCAGCTTTTGGAGCCTGGCCGTAATCATCTTCTTATGTCGCCGGCCTTCTCTCCAGTTGTTGCTCGAGGCGATTTTGGAAGCTTCGTGTCCAGTTCGTCGCCGCAGACTCGGAAACCGCTATTCGAACCACTGACATGCTCTTGATACTGACGATCAGCGTTTTGACGAGGACTTGCCTAGCGAGTGACTTTTGGGTCTCGAAATGGAGTAATACACCTGGTAAGTTGCAAGCAATGCGCGATCGCACTTGAAGTCATTCTAACTTTTCCAGTTGGACCTGATGGTGTAAGTTGAGTCTAAGAATGAGACGACCTTCCCCAACACTAACAGACCTAGCCATGGCACGCTTTGAACATCTCGTGGGACGATAAGCCAGCACAAAATTTCGCGATGCTCCCTTCGCTCACAAAGACATCTTTGTTGATCGCAGCCGACGCTTGCTCCACACAGAACTCGCAATGTCCCAACCAAGTGTCATCTGGCGACTGGCCGATGTGGACATCATCCGCAGCACACAAGCCATACCTTTGGCAGGATGGTGAGCTGTATAATGGTGGCAACTGGGATGAGACTGTATCGTGGCCTCTCAACTTGACTGGTGATGGACAATGGGCGCACGAACGAGCTATAGTGTGGAACACTGACGACGAGAATGTCTCCTTGTACGATCAAGCGATTACCTTGACGCACAACTATACTGTGAATTCACCAGCTGGTGGAATGTATACTATGAACGCTGGATTCTTCTCGTTGTACGGAGGTCAAAACGAATCTTCATGGCTCAATGCTACTGGATCCAATGTCACTCAGATGATTCAACTACCCTTCATGAAGAACGTGTCGGCTGTCTCATCCGTCTCTTATGGCCTTCATGTCGGCTCTCCAAGTCTGAGTCTGGACCCAAGTCTGGTGATGGGAGGCTATGATCGGTCTCGTTGCTTGACCGATCCTGTTACTACGCACAACACGACATTCATACTGGTTGATGTGTCAATCGGATCTGCGGGCTCCGGATGGCCCTTTGTTGATCTGTACAGTGGCATGGGTAATCTTTCAGAGAACTCCCAGAGTGGTTTTCTCGAAAGATCCGTGCAGATCCTAGCGAATCCAGGAGTCCCATATCTGTATTTGCCTCAGCAAACATGCGACTCAATCGCAAAGTACCTTCCAGTGACTTACAACCAGGATCTTGGTCTCTACATATGGAACCAGGACCTAGATTCAAGCAACAGTCGTTATAAGGAGCTGATTGAGACATCCACCTATCTCTCATTCAATATCCAAGACGAGTCCACGCAGGAAGACAAGCAACTCCATGTACCCTTTGCGCTTCTCACTCTCGAGCTGGACTATCCGATCACAAATAACAAAACACGTTACTTCCCTTGCAGACCGTACACGCCCCGCGACGGTCAACCGTATCATCTCGGACGTGCGTTCTTGCAGGCAGCACTTTTAGCACAGAACTGGGAAACAAATACAACATGGCTCTCACAAGCACCTGGCCCAAATGCGACGGCCTCGTCTAGACCGGTCATTATACAACAGGGCGACACTACAATCGCCGTAATGCCGAACGCTCCTGCATGGCTGTCTACATGGGACGGCACTCTCAGACAATCAAACTGGAATCAGGTGCTCGGTAATGGCACCACCGGCTCGACGTTGGCCGAGTCTGACACGATCTCTGGTGGAACGATCGCTGGAATAGTCATTGGTGCGTTGGCAGGTATTGCTATCATCGCGGCTGCTATTCTCTTCTACGTCCGACGCCGCCGTGCCAAGGCAGGATATGGTGATGTCGCTTTGATCTCATTCGCAGACAGTGAGGACAGTCCGCACCGAACACCTGAACTGGAGCACAAGCCGACTCATGAGGCTGGATCTACCCCGGTGTATGAGGTGGAGAGTCCAGAAAAGATGATGGGGATGAGCGAGCTGCCTTCATCGTCGCATAAGAACAAACCATCAGAGGTGGAAGGTATCGGTATTGCTGAGTTGCCTGGGCACGATGTGCAGCCCAGATAGGAACTCAGTTCTTGTTCACACCTGCCTACTACAGACGAAACCAAGATGAGTTCTCCGTTGTGGTTGACGTCTGTCAAAAGGGAGAATCATCTCCCAATTCCCGACTCCATCCCGAGAGAGCGTACTAATTTACTTTTCTCCGTGCACATATGTCTGACCATGAAAATCGCTGTGCCTCTCTACCGCTCCCCCGTCCGCAAGAGTGGACGATGATGTAGACAAATGTTGGTAGTTGGCTTTACGAACCCTACACAAGACTATGAGGAGACCCTAGGTACGCCCGCATCGTTCAGTCTGTTGTTCGCTCCTCCAGACCTGTCGCAAGGCAAGAACATTCTCAATATATCCTCCCAGGCAGCAGAGAGAGCAAATTTTCACGTCCCCCACAACACACGTCTCAGTTCAGAAAAACATTGTGCCTTTCTACCGCCTCTTTCCCGGCATCAATGGTCATTGGAGAGCCACTTGTTGTCCCTCTATTCACTTCTATAGGGAGAACCCCGGAGCCAGGTCCGGGTGAATCTTCCAACACGCTACCAATCTCGATCGCGTGTAAGGCGTCAATTGTTTCTCCCGATCTCTGTCAGCGACATCAACATCCAAACATGTCGTCATCCCCAGAAGACTCACCACCCAGGCTCTCAGCCCTGAGGGGTACTCAAAGTAACTCAGAGCTGGCACTCGATCCCAGCAGAAATCTCACGTATACCCCGAGTCCAGTCGAGACCACCTTCCAACGTCCTCGCTCTTCATCAGAGGGAGTCCTGGAGCCCTTTTTTGACGACATCCCACCTGGTGCTGTGGCAACCACCTCACCTGACGCTGTACCCACTGGCCCAAGCCACATGTTTGGTCGATCCTGCCCAGACAACAACCCCAATTGCCACTGGCATCATCAACAGATGCAACACTGCCACGTCCCCTGGAAAACCTGCAAGCGTGCTAGTAAGACGTCTGAGTGAACCTCTCCCTATTGCTCATGCTGATTCGTTATAGCTCAAGCAATCAGACAATTCTACTTCGCTGGTGAAGCATGGCTCGAGGCACCTGAAGGATGGAATGCAGAACATGAGCACTGCCTCAGAACAAACAACAAGTGCCCTCGTCACTCTACGCTTGAGGTAATCAGGGGGGAAATGGCGATTAGTGGTCTTTCGGCCGGAAAGCCTACAAATCATCATGAGGAAGGAAAGCAGAATTAGAGACGCAAGGTAGACAAGGTGACGACGAGATCGGATGCCTGGGTCTGAGGCGCAGACAGAGTGGAACGACAGGTCAGATAGATCTACTGTAAGATGAATCGAAGCACGACTCTCCTCTTGAATAACAAGTCCTCAATGCGACCGCGCGCTGAAACGACGATATTGGAACGTACAGTGATCTTGTATTGCAATGTTTCAATTCTGCTGTGTCGCTGCAAAACCCAAGGACACCAAGTACCTGACCTGAACTACCATACCAAAGCTTCTTTCTGCGATCCACAGCTTATACCCTCGCAGATCTCAATATCCTCCTGACTAATCCTATCGCCTACCATCTGTCTCGCTGGCCAAATTTGTCTTCCCTCTCGCTGCTCCCTCTTGAAGTGAGCTGTGATGAGTTCTCGAACAGTCTGTTGGAAGAACAATGGCGCTTTCTCGTACTTTGGATGCAATTGTCCGTTGACGAATACTCCAGAATTGAGGTTCTTTTGTGCTTGGTCGCAGAGCACTTTATCTTCTCCCATTACGCGAGCGTACATGGAGGAGATGAGCTTAAAGTCTTCCTCGGAAGAGGTTTTGTTGCGGTAGATTTCGTAGTTCATTGTCGAGTTTACCGGACCATGAGGTAGGAACTTCTGCACCATGATGAAGTGTGGACTAGAGAGTGTCAGAAGGGATGTGAAGAATGGGGAGTAGAAAACCACTCACGAGACTGTCATTGATGTGTTTGGAAAGTAGTAGGTACTGGCTACACCAAGGCCTTGTGCTGCTTGCTCAGGCGTAGAGATACAGTGGTGTTGGATATGCCCGTCCTTGAGATCAGAGTCGAAGGTCTCGAGATTGATGAAGTCAGGGATATCAGGATGGGTGGTGGGACAATGATAGCACTCGTTGAAGTTGTCCGCCAGGATCTTCCAGTTGAAGTCGCCTTTGATCTCGTAAGTGTGATCGAGCTCGTAGTTATCAAAGTCGAACTCCTTATATCTTTCTTGCTCGTCCACGTTGTCAAAATGTTCTTCCCAAGGTACTTCCGGAGTTTCCTTGGCATCCATGTTGATCCAGATGAAGCCGTTGACGTCGACTTTGACGTGAATACGGAACAGGCTGTTTTCTTCTTTCTGATAGCCGTCTAGCTCTTGGTAGCCAGGAGCTTTGGCGAGTTTCCCATTCAGTCCATACGACCAGCCATGATATCTGCAGGCGAAGATTTTCGCATTGCCTTCTTGTTTCTCGACAATTGGATAGGCACGATGTCTGCAGACGTTGTGGAACGCATTAACGTTCCCTGTACGGTCTCTGTTGATGATGAGGCTGTAGCCTGCAATGTTGAAGCGAAGGAAGTCTCCGGGATTTTTGATGCGAGAGCTGTGTGTCATAAAGAGCCAACGGCGAGTGAAGATTGCTCGTCTCTCGAACTCGTACATCTCTGGAGATGTGTACCATGTCGCTGGCAATGCCCGGACGGGAGAATGTTTCTCAGGCAAGGTGCCCACAGTCTTTGCGGAAGATGCTTTGTCTCCGCCGAAGCCGAAGTATTTGAGGTAGGAGGACATCGATGAGTGACCAGTTGTTTGTGTTGCAGAAGTAAGATGATTTAAGCTGGAGATTGACACTTGTGAATTATGGTAACAGAGAATGTCATTTTTTCAGGAGAGCCTTAAGTATGCTGATGGATAGCTCAAAGTCGCCTGCGCTAATCTTTGGAAGTTGTCTGGTCATGCTGGCTTAGCCTATCGATGCGGCTCAACAGCCAACCACAGGTGTGTGCAATCGCAGCGGGATACCATTACTTCTCCAGGAAAACTTGAACGGAGCGCTAACAGCAAGATGTCACAAGATAAAGATTCAAGACGTATCCAGCAAGCATGAACGATAGTAATCGCAGGTGGTGATTGGTGTAGGCGGCTACGCTAACTTGTGTATCACTACGCTAGCTTCGGCAGAGATCCGAAACATGGAGAACGTCTGGAGCTCGATAACCTTAAACGCGAGCCCCTTCTGTAAAATCATGCGCTTACACTAGCTTGAAGCTTCAGCAGAATGAGCAATTCTCCAGGAGTCGAGATAGCTCAAACAGCTCTATGGTCGCTCGAAATCTGCAATCCAATGTGACTTGAGAACGGAGACAATGTCCAGCAGTGCACATGAAGTTTCATGAGGTGATGATTTCAAGGTTGGGAAACTAGACTGTTCGGTTGATAGAGATAATGATGACATTCTGTTATTTAACTTCTTCGAAAGACCCTTGATCGAAGCTCACGCATGACCGCAAACGCTGTGTCCTGAGTTCGCGCAGCGGCGTCTTTGTTTTCTTCTGCTCTCCTCAGAATGTACAGAAGACAGTCGCGTAAGGATCCCCAAGCAGTATACTTATAGACACCAAGACGAGGATATGGATTGTGCATGTCGACTTCTGTCAAGTATCTTGTCAGATCCTGCTTTTTGGCATGCTCAATCTTGACCACAAGATCCATCGACACTTCGTCGGCCATTCCCATTAGTTGTGCGAAAGTCATGCCCCGAACTTGATGCTCTTTCTGGGCTGCGAGCAGGTGAGTGTTTGTGTACAGGTCAAAGGCATTTCGGACGCTCTGTGCGTTGTGAGTCGCAAGCAATACGTCGGCTTTCCAGGATCGATCGCCCTCTGCCTGTAGCAGATATCGGACCATCGCGTCGTATGCTTCATCCGTTTGCTGTTTAGAGATATGCAGAGATTGTTTGTCCAGTTCAGTATGCAGATAAGCGCCTCGGACCATTTTGATTCCGAGAACATAATTGTGCTCGATTGAGTGCTGCAGATGCAACTTCACCTTGTCGATGTTCGACTTGAGATACCTTTTTGGAGTCAGCGGCAGCTCTTGAGTGCGCGATTAAAGCACTCACGATTGGTACGTGTTCAGCACCGAGGCTCTCTGCGAAGTATTGAAATGTGCCATTATCTGCTGATGGAAATGTGAGAACGAGGAAGCTGATCATCATCACAAGACTTACAAGAGCTGCGCAATCAATTGCTCCCTGATAAGTTGAAGACTCCGCGTCAATCAAGACACGAACCTGTCGTGCTTCGGCTGCTGCACAGATCTTCTTTACCTGCTCGACGTAGTATTCCATGTCGGCACAGTAGATTCTCTTCGCCTCCTCCAATGAATGGATTTTGCAAGTGGCCGAAAAATCCGACAAGAACTTGGCTGCTGCTGTTCCTGCACCCGTGAATCTCAAACCAACGTAGTCGCCAGGCTCCGCTTGTTGTACAGATTGAAGATTGTTTTCCACCCACTCCTCGCATTGAAAGTCACCAATCACCGAGCCAATGTTCAATTCTGTAGTGGGCTGAGCCTCGCGAGCATTTGCCAGAGCAATGCCAGTAAAGCCGATGCGGCGAAGGTCTTGGGTCTTGGACAGTATTTCATCCTTCTGGAGTCCGATACAAAAGTTGTCGTACAACATCTTCTTGAATGCCCATCGAAGCGGAGGCACAGATTCGACTATGCCTACATTGTTCTTGGTCGTGCGGATAAGGAAAGCTAACACTTTTGCTGGGAGCACTGTCGCTGAAAGAACAACAAGTGATCGCACAAGAGTCGTGGTTGGAATAGCTTGGAGCGTTCGTCGAGAAGGCGACTTGAATAAATCCGGAGCATGTTGTCTCGAATGTAAAGAAGTTGAAGTGTGCCTGCGAGCTTGAAGCTGGGTCTTGCTGGAGATAATCCTTGAGATACTGCGGCTCAATCCGGGCAACCATTTTGAGCTGATAGATAGTGTGGTTGCAATTGGAATACTCGTCTGCATGCTTGCGGTCTTGTCACAGGTTCACACGATGCAGGTTCTACAGTCAGAGAAGATTGTTCGAGGTTCATACATGTTCGAGCACAGCGCGACCGCTTGCCCAAACGCGACAAAACATCCGGTCCAAAGTAACACCATCGAGTGACTTGTGTTATCGGTCATGGCGGCTGAACGACGCCAATTTTGAGAGGAGAAGGAGGGTGGTTCGTTGTCGGGAAGAGATGCGAGGTTAGCGTAGGCGCGAGGATCCCGCCAAGTGCCCCCGCTTTGCGGCTCCCGACGCGTCACCGGACACCTTCCCGATACTCTTGCTGCTTCCGTCCTACAATCCATTCTCATAACCTTGATGGGCGATAACATCCCTCGGTGTTGTACACGGAGGCTAGCGTACGCGCGACATCTTACAATCATGTGGACAAACGTGAAAGGCGGATAGGCCTGACTTCTTTTCAGGCTTGATTTGTCTCTGCATTCTGTTCTGAGCCTCTCACTCCCTACCTGAAACGATGTTGCTTCCTCGACCCGTCACTCCTGCTATACGCTCTACTTTGCGTCCCACTACTCGCTCATGGAAGCACTCGGTATGCTCTGTTCGTCAACCGCTTTTGCGAGCTGGAGTGGCCACGAGCGGCCACTTCAAACTGCCAAATGCTCGGAATGAAGAGAATCTACACTATGCGAAATCATCTCCGGAGAGGGAACATCTCGAGGTAGCTTTGAGCACACTGCGCTCCAAGCTCCCTCTACAGGTGCCGCTCTACACGTCTGGCACTTCTAAAACGACCGAGCAGACATCGATATCAACCATGCCATCAGAACACACTCAGGCATTCGCACAGTCGAGCTCTGCAAGCGCAGAAGATGTTGAGAACGCCATCAAGTCAGCATTGGAAGCCAAGAAGTCATGGCAGAAGACGCCGTTTGTGGATCGTGCAGCAATCTTCCTCAAGGCTGCGGAGCTCGTGGCTGGGAAGTACAGATATGAACTGATCGCTGCGACAATGCTCGGTCAAGGCAAGAATGCGTGGCAGGCAGAGATTGATGCTGCTGCTGAACTTGCTGACTTCTTTCGCTTTAATGTCTCGTATGCCGAAGAAGTCTACAACAAGCAGCCGACTCTGAATGCACCTGGAAACTTTGGGTAAGTCTATAAAATATTCGTTCAAGATTATTCACGCTGACATTAATCAGTCGAACCGATTGGCGACCGCTTGAGGGCTTCGTGTATGCTATCTCGCCTTTCAATTTTACCGCCATCGGTGGTAATCTCATATCTGGTCCAGCCATCATGGGCAATGTCGTGCTTTGGAAACCTTCACCAACAGGCATCTACGCGAGCTGGCTGGTTTATCAAATTCTCCTTGAAGCCGGGCTTCCACCCAACGTAATCCAATTTTTGCCAGGCGATGCAGAGCTCATTACTAAGACCCTGTATGAGCACAAAGAGTTCTCAGCTCTGAACTTTACCGGATCCTCAGACGTGTTCCGCAGCCTCTACGGTAAGGCGGCGGAAGGAGTTGTCAGTAGAAAATACCGCGACATGCCACGCATGGTTGGCGAGACTTCTGGCAAAAATTTCCACCTCATACACTCGTCTGCTGATATCAGCAACGCTGTCAAACATACTGTCAGAGCCTCATTCGAGTATTCTGGTCAAAAGTGCTCCGCCTGTTCTCGTGTCTATGTTCCTCAAAGCAAAGCGCAAGACTTCCTCAAGCAGATCAAGGAAGAGATGGCACCAGTGAAGGTTGGACCGCCAGAGGACTATGAGAACTTCCTGGGTCCGGTGATCCACAAGGCCTCGTTCGACAAGATTGCAGGTATCATTGATAAGTCGAATGACGACAGCAGACTACAGAAAGTCTTTGGAGGCACATACGACGGAAGTAAGGGTTACTTCATCCAGCCGACTCTCTATGTCGCCAAAACCCTCGACCATGAGTTATTCGATCAAGAAATCTTCGGCCCGGTGCTGGTTGCATACTTTTACCCTGATGAAGAGTTTGAGCAAGTGATGGCGAAAATTGATACACAAGGAGGTGGTTTTGCACTGACAGGAGCTATCTTCGCGAACGACCGTGAGATCCTTCGTCAGGCCGAAGACACATTACGATACTCTGCAGGTAACTTCTACCTCAACTGCAAGACCACCGGAGCAGTCATTGGTCATCAATCGTTCGGTGGAAGCAGAAGCAGTGGCACAAACGACAAGGCCGGAAGTGCGAACGCCTTGATGCGGTTTACATCTCCGAGAACTTTGAAGGAAGAGATGATTCCGCTGCAGTCTGTACTCTATCCTAGTAATCTTGCTTGAGCTAGATGACACATAAATACGATTGTCATGTCTCGAATCATGCTTGGGTGATCACTCTTGTATGAGTCGTGCCTTTTGTCCTTCGCCAATAACAGTGTTAGCTATGGACGTAGGCCTCTGATCGAACCATGGACGCAAGCAGATCTCGGATAGTCTTCCGAGAACGAATGATACTTGTCGATAAGCCTCTCCAGCAATAGGCGCTTACGCTAACCGCCGGCATTCCTTCCGTGTCATCACATGTCTATCAAAGGCGGGGTATAATGCGGCTACGCTGACCGCTCTTCTTATCGAAGCTTATCGCCATCAATGTAACAATCAAGCAGCAAACAACTTTCAGCGGTAGCACTAGCCCCCATTCTATACGCATCTCTCGACAGGACAGCCTTGCCGGATTGGGACCTTTGTATGTGATCAGATCATGTAGACACATTCCTTGCGTTTATAGATACCACTATCGCGCTTGTCACTGCTCTTGTACTCTGGTGATTGTATTTCTGCCCCTCGTCTCTACTGCATCGACCCATCATGTCGGAATTAGAGCCTATCGCTATTGTTGGCGGTGGTGCCTGGGGTCTTTCCACTGCTCTTCATCTCCATCAGTCTGGATACACCAACATTACTGTCTTTGAGACTGCCGATTCGATTCCTTCTCGCTACTCTGCAGCCTACGACCTCAATAAGATTGTTCGAGCTGAGTATGAGGAAAGCTTTTATACAGATCTCTCTTTGGTGAGTGTATCTTGTTCCAATAAGCAACAGGCAGCTGACTCTCAAAAAGCAAGCAATCGAAGCGTGGAAAGATCCTCTATTTGGTCCATACTACCACGAAACCGGATATATCGTAGCCACCTCTGGCTCTGCACCTGCAAAAGCAAAGAAGAGTCTTGAGACCGCACTCGCATCTGTATCCAAGCACCCGGTCTTTGCCCCTGGCATACAAGCTTTGGACAGTAGTGACGGGTTCAAAAAGTACGCTTGGCAGATCACAGGACCACTGAAAGGCTTCACTGGCTATCACAACCGTCTTGCCGGCTACGCCCATTCGGCCAATGCTCTAAAGGGCATATTCCTGCACTGTGCCACCCTCGGTATCAAGTTTGTGCTGGGCAAAACTGCCGGCACGGTCACAGAACTCGTTTACACGGGCCAAGGAGCCAGCCGCAAATGCACCGGCATACGCACAGCAGATGACAAAGTCCACCCAGCCACGAAAACAATCCTCGCATCCGGAGCCTGGACAGCTTCTCTCCTCCCCTCCCTCGGCAACTTCGTAACAGCAAGAAGTTGGTCAGTCGCCCACGTCCAGCTCACAGAACAAGAATGCGATTACCTCCGCGGCATACCCGTCATTAATGTTCGCGATTTGGGCTTCTTCTTCGAGCCAGACCCTGCTACTCGTCTTTTCAAGCTTTGTCCTTTGGGAGCCGGATTTAGTAATACGGACGCAGAGGGCACGAGTATTCCACCCATGGTTAGGAAACCTCAGCCTCAAGACTTCATCCCTGCTGAAGATGAGATCAAGCTTCGAAAGCTTCTGCAAGAGACGTTTCCCTGGATGGCGGACAGACCGTTTGTGGATAAGAAGTTGTGTTGGTTCGCCGATACCTCAGACTCCGAGTATTGTATCGATTTCGTGCCTGAAAGCAACAAATCTGTCATTGTTCTGTCAGGAGACTCTGGGCATGGATTCAAGATGATGCCAATCTTCGGTAAATGGGTTGTTGAACTGTTGGAGAATGGAGAGCAGAAAGTTGATAGGTGGAGATGGAAGACCGAGGACGAGAGGGGCAAAGATTGGGGTGACGGTGTCAGCTGGAGAATTGGAAAGGGAAGGGAATTGAGTGAATTGATTGATGAAGCCAGGAGGGGAAGTCTGAATGCTCGTCTATAGAAATGCGAAAACTTGTTCGTCTGGAGCATCGGCTTGTTGGAGTAGCATAAGTCCTTTGACTGGGTCACGGAAGAACAAATACCCAGGTACATCCGCAAACGATAGTCTCTCCTCATGGTGCACTCTCTTATCAGTGTAATTGTGCATTTCCGCAGCGCACCATAATGTCGATCAATTCCGAAAGAGAGACATGCTGTTAGCGCCAGCATCGTCAGGTTCATCCGCGCATGCCAGTGTTTCCGTGGTTCCTGCCCACTTGACTCAGGGTGTACGTCAGATCCCTGTCGACATTGAGTGCCAGATCTAGGTTGCTTTGTGTCTCTGGAACATTGGGCGAATGTTGGGCATATGAAGCTAGTTCCCAGCCGATCACTCAAGAAAGAGCAAGCTTCCAACCGAATGTTGTGATGAGTGTCTGCCAGTCGTGCTTACGACTGTTGTCGAGTCCGTTCAGGTCTCGGCTTTGCCAAATCTGAGTAGTGACATTCCGGACGTATGAAATGTTGCTTATTGGCCATTTTCTGTCGAGCGTACGAAACATGTCCAAGACGATCTTTCGCTGCTCATCCACAGATGATGCGCAGCCCGCAATGAACAATGGCCACATGGGGAATGCTCGACGTGGCTGATTCTCATTTATCACTATTCGCAGAGCCTGAAGTAGATCATCTTGCATCTGGACCAGAGCTAAATGGGTGAGACTGGCATCAAGGCAGATCAGACGAAGATACACCCTAGCAGCTAGTTTAAAGCATTGACTGCTGTGCTGAAGATAGCTGTCATCAACCTTGGCAATGAATATCATTTCTTTCAGGGCATCATCAAAGGCCAAAGCCGTAGTGGAATACAGGTCAGACGTCTCTTCCGCGACATTCTCGTCGGCCTGACAATGGTATTTGAGAGCCGAGAGTGTTGATATCCTGTTGATTAGCTGAAGACACTCCAGCGAGCATCCGACTTTGTTATCAATGTTTTGCATTGCTATGGTTGGCGCTGAGTCAATAGTCTGTTCCAGCATCAAATTCAAGTTCAGCAAGAGTTGGGCTGTCATAGAGGTATCTGCTATCACCTCCTTCAGGGGATATGTTCCTGGCGGCATAGTCGTTTCAAGAAGAATCCATCGGAAGCTGAAATATTGGTAGGCGAAGAGAGCACATTCTCGACCGATGGTAGATGCATGGTAGTTGTGTATGGCTACGGCCCCATTCAGATGTTGCAGCCAAGCTGAGCGGTGCCCATTGGAGATCTCGAAGGAAGACAAGAGCACGCAAGTGAGAATGTTCTCTTCGGCGTCCGTTGAATTGACTAGCGACGCTTGTAGTGCGTTGATAGCACTATCGTAGTATGTGACAGCGTTGGACATGAGGCGATTAGAAAGGCTGTGTCCAGAATTTGCCATCTCGGCTGCACTCAGCGCCAGCATAGTAAACAGCAGAGGTCCCCGGCGGGTACATGCGAAGGGCATAGTCAACGAGCAGAACGGGTTTTCATCTCCAGTGGCATACACTCGGCTGGCACTGATGACCTCGGTATCTATAAAGGCGTGAGCTAAAGTCTATCATCGAATTAGCCTGACACAAACAGTATTGAAGCAGTCGCCTTTCCGATATGTCCACAGTTGTGTCACATATGGGCATTGATCTCGGGATCTCATTATTAGCATCACAGTCCACGTCGAGGAGGTAAATATGTCGTGAACCATATGATAGGCAAAGACGAGCGATATCTCGTGTAGTCAAGTTGACAAAGTGTCGCTCAGTGGATACTCCAGGCAAAATGTAATGCTCGAGAGCTGACGAGATAAGGTATCGCTCACTGAAGGCTCCGCTGACATTAGGATAGACACATGACGCGCCAGATATTTGGCAGCGTCTGCAGATTGGCTTGGTTTCATCACATCTTTTCTTTCGACGTCGGCAGCCCATACAGCCTGAGCGAGTGCGTGTGCCCGACATGATGATTGCAAATCATGTTGGATGATATGGTGAGGGGTTAACGTCGTGGTTCAGATACGTATTGCGAGATCGGGAAAGATGTGGCGGCAGCACCTCGGCTCGGGAAACTGTTGCCCGGGATGACGTTGGAAATTCGCGACGCGTGCCTCTCAGTCTCTTCTTGCTTGCTACTTGCTTCCACGAGCACACAGTCAATGATGCCGTTGATGCTCTGGTGACTGGTTGAGTCGTTGCTTCTCAGATTTACAAGCTTTGTGTATTCATCTCTACTCTCTGAGTCTTTGAATATCCATCATCGCGACCATGATAATGTCACCCACCTCCCTCGCTCCAATTGCCTGGCCGTTGATCGTTCTTGACCCACGAACAACTGAGTGAGTCTTTGCGCCCATCTCAATCTATGTCTAGTATCCCGGCTCTGCGGAGACTCAAAAAGCATATGAAGTATGCAATCATGAGAGCGACGTTGTCTAGATCACATCATGGATAATCCAGATGATCAACCCATGTATAAGGACGATGCAGGAGATTGTGGACAAAAGCTGGGTTTTCCCGGTTGGTCAAAAGAGGTCAAAGAGATCAAATTGTGATTGGCGGAACAAGCTCTGGCTGATCTTCCGCCTTGGCAATGCCTCTGTGAAGACTGGACACTTTCAGAAGTCATGATAGGCTCGGACTGTCTATACTGTTGGTCAACTTTTCATTGTAATGGCCAACGCCACTGATGCGGTCTCTTGAGGGAATATGAGGGGTAAGTACCGAACCTCTCTCTCGTCAAAGTATAGCCGGTCTGAAAATCGTGGCACTAGGAGCAGTCGATGGTTCATATAAGCAGTGATCATACCCTGGAGGACTGGATATACAAATCAACGTCTTCACGGGGAGTACAACAGACATGTTGCTAACAAACCTCATATTTTCCTTTATTCTTCTCTCGGGCAGTACAAGCGCTGCTCCGGCTTGTAAAGGAAAGCATGCTCAAATTCAAGCTCCTCCGGGTGCACTTGTCGTTGATAGCTCAACCCAGTTCTTCGGTAGCTTCAGCACCGTCAACGCTGCCGTGGCTGCTCTTACCAATACGACAGCAGAGCAATACATCTTCCTCATGCCAGGAACATACTCTGAGCAAGTTTATGTGCCCAAGCTGGCCGGTCCGCTCACCATACAAGGATATACATGCGATAGCCGCTCTTATGCAGATAACCAAGCGACCATCACCGGCAACCTCTCACGAACTACTCCAGGCCTGACAAACAACGATCAGACCGCGACCGTCCGCCTTTGGACCGCGAACGTCAAGCTCTACAACCTGAACATCGCAAACACATTTGGTCAAGCAAACACCAGTGGACAAGCACTTGCTTTGAGTGCTCAAAACACCAACCAAGGCTTCTACGGCTGCCGTTTCGAAGGCTATCAAGATACGATATATGCAAATGAAGGCAGACAAGTGTACGTGAATTCATTCTTCAACGGTGCCGTCGACTTCATTTTCGGTCTTCGTGCAAGAGCTTGGTTCGAAGAGTGCGATATCGAGACCGTCGGCCCTGGCTTCATCACAGCCAATGGACGCGAAGCAGCGAACAATACCTCTTTCTATGTCTTCAATCAGTGCCAGGTCGGTGGAACCAGTGGTGTTGCATCTACAGTACTTGGTAGACCATGGCGACAGTTCTCACGAGTCGTGTTCCAGAGATCTTACCTGGGCGACGTGGTCAAGTCTGTCGGCTGGGAGCCTTGGGATAATGTCCAAAGTGTTGAAAATATTTATTATGGAGAATACAAGAACAAAGGACCTGGAGCTGTGGGTCCGAGGGCTAATTTCAGCATGGAGTTGAATGCGCCAGTGAAGCTGAAGACACTGTTTGGAAAGCAGTATAAGAAGGAGTGGTGGATTGATCCAAGATATCTTTAGGCAAGCACGAATTACTTTCAATGCAGACATGACTTCACGGCCGCAGCTTCGGTCACGGAGGTCAGCATTCGGCACTTTAGTCATAGCTCATACTGACGAATTAGGACAAGCAGACCACTACGCAAGCCGTGGTTTGCTTGCGCATTTCTGTTCCGTTGCATACAGCCTTCCGTCAACATATTTTTGGCTCCTGCCCCTCCCCCTGACGTGGGCAGCGCAAGCATTTTCTGGCCTGTGGCATCTGACCAGGTCGTGCGATCCATGCGAACGGAGAACACAGGCTAATGAACCACTTCATCGTGCGGTGACCCTATACCCCCTGTCGAGTTTCGCGGATGTTGGGTAGTCACGACTCACAGACCTGTCTTCCTTCTCCACATATCCTTCCCCACCGTAAGCACCCAACCTATATCGCCGTAGTATACCTCCCACTATCCTCACAAGAATGAAGGGGGGTGCGGATTGCAACAAATCTCAGCTTGCGAATGTTGCGAGAACTGATTCTTATAGCGCAACTAGGAGAGCAGTCTTCTCCCACTCTTCAGCAGATGAACGATTGCACTCAGCTCGGTAGCAAACAACATCCAACAATCACAACCTCGAGATTCCAGCTTGCTACAAAGCTCCATGGATTGATCATCCCGAGCCCGCGTAGACTGCACAAGCTCCCAGCCCAAACAAATTCCCCGAGGACGTATATTCCAAAGCCACACCAGCAGGACATTGGTCTGAACCACTTGTGACTGGGGCAGAGTTGAGGACGTACAATGAACATCCTCCGCTCAGATAGTAGATGAAACAGTTGGGTGTCTCAAAGCATTTGGCGCAACATCCCTGTTGGTCGTTGATATCGGGGAATGATGGGAAGGTTGCGCCTATATTACCCTGACCTGGACCGGAAGATGTGTAACCACCAACATAGTCGTAACCGTAGGATGGTGGAACACAGACTGTAATTGGTTGTTAGCCCGCTTCCCCACTGGAATGGATTCAAAACTCACCGGCTGATGTAGTCTGGACCGTGATCGTGGTGGTCGTGGTAGCGCTAGCTATTGCAGTAGAAACAGAGATGGTCGTCATGGTCGTAATGAATACTGTTGTCGGGGTAGCCGCAGTGATCGTAGTCGCCGTAGCTCCTACACACGAGCATGCGCTCGAGTAACGAACTGCGCCAGAGCAGGGAGAGGCATAAGCTGGAATCACAGATGGGCTGACCGTTTGCTGTCTCTTCTCGAGGTTTGGGACAGGTAAAGCAGCAACGATCTTGTCAGAAACAGTGTTTGGACTAGCAATGCGAAGATCACGTTTCTGAACTGTTGCTCTCGGTGCTGGAGTGATGACGCTCCCACCGAACACACTGTACAGCGTTTGTGTAGTAAATACGGTTCCAGTATTGGTTGAAGTGCTTGTGGTGACACTAACACTTTCGACCGTCACTGTTGATGTCGAAGTACTGGTTTAGATCCATCAGCAGGAGTCTTTCTTCCATCCTTGGTGGGCGAGTTCTTACTACGTGGCTGGAGTTACGGTAGCTCGAAGAAAGCTGCTACAATCGGCTACACCCTGAGCGAGACGACCAGGTGTGTTTGTCGCACGAATAGAGCGAAGGCAAAGGTCGGCATTACATACCATTGACTTTGTGGTAGTCAAGGCAGCAGCAACGGAGCTCAAAGCCAGAAGAGAGAAAAGGGAGTGCATGACGAATCGAGCTACTATGAATGTCCGAGAGTCGTGAGCACAACAAAGTCACATCGATAGTTGGCGAAGTGCGAGACTTTATACAACAAGGAGAGCCATCTGTCTGCTAAAGCGCATGCTACATCACAAACCGAATGCGCTCGGTCTACTGACTCCAGTAGCAGGTATCAATATTCTCAGCTCTGATGGCGTATGGTACTAATGGCCGGGCGCTGGTTTCTGGTCACAAGGGGGTCAAAGTTGATCTCGCTTCAAGCATCAATCCAATGGGCGAGCACGGCTAGACGAATCCGATGTCTTCAGCTGGAGTCCTCGAACCTAATGTACAAGCTGAGAAGATCCCCGCTCCGTCGTGTGAAATAACGAGTCCAGTAGGCTCATGAGGCTTTTCAGCTCAGCCTTACAATGCCGGTTTTCTTCCTTTAGGAGGTCTACATAGGTACGTGTAAAGGGTCCATAGCTAGAGACGGCTAGCACTAATCCTAAACAAGACACTCGCCTACACTTGCTGCGGGGTTTCATCTAAGCTTTAAACACCAATTGCCGCCACTAGTTAGCTCGCCAGCTTTTCTCTCTAGATAGCTCCTCTATCGCGCTCTTAAGTCTGTTGTAGTTACTCGGCGGAAGGCCAGCTCCTGCACGACTAAAAGTATGGACGCTCACACCTAGTCGTGCCGGCTTCTAGCTGGACAGTCGGCTATCGAGCAAGTTTTTGCGTGCCAAAAGTCAAAAATCAGGCTGGGTTCATACCCATCTCACCTTGGACTGGAAGAAAACACGAGAGAATCAGAAATGAGTTTCCAAGGCTCTTGTAGTTGTAAGAAAGAGAATGATATTAATGCCATGTAAAGCACATGTATAACTGATAAAACTCCTTCCCAAACACTCCAACGCCAACAGTAAGCAGATTCTTCAGCAGAGACGGTGTTTGTTCTGTTTTTTTTTTTTGGCTCTTGTGTTTTCTCATTCTGTCCTGGTCTATATCAATCAGGACTCTGATATCCCGTCGCACCCGGAAACCTCGGTTTCTTCGGAAATGGTGTAGGTAGGAATCTTTTCTGCTTCATCATTAGTATACCATCCTCTGCATCTGTAGAGAATCAAACAAAACTTACAGCATGCTCCTCATCATCCAAACTCTCTCCACTACTATCATCGCTTTTTTGAGATTGATCTGTCTCAATCCTCGATTGCTTTTCTTTTTTGTTTTCTGGTGTTTTTGCTTCTTCCTTGTCGTCTTTCTTCTCGGACTCTTCAAATTTCACAGATCTCTCCTCATTACTCCTCTCACTGAGCGTCTCCAATTGGCCCAGGATATTTCTGACTGGGATCTGCAATTTGGGTCTCAATCGCGAGTACACCAATGCGTATTGATCAGTCCTCCACTCTTCGAATTCTGTCTCCGCACTTCTATAGGCAGCATTGACAGCTCTCTCCTTTGCGAGTTCTGCTTCCCGTTTAGGATCGGTGAGCACACGTTCTGCGGCCCTTCTGCGACCTTGTGGTGTCAGAGGAGTGGATGCTAGGAATGGTGGGATAGGCATGGGTATAGGTTTGCGTCGGGGTGTGAGTTCAGAATGTGGGAGTCCGAGGGCATCAAAGAGGCGGTTTGGATTAAACTCTGGTGTTTTTGCTGAAAGAAGGCCGCCAGTTACGAGAGCATCGTTAAAGGGGTCATCCAAGTTGCTGAAGTCTGTGATGATTCCTGCAGGGCGTGTTTTGTTTTTGTCGGTTTCTGGCTTTCTGACACCGCTGATGGGGGTAGGGTATGCGGTCTTGACAGGGAGTTTAGGATCGGCCGCATGCTCGAGGGTGTCGATTTTATGTTCAAAACGTTGTTTAAGTTGTGTATTCTCACGTGCCAGACGATTGCAATCGGCCTCCAATCTTCTTGCTTCGTCCTCAACGAGGCGAATCTGTCGCCTGGTATCCTGGAGTGCGCTAGACGGTACCTCTTATCCGTCAGCTTAATGTATGTTTGATGTAGTTCTGCAAGACATACCTGGAGGGCTAGGATGTTTCTTACCCTTCTTCTCGGAAGCGCGCTCTTCGGTCAGCTCCTCGACTTGCTTTGCGAGTGCTCTCTTTTCTTTTTCTGCTTCTAGAACCTTGTTCTTACCGATCAACACTACCTTCTGCATCTCATCGTTGACTTCGGCGGCTTTGAATAGGGTTTCCTGAGCCTTGTCCCACTTCTCTTTGTAGACTTTGAGGGTTTTGTTACATTCAACGTGATTCTCAGCCTCTCGCGTCTTGTACCAATCTACCCATTCTTGAACCTGTTCCTTGTTGTAGATTGCCATTTCGAGTTGCCTAGTCTTGTCGTGTAGCAGTCTTTGATACCTAGCAGTATCAGGGTCCGAAGAAAGGTTTGGGGGAAGAGTCGGCGATGGACCCTTGAGTTCTTTCTGCCAAGCATCCAATAATTTCTTCGAAACTTCAGCTTCCTTGAATGCTTGCTCCTCCATCTTTTTTATTTCTTCGTATTTCGTTTGAGCTTTCGATAGCTTACGGTGAAGATCTTCGATCACATCCTTAGTCCTGTAATGTTCCCTCTTCCACTTCTCAACCATGTCTTTCTTTACGTCGATTTCTGCCTTGAGCTTCCTGTTTGCTGCCCTCAAGCCTTCAATCTCGTGCCGATGGTCGGCACGTTGTTCTTCAACGTGCTTCTCAAGGTCGGCAAGGTTCTCTTCGACAATCTTGCGCTTGCCGCCAGTCAGACACAAGCCATGACTACTTCCACGCATGACCTCGGCAGTGAGATCTGCAATCTCCTTGTTGGCAGCATCGACTTGTTCTTCCGCAGCCTTCAGCTTTTCGTTCGCAGCCTCGAGTTGACTCATCACTTGATCGAGATCTTCTTGGCTAGTAGCATCTTGCTTGAGCGTGTTCTCTTGCTTGATTTGCTCAGCTTGGCGTTGTCGATCCTCACAATTTTCCCGTTTCTGAAGGGCCTCATCACGATCTTTCACAAGATGATCGCGCTCGACAGTCAAGGCATGAATCTTGAAATTGCATTCGGTGTGATCGGCATCGCCAGAAGAGGCTTGGGTACTGTCCAGACGGACAGGTGATGTTTGAGTGCCTTGGTCCGAAAGATTCTTCCTCGAGTAGCGCTGAGACCAGGTGCTGTTCAGTTGATCAAGAGTGTTGACTCCCTCTCTTTCGACGGCCCATCCGTCTTCGGCGTCGTACATTCTGGTTCGCAATGCCTTGTTAGCCTCGTGACAAGCCTTCAACTGCTCAGCAGCTTCCTTGAGTTGAATCTCTCTGATCTTCAGCATATTTTCCTTGACCAAGAACTTTGCCTCGATCGTACCGGCAGGAGGGAAGTCGTCGTCGCCATCGTCAGAACCATCCGGTGAATCTTCATCCTCATCCTCATAGTCTTCGCCGAGCTCCTCCTGTCTCCTTATTCTCTCCTTTCTCCTCAATTCTTCCTTGGCTTGCTTCGACTCTCTTTTCTTCTTTTCCTTTCTCAAGAACTCAACCTCTCCCTTGGCTTGTTCAAGTGCCTTTCTGACAAGCGCCAGCTCTTTCTTGACATCCTTACATGGGTCTTCCCAATCTGCTTCTCCCTTGATCATACCATCCCAAAGCTCGTTCTCGCCCTTCTTAGCATCAGGACTCTTTTTGATATCTCCGAGCTCCTTCAGAGCGGTATCACGTTCTTTCTTGACAGCTTCGAGTTCCTTTTTGGTAGCTTCGAGCTCTGCCTTCGAGTTCTTATTCTCGTCAGATTTAGTAGCTGTGATTTCAGGTACAGACGACTCCGTGGAGGACGTGATCTGCGGTCTCAAACCAGCAACCTTGTCCTTTACCAGACCGAAAAGACCGAGGCTCAAGATATCAAGACCCTCTGTTACAATAGTCTTTCCTGTCTCGGCAGCTGTCGAAACAATACTCTGAGAACGCTGGGCCTTTTTCTCGACAGTCTTTTCTGCTTCCTCGGCCGTCTCCTTGACTTTTTCCTTGACTGACTCAAACACCTCGGGTGCATTGCTGACAGAGCTGATGGCTGAGCGTGCGTATGGGTGACGCTTAGGATCAGCCTTGGGACCAGCTTGTGGGGCTGTAGCGGAGGGTGAGATTCGGGCTTCGGATAAAGCTTTTATCTCGGATTTTGCAGCAGTGAGTTCTCGTTTGGCTTGTGAGACCTCTTTCTGATACTCTTCGATCTTGTCCTCAAGCTCTTTGCAGTAAGGGGAAACATCCTTCTCCTTATGGACTTTGGTACGAATATCAGCCGTTCTTGTCGAAGAAGGCTCAGTGCTGACGGAAGAAATGTCCGAGTGCTTCCAAGTCTGTTGACGAGTCGTCTTGAACGGCTTAGGCGATCTGGGTGACTTGGGCAACTTTGGTGAGTCGGGTGCGATATCCAGTGAGAACCAGGACAAGGGGTTCTTGCTGCTGTACTTCTGAGGTGACTTGGGTGACTGGGGCGAACCAGGTGCAATACCCAGTGGGAACCAAGGCATCGGGCTCATAGTATTGAGCTCCTTGGGACGATTGTCTTCCTTGGTCTGCTTCTTAGAGCTATCGCCCTTCTTGTCATCACCGCCGTTGTTGTCGCCTCCGTTGTCATTGCTGTCGTCGTCGCTGCTGTCGCCACTTTCATCGCCATCGCTACCGTCAAGATCGCGGTGTCTGCTATCAGGGTACGGGTCAAAGACAGCGCAAAAGACCCAGGCCAGATAGATGACCAACACTCCAACGGTGCTCGCGCCCAAAGTGGTGATGAGACCGCTGTTATCTCTGAATAATTCTACAAAGTCATACCAGATAATGTCTGTCACAGAGAGAGCTGATCCCTCATGCAGAGGTGTGAATCCGAGGATATAGTTGTCGTAGTACTTGATTCCCAAGAAAGTCGACAAAGCAAGTGTGATCAAGAAGCGTGTCCACGAAGACTTGTTGACAGGTCTGACAACTTCCACTTGTTTGATCTGCACCTTGACATGCTTCTTGGCTTCTTCCTTGACTCGCTCCTTGACTTGTTCCTCGATCTGCTCCTCGACTTGCTTTTTGGAAGGTGCAGCTCGGTTCTTCTCGAGCTCAAGTGCTTTACGAGACTCCGCGTCCTGTTTCTTCCACTTCTTGGCCTCAGTCTCGGCGTCCTCAAGCTTCTTGGTGGCTTCCTTCTCAGCAGCCTTCAGTTTGTCTTCGACAGCCTTGACTGCTGCGAGTTGATCTCCGTTCGTCTTGATAGTCTTCGGATCTGCCAGGGCAAGCTGTGCCTTGGCCTCTTCATGCGCCTTCTTTTCCTTTTCGAGCTCGGCCTCCGTGTTTGTGAGCTGCGTACGAACGGGGTCGTAAAGAATCTTCAGAGCTGAGAGTTGTTCGTGAAGTTCTTTAACGCGCTTTTTGACCTCGTCGCAATCTTCTTGGTCCTTTAAGAAATCAAGCTCCTTCTGTGTTGCTTCGAGTCTCTCCTTGACGTCCTTACAAGGGTCTTCACCGCGCGGTCTTAGTATTTTGAATCCGGGTGTACCACTCAAATCGATGTTTGAGCCAGACATTGTGGGACGTGAGATCGAGTAAGACGAAGCATTTGAAGTAGGACTGGTGGCAGTAGGATTTCTAACAGTGGGGATAAAGCCAGGGTTTCGCAATTCCTCTGGTAGCTGCCAGAACGATCCGGGTGGATATGTGGGCGCCACATAGCCACGTGATGCAGGCTGTTGCTGGTTGACAGACCCAGGGTTTCGCACTGCCTCTGGTATCTGAGAGAATGCTCCCGGGATGTTGTTTGACGGGGTGTATTGATACTGCCCAATCAACGATGACAGCTCCGAATCTGTTCCTCGAACGCTCTGTGTAAGATCGATTCTGCGGCGATCCACGATGTCTGCAAGGATCGCAACTTCGGATTCAGCAGGAGGCAAGAACCCATTTTCAGCACGCCAGAGCGACAATTCGATGAGCGAAGGGTACTTGACCTTGTTCTTCTTAGCGATAGCTTGTCTCTGGGCGATGAAGTTGTGAACGTTGATGGATGCATTGACTCCAAACTTCATTTCCTTTTCGTTGAATTCGCCAAGGTAGAGTATCACATTAGGGTACTTGTGAAGAAACTTTGTCCATGCAGCGCTCAGAGCTTCTGGGGTCGCTGCTGTGGGACACATGATGATATCGTTGGCATCTACGCCCACTCGTAAAGCTTTAGCCCGGGGTGAGCTCAAATTGTTGGCACGGATACGATAGGTTCCTCCATGTACGCACTCTCGGGGCGTTTCCTGCACGTATTCTGATGGGTTCTTCAATAGAGATCCCCTTGCGGCTTTCCACTCATACTCGTGCTCACAGCAGACTTCGTTGGTCTGGAGTCTCTGGAAGAAGCCATCCCTGTATTGCGGGGGAATTCTAGGGGGAGGTGTTTGGGGATCGAATGCACCGGACCCGTTGAATGGCGAGTCCTCCGACGTTTCCGCAGGCTTGGAGGGGGCAGCAGACTTGGACTCCTCCACAGGCTTGGTCTCGATCTTCGAAGGACTGTTGCCCGCAGACTCAGGCGAATGTAGCCTGTTGACAAATTCTGCATACGACAGCTTGGTATCGTCTGTAGCCGGGTAGATAAAGGGGAGTGCAGGTGTCTGCTTGATCTTTGGACTCTTTGACTGTCTAGCATTGAGGTAATCGACCCATTCCGATGGCGTCTTCTGGATGGACGAGTTGATAGGTGTGCCATCATACGCATCGCCATGTGGAGGAGTGATCTGCCCAGGTGGGGTATGAGGCGACTCGACTCCTCTCTTAGCAATTGCCGAATTCTTGCCTATTTGTCCAGGGGGAGTACGAGGAGGCTCGACTCCTTCCTTGGCGCTTTCAGGGTTCTTGCCTGCCTGACCAGGAGGATCCTTGGGCCTGAATCCAGCGTCACTGGCTGAAGCTGTGGTGGCAGATCCGCGTTGGCCCTGAAGACTGTTCACATAGCTGCCCAAGTCGTCGAGTCCACCACTAAGACCAGTGCCTCCGAATGATATCTCAGCAGGGACAAAGAATCCAGCTTCATCAAATGGAGTATTACTGAAGAAAGTGTCATCAAGACGCTGTCCGGCGTAACTCGATGGGCCATATATGACAGAATTCAACGAACTGTTCGACTTGGGTTGTACGTTGAAAGACGGGTCAGAGAAGACATTTTCGGTGTAGTCCGGTCCTGCGCTTGATGCTGACCCATAGCCCTGTTGAGAAGCGAAGATTCCATTATCAGGTGTGTTGAATTCAATCAGATAATCTGGTGTTGGTGCGGGCCAGGGACCAGTTAGTTCGGGAGTGCTGAACAGACGTCCTGTTGAGAACTGCTGGGTAGTCGGTGCCCCTGTACCAGGTGCCCAATGAACGGAGTTTGTATTTGCAGACGCGGCTCTTTGTCCGGCTTGTGCAGCAGCTGAAGATGCACCCTTTTGTGCGGCCAACTGGGCAGCTGTTTGACTTGAACGTCTAGTAAACTCAACTCCGCCATTCTTCTGGAAGTCTTCGTAGGTAATTGTGGTACCACGTCGAGGTCCCGGAACACCAGCAATCTCCCAGAACTTGGTGTTCTCGACTTCCTTCCATTGTTCAGGTGTCCTCTTGTCGTTCTTCCAGTCGATGACAGTCTTGTTGCCTTGAAGTCGATCTTCAGCATCTTGAAGTCTGAACTTGGTCGCAAGAAGCTCGTCATTGACAGTCTTGCAAGGATCTCCGTTGTTGGTGGCGATCTTGTTTGAGGCTTCGGTAGCAGGCTTGTTCGCAGTGCCAACAGACTTCTTCGAATTGTCCGTAGCAGCCTTCGCTGGAGTGTCTGCTGCAGCCTTGTTTGCATTGTCAGCAGCGGCCTTGTCAGTAGTACCCTTAGGGACCTTGGTCGCGTTGTCCGCGTTGGCGTTGGTGTCATCCTTCTTAGGTTCCTCAGTCTCCTTGTACTTGAACTTCAGATCAGCAAGTCCCTTCTTGACATCCTTGCAAGGATCAATCTTAGGAGGTATTTCCACTTCAGAAGAATCTGGTAGCATTAGGTTGCTCTCTTCGACCTTGGCCTCTTTGATCTCGATTGGTTTCCTGCAGAATAACGAGTCTGTGATCCAGCAGGTGTAGATGAAGAAGAATGCAGCAACCAGTACGGGCCATGACCAAATCCAATCGTGGGGACCACGTTCGCGTCCGTAGACAGAGTCTATGAGAGCGTGTGCGTAACGGCTCTCACTGTCCAGTTGGTCGAGAACCACCATTGTGATGTAGAAGGATGGCAAGAACCATTCAGTGGTTGGGAACCTGACCACAGCTTCGGCGGCATCCGAGTACCAGTGTCGTTTGGCAAGTTTGGGGAGTTTCCACCTCAAACTCTCTCCCTCGTTGAACAGAGACGAGGGCTTGGGCTTAGGATGATGAGGCAGACGGTCCTTTGTAATGTACACTGGGGTTCCGTACAACTTCTCACTCTTTTCGAATGCTTCATCAAAGATCTTCTGCTTCTCTGGGGGCGGACAAGGCCAGAACTCATATATGAGCTTAGGAAGCGGAGGCTCCGGTTCCTTCGGCTCCTTCTTTTCTTCATCTCCGGCTGTCGTAGACTTGGATTCGGTTGTCTTGGAGGTGGAGTCGGCTGTCTTCGACTCGGAGCTGACTGCCTTGGAAGCAGGCTCACTTGTCTTGACTCCAGACTTCCTAGCCTCGTGGGCTTCCAAAATAGCCTTGTTGATTTTCTCGATGGCTTCGTCATCCTTTGCTTTCTTGAGCTTTATTGCTTCGGCTGAAGCTGTCTGAGACACATTCTTAGTGGCTGTCGAGGCGTTCTTGGCCGTCTCAGCCGGCTTCCAAAGACTCTTTACCGGTGTCTTCTTCTCGCCCTTTGTATCAGCTCTCCATCCGTCCCTCTCGGTGTAGAGTATGCTAAGCTGACTTCCCAGGAAATTGAGTTGTTTGCCCTTCTCAATCTTGTACTTGTGGAACTCGTCGTGCAAGTCAAGAAGTTTCTTCTTCTTCGAGTCATTCTCGTCTTGCAGTTCCTCCATGGGCGCATTAGGTCTTCTGAGTCTTTCGAGTCTCTTGTGAAGAGCAAGCATCTCTTCAGCATGTTGAGCTGCGACAATCTCCTTGCATTCGATGATGTTGGCTTGTCTACGATTGGCTAGATAGGCTTCGTTGAGAAGCTTGCGAACAGCGTGAGGTGAATCATCAACGACTCTCTCCAGCATGTTCTTTGCCTTTTGTAGATCCTTGTCTCTTCTACCCAGACGCTCTTCGCTTCTCAACAACTTCTCCTTGTACAGGGTGAGCATCTCGAAAGCATCACACTGCTTTTGAACATCCCTGAGTTGCTTCTTGTAGACGCCGCAAGGGTCGTCGTTAGCTATAGGTCTAGGTGCTGGAACTTCGTGAGAAGCCTTGGTCGGGCTGCCAGGAGCCGACTCAGCCCCAGGATCTTTGCGGAGCACAAATTTCTCAAACACGCTAAACACATCCTCGGTAAAAGTGTTCTGCTTTGGATGCTTGATCGGGGTTCCTGGCGTCTCAGGTGTTGGCATGATGTAAGTATCAATGAGTCCCTTGAGCTTTGTCTGTGCACCGATGAGCTCCATGATAGTATCCTTGCACTGATCGTCCTCTGGAGGAGGCAAGTGTCTATCGCCAGCAAGCTTGTAGGTATCCTTGGTGGTTTCAAGCTCGCCAATGCGATGTTGCAAATTTACAATCTTCACCGCACTTTCACGCAGTTGCTGAGAAAGTGACGCGATCTGTTCTTGAGGGTCATTTTTGTCGTTGTTGGTAGGTTGGTCTACAACCTTCGCCTTGGCGAGATCCTCTTGCAACTTCTTGGTGGTCTGCTTTTCCTGATCAAGGAGTTCTTGCAATTGCTTAGTCGACTTGACACACTCTGTTTTGGTGGCTTCAAGTTCCTCTCTGAGCTTTTTGCTATCATCGTTCGGACTTGTGACATTGCCGCCAGTGTTCTGTGCGCTAGCCTTGAGATTGACTTCACGAAGCTGCTTCCTCACTGTATCGAGCTGACCTGTATTGACTTTGAAGGCATCTTCCAGTTCCTTGTATTGACTCTTGACAGTCTTGAGCTCTGCCTTGACGTCCTTGCCAGAGTCGTTGATATCGGCTTGATCAGGGTTCTCATCAGGCGTGGTGCTTTTAAGAGCCTCCTTGAGCTTCTTCTCGCTGTCCTTGAACTGTGTGTGTAGACTTTCGTAGTCCTTGATCATTACGTCGACTTTCCAGTCGTGATCGGACTCGGCGTCCTCGAATTTCTTGGTGATGTTTTCAAGACGTTCCTTGGAAGTCTGCAGCTCTTGCTTGACTACCTTGCAAGGATCCTGGCCCTCGCCAGTTTGAAAGTCGTCATTGGCGTTGGCCTTAGCGAGAGCACCTTCAAGCTGACTCTTGGTGACAGCGTGAGCTTCACTTTCTTTCTCAAGGTCGTTCCTGACAGCTCCACAGCATTTAGGTGAGTTGTTTCCATGGAGGTACCCAATCACACCTTCCAGATCATACGCCTTCGTGATAAGAGCTTCCTTTTCAGAGACTAGCGTGGCGTTCTTCTCGCGAAGTTTCTGCAGCTCGCCAACATCTGCCTTCAGAAGTTCCAAGTGGTCGAGTCTGGCCTGAAGACCTATGTTGGTGGCTCTATCCAAGTCCTCTGCACTGACCTCCTCTCCGACTACCCAAACAGCGGCAGCGGTCTCGAAATCGTCAAGAAGCTTATGCATTTTCGCATTCTCTTCGCGAAGTTCCTTTCTCTCTTTGACAAGCTTACGATGGTTACTCTCAGTCTCGAAGGAGTCCCACATGTCCTCTTGTTGATCAAGAGGGACAGCAGCAAGCTTAGTAGCACCCCAAGAGCCACCCAGCGTCGTCTGAATCTTGTCAGTCAAAAGCTGTTGAGTTTTGACAAGTTCAACTTCGAGCTCCTTGATACGGTTGTTTTTCTGAGTTTGCTGCTCTGGACTGTTACCGGCAGAAGTGGGGGCCGTGGATGTTACGCTGGGTGATTGACCATTCAAACGGTCGACCTCGGTTTGGAGTCTGACAACTTCCTTGTTGGCAGTATCGGCACGGTCAGAGTAGGCAAAGACTCGGTGATCGAGGTGTCGAACCATGTCCTGCGCTGCCCTGAGCTTGATCTTAGTCTTTGTGTTCTCAGAACTGAGGTAGGCACAATCGTCACAACGAGCAGGTCTGGTGGGAATTGGTGTTTCTGAAGAGGCATCGCCCAACTGTCGTGTAAGCTCAGAGATCTTACTCTGAAGCTCAGCTTTCTCCCCATGTGCGAAGGCTTCGGCGGAGTTCATGGTGCGGATGACATCACTTTCTCTGGTTTCTTCGGCTCTTTTCAGCGCCAACTTGTGATTCTTCTTCAACTTCTCAATCTGTTTACGCATGACGCTACAGTTCGGACATGTAGGAGAGTTTGGCAATTGAGCGCTGTCGATCTCGTGGACTCGGTTGAGTTGCTCACTCTCCTCCCTAAGCTTGTTGAGTTCTGCCCAGTAGTCATGTACGGAGGGTTGGTAATCAATTGGACGGTCAATGACGCTATCATCGGCTGTTCCACCATAAGAAGGATCATCTCCGGCCATCTTCTTATTGAAGGAGGCCACAAGCTCTCGTTTCTCGTTCTCGAGCGTGCAAATCTTGGCCTCCAACTCCCTATGGGCGGTGATCTTGCATGTTTCTTCGCCAGTGATCGTAAGATCGCTGTCGGACATGACTTCATGGCGTACCTGCGCCATTTCACGTTCATAGTAGGCGACTTCCTCTCTTAGATCTGCCATGTCTGCTTCGAGGTCTGCTTCTCTGGTCTGCAGTACAATCAAGTCTTCGAGAGCGCCTGAAGGACTTCCGTGATGCTTCTCAAAGGTATCCATAGCCCTACGAGCCTTCTTGAGGTCATGTGCGTTTTGCTTGAGCTTCAATTGGTTCTGATGATCCCTTTGTGCAAGCTCGGAGGTCTTCTTCTCGGCCAGGTCACGGTCTGTCTCCGCCTTGTACAATCGCTTCTCCAGGACATCCAGGGTTCCGATGAGGCTGGCAAGACGGGTAACAAACTCTTCGCGGGAGATGGGCCTGCCCGAAAAGACGAAGGTGGAGAATACGTCGTAGTTACCATAACACAATCCCTGCTCGATGAGAGTACGCAAGATCTCGTCTTCAACACGGCCATCCAGGTAGATGCCGAGAGCGCGGATCTCATCGAAAATGTTGCGTACACCCATGTCTGCAGCAAGCCATGGGACGACGTGGTCTCTTGTGAGTTGTTCTGGGAGTCGAAGCTCGGGCACAGATTGGCCAAGTTCTGAATAAGTTTCACCAGTAGAGCGGCCGTGGATAGCCGATTCTGCGGGTTGGACGGACTCATCACCAGGCAGTCTGTTCTCGTTTATCACATTGACGATCAATTGTGCAATGTCTTCCCTGGTAGCAATTGGCCATGGTTGTCTCAAGGTCGCATAGTGAGCGAAAGACCAGACACGCTGGTCGTTTGCAGATTTGTACAGTTCTTTGAACCTCTTGCTCTTTTCTTCCGATTTGGACAGAAGATGCTCCAGTGTGGCAACCTTGCCTGCGAGCGATTTGTTTGACAGCTTTGTCGTCTCAAGCTCTCGTTCCAGGAGGTCGACCCTAGGCTCTGACTTCTCAGCAACCGAAGCGGCGACTGGAGCAGCGATTGTTACGGTAGCGTTTTGCATAGATTCCAGCTCAGAGACAGTATCATTCAACTCCTCGATCTGACCCCTGAGTCCGGCAAGTTCAAGGTCCGTCTGGACCTTGAGAGCTTTCAAGGTTGAATTTCGGTGTGCCAAGTGAGCAGTCTCCTTCTTGTGTTCTTCGTATGCCTTCGTGACTTTGCCACAGGCTTTTTGCTCATTCAGGAACCTCTGCACGGCTTTTTCGGCCTGCTTCTCGAAGAAGACGATCTGGTTGCGAAGCTGGGCGTTGTCGACGTTTAGTGCGAGGATCTGCTTCTCTTGTACTTGACTGACGTCGAGCATGGAACGCATTTTGGCCATGTTGTCGTTCATACTGATTTGCATGCCGCCCATTTCTGCGACGTCCTTCGAGACCTTGTCAAGACCTTCTTGTACCTCTGAAGGGAGTTGAGTTGGCGATGCGGTGATAGCTTCAACTAAAGATCCTTCGAAACGCTCTCCTTGGAGTATTTTAACCATCGCGTCGGCCTCTTTGACTTCGTTTTCCAGCTCCAAGACTCTCTTCTCGTATGCTACTTTGGCCACGGCAAGTTCAGATTTCATTCTCTCAACTTCATCTTGCATAGCCTCGCGTTCAGCGCGCACATCTGCAACACCCTCGGAGTCGATCGATAGCTTGTTTTGCCCCAAAACCTTGGACAGCGAGAGAACTCGGTCCTCCTGGACGCGCATGAAGTACCAGAGATCTTCAGGTTTCCACACACTTACGTTGTGGTGCTTGTTGACAGCTAGTCTTCTCAAGTCATTCTGAATGAGGCCGACTCTGCCAGCTCGTAGGGTTTGTTTAGCTTTGGCAGCCTCATCAGCTGAGGTAGATCGACGATGTCCCAAACTACCTGTCTCGACACGCCTGGAACTTGGGGCGGTGAGTCTGCCGGGGATATTGGGAGCATTGACATCCTCATCCTCTGCTTCAGCATCTGCTGACGACATGCCGAAGTTTGGTGTTCCAGGTCGTTCAGGAACTTGTGGTGGAGTATGCTTAGGCCCATCCTTGTTATAGGCTTCGGCAAGTTTCAGAATCTCCTGCAACTCGAAAGCCTCCGTAACAGCGTCTTGGGTGCTTTGCGGAAGAGACGATGCTCTGTCGACAGGAGACATGGGCCAATCGTTCTTCTCCGCACACTTCTTCAAGTCTGCGACAGCATTTGGGTCTGTGATGATCACTTTTACATCTGTAGGAGAAGTGACCTCGGCGTGGTCGTGATCGCGATCTATAGTGACATATTCGATGGCAAGAGGGCTTCTCTCTCCAGTCGCCTTTCGCTTAGCACCGCTAGGGAGTCCTTCCTGGCTGCGGCGGCGTTTCGCTGTAGATTTCTCGAGTTCTTTCTGATTTGCAACACGCGTGACGAAAGTGTTGGCAGGGGAGTGGGATCTAGAAGAGATTCTTGGACGCCCTCTTGATTCTTCGTCCGAGTCTGAATCAGAAAACTTGGAGGATGTTACACTTTGGTCGTCGTCTTCGTCTTCGTGGTCATTCTCGTTGTCGTAGTCGTCATCTTCTGGGGAAAATGACCGTCCAATGACTATGTCGCTGAGTCTGGATCTGTCGCTTGATGGAGAAAGGAGTGAATCCTCCTCAGTCTCAGCCTCGGTAGGTTGTCCAGAGAAGATGACAGAAGGCTCCTCATCCGTTCCGGCTTCTTCGAAATCAGAACGAACCTTGGGCAAAGCTACATCATCCTCGGTTTCGTGTTCAGCTTGAAGCGAATCTTCAGAAGACTCGGTGGCTTCGACTGTCTGCTCAGGCTCCGCAAGTGTGACACGAACGATGGGAGTAGGAGTTGTCGAATTTCGAGACTCCTGGCTGGGAGTTTGCTCTCTCGAGCCGGCGTTTAGGGACTGATCCCCTTCGTCCGTCATACTGTTATCAGTAACTTTTATTCAAAACAAGATTATACCTAATTTATCTCTCTTGTTCTTTTCTGAAGCAAAAGAAGAAGAAATGGAGTATTGAAGATAGGGACGAGAACAAGAATAGCATGCGGCACTATGGTGGATTCGGAATAAGCTGGTGTTAGTAGTGGCAGGATTTCCTCTTGTTCGGTTGAGAGAAGAAAGAGGTCGGGAGACCAGTGACTTAGCCTCCATTTGTGTTTGAAAGCGTGTTGTGTCGAAAACAGCCTTCATGAATATCCGCATCCGGATGTGTATGTGTTGAGCATGCACACAAAGAAGCGATGATGTGCGGGAGTGTTGTAGGGCACATTCGATACATACTCTCCCAGAAGGAGGCCTCATCCCAACTCGAGAGCCAACTCGATTATATCTTCACGTCGTCGAGGTCGACTGGTGAGGTGATCCATCGTCCAGCTTGAGAACATGGAGAGGGTGTGTTTAGGCACGATCGAGTCGCCAAGAACTGTCACCCAGGAGTAAGTGCTGACGAGGTCGAGGAATGTAATTGGAGTGCACAAAGGATTGTTCGTTGGCCGAATGCGGAGTTTCGAGAATCACGTCCGGTGCCATGCGTTGCAATTGATGCAGCCATGTCAGTAGACGTCCCGACTTGAGCCTCATAGCAAAGAGACAGAGACGACGAAAGAGATGACAATGGGTGCAAAGACAGAGAGAGACGCGAAATGGAGTGATTGTGTCGTCTGAGAAATATCGATCGTGCCTTCTTTGACTTTGAGACACGATCGCGTCTGGGAGCTCAGACCATATAGCCAGGGTGCTCTCCAAAACCATGATTACGACCCTTTCGTCGACCACTCACAGTCGTTGACAACATCAAATTGAGTGTGTTGATGTTTCAGGGCGCTCTCGCGATATATATTCACGATTCTGAGGGCCTACGGTTGCATAAATCGGCACCGTGGTAGACATTCAAGAGAGTCGTCGATCTGTGATTCGAGGCTTTGGCTGACCACACACTTTGAACGACAGACAATTCCGAGTTGACTTCTTCGCGGAAGCGGCAAAAGATGGTCAGGTGTCAGAACTGTCTATAGACATGACTAACGCAATCAGGCTTTGCCTTCAATTTCGTCGCACCTTCGTCTAACTTCCCCCTCCCATGTTCTATACTCTCTCCTTCTCCCTGTGCTCAACCAGTCAATCGAGTCTTGAAACATAGTACCCAAGCCTGACCTCAACCCAGCACCAGGTCTTGCTTCGTTCTCAGCCTCAGCCTCCGCATCTGCATCCTCCATTACAGTATCCATGTCTACATCTTTGCGTACTGGTCTCGGAGCGTGTTTCTCTTTCCTGTGAAGTGGTGTTTTGGCAGGAGCTTTGTTCTTCTTTGGTGTTTGTGCTTCTGGAACGGCCGAGGCGGTGGCAGCAGCTTTGACGGCGAGGAACCAGGGAAGTTGTAGCCAGCCTTCTGCTTTGCTGGCGTGGAGGAAGGCGTCGACATCTTGTGAGGCCGGCGCATTAGGTTCTAGTGCTTGGATGGCTGAAGAGCGAGCGGTAGCGTAGGTAGTGCCATCTATGACGCTGTTGCGAAGAGTGAAGGTCGTCACTAGGGAGATTGCACTGATGAGTGCCGGTAAAGAGTCCGGTGTGATTGTGTTTGGATCTTCTTGAGGCGCAATCTCCTCTGCATCTGTAGATGTTCGCTTCCTCTTCTTGGCAGACGATCGAGGTGTGGGCTTGCGGTCTTCGAGTCTCGTATCGTTCCAACCTCGTAGTTGTAAAATGGCAGAGACGGCTGCACAGATGTGTGATGTGGCTTGAGGCACGTCCAGAGTATCGCATATCGCTTCAGCCATAGGACGCACTTGCTCAGGTAGATTGCCTTCCGCCTCTTTCTCCTGCGTCTTCTTCTGTCGCTCTTCTTCCGAGTCGGCTGTTACAACCTCCTCTTCTACTTCTTTTGCCGCAGATCTTGTTGATCTCCTGCCTGATGCCGTGACACTTCCTGCACTCTTTGCAGCAGAGATGGGCGTCTTCGATGGAGTCACGCCAGCACTCTTGACACTCTTTACAGGCGTTTTCGATGGTGTCCCAACAGGCGTACCCAAAGCGCTTCTCCTCCCTCTACCACTCCCTGGTGTACCCACGGCTCCTACGTCTTTCAATCTGTTGGTCCTCGGCGTCGCTGGCACAGATAATGCAGCATCCAGATATCCATATAGCTTCTTGTAGATTCGTGGTGCGACGGGCGGTCTAGCGACAATCTTGTCGATATCTAGTCGGTGTCTAAGTCGCTCGACTGCTATGTGTGCGCATGCATATGTTCTTCCAATCTCTTCTTCCGCCTTGAGCGAAGATGCCCTGTTTCGTGATTGTGCGAGTAGTGATGTGGACAGGTCGATGAGTTCTTGCGGAAGTGTGTTGAGAGTTGGGACGAGGGTAATGAGTGCTTGTTGTATTGGTGTCGACATCTTGTTGCGTGTGGTATGGCGTATGATGACCGTCTCTACAACATTCAAGGAAGACGCGAAGACGCGAAGACTGAACCGAGGCTTGACGCGTGCACGTGCCCTCGTGAATCAATCATCCTTCCACAACCGGCCAATTTTACAACATTTCACAGAGGCATGAGGAATCTTGTTTCTTTGCTTTGTCTGTCAGAATGCAGACAGTAGTGCGCATGAACTAGAATCCCTCCAACTTTCCAGAATAATCTATACACCCAATATGACAGAACACTCTAGCGCTTGCCACCGGCAGCGAGCATCTCCTTTCTTCTCAACTTGTCTGCCGTTCTTTGAAGTGATGTTCTCATGTCTCCCTTCTTGAAGTCCTCAATGTTGTAGTACTTGGGTGCGATGTCCAATAACCACTCGGGACGAACTGATGTCACTGTACGGATGTAGTTCTTTGTTGTGAGAACAAACTCATTGTACAAGACCCACTCGCTGTCAGTACCCAGCACTGTCGAAGGGTGCAACAAGACAGTCTGCTCGTCCTTGACTGTAATGTACTGCTTCTTGCCAGAATCCTGCTTGGCGCACTGCATGAAGTAACCACAGACCAAGGCCTTGCGGATGTTCTCGTAGTACTTCTTGTCCTCGAACGGAGTTGACATGAGCTCAATCTCGTTGCGCTCCATGATTCTCTTGAGCTGCATGCGGACGTTGTCGGCCTGCTGGAGAGCGCGATATGACAAGAAGTGATCGTGGCACCATTGCTTGGGGTTGTCCTGTGCTGCTGGTGACTTGAAGGCGTGATAGACGTTGAGAATGGTAAGGTGGTCACCGTCGGGGTGTGCGAAGAGATCCTTCATCTCATCAGCACGCTTGCGAGCACTGTTTGGTCGCACAAAGACGTTCGGCACTGAGAGAAGCGCTGTGAGGGAGAGAATCTCGTTGGAGCAGTAGAATTCGGGCGATGAGATGAGCATGACTGCAAGAGCGGGGTCCAGAGGGAATTCTGAAGCCATACGACCAAGCTCGGTCAGTTCACCTTCGTCATCAAGACAAGCCAGGTAGTTGAGCTCTTCCAGAGCACGCATGAGAGTCTCAGGTGCGGGAGGGTCCATAAGATCGAAATGTACCAGATCATCGACTCCAAGCTTCTTCAATTCCAAGACTGTTGATGACAGGTTCGAGCGCAAGACTTCGGGGTATGACTGATCAATCAGCTCCTTTTTGAAAGCAGCCTCGGTGTAAAGACGGAAAGCCTTGCCGGGCTTGGTACGTCCAGCACGACCAGCACGCTGTTGAGCTGAAGCCTTCGAGATGGGCGAAACGAGCAGAGACTCGACTCTAATTCTAGGGTTGTAGACCTTTTGCTTGCTGAATCCGGGATCAATAACGTAGACAATGCCATCGATAGTGAGCGAAGTCTCGGCAATGTTTGTGGAGATGATGATCTTGCGACCAGGACGACCACCAGCGCGGAAAGGACCAGGGGCGGGATCGAAAATGCGTTGTTGTTGAGCAGGAGGCAGGGAACCGTACAGAGGGTAAACCTTCAGTGGGCCAGCATCTGCTTCTCTGATCATCTCGTCCGACTCCAACTGGATCTTTCTGCAGGCGTCTTCAATCTCCTCCTCACCAGTCAAGAAGAGCAGGATATCACCTTCGGGTTCGGTTGCGTGGATTTGGAGAACGGTGCGGATGGCGGCTTCGACGTAGTCTCTCTCGGGTTCGGCGGTGTAGAAGATCTCGACGGGGTGGGTACGACCGGGAACGGCGAGAAGAGGAGCGTCGTTGAAGTACTTCTGGAACTTCTCGGCATCGAGGGTGGCGGACATGATGATGATCTTCAAGTCGGGTCTGCGCTGGGCGACCTCCTTGAGAAGACCCATGAGAATATCGGTGGCCAGGGTACGCTCGTGAGCCTCATCGAGAATGATGGTGCTGTAGCGGCTGAGGTTGTGGTCGTTCATGGCCTCACGCAGAAGCATACCATCTGTCATGTACTTGAGGATGGTGTTTTGCGAAGTCATGTCCTCGAAACGAATGCTGTAACCGACTTCCTGACCAAGTGTGACATCCATCTCTTGAGCGACACGCTGGGCGACCGACATGGCGGCTACACGACGAGGCTGGGTACAAGCGACCATCTTGCCCTGCTGGTGAGGCAGATCATCGTAGAGGACGAATTGTGGGATCTGAGTAGTCTTTCCTGAACCCGTCTCACCAACGAAGACGAGGATCTGTGTTTGCTGAAACATTTGGAGGAACTCATTTCTGTGTGCCTGGTCAGTGAATTGCGCCGTGCGAGTCGAGGAGGACCACATACCTCTGTGCGTGGACAGGCAGATTTCTGCGAGTCTTCAAGATGCCAAAGTAGCGCTCGGAGAGGTTCTTGCCGTTGAAAGGGTTGGAGGGACCGTCCTCGGCCTTTGCGGCCAGAGCAGCAGTCGTTGCGTGGCGCTTGAAGTGCGTGAGGCCGTCGTGCGCACCACCGTTTGATCTTCCATTAGAGTAGCCGTTGTTCTCGCTGTGGTCCATGTGTGCCAGGTAGGGGTTGGAGGCGGGATCGGATTCCATCTTTTGACGTTTTGCGCGCGATTCGTCTCCGGATCTTCTGTCAGACATTCTGTCGTTTGACTCGTGGTGTCCTATATTTGACTCAAGTATGAAAGCGCCAATGGAATAAGAAGAGGTATGGCTGGACAATGGGTGCGACAAAAGCGATAAAGTGCTTGTCGTCGAAAAGTCAACAAGCAGATTCCCCAAAGAGTCGCCGCTTTGCTTGAAGCCAAAAAGTCCCTGCAACTCCATCATCGTTTGTCTTGGCGTTTCGCTCCTCCGCCCTCTTCGCGCCTTCCGCTCCGGTCACCTAGCCACAGGCTACCCTTTCACTGTCTTCCTAACCGTAGAGAGTATATACTCATAATATCTACTTTGTGTCGAGTCACTTGTTAACTTCCCGGATCTCTTACGCGTCGTTCTTGGCTGCGGTACAACTTTATGACTATATTAAGAGTGTTCAAGAATTGGTAGCGCATTACTCGCATTCGCGTTCCACCAAGCAAACGCACAGCCACCTGCGAGCTGTGCCCCTCCATCCTTCAGCCTCATATAAATCCGTCCCACCTTCGTCGTCATCATCATTGCTGTTTGAACTTCTCACACAACAATCATCAACATGGCGAACACCAAATTACTGCTGTGCCTCTGCCTAGCGGCAGTCTTGCTCTTCGCGACTCCCACTCATGCTTTCGGCGCCGGAAACATTGCTTCCATCTCAAAGATTGAAGGAAAGAATTGGCGTCATGGTGACATCGAAGATATGCTCAAGACTGTCGACTGTCTGAAGAAGCACAAATGGACTTCGATGATGATCAAAGTAGGTTTACTGTGATGATAAAGATCAAATTCCTTCATAGTTGACTCTTAATCACAGCGTGTGTACTTTGGTAACTGGCTTCGTGACTACAGCCAAGCTGTTGATGTCGGCACTCTCAAGGGCGTGCCTGCTAGCACCATTCGCATTCTTGTCTGGGTTCTTGCTTTCATGAGCTTTGGATATGCAACTGCCGAGTTTGAAGTTACCGACGAACGCCTTGGTGTCTATCGTCCTGAGGAGCATATTGACAACCCCAAGGATTATGCCGACAACCAAGATGCGAGACAATTCGATCAGCGTCTTCGTGGTCCTGTCCAGCCTGAGGAGCTTGCCATTGATCCTGAGACTGGTATGAAGAACTACATCGCAAACGAGCGCGGTGACTGGGCCACTTCTTCCGGTTACGTTAGATACAGTTTGAAGAGAGCTATCCACTACGGACGTGTCTACACTCATGGCAACAACAAGGGCGACGAGAAGGATCTTTGTGAGGCTCTTCGCTGTCTCGGTCAAGCACTCCACTGTATGGAAGACTTTGGCGCTCACACAAATTACACCGAGCTTGCCCTTCGTGAGCTCGGACATCGCAACGTCTTTGCTCATGTCGGTACCAATACCGAGATCAACCTTCGTGGCAAGCGAGTCTTCCCTCTGGTCACTGGAACCTTCGGTGGAGTCGACTTCATGCACTCTGTTCTTGGTGAGGCCACCGACCACGTCACTCAAAGCGAGGTTGATGAAATGCAAAGTGCCTTGAACAACGCTTCTGCTGATGGAAAGCGATCCGGCTCTGGTCCATCGGGCGAGGTATCCGGCCTGGTTAGCCTCCTGTCTAAGGTGCCTGGTACAAGTGGCCTTTGTCAGGAAGCTGTACGTCTGCAATCTGAGTCTGATCAGTACGCTGCTCAAAATGCTGGTGCAGGTGCTCGTGGCTTTGATGATGGCGGCTACAGTCAAGATCGCGCTTGGAACCCAGTCGCGTCTGCTAACAACACCGCCGATCCTCAAGCTATTGTTGCGAAGATCTACCCCATTCTTGTCTTCCGTGACAATGTCGTCCGCAGCATCAGCAACATTGTTTCTAAGATCCCAGGTCTGGAGAGTCTGATTGAGAAGATTACCGAAAAGGTTACATTGACCGTCATGGGCCTTCTTGCACCTTACATCACACCTCTGATTGCTGCTGCTTCAAACAGTCTCAAGCAAGGTAGCAGCAGTGTCGTTGATGCCAGTGGCAAGCACCAGTACGAAGTCTGGACCGACCCCTTCAGTACTGATCCTACTCACTCTCTGCTGTCCAAGGACCACTTCAGCAACATCTTGAACGAGCCCGCTGGAAAGGTCGCTGCTTGTATTCTGCAGTATGTTGCTCCTCGAGTCATCTATGCCTTCGACCACGTCGATGTGCCTGAAGATGAGGTTCTCAACGATGTCCTTCGCGCTTTCCATCATCCCGCTATTCGTGACCCTCACTGCGAGATTCAGAAGAGTATGTTCGCAGTTGTCGAGACTTGGTCTCACTCGCGTCACGATCTTGACAGAGTTTTGAGCTCTGAAAGTGTCAAGGCTGGACACAACCACACTGGCGGCTCTAACCCCCACCTTCACTCTCATGGTGGTCCAGAAGATATGCAAAACGTCTTCGGTATGGGTCAGCATGCCCAACATCCTCAACGCGGCATGGACGCGACCGGCACTCCCGAACAGCACATGCCTGCCTACGGCCAGCCTCCACATGCAGATCAACAGGCGGGATATGGTGCACCTCCACCTGCGGACTACAATCAGCAATATCAGCAGCCTTATCAGCAACCCGCTCCTGCAGGTTTCGCCAACAATGACCCTCACGCATATCCTAGTGCCTACCAACAAGGTTACGAGATGCCATATGATGGCTCAGCACCTTATGGAGCGCCCCCACCTGGACCACCACAGCAGTACGGCGGTCAGTACGGAGCTCCACCTTCTGGCCCACCTCCACCTGGCCAGTACGGTGGGTATGATCAACAGCAGCAAGGCCCAGGACATGGTCCACATCCTCCACCTGGATACGGTGGGAGTCAGTCCTCGGGATATTACCAAGGAGGTGGCTACTGAATGGAGATTCTTTGATGATCAGATGATTGACAATAGAAGTTAATTCTGCTAATAATGCCAAAGTTCCGCAAGCAATAGTCACAATCAAATCTTTCATATAAAAGCACGCCTCCACCTCATATCACTCTCACTGATATCAAATCTGCTTCTTTCTATTTGGAGAGCACTCCTAGCTTCACCAAGCATTCTATTGTTCTGGGAGCGAAGGTCTAACAAGATCTTTGCATCGCGGATGTTCGACCGCAACATCCGACGACGCGACACGGGTCGATGAATCGTGGGCTCCCCAGGCGATTCGCAGGTATCGTGAAAGGGGCTGTATGCAACGGAAAGAGCTAGGGCAGTGGCGTAGCGGGAGTATTGAGGATTGTTGACCCGGAGCGCCTCTTTGGCTCACTGTATAGCATATAATCGGTGAGATGAAGTTGCAGCACAGGTCGATGACCCGCGTGCACTCTCCAAGACTTACAGCTAGAGATGTATGGAGTACACAGACCAGAGAAATCGAGTCCGGTAATGTTGCAAGAGTGTGGGAGAGCCGTGGACCCAGATCTCGTCTTCGGCTCACGACCTATCCCGTGAATAGTTTGTGGGCTAAGATGACTTGCCCCTCGGATGTTGTCTAACACATATTGTTATGCCTTTCGTCAATATCATCTTTCGATGTGGCCTCATAATCATGGCACGGGTCGGTAAACACTACATATATTGCCGGCTCTCGCTTGTCGAGGAGTTGCGCGTTTGTACTAGAAGCATCGGGTCTGACAGCACTGTGAGGTTATTTGGGGAGTCGTCGACCCGAGACGCTGCTTCGACTCGCTGTGCACCCCATGGATGGGTCGAGACGACTCGACATCGAATAGTGGATGTTGGGATCTTCCTTCTTGCCCTGTGTTTATCTTCTTGCGACGGTTGATCTGATTAGTTTGCGGACAAGTTGGCTTTTATACATTTAGGATTCGCGTAGGAATTGTTGTATTGATCTGCATAGGGACTGTCAAGTTTGTACCTAAGATACTGTGCTGCCTGTAGCTGACTTGTCAAGGATCATCATGAAGACTGGCTCTTGCTTACTTTGTAGGTTGGAGCAACTTTACACAGCCCTTGATGATACTTGCAAGTCGTCCACCACCGACATTCTCCAAGCCTGCCATGATCTCTTGCTCTCCTCTACAGCAAATCCACCATTGCACCAAAGCGACAAAGACAAAGTCCACATACTGCGGCTCCTTCCCTCCAAACGCAAAGACACCATCCCCTTCCTTCTCCAAGCCGTCATAGAACTCCAGGACCGGCACCACAGCTTCCTCGACATGTGCTTGCAGCCCCTTTTCCTTCTCCTCCTCAAGCACTTGCTCACGCAGCTTCTCCAAATTACCCATGTCAGGCTCACGAGTACGAACAAAATACGCCGCACCCCTCTGATCCAAAAACAGCGGTACAAAAGCCTTGACGCGTGGTCCCAGTTTCAAACTTCTAGCAACTGGTCTCATAACCTCCTTCTCGAACTTTCTCACCGCATCTCTAGACTTCTGTCCTTGTGGGAAAAGTTTCTTGTCGTAATCGGAGGATATAGAAGCCAGTTTATCAGCGATAGCTCCAGACCCCATTATTGTGCCGTCGGAGAAAGTGACGGCGGGAAGGGTGTATTGGATTTCCTCGTCTTTGTCCTCGGGTGCTGGAACGACGCCTAGAGGTGGGAGGACAGAAGCAATGTCTGGGTATGAGATCTCATTGTGCCTGTACGTGATTTCTAGAAAGTTTAGGCAGAGAGCTGTTCGGGCCGTAAAAGGAGACCAGGCAGAAGGCCATTTCTGTGATGTCAGGTCGTGAAAGATGAGCTCGGAAGACATGGTTGATTGGTTTCAATCTGTGTGAATAACTTTGAGCCGGGTTGAGTTATATAGAGGTCCGGTTCGTTGTCAGGGTCGAGTTGTTCATTGACGTGGGGAGTCGAGTGGGGTTGTAGGACGTTGTGTAAGCTTACTAATCTTGTATACCGCCAAATGAGGAAGCTGCTATCAAGGCAGCAATACGTACTGCGCGACAAGGCAGTCGCGATGGGCTTTTACGCTGGTCAAACCTGCAGCATGCGAAAATGTGCACGCGTGCGCGGAATACAAAACTACCACAGGAACGACCAACAAGTCTGGCTTGAACATCGAAAGACGATCCCAAGTCAATCGGGGAGTAATACGAGCTATACATGATATTTCGCTTCCTTGTCGAAGACGCTGGTGTGAAGCAATCCTTCTACGCTGCCATAAGCGAGTCCAGCTCTCCCTGCCTTTCTCTAAACGTGCCTTGTGCTTCCCTCTCACGTCTAGCGACGACATTAACCTCATCTCTGATCTTCTCCAATCGTTCGTTCAACCCAGCCTCTTCAGCAGCGGCAGCGATTCTCTTGACATCAACATCAATACTCGTCTTTGCCAAGAAGTCCGCAGCTTCGCTAATCTTCTGCCGTAGGGCTTTCGATCTCATCATGTAACCTGTGTGTAATTTGACGAGTTTCTTCTCTAGCGTGTTGCCTTGTTCTGCGGAAGCAATGATGCGGGACTGAATATTCTGAGAAGGAAGTTAGTACGTGGAAGTCTAGAATGGTAAAGAAGACTTACATCAAAGGCTTCGGTCATGAGTTGGTGCTCATCAACCTCGTCTTCTGCGTAGCCGGCGAGTCCAGGGAGCATGCCTCTTTCGTGAGCCTTTTCCCATTCTGCACCAAAGCCTTCTGCAAGCAATGCGCGTCCTCTTTCGTCTTTGCCCATTTCCAGAGCAATTTCGAGGCGTGCGTGTTGGACTTGCTCGTCTGAGAAGGATTGTGTGGGTTTGGGAGCACCTCTGACCTTGGCTTTGCCAAATTTGAGTGCATCACTTGCAATAAGCAGCGCCATTTCGCTGTTGATGCTGCTCTTGATCGGATCCTGATCGTCGGCGGCGGTCTTTAGCATTGCATCAACATCGACTACACTTGGTCGTGGTAGTCCTCGTTGGATGACCTGCGATTGACGCTTGAATTCTGCTCTTGCTAGAGCTTGCTGTGCCTCCCTATTCCTGGCGTCGCGACGTGCGGCATCTTCCTCGCTCATCTCGACGTCGGGAGCAGTTTCCTGTTGTTCTTCGGGTAGCTCCAACTCAAAGTCCATCTCTTTCGGCTTGGGAAGGGCAGAAAGCTTGCTCTTGATGTCGTTACGAAGAGCATTTTGTTGTAGGCGGAGGTCTCTCGGTGTTTGTGCAACCATCTGCATACCATCGCCGGTATTCAGTCCGTATGTGTCGCGAGGTGTGCGTAAAGGAGTGGCACCAGGACCACGTGGTGTTGCGGCAATACCATTCTGACGGAACGGAGTAGCCATAGGGTTCGGTGTAGCGGTGGCTTGCTTGCTGGGAGCGACCCCACCAAATCCAGTAGTAGCTTCACCTTCGTAGAGCTCATTGTTGTCGCCTCCTAGCAGGGCAGACTGTGTTTCTGTTCTTGCTCTGGCGTTGCGGATCTCGTTGGCGATGCGGTCCTCCTCTTGAGGTGCACGTGGCGTGCGAAGTGGTGTGGATCCAACAACGTCCGAGTAGTTTCCAATCAAGGCGCGTGTGGCTTCGTTGTCGTTCTGACCGGCTTGAACGTTTGCTCGTTCTCCAACCATACCCATCTTGACAATCTCGTCCAACTCTCCTTCGCTGATCTGAGGGGCAGGTAACACGAGACCGCGACGTCTGCTGCTGCGTTCAGCCTCGCGCAACTTCTGTTCCCTCCCAGCCTTTGCAGCTGCAGCGAAAGCAGCTTGATTTCCGCCCTTGTCATTCTTTTGGCGCTTGCGATCTTCGGGGTTGTCGTCCTGATCTCCTTGTCGTTTACGTTGTAGCTGTTGCTTGCGCGGGTCGAAGGCATCGCGCTCGCGCTCATTTGTGGTAATCTCCTCTCCAGTATCGTAGAAACCAGGAGCAGGCGCCTTCTCAAAAGGAATGTCTGCATTGTAGTCCATTTGACCCTTCTTTTTTGTGACAACCTTGATGTTGATACCGGCATTCTTCAACTCGCGTCTCTTCTGCAGCACAGCCAGACGTCTTGATTCCTCAAGTTGTCTTTCTCTTGCCTTTCTCTTTGCCTTCTTTCCCTGAGTATTGGCCAGACGTGCACGAGCTTCGCTCAGCATTTCCTTCTCATCCTCGTCCATGTCAATCGTGTCAGGGCGAGCGGGCTTGCTTTCCGGATCGGGGTCCATCTCGCCAGGGCGGAGTTTGCGCACATCCTCCGCTGATGGCGCAGCTGCTTCTCCTCCAGATGGACCTCCAAGACCGAATTCATCGCTCTCACGCGACTCTGCGTCGTCGAGCAGTTTTTGGTAGCGCTCCAGACATTGTGTGGCAGTCCTTCCGACGATGGGTGCGATAGTGCGCCATTGCGTTGGCATCAATTTGGCAAGATGTAGAAGCTTCTCGTCCTCGTCTTTGGTCCACTCGATCTTTCGGATTCCAGGATCCAGCCATTCAGACCAGCGAGCCTTGCACTGTTTTGGAGTTTTGCGCGCAAGCAACGAAGAGACTCGCGCCCATTGTTGAAGTCCATATTTGGACACTGCCGCCTTGAGAATTTCATCCTCGATGTTGGTCCAGACTCCTCCTTTGACGACAGGCATATTGGCGACTGTACAGACTGTGGCTGTCGAGACAGCAAAATAATGTTCACTTTGGTGCTGTAGACAGCCAGTCGCGACTTGAAGATTGCCAAGCTCCGCGCGCCAATCACGTGTAGATAGCCTAACTGGGCTTAGTTGGATGGCCTGCTTGTGACGTCGTTGAAACTCTGCGAGATGGCTCTTGAAAATAATGGATGGAGATGCGATTTCACTCACTGCAACCACATTCAAGAAACATGTTGTCACAGTCAATCAGACCATCGTATAGAGCTCTCTCGCAACTTCATCTCCTGCAAGCATCAGCTGCAAGCCAGGCTCGTCAAGCTAGCTCAAACTCTAAATCTGGATCTTCGAATAACCAACAGCAGGATGTGAGTCTATCAAAATCATTGTCATCTCATGCAATCTGACAAAAGCAGAGTCAGAAGGAAACAGTCCCACAAGCTGATTTTGAGCAGCCGCAAAAGAGGCGCAAGACCCAAGCCGAATTGGATGACGAGCTTCGTCAGAAAATGGCTGGCATGGCTGGTGATGGCGGCGATGCTGGTGTCGAATTCGAGGATGGTCAGCCTGTCTCCATGAAGAGATCAGTCAAGAACAACATGTTTCGCTACATCTGAGTGACCATCAGCTTCGTTATGCCAGCCTGTCTTGCCCATCCTTCTTACCTTCAAGGCGAGGGCTGCCGTCAGTCGACGACAGCATTGGAGACATCTTATGACTAGACATACGCATGCCAGGTCATGCTTTTGTATAGAATTGATCGAGGAAGCACAGAGCTTCTCACAACACGGGTCGCTCTCCAAGACGGAGCAGCAAGACCGGAAGGACGCATGGTCTGGCTCCATCTATTGTTGCAACCACACCATTCGGCAAAGCAGATGACATCAGGAGCATGACCATCGTATCAATATTCCTGCATCGCTGACACAGGACTTGGCTTTGGTGCATTATGAGCATTGCTCGAGCAGGTCGGAGACGTGCATATTCATGGTAGATGAGAACGTTCACACTCAAGAAAGCCATCAACCATTGACGCCTGAGCACAATTCGCCATGGGAAACATGTCATGGCGGAATTGACCAATTATATGCGAATGCTATCTCCTCGCAATTCTTCCCACGCTTAGTTGTGTTCACGTCAATTGGATTTTACAAATATCGAGCCTCAACTTTATCGACCAAATCGAAGATCAATATTCTCCGCATTTGCCGCGGAGACGGCGGCTTGTTGCTTCATCTGTCAAGATTGTGATGGACAACACACGCGCACAGAACCTTATGTTAATTGAAATGACAATCCTCGCGACAAAGCTTCAAGACAATGGCATAGTACTTCTGTATCAGCAGATTGTGGTCAAGTAGCATTGGTGGCCGAATGGAGCACAACATTTAGCTCCCGCTTATCCCCAGACAGTACGTCACTGATATTGCCGTGCTACGCGGAACCCGTGTCCGTGTCTCTCGAGAAGCATTCGCACGACACCTGTAGTTTACCATTAGCCTCAGGAACTGGTGACCTATTCCAAATGAACGATGGGTCTCAGGGAAACATCGACGTCACGTCTCGAGCTTGTAGCTATGAGCTATAAGTACAGCACCAGCTGCGATCGCTTTGATCAACACTTCACCTACGAACCATGACTGCATTGACTTTCCTCGCTCTCGCCGGCTTAGCCGCTGCTGATTATACCAGCCAATTTGGTGGTGCCATTCCCGCTGGACTTTGCGCACCCAACACTGCTGGCTTCACGAACCCTACAATCCAGCCCTCTCGCGGTGGTGCTGCTATCTGTGTTTCTGGAGATGTTGCCGTTCAAGCCTCTGCACAAAATGTCAAGTTCAACTTCAACATTCCTGCCAACGAATCGGAAGTCACGGATACTTTCCTGAAGTACATTACTTCGGGCTCGACATTCGCTCAGAGCATCATGGGAGGTATGCAGACTATCTCCGGCAACTACACCATTGGCGCGACTCTCTGTATGCCTGCAAATGGCACCATTCCCAGCTCTGTGCAGCTTCTCACTCACGGAATTGGATTCGATCGCTACTACTGGGACTTCGCCCCAGGCTACAGCTACGTTGACTATGCCGTTGAGCAAGGCTACGCCACCTTCAGTTATGACCGTCTTGGTGTTGGCAAGTCTGCTACTCCCGATCCGATTCAAGTAGTCCAAGGACCTCTTGAGGCCAGCATTGCCAACCAGCTCGCCTTGTCTCTTCGCAACTCCGCCTTTGCCAACGCAAACTTTTCCACTGTGATCGGTGTTGGTCACAGTTTCGGTAGTGCGATCACTCAATCAGTCACGCACAACCACCCCTCCACCTTTGACGCTGCCATTCTGACCGGATTCTCTGGCAATCAAACCGCTATCGCCGCCTTCGTCACCGCTTTGAACCTCCAGATCGCTTCCCAGAACCAGCCTTACAGATTCTCCGGCCTCAACAACGGTTACCTCGTCGATTACTCGGCGGTAAGCAATCAATACGGTTTCTTCCGCTCTCCCAACTTCGATCCTGCAATCCTCGCCGCTGGAGAAGCAGCAAAGGGAACTGTCACATTCGGAGAACTCTTCACCCAAGCTGCCATCGCTGGTGTTGCAAGCAATTTCACTGGGCCTGTTGCTATTGTCAACGGTGACGCTGATCTCCCCTTTTGTTTCGGAAACTGCAGTTACCCTATGAATCTTGCTCAGGCTGCTGTTACCATGCTGTACCCTGCTGCTTCGGCTACTGGCAACTACTTGGCTCCTTTGACTGGTCATGGCGTAAACTTGCACTACACTGCTCTGGACGCTTACAAATACATTGGCAGCTTCCTCAAGCAGAACAGATACTAGATGTGGGAGGAAAGAGACAAGTGAAATGTAATGTTTAGTGTTTAGCGAAATTGTGTAGAACTGAATACAACCGTATTAATTTCCGAAGTGGTCTCTCCCAAATACAAAACCGGCAGTCTTCTTTGACTAATTCGAACCCACCTTTGTCTTGTGAGCTGTACGGTGATAACTTTTCAGGTTGCAGCTCACAGATCAACAAATGCGGAGTGAAACACTAGATAGGAGTTCCGTAGGCGCGCGCTTAGACATATCGTACAACACAGCCCCCGTCGCCCTAATTCTTCGTCTCGCGTCAACATCCTTCCAATCTCCATCTCGTACCTACAAATCACTACCCTAAACAATGACCAACCCTCTACCTCATAGTCTCCCTCGGTGGAACCCCAGCCGGCGACCACCACGCCCTCTACCTCCCCACGCCCAACTCCTACCACCTCAACATCACCCTCATCGCCTCTCCCTTCTAACGGCACAATCTTCCAAGCCACAGGCACAAGAGCCACCTGTATGACCTACGACAAAAGGCCTCAACTCGGTGCTCCTGAAAGCGCACTCGACTTTCTCGAGAAAAGGCTGCTAGGATGACTGACTATCGGGGAGGAGGCTTTGGGTGAGATTCGCGAAAATGGGGTGCTGGCGGAGAAACAAGATGATGGGTTTAAGGGGATTAATAAGGGGAAGAAGTTGAGGAGGTGTCAGGAATGATGGTTGGGGTTTTGAGGGAGAGGGGGCTGCTTGTCGAGTGAGAGGGGATGGCATGTCTTGCTGTTTTTCTTGCTCCCTCGTGGCCTTGTCAAAGGCTTCCGGTGATACTGGAGTTTTGGACAATGTCTGCGATTCCACCTTGAGCATCTGCGAACATGAGGTAATTGCAAAAAGTCGTGATTGAGAAGTGTGTCTTACACATTACACAGGGCTCTGAATAGTGACAACATGATAAGCTTCATAGAGCAGCTTCAAACAACAGCCGCAGCCAAGTCCTTCTTGAACCTCTCGGTAGCCCTCTTCTTGCTCTCCGAGAAATCCACATGAGGCTTCGGGTATCCAAGCTTTTCAAACTCTGCCTTACTCAATCTTCCATATGGATCAAAGATATCCTTACCCTTCAAGTTTTTCAGCTCGGGAACCCATTTCCTGATGTATTCACCCTCCTTGTCGCATTTTTCTGCCTGAGCAATGGGGTTGAAGACTGTGTATGAAGGCTCCCAACCTTGTGTGTTGTTTGAGAGATCCCAATCAATCAGATGAGTAGCAAAGTATCTCTCTCCTCTGCGGTAGTCAATTAACAGGTTCGCGGTCAAATAGGAACTTGTGTTCATCCTGAGACGGTTGTGCATATAAGCCTCCGTATTCAGCTGGCGCATTCCTGCGTCGACCCACGGAACACCAGTCTTGCCTTGACACCACTTTTCCCAGCCTTCTTCATCGTCTTCCCAGTGTACATTGTCGAACTTAAGATTCTGGGGTAGATTCATTGCGTTGTGAGGGATGGCGACGAGGACTTGGCGGTAGAATTCGCGGAAAACAATTTCGCGGACCCAAGATGCTACGCCCGCATCATTTTCGTCAAAGTGCTTGTTGTCGTTGAATTTCTTTGCGTGGGAGAGAGCTTCACGGACACTGATCACGCCGGCTGAGAAGTAAGCCGAGAGGCGGGAAGATGGGTCTCCGGCTGGCTCTGAGCGCTTGTCGGCGTAATCGGAGACTTTGTCGTTGAGAAACTGCTTGAGGCGGTTTATGCCAGCTTCATGGCCTGCGGGCCAGAGAGAGCGAATACGTTGACGTTCTTCGTCGTCGATAAAGTCCTTGTTTTCTTGTAGCGAGGGGAGCTTGGAGTCGAACAGTTTCTTGAACTTGTCCGCTGCTGACTTGTCGTTGGCTTCAGGAGGGCTGATGAGCTCAAGATGGGAGGGATCATGTTTGGTCTCGACAAGCCAGGCCTTGTGATAGGGTGTAAAGACCTTCATGGGTGTGCCGCTGCCAGTCTTGAGAAGTCCAGGCTCGAGAACCGTTTGATCGTGCAGAAGCTCAAAGGAAACATCCTTCTCTTTTTTCATGTGATGTGCAACTTTGATGTCGCGGCGGATCTCGTCAATTTCGTACTCGTAGTTTCCGTAGACGTGTGAGATGTCGTTGTCCTTTATGAACTCAATGACCTTGTCTGTCTTTTCCGCTCTTTCCTCTGCCGTCACAATGGCCATCGGGATATTCTTCTCTTGCAACTCCTTCTGCAGCAACTTGAGTGACTCCAGCAAAAAGTCAGATCTAGCAGGACTTGTGCCGTGCCATTCCAAGTCCTTGGGGCTGTGGAGGTACATGGTAATCAAGCTTCCATCACCCTCCTTGGCCTTTTGCGATGCAGCATAAAGTGCGCGGTTGTCGTGAGCTCTAACATCCTTAGATCTGAACCAATGCAAGACATTGCGAACCGTATGGTCGGTCTTTTGCTCGGAGATGGCCTTCTGTAGCGCTTCGAAAGGCGAGTGCTCGTCAATCTGCTTTGCACGCTTTGGCGAAGGATGTTTCAGATCCTCGTTGTAGATGGCTGAGTGATCGCTAGGGTGAGCATCGTGAGGCTGCGAGCGTTTCGACATGTTTGCAACAGAGGTTTTGAAGAGTCGAGAGATGAACAATTGCTTCGGGGAGAGAAACTGAGGTCTTCCCCCTCTTAAGAATGACGAGTAGGCTCGATTCGAGTAAACACAACCAGTAGTGGCATGGAAACGCTTCCTGAACAGAGTCTTCGACGTCATCTTCATGATCGAGCGCCCGATTGGTCCTCTTGGGGAAAGGCAGGGATGCGAGAAGGAGACGAGTGTGTGATGTGCTGTGTTCTACTCGTAGGAAGCCCATCGACATACAACCTAACAGGCAGCGCAACACCTCTAACACCTCTTACGCCTACATCCCACATCCTGTCGAGTCTTGATCATCTCGAAATCATCATCACAACGTGTTTATCTCGTGCAGGAAGATCAAGAGCCCTAAAATGGTCGTGGCTGAACTTTCCCGACAAAGATCGATCGATGCGTCATCGTGCACTGACTAAATCTTATCCCGCCAAGAGAACTGCTCGAGGGACTGAGCTCTTCCGATATGAAGCTCCGACTATCTCAACACTTGTGCACGTCGTCAGGATTCGATATGGCGTGCTCTTGCGAATGGTGCTTTAACGTAGCTCAAGGATGCAAGGCATCGCTAGCACTTCCTGCCTCGACAAGTACGCATTACGGCGCATCAATTGAGCAGAATCGGCTCTCACGGCACCAGAAGCATGTTCGAAGAAAGTCGACTCAGCATCCGCTGCTGATAGCTTGGATCCGCGTATCTTATCAGAAACTCATTGATATTAGACCAGACTCCCAAGGCATGAACGTACGTCTTGAGAGGCACGTAAACGTAACTTGATTGCACATAAGCATCTAGGCGAACAAAGTCCCCGTGCTCTCCGCCTGTACCTGCCGAGAATGTTAACGTATAGCACTCGGCCTATCTACCACCTGTAGTATAATCAAGGCTACATACTCACGAGCCAGTTTTTTGACCGATTCTGGGTTGTGGACCGGAGTTGTCTGAAAGACAATCTCAGCTATGCGCGTCTGTATCTTGCATGCATATCCATGCCCTGTTGCTTCGGATAGCAAGACATGACATGGTAGGGCTCATTGATCCTCAGAAGTCGTATCGTTGGTTGGGATGTCGCAAGCGCCGCTAGTTATCGCACGCAATGATACCAGCCAGACCAGTGGAATTTTCCCTATATGTGATCAGAGGTGAGGCCAGGCATGCCATTCGGCTACTTATATAGAAGGAAGCCCTCCTGTCTTCGTCGGACATGTTTCATCATTCTCTCTAGTACAATTTTCCCAGGATCATTCGCAAACGGTCGTACGACAATGTCGAGCTCAGCGATTGGCCAAGTGCCACTTGAGATCTCCCACCTCGATCAGGATTTGAAGGCAAAAAGCAATGTCGAGACGTACGCGACCGATATTGAAGCAGACAACAGTAGTGATTCGGATCATGGAGCTAGCAAACTTTTAGACGGAGAGGAGAGAAGGGAGATCGTGCCAACTGAGGCCTTCAAGTGGAGTGTCGATGGAGATCAATCACCATGTTCGTGCTTTTCTAATCTCCAATTGAACAGAAAGCCTAACATCGATTGTAGTTCCGGAAGTCGCAGCTTGCGTACCCAACACAGACGATCCCAGAACTCTTTGCAATAGTGAGCTGACTGGATCATGCATCTGGAACATGACTGACCATTCTCCAGCTTTCAGAGCATGGTTTCTCTTGACCGTGTTCGTGATAGTCTTCGCAGGGGCTAACCAGTTCTTCGGACTTCGTTACCCTTCCTTGTCCATCGGTTATGTCGTTGCTCAACTTCTTGTTTTCCCCATCGGTCGTGCATGGGAGAAGCTACCTCGATGGCGACTTCCTCTGGGACGATTTTCGTTCGACATCAATCCGGGAAAGTTTACCATCAAAGAACATGCTTTGATTGTTATTGTCTGTCCCGACCATCATCTATCCTGAGCTTGATTTGTACTGACTTTACTCAAGTGTGTTAACATCTCAACTCAGCTAGCTTATGCAACAGGCAGTCTGGTCGCCATCACTAGTCCTGTCTTTTGGGGCCAGGACTTCGGCGCAGGCTTCAGCTTCCTTTTCCTGCTCTCCACACAGATGATCGGGTAAGCCGGGAGATGATCCAGCTCTCTCCATACTCTATACTGACATCACATGTAGCTTCGGTCTCGCCGGTCTCTCTCGTCGTTGGCTAGTCTACCCAGCCGCTCTCATCTGGCCGTCCAGTTTAGCCAGTACCGTGCTCTTCCGAGCACTTCACGAACCAGAGAAGCCTACTTCAGCAAACGGCTGGACAATCACTAGGTACCGCTTCTTTGCATACTTTACCATCTTCGCTTTCGTGATCTTCTGGTTCCCAGACTATATTTGGACGAGCTTGAGTACTTTTGCATTCATTACTTGGATCTTCCCTCATAGTCAGAAGGTCAACACAATTTTTGGCGTAAGTGGCTGATATAGACGTTCAGCTCGAGGGGAATGCTGACCGTGCCTCAAGATGAACTCTGGTCTAGGACTGTTGCCGATATCCTTCGACTGGACGCAAATCAACTATGCTGGTACGCCACTCACGACACCTTTCTACATTACCTGCAACGCCTTCGCTGTTGTTGTCTTGTTCTATTTATTCCTTTCGCCTATCCTCTACTATACCAATGTCTGGAACAGTGCCTAGTATGTGATTTTCTATCCGCGGAAGTGTCCAATGCTAATTATTCAGTCTACCACTACTCTCTTCAAGCACATTCGACAATACTGGAAAGGCTTACAACGTCACTCGTGTCGTCAATGCTCACCTGGATTTTGACCTTGCCGAGTACAAGAAGTACTCGCCAATGTACATTTCGATGTCATATTCACTATCATATGCACTCTCTTTCGCAGCCGTCACAGCAATTGTGGTGCACACATACCTCTACAACGGTGCTGAGATATGGGCAAAATTTAAGAACTCACGACATGGCGGTGAGGATATTCACAAGCGTCTCATGCGTCCTTATAAAGAGGTACCTGATTGGTGGTATGGTGTACTCACTGTCATCGTCCTCGGACTTGGCATCTTGACTGTAAGGAATTGGGACACCGGTCTTCCTGTATACGGCTTCATCTTCGTCTGCTTCGGCATGGGAGTGATTTTGATCGTCCCGGAAGGTATTCTGGAGGGCACAACTAACCAAAGAATCTTCCTCAATATTATCACCGAGCTTATTGCTGGTTATGCTTGGCCGGGCAAGCCTATCGCCAACATGATGGTCAAGATGTAAGTGCTTCGCTCATGGCATCCCCGACATTGCTGACTGGCATTCTCAGGTACGGATACAACAGTGTCAAACATGGTCTTGACTTTGCCATGGATCTGAAGCTCGGACAGTATATGGTATGTCTCTGCTATGCACCCTGAGATGACACATCATTGACCATCTACACAGAAAATCCCACCTCGAGTCTTATTCGTCGGACAAATTTACTCTTCCATCCTAGCAACCGCAGTCCAAGTCGGAGGTAAGCCAAAGACTCCTCCCAAAATCCCACCTCTTACTAAGAAAACCCACAGTACTCCGCTGGATGATGACCAACATAACTGACCTCTGCTCCCCCAAAAACACCCAACGCTTCACCTGCAACGGCTCAAAAGTAGTCTACAACGCCTCCATAATCTGGGGCACCATAGGTCCCCAACGAATGTTCCAACACGGTCAAGTCTACTCGGCATTGATGTATTTCTTCGCTCTGGGTCCCATCGTCACTATTGCAATTTACCTCCTCTACCGCCGCTACCCAACCTCTTGGATAAAATACGTCAATATACCAATCTTCTTCAACGCTGCTGGAAACATTCCTCCTGCGAATACTACACAATACTCTCTCTGGTTTATCGTGGGTTTTTTGTTCAACTTTTTAATCAGGAAAAAGGCATTCGAGTGGTGGAAGAGGTATAATTATCTTTTGCAGAGTGCAATGGATACGGGCACTGCGGTGGCGACGATTGTTATTTTCTTTGCGCTGAGTTATCATGGGATTAAATTCAACTGGTGGGGAAATACAGTGGGTGGAGATACTGATGACGCGAACTCGGTGCCTTGGTTGAAAGTTGCTAAAGGAGAGCATTTTGGCAAGGGACCTGGTGAGTTTTGACGAACGGGAAAAGGCCGGGGGCATAGATTCGGCAGATAGAGTAGTTTTGATAGATGAATTTCTTTCATTACAAACCCAGACTCAGGTTCCTGGCAAGGTCTCCTTCTTAGAGGAATAGAGTTTGTTTGTTCTTTTTCCCTCCTTTCCCTAAAACGCCTAGAGAAACAAAACTTGAGATTTTTTCTGCGATTGTGGCAAGAATGCATCATCGCGATGACAAAATGTGCCATAAAAGTACAATGTTTGAGAACAGAAAAAGAAGAAGAATTAGCAGGGTCAAGAATTAGGGTGTTCGGTTGTGCAAAAAAAATGCAAGACGGAAGATAAAAAAGAAAAATTGTAAAAAGAATGAAGAAGAAGAGGCAAAAGACAGAAGGGGGCCTATAAAAAGGAAGTAGGAAGAAATATCAGAACGAATATAGGTAAGAGTGTGAAAAAGAGGATTATAGGTGCGACTTGGCACCCTTGATAATCAATAAAGGTCTTGGAACTTCAACAGAACTTTCGTCATCTCAAAAGTCTTTTCTTAGTTGACAGGCTCTTCCTCTTCCCAGCCAGGCAGACCGCGGTCAGCGGAAATGGCCAAGCCGTAAGAGTTGTTGTTGCCAAAGCCACCGAGTCCTGCGCCAAGTCCGGCAAAGGTCTGTTGATGGGTATGCTGAGGTTGAGGCTGCGAAAAGACAGGCAGACTAACAGTGCGAGAGTGTTGGCTTCTTGAAGCGCTGTTCTGGCTAGACTGCATACCGTTACCACCAACGTTGCCACCACCAAAGCCGTTCGAGAGTCCATTGCTCAAGTTGACGGAGTGAGTGGCGTGGTGACCAAAGTGCGAGGGCGCTTCAAGAGCGGTAGATCGCGTAGGCATGTTGGAGTCTCCGCTGTAGAAGGCTTGCTGGGTGGTCATCTGTGGTTGCTGCTGCTGCTGTTGCTGTTGTTGCGGCTGTGACAGGCTCATCTGTGCGAACTGAGGGCTAATATCGTTGGGCGAAGATGAGGGTTGAGACTGCACTTGCGAGGCAGCGGCGAGGTACATTGCCAGAGGGTTGTTGGCTCCAGCGTTGAGAATAGTCGAAGCGGTGGGTCCCTGAAGAGGGTTGTAGTTGTTCGATGCGCCAGCGCTGGGGGAGATGGAGTTCTGGCCGCGCATGCCACTCACAGGGCTGGGCGATTGTGTGCCTTCTTGCTGAGATTGTCCCTGGCCGTTTGCGACGACTTGACGAGGAGCATTTCCACAACGATCCTTGCCGAAGTTGACCTTGAATCGCTTGTACTCGTCCTTGCTGCGGACAGCCTCAATGGCCTTGATGGCGTTGGCAATGTTTGTGAAGTTCACGAAAGCACAGCTCTTCTCACGCAAGGTGTTGACCAACTCGATTTCACCATATTCGGAAAAGTCCTGGCGAAGACGCTCCTCGGTCCAGGTCTCGTCGAGGTTGCCAACGTATACGTTACGCGAGGCACCACCACTGACTGCAAGAGCAATGGCAGGAGGGAGAGCTCCAGAGTGCTTACCCCAACCGATCTTCAAACGTCTGTTGTGGATCATCAGACCTTGGATGTTGGAAAGAGCGAAGAATGAAGCAGCAGAGGTAGGGTCGATGAAAGTGACGAAGCAAATGTGCTTGTCGGGAATGTAACGGATGTGGTGCAAAAGACCACCTCTGACGACATTGCAAATCTCCTCGATAGTAGTCTCGGGGTGAATGTTACCCAGGTATACAGTGCGGTTGCCCAAGTTGTTGACACCACCAGCAGTGGTTGCGACGGCAGCAGCAGCAACGGATTGCTGAGCCAAAGCATTTGAGATGAGATCGCGATCAGCATTGTTTAGGACGTGTGCATAACCGGGAGCGATTCCAAGATATTGAGCAGCGTTCTGCTGTTGTGTCTTTGAAACATAAGCGCAACGGTCCTTGCCGTAGTATACGCGTCGCGGAGGCTGCCATTTGAGCTCTTGGGGCAATTGAGAGACGGCCTTGATAGCGTTACCAATGGAGAGGAAGTGAACGAAACCGATAGCCTTTTCTCTGACAATCTTGACCGTGTCGATGGGACCGTACTTGGAAAGGTCTTCTCTCAGCTCATCCTCAGAGACTTCTTCTGGCAGGTTGCCAAGGTAGACATTGCGAGATGCGCCTGACTGCTGAACAGCAAGAGCGACCGAAGTAGGGACCGAAGAGGGCTTGCCCCAACCAATCTTGATGTCCTGACCCTTGATGCACAGCTTCTTCAAGATGGCGTCCGAGTGGAAGTGTGTGGCCGAGCTTCCATCGAGGAAGGAGATGAAGGCACAGTTCTTGTCGGGCAAAAGACGGACCGACTCAATCTGGCCGCTACGGACGTGGCTGAGAATTTCTTCGGCAGATGTGTCCGAAGGTATGTTTCCGAGATAGACGGTTCTGCTAGAGCTCGACATCAAGCCAGGAGCAATACCCAGAGGAGCAGTCGACAGGCCATTGAGCGACTGGCTGTTCAGGGGGTTGTAGCCAAGGGTGGGAGACTGAGGTCCTTGGTACATCTGAGCGTGCATCTGAGGAGGCGACATCATGCCGCCGTACATAGGGGGAGACATGGACATGGCCTGGTTCTGGTGGCTCTGGTACTGGTTGTGCTGCTGCTGACGCTGAGGCTGCTGAGGGAAGCTGGAGAAGCTATTGAAGCCTGGAGAAGCAAAGGCCGATGGCGACTGAGGCTGGAAAGGGCTGCCAATCAAGAGGTTGGAAGGAAGAAGAGGAGTGAAGTTCATGTCGAGGGCAGTGCCAGGCGTCTGCTCAGGCTGGGAGTTCATGTTGGACATGCGGCCAGTGTTTATGGAGGGGATGTTTGTTCGGTGACGGTCCGAGTAGCTAGAAATAGAGGGCTGGTTGGTGGTGAAGGCGCTGTGAGAGAAGCCCAGGTTGTCGTTGCTCATGCCCAGAGTCGAGAAGGACTGGGATGGCCGATGGAACTTGGGCTGGCCTGAGGGAGCTTCCGACACTTGCATTTCCTAGGCTGGACGGGACGGGGAACTCGCGAGTTCTACTAGGATGCCGTCGCTGACCGGCTTGGACGTGGACGGGGACGTGGACGGGGACGTGGACGTGGATGGGCTAGGTCTGCGGCAGGGCGGCGTAATTAAAAAAGGATATATGTTCCAGGGTTATCCAAATGGGCAGGTCGTATATACAGCTGGAGCAAATGCGTGTCCTCCTCTTAATGTCGTGGGATTGTCCTTGTATCAGATTGAGAAATGCTGGTCAGGACTCAAGCCAAGGGGAGATGACGAACGAGGGGCGCGATTAAAGGCAGTCGTATCAACGAAGGGAAGCTGCTGCAAAGCGAAGGTAAAGGGTGCGAAAGAAGAAAGGCGAAAGAATGCGAAGCGAGTGACTAGACGAGACGTCGAATTAATCGAGCAGGGCGTGAAGAAGAAAGAGGGCCAGGAAGAGCGAGAGAGACGACGGCGGTTGAGCGCGATGCTCAAACCACCCGGCATGCTAGCCCAAAGGAAATTACATTGATCACACACGGGCCTCGCACTTGCCCAGCGCTTCAGCAATCGCCCTACAAGCCAGACTCGACCTGCCAAAAGGCTCCGATAAGATGGAGCACAGTGTGCGAGGCCTGCCCAAGTAGCCCGCACTGTACAACACCGCTCCCATCGAACTCCCACTCAGACAACGCCATCTTTTGTGTTACCGCGACCGTTGATACTCTGAGCGAACGATCGTCAGGCACAGAGAAAAACATCCGTGCAAGACCCCCACTTATTAAGCCTCACCACCTAACTCTGTTTTCTAGAAGGCCCAAACGTCCTGCAAAGCACATGTGCTGAACAAGAAAGGGGTCTGTCTATTCTTGCATATTGTTATACAGCCTCCTGCCTGCATGCACCAGCGACTCGCCCTTTGACCTCGATTCGTGTGTCGCGTGTGTGCTCGTCCCGACGAAATCCTCGCGAAAGCCTATCTCCTCTTCCTCAGGAACAAGCAAGCAAATTGCCTGCCATCACAATCCCACACGGCTCAGTGCCAATCAATTACACCATCCTCATCCCTTTTTTTTTCTCACACATTTGCGAGAAGTTCATCACCACATTCACAACTCGCAATTCGTTTCTTAATATAACAACATGAGAATGCTTTCGTGCTAGTCCACTTTTCTGTTTCACGTGGCTTTCGGGACGCGCTTTCTGGCCAGATCAGGGTTTGATGTCAAGACACTGATCTGCCCGTCTCCCGGCCGAGTTTGACATCTTGATAATCTCACGCACGCATTCTCAAAGGAGCAATATGATGGTTCATTCTGTATTCATTGCATCACAGCGCAAAAGCTGCTTCGTCAAAAGCTATCAAGTTCACATATGCTGCTGAGCTCAAAGCAAGTTATTGCCACGCTTTTCCTCCCCGGCGAATTCCTGCGCCGCTTTTTCATGCCTCCCTCGCTATGCTTCCTGAGGATAAAATACTTGTACATGCTCCATGCCAGAATTCCCAAATAATAATACGCCTTGATGCGAACATGATCCATCGTCTATTTGCCATACTTAGTTCCCTGTCTGGTTGTAGGCTTTCCCTTTGCGACAACTTTGGCGACGCCCTTCGCTTCCTTCTTGCCCTTCTTCTCCTTGGGCTTCGGCTGTTCAGAATGCAGATGACCATGCTTCTCGATAGCTGTCAGGTTTCTCCACCTGAGGCAGCGCTGACTGGATGCCTCGACGTCGACGTATGTCTTCTTTCTGGTTGACACACGTGTGACGGGTTCATCATCTACATCGTCTTGGTTGATGCTGTCGAGATGCGTCTTGAGCGTGCGCATCTGGTCGGTGATTGGCTCTTGCCAAGCAGTCATCTCCTTGCGCAGTGCCTTCTCTCTGACTCCACGATCGTCGAACCAGCTTAGCAGTAAAATGATAGTCTCGGGCTCGTCGTAGTAGCCCCACTCGTTGGCGGTTCGTAGGCTGGTAGAGCCTTCTTCTTTGGTCTTGCGATCAGGAACAGAGATTCCGTGGTCTTGGATGTAGGTGCGTTGCAGATCTTCGGGCAGATCGATGAAGCCCAAGCGCTCCATCTCATCGGGGCCTTGGACCCAGATGCGCCCATTGGCGTACCCATATTCACCGGTGCTGCCATCGGTAAGGCCAGTGAAAGGCATACCGTTGCGCTCAAACCAATAGTAGCGATTCCAGAATCTATCTCTTCCAAGTACCTTGGTGCGCTGACAGTTAGCCTCACGGAGATCATCGTCGCAAATGGCAATCTCCTTCTCGCGTTTCGAAATGTCGACCTTGAGCTTGTCAATGTCTTTCAGTAGTTTAGTAAACTCCTTGGACTGCTTCGGGTTGGTCTTTGCTCTCTTCTCCTCGCGCAGCTTCTCGCGTCGAGCAGTGTCTTCGTCACGCTTACGCTTTCGCTCGTTGCCACGTCGGAGGGAACGGCCACCTTCTTCGTCCATGTCTGATGTCGCGAGGTCCACAGTATCCATGGTATCATCGACATGGCTCATGCTAATGTCCATAGGATCAGCTTGCTCCTCTTTGGGCGAATCCGGGAGGTTGTCGGGCAACAGAATCTTCTTCTGTGTTTCGAGGTCGTTGAGCTTTGCGACGCTGTACAACGATTAGCTGGTAACTCTTCGCTTTTGAGGGGTGTACATACAACTCCTTCTTCGCTTTTTGATGCTCGAGCTTTTCCTTGCGAATTCTGGTCTGTTCCTCGCTCATCTCCTCGAGGTATTTCCTTACGGCTTTTGTGCTGACACAAAGCAGGGTGATTAGCTGCAACGCAGAGATGCGAAGATTAATGTCTAGTCGAATATAGTTGATCCGAACACTCTCCTGGCTGGGATCTTCTTCAAGTGGCACGAGCTTGGATAATACCTTGTCGCATTCAGACTTTTGACGAGGGTTTAACGAGAGCTGATGGAGCAAACCTGCCATGATTGTTTGCCAGCCTCCATGGGCAAAGTCACGAGCCTTGAGTCGATCCACCCAGCTATAAGATGCCAGTAGTTCAGCTGTGCGATGCGGGCGATGGCGGCCTTCTGCGGGTGTTCTGCTGGATCTGCCATTTGACTCTTCCGGCTCAACGTTACTAATGTTGCTCATGCGGCTTCTAGTTGCGTGTGCAGGTGCGTCCATAATAGGGGTGGCTGGCTCGCTCTCGTCCATCTCTTCGTCTGAAGACTCGTCTTCAATCATGTCCGGGAGAGTGACTTGGAGAGTGCCTTCGTCGTTGACAATCGTCTTCAGCACTGCGCAATGTGCTTCTTCGAGTAGCTCGCAGGTCACATCATCCGAGGTGAATTTCATCGCCTCCACAAAGTCGTCAAATGTGAAGGCATCTAGTGAAAGTACCTCAGAATGTACGTTGAGCGTATTCCAGATCTCCAGTAAAGGACCGACATAATCCATCTTGAGTTCGCCCTCGGCTGGGCTTTGCGATGTGATGAACTTCAGATCAGGACGAACAATATCGGTCTTTCTTGCTGGGACGTCCAGATCATCGATAGGGTACTTGATGGGTGGAGGGACAGCTTTTTGCGGCTCTGCCTTGATGGCTGCGGTTTGGTATCCAGGAAACTTGGAGCCATTGAGAGGTGGGGTCGTGTATCCTTGCGGCGAACCGTCTGCCTCAAAGTCTCCAACAGTGAGATTCTTTCCTTTACGGCCGTTGACCTTGTTGAAGATTGATGTGCCATGTGGTTGGCGAGGCATGCCGGGCTGGGGTGAGGCTTGCATGCGTTGGGCGAGGTGGGGAGGGATCTCCATGGGCAGTCTGTATTGTCTTGCGAGATGCTCCTTGACCAGCCACGGTGCACCAGTGAACATGTCTCGCTGTATCGAACTCTTAAGGAAGGATCTCAGATTTTGCTTGGTGAAGAGTCTGCGGCTTCTCTTGATGCACTTGCCGTCCAGAAGTGCTTCGTCGCCTTGTTCGTTGTTGAGCTTGACAAAGTAACGAGAAAAGGCTTCGCGCTGGATGGAGCCATCGGGGTTAAGTAGTTGAGGGAACTTGGCCTTCTCGCGGATCACGCCCTCGTACACCTCGCCGCTGTCGAGGGTGACGCCTACTTCCTCGCCGGGAAAGTAGTCATTGCGGAATTCCTGTAGAGATTAGAGGCTGTGTGGGAGATGGTGTGGGTACGATACGTACGTCGTAGACGAAAGAGACCAGCTCATCTATGCGAGAGATGTCGGAGAATTGGACCTTTCTCAGAATGGGATCGCGGAGGGCGTCGGGGAATATCTTGTCAATGTCGCTGGAGCTGTTGTTCTGTGTGATTGTGAGCTTCTAGCCTGTCCAACATGGCGAGAGTATTGCATACCTCTGAGTCGATAGCGGCGAAGAAGGTCAGACCGGACTTGCCATTGACGGCATCTGTGAACTTTTTCTATAGCGGTGGTCAGGACGTAGTTCTTGCAGGTGTTGTTCTCTCGGGTCTAGCGTACTCGGTTGCAGAACTCGAAGCTGCAGTCATGTTAGTCTAGGGGTATGCAAAGAGGGACAGGAAGCAGCAGCGTACCGTGAGAGATAGGATTCGTAGTCTGTAAAGACTTCTCCCGACTTGGGCATGACCCAGACCTATGATGCTTTCAGTCAGGACATCTGCATAGATGAGATCAGACGAGTCGACCGACCTCGGTATTGTTGTCGACTTTGGCAGGTACCGGCGTCATTGTCACCGGCTTTCGTTTGTAGAGAACCTATGAGATGGTAAGTCGAGCCCAGCTTGCACGTGCTATAGTCTGAGAATGGCGAACCATGTTGATGTGTTGAGGGAGGGTGATTCGGGCTTCGAGCCGGACAAGTGGGACGCGAAGAGCGAGTGAGCCGGGATGGCGTAGACACGGTGGGGTGTCTGTCTCTAGTGGTGATCAAGTCGCATGCGAAGCTGAAGCCAATTGCTTGATCAATTAACGCGTGGTTTATGCTCGGATGTCATACGACGTCTGCGGATGGAAGGTCGCGTAGAAAGTGCGTGTCGGTGGACGAGGAAGATATTGCTGCGGCAGACGCGGGTACTACGCGCAATAAATTACGAACGAGGCTTCAGAAGTCGGAGAGGGTCTGCGGGGAGAGTGGCTGAGAGAATGCTGAGGAGTGTGTATCCGTTGGTGACAACTCAGTGTGACGGCCGGCGAGAGGGAAGGAGGAGGAGCGAGGGAGCAAAGCTTTGCAAGTGGAAGGAGGTCATGACCTGTGAAGAGCCGTCGTGGGGAAGGCACAATGAGCTGCCCTTGACTTCCTAGTATTTGGTCGCGTTCGACCAGCCAGCCTACGGGAACTAGTCGGCCCGTGGTTAGTCTCTTTCTCTTCGCGACGCCCAGCACGCTTTTCCATGCTCCGTCATATCCTCGTTGCTCGACAGTGACCCTGCGCATTGCCACTTCGACGACTACTGCGATATTTGGACTCATTCTGGTCGCGTAATCCGTAAAAAGTCGCTAGTCATACTCGTAGAGTACCAAATTACCGCTCTGATTTTCTAGCGAGCGATATCATAATCAATACTCTGGTCGCACTGTCTACTAAATCTCCTTTCACTTTGCGTCCCACGACAGGCCACTTACTTCCCGAACTATACCCACCAGCATCGTTCGTGAAAACTTCACCATATCGCACTACTATGCGGCTTCATCTTTTATGATATATTAAATCCTACGTGGAGCACTCCATAGATCGTTGACGTGATGTGCCTTCACCGAGCTTCCATCCCAATTGAGGTCGCATCCGTGCAAACAACACAATTTCTGCAGTTTTTGAGGGAATGATTGACAGGACTATCCAAAGACGATTCACTTTCCTGTCAGATATAATTGTTGTCTAGAAGATCTATGACGTGAAATACACAATCAAGAAACTGATCCAACTCGACACCACTCCCATTGCACAGTAAGCACTGGTGAACATGAGCGGTAGGAACTCATACTTCGCACCGAAAACCAGCGGATGCACCAGTGAGCAATACGCGATGAGCGGGATTGAAACAGCAATGTACACGAACGAGAAGCGATCAAGCAAGAACACTCTCTGTCTAGAAGAGCTGCATCGACCATTAGTATATTCATCTTACGTCCCGTTTGGTGAGGCTGAACTTACGCAGGCGCGAGCTGATCGAATGCCATTAGCAAAGCCACCAGCCAGAAGATGGTGTAAACCGTCTTGATGGGAAACTCCTGGGCTGTGAAGAGTAGTGGGAACAGCGAGACGTGGCCAGAGACCGCAAGAGGTCTGAACGCCCCGAGATATCTTCGGTCCTTGAGTGCAACCAAACTGAATGGAATAATGACCAACAGGATCGCTTTTTCGTGGACGTGCCAACCGAACAAGAATGATGCATAGCCACAGAGAGTAAGCGCACCAACAAAAGTATCCCAAGTCGGTCGGAAGAAGAGCTTTACTAGAGCCGGCTATGTCCAAATCAGTCAAAGAACCATTTACTTCATGTTGATTTGACTGACCATCTGGGCTGCCAGAGTCAGGACAAAAGTCATCCTTGGTGAGATTTCTGGAAGCACGGCGAACGAAGTGTCTCCAACAAGTCCACGTGTGACACTGTTGATAGCCTCTCGGTTGACCGAAAGACTGAAGTAGGGTGCCACTATCTGTGTCAGTAGTTGATCAATGTCCAATGAAGGGTCACTTACGGTAGATCAAGATTCTATCAGCAAAGGAGTACAACGCCCACACGTTTGGAGCCCAATAAGCATGGCAAAGTCCTCGAGAAAAGGGGAACAGGCGACTCAGAAGCTGATCTATCTGGTTCCAGTATACAAAAGGTCCGAACGCGAGTCCAAAGACGAATACAATTCCAAGTCCAAGTTTAACGCAATTGGCGAAACGTATGCTGAACCATGATCGTGGATCGAGGCAGTATACACGTAGTAAGAAGACGAAGTATGCCGGTGCCAAGTAGAGATAGATGTGCTTAAAGCAAAGCAACACAGCGAATGTGATACCACTAGCCAGCAGTCCTGATTGCCTACGTGCTAAGACGATGGACAGAATGAGGATGCCGTACATGAAGCCGTTGTACTGGAAGTGGATGTGGTCAATGATGAGAAGACCAGGAGAGAGAAGAATCGAAATAGCAGCCGCGTGAGATGTCTTTTTGGCCGTAATGGGCGCACCGCGAACAAATCTGCCTTTTTAGCTTCTGGACATCTAAAACGGATACAGCAACAACTTACAGGCGAAGTGCATATAGCAGCACCAGCTCAGTCAAGATCACTGTAGCTCTCTGGAAGTAGACTGTCTGCCAACTAGAGTGTCCTAGGTTCTTCACTTGAAGCATATCGTTGTCAAAAAAGCCAGCCGCTTGTGACATTGTCCATTCGAACGCTGCGAAAAACGGGGGATAGTCGAGAGTCCATTCTGACGTTTTCTGAAATCACGATTAACCCTTGATCCAGACGGCAATTATACACAACGACCGACCTCATAGTACCAGTCTTTGACAGGCAAAGAGTTGGTTATAGCCAGCCAATTGCGATGCACTTCGAAGTCTGTCGACTTGCTGCTTTCGAATTAAGGGGTTGTTTTACAGATCGAGCGAACTTGCTTACTATGCGGGCCATAGCAGAATCTTGAACGCTGTGGCAACAATCGCACATTGCGTGAGCGAAGGATACAGCTCCGACATATTCGCTTGGTCTTGTCAAGTCTACTTGTCCAAGTTGACCTTTTCTAACACCATGAGGCTCTGTCAATAGAATGGCCAGATCTCTATCACGTGAAATTCCCGGCTTCCGATGATGGAGTCAGACGCGCCAAAGACGCGTGGTAGCATTGACGCGCTTGGCTTTACCGAACCAGATAACCGCCGAGACTCGGCGACGTCTTAGAGTGACGGCTGCCGTTTTCCGATTGTCCTAATCCTCCTCACAACTTATGATGGCATCTCTGTACACCCTGGGAGGACGCGCTTTCCTCAGACATGTGTCCTATCTACATAGAGTATCATCTCGCTCTGCTCGACAGAACATGTAGATGCACGCCGCCAAGATGGATCGGCGTTTCAGGGGAGTCAGAAACACGAGAGTAAGTGCAGTCTGGATGAACATCCTTCGCTGGAACTGTTTCTTCGAAATATCCGACCACAGCCCCGACCGAGAGCTGTATTTCTTTGTGTGTATTCTATATCGTCACTGTCAATTCCATCCTTATCCACTTCCCATTCATCAACGCTCTATTTCGTTTTCTGCTTTACCACTGCATTTTTTTCACCATGATCTCCATCTCACGCCGATGGATCCTTACCTGCATCTTGATCTGTATAGCATTATCACTCGTCTTCAACTTTCTCGAACATGATTCATGGACACCGCCACCGCCTCCTCCGCCGATGGAGAACCCTCCTCTACCGCCAGACTTCAGCTGGAAGAACTTGCCCCGACAGTGGCCATTGAACTCGTCAATGATCCCGCTACCGAGCGGACCACCAGCTCAGATACCAACAATCCAGTACACATTCGGCAAGGAGACACCTGTGGAAAGATTCAAGAGGCAGAAGAGACTGGCAGCTGTCAAGAACAGCTTCAAGCACTCATGGAATGGATACAAGAAGAATGCTTGGTTGCAAGATGAGGTTCGCCCATTGTCTGGAGGATACAAGAACGGTTTCGGAGGTTGGGGAGCAACGCTGGTCGACTCCCTGGATACTCTCTGGATCATGGACATGAAGAAGGAATTCGAGGTTGCTGTCAACGCGTTGAAACACCTTGACTTCAATATGTCTCCATCGCCGTCGATAAGTGTGTTTGAAACGACCATCCGCTACGTCGGCGGTCTTCTGAGTGCATACGATCTCAGCGATGAGAAGCATCCGATCTTGCTGGAAAAGGCGACTGAACTTGGCGACATGCTGTATGCCTCGTTTGACACACCCAATGCGATGCCCGTAGTTGGACACTGGAACTGGCTGAAGTGAGTGTTGTGTGTGATGCTGCCCGGAGGTCCTGGCTTACATTCTGTAGGGCTGCAAAAGGAGACTTGCAAACAGCGCCCTCAAACGCTCTTTCTGCTGACATAGGGTCTCTTTCCCTTGAGTTTACCCGATTGACACAGCTCACCGGAGATCCCAAGTATTACGATGCTGTACAAAGAATCATGATCGCATTCGAACAATCACAGAACTCAACACGACTTCCTGGAATGTGGCCAGTCTCTTTAGATGCTCGCAAGTTGGACTTTACCAATGACCGGATATTCACACTTGGTGCTATGGCCGACTCGCTCTACGAGTATTTTCCAAAGGTTCGCTTGCTTAGTCTGTGGAAATCGCAGCACGATAACTAACAACAACAGCAATTTCTCCTTCTCAATGGCAGGGACAAGCAGACCCAAAACATGTATGAACAGAGTATGGCTGTGGCAAAAGAACACCTGTTCTACAGACCACTCAACCCTCAGAACCTCGACATCCTCATTTCTGGCTCCACAAGACAGATTGGTGCAAGCTATGACCGGAAGAATGAAGGCCAGCACCTGACGTGCTTTGTCGGAGGTATGGTCGCTCTGGGCGCAAAAATCTTCAACGCCCCAGAAGATCTCAATACAGCAAGACAACTTACCGATGGTTGCGTTTGGGCATACGAGGCAACCCCGAGTGGAATGATGCCTGAAATTTTCGAAGCCATTCCCTGCACCGATGACGAAGACTGCAAGTGGACCGAAGAAAGATGGCACAAAGGCCTCGTACTGGCTGTTCACCGAGTCCTTGACACCGCCACGAGATCTTTGAAAGAACAAGCGCAAGCACTCATCGAGAGATCAAGACTTCCGCTCGGTTTCGCCAAGATCGTCGACTCTCGCTACTACCTCCGTCCAGAAGCCATTGAATCGGTCTTTTACATGTACAGAATCACTGGCGACAAGTCATGGCAGGACAAGGCATGGCGTATGTTCCAAGCCATTGATTCGCACGCCAAGACAGATATTGCGTATGCCGTCGTGCAAGATGTGCGTGACGAGCAATCACAATTAACAGACACCATGGAGAGTTTCTGGACAGGAGAGACACTCAAATACTTTTACCTCATCTTCAGCGAGCCAGATCTTGTGAGCTTGGATACCTGGGTATTGAACACAGAGGCTCATCCTCTGCGCAGGCCGCAGATTTGAGTAACACAATAGACCTAACTGCATATATTACACCTGGGATTGGATTTCATAGAAAAGGCACTCGATAGGACAGTACCTCTACCGAGTACATCCATCACTTTTCCCTTGGATGCACGGAGCACAATTATGATTATTCGATTGACCAATCAGATATCTTCTAGCCAGTCGACCAATCCCCACTTGCATCTTCACGCCAAAGACCTGTTTGCTCTGTCTTTCACTAGAAAGTGAAAACCGACATCGGATTCTGTGATTGAAATACAGGTAACAAAGCCCTGCAAAGTCGATCCCCGTGACGTGACAGGTTCGTTGCATGACGCCTCTTTCCACACCTGCATCTTCAAACCCTCTCTGCACCCAACAGCGCGGGTCCGGGTGCAATAATGGCAAGACGTGGCGGCGGGTAGCGGAAGCAAAGAGCCCATCACGCAAAGAAGATCAGGAGGTCTCACACACACAACAAGTGTTTACTGTACCTTATCCCTGACAGAAAGAGTACAGCTAGATATAACACACAAAATGCTTTGTGACAGGTTAGAGGTACGTAGGCGGTGGAGTCGAAATGAAGGTTGATTGTGGTTTTGTTTGTTGGGGTTGGCTTGGTGTTTTGAAGCACATGGCATTTTAGGTGCGACCGACCACGTAAGTCGCTGCTCTTCCACCATTTCGTCAGCAGGGAAAGTCATTTGTTTTCTGTTCTTCCCTCCGCATCTCTTGATATAGTTGTGCTTCGTCAGCAACTGCCACACTTTCCCTCGCCAACGAGGAGGCTACCGCCTTTTTTGACGGTAAATGGCTGGTTGGATATTCCAACACGGCAGAACATATGAGGGAGAAAGAGATGCGATAGTGCCCAATCGAACAGGTCATGTTCCCTAGGCTCCATGTGTAACAAACATGAGATGCAGGCTGATATTGCTGGATGTGAGGGCAAGGGATATTAGGTCTTCGTCATGTATAAATCCTTTCTTTTATATGCAAGTACTGCATACCGAACAAACACCTCTTCAACCGCAAAACCCACACTCTTTGAAGGGCAAACAGAGCAGCACTACTTTCTCAACGCACCTCCTCGCGACCCCGGCCACTCGAGACATATCCTCTGCTTGTGGCAATCTTGACACCACACAACCAACAGCCATGTGCGAGAAAGGCATCCTCATCTGGACCTGCGGCTGCACCCACCTCCAAGACCCCCGCTTCTGCCGAAAGGCTATCTTCCGCAAGAAACCCTGCGATGGCTACGGTTTCTCCTGGGCCTACCGCTCTCCAATCCCCTGGCACACGCTCAAGAAATGTCCCTCTTGCTTGCACGCCGAAGAAGTCCGCAAAGCACAACTTGCCAATGAAGCTTTACTGGCCACTTCCTCGGCTTATCCTACTTTGCAATCAGTGGCCAATGGAGATGATAGTAGGAGAGAAGGCAGAGGAAGACCGAGATTTGATCGTGTAGCGAGTGGGGGGGAGATTTGCGTGCCGGAGGGGTGGAGGCCAGAGATGAATAGGCTGCCAGGGAATGCGAACGAGTATTCTGCATGGTTAGGTGGGAGGTTTGACCCCCTTGTCAGACTTGAAGATACACATCAGCCTAGCTCAAGAGTTGCTAGACCACAATCTTCACTGCCCGCCAGAGCTGCACGGGCACAAGAAATACCAGCACAGCAAGTACAGCACAGAGTACGTTTGCATGCGCCCCCGCAGTGTTGGAATGGTCCTGTGGTGTTGGAGGAGAATGCGTATCCTTTTGTCGAGTTCAGGTGTGCTTCGGGGCAGAGACCGGGGCAGAGCAGGAGACCATCTTATACTGGGAGGGTGTTGGACAAAGGGTGGGCTCCTCCGTCGAGTGGGACTTTGCCGCCACAGAGGGATGTGGATACTGCGCCGCCTTCTCAGGTGCCATCGCCGCATTTGAAGGTCTCACCATCACGATTAAGGATTACTCAATCCAAGTGGTTTTGATGGTAAGAGAGGAAGTTCAGATCGGGGTTGGAGGAAGCGAGTGTTTGACTGATGATGTTATGATTCCTATGACTTGCTGAGATACCCAGGGAGGAAAGATCTTTTCGGTTACTGTAGTTGAAGCTGAATCTATTGACTATCAATATGTGTATTATCTATAATGGAGAAGGTGTATGGGAGGGGTGTAAGTGATCTATCATGTCTAGTTCTTCTTGGCGTCTTCAATGGCCCACTGCACAGCATCGTAGACATCATCGACAATGACCGTAGGCTTATGGGCAGGCTCGCCTCCAGAGTATACGCCAGTACGGAGTAAGATGGACGACCACTTGCTGCCGAAGGTACTCTTGTAGTTGTTACCTCCAGCAATGTCAGATTCTGCGTCATTATTAGCTGACGTCGAACAAATTGCGATACATAGTTCAACTTACCGGGATTGTCACCGACCATGTAGACCTTGCGCAAAGGCTCTATCGACTCGCCAGTGTACAGATCATTTCTGTGTGCGCGCAGCCTCTTCTCTGCAAACTCATACGTCTCATGGTAAGGCTTGCCTATAACCTTCTTTTGCAACTTGACGCCAGCATTCTGTCCTCCAGTAATGGCAGCCCAGACACCCTCGAAAGCTTCTCTGAAGCCTCCCTGACCCAATCGCGGCAAGTGGTATTTTGCAGCCCACCACAAGTCAGGGTTGGAGAAGTATAGTTTGGGTTGGCCGTCTTGTTGATAGCCATTGTTCGGAAGTGTCTTGTCTCCATTCTTGCTCGACAATGTTCCCATGATTCCCTCTCTTGACAATAGTAAATCTGCGATGATTGTCGTATCCAAGCCCCAATCACGAGGATCGCTGTATACAAAAATTGCGTCGATCTTGAGAGACTTGTCCGGGTGGTCTGCTTCAATGGGAGCTGGCAGTGGTTTTGCGAACCTTTGGTAGTACTCGGCAAAGATCTTTGTGAATGGCCAGATGTCGGGATAGGCGTTGACGATATCGCCAGGTGTTACGACAGCTTTGAAGCCGTATTTCTGAGCGACAAGCTGGCATTTGTCGTGGTCGCCTCCTACAACAAGGACGGTCTTGTCGTGTAGCTCCCTCATGTCGGCGAATGGAGTGTGGCTTTGCACAAACATGGATGTATCCAGTTCGATGTCTAGCTTTTGACTGAGCTCTTCCACTCTGTCCGACTCGTGCTTGCCGCCGCCATTGGTGAGGAGGATGAAGGGGATACGTTCGGTCTGTAGGAAAGAAAGGGCTTTATGGGCTCTTGGTAGAGGGTCTGAGGAGCGCAGCAGGACTCCATCGATACTACATTGCATTTTAGCATCAGCCTCGAGCATAGACGAGCTATGCGACGTACTCAAAAGCAAAGGCAAAGTCTGGGTGTTCCGCGCCAGGCTTGGATGCGATCAGAGTGCGCGTCCATTGTGCTGAACATGTCGGTTGACACCAGCGTGATAGAACTGAGGGCCTCGCAAGGCTTCTCAACGTACTCGTCGTTCTCGTCGCCATGATTGTTGTGGTGTCGGAGGTTCAAGGAGTCATCTTCAGTCATCTGCCGATATCTCCATGATTTCGCTACGTCACTGTTTTGACCCGCCAAACTCTCTTTGTGCAACGGGTATACCGATACCTACTTTACTTTACATGTGCTGTCTTGGATGGCTGGAGAAGGACATGGATGCCACTGCTCGGGTAAATTGTACTTGTGGTGCAACTTGTCTGCATACACCCTTGCCAATGAATAAATCACATGCATGATGAGCCACATCCATCGACGTCATGGCTAGCAGCTCACCAACCACCCATGTAAGTCCTCACAGATATAAATGAAGAGCAGAGTTAGGTGTTCTGGAAGAATTCTTTGTCGGCAAGACTTCATATTCGGAACTTCTCCATCACACTTTCACACTGTAAGTCTGGCAATGGTTACCATGTCAAATTCTACTCTGACCATGCTTAGATATCATAATGGCTCTCGGAGATGATAAGAAATCTGGCGTTGCTGGAGGAGTAACTGCTGTCACCTCCACGCTCGGCAATGGAGTCGGTGGCCTTTTGGGCACCGTAGGCGGTGTCACTGGAGCTGCTGCTCGAGGAGGTAAGTCCATGTGCAATCCATTCCAGGCACTCGTGCTGACAGTCATGACAAGTCGGTAACACCGTGACTGGAGTCACAGGTAACGCTGGAAAGCCTGTCGGCGATGCTTTGGCTTCGCTTGGAAATGGTGTCGAAGACGGCACCAACAACATTGCTCGAGGTGTCGAGTCGGCTGGCCAAGGCAAGAAGGCTTGGTAAACGAACGCTGTTATCAACTGACGAATTATGCCTTTCTCATCTTCTTCGTTCTGCTGGCGTTTGCAGTTCGATACAAAGCAATTATCCGTAAAATCTACTGCTGGTTATCCTGTACCAAATTCCCGTCTCATTTCATCTGTTTCCGAGTCTCGAGTGTACGACTATGGTGAGCAATGGGCGGTCTTCCTTCTGTTTGAAGAGTTGCAAATTCTGACCAACGCGACAGCTGTGTGCAGAAGATGCCCGCGTACAACGAGCCGTGGCTCACCTGTTGAATGCGTTCGCAGGCCTGTTCAAAGCAATCACCTGCTATGTGCTCTATTACATATTCAGGACCGCAGTCGCCGACCTCGGCAAGTTGGTTGATCATAAGTCCCTTTCCCAAGTCGCTCTCGAGAAGCGAAACAGTCGTGGACAGAGTGCATCAGAATCTCATGCATATGGAGCAGATGCGTCAAATCGAGGCTCGGGATCGGAGAAGAAGGAGCGGTAGCGATATAGATCAGCAGCGGGTGCAAGCAACTCGTGATCATCGGCGGAAGGAAGCGGAGGCATCCAACAGGATCAATCTACTGACGTCCTGTATGCGACTTCTTCACGTCTCTTCCCTTCTCAAGTCTCGTGTGTGTAATTACATCTTTCAAGATTCAGAGAATGGTACGCGACTTACCTTGACTCGCCCATCGATGAGATCATAGCATTGACGCGACTCACAGGCAATCACAGATGATGCTCTGGTCCGAGCAGAGATGCCTAATCTGGTACACGCAGTCGCAACTCTCATCAAATGCATCGCCTTTTACATAACAATGCGTGCATTGAAAGTGCTCGTTGTCGATGTTTTGAGAGTGGACCTCGGCCCTGCCGCCGAAGCTTTCATTGGTGAATTGAGAAATCACGCCAAACCACCAAGCTTCCACACTCAAGGGAGAAACTGGTCGAGCGAAGAAGCAGGACAAGAGAAACGAGGGATCTGAGAGACTTCATATTGATGTACTTCTGGACTGGCCGATTTTCGTGCTTAATGGTCAGTTCATGGTAAAGATGACGCTCGCCCCAAGCGACGCCAGTGCAGATTCATGTGGGAGCTGAAGGTTTGGTCTAATGGCAGCAAGAGAGCAAGATTGACCATTGTAGCAGTCTCAGCAATTCGAAGTTAGGTAAAAGACCCCGTATCAGCAGTGCACCAGTCATTCCGAGGTGTGAGAGGGCATGATATCGCTCATAGATGATGGCGACCGGGTGATGGTCTCGACGAACTCGATGTAGATCGGCGGGATGTCGGCAAGGCTTGTGAACCTTCTCCAAACGCGGAGGCGCGGAGTCGTCCCTTGACGCATCCACGATCTTGGCGCGATAGCTCATTGCTGTAGTTCAGTGCGCAGACAGGCAGTTGAAATTCCAGCGCCCGATGGTTTGAAAGAGTCGTGCGATTTATGCGATTAGCACTATGGCGCCAAATGGCACGGGTCGCAAGGGTGAGCGCCAACGTCACACTTAGCACAAAGCGCGCAAGAGCTGACCCTCACCAAAAGCGCCGGCTGCTGGAAAACCCAAGACGTTCAACTTTGTGTCGCGATCACACGTCGACGATGCCCTAGGCTCGGATATCAGAAAGCAAGCTCTCAAGCTCAAGGATGAGGTGGTCAAGCGGTTGCCCAAGGTGTCCAAGCCTGGCAACTGGGACACGGATGTCGTGGGAGGTGAGTTGCTCAACATCTTGTCTCTGGAGATGGAGCCTCGACTAGTCCAAGCTTACATATGCCATCTCAGGCATAGACAAAGACACGACCGGAGTCGTCAACCGGGTACCCATGGACGTCGCTCGAGCCTTCGTGACCGGCCATCCGATGCAAGACACGCCCGACATCGTCCGCTGTAACCACTGCAAACGTCCCGTTCTCCGACACAAGGCCAAAGCGCACATTGAAGAATGCATCCAGAAGAAGCAAGAGAAGCAACGCAAAAAGAAAGAGGCCAAAGACGCACGCGACGCTGCTGCACGCAGAGCCGAACGCGAGAATGCCGACAGCGAATCCGAAGAGGAAGAAGGTACAATAGGCTCCAAGACGGCTGGTAAGAACGACGGCACTTCGGGCAAGAAGCGCAAGGCCGAAGACCACACCGAAGGAGCAAAGAAGAAGAAAAAGAAGGACGAACCAAAGGCCAAGGCCCCTCGTCCAAAGGCGCCGGTCGATGTCGAGAAGCAGTGTGGTGTTCCTCTCGCCAACGGTGCACAGTGCGCTCGCAGTCTGACCTGCAAGTCTCATAGTATGGGCGCCAAACGTGCTGTGCCGGGCAGAAGTGCTCCTTACGACAAATTGCTGGCTGAGTACCAGCGTAAGAACCAGGCTAAGCTACAGAGTACGTCTCTTCCAGCTCTCCTCACAACACATCACTGACCCATATCCCAGAGCAAGCTCTCGAGGCGCAACAACCCTTCCAGGATGACGAGTTCGCTCATACCGGTCCCATCGACTCGGACGAAGAAAAGGACCTTGTCCTTGCTGCCATCGCACGTTCACAACCACGACCGCTTTGGCAGTCCCAACCAATACCCCTCAAACGCAAATATCAATACGTACGCATCAAGGAGATGATGAGCAGTGCACTAGGCGGGAAAGGAGCTGGCCTCTTCCGTACCGGCCCTCCACCTGACGAAGACAACAGCAATCTTATGAACGGTTTGGACGCCATGAACGCAGCACCAGACAACAGTGACAGAAGAATGAGCGGCGTACAACGCACAATGACAGGAACGCATTCCCGCAAGACAAGCGCTGTCAGTTGAACAGAGCAGTACACATGATTCGGGGTTTGGCGTTATAAGGCTCTTATGGGAAGGCGGTTACTTGATGCTTACAGATGATACCCATTTTCTTTTTCCATCCATGAGCAAAAGAAAGGGATGATTGCTCAGATCTCAGGACTGGCCATGCTAGATGATTAACTCAGCTTTCTTTTGTGTATACTTTTCACCCACCATCCATTCGAAAGCTTCAGCTTCTCAATATGCCCAGCTGTTGTAAAGGACATGACTTTTGTCATGGTCGAAGATTGGGACAACGTGGCTATTGATTTCAAGCCTTGAGGCTGTCAACGGCAATGCTTGGTTTCAACGTTTATCAACATATCCGCCCTCGGATTCTGTAAACCACACCTAAATGTCGAATGGATCTCCTAATCAATTTGTTATCGACTCTGGGTGTTCGACATCAAGTGTCTATCCGTATGCCCGCTATTCAAGATCGCTTGGACTCCTGCTCGCACGAAGTGTTTGACACATCATCACACCGGCTGTCAACCCATCGGCTGTTACAACGTCTTTCTATCGAATGTGATCTAGAAACTCTACTTCTTCATCCCTTCACATTTTTGCGTAAAGTTCAAGTCAAACATACCTGGAATATGGCAGCGAGCACGTATTAGGATTGAAATCACCTACCGCTGGCCTGGCCACCCAGATGGCACAATGGTGGGAAGTATCTTTGGTCAAGACGAGCAACTGTAGGTATATGAGCGAGTCCTCTCCCTCTTTGCTTTGCCCATCTCAACCCACTTGAATATTCCTCTGCCCCTCAACATGTGGTCTTCTACTATTGCCGCCTTTCCCCTCTTCTCCTTAGCACTTGGGGCTGTCAACTGGAGTGCCTTGGAGTCATGCGTGACCGAGAGCGGCACGACGTCCGCTAAAACAGTGTCAACCTCAATGTCCACTACAACAGTACAACAGCCTGATCTTGTTGTCAAGCATACTTTCCACCCTCAGCATCTCGTGACCCTCCGACCTTTCACAAAGACCTGGACACACATCATCCAAGAAACAGATACTGCCGTTTCTACCATCACTATCGACTTGACGCAAACCGTACTGGTTCCAACTTCGACGATAGTGAATACTTACACGCAAACACATGTGTCCAACGTGTACACCACTATCGCAGCTCCTGCTGGCTTCCTTCCCATCTCAGATACCACAAACTCTGCCGATCCCAATGGACAGTCATCCGATAGCTCAACGACTTCTGCCTCGAAGCCTACCAGCGTGTCTTCGCAATCGAGCTCCAGATTGGCTGTCTCGGCTTCTGCTGCTTCCAACTTCAACATGACTGCCTCAGCTTCTGGTCTTGCTGGTCTCAGCGGCTCAGTCGGCTTTGGAGGCTCCGCCAACCTTGATGAGAGAGGCTTAGGTCTCAAGGGTCTCAAGCAGTTTGCGCACGCTGTTCACTGCTTGAAGAGTGTCCTTATCCAGAAGACCATTGATACTACCGTCACTGGGACTACACAGACAAGTACACTTGCTCAAGCTACAGCTACCGTCACCGTCAGTGCCACTGTCACAGCAATGGTACAGCCCAAGCTTGGCCGTGGCAAGACTGTATACACAACCTCTTGGGTAACCACGACCAATGGGTACAATGCCTACTCAAATGCGGTAGTGACTGCCGAGGTCACCTCCACTATCAAGGCCTACGCTGCATGCCAGACAAACAACATACTCAGCTCTGTTGCTTCAATCTCTGGCAAGGCCAAGTACAAGACCACCGTCGCAGGCTCGGCTCAGCAATGCTGCGAGCAATGCCAACAGTCAAGTAACTGCGTAGGATCTGCCTTCCAAGCCTTACTCCCCCTCGGCGGTCGCTGCCTTATCTACTACGCCGACACTTGCCCTGCTCAATCTGCAAATTCCCTGCAGTACACTCTTCCTGCAATCAAACAGTTCGGAACCTATGCTGTAAGCAATGGTATGTGCGGCTACATGTTTGCAACGAGTGGGCAGTTCTCGGCTCATGGACATGGCTGGTAATCGGCATTTTAGATGAAGTCTGGGTGGTCTACCGTACTCTTGATACGAGGTCATCTATCGAATAATCTATAATATATTTCTGCAATGATAAAGTGGTCCGCGTCATGTAGGGCTTTGAGGATCTTCGCGTATCTTACCTGTGTGTATTGGCTTCTCAGAATCGATCCCATGTATGTCAGACCCGCAGTACCAACGTCAAAGGTTTGATGGAGGAAGTCATGGTTCACGAGGACCGAAGTTGTGTTCCAAGTCGCGTAGTTTCACCTAGTTCGGATATCCACGTTTTTATTACAACGAGGCACCCTCTCGCCAAGCACAAGAGTCATGATGATTGTGAATTTCCATCAAGCAGCCACACGAATCGCAGCAACTAATATCTGAATCGCGACTGCCGGCCGGACGAGAACGGACGGGGTAGTTGTGGGAGAGTGAGACATATGCCTTGCGAATTTCTTGGTTTGTCCACCACACACCTCAAACGTGGTGTGTCCACTTTCCTTATCTTCTCGGCCATCTCAACCGCACCATTCCAAATGGTCTCTGTACATGATGGCGCGATGGATCAGTAGCCCGTTAACTGTTTTGTTTCCTTCAAAAGATAATTCGAGCCGTGCTGCTCGTGTCAAGTTTCGGGAGATCTTCGTCAAGAGGCTTGCATGCTTTGCATTGACTCTTGGTGCCCACCACAAACTCGCAATCAGGCAGGTAGGCGGCTCAACTTTGATCTCTTGAACCTTGCACCTTATCATCTACATCTGACTTGACGGATGTAATTCGCTACCATAGCACATGATATCTGTTTGTGCCGTAAAGGCAAATTAGACTTGATAGCCGCGCGCATCTTGCATTGACAGACAGACATTTCTCAGGGTCCAGTCAAACAAGAGCACGACCCGGTTCTAATACTTCTTGGTATGGCCGACCAAGAGACCAAGCGCCGCGTAGGAGGATGTAGTTTCACCAGAAAAGACTATGAGACTCTGATACTGCCAACAACGCCGATAACATTTATATGTGTCCTACCAATGCTTTCCCTCGGAAGAAGCACCCCGCCTAGCACCGCATCTAGCCATGTCTACGAGTAATCGCAGCCACAATTTATCTTGGTTTTCATTGCCGCTAGATCGCAATGGACCCACCACGCTGGGAACGTGGTGTCCCACGACTCATACTTTGCTGTCGCGAGTCATCTAGATACAGACATTTGCTCGCCGCCCAGGACCAGAGACCATGCTAGAAGAAGGAAAAAACGCCATTGGCATTGCTTGAGCATGAACCCTCCTTTCGCTTCTCGCCGTCGATCGATTACTTAGAGTGCTCCGCAGCGGCACGTGGATATGATTATCGAGATGTTCATGCATGAAACCTGTCCCCAGGTCTCGATTTGGTTGATATAAGGACTGGCGCCCACAATCTTTGCACGGTTTCCGGGTGAGTGTCAGAATGTCAAAGTACCAGGGTGTGACGGACTTGAAGCCGTTGATATTGCAGTTGAATGCAACTCAACAGTCGGCTTTGCTCGACCGTCTGTTTTCAATTGCGCGGGCCAGCAATGAAGACATTGACCTGTCCCCTCCTGTCGTGAGGATAGTATGGGTTTTGCTTGCGATGTCGACGATTGTGGTCACCACTAGATTGGCGGTCAAGTATCGGACGACCCGTCGGCTCTACCTGGATGATGGACTTATGGCTGTCGCTCTGGTAGGTTAATTCATGTTCCCGCGCTCGACTTTGTGTATTAATTCAGAGCCTAGGTACTTGGTTGGGTCCATGCTGTCTTCCTACAAGTCTCCTTTACCAATGGTCTTGGTCGCCATGTTTACTTCCTGGAACCCGCCCAAAGATATCTTGCTCTTAAATATGGATTTATCTCTTTGGTGTGGAGCTATCTCTGTCCCTTGTTCGGACGACTCAGCTTCTGTGCTTTCCTCCTTTGCGTTGCAGAGACCGATCCTCGAACCAAGAAGTGGCCAATCTGGATCTTTATCGTTCTTCAGATCATTGTCAATGTTCTAGCATCTGTTCTGCTTCTCAGTACTTGTGGAACGCATATTGAAGACTTGTGGCTCCTGAACCTCGGAAACTATTTCGAATATTGCTTGCCTGTTCAGGTTCAGACAGACTATGCTTACTTTGCTGGATGTGAGTGCGAGCAAGTCTGTGCCGTAGATGCCGTACTAATAGTCATAGCCTTCAACACATTTACCGACCTCTTCCTGACCATTCAACCCGCCATGTTGATTGTGCATACCAAATTGGCCACCTCAAACAAGATTGGTGTCGCCTCTCTCTTCTGCTTGAGCATCATGTAAGAGCACCTCAGAATCTCGCATACGACAGTGATACTGATAAAGTGTCTGAACAGAGCTATGATTGCAGCCGTCGTCAGGACAGTCGCCGCGCATATACTCAATGATGTTGGTGACTATACCTGTAGGTCTACTCGAAGCGCCTCTTTATGACCTGTTGAATCAATACTTACTACCCCCTCAGACGAACTTACGCCATATATTACTTGGGTGTCAGTTGAGCTGAATGTCGTCCTCACCGTCACGTCATTGCCTCTTCTCCGACCCCTTGCCCAAGAAGCGCGCGAACGAGCAACCAGAATGCTGTCCGTAAATCGCAAGACCAAAGAGCCTTGGGATGACACAATATCACTGCGGAGCATCCACACCCATACACAGAATGACGAAAAGAGCAAAACAGGAGCCGGCGTAGGTGTCGTTGCGTTGAGCGCAACACCAGCTCATAATGGCTTCGTGGCACAACAAGATCCTGAAGCTGTCATACGCACTGTCGAGGTGGAGATCAGTTACGAGAAAAATGAGACGCCGATGATACATGCTGCGTTGGTTGGCTTGGTCCAAGGGCAAGCGATGGAACGTCTGGCTGGCCGATGATTTCATGAACGATTTTGGACATTTCTTTTGTCGCTATTTTCTAATGTATGTCTACACGACCCAAAAGCAAGCCTTTTGCATCGACCTGGTTATTTGAGCACACATGAGTGTTTGTCTTGTAATGAAGACACGTCGACTCAATTGGAGAGAAACTCGTCAGAAGCTTCCTCCACCTCCAAGTTTGGTATACGGAAACAAGACTAGCCAAGATGGGCTTGGCCGTATTCTTTAAGCATGATTTCACCAGGGTCATGTGAGTTTCAGAGCCAATTGCCCAAGGTTCTTGGCCGTTGTGTTGTTGGAGCGATGACAGGTCCAACGTGCAGCAATTTCATGTGGCTTGACAAGATGAGGTGAGGCTTGCGTGGCAGGAAGACCAAAGACGGAGCTAGAAGACGACATTGACGTCGATTGTTTGGACAAGCAGGGCAGAAAGAATGACACGGAAGGATTGAAAGCAGGAAAGCTAAAAAGTCTAGACTTTCGTAACCGAAGCGTGCTCTGACGAGGCTCTGCCTATCTATTTCTATGTTTGAACCGCACTGCCAAGTTTCGTAGTAAAATATCGTATGATTTTACGCGTCCAATGCGACGGAAGTTGGATGGAGGAGATTATCCTTAGGGTAGAAACAAGGAAAATGTCATATGGAAAGATGGCGAATTGGAATGATGAAAGTGCAGGCCATAGTTGGTGAAGAAATCCGGGATGCGGGGCAGTTGCAGGTTTGGCTGTTTGCTCCTTCCAACCAAGCACGTCATGGTGGGGTCGTACATCATAGCTAGGGAGAGGTCGATGACTTTGGTACAAATAGCTGCCACAACTCCCTCCAACAGCTGTTTCCTCATACCATACAATCTTCTTTGACACTTCTCATCTTTGATATCCAAACAACTTCTTTTACCTTTACACCTTGAACTCATACTTTCGATACAACCGCACAACATGTCCAACGTTCCTTGTAAGTAGAGCTCCGAGCTCCAAGCTCTTCAAGCCTCAATTCAATTCCCATTGCTAACATCTGTTCAGCTCATCTTCCCGGCGACCTTGGCGAGCATGACCCTCGCCGTGAGGCCCACCCCCAGGGCAACATCCCTCACTCTGGTGGTCATGAAGTCAAGATTGGTTCGAGCGAGCAGCAGGGCATCAATGACGAGGCCACCGCTGCCAAGCACAGCCATAACAGCGACCCCAGAACCGACAACACTGCTGAGCACGCCCTCGAGGGTGGCTCCGTCGAGTCCATGGACCGTCAGAAGCGCCAGCACAACTCCAGCATCCCCGGCGGCCGCACTGGCCACGATGGTGTTGACGACCACCTCACCCGTGGCGGTCTTGAGCAGGGCAGCCATGGCTCCAACGCTGGTCTCACCGGTAACCACGGCTCAGGCCTCACTGGCAACCACAGCTCCACCTCCGGTCTGACTGGCTCAGGCCTCACTGGCTCAGGCCTCACCGGCTCCAGCACCCACCACCACGGCTCGACTGGCTCAGGCCTCACTGGCTCCAGCACCCACCACCACGGCTCGACTGGCTCGGGTTTGACCGGTGGTCTCTCTCAGTCTGGCACTGAGCCCATCTCTGGTGTCAGAGGTGCTGGTGTTGGCGGTGCCCCATACGATGCTGGCAACCTCCAGTCATCTGGCTTCAGCGGCTCCGACCCCCAGGAGCGTCACCAGCTCCACCACGGCACTGCCCACCACGCTCACGACTTCAGCCATGAGCACACCACCCGCACCGGCGCTCTCCTCGACCCTGCCAACGGTAGAGACACTGGCATTCCCGGCTACGCTGGCGGTGCCACCACCGGCACTGGCCTTACCGGCTCTTCGCACACAGGAACTGGTCTGACCGGTTCTTCTCACACCGGCACCGGCCTCACTGGCTCGCACACCGGCACCGGCCTCACCGGGTCATCCCACACCGGCACCGGCCTCACTGGCTCGCACACCGGCACCGGCCTTACCGGCTCTGAGGGCCTCCTCCGTGAGGGTGAGCGTGCTGTCCACACTGGCACCCACGGCTCAACTGGTTCCGGCCTCACTGGCACCCACGGTGCTACCTCTGGTCTCGGTTCCTCAACCACCGGCGCCGGCTACGGCCAGACTGGCACCACTGGCGAGCGTCTTAGAGATGATGTCCGCCAGGGAGAGCACGTTGTTGGCTCCACCGGTCACCACGGCTCCACTGGATCTGGCCTGACCGGTTCCACCACCGGCCGCGAGACCACTGGTGAGCGCCTCAGAGATGACGTCCGCGAGGGCGAGCACGCTACTGGCCACAACACCACCGACACCACCAAGACCAAGACCAAGCCTTCCCTCTTGGACAAGCTTAACCCCCTCAAGGATGCCGACGGTGATGGCAAGAAGGGTTTCATGAAGTAAACTCCTGGAACACCCAATCGATACCCAAAGTAGAACACGATTACAGTCACGAACGATTATCTTTAATGTAGTATAACGAACCATTTCTGAATGAATACTTTAACTTCTTCAATATTTGTCTCTTGCGGTTTCTTACCAAACACGAACTGTCTTGTCTGTGCTGTAACTTTGGTGATTAGGGCAAATCCGACCCTTGTCGCTGCCCTGGCTTGTCACATAAGCTTTGGCACTTGTCCTGACATGCTTCCATTTCGCTTCCACACCGCCACACCGCCACCCTTGCTTTCCTCGGTGTCAAATTGGACAGGTACCAAGGTAGTGACAGAAACTTGTAGATCTGTGTTGTATGCATGAAACAAACGAGAAAGCCTTAGGGCTTGCAGAGAGTAGATGGCCAAGTATGAGGATGTGTCAATGTATAGAACAATGCCCTAAAAGCCGTGAGTCCTTTGACAGAGAGGAAGATAGATTGGGTCATGGTATGCTTTTATATCGACGGAGGAAGTCAATTCGTGCTGAGCATATGGAGAATTAGTATGGCGCTAAGTAGTGTGGAAGCTGGTCAAAGGTGCACTGAGAGTGGTTAAACTTTTGCACTGCTGAGTGGGAAGTGTTTAACAGTTCTGACCCCAGAGTGAAAGGGTTCAATCAAGCACCACTGTCTAATGCACAGCTATAAGCGTTTGGCTAGTTCATCGCAGTTTTGTTATCTAGGTCGTGTCATCGAAATAGTACATGAATTCCTAGAAGTTCTTGTTATTCTAGTAGGTCGTCCCTCCCTCTTTCCACCATCACTTCCCCCCCCACTGGACCCTTGAAATCGCAATGACGCAGGTGCCTGCAATTCCACCTTGGCGTCACCCATCTCCAAACCTCCCTCTCCACTTTTCCAAAGAAAGGAAAAGCACAACAAACACCCCCGTCACTGCCTGCGGTCGGCAAGGCACACGCACACGATGCCCAGTATCGCGGACAGTATCAACAGCATCAAAGATCAACTGCGCGATCAGGACTTTGCGCGGCAATCGCATGAACAGACGCAGCGCGAGCACGAGCGCATTTTGGATGAATATGATCGTATGACGAGGAAGCGATCGACGAGGATACGTGAGGAAAGAGATGGCTCTAGAAAAAGCGGAGGGGAGAGGAGAAGGTCGAGGTCACCGTCATCTATGCGGTTTCGATTCAAAGATGGGAAAGGGAGTGATGGGCGCAAGCGCAAGAGCAAGAGCAAGAGTAGACATCGATCACACAGACACAGTCACAGACACGGACACACCGGCCCAGAGGACCAGGAGAGCAATGCCAGAAAACACACAGCATCAACTTCCCCCCTCCACGACTCCAACAAAGCAACATCTCCAAAAGACACCGACACGGCATTCCGAGAATCTCTTTTTGACGCCATGGCCGACGACGAAGGAGCAGCCTACTGGCAAGCCATCTACGGCGACTCCATACACTCGTACCCCCGCCCCACCATCCAAACCCCACACGGCCATCTCGAGGAAATGTCAGACGACCAATACGTCTGCTACGTAAAAACAAAAATGTGGGAAAAGAAAAACCCCGAGTTGCTTAGGGAAAAACTTTCTCGTGAAGAACAAGGAGAGAGAGCAAAGAGGCGTCATGGTGGTGAGGAACATGACGATGATGAATATGAAGAAGATTTCGAATGGGTGGGGAATGCGGAAAAGGGATATGAGAAGAGATCAACGAGATCGCGTCGTATACCTCGCCCACAAGAAACAAGAGAGTCTCGTCATGATGCAGCCTTTGTCTCTGATGTCGATGCCGCGCTGGCCAGAGGTGCTGCTCGAAAACAATCAAAGAGATACCACTCAGCCTGGTTTGCATATCTCCAACGCTGGGCAGCTCTCAAATCCTCTCCTCCCTCCACCTCATCAGAAGCTCTACTCAAGGAAATCCCCTGGCCGGTTCAATCTCTCGTCTCTACAGACGTGAATAAGCAAAACGTGCAAGACTTCTTCACAAATGCGCCATTGGACGACCAAGCAAGGATCAAGACACTCAAAGATCAAAGTGTAAATTGGCATCCTGATAGATTTCAACGCAGGTTCGGTGGTGGTGATGTTGATGAGGAGACTTTGAAATTGGCTACTAGTGTCTTTCAAACTATATATGACATGTGGGAGAGGATGAGACCTGCGAAATAGAAGATGAGAGGAAAAACTAGGGACATGACGATACCATTCTTTTTAGCAGACACTCTTCAATCAAGACAAACATTGCTCTCGTGCTCATATCACTTGCATTAAACATTCCAGTGCACCACGAAAAAAAAAAAAGAAGTGTAGGAAGATTTATTCTCGAATTCTAGGTATCAAAGGAAGCCACTCCTGTCTATGTCTATAGTATAATAATCTAATCATGATCGTCGTGAATTGCCTTTCCAAAACACAAACGCCGAACCGAAACACAGAAAAAAAGGACAAAGTGCAGATTAATGAGTGATTAAGTGGACAGAAACAAATATCCGACACCGGGGGACCATGCAAAAAGTCTATCGTAACAAGACTGACAACAACTTAGGAAGAGAGAACAGACAAAAAAAACAGGAGGGAATGCACTTCTTGTGCAATGTGTAGTGAGGTTGGGAAGAGGCGAGGGGGAACAGACGAGCAGAATAGGCTCTTCTCTTCTGATCAAAAAGAGGGGCGAAGTATGGGAGGATAAAGCAACCGCTCAAAGACTGAACAGTCCACTTCTCCTCTTGCCGAATGGGTAGACCACGAGTGACGAAGCAAAGATCCCGATTGTTATTCCAATGGCAATCTGAATGACGGAAAACGCAATATTAAGGTTGACCGTGTTGAGACTGGTACCACTTGTGATTGCTTTGGCGTCAGTCACTGTGCTACCGTTTGAACCTTTACCAGCAATCTGATCCGCAGCTTGGACACCAGCGAGCAGACTTCCAGATACAGCCAGACCACTAGGTACCTGTACCAGAATGGCGGGCAACATGGCTGCGGCTGCAAGACCATAGCCCACACGTCGAATGCGTGGAGTGAAGATGCTGTCGTTATCGTACGCTTCTCCAAACTCCATGCTCTCTACTTTTCTCTTAGAATGCATGTTACGCAGAGCTGTTGATTTGCCCCGAGCTCGTTTGTGTAATGCTCTGAATTGCGGTCGTATGTAAGTCTCCCAGACGTCCAGTGCCTTGTTCTCGATCTTGGTTCCAAAACGTGAATGCAGGTTTGCAGCGAGACCAATGGCGAAAGCAGCGATGGTAGCAGTGATTTGTGTGTTTCCCTTGAACTTGTTTTTCAAAACCACGTTGATAGTACGCCCGATCATCGATATTACGATCATGACGGGCATTTGTCTCCACTTGGCTTGGTTCAGGATACATAGGGAGAAGGAGAAGATGAGTGCGGAAAGCATCTGCAAAGGGCTACTGAGCGTGCGACTAGCAGGGCACGTAGTTGACGACACCGCATTGGAGTCCATGGCGCCATAGAGTACGGTTCCTATCGTGATTCCAAAGCCGAGAAGGAGGGTATAGAGGATAGCATATACCATCCTTACGCTTCCAGAAACAATACTCCTGGATTGCAATTCCAGCGAGGCGCGAAGTACTATATAGCCTGGCAAGATAAGCGCAATTGACGACTGAACAAGAGCGGCGAAGCAAAAATAGCGACCTCCGCTAATGGAAGCGATAGCTCGACCAAGGAACGAAACGATGATGGTAGCAAGGACTTCGAACATATTCTGTATGCCATCGTGCCTGCTGGAAGCGACCTGAAGGTATCCCACAATGCAGCCGAGGGCGTAACAGATAGGCAAGTCCATCCAGCCAGCATCGAATGCGAATGGAGCGACAGATGCGGTGCCGACACCAGAGAATAATATTATTTTCAGGTTGCCGAAGTGCGGCGTTTTGTTGAGAATCTCATTAAGACGATCAGTCGCTTCATCAACTCCCACGCGATCGTGGACAACTTCCTTGTAGACTTCGTGGACGTCTCTGAGTTTCCCAAGACTCAACCCTTCACCAGTGCGGACCATCTTCACCTCGGTCGTGTGAGTAGAAAGGTCGTCGAATGAACATATCATACAACCAGGCATGTGAAGGAATTGAGCATCAACTTCGAGTACCCTGGCGCTCATACGCATGTACGTTTCAAGACGATGAGTTGGGGCGCCGTACATCATCAAAGCCAGGCAAAGCTTGAGGAGATACTTTTGTCTGGCCAGGTTCTCCTTGATGTGTTTTGTAATCCTGATTTCTTCGTCGAGTCGAGAGCGGCCCATGCGACTGAGCACATTACTGCTGCGAGACTTCTTGGCCTTCTTCTCCGACTCGCTTCGTTGGCGTAGGTTTTCAGTGACTTGTTCACCGAGGGACATGCCAGCAATTGGAGTGCCACCGCTGACAGAGGAACCAACCAAGTAGGCCAAAGACGATGTCGAGGCGCTATTACTCTTAGAATGCCACAATCTCGACTGTCTGCCACCGGGTGTACCATAGCCAGAGAGAGGTCTACCGCTTGGAGTGTTGTACCCAGAAGAAGGTGGCGAGTGCTGTGGGGTATTGAATCCACTGCTTCCATCACGGAAGTGCGCAGGCTGAGGTAGGCTAGCTGAGCGATCATGGCGGGAGTCGGATTGGCCATCGTTGTTGTAAAGTCGGAGCAGAGCGCCCAAAACTCCTGCGCGGTGACGTTCAGGCTTGGGAACGTAGTCGAGATAGGCTTCCCGCTCCTCGTTAGGGGTGGTGCCGACAGAAGTCAAACCTGAAGAAGAATCAAGATGCAAGGCTTGCTGAGCAGCATGAGCTCGCACAAGCTTATGTGCAGCGTGCAGTTCGTTGGACTCTTGATCATTGAGATGACGGAAAGGATCATGCTCGTACGCGTCTTCTTCTACGTTGACCTTGCTGAAGTCCTGGAGCGGTATATCGCTAAGGTTCAGCTTGAGCTTGGGTAGGCCGAATCTGCGCGCGGGAGAGGTGGCTCTGGAAGCCGGAGCAGAAGAAACGCGCTCGTCCAGTTCCAGCCTTTTGCCTCGCTCATGAGCCTCGCGGGCTCGTCGTCCCTGAACGGTATTTTCAGGTTCATTATTGGAGACAACCGATAGCGCAGAGTCGCCACGTCGGAGGACAGGTCGCGGAGGTATACGTGGTACTGTGGGCGATGTGGCGATCGGTGAGGATGGTGGAGCAAAAGCGGCCTTTATCTGATCCGAAACTTCCGATGACACCTCAGGAGCATGACTTCGGTAAGATGACAGCAATGCCTCGCCCGTTCCGCTCGAGTTTCGAGAATGTGAAGTGAATGGATTATCGGAGACCGCAAAACCGGGACTCAATCCACTAGGCGGCGTCAAAGTGATCCTCGTAGGCAATGTGATGCTGGCCGGACGGTGTTTTCTGAACAGCGGTGGTTCTTCTGCATCCGGATGAAAAATGACCTTTTTCTTGTCTTTAGGCCTGAGTCCTCCAGCACTGCCAGGCCGACTAGGTTCCATACTGCTGAGATAATCGCTCGACTGATTCGAGTTAAAGTAGGGCGCATTGTTCACAGTCTCCGGAGGATCCTCGAACGGATTGAGCTCGATCCGTGGTGTGTTTGCTGAACTCATCGCGGAAGATACTCACTGAGCAGAGGCTTGGTGCCTCGCCCGACTGAGAACAAAGAATACTCGAGCGTCTGAGATGTGGTCGGACAGAGTGTGGCCGAATGCGTGAGGATTGAGTTTCCCCCACCCCACCTTTTCGAAGCCGACGAAAGCGACGAACAAAGATGCAAATAACAGTTCGAAGGGAAGGAGCGAACGACAGAGCGACCGACGCGCTTTCTGACCCCAGATCAGAACTGGAGATTCAATAAAAATTACGGGGTTGCGAAGGAGAAATCAGATGCGCCGCCACTGAGCTGGGGTGGTTGAGTGCCACCGTTAGAAAGCAGAATTTCAAGTAGAAGCCTGTATAAGAAGGACCGATGAGGTCGGAAATACGACGGTCTTAGCACACGCGTTTGAGCCTCAGGGTCGATCTTCTCAGATAGGGGCTCGGATTGTCAAGACAGGAAATGCGGTAGTTTTCATGGAAGGACTTTCTGGGAGAGAAATCGACATTGTGCCCAGATGAAGTAGTAGTTCTGGTCCGATTCACGGTGTCTCCTGAGGATTGTGCCCCAAGGGGGATAGTGGAGACCATGATGGCATTGGGGTTCAGCATAGACCTCAATCTTCATATCATCAACGACGGCGTGCACCGTGGACAGTGTAGTGGACGATACGGAGCGAGAATGGTTATCAGGGACCCACAACTTCTACTTGGAAGTTCGGGAATCTGCTGGGCACCAACGCGCCGGACGCGTGCAGTGGAAGTGATCGGATGCGACAGCCACCGACGTCACATATTTCGACCCCTTTGCTCAGCCATCTAACTTTTATTCATCAACATTGCGACTCGGAAGCAGTTCATGGCGTTACAACGCAATCACCTACAGGATGCGTGCGTAGCCGAAGATGATCTACTTGCTGATCATGGTATAACCCTGCAGTTGAAGATCCGCATACTTTGTCCCTGCATTTTGCTACTCTATGAACCACTTGGCAGTGGCCTACACTCTTCAAACGTGGACCTTGCGAGAACGTAGATGTGCTACCATAGCAATTTCATACATGTTGATAGGCACAGCAGCGACTTCCAAATCCTTGAGAGCAGTGTTTCTCTACAGAACGAAGTTCGTTGCCTGGACCCCTGCACTCGGCTCGTCGGTATACTAAGATGAGTCGTCAAGGTGTACAATGTTTTTCAATTTATCACAATCATTAAAGGACAGCTTCTGTATCAGCACTTCAAGCGATGAGCTCTTCCATATCATAAACACCACCTGCACTCGTCGACAAATCAAAAAGTCAGGAAGCCATCGTAGTTGCACCTTCCACAGCGTAGGGTATAACAACACCACGTGCGGTGCCACGCGCACGCAGCAATTTCAGTAACATGAAGGTACGATGAAGCAGTCGAGTACTTGCTTCTATCAAGAAGTAAAGCATCAAAGGTAACAAAACCATTGCCATCACAACAAGATCAAGACCTCATCACCACCATTCAATACCATCAAAAGACTGCAGATATCGGGTCCTGATTAACACCACCCTACAAAACAACAGTATGCTATCCGTGCCGGCAAATATTGAGCCATACCATTAACGTCCGTCTAGCATCTCAGCCATTCACCGAATTATCCATCGAGACAAAACACCCACAGATTCGACAGTCTTACAGTGTGTCATGCAAGAATCACAACCTTCCTCCTCTGCAGCTGCGTCCACAAACACACCGACTACTGCCCTCCAGCCCTCCAAGCCGGCACAGCAAACGACTGGGAAATCGACCCCGTCTGCTCAGACTGGGATAATCCTGACACCACTGTCACTAATAAGGTGAACCGACGCTGTGTCGATCATACCAAAGAGGTCTCTGAGCTGGAAGACGAGTCGGGAGATGAAGTTGTCATGAAGGCGAAATGATGTGGCTTGCTCAACGGTAACCAGAGGGATGTGAGGGTGGATGGAGGAATTGGTTGACGATGATGGAACGATGAGAGATGCATGCTGGAGCCTAGGACCAGTGCTGCATCCTTCGGACGATCGTATGATATTGGACAGGCATGGTTATGACAAGCATGATGCTACGACACCGAATGACACTGTGAGAGGGCGGTCCTGAACGGCAGGGCCATGGCATGTATTGAGGATAGACTTTATGCCATCGACGCAGTCGACATTTACACTTCTACCTGTCACTCGTTGATATGTGTTGAGTCGATTGAGTAGTCGATCACAACAACCGGCGCTGATTCGACCAGAAGACGGCGAGACACGTCTCCAATCGCTATACAGCAAACCAAAAGCACACATGTACATATGGGAGAAAACTTCGTATTACAAGCAAAGAGAGTAAAAGAGTCTTGGGTATAGAAGCAGAAGAGCATAGTGCAGAAAAAACAGCCCATTTGAAAGACGATACCACAAGTCCGCAAGTGGCATCCTGAGCAAGTGTGTATAATCAGAAAAGCGATCTATGACCGCAATGTAAAACGCCGTAGAGCAGGAGATCTCGCTCCATGCCCACGTAGAAAAGAAGAAGGGAATTAAGGGAAGGGAAGGAAAAGCAGAAAAAAAGAAAAACGTGAAGAAAGGGCCATGTGTGTGCGTTTTTGCGGTTCGTTGCGTGATTTTGTCGTGTGTTTCCCTTGTTCCCCCAACCATCGTTGACATCGTGAAAGGAATACCACCATCCGAGTATGCAAAGTCGTTATTACCACTGCCTGAAGCTCCCCAGTAGCGCCGCGCTTTTCGCTTCGACCACGAAAACAGCAATGCTCGATATGAAAACGCAAAAGAAAAAGGAATCGGCAGGCAAAAAGCCGCAATGGAAGCAAAAGGCGCAGTCCGCCAGCTTCCATCATCGAGAAAGACCCGAGAGGAATTTCGGTGTCGTGATCGAGGTCGGGCGTCGACCACAATCAGTTGAGCTCGTCGCTCCAGAGACCGCGAGGGTAAAGAGGGCGAGGGACGAAGACAAAGTCCTCTGTTTCGGGATCGAAATCGTCGATATCGATCAAAGGGACGCTGCCAGAATCATACGCATGCTTTTCCTATTCAGCAGTGGTGCGGCTTCGTTCGTCTTCTTCCAAAACGTCGGAAAGGCGAGTGGGGTGGTGATGTCTGGACTGGAGACCTTCCCAGTCGCCATAGCCTGCACCCTCATAGTCGGCAGGTTCGGCAGCTTGATAGCCAGCAGGCATGTCGTCAACATCGCCAACAGTGGAAGTAGCAAACGAGGCCATGGCTTCGGCGCTGCTCGTAGGCGCGCGGGGGACCGGGGGAGGGGCCACACCGACACCGTAGCGAGCGCCAAGCTCGCGTTCGCGCGCGACATCAGCGGCAGTATCGTACTCTTCGGAAGATACGTGGCTAACGTTTTGTGTAGTGCTGCGGTTGGGGTTGCGATACACGACGGGACGTCCCTGAGCGTCACGGCGGACGTTTCCGTGTTGATCCACCTCATATTCAGTTCCTTCAGACGTGTTCGAGTCGAAGGAAGGGCGCGAACCTAGACCAGGAGCTTCCTGAGCGGGTACGGCGGTGGGAGTCTTGGAGCCTGAAGCACCACTTCCAGGTGAAGAGTGAAGGTAGACCTTACCAGGGAGTTGCTGGTAAAAGAGCTCAGGCTGATCCCTGGCTGAACCACTACCGACTAACTGACTGGATTGAAACATAGGACGAGTGGTGGTGACGTTAGGTGAGAGAGGAGACATGCCTTGTGGAGACATGTCGCGGCGCTGCTCCTGCGGCGAGATGAAAGTACGGGCAGTCGAGCTCGAAGCGGGAGTACTGCCGGTAAGGTATGGCTGGCGGTCCTCGGGACCGAGCTGCTCAAGGTCAGGCTCATGGTGCAACTGCTGACCGGCTCTAGCTGCCTCGGTAAAAGGGTCAGTGTTGGTAGGCGAGGGCTCATCGGCCTGGTACTGCACATCCGGAACGATGGGCTGGTACTGCTGCTGAGGCTGCTGTGTATGCTGCGACTGCTGCGATCTTGCTTGATGGTATTGAGGGCTGTCGGCAGTGGCGGGACGACGCTCCATATCCTGCTTGTAAGTGGAAAGGGGAACCACGTGGATTTCTCCTCCGATGATGGTGGGAAGACCTTCACGGAGGTTCTTCAAGCATTCGAGATCCTTGACATTCCTCTCTCCGAGACTCTCCCAGGCGCGTCTTGCCTCATTCTTCGCGATGTACAGCTCCTTGCGATCCTCACTGGCACGGTTCTTCTCATGGACAATACCTCTACGAGCGGCTTCGAGCTGAAGCTGGAGCTCGTCTTTTGCGAGGCGCTCAGCATTGAGTTGGCCTTGCAGGTCAGCTTGGGCCTCCAGCCACTTCTCCTGTTCAGCCTTGGCCTCACTGAACCAACGTTTGAACTTGCGCTCAGAGCTGTTTCTGAGACGCTGGAGTTCGACCAATGCGTGGAACAGGTTGGCTCCAGCAGCCGAAAGATCCTGGATTTGACGTTGCATGGCAGGTGCACCTGGCAGAACGCGAGCAATCTCCTTTTGGTTGTCTTCCAACTTGTGCAACCAGTAGGAAGTGAGGCCTTCCCAATGCGAGGACAGGAATTCCCATCTTTCGAAAGCATGAGGGAAGGCTGCGCGGTTGCTAGGCTGAGGCACATCTTCTGGTCTGAGATCGTTGAATCGGGGAGGCTTGGGAGTCTCGGGCGCCGATGACACACGTGCTCCAGCTTGTGTGGCAGTCTGACTTTTTCTGTGCGAAGGCATGGCTTGACCCATGGCTGGTTGTGCGGGTGTGGCAGGTTGGGAGCGCAGTCTTGAGGAGTGGTGGGCTTGTGTGTCTTCTGACATGCGCGATGAGGATGCAGTGGGTTGGAAACCAGCCATGCGCTCTGCAGCAGTGACAGCTGCTCTTCTATGCTCTTGTTCCGACGATCTCTGCTCGCCTTCTTCCATACGGTTAGCCTCAGCTTCTCTTCTCGCCTCTCTTGCGAGACGGTCTGCCATGATGTTGCGAGGCGTACGGATTGAGGAAGCGGACCGGCCGCTACCCTGGTTGCTGTCGTGCGCAAGGTCTGACATACGTGCTTCTTCTTCCTCGAGGACGGGTGTGAAGGGGTATGGTGTACGGATTGCTTCTTCGATTGCGTAGAGGATCGCAAAGTGTCGATTGCGGGAGATGCGAAGAGCCGGATGAGGTTCGTGACGTTCAAGGTCTCTCGAGGACGGGGTTCGTTGCGAAAGCCGGGGTATGTGTGAGTCGCTGTGGCCGTGGCTGCTGTCGAATGAAAGAGATCTACGCCTATTCACACGGGGTCGAGCGATGTGGATTCGAGGGGCTCGACGGAGTCTTCTACCAGCACTGTCCGACGACGACGACGACGACGACCGGGACGAACTACTGAAGCTGCTCTGGTCTTGCGCTTGTCGCTGTTGCCTTTGCGATGCTGCCAATGGGTCTCGAGGTTCGTGGGGATCGTCAATTGAACTGCGCCGTTGATGCGACAGTTTGAAGGCTGGTAGTGGATCCAGAGTCGCTACTTCGACCGTTACAGCTCAATTCCTTCGGTTGAAGCCTATACTTCTTATTTCAACAGCCACCGATGTGTACGAGGGATCGCAAAGCTGCCGAGTCAACAATGCACTGCTACTATTGCGACACTCAGTATCCGTATGTATGACGACTTGGTGCAAAGACATGAAAGAAGGTTTGGGCAGGAAAAAGTGGACCGGCAATTGCACGACAAGGAGATCGGAAGGAAACATGATTTTTGCCCGACAAGGCATCGCTTTGTCAAACAAGGATAATATTACTCGAGGGGCTGGGTATGAACAGCAGACTTGGGTGAACCGAAGTGGCAGGAAACAGCAGTGGCTGGGAAGCAAAGCACGGTCATCACGGAAGACCAGACAAACGCACCTGAAGCCTCGGTATACGAAGATCCAAAATAGAAGGACCGGTAACGTGGTTCCTGCTTAAGGTCGTAACCTTTCAGTCTCGGACTTAATCAATTCAGACGGACGAAGCAGGTTGTTCAACTGTTGTCGGCTGTCAACTGGACTTCGTGAAGTCGCGGCTTGGGCAGCGTTTCAAGTGTGGCTTCGAGGACCGGCTTTGAGAAAGCGATGATGCTGAGGCTGGAACAGATCTGAATCGGAGCAAGGAGGACACCTGACTCATCAATTCCCGTCTCATGGCCCTGCAGCTATTTCACAAAACTCTAACCAACAGATTGGAGAAGAATGTGTTGATTTTGTGACACAGCAGTGGGTCTGTAGCGCTGTGGATGGCCGGAGCTAGGGGTACAGCGTGAAGGCAGATCGATCTGCTCAGCAAGTACTCTCAGCTGTCCGCGTCAACGACCAGGTCGATATGACCAGGTTTGGCAGGATGATTGGCAGATTGAACTCGATGGCAAGCCTGCCTTGGGCTTCAAAGCAGAACCTGGCCGATGCCAGCGCATCTCTCTATGCTTCGGCTTGGCCCGCGAGGGCTACTCTGGCCAGGGCACGCACGAGCTCTTGTCCATCTTCGATTTCGGCATGACCGGGATGGCGGCACGAACGAGATGGTATGGAGAGACGAGTCGCAAACAGACAAGTATGATGTTTCAAGAAGAAACGAGCTAGAGAGATGTTCTGCTCCCACGGACAGCGACATGAGCAGCTTCGGCTCCTGATTCGATTGCTGGCCAATCGGTTTGGACTGCAGGTTTAGCCGGACGAACATCGGCTATACTTGCATAAGACAGAGGCACATCTCGCTACCGTCATCTTCCTTCTGAGTCCAAGTCAGTCGTTCGATGTTGTATATTCGACCGGGTTCGAAACCATCAATCGCGAAGACTCTCGCTGAGTTTGAAAGTGCGAAAAACAATTATTCAAGTAGCTAAGACGATCAGCAGGTAAATGGGTGACCAACGGCACCGGAAGCGTAGGCTTCAATCAGCGACTTGATGATCGCGTACAATCCGCCAACACAGATGAAGCCTCCCAATACCAATGTGGCAAAGCAAAGCAGAAACATGGGCCATCTCTGTCTCACGGACCTCCAGCCATCCCCAAAGTAGTGCGTATCGTGCCACCAGAATGCCCCTGCAAGGCCGTATGTGTACCAGGAAGCAAAAGCAGAAGCGACTATGCCACCTAAGTAAGAGAAGAACTGCCTAAGGTCAGTAAATGAATATGAGAACCTCGAGAATATTAACATACTGGCACACCAGTGGCCAACACGAACCCACAAGCGTTTGCAATTGCGAGTAGCAGAATCCAGATTGTCCATCCCACTAGAGTGTTCTCTGTCAAGTGCTTACTACCTCGGAACATTCGCACAAAGATCAGCTTCGCAGAAAAGTGGTTATACAATGCTCCAGCTACCAATATGTTTGGTAAGAATAAGCCCCAAGCTGCTTTCGCCCACACCTTGGACAGGCTGAGGAATGAAGGACTTTGGACACCAGCACCAAGATAGCAGTATGAGACCACGGCAAAGATAACATACCAAGTCGTGCTGAAGACCTGAAGTGCCCAAGCTGACTTTTTGGCATCTCTTGGAACCTTCATCTCGGAAATGATTGTGAAGAACAGGAAGTGGCCAGCGTAAGCAAGGACTGAATATCCATATCAGCTTCTCCTTTCTGGTCGATAGTCATCCAGGTCATCTTACCAGGATTCGTGATGGCCAAGAACGCCGTGTAGAATGTGTTAGGTGCCGTTGCAACAACAACACGGCCAGGAGTTGGCTCGACACCACTCCCGATCATGGCTACCAAAGTCGCAACCAAGACTGAGATGCAGGCAACTACTGAGAAACCTTGTAGCCCAGCTCCGAAGGTTCTCGGTATTGCGACCAGAAAGGTGATGCATGTCCAGATACCGAGATAAGACATTGCACACATTCCACCTTGACTCAAAGTCTGCAAGGCCAATTGACCCAACAAGCTCATACTCCCCACTCCAGTGATGGCGAAAAGGATGGTGCCGGCACTCAGCACTTCTCTCCCCACAGATCCGATCCCAAGAGGTGAGAATAGGATGTATCCAGCATCGCCCATGTTGTGGACTTCTGGATGATTGAGCTTAAAGTCTATAAGCAAGTATGATGTGAACAAAGCCCAGACTCCACAGAAGATTATGATGATGGTGCCAGGAACAAGACCAACGACAGCGATTGCTTGAGGTAAGGTCAGGGTACCGCCAGTTACGATCTCTGTTATCATGATGAAGGCAGCAGATTGCCAGGACAGTGTACGATACTTAATTGAGTGGTTTTTGTCATCAACAAACACCTCACGCTGGTCGCATGTCAGAGCAGTGGCAATCGTATCCATCCCGGCCTTTGGCTTCTTAGAGAAAGGCATTCTAACGAGAATCTGAGTAGACGTAACTGTTACCAAAGGCACGTGAAGTACAACATGGAGAAGAGACGAAAGAGGCTTGCTGGATAAGTGGTCTTAGCTATAAGCTCATGAAGAAGTAAGCGATTGGGTACATGTGGGTGGGTGGTTATGCACAGAGACAATCGTGGTGCAGGATGCGACTTGGCATGGCAGATCTCGTTATACCATTCGCTTAAAGTCATGGCTGACTGCATGCGATCTGCATTTGAGTGTTTCGGGCGCTCGTGCAGAATCAGTACTATGCGACTTCGTGGACGCAACTTGCTTGGAGGAATTCAGGCACAAAACGGGGGTGAAACTTGAAAATTGTGAATTGAAGGATCCCAACCGCACCGAGATACACCCAGAAAGAAAGGCATAAAAATCGGAGAGGTTGAAGAGTCGTAAGGATTGCATAGTGCACGAGCTCGGAAAGACAGAAAAGCGACGACGGTGCTTGTTCGTTCTTTTGAGCTTGAGCATGCATCATTTGTGCCATATAGAGCGAGAGCATTTCAACGACGACACGCTTGTCCTTGAGACTCAGAGAAGCAGTCAGGGTTGTCGACATGACCCGTGGCGGGCCTCCAGTATCGAGCTTGAAAGTTGGTGGCTCCCATCTCATGACAAAGGGTGTATGCGCCCGTCTGGCTACAAGCAAAGATAGCGCTTGCACTCGAGCTATACTGCGCATGTCGCCAGACGAAGCAAAGAGTGTAGCTTTATCGCATCATGAAGATGGATGATGTTCAGCCTCTCACTTGCTTTCATCTTCGCCGGCCTGCTTGAGAGCCTCCAGGCGTTGTTTGTTCCTCTTCTGTAGTATCCTCAAAGTGTTCTTCTTTTCAATCTCTGCCATGTTGTCCCAGTTTGTGATTCTCGAAATTGTGCCATCCTTGTTGACGACCATGGGTCCAAGGTGGTCCAGAGCTACGCCTTCACCAGAGCTAACGTCCAGCTTAATCCCGTCGGCAGGCGGTTCAGGCAGGCCCAGAGGTGTCCCTTTCTTCTCCTCTTCATGTGACTGCGAGTCTGCCATCTTGTCGTTCGGTGTGGACGAATAGTGCTTTGTGTTGGTGGTGGACGTGAAAGTGGGTCGATTCAATTCAGCTAGGCCGGTCAGTCGAGCGCGTGGAAAGTATCTGAGGAGTTGCATTGCGAGAAAGACAATAGCAAGGCAGGGCAACACCCACGTTAAGAACGTGCGACGCTTCATCAGAGTGTGATGGAGCGATCGAGCTGCTCAATGGAACAAGATCGAAGCCTCGCCAAGGATACCATTTCGGCTATCTGTGACGTCCTTGCCCGCTTGCAACTTCCTTATCGTCGTCGTCTTGCCAACGTTCTTTGGTATCTTCTCTTTGGACCTTCCAGCGACTGCACACTCATATTACTATTGAAAAGCTGCCTGGAGAACTATAGCAGGACTCGGTATCGTGGAGACGGTCAACCAAGATGTCTTTCTTCGGCAGATTCAGCACTCCAGTCTTCAAGAACACAGGATCTACCGCTCGTGATCATCTAGCCTCCGAGAGAACATATCTAGCATGGATGCGAACAGGTCTTGGTTTCCTCGCTTTAGGCATCGGTGTGGAAAGATTCAATCAGCTGGACTTGGCCGAGATTCTGCCCACGAAACATAAAAAGCGTTTCCACGAGGACAAGACACACAACGACAAGTCGGATGCTCTAGTCGGTGCTTTACTCGGAAGTGGAGCTGGAAGCATTGCATATGGGACTACCAGGTACTTTTCGAACATGCGATTGTTGGAACAAGGACTGTTCAAGCCTGCCTTCCATGGAGCTGCGTTTCTGGCTGTAGGGGTTGCTGGGATTGCTGGAGCCGTTTACTGGTCCACTGTGAGAGAGCGTAAGGCCAATTCCAGCCGTGCTTGATTGTGGTTGGCAGAGGTGTTGGGATAATTGAAGGAGAAGACTACGACACCAAAATTGCGTTGCGTTGGTCCTCGACGAACTTTTGACAGACACAGTTGCATCGCAAGTTCAATTTGCGTCTGCTCACTACGAGACACTTCCTCAAACCTACCACACTTCCTTGTTCTCACAAAGGTTAGATAAAACGTCTCTGGTAAGCCCACACCCTCGTAAACTTTTGAATCACGTACTCTTCACTTTGTCGCTACGATCACTCCAAATATTGACATAGCACAGACTATACACAAGTTCACATGGCCACATTCACCACACCACCCGGATTGCCAGATCCAGATTCAGATTCGGACTCGGACTCGGTCTCAGAAGATTCCGACGGCAGTTCTTCTACAACGGAGTACAAGACATCACCCATGTCCAACAGTCTAGAAGCTACGGTCTTCCGGGAACTCACAGACCGTCGTCACAACCCACCTTCTCCAGACGTGGGTTATGCAAAGTTCAGTCCAGTACCATACCCATACATGTCTTCACGTAGAGACCCAGACATTCACGACGACGAACCTCAAGTCATGATGCTGGCTGCTACCCACGATCCCGAAGTTCCAGGAGGCACTGAAGACTTCGAGGAAGGTTATCCCAACGCCTCTTCTCCCGTATCCAGAAGAATCACACGAGCTGCCAAAAAGCTCCAGCAGACCAGGCTCGGGAATGAAAATGTTTCTGCCTTTATACAGCCCCCCGAAACTTCTATCATCGCCATCGAGAGCCCCAAACAACCTACCACAACCCCAAGCCCTGCCGTCTCCGCAGAAGACCAAGCAGTCAACAACAATGTCGTGCCTCGCCTCTATGCTCTCACCCTCCACACCACCCCCAACCTTCACACCCCTCCCCGACATCTCGACCCTCCTCCTCCTCCGCCCTCGGTCCCGCCTACGCCTCCCGCAAAGCCAAAATCATCAACGCAAAATTTGTGCGTGGCTTCAGATTCCCATTCCCCCGTGTCTCCAAGCCGGAGAAACCAAAGTCAAAGCATCCAAGCATGCACACCCTAGCGGAATGGGCGGGTCAAGATAAGGAGAAGCAGGAAAAGGTCGCTGCACTCTTGCATGCGAGAACGGAGGTTAGGACCAAGGGGCTGGAGAATCCTTGTTGAGGAGTTTGGGATCTTAGGTGTGATGATTACGGGGCTGTATTTTATTGTGCATCTCGAAAGCTGGGTGATTAGGGGGAGTATCGGAGGTGGAGGTTAAGTTCTGCGGGTCGTGAGTCAGGGATCTTGGGTCTGGTTGTCGTATCAGAAAAAAGTTGCCCGTTTCGTACATGGTGGTGTCGGTCCCAGTTTTGATTGTGCATTTCCTCAGCCGTCTGCATATGTCAAATCACTAGGGCAGAAAGATGTATGTTGCTAGTTGTAATTCGATTGTTCATCAGATGAAGTTGTTGACGAAAAGTGTAAGATGTAAGTCATAATATGTTTCGGTTTCTGTCTTGAACTATGTTATGGAAAGCTCAATCTCAGCCACTCATCAAAAGCAAATGCTAGCTAATAATTATATCTCGTTAAGTCTTAGCCACTGGTGAAATCTCCGCTGTACAAGCGACTGTCGAAGAGTTCAATGGATGTCAAGCCGTAGTCGCGCTAACAATCATTGTCGTAGTCTCAACTTCGGTGTGCAGAATCCTCCTCCCAGCTTCATGCACACTCCTTCCAGGGCTCCATGGTCGTTGAATGTCATTCCTCTCATTTGGCAATACGACTACGAAGGACGCCAGTCCACCTCTCCTCCCCTTTGCTCCGGTTCTCTTCTCTCTGGAAGCTCTTCTTTCTTCTGCGACCGCGCTGTTCGTACCACTTGGTCTCATATTCTGAGTATTCGATGGAAGCTACCAAATTCGCTGCATCCTCATCACCCTTCAAGAAGACGCGAAGCCTTGCATCTAGTAGCTTTTCACTCTCGAGCTCCGAGGTCTCCAAAGAGCCAGCGAAGGCAAAGATACGGTAGGCCAGTGTGGATTTGTCAGCGAACTTGAACTCGCGTATCATCGGATGTGCTTTGCCGATTTGAGTAACGTTCTTCCAGAGTGGTGCAAGGAAGCGTACCGAGTCAATAATACTCTCCATATTACGCGTGGGTCCGTGATGATGCTGCGGGCTGCAGATGGTGCAGCTTCTGAGCTGAATGGCATTGGTCGATAGAAAGTTCAAGACCACCTCGAACACTTGGACGGATCGTGCGGCGTGAGAATATCCATATTCACAGTACATCTTCAGAGGATCCCAGAACCAACGGAAGTCGTTGGTTGAATAGTATAGAGACAAAGACTCTAGCCTGATATGCTTGTTCACGAAGACGATTGGAGGAAGCGAGAATTGGTTCGGCGATGATTCGCAGCTGCAACCAGAGGGTGGGGGTCTCCAGCAACAACTGCACTCCCAGTCGTCACAACGTGGTGTACACTTGCTGAAGGCATATCCATAGATCATGTTCCGAAGCTCAGGTGGCAGATCCAAGAACCTGAACGGCTTCTCAATCTGACGAGGTGGGAGTCCGACATCCTCAGAGAATCCACGTGAACTCCAACGATCCAGGTTCGCGGATGGCTCAGGCTTCCGTTTGGGAGAAGGACTAGACGGTAAGGACATGGAGTCCCAGAGAGGGCTGCCGCTGTCAGGCAAGGGCGTGTCAGGAACAGGCGAACTCTGCAGTATCTTGATGATCTGGGATGAGCCTCTGGTCGGCATGGGCGAGCCGAGTTCAGATGAAGGCCTCATCTTATTTTGCTGCTTCCGGCCATCAAGAACGGAGTCAGACTTCTGCTCGGTGGCCATCTTGGATCGAGGCACTGCTGCGACAGAAGAACTGTTTCGTGGTTTGTGTTGGCAGGAGTACTTGAAGGCGCTTTATCCAATGAGACAGCTAGGTGGATGCAGTGGATGTGAAGGTATCTTAATGGATACACGGAGAGAGGTGAGCATCCACTTGCAGTGCTTGAAGAGCAGTTGGTTGTGCAATAACGTGAGAGGTTCAGCGTGTCAGTCCTGGTATGAAGGAAGGTGCGCAGCGCGCGCAGAGATATGCGTTGGTAGCCAGGCAAAGAGAGAATGCAAGACTTGTACAGATGAGTGAAAGTATGTGTACAGCTTGACTGAAGATTTGAAGCCCGTGAGATCAGCACAGTGGAATCCTGAAAGACGGAATTGGCGTTGCAAGCCGACACGTAAAGCACTTGGGAAGGTGTGAGACGGAAGCCCGAGGCAGCAGTCAAAAGTCGCGTCGAGAGTTGAGACAAATCAGGAAGGCACGCGTGAATATGACGGAAGTGTGCCGCTTGTTTGCGACTGACATTGATGGATATCTCTAAACGTCCAAAAGATAAGAACTCGTAAGAAAGAAAAAGAACATGGACGCCTTACATGCTATAAACGCCGTGAGAATAAGAACCCATGTCCCCTTTTAGTGACCAACTCACCAGGAAGCTGGCCATGCCAAAATAAACTCATGCAAAGACTACGAAGATCTTACTCGGCATCCTTCATGTTCATCTCCTCAAACTCGTCAAGCAGTTGCTCCATGGGAATTTGAGGACCTTGTTCGTCATCGTCATCATCGTCTGTCTCCATCTCCATGGCGTTGGCTTCTTGTTGGGCCTTGTAGACTTGCATGGTGTGACGGAGATCCTCATCTTCCTCGACATCGCGCAAGAAGAGCTCAAAGTCGCGTTCGAGACGCTCCTGGTCTTGCTTGCGGGGTGCCATCTCGCTCTCCTCCTTGGCCATACGCTTCAGCTTCCAGTTTCGCTTCTGGCCGGCGGCCTTCTTGCGGCGAGGGTAATGCTTCTTGACCAGAATGACATCGGGAATTGCGGATTTGTATGTCTTGCTGGCCTCGACCTCCTCGAACTCGTTGTTGTTGAACTGGGTACCTGCGAGGAGGTATCCCATGACGCTGTCACCAGGGTTCAGAAGAGCACCGAGGTGAGTACGGCAGAAGTATGTTGTGTCATTCACGCCAAGGTCTGCAGCACGGGCAACAGTGCAGTCAGCGAGAACATAGCGTCCTTTTGTAGGGCCAGTGATTTCAATATCCATTACGATGAACTCGACAAGCTGAGGAATATCGGCGATGGGAGTGAAAGGAGCGCGCCAGTAGATGGGAGTAGCGACTTCGGCAGTTTGTAGTGTGTTGGGGTCGAGGAGGTTGACAGCAGTACCGACACGGTAGCAGAGAGCCAGAGGGAACATGTTACCGATCTGCTTGGCGAGCTTGATGGGGAGAGCGACAAGATCGTCCTTGCAAATAGGCACAATCTCGCAAGAGAAGGCGAACTTGTAGGTCTTTTCCGAAGTGTGAACGTTCATGGAAATCAGCTCTTGCGACTTCTTGCTCTTCATGGGTACTACACTGCTGAGGAAGTCGACAAACTTCTCGGCGTGGTTTCTTGCAGAGAAGAAGAAATCGATGCCGTCGTGAATTTCCTTGATGTTGATGGCATCACGGTGAGCGCCGTGCTTGAGGATGAGTTGCTCGAGGTAGAGGAAAGTACGCTTGTGGGTAACCTTTTGGCGGACCTGTACAACGGCGCGCCATGTGTTGTGTGTGAAACTCTTTTGACAATCAGGGCACTGCTGGTTGGCCTGGACGAACTCGACTTCGAAGGTTTGTTGGAGAATGGTGCCCTGGAAAGCTTCTTGTTGAATGGTGATCTTCAGCTTGATACGACGCGAATGAGGTTCGGTCCAGATAAAGGAGGCGTCGATGATGCGGACTTTGTTCAGACCGCGCAGCTTGCGAAGACAGAGAGCCAGAAGTTCGCGCGATTCGGGCTGGGCGACGAGCCACTGGTTGGGTGGTGACAACCAACGGTCACAATCTCTGCACTGGTGGAGCGTTCCTTCTCTTTGGATGCCTTGCGATACGTCGATGGTGAGCTTGATACAATCGTAACATAGAGCGCCGGCTGCGACAGTGCCGTCGATGGGAGCACCACAGTTACAGCAGAGGATGCTAAGTCGGATCAGTATGGCTGTCAGAGGCGCACGAAATGCAAGGCAAACTCACGTAGCGTTGGTCACCTCGCGCTGGGCGGCGGGTGCCATGGATACCGAGTCGAGATCCATCGACATGGTGATGTGCTGTGAAAAGTGGAAACGGGATGAAGGTCGAGGAGTTACGCCGCTTGATTTGACGAGTGGCGTTGATGAACACTTCGAGAAAGTGCCTGGATAGTGATATGAGGCGACAAAAGGCCAAAGGCAAATGCAGGAAACAAGAGGATTAATTCTCGTTACCAAAAATGTTCTCGAAGGAACTTCTCTCTCTCTGTCAGCGACGCCACAAGACTTCGGAGAAAATCAAAGGGACATCCCCGCTCTGATGCTGCCAAGACTTGCGATAAGATAACGATGACTCGCATGTCGTATTCGTATTGCTGCATGATGCTTTATGCACCGCGTCATTGCACACATCTTCGAGAGGAGACCCGGTTCCGCGATAGCTTCTGTTCCGAGATGGCTTCTGAATAGCAATAAGAAGTCGAGTGTTCTCCGTCGTCAGCATACATATACCACTCACACAGCTTACTCCAACCACCGAACAAACAACATGCCTGACTTTGCTCTTCTCGCCATCCCGGCCTTTACCATTCTGGCCGTGGTCCCTCACGCGTAGGTGTTCCTACTCCATAACATGCTATTGTATCTTCTGAGCACGTATCGCAGATATGCTCTCTCAACTGTCAAGAAACACACACAATGGTCAAACGCAAATGGTAGAGGCGAAGGTAACATCCAACACGTAAAGAAGTCTCTCCCTCCCGCCGTCTTCGCAACCTACGAACGTGCCGAAGCTGCACACAAGAACAGCATGGAGAACTTGCCTTTGTTCATCGGTACCATCCTGTCTGGTGTTCTCGCCGAGAAGGTCACCAGAACCGATGTTGGCAATGCTCAATTTGCTGCTGTGTTCTTGGGCTTGAGAATCTTGTACACTCTGCTCTACGTAAGCGGAACTCATCTTCACATGGCCGATGCGTTCATCCTTTGCTAATATCAGAACCAGATCAACACTTCTTCGGAACAGGCCAGTCATGCTCGTTCCTTGACCTGGACGGCCACTGTAGTTCTTTGCTTCTACCAATTCTACAAGGCAGCAGTTGCTCTTGCTTGAATGCCGATTCGTAGGGGGGACAATTAGATGAAGAATAATGATGTGCTATTTTACAGCTTTCATCCGTAGTGTTGTACACTATCAATGGCCATTCACGCCTTGACCTTTTCCCAAACAGATGCATCATCCTTTTCGTGATGTCTCTCTTCCCACATGTTCCGTAAACGCCGCGGCCCAATGCATCTTCTGCTATATGTACAAAATTCGTATGTCGTTCTATCCCCTAACTCCAGCTGCCGTGGATGAATCAAGCCAGTCATCTTCGTGCTGATCCAGCTTTTCATCAACGGTCCTCTGTGATAATGCTGACCCGCCTTCTTCAGACTCGCTCAAGCCAGCCATCTGATCAAAGTCGGTAGACGTAGCTAGAGTATCTGATGGCGATGTACTCAGCTCGGCTACATGCTCTGGCTTTGACTTTCCTATTGGCTCTTTCTCCTCGATGAGGTCGAAGTCTTCTTCACTGACGTTATATACCAGGTTCGGAATAGCGACTTGGGGACGTGGGAGCTGTCGTATTCCAGATTTGGTATGTGTCTCATGCCTGAACAGGTCCAGTAATTCCTGATGCGCATATCTGGCAGAACGTGCCTCACTTACAATGTAATCAAATCGAGTCATCTCATTACACGCACTGCAAAGGCGTAACATGGCAGTATACGTCTGGGGGAAAAGCCTCTCGGGCTGCCTCGATTGGTGACTTTCCCTCTGCAGCGACTTTATCAGATCCCAGATTTGACATCCAGCTGCGTAGTCGGCATTGCGTGCTCGATCGTCTAGTAATGACGTTAATCCGCGGGTGGATAATCCCCATCCGTTGTTGCCCATATCCTTGCACACTCGAAGTGCAGCATCGAAGCCAACGAAATGCAAGACACCTTGGATCAGCACTTCCAAGACACCCGGATTGGGGTATGGCTTTTGATACACCTTTTTGGTGGCCTGATCTACCATCAAACGTGAACGGCCGGTGTCGGTGATCGAAATACCGGGCTTTGCGAGTGCAAGACCACCCCGTAAACCACGCATTCGATCAACGAATGTGATAAAGCCGGACCGTGAATTGACCATGATGTAGTATTTGAGAGTCGTCTTCAGTGTAATCTCGTTGCTACGCACATTCGCATTATGGATGGCTTGGATAGTAAGATTGGCCATGTGAGCGTCCTCGCAATCCAAGAACCCGCAGAGCAAGGTGTTCCAACAGTCCAAGCTAGGGGCGACAGGGGAAACGTAGAGATTGTAGGCAACTTTCGCGATGAGATCATGATAGGGTAATTGTCCAGATTTGGTCCTCTTGAACAGCTGAGCAAGGGCCGAGTGCAGCTCTTCGGCAATGCGATGGAAATCGCCGGTTTCATCCTGTTTGTAAGTGACGCCATGCTTGTGCTGTCGTGGTAAATCATCTGGATGAGCATTGGGATCCGGATAATTGTAAGCCTCGTGGTGTTGCTCATTTGTGAAGAGCAGAAGAGCCTTGAGATGGGTTGTTGAAGCGCCAAAAAAATCGAGACAGGATTCTGATACAGTATTCGTTATGTGCTCGCGAGATCCAAGATTGTCCAGATGCAACAAGGTACGGAGAATGAGCTTGTCAACAGCCAATTCGTTCGTACGAATCTTCTTTGTCGTCCATCGAGAGGCACGAGCTCTTTCGCGCGACAGAATGCCGGCGTGAATGGAAGTTGGAGGGAGAGAACCTCGGTGCAAGCGTGCGCCAGTGTTTGCTGGCCACGCCGGTCCCTCCCCAAATTGTGGTCCTGCTAGCATGACTTGTTGCGGCTCATCGAATAGCGGTTTCCATCGCACAGTCTCCTCGTCCTCTTTCTTAGCCTGGCTGGGCTGTCGTTCGACCTTGGGAGTTTCCAGTGCGGGCTGGTCCAGATCGTGTTTGATGTCCGCGATAGCGCGGTCCCATTGTTCACGTCTCTTTTGCTTGAATCCGGCGTCGGTGGTGGCAGCGGCGGCGAAGATGCCCGAGTATACGAAAGTCGACGAGAGAGCCCATCTCACTGGCCTCCTGCCCGCTGCATTGCCTGTTCGCCTAGCAATGCCGCTGGTACCGGCAGCCACACAGGACGGGCAATGGCATCCGAGACCAGTCTGCGCTATTCGAGACCAAAGTGCTTGCATCTTATTTCCTACTGCATCGCGTCCCCTGTATATTGCCCACCACCTATCCTTTGGAAACGCGAGGGGAGGGTGGTCCGGTGCTCGTCAATTGTGCCGTCTCTGGTGAATGATCCATCGGTATTTTTTGGCGACTCCAGGTTCCCGCTCGGCCTTGGCACTCTCTGCCACGCTGGTGCTTGCGGTGTGAGCATCTCGTTCTACGTCTATCGGACAAACAATCAAAAACATCATGTTGGCACTTTTCCTGACCGCAGAGCTTACTGGGTAGGTATCGTAGTCGTGGGTGTGTAAGCACGAGTTCAATTTGCCAACAATCACACACAGCGTAACCGATCTCGCCCCCATCGACACTGAAGACAGCCCTTTCTACTACACATTCAAAGTGCAATGTACTTCATGTCGTGAGGTTCACCCCAATTGGGTCAGCGTGAGCAGATTTGTAGGTCTCTTCATATCTTTTCCAGTTTTTCCTCCACCGACACCTCACTAGGAACAAAACGAGGTCTCCGGCAGCAGAGGCGAGGCCAACTTTGTCTGGAAGTGCAAGAACTGCAAGGTTTGTGATTTATCGGCTACTATCACAGACACATGGAAGTTGACCTTTGTGTCCAGAGAGAACACTCTGCCAACATCAAGGAAGCACCCAAGGCTGTGGTCCAAAACGACACCCCCAAGAGCCAGAAGATCATCGAGTTCGATTGCAGAGGTCTCGAATTCGTCGAGTTCAAGCCAGATGTACGTATATCTTGCGACAATCACATAGCATCCATTCATAACTCACAATTCTCAGGGCGAGTGGAAGGCCACCGGCATCGAATCCAACACAAAATTCGACGCCATCGACCTGACAGAAGGCGACTGGTACGACTACGATGAAAAGGCCAGCGAAGAAGTCAGCATTCAAGGCCAGAAATGGGAGATTAAGCGCGCTTGATAGCTATGACGACGCAATTCCTAGAGAATTTCTGCTTGGAAATGCTAAGACAAAGTCTTTGGTAAAAAGAGCCTCCATATCAGCTCACTTCTTGGAATTACGAGCACGGTACTCGGCTACAAGAGTCGCTTTAGGACAAAATGTCAAAACCTTCGATTCTTCGCATTATTAATCCACAAGAGTCATGGGTCATGTCACCTTCTGAACTGTTGGCGAAAAGGGCTTCAGGCATCCCGGTCGTGCAAGTGATTGTGGTTTATATCGACGATTTAAAATACGGCGGCCAAGAGCGTCATAACATCAGGTATCTCGAGAGTCAAGAGCACACTCTTGTCTTGCTTGCCTTGTGCATCATAGCATGCCACAATCATCACATGCATCACCACACCGTTATTTTTTCTCTGCTCGGGATAATTGTCTCCCGGGCTCGGAGACATATCCGCTGGACCCTGAGGCCAGTCGGACACCCAAGCTTTCTGTCAGTCTCTTTCCCTTTTGACATTTCCCACGTGTCGAATGCGTGGAAAGTCTCGTAACCTTGTTCCAGTAGAGTTTGATGAAAGGGATGCTCGCGTAGGAAGTAACATGCTTTTTGGTAAACATTGTGTCACTGGTTTAGACCCGACGGTACGTTACGGCGATATGCAGGGCAGAGAGGATTCCACAAAAACATCGCCAAGTGCATTATGGCAATACACAATCAGGGATGGCTGGCTGCACTTCTGTCAAGAAAGCCCGGATCCTTGTATCCGAACAGCCTTGGACGATGATGACGAAGAATGCTCACAAGGCGTCCCTGGTTCCCCGAAAAAAGAGCTCGCGGTCGCCGGCCGGCGCATAATCCAGGGCCCCGAAAACGTGACGAGACAGGTTCCCTGAATGAAGATCATCGTCACTTTCGAAACTGTCCCGATCTCCGGCACTGCCAATCACTAGGCCCTCCAGATCGTGAGAGTCAGGGATTGATGGACCTCAGTGTCACCTGCCAACTAAGAAGTATTTGACATCCTTCTACTGTTTCCGTTTGCTTTCGTCTTCTCTCCCATCTCACTTGCCATATCCAGCCAATGTCGACGTCTTGGTCCGGGACTATTGTGTACTTATCAGTAATCTGTTGCTGCTGTACTGCAGCAATTGAGAAGAGATGGAAGCATGGGGTAGTCTGCTGAGCACTCTGGAGCACGATGAGATTGAAAGTGTCTTCCTGGCTATTTGCGACCATCGCTTGAATCACATATACCCGACTACAGCCATTACACCGCTGGAGGTCCCGAGACACGATAGCGCCATCTCTGTTGCTTCTGTCAAAGATGAAGACATCGCAGCCTTGCGACCGACAGCCAAAGTCCGATCTCAGGATTCGCCCTCGCGACGTACAGATGCAGAAGAATACCCGACCAAGGAAGACTTTGACAATGCCTTCTGGGCCAGCACAAGGCAAAATGGTATCATACAATACTGGGCTCCTCGTCATACTTCCTCGCCGCATCACAACACTACACTAGCCACCAGAACGCCGAATATATCTCGTGCTGCTCATCAATCACACAAAGGCTGTACAGCAGTATTTCTCTCCGCAGAAACGGGCTCCCTCGCCTTCAACCACGTAGCAGCCGGAGTCCACAAAGTCCTCTGTTGGGACTCCAACCCCTGGAGTATAGAAGGACTGAGAAGAGGTGCTGTAAAAAATAGATGGAACGTTCAAATTCGGCGGAAAAGCCAGAGTCGGTGCAAGAGTCTTGGTTTGCTCCCGAAAACCAGGATTGTAGCTTTTGAAGAGGAGGATGAGAAGGCTTTGGCGAGGGTTAATGACTTGAGGCATAAGTTGCCGCCTGTTCGTCGTGTACATTGTGGATCAACAACTACATCTCGGAAGTCGTATGCGATGGCGGCAGCGATTTTGGATCCAGAGCTAGGTGGTTGGGTCTATATCCAGGAAGGCTGCGGCGTCCAAGAGGTGGTACCCAGATCCATCGAGATGCGCGCGGATTTGGAAGAGATTGTCCAGACCCTTGACCGAGAAAGAGGATACTTAGGCAATGGCAAGATTGACGCCAGAAAACCTGTCGTAGAGCACATCCAACGTACCGCTTCCCACACCCCTGGTGTATTTACTTGTAGTATAGATATCCACATACCACCACTTCGAATATGAGATCATCCTCCCAAATCGAAGGAACGGTTCAAGCTCTCATCCTTCAAACACCATCCAACACCCACGTCTGAGCATCTCCATCTTGCTCCCCACCTTCCTCTCCCCCTTCCTCTTCCTCCTCCGCATCCCGTCCTTCTTCCCTCCTCTGCGCCAAAACCCTACTATGCAGATCCGCCCACCTCTCAATCCTCTCCGTATGCACAACAACCCTCATGATACAAAAACAAAACCTCACAAAAACCTCTGGATTCTGTTTAATCCCCTCAGCCACTTTGCCCAGATCCACAAGCTCTGAAATCGACAATCCTTGTTTCCAAGCCTCTTGCGCCTTGGGAAAATATTCGCCAACAATGGAAGAGATGAAGAGATCATGCATTTCCTTCATTTTCAAGGTATGGGCTTTTAGGCAAGGGTGATCATAAAGAGGATGGGGGAGATGAAAGGAAGAGCCAAAGTTCCCGTCTATGCAAAAGGGACAAGATTTGTGGTAGTGGTTTATCAGTGCTGCAGTTCCTGTGCTGGAGATTTGGAAGATTGGGCTTGTGAGGTCGGATTGTCCTAGATCACCTTGGAAGGTAACGCGTAGATTTCGAAAGAATTTTGTCGTCAGGGGCAGGGAGTGTAGTATTGATAATGTAGAGGGGAGGAAGGTTAGACCATATGTGCCATCCATGCCGCGTGTATAAGAAGCTGAGAAATCATTGACTCGCAGGAAAATGGGCAGGGTTTCTTGTCTTAATTGCTTTGACACTGCTGATAAATTCGGTAATCTCATGACTTCGAGGTGAAGTCTACGTTGTCGAGAAAGAGCATAGCTGTATATCCTGACTCTAATCTCTGCCGGGAGATCCATAAAGGGGAATGCTTGATCTATATCCATCCGCGGATCTATAGGTTTTATCTCGCTGGCCAGTGCGATTTTCTCATCACGAGAAGCGATTTTTAAGCGATGGGTTGAGAATGCTCGAGAGCCGGTTTTGTAGGAAGAGGTTATTGGTGTTATGCCGAGGACTCGGTATGCCTGGGCTGCTCGACGTTGTTGATTTGTGTCAAGGTGTGACATTTTGAAAAGTTTACCAGTCCAAGCGATCCAACAAAGACTGTTCTTTTTTTTCTCCTCGTAAAAGTCGTGTTGTGATGGTATTATATGTATGAGGGTACTTGGATTAGAAATTCGAGATGGAGGCTGACAGCGACTTGGTGACGTTGTGCAGGCGGTAGGCCAGAGATACCAAACACGCAGAACGATGCTTCTTGGCAATCTCGAGGCCTGTCATATATGTCGCTCTCACACTCACAATTCGCAGCCTCAGTGTCGAATATCGCTACATCGCAGCTGCTTGACATTTCCTTCATGTGTCGCGAAGTCGTGACGGAGAATCTCACATAATAGAAATTTTGGATATCGTGTTTATAGCAAGAGCATGATGGAAGTAATCGTCTCTCTGGAACATGCAAGAAAATGCTCATACAAAATGCCGTCTTATCCATGCCTACAATGCTAAATGCGCCGAAACATACTTGTCCCAATGCTCCTCCGTATCCGCTTGTTTCCAAGCCTCCACGCCACCAGAAACACCCTGCTCATCCACAGTCCAATGCCCACTCTTGACATTGACCAACCAATTCTCCAATATCGCCGTCAACTTCGGGCCATGACGTAAAGTAAAAGGATTAATACCATGAGCGTAGACTTCAGTATGGCTCTTTGACATTAACCTCCCATCACTAGTTCTAGCCTTCTTATTCGCTCCCACAGCAAAAGGCAAGACAAGTCTACAAGCATCCTCAAATGGGTTTTCCTTGTTAGGATAAGAGTCAAGGTAAAGCCCACAAGGCACTTCCTGCACCGTACTAAACGGCCAGCGGAAATTTGCCTGTTTGGACGTCACAGTGCCCTCGGCTCGGAAAAACAAAAATGGCATCTTGATGCCCTCTGTTTCTTTTGGGTATTTTGCGGCGACGTGTTTGAAGGGTTGGTTTACGAATTCCGAGGCTTGGGGGAGACGGATGCCCGGGGCGACGTACCAGATTCGTGGTTGGCGGGCGTGGGAGAGGAGGTCGTAGGCGAAGCCTCGGGGTACACCTGCGGCGGAAAGACCGGATCTACTGCAGAGGGGGGTGGTGTTGGGGTCTTCTTCTTCGTCTCGTAGTCCACTTTTGATCTCGATTATTGTGAAGAGCTCCTCCCAGAGCTTTAGGCAGGTTGTCAGGTCGGCGTGTGTGTAGGATACCAGACTCCAAGGATGTGTGTCGTAGCGGGACCGCCGAGCTCCAGTGTATGGGTCCACTTTCGGTCCAGCAGGTGCAATTTCTTGCCACGATGTTTGTCCATCTGGTCCTTCCACTGGTCCTAGTCGAGGCTCGCGACCAATTGAATCGTGCAAGGCCACCGCTTTCCCAGCTTCAATCATGTCGATATAGGCACTAAGGATTGATTCCAGTCGTTGCCATGGTAATTTTTGGTCGTACAAGTCGAAGATGTGTAAGAATGTCGGCATGAAGATTGCCTTGCCTGTCTCCTGATCATATCTATGGTTTCTTGTCAGCTAATTGTCCTCTCCAAATCATTCGAGAACCACGCGCTTGCAATCTCGATGAGAAGGAGAGGCGCGCAGCCTCGAGGTATACCACTCACACAATGCCACTTCTTTGACTGACCAACTCCTTGTTCGTCATGTACAGCGTGATAAATCGATGCTTCTCCCCCTTGACCTTCTTCTCACTATCGTCCAGCAAATCCCCCAAATACACCATCTCCCTCGGTCTCGCAACCCTACTAATATAATAGAAAAAATGACTCCCATCTCCACCCGGCAAATCAAAGATTTTCTTCAGGTACTTGACAAGAGAAGGTCGTAGTAAGATCTCAAGCGTTTTGCTGCCATGCTTCATCCACCAGGTTTTGCGATCCATGTCGGCTACTTTGCGGCCGCTGCGTAGCCAGCCATATATGGCTATCGTGTTATGAAGAGCGGCGCATCTGTCAAAATCCAATTCTGGAGATTCTCGTGGCGGTTTTTGTGCCGTGACTCTTTGATTCGCGATGGAAGCAAAAGGGCTAGCCATTTTTGTGTCCTTACTTCCCACTGTCCTGTACGAGTTTATCCCCAAAGTTTCCCGCAAAAGCCGGAGAAGAGATTTGATGTCGAGATTTCTGCCAGCCGTGCATATAAGAGGCGGTCCAAGAAAAGAGGGGGTTCCCAAAGCGTGAGTAGTAGAATCGCAGTCAGGCTGAGGACAAGTCGCAAATGTACACCTATACAAGTCCCTTTGCCGAACGATGGCGTTCCTTGGGGCTGTGGTTTGTCTATATACTTTCCACACAAAATGCCAGAGCCGCGTGCGGAACAAACGGCCTACCTACGTAATGTGGGCGGTGCACTGGCCTTTTTGGGGAGTCGAATAAGTAAAACGGACACTTTTGAGTAGCAGAGTAAAACAGGGAAATGTGCCAATTATTGACAGAATACAGAAGGAAGGAAAAGTTGGCTATAGAGGATTGGGATAGTGTTGCGTACGTAGTTTGAGCCGAGAGGAGTCTTGGGGTGTAGCTTTGTATCTCTCGATATAACAGAATACAATCCTTTGCGGTTCTAGACCTTGGCCTCGGCTGACAAATTCACATGAACTCTACTCTATGTTGACAATCTATGATTGAGATGACAATGACAGGAGAATTGTTGACAGAATTCTCCGCTGGCGATAGATTGGGCACATGACAAAAAGGCATAGATGACATGTTGTAAGATGGCCATCACGGTTCTCTCAATTTAGCCATGGTCGACCCTGTTGATCCTGATGCGGACCATCTCGGATTGATCCACCGGGCCGCAGTGGGTAATTACCCGGCAATTGGTCCACGAGTTGGCAGCATGCAGGTCAGCAGATGGAGCTGGAGATGGATGCGCAAAGTCCATATTTCGCGAGCGCGTGATGATCCTTTGGGCGTCGAGGGTCGAGGCTGAGGAGCGTTTGAGGAGAGGCGAGGACGAAAGCTGTCAACAGATGACGTCAATGAAGCGCTTCCACGATCAACGACATTGGTCAGTCGATGCGAGAAGATGGTTTGAGTTGCGGTATGAGGAGTGGTGCACTTCAGGTGTACTTCTTTGGCGGCGGGACCCATTCCTCCTTCTTGCCCTTCCAGAAGCCCTTGCCATAGCTGACAAGAATCTCCTCTCCTGGTGTGATGCCGTTCTTCCTCATGGCAGACTTGCCTGGCGTAACAACGAAGATGCCAATCCATCTTTCCCACTTTCTCTCGCCAGTCTGAACCCAGATGTCACGGAACTCTGCATTGGGCCGGTCGGCGATGCCGCGGTAGTCGTTGATAAATCGAGCCTCGTTGCCTGATTTTGCAGCATCTTGAGCTAGATCGAGATCTCTGTCTACCGAGATGTCGTATTCGGAGTCGGGGTCGGTGTCCTTTGCATTGTTCGTGTGGAGGACACCAATGTATGGGAGAATGAAATTTCCCGGATAGAAGTGCTTGTTGGCAGCGAGACCGAACTGGCCATTGGCAGGATGTTGAGGGTCGTTGAGAGGGACGATACGGACGTCAGGGTTGGGGAATCTCAGAGCATCGGCAGAGAAGCGAGTGAAAGAGGCAGTCGCAGCTGTCGGCGTGTTGAGCAGCTTGAGAGCGACGGCAGGTACGGCGGGCGAGATCTTGGGTCGGCGTAGGTACTCGATGTCTTCGGGCCAGTCGACAGGCAATTCTTCCTGCGACACTGCGTCTTGTGCATTCTCTTCTTGCGACATGGTTGCTGGTGCCGAGGCAGATGTTCAAGTTGGCGCAAAAACTTTCTTCGTCTTTGTCGCTGTTGCGGAATTGAGCCGCATTGACACGCCCCGCCCTGTTGATCAGGCTTCAGTGCCAGGTTGAAGGAAGCCTCGAAGACGCGCCAGCTTTCTCCACCAGAACAAGAGACAATGACGACCGCCTTTTCGACATCGGATGTCGATGCCCGCGTCGCAGCACTCCGGGAACAAATTCAGGCCACCGAGGACCAACTCGCCCAACTTCGCGAACAACTAGCTCACGCCGAGGAGGCCCAACACCGCGCCCAAGATGCTGGCAAGCTCGAGACGGACTGGCAGCAAGAGATTATGGGAGCTTTGAACAATCCGGATCACCAATACTACCAGCGAGAACAAGCGCCGCAGCGATTCGGTCTCAGCAACGCAGACTTCAAGCGCTATGGTCGCCAACTCATCATGCCGCAGGTCGGTCTGCACGGTCAATTGCGACTGAAGGCTGCTCGAGTCCTGATCGTCGGTGCCGGAGGACTGGGCTGTCCAGCTGCTGCATATCTCGCTGGCGCTGGCGTCGGTACTCTGGGTCTGGTTGATGGCGACACTGTCGAAGAATCGAATCTCCACCGCCAAATAGCCCACTCCACCGACCGCATTGGCATGTTCAAGGTCGACAGTGCCCTGACCAATCTACGCGGTCTAAATCCAAATCTCAACTACATCCCACACCGAGCTCATCTCACTCCGACTACTGCTTTGGACATTTTCTCAAACTACGACTTGGTGTTGGATTGCACAGATCACCCAACTTCACGCTACTTGATCTCAGATGCTTGTGTCTTGTCTGGGAAGCCTCTGGTTTCTGCTTCCGCTCTACGAACAGAGGGTCAACTCATCGTCCTCAACAACCCGCCAAGAGCTCCTGGCGCATCAGAAGGTGGTCCTTGCTATCGCTGTGTCTTCCCTCGACCACCGCCAGCCGAGTCGGTCGTCAGCTGCGGTGAGGGCGGCATCTTGGGTCCCGTAGTCGGCGTCATGGGTCTGCTACAAGCCCTCGAGACACTCAAGCTCATCACAGCGTCCCCAGACGCAGCAGCACCGCCTCCATCTCTCCTCCTCTTTTCCGCCTACAGCACACCTCAATTCCGTAATGTAAAGCTGCGCTCAAGACGTGCCGACTGTGCTTCCTGTTCCGCAAACCACACAGTCACAGAGTCCAGTCTGACATCTGGCTCCATGGACTACATAGCCTTCTGCGGCGTCACCAGCCCGATTGACATCCTCCCCCGTTCCTCCCGCATCAGTGCCGGTGAACTCCTCTCCACTCTTTCCTCATCCTTACCACACGATGACGAAGCTCCTGTCATTCTCGACGTCCGCGATGCCACACAATTCGAACTGTGCAGTCTACCAAACAGTATAAACCTACCTTATCAAGGTCTATCCAACCGTCTTCGCGATGACAAACAAGTTCTCGAAGACCTACGGGGCAGAGATGTCTTGGTGGTGTGTAAACTAGGCAATGACTCTCAACTCGCCGTTCAGATGCTTTCTGCAGCGACTCCAGAGATGAAGAGTGTAAAAGACGTACAAGGAGGCTTCCGAGCATGGAGAAACGAAGTGGATCCTGAATGGCCTGATTACTAGAATCTTCATATATATATCTGGAGGGCCAATGAGTTAGAAAGACCGAAGAGGCTAACTCTGCAATATCACACTCTCAAACATGTGCCCCAACCCCTTTACCTTGAGCCAATTCTCAATAGCAGCCATATCCCCTCTATTCTGCCTCGCACCATGCTTCTCCCCCACCATAGCCGTAATCTCACTCATATCCTCAAAAGCCCTTTTGACCTCATCACCCTCTTCCCGATATCTCTCTGTAACCTTTTTCTGATGCGGAGGAATGTCACTCCAAGAGACTGTTTTGATCTCATTCATATAGGCGGAGATTGAGGGTGATGTACCTTCTAGGCATAAAAGACCGGGTTTTCCGGCCAGCACGAAGCCGGTTAGGGAGTAGGAGGGTGCCCAGAGGACCATGTGGAGGCGCTTTTCGCGGGTGCTGAGGGAGGGGAAGTAGAACCATACTCGTACCAAGGGGTCTGAGGATACTGGGTCTTCGGTGGTGGGGGTGTAAGTGGGGAGGAGTGAGGGCGCTTCATCTCGGAGGTGGTCTAGTGCGCTAAAGATATCCTCAGGAAGGGTGGACGTTAGAGTTGCGAGAGCGGCTTTATCAAGCCATGTTGGTTGACGAAGGGAGAATGTCAAGGGTGGAGCTTCCGATGGATCAGATTCTGTGGTCCGTAATGGTGCTGTGATGTTGACTTGGATCGAATGTGTTGGGTCCAGATGGATGTGTAGAGATAGATTGATCTCTGAAGGTGTGGATGTGATATTCTCGCTACCATTGTCGCGGACATTCGTTATCAAATCAAGATCTAATTGAGAAATTCCGAATTCGTTCTCGTCAGGGAACATGGCTAGCAAGAGATCAAGAGTTGATATCTGGGACTCCAAGAGGTCCGAGGGAAGTGGGTGGGAAGTGCTCATATTGGTGTTTTGACCTCCGCAATCTACCAGATATCGGATATGCCAGGATATAGAGCAGTGTTACCAAGAGTGAAGTGTCCAGTAAGAATGCCCTGGGACAGAGGTCAGTCATAATCTTGATCACTCATTGAAGAATTCGAGGATTACCTTGTTTTGCGATCGAGTATCTTAAAGTGCCCGCGGTGACGATTGGCAAGAGCAGATGATCGAAATTACTGTCTGTAGAATTTACTATGCCCACTATACTAAGCTACAACTCCAGGCTATTTGTAAGAAGGTCTCGCAAAGAGTATGGTCAGCTGTGGATAGCCACTGACAAGATGTTAAATCTGGAGATATTTTATGCAATTTTATGGCAGTTTTACGACGCGACGCCGAAGTTCGGAGACTCGGCTGCACCTCCCTCACATCAATCAACATACCACTTCTCTCATCTTGTCTCTATCTTGATTCTCTCCCTGCGAACCATGAAGAGGATCCCTGCGAGGCTTAGGATTATTGCATTGAACCTAGTCAGGACTGATGAATCCGAAATCTACAGGAGCGACAGACTCCGACCGACAATATCAATAAGCAACTGGACCCACGGTGGCATTCCATCCATGTCCGACAGTTGACAGCAACCAGAATCGACTGATCGTATCTTCCAGACAGCGAATAAGCGAATGGCAATGGAACACGCGTCGTATGAGCTCTATGTTGTCTTCCCCACGGGAGATATAGCTCCGCTATACATAGCACAAGAATTCTCAGCTGACGTCGAGATTCAGACCATACTATTCCAGCCAGCTTGGATACCACTCATCGTTTACCACCACTGCCCTCTCAGCCCAACTCAGGTTCTGCTAGTTCGACGCACCCTAGCAGCAACGCCTTCGATGATAATTCACAGATGCTCTACTGGATAAGTTCGACCAGGGTCATCCCCATAACCATTATTCCCATGTCAAAATACAAGTGAGACAAGCAACTTGGTGTTAACAGCTTCTACTTATGTGAAACATGATACACGTGTTCATGTCGAACCAGACACTGCATCAATAGGCTGATTGGAAGAGGACTTATAGAGCTGGGAAGTGGAAGTGGACCAAGATGACAACTTCCACAGGCAGAATTCTTCTTCGAGGACTGTTCAGATTATCTTCAGCATTTAAGATCCCCTAAATAAAGTCATTACTCCGCCTCTACACCTTTGGTAGTTCATCGTGGGAGGTGTACGCAAGCTTCTTCTCCTTCGCATCCAACTCGTGCTTGTTGATGAACATGTCCTTGTTCTCAGCATATGCCTTCTCCATCTGCCAGTAGAATGGTGAGGTGGTGAACATGGCTTCAATAGACTCGAGAGAGCGGTTGGAGGTTTCTGGGTAGATCAGGTAGACGATGAAGATCCAGATGAAGTTCAATCCGGCGAAGAGGAAATATGTACGACTCTGCGAATATGGTCAGTGGACGTATGGAATGATGGATGCGGTGGATGGACATACCTGGATGTTGCCGAACATGATTGGGTTCACCAAGACAGTCATACCCACACCGATGGCCCAGCCGGTGATACCGAAACCGTTTCCTTGTGCTCTCATTCTGCTGGGGAAAATTTCTGTTGGGATCAAGAAGGCTACCGTGCCCCAGGTAGAGGCGTAGACGAGGTTGAAGAGGAACAGCATAGTCACTGCAGCAGGGGCAATACTGCTTGCAATCGAGGGGTTGCTGCGCGATGCTTCGTAAAGAGAAGCGGCCTGCGAATTGGTCAGTCTGTGGCTAGATCGTGTTCAAGCAAGACAGGTACGTACAATCAGGTTGACAAGGAACAAACCAGCAGCACCGTACATCAGACACTTACGTCTTCCGAGACGGTCAACGATTTGAGCGGAGATGATGGTACCGACTATACCGATAGTGTTGAGACCTCCGGCCAGACCGTTCTGCTTGATTTCACTGTATCCTGCTTGACGCAATAGTACAGGCGAGTATGCAGTGACGGCAGTAATACCAGTCCAGGAAGCCATTATTTGTAGCCAGATACAGAGCCATGCTCTGCGGCCAAGATGACCGCCCTTGTTGAGTCCGAGTATAATCTTAATGAACTCGATAGGAGAAGCAGGCTTGGTGTCCTCAGCCATGGCGACGATCTCGTTGAACTCCTGCTCTACGGCTGCAGAGTTGTGGCCTCCTCGAACCCGTTCGAGGACATCGCGGGCTTCGTCATTTCTGCCGACGGATGCAAGATAACGAGGAGAGTCGGGTAACATTTTAATACCTGCAAGGAGCAGGAGAGCGGGAAGACATTGGAAAGCGAGAAGGAAGCGCCAGCGAACTGCCGAATCGCCATTGTCTACAAAGGATAGTCCAAAGTCGAGCCAGTAAGCGACGGAGATACCGAGGTAATTTGCGATGAAGACATAGCCCAGGAAACCACCACGGTGGTCTGCGCTGGAGACTTCCGAGACAAGTACGGGAGTGATACCAGTAAGAGCTGTTTGTGAGTCGTAGTCAGCATAGTTACAAGACCAATCTCTGCAATACGCCGCTTACCTCCAGTACCGAGACCAGTGACGACACGAGCAACAATGATGAAATCAGCACTCTGAGTGGCAGCTTGGAGAGCACCTCCGATCAGAGCGAAGATGGCGGCGAAGAACAGGCCGTTGATTCTGCCAATGCGATCGGCCGCCCAGCCACCAACGAAACACCCAACGATGGCACCGAGATAATACTGCAGTACATATTAGCTTCCAGTCTGGGGGTCGATGTATGTTGGCTTCAACTTACGACACTGACGATACCGCCCTGCTTGGTAGTGTTTGTGACAGTACCATCAGCAGTACCGATGTTGACTTCTCGCACGTAATTTGGTGAGGCGTTGACACCTCCCATGACACCCTGATCATAGCCTTCGAAGAAGATGGAGATCAAAGCAAATGTCTGAATTGCGATGTTGAGCTGAGAAGGCGTGAGCCGCTTCCAGGCTGTTGTGAAACCCATGATCTCTGGAAGATGAGATGAGGTGAGATTGGAGATTGAAGTGACTGGTTTGGACGATCGGCATGGAAGGGTAGTCAATGGAGGTTTTATATTCTCACTCTCAGCGTGATACTCGAGACGTGGTAGTGATTAGAAAGACACTTCTGGACATCGTGTAACCGGGAGCCGAGAAAGACTCCAGAACGCTGATCGGGGCCCCGGAAGGCGTTTGTCGTTGCTATGATATTTGGCTCACCCCATGGCGCCTGACTGCCGATGTCGTGGAGATGACGGATTGATGTTCGGGTAATCGCTTAATCGCGATCGTGACGGTCTCATTACGAGCACCCGATTAAGCGATTACTCTCCCCACTCGCACCCCAGGCTCGCGGACGACTGGATGTTCAAGGTCCCTCCGTGTTGTCGGCATTTAGCTTATGACATCTTGGCAGAATTCATTTATTTACCGTGACAAGCTGCTTTATTGAACCCTCATTCCTTCGTCCTCACAACTCATTTCCTTACCTCCTACCACGATCATCATGAACGGCAATACAGAATACATCAATGGCGACCGGACGGCGCTAGATCTTACTGTACTCGGGCTCAACAGTGGAACAAGCATGGATGGTATCGATTGCGCGCTATGCAGATTCCGACAAACTGGTCCCGAAGCACCAGTGCACTTCGAGCTGCTCAAATATGGCGAGATTCCTTTGGAGCAAAAGATCAAGAAGCGAGTCATGAACATGATCTTGCACAACAGCACTACACCAGAGGAACTGTCCGAAGTCAACGTCTTGCTGGGCAACACATTCGCTTCAGCAGTAAAAGACTTCTGCAGAGATGAAGATGTCCCCATGGCAGATATTGATGTGATTGGATCGCATGGTCAGACGATATGGCTGCTCAGTATGCCTGAGGCTGGTCAGACAAAGAGCGCGTTGACCATGGCTGAGGGCACCTTCATCGCTGCACAGACAGGAATCACTACTGTGACGGACTTCCGTGTCAGCGACCAAGCTGCTGGTCGACAGGGAGCACCTCTCATCGCCTTTTTCGACGCCCTATTACTGCATCACCCAACGAAGCTGAGGGCTTGCCAGAACATCGGTGGTATTGCCAATGTTTGCTTCATTCCACCTGACAATGCTGGTGGCATTGACCAGTGCTTCGACTTCGATACTGGTCCAGGCAATGTTTTCATCGATGCGGTTGTACGACACTACACCTGCGGCAAGCAAGAGTACGACAAGGACGGTGCCATGGGTAAGCGTGGAACCGTAAACCAGGATCTGATCGACGAGTTCTTGAAGTTTAAGTACTTCAAGCTGGATCCTCCAAAGACGACTGGCAGAGAGGTGTTCAGAGACACCATGGCACACGACCTGATCGAGAGAGCAGAGAAGCTGGGCATGTCACAAGATGATGTTGTCGCTACCGTGACACGCATCACTGCGCAAGCCATTGTCGACCACTACCGCCGTTATGCACCGTCACAAGACATCGACGAGATTTTCATGTGCGGCGGCGGTGCGTACAACCCGAACATCACCGACTTCCTTCAGAAGAGTTATCCAAACACCAAGATTTTCATGCTAGATGATGCAGGAGTTCCTGCTGGTGCCAAGGAAGCGATCACCTTTGCATGGCAGGCGATGGAAGCAGTTGTTGGCCGATCGATACCTGTGCCCGACAGAGTAGAAACAAGGCAGGAATATGTGCTTGGAAAAGTGGCACCCGGAAAGAACTACAGAACAGTCATGAAGCAAGGCATGATGTTCGGAGAAGGTAACAGACTGCCGCCAGTGAAGGAGATGATTAACTATGTGAACGGCAAGGTGTTTGACAACAATTGGGCATAGAAGGTTTTCCTTGGAGTTGAATGTAGCATTTCATGAGCGACTCGTCTAGCATATTGTTAGCAAATTCATCTGTTCGTTCTTGCCTGGATAGCTGTAGCTTTGAAAATCGTTCACTGACATCAACCCTGCGATCAGGACATCCCGCGGTGCACGTTGAAGTTTTGAGCGTATAAGTGTCTTCGCGATGTATGCGTCATAATAATTAATCGATTCAGACCGCTCACGCGCTGCTGCCGCTATCGGTCATGCGCGTTATGTCCGGGTTATTGCCGTGTGGTCACAAAAGGCTTGAAAGGCTTGGAAAAGGCTTGAGGAAGCTGTCGCCTGACAGAGTACTGCATGTTTGTTTGACCACTTCATTTCACATCACCGATCTTCAAGGACGATACACGGCTCTGACGGGCACATTTGTATGAGATGTCCTGTCTGTGACTTTCCAGTCAAGCTGTACGGTCCTGTTGCATGTCCCGCGACCAGCCGCAGCCTGAAGGAAGTCTCAATCGTCGTCGTAAGCCTGCGGGTGACGACGAAAATCAATGACCCCATGGGGGTTGCGGAACAATCTGCCTTACCTCACGTTGCTAGATGGGAAACTGCCGCCCTGTCAACGGGACCTGCACTGTGGCTGATGACGCTGCGAATTGTCCTGGACTTATATCCAGATCAAGTACGAGACAAGACTCCGACTGAGAGACCGCCACAGTCCCTGTCGATATACTGTACCGTTTACACACGACAGACTATGGCCTGTATCATCCGACGCACAAAGCTTGTCATCTGGTAAGTGATCGTATCAATTCTCGAAAGCGCTGGAGTCACTCGCGCGTAGCTGCAGCCTCTTCCTGAAAATAGACTTCCCAATACACTTGTCGTCGTAAGCATATCTTATCGGTTAGCCGGCAACCACCAGCCACCCGTCGTCATTGTCTCAACGGGAACAAACAAGAGATATACTGATTCTTGTTCAATGCTCCGTACTGGGCATTTACTGATTGCTTCATCCTGCTCTCGCAACAGTACCTCTATCTGGCTAATCTCATACCATGGCGTTCTCGACGAAAAGTTTTAACCTGTGCTTTTGTGCTTTCTGGCTCGCGAGCCTTACGAATGCTGTTACCCTCGACATTACAGATGCAGGTACACAGAATCTTTACGAACATTTCAAAGGCGCTTTCCGAGAGCTAATTCTTATTAGATTCAATACGCAATGCATCGAAAACAGTCGCAGAGGGTCTGATGGCATGGTACGCCGGGAATGACACTGGAGGAACACCTGGTATTCTGCCAGGGCCGTACTATTGGTGGGAAGCAGGAGGAATGTTCGGCCATATGATCGACTACTGGTACTATACAGGAGACGACTACTACAACTCGATTGTTTCAACAGCCATTCAGTTCCAGGTAGGATCCAACGATGACTTTCTACCAGCAAATCAAACAAAGGATGAAGGCAATGATGATCAGGTCTTTTGGGCATTTACCGCGATGGATGCCGCCGAACTCAACTTTCCCGAGTCTACAGACGCAGACGCACCCTCTTGGCTTTCTTTAGCACAAGCAGTATTCAACGAAATGGCTGGACGATGGGACACTAGTACTTGCGCTGGTGGTCTTCGGTGGCAGATCTACAGTTTCAACGCAGGCTACAACTACAAGAACTCGATATCGAATCTTGGACTCTTCCAACTCGCTGCTCGTCTAGGTCGCTATACCGGTAATACTACGTATACGGATTGGGCCGAGAAGACATGGCAGTGGTATTCTGATGTTTCACTCTGGGATGCTGGGACCTACCAAGTCTTCGATGGTACGTCGACGGACGACAACTGCACTTCAGTGGACCACTTCGAATGGACATACAACTATGCAGCTGCCATTGGGGGTGCGGCTTACATGTATAATCACGTACGTTCACCCAAATCTTCCCAAGTCTACTCTTCAGCTGATACGCGTCTCAGACATCCGAGGCAAAATGGCTAGATATAGTTGAAGGTCTACTCAACACCACGTTCACCACTTTCTTCCCTTCGACCATGGGCGACAAGATCATGGTGGAGATAACATGTCAACCCCTGGGCAATTGTGACACCGATCAACTCTCCTTCCGCTCGTACCTAGCCCGCACACTAGCAGTGACCACTCAACTCATCCCTTCTCTCCACGAGACAATATACCCCTACCTACGAGCTTCCGCCCAAGGAGCAGCTCAACAATGCGATGGCGGCACAACAGGCTCAATCTGCGGTATGGAATGGAACACAACAGTCTGGGACGGCACATACGGCGTTGGTCAAGAAATGTCTGCATTGGCAGTAATTCAATCCCTTATGCTGGATACTGAAGACGCGGCATTCACTCCTCCATTGACGGCGTCAACGGGTGGAAATAGTACGAGTGATCCTAGTGCTGGTACGGGAAGTACCACCGTCACGGATGAGCCTTCTATTGTCACCAGGCAGATTACAACTGGTGATCGGGCGGGAGCTGTGATACTGACGATCGCGATTTTGGTCTTCTTCGTTGGAGGGTCTGTATGGTTGGTTATTGACTGAGCTAGAAGCCAGCTAGAAAGTGCAACAGCCACTTACATACATAGGATAATGACAGTCATACGAATGATAATCATCACGCGCATTTGAAAGTTCATTCAGGTCTAGAGCGAAAGACGCCAGGGTGATGGATTATTAAACACTATATGCCTGTAGAACGCATGCTCAAAGACCACTAACTGCACCTCTACCTCTTCCTTCCTTAACCTTGGCAAGACAATACCAAATGCAACTGAGAACGCAAAGACCAGCTCCGACCCAGCTATGCGCTGGCATCTTGAAGTTACTCAACACCGCGATCTGGAAAACACTCCTGGGCAGCGAGACAAAGTTCGCCGAGAGAGGTGATGTAGCTTTCACCAGCAGTAAGAAGGAGGAGAAGACGCCAAAGCCGCCGAGAGATGCGCAGGACATGAGAAACCAGAACCATGGGACATCCAAGAAGTAGCAGTTGCGGTGAATTTGCTTGAGTTCGCCAGAGATGAGTAACAAGGGGATAAGCATGGCTATTGTGAGGGAGGAGGTGTAGTGTAAGATTCTCCAGTATGCGCGTGTTTCCTCCTTTGTGCCTGTGCTGATGGCGGGCATGCGTGAGTCTGAGACGCTTAGCAAGTCGCCTTGAGGTACCAGGTCGGATACGAGTTGACGATAACTGCGTAGAAGCAGGATGGGATACAGCGCGACGAAAGCGGAACTGAAAGCTCCAGCTACGACTGACTCCCATGGGTTTCGCTCTCCAGTACGTATGCTTGTCATGAGCAAGTTCAGTGTGGAAATAATCACCGCTGACATAGTCTGAATTGAATGCTTTTGGCGAAGTAGAACGGCGGTAAGTATCAAAGTCAACGGGACAACGGCGATCCTGGAGATCATGTACATGGGCATAACAGCATATGCAAAGGAGATGTTTGACAGAACAGTCTTGGCGAGAAAGACCACAGCGACGGGAAAGACATGCTTGGCTGTGTTGTGCTGATACTCAAACAGACCACCTCCAGCAATGCCTCCTGAACCGTGCAAAAACCAGTCGGAGATGTTGGTCAAGACAGACTTTGTTCGTGAGCCTCCGGTGTACCTAGTGGGTCTGTTGCCTTTGTTATACGCCCTCGAAGGGGCTACGACAGCACCAAGGCCAATGCTTCTTAGAGGTGCAGCAAGTCCTCGGGTCAAAGCAGCAAAGCCCAGCAGAAACAGGTGAGTCATGCAGAGTTGCAGAAGTGTCAAGGTGAGTGGGTAAGGAAACTTATATGTGCCCGTCCATAGAATGAAGCGGTTCATAAGTAGAGTGCCAAATTGGCAGCCTCCGACCCAGAAGACCAAAAGAGCCAGGTATAGTCTCCAGCCAACAACTGTGCCGAACAGAAACTGACCAACCCCACCCTTCTGAAAGATACTTTGTGTACTACTCCGCTCTCCGACTGTATTGCTCTTTGCGACCAGGGGTCTACTCTGAGAAATGTTGCGCATCTCATATTCCTCGTCATCTTCAAACTGTGCGGCACTTGAGCCCTTCGCGCTCGGTGATTGTGAGCGTGACGTGCCAGCACGGAGACTTGTCGCAAGTGAACTCGGCTCCGAGAAGGCGTCCTTAGCATTTGGGGGAATGGTGGAAGATGCTTCCTTCATGGTGTATAGCGAGGGAGGTGGCTCAGGGGTGTGTCGCTGGGCTTCCGTGTCCGAGTCATCAAGTGACAGGCTTCTGCGTCGCGCTGCCGCTGTGCTGGAGTCGTTGGAGGATCCAAGAAGCGACGCTGCTGGCTTGAAGAAGCTGCTGGACGCGAATGGGTTCGGTCGATTCATTATAACATGCGGCTGCCTCAAACCTTGAGGCTATGTTTGGACTGTCACTGCTGCTCGTGTTTAGGGGCGCTTGCCGACGACGCTGTACGCGTCTAATACGAGCGTCTCACTTACACACGAGGTGGCACTAGATTGAATTCTCGACAAGGTCAGTTGTACTACGATAGATACTACGCAGAGTCAGGCAGAATTCTTCTCTGACCGACTGATCTGCCTCACTCGACTCCTGCCAATCTCATTTCGCAAATCAAAGAGTTCATGCCACAATCCAGCTCTGCCTTGCCCGAAACCTTGGCAGCTTGTGATTGTCAGGGTCCACTCTTGCTCGAATAGGAAGGCCGTAACTCCGAGAAGCCTTCCTCCATGCTCTCAATCATGTAATTAGACATCTGCTCGAATACAGCAGCTGAAGATTCTTTCGCAGGCCATCTTTGATATCTTGCAGCCCGTCAATATATGATCAGTACGTCATGGAAGGACTGTCTAGTTTTACTTCCGTCTTTTCTTCTAACAACGACAATCGCGTCGCAAAACGAAACCGCCGCCCTCTTTCGTGTTCAATTTGTCGCGCCAGAAAGTTGAAGTGTGACCGACAGCAACCATGCAGCTCTTGTGCTAAAAAGGGAGAATCTGCGAGTTGCGACTACAGCCCGGTCATCTCGAAGGAGAAGTCAAGATCTCGCTCTGCTGTCAACAGCAATGATGCTGCTGCTAGCCGCTTACAGAAACTCGAGGATCTGGTCAACGGCCTGATGCATGCTACTCCCCCAAGCAACTTTGTGGTAACTCCTCCAAGCTCGTCAAACTCGCCGCAGATCGACCCTCCTGCATATCTGGCAACATCTGCTGGTGGTCACCTAAGTCAGCAAGGAGCTTATGTTGGCGGCACCCATTGGGCGTCGATACTCGAGAGAATTCATGACATTCGGTCGGTCATGGACTCTGATCTTAGTGATGTGCCTTCTGAGCCAGCACTGAAAGCCGATCCCCTGTTCGGTCAAGAACGCCTCTTGACCATCGACGAGGTTCTCGTGGCGCTTCCAGAGCGGCAGATAGTCGATACTCTTGTTTCGACTTACTTCAAGGAATCATTTTTATCTTTGACATTCATACACAGTGGCAAGTTTCAGAGAGAATACGAAGGTTTCTGGAAAGACCCATCCTCAGCAAGCTTCTGCTGGTTGAGCATTCTCTTCTCCATCATGTTCATGGCAGCAAAAATTGCCACGGCAAGAGGTCAACTAGCACCTTCTGATCCATGTGACACAAAACGAGCCGGAGCTCTGAGGTTGGCTACTAAATGTCTTGTCACAGGCCAATACCTCAAAGCCCAACCATACTCTGTTGAAGCATTACTGTTCCATTTCCATTGCATCTATGCTCTTCACGCGGATCCTGATATACAACCGTGGCCCATCCTAACTATGGCTACCAGACTGGCCCAGAAGATGGGCTATCACCGCGACCCTAGGCATTTGTCAGCAAAACTATCTCCATTCGAAAGCGAAATGCGACGCAGAGCATGGCATTACATCGAGATATTTGACATCACCATGTCAGCTAACCAAGGTATACCTGCAATGATCAACGAAGATGAATGCGATTGTCAGTTTCCTATAAACCTTCTGGACGAGGACTTCGACGAGAACACCTCAGTAATGCCCCCTTCGCGATCTGACACAACTCACATCCCCATGCTATTCTTCAATTGCAAAGCTGAGGCTGTTCGCCTTTTGCGTCCAATCATTCGACATGCATTGTCCAGTCGAAGATACGACATAGAGGAGACGAACAAACTTCACGATAGTCTTGAGAAGAGTCGCAGGAATGTACCACAATCATTGCGTATCCGGACCATCGCAGAGACTAGCTTCGTCGACCAAGACTATTTGATCATGCAGCGCTTTATGCTTGAGCTACAATACCTTAAGGGATACTGTATCTTACATCGACCATATATGGCCTGCCAAAAGGATGATCCGGCATACGAGAAGTCGAGAGAGATTTGCAAAAGCTCTGCACTACGTCAACTCGACCTGCAGGCTGACTATTTCCAAGCCGTCCAGCCGCAAGGACGTCTGTATCAGAGCAGATGGATGTTGACGAATGTGACCTTACATGAACAATTCGCTGCCGCTATGATTGTATGTTTAGACCTTGCAGAATCAACATCGCAGAGGTATGTATACAAAGAGACGAAGCAAATGGCACCTAGCTGACTGTGACGAAGTCCAGAGTCCAGGGCGAGGAAATTGGAAGCACTTCAGAACTCACGGCATGTATGGTCCAGCAAAAAGCCTGCTTATCGGGATGCCATTCGAGCAAGTCATGTTCTTGGTGTCATGATAGCAAAGTTGACTGCTCATGGGGGCGACCCGCCGACAGCTGTTCAGAGTGGCACATTCAACATACCCAACTGTCAACACCCACCAACACCAGCCAATTTGGACAGTCATAATGCGCATTGGAGTGTTACGCCAGCCCAAGATACTGCCCACGAGATGATGGACATTGCGTCTCTAGAGAGCATACTTGATAATCCTGACCTGCTGAATTGGGTAAGTTTTCCCACTAGACCATTGTATGACGCGCCTGACCATGGACGTAGAATGATATCGACACTTATCTTATCGACTACAGTGGTGGTCTCGGTCTGACAGATCCTTTGGCCAACGTGCCATAATTTCTGACATGTATCCCCGTTGTGTCTAGTCACAGGGTGACAGGGCAACGGGGCTTCCTTACCATCATTTTGCCAGATCATGATATTATGATGGAGCCGTCATCCGAAAGACATCATGATCGCGTCATGCCAAGCATTGAAGCAACGTCCGAGCTTACACGTTTACGGCATCACACACCACTCGATGTTTGTCTGTCATGAGCCGAGTCGAGAATTCCCAAAGGCCGCGAAAACTGCGACGTAATCGACGCGCCTGTGATCAATGCAGCGCTCGTAGTGTCAAATGTCGCCCGGGTGAAGGTGAATCCGGGTGTCAAAACTGTACCGATTATGGCGAGGCTTGCACTTCGCTTCGGCCAATAGGCAGAAGGGGTCCAAAACCTCGGTCGTCCAGATCTATAGCAAGTCAATTGACGAACGATCCGGCGCAATCGAGCAGTCGACATCGTTCTCAAGGTCAAACGTCTCCCGAAGAAGAAGATGGAGAAGTCACACTCAGTATTGTCACCACTACAAACTGGAAGCCGAGGAAGATGCCTGCTCAGGCAGTCGTCATGGATCTGACCGAGATATATTTCGAGGTTGTTTATCCTGTGTTTCCCTTCTTTCACCGACCGACATTGTTACGGAAGGTCTCGCGAGGGGAGTACGCCTCGAGTCGACCTCTATTCGCTTCTGTCCTAGCTATGTGTGCGCTCTCCTCAGCTCGCGTCCGTGATGGAGCTCTTTACACCGGCAAATGGGATGCGAAATCGTTGCAGGATCCATCTTCGGAGGAACTGTTTGAAGCAGCCAAGGAAGCCATTCCGCATGATGCCTCGTTGTCGCAAGAGTTTGATTACATGCGAGCGTACGCATTGCTCGCCATCACGTCAATACAGTATGGGGATACTCGTCAGATGAACTACTACATTGGTCTCTACCAAAGCTTTGTTGCTGTAGGTATACTACAGGATGAGAACAATTGGCCTACAAATATCGGTCATGTCGAGGTTGAGGAGCGAAGACGACTTTTCTGGTCCACTTACACTCTGGACATATTCTCCTCCATCATCTGGGGTGGCTTCGCCAGAAGTAGAGAAGCTTGTTTCAACGTGTGTTACCCAACTGAGTGTGATGACGAATACTTCGGCGACAAGCAACCTCTCGCGAGCGACATACACAAGGACCACAGCTGGCTGAAAGGATGGAACTTTGTCACCGATCTATATCGTATCCTTGAACACGCGGTTGACCGTCTCGGTCATCTCAGGAACCCAGTAAAGCGTACACCTTCTATCTATGGACATGTTGATCAAGGCAGTCCTCGACATGCATCGATTCTTACCCACATCATGACACTATATGAACAGTTACCGTCCGTCTTCAAAGCAACACAACCATTGACCGGACAACTCGAACGCGATCTCTTTGGGTTTCAAGCGGCGAATATTGCTGCCTCGCTCCAGCTTGTCCGCATGGTGCTATTCACCACCGAGCACTCGACCGTGGATCAAAAGTGTCAGATTGCGAGCGAAGTGATCAACGGTTTTGCTAGTGTACCGGTAGCGTACTTACGTGCCATCAGCTCGCCGCTCTTCCATCACTTGGCTGGCATCGGTGGCATCATGGGCTCGGCTTTCGAGAACGGTCTCACCGAGTCGTCGTATCGACGTGTGCGATCAGTACTTCTCGATCTTGCCAATCTACTAGCTAATCTAGAAGTGGACCTTTACTGCGCTGCCGGCACAAGCGACAAATTACGCGCTCAGGTCTCTCGCATTGACGAGTTCATGAAGATACAGCGATCGGTGGATGCAAGTGGGACAGTCGGTGGGTTGTCGCCATGGGCACGCTCAAGCAACGAATTGGCATCTCCAAGCCTCCACAATCCACAGCATCTGGCAGTCTCAGAAGACTCGCCACAGATCTACTTTCCTGCGGAGTTGTTTGAGAATTGGTCTTGGGCATTTGATTTCAATTGATCTAAGTATTTGAGACACAATGTAATTACTACCATGAATGTCGTTCAGCAATAGGCAATTGTGACAGCGATTTCAATTTAGAATATCCCACACAGACTTTACATACCGACGGCTCGTCTCCAGCCCAGCGATACCGCCAGCAAAGAATTGAAATATATCTGTAAGTATGAATCCTGGAAATGCGCTCGGATCGGTCGGGGTTTCCTCGACGTAAGTATCATGCAGATACAGAGATGGTATGTTCGGGTTCTCATGCGGCGATAACTTTCCCGTGGCAGAGAAGAAGAACTGGTGATTTATCTGCATGTGGACATTCTCGTTCCATCCATTCTTCTTCCAGTACCCGACCAATTTTGTCTGATCCACTTCCCCGGAAAGTGCTTCTTCATCTTCCAAATAGACGAATTGTAGCATCTTGCATGTAGGCTCTGGAACATTGTTGCTACGCATAACCTTCTGCGCAACGGTCTCGACGTTCGATTTGAATATTGCCCAAGCTTCGTCGTCACTGTAATCGAGGCGAAGAATTGCAAAGCCCCAGATGCCGATGTCGAGACGTGGTTTTAATTGCGCTTTTATAGCAAAGTCTTGGATTTTCTGGGACAGAGAGTCGTTGGTCGGTGGTCGAGGAAAGTCTACCTGGCCTTTGGTCTCTCTCATGATTTGCTCGAATGCTCTTCTTTTCAAAGCGTAATCTGCGATGGGTTGTGCTTTTTGTATGCCGTCTTGAAGTAATTCTTGGTATCGTCGCTCAACAAGGCGGTAGCGATGTAGTTGTCTCGTCGTGCGTGCTGCCTCTCTGCGATAATTTTGCTCCTTGTAACATTGCATTATAGCATCCAATTCACCAGGATCGTTGAGTCTGTGACTCGCATATACTTGGTCCATCAAGTCTTGCACTTCTTGGCCTTGTTGGCTCTTGAAGACGTTGACGCGCTGTAGTGGTGATTCTGTATTTGATGAAATGCCCTTGATGATTATTTGCAGTTCTCCATCTGTCAAATCCCAAGCTCCTTTGTCGAGACATGCTTGTATCAGCTCTGCACGAGAAGCATTTCTTGTTGTTCCTTGCACTAAGGTATCCTCTTCGGCTGGAGGAAGGCGAAATGAGGCTTTGTGTCGTTCATCCTGCGTTAGAACTTCTGATGAGTCCAGAGCTCTGCGGAGTATTACTATGATCTCCTCAGATTGTTGATCCGACATAGGTCTGTGTGAATGACACGGTAGTGGGTATGGTCGGAATTCGAGGCGAAAGTCAATGGTTTAGCGGCAGACCCATGCCCTTTTGGCGCGTTGTGTTTTTGGCGTCGCACCTTCCAAAATCCTTCTGTTCTTTTCTCTCCTTCCTTCCGTTCGTGGACACCGCTTCACCAGTGGTTATACCGACCTGGACCCGACTTGACACCCATGCGCCCACCAGACGACTTTACTCTCGTCATCTGGCAACTCCGAGTCCCTGATGGCCGCGCGATGGCGTGATGCTTCAACCACCTCCCTCACCTGTGCAAGTAACCATATAGTGCCAAATTTACCCCACACTCCATCGCAGTGAGGTCTAACCAACCTCCGCAATCCAAGGCGCTTTGGCGGAGTGGTTAACGCGATGCCCTGCTATTATCCAGCGGTAAAGTTTAGGCATTTCCTTCGGGAGCGTGTGTTCGAATCACACAGGCGTCGTTTTTTGTGGCGCCCTGTAAGGATGCCATCTCTTTTTCGAGTTGTGGAAGATGTAGAGGAAGACCAGGTGCATATTTTGAGCTACTACTGGTCCTTTAGCGATGAGCGGTTGTAGATGAAAGACGAGGCGGAGTTCGGGACGGAATAATGGTGAAGCTTTGGGATGTTCACGCTTGGACGCGCCTGACTACTTGACCAGCGCTTTCCTTCGACTCGCTGCTTCGCAACATCATCAACTTACACTGATTGTGATCCGTTCTGTTTCGGAGATACAAGATGTAGCTGAGGCTTGTCTATGCCTTGCCTGTTTGTCTCATGCATGCGTAAACAGCAGTACACAAGGACTCACGCTGTCGTATGGCTCTTAGACGCGTCTGGTACATGTTTGCTCACCGTCCGCTTTCTCTCGAACGAGCCCCCAAGGCAGATAATACTGTGCAACGAGGTTGCGATCAATGAAAAGGTACTACAACAATATTATGGCACCGGTATTCCACCTTTACACTTTTATGAACATCCTCATCGAATCTCTGTACCTGACCAGAAAGCAACGCATTTTGCAAAGCCAATCCAATCTCTGAGCTCTGTACACCGATATCCAGAGCCACTGGGACAGGCTTGTCCTCCAAAACACTCTCACAAAACTCGATAGCTTCGGTTGCGAAAGCATCCTCGAATCTCTCCCGCTACTCTGGCTGTACTTGATGAGAAATGCCACCGGAAGAAGCAAGTTCAACAAGGCTGTAGCAGTGTTCAAAGAAGAAGAAGAGAGGCAAAAATGCCGAGAGATCATGGAGAGATGTCAAGGGTTTGGTTGGCCGACGGGAGAGATACAGAAACAACTTGGGCTGTAGCAAAATTCGAGGTCAATTATTTAGGCATCGACAACGCTTGGATGTACGTTCGTCTCATCATCAACAAAGATCCTGTTGAAATCGTTACAGAGCTCACGAGGTCCACTATCTCAGAGCAAATAGAGAATTAAGATCTCACAGCAAATACAGAATCAAGAAAGAAAAGAAAACACTGAGTTTGTCTTTTCTATAGAAAAGTTAAGAGAGAAAAAGTGGAGTTTGACTGGAAACAAGGGGTCTACGAGATGCAGGTGCACAAAACTGCAATGCAACTGGAACCCCGCCAACCACTTTTCGATAACGAGATAATAACTCCTTGAAAGTCGGTATCGATCCTTTGTGCGCCTTCTTTCGCCATGCTGAGAAGGAGACGGATGTGCTGTAAAAATAAAAAAAAATAAAAAAAGACTCCTATCGAGTCGGAAGAATTCTCCCCACCAAGAAGTAAGAAAAACTCCAAGGCTGGGGTTCTAGTGGCTCTGGGCCAAGAGTGAGGTTGTGTGTTTCTTCTTTCTGTCAAAAGGGCTTATTTGGGGTGAGGGGTGATAAAATTCACTTCGAGACCGAGTGACTTCATGCCAAGAAGCTTCATCTACCAGGCATAGCCATAGCCAAAATCTTGCTGAGGCACGACAGGATCGAAGTTGTAGTCGAATGGAGCGTTGGGTTCGTTGAGAAATCCACCTGGAACCCGAGCAGGAGGTGCTGCGTTAACAGGGAGCCGCACGACCGGCTCGTTGTGCATCAGGGGAGGAGCAAAGGCTTGGTTCAGTTGTTGGAGTATCTCCTCATCATTGTGATTCCAGACAGGCTGATTCTGTGCAACTGGCATTGCGGCAGGCGCTCCGTACAACATTGGCTCATAGAACAAGGGGTCGTTGTTCAAGAAGTTGTTTGCATGTGCCTGGCGATTACGGTCGAACGGCATTGCGAAGCCGAATCCGTGAGCAGCCATGTTATTTCTGTCGTTCGCATACAGAAAGGGATCCCGCTGTTGAAAATCGTCGATGAAGGGATTCACTGGGTCCAGAGCGATACCACGACCGGGTCGGACATTGGCAGCGAGACCTGCAGGAGCAGCTGCTTGGTCGCCCATGCCGGGACGTCGAAGACCTGCAAAGAGTGGCCCAGGAACACGTCCTGCGCCAGGTCGCTGGCGAACACCAAACAACGGTGCACGGACAAAGGGGCGGCGACGATGCTGGGCCATCTCTCCCTGGTGTATAAGCTGATTGACGTCAGGAATTGGGCGTGGTAGAGTGGGTGGTCTCTCCACTTCCTTGACGTTGTCGGAGAAATTGATGTCAAGATAATTTTTGTCAAGCTCAGGGTGGTCACGGAGAACCTCGGCCTGAGCAGCTTCAGCAGCTGCATTGACCTCTTGTTCGTGTCTACCTTCAACGGTCATGTTGACATCAAAGGTGGGGCATGGGTTGGGGGGTTGAAAGTGGGCGTAGTTAGCAGTCACATCCTTGCCACAGAGATAACACTGCAAATTGCCGCACGTTGGACAAGTCATCTTGTTGCAGCCCTCACTTTTGATGAAAGACCTTTTGCATTTGTTGCAATTGCGAATGAGGGCCTTGCTTCTTGCTTCCTCGATTTTGTGACGATGAGTGAGAGCGGCATCCTTGGAGCGCTTGCGCTGATTTTCTTCGCATGAGTCGGGGATGTGGGTCTCTTCCTTGCACTTGCGGCACGAGGTGATACCGCAGTCGAATGATTGACAATGGAACTCGAAATCGATCTCGATAGGTAGACAGACGGTCTTGAAGTCGCAGAATGGGCAAGCTTCGACGTCGTCAATACCAGCAGTGCGAAGGTCGTCTTCCTGACGCAGATGCATGAGCTCGTCGACCAGTGCGTCGGCATCCGGAACAAGGCGGAGTTGAGGCTCGTGGAAAGTGTCGTCGCAACCACCGGGACAGGCGAGCTTGAAGCTGGACTGTCCCACCTCTGATTCCAGGTAGATCTTCATGCATTCGAGGCACACAGAATGGGCATCTGTCGAAGCGCATTTGACAACTCTGTTGGAAGGAAACTCATCAAAACAAGCAGCACTGTGACCAGTCAGCAGTGTAAAAAATGTCTAGACATGAGAGAAGATGGATGACTTACCATTCGACGACAGCACCGCTGGCTTTGGCTTGTTCCAGATTTGCCACCTCGTCCAGAGTTTTTGCGGCGGCTTCCTCTTCTGCTTTCTTCTTTTGAGCAAGGTTCTTGCGAAGTTGAAGGTCCCATTCGGCGGCGGCTTTCTTGGCGGATTCGAATTGCGCCTTCAGGATTGGGACGTTGGCTTTGTGGTCCTTTGTGGTTGCAAGAAGGTCAAAGTCAACGTCCTTCAAGGGTCTCCGAGGAGTCTTGCCAAATGGACGAACGTCAGCATGTTTTGCCTCGTTGAGAGCAAGGTAGGTGGCGTAGAGATGTGTCTTGGTCTTCTGGATTTTCCTGATGTACTTGACGGGAATAGTATTGAACTCATCCTTGAGCACTTCGATGCTGGAAGTTGTTAGCGGAAATTATTGTGAGCATAGGGTCAAAGCGCTCACATGGTGTCCTTCATTTTGCCTGAGAAAGTGCACTGAGGGTTAAGCAATGAATTCTGCTCGGCTTCTTCGGCCGCCTTCTGCTCACGCAGCGCAGTCTGTTTGGCGGCTTCTTCTGCTGCGCGCTTGTCGCGTTCCTTCGGGTAGGGCGCGGCAAAGAGGACCTCTATGACTTGTTCAATGTCGTCTTGGTGAGTTTCGAGGAGCTGAGTGACATGGTCTTGGGCGACGTCCGGCACAATGTCCAGGACACGATCGAGTAGGCCGCGTTCGGGAGTAGGAGGTGTGTCGGTGATCACGATGGCTTCGTTTGGGAAGTCGTCTATGTCGACATGATACAAGTCCTGGATGTCTTCATAGCCGAATTGGAGAGGTGCATCAATGTCCTCGTCGCCGCTCTCAATCGTCTCGGGTGTGGCTGCCGTTGCACCGGCTTCAGCCTGTGGAATACCAGCGTGCTCGTCCTTGACAATCAATCCAGTGCGCATCAAGCCTTCCATGTTATCCTGTCCAAAGTAGTCGTCCTGATAGTAGTCTGGTCCTGAGTACATGTTGTTATGGCGAGCCAACTTCGGTGGTCGAGCAAATCTGTCCAGGTCGTCTTCACTGGAGTCTGAATTGATCGAGATCACATCATAAGGTCTCTTGACAGCCGCCATGACTTACGCACGCCGGTCAATGCACTGTAATTGGTATGGAGTGCGGCTGCGCGCTTGACAGAGGGCGTGGCTGAATTGAGCGGCGCGGCTGAGGTCGGACGGATTCGACGGCCAATTTGAGAGATCGTCAAGTTTCACGAACAAAGCCTTGTTTTGCACAAGTGTGAGTGTAGGTATGGTTGTAGGTATATGCAAATCTGGAAGCGGCAGTGTTGTGATGGGGCTTTGAGAGGCACAGAGAGGACGGAGAGTTTTGACAGCGATAGGTTGTTCATCGAGACAGCGGTGTTGCGGAAAATTGGTCAGTCATGCGATCTCACAAGGCAACCACTTCGTCTTTCAATTCTCTTTTATTCCGCGCACATATGAGGGAAGATCGATGGACTTTGAACAACAAGGCGGGCAAGAAGGGACCTTTGGCGGTGCCTTGTCATTCCGACGGCCGGCGACGGCGTTTACGTGTAACACAAGAGGCAGCCTGCGATGCGCATCCGAGAGGGCATACATGAACTAGCAGGCGGCCAACCTTCGATTTATACTTGCCTGGCTCGCCCAACACTCCGGTTCTCATGTCGCTAGACTGCAGAGAAGGACGATGAAGGAGCGGTCGAGGTCGAGGCCACAGCGCGACATGCGAGGCGAGACAATGACGCTTGCAAAACTGCTGGGTCCCGAGCCAAATACCCGTCACCATCATCGGACAAGCTGTCTTTTACCACAAAAAACAATCTCAATTGCCATCATTCGACAAAGCAAAACTCAACTGACGTAGCAGATAGCTTGGCCATGTCTGCACAACTACCTGACCGCAAGAGCTCGAACATCGAGCTCACCCAACTGACCCATGAGGAAGCTGTACATCAAACCGAACTGAACAGTATCGAGTGGAAAGGTCCCCTGTCTCTGGAGGCATACCTTCGCAGGGAAGAGCACCTAGGGAAACAAAAATTGGTCCGTGATGGCGGACTAACTCCTTGGGCCTTGGTAACAAAGGACGGTAGTCCTCGTTCTGTCCTCTCCAGCTGCGAAACCATTCGCAAGAAAGCTCTAGTTGCCCAGAATGGCCAGATCAATGAGGTCATCTGTCATGGTGTTGCCAGTGTATTTTGCCCTCCGGAGTACCGCGGGAAAGGTTATGCTGGGAGGATGATAAAAGATCTTGGAGAGACGCTGTCCAAGTGGCAGACAGACGGACACGAGTGTTTGTTTAGCGTATTGTATTCAGACATTGGCAAGGTAGGTCAATGGAGTGTGAAATTGCATGCCCAAGTCATCACTGACCGACTACAGCAATTCTACGCTGCACATAAATGGAAGCCGTTTCCGTCTGCCCACATCTCTCTTCCTCCAACAGCAAATTCGCAAGACACTCCCCTACCCGAAGCCAAGAGCCTTTACTCCAGCGATCTTACTGACCTCTGCGATGTCGACTTGACACTCGTGCGTAAGAAGCTCATGAATGCAGCGACCTCGGGCAAGACTATTGCCTCGATCGTGCCCGATGTTGAGACTCTCTCCTGGCAGCATGCTCGTGAAGAGTTCGTCGCAAACGAGTTGTACGGCAGGGCTCCTGATATCAAGGGTGCAATCGTCGGTACCGAGCAAGGCAAGCGAGTCTGGTGTGTATGGATGAGAACGTGGTATAGCAGCGACCCTCAAAGGACCAAAGACAACTCGTTGAATATTCTTCGACTTGTGGTGGAAGATGCTGAATACACCGACTCATCTGCAGCATCCGATGAGGGCGTGGAGAAAGCGAAGGGTACATATGTAACTGCAGCCATCGCTTCACTTCTGGCTGCAGCTCAAGCGGAAGCTAGCAGATGGCATGTGGGATCGGTCGACATATGGAACCCATCATCTGCAACCCTGGCGGCAGCAAAACAGTTGAATTCTGCAGCAGAAGTCACTCACCGGGAAAAAGACAGCATTGCGAGTTTGAGATGGTATGGTGAAGGCTCGATCGAGACGATTGAGTGGATGGACAACGAAAAATATGCCTGGTGCTGATTAAGAGCTCGACAGGTGTTCGCAAATGTACATATACTGTCTGACTCGATAAAGAAAATGCTCATAGACATAGATACTTCACATACATGTACTCTTCCGATCATTCTCCTTCGTTGAGGTAGCCTTAGCATGTGTCGTGGGCGCTAGAGAAATTTTGTGGTTGGATCATTCACGTTTTGCATCGTGGAGGATTGGGAACCAAAAGTTCAAGCGGAGCCGACAGTTGAGATGTCGGCGACAAAGGACGACGAGGCACGACAAAGAAAGTTGGTGCTGCAAGACATGTGAAGATGGGTGTTGAAGAAACAGGCAGATGCACGTCTCGTCAAACAGAAGCAGCAAGTTCTGCGACAGAAGGAATTGCCGACTTTCTTCAAGCTTGAATGTCATTGACCCCACCATTGCACATCTCGGGCATCATTGTGTTGATTGGGCGGGTAGTAGTGAATCTTCCTCCATGTTTGCTACTCGAGCGGCCGAGTTGCATTTGCCTTGTCATGCAGTTCTTCGATCCACTGCCTTAGATGCCGGGTGGTTGCTACGAGTGGACGTTTACCGTGTTCAAACTGGAGGCGCAGTGCAATTCGCAGCCACAAAAAGAGCTGTGGCTGAGCTGTCCCGCCCGGATGCGATGGTCGCAAAGTATATTCTTGACATCAGTTCCATCTCGCAACGTGCCGAGGAGTCGAGCAAGACGAAAAGGAAGACATAGTTGATCGGAAATGCGGATCAGCAGGGAATGACGATGGCAAGTGCTGGGAGGCCGGAATGGCATGTTTGAATCAAATGGGCAAAAGTCGTCCCAACAAACGAGGTTCGAGGGTGATTCGAGCTTCTGCTGGTGCGCGTCTTCTGGTGGGCGCAAGCCGCCGGCAGCAATAACAAGCTCGCTCAAATAACTGCCAGAATCCTTCAACTCTGATTCGCGTCGTGTTCCCTGCGCCCTCTCTGCCAGTGACATTTTCCTTCTCAATCGTCTTGTCCATGTGCAATCGATCGGCTTGTTGAATTCTTCATCGTCGCTGACCGACATTCTATCGTTGTCTTTGTCTCTGGCTTTGCCGAAGCACCCACTTTCAGAAGTCGGTCGTCTCTGCCTGCTGTCTCCGCTCCACCTTCCACATCCAAAGGCCAAAGCCCTCATTCAAGCCACACCATCTTCTCCTCATTTCTCATAACAACAACATCCACATTTCTACCTACCACTCGCCCATCGACCGCGACTTCTGTCCCCGTCGCCGCAGTCCAGAGAGTCTTTCTCTCGTACGCGTCTGCTCGGTCATATTCCGGCGCGCCCTCCTATTCCCCTCCATCGCGTGCGCCTCCTGCACCACAAAGGTGTATGCCTGTTAGACGCCGCCAACCATGAGCAACAACGAGGATGCCGCCGTCAGCGATCTCTGTCGCAAGATAGAGCGTGAAAAGACGCTGATCGCCGGCTTCAACTCGATGCGACAGGCTACCAACAACAGCCAAGTCAACTCACGTATCGACTCGCAGGTCCGCGATGCTCAAAGGAACCTCAAGTACTTTGAGAAGACGCTGCAGGACTTGCAGTCCCGCAAGCTGGGCGACCACATGTCCAACATGAACCTCTCCAACGACTCCGGCCCGCCGCCGCCCTCGCACCAAGACGATCAACAAGACCCCGGCAGCTACGGGACTCCCGGTCCGGGCGGATACAGTCAAGGTGGTGGCAATGGTCTGATGCCTCCTCGCGCTCCCTACGCCCCGCCAGCGCCCGGCCAGGGTGGTCTCAAGAACAGACCCAACTACAGCAGATTGGACCTCATCAAGGCCGAAACACCCCATCTCGGCCCACGCATTCAGCTCATGCTGTCACAACTCGAGTTCAAGCTCAGTGTCGAGAAACAGTACAAGGATGGTATCGAGAAGATGGTGCGCTTGTACCAGCTCGAGGGAGACCGTAAGAGTAGGGCAGAAGCAGAAGGGCGTCGCATCGAGAGTAGCCAGAAGATCCACCTTCTCAAGCAGGCTCTGAAGCGCCACGAAGACTTGCACGTCGCGGATATCAGCACCGACATGCAAGACGACGACAGCTTGAACATACCCAGTCAGCGCAAACCCCTCAGCGGATACCTCTCCATCCGGATCCAGGCCATTGCCGACGTCGACCATGCCGCGACTGGTAGATTCTCGCGCGGACCAGAGACATTTGTCATCCTCAAGGTCGAGGACAGCTTCAAGGGTCGTACAAAGGCCACACGCACAGATCGCTGGACCGACGAGCAACACGACTTTGACATTGACAAGGCCAACGAGATTGAGTTGACCGTCTATGACAAGGCAGGCGAGCACCCCATGCCCATCGGTATGCTGTGGGTGCGCATCTCGGACATTGCAGAGGAGATGCGTCGCAAGCGTATTGAGACCGAAGTTAAGAACTCTGGCTGGATTTCTGCGGACCACATGGGCGACTCAGGCCCACGTCCCGACACGCAGTTCTCTCCTCCTCCGGGAAGCTCTGGCGCTGGCTCGGCACACGCTGGCCAGCAAGGTCCCCCCGGAGGCTTCGGTGGTGGTCCAGCTCCTCTCACCAACCCAGTTGTAATTGACGATTGGTTCTCACTCGAGCCTGTTGGCAAGATCAAGCTCAACTTGAGCTTTGGTTCGTTCCCATTCCTCGCTCGCAATTTGACAAGGCTAACACTTTTCAGTCAAACAAACACGAGAACGCAGACCATTCGATGTCGGCCTTGGGCGTAAAGGCGCTGTTCGTCAGCGCAAGGAAGACGCCGTCGAGCAGTACGGCCACAAGTTTGTTCAGCAGACTTTCTACAATGTCATGCGCTGCTCGCTGTGTGGCGACTTCCTCAAGTACACGGCCGGCATGCAGTGCTCTGACTGCAGATTGACCTGCCACAAAAAGTGCTACCCGAGCGTCGTCACAAAGTGCATCAGCAAGTCCAACGCAGAATCAGATCCCGATGAGGAGAAGATCAACCACCGCATCCCTCATCGCTTCGAGGCCTTCTCCAACATAGGCGCCAACTGGTGCTGTCACTGTGGTTACATGCTCCCTCTTGGAAGGAAACAAGCTCGCAAGTGTAGCGAGTGTAGTTCCACCTGCCACAATAACTGCATCCATTTTGTTCCAGACTTTTGCGGCATCTCCAACGAGAAAGCGAATGAGATTCTGGGAGAAATCCGCAGAGCCACCAAGGGCCGCCAGGGTACCAGCATGTCGGAGCGCAAGCTGCGCCCTGGTACCTCGAACAGTTTGAGGCCTCCTGCTCAGCCCTCTCAGCCTTCCTTCACCCCCTCTCCTTCTCACCAAGACCAGGCTTCAAACCCGCAGGATAGACCACTCTCCTACGGCAAAGACCGCATGTCAGATGCCTACGATGCTCCACCTCGTACCTCGCAGTACGGCGCTCCGGCCACCTCAGTCGATGCTGCTCGTGCATCCTTCGCCGCTCCTCCATCCCCTCAACAGTCAGAAGCTCGCCCACCTCCCGCTCACCGCCAATACTCGTCTCAATCTGCCGCCGCAGCCGCTGCCGCCGCCCTGTCTGGCAAGCGTACATCTGCCGCAGAGCAACGAATCCCTCCTTACAACCGCTCCTCTACCGATTACCAGAAACAGCAACAACAGCAGCAGCAGCAGCAACAGCAACAGCAACAAGCGTCAAGTCAAAGAAGCTCCACTGCGACCACCAGTGGAGATCAATACTCTTCACAGCGAAACTCCCAGCCCCAGCCTGCAGGCTACAACCCAGCAGACTATGCTGCTGTCAGTGGCTTCCCAGTTCAGCCTCTTCAGCAAGCTCCCCAGCAAGCTCAACCTCCACGTCAGCAATACCCTTCGGCTCCAGCTCAGACCACTCCTACTATCAACACGCCTGCATCACCACCAAGCAAGACTGCAACATCCATGGGTCCTCCTGCAAGAAAGACTCAAGGTGGTAATGTTCGTGTTGGTCTCGACCACTTCAACTTCCTTGCTGTCCTCGGCAAGGGTAACTTCGGTAAGGTCATGCTTGCCGAGACCAAGCAGTCCAAGCAGCTGTATGCCATCAAAGTTTTGAAGAAGGAGTTCATCATTGAAAACGACGAAGTCGAGAGTACGAGGTCAGAGAAGCGTGTCTTCCTCATCGCGAACAAAGAGAGGCATCCTTTCTTGACCAACCTTCATGCTTGTTTCCAGACTGAGACCAGAATCTACTTCGTCATGGAATACGTTAGTGGTGGTGACTTGATGTTGCATATTCAGCGTGGCCAGTTCGGTACCAAGAGAGCTCAGTGAGTTAAGAATATTTGTTGAACGCGAACACTGCTAACATTCCACAGATTCTATGCTGCAGAAGTGTGTTTGGCGTTGAAGTACTTCCACGAGAACGGTGTCATCTACCGTGATTTGAAGCTGGACAACATCCTCCTAACGTTGGATGGACACATCAAAATCGCTGATTATGGTCTCTGTAAGGAAGACATGTGGTACGGCAGCACAACCAGCACGTTCTGCGGTACTCCCGAGTTCATGGCGCCCGAGGTAAGTTCTACGCTGGTTTATGCTTGTTGATCATTTCTAATGCATTTGAACAGATTCTTCTAGACAAGAAGTATGGCCGTGCTGTCGATTGGTGGGCCTTCGGTGTCCTCATCTACCAAATGCTTCTCCAACAATCGCCATTCCGCGGTGAGGATGAAGACGAGATCTACGACGCTATTCTGGCAGACGAGCCTCTCTACCCTATCCACATGCCGCGCGACTCGGTATCAATCCTGCAGAAGCTTCTTACACGTGAGCCCGAGCTCCGTCTGGGTAGTGGACCTACCGATGCTCAGGAGATCATGAGCCACCCATTCTTCAAGAACATCAACTGGGAGGATATCTACCACAAGCGCGTACCTCCACCTTTCTTGCCTACCATTAAGGGCAAGGCTGATACCAGCAACTTCGACACCGAGTTCACGAGCGTTACACCAGTTCTTACACCTGTACAGTCAGTGTTGACTCAAGGCATGCAAGAAGAGTTCAGAGGATTCTCATACACGGCCGATTTCGTTTGAGCGCATTCAGGAGCAGTCTCTCGGCAGACGAGCAGGAGCCACGTTTGACATTCTTTATCGCCGCGGACGCCAGCGTGGCATATCCAGCGCGACGCGTTCATCGCATCCTTTGCTTCACATCACCCTAGTCGTATGGGTTTTCAATAAATCCCTGTCTGCTTTTACGGCGCGCTCGAGACGTAGACAAAGATACCATGCAGGACGTCTAAAGAAAGAGGAATGACATTACGCTCAGGTACGGCAGTATATTAGACACGACGCTTGAGCAAAGTGTGTCAAGAAGCTCATCTGGTGCACAATTGGAGATTTGTTTTTTTTGGACGGAAACACGCAAGTCAAAGAGAATTACGGATATAGAACTTATCATCATCACCACAACGTTGTAACGGCCTATGAAATCAGTAATTGACGATCAGTTTTGTGTTCTTGTTCGATATGTGTTGCTCTACGTGAATCTAGTTGGCTGTGAAGGTGATGTCCTGGCTAAGGCCTTGATGACGGTTTTCTTAATGTCAGTTCAAAGTAATGGAATGCAGCTCCGTGCCTTTCTGCATACAGTCAACGGACGAATCATCACCACTCGATGTCCTACTAACATACCGATTTGATCTTCTTGCACTGAAGCTCGCGATACTGGACCTCGTGCCAGATGCACTGGCTTATGACGATGGTTCTTCCCTTCTGAAATTAGCGCAACCGCCACTGACTCGCATTGAAACCGTTGCGGGGAGAGCTCAACCAAGAGATGAGCTGTTCGTCTCGACCTTGTTTTTGCTGGGCGGTGTCTTGCGTCTAGGTTCCTCATCCTCCTTGAACATCTCATTGTCTAATTTTTGTCTACAAACTATACTTGAATCGAGCTGGGTATCTTCGCGACAGTACTGGGAATCTTCAGCATACTACGGCCTTCGCGATTCACCACTGCGGGACGAGCTTTGCAGCCTAGGACTTTCACTTCACTCGGACATCAAGGTGCTTCTTTCACCATGGGAGGAGGACAGCAGCTTCCTCACAGAAATGTGACGACGCATAATCAACCCGTCACAGAGCCAGAATGGAACAAAGATCTTTGGGGTCTCGTCGATATGGGCAGTAACGGCATCCGACTCTCCATAACCGACCAATCTGCACCAACTACCCGCGTCTTGCCTACAGTCTACGCTTACCGCAACAAAATCTCCCTCTACGAAGCTCAATACGATGAGAATGGCACCAAAATTCCCATCTCAAAGGAAGTGCAGGATGATGTGATTTCTATGCTTCTCAGGTTTCAAATATTCTGTGCGGATTTCAGGGTTCCGCCGGAGCAGATTGAGATTGTGGCGACCGAGGCTACTAGAGCTGCTATTAACTCTGCAGAGTTCTGTGATAAGATTAGAGAGGAGACGGGGTTGAAGATGAGGTTGTTGAGCAAAGAGGATGAGGGTAGGATTGGTGCTTACGGAGTTGCGAGTTCGTTTTCTTCCGTGAGAGGTCTGGTTATGGATATGGGTGGCGGTAGCACTCAGATTACCTGGATGATTGCCAAGGGAGGAGAGACGCAGATTTCTCCTGTCAGTGCTGTTAGTTTCCCGTATGGAGCTGCTGCTTTGACTAGACGATTGGAGGATTTGAAGAAGGGCAAGAGTAAGCATCAGGCTCATGAGGCGAGAGAAGAGTTCCGCGCGCAGGTCAAGACGCAGTTCCAGGAGGCGTACAGCAAGATACAGGTTCCGGATGAACTTGTCGAGGACGCGAAGAAGAATGGCGGATTCAGGCTCTACCTCACTGGCGGTGGTTTCCGCGGTTGGGGATATCTCTTGCTTCACCATGAGCAAGTAGCAGGAGGCGGCTATCCCTTCTCCATCATCAACGGCTTCACGGCACAAAAGGATGAGTTCGAAGACACCGAAAAGATGAAGGAGATTGCCAGAGAGGCCAAGGAAATCTTCCGCGTCTCTGATCGTCGTCGCGGTCAAGTCCCTGCCGTCTCCTTCCTCGTCAGTATCCTGGCTACAGCGATTCCACACGGCATCCGCGAAGCCCACTTCTGTCAAGGCGGTGTCCGCGAAGGTGTCCTCTACAACCGTCTTCCCTCGGAGATTCGCGCCCAAGACCCCCTGGAAGTAGCGACTCGCGACATGGCCAAGCCCATCTCTCCGAAACTGGCAGCACTGGTCACCCAATCTCTTCCTGCTGCTGCACACGGACATCCAAGGGTACCAGAGTCGATTGATGTTCACATGATTAGAGCATTCGCCAACATGTTTTACTTCCACGCAAACATGAATAAAGAGGTGAGTTCGACATCGGCGCTTTACAGTACAGGAACAGGCATCCTGTGCTCGACACATGGATCTTCGCATGCAGATAGGGCGCTGCTGGCTCTTATGCTAGAAGCACGCTATGAAGGCGAATTAGCCCCTCGCGAGATTGACTACCGCAACCAACTCATCCGCCTGGTTTCAAACGAGGAAGCATGGTGGACACAATACATCGGTGTCATTGGTCTTATCCTGTCCCGCGCTTTCCCGGCTGGAGTAGTCCAAGATGACCTTTACGACCTCCACACTCGCACAATTCTCAAGAAGCCAGAGATCCGCATCTCGTCTGAGTACGTGGATAACCTTGGAAAGAGAGGTGATAAGGAAGGATTGATGGTTACATTTACTCTGGTGTGGGCGACGGAGAATAGAGATGATCCTATGGAGGTCAAGGAGACTTTGGAGAGACACATCAAGGACCTCATCAAGGTTGGGAGGAAGAAGCATGCGATCAACGGATGGAGGATCAAGGTTGGGGCGCAAGTCAAGGATGATTATCCTAATGATGTATGATGAGTTGAAGTCAACACGACATGGGAACTTTGGCGTTCAGGATGTAATTTATACAAACCAATAAATACATCAGCTTGCATTTACGCGAAGGATGAAGTCTACAAGCCATAGCAGACCGCCAGTATCCAGTATGTTGTTGGGCAGCTCTACATATGTGCTTGCATGCATAAGCTATCATCTCACTAGAGACAGCACGATGTCAACGTTTTCCAAGCGGCCAAGCAAGGAAGAATGACAGGCTGGTCTGTGATTGAGGGAGCGAACTGCAGCTTACCTGCACCCCCGCGCACAAGCCTCGGCTCAGGCATCAGGATAAAACAGCCGAGTATATCAACCACGTAAACACCAACTCCATCGTTTACGACATTCTTCTCTCTACTTTCAAATACTGAATAGAATCCGTCCAAATCCAGTGAACTTTTGAATATAGCAATGTCTTCCTTTGAGGAGAAATTCGAGCAAGCGGTTAAAGATGGCGTCTTCCCAGGCGCCATCCTCATGGCAAGAGATGTATCCGGTAAGCACCCTTCCTTACCACATCTCAAATGATCAGAGACTGACGTAGAATGCGAAAGGAAAACTCGACTATGCAAAAGTATTTGGCTCTCTCTCCATGGACAAGGATGCTCAGCCTCTTCAACTTGACAGCATCCTCTTCCTAGCCTCGATGACAAAACTCCTCACCTCTATAGCAGCAATGCAATGTGTAGAGCGTGGTCTTATTTCCCTGGACACCGATGTAGGAGATTTGATCCCATCGCTCGCCGCCCAACCAATCCTACATGGCTTTGACGCAAACGATAAACCCATCTTGAGCAAACGCAAAAACGCAATCAAATTCGTGCATCTACTCACTCATTCCGCGGGAACCAGCTACGATAAAATGGTTCCAATGCTAGAAAAATACAGAACTCAAATCGGACAACCGGAAAACAGAGCCACGATGGAAAATAAATGTGTCTATCCACTGTTGTTTGAACCGGGTACTCATTGGAGCTATGGAACCGGCACAGATTGGACGGGTAAAATCATCGAACTCCTCACAGGAAAAACATTACAACAATACATGGATGAAAACATTTTTACTCCTCTGGGCATCTCACGTATTCAATTCACCCCGTACGTCACTGAAGAGATGAAAGTCCAAGCAGCTTCCATCGCCCTTAGGATCCCAGATGGAAAGTTGGTAAACCTACCCAGAAGCAAAAACATAGACTTTGGAGATCTGGAATGTTTCGGCGGTCATGGAGGTTATGCCGACTTGACGAATTACTTCAAAATCCTAGAATCCCTTCTCTTGGACGATGGGAAATTACTTTCTCCCTCTAGCACCGCAATTTTTTTCTCACCACACCTGTCAACACCTTCTCGAAAGGCTATAAATACCATTTTCGCACAGCCAGAAATCTCTGCTGTATTCGTGGGAAGTTTCCCGGAAAGTGTAGAATATGATTGGGGGATTGGGGGTGTGGTGTTGAGGGAAAATGGCGAGAAGAGGGGAAAAGGTACAATGGCTTGGAGTGGGATGCCGAATTTGTTTTGGTGGGTTGATAGGGAAAAGGGTGTATGTGGACTTTTTGGTACGCAGGTTTATCCGCCTGGGGATGGGAAGGTTGGGGAAATGATTGATCTTTTTGAGAGGGAGGTTTATGAAAGGGTTGAGGGTGGAGGTGGTGGGGCGAAGTTGTAAGAGATACATGCATGTATGATGAGAAGATCACGTCGAATAGATACGAAAGATCTACATGCTTCTGTGAGTGAGATGGTTGATTCGACATGCAAAATTTTTCTTATGTGGAAGCACAACGTACTATTCCTTCTTTCCTCAATAGCAGTCCACTGACACAATAGCAGCACTACTCCATGGAACCTCCACCTTGACAATCCCCTGCCCATCGACTTTCACCCCCTCTCCCCTAGTAACATTATGCAACCTCACAGCCTTTCCCATATTCAATTCATAATTATAACTATTTCCATCCCAAGTGATCCCACTCAGAGCATCACTACCATTAGCCAACAACCTCTGCACCACACCACCTTTACATCCACTCGGAAGAGAAAATTCATAGCTCTCGACCGGGCGAGCAAAGAGTGTTGTGTAATTGTTCGCCGTGGTGTTGTAGGTTTGAAGTGAGACGATGAGGATACGTGACAGAGAGTTATCGATGTGAGCAGTGTAGAATGAGGTATTTGCCGAGGAAGCATTGAGATGGGTTATCTTGAGAGAGGCGGCGGGGTGGGGTTTATTCATCATGGCTGCTACGGCTAAGTTGCCATAATAAGGGGGTTTTGTACCGATTGTGGTGATGTTTGTTTGGATGGGTTGCCAGGATTGGTAACTATTACTTTTTGTTAGATTCTTGTTGATTTACAGGAGAGAAGAGGAGAAGAGGCAGGAACTTACCGATAATTAGTTCCCTGATGCATGTGAGAGCGAGAAATGTTTTGAGATGCGAGATAGACGTTCCAATCTACACCCCACAGCGCAGCGCCAAAACTGTTACTTAAACCAGGACGTCCCTGTCTAGCAAGGGAGTTGTGTTCGCCGAGGATGTATGGTGCGTCAGGAGCCAAGTCACCTCCAAGAGCTGCAATGTTACTCGAAAGATTGAGGTGACCAGCAGCTTTTGCAATGACATTTGTGTGATTCATCAGAGTGCCTTGGAGAGTGATACCAGGGTCCGTGGAGACACCCATGTAGTTGTGGGCAGAAATCAATCCGATATCTTTGTCTGCGTTGAGGTCTGCTTCAAAGGCTTTGAGAGGGTCAAGGGTGAAGTATGCATTGGCAGGTCCAACACCAGCGAAACTAGGAGCCATAAATTTGGTGCCTGCAAGCTGAGGGCAGGCTTCTTTGACAGCTCGCTCAATCTGCGTCGTGCCATTCAGCCACTCCTCGACATACTGAGCTTCCGTGTAGTTTAGAGGACGGTAGCCAGAAGCGTGGAAGAGATCGGGCTCATTGCCATATTCCCAGTACGCAAGGTCATCACCAATTGCTCTGCAAGCATAAGGAGCAGAAGCATAAGTCGCGGCTCTGGCTGCAGAAGAATTGGCACCCAGGTTGAAGCCATGGACGTATTTCGTCCCCTTTGGCATGGTCTTGTAGGATTCGAAGAAGGAAGGGCCAATGGTGATGATGGTTGGGTAATCGGCTGAGATGTTTGGTCGAACTACACCCACAAGACCAGTCTTTTGGTTCTCATCAAAGATTGCAATGTCTCTGTTTTTGGTATTAGTACGAGTGCGTGCACATCATAGGCATGGCGAAATCTCACTGAGTATTACCTCCAACTCGAGCAATGGGGAAAGAGCCTTGGAGTCTATCGAGATTGTTCAAGAGATTGTACGAGAACTCGTTTGGATGCGAGAGGTTTCCTGAACGGTTCAATGATCAGCACTATCTCATAAATCTGAAGAAGCAGTCAATTAACTTACCAGCAAAGTCAGGCCATGACGACAACTCAAAAGAAAAGGACACAAATGAGTCCAAAGGAATACCAGCATTACTTGGAGCAGACTCTGAAAGTGCGATCGGATTTGGTCGAGATTTCAAGGTGGCAGCCTCTGCTTCCAGCAAGGTCGCGAGGCACCAAACAAAGAGAGAGCGCCTGTTGAGAAACATTTCTATTTCGTATGTGCTGTATACAATGAGGTCTTTCAAGAATGGTTTATACAACCCATCGGCAACGGAAGCATCAGCCGAAACATGATCTGGCAATTGAACTCGCTTGGTCTTGACCGTAAACAGCGTGCCGGCTTGACGATCTGCAGTGCACTGATGTGGGGGAGTGGCTGGGCCGTGGGGATGTTGCGGAGAAGGTGGGGTAAGACCTATTTTTCCGTAGTCAGTCCTTGATAATCTTGCAGTCAGGGCTCGGGACCACTTATAAAAAAGTAATTGGCCACTCCTTCCGAAGAAAGAATGGCACCAGCGCACCAATGCGCTCCAGACAGCCCCTCCTCCACTTTCCGCAGAAACACACCACAATTCGATTTTCACAATCTGCAAGTCCCGAGAAGAACACATTGAAGTCCCGAATTTTGACGATCTACATCATCGCCATGCTTTCTCCTCTGCATACGGCGGCCTTTGAATGTGCGTCACGAGGGATAGTGCAGAGCCGAGGCGTACAGCAGACAAGCCGGAGCTTTGACACTCACTCGAGAGAGGTCCCGCACGTACAACCTCAGCAGATGCACTTTCCCATCGATCAGCATGTCAAAAACCGTGGATGAGTGCGTCAGATAGGCACGACTAGTCGAACGTCTCGGCCCTTCATAGTGTCTTCTCATCAACCAGAGATTTTCCAAACAAGATGAAGCGTGAGCGCATCAAACTTCAGAAGAACCATCGCTATCCCAAGTTCTGAACGACCTCATTCAAAATCCTTGGTTCAGTCTGACATTAGCTGGCTCATATACCTCACCGCTTCACCAGACTTCCAGGGACTCTCGGTATCAAACTCTGCTGCTTCCTCTCGGTGTGTTGTAGCGTTCTTCTCAGAGACAAGTCTTTGGTTTGTTCTCCGGCCAGCAAAAGCCAGCGTCGAAGAGCATTGATACGTGGGAAAACGCGAAGTGGACAAAGTACATCCGTAAAACCCACTTCCTTCTTTCGCAGTGTACTGAGAAAGGTATGATGCCAGACAGACACTGATGAAGATACTGTAGGCGAGTATGTCGGCGCTCATCGTTGACTCCGCGGTCGAAGCAGAGACTGATGATTGACGCGGCTGGTCAGAACAATGACTTGGATGTCAACTCTGCTGATAGCTGAACGCTATTGGCAGAGGCTTTCTGGCTGTGGTTGAGAACTGCGGCGGATGAGAGACGGTCGTGCGAGCACGGTAGGGCTTGTACGGGATCTGTATATGTTGCCTGACAGGTTGATAGACGACGAAGAGCATCGATCATGAATGCGTGATGAATTCCACCCTGGTATGGAAGAAGAGCGGACATTGAAAGTACATCAACCGCTTCCAAGGCGACCGAGAGGGGACGAAACATCACAGAAGCCGGAGACTTTGGCATGCCATAATAGACTGTGCCACTCTGTGCCTCTGTTTGTAGCTTGACGTCCTTGCTACGCTTTCGCGATTCTGACAGGTGGCGTACAAGCATATTGTGAGGCTCAGAGATTGACACGGTCTGTTTGGAAAAGCATGACCAAGCTCTTTCTGCAATGTCCGGACTGATCTCCCGACCACCAGGGTTGCAGGCACCGAGGTGCTCATGATGCTTTACAAGGCCGTCTACATCCAGGCGGAGATTCATCTTTGCTGAACAAGCTCCCCGAACGCCCTCTGTACAAGCAGCAAAACACATGTAAGATCCCAAAGACGATCCTCATACAAGGTGTCCGACAAGGTTTCCTCATCTCCTCCGAGCGCAATCCAGAACGGCAGACCAGAAGAAGCTGTCCATAGATGACCAGAGCATGTTGTCCAGATGGTAAAATCGACGCGCGCCCTCTAAGAAGGTCTTACCAGCCAGACGCATGATAATACCAATTAAACGCCTTTTTCATTCCGAAGAATTCCAAAAAGCACCGGACGTCGATATCTCATTTCATTCGCATTGCCCACAAATTCCTCGTGAGAAGAAAAAGAGGCGCCGATGAACTAGTCGAGAAATCGGCAACTTCCTGCAAAGGACCGCGAGACTTGGAGAGAAACCGATGTATGGCTTAGGGTTAAGTTCCGAGGGAGATGCCCATTCGAAGCGCTTGAAATCAACAAGAGCAGTCAGGGAAACCCAAATGAGACCATGCTATGAGGCTCAGGATTATGACTGTGTCGAGATCTAGACGGCAGCAAACAGCTCGCGAGAGATAACGACCATGACAGTGGCTAGACCCCCCTCGTGACTGTGGAGAGAGTGAGACGCGTGGTATGTAGCAGAGAGAGAAAGCAGCAGAGAATTGGAGGAAGAGTTTCCTGAAAGCCTGGATCCAAAGTGTCAGCAGTGATATGACCAGTTTTTTCAAGACCGAGGACGATGAATTTGACGCGAACAGACATCGAGAAATAGTTTGTGAAAAGAAAGAAGAGTTCACGCGTAGCATTCGCTTTCATAACATCGCGGTGGCCGGGCAGACGCGCCAGAATGCCAAGACCTCGCGTGATGCTCGTAATCACATGTCATGAGCATCAACGACAACAGCATCTTCAAACTTCAGGATCATCATCACCGGAATACACCTGTGTCTAAATGACATACATATCTTGAGTCTGGTGATGGTAGTTCCAAATAATTGCGTTCCGGACTTGACTTGAGCTTTTACACGATCTGCCCTTTAAAAGCAAGTGTCACAAATTCCACCACATTCTAACACCTCCTGGTCAGAAACGTGCGATAGATTATGACGCGATAACTGCAAGCTTTGAAAAGAGTCTTCGAGAGATTGATTTTGTTAAAGTTTTGTACACTACATACAGATAAATCGGTCTGCGAAGACCATCTCGAAAGGAAGAAGGGGTATTGTCGTGAGGGAAGGAGATGAGAAGATGAAAAGATATCAGAGAACGCGAAACCAAAGATCGTGCACAAAATCTACACCTGTGGCACCGCAGAATCTGTCGATTCGGTTTGAGCATCAGCATCCTCAGCGGTGGTGTCGAAGTTCTCGGCAGAGTGCAGAATCTTTCTCTTGCCGTTGGCTTTGTAATGCAGCAGAACATCACCACCACCTCGCCAGATGTGTGTTCGAATTGTCGCCAGTGTCATCTTTGGTGGAATAAGTTGACCGTTGCAGTATAGCTCGAGATAATCTTCTGGTGGCATGGCTGTGGCCGGGTCTTGTGCGGGTTCAATTCGTTCGGCGACATAGCCCAGGATCTTGCGAGCACGTAGCATACGATTGGCGTTGAGACGATTGTTACTGTCGCGTTTGTTAGCTGGGTTCGGGAGTGTTATCGCAAAAGGTACATACCCATCTGCAGCAATACTTGGCAATACATTCTGCCATGGCTCAAGTACGAAGCTGATTTTGACAAGATCCTTGAGCGGAATCTGGTTTCGTAAGAGAGCATCACCGAGCCACATGGGCGCAACCTTCTCAATCAGATCGGCCATCTCGCCTGTGCTGCCGACCTTGCCCTCGAACAGGTCAGCCACGCCACCGGCTTCTGGTCGCTCTTCCTGGATGAGAATGGTTGTGTTTGGCGGTGGCTTCAGTACTGGCGTCTCGGAAGGCAACGATGGCACGACCGAAGTGGGCAGTTCAAGCTCTTTTGACTGGCCCAACGCTCCCCCCGCAGCATCTACAGCAGCTGCTCGTTGAACCTGTGCCTGGATATGATCTTCGTAGGCGAAACGAATCTTCTGGATGCAACCGAGGAAGTTCTCGTCAACGACGCGTGAATTGCTGTTGTCAGACGAGCTCTGGGCGTCGGCCTCTGCCTCTTCCTTGGTCTCCTCAACAATCGCAGGCTTATCTTTGTCGTTGGTCGGAGCCTTGCCCAGCTTCTTCATGTTAAAGGACATGTTCATGCGCAGACGTTTACCGAACTTTGATGGGGTGTCAGTGGTCTCGGCCGTCGAGGTGTCCTCTGCAGCTGGTGTAGTAGCAGCTTCGCCAGGAGTTTGGGGTACAAGCTTGGTCTGGCTGTTTGCATTTGTAGAGTTGACGGTTGTTGAAGTGTTCGAGAAGTAGTCGCCACTAATCGAGGATCGGTCTTGTGTGCGCTCGTCGTCCTCATTGGTCAAGCCATCTCTCGTCAAGTTTGGAGAGCCGAGATATGATGAGGCAGTGTCAGCAATGGATAGACCAGGAGTTGCGAAACCAATAGTGTTTGTGTTTGTCGGCCTGAGTGTGTTTGTTGACAGGGGAGCCGAGGGGTCAAGCTTCCAGCCGTCGGCCATGCCGGGGGGCATCTGGATGCTTGTCGGGGCGTTCTCGCGTTCCAACTTCTGCTTCTGCGCCTGTTCCAACAGGTGTCTTCTGTACTGCGAGTCTCTGGAGCTTTCCTCACTGATCAGGTTCGCAAAGAGATAGCGCAGAACCCACTTGCCAAGGTTGATTCGCTGGTCCTCCTTGAAGTCGATGTTCTGATCAATGTCGAGCTCGTCAGCGTACATTTCAGCGTCGAAAGCCGTGTGCTCCTCCAGCGTGATGGCCAGGGTTCCAGTGCGGGTGTCGACAGAGCACCAGTTAGGCACTGTCTCGACCGTGGTAACCTCTGGCTGCACGTCCTCGAGATGCTTCCTGCCGAAGGACTTGATGGGCACACACTTGAGGAGATCCCACAGCAGAACCTCACCAGCGGTATCTTGGGTCAGGACACGCTTCCGGTCATTGAGCATGATGTGCTTGACCAAACCGTTCTGACCTTCAATGGCAAAGTCGGGAGTGTGTCTCAGGGGCTGTGTGTGTTCGGCTTCAGTCACCTCACCGTCTGGAGTGGTCTCTCTTGCTACCGGTCTGGGGAAGTATGCAGCGTTGCTGAGTCTGAGGACGTGCTTGAGGGGGATGGAGCGTTTTGCGGAAGGCGGAGGGGAGGTGGGAGAGATGGGTTGCGGCGGGGAAGCGAGTCTGTCAGAGGACGAGTTGACGGGTGGACTGGGGATTCTCGAGCGGGAAGTGGCCAGGCCGAAGCGCTTCTGTTTGTAAATGTCAGGCAGGTCAATCTCGGCACCGTCAGTGTTGACATCAGCCCATCTGTTGATGGTGGGGCGAGGGGTGGCCGTCCAGATGTAGTCGCCAGCAACAGCAAGCTTGTGCACAGCGGTACCTTCCTGGCAGATGGCGACACTCAAGCCTTCCTCCAGCTCCTCGCCGCACCCTCTCGTGTCGGTCTTTGCAACCATGCCGCTCTTGTCGGACGAGTAGAAGACGGAGAGATCGGGGTGATCGGACCACAGAGACCAGACACTGGCATCGTGCATAGTCAGGGTGTTCATACAGCGACCGGCAGTAACGCTCCACACCTTGACCGTCTGGTCGGAACACGCAGACATGACGGTGCAGCCATCTTGACTGATCAAAATGTCGCGCACGATGTCCGTGTGACCAACAAACTTGGTGATGCGCTTGCCCGAGCGCGGGTCCCAGATGCGCACGTTGCTGTCAGGCCCACCACTGGCAAGGATGGAGTGTGTAGCCTTCAGAGCGTAGACGCTGGCCTTCTCTTTGCTCAAGCCGGCCAAGCTCTCATCCTCGCTGACATCGACGCGGAGAGTCTCTCCTGCACCGTTCAGGTCCCAGAGACGGATGTGACGGTCCAGGCCTGCACTGGCGACCCACGAGGCATCTGGCGAGGGAGAAGCCAGCACCTTGACGTAGTCGCTGTGCAGACCGATGGTCTGGGGTGGCATCGAGTCGGTCGCGGCGGGCCGCCATAGCTTGACACTGATGTCTGACGAGGCCGACACCAGGGCCTGGTTGGACTGGGCGAGGACGAGGTCATTGATCCAGTGGGTATGCGCTTGCACCTGGTTGTGCAGCGTCGAGGCGGGTGACGGCGGGGGCTTCGCGTCGACGGCCGTGATCTGGTCCGACTTGTGCTTGACCTCGAAGTTGAGGTCCCATGCGCAGATGACTCCGTCGCGTCCTCCAGAGTAGCTGTGCAGCGTCAGTGTCGCGCCCTGCATTGCGTGTCTCGGTAGTACCTACAGGATCGAGTTGTCGCTGTCTACCGCGAGTCCGTTGACGCCGAGACGGTGGCCTCCTGCCGAGTTCGTGAGAGGGAGCACATAGCTGATCCTCTGCCGCGCTTTACGAGCCATATCCACTACTCTGACATGTAGGTAGACCTGCGAACTCGGTCGGACCTCTCGTCTTCGAATGCCCCGGCCCCCGAACGGCCTCACGCGCCAAGCCGCCTTTCCCCACGATCGCCATGCGGAGAGGCCTGTCCAGCCCGTCGATAGCCGCCACCTGTCAGATCCGAATTCAGAGTCCAAACACGAGGGGAAAGGCGAAACAAGGGGAAAAGGGTCAGCAAACTCAGGTCGAATTATTCCTAGGTATGCTGTGTACACATTATATATCGCCCTTTTTCTGCGCCTAGAAACACCTCGCTTTTCGCTATCACGCTGCCTCAAAAAAAACCCAATGCCTCGTAAACTCACAACGCCCGCTACATACTCGTGTCTTCTTCCGACAATCTCACTACTTCGCGTGAGGTGTCAAGGCCTCTGAGCTCGTCGCTTCGCCGGAAGGGGCTGCTTGCAGATAATCGCCCATCGAGAGGTCTCTCATTGACTCTGTTGGTGGCTCGGTCGCTTCCACTCTACGCTCCAGCTGCACCTTGTGATAGCGTGACGACCCAACCACTCTACCGTTAGGTGCGCGAATTCGGAGTCCATCGTCTGCGGGGTTGGCGCTTCCAAAGTGGAACGGCTCCGTCTGCCCAGCAAGGTACATTGTGTCATCGAGCGTCGGTGCGTGAACCCAAGTCCTCTCTGTTGTTGGGATACCGTTGCGCACATACTCCTTGTAGTCGCCTTCGGTTCCTGGGAACTCTCTGGCTGTGAAGCGAAGTGGCTCTCTTCCAAAGTTCGAGTCCTTGGGTAGCTTGGACAACATCTCGCCGACGAACCACTGCTGGTTGTAGCCAGTTCTGCCGGGAATTTCGTCCGCCGAAATCTCCATCAGCTCGTCTCCGTTTCCAGTTGGGACGAAGTGTCTTGCTGGGAGAACTTCGATGTCGATGATGGGCAGAATGCGATGGTAGATGTCGTGGTTGTGGATTTCGCGAGTAACGACTTCCTCCCGAATGTGATGAATCTGCGGCATCACAGTTTCGTGGACAACAGCTGCACAAGTCAGTCTTCCGATCATTCATTGATGATATACATTGAACATACCTGGAGCCCAATGCTCGGTAACGTCTGTGTCAACAGTGTTTCTCAGGTCCACAATGCCTTCGAGCTGAGGAGTAGCCGGAGCATCCTTCACAAGGTAGTTCTGGTCCTTGGGGAGGAACTGGCCGAAGGCTGGATCCTCGCTCAATGCAGTCTGCTTGGGAGGTGAAGGCAGAGGCTTATCCATACTAAGTCTTGATCTCTGCTCCGTGTTCGAAATGCTTCCCCTGCGACCATCAAGATCGCGTGAGGACTCGACGCCACCGACAGCCTTGCGCGAGACTGCTGTCTGGCCAATGCCGTGCGCCGTAGAGTAAGAAGACGCCGAAGACTGGCGAGATTTACTGAGAGTCGACTTCGTGACGTTGAGGGGAGCGGGCGCATCAGAAGATCCATTCATAATGTTGCGATCAGTAGTGTTTTCGGAAAACTTATCAGATCTCTCTGAAAGTGGTTGAGAGGCAGTGTTGTTGTGATTGAAACCGATCACGTTTGAACTTCTGCGAGCTTTCTCCTTGGCTGCGGCATCTTGAGAGATGGGACTTGCCACGGTCTCGCCCTTGTAAGTGTCAGGCACAGCGGGAACACTGGGTGCCTCGCCAGCATTAATTTGACGCTGATCAAGACTCTTGCGCTTTGTGTCAAGACTTCTTCTGGTCGTGGTTGAGTCGCTTGCAGTGGGCGCAGCAGACTTGCGATCAAGCGACCTTCGAAGCTTGGATCGGGATCTTGCAGGAGACGGCTGCGAAGACTGATCTGTCAATAAAGTCAGCCGTCTTTGCCCAATTTGCAATGCAATCTACTGAGAACTCTTACCTGTGCCTGATATTGGCCTCCCGCCGGTCTGAGCGCTTACACCATTGTCGGCGCGAGTTTGACGACCCGGGCTGCTTGGAGGTGTCGACTCATCATCGTGTCTGTGGAACAAGCTCTTGATCTTCTCGCGAACCGGCATCTTTTGACAAGTGATAATCTCGATGCGCGCGGGGGAACAATCGACCAGTGAGGGGATCAAGGGAGTATGTGATCAATATGCTGAGTAGGTTGCTGCACTCTAGGAATTCCGCGGACAATGTCACTACCGTTCGGGTCGTGTTTCTACCAACGTCATATTATGACTGCCTTCAATAACAGGGAACTCACGCCACGCGCTAGGTGGTGCCGCCCGTGGCCGTGGCCACTGGCGTCGGCTACGATGTTGTCTCACGCAAACCCCGTACACGGTACCGGCCTGCAGTCCATGTAACTACGTTGGTATGACACAATCGGCTGCGGTCTGGAGCTCTCTGGCGAGTCCTGACACATGCACCATCGCACAGAGCAACAATACAAATGCCTGCAGTAATTCTGATTCCTGTTGTACAAACGCCTTTCCTTCCTGGAGCTCGAGCGCAATTCCCATACCGTCGTGCAACCATCACCCGGGGATACGCGTGTGTTGACGTTCAGTATTCCCCTGTTCATGCAGGAAGGCTGTTCGAACTTTACCAGAGCTCCAGGATTTTGGAGCTGTCTCGAATCTCTCGATGATGCTGTGTGACGTCGAGAATTGCGGGGCACTTCACGATTGGCTGACGACGGAAGTTGAGCTTTGTGCTTCCTGTTGATGATCGCTGATTTGCGCGCTGGTGCATTTTCCGGCGGTTCTTAAATCACGGGCCGCCAAAGCTTCGATGCAGACACGCAATCTCGATCCCTGCTTTGCGTCTGCGCTGCGGCTGCCTTAGTGGAGTTCGGTGGCAGATCCGACCAATCGACGGCGGCGTCTAGCGAGCGTGTGCTGAATCCGTCGATGCGAGGTGTTCGTGCTTGCCAAAGTGAGCAGAGCAATCAAGGAAATTAACCAAATGAGAACGGGCTGTTCTAGACAGAAGACGTCGCAATTAACTATTGGCTTCTCCGGACGATCATTGCATAATCTGGCGTGTCGATCAAGACCCAGACCGCTGGGGCTGTTTGTCTGCGAGCCCTCATGCCAAAATGTACACGTATTGATTATGCTTCCCAAACCCATGCCATGAGCTCTACTCTTTCCCTGAGCATCCGAGGGACCGAGATGTCATGAGGCTGTTGGACCCTCTGGAAATAACAGGCTAATGCAGGATACAAGATCTGGTGCACAGCAAGTACCCAGCCACAGTAGTCCAACGGTGCTGTTCCAGCGTCATGAAGTATGCAGCCCTGCTCGCGGTCGTGCATCACCTTCTCTGCGCGTCCGCGGGATATAGCGGGGTCGAGAGCTTTGAGGTCCGCCACGAGGTAAACCAAATCGAGTCTGGCGGTTCGGTTGGTCCGGGTCGTCCGCTCGTTAGTTTGGGATAGTTTTAGCAAGAGGCAGGTTTAAGAATGGGTTTGGGCAAGCAGAGACACGACAGCTATGAGATCATTAACGGCTTTGGGTCCTGGAACCCACTCCGCACTGTGGCTTCTCGGCCAACTACGCAGGAGAAGTGAAAGCCATGATCACATGCTGTGGCTCACGGTGCTCCCAGTCGTTTTAGCCACCGTTGGGGGAAGGAGCAGGGCAGGCTAATCGTCACATCTGCCACTGCCTTGCAAATCGACACGGATGATGTCAATCGTCGAGTGAGGGCAGCCGAGAGCTCCTGCCATCCGGACCTTACAAAAAGAGACCCCGTCGACGTCTCTCTCATCTTTCTTCCTTCCCATCAACACATCTTCCACTCCAAAAACTCCATCACCTTTACACAACTTTCCCACCAAACCACCCCAATCTATTATCACAATGGAATCCGCCAAGGCCGCCGTCGCTGAGTTCATGTAAGCATCCCTTCTTCTATCAGTTCCATCTCGAATGTCTGCTGACATCATTCACTCAGGTCCAAGTCGGGACACCACGACACCACCGTCCACGAGAAGGTCGCCCCCGCTGTCACCCACGAGAGCCATCAGCTCCAGCAGCACGAGCAGATCCAGACCGCCATCGACAAGGAGGTTCACCAGGACCACTACCACACCTCCATCCAGCCTGTCAAGGACCGTGAGGTTCTCCCTGAGCAGCACCACCACAACCTTGCCGCCGTCGAGCACCGCTCGTTCGAGCACGGCAACGACTCCCAAGTCAAGGAGCGCCTTGCTGCCGAGGCTGCCCAGTTTAGAGACCAGCGCACCGAGGTTGAGGCTGTGCACTCTAAGTCGATTGCCCCCACCATCGGCGGTGAGCACATCCACCACCATGTCCACGAGACCATCCAGCCTGTCGTCAACAAGGAGACCATCGAGCCCCACGTTGTCCACACCACCGTCCCCATCCACGAGGTTCACCACAACGCCGCCCAGCACCACACTGCCTCTGCTCTTCCCGCCGTCTCCATGGCCGACTTTAAGAAGCAGGGTGGTGTCCTGACTGGCCGCGAGGAGCGCTACGACGGCTTCGAGGGTGAGCCCCGCACTGTCGGTGGTGCTCACACCTCTACCTCCACCTCCACAACCGGTCTCACTGGTGCTGGCCTTACCGGTGCCGGTGTCACTGGCGAGCGTGACCTCAAGCACGGATCCCACTCTCACTCTTCCACCACCGGTACTGGCGCTGGCCTTACCGGTGCCGGTGTCGCTGGCGAGCGTGACCTCAAGCACGGATCCCACTCTCACTCTTCCACCTCCGAGCACGACTCCAAGCACGGCAAGCCTTCCCTCATGGACAAGCTTAACCCCAAGAAGGATGCCGACCACGATGGCAAGGCCGGTTTCATGAAGTAAACGGTTCGCCTACCTGTTTCCATTGATACCACTATGAGATGATCGTCTTTTCACGACCTCTGTTCACGATTATGAATGTTGTTTCCAGCGCTGGGAGTTCAGCAGTCCTGTAATATACATAGCTCCTCAAGAAAATAATCCTAGTTTCCTATCTTCAATATTGCTTCCTCTTGTTTCCTTATGCAACTCTACACTTGTGCTACTTTTTATAACATGTTTGCTGGCCAGATCTTACCATCATCATTTTGGTCGTTCATACAGCGAACTTGCTCTTGTTGATCTACCTCGTCCCTGACCACACCGTGAACGATCAGCAATCTCGTCTCCCGGCCGTAAACAACCTGAATATTACTCGCGGCTCGTGAGATTGTGATTTTCTGTCGTGTATGTTGCGGTGTATACGTGAGAGGCACTGTATGAGAGGTTGAAGAGCTTAGCTGGAGTTTGGCGATATGTGGTCGTCTTTGTTCGAGTCGTTGGTCTGTGAGCACATGGTGTGGACGGAGGGTATCAACAAGACTTGTCCAGAAACACGAAAATTGATGTTACAGCACTAGAACTCGTGCTGCACATTACAAAGCCTTATACTGTATAATTCATAGCTTGGAGTATATAATAGACAGGTCGGACAAAGACAGAACCTGTTCGTAGACGAGATGCCTTGTCAATGGTTGCGTAAATGCTTGTCGAGGGTACTACCCTGTCACTGTTTCTGCGCTCCGTTCTCAACACGTCCCCTGACCGTTTCTAACACGCGAAGATGATGAAGGTCAACCGAAGCCATCCCCAGCCATCCGAAACCTGCCGTTTCCAAGCCGCCGCCTTCCCTCGTGGACCTGCGACATCACATCTATACTCTTAACCCCCCTGCTGCCCATGATGACGTTCAGTCTGGTCTTATCAATCGGAGTAAGAGGAAAATTCTCATGTGACATTGAGAGACTCACAGTAAGAGGGCTCGATAGATGTTGCTACTCCACTCAGGGCAATTCACAAATCAGTCGTCCTCAGAAATCGACCCATCACCATCATAATGGTTGCTGCGCAAAACTTGATCTGATCGCGTTCCAAGAAAACATCACTTCCGAACGTCGTCTTGGCTTTGACTTCGAAAAAGGAGATGAACAACACGAACGAAATTCTCATCCCTCTCATGACTGCCGGGTGAACGGTTTTCTGCCTCAGCGGGTGTGCTTACACGCCTATCGCAATCAACAATCTCCCTATGCCATGACATCTGCATCATGATTCACGACTTATATCCAGGCCGCATACCCGCCACTGCAAGCAACGTCTCTGATGATATTCCACCTCTTTTCGACCATTTCCATACTGTTGTCTCGGTGGTTGATGGTAACGGTGCGGGCTGGCACTGCGTGGTTTCGCTGTGTCTTGGCAATATTATAAGATGGTACCGTTGACTGACAACGGCTTTTTTGTACAACGTCGAGGTAATTCATGTCCCTTAATCTTGATTATACAGGGGTCTTTCGGCAGTGAACAACACACAAGTAAGTATACGAAGCGACTTGAGAACATATGTAAGAACGTAAGAATTGCACTCGGCCATCTCATTCGACAATGAGGCCAAGTACAACACTTCCCTACTCCTGCCTCGTATCAACAGACGTTCAATATCAGCAAACAATAGTAGATGGCTGGGAATTACGACTCCAGAGCCACCTGCTGTGCCGAACGGTCTCAACGGCCATAACGACCCAAGCCTCTTCCAATTGGCTTGGCCGTATTGAGAGAAATTGCTATATAACAAAGACCATCAAGTCCTCCCTACTAACTTCTGCTTTCCCATCCACATCCAAAAATCATCTAAGCTCTCATCCATCAACACAAAAGAACATTAACACCTTCAGGAAGGAACTAAAAAGAAAAAACCCAAACTTGATCAGGATCAAGGGAAACAAACACCACAACAACACAATCTCAAGATGAAGTTCTCAGCTTTCGCCTTCATCTCGTTGGCCGCCTCTTCGGTCTATGGCTCGGTCATTGATGTCAATGCTCGCGATCTTGACTCCTACGTCAACCTCGAGACTCGCGCCACATGCTGGAAGTCCGATATGCAAGCCGTCAAGGACCGCATCAACCACTACAACGTCTTTTGCCAGATGTACAACGCTCAGTATGTTCCTTCCACACCACTTGAATCAGTACCCAAATCACTAACAACAGCATCAGACCTCGCGACTCATCTCCTCTTCCCACATTGACTGCCGCAAAATTGACAGGAGCATGCTCATGTCTCCTCGCCCAATGGAACAAAGTAGCCAACCCTACCTCCGTGCCCTCCACAGCAGCAAACACCTGCGCCGCCTCAGACATCAACCTGATCAAGAATGAAGCACCCAGAAACTTCAAATCCTACTGCACATGGTGGGGCTTGATGTAAGTTCATTCTCCCTTCCCGCCTCCTCCCCTGCAAGTCACTGACAAAACCTCCACAGTCCTCGCTCTCGCTCAGCCATCCCCGGTGTCAGCGCCGACCAAATCACAAAATCTTGCAAGTGTCTTCTTGCCGCAAACGGTGGCACCGCAACTACTGCCATCAAAGTCAGCAGCACGAGCACAAAGACTACTGCCAAAGCCACTTCCACCGCTTCTGCATGCAAGAAGCGCAGAAAGGTGCGCAGAACCGTCACCGTCGAGGTTGCCGCCGAGGCCACTCCTTCTTTTTAAAAGAAGAACTTTTTCTTTTTCTTCTCTTTTCCGCGTCGGTTGCCTCACCAGATCAGCTCTCTTCATGATACTTCGAACGAACAGGAGTGGGAGGTGAACAGCCACGACGACAAAACTTCTTTTGTGCGACGACAAAATCATCAAGGGATAGATGCCCTTTTTTTTTTTTTTTGGATGTTTGGATGGAACAATCCCTTTCTTTTCTTTACTCTTCTTCTCTTCGGAGGAGGAGATTTTACCGGTGGAGGGTTTTAATAGGAGGAAAGAGTTACTGCTTGCAGTGTTTACTCAAAGAGATGGAAAGATTGTGGCATAGAAAATCACTGGTTTGATATTTTCTGTCTCACATAGCATGGAGTGGAAGAATTTATATAATTTGTATTCTAGATAGAAAGATTGGCTTCGTTGAGAAGAACCAAGGGAAATACCAAGATTTTGACCGCCCGATATATTTTCTTCACCCCTTTAACCATTTCTCCTATGGAGATGCAGCGAATTTGAGAGTTAAGGAGTGAAGTGAAGAAGTAGGACCACGCGGCTGATGCACGCGGTGGCAAGCCAACGGACGTTCCTGTCGATCCCATCAACGTCTTAGTATAGGCATGCCGTATGTAGAGATCTGCAGTAACGTCTTTATCAAGTTCGGCAAGGCAGAATTGCTTGATCTTGATGCCGAGGAGTCTCGGTGAATCGATTCGGGCAAGACATTGATCACGGGTCGTAGTTTGACCGGGCAGAAAGGAGAGGAAAAGTAGTGAATGGTACATGATGGTGATCGATTTGAAAAAGTTTGTATCTACCGAGAGTAGATAATCGCTAGTTTGCAGCAGATGTGATGGGAATCCGTTGACATCTTTTTTGTGTCTCCAAGCCCTCATGAATAAAGGTCAGTGTTGACTTCGACCTATCTTCCCGATCGTTCTCGGCTTTTTTTAATCATGTTCTCAACGTCCTCACTTCCTCTCCTCCCTTCTCTTTACCAATCGTCTACAAATCTCTCGCCAGACGCCTTACTGAAAACCTTAAAAGAACGCCAGAAGCCGCTTGGGTAGACGATTCCAGTGCCATAAGCAGAGGACGTATGTGCTTAAGCGTCACTCCACTCAGCCCAGTGTCGTTCAAGAGCTTCTGAATACCATCCGCGAAGGAGGAGTGTAATACCTGCATGTCTTCTGCAGTCACCTTATCCATCGGTCCGAGCAGAAACTCGAGGAAACTTTGTTCCTCTTCGGACAACGTGTCTTGACAGTCAAGTACATGCACAGTCTTGCTCCTGATATCGATCTGCGCGGCAAGCTTGTCTTTACTCGACCGGGCGACGATAGCAAGGATGACTTTTCCCAATTTGAGATCATACGGTACTTTTGAATTGAAGGTAGCCCAGTCAGGAGGCGGTATGATTCTTCTGTGTCTCTTTCTGACTCTGAAACTATCGAAGAATGTGCTCCATGGTCGTAGATTAGAGTCGCGTTCGCATGGCGAGACCATGATCTTGACGTTGAGAGTAGAGACGAGCTCATGCGTTTCAAAGCGAATCTGTTGAGATGTATCCAGGAGACGGCTCAAGGGCTTGAGATCTTTTGGTGGCTCACATCAACCTTATCAACACACTCTCTAGACTGGACATTCTCTTCTCCGCCTTCACCTTCCTCTCCACTGTCAACGTCATCAGAGTCATCTTCCTCGTTGCTGAAGGGATCTCCTCCAGATTCATAGAAATCATCATCATCATACTCCTCGTAATCATCGTAATCATCGGAATCATCCCACTCGTCGCAGTAGTCCATACCAAATAACTCGTCATTGTCCCAAAAGTGCTTGGGACAAGGCATCTCCACCTTGTGCAAGAACTCAGGCACATCCTTGAGCAACAAGCCATCGAAGCTTTTCTTCGCGGTGAAAAGCTTCATGACCTTCATGAAAGCCTCTTCGAAGATCTCGTAGAAGTATTCGCAGTAGTTGGAAGAGAAGATGGACATTCCGTCCTCTAAGCCAGGGAATCTCATGTTGAGGGTCTTTCTCTTGAAGTCCAGCTTTGCAATGACTCTGACTTCCATCTCGGCGTTGAAGACGACGATGTCCATCTTCCAGACTTTGAGCTCGAGAGGGAAGGTGGTGGTGTCGGTGTCTTGCTTCTTCTTGCCCTTCTTGGCCTTCTTCTTCTGCTTGATCGGGATTCCAACAGCGATGGTGTGAGGCGCGAGCGTCAAATCGTGGTACAGGCCGGCTTGAACACGAGCCTTGATTTCGGATGCGATCAGGGCGGTGACTTCGACGCAAACTTGTTCAGAGAAGGCAAGCAAATTGTTGACGGCCCTCAGAGAATTAGGTGGTTCGACAGCCAGAATCTTGGTTCCTCCGGGGTCGAGAAGGGCATGGTAAATCTCGTTCCTGGCCTCGAGACTCAGGTTGAAGAACTGAGGGTCGGCAGGATCTAAGAGGATCAGCATCTCGATGCTTCATGAGAAGGCAATGACAGTATTACCTTGATATCCACGTCCTTCTTGGTGGAAGCGGGATTCTCTCCAATGGGAAGCTTGGATTGAGTACTCATGTTTGCAGAGGCTCTGTCAGTAGTTGCAGTGTTGAGAAGAAGGAGAAGGCTACGAGAAGCACATATATGGGGGAGGAAGAGGGGTTGCAAACGGAAGCTTCACACAGCTTCAAACTAGAACAAAGACACGGGCAGCTCCAACTAAGCCTAGCTAAGACAAAACAGCACATGTCTACCGTTATTTGCATACCTGCAGCCTCAGCAGAGGCATAGCTTTACTCGTGCATGCTTTTATCCTTTGGCTAAAAAAAAACCAGACCAGTTGTGACTCTGTATGTCTCCCAACGTTCGAGCCACAGTTTTTATAGCATATATGACTGCAACTTCAGTGGTTTTTGCTACTGATAATGCAGGCCTCTGAGCAGGGGTTCACAGCCGAATAGAGCGACGGGTTGAAACGATAGGGCTCAAGAAAGCCGGACAGTATCGATGCGTCCCACGAGTGGAGAGGGAAGTGATACGCTGGTCAGATACAACGAGATGCCTGTAGCTTGCAGAAGATGATGGTGATGCGATAAGTCTGTCTATGCATCCATGCTCGAAAACTCAACGCGGTCAGGGCTGGCGAATCACCTACCTTGATCGTACCAGGCAGCTGATGACAAACTGTGTATCTCCCATCTCTGCATTATCTATTGGTCTGTCTCCTGCCCTGAGGATTGGTCAGATATATCGGGTCGCGCAAGAAAGTGTGATAGTCATTGCCTGAAGGTGCCGAGCAGATATCACAGGCAGCAACTACCGGGGAAATGGCGTGTTTCGGACACGACTCCGGTGTTTGACGTGGATCGTCATGCCGCACAAACCTCAACGCCTTCGCAAACATTTCCTTCTCGGGCGACTAATTCAGACAGAAGGATACCTACGCAGCGCTGTATTTGGCGTATATGAGCGTCTGCATCCGCACATTATGTTTTCTTGACCATTACGACATTGACACCTGTCACGATGGGACCCTCGACCTCAGAATACATTTTCATCCGTACCTGCATTGCTTTCCTGCATTGGATAGCCCCTTTGAGCGTCGCGTATTCTTTCGTCAACCTTTACCTTAGACCGAACAGGTCGCATGGATTTTCTATACAAGATATTTTGATTGCTTGGGCTCTTCTAGAGGCTGTTTTCTATCTCGTCATTTTCCTTCCTCTTAGACGTCACCTTCAACGCCCTGCGTTGCATCCTGAGCACGCCTCCCGAGAACAGCGGAAACAAGATTTCATCCAGTGCATGGGAAGTGTACCTGATCTAGACGAATTTTTGTCAAAGTGGTTCAAAAATAGCCCGCTCTCAGAAATCAAGAGAGAGAACATCAAGGAGTTCCTACGGTGGGCTTTCTTGAGTTTAGACTCTGTCGATGAAGCCTACGAAGACGAAGTTGAGGAGTACGTCCAGTTGATAGAGAAGACTCGTCAAAAAGAATTCGAACCTGGCCGAGGAAGTGCAAGATGTATTCGATTGACTTTTGATAAAGTTGAATTGCTGCACCGAAGCCTTTTCTGGTATTTGGTAAGATGAACATTCTCTTCCAAATGGACTGCGAACGTCTTGGACGAACTGACATTTTTTGCAGTGCGTGTGGGTGGTTGATTGTTTGACCTCGCTCCGATTGTTCTACTATGGATTCAGCTATCATCGCTTACCCTTGCGGCGCTTCTTCTCCGTCTTCCCTCTTAGACCGCACAATCTTATCTCTCCCATCAAGTCGCCATCTGACAAACTCACCTATTGGCACCGGCCGCACCACTCCAAAACCGACTTGCCGATTCTCTTCATTCATGGTATAGGGATTGGGCTATATCCTTATGTAGACTTCCTCGCAGAGGTCAACAAGGAGATCAAGGGCAAGGATGGCAAAAGTGTGGGTGTAATTGCTGTCGAAATCATGTCTATCAGCTTCAGATTGGCTGGACAGACTTTGCTGAAGCAAGAAATGTGCGCTGAGATTGACAAGATCTTGAAAGCACACCAGTGGGACAAATGTGTGCTAATGTCGCATTCGTGAGTGCTATCCTTTCTGTTTCTTGCATCTCGCAATACTGACTAGCTCTAGATACGGGTCGGTGATTTCGACCCATCTTTTGTACACGCCGAGTATTGCAAAGAAAATCGGACCTGTCCTTCTGATAGATCCTGTCACTTTCCTGCTGCATCTTCCCGACGTAGCGTACAATTTCGTAAGCCATGCCACCTTCTCACTTAGACTAAATGTTTTACTAACCACCGATCCAGCTACACCGGAAACCAACTAGCTCCAACGAACACCGACTCAGTTACTTCGCCTCCAACGACATCGGTGTAGCTCACACGCTATCCCGACGCTTCTTCTGGAAGGAAAGCATCATCTGGAAGGAGGACTTTGGCCACCGACTCGTTACAGTAGTGTTGTGTGGACAAGATCTAATCGTTGACACACAACACGTTGGCGAGTATCTCAGCGGGACCGATGATGATAGTTGGAAGACACAAGAATTCAAGGGCAAAAGCCTGGATATCTTGTGGTTTGAGAAATTGGATCATGCTGAGGTGTTTGATCAGAGGGCGACTAGAACTAAATTGCTCCGAGCGCTGCATGAGTATTGTGGGGAGCAGGTAGACTAGCCAGGCATATCCGATTCATGAAGTTGATCTCATCTCTTCTCATCTCGTACCAGTGCACTTCATCACAATGTAGCCACAGCCAAGACAACGCTGATGGTGCTCAGAAAACACTAAGATCTCGGCCAAGTGGAGAAGAGAAAATGTGCTTGCAGGTCCTAAATTCGCCCTAGTGCTCGCTGATGGCTACTACCGAATTGGCATTTTTCAGGTTGGCCGAGTCTCAGTACTGTTGTCGTTAGATTCTGACCCAGACTGCTCGTCAGATTGGCTCTGCTGTTCGCTCTTGCTCTCATCCTTGTCTGAATGTCCGCCATCTTCGCTGTCACTTTGATTGGACTCGTCGTCATCGCAACAGTCATCATCGATGTAACCATAAACCCATTCGGAAGCTTCAAAAAAGTAATTCTTGCCCCAGAAATACTCCAGCCATGGCAACTTCACCCTGTCCGAAAGTGAAGCAGTGTCCTGGAATGTGAACCCATTGAAGTCTTCTCTTTGGGTAAAGATCTCCATGGCCTTTGTAAACGAGTCCTTGAACAATCGATACAACTCGTCACCGTAGTGTTGAGACTCAAGATACAACATAATCTCCAAATCGCGAATACCCACATCTTGCTTCTTGATTTCAATGTCGGCAATACAAAGTACGTGGTCGTAGATTTCTTCGAAAGCCGAGACCGAGACGTCTGAGCTCAATCTAGAGTGCAATGGAAGCCACCTACTCTCCATAGCTAGCAACGCCTTGACAGGAAAAAGCGGACTGAACCCAGTAAAATCCGGCATACAGACAAAGCTTACAGCGCGCAGAACCTTCGTTGCCGGGATCAAAGTGTTGCTACCTATTTCATTCATTGACATCGGGTGATGTAGCCACCTTTGGAATGCCAGAAGTTTTGCTGACGGCGAGACCAGCTAGACATGCGTCGAATTCACGAACGTAGACGTTTAGACGGACCCCTCTTAGGAACAATATTGAAGGCTTCCATGATGCGGGAGAAAGGATTGAGAGAAAGAAGTCGGACGACGTCCCCTCGGCAGCTCGCGCGTCATCGCCAAGCCGCTCAAAACACAGGGCATTCATGATCGTTGTCGCGCCGTCAAGCTCGTCTTTATCACCGACAACATAGGCGCGACCGACTCACGCCAGCTGCTAGCAATTAACGACTCCAGCATCGAGAGACGGTATACTACGAACAACAGTCTAGGCGCAACTTCCTCGGTGCAAGCTGTTGTATGCACTTAGGCGCAACGCTCGAACGCCGCGGCAAACAATCGCATTTCCCCTCGAGCAGCATCTGCCAGGCAGCAAACAGCTCAGCGTTCACAGTTCGATGATAAAAGGAGGGTCCGCAAGCTTGACCTTCGTCACCGAAGCTCTTGTTGATGGTACCGAGGGGGGCGATGACGACGAAGAGCCGCTCCCTCTACGCGCTGCACAACATCGCAGACAAGATCGAGTCCCAAAGAAGCAATAGACACAAGTGCAATGGGCATATCAATTGCTGGTACACTTCTATGCAAAACGCCCTCCTACAATCAAGTCCGTTATTCCACGGCTCCCCCTTATTCCCGGTCCGCGCAAGCACACCCTCATTGTCTGACCATAGTCGTCGTGACAAGCCAGATGCATGCGACATTCAACAAGGATACCAGGAAGCTTGATCAACACTCATCTGAATATGGAGAATCCAAGAGAGACTTCGCATCTGGAGATGATGTGCCGGATGACATGTAGCGCTAGATACCACTTCACGAATTCACGATGTTACGAAATTATAGTCTCGCAAGAATCTTGTCTCATCCATTGTGGCAAGAGAATGACACGCTTACACATATCGGAGTATTTGCAGCATGTACATCCCTTGTCATGTAGTCATGACTATGGAGACGCCGATCAATGCGATGACTCGACCCTTCGATTGCTATTTATCTAACTGCTCAACGGAATCATCTGCCAACCATATTTCCTGCTGTCTCTGTCCGTGTCGTCACAGACACTAAGTAGTAGTAGTAGTAGTAGTAGCAGCAGCTGTAGTAGCCGACTCAGTCTTGCTCGTCTTCCCAGAACTAGTCTTGCTAGTCTTCGCAGTACTCTTCAGCGTGGTCTTGGAAGAAGTGTTGCTCGTCTTGAAACCAGTACCGGACGTCTTGCCACTAGTCTTGCTCGTCTTGTCGCTAGTCTTCATAGTCTTGGTCGTAGTAGAAGCAGAAGCCGAGGCTTCAGTGTCAGTAGCAGTTCCACTGACAGTAATTGATCCCTCGTTGACACTGACATAGTAGTTGGCATATGTCAGGTAATTGTTGCATCTGTCCATTGCCGAAGACATTGCAGAATTCATCGAGGACATCATGTCGTTCATGACGCTGGAGCTGGCGCTTGTGTACATGGACATGATGGAGCTGGAGCTCATGGTCGTGAATTGGACGGTGAAGGGGGCTGAAAGCGACTGGGAAGAAGTGGTCGTGTCTGAGGTCGTGTCCGAGATTGAGCTTGCAGTCGAGGCAGGAGTGGTCAAGATGGTTGTTCCGGTAACCGAACCACCATCGTACATAGTCATGGTAGATACTTCAGGAGTAGCATAGGCGCCGTGCTGGGCAGCGATGCTGAAGGTGACGAAGAGAATTGAGCTTGTCTTGAACGCCATTATGAGTATGTTCAATCGAGGATAGATGATGATGTATTGAGACAAATGAGTCGAGTTGCGTAGAGAGAGCCATATGGTAGGCGAGGTGTGGCTATATGTAATGTTTGACCGCAGTAGCAGAGCGTTGTAGTCGTCCTCTGCACGCATAGCCGCGTGTATACAGTACGAATATAGCTCAATGTTACAGTGCCGTCGGATATCAGAATTCAAGCTGTCTTGGCAAGGGACACAATGGAGCTTGATCTCAAAAAAGATGTCGAATCACAATGCTGGACTTACAACATCTTGTGTCACTACACCAAATCATGCTGACCTGCCAGATATACTGGCAAATAAAGCAAGCCCAACATCCGGAGATGACGTACCCAGCCGACAAATGATGGATACTTACATACTACAAGTTTGGACTGGATTCCAAGCTGTCAATGCAAGAGTTGGAGTTTTGAAAAGTATACGCGCCAGCACACGAGTCTCGAGCCATTTCCGTTGCATTGTTGGTTGTCCAAAGTGTACGCAATCATCGTTCAGCTCACCCGAGATCCAGAATTTCTGTGTGTGCGCTGAGGATGTCGTGGTATATAAATCAACTCTCCAGCAGAAAGCCATCGAGCCAGAACCCTATCATCATCCAAGATCAGTCATCAAGCAAACGAATTACCTCACTCAACATGTTCAAATCCATTCTCTTCGTCGCGGCGACAGCAATCGCTCCCGTCCTGGTTCGAGCAGATTTTTGCAAGGGACAAAACGACGTCTTCTTCTTCGCCTGGTAAGCAAAACCCACCGTCAAACTTCCAACTTTCCAATACTTATCCTTTGTCATAGGACCGTGAATCTCAGCGGCATCGAAGGCGGTTGCGATGCGATTGTCAACGGCAACAATTTTCAAGCTGTCCTGCAAGGCGAGGGTGGTTGTTTCGCAGTCACAGCATTCAGCTGTCAGGATCCTGAGGGCGGCGGCACTACCTTTACCTTTAATCAATCAGACTTTTGCGATGGCGGCTCGGTGGCTGATGCAGTGAGCCAGGTGTTTAATGTGGATGCATTCAGTTGTTCTGGACAGGGGCCAGCTTGAGTAAATATATAGTCAGTTGATTCGACAGTATGACTTTTGAGCTTGCCTTTTGTGGAAACCGAACCTCGCGTGATGATGTTCAACGAGTACTGTATACCGTCTACTCGTACGTTTCCTGTGCATTGGCGCAATAGAGTAGTCAGCTGTAAGAGGATAAGGACGTCTGAAGATCAGGTGGCGCGCCCTCTATCAACTCGTTCACGATCTTATGACCATCAATCAAGATGCTTTTTGAATGTTCGCACACGTGCCGGCACAAGAGTATATCTGTAGATATAGAAGTCGAGAGTTGGCACATCGGTGAGCAGCATTAGTTCATCGCATCTGCTTAGTCAACCATTTTCTTGGCATACCCTCTGCCACTGCATTTCCAATTCTCACCACATCCTGGTCTGTGCACCAGTCAGAGGTGTCTCTCCATGGGACGACGCTTCGAGATGTCATGGACGAAAGCTACGTTGAACGCTGGAATTGTTCATAGTGGCGCTCATGCCGATACGCCTAAGATTGCGCCGGATTGAGTGTTGCGCAAAGGTCGTTTTGCCAAGTCAGAGTATATAGTCAGATCTGATGGTTAATCTTGTACATACGGCCACAGTCAGCTGAAAACTGGGCATCCCGTCCGCTCTGCCATACATAAGCAGTTGAACGGCAGATTAGTACTACGGTGGGTGACCACGTGGGAATTCCTGCTGCTGTATGTTTTGTCTCTTATTTGCTTGGTCTTTTCTTTTGCTCTCCAGGGATGGGAGCACGAGCGTTCTGGGCAGTCGTAGTCAACTTGCAGAGCCATGATCGAATTGATCTTGGTAGGAGAGGCTGTGAATTTTGGTCATTATGTACTGATGAAAGACGCTATACAAATATGTGATGGGAGGAAGCTATGCAAATATCACTTAATAACTGTAGTCAACATACTCATCAACCTTTTCGCTCTCATCTTCATTTTGGCGGGGTTCCTGTACCACTGACTCATTTCTGCCTCTTCCTCTTCTTTCTGGCGTTGACGAAGCCATGGAGAACGAGGTAGATCTACTACCAGGAGTCAAGGCTTCAGGCCACCAGAATGGGCCGGGTCCACGGCTTCTGCTTCTCTCGTCAGCCTTGTCGGCCAGAGAGCTTCGCTTCATCTGTGATTGGTATGATTCGCCTTCTTCATCCTCGGATTGTTCCAAACCACGAGCAACCATTCCAGGGAAGACATCAGGACCGATGGCGTCCGTAGTCTCACGCACTTGCTTAGCGAGGGCATTGCGATGAGCGCGGAGTTGCGTGAGTGAGGCCGAGGATGACGGGTTCAGAGCTACGAAGAGAGGAGGTAATGACTTCAGGATGTCCATACCAATCTCACCGATACGTAAAGCAGCCAAAGAAACAGACACCATGAGACCGAAGAAGAAGATCGAGAATTGCCAAAGAGGGACAAAGTCGGGAACATAGGTGTTTGCTCGGAGGTACCAAGGGAGAGAGAAGGTGTACTGCCCACCAATGCGATTGTAATAGAGCCAAGTGCTCACAAGCGCGGTGTAGTAGATGTACAGAGCTGGGGCAAGTGCCATTGCGACCAGGATCTTCCAGGTAGCCATGACGTCGTGACCTTGCAGTTTGACGACCGAACCAGCAAGGGCCTTCTTTTGCTTCTTGATAGAGATCATTTTGGAAGTCACAAAGACTGGCCAGAACATGAGGATACCTGGCAAGGTTCCCAATGCCAGAAGCAGTAGCTCGCCAAGGCGGTAAAGTAGCGTGGCCAGACACCACCACCAAGGGCGTGCGGAAGCATCACCCCACTCGACTTGATGGTCCTTGATACCTAACGCACGAAGATGGCGATTGTAGTCAACAACCGCCTTCTTCAGCTTTCCAACGCGCGGATCATCCTGGTACTTGGTGTAGCCCTTCAGTAGACGTCTATTGAATTCGATGACGACAGGTAGAGGAAGCTTGCGACCAGGAGGGTTATAAAGACGGCGCGTAGCTTGAATCAGCTGTAGCGTCTCGTGGTCCGGACTAGGTTGCGTCACTGCTGCCAGTCCCTCGTAGATAGTTTCGAGAAGTGATCCAATAGCATCGCGTTTCTCATTGCCTCCAGCTTTGAAAGCTTTCACCTGATCAGGATGTACATCGATAGGGTTTCCAAACTCGATGACAGCTCGCGAGCGGAACTTATGAGCGTGGAAGTAGTTCATACCAGCCGGGATGATGGTGAGGCCACAGTCCGGATCACGAGCCAGGCATCCCAGAGCCATGATAGCAACACCGGCCTTTAATGGCAGTAAGTCGCTTCGGTCGTGAGATCCACCTTCCGGGAAGATACCAACACAGGCACCCTTGGAGAGCTCGCGGTAGACTGCATCGAACATGCGGTTTTGATCGATGTGAGGCGCAACCTTGAATTTTGTGCCTTTGATCTTGCTCCCATCTGGAGCTTTGCTCTCGCCAGTAAGTTGCATGATAGCGTCCTCGGTCTTGAATGCCTCTCGGAGGCGGAACTCCCTTGGTCCCAGGACTTCCTCAATATACTGACTCTCAGGTGCTGCCTTCGAGCCCGGTCGCTTCGGCATGATAATGCTGCCACCATGCATGTATTGGCCATTGAGGAAATTGGTACCCACACCACGGACCAGGGTTGGATCATTCTCAGGATCTGGGAGAGAGATGTAACCCTGAGCAGGCTTGACGTGATCCATAGCTCGCGTCACTGGCAAAGAACCCATCTTGCCAGCCATGGCACCGATGTAAGGTTCCTTCATGGACTTTTCAGCCACTAGGAAAGACATGCGGCGTCCAACATGCTGCTTCAGCAGTCGCATGAGGATGATAGAATCAGCAAACTGGTTGGCATGAGGAGCGCCGACGATAATGACTGGCCCCTTTTTGGGAATTCTGTAGGTGTTTCTCGGATAGATTTCTCTGAAGAACACATCCAATGCAAGATTGAAGGTTCCCAGTCCGAGATCGTAGACCCATGGCGTCAGTACTTTTGAGTTGCCCTTGGATTGCTTCACAACTTGTTGCATGTTATCGGACTTTGATCCCTTGAGGCTTGTTGTGTTTTGTGTGGCCTTTTCGTCCTGTGTTGAGGCCATCGCCGGGTTGTGGTTATCCGTTGAGGTCATCTTCGCGTCGAGCGCAGCTCAGCTCTTGAGTTGGCTGATCGCGCACCTAAGACAACACAGACACGTGTAGATCCTATCTGGTATATGCGCGCGTCTTTTAAAGCGCCATTCGAGACAATCTCAAAAGAAGAAGTGCAAATCGCGGGTCACTTTGGTTTTCTGTGAGATCTTTGATTGAGGAAATTGGTGCGAGTCAGGACTCCGCGTCTAAATCAGGCCACACAGACCGCAACTCTTGCCGAGGTTACATCACGAAATCACAAAATCTCCATACTAGCAGTAGGTAATTGATGTTTGCGATGACAATCAGAAAACTTGTTTGTATGCAATGAAACAAGTATCACAACCACTCAATAACACATCTCGAGCATTACGAGGTAGCCGGTGTGAAAACACAACTGCCATTAATCACCAATGACGCCAATGAACTTGGCCAAGCTGGCCATAACTCCTGTTCCGAAACGCCCCCCTTCCAAGTTCTGACCCAAATGCCATTTGATTAAACACGCTTATTCCCTTCGATCAACCTCCGACTCTGATACATATGAAGGCCTCCGAGGAGCAAGTTGCGCGTCTGTATCCGCGAGCGCAGCCTCAAAACTTATGCCAAATGACGCTGCCAAGTACGAAGCATAACGCCTCCTGTAAGCGCACGAGATCTGTGCCGTGGAGGAAGAAGAATCTACACAGATACTTAGCAACGTAGCAAAGCATGAGTTCGAACTCGCGAATTACCTGTTTGCGTCGGTGCTTCCGGTGCTGTGGGATATCTGAATGCGCTCAAGCTTGGTCGTCGAGTAGTTGAGGTTGTCGAGTCCGAGGCTAGAGATTGCGAAGGAGATGCCATTGTGATGCTTGATGATTCAAACATTATGGATACTGTGAATAACGTGAAGTGAGAGAAGAGTATTGGATGATTGGCACTATTGTGGTACAGTAGAAAATTGTGAGTTCAGACGATATTCAAAGAATCCAATGCTCGAGAGGAGCAGCCTCTTTATATGACAAGTGCGGTGTACAGGGACTGCAGCAAGTAGCATCACGTCGTACCGCACCTCGATTACGTGAAAGTGTACAAAGAACACACTCAGATCAAACACTGCCACAAAGCATTCCTCGAAATCGCACCTGCGTCGCTCCTGCGGCTCTGCGCGATTTCAAGTTCATCACCAAATTGTGAGCCATTTTCACGAAAATCACGCAACACAACACCAAGTTCTCCAGGCGACGACAAAGCATAACCCACAGGGAAAGTGAGCCATTTTGGATCATTCTGACCGGTCTCAGGCTGAGTTTGAGTCGACGATTAGTTCGGCTACACGTGATGGTCAAAGTAGCTCTTGGTCGCCAGCTATCCATGCCTAATTTCAAGACAGCCATCGATCATGGGGTCAGCTTGCTGTTAAAATTCAAATGTCCCTCTGACCGGCCGATGTAAACTCACACCGCTGGACGCGCGCCTCCAAAAGTCGAGCCACGAATAAACTCACAACCGTCTGTTGCCCTGAGGCGCTGGTGTTTTGTGTTGCTTTTGCACCAACACTGTTTTGAACATACATTTGCTCGAAACATCCAGCTTCTCCAAGCCGCTCGTGAAGAACAATCTGACGACCACGCGACCGTTCCTGGTTCCTGGACAAGACCTCCATCAATGTCGTCAGCCAAAATGCGGGGCCGTGGTTCGGCTCCTCCAACCTCCTTTCGGACAATGCACCGAAGTCCATTAGGTCTCAGTACGATGACGGTGACGATCAAGAGAAGTCATAGCTGCATCAACGCAACCATTTTCCCGACCCAGGTGTCCATAAAGCATGACCGTGTGAAGTGTTTCGAATGTTCCACCCTTCTTCGACCAAACACTAATTGTCAACATGGTCTTATTTACTATTGCGAGCGTGCTTTCTTTGAGTCTGGGACTTGCTCTTGCTCAGTCCAGTACCATCAGTCCACTTGCGCGACCATGTCCTGGACGAGTGAACGACACCAACATTGTTTGCATGAATCGTTATGCATCTTCCATGCCGCCTTCATTTGAGCGTCAGAGCTCTACTGGAGGAGCATTTTCACCCAACGACACTTTCGTCAAGACACAAGTACCCTCAGATCCGTCCTTCAATCTCGTAAAGAATGCGACACTTGTCATGTTCGATGAGCGTGGTGACCAGATTCTTGGCTCCTCCCCTAGGCTAGACTGCGTATTCGCCAGCCGCAATGACTCCATCCATGAAGGACCAGTGTATATCTACCTAGCTCAGACTCTCGGTGATGATGGCTTTCATGTAGCTCAGAACGGGTATCTTATAGCAGCAGCGGAAGGTGGAGGTGTGACTGTTCTGAGCGAATACGATGAAATGCTTCTGAGAATTGAGACAGGCTTCACCGTGAACAATATCCAGTTCGCTGGTCCCAAAAGAAAGAATCTTTGGGTGTTTGGAGAGGGCGAAATTGCTCGCGTGACCTAGGACTTGGTTGGGATGGCAAACGAATGAGCCACGGCAGAGAAAGCTATGTCGATGACACGATCTCTTAGACGCTTCAAGGCGATAGACGTCTATAGATATGAGACATCAAGGAGTACTGCTTGCAGATTTCATTGCTGGGAGAGGACAAGATTGTTTCATGCGCTGGAGCGGAGCTAGAAGCCAAGAATTATGACCGCCTGGAGTAGGCCTCAAAACGCGAAATTATGGCCGCTGTATGTTGTCCTTTCCAATAACGTTTCACGAGTGTCTCTGAAGATGGTCCACAATACAATTGTTCTTGACTTGTGTCATCTACGAGATCTTCTCCAATCCGAATTTTACAACATGCTATGAGCGACAAGTGATCTGCGAAGCATGCACGTGCAAGCGCTCCTGCCTGAAATCTACGGAAACTGAAAGAAAGTCGAAGAGTAAATTCGCTACGGCAACAATCGCTTTGTTCGGCCAAGCATAACACATCGCCAACACGTTCTTTTTCCATCAAGCAAAAGATGTCAAATCTTTCGTCAATTGCACAAGAGCATATAATTGATCCGGAAACAACGTAATGTCATCATTCTTCAGGTCGGCAGCAGACATTAGCTCCTCCCGCGAAGAAAGTACAGATAACTCGAGCGATGAATCGGACAGCAGTGGCCAGCAAATCACGAGGGTACGCACTCTAGGGTCAAGTACTGCGGCGGAAGAGCAATCGGAGCCTGGAGCGACACAGACTCTTGATCAAGCCTCTCGCAGCTCTAGCTACCATCGCGATTTGCTCCTACATGCGCTGCTGGAAGAACGCTGCTACAGTGAAGCACTAGAGGATCTCAAGAACTCTGGTGTCAATGTCGAAAAGAGTCACCCACAAGTCGATACGCTAGCCAAAGAAAAGTATGCTCGACTTTCACGACAGCTTGGCAGATACGGTCTCGAAACTGGTGATCTGAACTCTGAGCAATTTGGCCCTCTTCGCCAAACATACCGGGATGGTCTTTCTGTTATCACGCGAAAATCCGTTGATCTTCAAACACCGATTGAGGAGATTCTGGCACAGTCGCAAGGCAGCAACTTGCCAGGACCACTGCTTCGCTTGATGGGAGGAAACGAACATTCGGCGACAATCGACATGAGCCGCAGATTCAGTGATCTTGCAATCGCTGGTTCAGACTTACATGCTCAGCCAAAGTTGCTTGGTAATGGCATCCTGCCTGGTCATCCGCTGCTGAACTCCACACGCTACACAAGAGACTTTGAGGAGTTTGGCATTCTTGGCAAAGGTGGCTACGGCACGGTATTCAGATGCAAGCACAACCTTGATGGCCGTCACTATGCAATTAAGAAGATTCCTCTCGGACCAAGTCGAATGCGCAAGATCCAGGAGAATGGTCAAGCAGAGCTGGATCACATCCTTGTCGAAGTAAGAACATTGGCCCGCTTGGAGCATCCGAATATTGTTCGATACCATAGCGGCTGGATCGAATGGGCACCTTTGATCTCCAATAAACAGGCGCTGGAGTCCAACGGTCACAAGCTGCTCGAAGCTCCCAAAGAATCGGAAGAAGAAGATGAGACTAGTACATCACAGGGCTATAGTGGTCGACCAGACGTACCTGCTATCGATGTTCAATTCGGCTACGATGATGACGAAGACCCCTTCGAGATGTCAACTGGCCAAAGCCAGCGTTTTGCAACACAAGAAGAGGAAGGTATCATGTTCGAGGATTCAAGGAGATCAGCCCAAGGTAGCTCTGCTTTTTCTGATACGCAGTCCCTTCAACCAGGATCTTACTCCGAAGGCAACCCACTTCAAAAGATACCGAGTCGAAGTACAGTCGCTTCCGTTAGCGACGAAAGCGAAGTCGAAGTAATCACGCGCAGAAACTACCCATCCGAAAGTAGCTACGACACTTCCTCCTTCACGAACAACCATCACCAATCAAATGAGCCATCACTTGCTCTCCACATACAAATGTCGTTGTATTCAATGACGCTCTCTGATTTCCTCGCACCTTCTGTATATCCAGTCGGTGCAGATACCAACGACTTTTCATCTCTACGTCACTGCTTCCACGCTCACTCATCACTGGAGATCCTGGCATCCGTCATCGAAGGTGTCGAATACCTACACTCAGAGGGAATAGTACACCGAGACCTTAAACCCGGAAATATCTTTCTCGCAGTCCGCGAAGGCTCAAAACCTCCTCCCGGAGCTCTGTCACTCTCAAATTGTTCCTCCTGCCTGTCAGTAAACACACATCGTCCCTTCAACATCAGCATCTGTATCGGGGACTTTGGTCTCGTCTCCTCCATCGCGCGCCCGGAAGATGAGCCTCCCCCCACAGTAGGCGCGTCCACCAAAGCAGTAGGCACGGAGATCTACCGTCCTTACACTGTTACGAGGAACAATCACCCCTGTTTGGATGTCTATGCATTGGGTATCATCGCGTTCGAGCTGTTGCATAGATTCGGCACGAGGATGGAGAGACATGAGATGTTGCATCGATTGAAGAAGGGTGAGCTCGCCAAGGAGCTTGATGATGATATCGGGTGTCGGGGTATGCAGGAGTGGATCCTGAACATGGTGGAGGCAAACGAGAGTGATTGTCCTACATGGGAGCAGTTGAGAGAGAGCTTGCAAAAGATGCTTGAGCAATGCAAAAAGTCTCAAGGCAAGGGCAAGAGAAATATATGAGGATGTACCACTCGACAGAGAAGCAAGAAGTACTCAGCACATCATCCGACCTCCAAAGCCAAAACAGCGTAAGAAACATCATGTAAGTAGAACAAGATCATGAAGAGGGTTTATCTCTCAACGCATTACAAAACATTAAGTCTGTTCACTCATCCTGCATATACACACAACTCTCTCTACAAGACCATCACACCGATCGCAGCTGCCACTACAACGACTGCCGTGCTTCCCAAGCCAATTCGCCTTCCCGCTCCACCCGTCGAAGCAGCAGCGATCAAACTCGTACTTTCCACTCCCGAGCCTCTCGTACCTTCCGCCCCTGACATACTCTCACTCTCCTGGCTTCCTGAAGCAAGAGTCGTGATAGCAGAACCACTTCCACTTTGCTCCATACTTCCTTGTGAGCAACTCCTGACCATGGGGCCTGTTGCTTCGGTCACTGGTAATGTAGTCGTTTGTCCATTCACCACGATGACAGGCTCTCCAACATCAACTGCAGAGGTGGGAATGGAGTAAACAATTCCCTGGGTGGTTATAACGTCGCCTGGAGTAAGTGTAGAACTTCCTAGTACGAAGATAGGAGCTCCAGATGTCAATCCAGAAGTGGACGGAAGAACAGAAGTCTCACTATCAACGTGTTCCATAGTGCCGGAAGCAGCAAAAGCGGTACTGCTTTCTCCCTCTTCGTCATTGGATTTTCGAATTGATTCCTCTCCTTCGATGACAGTCTCTGTAGTTACAGAACCTGATAGACGAAGAGTTTGACCGTTTACAAGTATAGCGGTTGCGGAAGGAAAGAGTGAGTACATCGTTCCTTCTACTTCGATTGCAGAGTATCCTGGTGCGAGTGTCTTGTCCTCAATCACGTATTCTGTAGCTGAGTTTTGGGTCAACATCTCCGAACCAAGTGAGATGATGGGAGCAAGAGTTGCAGTAATGACGGAAGCCACGGCTTCTGTGGGAGAAGCAAGGGGAAGGGTTGAAGTTACTCCGTTTGCGATGAGGACATTTGTAGAGGCAGAGGTGGCGAGTGAGTATGTTGTTGAGTCAAAAGTCACTGCTGGGCCATTTGGTTCAAGTGTTTGAGAGCTTAGAATGAAGGCCGAGTTCGTGTTTGCAGTGATGACTGTGTTTTCTAATGTGATCATTGGAGCTGCAGTAGACGTTTCCGATCGTTGAGTCGCGCGGGTTTCGACTACATAGATGGCAGAGCCAGATGTTGCGAGTGAGTAGATAGTACCAGAAGCCGTGTTCACAGAGCCTACTGCTGAAGTAGTCTGAGAGTCGTGCGCTAACTCGACAGATGAGCTTATCGTAGTTTCAGGAGCACCAGATGTAGCAACGACAGGTATTAAAGACCGCGTCTGACCATTCTCAACAACGGCACTCGCCGAAGGAGCGAGAGAGTACGTAGCCTCTCCGACGGTTATGGCAGGACCACCTGGAACTAGTGTCTGAGATCCTATGTCATAACCTCCAGAGGGATTGGGTGGTAGAGTCGTCAAGTCAAGGGTGATGTCTGGGATAACCACGATTGCATTCCCAGACGAAGCAGAAGGCTCAGCAATACCACTGCTCGTGATGATGGTACTAGGTAGAACTTGACTCGCTTCATTACCTTGAGATCCAGTGGTCCGTCCCGAGGCAAAGATTGTTGTGGTCGGATTTGCTTGTCGAGTTTCGGTCAAGCTCCCACTGGTGATCACTTGATTGTTTGTCGAGATGGTGGTGGTAGTGAGCACTTGTGAGCCAGCACTCTCCGTAACACTCGGTTGTACGGTGAGCGATGGACCACTAGCGTTCTCAGTCGTTGTCGGCTGGTCAACTTCGGAGGACTCGTCGGCGAAAGATGCCGTCGCTGGTGTTTGTTCACCTTGGATGGTACTAGTTACAACAGGCAAGGGAGGCGCTTGGAAAGTCGTTTCGTGAGAGCGTGTAAGCACTGTTGACTGTCCAATAGAAGATGGTGATTCTACAAGAGTAGAAAATGTATGATCGACAGACGTCCTCTGACTAGTTGGAGTCTGTGCGACTGTTGTCGTCGAGAGTTGCTCAGAAACTGCAGTCGAGACCTGAGTTCCAGTTGAAATAGTCGACGTCGGAGCAGAAGTCTCTAATTCGCTTGATACATCAGATGTCGCTTCCCTGCTGGTCGATATAGCAGCGATCGTCGTCTTCTTCGTGGCCTCGACACTTGAGTCTGTCGGTCCAGTTGTGATGGCCTTCTTCGTAGCAGAAGTCTCTATTACACTCGGTACCTCTGGAGTAGTCTCTCTGCTTGTCGGAACAGCAGCCACCGTCGTACTCGTAATCTCCGTCCTCGAACTCCTCATACTCTGCACCCCAGAGCTCGTCCCCCCGATCATCCCCGCCCTCGATGTCTCCATACTCGCACCGAAATTCCCTGGCGAAGTCGCAATAATCACCCTCGTCATATGCGTCAAAGTACTAACCACAACATGCACAGTAGGCGCCCCCGTCGGCCTCTTACTAACCCACCCGCTACACTCCCCCAACCAAGGAAACCTAGCCGCTATACTCTCATTTCTCAACATCCAAGCTATAAACTGCTCTGGAATAGTGTCAAAAGTTACTTTGACAGGCCAATCCACTGAAGAGTTTAGCCATGGTCCTCCAGTGTAGAGGTTTGTGTATAGATCTGTGTAGTTTGTGAGGGAGATTTGGGTGCCGTTGGAAGAGTAGTGGGCTACGTAGAGGATGCCGAAGATTGGGTTTGCCCAGGGTTGTGGCATTGAGCTTTTGTGGGACAAGTTAGTGGTGGATTGGACGTGAATGGGTGGGAACTTACACTACTGTAGTCGGCTCAAGACCCCATTGACTTGTAAAGGCTGAATAGGTGTGGAATCTGGACATGGCATATGTGTGTTCATTGTTTGTGTTTGGCAGCATGGAAATCAGACCAGTGGGGACACCCGGGAATGTCCATTGCATGGTTGCTAGAACTCCAGTTTCTTCCAAAGATGACAAGTCTGTATGTACAGAAGTCACTGCGGTTCCGGAGAGCAATCCTGATGTGGGTGTCCAAGTCGCCGTGATGCCTTCATACCGCGTAGATGAATTGGCAGGTACGATGGTGTTGTTGTATTGAATGTAGTAGTCCACTTCCGTTGCCATCTATAATAAATGCCGTTAGTCAGAGACAAGACCCAATGTATCGAAATACTAACCGTGAATGTAGCAGTCTCGGTGTACCACGAATTCAGAAAGATCTCGACCGGCATCCAGAAACCACATGATCTCGAAAGACTCGGGTCAGGCGTCGTAGTTATAACAGATGAACTTGTAGTGCGCGTCGGGGCAGAAGTCATGTTGGCAAATGCCGTACTTGTACCTAGAAGTACTCACTGTGAGCCAAGATCACGATAAAAGTCCACAGTCACTAACGTTGTGGAACTGCGCCGACACCATTGACGGTGACCAGCCAAGCTATCGTCAGAAAATGCAAAACCATATTCACCCTCCCTGTTATCTCGCAGAAGAGCGCCATCGTCAGACAGTGTACGGTTTCGAACAGACCTGGCTTGGCTGGTAGTAAGCAAGTCAGCTGTCAGATCTATGGTGTTCTCACTGAGCAGCAGCCAAGAGTCAAAGGAAGATTTGACAACAGCACCGATGGCAGAGTTTAAGAGAAGAAGCACTACAGCTTAGCCTTATCTACTTAACACCTGGAAGGATTGCATTAGGGCTTAGTCTTAGTGTTTCCGAACTGCCAGTACGCGAATGTGCATATATCGAATGGTCTCGTCTATGTATACCACACTCGGCGTACGAAGAAGGTGTACTCCATACACATAGCGAGAGCTATTCGGTCTGCGGCTCATCCAGAGATACAGAGCCCAGCATAGATAGACGAGAGGATGCCACAGCAGCACATGAGGCTGAGATGCCGTGATTCGTGCCAAACAGGCCATTGGTGGAACAAGTCTCCGCGAAGGAACTCCAGGTACAAGCTTGCAGAAGTAACCGTATTACCAACCCATGACTGCCCAGATGCCAAGATGTATGTTCGTGATAGAGAGGGTGGTGCCGCAGCATGTAATATTTTCAACCTTGGCATGCATGAAAGTTCGGTATTGAGCCTCTTTTAGGAAAACACGTAAACATCTCAACTTCTTAGTGGGAGAAGAACAGACAAGGAACATACAATAAGGAAAGATTGGTGCAAGGCATAATTCCAAACCGTTAAGAACATTCTGCTGGCTCCCTCCCATCCTTTGTATCTCTGCATCTATTCTCTTCGAACGGATGGACTCGTGTCAACGCGACAAGCGCAACACCGCCAATCACCCCGTCAGCAGCCCAATATGTCCCTTCTTAGAGAGCCCAGTCGAAATCCGCCTGAAGATCTATCGTCTAGTGCTCAAGGTCGCTGGCTCCCGTCTGGTTGTTGGTCAGCACGGGCTCATCGCCCATGACGAGAAAATTCCTGTCTGGGAGTGTCATACTCAGATGCCGTTGACTATGCCGCCATCGTCAGTGTTTCTGGCTCTGCTTTCCGTCGACAAGCAAATCTATGGCGAGACAATGCCCGAGTACTATCACGAGAACCACTTCCAATTCTCGAACATGGTCATCATAAAGGAGTTTCTTACCAACATGGGTGCCGAGAGAAGATGCCACATGCGTGCCTCAGTTGGCTGGATGTCCGGCTAGCATACATCGAGAAGCGATCCGGGTCCGCGGCGAAGATTTGACCAGTGCTTTCGCACCTTATCCGAGACACACGAAGCCCGTTCCTTGAGGCAACGCACGATGGTGGAATTTTTGCAGGGAGATGGTCCCTGCCAGTTGGTTGTTCGCCATAGTGCCCGGGGTGAAGTTTCGCAGGCTCCGGGTCTGTCAAGTCATCTTGACCAGATCTCGTGCTTGCCGGTCGTTTTGTTTGTTCGTGTAGTGTAGTGGTTCAATGCTGTTTTTCCCATCAACACGGAGATGGTAGAGTAAGAGTTCCAAGTCCTTGACCCCGGTTTTCCTTCTTCGGTTGATAACACGTTCCTCTCCCTCTCCCCCCCTTCCGATGTACTGTGCAACTGGTCGCATAAGTCTAGCCTCGTTGTTCGAGAGTTTTTTTGAAAGGGTGGTGATTCTGTTAGCGATGTAGTAGTGTGTGCTTTGGGAAACTATGCGAAAAAGGACGAAGAGACAAGGAAAAGAGTGGAGAAGTTTGAGAGATCAAAAAGCATAAATGTCATAATCTTTGGGTGGAAAGACCGCTCTAAAGACAGCAAACCCCCCCATAGGAGTGTTAGAAAAAACATCAAGGATATGACGGAAAAAAAGGAAAAAAAGAGGGGAAAAAGACGCAATGGGACGGGAAGATATCCAACTCCTCGCCATTCAGTCCAGCCGCTCGCCTTCTTCTGCGACTTGTTTAAGTGACAGAAAGAAGAGGTACGGTTTACCTAGACATCATACTGGCGTTTGTTTTTTTCGCAACCCAAGAAAATGCAAAGACAAAGTTTTCAGCCATCTTTCCTCTCCCCTTCTACTCGGTATCCTTGACATTACCATTGGGCTCAACAGCAATCTCGACCATCTCACCCACACCCTCGCTAGCATCCGTAGTAATCTGCTGTGCCTCGTCCAGATTAATACCCAGCCTAATCTCCTCCTTGCGCTGTCTAGCCGCCTCGGTTTCTCTTCTCATGGCTTCCAAGTTCCAGTTGTCATCGTTGTCATCAGCATCACTGTCGTCGCCATCATTCCAGTCTCCCTTTTCGAACAAGGCGCGACCGGTGGCTTCCTTCATCTTTTGAGCTTCTTGCTCGGCGGCCTTTTTGTCCATGCGTTCCTTCTTCCATTTCGAAAAGGTTTCTTCGTTGACGGGTGTTAGGGTTCCGGTGAGCTTGTGGCGTTCGCTGTCGAGGAAGTCTTCGAGGGTGAGGGTGTTGAGGGGAGATTTGTCCATGAGGGCCTTTTCGGCGGCGCGCTGTTCTTTTGTCTTGAGGACGAAGCTGTGAGAGGTGTTGTTAGTATGAGATGGACCGAATACTAGAGGGGTGAAGTTGAGTAAAAAGAAAGAGAGGTGCAACATACCCTGGTGGTAGACTGTGCTTGTACATGCACTTGTCACCTCCATTGGGACAAGTCCAGAACCAACCATACTTGCCATTCTCGACAGCCTCGATGAAGAACTTGCACACCTTGTCGGTCGTCGTCTTTGGATTGCCATGCTTCGACATGACGACATTGCGCAACTTTTCCTCGTCCCAATCAGCCATATCGTCCTTCTTCCTCTCCTCATCCTGCTGCTCCTTTTCCAACTCCCTCGTATCAGTGTACAGACTCTTCTTTTCTCCCTTGATACCCTGACTCAGATCATGACTAAACTTGCACTTTCTACCCTTGTCACAAGCACCCTTTTTGAAAAACTGACACAGCACAGTCTTTGGGTCGACACCAAAGGGCACCTTTTGAATCTGTACGGGTTTGAAGAGTTCGGCGGCTTCTCGCTTTGCGGCCTCGGCGGCCAGCTTTTCCTTTTCGCGTGCTTGCTTTTCGGCTTCTTTTTTCTTTTCGTCGGGTGAGAGCGAGGATGTGTTGTGGATCTGCTTGATTGCGCGTTGGGCCGCTCCTCCCTTTTTGTTCTTCATGCCGAACGTCTTGTCGACGGCCACCTTTTTGGGCGCGTTGGCATTTTTGTCGGCTCCCTTTTTGGGCGGCATGGTGGCGTGTGTTTGTGTGAGAGTGTGGGTGTGGGTGTGAGAGGTTGACAGAGGGAGAGAAGGAGGGTGTAAGCAAATGCGCTCAATGAGAGTGGTGGCGAGTCTTGTATGGCCCCGTGGTTTGGGATGGGTTGCTGCCTTTGTGGATGGGCCGCGGGCACGTCTCTTTTGCGAATATTCAGAAGTTGAAGCGCTCTTTCCCCACCAGGCACGTCACCGAGATCCGTCCAAGTTTGAAAAGGCCGCCAAGATTTCACTCTTGCTTTCGAGCTCGGTGCACCTTCCCGTTTCGTGCCGGGTGCGGGAGGGTCCATCACTGTACACGTACGCGCAAGAGACACCTTGATCAACAGCTATACCATACCTTGTCTCGACAAATACCACTACTCTCACCAGCCACTCTACCTTTCGCCAATCGAAATCCTCACTCGCCCGTCCAAGCTTCTCCCACTCAAAACTCCAATCGTGAGTGCTCTCTCTCTCCCTCCCAACCTCTCTCCACACAGCTCCAACTAACAGCCTCTCCCTCCAGACACAAACAAATCCCACCACCACAATGATCACAGACGACCAACTCTACCAACTCGCAATCTTCCTCGGAAGCGCCAGCATGCTCCTGATAGTAGTCTACCACTTTTTGGAAGTAAATGCAGAAAACGACGACAAGACCCCTCTGTCTGCCGAGCGCAAAGCAGATAGCGTGCCTGGAGCCAAGCCTGTTAGATCATGAGCAACAGCACCCAGAAAGACTCGGAGATGCAGGAAAGAAGACGGGAGATGCAGGAACAAGTAGAGACGAGTGTTTACAAAGGCTAGGAGTTCATGGGAGTTTTTCGCAAGAGTCGGTCGCGGATGCTTGTTATGCGACCGCTCTATATTTCAATCCACAAGCACAGGAAGGGGGAGGATACCAAAGACCTTCATGTCTTGTCCAAATATTATATTGCCTTTGGATTGCCTGCTGTTGTGCACAATGGCTCGCTCTGCGCTGCCATTTGTCAAGCTATTGGATGCCCTTTAATCAGCTATCCTATCCCTCTCTGCTCATCCTCCTCTGCCGTACTCATGCCAGCTGATTAATAGGGTGATGGCCAATTCAATCGCTCAGCTGGACCCAAAACTTCGTAAAAGTACTCGTCGTGCAAAAAGTTGCGCTTGCGCTCTTCGGTCCATAATCTGCTGCCCGCCTTGGTTAGAGCAGGTCCAACAACCCTCTTCTTTTCCTCCATCTGCTGCAACAGCTTTTCGTCGTTCAATCTCGAGCCTGTCAGAGTGGAGAGTCTTCTTGCGTCTGCTTCGCGTGCTTGCTGCACTTCCCATTCTCGCGTTCCTTTCTGGACTCGTGCCATGGAAATGATGGGTGTCACTTGTCTGCCGAATGAGTCGGAAAGATAAGCGCCCGACTTTTCAGAATGATGGTCTGATGTGCGCCATTTGGTTAGCATTAAAAGGGTGGGGTTCTCATAACAAAGAGTCAAGAAGGGGGGAATTCAAGAGCCACCTGAAAGTCCTGAGCGAGGTCCATCGCCCAACGTTTTGGAGAGTGGCTTGACGTGAACATTCTCCATGTGCTCCATCCATGAGCCCAAGTCATCGAATGCAGTCACCTCTTCTTCTTGGAAGCAGCCGAACCATGCGCATTCGTAGTCGCCTTCCGATGTCTTTTTGCCGTGGAGTTTGAGGACGTGTTTGCGAAGGGTGTCGATGTTGTGCAGTTCAGAACCGCAATCTTCCCAGTCGCATTTGTACACGTTGAACTCAATTTCAGGCTCCTTGTTTTCGACGACCGGTTTGGCTTGTTTGGTGCGACGCTGCTTTGGTGGCGCATAGCTTGGTTGGCCTCGGGACTGGCGCTGCGCCGCTGATGGTTTCGGTGCCGATGAGACTGGTAGACCACCGCCTGCTGCTGCTGCAAGCGCTGCCTTACTATGGACGCTCTTGCGCCAGCCGACTGGGCGACCTCTTCTCTTAATCGGCTTACCGTTTTCATCGACTTGTGTCGAGCGGAACGCAGAATAGCCGATCGGTTGGCCTGGAACTGGTGTTGCCGACATCTTTTGTGTTTGTTGATTGCGAGGTGTGTCGGTCGCGATGGATGATGTCGCGCGTTGATGGATGTCGGTATGCCGGCGGGTAGGTTTAGCCGGAGTTTTTCCGTCGCCAACACTCGTGCTTGCAACCACTGGCATACTCTTGCGAGGCCATCCAACCTTGGCTTTGGGAAATGGCTTTCTAGTGAAACGTTGGCCTCTGCTCGTCTTGATCTCAACAGCAACGACTTGGGTTGATGCACGTCGCGCAGATGATGGAGGTGCTGGTGTAGTTTCAGTCGTGAAAGCTGCGTCAGTGACTGTGACAGGAGCTGGAGCATCAGAAGTGAGGCGAGCTCCTCCTTCATCTTCACTTCCGCCTTCATCGTCGGCATCGGTGGCCGATCTCTCGTTCATCACTTCCACCTCCGGGACTGTGGATTCTCTGTCTGCCTCGGCTGTTTCAAGAGGCTCGATTATCGGCTCTCCTGGATCGATCAAGTCCCATCGAATTGATTCGAGATCAAACTTGTCCTGATCAACACCTTCGGAGTGATTCTTGAGGAAGTTGTGCATGACATTGAGATGTTGATTCAGTGGCCGCATGTCCGGATGACGTCCTGTAGCCAGGAGCACATCTCTGCAGATTGTCTTCGGATCATATCTGGATTTGCGAGCGACCTTGGCGCGTCTCACTGGCTCGACCAAAGTTTGATTCTTAAGTTCAACATGTTTGCTGATGACCATTGGTCGCGAAGCTACTGCAGCCGAAGGTTGTGGGGCATTACTTGGAAGGTATGTAGGATAGACGGTACCATTGAAGTAAGACTGTTGGAGGTTGATTGGCATTCCAGGATTGAAGTGGCCGTTACTATGGACGTTACCGCTTTGTTCTGAAGTCGAGGCCATGTCGTACTGTGCAGTGTTGGCCTGCTTTGCCGGAGGTACATCCTCTTCCGAGTCAGAATTCATTGCTGTCATGTCAACGAGTTCAGCGAAATTGCGCTTGCGAGCTGCCTCGCCCTTGTTGGCTGAGGGCGGTCTTGGTCCTACTGAAGGAGGTGTTGACCTTGCGGCGTTATGGGCTTGCCCTTGTTGTTGAAAGTATAGACTCGAGTAATTGCGGTGCTGTCCCTGTAGAGATTGTACTGCAGCAGCTTGTTGTTGCTGTGATTGCATCTGCTGTTGTTGCATGTGTTGTTGTAGCTGGTGTTGAGGCCGAGGTTGGAACTGACGCTGATGCTGCGGCGGGGTGTACGATGAAGCGTATTCGGGTACATCATCTGCAGGTGGAGCATAATGAAACTCTGATTGGTAGTTGACAGTGGGAGCGTCGGTGGGATGAGCTGCGGCATGATATGGCTGAGAGACACGTGGAGTGGAAGTCGTCGGAGGCACAGAGTCACGACCAGTAAGGTCGATTACACCCTTTTCTTGAAGAGCGGCTACAGCGGCACGACTAGGTCGGCCTCGTCGTCCTGGAAACCTTCCAATGTTAGGATACTTCTTGGAAGCAGAGCCAGATTGTGGCGTGACCTGCACAGAAGCAGTCGAGGCTGAAGCAGTCGCGTTCATCGAAGGTTGTGCTTGTGTGATGGAAGGAGATGCTGGCTTGTTTTGGTTTGCTTTGGCAGCATCTGGTACGACGGACAACAAGGCGCGAGCAAACTGAGCACGATCAACGTACAGTCCCATACGTTCGAGACTCTCGCAAAGAGTCATGTATGAAGGATTCGGGGCGAGTAATGCGTGGATAGCCTCGACCGAGACCAGCTTGTTCGTGTTCTCCTTTCTCGCATTGAGCCACCTTATAGCAGTTTCAGCCAAAGTGGCTTTCTTACCAGGAGGCCAAATAGTATTAGGACCTCCTGAAGGAGTCGCAGCGCTGATGTTGGCCTGCACCGTCTGCTTCCGAGCATTCGATGCGGCATTGCTGTTAGGTCCAGCCGTAGCAGAGTGAGGCGTAGGTACTATGGGAGCTTGTGGTGCTTCAGCCGGTGCCGGGTTGAAGACAGGGCGTGCTGGACCTTGTGCTCGTTGTGCAGGGGTGAGAATGGCAGCCGGGACTTGTGGTGGAGGTTGAGCTGGAGCTTGGGTGGCACTTACAGACTGTGGGAGATGAACCTGCCTCTCAGTCTCCCACATGCGTGCAAACATGCGAGGGTCAGCTTGATTAAGGTCGCGCATCCTCCTAAGAAAAGCAGCCATCTCGGTCTCCAGATTACTACTGCCAGCACCAGCTGAAGGCAAATTAGCCATGGCAGCGGCCATCTTACGCTGTGTGTCGTGGACAGTCGTCACAGCAGGGATGACATTGGACGCAGGCCGCTGTGCAGCCGAAGTCGAAGGCTGTTGTTCCTGCATATTTCGGTAGTGCCTTCGCTTGGCCTCTTCCTGGTTGGCAACCTCTCGTGCAAGACATGAGCTTTCTGCCTTCTTTGCTTCCTCCTTGCGCTTCTCGTCTGCTCTTCGCTCTTCCTCGATCTTGCGTTTGGCCTCTTCTTCTGCCCGGCGCTTTGCTTCTTCGGCAGCTCTGATTCTTGCTTCCTCTTCTGCCATTCTGCGAGCTTCTTCCTCGGCCTTCTTCCTCGCCTCCTCTTCTACTTTCCGCTTCACTTCCTCTTCAGCCTTGCGCTTCGCCTCTTCCTCGGCCTTGATCTTTGCTTCTTCCTCGGCTCGTCGTTCCTCCTCGGCTTCAGCCTTGCGTCGAGCTTCTGCCAATTTCCTCTGCTGTTCCGGCCAGGGATCGTAGACCTGTACGGGATCTACTGTGGTAGGAGCAGAGGAGTAAGCCTGATCTGGGGGGTTGGATTGGTGAGCGTATGAGGAGTTGGCACGAATGGAAGTCGGGGCGACACTGGGTGCGCGAGGTTGACCGACGTTAGCGGAGGTGTGCGAGGCGGCAGCAGTCAAGTGATGGTCGCGAGGAGCTGTAGAGGTTTGTGAAGAGGTACTCGAGCGGTGAGCACCGGACTGTTGTGACTGACGAGCCAAATAGGGACTGGCTGGGCGGAAGCTGGAGGACGAGTAATCGTAGGATGTCGGCTGGGAAGCGGTGATTGTCGGTGCCCTCGGCTGGTCCGACTGAGAGTATGAGGGGTATGAATATGTGCTTGGGTTGTTTGCCGGCTGAGAGTATGACTGTGCAGGGCTATAGCTATTTGTTGTGCTGTTGGGGCGCTGGTCTTGCTGGTAGAGAGGTGAGGGATTGACGGGTCGTCGGTCAGCGTTGTGCCAGTTTGTCAAGGCTTTTGATTCGTGCTGATTCGCGGAGGGACGATCTGACGTGTTCCATGAGGAGTCTGCGCGTGAGCTTGTGTCGTACTGAGAGTTTGAGGAGCGGTTAGACGTGGTTGGCTTGTCCTGGGCGCTCAAGTGGCTCAGAGTCTCTGCGGCACGACTCTCGGTCGACTGGTCGTTGTAGTAGGGTCGATTGGAGTAGCCAGCAGCGTATGAGGTTTGGTGTCCAGGCGGCGCTGGAGGCTGTGGCTGAGGGGTCTGAGTGGTCGAAGGTTGCTGCTGTTGTTGCTGTTGCGCGGGCTGCTGGGAGCCGGGAGCATAGTATGTCTGGTGGGTTTGTTGATTATAGCGACTGCCGACGGGATCGTAGCGGTCGTCGTAGTGGCTGTTGTACGGAGCCATGGCCTTGGGAGACCATGGATGCCGTTGCGATCCGAAAGATCAGGCAAGAAGTTGGAAACGCGAGGACCAAAGACGGATTGCATGACACGCTGTGAGGCTGTTTGACCTTGAAGCTAGCTCGATATGTGTTAGTCGATCTGAGCGGAGTATGTATGCAGATGGCAATATGCACAGAAGACGACCAAAACACTTGCGACTTGGATCTCGTCCCGTCGCGAGCAACTTGTCAAGTCGTCAGTACGCGCATCGACGCAAGAGCAACGCGAAGTGTCTGTGCACGGCCCGGCGGTCTCGCGCCTCCGGGGCCCGGGGGTGTCAAGCCGGCCGAAAAGCTCGGACTCTTCACGCTTGCCTGAACCGAGAATCTGCCGCCCTCACACATTCCAATTTGCTGGCCGCGTGCAAGTTTGCTTGAATCTTTGTGACGACCAGCGACTGAATTCGACAGACATACCGGACTCGCCCAAATACCGACAAGATGACCAAGATCAACACCTGTACGCCATGCGCCTGCTGCTGTCATCATCCATGGCCCAACTGACCCTCATCGCACGCAGCTCTGTCTTCCTCCAGACGCAAGTCGCGCAAGGCGCACTTCTCTGCCCCCTCCAGTGTCCGCCGCACTATCATGAGCGCCCCTCTCTCCAAGGAGCTCCGTGAGAAGTACAACGTATGAACACACCGGCATCACTCCATCGACGACGCACACCCGCATTAGAAAGAGTTGGAGGCTTTGGGAGAAACATCTGCAAAAACATCAGTCCATCATTCGCCAATCGTCCACCCATCACTCGTCGCATACGAACACCATCACCGCTCTCGTTACGAGACCACCGTCGATTACGACCCTGTCACCGCAAAGCGCCGATTTCGACAACCACGACCAAGACCAACCGTCCGACTCGATGACCCACGACGATCAGATGCTGTTGTTTCTCTCAAGACCTTTGCACCACAACATTCCCCATACACAAACACAAAACAATGCTCGTCGATCGGCTGTCTTTGTATGATGCTAATTAAGTGTCCTACAGGTCCGCTCGATCCCCATCCGCAAGGACGATGAGGTTACCATTGTCCGTGGCTCCAACAAGGGCCGCGAGGGCAAGGTCACAACTGTCTACCGTCTCAAGTGGGTCATCCACGTCGACCGCGTCGCCCGCGAGAAGTCCAACGGCCAGTCCGTCCCCCTCGGCATCTCGCCCTCAAAGGTTGTCATCACCTCCCTCAAGCTCGACAAGGACCGTGAGGAGATCCTTGCCCGCATTGCCAAGGGCCGTGAGCTCAACAAGGAGAAGACCCAGAAGGCTTAAATATGAGAAGGTGTCTTGATGCATCTTTCTGTCGTATGAAACCTCAAAAGCTTTGCCCTTGTCTGCCTCCAACCTCTTTTTTCTGCCCGTCTCCAAACATACCCGCTCCTTGGTACATCAACAAGAGTGACGACCGAACCACCTCCTTGCTTCCTTCCTCCTTTCTTCTAGCGCGTTTCGGGGTTTTCCTTCCTCATTGGCAAATGGGGATGCACATCAATCAATGGTCATGAGGAGGTTCGATCACAAAAAACTGTCGACAATGAATTTTCAAAACATTCAAAATGGAAAATGTCATTTTCTTGCTCGACTTGGAGACATTAGGACATTCTCCTTGACCACCGTGACTGACCATTTTCTTTCTCCCCATCTTCCATTTTCTCACATCTCTCACGTTCTTTTTTCCCATCAACACACCGCTAGCATATCTACTTACCGGCCAAACAAACAATGGCATGGACGAGTTATACGACTACGCGAAGAATAAATGCTCGGGGCTGAATACCCCTCTCGCCTGCAGACCGTCTGCTCTAGATTCTTTTGGTAGAGTAACCGGTTTGATGGTGAGATACATGTAATTCTACAACAATGCCTTGCTGATGTCTTGACGATTTTCTACTTTTCTTGAAACATGTTTTCCCCTTGCAGTCATGTCGTCTAAGCAGTAAGAGGTACAGTTCTAATCCCTTGATGTCAGAAATACTACTTGGTTTTCAAATCATCTTTTCTTCCCGCCTTCATTTTTTTTGTCACTGCTCTTTGATGTTTATTGCGTAAGCGTCGACTTCGATGGCTATGGATCCAGTCCATTTCTCGCATTAAAACCTGTCTCGTCTTCTACTTTCTCAAAAAACGAAAAGAAAAGTCATGAATTAGAAAAGGTTGCTAGTCTCTCGCTCGTGACACTTTGACTTTCCATCCCCATTCCACCATTCTTGACTTGTAAAAATCTCATGGTCAGAGTCAGGCATTCCCCAACGACCAAACGCTCGGACTTTTTTATGCTTCCCCCGTCACATCAAAAATTTGGTCTTTTGTCAGATAAAAGGTCACCTAATACTTTTTTTTTTTTTTCCTTCTCTGGCTATATGCAATAATGAAATTACGTTATCTTTTGTCAAAACTAAATGGCCATCTTATCTACAATCGTGCAGAACCTGATGCTGGAAAAGAATGTGTGTGTCATCGGTGACATGGTCGCGAAAATTGTTGCGGGCCAGATTGTAGTAATTGACAGAGCTTAGGAATGCGCGAGTCTTAGCGACATGATATTTTCTAGCCAAAAAATTGAAGTGCAATCGGATAATAGACTTGTGCAAAAGATCCAACAGTTAGAACTTGGCATTAGACCTTTACATCTCGAAGGATGCATAGGACAACAACGACTTTCTGATGGCAAAGGAGTTTTAGTAGATGGTAAATTCAAAGTCAGGGTGATCCCCTCCCCCTAAAGCAAAAGGGCAAAACCCCGGGCCAAGAGCCACGACGATCCTGACCCCTCAGAGCCAAAATATCTCAAACTATCTGGAAAATGAAACAGAAAAGGTATTATCAAAAAGCCCTAGCAATATCATTTTGAAATACTTGATAAAAGAGCTAAAAAGACGAAAAAGACCTAACATCCCTATCCCCCTTCCATCATTCAACCAAATTCCATGTACGCTAGAAATGACCATTAACTACCCCAAATTCTCTTGGTTCCTAAGCTCGAGCGAAAAAAGTTCTGCCAGTCAAAAAACTTGCCTTGGTCTTGGTCTAAACGATAGCAAACATAACAACCCTTCCTGCCTTACGCAGCAAAAGGAGGGTCTAAGTATATCGATGATGTACCGGGAGGCAGCAAAAGGATGATCACGGCAGGGATCGAACCTGCAATCTCTTGATTCGTAGTCAAGCGCCTTGCCATTGGGCCACGCAACCAGTTGTTGTCCCTACATCGGCCGTGGTACAATATAATTCTCTCTATCCAGGTGGATACTGACAAGCAAATAGAAATATGGGAAGATGCCTGAGGAACATGAAAAAATCGCTGTTGTGGTAGTAGGCTTTGTCTTTCTATGCAAGAAAGGGGGATAATGGACAAAACGGCTGAACTAGATTGCCAATGTTCGATAGGATCTTCTAGGTGATGAGGGTAGCTAGAGTAGAGAAGGAAGAACAAGCAGGGGAGGATAAGTAGGCGAGTGGTAGATGATGAGTAGGCGAGTGATTGATGATGAGTAGCAGGCGGGTAGAGGAGAGTGAGGTGATTAACGTCAACGTCCTTGGATCAGAGAGATGGCCAAGGGTCATAGCGAGCTGGAACAGGGAGAGATATGTAAGGGCCAAGGCGAGTCAAAACAGGGAGAAACTGTTGATTCCACGCAGCTTGTTTTCTCTCTCTTTCCCTATCCCAGCCCCAATCCAACATCTCGAGATTTACATCGTATTCAATTGTCGCCGGCGTGACGTCCTTGATGGGCTTCGCTGGAGAATGCAATCTTGCCTCTTCCAATGTCATCAATTTACTGCCGACAGTCGTCAGTGCAAGCTGGCGGCCCTGTATCTTTGCCTTTCGTGATGGCGGTGACTTGCCATGTAAAAGGCCACGAGGTCTTCTCTTCTTGCTCTTGCGTGCTGCGATCTGTGTACCAGCCTTTTGCGCCCACATGGCTTGTAGAAGTAGTAGGAGTATGAGATGATTACCATCTTCATCACTGTTGTTTCGAACCATGTCAAGCGCAGTCAGTCCTTTGTCGTTTCTGATGCAAGGGTTGGCACCATTTCTCAGCAAAAGCTGGATGATTGTCTCCGAGTTGGGGAAGCGATTTTTCGTAGCCGCGTGAAGTGCCGTATTGCCACAATAGTCCTTGACATCCATGTCCGCATGACTGTCTGATAGTGTCTGGATGATCCGAGCCGAATGATTTTCTGCTGCTCGTAAATCCGGATTACCGTGCGCTGCTTGCATGAGTGGCGTGCAGCCGATGGGGTTCGGAAGGTTGACATCAGCCTCGTAGCGAAGTAACAGCCTGACGAGGATATCTGCGCCTCGCGAAATAGCCACATGTAGTGGTAAGCAAAAAGGGATGCAAGTGTTTTTCTCCTGAATATTGTCACAATCGAGGTCAGCTTCAATCACAGACGATTGTCCATGAGGAGGCAATAAGTCATGGATCGTGCTCAATGAGGGCTCCTCACGGTTCCAAGTCGAGTCTCACACGAAGGTACGTCCTTCACTACGGCGTACCATAGAGGACCATCTCATGTCCTCCAGAGGCGCATCATTGTCGAGCAGGATCTGTACTAACTGGTCTTTTCGGTAAGAAACGGCGTATACGAAGGAACGGAGAGTCGGCTTGGCACCACGTTCAAGCGGTCCACGAATGACTCTAGACCGGGACGAGGCGAGTACTTGAGTAGGTGGGTCCATAATCTCGGATTCGGGGCTGTCCAGTCTGTGTAGTGGCTCCATATCTTGCTCCAAGAGGCAAAGAGTATTCACTGCTATCTCAAGTCCGCCACTAAGTTCGTCGGGGGTTATCTCGATCGTTCGTCCGTCATGTTCGAGCAATCGCAGAACAATATCATCGAACCCAGCATTGATGGCATAATACAAGGGATTCGTGATTTCGGTCTTAGGCTCCGGACAGTACTGATTAGTGAACCGGATACAGACAGCGAATGGATTGCCAGGCACTTGTTCATTCCTTAAGAAGTCGACGATGCGCTCCAAGGAACTCTTGTTGAGCTGTGCAATCCCGACATGAGCGTCCCAGGTGTTTTCCAAGTAGAAGAGAAAAGGGACCTTGAGCGAGAATGGCCAATGCTTGAGCAAGGCCCAAGGTTTGAAATATTGCCAGCTGTCTTCCTCGAACCACGGAGTGTCCCCAAACCATCCTTGGAGAATCAGTCCTCTAATACAACCTCCTAAGAAGGTAAAAAGGCTCATACCCATGGCGACGATCGCCACATGGGCGGAGAGCATACCCAGACTGGACTTGTAGGGTTCCAGGACTCGGTTCGAATTCATGTATTCTTTGACTGTATAGTGCGCAAATCGGACGCTTAAATTAGAATCGGATTGAAACCACCCATCGCGGTCCATCATGTCTAAAACTGTGTCGAAGGGTTGAGGTGAGTCTTTCTCGTAGATGACTATCAGAGCCGGAAGCATCTTGATTATTTCTCTGGGCAAGGGCATCCTGTTGTCCGGATCGTAGACTAGTCCTTGTCCACTCTGTCGAATAGCCAGCGCGTCGACGAGTTGATTTAGAGACAATTCTTTCTTGACCCAAAGAAGCAGCTGAAGCATTGCTATGGCGCTCTCCTGATTGCTAGGTTCAATTCTCGACAAGACGCGAGACTAGGTTTCATCCAGACCAGCAGGTAAGTTATTGAGAGCCTTTCGAAGATCCACTAGTGTCAAACAGTGGTTCAGTGTATCAAGCTGACACGCAACCCATCTGAACCTGTAAGTGGTGTGTCAGTAGCAGCTCCGATCTCGAAAGGCAAGTACTCTTACATTCCTCCAGCTTTCTCGATAAGTTTCGACTCGATTATTTGCTGGATATCAGGTCTACTTCTCCATCTCACCAGTCCAGGATGCAGCTGAACTTGGCCACGAACAGACTCACGAATGTCACCTTGCACGTCGCTTCCTTCGATACACAGTATGTTACCATCTGGAACAATCCATGAAGATTCCACATGATTGTGATGCCACCATGTAGTTTCGTCTTGACATGTTTGTGCTGCGATATGGACGAAAGGAGAGCTCAGAGAAGACGACCAGAATTGTGTTTTAACTCCTCGGCGTTTAGAACGTCCAACCCCGAAGCTACCCCTCCTTTAATCACGTCACCAAACACAAGCTCGTAAGCTTCAATGCTTTCAAATCAACCTTGATGTTTAGTCAACATCATCGGTATATATCACTCTGTCTTCTCCTCACTCATAAACACCTTCTTCACACTTGGAAATCTCCCGTGGTCCAGCACCGTTGACCGATTCCTGAAGCCTCTCTGCGCCACAACTATCCGAGTCTCTGCCAACCATCACTCACCCTCACCAAACACTTCTATACAAAATGTCAGCCCCATTCGCAATAATCGCCGGCGTAGGCCCCGGCACCGGCGCCTCCCTAGCCAGAAAATTCGCCCTCACCTACCCCGTCGCCCTCCTCGCCAGAAACCCCGAAAATTACAGCACCCTCGTCGAAGAAATCAACAAATCCGGAGGCACCGCCATAGGAATCTCCACCGACGTTTCCTCAGCATCCTCCATCACCGCCGCAGTCTCCGAAATCAAGGAAAAATACGGCGATAAATGTGCCGCGGCCGTGTTTAATGCTTCTGGACCTTTTGCGAGAAAGAGTGTGTTGGAATTGACGGAAAAGGAATTTACGGGTGGTTATGAAGTCAGTTGTAAGGGGGCTTTTTTGTTCTCGCAGCAGACTTTGCCGTTGCTGTTGGCTCATACTGAGGATCCTGGTGCGAAATACCCGGGGACTTTGCTCTTCACCGGCGCTACTGCAAGCGTGAAGTCCAATGCTTTGATGTCTGCTTTCAGCACTGGAAAGTACGCCATGAGAGCGCTTTCCCAAAGCATTGCAAGGGAATTTGCACCAAAGGGTGTTCATGTTGCTCATGCTATCATTGATGGTGTTATCGATATCCCCAGGACAAAGGAGTGGATGAAGGATATGCCAGCAGAGGCCAAGATTTCTTCTGATGCTATTGCGGAGGCGTATTGGAATCTACACACGCAGAGCAACAGGTGTTTTACTAATGAGATTGACATCAGACCCATGTTGGAGAAGTGGTAGAGGTGGGATTGAAGTCTTTGGTTGCGTTATGGGAACCCAAACTATCGAAAGGAAGCGCGCAGAGGGGTATCTTTGAATGCAAATAACGCCGTGTCCAAGAAGACAAAGTCATGAGAATGTGATGCAGTAGTTAGAAGAGAAAAGTGGGTAATTCGTCAAGGTCATCGTTAGGTTCCGTCTTGATCTTTGTCTTTTCGTCTCGTTCACGCTTCAATCTTGCTTCTCTTCGTCGTTGAACAGCTGATATGCCGGACTGTGATGGTTGAGGGATGGGATGGAAGCCAAAGTCTGGCTCTAATTTGACCTTTGCTGGTGAAGGTTCGCGTTTCACAGCACGCTTTGGTGCTGGGCGAGAAATGTCGCGGTCGATGCTTTTGCATTTCTTGTGTGAAGATCTGTCGGAGGAGAACTCTGATGAGGGTGCTATTGATGATGAAGGGTTGTGGGAAAAGTGTCTGCTGTTGCTCGGACGAGAGGGAGTAGGTGATGCGGATCGACGAGGTTGACGAGGTGGACGAGATAGAGTCCTAGATTGTGTAGCAGCATCCAGATCATCATCGGTCGAGTCTTGTGCATCTCCCATCTTGACGTCTTTCCTGACCTCTCTCTTCACCTCTTTCCTGACCTCTCTCTTCACCTCTGGACTCTTGTCTCTTTCCAATGGTCTCCCTCTCAGATCCAAAGGTCTCGCCCTGTCAAAGCCAGCAGCAGCCCTCGTAGCACTCCTCCCCACCACAGCTTTCGGCTGCAGAGCTCCCCTCTTCCTCGGACTCATCATAAGTCCCGCCAATTGTGTCCCTAACCACGGCTCTTCCTCATCCTCTTCCTCTCCCTCCCCTACAACTGCTCTGACAGCCGCTCTGTGCAGCTCCCCCTCCTTCGTCCTCTTTCCTTCTTTACTCAAACCCCCCACCACAGGTCGCGCAATAGCATCAGCGCCCCCAAGCGCCTGCTCCCTCTTCCTCGCCAATGCTTTCTGACGTTTGTATTCGGCGTGTGCGAGATGTGCGGTAAAAGACTGAGCCGTGGCCATGAACTCATCAGTCACCATGCGCCAACCATCATCCTTATCCCAGCCTTGTCGCATAAACTCTTCTTTGGGTGGCACGGGCGGAGGAGAGGTAGAAGGCGAGCGAGCCTGTTGCGCAATTCTTCTTACCACAATTGTCCTTTGCGGGCGGATGAATTCGTCAAGGGTATTCGGAGAGGCAGGCGGTGAAGTGTCGATTTTACGTCGTTTCATCGTTGCTGTTGATGTAGAGGTCCTTGACTTGCTGGTTACTGGGGCGGGATTGGTAAGCCATGGTAGGTTTCGCGGCATGGTATTGTTGTGGTCTCGTATTAGGGAAGCAGCATGTGAGGGAGACGCGTTGAGTGGATCATGTTTCGCGTGTGAGGGGAGAGATGCGAGAATGACATGTGCCAAGCGAAATGAGCTGGATGGGCTTCTTTTGTCGCAACCCGATAACACTTTTGTCAACCTGCTGGACACTTCCACCACTAGCAACGATTAGCGACGCGTACCTTCTTATTGTGGGTGCGGCTATCTGCGTGCGAAGAGAGACTACGACGCTGGAAGCCGAGTACGCGCATCCGGTCAATTCACCGTAGGGTGGGTGTCGGTCGCTCGTAGACGAGTGTCAATCAAAAGACCATCACGGGACGAACGCACGACATAGGAAGCACCGGAATGCGTCTGACGGAGCGACGTATAATTAGTAGTTGCGACTAGGGCAAGGTGTCTCTCTTCGATCGTCGGACAGGGAAATGAGGTGCTATGAAAATGTATAGTTATATTCGTGCTGCTCTTACATCAAACGGAGGTCATAGTAGTGTGGTAGTGTGCCCGAAAGACTTCCATTGTGTGACCTGGTCGATTGCAGTGAACATCGGAGCTCCCTGCTCAGTCAACACATCGCTGATTGTACCTGTCAAAAGGCACATTCTTTTTCCTGATCGACACGACTCATGAGGGAGTCCAACTTTTATTTCGTCTTTCGTCTTGAATTGACAAGCCTATCCTAGTTTTGGGCCCGGTACATCTGGTACAAAGTGCTTCATGAGTGTCTGATTGTTCTTCCTTTGAAGCCTTGCTTGCATGTCCCTCTCTTGTCGTCGTGCCTTTTGTAGCTGTTTGTGTTGTGAATCTAGAATGGCGCGTTGTTCAGAAGCTGGAAGATGTGCGAGGGCAAGACGATCACTAGCGCGAAGTGCACCGAGTTGTTTGCCGTGGTTCAAGGCGCGCAGGTCTTGTTTTGTGAGAGTCTGTTTGCCTGAGGATTGGCTGATTATCGTCGAGGAAGAAGAGGCTTCAGTGGTGCCTTCACCGGAGGTCAAGGTGTCTGGGGAAGCTCCCATGTCTGAAGCCTGAAGCCTGCGACGTTGTTGTGTTGCTCTTGATGAACGAGATGTCACCACTCTGCCAGAGGGCAAAGTAATGTTGTCCCCATCAACTTCTGCCTTTTCGTCATCCACTTCAAACTCCCAAAACTCTCGGTACTCAGACTCGACATCGGATATGTCAAATGCGCAATGCCCTTTTCCAAGCATGTGTTGTCGAATGGCCTGAGTGTTGCGTCGTTGTGTGCCACATGTGAGGCATTCGTGATCAAGCGAGATGACGAGATTGAGATAGTTGAGTAGTGTCGTTGGATCAACTGATAGCTGGTGTGGTGACGGGATTGTCATGCCATGAGACTTGGACATGTGTATCAAGTTCGTGTCGATGTCGTCCGAGATGTTGGAGCAGAAGAGGCAATGGGTCGCGTTGAAGTCCAGGGCTTGCGAGGAATTCGACGCATCATCGCTGTCGCTTGAGAAATCCTGGTCTTTCTCGTTGTCTACAGGGGCTGGCCGCACCTCGGATGCCGAGTCGTGTGATGCTTGTTCGGGAACAGCGGCGGATCTGGATGTGCTGCTTACGACCATATTTGACAAAAGAGAATGGTGTATAAGGGATGCGAACATGAGGCTGTCCTGAATTTTGTAGAAATTTAACTTTGATGGGCGACTTACGTTCACAGGCTAATGTGTCTCTTAAGTACAATTCTGATGACTTCGTCACCTTCGATCTGTGTAATATGGCCATTGGCCAGACGGCGCTGCAACCAATGAGAGGTCATTACACACATCTTAGTTGACTCACGCTTCAGGACATCGAGACAGATCACAAAACCTCCAGCCAATGTACGAGTCTTCTAGGATATCGAGTCGTTGGTCAGATGACAGAGATTCCTGAGAAGTGTTTTGATAGGCTGCCGCGGTGACTCACAATCAGCCACCGGAGAAAACACCGTCGGCAAAGCCGAACCCCTCTCCATGTGCTAAACTTCTGTAGCTCCCACTCTCTCTCATGTCAAGGAAGGGCGAGTATGAGCTGACGATCGATCTGTAAGTTGGGGAAGCCCGGAAGAACTACACAGTTACTAGCGCTGCATACCTTCTTTAGCACAGGGAGGCCCGAACGCAAAGGAGATCTCCCGACTCCCGAGTTGTGGCTGCTCTCCGCATGGGATTCGCACAATTCCATCATAAAATCGGTCATTGACCGTTTCCGCGTTCGGCTTGGCAGTTGCAGAGCTCGAGATCCGGCAAGCCACAATCGACCGATGGGTCCGGCCACGGTCGGCAAGATCTCGATCAGGTGAAAACAACATCTCGCGAGAGCCACGTTTGGGCGCGCGACGTCCCGCCAGACTCTCCTTTGACAGACATGACATGGAAAGAGACGGTATCCCACTCGGGCCTGCATCTCCAGATGGAGTAGACTGGACCCAGGATATTCCAGATAGTGATCATGCCCGCTTCTTCAGATCTTTCCCGTGGCATTACACGTCGCTTGGCCCTGTCGAGTCTTGGGGAGTCACACTTCGTCTCTATACGTACCAAGTCTTTGCTGACAATCGTCCCGGTTGCATTTATTGGTGAGTACAAAGCTTGCAATGTCATTCTCTACGCGCATGAACCACATTGACGTGACATCAGGGGTCCGGACAAAATCGCAATCTACAATGAAGCTTTCGTTGAAGCTGCCGGACGCTCTCACCCTTTCCTGATGGGACACGGTTTTGCAGAGGTATACCCAGAGATCGTGGACAACATCATGCCCGTCTTTGATATGGCAACGCAAACGAAGAAAGCTGTCCCAGTAGTGGAGATTCCTCTGATGGTCAAGCGAAATAACTTTCTCGAGGAGACATTTTTTACTGGCAACTTCAATCCTCTTCGCGGAGACGACGGACGAGTCCAGGGATTTTACAACTCATTGGCCGAGGTCACCAGACAGAAAATTACTGACCGCCGACGAAACATGCTGAATTTGATTGCTGCTCTTCCGGAAGGCTGTACCTCTGACACTATTGGGTCTCATCTTATCAGTTGTTTCCGCACGAATCCATTGGACGTCCCCCTGGCTTTAGTCTGGTCGTCGGAAAATCACAGCGCACCTTCGACCAAAGGTTCTCAGAAAATCAAATTATCTGGAAGCATTGGAATACCGGAAGACCACAAACTTGCCGAAGGGCAAGGATCTCTCGATAGCGAGGAGGGCATCTACCCCCTCCTGCAGGCGGCAAGGGACCATCCGGTCACATCGCCATGCGGGCCAGAATTTGACGGAGTGCAATGGCAGGGCTTCGAAGAACCATCACAACACATCTGCGCTATACCATTGTCGAACGCTGGCCGCCCGTATGGCTTCTTGATGATCGGAACCAATCCAAGGAGGCCGATCGATGACGACCACGAACAATTTATGCGCGATCTTTCGTCACAGCTGTCCTCGTCTATAGGCTTCCTAATATCCACAGAGGAGTCGACAGCACGCCAGTCCCGTCTGGAAACTAAGTTGGCTGCTAGTGAACACCATATGAGATACATGGCCGACCATCTGGACATTGGCCTTGAACATCTAAGTCTGGACGGGAACGTCCTGTGGGCCAACGAACACTACTTCAAAATCATTGGGCAGGAGCCCACGTCTGGATTTTCAGAGCTGCATCTGCCTTTCAAAGCTCATGTCTTGGAAGAAGATCAAGCAAAGATATTTGCCGCATGGGAGGCGGTAGCAGCAGGTGCCCCAACCTACACAACTGAGTTCCGGATGAACAGACTGTGGACTCCACCACTCGGACCTCCCATACCCGCGACTGTACTCATCTCGGCTGTTCCATACAAGGAGGACGGAGAGATCAAGTCCGTTATGGCTTGTATGACGGAGGTGAGCCGTCTGAAGTGGGCCGAAGCATGGCAAGCTCGCGCTGCCCAAGAAGCTCAAGAAGCCAAACGGCAGCAAAGTGAGTTCACCGACGCGATATCACACGAGGTCCGCAACCCTCTATCGGCTATGCTGCAATTAGCCAATGGTATTGCTGCGTCGCTGGACGATCATCAGGACTCGGACGCCACCGCGGACCACTATTTGCATATCATACAAGACAACATAGAAGCAGCCAAGACGATCATCTTTTGTGCGGACCACCAGAAAAAGATCGTGGACGATGTCCTTGTCTTGTCAAAGATGGATTTCATGCTTCTATCTTTGTCGCCAAGCCCGGTCAAGCCTCTAGATCTTGCTGAGAATGCTGTGAAGATGCTTCAGGCCAACATCACTGCGGCAGACATAGACATGAAGATTGAGGCACACAAGTCAATCGATGAGCTAGGACTCAATTGGGCACTGTGCGATCCTCTGAGGGTGACTCAAATCCTGATTAATCTTCTGTCGAACGCGATCAAGTTTACAAGGTTGGAGCGCCATCGCTGCGTGACTGTTCGATACGGAGTATCACTGGAAGAGCCAAAGGACTCAATCGGAATGGGCCTTGTTTGGGCAGATTCGAAACGCCAACACGAAGACGTCACTTTAGCAGAAGAATGGGGAGATGGCGAGCAGATCTATCTAAGTTTCTGCGTCACCGATACTGGACCAGGAATGACCGAAGAAGAACGTTGCCGACTATTTCAAAGATTCCAACAAGCAAGTCCCAAGACTTCAATCAAGTATGGAGGTAGCGGACTAGGGCTCTTCATATCCCACACACTTTCCGAGAAGCAAAATGGAAGCATGGGCGTAGTTTCAGAGCCAGGACAAGGAAGTACTTTCGCTTTCTACATCAAGGCTCGCCGCATGCCGAATCCACCCACACCGTCTTCGGAACCATCTCTCAGATTGACACAAGAACTGGTGTTTCGACAATTAGAAAACACTGAAGCTTTGAAAGTGGTACAAGATACTGCGGTCAAGGAAGAACCAAAGGCATTGCAACGGCTGAAAACACAACCCAGTCCAAAGGTTCCGCAGGAGAAAACTTCACTACCCAAGGTGGCGTACCATGTTCTGCTTGTTGAAGTAAGTTTGAATGAAAACCACATATGATCTGCGCATCTGATAATTCAAGGATAATTTAATCAATCAGGCGATCTTGAAGAAACAACTGGTGAAAGCCGGCTGCATCGTCTACGTCGCGAACCATGGACTGGAGGCACTGGAAACATTACGCCGCGCTGACGTGTGGGAAGAAGCAGCTGGTGCTGGTCACAAGCTAGATATCGTATTAATGGATCTGGAGATGCCAGTCATGGATGGTCTTTCCGCCTGCAGGGAAATTAGGTCCATGGAAGCAGCAGGCAAGTTGACGAGGCACTTGGAGGTGATTGCGATCACTGCAAACGTGCGAAAGGGACAGGTTGACCGTGCGCTGGCTGCAGGAATCGACGCGGTTATGCCGAAGCCTTTCTTGGTGTCCGATTTGCTCACAACGATCAAGGCGCGACTTGGAAGATGATATTAGAATACAGGACTCGGAATCAGGCACGAAGAGGAAGACGATCACGCGCCAGCACAACCACGTTAAAGCATCTTGTATGCGCATCTGGATAGGGGTATTTTCGATCAATCGCAGCTTCCCAAGATGTAGGCGCTTCGGCTAGCTGCAATTTGCTTCAATCGATCGTAGGCGGCGGCCACGGCTTGGTAACCACCTCTGCGTATCACTTTCCGGACCAGTGAATTTCCACCCACTTCCGAAGATAAAAACGGACGCTGTGTTCTTTCACAGAGGAAACATTCTCTTCGCAACACCTCCATCACATCATGGATATTGGGTCATTTCGTATCATCCAGTTGATGCTTGCAGACGAAACACCTGTCAGCGCAGACAATATCATCGGTCGTGGAATTGATGGCTTTGTATTCAGGAATGGTCCTTCGTCTGTCATGAAAATTCCCACGTTGAACGCGACCAAGCTCCTGGATGGATCTCTAGAGCCTGACAAGGACTACGTTTGGCTGATCAACAGTTTGGATGTCGAGAAAGAAGTGTACCGCCGCTTATAAGGCGTGAGCAACATCGCCAAATGTTTGAAAATCACGACAAATGGAATGGAGCTTGAGTACTACAGCAAAGGAGATCTTGAAGAGCACGTTTGACTCAAGCCCCCTCCTCCGTGGAGCAAAAGATTCACCGGATCTTGCAAGTGGTTGACTTTGTCGCGACTTGTCAAAATGAGAAAGTGCTGCGGTTTGATATCGCATTGCGCAATCTATTGCTCGCAGACGACGACAGCATTCGCGCAATCGACTTTGCAAACAGCGCAGCAGCTCCACTAGATGCAATCTCAGCACCACGGAAGGGGATGGCTATACAGCTAGAGTGGAGGTGCTGCATGTCGCCAATGTCATATACTCAATCTCGAAATGGACAAAGTACCAAACAGATTGTGTGTACGAGTCTGAATGGCGATCTTTTGAATCCTCTCCTTGTACGGAGGGGCTCGAGCTTGGCCCTGTCATAGCCAATACATGGAAGCGCCAGTATAACCGTATTGCCGAATTACGAGATGCCATTTTGTCTACCGCAAGACCCGAAGACAGTCTACTCATTACATGAAACTCCTCCATACACCAGACAGATGTGGGGATGTCAATCTCAGCAGACGGTTAGATCAAATCTAGTCGCTAACAAGTTCTGTTTATAAGACCCAATACACTTATTTACACATTATCCTTTGATATGATACACAATACCCACTTCCTTACCCAGCCACTTGTCCCTCAACCAACACATGTGCTTATGAATATTCTGGCCATGCTTCCACGTCTTGACACCCACTCTCATCTCCACTTTCCCTCTCTTGAGCTGAAGATCTATCAAGCCATTATGAAGCTTGGAATCTGCTTCTGGCTTATCCCTCTCCATCTTTCTGAATCTGTCAAGTAGACGCGTCTGTGCGGAGATGGAGCGATGATCGAAAAAGCTAGAAGGGCATGGTTGGGTTTCCAACCACTCTCGGAAGCGGTAATATTTATATGCTGCTGCTTCTTGGATATTGGCAGGGCCTAGAGTTGCTAGAGCTGCTGTTGTTAGGGCGGCAGGTTGGCGTGATGTTCTTTGTCGGAGGAGGATGGTGGGTCCGCTGTGGTATTTGTTGGGGCTTGTTCTGGTCTTGATGGCATTTCACGGTGCTGACTTTTTGTATGGTGGAGGTTGAGAGGATTGGTTATTGTAGGAGTTGGGCCTTTTTGGGTCCCTGTCGAGTTTTGCGGATTTTGTAGGCTCGTATTGTGCAGGAGGCTTCGAGAGACCAGCCTCGATATGTTCTGTGATTGTGTCTAATAGCGAGTGGTTTTATCAGGGTAGTGTAAGTCCGTCATAGCTGAGCAAATTTCCTGTCTAGGAGGTTCTAGAGTGTAGAGGATGTATGAATTAGCGACGCGAAATTATACTGGTTGATAGTCGAGTCATCGTATACATGACTCTCTGGTTTCGAAAATGAGTATTTGAGAACAACGAGTGTCTTTTATTTTCGTGACTCAGCGACGCTCTACTCATCCATCAACTCTCCAGTGCGCAGAATCTTGTATGACAAGATATCATCTGGCTTATTGAACCAACTGTGTTTATGCTCCGCAAAACTCTCCATCTCAGGCTTTGGGATAACAGGCATCATGCCCATCTTGATAATCGCCTTACCAGGCAGCATATCAACTTTCGACATCACTGGGCTTGTTCTTCCATCAGCAAACGCCTCCATTATCGCATCATCAGCAACTCACTTTCCATCCACAGAGCAGAAGTACCTGTATACCGGATTTCCACTATTCGTAGCTTTATCCTCATAAATCTTCATCGTCCCATCACGGTCTTTGATGTCGACTTTTTCTTCTTCCATGATGAGATTTGCAGATACGACAGAGCCAGAGGTTTTGCGGCAGTTTGCGCAGTGACAGAGGTGACCGCGTGGTTTTGTGAAGAGTTCGTTGTCGTTTATTGTTACTGTTATGCTGCCGCAGAGGCAGCTGCCGGTTAATGAGTCCTTGAAGTAGGAGAGATCATGTCGTTTTGGGTCGCCTGTTAGTTCTGGCATGATGCAATTACAAGATGTGTAGGTGTTGAGAAGGCTGGGATTGGTCGTTGCGAAAGTGTGTCTGGAGTGGTATGCTCGGATATATCGCTCTCCAAGACCCCGCCGCAATTGCCGTCAGCCCCGCAGAAGGGGATGACTAAGTTTCGCAGTCATGGATGGGAGTCAACCATGGCAGGAACGTCGATGAAAAATGAAGATCTTCCGTTCTTCACGCGGTTGACGCATAGGAAAATATGCTGTAGCGCATCGTCGCAAGCATGAAAGCTTGACCTTCTTGTGCAGACGCGCCTCCCATTCTCGGCTGTTAACCCGTGCATGTAGCGCACACTTTCTCTCAAGACGTGTGATTGGAGAACCCCAGTCGTCTACTCACGTAAGGGTAGACTCGTTCCGAACCTATAGTCGACACCCATGAAAGTTGCTCATCTTAAAATCATGCCGAGAAAAGAACAAAGGTAATGGAGTCCAGCAGACCGCTTCGTCAAGGCGGTGAAATTCTGCCAGCTCTTGTTCTGCGAGCTGTTTATCACCTAATAGTGATAACTCACATACGGTTGTTTTCTGACTATGAACATTAGTATGGCGTGACGGCGATATCGTAGATTCATTGCCTGGAGAGCATCGACTGTTATGAGCTTAATGCAGAAATCAGCAAGATATCTTTAGGTTATGCTTTCTTTGTCTGCTAAATTTGTCACTTGCTTCTAGTCATCGGAGAACACCCTACGTCTCGAAGTCAGCAAAACAGATGACAGTCTTAAGAAAAAACATGTACGAAGCTTGCAATCGGCATGCCAGAGTATATGCTGCTTCGTACCTTGCTCGATTCGTGTTATTCTAAGTCGACTAATGATGGTCACTTTTTAAGCTGTAAGATCGACAGAGATGTACATAGCTATACCGGCAAACCTGCTTTCTAATTCCCCTTCCTATGATCCGTTAAGATCCTCCGCTATCTTCGAGTAGCTAGAATCCTTTAGAGTGAAACGTTGTACCTATAATAGGCCGCGAAAAATCCTTCCTATTACTAGGCATAAAGGGTGGCTTTCTAGTCTATCTTTCTAGCCTATTTGTTTTAAACTAGAGGAAGCATTTCTGTAGAGCCGTCGCGTCCATTTCTCCGACTATTTTCTTAAGTACGTTACGGTCGATCTTCCTAGAAGGCAGTCTCGGCAAGTCATCTGACATGATAACATACTTGGGCATCATACAAGAGAGGAGATCTGTCAGACCTGCCTCGATGCTCTTGCCATCGTGACCCTCGTCTTTAGCATGGGTGGCCGCTGATATGAAGACGCAAAATGCCATCAAGACCGGCCGTGTATGGATTTCGACCAGACTGACCGCTGTTTCGTGGATAATGCCTATCCGTATAAGGGCATGTTCGATCTCGCCAATCTCTACGCGATGCCCGTTAATCTTGATCTAATTATACTTACGGCCGAAGAAACTTGATTTCTCCATCTGGCTTGCTGTCAGTACCTATCATCGGGTGGTCCCCTAGGCGTATAATCCTTCTACATTTACGCACGAAACCGTGGAGAAGTCCGCGAAATTTTGCGGATAAGAGCTTTGACGCGCCATCTGCACTCTTTCCTTACGCGCGGAATGACCGTTGGCTTGTAAGTAGGTCGCTCGTCTCGAGTACCGCTTCTTGTACAATGCCACTCGGCGAATTTATTGTGGATAACTTGCCAAACAGAGAGAATCGTGCTTGGTATCAATAACGGTGTTTTATCGAAAGCTTCGCGGATACTCGACCTTATCAGTATTTCAGCCAGAACTCCGATCATCACAAAGCTTGATATGGGCTTCTGAAAATCCATGGGGTTGCATTCGAGAGCTAGTAAGAAGCGCGGATGCGAACTGCTCGTATCTTGAACGTGATAGCTGATCAACGGTAGAACATATCTGCGTCATCTTGACACAGCTCGTGCTATATAAATGGCTTGTTGGCCCAATAAAGTCCATGTCAGTTCTCCACTGTCTTTTCATATACCAAACTATATGCTTACACCATGCGCTACAATATAGTCATATATCTCTTTACTATAGCGACATCCGTCATGGCTCTTACTCCCAACTCAACCGTGGATTATGACACAGTACGAGCAGAGATGAAGAGGTTGCTTACGCCCGACGAGCGACTGAATTATCGTGGCGTCACGAAGTCCGCAATGACCGGGCTCAAGTACGACCAGCTGTTTGGCGTGAGCACCGCCGAAGAGTTGATCACTGCCGAGATCTATGGCCGACGGGCCCGACCGTCGGACGATGTCGAAAACCTGTACCTCTTCTCTGTGGGCCATGGTCTGGTAGCTAGGTTCAACATGGCATACCAGCAGCAATCTCTCGAATCTGAGTCAGAGCAAGACAAAGCCTTTCGTGACGCCTACGCACCAAATCGAATTACCATCCAGGAAATGCACGACCAATACCTCAACATGCAAAGGCCAGAGTCACCGGAAGACAAGACATATGTTGAGGAGTATCTGAGCCAAGTGGCTACTGATACTGTTGCGTGGTGGAACGGAGTGATCGATGGATCTCAGATCAAAGTAGACTTGGCCTCCCACTGACAGAGGGAAATATAGAATGGAACGCAGACGGTGTCTAGGGCTACAGAGGCCAACACATACGGTCGCGATATAACCGAGGGTGCAAGGTTCACGCCAGACGATCGCGTGAGGTACAGAGCTGTCAGCGTTGACTGGCACGTGTATCTCCAATTCACCAGTATTCAGTCCACGAAATCCTGACCTAGACAACAAGGGACTTGCTACAGAGCACCGCCTGATCAAAGCGCGCAACAAGGCCCGTTGGCCAAGCATGGCAGGTGCAGACATGCGTCAAGAATTACGTATCTTCACCAGCAATCCGAAAGCAGAGTTTAGGCCTGTCCAGGAGGAAGCTCTACGGCCATCTTCAAACAGACACCGCGTGTTTTGGCAATCATGGCGACAAGATCTGGCAAATCATCTCTATTCACTCTGCCAGCCATGCATCCACAAGCAGGCACAACTATAGACAACAACCTTTGTGAATGATGAGAACACAGTTGACAGCTGTTGAGATGGTCGGATAATTTCTCACTGAGATATTGATCTGACCTTGCTCGAGCACAGTGATCATGATCTCGAATTTAATCATGCCGTCTCACAGCATCCGTTCAGAGAGAGCCTCTGATGAAGCCTCAAGACCTCCATCTCGACGATGCAAGATAGGTGCAGAAACTACGCGAGTCAGCTCGGAGCGTGTGACTTATCTCCATACCATGCTGCCACAGATATGCGCTTTCTCAATGCTGTATCCTGACCTGATATACCAAGGTACGTACGTGTACTGAGGCAGTCGTGACATGGATTCGTGAGGAACAGGGTCATCCGAAGCCTCCACCATCACGACCAACACAGGATCAGCTTGAGCTTCAGTGCTCGTGTTGTAGCGACATGGTAGCCTCTGAGGCAGATTGTATACTGCTATTCTATGGCTAGTTGGAGACCAAGCTCCACTCGCACTCCAATCCGGATCGATCAAGAGAAGTACCTCCAACTCGGATCGTCTTCGCCATGCACATTCTCACTCGTGTCAGCCATATGCACACCTCCTCGCTGACTGTGAGCTTTATTCCTTCTTCGGTTTTCCATCTTCATCCACATACCGAGCCATAAAGTGCATGCAATGCATGTCACGTTGCAAGCCGCTGTCGTGATCAGCGTTGGTCTGTAAGCAGGAGCATATTCTGTTCGGAATGTGGCGGTACTCAGGATACCCGACAGATTGCCCAGACCGACTAAGAGGCCTGTAGTAGCTGCCCGAGAGCTCTCATTGACGTTATTGTTGTTGTGCCACGAGTGTACCAAGCAAGAAGGAATGTATGCACCTGAGCAGAGTAGAAAGCATGCAAAGTATGCCACCGCCTTGTTGTCCACAACATCAATAGCAGTGAGGATTATCAGGCCCGTGAGTGAGATGCATAGAGCCAGAACAATGTGCAAACTTCTCTCACGAAAGTAGTCTGAAGATTTGGTGATGCACAATAAGACAACAAAGCCAACACTATTAGGTGCAACCGTCCACAGGTTGGTCTTGACAGCCGAAAACCCCAAGCGTGCAACAATCTGAGGCAAGAAAGTTGCAGTGGTGGTGAACGCCACGGAGTAGGTGAACGAGATTATGCACCACAAGGCGAACTTCCAGTTATTCCATGTCCGAAAACAGTCTTTGAGATTGAATTCGGTTCCAACTTCAGATGAGCCATCACGAAGCATACGGAGCCTTGCTGCGAGCTTCTCCGTGTCGTCAAGAAACCAGGCAGATTCCGGAGTGGCTGGTAACCAGAAGAATCCAACAAGCGCCACCATACAGGTCAAAGATCCCTCAATAACAAATAAAAGTTGCCATCCCTGGACATGACTGCTGTGGACCTGGAACACACCATACGAGATTAAGCCCGAAAAGGCCGAAGCGAGGAGAGCAGATCCAAAAAAGATGGCGATTCGAAATCCGAGCTCTCCACGTGCGTAGAAGAGCGAAAGATAGAACACGGCTCCAGCAAAGAAGCCAGCTTCGAATACTGCCAAAACCAATCTGAGAGCTAGAAGACCACCGAAATTCTTTGCGGCGGATTGAACCAGTGCCATCGCTCCCCAACCGAGCATCAGTGCAGGCAACATGACGCGACCGGAGAAGCGTTTCGTGAGCATGTTCAAAGGTAGATCGCACAAGCCGTTGGGTATGTAGAAAAGCAGTAGCAGCAGTGAATACTGGTTGCCTGTGAAGTGCAAGTCGATATCGATACCGTCTGTCTTCGCATTGCCGAGATTGCTTCGATCTACCGAATTGAAAAAGTACATCAGAGAGAGAAATGGAAGTAGATAGCAGTCCATTTTCCAGACATATGCTCTCTCAGAGGCTGCGTCCACTAGTCGAATGTCGCCCGAGGTATCTTTTTGATCGACTGGAACGATGATCGAATCATGCTTGGTCGTTTTTTCCATGGTGATATGCTGTGCTGTGTGACTACTTACACTACTAGATTCACTCTTGCGAGCTTCATATTATACTACATTGCGCAACCCGACATGCCCACTCTTGTGCCTCGCAGCGTGAGGCACTGGAACTGATATCTGTACATACATAGATGTTTCCGTCGAATGGGAGTTGTCGAGCGGACGAAGGATGCATTGCACTTATCATGCTATCTTCACCTGCTGGCATTCTGGGAAAAAGGGTTGAATGGCCGCATCAATGCGTCTCGAATTTAGCGCTATCTCGGCAAAGAGACCTTCCGTAGATTTGCCGGAGCTTATCAAAAGTGGGGGAAGTTGCGGGCAAGCTTCCTGCCCTATGCGACTCAACTCGTCAAACCACTGCACCGCTCGAGCAGCAATGGTCCAACAGCAATGGGGCCTAGCTCGAGTATGACATCCTTGTACTTCCCAAGCTGCGATCATATCACAGCTCTCGTACCCTTGAAAGCTATTCTGGATTCTCTGTTGCCTGATACCGATCGCAATCAATTAATCGCCTCACCTTACGTTGCTACTTTATCGCATTCTCCATGTCGCCTACTCATGTAATCGAGGGTCTGGAAGTTGATGGGATATCTGGTCAAGATGTTGTAGTCGTCGGAGCAGGCCCCGCTGGACTTATGCTGGCTGCCAATCTAGTCCGTTTTGGCGTCAAGACAACCATTCTTGACGACAGAGCGGACAAGACTTCTACTGGTCGAGCAGACGGATTGCAGCCAAAATCGATTGAGACTTTGAAACAGATGCGTCTTGCCGACCCATTGCTGCAGCGAGGTGTTCGAATCCACGACATCTGTTTCTGGGTAAGTGCTTTATCAACGAAGATACCTTACAACCGCTGATGCTCTGTACAGAGCTCTGATAAAGATACACCTCTGAAGAGGACAGAGCGAACAGAGCATTTTCCTTCCATGGTAGATCTTCTGGACCCGTACATCCTTCTCGTCCATCAAGGCATGGTAGAAGACATCTTTCTGCAAGACTTGAAGACCAGAGGGGTTGAGGTCACCAGAAGTTCTCCTTTTGTGAAGTACAGAAATCATGGATCTGGAATAGCCCTCGATGTGTTCAGCCGCTCGGCCACAATTGGAAAAGAGCGACTCTGGCAGTCAAAATATCTAGTTGGTTGCGACGGCGCACACTCACAAGTCCGCAAAGCTATCCCTGATATCAGAGCTGAGGGTTCATCTTCCGAAGCTATCTGGGGTGTGCTGGACGGTATTATAGAAACAGACTTCCCTGATCTCTGGAGCAAGGTCGTTGTCTACTCAGAAGAGGCTGGTAACGTTCTTTGCATTCCGCGCGAGCGTAATTTGACGCGACTCTACATCGAGCTCCGACCCGAGTCGGATGCGCCTATTGACAAGGAAAAGGCGACTCAGGAGTTTGTCATAGATAGGGCGAGACAAATTCTGGCGCCCTACAGCCTATCATGGGAGAGTGTTGAGTGGTTCGGCATCTACCAGATTGGCCAGCGAGTCGCAAATAAGTTCACAGATGACGCCAGACGTGTCTTTATTGCCGGCGACGCGAGTCACACACACTCTCCTAAAGCGGCGCAGGGTATGAATACTTCAATGCACGACTCCCTTAACCTGGCCTGGAAACTCAATCTCGCCGTCCGTGGACTCGCCAAACCATCCTTACTGGAAACTTATGAACTTGAACGCCGCAAAATCGCCCAGGATCTGATCAACTTCGACTATGAGCATGCTAATGCATTCCACGACGGAGACGCAAAGGCTCTCGCACGCAATTTCTTGACCAACGTTCGCTTCATCTCAGGAGTAGGGGTTGAATATGGTGCCAACCCCCTGAACCGCGTTACTGACACACCTGGCGGCGCGAAGCCAGGCAGTCTGCTACCACCAGCAAAACTCACTCGCTACATCGATGCAAATCCTGTAGATGCTCAGCTTGACATCCCAATGCTGGGGCAGTTTCGGACTTACTTCGTATGCAAAGACGTTCATCGGTCGAAAGACTTCATGAAATCTGTCTGCGCACATGTCTCATCCTCCGACTCAGTCCTAGGTCGGGCTTCTGAGGCACTTGAAGCTTCGTACCAAGATCAAGCTCCGGCGCCTACTGAATCAGATTCTTACATCCAACCTCAGCGCTACGTTGCCAGCAGCCGTCTTTCGACCTTTTGCCTCATTACAACCACATCGAAACCAGACTTTGAAATAGCTGATCTCCCTGAGGTGCTCCAAGCTAGCAAGTGGACGGTATACTTGGACAATGTGCCTCAACAAGATACTCGCGGTCAGCATTGTATCGACAAGTGGACGGGTGCTCTCGAGGATGAACAAATTGCTCTGTTAGTCGTAAGACCTGACGGATATGTTGGTGCTATGAAGTCGTGGCCAAGCAGCACAGAAAGTAGTGCGCAAGCTTCAGCATGGTTGGATGACTACTACGGAAGTTTCCTTGTCTGTTAAGCTATCAAAAAGATGTAAACTGTTAGTCTTGATTCTACCATGCTCTTGAACAACATGATCATACACCTGCAATTTGCTATTGCACCTTCCAACATGACCACCTGCGACGCTCGCCTTCACCCGGTCGTCCACCTCGTGAAGAACGCTGCCTCACGCGTGTTGCAGGGAGCAATTCAGATTCAGAATCGGCCCCGCAGGGTACCAGTGGCCTCAAGTTCTGGCCCCGATACGATAAGGACATGGCGAAATAGATAAGAAGTCGCGGGATTGACTCACTGTCACTTGTCGTTGTGCTGTTTGGGGCGCATGGTGGGGAAAGTCAACCCCATCTTTGCCCGCCCGCTGATGAAGCTTGCTTACATTCGCCTATCGTACGCCGAACACCAGTCTTATACACGTGGCCGGCACTTACGATATATCCAGATGATTGGAAAGATATTCTACTGGTTTATTGTTGATTCACATATTCCTTAGCACAGGTCTGAAACTATCCAATCGTTCATCATGCCTGCTGAAGCACCACCAATCCTCGACTTCTCCGGTAAGTAAATTCGACTCTGCTCTCACTGGTGATGCTGATCTATATGTATAGTCTTCTATGGCGATGACGAAGCCGCAAAATTAGAGCTCACAGCAGCAGTCAAGAAGTGCTGTCTACACAATGGCTTCTTCCAAATTATTGGTCACAGAGTACCTTTAGAACTACAAGAAAAAGTACTCGAATGGGTGAAGAACTTCTTCGCACAGCCTCAAGAAGAGAAGGACAGAGTTCACAAAGGTGTGTCTCTCTTTCAATTCCGACCCGGCGATTCCATGACTGACTTGTGCCAGACTCCAACACTTGGAATCGTGGATACGAACGCATTGGATCACAAATACTAGAGCTGGGAACCAACCCAGATCTCAAGGAAGGCTACTTCATAGGGGAGGAGATATCTACCGACCACCCATACTTTCTGGGCAGAAAGTTGAACAGTGGACCGAATGTCTGGCCTGAGACTATGCTCGAGGTTGACGATTTCCGTGCGACGTCCATGGAGTACTACAGTCAGATGCATGCATTGGCAAGAGATGTACTGGCTGTCATTGCTCAGACACTTGATCTCAAGGACGACTATTTCAGAGAGTTCACCACTGGCGCCGTTGCGACACTCCGTTACCTTCATTATCCTCCACAACCCGCAGATTCTGACGAGAAGCTGGCAAGAGGTATCGGAGCCCACACTGATTTCGGATCGGTCACTTTGCTTATGCAAGGAGATGTTGATGGCTTGCAGGTGTACGATAAAGAGCACAACGAATGGCTCGATGTGAGTTACACCTGCTGTAAGATTAAATCACTATGCATCACTAACAACGCGACAGGTTGTCCCCGTCAAGGGTGCTTACGTGGTCAATCTGGGTAACATGTTCATGCGATGGGCCAATGACAGATACATATCCAACCTCCACCGCGTTATCAACAAGTCAGGCAAGGAGCGCTACTCGGTACCATTCTTCTACAGCGGCAATCCAGACTACGTCATTGACTGTCTACCAAACTGCCGAGAGGAAGGACAGGCACCAAAGTACCCTCCGACTACTGTGATGGATTGTGTTGGTGGTAGCTACAAGGCTAGTTATGGTGCTGCGAAGGTGTTCAAGGAGCAGCCAAAGACAGCTTTAGAGACCGTCAACGGTGCTCCTTCTGTGCTCGCTTCCTGAGAAGGATGAGATAAGATGAACATTGTATCAAGCTTCTCTTCATACATCTACTAGTGATACTTTTAGAGAACGTTCTTCAGATTAAAGAGCCAATACTACATCGAGATTAGTCTTAGCCAAGTTTGCTCGCAGACAGTGCATCAACACCATTCCGTCTAAGAGCATCTCGAATGTACCCTAATTTTGGAATCGTTGTCAACCATGACGGTATCCGAAGGAGTCTTATCGAACAACGTTGCATGCGATATGTGGTAGAATCCATTACAGATATCCCCAGAGAAGGGCACTATCAGTCGACGCCACTCAAAGACTAAACCCCCACCCTTCGTTCAGCTGCCGAGTCCTTTTTGACCACTCTGAGTACCCTAGCACGATACTAAGCATTACATCTGATAAGTCGCTTGACCATACATGATATATGTGTCCCTCAACATAAGTATACCATTGATTGACCATAAAGCTCCTTGATGTTCTTCGCGATCTCAAGAAGTTACACCATTCAAGCCCAACTCATACATACCAAGATGGACTACGAAAAGAAGAATGTCTCCTCCTCAGCAGGGGAGAACATGTCTCCTGAGACAGAGATTGGTACCGTGGTCGACATTGGCGATGAGCGCACTCGCGAGTTCTATGGCAGCTCCATCTCGGACAGCTACCGCATGAAGTCGGAGATTGTCAACCAGTGCATGGAAGAGATTGGTATGGGAAGGTATATTGAGAAGCGACACCTTGACATTCACACCTACTCACAAATATAACCAGATATCAATGGGAACTCTTCGTCGTCAGTGGGTTCGGCTGGATCACAGACAACTTGTGAGTCACAGACAGGCAAGGATATTACCCGCTTCGATGCTGACATCGAGAAGCTGGTCGCAAGGCATCGGTTCTATTCAACCATCCGTAGCACTCGAGTTTACTGGTGTAACAAACATTACTCTCAGCTCAGTCGCCTACTACGCTGGCTTAATCTTTGGTGCTTTCTTCTGGGGCACAAGCGCTGATCTCATCGGAAGAAAGCCAGCTTTCAACGCGACGTTGATCATTGGAGGTCTGTTTGGCACTGCTGTAGCCGGCCTGAATAACTTTACTGCTTTCTGTATCTTCTGGACAATCATTGGCACGGCAGCTGGTGGCAATGTGCCTGTCGACTCGATGATCTTTCTCGAGTTTGTACCTGGCTCGCACCAGTATCTGCTTACTGTATGCTCATACAACCTAAAGAAGGCGCTCCTTGTACTAACTCTTATCAGGCTCTCAGTAGTTGGTGGATGCTTGGGCAGGTCATTGTGTCGTTGCTCTCTTGGGTCTTCCTGGCAAATTTCTCTTGCCCGACCGACTCCACCCCTGCGACTTGCAAAAGGAGTGATAACATGGGATGGTAAGCCAGTGGAAACCATAGAACAAGGCTCTTACTGACCTCACTAGGCGCTACACAATGATCACCCTGGGAGCAATGACCCTTGTATTCGCCTTCGTCCGTATCGCCATCTTCAAGATGCCCGAATCTCCTCGCTACCTCATCTCCAAAGGACGAGATGCCGAAGCGGTTGACGCCGTCAACTACATCGCCCGCCGGAACAAGAAGCCTGAACCACTCACTCTCGAGATGCTCCAAGAAGTCGACAGAGTCACGGGCGGGGAGATCAAAGCCGGAGCAACAACCAAGCTCACACGCAGCGCCATCATCAAGGAGAATCTCAAAGACTTCAAGTCCATCAACTATAAGAACCTGTTTGCCAATGCTCAGTTGGCTCGGCATACTAGTATCATCTGGTTGATCTGGTTGACCATTGGTAAGTCATTTCGTTACCTTGTCGATTGCCTCTATTATTCACCTCCTTTTATTCTTCGCTCTTGACTCACCATTCTTCCGACAGGCATCGCTTATCCGCTGTATTTCAATTTCATTCCCACCTACCTCGCAAAAAGGTTTACCACGAACTCTTCGCTCTCGCTCACATACCGCAACTACTGCATCCAATCCATCGTCTCAGTTTTCGGACCTCTGAGCGCTGCAGTACTCGTCAACACTCGTCTCGGGCGACGCTGGATGTTAGGAGCCTCAGCAATCGTCTCTGGTATCTTCCTCTTCGCGTACACTGCTGCGAATAACAAAGCAGGAGATCTCGCGTTCTCTTGTATCACCGGCCTTTTCGGAAACTTTAGTAAGTGCGCCTTGTATCACTTGGTCGGTTCCGTACTGATGTGGAGTAGCATACGCCATCATGTATGCTTTTACACCCGAGTCTTTCCCTGCTCCCCACAGAGGTACTGCGACTGGAACAGCTGCAACTTTGCTTCGACTTGGTGGTATCTGTGCGTCCTTGATTGGCACATACACGAACTTCAGTGTTGCTCCCATCTACGTTAGTGCTAGCCTGTGGATCGTTGTGGGAATAATTTCTTTTGCGCTGCCGTTTGAAACTCACGGCCGTGCTGCTATTTGAGCAAGAATGGGGGTTTGTGAGAGCGGAGCCCAGTGGCAACGCAGACCTATCGAGCTGGCAGGACTTGCTTCTAGTATCGATCGAGTGGTTGGGGTGCCTCAGTAGATCTCTGCATATGCTTAACCTGTTTAGATGAGAACGACTAATTCGCCGCGAGTTTCTTTCTTAATTCCAAGGGACGGCTTTCGAAGTGATCAGCTTTCAGAAATTGTGTATGTGCAATGTTCACTCGTTATTTGCAAATCATGGAGACCTGCACTAGGTGATTCATCTCCTGCTTCTCAGAGCTTTGCGATGCCAAAGCCATCTTTCTTTGCAATGCCCAAGCTGTCCTTTGTGATCTCCTTGATACTTCTCACGCCAGCCAACGTCATGGTGCGTGAAAACTCTCTCTCGAGAATGTTGACTACAGCCTCCACTCCTTTCTTACCATCGTAGCTCAGGCCCCACAGTACGGGACGGCCAATGAGCACAAGATCAGCTCCGAGTGCAAGTGCCTTGAAAATATCGCTGCCGCGTCTGACGCCTCCATCGAAGATGACAGGAATTCGTCCCGCTACGGCGTCAGCAATAGCAGGAAGAACCTCGATGGTAGCCGGAACCAAGTCCAATTGTCTAGTAGAGTTAATTTCTGTCGTCCATGCGACTAAATTCATCCTGTTCGAACTCACCTTCCTCCATGGTTGGAGACGACGATGGCATCTGCACCGTACTCTACAGCCAGCTTCGCGTCCTCTTCGGTCATGACACCTTTCAGAATGATCTTCATTGATGTTGCCTTGCGGAGCCATGGGAGTGTGTATTGCCAGGTGAGACTTGAGCTGTGCATAGTAGGTCCAGATTGCTTGACAATCTCGTTGGCCTCCTCCACTGTGTGAGCATTGAGAAAGATGCGCTCGGCAACTGGCTTCTTTGGACCTTTAGGAATGTCATAATTCCCAAGATGCATACCCTCCGGAAGTACCAAAGGTGTTTTTCTCTCGTTGATACGATTGCCAAGAACCGGCGTATCGACTGTAAGTACCAGAGCAGTATAACCAGCAGTCTCAGCACGTTTGATCAACTTCAAACTGTACTCCGGGTCTTGGGTGAGGTAAAGCTGGAACCAGAAATCCGGACCGTCGAGCTTCGAGATGTCGCATGCCTTTGCCACATCTTCGAGGCTGGTTGTTGATTGGGAAGATAAGGTCATTGACAAGCCATGGGCTGCAGCGGCCTCTGCTGTCTCGAGCTCTCCTCTAGGATGGCAGAGCTGCTGCATTGCACTGGGCGCGAATGCCACCGGGAACGGGTAGCGCTTGCCGAATACTGTTGTGCTTGTATCGATGTTCCGCACATCGATCATCACACGAGGTCTGATTAGGAGTCTGCATTTTGTTAGGCAACTACACATGGTCGGCAGCTTTCACTTGAGATTACCGGTCAAACATGTAGAGATTTCTAGCCAGCGCCTTCTGCTCATCTGCACCGCAACTGTAGTAGTCGTAGACATTCTTCGGCAATCTTGTTTTGGCGATTTCCTCGATCTCTGTCACAGTGATTGGGACCGTCGAGGATGCTGGCTTCTGGCTCATGATGGAAACTTCGGTGAGTTTGGAAAGGTCTTTGACGTGAGGGACTTCGTGTCGTGTAAATCGAAAGATTGTTGACGATGGCGTCGACAGCGCGGTCGGCGAAGCTGTCGCTCACTTCAAACCCCCACTCTTCGCGGCGAGTCAGCGGAGTGAACGACCCTATTGCTCTACAATTATCTCCTCTCTGCCCAGTGAAGTGAAGATTGGAAGACGACATGAAATAAAATCGCCAGATGACGAGGTTCAATGATGATTTTGAAATCGCACAGCGTTGATGGCATTCGAATTCATTATGTGAATTCGTGACAGGGTGACGTTCTCCAACCACCTCGGCTAAACGTAACAATCATCCCGCGTTCTTCACCGATCATCTTTTCTCGCGACTCTTCTTTCCATCACCAGTTCAAAACACCGCTGCGTTGACATCAGTCATTGTTATAGTGAAAGTGAGCGTCGAGTCAACGTACCCGTCTACTGCAATATCGTTACCGGTCATGTAGCTGCTCGCGTCACTTGCTAAGAATATGCAAGCTCCACGAATGTCATCCGGCATGCCGATCCGGTAATTCATGACTTCCGATTTCCAGCTCTCGAGTAGATGAGGGAACGGCGCTGTCATCTCTGTCTTGATATACCCCGGTGAGATAGTGTTGACGCGGATGCCATACTCAGCAAGCTCGACAGCTGACGGCGCACACATCGCCCGAACGGCTCCTTTGGTCGCACAGTATGCTGAAGAGTATTGACCGCGGACAGCCCTGGAAGCCGCGATGGACGCGACCAAAATGATAGAGCCACATCTAGTCTTGTTTTCGACCATCATCTTGGCGGCATGTTGCATGGTAAAGTAAGCGCCCTTGATGTTGGCATTCACAAGCCTGTCGAAATCCTCCGGTGTTGTTTCAAGAAGCTTGACATTCTTATTCACCCCGGCGCAAGGGATGCAAATATCGAGGGCTCCGTCAAACTGCTGCTGGAACTCTGCAAAGCCTCTTTTCAGGTCCTCCGGGGATGTCACATCGACTTTATAAAATGCCGTTTTCACACTGTATCTTGTTGCCAGTTCTTTGAATGCTGGGTCGGGCTGAATCATGTCGAAGATTGCAATATTCGCACCTGCTTCAGCGAGTCCTTCGGCCATGGCTAGGCCACAGCCTCGGGCTCCGCCTGTGACGAGTGCGGTCCTACCAGTCAGTGAAAACTAACCTTTGTCAGCTCTGTCGCAGTGAGTTGGATACGTTTTCATACTCTGGACATTTTGTCTGGGCTGTTGGGGATTTTTTCTCTTTGGAAGCTGGATTTCGATCTTTGCGGTCGCTGCAACTACTAATCAATCAACACGTCCCCATTTTCAAGAATCCTCCATCTAAGCACCAAGAATATAGCCAGGTGCACGGTGGAAGTACATCCATGCCTCAGTATCTGGATTGCAGTGCTTTGTCTGCATAGAGTATGTCGCACTTGTCGCAAGGATGGGGGCAAAGTTGGGACTCAATCCGCGACCAATAACGATAGGGGAGCCTTTCCGACGTCTCACTCCCGAAGCCGATCTCCATTTATGTGCAGACACAAGATTACTTTAGCCGGAAAGTAGAATAACATTATCTTCATCACTCTGTTAGGTGCACACGAGCACATCTCTTTTTCCACCTGAGCAACTTGCGACACAAAAAGTAAGCCAAGCCTCGGAAGGCCTCAAAGAGACCACCGCGCTAATTTCGTTAGTGTCTGACCAACAACAAATCACCACTCTTCTCCATACATATGGCTCTGTACTATCCTCCCGCTCCATCTCAGATCTTCTCGATATATACACTGAGGACGGTGTTCTCATGGCGCCTGGCTATCAACCAGCGGTCGGCAAAGAAGCACTCGAAACATCCTACGAACGCATCTTCTCAACCATCAAACTTGACATCGACTTCTCCATCGACGAAATCGTTGTAATGGATCGTGAGTGGGCGTTTGCGAGAACTACTGCAGCAGGGACGAAATATTGGCTCAAGAAGGATACACAGGAAGGTCATCACAACCAGGAGATTTTTGTCTGTCAGAAAGTGGAGGGTGCATGGAAGATTGCGAGATATTGTTTTTCGAGTATGAAGCCGTCGTAGTTGATCATGATCTTCAATAAATAACTGCTTCCGATGAGCTGAGCCTTCCTGGCCATATGATTGACAATTGAGTCGCAGACTGGCTAAGATCGCCCTGACTGGAATCTACTACCAAGCTAGATCTACTCGAGACGACATGCAACCAGCGGCTTCGTCTAGTTTGGACACAAAGCTTTCTTCCTCGTCTTCCTTCGCGCTGCTGACTGCCTTTGGCACTGCCGGCCAGATCTCCTTTCCGCCTTGCTCTTCTTCTCGCTTACGATGCTCCATGACCATTTCTCGCACGTTCTTCTGGAAGTACAAAGGTCCCTAGATTCGAGTTAGCAGAGCGTCACAAAGAGGCCTTGCGCTGAAGGGTGCGAACCTTCTCCTTCTCCGGATGCAATTCGCCATTCACGAAGACACCGGCACTCAGATTCTCTTGAGCGGCTTCGCATAGCTCCTTGTCCTCGTTGAGTACCTGTACGTAGAAGTCGTTGATCGCTTTGAACTCCTCATCACCAGCCGTTGTGTGGCGGAATACTTCATACTCGATCTTGCTGGTTGTGGCTGTTACTGGAAACATGCGTTGTATGTAGAAGAAGTTGTCCCTGGAAGATGTCAGCTCAAGTATGAGTCGATGCTTGCGAGGCAGACTCACGTTACGGTCACAGATGTTGTTGGGTAGAAGAACGTGATATTTCTTCTGAATTGTTCATCGGTCCGTGACTTGTTGAAGATATTGTGCTCCATGTATCCATTTGTAGTGTCGACACGGTATTTCGTCAGGTCGGAAACTCCAGCTATCAGTGGGTGTGATGTCGCGCAGTGATAGCATTCATTGTAATTGTCAATCAATGACTTCCAATTTGCTTTGACATCCATCTCCCAGTAATGATCAAATTTGAACTCTTTGGCAAAATCGAACATCTTCATCCTTGGTGAGTCGTCGATGCCCTTGAACTTGTCATCCCATTTGATGTCTGGCTCGCCGGCTTGCAAGTTCACCCAGATAAACCCAGCTTTGTCCATATGAACGTGTATAGGAAGCAAACCATGCTCAGTCTTGTCAAAGGCTTCCACAGTATCGAATCTGGGAGCTTTGGAGAGGTTGCCTTTGAGTCCATAAGACCAGCCGTGATATTTGCAGCTGAGGATGCTCGCCGTACCACATTGAGATTGTACGACAGGAAATGCTCGATGTCTGCATACATTGTGAAAGCCATTAATGTTGCCTTCGCGGTCCTTAACCAGGAAGAATGAGATGCCAGAGACTATGAATGACATGTAATCTCCAGCTTTGGCGAATCTCAAAGAGTGGGTGAGGATGATCCAACTCCTTTGGAAGATTGCCCGGCGCTCGAGCTGGTATAGAGCCTCGGATCTGTACCAGCTTGCTGGCAGGTTTCGCTGTGGCTCGGGTTTGTTGGCCGGAGTTTCCGTCGAGGAGCGGGAGAAGAGACGCCACATGATTGATAGTGTGTGATGCTTGGAGACTGAGGCGAAAGGATGGACGTCGCAGACTGAATTGTGTGCTGTACTACATCTTTGCCAAATTTCTGTCTTGTATTCAACGAGCAGTGGAGATGTGTGGTCAGCATAGGCAAGGGTGGGGTTGACCCATGTTCGGCGGGAGCTGCGATAGGCGGACCAACGCCGCATCCTGCCTATTCTGTATACTGATAAGCTTATCGTAAGTCAAAATTTGCCAAGCAAGTTTAGAGAGGGATCTGACGACATGTCAATATCAGCGAATCATATCTGTACCGGAGGTGTAAGAAGGTGGTGAGATAGTTACGTCGAATATTACTCATTATTTCACAAAAGCTCAATACGATACTTGAGTAGTGGCTATCAACATTTTGCTTTCCGCATCGCTTCCTCACGACTTGCAGGCATCAGACCGCCGACCGGTGGTTTATTCTTACTCTTGAACTCATCCGACATTTGCTCAAAGGTCACCCACTCAACGCCTTCGTGCGAATTGATGAATTCTGCATAGATGTTAGCACCGGTGAGCCTCAACTTGCATTGCGGCTACTGACCTATTATGCGTTCATGCATCAAGAGAACATGCGGTCTTCCGCTGACATCTGATTCGCCAGTCAATACAACGTCCTTTCAGTCGACCCGACGTAGCATACGTACCAGGATGAATGGTCATCGGAAAGATAAACTCATCATATTCGCGATAGTAGTACGTGAAATGGTCCTTCCATATATCTTCAATGTCACGAGGGTTCCTGGCGAGCCCGGTCAGCACTGTCAAAGCGACAATCTTGGTAATATGGCTTACACCCAGCCATGGCTGTTGGCGCTGTTCTTGATGAACATCATGGGCGGCAAATCATCAATGTACCAGCTAATGGCTGTCAGTGATCTTCTTACCAGTGACGCGCAAGATGTCATACCTTCCAGGAATCTCAACAAGACCTGTCTCCTCACCCTTAATCAGAGGCTTCATCCATTCTTCAGCTTTCTTCGCATAATCAATCTTTGTCCAGGTGTCACCTGTCCGTAGCCAGTACATCTGGCAATCTTCGTGACTCATTGAATGATCGTATTCAATGCCATAGGATAGAAGGAGCTCTGTGCCTTCTTTACTCGTCTCCCACCATCTGTGATGGTCAGGCCTGTTCACACTGTATTCGTGCATCTGACTTACGGAGCGACACTTCCACGCGGTGGCTTACCACAGAATTCAGTCAGCATCTTGAAAGTCTTATCCAGGACATCCTTCTGTTGCTCGAAAGTCATGTCTGCAGGATTTTCATGGCTGTAACCATGTAGCCCAATCTCATGACCAGCATCCCGCACAGCTGCGCAGTCTTCGGGAAAAGACTCAAGTGTATGGCCTGGAATAAACCAGCTTGCTTTGATGTCGTACTTGTCAAAGAGTTTGAGCACTCTTCTGGTACCGTGTGTACCGGCCCATATGCCTCGACTGATGTCGCTAGTGGAATCCTCGCCGCCATAACTACCGAGCCAACCGGCAACTGCATCAATGTCGACACCTTTGAAATGTCAGCGACATAAGCACAGCATGATACAGGATTCACTCACCGTAACCAACTAGAACTCTCTTTTTGCCCATGATTTAGTGTTGAGAGTACGATCAAGGTTAATTGAAGTGAAGTTCAGACTTTGCAAAATGTGATGGCGAACGCGAGAGGTCGTGGCTGATATTATAGCGGTGACCTAGTCTGACTTTGGATTTTGAGAGAGCTGGCGGACTTGTGTACTTTGCGGTAAGCTTCAGCGGGAAAGGTGGGGATTCGCGCAATCCAAGTCAAAGGTGACCCCAACCTTACTCGAAGCTCCAAGTCGCGCACTCCTCTCATGGCACCAAACTCACAAGCATACCTTTGACTTCCGAGATAGTAGGCTGATTATTCGGCCAGCTCGCCAAGGGAACCTTGATACGGGACCTGCCCGCAAGTGATGACCGGCTGCAGTCAGTCAAGGCCCGATCCCACTCTTCAAGTGCAATCATGTCTTCGAACAATCGAGAGTATGCTGAAACACCCCACCTTGTGTACACCTACAGACACCACGCTAATGTCCGGACGTCAAAGTCAAGTGATTTGATGGCTTGTGAGCATACTTAAGAATGTCGTCGACCTGGTGCAAATCACACAACCATCGCCATCCCCGATACAATCTTGTATTCTTGACACACCAGCAATCATGCCTTCGGCTATCTCTCCTCCCGCATTCACTCCTCTCAAGGACACCATTCTCTTCAAATCATGGAAGCTGGGAAATATCACACTCGAGCACAAGTTGGTGCAGGCTCCGTTGACCAGAATGAGGTGTACAAAGAACGATGAGGGCATCAACATCCCATCAGATCTCATGGTTGAATACTATGGCCAGAGAGCCAGCAAAGGAGGTCTTCAACTTACAGAAGCCACTGACATTTCGCGTTATGCGAGTGGTTATCCAGGAGTTCCTGGTCTGTTCTCAGGAGAGCAGCTAACTGCTTGGAAGCGCGTGACGGATGCCGTACACGCCAAGGGCGGCTACATCTTCTGTCAGATGTGGCATACCGGACGCGCCTCCCCGGCTGGACTCCTTGGTGGTCAGACGCCCCTCAGTGCCAGTAACATCCCCATTTCGGGCAAAGCACTTGACGGTACAGACTTCAGCGCCACACCACCCAAGGAGATGACCACAGAGGAGATCGCAGAGGTGGTTGCAGACTTTGGTACCGCCGCAAAGAGTGCAATCGAAGCTGGCTTCGATGGTGTTGAGATTCATGGTAAGCCTGTTCGAATCTTTCATCCTGCTCTTTATCTGACGTTTGCGATAGGTGCCAACGGCTACTTGCTGGATCAATTTCTTCACGATAATGTCAATGTCAGGACTGATACATACGGAGGCTCAGTCGAGAACCGCTGTCGCTTCCCGATCGAAGTCGTCAAATCAGTCTGCGACGCTATCGGCTCGCACCGTGTCGGCATTCGTCTCTCGCCCTACAACTACTTTCAGGACACAAAGGACAGCGATCCCAATGCTCACTGGGCTCACCTATGCGAACAACTTGCTTCTCTACCCCAACAACACAGACCAGTCTATGTCCACAGTGTAGAGCCTCGCTTCGACGAAGTGCTTGACGAGCAGGCCAAGATGGACGCTCTGTCAGCATACGGTCCTGGCAAGGGTGTCGAAGCTGAGGCAACGCGCAAGATTGGCCACTCGCTGTTGCCGTTCCGAAGAATTTTGTCCAAGGCCGACATCAAGTTTTTCGCGGCCGGTGCTTACACACGCGACAATGCTGTGCCCAAGCTCGAATCTGACGACGCGGACGCGATTGTGATGGGCAGATGGTTCATCGCCAACCCGGATTTGCCCAGACGGTTGGCCGAGGGTCTGCCTCTCAACAAGTACGACAGAGACACGTTCTATGGTGCGTCTCCGCCTCAGAAGGGCTACACGGATTATTCTTTCTTCGTCGGTGGAGCGCAGGCGTCGGCGTGAAATACGGCAGCTGCGAGACCATCAGTATCTCCTAGTCATGACCAATAGAAATCTACCTGCTTACACCACAGTCGCTGAGGTGCCTTGGACGTGTTTCCCACTATTGATTACAAGCTGACCCCCATTCTTGATAAGAGCGCGTTGAGGTTGATAGGAAAAATGCGGGGTTGTGATTGGCCGTGCTCAACGAGATCCCCCGAGGCCCCGGCTCGCCGACGTCGACATCAGTGTGAGCCTTCCTCTCTTCAAGCCATACAACGGACATGTTGAGGGTCCAGATTATTCACCGAATCAGGACATATGTCGCGTAGTCTCGCGGCAACTTGTCCGCCGCTGTACTGATGTAGCCCCGCATGTCATGGTCGCCTATCGCTCTTGCCCTTCCTGCTGATAAGGTAAGCAACACCTCGTTGTGCACTCATCACATGAGTCCACTGCTCAGCGAATCTTTTCCATCAACTATAGCGGAAGTTCGTATCGCAATCATTTGTCTACTATGCGCCAATCTAAGTCTACTGCCGGAGCTGAGAAGAAGTTTATCTGTAATCATGAGAATTGCGATAGACGATTCACTCGACATGAGCATCTGCAAAGACACTATCAGAACCACGCAGGGGGTGATTTTACGTGCGACAGATGCAGGGCACATTTCAAGCGCCGTGATCTCTTGGACCGACACATTTCTCGACATGAAGCCAAGGATGCGGAAGGAAGTGCTCTCATGACGCGAAAGCGATCTTGGAAAGATGCAGACGGAAATATTGTCTCGAAGAAGCCCAATTTAGGTGAAGACAATGACACCGACAAGCCAGATGAGCAGAGCGCTGTCAACGATTCTGCTCGTCTGTTGTCTCCACCATTGTCGTTTGACGCTGCAGATGCTCAAGCTTTGAGCGCCATGAACTTGGAGTCTATGGATGAGTCGCTACCTTTCATCCACGACCAACCAGGAATTGAGCAATCCGGAAATCCCATTCTAAACGATGATGACCTTTACGCCAACTTCACAAATCAGGCTGCTGATGATAACCTCTTTGAAGATGCATTTAATCCTGATACAGGTGCGGCCCCCATTCATCATCACTACCGAATCAAAGTACTGACTTAGTGTAGCGAGTTCATTCAACATGCCGTATACTACCATGAGCAACTACAATTGGTTATTCGATCTTGACACGGAGCTAAGTGACAACAACAGCTTCAGTATTGCAGATCTGGACTACAATGCATTCCCACCAATGCAGCCCGATCTGGACTCTACTCACATGGTAGACTTCGACATGTCAACCTTGCACCAGCCCTTGACTACTACAGAGACGCAGGCGCCCATTGCCCCCATGATCTACCCTCAGCAGAGCCAACAACAGTACCAGTCATCGATGCCATCTCAAGCAACTTCCACAAACGGGTCGTCAGCTGCTGACACTAGCTCGCCAAGGTCGTCACAATCTACTAAAGCGACGTCTGTGTCTTCTACACATCAACATAGAAGGCGTAAGTCAGTGGCTACACGGCGACCAGCTTTACCTACTGGCTTAGAACGTCCTATGACCTTGATGAGTGCAAACACCAAGCTGCCCAAGTTAGATGAGCTCGCTAGATCCCACATACTACAACTAGTCGAGACGGTTCGACCAGTTACCCCCACCGGTGATCTCATCTCACCTGACCATCCGTTTTTTGCTCTTCCGGCTTTGCAGACCTATTCCGACTTGTTCTTCACCAGGTTCAACGCAACTTATCCTTTGATACACACATCTTCTTTCGAACCGTCTAAGATTGACACCCTACTTCTCCTGTCGGTGCTGCTCCTTGGTTGCACATATTGCGAAAAGGATGCTCATCAGATAGCTGTATGTCCATTGACTTCCGGTGTTTGTCCGTCGCTAATAGTCACAGGTTTGCATTCATGACGTCCTGAGACCGCAAATCTTTGCTCATTCTAGCTTCAGTGCTGTCCCTGAACTCTGGATCCTACAAACGATATTGCTGGTCGAGTGCTTTGGAAAGTCGCGGGCTGGACAAAAACAGCATGATATGTCTCATCTATTCCATGGGTTGTTGATCAATCTCATCCGCCGCAGCGACTGCCAACTTCTGAAACCTGACCCCTCTATGGAAGCTCACGGAGACTTGGAAGACGAGTGGAAGGCTTGGGCCGATGCAGAGCAGAAGAAGAGGTATGCGATAAAAAGTTGCGGACACCTCTATGCGGTACTAACGCCGCACAGACTTGCTCTTCTCTGTTTCATGTGGGATACTCAGCATGCTGTCTTGTTCTGTCAGTCTCTCTGTATGTCTGCATTCGAGCTGAGATGTCATCTGCCTTGCGATCAATCTGTATGGGAAGCAGACTCTGCAGAGTCCTGGCAGAAGCTCCGCAAAGCACAAGCTACGCCTCCGTTGTTTCTTACTGCATTGAAGACTCACATCGGCGCCCAATCTCCCGCCGTATCGCGCAAGCTGAATGGATTGTCTCGAGTGCTGATCTTACATGGGCTAATGTCGATAGCTTGGGACATGAACAGACGGGATCAAACATCGCTAGGCGTCGTCGGCAGTAACATGCTAGACGGTTGGAAGCATCGTATTGCAGTATCGTACGACAGCTGGAAAGCCGACTTCGACGCCTATGTGATGTCAGTCACGCAACTGCTCTCCCAATCCTCGGCGTCTATGACACCAGCGGAATTGCAAGAAACACGGAAGGGCTTCGCCATTTACTCCACAGCGAACTCTGCACTCTACCATGCAGCTTATGTCATCCTCTTTTCAGATTTCCTGGATGTCCAGATTTATGCCGGTGCCAGACATCTTCTTGGCAGACCTGTAAGAAGGGAGGATTATGCCAGGTCGCAACAAGTAGTGAAGAGATGGGCGAATGAGCAAAGTCAGCACGCTGCGAGAGCGGCATGGCACGCTGGTCACATCATCAAAGATGCCGTGATGAACCTCGAAGATTTTGACGCTGGAGGTCTGTTCATACACCCCTGGTGTCTGTACCTCGCAACAGTCACAATATGGAGCTTCCATCATGCGCGTCCTGGCGGCAAGCGGACCAAAGGCTCGGATGATGATGAAGACGAGATGATTTGGGACTCGCAAGCGGATATGAATGCCTTGATCGGCAGTATGACCAGTGGTACCGCGGAACAACTTTCGACTTCTCTGACAAACAACAGGAAGATTAGTACTGCTGGGCTGACTGCGGTCATCTCCAAGCAATTGAGTAAGATCAGGTGGGCCGTTGTGCGAGATGGTATGCTTGTGCTGAAGGGACTTGTTCCGTGGAGACTCATCAACGAGCCAGAAGTATGATCAGCGCAGATTTACTAATGCCGCCCGTATCGATTTCCAACCTGGGACAAACCTCGTTGGTCATACAGTTGTGCTACTCGAGTCTGATGATAAGCTTTCCAGCAAAGTGCGATAAGACAGCGATAGGGAAGCGCTTGCGCGGGGCCGGCTCAAGGGCAACCCCACCCTTGACAAGTAAGCAACTCCACCCTCAGATACACTGTCGTCTTCTCCACTATATCCTGTGTCAGCACAATGGGTGTGCCAATCGTTATGCCAGCTCATGGTAACTTAATAACTGCCGTGAACTGTGTGTGAGCATTTGTTATACCACATTCCAACGCTTTGAATTCGCATTTTTCTAGTCGATCTATAATCGAAGACAACTGTTTGACGAGTCAAGGCAATGTCAACACAGAGCGGTACTTTCAATGTTCCAGTGTTGAAGCAGCAAGTACGAGATGAAAGCACTCAGTTGAACGTCAGCTCGCATACCATCAGGTTCATCTCTTCTAAATGCTGACTTGACATCAGATCATCATCGTCGGTGCTGGTCTTGGAGGTCTCGGTGCCGCAATCTCACTTTTACTCGCTGGCCACAAAGTTCACGTTCTGGAAAGCGCTTCCAAAATTGCCGAAGTAGGAGCAGGCATCCAAGTCCTTCCCAACAGCTCTCGTGTACTTATCCAGTGGGGTCTGGAGGAGCAACTTCTCCGCCATGCGACCTTTCCGGACGAGTGTATGATGCTTGGCTGGAAGGGTGAGCGATTATCTTCGATGAACTTTGAGGACGCGACGAAGGAGTATGGAGCCCCATTTTGGGATTTCCATCGTGCAGACTTGCATAAAGCCTTACTGGATAGAGCTCAAGAACTTGGGGCCAGGTTCTCAATCAACGCCAGAGTCATGGATATCAAGTACGAAACAGATGGCAAAGATACTGCCACTGTCTTGTTGAAGTCTGGAGAGCGTTTGGTCGCGGATCTTGTCGTTGGAGCCGATGGCATATTCTCGACTTGCCGGGAACTTCTTCTTGGAGCGCCCAGCCCACCCACACCCACTGGTGATCTTGCGTATCGTGTGCTGCTTGATACAAAAGCCATGAAGGAAGATCCGGAGCTCGCGCCGTTGCTGGAGAAGCCCCACAAGGTTCGCTATTGGATGGGACCAGGAGCCCACGCTGTCAACTACGTTCTTCGAGATGGGGAACTCTTCAACATGGTATTGCTTGTACCAGATGACATGCCGGCTGATGCGACAACACTAGACGGCAATGTCGAAGAGATGATTGAATTGTACAAAGATTGGGACCCTCGCATACCAAAGTTGCTTGCTCTGTGTCAATCGGTACAAAAGTGGAAGTTGTGCTTCCGTGCTGGCTTGAAGTCTTCCTGGTCGAATGAGGATGCGACATTTGTTCTTCTTGGCGATTGCGTCCATGCTACCCTACCTTACCTAGCTTCAGGTGCAGGCATGTCGCTCGAAGACGGTGCAACACTAGGCTTCTGCTTGAGCAAGATCAAGAGCCGTTCACGCCAGGAGAAACAAAGGGCCTTGAAAGTCTACGAAGACTGTAGACGTATTCGAACAGAAAGCATTGTCGAGAGAGGTAATTTGCAGCAAGAGCTTTACCACTTCGACGACGGTCCGGAACAGCAAGCTCGAGATGACAGGTTTCACTTGTTCGAGAAGCTAGAGGAGGAAATCATGGCCAACGGCGGTGTCAGCGTGAAGCTGCCTTCAGGACTCGCAGAAGGCGATGACCCTTTGGCTTGGAGAAGAAGCGGTGTTGGAAATTGGCTGATGTCGTTCGACTGTCAGCGCGATGTTGAGCGTCGCTGGCCAACAGGGATGGACACTATCTCTAGCCCAGATGTGCGAGCTCAGTTGTGAACGTGAAAGTCAAGAATAAAATATCATTACCAGAGGTTCGCGTCAAAGAAATGATTGAAGATGACGGTCATGATGGAACATTACTGCATCATCGAACGCGTAACTGTCGCGCTAGGATCTACGACTTTTGGCCACCAAGTCTCGGACTGAACAGCTCCTTCTTTCTTCCCCCCTTGACATTACTGAGCAAGTTTGAAAACATACGAAAGTCTGCGAAGCATCAAATATTCACATTTTATCTTTCCATGTCTGCTGAAGCGCAGCAACTTGACCCGCCTGTTAAGTGCTAGCTCTCTACCATCGACATCAGCTCGACGATGTCCTCAAGTACTCACACCAGGCCGCGAAGTACAAACACGCTGTAGCTGGATACTGTGTACCTAAAGGCATTGTCTAATAGGTTCAATCGGCGAAACGGTCCGCCCATCAAGGACTTGCACATCGTACTAGTTCCATCAGACGCCTATCTACCGAGAGATAGGGCTTGGGGCTCAGCGCGGGGGAAACGATCCGAATCTCGGAGGAGCTCCTCCCATATGAAAGGCAACACTCCCTCCCGACCTGGTCAGCATCTGGCAACATCTTCATTTCGACATTGGACCGTGCTGCCCCATACCCCAGTCTCTCACGCCATTCGGACGCAATTACAAATTAGTCAATGGAGGAACGCGTCTTGCAGCCATTTCAATGCGTGACATGCAAGTCCAGATTTACACGCCATGTCCGTGATACACCGGTCTGATTTCTTGAACCCTTGCTCACAGATACAAGGAAAACCTGAAGCGACACCTGCTATTGCATCGTGCCTCAAACGGTAGTACTAAGCATCCGTGCTTCTACTGCGACAGACTATTCTCCCGAAGAGATCTGAGGAAGCGTCACATCAAGAAGCAACATCCACAATGTGACACTGATCCCGACCGAGGCCATGACGAGAATGTCAACGCAGTGTCAACGAGTACCTCGGCGGAGCCTATAGATCTCCTCAGTCACATCGAGACACATCAAAAAGAGACTGAATGTCCTGGACCCAATCATGACCCAGTATATCCTCGAACCCCTTCTTTGTCTGGCGATGATCTCGCACATATAGACATCGCGGAGAGAGATCCTACGATACCGTGGACTAATAATGCCTGTTTGTCGCCGAATAAAAACCCACCATCCTCCTCGATGTCTCAGGCCCCAACGAGGACGATCCTTGCGGAGACTCTGCTTCCTGCAACAATACAGAGAGGCGTAGAGCTCTTCTTCATACACGTGTCACCTTATCTTCCATTCATTCACCAGCACACCTTTGATACTGTCAATGTACCCGAGGCTTTGTTGATGGGTATGCTCAGTGTCAGCCTCCAATTTGAGTCCGAGCAAGAGAAAGATTCCAAGATGTCAGCTCTTGCGTTTTCACGTGGACGAGAGCTCCTCGGTCAGATGAATGACTCTGAGGAGCCACTTTTTGCGATGAATATACACACTGTGCAGGCCTACATTCTGTTAGAGATGCACGCTGCCATGTACTCCGGAGGTCTAAGTACAACTATCGGGTTACAGATGCATCACAAATCGGTCGAGGTGAGTTCAGTTTGAAGTGATTAAATCCTACTAGTGCTAAGTGCTTAGCTTGTGCGACGCTATGGTCTGACCGAGCCTCTCACGGTTCACTCGGGGAGAACAGAAGACTTGGATGCACTCTGGAGACAGTTCATACGCAGCGAGAGTCACAAAAGGTCATTTCGTTCCATGGCATCATCGCTGCTGAATGATAACAAGATCCCGCAGGACACTATATACGGTCAATCAGCTCGATGTCTATTGGTACGACACGCTGTCACAGCCTCGACTGCTATCCCATCTTGAGATCAAGCATGATCTTCCTTGCTCCGAGCAGGTCTGGTCATGCTCATCCTCAACTGCTTGGGCTCATCAAGCGCTCACGCAGAGAACCTCGGCATCGCCCAAATATCTCACAGCCATACAAGAATGTCTTTCGTCCAGCGTCACATTCGACGTCTCTGCCTTGGAGCCCTACAGCGCTTTGATCGTCCTCTTGTTCTTGTTGAGCAGTGCGCGCGAACTTTCCGGATGGACGACTATGACGGGCCGGCTTTGCTTTGAGAGATTTGATGCTCTTAATGCAAGTCTTCTGGCGTTTGAGCCTTTGGTCGACAAATTCGCAGATGATGATCCGATGGCGGTTCTGATGAAGTCAACATGGCATATGGTGATGATTGAACTGTTACACTGGTCACATACCCATACGAATGGAGTCGTTGAAGGCAGTCTTGACGCCGCGTTTGCAGCAGCGTAAGTATCTCGGAAATCTGATCTGATCACGGCTCACACTTCACAGTACCCATCTCAGCATGACTCAGGAGATTTCGCCATCTCTTGAAGCCATAGCTTCACTAGAGCCGCATATCAATTACTTCCTCTCACTTCTTAGCTGTGAGCACGAGGTTTATAACGAGGCGCCTTGGGTGACAATTTTTGCTTTCAAAGCTGCTTTGATCGGTTGGCAGCTCTTCTCCGCAGATTGCTGGAAACCTGCAGATTTCATTGGAGCTGGTGACAAGTGGGACATGTACCAATGGATGGACACTGTATTTGATCGAAGGAAGAATTGGTGCGTTGGTAGACTTGTGACGAACAGTTTGAAAGAGCTAGAGGCTGTATCATGAGTAATTCACCTTCTACGCCAACCAATTGGGGAAGTAAATTATGTCGTTGTTTCCTATCATCCAATTTCAATTCCATTGCGCTATATAACCCTCCTATAACCCTCCTATACCCGAGTGGACTCAATCCATATCTTTCGAAGCCATTCAATCTCAAGGCCTAGAGACCTTCATAACGCCAGCCCATCTGCAGTTGCTGCTGCGTGATACCATGCCTCATAGCCTTCTGTGCAACCTCACCGCCTTGCTCCAACTTCCTGTTCTCTTTGAGAACATAAAATCTATACGCCGTAATGGTGACCAAGAAGATGCTAGCAGCAGCAAACAAGGCACCAAAGGCAGGATAGTAATGCGGAGCACCGATGTACAGGTACGACATCCAGATGTTGGAGATGCCGCCAATGGCGTTTGTCATGGCTACAGCTCCTGCTCTTTTGGCGATTGGACGGGGGAGATGTTGATTAATGATCTTGTAGAGCATCAACTGCGGACCGACAGACGAGAATGGCATCAACATCATTGCAGTGTAACGTGCGCCTGTGTTGAGGGTAGAGAGTGCGATAATGTAGGTTGCGCAGGCTATGCAGATGCAAATTACGATGACGCGGTACATGTTGTTCGTTCGATCCGAGTACCAGGTGATTCCGAAATAGACGACACCAGCGAGCACTGTTCATGTTAGATATGGTTAGGGATCATCTCGAGAATAACTTACCATAGGGTGGAGCGGTGAGGAGGAGCGTCTCATAATGTCCGTAGCCAAGTGTGTTGACGATACTCGGGAAGAAGTTGGCTATGGATCCTTGGACCTGACTCATCATGTTCATGAAGATGATCACGTAGAGCTTTGGGTCTTGAAGGCCTAGAAGGAAGCCCTTTAGAGTGCTGATCTCTTCGTTGGCTTCGCTTGCTCCAGCCTCTTTTTCGAGTCTCCACACTGCCAGATCTCTTTCGACAGGCTTGAGCATACGTGCATTGTAAGGGTACTCGGGCAAGAAGAAGACGCAGAAGAGGCCTACCCCAACGGTTGCAGAGCCCTCACTGATTCCGTTAGGAGCTGAAGAACATACATATTTCAGACACTTACATGATGAAGAGCCATCGCCATCCGCGGATACCATGAACGCCGTCAAGTTTGAGGATACCAGCAGCGATGAGGCCACCGAAAGCATTACTGTTCAATGTCAGAGCTGTACACCAAGCGCGGCAAGAATGGTTTTTACCCAACTTGCTGAGCAATGTAAAGTCCGGCGAATCGCTTTCCAAGTTCGCGCTTCGTATACCAAGCTGAGAGGAGGTAGATAACACCAGGGAAGAATACAGCTTCGACTGCTCCAAGAATGACGCGGACGGCAAGCAGAGAGTTGTAGCTGTTGACCGCGGCTGTAGCCGCAGAGATGGCTCCCCAGATGACCGTAGCAGTACAGATGTATGCGCCGGGACGAGTGATAGAAGACAATATCAGGTTCGATGGGATCTGGAAGGGCAGGTATCCTACGAAGAGAATGGAGACCGCCGTAGCAAATTGTGTGGTGCTCATGTTGAGATCTTCCATGATACCCTGTAGCTTGGCGGCGGCTAGGTTTTGACGGTCGATATCTTTGAACGGTCAGCATCTATCTGCTCTATTTGAATCACTCTTCTTGAAATACTAACAGTTGAGGATGTAAAGGATGCCAATGATCGGCATGATGGTGAAGTCTGCCTTCCGCTTCAGGCTTCTCTCAATCTCTCTGACCTCGTCTTCGGTATAGTGCTGTAGGCTTTCCGGCATAGGCACTGGCGGGAAGTCCTCAACAATACCAATGGCCTCGTCCGGTATCACATTTTTGCTCATAGTCGAGTCAAGCTTGGTGTCTTCAAAGGATGTTGACATGTTGTGCTTTTCTTGATTCAAGAATAGATGACAACAAGAAAGAGATTGATCGAATACTTATATAAATATAAAATAGGTTGCGGCAATGGAACAACGATAAGGGTATGTTTGTCAGTCGCCGTGGATAAAGAGGTCTTGAGGTGTAGCAAGTCATGACCTCTGTTCCAGCTGGTAGAAATCAGCTCCTCCCCACAGGTCTTCCAGATTCCATCATCAACATCTGAGGCGCCAATGCAACAACGCGTATAGCTGGAGACATATTCGGCGATAAGCTGCGGGCTCTGACGGATGTTGAGTGGAAGGTTGAGGAGCATGTCAAATGCGGCCAGGAGATGCGACGCCGGCGAAGCCACGTTGCGGGGCCGGAGGAGGGAGGAGCTCCTCCTTGCCCTCGCTCCTCCTCTTCCCACTCCTCCAACCTTCTCCATTCAGCTTCAGCACTATCATCATCCACCGTGGCAGGCACACCGGATTCGATTTCCAGCGAGTATAGAATGCAGATAGATCCTGTAATGACCAAGTTGTCCATTCATCATCCTTCACACAATTTAGTCTTCACCCCATAACCTGCGGCGCTCCCAACCAAACACACAGCAAACAAAATGGCCATCCAAACACAAAACTATACCGCACACACCACTCCCGTGCAAAACGCTCGTCTTCGACTCCTCAATACCCTCCGCAAACATGAATTGGCCTTGATGACCTTCATTGCAATTCCTTCTGTGCGACATGCTCAAATTGTGGCTATGACCGGCCTAGATGTACGCGACAGGAGCCTTGTTACTTTATTGGTTCCAGCTGACCTTTGCAGGCTGTCATTGTTGACTGCGAGCATGGACACATTGGTGACGATTCAATGCACAACTCTGTTGCAGCAATTTCATCCATGGGAGTATCTCCCATTATCCGTGTCCGTGGCTTCTCGCCTGACATTTTGAAGCGTGCATTGGACACTGGTGCGCAGTAGGTGTAATTCACTTTTGCGAGTGATTCAATTTTGCTAAGGTCTTGCAGCGGTCTCATGGTACCTATGGTCAACACAGCTGCAGACGCAGAGAGTGTTGTTCGCTACTCAAAATTCCCTCCTCTCGGCCTCCGTGGCCAAGGTTCGGCATTCCCAGCGATTGGTCATGGCCTGACGACCCCCGAGTACATGAAGAGTGCCAATGAGACACTTTTGACTATCGTACAAATTGAGACAAAGGAGGGCGTGGCCAATGTTGAAGAAATTGCTGCTGTACCTGGTGTTGGTAAGTAACAGCTTATTGGCGAAACATATTTGCAAGCTAACGGTATCTAGACTATCTTTTCATCGGTCCCAATGATCTTGCACAGTCTGTACTCGGTTATGTACCTGCTAGAGGCGATGAGCCAGAATATGTGGATGCCATTCAGAGAATTGTCGCAGCTGCCAGGAAACACGGCAAGTGGGTGGGAAGATTGGTCAACGATGGCCCCTTGGCTGTTGAAGCCGCAAAGCAATTCGACTCTGTTGCTATCACCGGTGATACTAAGGCTATCAGCAACTGGTACACAGCGCAGATTGCCTGTGTCAGAGAAAACTAGACAGATCACATCTATGAAATCCTTTTACACGCACAAATCGTCTCCAACATTTACTTCCGCCTGAATTGGTCTTGTCACTTGTTAACAATTCTGGAACTGTACATGACCCGTGAGAAGGATTGTAAGTAAGATGGGAATTTTGGAGCAAAACCATCATGCTGTCTCAGTCCATCTGCACACACGAGGTTCACATGATGACAGCAACTTTCTTTGGTGCTTCTCATCACTCAAGATGACCCATCTCCGCAGCTCGCTACATGTGTTACAGGTTAACAGGTACCAGACTCCTCGTCATGTCTCATGAACTCTGGCGAGATCAAATGCACAGAGGTGAGATGACGACCAGACTCTACATCACAAATATTAAGCGCGATCAAGGTTAAATCATACATGATACGTTGTGTGCAATTCTCATTCATAGACTCTAAGCCTGAGCAATACATTCAATCTCCACGATAGTCCCCGCGCCCGGCAAAGCAGCAGCAGCAATACAGGTCCTCGCCGGAGGGTTCTTTGGCAAGAACTCAATATACACCTCATTCATCGCTGCAAAATCTTTCATATCTGCGAGGTAGACTGTTGTGCCCATTAGTATTCACATACACATCTGCATCAATTGAGTATTGTGGCTTACCATTGTACTTTACAACTTGTTCTAAACTGCTGCCGGCGAGTTCGAGAACTTTCTTTAGATTTTGAAGGACGGTGAGGGTGGCTTTTTTGATGTCGGGGTCGGCGGAGGTTTGGCCGGCTACGAAGACGAGGCCGGGGACCTTGACAGCAGGACCTGGGAGATGTTAGTAGGATGACTATCTTGAGAAGTGGATTTACTGACAGTTGTGAGGTTTGGGTGGGAATTCGGCGGAGGAGATCAATTCGCGAGACATGTTGATTGTTGTGGAGAAGAAGATTGTTGTTGGTTGTAGCAGTGTAAAGTATTGGCGCTTCTTGCAGCGGGGATTTTGATTATGTATGGAGACTTAAGTGACTTCATGTCTATTGGACCTACCAATTACTCACAAAAGAGCATACATCTGGGCTATCTGCTCACGGAGGGTGCTCCTCTAGATGTGGAGCGACTCAAGTCCGCGGTGGAGGAGCTCCTCCCTGCCCTGACTGATAGGCGAGTTCTCCGCAGCCGATCCGCCGGATAACCGTGTGTGGAGCTTGAGAGACACTGGGGCTCCTCTGACACAGCACCTCAGAGTGCAGATAGTTGGAGGAGCACCAGATCAGTAGACAATGTGGTATAGCTGGAGTCAGGATGTCAAAAGGAGTTATAAAGATTGGATTGACATCTCGAATGTGTGTCACGAACAAACAGCAATTGCATGCACATTGATTAATTACCTTCGCCATGCCCACGTCCGCTCCTTTCAATCCCCCATCGCCATCGCTTCGCGACAAGCCATCGGTGCCGCAATGGTTAGCATTTCCCAGCTGTCACACCAAACCAGACTGACCTTGTATCAGGATACCTCCACCGGCCACAAAGGAGAAGCACAACTTCGCCGAGCTTGAGACTATTGATCTCTCCAAACTCGATGGCGACGAGAAAGCCCAGGCCGAACTGGTTGCCGATGTCAAGAGAGCCATCAGAGAAGACGGATTCCTGTTCTTGGAGAATTATGGCATCAGTCTTGAGCAGCTCCATCGCCAATTCTCGATCGCACACTATCTTTTCAACAACATTTCGGAAGAAGATAAGCAACGTCTCTTGTTTCATCCCTCTACTGGCAGATGGGCTGGTTGGAAGCATGAATATGGCTTCAAGAGACACCGTCAACAGAAGGATGGCATCAATCAGTTCAATTGGTACAAGGAGCAATGGGAGAACGAGGAGTTGTTGCCCGCATGCGTTCTACCTTTCATGGACGAGATCAGAGCTTTCTCTGAGGTATGAATCGAATGATCTGTTGCTTGGCTTACTCTGACACATCCGTAGTATCTGACCAACTCTGTCAATCGCCGCTTACTCACACTTTTCTCTCGTGTTCTCGAACTGCCTGACAACTGGCTATGGGACAACGTCCAGTCCCACGGATCGCCCTCGGGAGAAGGCTACTTCCGCCATGCTCTGTTTAGACCAGTCAATGAAGCGACTCTCGAGAAGTCGAAGAACATCAGAATGCATGGTCACACTGACTTCGGCCTGACAACTCTGCTCTTCTCAGTTCCGATCTCGTGTCTCCAGATCTGGGGGAAAGACGAGCAGTGGCATTACGCTCCTTATAGACCAGGCGCTCTCGTCATCAACATCGGAGAGACTCTAGAGATTGTTTCGGGTGGCCATTTCAAAGCCACTAGACACCGTGTGTTCTCTCCTCCGGTCGACCAGCTCCAGGAAGAACGTCTCTCGATTGTCCAGTTCCAGTCAAGTGTTGGTCATTTGAGGATGACTCCTGCTATCGAGTCACCTCTCATCCAGCGTGAGGGCTGTGTCGAAGACCAAGGTGTATACAGAGAGTTCAAGAGAGTCATGGATCTCGGGTTCCCAGTGAGTGCCGATGCAAGGTGGGACAAGCAAGAAGACTAACATCGTCCAGATCCCGACCAATCAGCAGTGGCGCGAGATCCAGATTGCCGAAGCGACTGATCCTACTGACGACCAACGCAACAGGATTGGTGCCGACCAGGTGTTGATGGAAGGAAGGTTGATGCAACAGCGAGAGTACATGGGTGTTAAAGTGCTGCTGCCAGTCTAGTGGAGTGACGACGTCAAGACCTGAGAGTGTCAACTAATACATATACATCGCGTTCAGTATTCCCTCATGCGGCGTGTCGTCATTTAGACCTCGACGTGTGTTGCTGGTGAAGTATAATTCTCTGCTGGACCTCATCACAGTCTGTAGCTCTGACTGCTGCAAGAAGGCGAAGTCCTACGATATTTTGTATGCTTGTGAAACAAGAAGGTGAGTTTGCAAGAAAGAGTCGTGTTTAGGCCCTAAAAAACTAGGAAGTGTGAACGATTACATCACCAAACGCGCCAAGACGCGTCGACGTCAAGACTTTTGGCCGAGCTCCTTATGACAGGGTGCTCCCATTCACAGGTATCTGACTTGCCAGCAACGACATTGTGCCCGCTACATTACATATATTCACTACAGATAGGTATATGTATCACCAACCATTAGATCTGTGTGATCTTCAGATATCTGAAGTGATCTGAATAATGTTTGGAAGAGTTATTCCGAAAACAAGTTTCTTCCATGAGCTTCATCTCGAATTGGCATGAAAAGAGTGTGAACTGGACTGGCAACACATGAGAATATCATGAAAGACACAACTTGGCCAAGCGAGCCCGGCGTCAAGCTTTAGAAGCTCACCATGCATACCGGCATTCTCATTGGGTAGACCCCGTCTGGTATGTATTATTTTCAACGTCGTTGATGCCTGTGATGCTCTGCAATATCCATCTCACCGGAGCCACACTCCGGCAGACCAAAACGACGTCATCAGAACGCGCGCTTCGCGCGTTTCTCAAAGACAGGGGGACTTCCTCTTTCTTCCTGAATCGTTGAACAGGCAGTAGGCTGTTTCGTCGATACTGCCTCTATTAGATGCTAACATATGTATAGTGTACGATCATGCCCGCACTGTCTCGTCAGGCCCTCGGCGAACATTACACTACAACCGACGCGCTCAACTCCCCACATCACGCGCGGCCTGCCACAGACTCAAGGCCCAACGGGTACACGCTTCACCGCGTCTATATAGCAGCACTCCCCTCGATCGTCCACTGAGAGAGACACTTAGGCCTGGGCTTTGAGTTGAAAGGAGTCAGGCACCGCATCACCAGCCACAGCTGTCTCGACCTAGTCCAGAAAGCCAGGGCCGCTCAATTGGATCTTCTCCTGCACGCCGCACCAGAGCTTGCCTTAGCTCCAACACCGTCCCGAACCCCTTATCGACTCAGTTGGCAGAATCAACGACTCGTGGAAGCTTCTTCCTGCTATCGCAACCAAGCCAGAGCAGATCCGGACGACTGTAATGGCCGCAGATATCCAAGAAGGTCTTCGCGAAGATGGCTGCAGTGAAATCAAGATCAGCATATATCAGGCCCTCTGCCGCAGAGTCTAAGGGTGCAGACAGCAGTCTGCCGTCCGGACCAAAGATGGCGGAAGCTCCTCCTCCAGGGCTGTTCATCAAGAGGCCGGCTTCGGTCGACATGGCCTTGATACCCTTCTCTGTGATCACCGTCGTGGCGTGGAGAACAAAAGTTTGAGACTCAATGGCATAGACCTGCGATAGACTCTGGCAACCTGTTCTTGATATCAGCAGATTGAAGCGATGCGCGGTCGTGTAGACCTTACCTTCTTTGGACAGTGACCAAAGATCTGGACCTCCTTGGTGAGGCACAATTGGCGGCCAAGCAGCACAATGAATCTCCTCCTTCAGGGAAATTGTGTTGTACTTCAACAGCGGCTGTGCATGCTCCCAGCAAGCCAGGGTGCCCACTCGCCTGCCTGTACTCGTCATTGCGACGTTCAGCAGACTGTCTCCTGACGCGTCGCCAAAGATTGTTCGCTCCATGTGAGTGGCCTTGAGCTTACGACGATGCATCAGCATCTTGCCATCAGAGTCGATCAGTGCTTGAGCGATGTAACAAGAGTTATTGTCGTTCTCGGAGAAGCCCAAAGACACGGTGATCTTGTTACGAGCTGCACAGTCTTGGATTTCTCTCATCTCATTCGAGTCAATCGCTAGAGAATTCTGGATGTACTGAGTAGAAAGCATAGGGTCTAACGGACGCGACCTGCTCAGGAAAACGTAAGTTTAAAGTTGTGTAGAGGACGCGAGATGATTACCAGATCCAGGCTGGGTAGCCAGGGATAAAGGCTTCGGCAAAAGTGACGAGCTCTGCTCCTCCAGTCGCCGCCTCCTCTATAATCTTGCAAGTCTTGTCGACTGACTTGCGAAGATCGAGCCATTCAGGCTCATGTTGTGTAACAGCGACACGGACAGTTTTGGTGGCCATGATTAACAAAGATGATATGTTTGGAGATTCAGTATTGTCAAGAAATGTAGAGGAGTTAAGACGATAGCTCAAATGGAGGTTACGAGCTACCTTATAGTCAGCGAGAGAGTTTGTTGGCAATAGGTATGAATCAGGTGTATCAACTGTTGCCAACATACCCCGCGTATCTGGGATGCGGATGTGGCATCCGCATGCAGACGAACAACAGATCAGCTGGACACAAGCATATCGTTGAACTTCCTTGTCTGCCTCGGCACATGTTTCACCTGTTTACCCCACTAGTTTGATAGAGGAATTGAATGTGAAAGTTTTTTGATTGCTAACAGATTCATAGATGATGTACTGGTTCGCCGCGCTGAGCGTATTGATCAGATTGGATCAAATTTGATTATTCTCCGAGAAGCTGCCAGTCGAGATCCCAGATATTAGCTTGGCCATCTAAATTTGATGCGCTATGCAATATCCAGTCCTGATCCTCGATGCCTTCCGAGCCCCATAGCGTTTCTGCTGCTACATCTAACGCCGCATCGTTGAAGACATTGTAAGAGTTTAGAGCTCCATAACCTTGCATATCTTGCAGGCCATTACTGTCTTCCTGGACTCGAGATTGAGGAGGCATGGCTCGGCTATATTGCAACGGCAACGCCCAAACGACCTCCCATCGCCGAGCCAGGTTTTGTATGTGTCGTAATGAACTCGATGCCCGCTTCTCCCATCTGGGAACCATTGCCGACAATGCCTGAACACAAATGCGGAGGCCATTCGCGGACTGTCGACCTAGCCTGTTCCTCCCAGAAGTAGCATTGAGTAGATGCATGATAGCAGCAATTGAGACGTAGTCAATGATCTGAGGAGCAATCCTCGAGACGTCATGAGTCGCGCCGAAGTCTCGCACAATGCGAGAGATAGCTGACGCTGCTGTTGTAGCTACTGTCAAGGAAAATCTACCTGCCTTGCTACTGCTTGCTTCGCTGAGAAGCGGTCGATGAATCAGAATAAGCGCAGCGTTGTAAGCAACCTCGAGCCACACCGCCGTCTCGGTCATGTTGTCCTTGAAGATCTGCAATGATACGTTGTTACCGGCATGAAATCTAGTCATAGTCTGGTGTGAGTGCGAGACCAGCTTTTCTTTCTCGGGTCGGCTCAAGTTATACCAGCCGAAAGCGTATCTGGCACCGTGTTAACAAGCTGTATCTTGTGCAGCAGCGAACCACTTGCCCTTGGTCCATACAGGAGTCCCAGAGATGCCACATTTCGCAGAAGCGCTCATGAGCTTGTTCATCCACGAAAGGGGTGGCCGGAAGGATAGACGTGAATGACGGACATTTGACCCGCTGCCAGTGCATGGTGCAATTCATACCGAGACTTGATGTGACGAGCCGGTCGACAGAGAAATACGCCCAGAAGGAACGTATGCGACGTTGTTGGATGATCTGATCTTGACCATCGTTCACCTTTGTCGACTTGAGCGCACTTGCATGCAGTCCCAGATGAAGTACCTGTCCCGTGGCCATGGCAATCCAGTTGTAAGCCATACTGTCGGACCCAACCTTAAGCTCGATCCAAGCTAACAGGGCAAGACCTTGAACGACAAGATCACTAGCTCGTTCCTTGATACAACGAAGGACAAGGCTTTCGGCATGCGTTGAGAAGTGCGCCTGCATATCTCTCAATCGTTGCAGATCAGAACAAGAAGCAGCAACAGCTAACAGGGCATAATTTCGAAATTCGAGGTCGACCTCTTGTGAGCCTAGATCTAGTTTAGACCAGCTCAGCGCTTCCTTCAGGTCGAGAAATTGGTGGAAACGATTGAAGGTTTCCGAGAAGCATTTCAGCAGTTGCCTGCGGTCATCTTGGGAAACTGTAGTCTCACCGTCAAGGCGGGCCTCACGCGACAATCCGGATGTGTCAGGCACAAGTTCCTGTGGTGTTCTGTGAGACGAGAGGGTAAATGACGGCTCTCCTATATCAGCGACATCGAGTTGCAGCATCAAGGAGGAGAGCTCATTCATGGCCTGGGACGACCTGCTCTCGAAAGCATGTTCACCTCCTAGAGGCTCATTTTGATTTTCCGAGTCCAGGACGAGCTGGCTAGTGTGGGTCAAAGTTGCAGCTTCCGACGAATGATCTAACGCAAAATCATGTGCAGCATATCCAATGTTGGAAGCATTGGCTTTGCTTAGAGCAATCCGCAAAGCTACTATTTCTTCTCGTAGAGAAGACACGAGATCATCGTCTTGAAAGACGCGCCTGAGGATGCATCAGCCACGGGTGTCTTCAATGATAGCTGTTCTCTCACTTTCTGGATTCTTCAGATGCATATTGACATATACGGTCGGATTTGGCGCATAGTGTACATCGTGGTTTTAGTCCGTCACACTGTATCGAACCATTAGTCCTGCACAAAGGCTGTACCACGCATCATACTGCTGACAGATTTGTACACTCCAATCAAGAGCCACATACCTTTCGCTTCCCCCTCCGGCATTCACTACAGGCAATCCTGATACGAAGTCGCGCCCCCGTTTCGTCACGGTCCATCATGCGATGGTCTGGGCAGTAACCATGCGGATAGCGTCTCCGCAGCTTAGATTGTAACTGCAAAATCCAATGTGTCGGTTACGGCACAGATTGTTGTATTGGACCATGGTTGTCGTAACGAAGTTGGCAGTGGTCATCCAGATTGCGCTGATTATCGTACCCCGCCTGGACCCTGATTTCTGTCAACTGCCAAACTCTATCCGACGTGCGGATGCGGTATCCGCATACTCCCTCAACGCCGGGCCTTTATTACTTCTCTAAAGCATCATGCGGATAACCCATCCGCACTGCGGATTGCGTTTGAAGCTCTGGCGATGCTGAGCGGGGATGGTCAGGAGGTCCGTAATTTGATGTGTGCATGTCCAAGTGATAAATGTCTTTGTAGGCCTAATCAGTTCCGCAGTATCATTCATCTCTTTCTTCATATTCGTACAATCTAAACCATGGTTTTCCTTGCTGATTGGGAGGATAAAAAGCATCTGTTCGTCTACGGAATCTTTGCTGTACAGCATGGAGATCATCTGACGGAAGACAAGAAGTCCACCATTGATCGTCTACACAATCTCCTGACTGCATCCGCGGGCCAGGTTGATCTTCTTGTGGATGAGAGCCACGGTCTTGAGACAGAGGACAAGCCTCACGCCACGACTTTCGTCGCCTATTGGCTAGATGCCACGACATACCAATCGTGGGCTGCTTCGGAGGCCGTTCAGCATTTCTGGACAGCACTGCCCGAGGATGCTGGAGTGTGGCGTGAAGTCATGACGATACCTACCTCACGATATATGTTTGCAGCCAACCAGAATGCTAGATGGGGTCTTACCACTCTGACCGAGAAGCTGCGAGCGAGTAACGACGAAGGTTATTGGGGTGTGTACAGACATAGAATCGGTTCAGTCGATGACACCTTCACCTCGCCGTATGTGACTGCTGCAAAGGCAAAGAAGGCAACCAGCAAACCTAACCAACTCGACGCTTGTCGCGTACTCGATGTTCCGGCAAATGGTCCGCGGTCGTCGAACGAAATCAGGCGAGGCCGAGTGCAATTGCAAAACATCCCAAACAACATTTGCTTCGTACGCGAAGGACAACGGCAGCCAAATGTTGCACAGGAAGAGTTAGGCATGTGGCTCGAGAAGGTCGCACCTCACGCAAAATCCTGGATTGAGCATCTGGATTCGCACCGTGAGAAGAACGGTGTGCTATCTTTCTCAACCCATGTCAGCAAACAGTCAAAGCTGAATAATTCTGACGCCGCCGAGACCGATCAGCTGGCCTATTTCCTTGATCTAGCTCATTTCGAAGCGTCTGGCCGTGCGTTCAAGGGACACGTACATCTGAGGAAGACAGTGATGGAGATGTATGGTCCAGGTGGTCCTATGGATGGAATTGGCAAAGCGGAGCTGTATGTTGAATTGCTTATCGTGAAGTCTGATGAGTTCGAAGCAGAATATGTCGGATGTCTTGAGGGAACTGGGCTCATGTATCTACGAGACGTCCAGTGATCAAAGAGCTTTGAGGACTTAAAGTTGTCTCATAGTATACCCTGTAGTCAAGCCGCGTTGTATAAGATGCTATGTTGAAAGGAAGCGAAGAATTGAAGAGCGACAACCATTCAAGAGTAATTTGTGGGCGATTGTTGGCAACCGGCGTGATGATGTGACGTTCTCAACATGTCAGCTGTTTCGTGTAAACGCGCGCCGCGCATCCCGCATCGTCCTTCGCGCCATTCGCCCTCTCCTTCTGTTTTCATTCTTTCCTACTCCATTAACACCTGTTTTCAAAAAGAGTCACGTCCATTTTGATACACGGCGATATGACATCAGATACCGATCACAATTTGACGTCTAGTGGCCAGATCGGCCGTGCTGTAAGTCCTGGTACTGTCGTACACTGCGTTCGGTCGCGATCTCGGCACTGTCTAATAGTTTAGTGTGATCACTGTCGAGCACGTAAGGTAAGTGGCATGTACAACCAGTCTCGCTTCAGTTTTCATAGCTCTAGACTCATCTGGTCATGATCAGATTCGCTGCGACAGATCTACGCCTTGTGCAAATTGTTTATCTGCCAGGACATCGTGTAAAATCACGAAGGACAGACCGCAGGTGAAACGTCAGAGAGTGCTCATCTCGAATGAATAGTAAGAAGAAGAGAGGATCGTTTTGGTTTGATACAGCTGACAAGCGAGCAAAAGATTGATTCGATGGAAGAGCGCCTGAGCGGGATTGAATCACAACTCACGGAAACTAACAATATGCTTCGGGCTCTTCTTAGCAGAGGAGAATTGGCAAGCACAGTAGAGCTGGCTACACCAACGCTTGAAGACTCGCGAGTACACTCGGAAGACAATGATATCAGCCAGACTACGTCTTTTGGCGGCGAAACGTCCATGATCGCTCATTCGCGAAGAGCTCGAGGTGACGTGGAGCGCTTGTTGCAGTCGATACCGTCAACACGAGATAGACCGGAAATTTCTCTCGCTCTTGATGCTCTGCGAAAAGCCACGCAAAATCGTAGTGGAGACAGTTCCAGTCTTCTGCACGATGTATGCAGTATTGATTACCAAAAGATCGCCCTAGACTCATTTCCTCCCTATGAGATTGTTTTGGACATGGTCAGGGACGCTCAAGCTAGCGACAGTCTTTTTTTCTTCATCTGGTCGCCATTCTTTACACCACCTGAATTCCTGCATCTTTGCAATCAACTTTATCATAGTGAACACCTGCTCGCTGGCCATCCGAACGATAGTGTGTGGCGCGATGCACTACATGCTCATCGAGGAATTGTCTGCCAAGAAGACAAGACATGATCCCGCCTACTGGTCCTTCGCAAGCGCATTCCTTGCCCATTTCGAAGCTTATCTGCGCAGCTACAGCGTCTTGACTTCGCCATCTACCGAGAACGTAATGGCGATAGTTTTCGGTGCTGCCCACGCAATTCAGAAGGCCGACTTTGCATCAGCTTGGCCACTAGTGTCTATGGCTTGCAGTATGTGTCAAGCTCTTGGCTGGCACAAAATCTCGGAACAGAATTTGCAACAAACGCAAGCTCAAAGGATTCTGTTCTGGGTAGTATACTATTTTGACAGATGCCTTTCGCTACGACTCAGTCGGTCTGCCGTTCTCCAAGATAATGACATCACCGTCGGCTATCCGAGCGAGCCCTCACGACCCGAATACAGATCTTGGTATATGTGGTTTCGAATATTGGTTGATGTCGCCACTATGCACGGTCATGTTTACGAGAGACTTTACAGCCCAGGATCAATGAAGCACTCCTCTCGGCAAAGATCGGATTCCATCCAGGAGCTGGTCACCGGCCTGGACGCAATATCGAAGACAAACTCCGAGATAATTAAGACGACCATGTACCGGAAGCAGTATATGGTATTCCTGGTCAAGTCCAATTTAGTAGTGATCGGCTGTCTGCGAACTCTGATATACCGATCCGTGGTCCCAGCAGCAAGCGAAACACATATCAGTCTGGATCCGCGATGTGTTCTGGCCGCACGAGATACTATACGTTATCATTTGGATGTGACCGAGATGTTACAAGGGAAGCAAGACGGCAGTGCAACTGATTACGCCAGTTGGACCATCTTGAATTGCCCCTTTACACCCTTTGTAGTTCTGTTCTGTCATATCATATCGACTTTTGACGAAGATGATCTCATCCTACTCCAGAGCTTTACAAAATCTCTCGAAGACACGGACACCAGATCCCCGAACTCGATGAAAGACTTCCACAACTTGTGTGAGGCGTTCTCATCACTTGCGAGACAGTACGTGGCAGCTTGTAAGAATGCTTCAAGCGGGTCAGCGTTATTTGCGCAGACCACGGATTCCGCAGGCGATCTCAATTTCCTGCTGCCGGATGGATTTGAGGAATGGCTCTCAGGTAGTCAAAACCTTGATCAAATCGATTGGACGAGCTGGGCCGCGGAAATGACGTGAGTTGTCGACAGTACAATGAGAGCGGAAACCTAGATTCATGCGATGTTCTTCAGAGAAACAATATATCCTGTCAGTGTACGGTGTCGAGAACTGCTTGGAAACCGATCCTGAAGGATTCAAAACGGGATGCGCGGCGCGCGTCAATGCCTGGGCCGACAAGCACAACGGCATATTAATACGACATATAAGACCGTCTGTTTCCCAGACCACAATGCCCAATCACATCACTAACGAGATACGGCATCGCAATGACTAAGCTTCAATCTGTTCTTGTGGTTGGGGGTTGTGGATTTTTAGGGCACCACATTGTTGACCATCTCTTGGCACGAAATGACGGTACAAAAGTATCTGTCATGAGTCGGTCCAACAAACAGCACCGTCGCTCAGGAGTACAGTACCTAGAAGGAAGCCTACTGGATGAGAAGTCAATCCAATCAGTCTTTGATGCCGCCATGCCCCATGTTGTCATCAATACGGTTGCTCCCATCACCTTTCCTCTCAAAGGGTCGCCGGAGTCGCACTACAAGATCAATGTGGAAGGGACAAGCAACCTGCTCCGCGCGGCAACTGCTTGTGAGAGCACCGCGGCCTTTGTCTACACTTCTTCGGCACACATCCTTATCGCAACCGACTACATCATTGCCAAGGAATCTGATCCTGTGGACGAAAGCCCAGATGGCCGCCGCTATCCTACTTCCACAAAGGCAGTTGCAGACAAAATCACTAGAGACTCGAGTAATGATCTGCCAATAGATGCAGGCGGTCTGCGTACTGCGACTATCAGACCATGTGCTACCTTTGGAGAGGACGACTCACAGCTTCTTCCTACTATGCTCTCACAGCTGGAACAGAACCGCCAGAACTATCAGATTGGCCCCAACACTGCATTCTACGACTTCGTCTATGTCGGAAACGTCGCAGAAGCGCACATCAAAGCAGCGGAAGCACTAGTACGAGAGGCATCAATTGAGGCAGAGAAGGGAAAGCAAGTCAGTGGAGAATCATTCTTCATCACGAACGACGATCCACGCCACTTTTACGACTTTATGAAAGCAGTCTGGCAGGCTAATGGATACGATATTTCGAAAATGAACCCAACAATCGTACCGACTTCAATCGCTCTCACATTGGGCAGCGCGAGCGATTTTGCAGCATGGGCGTTCACCTTGGGCAACAAGTCATCAGCATACCTCTCGAAGGAAGACGTTGAGCACTTGTGTCTGAATCGCACGCACGATGTTTCCAAAGCCAGAGGGCTCTTGGGGTATGTCCCGATTGTCACGGTTGACGAAGGTATCAGAAGGGCAGTCAAGAGTTTGTGTTAAAATTCATGTCTGTTGTTTCTTGTGTAGCTGCCTGATCATACCTCTTGAAACAGCTTTCCCCAACCAACTATCCGACCTGTGTCTACACCACTGATTCTAAGTGCATCCCACATGACTGTGGCTACCGTATCAAGTACGCAAATGTTATATTTCTCCTCCCAAAAGTCGACACGTTGGGCCGCTTTAAGACCAGTACAGAAGACTGAAACGTGCTTAGCACCTCCTTTGACCACTTCTCTGACCATGTCATCAAGCGTCGCGACAGAAATATCCGCAAATCCGGCGTTGTGCGACTGTCGCAGATGCCGCTCCAAATCGCAATCCACACCAATAGTCGCATAATTTCTGATTATAGCTTCTTGCACATCATCTGTGTACGGTGTGACGAGCGACATTTTCTCCACTCCCAATTTCTTTACAAGCTTATTCAGTGCCAGCACAGAGGTCGTTGCAGGTACACCGGTAGCAGCAGTGATTTCTTCGCATAGCTTCTCGTCTTGTTCAAAGCCAAGCCAGCCTGAAGAGGTTCCACTCCAGCCGATCACGTCGACATAAGCGTCAGCAAGAAGTTTCGCTGCTTCGATGATCTTGGTGTTGTCGAATTGTGCCAAAGCATCACTTGATAGGGCGATTCTATGAACGGTGAAGCGGGAGAAGTGGACGCTGACTTCTGGTAGTTGATCGATGATTTTTTGACTGAGAGGCTCCAGGACTGTGTTTGAAGATGGCGTGAGGATGCCGATGCGAATTCGTTTTGACATGGTTATTTTTGGGCTTCCACAAGAGGTGTCTTTTCGCGATGATTATGAGCAGCTTTGGGGAACCACCGATTAATGTTGATTCTAGTAGAATGCTCTTACGAAGGCAATCATTGATGTTGAGATGAGGGGTGATGCCGTCGCTCCTTCCCGATCAAATTGCCCGCGTCGGAACATCCGATGCCATGGAGACGCTGACCGGCTGCAAGCGAGGACTGCCAAGAGCAATATAACGACTCAACTCGTTCTTCCCGATCGGACAAGTACCGCTTTGCCTATCTTATGCACGAAGATGATCATGCTTCTGTCTCGTCAACTGTACTCAGCCGCTTATCATTGATCAAATAGATAGCACATAGACATAGTATGTAGTAAGTGGGCACCAGGAATATATACCTGCAGATATTCCAGGATTCTGCACATCATACAAAACATTCACGACAATAACAAACATGAGCAAGCTCAAGTCTCTCTGGAATGACCATGTTGTGCTCAAACCACAACCCGGTGCCTTTGGGGCCGAAGACCCAAAGTCTATCAGCTACAGCAACGAGGATATGGACCCCATCAGAAGACAAGATCGCACATACGAGTGGTACCAGATGGGCCTTTTCTGGATCGCTGAAGGCTTCAATGCCGCTCAGCTTCAAGTGTCGAGTTCGGCTTTTTCCCTAGGTCTGAACCCAGGTCTCTGCGTAGTCGCATGCCTCGTCGGAAACATTATTGTCTCAGTACCCTGCGCCGCTTCTGGATATCTGGGAAGTAAAATTGGCACCAACTTCCCTGCTACCATTCGAGCATCTTTTGGTATGCAGGGAGCCAAGTGGGCGATGATCGTGCGAGCTGTACCGTGTATCATCTACTACGGCATACAGGTCAGCTTGGCTGGAAAAGCAGTGCAAGCGTGCACTACTGCGATTTGGCCTTCCTTCGCAAACTGGAAAGTCAACTCCATCCCTACATCAGCCAATATCACCGCCCAGGAGATTCTATGCTTTGTCATTTTCTGGCTACTATCCCTACCTTTCTTGTATCTGCCTATCAGGACATTGCGATACCTTTTCGTGCTCAAGAGTGTCTTGGTACCTCTGTATTGGACAGCTTTGTTCACTTGGTCCATTACAGTGGCGGGTGGTTTCCCTGATATCTGGAAAGCGAAGAGCGTTCCACTCGACGGAATGTCTGTCGGATATTTGTTTGGCATTTGCGTCAATGCCGCGATCTCTGGCAATGCCACTTTCGCTGTCAACATCATGGACATCTCGAGACACTCAAAGAGCGACAAGGCTGCGTGGGTTACCCAATTGTTCGCGCTTCCGATATTTGTCACATTGACGGAGCTTCTTGGTTGCACTATGGCAGTCGCTTCGTCTGTGTTGTATGGCCAGGTGGAGTGGAATCCTCTTGTAGTGATCAACCACTTCGAGAATCGACCTGCCAAGTTCTTCGCAGGTGCATTGTTTGTGTTCTTCAACATCATGACCAATGTTACTGGCAATTCGATTCCTTTGGCAAATGATCTCACTGGCTTGTTTCCGAAGTATATCAATATTCGTCGTGGACAGTTCATCTGTGCTGTCGTGTCATTCGCGATCTGTCCGTGGGAGATTCAAGCCAAGGCGACGACCTTCCTCGCCTTTATGGGTGCTTATACTCTCTTCCTGGGAGCGACGACTGGTGTGATGATGGTCGATTACTTCTGGGTGCGTCGCAGCTACGGCATCAACATTTCTCATCTCTTCAAGCCTCGCGGTATCTACTGGTACACGCAAGGCTTCAACTGGCGTGCCTTTGTAGCATGGTTTGTTGCTTTGGCTCCGCTCTTCCCAGGTATGCTGTACTCAATGGGCGTCAAAATTACGAACAAGCCGATCCTGAATATGTATTCATGGAACTATGTTCTCGTTGTCACGTTTTCTGGCTCGATATATTGGGCGTTGACCACGATTTTTCCAGTCCCAATTGAGACTGAGGATCAGGACTTGGGTAAGCTGTACCTGATCGAGGGAAGAGATCCATTTGACACTGCTACTCCAGAAGAGAAGGAACAGCCACTGGCGAAAGACGAGAAGAGTGTGGGCGCTGTAACAGAATTTGGGTCAGCTTGACAATTCGGAGAAAGATTGCTGTGGGTGGTCGGTGCAGAAGACCGTGATAAGCGGCACAAGCGGTGAATAACGAGTTACCCATGAACATTATGATTCCAGCCTGCATTTGTCTGTCTCGTAGATCGAAGTCGATGTGAACAATAAATTGTCAGTCTCTTTTGAGCACAAGCCTGTCAAAACATATATTCGTGATCAACGAGCAATCGGTATTGTCTATTCCTTCGTTCAGATACTTAGCTTTGACGACAGTTGATCTCAGTACATCAGCTTCCTGCCGACCTCCATAATTTCATTGTCTTTGCCAGCTTGTCCAATAACAGTAACGCCAAAGGACATAAGTTTGCCATTGCAGCTCTTCCAAGTCCCGGCAGGAATACTGATGGCACAAAGGTCCAACAGATTCACAAAATTCGTGAATTGACCCATGACTTTATTCCTTTCCATAGGCTCTTCTTCCAACTCTGCCATTGTCCAGTGGCATACGGTACTAGGAACAATGATGATATCGATCTTCTTGAACTCCTCTTCGGCTAGTCGTTTGTAGTGGGCCAGAGTGAAAATGTCTTCGTAGGCTCGTGTTGCATCGAATGCATTCGCTGCTGCAGATTCGAAAGTTGCTTTGATCGCTGGGTGGAGTTTCTCAAGTCCCTCAGTGCGAATGTAAGGTTGGAAGGCCAAGAGGCGCTGTGCGACAATTGACGAGTCGTAGAGCATCTGGTTTGCCTTTCTAAAAATGCTATAATCAAAGTTGGTCTTTACAAAATCAGGCCGTTGCTGGACATTTGCTACAGCATCATCAAATAAACCAGCATATGTTGGCGAAAGGCTTTGCAAGTCCTCACCATCAGGTATCGCAAATCGTACTGAGTCACTCCAGGGAGCCCAAGTAGGAAGCTCTCTCCGAGAGAAGGCGTCGCTTGAGTCATAACCTTGCACAATATCATACAAAGTTTTCGCATCGTCAACCGTCCGTGCCATGACACAGACGCAGTCTATGTTCTTGCAAGCGGGAAATAATCCGGTGGTGCTGACCGCGCCCAACGTGGGTTTCAAGCCAACCAGTCCATTCAGAGCAGCAGGCACTCTCGTACTTCCTCCAGTATCTGTGCATACCGTGAAGGAGACTAGAGAGGCTGCAACACTAATCGCGGAGCCTGATGAACTTCCGCCAGATATATAGTCGATGTCAAGCGCGCAACGCGGTACGCCGTACGGTGACCTAACGCCAGCGAGACCCGTGGCAAACTGATCAAGGTTGGTCTTGCCTATCAGAATTGCTCCAGCTTGTAGAAGCTTCAACACAACAGGTGCAGTTCTTTCGGCGATGTAGGCAAAAGATGGGCAGGCCAGAGTGGTAGGTAAACCGGCTACGTCGATGGAGTCTTTGACCGAGAAAGGTACGCCAAACAGAGGGGGCAGCGAGTCCGGATCATGGTGGTCCGTTAAGGCTTGGGCTCGGGCAAGACATTCGGATTCTGGCAGCAGATGAATCCACACAGCTTTGTCAGGATATTCCGCGATCGACTGATAGACCTGGCGGACGACATCGGCCGGCTTGATTGGACCAGTAGAATATGCTACCTGCAATTGCGAAATTCCCAGATTGCTCGGGTCCATTCTTGGGCTGCACACGTGAACAATAAACTGCTGTTGGTAACGCGTCGAGGGGTGTTACGAGATTTCGGCGGCGAGGACCTAGGCAGCGAAACTCGAGTAGACTGCCGGGACGAGAAGCCAAGCAAGGCCACCATATTGTAAACCTACCTATAGCCTGACTATACGCGTGTAGCAACGAATAGATCCTTGTGGCGTTTGAGGAAGATGCGAAGTCTGTCGGATGGCCCGACGCGTAAGAGACGGCGAGGTCGGCCAGACGCGTCGAGCGATCTCGGTGTGAAATATGTCGGGACTTCCGACAAGCTCAACCGAGCAAAGCGGCCGGCCCTCGTGCAGACAATCTGACACACACACATCTGATGTTGTTGGATTGCTTCGATAAGCGCAATTGAACTTGTGTGGGAGAAAAGAAAATGTTGATGGTAGTTGTCGACTTGCACTTCGTGCACACATCTTAAGTCCAACGCCATGTCGACCCACAATCTAGATCGCGAAGACGAAGAAGAGGTGGCAAGACCGGCAAAGCGATCCAGAGTGCTTGTGGCTTGTCAGAGATGCAAAGGGCGGCGCCAGAAGGTCCGTAGAAAATTCATGCGCATTCGTCAATTACTTGTCTGATTGTTGTTCGCTAGTGCGACAATGCTGTGCCTGCTTGTTCAAATTGCGCTCGGTCAAAAACCAGTTGCACTTACCCCGAGAACGCATATCCCACGTCATATGTGAAGCAACTAGAGGATAGAGTAGGCATTTTAGAAGCAAGACTTCGCGATGTCGACCCAAGTCAAGCCAGCGATCACATGGACACTAATGACCAAACGACTCCTCAAATGACAACACCGTCGTCGGTACCTGGCCAGCCATCCTCTCTTCCAGCACCAACAACGGGATTGGCTTCTGGCATGGGCTTGCTATCTTCCTGTGCTGCTGCCGAACCACACTACTTTGGATTTTCTTCCGGTCTGACGCTTGCACACTTTGTGGAAGCAGCTATAGGGTCCGGTAGCAATGCTTCGGCTATTAATCTTCCGTCCCTCGCCGATAGACCTTTCTCACACCAAGTGCCCACAGCTCAGACACCACAAGCACCAGTGCCAACCAGGTCGCTCGGGAGCAAAATGATCAAAGCCTATCTCTCGACTGTGCATCCTCTCTATCCCTTTCTGGACGAAGACAACATCTGGCAGATGCATCGCACACTCACAAATGATGCATCAGATTCTGTAAGCGGACCTGACTTGGCCAGGTTGCACCTGATATACGCTATCGGATCACGTTGCATACAGCTTTTGAAGCCGAGGAAGGTGAAGAGAGGCCTTCCAGAAGAGCATCTCATGTCGGCCATGCAACATATTCCTGAAGCGCTGAAGTTTACTAGTATTCATGGAGTTGAAATCACTCTGTTGTTAGCCATCCATTCGATGAGGTCGCCATCAGGTAAGTGCTAGGCGTGGCCTACGTTCTGCAACGACCGAAGGTCAAGTCTGTTTCAGTGAGCTGACTTGATAAGGCGCTAGCGTGTGGCATCTCTGTGGTCTCGCGATGAGACAGTGTCTTGAATTGGGATTGCATAGACCCAGGCCTCATCAGGTCCACCTCTCCAGCCTCGAGCAACGAAGGCGAAGATTGTTCTGGAGTGTTTACATATTCGAACGCAAGAGCGCTCTCGTGCTTGGTCGGCCATTTGCAGTTTCGGATAAGGACATTGAGACTCTACCACCCAGCACTAGCGACTCGACAGAGGTCTTTGGATCACCTGCGGTGGTCCGACAGCCGCAAGATACTTGGTTGACTGTTCATCGCCACCATATATACCTCTACCGAATACACAGCAAGATCAGGTCTGCCCTACGCTGCCTCAAAGATACGGATCGGTCGCACAAGACCAAAGACAAGGTAGCAGCGTGCTTGAAGAAACTGGATGACTGGAAGGACAACGTTCATGAAGACCTTGGTTCGAGACTTTCGCTCCCTTCGTCCGAGGAGAATATCGCGGCGACGCGGTCCTCTAGCGATTCTTCCGAATCAGACGACGAAATGGTCAAGCCTTTCATAAGATCCGCCAACCTCGATCGGGCGGAGCTCATGCTGGAGTTCCACAAAGCACGAAGATCTCTTCTACAGCCATTGTTAACCGAATCTGGCTCATTTTATACGCCAACTGTAGCGGATTTTGCAGCTTGCGCGGATGCTTCTGGTCAGATCTGTCAGTTGTACAGGCAGTTACACCGTATCTCCGCCCTGCCCTTTACTCTCCGAGATCTTCACGCAGTCTTCATTGCTGGGTTCACCTCCATATATTGCATGGCAACCAAACCAGCTCTGTACACTGCTCGTCGTGCTAGCGAGATAGGAGCCTGCTCAACAGTTCTGTACGTTATTACCGAACAATGGAGCAGCGCTTCTAGGTATCGTGACGCTTTCGAGGCTGTTGCAGAAAGACTTGTCGAATTAGTGAGCAGGTCAGAAAACACCGAAACGAGAAATGCTCGAGACAGTTATGAAATAGTGCACGACTCAGCACTGGCGCAGATCGAAACTAGAAGTATCAGAAGAGACAATGGCCTGCCACCGAATGACGTACAACCGCAGGAGACTGTGCAGACTTCCAGTACTTTCTGTGATGGCAACATTGGAGGCGACTTGTCTCTATTCGACTCGAACACAGGATACGACGAAGTCCGTGAACTTCTTCTCAATGAAGGTTTGGACTGGTTTTCTGGTCTCGATTGGCTACCGGACTCTGCGATCAACTGATATGACAACTCGAAGTGATGTAAAGCTAGCTATTTAGTCATACAGCTGCGTGCAGCACATCCCATTCTTGTTCCATAACCCTCACTACTGGCATTGCACACTTGCCTCTTTTGATGAAGTTGCCATATCCTGAGCGTCCCTGAACTACGCCGTCGCGGAACACTACTCTGCCTCGGAGCACAGTGATTTTTGGCCAGTTCAAAAACTCAATGTCCTCGTAGGGCGAGTAATCACAGTTATCGTGCAGATCCCGTGAGTGCTTCAAACGTCTCGGAGTGAAGCTTTCAGGATGCCAGATGACAAGATCTGCGTCTGATCCGATCTGTATTGCACCTTTCTGCGGGTACATACCGTACAGCTTTGCTGGATTCTCCGACGTAAGCTCCACAAATCGCTTGACGTCTATACATTTTCGTCGAAGAACTCCTTCGGAGAAGAGCAGTGGTACTCTGGTCTCTACTCCAGGTAGGCCGTTAGGGGTCTTGGTGAACCTGGGACCGGATGAGCTCACACACTTGTTTTGCGAAGGCAAGATCTAAACTTACATTCCTTGAGGGTTGCCGTTATCAGCTCTCGTGAGGCCTAGTTGCTTTCCAGAAGGATCTTCGAATCTGAATGCGTCCCCCGTCAGCGATTGGCCAATGTATATGGTTGGCGTATCTGCTCACCTGTAAGGACAATGATCTGATGAGAAGATGTTGAAAGTCCCGTTCACCAGACCCCTCCATATCGCGTCGATATCCTTCTTCTCACTTCTCAGTGGCGGAGAGCAAATGAACTTCGCTCCGCAAAAGTGTTCTTGATCCAATTTGGCCTTTCCCAACAGCAGATATTGAGGACAAGTTTCTGCGAATATTGGTTGGAGATTTGCCTGCGCCTTTCGGATGACCTTTGCAGACTCAGGTACTGACACATGAACAATCAGTAGTGGGGTATCCATTACTGTGGAAAACGTCACAGCCCGGTTCGTTGCTTCCGCTTCCGCAGCGCTGGGATGTGCGATAGCCTTGTACTTTGAATCCGTCAAGTTTCTTGCTTCTAATTGCTCGGTGAAGAAGTCAACCAGATCCCCATTCTCTGCATGAACTAGGGCTATCATGCCTAACTCACGTGCTTTCAGGAGAGCGTGTAGAAACTGATGGTCGGATATCCGCATGTGCTTGTAAGTCAAAAAAAGTTTCATGCTCATGATACCCTGCTGAGCTAGTACAGGGAGCTCTTCCTGGAGTACCTTCTCAGAGGGATCGGTGATGATCGCATGGAAGCCATAATCTGCATATGACCCTTGACTTGCGACAAGTGCGTGGTAATTCTCCACAGCTTCCAGCAAAGATTGTCCTCGGGACTGCTCGGCAAACAGCATGACGGTAGTGGTACCTCCAGCTACGGCGCTTCTGGTTCCAGTCTCAACTTCAGTTTGTCAGCTTGAACGCACAAATCATGGTCTGGGATCTACTAACCATTGTCGGCACATCTGTAACCGGCCTCTTTCGCTCTTGGCGACTGATCTTGTGCAAGATGTACATGGCCATCTATACCTCCAGGCGTGACGATGGCTTTCTCACAATCTATGATTTGTGTGTCTTCTGTTGGTGAGAGATTGAGGCCGAGTGCTGTAATGATTCCACCTTTCACTCCTATATCGGCCACATATGCTCCATTTACAAAGGCATTCTTGAGGACAAGGTCGAATTCTTGCATGTCGGGTATTTTAGGGAGATGGTAACGAAGAGTGGCACTGAGGAAAAGAACACAAGGGTTTTGCTATAATCATTTCAGAGTCGCTAGGGTCGCTCCCGAGCTTGCTCAATATGAAATCCACATGTCAATCGAGTTGGTTAACCCCATCTTTTCGGACCGTCCCTATCGCGACTTCTCCTATCAGAAGGCGTTGCGTCGGAAGCCACCCGCTCAGCTACAAGTGGAGATAGACTTTCTGTCGCAACATGCCGATCTCTCTGACCATCATTACTATCCTCACAGTGACCCAGTCAGATAAGTCCAGTCTCGCGGAAAGATCGCTATCATACAACGCCATCGTCATGTCTATAATTCTGCATAAAGCAGTAGTAGAGCTTCGTCTGCAGCATTGACATACTCCACATTCAATTCCTCGGAAGACTGTTTCAACATGATTCACCTTCCTCTACCAAGAACGCGGACAGAGTGGAAAAACGCAATTACCACAAACACTGCTTCGGAGACATCGTCGCAATGGATCAACGCCGATCTCGCGCCAACTTCCAAGGAAGACAGAACTTACACATGGTAAGCAGAACATGTCGTCTCTGCTCCTCAAATGCTAACTTCTGCGGCAGGGTGACTTTGAGTAGCTACTGGTGGGGTGTAAGTAACCAAGCGCCCTCACGAGATAGCGATGACTGATCATGAACTAGAATGCCTTCAATTCGAGTCAATGGTCCAACGGAGCAAGTCTTATCGCCATCGGCCTCACCTGGTGGCAGGCATTGATTGCTTGCATCATGGTATGAGCTTGGAAGGATCTTTGCACTTTGTAACAGAGACTCACACCCGTCTAGGCGAATCTTATCTCATCCTCAGTAGCGCTTTCATTGGGAAGGCCAGGAGCAAAATATCACATCGGCTATCCAGTGCTTGCAAGGAGCGTCTTTGGCATGTCAGTACAATCTCTACACCTCCGGCTTGATAACTGGCTAATGGCTTACCAGGTATGGTCACTACTTCTTCGTCTGGATCCGCGCTGTCGTTGCCATCATTTGGTTTGGTGTGCAAACCTACTTTGGATCACAGCACCTCAACGTCATCTTCCGGTGCATCTTTGGCAACTCATGGTGGAATATGGCGAACCATCTGCCCGAAAGTGCTGGTATAACTTCTAGAGACCTCCTGGCCTTCTTCCTGTTCTGGTTGATCGAGCTGCCTTTCCAGGCTGTGCACCCGACGAAGATTAAGTACCTTTTTGCCGTCAGTCAACATCTTGCTGCGAGTCTTGTTTCCTCTTACTGATTTGTTCTAGGCCGAATCGATCATATGCCCCATCGCATGCCTGGGTGTTTTTGCTTGGTGTGTCAATTATGGAGGCGGTCTGGGTGTTGGCAGCATCGGTACCATTCGCATTCATGGTAGTGCGCTGGGTTGGGGCATGCTCAACGGCATCAACAGCTGTCTCGGAGTCACATCAGCACTCTTGGTCAATGTAAAACCTTCCATCATGTCCAAAGTATCGACCACTGACCAAGTTTGCAGCAACCTGATCTGACCCGCTACACCAAGAGACCGAAAGATGCTGGTTGGCGTCAGGCTTCCTCCATTTTCGCCAGCAAAACTCTGATCTTCTTTTTTGGCATCGGAGCTACTGCTGCTGTTCAGGGCAAGTTTGGACAAGCATACTGGAACCAATGGGTATGACTACAACTTTCCAGAGAAGCATAACATACTGACATTCATCTCTACAGGACCTGCTGAATGCCATACTTGACCGTTTCTGGGGCCCCGCTGCCAGAGCCGGGTGCTTCTTCGCTGCATTCGGCTTTGGTTTATCAGTTCTCGGTGTCAACATTGGCTGCAATGCTATACCATTCGGCGCCGATGTCACCGGACTCTTTCCTCGATTTTTCAACATCATCAGAGGACAGCTCTTCTGCGGTATCGTCTCATTGGCTATCGTGCCTTGGAAGCTCCTCAGTAAGTTCTGGATACATGAGAGATCGCTGGCATAATGCTGACATGTCTGCTCAGCAAGTGGCGCTGGTTTTGTGACCTTCTTGGGTAGCTACAACATCTTCATCTCACCCATCTGTGGAGTAAGTCAAGACTAGTCGTTGTGCTTCCCATAGCTGAAACTGACAAAAGTCGTACAAAGATCATCATAATCGACTACTTTGTCATCAAGCAAGGCAACATACATACGTTGTCCTTGTTCAATCCGACATCAGGCAGTCTCTACTATGGCAACAAGGGCTGGAATCTGAAAGCCTTGTTCGCCTGGCTTTCCGCCGCCGTGTTGGGTATACCTGGCTTGGTCGGCGCATACCATCCGACCTGGGTCTCTGAAGGTGCCAAACATCTGTATCAGACCGGATGGGTGGTATGCTTCGCGGTCGCCATGTTCCTCTATTGGGTCGTGAACTTAGTGTTCCCCGCCAAAGTCCTCCCTGGTGACCAAAGAGGAGCTTCAAAGCCCAAGTTCGAGGAGCTAGCGTTGACGGATGGATACCTTGATGGTGAGAGCTTCATCGAGTACGGACTCAGATGTCTTGACGGTTCCGAAGATGGCCGGTCAACATCTCCCGATGTCGATCTCGTCCATGATACACCCAAGAGTGATGTATAAGCAACGAAATACCGAGGCTCAGGGGATTCATACGTCCGCAAACGAAGGAACGATAATGTGACATTCGTATGATAGAAGCCATAGAAATGGATAGATGTCTGCTTATCGAAGCTTTCTGACCGCACAGAGTCGTCACATGCAATTCAAGGTTTCTTTGTCAACTGTCAATTCGGTGAAGATTGCCGAAGAACCCCGCGCTGAGCTCAGCAGCTACGTCATAGTTGGCGATGAAGCTCCAGCAGCTCTCCTGTTTATACAAAAGCAATCGCACCTGCTGTCTTTGAGAGAAACAAGCCAACAATCACCATTCACCAAGTCTAACCCACCAAGAAACAACAATCATGTCCGACTCCTCTGACCGCAAACCCGTCGCCGACCAAGCCGAGGACGACGCCTACTTTCCCTCCCCCTACTCCCTGACCCAATACGTCGGTCCCAAAACCGACTTCGACCCCAGCACCAAATACACCAACGCCTACACGGGCAAGAAATGGAAGATCCTCGTCATAGGCACACAAGAACGCTATCTCCAAATGAAGGATGGAAAGTTCTTTTCTACCGGCAATCATCCCGTAGAGATGTTGGTTCCTATGCTGCATTTACACCGTGCTGGCTTTGAACTCGATGTCGCTACGTTGTCAGGGGAACCAGTGAAGTTGGAGATGTGGGCATTCCCCAAGGAGGATGAGAGTGTCAAAAGCTTCTATGAGGAGTATAAGCAGAAGCTTAGGAACCCTTTGACGCTTTCTGAGGTCTGGGGAAGCGGGTTCAATGACAGCACACCTTACAAGGCTGTCTTTGTGCCTGGCGGCCATGGAGCTCTGAATGGGCTTCCTCAGTCCAAGGTCGTTGGTGATATCCTTAGATGGGCGGACAAGAACAAGAGGTATCTTATCACGCTGTGTCATGGACCTGCCTGCATGCTGGCCGCCAACATCGGGAAGCCCGAGGGAGAGAAGTTCATCTATGACGGATACAAGATTGATGTTTTCCCCGACTCACTGGACAATGGCGCAAACATTGACATCGGATACATCCCAGGCAAGATGAAGTGGTTGGTTGGTGAAGAGCTGCAGAGACTCGGTGTGCAGATTTTGAACGAGAAGATCACTGGAGAAACTCACCAGGATAGATATGTCTTGACTGGAGATTCTCCTCTGGCATCCAACAACCTCGGAAAACTGGCTGCCGATACCTTGCTCAAGGAGATTGAGAGTGAAGCTTAGAGGGGGAAGTGTGTTCTGCATAATCATCAACGATATTCATACCCATGAATTCATTCTCATACTCCTACAATCATAATCATACATATGCATCATCGTACAAAGAAACCCCACAAATCACTTGGCTTGAGGAGAATCCTTTCTCTCCAAATCAGGTCTCCTAGCAATACTCTCCTCCGTTTCAATAATCTTGGCCCCCTCCCCCTCATCAAAGGTGTAACTCCTACACTCTGCATTCTCCCACATCCTCGTCAATTGCTCCCCCTCTCTCGAGAAATTTCCCGTAATAGCATGCGCAAAAGTGCCATGAGAAACCAACACCACATTCTTCTCCTCTCTATCCCTAATAAACAGACGTAGCATGGTAGCTCTCTCAATCATGACTTCTGGGTCCTCGTCAAAGCGGCCGCAATTGGATGTCCAGTGGGGGAAAACGTCGGTGATGCGGTGTTCATCTACGAGGTCCCCGAACATGTTTTTGATCTCCGAGACTTCGGAGCCCGTGTCCATTGGTTCGTTGGAGCTTTCTTGAGCTAAAGGCATGAGCATGATTTTAAGGCCCTTTTCGACGGCGGGCTTGAAGCTGAGTTTACAGGTTTGGATGGTGCGTTTCATGGGACTGTTGTTTTGCGCATGTGTTAGTGGGATGCTCATGTATGTGATCGAGAGACGACACGATCTTTCGTTGTTACGTCGAGTGTATCTGAGATGTGGACACTTACGAGGCCATCAGAAGGTCAATCTTGTCGTGGTAAGGAAAGTTCTTGCAAAGCTCGGCGCATTGGGCTTCGCCCTTTTCCGTGAGAAGAGGGTCGTGGATACTCTCTCCATGCCAGGAGCAGTTGTGGAAGCCTTCGGCGTGGCGGACGAGATGGAGAGTTGGTGGCATGATTAAGACTTGACCCTGCTTGGAATAGGTGCTTGTTCAAAAAGTATAACGCTTGGGATGCTAGAAGTAAAGATACGCTTGCTGTGTGAGAAAAGAGATGCTTGTGGTTGAATTGAAATGATAATGAACTTGAGATATTGCTGGGATGGTGGATGGTTCTTGTAGTACAGCGTGTCTTACTACAGTTTACCTTTTTCTCTTCTATGATCAGTGTGTCTACCGTTGGAGAAGACATGTTCTCTCTCCGTCAGTGGATCTGAGAGGCTGCAAACAACACCAGCCGACAACTAGTCAACTCTACTTGTCCAAAACCTATTCGCACGCTTGCGATGACCCTCCGCGGAAGGCTTATTGTTAGCCAGGGACGCAGTCGGATGGGGGAACCGCAAAGCCACAGCACTCTGTAGTCGAAAAGCATGAGTATATACACTTTCTGCACTTATTTCCGCGAGAAGGTCTCCGCTGTTTGGCGGGTAGAGTTCACGGAGCGATAGGATCATCGAGGGAGTTCACCCCGCGGCTGCCGGGAACCTTATCTCACACGTGTTTCTCGTGCGGAAATAAGATGATCCTTTCGTCATAGTACCCGGCAAATGATGGAACAGGGTCCTGGGATGGTAAAAGTAGACGGGCATGCCATCATAGTATCAATTGTAAAGTGGTGGATGGTGGGGTCGATACGATTGCAAGACAGCGGGACAACCGAATCGGCAGACTGTCGCTAAGGGACGCTCGAACTCCAGAGTCTGGACTTGCGGTTGGTAGTCACTTCAACGGATCATATTGCTGCGCCTCGCTGATAGAACAGAAACTCGACGAGCTGTGTTGTAGGCCACAAGAGGGGTGCGCATGTTGTTCTGATTATCGCGGGCTGATTGTAAAAAGGATATCGGAGGTCTTTGGCGGCTATCGTCATTACTGAGTCTGGGGAACCACTACTCGTGTACAGACGCACCCATTAGATTGGTATAGAAATGCTCATAAATACTGAGTCTTGACTGATGCTACAGACCGAGCCAGAACAAGGACCTGAAATACGTCTAAGATTGTTGCCAGCATCTGTGTCTTGTGGCCAGACCCAGCTTATCTTCGGCAAATGTAGAGCAAAAAGCGAGCAGTTGGTCAATGGAGCTGGAAGCATCGAAGCAATAAAATGCGTGAAACGAAGACCCAGACATGGCGTGAAAATCGAAGGCTGTGGAAACAGATGTCCGCCCCAATCAACAGTGCAGAAAAACTCGCAGATCTCGGTGTCGTGTTACAAGGGTAAGAATCCATTCGGCACTGTCCCTTCTTCAAGCCACCTCTTGACAGTCTCGGCAAACAATTCAGGATCCTGCCAGGTCCAAGGATGTCTCATGTCAAGATGAGTAACAGCTCTGGTAGCACTGTTCTGATCTCGTCCAATCCTAGCCAATCTCTTCGCATCTTCTGGACGATCATTAGAAGGGACTAGACCACCTTTGCCTGCAGCGATGACGAGCGTTCGTGCAGGCCAAGGTTTAGGCCATTGTTCAGTATCATCTCCGGAGCCGAATACCTGGCGAAAGTACTCTGCCGTACACATAGTGAGATCTGGTCGAGGGATGTCAATTCCATCCATCGCCCAGCGCACCCAAGAGCGTGGAATAGCATATTCAAAGCGTTGTTCTAACCATACAGCATATGGCAGATATGGTGACATCTTCGTGCGGGGGAATACCTGGAAACCAGAAACCAGGACGCAGTCTGCAATCTCTGGATAGTGAGATACTAGGTGCATGGCGACATGGGCACCAAGACTAAAGCCCACAACATATGCAATACCGTTGTGTGCGCGTTTGAGGATCAGAGTATGCAAGGCGCTGGCAGCCTGTGCGACAGAGAACGGTTGCTTTCTGGCCATGCCGTGTCCAGGAAGATCAGGTATGAGGAGATGATATTTTGATAGATGAGGGGTTACGAGATTCCAATTCGAGCCATCGCCTGTTGCACCGTGGATCAAAAGGATCGTCTGGGCGGCTGAAGGATTGAGCTCAAGATGTGGAAGTGCGACATATTCGTCGTGAGTCGTGTTGCTATCGACAGACGGCATACTGAGAACAGAGCGCGATGAGCTGTGTCTAGCAGAGGACCAAGGATAGTCAATTCGGTACTCCTATCAAGGCAGAAGGCTGAGGGAATCTCATGTGACACTGAATCCTTCGGAGGATGCGGGATGCAGGTCCGCTGCTGAGGTCCTGACATGTTTCATGCGGATCCGAAAACCCCAGACTGTGGTTATTGGCACTCGTGCAGAGGCATACAAGATGCTGTCCGTTTTGTTAATGGTCAGGACTCCTTGAAGAAGGAGTGAAGATGCACTGAGAATAATTGTACTTGTGCTCTGCATTGCATCTTGCACAAAAGCCAAGCATCGAACCATGACCTCATTACCCCGGACTTTCTTCGAGCGTGTCATGACCGAAGAGCTCTCGGTCTGTTTCTCGACTCTCTTGCCATCCTTTCGATCGACATTAACGAGAAGCATAACTACTCAGTCATGGTTCTCCAAGACGCAATCAACAACAGCGAGCCCAATGCATACGGCGAGTTGCCGACACCAGAAGACGGCGATGCATCATCGCAAACACCAACACGCTACCACATCAAGCTCGACCAGCTGCCTCGGCCTGTGAACCTCTTCATGGTGCCTGTGAAAGACGATGCTATAGTCAAGACAATTCTTCGAAGCTGTCACGAAGCTCAAGCCATCGTTCACCGCCCGTTGCGCCAGGACGAGGTAGACGCCATCAGCTACCACTTTGCAAAATCACTACGGACCGTCTCATGGGGTCCACCTGTCGGTATAGCTGGCGGTGCTCTCGCTGCCTATCGCACAATGAGCAACTACCGCTTCCCTGGCTACACTCCCAAGACTGCAGCCGATGGCGGTGCTTTCAACCCTGACCGCTTTGGTCCTATCCGTGGACAAATGGCTCGTTACTGCTGGCACACTCTACGCTTCCAGCTATACGGTGCTGTCGGTTTCTTCACTGGTGCGATCCTATTTGCAAGTTACGCGACATCGGTCAATGCCGTCGAGGCTGGCTCGGATCCTCGTATGAAGGACTACATCGAGGCACTCAAGCAACGCGCAGAAAGACATAGCGGCCAGATGCAACCACAAGGCCAACGAAATCCCATCATGAGCCAGGAAGGCCGCATGGATCAACAAGCACAGCGTGCATCGCAGAAACTTGGTATGGAGGATGCTTGGAAGCGGCAGGATGTGCAGCGCAAGGCTTCCGACTACGATGACATGAGCCCTACTGGAGGTGCATGGCAGGATGACTACAAGCAAGAAGCACAAGATACTGGTCTTTTGACGGACGACCAGTTGAATGCACGTGCTCGCAAGGAGCAGTCGAATGCTGACCGTGCCGAACGTGCTGAAGAGTCACGAGTTGCTGCTTATGCTCAATCTCGTGTCGACCAGTCGCGACGAAACAACCACAACAGCACAGAAGACTCATCACCTCTTGGTTCATCTCAGGCTGTACCTGCTCCTCGCTCTTCAGGCAGTGCTTGGGATCGTATCAGACAGGAGACTGCTTCCTCGAAGGGCTCTCCCCGTCAGCCACCTACCAATAACTCTCAGATGAGGAACGAGCAGCAGGAGGGCTCTACGCTTGGCGACTCGTTCGCCTTTTCCGCCTCAGACGAGGAGAGACAACTTGCAAAGGTCGAAGCACAGAAGGAATTTGACGCCAGAGTAGAAAAGGAACGTCAAGGCGGTGACTTTGCCGAGAATGGTGGAAAGGGCGGATGGAGAAGATAGATTACACGCCGACATCTTCACACAACCTTGTAAATACTTATCACCTCTTTTGTACCAACATATTCGAGAACATTTGCATCCATACATCTCGAAGTTCAAGAGTCAATCGTCATGTGATGATTCAGCGTATCACAAGGAAGTGGTTCTGACCTTTTGCAGTGCTTGGCTTGGTTGCTATAACATGCTTGGCTTGCAGTTTGTATGCTGTCCGACAAAACACGGAGTCGTGACTTATGCCTATGATAGAAGAACGAAAGGAAGCGAGAAAGAAACATCAGCCAAGGAAAAAAGGTCCACGACACCTTCCAAGAAAACCCCCATGAATCGCGTCCTCTTCATCTCTTTTTTTCCCATGATGACAGAAATTAGACAGATGGCGTGCTAGAATGATCAAACAATGATTATACACAGATGAAACAACTTTATCGCTATCGAACCAGATTCAGACTCTCCTCCGCATATGTAAACGATAATCAGCCAAGAGAAAGAAGCTTACGACGCGCATATCTAATAAATCACCAACATTCCCATGTAGGAAAGGTCAGGAGTTCTTTTATCATGATAGGTTGGTGTGTAAAACCTTGGCATAGGGTTAGAACGCTGCCAAGTGGCGAGATTATGCCTGTTTTGCCGGAGCAGCCGCCTTGGAAAACCAGGAACCCATGCGAATTCGATTCATGTGTGCCAGGGTTTTTTTGATGGAAAGACAAGGAACACACAAAAACCAGGGCCATGCGCTGTTTGGGGAACTGGGGAAAGCTGAATCGGTTTCTTTGCTTTCTGTCCCTCTCTCTCTCTCTCTCTCTCTGTGGAATTGGTATTGTCACTGCAACTGACGCTGGACTTGCGCATTTGACTCTCTCTAGCATATTTCGGATTCTTCTCCGCAAAACGGCTATAACAGTGATTTTGCCTACCAACAAAACAACAAGATTGAGTTAAGACATCGGTTACAACACAAAACACACAACTTCTGGGAGGAATAGAAAAGAGCAAAGAACGGTTCTCTGTACGACAATCACAAACGTCGTGCAGAAAACATGGCTTCTCTACCAATCAAGGATGCAGACTCATCCTCACCCCGCCTATCCTCACACTCCCAATCCCTCGACCTCCGCAGCCCAGCCTCCTTTGCCGAAAGCTTTGAAATGGAAGAAACAACACCAAACACTGGTCTTTTATCTCAAACGGATGATGTCGAGAAACAAACCCCTGTGGATGCTGTACAAGCTTCTTCTTCGTCCTCTTCTTCTCCAAGGACCGATGGCCATGAATACACAATCTCTACAAAGACAAAGATGCTATGTCTAGGTCTTTACTTTATCATGAATCTGGGACTGACATTGTACAATAAAGCTGTCCTTAACAATTTCCGCTTTCCGTGGTTGGTCACTACTTTCCACACATCCAGTGCTGCGGTGGGGTGTTGGGTGATTATGCTCGTTGCACCCTCACAGTTGAAGCTGAGTCATGTGGGAAGTAGAGAGCAACTCATCCTCGCAGCCTTTTCGGTGCTGTTTACCATAAACATTGCCATCTCCAACGTCAGTCTGGCAATGGTATCGGTTCCTTTTCATCAAATCGTTAGATCAACAACACCAGTGGCTACAGTGCTTATTTACCGCTACTTGGGGAGAAGTTATGGAAACATGACTTATATCTCTTTGATCCCTATCATCGCTGGAGTAGGGTTGAGTACATATGGGGATTACTACGCCACTGTCCTCGGAGCATCTCTTACATTCCTCGGTGTCTTTCTAGCAGCGCTGAAAACTGTCGCGACAAACAAACTACTCACCGGAAGTCTCAAGTTACCGGCACTGGAGCTGCTGTTCCGTATGTGTCCTTTAGCCGCCGTGCAATCTCTCCTCTGGGCAACTGCAACAGGAGAAGTATCCCGCTTCCTCACATTTACAGCACAAGGAAAACTCACCACTGGATTAATCTTTGCGTTGCTCGGGAATGGGTTCTTGGCTTTCTTGCTGAATGTTACGAGTTTCCAGACCAACAAGTTGGCTGGTGCTTTGACGTTGAGTGTTTGTGGTAATGTCAAGCAAGTTCTCACGGTTGTTTTGGGTATTGTGTTGTGGGATTTGGTGGTTGGACCGATGAATGCTTTGGGTATGGTTGTTGCGTTGGGAGGTGCTGCGTGGTATAGCAAGGTTGAGTTGGACTCCAAGAGGGCTACTGCGAGATGTTAGATGGATGGAGATGGATGGAAGAAGAGATGGTGTCGAGGCTCTGATTTTGCTTTTAGCGCAAAGGCATGTTGCATGTTGCATGGATGGAAGATGTGGAGTTTTGTCAATGTTTCCAGATCTTGTAGGGTACAGGATGATAGATGTAATTATACGCCATTAACGCCTCGCTGAAAAGACAAGATGCATGTTGGTTGTTGGAGTCGAAGCAGGAAAGGGTCGTGGCTCGTGACAGACAGAGATGGTGGACTCGGTCAACCCAGCGTCTTGATCTTCTTCTTCTTCTTGTCTGGCTGCTTTCCCTTTTGAAAGTCACGCCATGAGCCAATGCGTTCTTCCCTTGACTGCTCCCACTTGCTCTCAAACTCCCTCTTCCTCTTGCGCTCGGCAATCTCGTCTTCCTCCTTCTTCTGAGCCCTGCCCTCTTCCTGCATCTGAGCCTTCATCTTCTTCCTCCGTCTCAACTCCTCATCCACCAGCACCATCTTTGTCTTTTCCCTCCACGCCTTTCTGAACTCAGTATCCGGGTCCTTGACCTCTTCACTATCGGTAGTAAGTTTGCGCTCCCTCATCAACAGCATACGCGCATCTGCTATACATTCATCCAGTTTCGCTCTCTCTTTCTCGTCGAGCAGCGACTTTTGTGCTTTTGCGAGACGGTCAAAGGCGTCTGGTGCCGAAGGGTTTGAGGTTTTGTCAGGATGGATCAGGAGGGATTTCATGCGGTAGCATTTCTTGATGTCGTTGTCGGGCACGCCGGGTTGGAGATCCAGGACAGCGTACGAGTCGAGGCGGAAGGCTTTGAGGATACGGTCGATCTCGGCATCCTGGGATTGATGGTCAGCATGGTCAGCATGGGTGAACTGAGGGCGGATGCGGTGCAAGGGAAGACGGACCTTGTCGAATTCTTTTGATTCTTTTGCGATTGCGGCTAGAATGTATTCATCGGACAACTCCTTTGGCTCTGGCTTCTTGTCCGACATGATGGGCAATAATGTCTGTGTCGAGTGCAAAGAAGACGATGGTTGATCTGATCGAGTAACAGGGCGGAAGGCGGAAGGCACAACCGAGAGCTTCGGCAGCGTGGCACGTGCACCCAAAAAGTTGACGCGGAGTTAAGCATGTGAAAGTCGCACTTTTTCCATCAGACAGGCAGTCGCTACAGGCAGTCGCTACTTCTCTCACAGCACGAACCCAAAGATGGCGCCACATGTCACCGGTCGCATGAAACCGACAAAGCCAAAGAAGCAGCAACGTTCCATCAAGCGCAAGAGAGATGATGTAGACGTGGAAAAGCTGGAGCAGCAGGTCCAGGATCTGGTGAGTCTCGCCTTGTTTGCATCTTGCATCTTGCATCTTGCATCTCGCATCTCTTCTCTCGCATCTCTCCTCTCTCCTCTCTTCTCTGTTCTCTGTTCTCTGTTCTCTGTTCTCTGTTCTCTCTTCTCTCTTCTATATCAACGCTCGAGTCTAACGCTTCTGCGCAGGATCCCAAGGGCAGCTACACGTCCTTCTCCGACCTCCCGCTCTCCCTCCCCACCCAAGAAGGTCTCAAAGCCTGCCACTTTGCTACTCTCACACCCATCCAAGCACGCGCAATTCCCCTCGCCCTCCACGGCTCCGACATCCTGGGTGCTGCCAAGACTGGTTCTGGAAAGACCCTCGCCTTCATCATCCCCGTCCTCGAAAACCTATATCGCAAACAGTGCGTCGGTCAAGATGCAGGTCTGGGCGCCATGATCATCGCTCCCACGCGCGAACTCGCCATTCAAATCTTCGACGTCCTGGTCAAGATTGGAAGAAAGGGTCACTTGTTCTCGGCTGGTCTGGTCATTGGTGGAAAGAGCCTGCAGGAGGAACAAAGTGCTCTGGCGCGTATGAACATTGTCGTCTGCACACCCGGTCGTATGCTGCAGCACTTGTCGCAAACCGCCCTCTTCTCCGTCGACAATGTGCAGATGCTAGTGCTCGACGAGGCTGATCGCATCTTGGACATGGGCTTCCAGCGTGACCTGGATGCCATTGTCGAGTATTTGCCCAAGGACCGCCAGACTCTGCTCTTCTCTGCCACCCAGACAAAGCGTGTCTCTGATCTCGCCCGTCTTAGTCTGAGAGACCCCGAATACGTCTCGACCTCGGAACAAGGCGAGTCTGCCACTCCCAAATCCCTGCAACAAAACTACGTCCTCACTCCGCTACCCGACAAACTCGACACTCTCTGGTCATTTATCCAGACTTGCAAAAAGTCCAAAATCATCGTCTTCCTGTCTTCTGGAAAGCAGGTCCGTTTTGTCTTTGAAGCCTTCCGCCACATGCAGCCTGGTATTCCTCTGCTACATCTTCACGGTCGTCAGAAGCAAACTGCTCGTCTCGACATTACAAAGAAGTTTTCCCATGCTCAACACTCGTGTATGTTTGCAACCGATGTCGCCGCAAGAGGTCTGGATTTTCCTGCTGTCGACTGGGTTGTACAGCTAGACGCTCCTGAAGATGCCGACACGTATATCCACCGTGTAGGTCGTACTGCCCGTTACGAACGCGAGGGTAAAGCCGTCCTTTTCCTCGACCCCAGCGAAGAGGAAGGCATGCTTTCTCGTCTCGAAGCAAAAAAGGTCCCCATCGAACGCATCAGTGTCAAGCAAAAGAAGCAACAATCCATCAAGCCTCAACTACAAAACATGTGTTTCAAAGACCCGACACTCAAGTACCTAGGTCAAAAGGCTTTTGCCAGTTACGTTCGCAGCATCCACATTCAAAAAGACAAGGACGTCTTCAAACTCGACAAACTAAACCTCGAAGAATTCGCTGCAAGTCTTGGTCTACCCGGTGCACCTAAAATCAAGTTCATCGCAGGAGACGACGCAAAGGCCAGAAAGAATGCCCCTAGAGCACAACTCAACGATTCAGACGAAGAAAGCGATGCAGATAAGCAAGAGACAAAGAAGCCAGAAGTACGCACAAAATACGACCGCATGTTCGAGCGCAAGAACCAAGATGTCCTGGCAGACCATTACGCCAAAATGGTTCGCGACGACGATATCGAAGCTTTGGATGGGACTCAAATGTCCGACGACGATTTGTTCAGTGTAAAGCGCAGAATCCCTGTGCAGGGAGAAAAGTCCGATGCAGAGTCATCAGACGACGCGGACGAGCAATCAACACTCGCAGTAGCAGATATGAATCTCCCTCCGGGCGCAAAAGCAGTGCACATCCCCGGAGCCAAAGACGCCCTCATTATCGACAGCAAGCGCCGAGAAAAACTGCTCAAGTCCAAGAAGAAGTTGCTCAAATTCAAGGAAAGTGGCACAAAACTCGTTTTCGACGACGAAGGCAATGCACACCAAATTTACGAATTGGAAGACGAAGATGCATTCAAGGCCAAGGGCACAGCAGAAGAGCAGAGAGCGAAGTTCTTGGAAGAAGAAGCTCAACGTGTCCGGGAATCAGATCTCCTGGACAAGGCCCTCGCAAAGGAAAAGAAACGAGCAAAGAAGGAAAAGCGCAAGGAGAGAGAAAGAGAAGAAGAAGGAGATGCTTCCGACGACGAAGAAGAAGCGCCAGAACTCGCCGATGCAAGTGCAGATTTCAAGAAATTCCTCGCTGGATCGGATGATGGGGAGAGTGCTGCAGAAGAAGAAGAAGACGACGAAGACGAACAGCCAAAGAAGAGACAGAAGAAGTGGTTCGAGGAGGAAGGTCGCAGGACGGATCTTGGAAGGGAAGAAGCTTCTGCGCCGGAAACTTTGCAGGATTTGGAGGCTTTGGCTGCTGGATTGTTGGATTGAGTTGTATAAGGCCTCTTTTATCCCTTGCTTTTTCTCTCTCTCTCTCTCTCTCTCTCTCTCTCTCTCTCTCTCTCTCTCTCTCTCTCTTGTACTGTTGCCACGTTTCCTTGTTCAAAGCATGAAAAGGATATCCTAGATGTTGTATTTCATCTCTGAATTCGTGTTCTATGGCATCCTCATTCCATCTGCTTTAATTCAAAATAACCAACAACAGCACCAAAACCAACATCAAAACCCCAATAGTAACCCAACTCCAATTCCCCTTTGCCTTTCTCGCAACCCTGCCCAATCGTCCCCTCGCAACATCAAGTCTACTCTGAAACCTGTCGACCCCTGCTTCAACATCTTCAAGCATGGCGTTTTGAACATCCATTTCATCACCCATTTGTATACCTAATGCACGTTGACGTTGTATACTCGAAGATAGAACGTCTAATTGTGCATCTTGTTCGCTGAGGACTTGGGTGTGGTAGGTGTGGATTTGATGGTTGGAGAGGGAGGTGTGGTTGGGTGTTGAGGTATCGTTGTCGTTATCGGTGTAGGGTTGTTGTGTTGCATCTCCTAATCCCGATGCTGAAGTGTTGGTGTTGTTGAATAATTTCCCTCTATCCCCATCATCGGGCGAAGAATCTCGATATGGTTTATCAAATCTTACGGCCTTCGACCTCGTAGGTTGTTGGGGTGTTGCTTTTACGGCTGCAAAGTCGGGGGCCAAGGAGGGGTCGTTCGGTGTCGTTGTAGCAGTCGTAGGGGTATGGCCATGAAACTGTTTATCCAAATCTTGATATTGCGTCCTCAACTTCTGCACTTGTGCTGCTAGATCACTGCGAGAAACCCCCTCATTTAGTGACGCTTCTTCCTCTTCTTCTTGTGGTAAAGCTGGACGGCAGAACTCACTCTTCACCCTCTTCAACTTTTTGCTCCAGTGTTTCTATCCCAGCACGCAGAGATTCTAGACTGCGGGTGAGAGGGCCATCGGTATTGTTTCCGGGTAGTTTGAGGCTTTGCGCGCGTTGGCGTTCGAGCAGTGAGAGCTTGATGTGGTCGGCGAGGAGGAAGAGTTGGTGTGGTGATGTTGACATCTTTGCGCGTGCTTTTGTGAGTATATCGTGGTTTGAGAAGGACAACAGTGGTGCGCTCTCGGTATAAGAGTCGCAGTGTCAGGTGTTGGAGTACAGGTAGGCAGTAGTTTGGAAGAGGGGGAAAGTGGGTTTCTCTGTATGCCTGGGAGTTGAAGCCTGGGAAGGGCTCCCCCGGATGATGCGTGTTCCGAGGCTTAAGCGTTGCGGGAGGAAAGCCACGATTGCGAGTGCCAAGACTCACGCCGCCTCTTCTATACCAGAACATCAAGGTGGTCATCTCAATCATCTCAATACTCCCATCATAATTTACTCTAGTCTCGAGTCAAATAACATCACACATTGGAAGAGTTCATGTTCTTCGGGATTATCGCATTAACAATTAGAACTTGTACTAGACAAAAAAGAAAAGGGGTATTAAACTGAAACCCAACGACCAAAAGGAAAAAACATTCATCGTCGTGCTCGTTGCTCAAACTCATGCTCAAAGCTCGAGTTGATGTACATGCTTAGTAGGGAATCTTCTCCTCGTAAACAGGAGCCTCGCGGATTCTCTCCTGGCTCCACTCAATCTTGGCCTTCTCGTTCAGGGTAGCCTCCTCATCAGTAGCAGGGACGTCGTGCTCCTTGCAGCCAGCAACCTCTTGCGAAGAAAGACCGTACTCATCACGGGCGATCCACACAATGGCCTGCTCGTTGAGCATGCTTGGGGGCACAAAGGCGTACTCGAGCTCTTCCTGGGTGTAAGGACGGATCGGCTCGTTGAAGTGAGATGCGAGCTCCTTCTGAACAGTCAGCCACTTCGTGGCGAAGCGCGAGCTGAAGAAGAAGTGCTGGAGCTTGCCCTTGAGACCTGACTTGGGCTTGGGGGAGTCGGTCGATCCAGCAAGAGTAGGAGAGGTCTCGCGGTTGCTGGTAGTGCTAGGCTTGCCCTCCTCCATGTTCTCAGTGGGTGCAGCTGAGAAGGCTCTGCTACGGTCTTCACTTCCTGGCATCATCTCAAGACCGTCAACAATGGGTCCAAGAGTCTTGCTCAAGATGACGTGGTAGACAATGGTGAAGACGGCGAGGATGATGGTGATGATTAGAGGACCAAGAGCCGCTCTGTCCTCGGCAACACCAATGGCGAACAAACCGATCAAGCAGAACTCGAGGAGGTAGACACCAACGGTAATCTGTTGCATGGCACGAGCGTAGGCGCGACCCTTCATGTCGATGGAGTCGTTGCCGACAACGTAAAGAAGCTGGTAACGGTAGGCAAAGTACAGAAGAGCGAATCCGACAGTTGCGAATCCAAGGAGCAGAGGGGCAATGCAGGAGTATGCGATGGCAATGACACCGAGCATGGCGTACGCAGGGTAGACGGAACCCCAACCGAGACCGATCAAGTTGGTGTAACGGTTGTAGACCTTGCGAGGAGTCGAGTCAAGAATGTTGCCGAGGAAGGCAATGAACAGCAGAGGGGCAATGTTGAGTACGAGCATGGCGGCCTGGTTCAACATGGTAACGACAAAGTAGGCAGTGTAGAAGTTGGATGCGAGAGGCAAGTTGCTGGCAAGTAACATTGGTGCAGATCCCGGGTTGTTGACAATCTGCTTTGCGACAGCGGCAGCTCCAGATGAAAAAGTGGTGACGAGGAAGACATCAACAACCTGGAAGGAGAAGTACCAAGCTTGAACTCTCAACTCAACGGTTGATCTGGTAGGCTCGAACATACCAGCCAGCAGTCTCAGAACGATGGGTACCAAAGCCATGAGCACGGCAAGCATGACGGCAGGCAACAGACCAGTAATGACACCCAGGATGACGTCGGGGATGCTGGAAATCCAGGTCAAGAAGGAAATGGTCTCGAGAGTCTTGATGTTGGAAATGACACCGACGAAAGCGACAGGAATGGCCCAGAAGACGATCATGAGAACAACGAAGATGGTTGAGGCGATTAGGATCATGCGAGTGACCATGTTCTTCTTGCTCAAGTTGCCCCAGATGACATCGTTGGGGTGGACGCCAACAACCTTGGGGGTGAGCTTGGCTCCCTTGACCTTTTGCATACCGCTGGAGAGTTGACGGTGAGCAGCCTGAGCATGCTCGAGAGTTTCGAATTGGACAAACACAGCGGGAACCTTCTCAGCGTTGTGGGTCTTCTCGAGCTCCTCGTCGACCTGCTTGTTGAGGCGAGTGATCTCGGGTCTGGCCCAATCAATGGTGTCAACCTTCTTGCCAATGAGCGGGATCTTTCCAAGACGGTGGGTGGGGCGGATCTTGTGATCGACTTCGACACGGCCGCTCTCACGGTCAATGGTGGAGGTATCGGTCTTGCCCTTCTTCTCTGCCTTCTTGTGGTTCTTGACGAACTTCTTGACGAGCTTGTTCTCAGCAGTCTCGAGCTTAGTCACAGCATCGTCTCTGTCGCCGACAACATCATCGAGTTCCTTGGTGTTGGGCTGAATCCAGACACGCGAGACTCCAGTGAACAGCTCACGAAGAGCGCTTTCCTTGAGATACTCCTGGTCGACATTGGTGAACATGACAGTTCTGGCTGACAGGCGACTGCTGTAAGCTACGGAGGTAATGATCGATTGACGAAGACTGATGAAGTAGATGATCTCACGAGTGATCACAACCATGACGAACCCGACAAAGACCCAGGCAAGGATGGCGTGTGCATAGTAGTAGTTGGTGTGGCTAGGGATCGAGACATTACTAAATGACAAGAGATCGAACTGCTTGTTACCGGCACCACCTAAGTGCTCGTTAGATTCTGTATGAGCTTGGAGGATACACAAAAACTCATGACATACCAGTAGCGTTGATGGGGAAGAGAATGGGCCAGGTAATGATAGCACCGACCAAGCAGATGGTGAAGAGGATCTTAAAAAGACGTAGGAAGAGGTAGTTGTCCAGAGAAGAGTGCATCAAAACGTGGTCATCATTGAGACCGCGGAAGTTTTTGACCCATCCAAACTTGGTGTCTGATGGCTGTGGAGTATACTCACTGGGAAATATTAGGAAACACTCAAAAACTGCGTTGTCTTGTGAAAGGCAATACTCACTATTTTCTGAGGAGCGGCAGATAGGTACGCGGCTCGTAAACTCTCTTGTACTTCGGGCGAAGGATCAGGAAGATTGAGAGGATAACTGCTACAATGATGAGAACAGGGATCAGTGTTGACAAGAAAGTCGACGCTGAGGGCGACTGATCGCGGTGACTTCCTGCACCGGTGTCGGACATGATGGCGGTGTTGTTTTCGCTGAAAGCGCTGTGTCAACGCGATCAATCGTGTGGGAAAGATGTCAATGGAGCAAAGCCGAACTGGCGGATTGCGATGGCGGGAATATTTGTATTCTCACACCGCAGATCAGTATGTCGGCTGCGCAAACACGCTTCGACAGCTTTTACTTGTTTGGACGTCAAAAACGGTTGTGTTTGATCAGCCTTGGTCAATAGCCTTTTCGTGGTGCTTCCTGTGGCGCAAAGCTTCAAGGTCCAGAACAAAACAGATCAAGACGGTCAGATTAAACAGTGACACACAGCCACGGAGAGGTCGATTAACTGCTAGGGTACGGAGTTCTTGTTCGCTTTGTTTGGGGCAGTGTTTAGGGTGAGCAACAATTAATTTGGAGTCAACATGCACTCCTTGCATATAATGTGTTATCAGAGGGGGTTGGGGAGGTATGCAAGCCATGATTGATTCGTTTCGAAGCATTTTCACATGGCTGTCTCGCTAGCGTCATCGGGCGTCATACGCGCCATCGACGTTGATCTTTGCAGCACCTCAATCTCTTGGAGCCGTCGACACGGTCTTGGGAGACGATTTTTTTTGCTTTTGATCGTGGGGCCCAAGAAAACACGGACCATTCGATCATCACTTCAAACACTTCAGAACCCTTGAATCGATTTTATTTTCCACTTTGAATTCTCTGGTCCAGCCGTCGGGGGTATGCAGAAAAGGCCCTTTGAAACCATGCCGTGCGGCATGGCCACTGGACAAGGTAAAATGAGCAGTGACGTTTGTGACCTGTACATGGCAGGAACGGAAAAGAATGGGAGCACAGCCGTTGTGCTGGCGTGCCAGCTGCTGTAACGCATGCGGGAGCGCAAAAATATTGTTGACGCACGAGTGTCTCTGGCCATGAGCAGGACAGAGCAAGAAACGGCACATTAACGTGCGTATCTTAATTGCTGACCCCTTTGAAGGCTGGATCTAGATGTACAGCAGCCACAGATGCGTCTGGCCGTGGCTGTGTCGCTGTGGCTGAAGCCGCGAGATGTCGTCGTCGCATACCTTTTTCTTCATCGAGTCACTCGCACTGTCCACGATGTACTGACCACTGGTAACTGGCGGGTTCGCGCTCGAATTTAGGTCGAGGTCATTGCGCATTAGTGGTTGAGAAGGTATGGACGGAGCTCCGAAGGTCAAATTCCGTGTGAACGAAACAGTGGAGATACACCTCAACACAGCCAGCCGGACTTCAAATTTCGAAAGCCACATTGACTGCCGACGACTCCACATGCGTTTGCACCGAAGAAAGAGTTGTCGTCGAGATGCCTAGTCTGGGTTTGCAGAAGGATGAGCAGATCGCGGTAGACGATCAGGGACAAGAAAGATTGATGAGTGATCTAATGCCAAGTCATGCACGAGCTCCTCCAGTTGACCCACGAATCGCAAGAACGACAACGTCATACCGTGAACGTGATCCTCTCTCAACGCGTCTTCCTGGACGTCTATCTTCAAACACTACCTAGCATCGACTACCACAGACCAGGACAACAACTGTCATGGATTTTGCGTTACAACACAAGGGCCAGCTGGGCGCCGTCACAGCATTGGTTTTGTACTCTGCCGCCAAAAATAAACTGACACCAGGCGGCATTGTGGCCGCGGTCGTGACTGCGGAAATACACATGATGCATCCCTGGGGTGTGTTCTTCAACCTCCTCGTAGGTTTCTTCATTGCCGGTACTGTGGGCACAAAGGTTAGTCCTCCATGACTCTGCTCCGAGGTCCTCAATCTCGGGGTACTGCACTGTTCAAACTGTGGAACGCAATACTTCCATCAGCGGCGTTGCAGCACGTGCCAAGCAGTCGTACTGACAACACGAAAAGATCAATCATACAACAAAGAAGACCCTCACTCAATCTGCAACCGGAGGAGTAGGTGGCGAAGGTGCACGTAACTACGCCCAAGTATTGGCCAACTCGGGCACGGCATCAGTATTGATCTTGTGGCATCTCTACGCCTCGCAAAAAGGAACAGGTTTGAAGGATGAGTACAGCTTGACTGATGTGATTCCGTTTGGCATTGCTGCGTAAGTTCTGCTTCTGTTTACAGTAATCAGAGACAGCTGCTGATTCATCTCAAGATCTTATGCTGCTGCCGCCGCCGACACTCTCAGTAGCGAACTTGGTATTCTCTCACCAAGCTCTCCTGTGCTTATCACTGCGCCCTGGCGTAAGGTTCCTCGCGGAACTAACGGAGGAGTCACGATCACTGGTCTTCTTGCTGGCCTTGCAGGCTCTGTTTTCATCTCTACACTTGCATACTTCACCCTGCCCTTCTCTCGCATGGCATGGACTGGAGATTCCAAGTTTCTTTTTTGGGTCACCTTGACCCTTGCTGGATTCAGTGGTACTCTCTTAGACTCTCTGTTGGGTGCCTTGGTCCAGGCTACCGTTGAGGACAAGAGCAGCGGCAGAATTGTCGAAGGAGACAATGGCAAGAGAGTCAAGGTCACTGCAGGAGGTAGCAGAGTTCAGAGAGGTATGGATGTGCTCAACAACAATGGCGTCAACTTTGCTATGGCTGCTACAGTTGCTGCTGTAGGTATGGGTGTGTGGAACTCGATGGTGCAGAAAGTGATTCTGGCTTAGACCTTCTTGAGCTTCGAAGATTCGGGTTTCAGCTGGCGAGCGATCTCTCAAGTGCAAGCTTGGGTCTATATATCATCGAGTAACCAAACGTATTACATCCATTTGCAGTCACCTTTACCAACGGTAACACACGATGTTTTTAGTAGCAGCGATGATGCTCTTGGTGGAGCTGTTATGCCAAGACTTTTTCGTGAAGGGTACGACCCTGTCGCTGCCTTTTAGACATGGGTGAACACGACATGACAGTCGCAAGAGTAATCTGGTCTATAGACTGTTCGGTCGAATTTGTGCTCTGTCTTGCTGATAGTATGGGTCCCTGTCGTCTGGTGGTGGGCAGATACGTTCTCGTGAATCGTCCACTTGTCCACTCCAATTCTCCATGTCTAAACATTGCTCGCGGAGCACGTGCATCCCAGGACCGTCGCCGTCACTTCGCCAGACTTGTCCAATGACATGTTTGCCAGTTATCTTACCCGGAAGAGTATATGATCAACAAATGAGAATAGCCAGGTCCCAGTTCTGTAATCGAGGACATCGCGACGCAAGCTATTCGATTCCCACCCACATATCTCTCAACGACCGACCAATCGCTCTTCCTATTCAGAAACCATCATCGATAATAATACCAGGATTACCTCTTTGTATCAAGTCCCATCTCTGCCAGTATTCAGTGAGCCACGTATAACCAGCCTGTATCGACTATTCTTTCGAAAACATGACCGGAAATGGAGGGAGCGGGACAAGCCATAACGCGTGACGTAGCCGGTTTTGTTTGTTTCCTTCGCGGACCCCTGCTTCGTCCTTTTCTCAACTCCACACATCCTCTTCAATCAGGATGTGAATGTCTTGTGGTTGACAGTACGTAGACGCCTTTCGCAACCAGGTAAGCTGTCGCAATGGCAACAAAGGGATGTAGAAGCCTGCACGCAGCCTAGCTCGCCGCCCTTCCTCTGTGGTGATCATGACGCTGCGTACAATCAGCAGAGAAGTATTTCACGTCAAGCATACAGATCATTCGTGAATATCCTGAACGACTCCCACGAGCATGACCATCATGCAGACCGATACCAAACAGGAAGCTCTGAAAGAACCGACCTCTACGGAAGGAGACTCATCATCCATCGTGGAGTCCGCGTCGGAGATCTCAACAGTGATCCACGAGCATGAATCATTCGAAACCTTCCAGCACAAGGTGTATGCCCTAGGCACTGAACTCGGATTACACTTCAAAGACGTTACAAGGATCGATGGAGGCTACAACAATCGTATCATCGCTGTTACGATTCAAGACTTCCCAAGCAAAGCAGGAATCCAAGACACCCAAGCTATCTTGCGGATACCACGTGGTGATAGGGAACTTGACGCTGATGGTGACATAGTACCTGTCGTCATAACAAGCGATCCCAGGATCTTGGATGATGCGGCTGTCCTTCATCTTCTTGCAGGGCGCGTCCCCAAGGTTGCAGAGGTGCTTGGATTCGATAGTACGCTTGACAATGCTATAGGCTTTCCCTATACCCTGTACACCCGAATTTCTGGTGTTAATCTGGCATCTGTCCTGGACGAGATACCTATGGAAGATATGGCTGTCATCGCGTCAGAATTGGCTGAATTCTACACAAGGTTGCAGGATATCAAGTTCCCTGTCTCTGGCAGACTTCTCCACGATGATGATAAGGAGCCTCTTCTTACAAAACTACCGCCGGGACCATCAGAACGCGTTGAGGCTACGATGGAAGTGGCTGTACGCGGCTTTCTCCAGAATAGCGGCTGGGACGATGAGAGAGATGGCCCTACCATTCCAGTCACATCTTCCTTGTACAAGCAGTTTGAAGTTGGTATTAAGCATGCACTTCGACCTCATGAAGGATACAAGCCTGGGGAATATGACTTCCATGCAGAATTCCGCGACAAACTCAACAGTATGCTCCAAGAAATGAAGAGCATGGGGTGGTTCGACGCTGATGAGACAACCACCACTGACAGTGTGCTTCATCACTGGGGCTGCATGCCTCGAAACATTACGGTCGAACAGCGTGAAGATTCCTCTTGGCACCTCACCGGTATCGTTGATTGGGACGAGATTGACTGCTTACCACCTGTCCTGACACGCAGGCCCCCCTTCTGGCTTTGGGATCGGCTCGATGATGATTTACTGCCCGAAGAGATGCAAAGATACAAGGACGACGACTTCGACTTTTTCCCTTCCGAGGTTAACTCTAAGCAGTTGACCGCCGCAGGCGCGAATATCAAGGAAGTCTTCGAAAAAGCCATAATTATGAAATGCTCCTGAAGTTATTGAGGAATCTGGATAAACATCGTACTTTCATACTCGTACATCGTCTCGTACTGTATCATAAAAAAACAGCTCGAAAAGGGTATCATCTCTACCACGCAACAAGTCTACTGCACAATCGCCCTCAATGCCTGCAGCAAAACACCGAACACAACACCCTTCCCAACACCATCAACCTGCAAACAATCAAACACCCTCCCCAGCGCTTCTCCACTCGCCGCGGCTCCCATGACAGAAGTCAACGCAGCGGGCATACCCCTCTCAACTAGCAAGCCTCGCGCCTTGACTCTGAGCGCCTCCTTCTCTTCAGCAGTCATCTCTTTCGGCCAAGCCTTCAATTCTTCCTCTGTAGGCAGAGAGTTCTCTCGTATCTTGAGAACTTGAGCTGCGATGGAGGAGTCAGAGGTAAAGGTCTCAATGACGTTGGTCTGTATGAGCTGGCGAATGGCTTCGAGTTGCGGGTTTCCAGGGCGGAGGAGGAAGGATTTTGCGGCGTTGAGCAGAGTACGGCGGATGTTCCATGCTGAAGACAAGGTGTAGAGTTCTGTGATGACTGCGAACATCAACTCGACGGCGACTTGAGTCTCTTGTTCCGAGATGGGAGGTGTGGTCTTGGTCGGTTTCGCTGCGGCTGGAGTCGTTGCTGGAGTTGGTCTTGCGGAGGTGACTCTTGCTGGTGTTGTTTCGGGAGATCTGGACGTGCCTCGTGATCTGATGCCTGAGGTTGGGTAGCTCGATGCGGGCGCGGGGGCGTCGGGAGAAGCATAAGTCATGTCATCGATGATTCTGGCGGGCTGAGCCGATACTGCGGTTGGCGAGGCATAGTCGTCAGGGATATCGGACGGTGGAGGAGGAAGGTGAAGCTCAGTGTCAAGCTTGGACAAGCCAGCCGATGACGAAGTACGACTGTACTCTTCACTCCTTGTGCCTTGGTACGAGGCACGAGGAGATGATAAGCTAGGTCGGCTTCTCCGGTCGACAGATTGCTCAGCTCTGTGGATTGATTGAGCAGCTGACGGGACACGCTTTGACAGCGACGTAGTGCGGGACAGCGGCGCAGGCACACTTCGGGTACTGTCTGTGCTCTGACGTTCGACACCGACATTACCCATGCTGCCCATATAGCTGTCCTCGAGAAAGTTGGCAGGGTTCAGCGAGATGGACGAGCGGCTGGCATTGTGGTTCGAGGCGACAGAATTGCGCTTACCACCTCCGAGAATGCTCGTGACACCGCCGAATATTGCCTTACCGCCCCCGGCAACTTGAATGGGAGCTTTGGTCAATGTGTCCATCATGCTCTTGCCCATCTGATCAAAGGCAACTGGAGTTGGCCATCCGAAACCCTTACTGCCACCCGGAGAACGAGAGGCACCGCCGTCTTTGTCCAAGAAGCGCTTCATGCCCTCACTCTCAGCAAGTGGTTGCAAGCGAACTGCGTCGTTCAGGTAGCGTTCGAGGTCGTTTCTCAAAGCGTGCTTGGTATTGTTTTTCCATGTTGGCAGATTGGAATGAGAGTCGGTGAAGCGAGTGCCTGTGATGACGGAAATGCGACGGAGGACTTCATGCAAAGTTTCGAAGTCTGTATACTTGCGTACAATCATCCAACCAGGGAAGCTCGAAGAAGTAGGCTCGATCTGAATCATGTAGTCAATGTTGGGCTTTGATCGCATGACGGTGCTGTTGCCCGGCGACGCATCGTCAAAGATGTTGATGGATGCATTGTGTAGAGTCAAGACCGGCGGTGGCTTGAGACGGAGCTTGTCTTCTTGGCTAGACAGAGCAGTTGGGCTTGTGGCGGGTAGTATCTGATCGAAGCTGGTGAATGGCTTTCTTGAATCTTCTGATTGTCTCTCGGTCGACTGGGCAGTAGGTGAAGCTCTTGAAGCCTCTGACTTTGTAGTGTCGTCGGCGTCACCTTGAGACGATGAGGGAGTCATGATGCCTTGGGTGGTGGTTTCAGATATATCGCCGCTGCTGCCAAGAGTAGACGAAGCGTTGTTTGACCTCTTTGCTTCTTCTTCAGCGATCAGCTGGCTAAGCCTCTGCGCTTCTCTCATAGCCTCGTCCATGGCTTCCTCGGCCTTGTTACGACTAGCCTTGCGTCGGTGCTCGCGAACGGCTTCAGGGCTGGAAGCTGGCTTCTCGGCTTGCTCGTCGACGGCGACTTGCTTCTTTGACGATTGGCCGTTGACAACAGCAGAACCTTCGACGCCAGCATCAATGACCTCCATGAGCTCAGGCTCTCCGTCTTCAAGCAGGTAGACGATCCACTGGTTGATGAATTCTGGCTTTGAGCAGCTGTCGACGGTCATGGACAAGACCAGCTTGGCCAGAATCTGCTTGAGGAAGATGTGGGCAGGGGCGCTCATGTATGTCTTGTTGTCGAGGTACTTCAGCAGGATGTCATTGGCGACAACTTTAAGCTTCTTCTCTTGATGTTTGGCGTCCATGATGCTCGCGAGACTGCTCTCGGGCTTCATTTCGAGGTAGGCATGGACGGCGTCTTCGGAGGTGGCATTGGGTGAGGCGTTCAGGGCGGCGGCGAGTTCATTGAGGAAGACGATGACGATCGAGGACGAGTTGGTAACAAAATCGAGGAACGTGTCAACGGGGCGCTTTCGAGAGAGGTGGTTGGAGAGGGAGACGAGGAAGCTGACGAGAGTCTGGCGACAGGCTGCCGGGAATGAGTCTTCGCCGGGCAAAACAGGTGAGTACCACCAACTACATGAAGTCAGTCAGCAGTGGAACGAGAGTGTGCGAGCATGTGCTTGGACATACGTGACATAGTCGCGGATGATGGCGTCTGTAAAAGCACTCAAGGCGGCAGCCGTGTCTGGACGGAAGGTCGAGAAGTCGCTCTTCTTGAGGGCCAATGGCTTGATCTCAGTGTCGTCGTCGTCCGTGTCTCCGGCGTCTGTCTTGTTGTCGTTCCATTGCAGCACGCGCTGGACGACCTCTAGACCAATCTCCCTTCTCTTCTTCTGCTCAAGCTCCTTCGCACCGAGTCTGTCAGCCGACGAGTGCGCAGAGTCCCATGTCGCATGCAGTGCTATACCGCCGACCACACCAATCAACAACAGTCCAACTCTTCCCAGGATGAAGTAGGTCGTGGCACCCAGGCCGACCAGACATGCTCCAAGTGTTTCGTTGCTCGCGTGCGAGATGAAGCGTAGAGCTCTGTCGCTTATGTCTTGGATCTGTATCGTTGCAGCTGAGCCTGTGACTGCAGCTGACTTTCCACCATCGTTTTGGCCATGGTCGTTTTCATCAACCGTCACCTTGTCGTGAACAGGCGTGTCATGCTCTTCATTATTCTTATTGTTGATATGCTTCATAGCGTCATCCGTAGAAGCCGGCTGTGCTGCCATCGCTGTCGCGTGTTGGTTATCGTCCATTGTCGTTCATGCAAGAAACTTCATCCAAGGAAGAAGTTGCTATTTCATTCTTTCCGCGTAAATGATAATTATAATTATAACAGACTCCTGAAACCGTCGTACAAACGGCTGTAACTGTCCAACATGCATCTACGATGCTCATGCCCAAACCCTCTCCCTGACTTCCGGAGTCTCATCATTCGCCGCTAAACGTCTGTGCGCTGCGGGGCTTGGCGTGCGTCGCCAGCAGTGTGACTCCTTCCACAATTTTCGATCTGCCTATACAGCTGTTGTTCGCCCTTGCCATATCAGCTGTTTCTTATCGCATCGCGCAGTCCGCAAACATGCCAGCCCCCAACATGATTCCGACCACCGATGCCGAAAGGCTCGCACTGAGTATTCATCACCTATCTCGTTTACATGGACAAAAATCTCATTATTCCGATAGTCTCCCACAACCTTCAGGAGGTCATGAACATTGAAATTCTGGAGAAGGTCTACCAAGAAGGCAGAACGTAGGTCAACAAGGCGAATATCATTATGGCGAGCAGGATTCCTTGGCATCTCTTCCTCGAGCTATATGCGGCTCTTCCGCAGGTGTTTCCCATGTACCGCGAGGACTATTCTTGATGTTCCTTTTTATGAGCTTTGCGCGAGCTACGGAAATGCGGGGATATTAGCGATCTCTTCAGACGCATCACCAGATCTTCGGAAATAGCTCAGGAAGGATAAGAGGAACGGAGAACAGAACACTTCTGCTCGCCATGATTAACCTCACATTGTGGCAATCGACTAACATGTACCAGCCCTTCAATCTACTGGGGTACTGCTACAACTGGTCGTCCCCATTGTGGTTACCTTGTCCCTGCGATGCAAATTGCTTCCTTCCGTAGGTCTTGAGGCCCTTTCTGACAGTCTCAGCACTAAATTCTTCTAGTTCAGGCCGGCTGCAAAGTCAAGATTTTGCTCGCTGATGTGCGTTCTTCTTGAGACTTTTTGTGTGATCAGTATGCTGATGACCAGGAAAGATTCATGGCTTCCTTGACAACTGTGAGTAACCCTAAAGATATCCGCAAATGTGGAAAGGCAACAGTGTCATGGATATTCTTGCTAACAAGAGCGTAGTGAAGGTATGCTCATTGCATTGTGCTCTTTGAAGGACCAATCTAACTCCTGTCAAGGCTCCCATTGAGCTGGTCAAGTACCGTGCCGAATAGTACGTGCCAGAATGCGTGTACGATCATTCCGAAGTCTAATCGTCTTGTAGCTACCGTCACTGCATCACGAGTCTTCTCAAGGCTGTTGGAGTTTCCACTGACAAGTAAGTTGATCTTTGTTCTAGCGCCTCGGGAGCAGATGAATCTTCCAAGACGCTCCTCTGGCCATGGTCTTCGCATTCCTCAGTCGAGCAGACTTAAACTAACATTCTAAATAGATTGGAGTTTGTCCTCGGTTCTTCCTACCAGTAAGTTGCTATGACGTTGCACGTGGTGGTGTCAAAAATCTCTAGATTCCGTGTGGAGCTAAGCTTATTGGCATTACTGGCTGCAAATGGCGATGGAGTGTATATTGCTTCGTCGCAATCTCGAACACATTACTGACAAAGGGCAGACTTACCCCTGAGTTCAACATGGACATGGTACGCAGATCAAGATGAACACCTTATGTTCTCGATTCTCTCAACGGAGCGGTCCATGGGCACGGCCTCATCTCTGGCTCTTCTCGAATAGCTTCACTGACCACGTATTCTACCAACAGTACCGTCTCCACTCCGTTGTCTCATCACACGACGCCAAGAAGGCTGGCGCCGAGGTCGTCAAGCAAACTGGTGTGTGGATTCGAGCTTCCAGGAGAGATTATCAAGCTGACAATTGAACAGACAACGCTCCTCTGAGTGCACTCATCGTATGACTCGGATCAGATAGGCTCTCAAATTTTCCTGACTAACATGGATATAGTACCCCATCATGCAATGTCTTGACGAGCAGTGTAAGTCTTTCGCCAATCCAGAGACCGTACATCAGCACTGACATGTTCCAGACCTTGACGTGGATGCTCAGTTTGGTGGTGTTGACCAGAGGAAGATCTTTGCACTGTGTAAGTCTTAAGCCGTCTACTTCCAGTATGACGAGGATTGCTAACAACTTGCAGCAAAGGAGATTTTGCCCAGAGTAGGCTTCAGACAACGCGTGAGTATATCAACGAGGGGGCGCCAGGACGTATGAGCGAGATTGGTATCCGAAACCCTCAACGTCACCTGCTAAAAAAATCATCAATCTGGCACCCACCGGCTCGCATCTTATGCCGAACTTCTGCTAACGTAATGCTTCAGGCACATCTCATGAACCCTATGATTCCAGTGAGCATCCCCCTTGAACTCTTTCTATCGTGTGCGTGCTAACATCTCGTCAGGGTCTTCAAGGATCAAAGATGTCAAGTTCGGAGCCCGAGTCCAAGATTGATCTTCTTGACTCTGCCGAAGTCGTCACCAAGAAGCTCAAGAAAGCCGTACGTATCATTTTCCTAGTCTCATGTCTTGATTTACTCCGTCGTCGAGGCCGCACTAACTCTGCTCTCTGAAGGTCGCTGCTCCCAAGATCGTTGCCGACAACGGTATCCTCAGTTTCGTAGAGCACGTACTTCTCCCCTTCAGTGCTCTCCAAACCGGCGAGCCGAAGTTCGTCGTCGAGCGCAGGGAAGGCGAGCCCCTCGTCTACACAACCATCGAGAAAATGCACGAAGACTACGCCAACGACATCCTCTCTCCTCAAGCACTCAAGCCCGCCGTCACAGTCGCGCTCAACAAGCTGCTCGCACCCATCCAAGCAGACTTCCAGAACAGCGAGGAGTGGCAGAAGATTGAGAAGCTCGCTTACCCTCCTCCCCCTGCCCCTGAGAAGAAGGTCAAGGTTAAGAAGGATAAGGGTTCAAAGTTCCCCGGTGCCGCCAAGAAGGATGTTGTCGCCCAGCCTGATGGTCATGTTGAGGGTCCTGGTAGCGCTGAGGTGAATGTCGGCAAGGCTGAGGAGGCCCTCAAGAATTTGGATGTCAAGCAGGAGTAGAAGTCTTGCTCCTGGTTGGAGACTTTGCAAAAATAAAAGATTTTGCGACGCGCTGATAGTGTGTTGATTACATATCAGAATAAAAGGTAGACTGACGCTTGCACTGTCATTCCAGACTCTTCCGAGTAGCCGTGCAAACTTGGCCACAGTCATCGCTTCCTTTGCATGTCACGTAGTGATCAGTGTCATCGTTTCGCTCTGGTCGCGGCAGCTCACGAATACTGTCAGTGTCTAATTGCCTCGACCCGAATGATACATTTCGTTTCACTTCGACTCTCGACAACGAGAAGATGAGACTGTTACTAGCCTGTTTCGATTACCAAGGTAGGAGACTAAAAAGTCGCAATATCTCGGATAGTTTTTTGGCGATTGCGTGCTCAAACGACAACTTTACGTGACAGGCGGGGTTATCCCATCACACCTTTACCTCTTCTGCAGCAAACATCACTTTTCGATTCAATTGCGACATCTATACTCGTCCCGTTTCGTTGTGTCAATTGTCCTTATCTAAGCATTTTGTGGAGCTTGAGATCCTTCAAGAGTTGCGTGATGGATCTTTGCCCTGGAGGTGGAGATGTAAATATGGGTAGGTGCCTGGGTTGGTCAGTATTTGTATTTTCGCTACAGTAAAGAGAGGAGTAGTAGTTGACAATCATGGATGTCAAAACTGTTGCTATTGTAGGTGCGGGTGTTAGTGGCGTTTCCTCTGCTGTTCATCTCAAGAATGCTGGGTTGGATGTCACGGTGTTTGAGCGTGGGGACGTCGCTGGAGGTGTTTGGTATGTTCTTTCACTCCTTTCCATCTCTCCCAACGGATTCGAGTTGCTCGAAATCTGTGGCCAGTGGAGTATGAAGCTGACTAGTCGACATCAGGGTGTACAACGATCGTACAGCGATAGAACCTTCATATCCATCCACGATACCTTCGACTGGAGACTCGCCGGCTTTCGACTCTTTACTCAAGATCAGCAACCGGGGGGAAAGAAGAGATAGTCCAGTTGATCATGAATCAATTGACGCGACGAAAAAAACCGGCAAGGATGATTTGAACATTCTCCATGCACCGCCAGGGTAACGTTTTTCCTTTTCCGCTTCCCATCACAACATACTGACAGTCAGCAAGACCTTGCTATCAAGGTCTTCACAACAACGTCTCGACACCAGAAATGAAGCTTCGCATTCACGGTTGGAAACCGAATACTCCCGATTTTGTCCCCCATGACGTCTTGGCGAATTATATCCAAGACACAGCCGCTGCGAATGATATACTCCCCAGCATCTCTTTTCGAACACGGGTCAACAAGATAGAGAAGAAAGATACGAAATGGGAGGTCAATGTGTCTAGACTCGTCAATGGCGAAATTGAGACGTCAAGTCAGGTAAGTGACTGCAGCCTGGTAGAAGAACACACATGGGCACAGAGCTAACATCAAACAGCATTTCGACGCCGTGATAGTAGCAAGTGGACATTACCATGCTCCCAATATTCCAGATTACCCTGGTGTCTCATCTTGGAAAACCGCTTTCCCTTCCCGGATAAGCCACTCCAAGGTCTATCGCTCACCTGCCTCTTTCGCCGGACAGAATGTCCTCGTCATCGGCGCTGGGGTCTCAAGTACAGATATTTGTCGCGAACTAGGCCCTGTCGCGAACAAGGTGTTCCAATCAAGTCGAGGAGGAGAATACGATCTACTCCCATCCATGTTACCGGAGAATTGCACACGCATTGGCGCAATAAGGTCTTTCTCCTCCCTCGCCTCTCCAGATCTCGAAGATGGAGATGCATTACCAGGCACCATCACTCTTTCTACCGGCGAGCAACTCACCAACATCCACCATGTCATCCTAGCAACAGGCTACCACATGTCCTACCCTTTTCTCTCCCTCCTCCACTTCGACGATCTCTTACCTCATCAAGCGTCGGAGACCGCTCTCGTCACAACAGGGCAGATTACGCATAACCTGCACAAAGATGTTTTCTATATCCCTGATCCGACCTTGGCGTTTATAGGTGTCCCCTACCATGTAGCAACGTTTTCATGCTTTGAATTCCAAGCGATGGCGGTGGCTGCAGTATTTTCTGGTTCTGCGAGATTGCCGGTGGAAAGAAGTATGAGGAAGGAGTATGTTGAAAGGGTCAAGAGAAAAGGGGTGGGAAGGGGTTTGCACTCTTTGAAGGATGATGAAGGCGAAGTCAAGTATGTGAGGGAGATGATGGAGATTGTGAATCAAGGGAGAACTGAGGCGGATAAGGTGGAAGGACATACGCAAGAGTGGTTTAGAGCGTATGAGAAGAGGCTGTTGAGGATGAAGCAGACCAGAGGGGCCAAAGAAGAGAAGGAAGGAGCGGAAGAGGCGCAGGAAGGAGGTGTGGGACCGCTGGAACAAGTGTAGGGGATCTAGAAATCTCTTGTCCGCAATTTAACCCCTCGCAACAAAGATGATAACAGACTCTTTTACAGGTTCACTTCTTCTTGGCGAGTCTAACACGCCATTGTATTGTCGCTGATAGTCTTGTTGCTGATAGTATTTTTGCTGTTAGCATTGTCGCTGTCGCTCCGCGTGCAATTCCCGCTGTTCGACATGTCCGGGAGGGTTGGAAACGACAAATTTGCATGAGAATAGACGTTTTGGGACGATATGTTCAATGGCGTCGTACATGGACCGCCATGATATATGTGAAACTGAGAACATCCCCGTCTCTCGTTGGCCTGATAGTACTGAGTCGAAGTAATGTGCGCGTTGTCGAATTGCAGAAATTGCGAAGTTGATTTTGAAGTCAAGTTGTGGAGCAAATCTGAGTGTTAAAGGATATCTGGGACGAGTTGGGTGGATAATTTTGATTCTGTTCTTCAGATGGTGTACTATGATATGCGATCCGATGCGAAGGGCCGGCACCGAGCACCATCTTCCGAAGTAGGATTAAAGTTCCGACTAGCGCGCGCGGTGATTACATAAGCACTGCCTCTGCTTCGCCGACCCCATACCATCCACATGAGTCACTTCATGCGACAGTATTGCAGCACAATCACGTTCCGGACACGGAAATAGAGCAGGACCAATGACCAACAATCGGATCAATCCGTGGTTGTACGCCGGGCTAGCATCTTCTTTCCCGAACATTGAACGAGCAGAAAACAACAAAACAAGAATATGTCTGCCAACACCAGACCCCTGGGACTCGCCAAGAGAAGCACCACCTCAATCCTGCAAAACATTCACAAAACCTGCTGAACCCTCATCTGCTACACCACTAGACGAGACACCAATTTCTGAAGCACAACAGAATTCAATCATGGTTTTCAGATACAAGGAAAGGATCTATGCGATTGAGCAGGCTTGCCCACATCAAGCTTACCCATTGACAAGAGCCTCACTATCAGATATCGAAGATTTTGGTATCGTTTTGAGTGTCGGAATCACTTGTCCGAAGCATGGGTGGACGTTTGACTTGCATACAGGAGAGGCGGATGTGAGTCGTTATAAGCTGGGGCTCTATGATGTTGAGTCGAGAAGAGGGGAAACCGGCGAAGAACAGGTCTGGGTCAAGAAGAAGGAGAGAAAGCGAATTGGATGATATGGTCTCCGAGATGGATGTGGACCGTGCAGTTTGTCGCGCGAGAAGTGCACCGCCTTCGCCCTCATCTGCATCACGACCCGAGCCCTTCGGCTGGAGGAAAGTGTTTATTGTGCGGCCTCGCACTGTCTATATCCCCGCCTAGCGAGCCACAAATCTGTTTCTGGTACAGCAGGACTTACGAGTGCAGTCCAAGAACACGCGCGAGATGGTATTGACCGCTGCTCATCTCGAAGTATCGTGGTATCTCGGACAACGATATAGAGAGATTGGCTCAGCACCACCGCACTGGAGACGAGCACACCGTGCTTTCAACCCACTCATACGGCCGGTCACACAGCCAATTCTGGTATCGGCTCAGCGAGGGCCTGCGCAATCTTCAAAGTCGACTCGTTGAGTTCAGTTGATCTTGTCATCTTTCGATGGCTCGGATTTTGTTGCCATCGCTGACACTGATTGAGCCAGGGATATCGGCGATTGGCTTGGCATATGGTCTGGAGATTTATTACTTCTACGCCCAAACGCTTTATACTCAAGGCCAGTGGGCAATACTTCGGACACACCCGGCTCGCAGTAACATGGATGGCATTTGAATGTGTTTGGATCGGAGACAGCTTGCCCTTCGATATTCAGTCAGCATGTTTCCCATAGACAAATTGGCTGACATAATATCTTTGTCATGATATCGAGACCTCCGACACGGTCGCGAGTAGTGTACAGAGCCTTTCAGACAGGCCATCTTGTCCCTGTATGTACATAATGCTCGAGAATCATAGACTGCTTCCGAGTAAAGCCGTGCCGATTTGATTGCTGGCCTTGACAGCGAAGCCAAGACCCAGCGTATCGAAACAGGCATCATGAACATCCACGGCAAGGCCACTCGGGAGGCTGAGAATCAAGATGGGCATGAGTGTGTTTTCGGAAAGACTCTGAACAGCTGGTCTTGTTGAAGGATCCAATGGACATCAGATAGATATGCGCAATCGTGTTTGATCAGGATGTTGTTCTCCGGCGCTCAACGCCGACACGCCAAATCATGGCGGCCCAAGCTTTTTCACGCAAAGTGGTAGTGCTCCACGATCGCTCCTCGACAAAAGATTACTGAGAGCTCCAAATATGCGCCCGGCCTTTCTCTACATTTGGCTCTACTCAAAAAGAAGGTAGCATCCTCAGAGAATGCAAAAAGGACGACGCCTGTGTGATTCGAACACACGCTCCCGAAGGAAATGCCTAAACTTTACCGCTGGATAATAGCAGGGCATCGCGTTAACCACTCCGCCAAAGCGCCTTGAGTTACTCCCGAGATTGGTTAGATCGTGAAGTTGGATGGGGGTTTGCGCAATTTGTAGATAGATATCGCCTCACCCGCAAGGTCTGGCGTTGATGGACATGGAAACCTCGACCGGCGCCTGTGCTAGTAAGGTGCAGACACCAAGGTCAAACCAGAGTCTCATCGATTGTAGTGACGCAGGTACATATCGTGAAATTTCTCGTGCAGATTGTCGTAGAAGTTGCGCTGAAAAGCAAGAGAAAAACAATGGAGAGAAGTTTTGTGCAGCTCGAAATTTTCTTTCCCGACCTTTGCCAGCGGCACAGATTAACTTTCAGGCCACCACAGCCCTTGACCAATGCTAGAGAAGCCATTGTGCGATGACAGCTTTGGCATCCAGGAAGTTTCACAGCGCTTGGTGTCTCATGAACGATGGCGCATATTCATACTTGGCAATGCTTCACTTGGTACAAACAGGGGTTGGGACCTGAGGTTGTGATCAACAACATGTCCAGAGAGAGCCTTTGATCCCATGTTGATGACCTCTTGAACGACCGATCTGGATCTTATGAGCAGTGCTGCAACGAGTATGCGCGGTGTTCCAAGACAAGCGACTTGAGATATGAGCGATCGGCTCTCGAGCATAGCGGTTATGCTCCTCAAGATGGACCGTGACGATAACATCAGCACAAAGGTGGTCTTCTTCGTCCTAGAAAATTCGGAAGAAGTCATCCATAGGACGAGACAAATTTTCCAAAATTTTCCATCGATTCTTACCGCTTGGGGATATTTGATCTATCTCACGAGCATATTATCGCTGCATACACAACGCCCGCAATAGCCGATACCGAGCGAAAGCGGGGTGAGTCACTCCAAGCCATCATACATCCTGCAATAACACACGTCGAAACATCCCCGTCCAGTATATCCCCTACCCTGTCACCTCTTCATTGATCAGAAGAACGCCCTTAGCCAAGATGGTCAGATTCTACCCATCCCTCTCGCCGGACCTAAGCGAATGGTGCATGTCACAGCCTCTCTTTTACATTGCCTCAGCTCCTCGTTACGGAGACCACATCAACATCTCACCAAAAGGTCTCCCATCAACAACATTTTCCATTCTTGGCCCCAATGAGGCAGCTTACATTGATGCAACTGGTTCTGGAGCGGAGACGATTGCCCACCTATATGAGAATGGACGATGTACGATTATGTTTTGCTCATTTGACAAGTCCCCGAGAATTTTGAGATTGTTCTGCAAAGGCAGAGTGGTCGAGTTTTGTGATGACGAGTTTGGACCTTTGACAAGGCAAATGGGAATGGAAGTGCCTGTTGGTGCAAGGGCAGTCATTGTGTTGGACATCTTTAAAGTAAGCCTCCCTCTGGATGATGTTTAGTACAGTAGCGTCCAATGGTCTTTCCTTGCTGACTCTTCTCAGGTCCAAACATCATGCGGCTATGGTGTACCTCTCCTCTCAGAGACTGAACAAAAAGGACTCCTCGATCGCGACACACTAGGACACTGGGCTGGAAAGACGGTCTCTGAGAACAAGATGGTCGACTACCGCGCCAAGAACAACGCATACAGTCTTGATGATCTGCCTGGCTTGAAGGCTGGAAGAAGGACAAGGGGAGAACGAATATGGATCGGTGATGCTCGAGCTTACCTAATGAGATTGTGGCATCAGATGGATGCCATGATCATCGGCTTTGTTCTAGCGTTTGTCTTTATCGATTTACTGTTCATGTCCGGCGTTCGGATCAATGGAGTATTTGCGGACTGGAGCTGATCGAGTTGTTTTTCGAGAGTAAGGGTAGTGGAGATGCATCTTCACTCCGAGTCTCCAGGCTAGGCTGTAGCAGACCATGCCTTGATCGGACGCTGACCGAATCGTCTAGATTTCACTTCAGCCTTCTAGAGAGGGATTACTCGTCTGACCGTTCGTATGGATTTCCACCCTTTTTCTTTCCGGGTCGATCATCAAGTCGAGCTTATGCCGTGTAAGGACTGCTGCGAAGTTGTCTCAGAAGTGTGTTGCAGCAAACTCCAGATTCTTTCTTGAACATGAATTATTCTACAACGTACAACACTTTGACATTTCTGCATACGTTACGTACTCGGAGATGTTCTCGTGAGTTCCCCATGGCATCGAGCTCCCAATTCCTTTCGCGCAACACTGTATGACAACTCTGCACTGCAAAAGCTCGATTTCGGATTTACCTCGAACGAACTCAGTTTCTTTCTTATTCAGCACTGCGAGTATCTCTGACCATAGCACTTGAACCTGTTGCTCGACGTTCTAGCGTCGCTTCCACTGCAAACACCGCCAGCGGTCAACGCATTTCTCAACAAGCACCACAAATATGAATGATCACAACAATTCCAGCCAGACGCAGGAAGCGTCCAGCGACGCTCTCATGAGCGGCGACGGCAATGACATCGAAACGATTGACACACCCGTTCTGTCAGACCATCTCCGCGCTACGCTCAAAACTCCCCCCAAAGACATTCGCGACAGAACCAACAGCGGCATCAAGAAAAAAAGATCTCCCACATACAGTACGTCCTACCACCTACTCCACATTGTTCCCATCCCTCTTCTTCTTACACCATTTCAATCTCTCGTTGTGCGCATCATAATCCTGACACCAACACAGCACACGCTATTCCTCCATCGTCCTTCACGCTTCTGCCAACAGACATCCGTGCAAATATCTTGCTCCAAGCAATGGAGCCTGCCACATCTACCCCTGCTCCTGCTGTCCAGACTTCAGGCGTCAAGGACAACGCTAATCCTGCCATTGACACCACTACTTCGCTTCTTCATCTGAACAAGCAGATTCGCAACGAGATTGGAGCTTTGATGGTCGCAAAGGAAAAGGTCATCTCTGAAGACAAGACCGAGTCTGTCGCAAAGAAGGAGATGGACGAGATGAGCGCTTTGTTGGAGAAGAACTTGAGTCTTCATGCCGAGATGGGTGGAGATAACACTGACTTAGAGGGATTGATTGCTGAAGCTAGGAAGGAGTAGCATGTAGTCTCGGGTATCGACAAGTGTCACAAGCAGTTGGAGCAGAATTTGAGAGGTTAAGATAGTGAGGATTGCGGGCTGCAGAACGAAGATCATAGCGCGGGCCCTACCAGCTTTAGGTGCATGCGCGCGACGTGCACTCTGATGTCGCACATCCCAAGTGCCATAGGTCACAGACATCTTTCCGCTTTCTTCTTTCTTTCCTAGCCAGCTTCAAAGTCAAACAGGCTTTCAGTAGCACATAAATCTACACCATCTGATGTATTGATATTCCGGTAGATTAAGGTTGTGTTCTTGACCTCTGGCCACAGTTGTCTTCTGGTGAAGGTGTCGTACAGGGTTGTCCTGACAGCATCGCCTTCCAGCAGATGTCAGCCTACATGTCGCGTTCGTCGCCTGATCAGTAGTTTCATCTGTGCCAGGCATCAAGGGATTTTGACAGATCAGTCTTACAATGTGTCGTATATAGGCCTCAATCACTTTCACGTAGTTAGAACTACTCCAACCAAGTTGGGGTACAGCCCAAGAAGATTTGGGGTAAGGACCCCTCTCGTGCCACGCCGGCCGAGGACGGCAGATGACGCAGTCGACCCCTCAATTAATTATCAAGGTACCCTTATCGAGAGCTATGAGCTACAAACAATTAGCAAATGTTGGATCTCGGGGGGCTTGAGCTGGCTGGTACTTGAAGTCAGTACCGACCACTCCTCAGATTCCAACCGGTTTGGTCCTTTCAACACTATTCACACGTTTTACGACAAAGCACACAGCAAACATGGGCAAGAAGAGAGTTTTGGTCAGCTACGGTACGATTGGCTTCGAAGCTTGTGAGAGAGATTTGCTGAACAGATATTCCAGGTGTCGACATTGATGCAGTCGCGGGATGGCTGGGCTCATACGGTGGTGAAGACTCCACCAGCGACATCAGCAGAGGTAACTGTTCTCCCTTCTCGAACCTCGGGAGTTATGCTTACAAGGCGATGTACAGGACTCTTTGCTGGCACAGTCGGTGTCCAACGACTGCTCAAGCTCTTCGACAAATACAACATCAAGGCTACCTGGTTCATCCCTGGGCATACCCTCGAGACCTTCCCCGAGGATTGTGCGGCAATCCGAGACAAAGACCACGAGATTGGACTCCACGGTTACAGCCATGAGAACCCGGCGGACATGACAATCGACCAGCAACGCGATGTTCTGGACAAGACATACAAGATGTTGACAGAATTCTGTGGCAAGCCACCAAAGGGCAGTGTTGCACCGTGGTGGGAGACTAGCCGCGAGGGTGCAGAGTTGCTGCTCTCCTACGGCATCGAGTACGACCACTCAATGAGCCACGAGGATTGTCAGATGTACTGGCTACGTACAGGTATCACATTCAATTCCGTAAAAAGCCTCAGAGCACACGACTGACATGCTACTTACAGGCGACTCGTGGACCAAGATTGATTACAGCAAAAAGGCGGAAGAATGGATGAAGCCTCTAGTCAAGGGCGAGGATACTGGCATTGTCGAGATCCCAGCGAATTGGTATATCGATGACCTGCCACCCATGATGTTCATCAAGAAAGCAGCCAACAGTCATGGCTGGGTCAGCGCAAGAGATGTCGAACAACTCTGGATGGACCACTTTGACTACTTCTACCGCGAGCACGACGAGTTCGTCTTTCCCATGACGATTCACCCGGATGTCAGTGGAAGACCGCATGTTTTGTTGATGCATGAAAGGATCATTGAACATATCAACAAGCACGAGGGTGTCGAATGGGTGACGATGGGAGAAATGTCGGATGAGTTCAAGAAGAAGAACTCGCCGCCGCCAAATGCGCTCATGCCAGCGACGAGAGAGGAGGTGGATGCTATGCTGAAGAAGCAGCAGAAGTAGAAGTAATGATCTGCACTGGTAAACGAATTGATTTCTAATGTCAATGATATTAATGCTTGAGCCAATGAGAGAAAACAGAAGTGCCGATGACGGGCTTAGGCGGGATCGGCAGCGGCAGCGGCAGCGGGCAGTCAGAAGCGGGGCCGACAAGCGCCAAAGCTGGGGGGACCCTTGATACAGCGTGCAGGCACCTTCCCTTGCTCCGGATGGTTTGTTCCTTCCTTATTTGACATCTTTCAAGATAGATTTGCTGTCTCTCCTGAATGCGCCATGAAGGAGCGAGAAGTCGACTTTCGGGCACTCGACTATGTGTCGACATACGATGACAACCTCTCTTGCCCCATCTGCCGAAGCGCCTTTGTGGACCCTGTCGTCGTGTCGGACTGCGATCACCACTTCTGCCGCGACTGTCTCGATTATACAAGCAGCTGGAATCAACGCTCTGGCACTTGCCCAATCTGTCGCCGAGCTGGAAGACTGAACGGTTCCGGATCGGCATCGAAGCTCTTGGTCAACATGCTGGATGAGCTCGTCGTCAAGTGCCCAAAGGAAGCCGAGGGATGCGACAAGCAAATCAAGCGAGGCCACTTGGTCGACCACATCAACATCTATTGCCAATACACCTTGGTCGACTGTCCACAACCTGAATGCGAGCTGAAGGTACGGCGCAAGGACGCAGCGCAGTGTCTTCACCAGCCAGTGGCCTGTCTCGCCTGTCGTCAGAACATGACCGTGCAAGATCTTGATGTCCGTCCAATCCCCGTCCCCCTCCCTGTCCTAACTAACTTTGTCTCCCGCAGTCCCATTGGCGGAACGATTGCGCCGACCACCATGTTCCATGCCCTTCCTGCGCCGCCTCGATACCCTACCGCTACCAGAAGACCCATCTTGCCCTTCACTGCCCAGAGACGAATGCCGCCTGTCCTGCTCGCCAGTTCGGCTGTCCCTTCAACACAAAACGCAAGCATCTACCGAGTCATGCCCTCATGTGCTCCCTGGCCAAACTCGCCCCTTACCTTTCCGCTCAACAACAACGTCAAGATGAACAAGACCAAGCCCGTCTGCTGCAAGAGAAGAAGCTAGCAACCCTGCAACAAGACCTCGATTACTACAAGATGCAGCCACAGCAAGAAAAGAGAGTAGCAGCTCCACCTGAGGACACGTCTTATTTCGCAAACAATCTCGCCGATTTCGAGCTGTCAGACTTCGAAGACTTCCAGCCTCACGCATCGCCGACACAGCACCTCCTCTCACTGCATGAAAACCTGCGCGAAGAGGTCTCGCGTCAAGCAAACACAATCCACGAAGTCGATACCAGACTCAGTATGATGCTGTTGAACGAGAACATGCGTCTCAAGGACGAGTTGGCCTACCAAGGTGCTCAGCTTAGCGCGCTCATGCGACAGGTCGGCTGGTTGACAAACGCTCGCCTGCAGTCTGTTCAACCAAACCTCGTCTCGCCCACAGACCCGGCCGATCAAGGTCCCAGCGATTCCTCAAGGATCAACCCGCGTCTGCCTGTCAGGCGCACAACCGACGAAGGAAGGACAAAGCTGTGAGGAGACTAATGACTTATGATGATATGACCTACTTATGCGTATACCCGTTCGGAAATTTCATGCCTTTCCAATTGCTGAATCAGTCTTTCCACATGAGCAAGCGACATGTCAATGAACGCCCATGTTGATGCAAGGGCAACAGGAGAGATGCCTTCTCTTGCATCTTGTTTCAGAATCGCGTTGATTGGAAGCCAATGGCCGTGACGGAGCATAAGGCACTCGGTCAAGGGCTGGCTGGTTATGCATGTCATTCTGCATGTGCTCAGTTTGCGACCCGTTTCTTGTCTCTGTATAAACGATCTACGCCGACTGGTCATGTCTTTTGCAGAAATGGCAACCCCACAGAGCTCCCTTGTTTCGAGCTGGGGTAAAGCGATCCTTCATTTTGATCAACACGTCTTCTTTCTTGTTCCTGCACTAGGAGGAAACTTGTGCGACATCACCACGCGCCTCGGCCAGACCTGCCCTCATGCAAGTCATTCTTGTAATCTGCCTCGTCACCGTCACGAGGCTGATCAAGCCGAGTGACAGTCAGACAGTCAGAGGTTACTCCAATCTTGCAACATACCACCCTGCTCGCTGTTTGTTTGCGCAATTTCGAGTATCTGGGTCCCGGTGCACTTGAATCTCCCATGACACGACAAGCATTGGTACTCCGTCTTTGCATCTCGACCCCTCTTCTTGCGATCACCTCACGACCGTCCAGTAAAATGTCGCTCCGAGTACCCCATCAGTATGCATCTACTCGTACAGTGAGAAGCTTAGCAATGCGACTCCAGAAAGATGTTGCTCACTTCCCGTGCGACATACGCATGCCTCCCTTGCTGCACCGAAATGAGTCAGCGGGCCCTCGACCTCTTGTGAAAGGTCTGGAAGAAATGGCATACTTCTCAGACCAATGACACATGCATACGACCGTACGACGGAATTGACGATATCTCGCGGTATCTTTGCAATATCTGGAGTTCCACTCAATACTGCCAATTTTAGCATCCGTTTGCCTTTCTGCTCACCTCTTCTCATCTTTCTTCACCGCATAGGTTTTGAAGAAGCTATTGTTGGCGGTGAGTGTTGGCAAACAAACAGACGACAATAAAGAGTTGCCCTTCAAATTTCTTTTGGGCTCGGACGCATATTTCATGTTGGGAGCGAACTCAGCCGAGCAACCCTTGTTCCATGCAAGGTTGTGTTGCATAAAGCCAATCACGGCACGCGAGGGAGTATACCGGTGGCATGGATAGGGGAACTCGGGATCAAACCTACTAGCCGTCCAATCAACGGCAGTCTGGCCCTACGCGCCGGTGATATGTGCAATGTACAATGTACCTTCCAACGGGTCTAGCAGAACAAGAGAGAAATTCTGTCTTGACTGATGCCCGAGTTTTGACCAGTCGAGTGCATTTCTTTCTGCTGTTGGGATGTCGAAAGCGTCCTTGATGTTAATGTTGGCGGATATCGCCCAGCGACGAACTTGAGCGGTCAAGCAAGGTTTTGATATCGCAATCTACTCGAGAAATGTGGTAGACGCACCGCACACCAACAGCAAGAGAGGTCTGGAGAAAAGTGAAACTCTGGGGTGCAAAAAAGAATGGTAGGCGCACGGTTTTGACAGGAAGAGGGACGTTGGCCCTTCCCGCCCCCGGAGCCATGTCCTCGTAAAACGTGCTGCTATATAATTTAATAAGAGGCAAGATAGGAGGCTCAAGTAAGACTATACTGGATAGGGCAGCGCAAACAGATCTTTGAGCGTAGGGAGTTTGCATGAACCAACCCTCCCAAACTTTGGCGAGGACAAATAGGCTTGCAACCCAAGGGCAGCAATAACCATTTGGCCTCCAGCAAAGTGAGAGCGGAAAGCGAAATGCGCTGGCTGCCGTATTGGGCTGTCACGAACCGGATCATTCCTGCAGTTGTGGCGTTCTGCATCATCATATCTCACCGTACACGCCACGCGCGAGCCGGCCTCCTCAAAGCACCGGGCAATAGAAAGACACGAAACTTGTTGCGGCTGCTCGCGCGTGGTAGTCACTTGACGCGCTCATTCTCGAGAAACAATTTGAAAGACATGATTCCAGGCAGCATGATAGATTGAGAGAAATCATTGGAAGGCAAGTGGAAAGACTAGAAGAAAGTGATTCGCTTGTGTGATTTGAGTTGTGTGGTGCTTCCCATCACAAAACCCGACCTACCGGAAGCCACGAGCTGTTGGAACATCCTTTCAAAGTCCTCATCTCGGCAGGATCAAGAAGGATGACGGGGGTACTGCAAGGATTAGATTGGCGGCCGCTAACGAAGCTGATGCATGATGCATCCTTGGGAGTAATCAAGGAACAACGTGCAAAGGGTTAGGCAGATTCTGCTGTTCTTGGGCTGCATCTGCACGTAGCCGGGCTTGCTCTTTAGGCGTGTGGTCTCCAACTAAGAGACAAGAGACGATCACAACCCCCCTTTTTCTTACTCGTCGACTGCATTTACGAGTGGAAAAACAGTCTGTCCATTCTTTTGGTCAAAGGAGAAAGAGGGCATATCTTGGATCGCTATCAAGTTTGATGAAATCGCGGACGGCAGCCACGCACAGACATTTCCCCTCCCAGCCACAACAAATTCCCGCACCTCTGGCGAGATTGTGAGGAACGGTTCACGCAAGGCATTCGTGTGCAAGGTGCTGGGCGAGGCCTGCATCTCAGCCATCTTCTCTCGCCTTCGAGTGGACTCGTCTCTTCTCCTCCCTCGAACCCGGTTGTTCAATTTCCTGCTTTTATACTTGCAACGTCAGCCAATCCCTTCCCGTTCTTGTAACCGGTGATCCTTTGCGACAACTTGCGACGCGAACAATAACGATCCGCGTCCTACCGGGAGAAGATCTTTCCTGGACACGACTCTTTCCTCTTTCCTCTCCGCTATATCTTGCAGGAAGCCAAATGTTGGGTGCACAAGAACAAAGACATCGTTCGAGTTTAGAAGCAGTAGCAGAAGAGGCTTCCGGCTCCGACGGTAGACCATAAGAAGCCGGAAGGTTGATCTTCGTTTGACAAGTTTTATATCTCCTTTTATTTCTCTTTTTTCTTCTTTTTCTTCCACTTCGACATGTATCCACCTTATTCGCATTATACGGGTGGGCCTCATTGTAGCACGGGCTACGAGTATCACACATCATCTACGACACCTCCACCGCCTGGCTATGGATACTATTCTCCACGATACTACACGACATCTCCACCAAAAACCTCGGCGCATAAACATACTCGACGAGCAACACAGGACTACTCTTACCCTTCGGCAAAGACGACATACTACTCGTACGCAGAACCGTACGAATACTCCGGATATGCACGCAAACCTGAACATGTAAGTTCAAGTGATCGGTACCCACGGCAAGGCAAACCACAGTCTGGCGCAAGACGCGCATCGACGACGTATGTCTATGCAGATGGCCGCTACTACGCCTATGTGACGGAAGACGAGATTCCACCGGCATACTCGCGCGACCCACGCAAGCACACGCCGCCGCCGCAATACTCCGAGGCTGATGAACACCCTTACTATCAGTCCACACCTCAGCCTCGACCAGAGCCACAAGCAAGAAAACAAAGAGCCGCCTCATACTCGACACCACGACAATCAGCACCACCTCGCGAACAAGCCCCGCCAAAACCTCGTCAACAGCAACATCAACAGCAACATCAACAACAATCACAAAAGACACCACCGAAGCGCGCCACTGCTACCGATCGCGACGCACGAGCAGCAGGGATCCCAGCAGGCTACAACTTCAAAAACTGGGATCCAAACGAAGAGCCGATCCTCCTCCTCGGCAGCGTCTTCGACGCCAACAGTCTCGGAAAATGGATCTATGACTGGACCGTCGCCTTCCACGGTCCCTCGACACCAATCACAGAAATGGCCGGTGACCTCTGGCTCTCCCTAATTCAACTCGCTGGCAAAATCAAGCGTGCCGAGGAATGCTTGCCTCGTGTGCGTCACCGTGATGACCGTGAGATGATTGACGACTTCTTGGATTCTGGAGAGAGGCTTTGGGAGAGGTTTAACAAGTTGTTGAAAGTGTGTGAGAAGCATATGCTCAAGACTGCGAAAAGAGATCGTGGCAGTGACAAGTTGTACATGGGTAACAACTCGGGAAGAGAGTTTGTGGAGACTATTTTTGGCAGGGATAGAGAGTTGGAGAGGACTGAGAAGTTGACGACGGGGATTAGGCTTTGGGGTATGAGATTTGATGCCAATTGTGAGGATGTCTTGCGTTCTTCGAGATGAGGAGGGGTATGACTTTGGACTCGACTACTTCTCTGACCCAATTGCCTATCTCGAACTTGACCGGCATCACGCAAACACAACAGACTCGACATCACCACTGCCTTCTTCACGTTCACATTGATTCCATCACGATATCTTACCAACATCGCAACATCATTGATCAACACAATTACTTACTACCTCGTCAACGCCAATATCCACCATCTCGACGCGCTCGCACAAGATCCACCTATCCATCTCGGTCGTCCCCATCCTAACATCTTCACAATCACATCACACCTCCCACCATCAGAACCAACAACAGCAGAAGTCCCTCATCAACCGGCGCCAGGCATCTTTTCGATTTAACTGCTTTTTATCCAACGGCAAAAGATACCCCCCTTTGCTTTTGTCTTCCCTTGGACATTTTACGCGCGGCGCACCAGCTTTTACCACAAAATGATCTCGTCGCTCACTTTCAACGTTTTTGTCCCCTCCACAATACCCAGGTTCTCTTTTTTTTCGACTTCTTCAACACCGGGACCCCTCCCCGGCATGGCGTCAATTTTTTGGACAGGGCTACTCACCTTTCTTTTGCGTTGGTCTATCGTTTGGAGGAGAAGGAAAATATTGGGGATATCCCTTTTTCATATTCCGTCCTTTCTCTTTTCTCGGGGGCTTCTTAAACATCTTCCATAACGCCTCACGGCAAGATATCTTTATTTTCTGCAATGCGTATAGTTCTTTTTTCTATTGCCTAGTCTTTTGGTTACCTTTTTTTTTGATCACAACTCTTGCCATCTCTTCAACTACTTACTTTCAGGGAACTTCATCTTCCCCATCAATGTCCTTTGTCTTTTTTCCTAACTCCTTTGCAGGAAATATCCCCAACTTGGGCTTGTCGTATGGGGAGTGTGTGTGAAGTCACATGTGATAAGGGCAATCATGCCACTCTTCTGATTGACGTATGTGCAAATGCCCAATATAAAGATGAGCTAAGGTAGCAAGGCTATAAGAGTCATGAGATTGAATACTTATCTGGGTACAGAGTAGTTTGACATGACTACCTACTGAGTGGTATAAGAAGAGGGACGGCCCGTACTAGAGTGCATGAAGCTTGAATCACCTGCCTCGCTACTAGAAGCAAAGCAGAAGGTCGTATGCCACATGGCAAGAGGACGTACATGACATTTGACAAGACACAAGAGTCAGGTGTCCCAAAGCAAGCCTTTCTTCACAGAATCATGCCGTTGCCAGTCATGCATGTCGGCACGTTATCAGGTGCATGAACTGGAGTACCGTAGACGTGGGGTCCAAGCTAGGCGAAAAGATCCGATTCGTCAGGGTGGAGGCAGTCATGGGATTTGAAGTTCATGCGGGTCATGGATGCGGCCACGTGAGGATGAGAAAGCCGATGGTGGTAGAATGTGGCGTAATCAGGAAGTGGCCAAGTCAAGCGATGTGACAGAAGTGCGGTCGGTGTAGCTGATGAGAGCTCGGAGAGGTTGAGAGAGATGGTGAAGTTCGGTATGCGCCAAATTCATCCAGCTCCAAGGTATTTGTCAACTTCATCATTCGAGTAGAACAGAGCCTGCAATCTCTTGTGCTTGCGCTTGTTACTCTGCTCCAGCTTTCTGACCTTGCCAGCGTCCAACTTTTCAACAGGCTTCACTTTATCGGCCATCTTTCTCTTCTTCTTGAGAGTTGGCTCATCGTGCTTCAGGTTGACACCAAGACCAACGGTGTCGCGTTTCTCTTTTGCCTTGACGGGGTGCAGGATGCCTTCTCTCTGCGCACCGAGACCTAGTCGCTCGTCGGGATTCCAGCCGTAAGATTGCAGGATGGAGAGACCTTTGCGGTTTCTGTCGAGGGCCGAAGGAGGATGTGAGTGTGGAAGGGCGATCTGGTGGACAAGCGAGCTGCAGTGCGTGGCCTGGTCGCCTTCATATTGTGCTTTACAGACGGTGCATGTTTTCGGTCCTGTGCTTTCTGTCGTGACATCAGAAGTTATGGGGGGCTCAGAAGAGGCTTTGGGCAAGACGATGGACAGATAACGTTGGCTGGCTGAGAGGGCCGAGGGCGTCGGTGTGCCGGATGTCGCTGCAGTTTCAGAAGTCGACGAAGGCACGAAGTGGACACGCTGACGTTTGATGCCTGCTCCAAAGTATCGCTGGTCTTTCAGCGGCACACTGTAATAGTCTGCATCATCATCCGACATTGTTGACTTGAGCATCAAAGTGGAAGGCACGACGACGACAATGACGTGGCCAGACCTGTGAATTCTGGTCGGAGATTGCGGCTTTTAGATTGCGGCGATGATTCCTCGCTTTCCATCACTTCCGAGTGGCCCCTTGTTCCTTCCTTTTCCAGTACACCAACAAGATGCCTGTTCCGTTAATACAAAAGGCGATTCTGGATGGACTGGAAACAGTGCCCAACTCGGCTGTGCTGCTCAAGCTCCTTCCCGCCGTGCTGGTCATCTACCTGGTCAGGCGATGGTTCCAAGGAGCCACAAACACGTCCGAGAGGACCATGCATGGCAAGGTCGTCATGATCACCGGTGGCACTTCTGGTATAGGTGCTGAAGTCGCGCGCGATCTGGCCACAAGAGGCGCTCAACTCGTCCTTCTTACCCAGCACGCATTGGACGACTTCTTTTTGGTCGAGTACATCGAAGAGCTGCGCGATCGCTCAAACAACGAACTCGTCACGGCCGCCCAGGTCGACCTCACCTCCCTCCATTCGATCCGTCAGTTCGCGACCAAATGGGTCGACAATGCGCCGCCGAGACGCCTCGACATGATTATCCTCTGCGCAGACACTCTCACTCCCAAGGGCGGAAAGATTACAAAGACCGACGACGATGTCGAGATCAACTGGGGCTTGAACTACCTGGCCAACTTCCACCTTCTCAGCATCCTGTCTCCTGCTATTCGTGCCCAGCCACCAGACCGCGATGTCCGCATCATCATGGCAACCTGCAGCTCCTACATTGGCGGCGTCCTTCCGGTCACAGGCAACAAGGACGCAAAAGTCAGGCAGAAAGAAAGAGCAGAGAGATTCGACCCATACTCGGCATACGCGTCGTCCAAACTCGCCATGATGGCCTTTGCCCAGTCCTTCCAGAAACATCTTTCCGTCTACGCTCGTCCCGACAAGAACCCCATGAACGCCCGCGTCATCATCGTCGATCCGGGTCAAACTCGCACCCCCGGTATGCGTCGCTACCTCACCTGGGGCTCTCTCACCGGCCTCTTCCTCTACCTCCTCTGCTATCCTCTCTGGTACATTATCCTCAAATCCCCTTCCCAAGGTGCTCAATCCTTCCTCTACGCCGCCATGGAAGCTCAATGGGGAAGAGGAAACGGCGGCTGGCTTATCAAAGAATGTCGCGAGATTGCTCCTGTGCGAAGAGACATGCTGGACGAAGAGTTGCAGAAACAGCTTTGGGAATACTCTGAGAACATGATTCAGGAGGCTGAGAAGAGAGGTGCTAAGAAGAGGGCTGAAGCAAAAGCAGAGGGCAAAATCAAGCCTGTCGAGACTGAAGCTAAGAAGCCAGAGACGAAGAAGACTGGTAGTCGGAGGAGTAAGAAGGCTTGATGGTCTAATCTTATCATAAAAGTCATTGCATTCTTGTTCAACTCGCAGCCAGTTCTGACTAAGCCTCTAGCCTTGCGATATAGCAGATAGGCTTGAAGCCGTGAACCCAGGATGTCCTGCTGTGTCATCAAAAGTCCAAGAGTGCGTCGTTGTTTAACAAGTTCAGCCAATGTTCCCATGCTTGATTGTCGTCTGCAAGGGAATGCTGGTTGCTTGAGCTGTCTATCGCCGTTGCATTTGGGAGTTGCTCAAGACCGAAAGACTCTTGTAGGCTTGCATCCGTTTGCCATGGTGCTATCGAGCTGCCGTGAAGTTCTGTATTTACGGGTAGTGTCGGATAAGAGGACATGATATCCACAAAATCAGGTGGTATGGATGCCGTACTCGTATTCTCCCTCGATCGTCGACGACTCCACGCAGTCGATACTAGCTTCAAGAGACTGGTACACAAATCTTTGTGCAAAACATTACTCTTCCCAGACAGCAATTCCGGATTATACTGATACGCCAGCGAGACTTGTTTCCAAGCTTCCGTCTCGTCTGTCTCATCGAGGCTATCAAAGGCCAAGCCGTGAAGAACAGGAAAGAGCGCTTCGGTGCAGTAGAAGAGTTTTGTGTGCCATCGATAGCGATCCAGCATTGGGTTACTACAACTTGCATTCTGAGTCTGCAAGAGCAACAGTGCGGTGGCGAAGATTTGGACCTTGTTTTCTGTAGTCGTATCTTCGTGTATTGTGAGCAGACCATGGCAGTGTATCAGAGAGAGTCTGTAGACAGTCGTCTTGATCAGACATCTTGTCACCCTCTGCAGCGGGATAGACCCGTCACAGTAGCTTGCAAACTTTTCTTCTAGAGTCTTTTCTAGTTGATGGATGCCTATCACTTTGTCCTGCTGGCTCCAATTCTCGCTGCTGAGTCGGCGCACAAAATCACCAATCTCGTAGCGTACGGAGCAAAAAGCCATTTCTGTCAAGCCTTGCCTTTCGATGGGAAGAACCATCATATCTGGGTGCAGATCTGCATCATTTAGATTTAAAGGCCTTTTGGTGTCAAAGAGTGTTATGTGAGCTGAATCGGTATTATCAACTCCATCACAAATGTTGGTGAAGTGGCGGTTTAGCAAGTGTATCTGCCACCATAATCGACGACACATTTCTGCTCTGAAGATGGGCATCTCTTGTAGTGTAATTTCGCGGTGAATGCCGAGTCGTTGTGCATATCGTACTGCTACACCTATCACGAGCCAGAGACTTTGTGGATCGCTATGTTGGCGTGCTGCTAGCTTCATTCGAGTCAACTTCAGCGGTCTTTCTTGATAGAACAAGATGGGAGAGAACATACCAGATATAGCACAAAAGCTTGCAACAGTCCATGATCTGATTTTGCCATGAAGTCTGCATGAAGCAAACTTTGCTGGGTCGTGAAGAACAACTTTGATAACAAACGATCTCGTGGAGTCTTCATGAGCTGGAGACAAGTGGCGTTGTCGAGAGACTCGACAGCAGTGAGATAGACAGTCGAGAGCATCGCTTTGGTTTGTGGACTCAGATCTTCTTGCCCTACACCTGTTGCTTCGAGCAGTAGTCTCTGAGTCGTTGGCACATGAATCAAGTTACTGATTGGATTCACATTGTCGATATAGATTTGCCAGAGCTGGAAGGCTTGCACTGGCTCCGGCCAGTACAGCTGTTGTTGAGAGGTCGATAGGGAATTGCCGAAAAGAATGGCTTCGACCCGAAACAGATCACTGTACGTCGAGAAAGTGTTAGTATTGGTAGATCCTCACATCTAACAGATGACTTACCTTGACTCAGGTCCCTGAGTTTCGTCTCGCATTTCACATGGTCCATTGGGAGATCGTGGTGGATTCTGCTCAGCCGGCAATGCGTCATTCATGACATGTTGTAGACCTGAGATACCGGTATCTCTACCAATAAGCCGTCTACGAGTTCCGATGATACGCGCTGATGGCCTTCTATTTCCGGGAAGGCGATCACATACCACTCCAGCTTTCACGCATGAAGCGCAGGGTTGTGTACCGTCACATTTGATTTTGCGTCGCTGACATCGCGCACAACTGTGACCACGAGTGAGAGGGGTACTCGTGCGTGCTGAAGTCGGACTCGGTTGAGATGCATCCATAATGTCCATGGATGTGCGGGTCTAAAAGCAGGCATAAGAGAGCGGATAGCGAAAGTGCGGACAACTGGACACGGGACCGCTTTGTGCCGCCCCGCTCCGCTTCCGTTCGGCCCTTCGGTCAATACATGTATATCAACAGGATTAAATGGTCTGCGCATAGAGCCTACGGTATACGCATAGGATGAATTTCCAAGGTCAGCATAACAGTCAGATCAAGGCATCTAAGTTGCATCTATGGTCCATTCTCAAGAGCACAATCGCGCAACACCTTTCCCCACGCAGGCCTCCGCTGCAGCCTGTCCCACCAAACTCTAACATTCGGTCGGGTCAAGATCATACCCTCCATGTTAAGACGCGGGACCAGTTCAAGCCATGGGATATGGAACATGTCTACCAGGGAAGCTTCCTACAGAAGACACCTTGAATCAGTAAGGGAAGAGGCGATCACTTCGCTCCCGTCTGCACTTACGTTGCCCGTAAGGTAAGTCTGCTTTTGCAGGACTCTATCGTAGTAATCCAAAGCCTCCTCGAACTTGGACTTGGAGGAATTCACCACAGCAATATCAGGTTCTCCGCGGCCCATCATCCTTTTCGTATTGTCAGCGTAAAAGGCCATATACAGAATCCAGGCTGGAGGCACTCACCTCTTGAACATCATCTCATAGGCCAGTATCGAGATGCTAGGCTCAAAGTACGAATACTCGATAGATGCAGCTTGTTCAAATGTAGCTAGGTAGTCTGCACTACTAGCGAATAACAAGAGCGATGAACCGGCAGATGCGTACTTGGCCAGGAGGTATCTGCAAATAGCTCTGGACTCAAATATTTGCATAGGTCCATCCACGAGGGCTGGCACTTTGCCAAAAGGATGAAATCCTTGGATATATTCGGGAGCCTGGAGGAAATTAGCATTGCCTGACTGGAGTTCAAAGCATGAAACATTACCTTGTGCTCGCCCTTTCCCATGTCTATGTCGATCAGTTGATAGGACAGGTCCAGCTCTGCCAATACGAGCATCACCCTCTGTGTGCATGTAGAAAATCTTGATCCATGGAGCGTTATAGTCATCTTACCAGTGAGTAGATAAAGACGGGGTTGTAACGCATTGAAGATGCGAGGACAGCGCCTGATATTTGTACCAAGGTGGGTGTCTGCAAATAGATTGCGGTTCCGTTGGGCTCGCGGTCCCGCTGGTCGTGCGGTCCCGAGCGGACGCGGTCCCGTCCCTTCCGCCTATGAGATAAGAGCATCGCACACGTCCAGGAGGAGCGGACATTGTCGGTCACAAGCGGGACCGGAGTATCAAGGGCGTTGATCAACAGCTCGGACAAATGAGGTGTGTTAAGCATATATACCCCGCCGTAGTCACACCTCTTCACTATCATCAACTCTTCTCACCACACTCAACATGGCAGGAAACGCTGCACAGATCAATGACACTATTCCCATGAAGGGATCGTCGAGAACACAGTTCGATTTCCCGACCACATTCGACCACTCTGGTATACCATTGGAGGCGGATGAGGTCCCTGTCATTATCATTGGCTCCAGTATGGTTGGCATGTTTATGGGACTACTACTGGGTCATCATGGGTGTGTATAACACTTCTCTCGGAGAGATAGAGAGAATTCTGACTGACATGGACTTAGCGTCCCTTCCATATCCTTCGATCGTCACCCCTCGACTGCGATTCATCCTCGAGCGGCACTATTCCTTCTTCGCACTGTCGAGATACTACGTCAGTTAGGACTCGAAGAGACATTTGTGAAGGAGAGTCGATCAAACTTCGACCTTGATGCCGGTATGCTTGTGGTGGAAAAGTTATACAAAGGCAAGACACTTGCATCCTTCCAGGAGAGCGATCCTGCAGAAGTTGCAAAGGTCACTCCAAGTGTCCGACTCTGGCTTACGCAAAATATGTTCGAGCCCATACTTCGAAGACATGCATTGAGTTATGGAGCTCAGCAACAGTTTGGTCAAAGCGTGGTACATTACGAGGAACTTCCGGATGGTGTGCTGGTAGTTGTCAAAGGCGATGACGGCACGCTGAAGAAGTATAAGACGCAGTACCTCGTAAGCTCAGACGGTAACCGAAGTGCAACACGAAAAAAGGAGGGCATTGAGTGGAGCGGACCAGGACACATCAATAATGCCATCTCGATCAACTTCAAAGCAGACTTGGTACCTTATCTCGGTACTCGAGCGGTCCATGGAACGACTTACATCAACAACAAAGATGTGAGTGGGGGCTTTCGTCTCGATGCTGGTGGTAAAGGAGGTTTCTTGATTGTCACTCGTGCAGCAAGTCGAGAAGGATTTGAGCCAGATTCCGTGTCTGAAGAAGAAGCTCGCGCTTTTTTCGAAAACTGCTCCGGCATCAATGCCGATGATTGTGGGTTGAAGATCCAGTTCATCTCGTACTGGTCAGTCGCAGCGTATACGGCAGAAACCTTCAGGGGCAAGAAGGAAAATAGTCGTGTCTTCATCATGGGTGATGCAGCTCATGTTATGCCACCAACGGGTGGTATGGGCGGCAACACGGGCGTTGCGGTAAGTGGTGACATCTTAGCGTTTAGTAAACCAACCATCCTGATATCTTCTAGGACGCTTACAACCTCGCATGGAAACTTGCCTTCGTTCTTGGTGGCAAGGCATCCTCGCGCCTTCTTGATACCTACGATCAAGAGCGTCAGCCAGCAGCAGAGTTTGCAATGGAGCAAGCCTTCTCCAGGCTTGTCACTCGAGTCTACCATGGAAAGAGCCCCGATGGAACCAAGTCTCTACCTGAACTATCCGACATGATCTGTGAACTGGGTCTCCGCTTCACCTGTGGCGCGATTTGCCTCTCAGACAACCAAAACTCGAACAAGACCCACGAAGATCCATACGACCCATACGTCCTACCAGGAGGAAGGCTGCCTCATGTTATTCTCAACGTCTCAGGTAAAAGCTTGTCAAGTCTTGACCTAATCAAGCAGAATTTCGTTCTCTTTGTCGCCGAACAGGACTCGCCGTGGTTACAAGCATCGCAGGACCAAATATTGCCAATCGACTTTTGCGAAATCAACATGACATCGACCTACCAAGATCGAGAGGGGCTTGCACGGAAGACTTGGAAGCTTACCAGAGGCGAAGCTTTGCTCGTCAGACCAGATGGAGTGATTGCATGGAGATCTGGTGAGGTGAAAGGCACCACACACTGCGAGTCTCTGAAGCACGCTTTGAAGATCATTCTCGAAGATTAGATGTTAGATGGACAAGATGGTGTCAGACGAGTGATACTAGAGTCTCTACAATGGTTCACATAGCAAGCTGGGAAGAACTGGCCATTATCATCATATCTGCATGTTCAGCTATCGATGGAAACAATCAGACTTCTTTCTTGTGGAATGATGCTTCTTGGTACAGGTTTACGACTTGTAGAATCATAATTTTGTGGCGAAATGTCGACACAATATCATTCGAGCTCTGTCAGATGAATTATCGAAATATGTATGTAGCTAACCGACACTCCCGCAAGCCCGGAGAAACCTCCGCAGCCAGATGGCGGGCGAGCTATGACGTCTCCACTTGCCCACAAACCACTGTAATGCCAACAGAGCAGCAAACAACATACTGTAAAGCTTCCACTGACAGTAAATCGCAATGGCTGATCATGAGATGATCAACTCGCTGGCCGAAACCATCACCCCCCGACATCACGAACTCAGTCCATGACTTCCGGTTCTCCCATCCCCCAGACAAGAGCCATATAATCGTCCCCAGCACCGATGATGTTCGAGTCTGGTTCATGGACCAAAGCGATATATATGATGAAGAGTGTCTGTACGTAGCTGCCCGAATCCGCCACAGTGGTTTGTTCATTCTTCAAAAGTTTGTGTTGTTGACGAAAGAAACCTTTGCAGTAAACAATTCAGTCATATTCTCGCAGTCATCTACTCTCAAAAGCCCACAACCGACCAGATTCTGGAAGCCGCGAAGCCATGTTCTGCAACTTTTTGGATGAATTTGATCATTCTCCTTGATCAGCTCACGCGAAATTGTTACAGGGGCAAGGAAGCAGCGCAAGTATTCGACTTCATCGACCCGTTGGCACCATCTATCGTTATGACAGCCCGCAGATTGAACATTCATGAGATGCTAGAAGTGAGATGGAAATTGGGGTACAGGATTTGGTTATTTACGCCGTCCATACATGCTGTAGATTTGAAGATGCAAGAGATTATGGTCGAGGAACATAGGGCGAGATTTGAGGATCTTCAAGAGCTTGTACAAGGAGATGGGGAAGGGCGGTATGAGGGAGAGAAGGAGTGTAGAAGGGTGCTAGAAGAGGAGGCGCAGAGACTGAGTGATGTCAAGGTGATATTTGATCGAGCGACCAAAAATCATTTTGTCGCAATTGAGAGGTTTGGGAGACTTCCCTGGAGGAATGAGAGTTTGGGACGCGTCACTACGGAGGAAGAACAAGAGTTTCTAGAGTCTCTGTAGTGCTTGGCCAGCAATCTTGAAAATTGAGTCCCAAATATCTTTGCAGTCAAGTTTTCGAGGGCTCCAACAAGTTCAAGAAAGGTCGATTTCGAAACTATGCCATACCTTTTTCCAATCCTTCGTCTTTGCAGCAGGCCACAAGCGACGGACACTCTGTGCAAACACAACGCCTTCCAGCATAGGATCTTTATCGTGCTCGTCCATCCATTCCCGGTCCAGCTTTTCTTCTGGATCTCGCTCTGTGACAAAGCATTCATGTAGTTTGTCGTCTCTCGTATTCCTGGTACAATACCAAGAGCGACCAATGTAGGATAGCACATCAGTCAAGTGTGAGGCACCAAAACCACCGCATTCCTTTGCTCCATCGACAGATAGGGTGAGACACTCTAGAGGCTGCGAAATCGCTGGCTTCGCGGCCGAGATAGTGTGAAAGATTGATCTTGCGAGATTCGCGTCAACGGCAAAGTCAATCAGAGCCCCCCCGAGTTGGGTACTCTCCTCCTGACTCATGACTTTCTCGATCCCCCGGGGATTGTGGAATTGTCTGCAAGACTCGGAACTGAAAGTAAAAGCTTGCCGACTATAGAGTGATAGATGTAGTTTGCGTAGAGAGGGTATGGTCCCCAGAGCGCGATAGACGGCCACTTCGTTTACATCACCTTGCGACCTGAGTAAACACAGACCTAGCTCTTCTATTTGTGGACAGTCTCGATGGATCTTGTGCATGAACTCAACACTTGTAAAGCCAGCTGTATTTGCGGACAGGTGTCCGTCCGGCACCATACTAGGACGTGGTAGCAGTAATCGGCGTAGACGCACGCCGTGGTTTTCAAGTACTGTATCTATCGTTGAGCTCTCGTACGGTCCACTGATCTTGAAAGCCTCCAAAAGAGATAGTCCAAGTGATAGCTGGTTCAATGCGGCAGTTACCGATTCACACACGTCACCAAGACCCAAGTTTAAGGTGAGAATTTTGAGTTTTGAAAGCTGACATGACGATAACCAGAGTAATGCGTCAACTTCGAGGTAGTTGTGCAACTCGAGATGTTCCAGCTTGGGAAAGTCTGTGACCGTGCTCCACTCTTTGAGCGCTAGTGCCGAGTCTCTGGCAACGATATTGAGATGTCGCAGAAATCCCATAGATGTTGAGGATGAGGGGAGGCTTCCACGTTGATACCGATGGCTAGGGCCTCTAAGAGCTTGAACAAAGCACGGAGAGCTCCCACTAAATTCCCAGAAAAGATCGACCTTGCTTAAATTTGGCGCTGCTCCGGCTAACATGTCCTTGATGGCATCCTCGGCATAATTGGCATAACCACGATCGTCCAGAGTGTCGTAATGCATAGCCAGACTGTACAGGCAAGCAGAGATGGCCAGCTCCACCTCGTAGGGATCCAATACTATCGGCTCCGCTGCAGGTCGATACAAACAACGCATCCTAAAGTTTCGCATGTGCAGTCGAAGTGTAGGTCGATCGCGATTGATGTACCTCAAGATACGCGGGGGTATTTGTTCTCCGCAACCCCATGTCAATTCCCGTAACCTGGACAGCTTCTCAATGAGACAAGCGAGGCTGTTCCACTCTTCATCTTGTTGAACAGGTGTGGATTCCCTTCCGTCTACGAAGCAATATTTCCAAGGTTCGACTGGCTCGTCTCCACAGTCGTTGGACTGCTCCGTGTAGGGATGTTGCCAAAAGTTTTGCGCCAGAAATTTGACATGCTGAACATATCGGAAGCCATCTGTATCCACAAGCACACTGAGCCATCGCTCGACGGCAAGTTCAAGTGTTTTTGGTGAAGCAAACGTAATGGTCACGGTCCGGTGCAAGTGTATCCTCGAAAAGCTATGGCATTGTTTGTTGACAAGGGCAAAATTAGTGAGACTGGCATGGTCGAGGTAAGCAGCAGCATACTCTATTAGAGTATGTCTGACGACAGCGCTGCCATTCTTTGATGTTGAGTAAGCCCAGGTGATTTATCTAGGACAACGATGGTTTTATGTGGGGAAGCAATCTGGGTCACGTGCACATGCGTCCGTAGCATTGAGAAAGAGCGAAGCTTATTGTTCCTGCAAGCATCATCTAATTTTCCTATGATGTTCGGCAGTCCTCCCTGATTACCAGTTCTCCCTGATTACTTTTCGTTATTATGCCACTCCTCGGAGATCCTGATCCTTCTCATAAGTTTCTAGGATTTAGGAGCACGACCGTTGTAGTTGACACCGGCAGACGCGGTATAGTTGCCAAAGCAGTCATAGTTGTAGTTGATCTCAGCAACTCTCTTCTGCAGAACATTGACCATGGTGTCGAAAGGACAGAGACCATCCTTGTCGACAGGGCAGCCAGCGTGTGAGTCCGAGACAGGAACGACAGCGTCGTTGACCAGGAAGCGAATTTGCTTAGTCTGGTTCCTCGAAGGGCAAGTCATGATCTGGGTGGTGAAGTGGGTGGCAAAGGGAACAAGCTTGCTGGCGACAAAGGTGTTGGAGCCTTGATTACCAGTGGCGCTGAGCGGAGGACCGTTGAACAAGGCTGTCAGATTGAAAGCAGTAAGAGTGTCCAGCACGACAACCTCGTGAGTAGCATCGGCGTAGATTGACTGATTCAGAGGGAAGTAAGTCGATGAGTTATCAAAGGTCTTGTTAAGGGCAGAGGTTGCGTCAGGGTAGGTGTGAGTGAAGCGTGCGAGCCACTCCTGCAAGAAACCCTTGCCTTGAGCAGCGGAGACGGGCGAACCAGGACCGTTGTTGTAGTAGAACGACTGTGTCATGTCAGCAATGGTAATGCAGACGGGTCTTTGGAAAACTTACCAGATCGTAGTAGTACTCGTAGTTGATGAAGTCCTCCTCACTGAAAAGGCCACAGAACTTTGAGTAGCCAAGAGCATTGGTCTCGTACGAGCAAAGCTGGAGCATCTCGATGGCATCTGTGGCAGTGAAGTTGAGAGCACCCGAAACCTGGGAGTTTAATCTGGCAAGAGTGGCATTGAACGCATTGTTGGCAAACTTGTTGGCTACAGTACTTCCAATACTACCACGGGTTGCGATGTTGGAGTTGGGGCAGACTTCATAGGGTGCACCGGAGTTGTTGACAGTCGAGTTCTCGACCAAGATCTCGATGTTGACCTGGTTCAGATACTCGGGGACACCGAAGAAACCAGCAGCGAAGTTCTCGGCTGTCTTGACCATACGGTCTTGCGACTGAGTGCGGAAGACAGGGAGGGCATCCTGCTCGGTGAAGTTGTTGAGCAGTTCACCGTACAGCTGACGGTATTCAACACCGAGCTGGAAGTTCTGGCTGCGGCCGAAGGGGGTGAGAAGTTCGGCACCAAGCTTGTAAGTCCAATCTGCCAGGAAGGTCAAGTCTCCTGTGACATTGAAGCCAGAAGCGGTGGCGTTGTGCACCTTCTGGGCGAAGGTGGAAGGGCCAGCACCACTGGTAGGGTAGCGGGCACCGTGACGGTACAGCAAGAGCATCTGGTTGATGGTGCAGCCCTCTGGGATGAGTGGGTTTGCTTCGGGCAGACCATAGTCGGCAGACGAGACCGAGTACCAAGGGCTCAAGTTTCCCCAGTACTTTGTAATGTCGAACTTGTCGCCATAGCCGGACGAACCGTGAGGTTGAGGTACGGCCAGCGGGAAAGACTGAGCGGCACCTGAGTTGTATGGGTAGATGGGAGCAGTCTGGGCAGCAGCGGCCTCTTTACCAGTGGGAGTAGGCCCGGGGAAGCCGACAACGGACTCGTCAGGGAACAGGGCAGTGTTGACTTTGGCTGCAGAGGGTTAGTACTGTTGCATTGACACGACGTCGTGTGCTACTTACTACTTGCTGGAGGGAAGATGTCTGAAGCAGTAGATCCGGCAGTCTTTGAGTTTGCGACATTGCTGCTGACAGCAGCGCCAAAGGCTACATCCGCCACGAGAGCCAATGCGGCAACGTTGAACAAGGAAGAGAGCATCTTGATCGTTTGAACACAATGTTTACGCTACACAAGAGGTGCCGGCAAGCAGGCATTTGTACTGCTTCACCATCGCCATGTCGGATGCCACGGTACATGAATTCAAGCTCGTCAGGGCTACATTGGGAAGCTCGCGAGAAGAATATTGCCGAAGGATGCGTTGTTCAACAAAAATGCCTCGAAGAAATGGCTGGTGGAAGTGTAATCGTGCATACCACTGCCGTCATGCGGGAGAGCTCGAAGCCAAGAGCCAAGGAGAGCTTGTCTTTTTGGCACGTGTCGCATCGAACCCTGCGAAAGACCATCATGAGCCGTCAAAAGCAACATGCCCACGTGCAATCGATACCAGGCACCGTCTACAGCATGGATGTAGTCCGCGATGCGATTGGCAGTTCTCGACTTCGACCTTGAGACATTGAGCGCCTCTGCCGTATTCACGCTCGGCAAGACGCGCTTCTGAGCCTCGTCGCGGTATATGCAGCTGGAAATCCTTCCCTAATACTGGATCCTCGAGCAAGCCATGTTCGATAGATGATGATGCTAAGCAAGCGCCTCGGACACTTGGCAGATGCTTCTTCGCTCGGTGCAGGGCTTGACCGTCTGGCCTCAAACGTTGGAAGAGTCGCTGAATGCCTCAAGCCTGGGCTTTCTTTGAGTTCAGACCTTCTTACTGCAAAACACTCGTCTACCACGACACTCAAGTCCTCATATGGGTGAGTTCGGGTAAATGTGTACCCAGCGCTGTTTTGGCTACATGCCACAGCTGAGACGGTCGGTCTGCCGTCTAGACCCCTTTCTCGTGTTCCTGAGGCTCTGTGTCCAGCCACGCGTACAGGCGTGCGCGGACTGCGACGCAGCTTTGAATCCCAGGCGTCTTCGTAGGTCCTTGTACATGGTGTTCTCGAGAGTTGTATAGACAGATAGAGGCACGCTTGACCTTGTCTCGATTGCCATCGATGCGCGGATTCACGTCACCCCTCTGCGCTCGGCCTTGGAGGTGGCTCCGCAATGTTGCAGCTGCCTGCTTGCTTCTGTGCCTGCTTCTCTACCATATACCGGATCGGACATGGAGAGGCGCTGGACTGCTCGTGTTTGGCGCCCACTGGGAGAAGTTTCCGCTGTAGGCAAACACTTGTTTGTGTTCTTCATATGGCTGACATTCTTCAGATTGAACGGCTACTATGCCGGTATCCGTACGCTCGTTCCGTCCCCGCACCACCTGGACAACTCCTCGTCCCGCGGCCTGGCCGATTCCGACAGGTCATCTGGACTGAAAGAGCAGGACGTGGACGATCGACGCGTTGAATACAGCCCTCACAAGTGGACAGTGGGGACACAAGACTGCTTCCTTGACGAGGCTCGCACCATGAGCATTCCAAAGGTCTACTCGTATACCGGTGTACCACAACACCATCCAGATCCGCTCCACGGCTCTTACAGAGTTCTTGGTCTACGAGATGATGTGTGCTTCGACAAACATGGTCGCTTAGACGTCTATGGCGACATTACAGACTCGGCACCTGAAAACACATGGCTGTCGCGAGCTGGAACTGAGAGCAGGCCTGCGTCGGAGGGACCCGAGCCAGCATTTGTGGACTGGACTGCAGTCGATTGGGCCGCAGCGCAAAAGAGATGCTACAAGGACAACTCCCATCGATTCAACCCGCCCAAGAAAGCGGAACAAGCCAAGCCTTCCGATCGGCAGATCGTACCCAGACAAGCTATTGTGCTTAGGACGTGGACGGGCTATAACTACACATCTCATGTCATGATGAATCTCAGAGCACTCATCAGCGAAGCATCTCTAGCATCGAGGGGAGAGTATGATGTCCATCTCTTGGTCCATGTCAAGAACAATTCGGCACTATTCTGGGAGGATAAACATCTTTACGCCACACTTCGCAATGAGTCTGTACCGGAGGAGTTCCGAGGTCTGGTCACCCTCTGGTCCGAGAAACAAATGGAATTGATCTATCCTGGTCCTTTTTGCAACAATACGTTGAACAAGTCAGGAATGTCAATACATGGAGTCTATCGAAGCTCCCACATGCCATTACAGCACTTTGCCCAAACTCATGCTCACTACGAGCATTTCTGGAATTGGGAAATGGACATGAGGTACATCGGTCACTACTACGAACTATACAACCAGCTTGGCCAGTGGACGAAGTTGCAACAAAGACATGGCGCTTGGGAACGTGGCGCAAAGTATTATATCGAGAAACTGCATGAGACCTGGGCCGATTTTTCTAAACTTGTTGCTCAGGAGAATGTCAACATGGTTCCAGGCCCGGTAAACTTCCCTGGTTCGAAAGCATTCGGGTCGCACAAGAAGGATCAGGTTCTTGGTGCGAATCCAAAAGAGGACGCCGATTTGATCACATTGAGCCCTCTTTTTGATCCAAATGAGTCAGGCTGGTATTTCGACAAGGACATCACTGGATATGACACCGACTTGCCAATGCCCCCTCGTCGTGTCGCTATTATTGCAGCATCTCGCATGTCTCGCAGACTGCTTCAAGTGATGCATATCGAGACTGTTGAGTACAAACGCTCGATGTGGACAGAGATGTGGGCACCGAGCATTGCTCTGCACTACGGTCTGAAGGCAGTGTATGCGCCTCACCCTGTCTACTACGACCGCGAATGGCCTCTCGCGACCGCCAACAACATATTCAATGCCGGCGAAAACGGTTCCTCTGGTGGCAATGCTTCGTCAGTGTTTGGAGCTTTCGAGCACAATCATTTGGGAAGCACTTGGTATCACAATGCTCGATTTGCTGGTGAATTATGGAGAGCTTGGTTAGGACGTGGCAGTGGAGAGAACGCGGAACGCAAGGGTCTCGATCGCATGTGCTTGCGTCCAATGCTCTTGCATACAATCAAACACGAATAGTGTGTTCATGCCAGTGCTAAAGCAATGTGAACGCCTGAAAAAGCGGAGGGGGTTTGCTTACTATCGGCTAATACCCCAGGATGGAGAAGCCCGCGCTTGCCCGCTCGACCCACGCGACACCGAGATTACCCTTTTAGGTTCACTTGCACAACACTGCTTACGACACCTCAAACCTTTCTTATGAGGCCTGCCAATGTCTCGGCTTCTCTCGCTCAATTGTAAATTCTGTGTCTCGCTGCCAATATGGACAACTCCATCGCCTTGCAAGGCGAACAGACGAATAGCACTCAATCACAACACGCTTTGGAACCGCTCAGTATCGACGAAACTGCACATGAGTTTGAGTTGACAGGACTCAACCTGATCACTGTAATTTCAGGATTGATACTCGCAATCTTCCTGGTCTCGCTTGACTCGGCCATTGTCGCTACCGCTGTCCCATATGTGACAGCCGAATTCAAGTCCACTTGCGACACTGCTTGGTATGGCAGCGCGTATACTCTTGCTACATGCGCCCTCCAACCTATCGCTGGAAAATTATACGCAAAGTTTCCTATCAAGGTAAGCGTCACATTTTCAACCTTCCGCGCAGCCGCTGACTATCGCAGACCATGTTTCTTGCCTTCATGGCGCTGTTCGAGATCGGATCTCTGGTCTGTGCGACGGCACCAAACGCTGTGGGATTGATTGTTGGAAGAGCGATTGCAGGTGCTGGAGCTGCTGGATGCACGACTGGCGGATTCTCGATTGTCGCAATCTCTGTACGACTTCCCAGACGGACAACCTACATCAGCGTGCTACAGTCAACCTTCGGCATCGGCATCATGCTTGGCCCACTTTTGGGCGGAGTCTTGACAGAACGTGCTTCTTGGAGATGGTGCTTCTACATCAATCTGCCGATCGGCGCCATCACAGTCCTCTTCCTTTTCTTCTTTTTCAACCCACCAAAGCAGGATCTGAACACCACACCAGCCCGCAAGATGGCAGCCTTGGACTTGATCGGTCTATTTTTGTTCGCTCCGGCCACCGTCATGATGCTTCTTGCGCTTCAATGGGGCGGTTTGGAGTATGCTTGGGGTAGCGCGACTATCATCGGACTCTTTGCCGGAGCGGTGGTCCTCACATGCATCTTTGCTCTTTGGCAAGTTCGAAAGGGCGACGACGCTATGATCCCACCGAGGCTCTTTACTCAGCGTGTGGTATTTTTTGCTTGCCTCACAGAGCTCTTTGCCATGGGTACCGTCTACATCGCAATCTTCTATCTTCCTCAGTGGTTCCAGATCGTCAAGGGTGTCACTCCTATCAAGTCTGGTGTCATGTATCTGCCTTTGTCCATGTCAGATGTCGCTTCCGCGTTGGTGGTCGGCATACTGCTGCCATATGTCGGTCTGACCAATCCATTCATCCTGGCAGGCACGACTTTGCTTGCTGTTGGATCAGGGCTCTTGTCAACCCTCACCACATCCTCAGGTCTCAAATACTGGGTTCCTTATCAAATACTTCCCGGTCTGGGCGCTGGTATCACACTTTGGATGCCTTATGTTGCGATCCAGACTGTACTGAAAGCCGAAGACATCCCCGTCGCCACAGCTCTTTTACAATTCTTCCAATCCTTTGGCGCAGCATTGTTCTTGGCTTTAGGCCAAGCGGTCTTCTCGAGTGTCTTCGCCACTGCTTTGAAGTCCTCTAATGTTCCCGGACTGGATGTTTCAGCTATAGTTCATGCCGCTCCTGCAGATCTCCGGCGGCTCGTGCCAGAGGAGAGTCTGAGTCATGTGCTGGATGCTTATAACCAAGGTGTGACAAGTACGTTCTATCTGGGAGCGGGATTGGCGGCGGCTGCTTGTTTCGCGAGCTTTGGCTTACAGTGGAAGAATTTCAAGCCGAAGAGCGACTAGGTGTCAGTACACGATAGTCCTAAACGTTATTCCATTGGAAGCCAAGTCGCATGGTGCCTTTCTTTTCTTTGCGCGATGTCAGGCAACGAGGATCATTCGTTGTGAACGGTGTGGTTGGATAGATGGAGACGATGACAGAGAGATAACTACGTAGATGGAGGACAATGATTGTTCGCGTCATTGATATTTGCTTTTGACAGCTTGAAAGATGGTTAGTGAAAGATAGTGGTGCAATCAAATGGTGGTGACAGCGGGCTTCGGAAGAACGAGTGCAAGGAGCGTGTTTTTCGTGATCCCGACCGCAACATCCAACAGACTGTCCTGAGACTTGGGCAACCTCCAGGAGTACTACATCTTGGCCTCTTGCATGAATCTGGGAGAGTGAAGGGAAGCAAGGCGATCTCCATCGTCGTCGACCAATCCCAAAGTACGGCTAATGGGACAACCCTGTCCTTCCAAATTCGGGCTTCGATGGCATTCTTGGCAGCGCTGACATCATCGACTGAGCCAAAGACTTTTTGCTTTTCTTTTTAGAACAAAGATTGAGTTTTGTCACCCGCCTAGCTCCGACGCAAGACCATGACCCACAATATCTGATCGTACCTACTTCAACTTCACACCGGCAACGGAGGTCCAAGGCTCATTACGTTGATCTACGCTGTGCGAACGAACAATATGCCTCTATCTACTCTAACCTCTCTGCGCGAGAATGCTCTCGGCCAATGCCTGCAAATTCTCAGCCTGCAAGATGGCGCTCAACGCCAACTCTACACTGGTCTCGCGTCGGATCCAGTTGCGCAGCTCGACGGAAACGAGTGAGTCGAGACTGTAAGTCGCAAGTGGAATATCTGCTCTGACATCCTCACGCTCGATCATGGTCATGGCGGAGACCTTCGATATGAGGGCCTCGATCAAACCAGTCAGCGGATCCGCCGAAGCAGTCCACGATGTTGCTGAGGTATTGGCGTCTCCTACCACACCGGCCTTCTTCCTTTTACTTGCCTCTGCGATCAGCCGCTCCTTGGTATGTACAGGGTGGAAGTACTTCCACGGGCCATTCTGTACGGCCTGACCATCCAAGTACATCTTGAAGGCGGCGATCTTGCCATTGTGGTGGAATGGCGATGACTTGCCGAGGATTGCTCCCTTGACCGCAGTACGAATATCAGCCATTGTCAATGTGGCGCCCAAAGTCTGTTTCAGAGACTCGCTGAGGTCGTTCTGCGCCACGTAGCCGACGTCGAGAACGACCGGCAGGGCGAAAGAAACGGTGTGCTGACCGCGGGCGTTGCGATACTTCGTGAAACCGTCGTAGAACGACTTGATCGCGAACGTCAGCCATGTGGCACATCGAGACAGACGCGAGCATGCTTACCGCAGTTCCAGCATAGATGGCTTGTCCAACATTACCAGTATCTCCCAGGAAGGAAGAAAGATTGATGAAGAAGTCGAGACCGTCATGGAAGCACTGATCCAGATTCCAAGCTCCGCGAACTCTGGGACCGGTAATGATCTTCCAATCCTCGTAGGTCGCATTCTCGAACAATTTATCCTGGGCATAACGTCAGCTTTCATCTGTATGGCGACATTCATCACAACTTACGCTAAGAAGGAGAGCGCTGTGGATGACGCCCTTCACAGGAGGAAGTTCGTCCTTGATTGTATCGACGACCTTTTGCAGCTCAACAAGTGAGCCCACATCACAGGCGAGAGCTTTGACGCGGACTTCGCTGTTCTCGTATTTCTTCAGGAGCTTCTGTACTTCGGGGCTTGAGCCACCACTACGACCAAGCAGCACAATGTTACGTGCGCCCATGTCGATCAGGAGCTGCGCAAGGTCGAGACCAATACCGCGGGTACCGCCTGTGATGAGATATGTGCCATCAGTCCTCATTGCGAGAGGAGTAGGCTGGAGGTCGCTCTCTGCAACGACCTGGTCATCTGCACCTAGAGTGAATACAATCTTACCGGAACCCTCTCCAGCCTTGATCTTTCGAAGACCGGTCGAGAAGTCAGAGATTGGAAGAACTGTGACAGGCTGCAGGGGTACAGCAACCTTGTCCTGGAGCAATTTGGTAACATCCGCGAAGACGTCCTGGATTTCGTGAGGGCGGTGCTTGTATAGATCGCGAATATCGATACTGCTGAAAGCAACGTTGTTGTCGAAAGGCTTCATGGGGAGAAGATGACTTTGGAAGGCATTTTTTCTACCAATCTCGACAAAGCGACCACACTTGGCAGTCAGGGCCCAAGTCTCAGTCATGAGCTCTCCGGTCAGTGAGTTAACAATTACGTCTATACCTTTACCATCTGTCGCGCACAGAATGTCGTTTCGGAACTGGGTATTGCGGCTGGAAAAGATCTGGCTTGCAGGAATGCCGAAGGTCTCGTTCAGGAACGCTCTCTTGCTCTCACTTCCTGCTGTGACAAAGATCTGAGCGCCGGTGTGTTGCGCGAGGACGATGCATGCTTGCCCGATAGCACCTGTAGCCGCGTGGATCAGCACAGACTCTCCCTCTCGCAGTCTTGCCGTGTACTGCAGAGCCAATACTGCAATGGTATATGCGAGCGGAATGCTTGCGGCATCGGTCGAGCTTACACCCGACGGGATCTTGCACGTAAGCGAAGAAGGCACCTTCTTGTAATTAGAGAAGGCACTGCCCTCCAATGTGAGGAAGGCGACTCTGTCGCCTTGCTGCAAGTTGTTGACCGCACTGCCGATAGCCACGATTTCACCAACACCCTCGAATCCGGGAGCGTCCCAAGGAAGTGTTCCGAGGACAAAGTCGAGATCCCGAGATGTGAGACCAGCTGCCTCAACCTTGACAACTACGTCATCTTCCTTGAGGGCTTGTTGCAGGACTGATGTTCTGCGGAAGTAGATTGAGTCAGGGCTGCCAGCAGTGTCAATGGTCATCTCCAAAGCTCGCTGTCCGTCCCAGATATTAAGAGACTTGCGGAAGGCAATGCCTCTCTCGACGGCAAACTGTTCCTTAACTTCCTTCATCTGTCGCATACGAGGAAGATGAATCGATCCATTGTGCCAGACAAAGTCCTGGTCTTGTGTGCGTGTGACCTCAGGATCGCGAAGTGTCTGAGACAGCTTTAGTATTCCAGCAAAGCCGTCCTCTGTGCGAGGAATGCCTTCGACCACCATGAAATTCTTGGGATCTGTCTCAAGGCGCAGGGTTCGGAGAATGCCCTTGATCGATGCAGCATCAGGTGTGGAACCTTCGGGGATCACCCATAAAAGTCCGGAGTTGTGCAAAAGCAAGTTCTTCAGCATCTCGAACTTCTCGTTGTCGACGTTCTGCACAAGACTATCGGTCAGGGAGTCAACGAAGACATATGAAGTGTCGGCAGCATCGCCAATCTCAGCAACAGGACTGATCTCTACCGAGATGCCAAGTCGCTTGGAAAGCATGTCAGCCACAGATTGTGCATATTCAACTTCTTCCTCGTCCATGAATGGTCCGCACACGGTGATCGTGTTGCGCTCAGCTTGTGAGCCGACTCTGGTGGAAGTAATGATGCCCACCATTTGCTCGACGCCAGGACGATCAGAAATGCTGGTATCAACACCGGAGAACCCTGCGTCCTTCAAGAGACGGTCCCACTGAGGTACTGGGAGCATGGGTCCTTCCTCTCGGTCGCGATAGTCGTCCTCTGCGTACCACCATCCGGGAAGTAATGCAAAGGGCAGTACATAAGCAGGGTGCTGGTTCGCTTCAAGTAGGAATAGCTTTCCTCTTGGCTTGAGAAGAGTACGAACGTTGGTCATGGTAGTCAACATGTCTGCTGTGGCATGCAAGACATTGGCAGCTACCACTATATCGAATTCTCCGGGTGCAAAGCCTTGGGTTAAGGGATCTTGGCTAATGTCAAGCTTCTTGTACGTGATACGATCCGACCATTGTGCCAGCTTCTTACGAGAGTTCTCGAAAAAGCCAGACGAGATGTCTGTGAAGGTGTAATTGAGTAGCGCAGCCTCATCCCGACCCCTGGTAAGCGCTTCCAAAATGGGAAGAGTTGTACCAGCGGTGCCACCTCCGATCTCCAGTATCTGGAGCTGTGGCTCAAGATCACTCATGTTCTCGGCAAGGTTGCCCAGGACTTTGCTCATATGGGCGTTCGTCACATCTGCTTCGTAATAACGAGTCAGACGGTTGTCGATGAGCATGAGCTCAAGAGGCTCGAGCTCCCCTCTCAGAATGCGGACGAGTTCTTCGCCGATGATGCAAAGCAATTCTCCTTGACCATTACCGCTGCGGACCTCCTCAATTAAAGCGACTGGCTTGGTGTCGAAGACTACACCGTACTTCTTCACTGCTCTAATACCCCAACTGACGAATTTGGCGAGGTGATATGGCAACTTGCTACGATCATCTCCGGCTGTCTCACGAAGACCGTGATCAATGTAGTAAGCTGCGATCTTCTCCATCTTCTCCGCACGCTGCATCTCTGTGCTCGGAGGTCCACCAAGGTACATCTGCTTGGTCAACTCATCTTGAGGTAGATGGTCAAACTTGGACAACAATTCCCAGGCCCAGTGGTCAGGCACGTTGGCTGCTGGATTGATCTCTTCCTCTGCGGATCCGATGGAGCGGAATGCCACAGACTCCCAATCTGCGACTGGAATTGGCACGTTGTCGACTCCACGGTAGAAGGCGGCAACGCTGATCTGCATACGACCGCCCTTGGTATCGTAATGGAGAAGGCTAGTGACAATGTCGAACTTGCCTTTCGGAGTGGCAGGGATCTTGTTGGAGATTCTGAATCTACTGATGTAGTTCGGCATCTGCGCAGGCTTCGTACCATCTTCTGTTGTCTGCAGCGGACCACCTCCTTGAAGGAAGCCATCAAGGGTAGGAGGATCGACCGTTACGTGTGATCCATAAGGTCCCGGACTGTGCAGACTTGCGCCGAGATCACGAAGATGATGCTCAAGAACAGTGTAACCTTTGCCCTCCCAGAAGCCAGCAGTGTTCTGGAATGTCGGGCCGTAGCGAGTTGCTCGTACACCGGCGTTTTCGTACGCATAGGCAGTATCGTGTTCGATCAACTCGGACTTCCTGTCGATCAACGGCAGAGTGGCTTTCAGAGTTGGCGTCTCTGATGTCATGTCGACCTCCTCTGGCTCAATCTGACCATAACCGTGGATCGTCCATCCATTGGCGGGCGTCCAAGCAGAGATCTCAAAAGACCATATGGTGGACGAGAAAGAGCCGGTACCAGTAACAGCAGGCTTGAGCTTCGTGACCATGTCCACGGACTCTTCCTCTTTAATCTCCATACTTCTGACAACATGGAAGTCTTTGAGAAGGAACGCAGCCGGAGGGTTGCTGACAGTCCTTCTCACTGCCTCGATGGCACAAGACATGTAACCAGTCATGGGGAATATGATTGCACCCGCAACATTGTGATCACGGATCCAAGGCATCTCGTCCAGCGTGAAGACCTGTCTGTACGCGCGATCTCGACCTCCGCTCGACTCAATCCTTCTTCCGATGAGTGGATGATACGGCTCTCCGGGGAAAAGCTTCTCGCCGGTTGCTCGAGGTCTGATCTCGTATCTGGTTGACTTGTCCCAGCAATATTTGGGAGTCTCAGTGACGACGCTCGCATTGTGTTTGGATGTCTGGTTGACTCCACCAAGATCGATGGCGGTTCCCGACGTGTAAAGTGAAGCTGCGAGATTCAAAACCGCTTCTTTACTCTGAGTACCTCGAACAAGGCAAGAGATGTAGGTGAATGCCGGAGTTTGACCTGGCAGCGCGTCGATGGTCTGCTTGATCGGACCCTTCAAAGCAGCATGGGGTCCGACTTCCACGATGACATTTGGTGGTCGACTAGATCCTTGTCTAGGCGAAAGGACTGTCTTGATCGCATCTGCAAAGCGCACTGGCTGTACCAGGTTCTGGACCCAGTAGGATGCCTCGATCTTACCACCATCGTGAACCAAACCAGTAACAGAAGACACGAAAGTCGCTGAGTTGCCGTCACCTTCTGGTGTTTTGTCCTTGCAGAAGGGAGTGATGGCGCGGAGATAGAAGTCGGCAACGGCCTGCATGTGCTGAGAATGGTATGCGAGCTCAACCTTGAGCTTGCGACTGAACAAACCATCGGCCTCAGCAGCTTTGTGAACATTGTCAATAGCGGCTTCGTCTCCAGAGATGGTGACGCTCTGTGGGCTGTTATAAGCAGCGACAGTAGCGTAACCGTTGGCGTGCTGCTTGATGAGTGTTGACGCTTGCTCGGGTCCTACACCAAGAGCCAACATGGCACCCTTTGAGCTTTGAGATTGAGTCTGTTCTTTTGCCAAAAGGGTAGCAGCTTGGCCACGGAAATAGGCCAGAGCGATTGCGGTATCGAAGGGAACAAGACCGGCAGCATAGGCAGCAGCTATTTCACCGCTCGAGTGACCAGTCACGAAGCTTGGGGCCACATTCCAGGCCTTCAGCAACTCGACAAGCGCCAACTGTATGACCGTGCAAGCCGGTTGACTAATTTCGGCCTCATTCACGCGTGTTTCTGCAGTCGACTTTGCCAATTCTTCCTTTATAGACCAGAAAGCTCCGATATTCTTGAGGCTGTTCTCTGCTCGATCAATCGTAGCTTCGAACACTGGGTAGGTCTGCAGATCAGAAGCCATCTGAGCGTATCTATCATGACAATCTAGTCAGAGGCCTGGATCTGAGAATGTGGTAAAGAAGTCACTTACTGAGCACCTTGTCCTGTAAAGACAAAGGCAACTACTGGATCTCTGTTTCTCACAGGCTTGACGGTCGAGATCTTCTCTTGAAGATCGGCCACTGAGTCAGTTACGATGGCGACTCGATGAGCGTGATGAGTGCGACGTTGACCGAGAGTGTAGCTGAGATCCTTGAGCAACTTCTCGGACTCCGGAGCCTCACTGAGGTACTCTTCAAAGGTCTCCAAGTAGTCCTCGAGACTCTTCGCAGTCCGAGCCGAGAAGACAGCTAGCTTTCTCGAATCAGCAGAGGCTCTGTGCCCGTTCACACCGTTGGTGGCGGGTCTTGTAGGTGCCTTTTCCAGAATCACAGCAGCATTGCTACCGCCGAAGCCTACGATAAATTTAGCATGCGCGGTATACGACCGGAGGAGATGCTGATGTACCAAAGTTGGTGACGATGGCTCTTTTGGCCTCTCCGGCTGGCCAGGGGATTGCAACATCTGCGACCTTGATCTTCTCCTTGTCAGAGATTCTCGGGTTGATCTTCTCAAAACCAGCCGTGGGCAAGATGGTGTCATTTTCGAGCATCAGGATGGCCTTGACCATGCCGAGAATTCCACTAGCGCCCTCGAGATGCCTGTGAGTTGTGAGAAGTGGTTTCATGCATCAGTACGATAATCACTCACCCAAAGTTAGACTTGACGGATCCGATATAAATCGGGTTAGAGGCTCCTCTGTCCTTGGCGAGGACGGCTGTAAAAGCACTTGCTTCGATGGGATCACTACACGAGTCAGCACTGTGTGAAAGGAAGTCGAGGGGACAGATTTACCCAGCCGCTGTACCAGTCCCATGGCCCTGAGAAAGAGTCAGCTTGTATTCATTGTGCTATGAACCAGTTGACTGACCTCAACAACGGGAGTCTCAGCAGGATCCAGCCCGACTGAATGATGGATATGTTGAAGGAGTCTCTTCTGAGCTTGCACGTTAGGCAGAGTGATGCCGTCCGAACGTCCTCCATGGTTGCAGGCTGTGTTACGGATGATAGCGTGAATGGGATCACCATCTCTGATCGCGTCGTCAACACGCTTGATCAAAAGACAAGCAGCGCCTTCGCCACGACCAAAGCCGGAAGCCTTTGAGTCGTAAGAGAAACTTCTGCCGTGCTCAGAGAGTGCGCTGACGACTTCATTAGCAATGTTTAAGCACAAGAATTGTTACATGATGCACAAACCCAGTCTTCTCAAGTGCAAGCCAACCGCCAGGACCCAAGCTGAGTGCTGCAGATCCGACGAAGGCTGAGGTACACTCGCCGTTGCGGAGAGCGGAAACTGCTTGATGTGCCGCGTAGACACTGCTTGCGCATGCAGCATCCAGAGTGATGCTTGGTCCATCGATGTCCAAGAAATATGACACACGATTGGCTGCCATGCATGGAGCGACTCCTGTAGCTGAGAACGTTTTGGCAGAGAACTGATCGTCGCCCAGACGCTGAGAATACTCGTGCTGACCGCTACCGATGTAGACACCGATCTTTTGGCCGGCGAGGTCAAGAAGAGTTTTGCCTGCGTCCTCTGCAGCCTCCAAGACACACTCAAGCATCATACGATGCTGAGGGTCAGAGTTCTGGGCTTCTTCTGCACGCATGTTGAAAAACCCTGCGTCGAATGCGTAGATGTCGTCAGGTACGAAATGCGCACCCTCAGCTCGAAACACGCCAGATTTGTCGGCGCCGGGCTTGTAGTACGCAGCCTTTTCGAAACGATCGGCAGGTATGTCAGACCAAGCAGAACGAGCCTGTGCCAAGTAATCCCAGATACCTGTCCTCCCGATACCAGGAGCACGGTAGGATAGGCCAATCACTGCGATCGGAGTGTCGTGAGGCATGATGAATGATAAAGTGTAATGTTCAAGTTTGATTGGAATAGATGTTTGAAAAGACGGACCTCTCAGCAGCAGAGGCAGGAACTTATAGTTACTCTCCTTTGGCAAGATGTTTTCGCCAACTGGCAACAACACTCCATCATCTGCCGACGGAAATATTCAGACTAAAATCCTCCGACTATCGAAGCCGACATTCGGCCTGTCATTCGAGCATCCGTTAGTGGCTGGACCATCATCAAAGAACCGAAGATAACATGCAAGCTGAATCAACCGCATCGCAGGCGAACGCTTACGAGATCATCTCAGATAGTGCCGAGAATGTGTTGTCGTGCGCGATCCTACAATATCCACTCTGAAGATATTGAATACCTCATGGGGTGACGCTTACAGACAGGTGGATGAAGATCCCACACCTCATACATCAATCAGAGCGAGACGACTCGAATCAATGATGCATAAGGATTCCATGCAATGCGGAACTCTTGTTGCAATGTTGCTGGCGTTGAGATTGCTATCGTAGGTGACAAGGGTCGCCATTCGTGATCGACCATCCAGTATATTGTAGCGATGGCCTGAGGACTCTCACTTACATCACGTTGAGAAGACGGCGGTGATGATTCTCCTACCAGAAGTACTGGTGACCACTTTCAGCGTCCTTCAGAGCAGACAACACCTCTACCCTCTTCTTGGTCGAGCATATTCAAGACTCTGTGGAGTCATGGGATCTGAGATCTGAGCATTAGCTTGTTAAGTCCCCAAGAGAATAGCGAGGCTGAACGTAAAAGGAAGGACCGAACCATCATTCTGCACGATTCCATCACACTGAGCAAACCGTCGTGATTGTCAAGTCATGGCTGGAGCAAACAACAACATGATCGATCCATGAACATGCAAACAAGGACAAGTGTTGTCCTGACTTGTGTGGGTGGCTGGGCGAGCGCGTTGCTCGGCACAATCCTTCGGGCGATGACTGTGTTTCTCAGGATCGGTCTGCCCCTGCGCATCCAGTGTGGGTCTGCGGAGGCACAGCTGGTAGATGATAGAGACGAAACCATCGATCACAGAAATCACGAGCGGGGTAGTCTCCGACGATCACGAGATTAGCCGGGAAGAAGTTCGTTCCTTCCGGTATCAGGCCACTCTTAGGCAGCGACGATCATCACAGCGTGAATGCCGCCAGTCGCCAAGCCGTGCTCATATCCTGTGAGGCAGGGGTGCATGCGTGGAGATGCCTGAAACCCTGAACTACCACAGCGTCGGGCCGCGCCGCGCGTCCCAATCGGCAATCAATGCTTGGACGCCTAATAGCCACCATAAAATAGTCAAATCAAACCCCATACTTCTGGCCGGCTCGTATCAACTCTAGAAAACTGCCGTGCCTTGAGCATCGCTGCTTTTACAAGACCCACCAATCTGCCAAACATGAGCGGAGAGCCTGGTAAGGTTTTAAGCCTGCCTGCTATGCCGCCCTCGCTAAAGTCTTGCAGTTCTGTACAGTCTCTACGTCTACGCGCCCAACAAAGTCGCGCCCGTACTGTTCACTGTCTTGTATGGAATTTCGGCAGTCGGTCATATATGGCAATGCGTGTGAGTTCATGAAGCATATGCGAACCAGAAATGCGTTTGACGCTCCGGAACAGTCATTACAGTGCCTGGAGAATGATAGGGCTTCACCCGATGTGTGCCGTCTTCTACACCGCCGGCTATGGTCTTCGTGAGTACGGCGCGTTCAATTACCTGTACTCGACAACCAATTTGAATGCGTTCATCGTCAGTCAAGTGATGATATACATCTGCCCGTACGTGCATCGCATCCCTAGCACGCCTCAAGTTCTTTAAGCTAATAATCATCATGCAGACCGCTGCTGGAGCTGGCGAACTATCACGTCTTGGGCCGCGTACTGTACTATGTGCCCTATTGCGCTCCATTTCCTCCCAATCGAATCATGTCGTTGTTTGGCGCACTGGTCGCCGTCGTCGAAGCACTCAATGGTCTCGGTGTCGCCTTCACCTCTAACCCGTCTTCGTCACAAAGCGTACAAGAGCTTGGTAGTAAGTTGACCAAAGCATCGCTCGCATTCCAGCTTGCAGTCATCGTTGTCTGTGTACTGCTTGCTGGTCTCTTCTATCGCAACTGCAAGAAGCAAGGTATCCACAGTCGAAACGTCAACGTACCACTCATAGCACTGTCTTCGAGTATGTTCCTCATCCTCGTACGCTGCATATATCGTCTTGTTGAACACATGGGAAACGTCGGACTTGCCATAGACGACTTGGAATCGATGAGACAGCTCACCCCGATCCTTCGCTATGAGTGGTTCTTTTATGTGTTCGAATCGACCACGATGCTCTTCAACTCGGCTGTATGGAACATCTGGCATCCTGGTCGATACCTGCCCAGATTACATAACATCTACCTTTCATCAGATGGCACCGAGGTAGAAGCAGTGGAAGACTCGGATACCAGACCACTGTTGGCCAAAGCCGGATCAGTGCTGACTTTTGGCCTATTTTTCCGGAAGAAGAAAACGGAGAGGCAGCAGAGCTATCTCCTAGACTCAGGCAACAGTCGCGATTCGCAAACATGAACATTGATAGGTGATAATCTCTTGTTCACGGTTGATGTTAGTGCTAAGGTTTCGTCGAACCATGTGTCTTTGACAGCTGCGTCAGGGAACAAGGAGACCTTGAATACTAGAGTTGTATTAGAACTAGAATGATAGTAATGATGAAAAGACACCCCACTGACAAATCCCGGCTCAACATTGGAAGCTCTTATCCGATGTCGAAAATCTACCTTCAGGGATTTAGATCACTCCCGTTGTACCAATCTCATGTCAAGTCCTCGTCCTGGGCGAGGATCGAAGATATCTTCCATCTCCAAGACGGTCCGCCAAACACTGTTGTCCAGTCTCTTGTCCAATCGAGCCATGACGTCTGATTGTCTTTCACCTTCCAAAGGAGTTGCTTCAACTCTGCGCTCTCTTAGTATCGTCATCAGCACTGCTGCAAATTCGACCTGAGCCATTTTCTGTCCGGGACACACTCTCGGACCGGCTGCCCAAGGTACGAATGTGCCTTTCTGAGGTCGCAAGATGGCGGAACCAGAGCCTGGTGGGTTGATCCATCGACTTGGTCGGAAGGTCAGCTCATCTGGGATCTCAGGGTCTGAGTCGTATGTGGGAGGATCTGAACACCGGTTCACATTCCGCCATGATGGAAGTAGATGTACTGCGACAGAGTCGATGTAGACGCGGGTGTGTGCTGGGAGATGAAGGACACCTGAGCTCGTCTGAAGGGTCAGTGGAGATGAAATCTCACGGTGGATATTGGGAGCTGGAGGGTACAGTCTCACAATCTCCAGCATGAATGCCATGATGCGATTCGCGCGGGGGAATATGTCTGCGTAATCCCATGCCACAGCCGACGTTTTCGACAATGATGCTTGGATTTCCTCGAAGATCCAGTCTTGCCAGCAAGAATGTCTTGCAAGCAGAACCATTGCATAAGCCAGGGTAGTTGCAGTCGTCTCGTAACCGGCAGCGGTGAAGATGAACAGGTTGCTCACCATCTCATCCTCGGAAAGTGACTGACCAGAAGTGGTGTTGGTGGACGCATGGACAAGTTTACTGATGATGTTTGCATCACTCTTGTCCAGCTTACTCTGACGTTCACGTTGTTCTTCGAGCATGAGTCTGTTTCGCTTCCGCACTTCCAACTTTGCATGTCCAACCTTGGTGATCTTCTCGTGCCAGGGCAACCATCGCGGCCAATTGACAAGAAGAGTGCTTGGAAGCATCACAAGACCGATAAGGTTGGTCACTACAGTCGTCAAAGCGTCGATAGAGCTCATGGTATAGCCTAACTCTGATACGATATGTTTATCGTCCTGCTGGGGAAGTTCTTGACCCATTCCAGCTGCCATCAGAACGTGAATTGTTATCTTCTTGAGCATGTCGAATAACTTTGGGTCTCCTGATGGGGAACTCCCATCGGAAAGCGTGCTCAATAGCTCTAGACTTTGACGGACAGATTCTCCGAACACTACTTTGAAGATACGTTCGTCAATGACACTGGAGATAATTCTGCGGTGTCTTGCCCAGACTCCTCCATTGGTCGTCATGACGTTTGGCCCGAACTGGCCGAGAGCAAATTCGAGCGCTCGAGGCACTTCGAAAGCATGCGTACGATGAAGGATATCTTGGATAGCTTCCGGATCGATCGTCCAGAACTCAAAAGTGCTTAGCCCCGCAAGGATATAGGAGTTGTCGTTGATGGAGCCAACATTGCTGCCGAGCTGATCGAAAGGTCGACGTTTCTCCCCGAATTCCCAGCCAAAGATTGCGAGATTCAGTTTTTTGAAGATACGGTTTGGCAAGAGAAGGGAAGTGATTTGCCGAATCCAAGGCGATAGTACCAGCCAGATGACGTTCTCTTGCTCGACGGGCAGGACTTTCACTGTCACCCCAACCCTGCGTGCATTCTTGATGTTTCGGCAGAAGGTGATTGCGAAACGAGTGATGCGCAGCACTGAGACTGTGATCAACAACTTCCATATCAGGGTCATGTTCTCCAAGTGAAGGCGAGTTTGACAAGAGTGTAGTAGCTGGATCTTTTTCCAATTCCTTGAACACTGTCGCTCAGATGCTGGTTTGTACGAGCTGTTCACTGATTTTTGCGTGACCTATAGTGACAAGTGTCTGGAGCAGCAGATCTTGGGTCGGCCTATTCGCTTTCCCGTGGCTCGCGAGAAATCTCGCACGGACGGAGGGGCACGTAAAGTGTTGCTTCCAAGGTGGCGTGTCATTGATCTATCCGACCGGTGAGGCTATACAACCACATTGATGTCTGCGACCATTGACCCCAACAAGTTGGACTGACGGAGATCTTTGTTGCCGCTGTTGTTCGAGTCATTTCGATCGAAACTTCCTCGCTGCTTTGCAAGGATGCTTGGCCTTCCGACACTGTGGTTCACCAAGCGTGGCGGAGGGACACCCCGCTATACCCGCTGTGACCCGGGCCACATTTCCGGGATCTGGTCTCCACTTGGTCAAGGAGACTCCTCAGTAATCCAGGACACGGTTATCCGAACATTCTTTTCATTGGCTGTCTTTGCAACGACCAACAGTTCTTGCCTACTATCACAGATTGCAATCATTATTGATAGCGAGACTCGACGCGAACTGCCTACGGCTCAGTTGAAGAGCGATGTGCTCAGCGACATCATAGGAGCGCTGAGGCCAACAAGACTCATGGTCAGTCGGGTCCCCAAGGTCTTCTCCCAGTCGAACCTCCCAAGACTGTCTCCATCGCTGCTTGCTCACACAATCAGGACACCATCATGCCTCACATCATCACGCTCAAAGAGAGAAGAGGCAAACCCGGCTATGTCTACTATCCTCTTCAACTTTCGTTGGTGCCGAAGCCGTCACCAACTCACAAGCAACTCCTGATCAGGATACAAGCTGCGGCTCTCAACCATCGCGACCTGTTCATTCGTCAACATCTGTACCCAGATATCTCATTCAAGGCGCCCCTACTTTGCGACGGCGCAGGCATTGTTGAAGAGATGGGGCCGGACTGCACGTCAGACGTCCTTGGTCAAAATGTAATCTTGACTCCTTGTCGAGGCTGGAAGACCAATCCACATGGTCCCGAAGACTGGTCGAACTTCAGTACTATTGGTGGTGTTGGACCAGATCATACTCTTGGCACTGCTCAGACATATGTCCTTGTCAACGAAGATGAAGTCGAAGTTTCTCCTCCCCATCTTAGCGCAGCTGAAAGCGCTTGTCTACCCGCAGCAGGTCTAACTGCATGGCGTGCCTTGGTTGTGAAGTCTGGAAACGCCGAGCCGGGCCGCAACCTCTTGATCACAGGCATCGGCGGCGGAGTCGCGTTGCAAATTCTGCAATTTGCAGTCGCCATGGGTAGTAATGTTTATGTAACCTCCAGCTCTCAAGACAAGATCGACAAAGCTAAACAGTTGGGCGCTCTAGGAGGGGTCATATACAAGGACGAAGACTGGAACAAGCAACTAGAAATGATGCTACCCTCGAGTCGACCTTACATTGACGCTGTCATTGACGGAGCTGGTGGTGATATTGTGGTCAGGTCAGTCCCAATACTCAAGCCCGGTGGCGTCATCTCCTCTTATGGTATGACCATTGCACCAGTGATGGATTGGCCAATGCAAGCTGTTCTCAAGAATATCGAGCTCAAAGGCAGTACACTTGGTTCACGAGCGGAATTCACGAACATGGTCAACTTTGTCAAGGAGAAGCAGATTAAACCAGTTATCAGCAAGATTGTCAAGGGCCTAGAGAATTTGGAAGCTATCGAAGGGCTGTTCCAGGAGCTTAAGACCAGTAAGCAGTTCGGGAAGCTAGTCGTTGAGGTTTGAAAGCATTCTGCGGGTCGTAGAACAGTCATCATGAGTCTTTTACAATGGAGAAGAGAATTGAATCAGCGTCAAAACGATGCATCAGCATGATTAGCGCAGACCAGAGACCCTCCCATGAGTTAACAATAGCCACCCATACAATTCTGAGAGCTACCTGAATTCGTAGCATGCATGGCACATGATTGAGGCGGTACTTTCTAGCACACTCGAAAGAGCCATGTGAATCTTGCCCCAACGATAACGCCACTGGCCAAATGCAATCCTTCGCTTACACAAGCATGTCAAGGATTATCCCGTACATCTTTACCGAGGTATTGGTGACGTGACATCTACTCGTGCTGGAGATAAGCGATCCCTGGGATTGTTCAGAGCTCCCTCGACCTTTTCCCTCCTTGTCTGCAACCGTCTCTAAGATTTCCTCTTGACAGCAATGACTCTCTTAGAACAAAATCTGCCTACAGCAGCAGAAGTCGCAGCTTTATGTCACCTTCGAGAACATCAAGTCGAAGATGTCTTCTCTTGCACGCCTCAACAAGTCGTTCAGATCTCTGAGGACAGATCTGAACTCTTCCATCTTGTTCTATCCTTCGGCCCCGGTGGCGACATGAAGAAGTGGACCCAATGCGTTTGTCGGGTTGTCGCTTTGAATTCGATCTTACGCACCCGGATCGTGCGTCACCAGGCGGATTACTTTCAAGTGGTCACAACAGAGCATCATACCACCGAGAGTAGATCTGGCGATCTCCAAGGCTTCCTAGCTAGTGAAGCCTCCCACGATATGTCGTTGGGGTCTGCTCTCTTCCGCAGCACAACGATCGGTAATCTATTCGTGGCTTCGATACACCACGCCATCATGGACCACTGGTCACTGAACTCTTTTTTGAGGGGTGATGCTGCTATGCTCTACTTGGGCATTGAGCCTGTCGAGAGAGCTCCTTTCAAAGAATTCGTCTCGCTATGTTCATCCATCGATACTTCCAAAGCCGACTCTTTCTGGGCAGCTCGGTTCAAGGACTTTCCATCGATATACCCTCCTGTGGCTCTCGGTATCTGCCCGCGACCGAGCAAGAAGCTGGAGAAAACATTGACTCTAGACTTGGCAGTCAAGGGGATCTCGGAGAGTCATATTGCATGGTACGCCGAAGCTGCTTGGGCGTTGACAATCGCGACATATGTCGACAATGAATCTATTGCTTACGGCATAGTGATGTCTGGAAGATCCTCAATGTTGGGCGAAGCTGGTCATACTCTTGGTCCTACCACTGTCGAAATCCCGGTACAGGTTAACATTCATCCAAACATGACCGTGGAGACTTTGATAAAAGGTCGTGCTGCGTCACTACGTGAGCTCAAAGCTGAACCACTTCTGTTGCAATACGGACTTCCCAACATCGCAGCAACTAGCAACGCAGCAAGTATGGCTTCAAAGTTTCAAAGTCTCTTCAACATCGTACCTCCCCAGTCCATATCGCTGCCCACCACGGATGAACAGGAGAAGTCGGTCGCATTGGACAACGTAATCAAACACTCGCGTGGCGGTTTCGCGTTGACTTTTAATTGCCGACTTGTGGGAGATGACATCATGCTCGAAGCACTGTACGATCCAGCCATCCTTGCCAGCGACGAGATACAACACATCTTGGATCAGTTCGAACACGACCTTGGAATCTTGATTGAGGTACCATCAGGGACCAAGATTGGGCAACTTCAACGTCTGAATCACCACGACTGTACGAAAATGCTGGAGTGGAACACAGCGATGGGCAGAAATCTTTATGCATCATCCGCGGCAGACAGAATTGTTGGTGATTTGCGAGACAAATCATGGACAAGTCTCGGAAAGATGGCGTATGGCTTCTGGATCGTAGACCCAAAGGACAATGAGCGGCTTCTTCCTATCGGTAGTGTTGGAGAGCTGTTCGTGGAGCATCCGTCGACGTTGAAGGGCACTACTTTCCGCCCCCAATTTGACCTCGGTGCCGTCTCCACTGTGCCATCGTGGGCTAACGACCTCTGCAAGAAGTCGACACGTCTCCTCCGAACCAGTGCCCTTGCCCGCTACGACCATGACGGAAGGATCTCGGTGATTGGCAGACATGAGAATAGAATCAGGCTCGCGGGCCGTGTCGTCCAGCTTGAGCACATCGAAAAAGCAATCAAGGATGATGATGCGGTCAGGGGTGCAGTAGTGTTGCCCAAGATAGTGTCAGGGCGTACTAGACTTGTTGCAATTTTAACTCTGGTAGGGCATGAGCGTACGGACCTGCGATTGATGCCAGAGGAGATCTCGCCAGGGGTAAGTCGATGCCTGGAGGATATACAAGAGCACATCAAGTCTGTCTTAGTCGGTGGCGAGATGCCTATTATTTGGCATGTCGTAGGTCGTTTACCTCGTCTTGAAGACGAAAGCATAGATAGATCGGCTGTTCGCGACTGGCTTAAGACTCTGAGGTGACAAGATGCGATCCCTTCTTGGTGTAGGCACGAGCAGACACATGCGGAAGCTGATCTTACATCAGAAAAACTATCGCGTATTCAAGCCATTATTATTCATTCATCGCTGTGTCTGAGGTTTCCATACTTCGAATATCGCCGGCAGCACGTCGAGCTTTTTCGTTGAAAGGCTGGTTCCAAGGTCAACGTGAGGCTCGAGCATTTTGACTGTGAAGTCGCTACATACACCATGTTTCCGAGAAATCTTTGCAGGCAAGAACAGTAGATCTATCTCCAACAAGCTGACACCACTTGCGGTCATAGTGAGGGCAATGACATTGCGGTCTCATACTTGTGGACCCGGACTGATGCACGATCGAATTCCTCTCTTCTTTAGACATCAATCCCGAGTCTTTCGTCAACCATAACACAGAACGTCGAACAACACCGCAAGACACCATGTCACGAAGATTTTTCTATCAGACATTCTCTTCGACCGGATCATTAAGGACGCCATCCGGTGTCAATGCTGGTGAAAGAGGCGTAACACCTAGAGAGCACTTGACTCTTAGAGATCCGCGCCCGGAGGCCAAGAAGTCGCACAAAGAGATGAAAAAGGATCCTGAGATATACGTGCGTACAAATTATGAGTTACCTTATCAGTTTCAGTGTTAGATCTTTGCAGACTTCACGACGACAGATACTGTATGCCCTGACCCCAGCTACAGTCGGGGCTTACGGCTGGTACCAACCTCACTTTTGGGCGTCAATCACTGGCGAGTCTAGAACCTCGAGAATTGGAGGTTTGGAGCCATAGAAGGATGGATGTGAGGGCAGCGCTGGAAAGTATCGTTATCACTCCAGAGCTTCTCCAGGGAAAAAAGCTAGGATCGAGGATGCACCTTCTGCTCTCAACTCGGTCATTGTACCTGATGTCAATCTGCCAAGGGTGAGAGTGATCGACACTGTGTAGTCAAAGACCAGCCGCTGAATTGTATCGCAGAAACTGCACGAAAGGTTCAACAAAAGGGGTAAAGACGATTATGATGACTTCTGAGGAGATATTAAACGAACGATCAAGCGAGGCATTCAGCTGACGACGAGCGTCCAAGGCGTGGGGACGGAGCCCATTCCCTTTGAAACGGGAAATGATGGTTCTAGAATGAAGCAAGGCGGAACAGAAGAGGTTGTTTATGATCAGATAGAGATGAGAAACTGATGTACGGAAGATAAATTCCATCGATGCTTGCGATTCATTGACGAGCATTCAAGACTGTGAATCGATGAATGCCCGTGTGCTTAAGTAAAAATTTCGCTATGTCACTCAGACTGTAACACCGAAAGGTGCGAGATTTGGGTCGAGTGCCTTCCACACAAATGGCATGCCTTGAGACAAGCCCTTCGAGTCGAAAGTACGAGCCCTGACCTTGGAGCTGAAAGCGTCCATAGTGCTCTTGAAAGTCGCAGCTGCATTGCGTGTGTTCACATTCATGCGACTAAATGTGGTAGGGTCGTCAAACATGTGGCTCACTAGAGAAGTCAGTATCAAGTCAACGACAGAAGCAGTGCTATTTTCGCTTACATGTGCGGTTCGTATCAGCAAAGTAGTTACGCGAGAACAGAGCATTGACGTTGAGTTGATCCTGTGCCTTGTTGTAGGGAGGAAGGAACGTTGCCGGGTTGCTGACCGAACGCTTCTGCTTTGGGACGGGCTGATACAGAGACTGAGGGTGGAAAGGGAGCACGGATGAGGCGGAGATTAGCTCGTTGGTGTTGACAACATGGTGGGCGGTGGACGAAAGATGAGCCTGCGATGGTCATTAGTCGCAATGTTCATTGTAAAGAGCGTTGGTGTTCAGTGTGCTTACCATTTGAGTCAGGATGTCAATGAGTGTACTGGTGTTCGAGATCGCAGATGGGAAGTTGATAACCTTGGCTGCACCGTTGCACTCTTTTACCCAAGCTTGGATCTCGTTGTCGGCTGTGAGCACGGAGTTCTGAGCGTAGTAAGAGTTTACGAATGAAGTCATGAAGGTACGCGTCGCCGAGTGGATCACAGAAGCGTCCTCGTAAAATGGGAAGTTCTTGAGGGCTGGGCCGACCTTGGGATTGATCAATCCACGGTTTGTAAGATCGGTCAAAAAGTAGTTTGACTGGAAAGCACCACTGCGGTTGAAGTAGTAACCGCTGCTGTAGTCCTGTGCAGAGGCTGCAGAATAGGCGAAGTTGGTTTCAACAGCGCCACCAGGAGCGAAAAGAATGGACTGATAGAAATTAGACAAGGGGGGTGATGAGGAGTCCAAGATCACTTACCGCTGCCAAAGGCTGAATTGCAAATACTTCGTACATCACTACCACATTGTCAGTCAACTTTCTGAAGAGTTCCAACCTGCTAACTTACTTCTATCAAGCAGACCCTTGACTGGATGGTCATCACTCAGGGTGCGAATAGCTGCCATGTAAATAATCTGAATAACCTCGTGTGTTCTCGGCAAGTGTTCCCACTGCGCAAACCAGATATCGCAAACATTGTACATGATCTTTGCGAGAAGCCAGTCGGATTGAGTGTCTGCTGGTGTGTAGATCAGGCTTGCTCCTTGGTTGGTGCGAATGGCAAGAGGCAGAAAGTTTCCTGAGGTCTGGTTGATATAGAAGTAGGCGTCTACCGCGGCGGAGTAGCGATCGCTGGTTCCGAGCTGAAGGTTTGCCTGGTCTCTGTAGTCCGAGTAGAACAATCTACCGGCCTGGAACAATTGCTGCAGTGTCATACCAGTGATATTTTTTGCAGTCTTGTCGTCGACTTGGAAGTTGAGAGAGTCTGAGCTAGGATTGAGTCTTCGGACTTGGTAAGGACTGAAGGACAAACGCTCCATGGAGAACAGCAGATCTTGAGTGTAGTTGGTGAGCATGCCAGGGACGGGTCCAGATGGGAGAGTGGCGGTCCATTCGTTGTCGTAAAGCAACGTGTAATCGTTCAATGTTTTCAGTCCATTGTACTTGCTGGTATCCGCGTTGGCATTTGCATTGTCCTGGGAAGAAGCACTCTGTTGCAAGCTGGTCTCGGCTTGGAGCTTTGAGATATCGGCATTGATTAAGGTGGTGCCGAGTGATCCAGTGGGGAAGTAAGGTCCACCTGCGACAGCGAGACCATACTGGAAGTTCTGTTGCTTCAGGGCGATGGCATTTGTTCTGTTTGCGGGAAGAGCTGCCCTCTGAGGGATGGCGTACCAGTTTGTCGCGGACCCGGAAGCAGAGGTTGACGTAGTCGAACCGGTTCTTGGGTTGGAGATTGCAGTAGCGACGTTGGAAGAAGAAACCTTGGTCGATGAGGTTTTGAAAGACGAAGGCTTCGGGGAAGAGGAGACCTTGACAGAAGATGAGGTCTTGGTCAATGATGAAGCTTTGACGGATGATGAGGCTCTGACAGATGATGATGCCTTTGTGGACGAAGAGATCTTGGTTGACGACGAGACCTTTGTAGATGTTGCTTGTCTCTGCACGACGGCAGAGTAAACAGTCGCGACGTATAAGAACAGAACAAAGAGCGATGCCAGACGGAAACGATGCGACGCCATATTGCTTCTACACCAGAGCAGGAAAGTAGCTACACGAAATTTACTGCTGGTCTGGGTCATGAATATATTCTGCTACAATCATTCAAGATCTCCGCTGATGTCAATATTGTCTTGTAATTCGATAGTAGCCGTTGTAGCCGCACGCTCAAAGTGAAAGTGCCCTGAGAAGTTATAGACAAGCGACGTCAACACGTTTGCTACTGGAGACAGCAAGTGGAGTGCAATGCACGGAAATGGTAAGCTATAGTCTCACCGGTGCATCCTGCGATAGTCATTACCCTTGCTTGCTTCTGTCCGGCCATCGCACATGTATAGACCGTTGAGGGTTTTAACGGCGAGCAAGATCCATATCCGATTGCGATTAGGCCTAGGGATTCTAGGCCGCTTGTCTGTATCGATTGAGTCGTAGACTGACTTCTAGGCCGTGATCAATTGTCCTTGTTTTGGCGATCGGAGAATTGTTTGCGCTCTGCGAATCTTGTGGCGGTTGGCAAGAAAGAAAGAAGGGCGGTGTTTCTCGACCGAGTCCGTGATGCCTGCTGCCAAGACTTTCCGGAGGTTCCGCTCCAGATCACCGCTGGCCTCCATCCGCGATTGGCCTGCTCTCTCACTTGTTCAAGTCTGCAGTCGCCGACAGATCTGGTGCAACCACATTCCGCATAGCCGCGGTAAATAAATTTCGCAGGATCTTGACATTGTGAACTACCGGCGCGACAAAATACCATTACACGGGCTGCTTTCTGGTTCTGTTTAATGGCCGAAGCACGACGGCAATCACGTCGAGCACGTCGAGTACATCAAGCATCACCGACGGCATGAAGAATTGTCATTTGACGTGCTTGCTAGACAATTTGTCCCATTAGTAATATTGCAATCCGAATCCTCGCGCTCCCACGCCTCGCATTATTCCTACCGTATCTGGATTCAGGCTTAGCGCACGCAAACAGATGTGTCGCCAGTCTCAGCGGAGAGCCGCCTGTCTACACGGCCGATTGCCAGACGCCCGCGACAAGTCTGATGAGCGAGAAGTCTGATGGGCGACTAGAGAAAGAGAAGGAAAACACTCCATTGTCAGTTGCGTGTGCTGCCGGGGATTTTGTTGCGCTCCCAAAGCTTGCTGCACGAAGATTGAGATGTTTCTGAGTCGAAGCAGTCACAGCGGCTGAAGAAGCCAGAAGATATCATCTTGACCAAGGAACATGGAACGGAGAATGTGCGTCCAATCCTGGCTGGCGGTGAGGACATGGATAATAAAGCATTGGCAGCACCGTAACGAGAGTCGAAAGGGTCTTGGATAACAAGGACATATGCATTTTTTGCTCTTGTGTAGGTCTGCTTCTTGGCCACAGTGGCCGCATAAGGGCATCCTATCTGGAATCTCCTTGACCTTGTGATGATCGATATGCTACATAACGTAAGTGGTGCAAAGTTCAAAAGACGATCACAGGCTTAGGCGATTCACTTGCAGTACAAGGACACGACCATGGACAACAAAGTCATGGAAGTTCAATGATTTTTAAAGACGATATACCAAGGGGTAGGAGACTCGTTGAAAGATGATTTCTTCCCTCGCAATGTGCTTATTTGTGAACGAAGTCAATGGGAATATGCGGGCAGACGACAAGATACTTGGCAGGTGTCAGATAGTCCAGGTCAAAACGATGGTATTGCTGTTGCATTATTGACTCTATCGACCGGAAGCCACAAGCCAGAAGTCAGGCAAGACGACAAAGAAAAGACGAGTACAGAAGCGTGGCGACCGTGTGCGTTTGGGCCAAACCCATTTTTTCTATGGATTATCATCAGCGAGACACCGCAACCATCGGTGATTCGGGTCGTCTGCAGTCTGACTACTTGACCTTGAGCCTCTCGATCACCCTTGTAGAAAACTTCTTCCCTCTTGGCAGACCGCTACTTCGTACCGCATATAGAGATCACGGGACTTGAAGTTGCATGTGAGGTCGAATTCGGATATCGAGCTAAGTTGTCGACGTCGGTCTGCTTCCGGCAGTTGTCTTGCCATGGTGCTGTGAATAGTGCTGATGATCAAATTGATGATTCTCCCTGTGAGCAGTAGTCCCATAATCAGCTCACAGCTGCAGGTACATCAATCGTGTCCATGAAGTCACTAGGTGGTCAAAAACCAGCAGAGCTTGGACCCCTCTTACCACCTAACGCTTAGTGGCGGGCTAAGCTCGAACTCACTCAACATTTGGCGTCCTTGTAAGCACTTGCAAGGTCTCTATCATCACATGGAGGTCTTGTCGATTATGGCAATGCTAACCTGGTTCATCGGTTCCCTTGCTAAAGAACTAAGGTTGACAATATACTGTCTCTGGCCAAGCAAATACAAGTCCAGAAAGTCGAAAGACACAAAGTGGTGTGGGTGAGGATGCATCGTAGGGGCTTAGGGGTGGTAAGACCCTTGAAGTCTGGGTGGTGTCAGAAAATCAGTACATCGCGGACAGACTCAGCTGCCACGGTCTCGTCCCGTGCTTCTGATATATTATAAGCCAAGATACATATCACGCCGGAATTGGCCAAGAACCTCAGAGTCACTCCACCTGACCATCACTTACGGGATACTAACTCTGAATATTTCTTACCCGACGAAATCCCAGTCGCCTTGCGTGAGGGGGATATAGATGCACAATCACGTCGCGGACTACCTTCATGCACTCCACGCAATCATTTCTGCACTGACTTACGATACTCCGACACGCAATGAACCAACCTGGTATCCATACAGAGAGTGATGATGTTACACCTGTGCCATCTCTCGTTGAGGATAGTGAGAGCTCAAGTATACAACATGTGAAGGTCAAACGCGTCTCATCAAAACCAGATGGAAGTGACGACAATGCGAACCAGCCGATTGGTGAGGACTGCTATGGTGGCCCTTCTCCGTTAGACGGTGGGAGTCGCGCTCTTCGACAATCAAATAATCGCAGCAGCAGTATCAATGAGGATCGCGGTACTGTCGATACATATGAGATACTGAAAAACGAGGAGATGCCAGTCGAACACTTCATGGCTACTGCCGACAAGATTCGGGACTGTCCAAGGCCTAGCTCCTCTAGGCGCAAGTCTCCGTTTCGCTTTCCAGCCTGGCTCGTACATCAAACCGGAAAAGACGAACGCGAAGAAATGATACAGGAGCCCACAGCAAGAGATTCTGGGAAGCATCCACCATCATCCAGGGTCACAGCTCACGAGACGATCGAAGATGAGCATCCAAGACCTATTGAGCCTGTGGCTACAGGATCGGACATGCGCTTCAATGCAGTTGAGAGATTGGACCACTGGGCTATCTTACACGGGGTTCGCCCTTCCGTGAACACCATCTTTCGAAGACTGTCGGGAAATTCGCAACACAAGGAGCAAGCCGGAGCTTGCGAGACAGAAAGGTCTGGGATCCACAGAGACGAATCAATGTCCCCGAAACGCTGTCAGAGCGTGCGGAGCATGTTAGCAAGGAGGGACTCGGTGGGAGAAGAGCGAAATTAGATTGGACTCCGCCTACCCCAGCGTGGTAGCAGCTCTTTTACTCGAAGTTGATGCTTGTCCTACACTTGTCCTACCGTGGCATCACCGCTTGCTTTCCATGCTTTGTCGAATGCGCAGAGACCTTGCGCAGAGACCTTGCGCAAGAATCGATGACTGCGAAGGTACTGTGGTATACAAGGCGTTTTGGATACAGAGGTCACTAAAGTCCAAGTCGAACGTGCAACAAGCCGTGCCAATGTATCTCAATCCTTCTCTTCCTTGACGCCTTGTTGGATTTGGGAGTGACACTGACTGCTGTGGTCAGTACGGACAAGTGGGCGGGGTGGAGTGGAAGTCCCATTGGGAAGGGGGGCGACCCGTGCGAGGTCGACTCGAAGCGAGAGCACAAAGATAAGGTCGCTCGGAGAAGGTCGAAGGCGCCGCTCAGTGTGCCCGGCGAGGATCGAGGCTGAGACAAGTCGAGCAGTGCTCCTGGAAATTGTGGCCACGCCATAACGACTACATGCGCCCGTAGATTCAGGGCATTCTGTTCCCTGACGGTGAAAGTAGGAGAGCGCAAGATTTGTGATCTAAGAGATTCGTGTATGCCGCATCGCCGGGACAATGCGGGCTTGTACCGGCAGGGTCAGGGCCATCCTCACAACCACCTGCATTCGGATTATCAACCCGTGTCATCAATCCAATCACACCGGTAGGCATGCCTTGTAATCACCTGGAATAGCATTCATCGTTATCAGGCTATTCTCACGTCCTTTTCGTGTCTGATGCACCATAGCTGCGACATGTGTGCAGCGTCCGACTGCATCGACCTGCCCGTCGTTTCCACTGCCACTACACAATGCTGACACGTCGTCTGTGTTTTTTATCATAATTCTCTGACCATCACTGATTCGCGCCTGCAGCTCAACCACAAAGCCATACCAAATTGGGCTATATGAAAATCATGTTTCCGTTAGAAAATCTAGCGCCAATCGATTGAATCTCTCCGAGTCTTCCCAGTAACACCAGTGACCTCCCCATTCAATGACAATGCCTCTGGCTCTAGGGGTCGATGCTTTAGCATTCGCAAAGTCAACTGCTGCCAATGGTCCGAGTGCAGGGAAACATCCGCTTCTATCTGTGGCGATGACAAGCACGTTTGTCTTGTGCTCTGCTCGCCCTCCAAATTGTTCTACGATGCTCTGCCGCCAATCCAACGCGGTGTGATCAGCCATCAAATTGCCATACCATTCAGCATTCCCCTTTCTTGCGATAGCCAGGAAGAACTCTTCATCGGCGTCTCTGACCTCATCGCTGACTGACTCATCCGCGACAGGATGACTTCTGTAGCCCAGACACCCAGCAATTGTGCCTCTGTACACGCTGTCAGGGTCATACTTCAGCGTTGCTTTCAAGTTTGCTACAGCAGATGCAGAATTCATGCCGCGGTTTCCTTCAGCACTACCCCAGCTCCCATCGCTCGCGTAATTCTGCATCGGTGCTTGGTCGATCCAGATCATGTGGGAGAACATGTCTGTGCCGAACAATTCAGCGAAAGACCATAGAATCGAGCATCCGAGACTTCCAGCGATACATCTCACAGTGCTAGATTGAGTGATGTTAAGATGGCCGAGAAGGTTGTGCAGGTCCATCGCCAGACGGAAGACGTGAAAGCCGTGACGTGGTTTACCAGAAGCACCGTGGCCTCTCAGATCGGGTGCTATGACATGGAAATGCTTTGACAGAGTGGGTATGTTTCGTTGAAAGACCTCAGATGAGCCGGTAAAACCGTGTAGCTGTGCGTCTTGAATAAGAGCCGGGAAAGAACACGTTGCATGTCAATTCGCTTACAAGGATCAACACGGGGAGCGTCTTGTCACCAACGTCTTGGAAGGCGATCTGGCAGCCATCGTTTGTCTTGAAGAACTGCATGAGTGTTCGGAGTCAGGTAGTGAAGCAGCGTGCAGCTGAATGAGAGTTTCGCAAAGTGATGGCCTTGGCGACTTTGCCCATTGCTGGTTGTCAAATTCTGCGGAGTCGCCGGCCATCGAGGTGGTCATTAGCCGAACACCGTACGCGCCTGATTTTTTCATTTCTCCGCATCTCGATTTCCCCAGCACCTTCGATCGCTCAACAACAGTACCCAAATCCAATCCGATGCAACATGAGATCCACGATGATCGTAGGTGTTACAAAAGCGCGTTCGTCCCGCGCGACAAACTGTCCCATAAAGACCGTCCGATCGCCTGTCGCAGGAGGCCTCGTCCGATTCATACCGCCGGCCGTCAAGCCGAGTCAACAACGACGAGACACAGCACAAAAGGATAACACCAAGTATGGCAGTAGAATATAAATGCTCGGCAAGTTGTTGTTTTCGAATGACCAATGCAAGGACGCGACGGCGGATTTGTCCCTCCGCGTGTTTCGATCGCTGGCCCACACACTTTTTCCCGAGAGTTGTGCAGAAGGCTAGAAGGAAGCCTTCTAATGGCACTGCTGTTGGCAACACAAGCGAAGCACAAGCTAGGACTCAGCAGTCAACAACAAGCCCCTTACACGCGGAGTTGGTCCGTTGGCCATAAGTCTTGACTAGAACGGTAACCCAAAGACTTTTTGGGCTCGCGCCGTGAAGACAAGCTTACTTGAAGTAAACTCGTCGGTGTCCATAACGTTCAATAATGTCACGCCCAGTCTAGAGGAAAAAGATGTCTGACAGGAGTGTGGAGCGAGAAGCTCACAGGGCTCATCTCCGCACTTCGCATACTCTCCTCGGATCGCCACTCATGCAAGATGTAGACCACAGCCTATCTAGATTCAAGCAGGTCTGAACATCTTACATGGCATTATCGATGGATGACTGTGTCACGGAGATCTGTACTCACCTCAGCTCTGATGGCCACGCGCATGCCCATCCGGTCATCCTCGGTCAAGCGTCCCGACGCCGTTTCGTAGAAGATTCGGAAACGCCGACCCCAAGATCTAACCACAAACGCTTTAGAAGGCATCGTACCGAGCTCCTCCGCAACCTTTCGTTCGATATCAGACGTTAGTACCCCAGAAATTCGTCCCTCGTGTCCCATCTTCTGACTGGACATGATCAAACATCCGATACCGATTGAAGAAGCTTGTCCCTCAATCCCGGGATCGATAACAGCTTTTGGCGTGGACGTCGTACCATCCTTCTGGATATCAATATCATCACCTGGCTTTCTGTGAATCTACTCCAGACGTTTTCCAATACTCGATCACTACAATGGGAATTGTCAGTCCGTCTTTTCCTCAAGCATGTTAACGGAAAAATATATTGTGTGTCAGAGCTATAAGGCTGTTAGCTACAAGGTCCGCCACTCCACTCTTCTCTAGGTACAAGCCGTGTATGATTTGACCGTTGAGCAGAAGCTACCGGTCTGATTCACCATACACTGTGCAGGAGATTTTGGTGTAGCACCTTAGTTCAGCCTCAAGAATCCTTAACGGCAACTATCCAAACGTCAACTGCTGCTTTGGGAGAATACTCAGCTTGAACTAGCATGGCAACCATACATATGCCTAGACGCGTGCGAGCACGTCTTCCAGGCCTTGTCAAGACGACCCCGTTTAGCCGATCTCGTTCTGATGATCGTCGTTCATCTCAGTTGAACCGAGCATTTGACATTGAGAGGCACAGCTGCTCTCGCCACCCGAATGTATTGTAAATGTACCGCCAGAACTGACACATAACGGCAAGGCAATTGTTTCGTTCATGAACTCCACTTTTGTCAATAACCTGACGTTTTCTGATTGACACAAAGCCCAGACTGTCTGGAAAAAGGAAACTCCACGTTACACAGCTATGGCAGAAGGTGTCGGGTATGCTCGTCGACAAGTATAAGAGGCAGCATGAAGTCCGGTCATACATCTCCTCATCCGCTCCAGCAACATCTTGGGATCAACACTCTTCAACAATCTATATCTCGTTTTCAGCACTGCTTCTTTCTCTAATTTCGATCGTTATTCTCTAATCGATACATTTATCATGGTCGGTCAAGTTGCCATCCTGGGTCTCTTAGCCCCTGCTCTCATCCTTGCAGCTCCTTTCAACTCCAAGGACAAGAGAGATGGGACGTTGGAAGCTGCTGAACAGAATGGGCTCCTCGATAAGCGCGACCCTCTACTAGGTCTAAGCGTTGGACTCTCTGCTACTGTCGGTGTGTCCGGCACAGTCAAGGTCACCACGGTCAAACCGCAGACGACATTTTCCATCCCAAAGGTCTCTCCCATCAAGGTGTCAATCAGCTCCAAGAAAGTCAGCAGCAGCAGCTCAAAGATATCGACCGCTGCTGTCAAGCCAGTCTCCAGCAAGATACCTCCCCTTTCGAGCATTTTGAAGTTCACTAGCTCAACTAAGCCTGCCTCCTCATCTCCGGTCACCATAAAGAAGTCGACCGTCACCGTAAAGCCTGTGTCCTCGAGCAAGAAGGCTTCTTCGTCATCGGTAAAGCTGTCGTCTTCTAGCAAGAAGTCCAGCTCTTCCTTATCCTCGAAGAAGCCAAGCTCATCAACTAGCAAGCCCGCCACGAGCAGTGCTAAGATCTCTACAAAGTCCAGCAGCTCCTTCAAGATCCCGATCCCGCTCCCCACTTTAAAGAGCTCAAGCAAGGCTGCTGTTAGTAGTTCCAAGGTCTCCGCAAAGCCTAGCAGCTCTGTCAAGCCTGCAAGCAGCTCTGTCAAGCCTGTAAGCAGCTCTGTCAAGCCTGCAAGCAGCTCTGTCAAGCCTGTAAGCAGCTCTGTCAAGCCTGCAAGTAGCTCTGTCAAGCCTGCAAGCAGCTCTGTCAAGCCTGCAAGCAGCTCTGTCAAGCCTGCAAGCAGCTCTGTCAAGCCTGCAAGTAGCTCTGTCAAGCCTGCAAGCAGCTCTGTCAAGCCTGTAAGCAGCTCTGTCAAGCCTGCAGGTAGCTCTGTCAAGCCTGTAAGCAGCTCTGTCAAGCCTGCAAGCAGCTCAGTCAGGTCCTTGAGCAATTCGATCTCTCGTGGTTCTATCCCCGTTTCCTCTGCCACTACCGGCAAACAAGATTTGACCTCGATCGAGACTGGCCAGTTCCCTACTTTAAGCTCGGTTGTGTTGCCCACCCTCATAAAACCCAGCAGCTCCGCTGTGGTTTCCATTTCGATTAAGCCTACTCTCTCAACGATTGTGACTAAGCCCTCTGGAAGCGGTATTGGCGTTTCACTTGGACTTCCTGGTAACACAGTTACCATTCCTGGACTTACACTGACTGGAGGAGTCAACGTTCCCACTGGTGGACCTCTCTCGTCGCTCTTGAGCCGCGCGTCGAGCTTGGTGTCCTCGATCGCGTCTAAGGCCACCTCCGTTGTAGGCGGAGAAGTGTCCACCGTCAGATCTGGTGTCTCTTCTATCGCTACCAAGGCTACGTCCGTCGTCGGTGGAGACATTTCCACTGTCAGATCTCAGATCTCTTCAGTGGTCTCGCAGGCACCCACCTCAATCGCTGGTGATGTTTCTACCATCAGGTCTCAGCTGTCGTCTGTAGCCTCGCAAGTCAATTCTGTGGCTGGTGGCGATATCTCTACAGCCAGATCTCAGTTGTCTTCTGCTATCTCGCACGCTACATCCGCTGTATCCAGTGCTAATTCAGCGATCAACTCTCAGATCTCCTCAGCTGTCTCTCAAGGTGCATCTGCCGCATCAAATGCAAATTCCGTCATTAGCTCTCACATTTCCTCGGCCGTGTCTAAGGCGTCGTCTGCAGCTGGTGGTGAGGTTTCTACCGTCAAATCTCAGGTTTCTTCCGTTGCGTCGGCAGTCACAAGCGTTCGGTCGGTCGTCGGCTCTCAGTTGTCTACTGCTGTGTCCAGTGCGGACTCAGTCATCAGCTCTCGGGTTTCCTCGGCAGTTTCTCAGGCTTCGTCTGTCGTCTCGAGCGTCAACTCGCAGGCCTCTTCTGCAGTCTCGCATGCTCCATCTGCACTCTCGAGTGTCGGACCAGCAGCCAGCTCTCAGCTATCCTCTGTTGTGTCTAGTGTCGAATCAATTGTAAGCTCTCAAGTTTCTTCTGCTGTTTCTCAGGCTTCATCTGCCGCGTCCAGCGCCGAATCATTCGTCAGCTCCCAGGTCTCTTCGGCCGTTTCCCAAGCTTCCTCGGCCGTCTCAGGTGTCAGTTCCCAGGTCTCGTCTGCTGCTTCCGAAGGCGTTTCCGCTTCCGTCTCGGCTAGCGTGAGTGCCTCCGCTGGAGTTTCGTCGTCCACATCTCCAAGCGTACCGAGTTCTGCCTCGCTCCCCATCCTGCCTGGTCTCCCTATTTCCAGCGTTATCAGCGATGTCTTCTCTGGAATCAGTGGCCTTTCTGGACCTACCAGTCTCCCTGTCTCAAGCATCGCTAGCGTAATCATCTCCGAAGTCAGCGAAATCTCGGTGCCTACCAGTCTTCCTGTCTCGAGCATCGCCAGTGCCATTGTTTCTGAAGTCAGCGAGATCTCGATTCCTACTCTGGTGCCTTCTGGAGTTTCGAGTATCCTTAGCGAGGTTGCTTCTGAGGTCAGCGAAATCTCGGTGCCTACCAGTCTCCCTGTCTCGAGCATCGCCAGTGCCATTGTTTCTGAAGTCAGCGAGATCTCGATTCCTACTCTGGTGCCTTCTGGAGTTTCGAGTATCCTTAGCGAGGTTGCTTCTGAGGTCAGCGAAATCTCGGTGCCTACCAGTCTTCCTGTCTCGAGTATTGTCAGTGTGATTGCTACTATCACCGACATCTCCGGACCTACTGCGTCTCCCACCGCGGTCACTAGCATCCTTAGTGAGGTTGCGTCTGTCGTCACTGATTTGTCTGGGCCTACCGATCTTCCTTCTGTCTCTGATATTCCCTCCGCAGTGAGCAGCATCGTCAGCGAGATTCTTTCTACTGACCTTCCTCTCGTTACCGGTCTTCCTAGCGATATCCCCAGCATCGTGAGCGAGATCACTCTGCCTACCGATCTGCCCACCGGAAGTGGCCTTACCTCTGTACTGAGCAGCGTCGTTACTGAGGTTCTCCCCACCGGTCTCCCTACCGGAATTGGCAGCATCGTCAACTCGATCACTATCGGCCTTCCTGCTATTACCGATCTGCCTGAGGTGATCTCTAGCATCGTCCCTTCCGTCACTGGCGAGATACCTACTGCAGTTTCCAGCATAGTCGGTGATCTGGGTGACCTTCCCTCAGGGATCAGCAGCGTTGCCAGTGAGATTCTTCCCACTAGCATTGTTTTGCCTACCAATGGTCCTATCAGCCTTCCTACTACTGGAATCATCAGCAGTATTGTCAACGGAATTACCTCTGACCTTCCTCAGATCACCGACATTCCTGTTGCAGTCAGTAGCATTGTTGATGGAACTATTACATCCATCGTACCCGAAGTCGTATCTGCTGCTTCTACGCTCCTTGACAACGATATCACTGCCTCGGTTTCCCTACCAGCTGCGGTCTCTATCGTCACTGGTCTCGTCCCATCTGTTGTGTCAGATATCGGATCTGCTGCTTCTACGCTCCTTGACAACGGCGTCACTGCCTCGGTTTCTTTATCAGCTGCGGTTTCTGTCGTCACTGGTCTCGTCCCATCTGTTGTGTCAGATGTCGAATCTGCTGCCTCTACCCTCGTTGGCGGTGTCATCTCCACTGCAGTCTCGGCCGCTCTGCCAATCGTCACCGACGCAGGTGTTGGTGTTAGTGCTGGTACTGGAGATCTTGGAGCTGTGGTTTCGAACGTCGTGGGCGCAATTTCCACACTCGCTAGCACTGTTATCAACTCTGACGTTCCGGCCGTCGCTACTGGTGTCGTCGTGCCCATCGTTTCTGAAGTTTCACAGGGTGCTAGCGTAGCCATTTCGGTCGGTACTGCGGTTGTTGACTCAGGCGCCACTGCTGTCAGCCAGATCGTATCTGCAATCTTCACTCCTGTCGTTTCTGCAGTCGTCACTCCTGTCGTTTCTGCAGTCGTCACTCCTGTCGTTTCTGCAGTCGTCACTCCCGTTGTGTCTGTCGTCTCTGATGTCGGATCTGTCGTCGCTTCTGCGCCTAGCTCAATCATTGGTGCGGCCGTCTCAGGTGTTACCTCAGCACTCGTCCCCGTCGTCACTGGAGCCACTGGTGCCGTTGGCGGTCTGGTCGGTGGTCTGGTCGGTGGCGCATCCTCCGCTATCTCTAGCGCTGTGCCCACTACTTTGACTACAAGAGCCTCGTCTTCCGCTGCTACTTCCACCAAATCCAGCTCTACATCCGCTGCCCCTATAATCCATATCGGTGGTCTTAAGATCGGACGCCGCCGCTAGAATAGATCGTACAGATGATCTATACACACTTTTCTAAGACCCATCATTTCTTTTGTCTATCTTAGGTCTTTCATAGGTGTTATTTTAAGACGCAATTAATGTATTCAAGAAATTGTAACACAAAAGAATTAGTACCGATCTGCATTCCTAAAGTGGCATAACGTAGCGGGTCGGGAAGGTGATCGTTATTTGAAGGCCCTATAGGTAAAGGCGACACTAAGCTAGGTCTACACTGTCCCTCTAAGATGCGCGGCCGAGTGTGTCCCGTTAGTACCACCGTCGCGACATCTTAGTTTAGAAGCAGCTTAGATCTAAAGCAAAAAATCTTTCGTACCTATAGATAACGATGATGTAGAGAGCTACGTAGAGTTGCTACATTTCGTATAAAGTTACACGTGCGGAGAAGCTTCGGGCTGCAATTAGCGCCGGTAACGATTAGCTAGTCGAAGCGACGCCTAACTCTAAACATCGCTACCCTTAATTTTAGACACCCTTCTTCTTAAGTACTACTTCGTTTACTAAGTGTCACGGGTGAGCGTCGTGTACACGGACGCTCGGTGTGGTTTAGTGTTTAATAGGTTCGATAAGAGGAGGAACGAGAGTCTATCTAGGCGGGCTCCGTCTAAGAATGTGCGGACGCTAAGGATGCCGCACGGGCCGCACGGGCACCGCCCGTATCCTACTTTAAGGCCTCGCCCTTTATACTAAGTCGGAGTTATAAGAGAGAAGAAGGGGGTAGAAAATAAAGAGTTAACTAAAGATGTAAGAAATAGTTCCCGTATATATCGTAAGTATAAATACTAGATAATAACGAGTATAAACTTAGTAATATAGCTTAGCATCTTCCTAGTAGTTTTATAGTTAATAAAGCTATCGTTATACGAGATAGATAGGTTATTCGTACCCTTAAAATAATCTATATAGATAAGTCTAATATTAGATTAATCAATTAGGCTACTTAGCTCTATAATAAACCTATAAGCCGTCTTCTATTAGTTCTTCCTTTCTTATCCCTATCTATCCTTATTCTCTTCTAGCTTCCCCTTACTTAATAGCTCTCGTCTATTACGTAAACCTACTAGACTTATAAAGTATTATAAGTAAGCGTCGTATATACAGGCGCTTAGTATAGTTTAGTATTTAATAGGTTCGATAAAAGGAGGGAACGAGGATCTATTTACGCGGACTCCGCCTAAGAATGTATAGACGCTAAGGATACTATATAAGTACCGCTCGTATCCTAGTTTAAGGCTTCGCCCTTTATATTACTCCCCTCCCTCCTTACTCCTCTCTCCCTCTAGTATAAAATAACCGGTACTCTTTTATAAAGTCGAGTAAAGCGGCTATAAGGTTATATTAAATAATAGTAAAGTTAGTTACTAGCGCTACGCCGGATCTAGCGATACTAGTAAACGACGTAAGCGGCCGCTTTCCTATTTACCGTTACGTAAATATCTGCTTCTAATACGTAGTTATCGGCTTCCTATTATAAGACCGCGGGTTCGCGTATAAGTAGCCGTCTATAATAGTAGCTATTACTATAATAGATTTCCTTTATAATAGCAGCCTTTATAAAGGGACTCTACGCGTATACTACCGCGCTTAGCTCCTTCTTACTACCCTTCCTTTCCTTAATAATAATAGTAATAATAATAGTAATAATAATAATAGTAGTAGTAATACTATACGTCGCGCCTCGTACTTAGACCTACGCGTCTTACGTAGTATCGCCGCTCTCCGTACGAAACTAATCGGCGTTTTTAGATATCTACTATTACTTACTATATCGGCTACGCTATTACTAGCGTCGACTATATCGATTAAGTTATAAGTTATCGGTCTCTATAGGTTTTTAGTCGGATTCCTAATATTTTAGTCCTCCCGTTCCTACGCGTACGTCGCTTACGCCGGCGCTCGTAAAGATTACGAGAATCTGTAAGATTTTTACTATTCTCTACTCGAAAATTGTCGCTTACCGCCTAGTCCTTAAATAGCTTATATAGCCTACGCCGTTTAGACTCGTTCTAATAANGATACTAAGTATATATCGCCCTCCGTCGCTTTTATATTAGCTTATAGTATTTTAGTACTAAGGCCTACGCGGACCTTAAGAAGGTCCTTAAGGCTTATAAGGCCCTTAAGCCTCTTTAGGCTTCCGGTCTTCTCTCTAGGTATTTTATATCGATATCCGCTTATTTTTTATCGACCTACGGTAATTCTAGCTTAATTACTAGTAAAGTTACTAGCTTAGTAGTCGATATTATCGCTTAGTAAGGTTACACGTAAGTAATATATTATTCTCCGGTAGAAAATCGTCGCTAACCGGTCGTTTTTAGTACTAGCGGCGTCCCTCCTACCCTAGTCCTTAGCGCTAGTCGCTAGAACTAAGTTTTTTTTTTTTTTTTTCTTCGCTTTTTTTCTTAGTTTTTCTTTTATTTTCTAGTAGTTTTTAGGTAGGTTCTATATAATTAATCTCCCCGTTGTTCTCCATAATAAATTTCTAGTGTTTTTATAGTTTTCTATAATAAAAGTGTCGGTATCCGTTTTATAGTACTAGTAGTCCTAATTCTAAATTAACCTTCTCTTCTTCTTTTTTATTTTATATTATTTTAAGAGACTGTTATAATATATAGCGTCTTATAAATCTTTCTTAAAACGATCTATAGCCTTATTATATAATAGTTCTTTTAAGGGTTTTTAGGTAGGGTCGTAGTATCTCGCCTATTTTACTAGGACTTCCCTTCCTTTTCCCCTCTTCTTTAGGCGCGCGTATAGGATCTCCTCTATATAGTATTCTTCGTACGACTCTATTAAGACGGGCTCTAGTTAGGAGTCGTTAGACTCTTACTTTAGTAGGGGGTCGCCGCCGGTAGGCTATAAAGGGCGAAGCCTTAAGTAGGATATAGGTAGTACCCGTATAGTATTCTTAGCGTCTATATATTTTTAAGCGGAGTCCGCGTAAATAGATCCTCGTTCCTCCTCTTATCGAACCTATTAAATACTAAACTACGCCGAGCGCCCGTATATACGACGCTTACTTATAATATTAGGTTCGATTAATTTAAAAGATACGTCTCTTACTAGCCTTACTCCTAACCTTTTAGTAAACTAACCGGAGAACGGAGATACTAAATAGGAGAGGTCGCTCGAGGAGATATAACGTATTATTAAGACGCTATATACCCGTTAGTACGCGTTAGAAGCTAAATTAGCTAGTACGCGCCCCGCTCGTAATAATACGGAAGCCGCTTAGTACTTAAAGGCGCTTAAGGCTAAGTAGTCGGGAGACGCTTCCTTACTAGTCCTAGTAAAGGCGCTAATAGAGGCTCTCTCTACTATAATTGTCGTAAAGGCTATAAAAGAACTATTAGGACTTAAGGACTAGAAACCTCCTTTTTAGGACGGCCGAGCTAAAACGTTCTAAGACTACCTTCTTAGGTTAAGAAGCTCGTACCGCGTACGCTCCGCCCTAAAACCTACGCTCTTTATAGAATACTACTAGAAAACCGTTTATAATACGCTTCCCCTTTATAAAAGGGCCCGTATATACTACTTCTAAGAGAAGGGAAGCTTTATAAATAGAAAGGACCTTAAAGCTTTCTTTATATAACTCGAATACGTCTTTATAGATAGTAATAAGTAAGTAAAAGCCCTTAAATAGCTTACTAACCTACGATATAGTATTAGATAACCTTAGTATAAATACTAGCTAGAATTCGACGGACTCCTACTTAGCGCTAGTAGAGATAGCTAGCCCGATTCTACTAAGATCGGGTACCTAAAGAACACGTTCTTAAATTCCGCGAAGATCTATATAGTAACTTATTATAGCTAACTATTCTTAGGAAGAATAACTAGTTACGGGGTTAGACTCGTAAAGCGGAGTATTAAGTAAAGTAAAGTAAATAGTATATATAATAGTATATACTAAAGGGACTATTAGAATAACTAATTAAGTTAAACGTAGGACTACCTAAGGTCGTCCTACCTACCTATATACTTAATAGATAATAAGTATATATATATATTACTCTATATACTCTATATACTCTATTATACTCTATAAAGTAGAGTAGTAGAGTAGAGTAGAGTAGAGTAGAGTAGATAGCGTATTATATAGAGTACTCTATTCCGTTAAGGTACGGGGAACTATAGAGTAGGCTATATAACCCTATCCGAGGTAGGATCGTAATATAACTATCCTAAAAAGTAATAACTACTACTTATTTTCGGAGGAAGTAGAGCGAATTATAATAAACTTAGAAACGACGGACTAGTTCCGCGCTACTAATAAAGGTATAATAAGGAAAAGAATAAGGATACTGCTATAATTATAATAGGATATATAGCCGACCTTAGAGTCCCTACCTCTACTAGTTAGGTAGACGCGGATAAAGATACTATAATAGCCCTAGTACGAACAGTTAAAGATTATAATAAAAGATAAGGAGACCCTTAAAGGAATAGCGGGAAATAGAAGGCTAAATAGGTTAGCGTCGTAGAAAGAGAGAGATATAAAGAGAATAGACTCTATTTCCGCTATAGAGTAAGCGGACACTATATTAAGGAATACCCCTATATACCTACGACTCGACCTACTACTATTAATATAGTTAGCGCCCTACCTCTCTTAGAGGACGATATTAGAGGATCGGACCCTATAAGCTATAAGTCGGAAAAGGGTTAGCTCTCGCTTAAAGATAGAAGATAAGAGTAGGAAATGTAGTACTAGTAGTAGGATAGGCTAAAGCTAAGAAGATTATAAATAGTAACCTCGTATATACTAACGTAATCCTTAAGAATAATACCGGAACCTCTACTCTTATTAATAAAGGATGCTAGTACTACGCTACGATTAACTAAGACCTTACGAAAGGCCTCGAGCTACGCTTTATTAGTTACGAGACGCAAGAAGTAAATAGGTATTATTTATTATACGCGAGTCTTTATAGCTAAGGTAATACTTCCGTCGGTAGAACGGGACTATTAGGGTAAGGATAATAATAAGAAATTTCTCGAGACGTAAGAGCGTTATCTAGCCGACGGTAGCTATAGTCTAATAAGTAAGATATTAAGTCTTTTAGCTTACGGTAAACTTATCGCGCGAGATTATAGAAATTAAGGCGTAGTTCTCTAGGACAGTATATTACGGGGGCAGGTTAGGTGTATAGTAGAAGGAGCAGCTATACGGAGTATAGTAGTATTTAACAGGCTATCTACGGTTAGGTAGTAAAACTAATAGGCAGGTTTAATAACAGGACGTAGCTCGAAGAGCTATAAATATAGAGGTAGCATAGGCTATATAACTATTCCCTAGCAGAACCTCGGTTCTATAACTCACGTGACCCTATTAGGGTCACCTAGGCGGCCGGGGCACTTAAAGCGTTCGTTTAGCCTTCTGTAACTGGCCCGTAGCTACTATAACTCTTATAACAACACTACGTAGGCTACCCTAGCCGTTATAACGCTTACTTACAGGTAAGCGCCGTAATACAGTAGTAATAAAAACGTGTTACTTTATAGCTATAAGATACCTATTACTCGGTTTAGGTTAATAGTAACTATTATCGTAATAGACGCGGAGAATATCTTATAAAGTAAGGTTATATAGAGTAATAACGACGAAGATAGGTTTAATATACCGTTAAACGATCTAAAAGATAATCCGATTTAAATAAAGCGTAGAGTGTTATTCTTAAATAATAGTAAGAATAGGCTCGAAGATAAGCGAGAAGTTATACTAGGCCGTATAGAGAATTATAAAATCGGACGAAAACTACGTAGTCGAATAAGAGACTAGTAGCTTTAATATATACGACGATAGCTTTAGTACGTCGATAAATTCTAGGAGCTACTACTATTATATATATATATATTACTATAAGTTAACCGGCACGAGGAACCGAACTAATAAGCGTACGATTTAAGAACGGCTTTATATAAGACCGTAATGTGTATATTATTTACGGATAGGTTACTATAATTATAAGATATTATAAATCGTAGTTATAATAAGATAAGCCGAAAATTATACTGCGCTTTCTAGGTAGTATAGCTACTAGTCGTATATCTTACTTACGTATAGCCGTTAAAAGAATATCTCTCGGTTATAAGTAAAGGTAGCGGCTAGACTAAGTATATCTAGGGCGATTAGAACGGCACTTAGGAAATAGGCTACTTAAACTAGATTATCGCTTATAAGATATAGAAGCGACTAAAGGTTAGACTAACGACGTACGACTATAGACACTTAGCTATCGTAGTCGGCCGTATTACAGTTAGTAAATGATTTATATACGGCTACGTAAATAAGATCGAAGAGGTAGAAGCCCCTAAACTAGATACGGACGACCCGCTTAAGATATCTATTAGCCGTAGAAGTAAGATAGGAGGTAATTAATACAGCGTCTCGGTTAATATCGTTAAGTATATAAACGATCGATCGATTAACACGTTTAGGCCGCTTAGCGAGAAATAGTATAAGTTTCTTAGTCTAGATAGCTTTAATATAAGTAAAGGATAAAAGCACGTAAGAGAAATGTCTCCGCTAAGTAGTTAATAGAACACTCGACTCGCTATAGTAGGTCCGGTAGTAGAAGGCGATAATATAGGGTATACGAGTAACTAGGCATCGACTTTAGCTTAATTCGACGCTGCTTTAAGGTATCGATAATAAGGACAATTAGAAAACACTCGAGCAGATATATAAGAGGAATCGTAGTTCTTTAGATAAAGTAGTTAAGTTATATAGTCTATCGATAGTACCGAGAGGAGAGTAGTAACGCCGGGATTACTTAGTAACACGTTATATCTAACCGAAAGTTAAGTATAAACAGTAATGCGGAAGGCTCTTAGACTAGAAGACGGAGATAAAGTATTATATAGGTCTAAGGTATAGCGTGTAGCAATGCAGTTAATACTATATAACGATTAGATAATACCGCTCGTTATCATTCTTCCGACTAGAGGTATTAAGAGTCTATTGTTTATAGCACCGGCATGTCTTAAGAACGTAGGGGTGACTATAGTTAAAATTCCGTTCCGAGCTTTAATTAATAAACTAGTTAGTATAGTAAAGGAGGCTAGTGTTAATAGTATAGAGTGGCACCCGGGGCTTATAGATCTAGCGACACTGGTTTTTATTAGCGTAGATAGGATTATCGGTAGCGGTTTCTTAAGCTACGTAGAGCTCTTATATAGTAAAGGCTTACTCCGGCGCGTGTTCGTAGATAAATGTTATCTAACATTTACCGCGAGCGACTAGCGGCCGAAGCTCGTAGCGGCTTGCTACGTACGAGGCTTGCGAGTGCCGCTTATTATACTTATCGTAACGCTACCGCTAATGTTAGCATTCGAATTAGAAGTTAGCATAGCTTATTAAACCGTTACCCGATATATTCGGGCTATAACGACCCGACTACGAACACGCTATATCGTAGAGACATATAGGCGAGGTGAGCTAGAAGAGACGACAATCGGGACTTACAAACGTATACAGAAACACATCAGACGTAATAAGGGCGTAATCTACTGCCGTAGCATTAATTAGTGTAAAGATATAGTAAAAGAGCTTAGTTATACTTACTATTATAGAGGTTCGATCGATAACGAAGATAAGCTCGCCGTATAGATAGAGACGGGAGGACTTATCGTAGCTACATCCGCGCTCGGTACCGGAGTCGACTTTCCCGGAATTGTTTTTATCTTACACATAGATCTGCCGTACGGAATGATCGATTACGCTTAAGAGTCTAGCAGGGCAGGCCGGGCCGGGCCGGCGAAGGGGTAGATTCTATTATTATCGTCGAATAAGGTAAGGTCGAAAGTATAAGATAAGCTAGCCGGATCCGTAGACTAGATAATGAGATTATGGCCGAGTTCGTAACGACGCGTAAGTGCAGACGACGGGTTATAAGCAGGTATCTAGATAGAAAGATCGTCGAGTGTAGTGCAGGAGACCTAGTATAGTGCGATCGCTGTAGTAAAGGACTAGGGGCTCTAGAACGCTTATACGAGAAGAACGGTAAAGAGCGTAAGACTGTCGAGAAGACACTAGATGATCTCACCGACGGCTGTGCTTTATGCTAGATACTAGCAGTAACACAAAACTGAGGGCACGAAGGTAATAACGATCTCTAGACTTACAGCGCGCAGGACTGTACGATTCGACAGCTGAACGACAGCGGACTTAGGCTTAGCGAAGACGAATGTAGCAAGTTCCGACAAGCGATTCGCTACGAGAAGAGCACTTACAGTTGTTATAAGTGCGGCATTAGTTAACGACTCTGTAACACTAGGCAAGATGGACAAAGCGCGTGTTAATGGCCGAACGTAGCGATACCGCTCTTACGTAGAGTTATAGGAATGCGGAACGGAATGATAGTCTTACAGCATCTTGGATTCACTAGCACACAAGGAGACTAGGCAGCGTACGCAAAATGGCTCGGATTACGACACCGACGACGGATCTAGGACGAAGTTATGAGTAATGCAATAGCAACATTAATCGAGCTTATAGTCGGTTCGACCGTAAGAGGTCTACGTCCGCTTTAACAACACATACCCGATGTAGAGGAGAACTACCATGCAGCAGACATTGTAGCTGAAAACAGCAGCAGAGAAGAAGAGGAAGAGGAAGAGAAAGAGGAAGAGAAAGAGGAAGAGGAAGAGGAAGAGGAAGAAGAAGAAGAAGAAGAAGAAGAAGAAGAAGAAGAAGAAGAAGAAGAAGAAGAAGAAGAAAGAAGACGAAGACGAAGGCGATCTGGCCTCGGGCGATGATCCCGCCAACAACGCCTCTCCCACTCTCGCAGTGGTCGACAGAAATATCGACCTTGCACCTTCCGTTGACAATCCCGACGAACAAGATGATGATCCTGCTCCGGCAGGTGCAACTTCGGCCGCAAGTGCCACCATTCGCGCTCGCCCGCGCACTGTCACGGCTCGCAACCGTGAGCAGATGCTTGACGGTGACGAGGATGAAGACAAAGACGACCGCCCCATTCGCCGTTACAAAGGCGAAAGTAGTCCTGCCGCCGAGACTGAGGACGAAGAGGGTTGATGAAGATAGAGATGAGGATGCAAAGTATTGAAATACGAAACAAATCGAGCTCTCAATGGACCCTCTCCGAATCCCTAATAACTTTGTGCATTTTGATGAATAGTAGCATCGACTGCACCGTGCAAGGAAGGAAAGCCAACACTGGCATGCGTATGTAGCTACTCCAAGCGCCCAACTCTCCTGAAAATCGATATATCAAAAGGCACAGTATTATTGAAACATGAGAGGCTGGCCAGTGAGAGAGTAAATTCTTCAAGCTCTCTGCGGTCCTATGCGTTCTTTCAATACCTTTGTGCATTTTGATGGGAAGTAGCAGCATATCACGTCGCGTAGGGAGAGTCAAAGCTGGCATGCGCTATTTATAGTAATTGTGTCTGCTCTATATTCATCCTTTGATCTCACTCAATATACGGAGGCAGCTCTTCCAATTCCTGGAACTCGGACATAGACAAATCATAACCTTGTTATAGTAAGAGCGACAGACCTAGTAGTAAGCCTTAGGAACTAGGCCCTAATCCTGCATCCGCTAGCTATAGTTAAAGATCCAGCTTTTGCTCGCACCCTTGCTATATAAGCACTCTCGAGCTGTATCTTAGAACTACTTCTTTCTCTCTAGTAGAGGCGTGTAAAGTTAGCGCTTTATAGTTGTTGAGGTTTCTAACAGTGCGAGAAGTATTAGTACGCGCGGCAGTATTTTAGAAGTCGTTAGGTTGTTAAAATTTAGTAGGGACATTAAGCTTAAATGACGGCGTAAGAGTTGTTAATAGAGCTAAGGATTAGCTCTAAGCGATCTAGCAGATCAATCTAGTAAACTAGTTTAGAGATCTATCTAGTAACAACTCTATAAAGGACGAGGTCGGAAGTAAATATAACGATGCTCGGGCTAATTCTAGTGTCTCGATCTATAACTATTCTACTAACTAGCAAAGCTTAAAGACGAAGAAGGAGCTAATACGAGTATAGGGACTTAATACTTCTATCTTATTTTAGTGCGTTCGAGAGTATAGGGGGACTAATATAGTTATAAGAACGATTCGGGTAAGACTTTAAGATATTAGAGCACTACTTTACGTAGCTAACGGAGGGGTAAGAATATAGAGGAGGGATTATAATGCAAACGATATAAGTGGCAGGGCCTAAATTATAGTATATATAGGGACGTATAAGTATCTATAGAGTAAGTAGTATATAATAGAGGGCAGATATAATCTAGAGTTCTTTATAGCATATAGGAACAGTTATAGGGGTATAAAAGACTTAGGTCCGAAGGTTCTACTATATATAGCCTTCTAGATATCCGCTTAACAGCGAAATCTTAAGATTTCTTATAGAGGTAGTCTAGTCCTTATACTAGCATTATACCCTAATAGCCGTCTATCGATCTAATAAGCTAATTACGTCTATCTTTATAGCATTCTAAGCTAACAGTATAAATAACAGTACGCCGTTCGTTACCCTCTACCTCTATAATCCTCGCGACGTTAAAAATATACGCTCGACTATATCTTCTCTTATCGCACCTAGTTATCGTACTAATATTATCTTGGCTTTATATATATAATCGACTTTAACGTTCAGTATTAGTACTACTGGAAACGGAGACTAAGAGAGTGCTAGTACAGAGATTATGCTAGGCTATAGATTTAGCTGTTTCTCCTAGTTAAGTATAAAACTTAGATATAAGTAGGAAGAGCAAAGGATAGAAGATTAAGACAATATGTACTATTAATAAGTATAGTAGATAGTAGAGGTAAGTCGTATAAGTTAGCGAGTACTTAAGGAACAATTATAGTATACATCATCTCGTCGTATTTCCGTCTAAACCGCTTTACTACTTATATTACATACCCCTTATATATATATGTATTCTACTATAGCGTTTCTTCTATTACTTTTATGCTACTAACTATACTAGCGGCTAAATAATGCTTATTAAGAAGCGACCGTCTTTATAGCTCGTCTAGAATCTATAAACTTCCGTTTTAGGTAGAGGGGAGATAGATATATTCTAGAAGTCATCTAGGAGATTTTAAGTTATTTAGTAAGTAGGGGACAGCGAAAGATTTAACTAGCAGACTAGAACTACTAGATTACGCCTAATACTTCGTAGAGTAGATCCTCGCTATAGAATTAAAACTACTTATAATAATTACGCTATATCTATACTAGTAGCTGTTCTTACTTAGTAATTAAGTATAGTTACGTTACGAATCGGGATTATAGACAACCTATCCGCTATCTAGATTAATGTCGAAAGTATAGCTATACATTTTTCTAATATTAAAATTCTTCTACCCTATTCCTATACGTAGAATCGTAGAGAAGGATTACGGAGGAATGCTATTTATATTCTAATCTATCTTAATAGCTTATTCGTTCTATAGCAACTCCCGGAATAATCTTATAAAAGTAAATAAAATAGCTAATATTTCCTGTAAGTCTCCTAAGAACGACCCCGATCTTATATATCAGTTAGCAAGATTATTACTAATATACTGGATCTTTAGCTTCCTATCTAGGTAGAGTGAAATACAACTATTAGGTAGGCGACTAAGGAAACTGCCGGTGTAGCTACTACCGTTAGCTTTACTAGAATAGCTACTCTATCCGTTGTTATTAACGCTATTAGGGCGCTAGCTAGTAGTAAGATATACCGAATTCGATGTGTCGTCTATATTAACAGTTCTAAAGTAGAAAGTGTTATAAGAATAGTTAATGTTGCCCTAACTAATAGTAAGTGTATATTAGCCTATTAATTCGGGAGCAGAAAAGCTATATCGCTCGTCTAACATACTAATTAAAGGCATAGTACTCGTTCGCCTTCGGCTTTATAGCGGTAAGGACACTAGTAGCAGCGAATGCTAGGATAGATAAAAGAAGGACTTATATATCTATTTTATCGTAAAGTACTACGAGGATAATTTGTTATATAGGTTAAGATAACACTAACCATCGCTCGGGGCATAGTGTTTATATATATATCTGCTAGAGTGTATAGAGGCGGATATCGTAATTAGAGCTAATTACCGACTCTATATTAACGGTAGGGATTACGAGCGATAGAGACTTTATAGACTATCTACGGCCGTTATACGGAAGTATATAGCAGTAGTCTCACCCTTATATATATTGCCTAAATCTACTATAGTATGTTCTTTCTCGAAGTTAGGGATAGCTTAGACAGATCTCGGCTACTAAGGAGCAGGTAACCCCGTAATTATAGTTCCAGTCTTTCTAGGTTATATATCTAAGCCGATACCGATGCTCTACCTATTCTACGAAAGACACATTCTAGCCTCGACTTACCGGTACTTATCCGACACTCGCTATATACTCTAAGGTAATATACCGGTTTAGAAATCTATTTATATAGTGTAATTCTACTCTTTACTTTGTTTTTTAATACGGTAGCTTATTCTACTATTACTATACTACGAGAGCCCGTAAGCAGCGTGTCTAAGACCGCTTAATACGTTCTATATTAGAAAGTTATAGAGACCGTAATCGTCGGCGCTAAACTGCTCTACATAATTAGCTCGATTTAGACGCGATTGGACTATTATGCCTACGTCTCGGCTAAATTGTTATACGTTCCCCCTACTAAGTAGGCTATACTCGTTCGAAAAATCTGAATTACTGGTATATATTATTAAAAGAGAAGGGTTATAGGGTTATACAGCCGAGGTCCTAGAAACGACGTTACATTCGCGCTATAACTAGTAATAAGGACCGACTTACGAAGTTAGAGCTATAAGATGTTCTACGCTATACCTTATTAAGTTAATAAGTTGTAGAGGACCGCTAGGTCGCTATCGATGCAATAGGGTATAGGTAGAGGGACCTATCTTATATACTTAGGGGATGGAACCCTTAGGAAGACCTAAGGACTAGGTAACTAGTCGACGGGCTAAGGGAAAAATGGAAAGTAGACCTTCTGGCAGTAAAGGCGGTTCTTCACTTCCTTTATAAGACGGGTAGGTTTACGTAGTAGACGAAGGAAAATGAGTAAGGGGAGGCTAGAATAGAATAAGGATAGATAGGGACACGGAAGGTAAAGCTAATAGGAGACGGCTAATAGGTTTGCCGTAGAACTAAGTAGCCTGATTAATTGAATTAATTAATCAATTAATCTAGGAGGTAAGGTTCGTGTTTAAACTAGCACGAGCCCGTTAAAAGTTAGCTTTCATTTTTCCTGTTTCTCTATCTCAAGCATATAGAAGCGACTATAGAAAGTACAGACGCATCTTAGTAACGGGCTTACTAGGCCTAGTGACGGTTACTAAGTATGTCCTATCTACGAAGCAAAGCAATAGAACATAGCTTAGAAGTATAGGGTTATACCTAATATGACTCGTGTACTAACACTAGTCATTAAAGAAGTTAACGTCGTGCATAAAGAATTTCATTAACACTTGAATGGTGACTTACATTGTTAGTTCTGTGCCCTGTTTTGTCTTTAGCTTTCGTGTCCTGATTTTTAGGAGTGGGAAAAGCGCTTTAATCGCTAGAAAACTGAGTAAAAGTCCTATACAGGCTAAGAGGCTGTCCCTCACCCAACTATAGTTGTCTGATTTTTGTGAATCATGTTAGACATATTTCAATGGACGGAGAGTAGAGGTGAAGAATAATAGAATATAGAGTAAGTCTGTAAGTGAGCGAAAAAAGTAACCCGACGGTGTAAAAATATGACATGATTAAGAAGCAGGGATCATGGATTTGAGAACTTTCTACAAGCATAACGCCAAGACAATAGAAAGGTGATTATGTAAACAAAATCGATTGGCTACTTCGAGCGCGATCTGAACGGGAGAATTGTCAGCTGACGTATACAGAACCTTGTACTATGAGTGGGCGGATGAACGTCGGACTAAGGAGGTGAACCCCGGTTTGTTGACGTTCAAGTCCTGTCTACCATCTTTTCAAGGCGGTTTCCAGACGCCAAAACTGAACGAAGCAGGGTATAACATTGTGAATCTTGTTTTTGACTTGCGAGTGAAGATATTGATACGCTTTTGGATACAGCTTCAATAGGTCATCCTCTGTATATACATAAAGTCGTCGTCTTTGTATTCTTGGGAGTCTGTAAGGAGGAAATGGGAAAATGATCAGGTTCGACACGGAGAAGGGCAGGTAGGTACATATATACACCCGTCGATTGATACCGAAGCTGAATCCTCCAGCCTCAAAATTTTCCCTTGGGTATGACCTAGCAATCCCCGAATGAGGCACGACTATTGTCGTTGATCAGAAGGACCACATGTGACCTCTCGAGGCACCGACAGTGACTATCTAGCTTCTTCTGCGGATCTCAGTGAGAAAACAATGAACATTGTGGAGTCGGATCGAATGCCTGCTTTGAGGTGATACTGTACAGGTCCGGTCAAGGTGATCGAACGCAGGGTGTAGTAGCCACACAAATTCACAGCCCACTTGCCCAGGATGGTAACTAACGGCACGTTGAATGCTCGGCCACTTCGACCGCGGACCCTCGTACAAGGATTTTGAGCGAAGGATTTTGTCCTCGCTGATCATAATACTAAGGAAGGGTCGACATAAAGCTTATCTGGCGTCTCTTGTTAGGCCGACACTTACGTCATCCAGAAGAAAACAGGGTGGAGGATGATATGTGGGCCATGACCCGTTGGGATTCGGAATCCGGCTCTACGTCGCCAAGCTTGGTAAGATTGCCCGGGGCCACTTATGGAGTCAGAGGCTCATATAATGGATCGGCTCGCAGCCCGCTGGCGGAGAGTCTTGCATCATGCACGATCCCCTTGGACCCTTACGCACGTATTCCATGACTCTGTCTCGTGGTCAGAGCTTAACGCACGTTTCAAGAACGAGTTGTCCATCACCAAAGCACAAACTGGTGTACACAACGCCAAATTAGCTACCATTAGCTTCACAGTCTATCGTACCTCTACCTAATAAAAGGTTTGGATCGGAGTCTTAGCAGCAACTAGTGGGTGATCTGGCCGCTCAACAATGTCTGACTATTGGAAGCACATCATTCAAGGAAAGAAAAAAAAAAGAGTGATCCAAATAAACACATCTGAGCGATTATCTTTAATCGTATCTTCGCTTTCGCCAGTCGAGGCTGACTTCAACCCATTCGTCCTTTCCGTCGCGGTGTTGTGTCTTTTGGTGCAAACATGAGTGTCAAGTACTCCTTCTGGTACTTTTTTGCCTTTGCGACTGCTTCTGTCGTGCAAAACCTGAACAAAGCATCCTTTGACACTTTTCTCGCGAGCAATGAGTTTTCTCTGGTCGCATGTATGTGTCCCAAACTTGACTGGATCAAATGACATTGCTGACCGAGGGATTTTGATGTAGGCATCGCACCATGGTGCTCGTATTGTAAAGAGTTAGACCCTCGACTCGCGAGCACGGCTGAAAGAGTTGTGGAGGACAATGTCGCTTTGGCACGTGTGGACTGTGTCGAGGAGCAAGATCTCTGCGAGCGCTACCAGACTCCAATCTATCCAACGATCTTGCATTTGATACCAAGGGCCAAACGGCCTACAATGGACCCCGTGAAGTTGGAGCCATGACAGCCTTCGTGAAAAGACGTAGTCAGCCGGTAGTTACCAAACTGGATACGACGGGCGATATCGCACGTTTCAGTACCAAGGACAATGTCACTGTCATTGGGATATTCGATGACGACGACGAGCTATCCCGATAGGCTTTCTTTACCACCGCAGAAAAACACCGCGACTATTACCTGTTCGGCTCTGCATCAAATGCAGAATTTTTTCGCGACGAGGGAATCACCAAGCCTTCAATTGTCCTCTACAGATCCTTTGACAACTCAAACCGCCTCCGATATTGATAAATATTCCTAGGAACCAGACTTGCAGGAGTTCAGACGGTCTTTCACTGGCCTCTACCAAGCCTTCTAAGCGGATCAATTCTCGTCTTGCTTAGTTGTACTCAGATTTGAGTTTCTGCCTTTCTGCGATAGGGATGTTTTTGTCATGTGCTCTAGGTGCCTATGCCGCGTTGGCTTTCTCAACAAGCTCCTTTTGCTTAGAGAGTTGCGCTCTATATGATCGCTGTTGTTGTTCATCCATCTCCTTAGGCAAATGCCAAAGTGTTAGCGAGAATGCCTCGCGGTGCTCGTCGAGGGCTAAAGCTTGGAATGCATGCTTGATATCTAGATTTTACGTAAGTGAATACGATCAAACACAAGAGATAAGTAATTTGGGACTTACTTAGAATGAGTCTGACGTTATGGAAGCCGTGCTTGTTAGGACCCCATCCAAGTTTCACCCCTAGCATCTCCGGAAATCCTAGTGCGCCAACAGTATCGAATACCCCGACGACCTCAACAATCTTGGATCCAGCGGATGTCCCCTAGTGTCTATGAGGATGAGTCTCTCATCTGAAGTTGTAGTTCTTGTAACTCCAATCGTCTAATTGGTCTTCATTAGCAGCAGAAACGCCATCCAGAAAGTCAAAGTAAGCATCAGTTCCCAGGAACCGCTGTCCTTGATAGTTCGATTTGTATGCTTTCCAGATCACGTGAAAGTCCTCGCCAGACCGAAATCGCTATGTTTGACGCGAGCTGTTTAGAATCCCTTGGATTGCGCATAGATCCTATCCATCACGCTCTCATATGCCTCACCTGAAAATGCGCGCTACCGGTCACTGGTATCTGTTTGACTGGCCGGAGAGATTGGCACCATGACTTGCAAGTGCGGTAAGCTCACTATCAATCACCATGCCCGTGTGATGAACAACTGGGAGGATGAAGAGACTAACTCCCTCATCAGAAAACGTGGTAAGTGTCAGGTAATGCTCACATTCAATAACACAACTGCTATGCAGTTGAGATATGACTGACTCAAGCAACCATGGGACCCCAGTTGGGATCTCATGATAGATATTGAATGTCTCCAATAGTGAGATGGACATAGAATATCTATGCATGTCAACCAGTAGGTCTCGCAGAGAAGTCCGTACGTCATAATAATCGCAAGGTCAAACCCTCATGCTTCGCTTTAGGATTCGATCAGAATGCCACTCTGAGATGCTCGTCACTGCAATCGCTCATTAGACCATTAGTATCCCTGAGGTAACATGTAAGAGTCAAGTAACGAGTAATAGACAGCATCAGATGTGTTGGGCCCAACAGTCACGGCTGAACTCGGAAGCAGGAATGATTGTACAGATCTTATATTCGTGCTGCGCGAATGCTATAGTCTCAGCAGCCATCGAGATATTTGTAAACTTTGAAGCTACAGCAGAATGCCAACGTCCTGCAGTTCGTGTTTGAACTTCGATGCCTCCTTCCTCCGAAGTTGCGAGAAATCTATACCTGACCTTTCCGTTTTCTGTCTTGTCAGATCACCCGGCCCAGACTCCCTCGCTTTTAAGTCACTAAGCCGACACAATGATAGCATAAGTACCATCAATCTCGCCGCTGGTCTTGATAGGCGAACATGTCTCACCATAATAACTAGAGCCGTCGGAGCAAGAGATAGTTCCTGAATGGTTGTGTCAGTGTCCGTTAAGTCATCGAAAATACAGTCCCGCTGACCTTTGGTGCAACGAAGATTTGCAGTGAAACCGACGCGGCCTGTTTGTCCAGAGGGAACAGGGAAAGTGAATGAATCGCTGTCTGTAACACTCTTGGAGAACTCGAAGCCAACGCTAGCACTAACGATCTCAAAGATGTCCACGCCGGCCGAGATAGAAGTGCTCCACTCCTGGGTACGTGATTTGGAAACTTCAAGGTTGGCGGGACCAGTTGCAGATTTGACAGACACAACCTGAGTGTTGTCGGCAGGTCTTGTGTAAGGCTCTCCGTCGGCGGTGTACGAACAATCAGCTCGCTTTAGAAGCCCTGTATCAAGGGGCAGGGGTCCTGCCTTAGCAGGAGGAATGACAGTACCATTCTGGAACATCAGCATAGCCGCGGACAGGCCGCCAGCCTCAGCAGACGGAATGCGATAGACAAGGTCACGCTTCAGACCACCGGGAACTGAGACGCCGGCCGCAGAACAATCGCCTGACCCACAGCAGAACTGTACCATAAAGGTCTCCTTTAGATTAAGGCTCACACAAGCGGCATTTTGGAAAGTTCCAATAGTAGTACCGCAGCCTTGGACGCTAGTATCGGCAGGAGACTTGACGATAGTGGCGCAGTGCTCATTTGGCTGAGCGATGTCAAAGAAGACTGTATAACCACTAGTCGTAAGAAGTTAGACATATCTGCGCCTTGTGATATTTGTTAAGGACTAACCCAGAGGCAGCAGCAGCAAAATCCCCGGAAGCGAAGACAGTCTCCGAATCATATACTACGCATTGTGGATAGCCAGTGCCCCCGCTGGTCACAGTTTGGGGACAGTCATCGCATCCTGCGGCAGTGCAGAGGGAGAAGGGCGGATATTGGGCTTGGACAGCACTAAACAGCGCCATGAGAGGAACAATCTGCTGATACTTGGAAAACATGATGGAGAATGTAGACAGGTGGAATAGTTGAGCTGTGCAAAGTGTAGAAGAGATGATTGTTTGATACATGCTCAGGCGCAGGATGGACTCCTTTTATGTCAAGCAACCGCACGGCCCAACCTCCTACTGGAAAGGCTGTCCTTGTACGTACTGTTATTGCAACCATGCATTAACGTGTGGGTGTTCAATGGGACTCGTGACTCTTGGCTCGTGGTTAGCGTGTTGTCTGGAGGCAAAAATGCCTCCCAGAATCCTCCAAGGCTGGCTCTAGGTCAACAAGATCGAGGTATGGTGCTCGACAAGTGTGTAAGGCCTTCCATTACTTTGGTAGAGTCTAGTGCTTTTAGTGGGCCGCAAGCTATGAAGGGCAAATGATGTGACATCCGTGGTCTGATCTCGTTGGCCGATACCTGCATGGAGCGAAGATTCGCTTGCTCGCAGTTACAGTGGAGCGCCAACTAGTTGAGGAAAAATTGGCTCGAGGCCCACCGCGCTATCACATGTAGCCTTCGTCAATTGACAGCCACCAACTGTTGATGCGGAGTCGTGATCTCCTGCCAAAATTACTTGTCGAGGTCGAAGGATTGTTGCTCCATATGACCATCATATCACTGTGTGGGTCGCAGGTGACCATCGACGCAACACCTGGTCAACACTATCGAACTTACAAGAACTGATTGATAACAGTTCCGCATGACACCACGTCAACATATAGAAGAAGCAAGCACGAAGAGCCACAGGTCTTTTCTGCTGCATCTAACACATATAAGGCCTCAAGTCCGTTCCCGAGACCTCACATCACCGTCGTCCAGAAACAACTATCACCAGCCTTTTTCTCTATCACTACCCGTTTTCACACCACCTAACACGCTCAACAAGTCAAAAGATGTATCTTGCCGGGGTCTTTGCTATCTTGACTGCTCAGGCTGTTTTGTGCAAGCCAGTACCACAAACCACAACAGCTCCCGACGGATATTGGGTCGCCGAAATCTTCAAAAGCGGATGCGCAATCTCTGATGACAACCCCCGCTACACGTTCAACGGACAAGAGGCTCAGGACTGCACCTCGATCCAGGGCTATGGATACCGTAGCATCAACTTCGATGATTCTACCAGTAAATGGGCTGTCAACGTCTTCACCGACCTAGACTGTACGGTCAGCTTGGTTAGCAACATTCAAGACAATCAGTGTATCTCGACTCCCGAGGGCCAGTTCGTCACAGCTTTCTCTATTACTCCTCGCTAGGTAAGCGCTTGATCATATGATGGCGGACCACCCTGACGTTCATCTAGTCACGTTGGAAGGAAATATCAAGGGGGCATGGTGAGGATCGGTGGATCGAAAGTGAGATTCAGATGATAGTTAAGAGGCGTGGGGAATTCGAAGCCATATGAACCATACTTTCTCCTGATTGAACCAATCTCACTGAAAACGTACTTGACTGTTTCTGTTGTGATAACGCTACGGCCGAAACTTAGTGCCTCTGATGGTATGATGGCATGCAATGATGAGTTTAGGGCGTGTTGTTCGAATAGAGTTCGCTTCGGCAGGATGTCGCCGGTGACAATGTGCTCTGGGTTGCTCGCTGTGAGGTGCCAGGTCAAGATAAGATTGCGGCCGAAATCCGAGATGGTGGGGCCACTACGGGCGCGCAGTCTCTTGGCTTGCAGAGCAGGAGCCTCGTAAGTGGATACGGACCATGTCGGAGTCTCAACGATAGACTTGTGCTCCTACTAGCTCGCCCAAGTTGCAAGCTTGGCAAGCCTGATGCACCTGGTAGATTAGAGTCATATGACGTCGCGAGTACGAGATCTTCCGCAGCATTAAGAATCACTTACTCACATGGCGACCGAGACCTCGATCGAATACCTACGGTGCGAGGACTACGATGTTCCTTCGTGAAGCAACTCAATGGAACCGTCGCAACCCTGCGACTCCAGAAGTCTACGATGTATGAAAATCTCTAGTCCTACCGTAGAAAGTGGACCGAGAGGTACGTATACCGGGAGCATGATGATCGACGGAGCTGATGATCAATCATGAGTCATGACTAAGGTGTCCCTCGCGATTCATGACAAAAGCTCAAAGGCGCCCGCGTGATGGCCCAGGCTAGTAGTAAATAATGCACGACGCGCCAGAAAGCCACCTACCATGTACCGGAAGGAGCCAGAGATCTGCGATAGATTGTAGAGGTCGAGGCGAGTACGGGCTTAGCACCAAGAGACGCCAAGCACTTGTTCGTTTCGAGTGCGGATAGCAATTCAAAGCATGTTTCTTGGAGGATGCGCACTAATGGACTTACGCCCGTAGTTTCTAGGGATCTGCAAAAGTCCAATTACGATAAACCGTTCAAGCGTACAATGAGTGCCAGTGCTCAATGACAACAGGCTCGACAAATCCTTCATCTACCTGGCTCTCTGGATCTCCCCTCTCACTTTTCACTTCACATTTCCAATTCCAACACACTCAGCATGACACTTACATTTTCGTTGCTTAGTACCTGCTTGCTTATGCCCATCACCGCGCTAGCATCCGACTCAATCCTGAGCCGTGCAACCTGTTCAGACTTCAGCACGCAGAGACAACCGTTCACTCTGCCAGGCCCTTCGCCGTTCATAATCAGCACTGGAGTGGTTTGCAGCGGCAGCACCCCCTGTGACGTTCCGGTTGGTGGCTTTGTCACCGTAAACCGCTTTGTGAACGTCACTGGACTTGATGATGGCACCGTCTCCGACCTTTTCGCTTTGATTAGCTCGTCAGATCCTTCAGTCGACTTCACAGAATCTATGAGCAACAACATCTCATCAGTTTCAACCCAACGGATCCAGAATGGCACTGCCGGATACGTGGTCTTTACGCCAAACTTCCGCTGTGTATCAGGCACACTTAGTGGCTGCCCCGGTGGCAGTGCAGCATTGACAGATGGAACCTTCATCGAAGCTTGTGCGCCAATCAAAGCCGGCGAGGGCTCTGATGACATCTCTGGCACCATCAACCCTGTAAAAACAGATGAAGCCACTGCTAAAGCTGTGACCTGTAATCCAGCCAACGTCAGCAGTGCAGCTGATGCGCCGAACAAGGCATGCACTAGTCAGAAGGAGGAAAATACAAGTGGAGCTATGCGTACGGCTCAATTGGGAAGCGCTGTCATGACAATTCCTCTGGTCGCTTTCATGGCCTTCGCTGTCAATCTTATCTAGGGACCACTCGCCCTCTGCAAGGATGTTAGCTGAAAATCCGGTGGAGAGTGAAGCCGGAATATCGGAGGGCGAGTTCTTGTGAGTTAACAGATGAAATGTGACGCCCTTCCCCCGGCAGAATTTTCCCTTCTTGTTAGGTAATACCGAAGCATATAGTTACAATAGCAATCAGCTCTAACGGAGGCGAGAAACCTTGTGTGGAGCTCTATAATGCGTAGCGAAGTTGTCCACTCACTATAGGCACTTATCCCTCAAAGTCAGTATAGAATTGGAAACAAGACGGGGTCGCTGTTCTAGATAGATTTGCATGACGCAATCTTATTTCATACAGAATCGACATAAATTTAGGGTTCTCCAATTCTCCATTCTTTTCGAATTGCGAAATTCATCCATTATTGCTAGATTAAACTTCTCATTAAGACCGGTTATCAATTGTTACACCCCTGCTCTCACGTTTTGCTTCACGTGTCCTTCCTTGTTTTGTGTGAAACCTCAGGACGCAGAGGCGAAGATTAACGAGGCCGTTAAGGAAGTGTCTACCGATCGGACTGCAAGGCTTCAGTGATTTCGAGGCCGAGCAGCTTCGTTATAATTCTAGAATCTAATGCTCTTTTAGAAGGTCCTAGTCTAAAAAAGTATTTAAAAAGTTTAGTCTAAAAAAGTATTCTAAAAAAGTATTCTAAAAAAGTATTTTAACTAACTTTAAGTAAGGTCTAAAAAAGTATTTAGTCTATTTTTACTAATAGCTTATAAATACTATATCTTAAAGTATATATATAAGAATAAGGCTATTAGAAATAGAGTCTAGTATCTAAATTAAAATAAAA